TAAAATCCAGATTTTGATAAGACTTTGGATAAAGCTTTATAATAATATCTTATTCTAGTAGAAAAAAAGGACAAGGCTGGTAATCTAAATATCTCAGAAGATACAATATCTGTTGATTAGTTAAGAGAATATATAAAAGTATAAGATATAAAAAGCAGGAAAAGGAAGGCTGGCGATAATCAAAAAAAACCAAATAAGCGACTATTATTGTGAATCAAATTTCTGTATTTTTTACTGTATAATACCACAATATTTTCCTCTAACATAATCAAGACTTAGCCCGAATATCTCCTTATTCTACCTCCTTCCTCCCCAGTCCCCCCCTATAGCTATTAGGAAGATGACTGCGAGGACCGATGAGCAGGCAGGTGCCTGTTGGGGAGGAGAAGAGGAGATGTGTCAACAGGAAACCTAATCGGAGTTGGGACATAGCAACTAGACCTCGGAACCGCCCGCGAGCCGCCCTCTGAGGGCCGCCCACGGACCCGCACTTTTGCGGGCGGAGGGCAGGCTCTTCCTGCCCGCGGGTCGGGTAGGTCTCTACCCTGCCCTCAGAGGGCGGCCCTCGGAATATTTCGAGGGCCGACAAACATGACAAACATAGAAAGCTCTGTGGTTGCATAAATTATGCTAGTTTTGACTGTAATTTTAGGTATTTGATATACAGCTAGGTCCTTTAGAATAAATTATCATGATTAGGGAAAGCGTGTTGAAAATATCAAATAATTGCTTCAATTCATGTTATTTCATACTATTTCTAGGGCTAGATACTATAAATCAACTCTCATACCCTTCTAAAAACCTTGAGCGCTTTCGAACCCTTCCTGAATGCCGAAGTTGTGTGTTTGGTAAGTCAGGCTCGCCCTCTTCTTCATGCTCTCCATTTTCTGGCCCTGTTGACGAGGGTTGTTGTTGTTGCGATTGAGCTGTGATGACTGCAATCTGTGTAGTATCAATAACTAATCCTGCATCATCAATCTCTTCGTTATCGCTAATTGGCTCAAGGTATGGAGTATTTAGATCTTTCGCCTCCTGGTTGGCCTGTATCTCTTCATGTAAGAGATATTCGTTGATTAGAGCTCGTTGACCTTCTTCAATCTCAAACTTTGATGTACACATGAACATCATCAGATCTTGAATTGTTGATGGCTTTAGCGAGCCTCTCCGGTAGTGACAGACATCCCGGGCAGAGTTAAAGAGGCGCTCTACACCTGCCCCTGTTGCAGGAATCGAAAGCACGTCGCGTGCAAGGTTTGCAAGCGCTGGAAATTGATGCTGGTGATCTTTCCAGAACATACAGACAGGAGTTCGTACAATGCCTAGAATATACGTTAGTAAAGACTTTATAAGTGAGATATTATTAACTTACCGCTATCAAGATACTCCTTAAGCTCATCAAATTCAGTAGATGCTAAAGGCTGGGACTCTTCCGCTCCACACTCCATCTCAAGCTCTGAGATAGCGACTGTAGGTGATTGAGCTTTAGATATTGATTGTGTATCGGCATGGTGTCGTTTATAGGATTGAAAGTAATCCTCAAGACTTGCTCGGTAGATTGCACGCCAGTTGTTATCTGGATCATCCCAGTCCTTTCCTTCAAAGAATTGAAGCTTTTGTTGCGGTGAAAGTATCGTGCCAATGGCATAGAGATTGCCATCAATTGTATCCGTCATACCATAATAAGTTGAAAGCTTTCTCTTTGCGGCCTCGAGAGAAGAAAGCATAAGCTGCTTCCAAGCAACCTTTTTCCGTCTTAACGCACTCATTGACCTTTCAAGATGATTGAAGAGCTTGTTGTAGATGCTAAAGACTAGATGAATACTAACATCCTTAGTCTTAGAAAGAAGAGTGGTGAATTTGAAGAAAGGCTGGGTTATCCAGAGAAGATACTCAATTTGTCGCCACTCCTCTTGACTCAATGCAAAGTGGTCCTGATCATACTGCGAACAAAAGTCATCAAAGGTTGATTGAAGCCGTTTAGCACGTCGGAGCATCAAAAACGTTGAATTCCAGCGAGTTCGAACATCCTGGATAGGAATAAGCCTTGGTTCTTCCTTCTGAAGGTTGTAGAATGACTCGCGCCGTTGCGGGCTTGCGTTGATGTAGATAGCAAGGTTTCGGACCTATATAATCATAAAAGAGTTAGTATTGTTAATAAGGTAAGAAAGTAGGGGCATACCTTGTTAAGTGTATCAACAATTTCTCTTTTTTGTTGCCTTACACGAAGAGAACGGAATCGTTCGTCAGACCAATCCATCTCCACATTTTCATTCTTTGGAATTGCCTTTAACTTCCCAAGAAGATCATTCAAGCTAAGCTGAATCACATGGGCAATGCAAGGAACTCGAACGATTGTAGAACCATTATTCAGCTCAAGTGACTGTAATGACTCTTGTATACTTGACATTAACGTGTTATTGTTTGATGCATTGTCAGTTGTCACGGCAAGTACTCGATCTGCGATTTTATGCTGTCGGAGAAGCTTTAAAACCACATCACTTAGATTCACACCAGAATGGGATCCAGATAAAGGTTCAAATCCAAGAAGCACCTCTTGATATTGCCAGTGTTGGTCTAGGAAGTAGCCAGTAACAGCCATAAAAGCCTGTCGAAAGGGAGATGTCCAGCAATCTAGTGCTAGTGAAAGTTTTGCGTTTGGAGGAAGCTTCTGAAGGATAGATTGTTGCTGCTTTTGGACGTACTCTTGTAGCCGAGATCGTATTGTTTTTGCTGAAGGGATATGGGGTTGTGTAGGGGCAAGTCGGGCAAAGGTAATAACGTCACGGAACTCTGGATGTTCAATGAATTGGAAGGGAAGACGTGATAAGGTGATCAATTGTAGAAGCTTCTGCTCCCATGCTTCTTGCGTAAAGACTTTTGTTATATTTGATGTGTTCTGTGCCTATTATAAAAGAGAATGATTAGTAAAACATTAGACTATATGTCCTAAGTGATACATACTGCATTTGCGAGTAATCCCTTGATATTAGCCTTCTGGCTAGTAGATTTGCGACAGGTTGGACCAGCTAAGTGCCGATTAAGGGCAGTTGTTCCATACCGCCCACTTGCTGGATGATCAAGGACTTTCTGGCATTGGCGACACTTTACCCCTGGTTTACCAGTTTTTGCGTTGGCAACTTGATCAAATTGTTCCCAGCATGCCGCTGTACGGTTACCACCCCAATTAAGTCTTTTCCTCTTCCCAAACTCAGTCTCCAACCACCAAGCGACGAAGTCATCCTTTGACATTTCGGAGTATAGGATGAATGCTGGTGATCGACCAGGACCAACACGCTGAAGTGAAGAAGGAATCAAGGGTGGAGTAATTGGAGTGAGAAAATCGGGATTTGATGCAGATTCAAGTGTGTGCTGACTTCCAGAAATATCAGGCGTTGGGAATTGATCATTCGAAAAAGAGAGAAGAGCATCAACTGGATCACCATCATATACTGATGAAGAATAGATATCTGAGAACTGGGACATTTGGGACATTGTTAATCAGATGATCGCTAGTAAAGCATGATTTGAAAAGGGAAAAGCGACTGGTTTCTGGAGAAGATACCTACTAAGAAAGCCCATAGGCTCTGGTAAATAGAATTATTGACTAGCTTGAGTAGCTTTCCAATATAGCTTGACTATTATCGAACACATCAACTATTGACCCACTTTAACTTATTAATCTCCCTATGATTGGTTATTTATTGAGGGCTGATTGAGGGCGGCCCTCAAATCGGCCCTCAAAATATGCGGGCGGCCCTCAACCAGCCCTCGAAATGTGCGGGCCGCCCTCGAGCGGCCCTCGAGCGGCCCCCAAACGGCCCTCGAAAACATGCGGGCCGCCCTCGAATCACCAATCCGCCCTCGGTTTTTCGCTGACTTGTGTATCCCCTCAAATCTAGTGATGCTTTTAGTTCAAAGATTATTATGGGGGCTCTTCTATTAGTAAATATAGTATGATTAGACTTTATCGGGGGGCTCACCTTATAAAGAAGAATTATATGATATTTGGTGAAGAATCAAGAATTTATGAGATATGTTTAATGTTCTTGTTATTCCTACCAACATGACGTTGTAAATATATATATCTAACCCAACCATATTGAACTAATATATTCAAAAATCATCTCCTTTCTATTCACCCTCTACCATTTACTTTTGGAGATTCAAAACCTGTAATATAATCATTACCTACTATGCTTTATTACAATACAACTAAATTTCTTATAATTTCATAAGACTTAAATAGTGATACCATGGAGAATAAACTATAAACAGGAACAGGCTTAAAAAACAGTAATTAAATAGAATGAATCAGCAGAATTATACATCTAAATGAGGAATAGCCAACTTTTTTTATGCAAATGAGGGCGGATAAGGGCCGCCCGCGAGCGGCCCTCTGAGGGCTGAGGGCCGGGCGAGGCAGGCAAGAACCCGCCCTCCGCCCGCGAGGGCCGGGCGGAGGGCGGGAGATACTGGCCCTCGAAATGTTTTTGACGAGGTCTAATAGCAACAACGGCGTTTCAATTTTGGAATACTAAAGCTAGAGGAGAAAGAGGAGGAGGGAAGGAAGGAAAAGCTACTATACAACGACCGACCTAATACCCAAGTCCCGCCATCCCCCTGTCCACTTCTGTATATGTTCGGACAACAGTAGTTTAGATAGTGCTGCTATCAAGGGCGGTGTGGAGTGGCAGAATCGGCTAACAGCTGATAAGATGAGGTGTTGGAGCATGCAGGGAGAAAGGGGTCTGTAATGTACAGTATGAATTGGTAAAATATATAACTCTGAAAGTTCTAAAATGACAGGCACCGCATATTTATACGGTGAGTTCCTTACATAAGAAAAGTAATGCACATATGCCAAGAAATGAATAAGCGGTAATACGGTGGTAATGGCACCGTGTGTTCCGACACACCCCCCCAGGCTGCGCGTTCGCTAGGTTGAACTAGCAGGCCTGACACCATATTTTAATGGGTCATGTGACCTTACTGGGATGGGATTAAACCATAGTTTTTCCCTCTCCATACGGCTCTATCAAGTGCCGTATATCTTCCATCCCAAGTTTTCGACGGCTTTCTTCGAATTTGGATCGTGGGAGGATCTTGGTCAAACCATCGGCAGGCATTTGACTGGTTGAGATCCATTTGAGTTCAATATCTCCACGTTGAATGCGTTCGTATAACCAATTTTTAGCCACGTTGACGTGCTTCAATTTGGTATCAATTCCAGGATTTTCGCTGGTAAGCAGTCGAACTGTTTGTGCATTATCGCACAGAATCGGAGTAGGATGAGATAATTCAAAGCCAATAGCTTTGAGCATGCGCTTCCACCAAATTAGAATTTTTCCCACTTCTAGCAACGCACGAAATTCAGCTTCTGTTGTCGATGTTGATACTGAACGTTGCTTCGACGATTTCCAATCAACGGCTCCTCCGTACACCTTGCATATATATCCATACGACGACTTGGTATCGTGATTATCTGCAAACGATGCATCGGCGGCGATGACAAAAGAGGAATTCAGTATGGAATCGGTGTCGTTTCGCGGGCTATATTCAATGGCGTGAAAGCGTGTCTGGTACAGATATGACATAACTCGATCAACCGATTCGAGATGTCTTTGACTAGGATTTGCAGCGAATTGGGCCAGTTTTGACGCATGAATTGCGATATCTGGTCGGGTCTGGTTCGCTGGATATTGAATTGATCCAATTTTTTGCTGTATTTCCTTGATTTGGGAGGCTGTAGCTTCCTTATCGGATGGCATAAGAATTTCTCCCGATGGTAGAGGAGTAGTAGCCTTATGTTGATCAATTCGATGGAATTTATGTGCCATATGCGACACATATGCATCTTGGCACAACCAAAGCTTCTTTTTCTCTCTATCTCGCAATATGCGAATTCCGAGAAACCATTTAGCCTCTCCCATATCTCGAACTTGCCAGTAGCGTTGAATATCGTCATACAGCTTATCGACGTGTTTGGCAGCGGTTCGCAGGCTAACAATAATGATATCGTCGACATAAAAGAAGATAATGATACCATCTCCGACAAATAAACATGGGTCCTCCGGAACTGGTTTGAAATCTAGTTTTTCGAGCACACGAGAGGCTTCTTTTTGCCATAATCGTAGAGATTTTCGGAGGCCATATAGCGCTTGTTTGAGCTTCTATGCCTTCCCGATCTGTTGGAATCCAGGAGGCATTCGGGTATAAATCTCATCGTGTAGCATACTATTGAGAAATACATTGACTGTATCAAGTTGACGTGTATCCAGATCGAAGGCTGCTGCTAATGCGAACATTAAACGGCCTGTTTTCGCTGCTAGCGTTGCTGCATATTTCTCCTCCCCTGTCAAAGTTTGGAGGTCTCCACGCACACAGATTCGGGCCTTAGCCTTGATTAGATATCCATTCGCATCGAGTTTGTATGTGAAAACCCATAATAATGGTAAAACCTGTTTACTGACGTCAACCGGTTCATCCACAACATCAAACGTGCCTTTGGATTTCAAAGCTTCAATCTCTATTCGAGCAGCAGTATAGAACATCTCTCCATACGGATGTGTTCTCAGATCTTTCCACGACTTCGGAGGTGGTGGTAAATCGTCACTGTGTAGTCGATTTGGCATCGTTTTGCCAATATTGAAAGCTGTCGTATATGCACGACGTATTTCTCGATCCTCCTTCTCTAGGAGGTGAAATTTGGAGTAAAAACTCTGGAAATCGGGATCAATTCGTGGTCGACGTGTTCGTGTTGTTTGGAGGATATTCGATTCATCGACATCACCATTGATATCGTTGGGTGCACGTGTGAGTGCATCTCCTTCCTCTGGTTCAGATTCCACTTTATTCGATATGGTTTCAACCTCCGATTCGACTCGATTCGTGCCTGTTTCCACCTCTACCTCCGCTGAATTTAGTGTGTTTTCCTCCTCTATCTCCTCCAAATTTGGAGTTTCATCGACTTCGATTGGTTCAGAGATAGGCGGTGAGGTAGGCTCTGTCAAATTTGGAAGCGGTGTGGCAGTGGGAGTTGGAAGTTGAGTGTGTGGTTCGGGAGTTTTTTCTCCTATATCCCTTCTATCGTGCACCTCCGACGGTTGTGTTTCTGGTGGTTCAACATCACGTGGTTCCATCTCGATCGGTTTTTGGAGAGATAATAGATCGATAGTGGTAAGATTTGAGTCGGTTATGGTGCCGAATTGCGTGTTCTGATCGATTGATTCCAAGGTTGGTGTAAGTCCCCACGCCTCCATCTCCATATGGTGCGCTAATATAGCATCCATTTCAGATATAATTTGAGCGTTAGCAGGGATCTCTGCCTCCGGAACTCGCGGTTTAGCGTCATTTTTATAACGCCTCGACTCAATAAACACTGCATCTCTCACGTGCATCACCTTGTCGTTGTCTGGGAACCAAATTTCCCACACATTTGATGCCACATATCCTACCAAATATCCCAGTTTCGCCCTCGGTGCCATTTTATCCAGATTTGGTATATTTTGGACCCGAGCGTATGCCGCACAGCCATAGATTCGGAGGTTGCTTATATCCACTTTCGTATCAACTTCTCTACAAGTTGATTGGTTGATTCGTTTGAAAACTTCACTAAGTGGAACGATCCAACTTCCATCTTTCCATGTTGGAATTCTGTTCAACAGATAAACAGCTGTTTTGACTGCATATGGCCACAGATAATTTGATAAACCTGCTCTAAGCAGTAATCCACGTGCTATAGTAGTGATCACCCCCCCCAGATCTCTCAGATAGACCATTCATATCTAGGTGGTAAGGTGGAGATCTTTCCCATTTGATGCCCATTTGGGAGATCTATGCTTCTGTTTCACGGTCGATTGAGGTCTTGTTATCGGAAAAAACAACCAAAATCTTGAGGTTCAACCATCTCTCGATAAACCTGATAGCTATGAGAAATATCCCTTTCATTTGGTGCAGGGATTCCATAATATACACCACATGAAACCGGATTCCATCGAGATAGAAGTGCGCGAAATATCGTGCCTTCCTTCCATATTAATGCATATACACCACGTCGAAAAATAGCCTTCTAAATGGACCATATCTCTGTGTGATTGGTCGTCGCGAAATTTGCTTATTCGACTCCTTTTCCAGGCACGTTTCACATATCTCGTTGGTTCGATCCACTTTTGAATACAAGATTTCCATGCCTTTATTCAACTACGAGGCCATCTCGATACGACGTTTTCCAACATGGCCTAGTCGCTCATGCCATATATTGTACATTATGGTCGATTTATGCTCGTTTCTAGAGTCAATCGGCCCTCGTTGCGTATTAAATGTGAGTTTCTGGTTCAATTTCTTATGATAAGATGTCGGACTAGGTTCGAAGGTCCATAATCCTGCCTTGAGCGTGAGATTCCATAGGATTTTCCCTGTTAACTGGTTGGAAACAGCGTTGTTCATGCCATCGTGGCACACTCCGCCTTTACGCAGTCGACTCTCGGAAATCAAATTCAAATGGAAATTTGGTGCATATATAACTTCCTTCAAAGTTATATCGTGCGGTAAACCATTATCTGGATCGATGGGATAGATTTTTGCTGTTCCAATCCCTTCATATTCCGTATAGTGGTCTCCGGTGCCTAATTTCCCACGAATTGGTGTGAAATCAATGAATCGGGATGCGTCGTTGGTGACGTGACAGTCGCTGCCACAGTCTAAAATCCACCAGTTTGACGTATTGACGCCATTATCTACGCTCGCTACGTTCAAATTGAACGTTTGACCACTCGAATTAGTGGTTTTTCCTCTCGATTTGGTTGCGAATGCACCCTGTAAGGAGAAGGAATCAGTGCGAACCGTTGAGTTTGAGCTGTTTGCCTTCTGTGAGGGCTGTGATTGGTTCAAATTTGAGTTGTGTTTCGAGTTGTATTGTTTGATCTGTTTACTCAACCAATCACGATAACTCGACGGTTTCGAATTCATCGCATCTCGGGCCCGTTTCGATGCCTGTTTAGGTGGCTTCCATCCCTCCGGTGCTATATCTGGGTTCAGAATATAGCATTTCCAGGGTTTATGGCCCCACTTGGAGTTGTTTGCTAGGCAGGGACACCTTTGATTGGCGTACGAAGCGGAGTTTTCCTCTTGAGTGACGGGTTTCTCCTCTTGAGTTCCCTGAAACGTCGAAAATGTGCCTTTCGGGGCCTCTTTTTTCGATTTGATTCGGAGCGACCATTCACGTTCCAGCTTTCGAAGAACCTCTTGTGTAGGGATATCTCTCCTTTCAATCAATAGCTGTTCGTACATGGTTGCATGGAACCATTGGAGCTCGTTGATTGGAAGGATATTTTCGAGAAGCTTCCGATATAACTCCTTCGAATACGTTTCCTCCTTCGCATAATCGAGTTCGGTTTGAAGCTCCAACGTCTTATTACACCACGCTTCGATCGATGTGTTGCGATTAATTGAGTCGAGATGTTTGATCCAATCGGTGCGCAATCTCGTGATATACGAGGGGTCCTTGGTAGGATTGAACCGCTGGTCCAAATCTTGGATAACCTTTCGAAGATCCTTCCCTTGTCGAACAATATATTGATACTGTTTCGGGAGCGAATTGTATATGAATGTGGAGATAAACGCGAGGCCTTTCCTCTGATTGAGGTATTGGGCTCTCCTCTCCTTCCAAAATTGATACTCTTCCCTGAGTAGAGTATATTCAACTATTGCATCTTTTCTCGACGCTGCACTGCCTTCCGGTGCGTTTTCGATCTCGTTTCTGATTTGAGATATTGAGGGAGCGACTTTAACCATGCCTGGGTCCGATAATAAGGCCTGTTTAGCCATTTTATCCGAATTTTCGGGGTTCAAATACTCCCAGATATCATATGGAATCGTGCGCTCTTGCAATGCATTGATCCATCCTGTCCAATAGGAGCTGTTGAGTAGTTTAAGGTTACTACCAACCGAGAGCTGTTCCTTCCATTCATCCATCACGATATGACAGCCAAAAAACGAATTTTCTCCTGTTCAAATCTCCGAATAGCACTGTTTTTAGTCGTGTTTATAGAGGCGTAGGGGGTGGGGGATATGTGCCGGGAGTTCCGACACACTCCGTGAAAAAATTTTCCCACTCAAATTTCCCTCAATTTCCTCTGTTTCAACGACAGATTGGGGTGCCAATATGGTTCGAATAGCCTCCGAATAGCTTCAATATGGTCAAGCCGGGCTCATAACTGTTGGAGCATACAGGGAGAAAGGGGTCTGTAATGTACGGTATGAATTGGTAAAATATGTAACTCTGAAAGTTCTAAAATGACAGACACCGCATATTTATACAGTGAGTTCCTTACATAAGAAAAGTAATGCACATATGCCAAGAAATGAATAAGCAGTAATACGGTGGTAATGGCACCGTGTATTCCGACATGAGAGGAGAAGGATAGGGACCAGTATCTCCATCCCTGTCCTGTTTCGGATAAGCCCACTATCCTGTTTTAGATAAGCCTACTATCCTGTTTCGAATTCTTATTATAGTAGTTCTACTGTCGACAAAAGATATTAACCTAATTACTGAAACCAGCGCCGTAATTTGCTTAAGAAATAAGTTCTCATTACAAATACCGAGGAAGCTCCCTCCTTATTTCTTTTTCCATTCAACTTCGTTGTTCTTACTCTTTTTTTAACCTATCACTATACAATTTTCACTCTCTACAGCTGTGATCGGGCTTTTTGTCCGTACCTCCCTAGGGGAGACACTTCAGGTTATCGATAATATAGCTAGAAAGTATCAGATATATTCCGATAATAATCACAGTTATACTAGCTTTTCTGTACTATTTATAAAATTACACAGAAACAACTGCTCAAGTTAGGAATATCCTATTTCTAAATATCTAAAAGAACAAGCTAAATAGAGTTTAATCAAAGAGATGATTGAAGATGGCGAGAGAACCTATAAAAATTCTACTACTAAGGATATAGTAATATATGGTCAGGATCACAATAGCAAGAACGTTACCTGGATAGAAGTCAGCCAATCTGGAAAAGTCACGTTCTTTAACTAAAATAGAAATAAAGCCGAGTATACCCTAGATAATAGACTTAAGAAGGGGAGTTTCTGTAATACATCCGACATAAACGCTATTAAAAGTGTGACACTATCTTTAAGCATACTTAAAGCATCGACTTCTTCGTTATTATCCATCCCAGCGATTATATCGGCTACTAGATCTGCTTCGGCAACCTATCCCTATGTTTAGCCTTCTAGATATTGAACTAACTACACTATTATCTACTACTTATTATTATTTTAAGATATTTTTTGCTTGTCTATTTCTGTTATTATATTTATATATTTTAAGATATTTGATATTCTTGTCTTTAAATAATATAAAAGCTTTAATTATCTATTCTATAATAATAGATCTAATACTCAACTCTGACTACCCCTTTATCCCTTCTTGTCTATATCTAGATAGCAGTAATATTTATGACAATAATAAGCGGCAGAATCGGCTAACAGCTAAGCAACATACTAGTTATTAGAAACTAGGGATTAGGATATCTATATATAATATAGATCGTATCTGTCTGGCCCCCTTTCTGTTATCCTAATATCCTAAGCTAGAGCTGTAGAAAATAAGCAGTTATTACCAAGAGTTAAAAAAGACTTATTTATTCAACAATAAATATCACAATCGCTCGATTCTACCGCCTATCACCGCTATATAATTACAAGATATTATCTAAACTACTACTAATCGAGACCTGTCACAGTCTCTTAAGCTACTTCTCATTCTAATAGATCGATAGCTAATATCGACTCACCAGATTACAAAACTCTCTTTCTAAAAAAGCAAGAGAGATATAAATAGGCAAAAGATAACAGAAGAAAAGAGAAACAGATATAAGAGGAACTTTAAAAACTCAGCCGACCAACTACTTTCGCAGAGTTCTTACACCATTACTATAACCTACTCTCCCGGCTACTAAGAGTCGAGACACCATCTTGCTTGACTACCAGGAAAATACCCCTTCTTACAGGGAAATATTGCCCTATACAGTTAGAACACTAGACCGATTACTCAGTACTGTAGTTGAAGCTCTTTGGGTCTGTCTACAGCTATCTTTAGTTGACACTAGAGAGAGCCCCCTATTTATTCTCATCTTTCCCTAAACTAGAAGGATTAGACCAACGACTTAGTCGGAGGCCTATAAGCAGTAAGCAAGAACTCGAGATATATAAGCAATTCGCTATAAAAGAACATATCTTCGATATAATCACCGAGCTGTGCAAATTACTAGCTGCTCGTGAGAAATTCGCCCTTGGCGATAAGATCCACTTTAGCAACCATACAAACTCTTTAAACAAGATCGCAGCTCCCGAAACAGATACAAGCCAGCCATCAAATATATACCATCTAAGACCTGATCAGTTCTATATCCATCATATCAACGACAACACTTCCACTCTCCTTACATCTATCGAATATAAGCCGCCTCACAAGCTTTCTATAGCTATACTTTGTATAAGGCTACGACCTATAGACTTATAAAAAGATATGGTCAGATCAAACAAAATCCCGACAGATTAAGAAGCGAAATTAAGATATAATACCAAGCGACTTGTCTGCTCCACTCTTGTCCAGGAGTATCATATAATAATCTAAGAAAGGCTCGAGTACTCCTATATGACTAACAAGATTGCTCGGGTCCTTCTCCATATTTCACGTGATACTCTGGGCACGCTCTACTACTTTCTATATAATCTAAATAGCGAAGTGAGTACAAAAGTAGAAACTACTCTTGTAAATACTTCTATTACAAGAACATTGTATCTATATTTAATAGCATTCTACTCGGCTATGCGAGATCAGGAGTAAAAGAATTCCATACGACCAAATATCCCTATATAGAAGACCAGTTTCGATCACACTCGCTTACACATTCCGGAAGACAAATTCCGGCAACTTCCCCTTAACTCCGACAATACCACACCCGAGTTCCCAAGCCCAGATTCTAGTTCGACTTATAAATCATTATCATCACCACCAGATTCCCCCGAATCAACAGCTCGTCAAGTATCTACTAGATCTCGAATTAGCTATACCACACCCAATATAAGACATCGCTCACAGCCGTCACAATCACCTAACCCGAAGTCGAACCCAACAACACACCGCAAACAAACCTTCAGTCAGATTCCCTCTTTTTTATCTACCCAACACATAACTCGACAAAGAAAGATAATCGATAATAGAGGCCCAGATAGCCAGCCCTACCACTGTAATACACAATTTTGTACCCAACAATATTTAATCGGATTACAATCAAAAGATACTCTTGACAATCACTATCTAAATATGATATTCTATCGTCGAAACAAAGACGATCTTCATCATCCCATTACCTCCGAAGATTTGGTATTTTTGTTAAAAACACAATTAGACGAGAACATTAACCGGTATACATCTATTAGAAGTTACAGAACGTACGGTGTATTGTTCAAACTTACTTGTGTTGTATATAGCTACACCATCATCGGTAAAAGAACTACATCGCTGTTATAGAAAGAAATCTCTCACAAAGCAAAGATATACCGAATTCTGCAAAAGACTTAAGGATCCGCTATACCTGTTTTCCTAGATATAATCGACTTAACGAAAATTTACTTCCTCTATAAAACTAGAGAGATTTGCTATATACTCGTAATAGCCTGGGGGGGAAGTTAATACAGTATCGATAGAGCCGACATCTAAACTTCTACAAAATATTTAGTAATCTAATAAGGAAATTAGAGCTTTAAAAATCATCCACAACAACCTGCGATATAACAATATTCTTTAGAATAAAGAACTAAGGCAGACAATAATTATCGACTTTCACCAATCCATATTACAACCTCGAAAAAGTTTACAACAGCCAAGAGCCTCAAAACGACGACTAAATCAGCCAGAGATGGTTAATTCAAAATGTCTTCGTATAACTTGACAATATATACTTATTCTATTAGAGTAACAATTCAATTATTACATTATAATAAAACACGAAGCATTAAATTTTAGGATTATTATACTAGTCGCCATATTTAGTATCCCCTAACTAGATAAAGCAAATCACCAGAGTAGCACCCTGGAATATTCCCTTCCTACTCGGGTTAGCATCCAGATATAATATCACTCAACAATAAATTTTCGAGTTCTATTCGCAATATAACCGCTAATCCATCGTTTCCTGCGTAGTATTATCTATTATCTCGGCATTTAAAAGACCAATCTCATATCGATCATTTATAATTCTTAAATATTTAAAACAAAAATTTTCCCCCCAAACCACTCCATATATATTTAGACAGTTTAACTTTGCATATCGAAGTACCTACTTGACCAAAAATCACATTTCTTAAGTAATTAAGACACCAACTACTACTATCAAGACCACTACCTACCAACCGGGCTTCCTATCAGTTCCATTTCAATTTCAACTATCATATCTCGAAGACTAACTCAACCACTATAGTTCCAACACAATAGACAGCCAAGACAATAACTCTAGAGCTTAAAAGACTCGAGATAGTTTCGCATCCATCCTTAACTATTACGAAAACCATATTCCAGCTAATAAAACTCCCGAATTTGTCAAAAAGGTTTCATCAGGTGAAATTTAGATAGGGGTAAGAAAGGATAATATTCCATCTACTAAACAAGGTACAGATTTGAAGACAGCTCTCAACAAGACTCTAAAGATACAAGATACCATCCAGAACCTCTCCTCCGCCAAGAAGGAGCTTATAACTAAAACAATAAAAGCCAGTCTTCGAGCTTAAAAGCCGAAAGGTGACAGATAGGTCAACAAAGCTATATCTATAAGATCTCAAAATACACTACTCGCTCTATATATACCATATTGTTTTTACATATATCAAATATAACCACTTATTTAGTTTTCTGTTATCTTACAACATAAGTATATCCACTAGTAATATTTATAGATCAAATAGTTCATCAATACTATAATTAGAAACCAAACCACCCTTAATTACCTGCTTCATTTTCTCCTCAACAAAAGTATCGATGTTTACATATTTTTTTGCGCTTAGAAGAAATAATTAATTATCAAGCATAGTAAAAATACTATAAAACCAGAGATTGATAAACTTCTAATAGATCTTATCAAACATAAAGCTATGTTGTAAAGCAAGACAAATCTAAAATAGTCTACTTTCTAATAAGCTCTCTATAACAGCCGATAGACACTAAGATTCTGACAAGGATCTATCCTTAATTTTTTTAGCCTCGCAATCCTAAAATACATCAAGAAAAAAACGAAACCTCGACATGAAATATACTAAGAATTATTCGAGATCGGAATCCTAGTCTTCGAGGCGCTCTAGTAAGAGCCACCAAGGAGCAACATATATAAATTTAACAGGAGCAGCATAAGTAAATTCCCAATCGACTACCCCAGAGATAATAAGCTTTGATACATCAACAAACACATTATCAGGATAAAGATCATCGCAATAGAGTCGGAAAGGGCCCCTGCAATAAGCTCTTGATATCTCACGTAAAAGCTTACAGAAAAGACAGCGTACAATATATTTCTTCCGGCAGTCGGCTCTGTCTAAAATTGCATTGTTACATTAAAATTTAAGATGATAGAAATGTTGCTAAACGAGCTCCTCAAAATAATCCGCTACATTACTAAAATACCCTCGACCGAAGACACTATGTAGAATATTAGAGAATTGGGCAAGCCGATTCATATTGAAAGTGAGTAGACGCTTTAGCACAATCCAAACACCTGACTTGTCCTTTCTGATAACTCCGATATACGGAAATCCAGGTTTCGACAGCTCTAAAAGCACTTCAGCCATACTAGAATAAACTCTTCTCAAGATAGATCTCGAGACCTTTGAACTCAATATAACTATCACGTACGACAAATCCCTAAGATACTCGCTCAACGTATTTCCTTCAATAAAAGACATCACAATATATAGGCTAACCACAGATCTGCCATGTCCTAAGACTCTTGAAACGGGAATCGTGGTGTTCTGAGCGACATAGTTCATTATTGAGACCTTATCCTCAACTTTTTCATTGCGAGCGATAACTCGACCAAGGGCTGTAAAGCAAACCACGACGCAATAACCATCTTCGTAAGTAACTCGGTAGCAAATATTGAAAGCGCCATTTGAAAGCCGCAAAGCCGTTACAGACATGCCAGGACAATGCTGGAAAGCAAGCTTGCCTGCCAAATCCTCTGGTGAATATTTAAGTAGATTCTGTATCCATACCCCAAAAACACGTTCTGACTGCTCTTTCGCGATATTATCAAAGTCCATTTCACAAGTACCGCAAAGATGGGGCGGAAAGAGTTGTGGGAGAAAGAAAGGCAGACATGAGGACAGAGCTGAAACTGTTTTTAGGTAGCGACCGGAATATCCTTCCAGCTACGTTCCGTGATCATGTGAGCTCATCTGCCCCTGAGGAACTTTGGCCAATGAAAACAGATCCACAATCTGGGGAGCCAATCTTCGCCTCCCATTTTGCGCCCTGTGGTGTTTTCAAAACCACGCTTGTACGGTATAGAAATTCCCTCGTGACGCTAGACAACCTAGCACCAGCAGCACTTTTTTTATTCGCGGAAAACTCAGAATATAAAGAGTGTTTTATTTGGATCAGAAAACATCTTCATTTAACCGCCTAAGTCAGCGGGCCATAAACGGGCCACGGACAGTCGTCGGTCATCTATAGATGGTCCTCATCTCAGCACTCAGCGTGGGCATAACATGGAAGTCTCGTTGGTGGAATCCTGCTTTAATGACCGCTCTATAGACGGATTCCATATTCCATTCGTGATATGGCATCACCCTCCTCCTCACCCCGTATCTGATGCTCGCCAAAAAGAGTGAATTGCTCCATAAGATTTTCCATCTCATACAAGGATTCTTCTTCTTCGTCGGGTAGTGTCAGACCTTCTATCTCATGTATGGATCCTTCTTCCTCGTCAGGCAGTATCACTCCATGGTCCTTAGTAATTTCAAAAACAGGTTCAGCCCCTAGGACAGAGCGGCGCTTGAAATGCTGACTCTGCATGTCTGAATCGGGATCGGATTATCATTTCCTTTTCCGACTGACACAGTTTGAACGTGGCTCTTCGATTGAATGGGCGTCAAAAAAGTGACCACGTAGGCTCGGCAGATTCTGGTAATCTTTCTTCTGGCAATGTGGGTACGGGCAAATAAAAGCCACCAAGCTTTTCAAATTTTCCAAATGCCCGTCGATATGATTTAAAAGTGTTGCCTTCACTAGCCATTACTGGAATCGTTCATCTAGACTTTTCGTCGTATCTCCTAGGCAGAACGGGCAAAAGCCAGGGGCAACAAGGGTGTATCAGAACGTGAATATACCACATCGAGGCTGTAAATTCTCTAGATGGCTTTAGTAATGTCTCTTCCAGCTTTCCTCGTTGTATGAGAACTCTGTATATAGATAACAGAACTGAACAAACTTGCGCTATACATACCTGTGGGCGTGTTTTTCGTTCTTGTAGCGTTGTTGGTATGGTGGGCCTCCCAAGCTTCGTCTTTTATACTGCAGGATATGCTTCGCTCGCTATTACATCCTCATGCTATCATAGTCAATATGTGGGTAGAAGATTATTATCAGAACATAATAACCTACCCTGATATGGACATAGTGTAAACTAGATATTTATTATCTGTGGGAGATAACCCCAGATAATAGGCAACTCGCTCCATAGAAGTATAAAATGTAACCATATCATTCAAACACTGTTAGCCAATGTCACTTTCTAAAGTTGTCTCTGTGAAAAGGAATTCATCTAGTCGTGCATGTTCTGGTATATATTTTTTGAAGATGTTAAATAAGGGAGTCTTATCATACTCGGCAAACTTGTTCCCAGAAATATATTTATTATAGACAGAATCCCACCAATCTTGTCTGTGTTTTATTTTCCAGGCAAGTAAGTATTTGGCTTTTCTACTATAGAGCTTGTTACGCTTAGCAACAAGATTGGGATGAGCACTAGGGTTTCGAGAGATTGTAGAGGTTAGGAAGGCAATCCTCTTATTTATCGCTATGACTTCATCGGTCTGTTTGAAAGTGGTGAGAGAAGTCATGTCTAGTTTCAACAGGGTATTGGGATCGCGATGGTGAGACATGCTTTGCTCCATGTTGTAGCATTTGTAGTCCAGCTCTAAGCCAAACACAATGGCCTGAATGTCCAGTGATTTGAGTGTAGATTGGTACTTCAGGTATGTATTGTGGTTTTGATGATTGAGAGCCTGGGAATGTGTCGCTTCTGATACCTTTACTAAATAAGATCAGCACTTGGCTATAGCCCACAGCTACCTATTACTCATAGTTAATAGAGTTTGCGACATTTGTGTGAATGCCGTGGACCTATAGTCGATTTTTGAACCTCTCTCGCTGAGCCAGGCTTGTAAAGTTATGTCGAAGAGATGAAAAGGTCAAGGCTTTTTCTGGAGAGGGGCTAGTAGGAGTAATCATCTAGAAAAAGGGGGTCTTCATCTTTTCCTCTTTCCATTTAAGAGTATAAAAATCTCTTCCTCTTGGGGGTCTGATAGCGAGTATGTCTGCTACTGTGCTGAGGCCCTTGAAAACACCATCAGCTATGCTGTGGGCTATGACCCAAAATACAAAATTAAAAGCAAGAATTGGGTTCTCTTGGAACCAGTTCTTAGGGCTATAAAGTAAATATCAGCGATAAAATATCATGGTAGTGGGTATATGTCCTCACTGATATCTGTCCTCTCGATTATGTTAACCTTTGAGAAATTCGGGATCGATGGTTATCTAGTGCTTTAGCAGGTTTGTTTTTCGGTTCTACATTATGTTGAAGCTGATATGCTGTGATATTGTTATTAGCTTGAAACGAATGAGCTCGGATAAAACAGATCACGCTGTTTATAGGGAAGAGAGGATCAGCTACCCGAATCTTATAATAAAGATACTTATTAGAGTGATGGTAGGAACTCGACTCCACCACAGCACCTGTCCTGATACTCGAGCTAACAAACAACACAAGAGCACTTCCAGTTTGAACGCAAGCTTTTTCGTGCCTGTAATTGTGCTAGTCACCCCTGAATAGCCTGTAAAGGAGCAGCTCGATGTCTTTGGCTATAATAATATATTTCGGGTGAGGCTTCGTCCTTAAATTGTATTTCTTTGTGAGATCCTGTTGGATGTACTACACAGTATTAGTAAGGGACGAAATGTGTTCTCTAAAAGAACCTTACATTTCGAACATCTTTCTTTATATGCTCCGGGAGACATCGTGATATTTCTCGCTCTTATCTCGCAACAAAGTTCGAGAAATTTAGATATGCAGATTTCTGAGAGGGGAAGTTCTCTCTCGTGATAATATAATATTCTGTAAAAGATTTTAAAAGCTGCGGAGAGGGATCGGGATCTTTTTTTAGAAAAGTTGGCAGTCGCCGCTTCGTTACAGGAAAGCCTTTATCTAAGATATATCAATAACGACCTAGAAGAAAACAATTGTATCAGGGTAGCTCACAACAACCAGTTCAATACGGTCTTCTCATAGTTTTGGTCTGTGGCGGGAGCGAGCGCCTTGTGGCGTATAGTATTCTCGGTTTGTTCCCGCTCTTGCTGATAATCGCAGATGAAACCACGTGACAAGGCACATGCGTTCACCTTGTCGAGCTTCTGCTGTATTGCCTCTGGCAGCATCCTCTTACTAGGTAGCGACGAGAAAGAGATGGCAGACTGGAAGGGGCGCCTTGAAGGCTATTTATCGCCACCAGCAGGAGCACACGCACGAGAGTGGGTATTCTCACCCAGTTCTCACCCTCCTCACCCACGTCGCCCAAATTCTCACCCATATCACCCGCACTCACCCTAAGACAAATTGCAAGGCTGTTTTAAGACCCAGGGCTCTCAGAGAATTGACTGCGTTCTTTATGTGGCTTAAGTACGGCTGAGCGGACGGGAAGCCCTGTTCTCCACACCCTATGGTCGTATGTGCTAGATAGTTCGAATTAGGGCAATATATGCCTATCTCTGTTCTATGATGGAACTCCTCTGGTATTTGGAGCTACTTTCAGGGTCACACGAAGTGACCAGGAGCTGTTCAAGAAGGCGAAAAGTCTGCAATCTCGTGGAACTACCACCAATGTATTCACATTGGCTTTGCCTCTTGTATGACCCAGCTGAGAGGAATTCATTCATAGGAGATTTTCCGAAGTATATATATTTACGCCCATATTCAAACCAGTCATCCCATGATTGAAGTGTGGGTGCAAAATACGAGACCAGTCTAAGAGTCTACCCGTGTATATGACATTACGAATTGACTGACACGCGATTCCTGCTTCTCGCAATAATCCTCGACAAGGGCCTTGTGACTCGGATTCTTGAAGTCGCTCAGTTTGACCTTCCCAACTTAGGAGATGAAGCGGCGGACGGCCTTAGACATCGTAGAAAGGAGTTGAGTTTTGCGTACAGGAAGTTCTTTGGGACGGGAAGCTCTGGCATGCTTTTCGTTCTGAAAGAGAAGGCGGCGTTTTCAAATCAAGCAGCTTTATCCTGCCTATAACAGTTCATCTAGTTACAAAGCTGATATTGCCGCTTTCCCAGCCGAGGGCGCTAACCGAAACATTGCTGAGAATTCAAGCGTTTCGCCAAAGATGTTCATCACATACAGAAGTAAGCGCAAGCGCTTACAGGTTTCATATTGATAAGCGTAAGTATGCTATATTTACCAATACATTTTTCAGATACCCCTCAGTACATTCTGAAGGAAACGAAATTGGCTAGGATCAGAGCAGCCACGGATCCTCCAGCAACTCCCTCGCAGTTTTGCGCTCTTCTGGCAGCCACTTAAGCATGGACCTAATAAATCGGAGAAAAGATTCCTTCTCAGGGCCGGAAAGTCGCTTCTCTTGACTTTCTAGTGAAGTCAAAGGTACAGCCGCATCTTGATGAGCAATCCAAGTGCCTACTACAGAGTCAGCTCCAAAGTTTATTTATGAAAAGACTTAAAGCGCAAGTGAAATCGCCTACCATTGTGATCAAAGCACTGCTCTGTGGTTTCACTGCGCTGGACAAAATCAACTGGTGGTGGCCCAATCAATGCGACCATTAATGCTAGGTGCACAAATGCATCGTGTTTACCATTGTCGTCGAAAATATCCCCGAATAGATGCCGTCCTTCGAAGAGATCCCAGATCTGTCGTCCTATTAGTAGAGTTCTGAGCATCAGTCATGGCTCAAACACCACTCACCAGAGCCCCCAGATTCCAGATGTCAACAGCACTCCCCCAGGGCATCTCAAATATGATCTCTGGAGCCCGATAGATATGCGGCTGTACAAAAGGCCCGGACTTTTGCGTCTTCCCGATTCGTGCCTCCCCAAAGTCACAAAGAATAGGCAAGCCAAAGCCCTTCCGTCTGGAGGGTTTGCGAAACTGTCGACTCAGGTAGATGGTGCGCGATTCGTCTATTATTTTTCGAGGAATCGGATGCCTAGCCTCTTCATCCACAAAATCGGCCAGCATTGTATTGTCCTCCAGGCTGAGCATCAGATTGTCGGTCTTAAGATCTAGTTTAAATCAGGCAAATAATTCTTGTGGTTGGAGAGTATCATTACCAGTGTGAATGATGTCGGCTTCGGTATGCAGAAAATCAAGCGCCAATAATAATCGTCTCAATGTCATCTTGAGAAGAGGTAGGTCAAACGGCCTTGGATTCAATCGCATCATCTCAAGGAGTGTCATGTGCATCGGTTGAACGACAAGGCACTGGTGTTTGCCAGCATCGCTCTGAAGCTCGAAGGAGTCGTAGAGCTCTCGGACAAGTGATTGCCCTGGGTGTGCCGAGTTGACCTTTCCGAGGTGCTCATAAATCTTGAATTCACGGTCGGTCGCCGTGGGGAACTTCTGTAGCGAAGTAGACACCTTCAGAACAGCATACCTTTGGTTTCTTGGCCAAGTTAGTGGCGTTGATATCTTGACTTAGATAGTCACATACCGCAGATCCTGGCATAGCCAACTTGTCGAGTAGGCACCGAAACCAAGTTTACCGGTGACTCGATACCTTCCGTCGAATTCATCTCCTATGTGCACGGGATAGAATTGTTGGGTGTCGTAATAAGGTAACGTCTCCTCTTCGATGGGCGTTTCAAGAGGTAGTTTTAGAAATGATCTTGACGGGGGACGTGCTGTTTTCCTTATGGCAGCTTTCAAGGCACTCAGTCGTGGAGCCATGTTTGGCGCTCGAGAAGAACCTTCATGGCAGGCCGGCTGCCCTTATGCCTGCAGCCTTTCAAGGGGCGCTGTCACTTGGAACTTCGACCGCCCAAGTCACCTGCAATCCAAATAAGGTATGGCGGTCGGCATAATCACATGATACGTGATCTGTATATTCTATTCTGTAAGAAGGGAGTGCTAAGTATGTGTACAGTAGTACATGTACGCACCCCTTCAGCTACTCCTTCAGCTGTTCCCCCTTATACCATTTAGGAAATATCTATGCCTGATGGTACCTGAATATCATGTGTCCTGAATTCAACAAGAGGACCCATAATTCCTAACCCGAAAGGGATTAGTTTACTCTCACTCTTAGCTTAGCCAGCTCTATCTTCCCAGCTGAGTGGACGTGATTTCATCATGAACCTTCCAAATCCCTCACTCTGAGAAACCCAAGAGTCTATGATTCTCAATACACATCAGACAGTTTCCAGGTGACCTTATCAAGCTCCAATAGCCCATCTCCACATCAAATCTGCGGACTTCGTTAGCTCCACGAGACTAACCTTTCTGTCATTCAACAGGTATCATTAGACTGCGGTACGATCACAGTATCTACGGATATCCATAATCCGTATCCCCAGATTGCGGATTTGGATATATACCTCATATCCAGAGGATATGCTATAGTATTGAAACCATATCCAGCATCCGCAACTTGAGGATATGGTATTGGATCTCATATCCATTGGAGCGGACACGCCGCAGTCTATATATCATATCAGAGAGTCTCACCTGCACCCGTGGGCATTGAATCCGAGCTGACTTGAATCTCTTTAGGTCTCAGCCATGGACACTTTCCCTGAGATGTCTAGCAGTCTGACTTCTGATGAAAGATTCGATACTTACGCTGCTGCCCGAGAGAAGCTATCCGATCGGCTGGAGGCGTATCAACCGCAGAATAACAATGATGATACCGTCCATTTCCTGAGGCGTGTCTTCCGATCCCTTCCTGTCAAAGGCATGGCCCAATTGGCCAATGATGCAGAAAGCTGCGATCACGACAACAAACTACGAAAACTAGTCAAACGCCTGGATAGAGCTTTGCTTAGACCAATGATGGCCACAGGCGGGAGAACGCCCGGAATGAGCCCCTTACCGTGTCTTGACGTAGAAGGTTCTCTTGAAGACCTACGAGACCGGAACTTCCAATCGGCGACTGGGCTGCCGCAGGCCCAAGTACGTGAAGCCTGCCTTCGACGTGATAATCACCGATGTGTAGTGACAGGGTTTTGGGACTCTAGGTATCATGGCCGACCACGCGGCGCATATACTTCTCGACTGAAAGCCGCTCATATCATCCCACTCGGCCTAGGGAATCTTCGAGCAGATGGACGACGACGGCACGCACAATTCTGGACCTGCCTCTATCGCTATTTCCCCACGATTCATAATCTCTTTCATTACGGCGATGAGGACGTTAATCGGCTTGACAACATAATAATGCTAGATTCAGTACTACATGAAGAGTTCGGTCACTTCAACTTCGTCCTGGAGGAGACAGATGTTTCCGATCGCTACCGTGTGAAAGTCTTCTCTCTCGCCCATTTCTACATCATGCCCCATTTGCCCGAGTTTGTGACCATAACAAGTCACGACCCCCAGTGCCCCGCTCCTAACAAGTATCTGCTTGCTGTGCACGCAGCCATTGGCAAAATGCTACACGCGACTGGGCGAGGTGAACTGGTGGCGAAGATTATGAAGCACCTCGATGACAGTGGCGGCCACTCTCTCGCAAGGGACGGAAGTTCTGATGTGGAAGAACTGCTCTCTGTCACTTGCCTTTCTTCTCTTGCAATTGACTCTAGTGACTGTGAATCGGCGCATGAGGAGAAGCAACCTGGCCATGTTGGATCCTGGCTCCCCGGCGCGCAATGTTCAACCTTCCGGCGTTATTCATGAAAAACCTGCTTATCAAGATAAATAAGTGGGCGTGGCATTCCTTAGAAAGCTAGCTCCTAGTTTCCAAGGTTGACTTTCTATGTGCCAGGCTAAGTAGGCCTTAAGTGGACCGATCATAATATGTGTAATAAAAGCTTAGAGTCAACTTAGTAAACTCCCTCTATAGCTGACTTCTATCGCAAGAGTAGCTATCTGTTTATGTATTCGCCCACAGGGTCGAGGGCCGGAAAGTCTACAACGATCCCTTTTTCTTTCTGTTCTATAAGATAGACGCTGTTTATGACGGAACCGCCAGATTTAGATGACACCAGTTGAGCAGGCAAGATGATAGTATTCGATAGAGTTCACAGTAGGGTTCCGGTTTAAACAGAGACTACAGCTTATCCTTTCAGCTAACACAGACTGATCCCTTTCATGGAAAGGTTCGCCTGGGGTAAGAACTACCATAGATCAGTATTATAAATGGTGAATTTAGGCTCATGTTGTACCCACGCCTCTTTCTAGGCTTCAAAGTTCTACGGCTTCGCTCATATATTGTCACGGAGAAAGGTTCTAGTGACGTTATTTCAAACCAAGTGTGGATAGAGAGGACGGGATTTGGTAGTTCTTATGCCACTTATATGTCTGCCTACGGTGTGATCTCTTCGATCCCTTGCATTGAAGCTGGTTACACCCACTTCACCTCTGATTTAGTTACAGAAAGGGAATATAGGACGGGCTGGTATTGTCATTCCCTTAACTGAGGAAGTAAGCTTAATTGCGTAAACAATGCGCGACTTGAGCCCTATTGATCGTAGCCACTTCGTACGAATTGAATTATTGTTGATCGACAGCGCATGTTCTAGAGTGAAGAATTCCGAAGCTGCCATTCCAAGCAGCTGAAATACTGAAAACAAGCGGTGAAACTTTACTTGGCCACTGGTCTTCTGGATCCGTGAGACACTCAGAATAGGCAAAGATCAACCTGCCGCATGTTGGCAATGATGGTAGCACCATGAATATGACTGCTGTTCAGATTCTCAATAGTCCAGACCCACTTTTGGGCTGTCTCCAGTATAGTAAGCGATATCTCACAGATAAGGAGACTGAGATTTCAGTTCGGCGGTTCAATTTCCGCTTTCCTCCACGTCCAATCCCACACCTTCGGTCTCCTCACCTAGCACATGCCGATACATCGGGTGTACTATCAAAAGGCAGTTGGATAATTCGCTTATCTTCCAAGCTGCACATCTTTTGAATGTGTGTCAAGTAGTAAGGACTGGTTTTGCATTCGGTGGTCAAATGCGACGCGACGTAATTCTGTCTGACGTAGAGCCTGATATGAGCTTGCTTCCCTTACCGCTATCTCAGACCATTGCATCTGCCGTGCATACGGCTATCCCTCCCAGCGCTGTCAGACGCAGGGCAAGTGGACACCATCCCCCTTGTATTGGATGTGACGATTTATAAGAAGAGAATGACACTCCAATTAGTTGAGGTAATGCTTTTAGTAATGAGTAAATATAGTTACATGACACCTTCAAATTCACCAAGAGGCGAGCTATCATGTATCCTGTTCGGTCAATTCGATCATATGGCCAATCACCTTGCTCTTCCTCGAAGCGTCCTCGACTGCGTCCTCGACTGCGTCAGGCTGCACTGCCCAGCTACATCGAGGCAAATCCCCTTCTTTATAAGACTACTGCGCACTCCTTGACACACGCTTGCCCAAGGCACGCCGACGAGGATTGCTCGAGGTGCCGAAGATACCGAAACATGCATCTCGACTTTCAAGACAAAAGGCAATAAACAGGCGAAACTTCTTTTGAAACAGAGAATCTACTCCATCAGCCATTCAATGACGGGTTAGAGGAGACTTCATGACGACCATTGTCTTTTCCGATCGCAACAGCATGGGGCTTCCTTGCCTTTTCACTTGGCATGACACTACCAGAATTGGTGTCCTATGTCACGGGCGATATGTGAATTACGATGTCACGGTGAACGCTTGGCTAAACGTCATCCTCAAACCCGAGCAGCAAAGCATATTGAAGCAGGCTAGTCGAATGTTTATATACCAAGGTGGATATCGAACAGATGCCTGAGAAGAATTTTCCCTTTATCTTGTGTGTCTCATGATATTCATCTTAATAGGTCAATGTTGATTCGTTCAATCATGCTCGTCAAAGCCTGGCCACACTGGAATGGCTACCATCTCTTCGGCGCTGAAATTTCCGCCCGTGAGAAAGAGGCGCTGACAGTCTCCTGGCCTCGCCTTCGTTGAATTTCCTTAATGCCCGTGCGATCTGTCACAGTGGTAGCATTGATGATTTTATCGAAATCCTCGTCTTCACTGCCTGCAGAGCCGGACTCGGCATCCGAGTCAACATAGGAGGGCTCTGGCTTTGCGATCTTTTCCGGCTGCTGCTTGTCGGAGACTGACGGGTTTTGGAATGCCTTGGACCCGAGGATCTTCTGTCGAATTTCTGCCATTTGAGCTTCGTCTTCGGAGTCGTCTGAGATCGCAAACGGGTCTTTATCTTCTTCGCTCTCGTCCTCGCCCTCGCCCCCGCCCTTGTCGCCGCTGTCATCTTCTTCACTCTCATCGTCATCGTCTGATTCTTCGTTCGCGGGCATTCTATTTCGGTTTCCAACTGTCCACATATCGTCCTCTCCTTCAATGCGGCTCTCTTCGTATTCCCGTTCAATCTTCGCCAACCACTCTTCCTCGGCCTTTTTGACTTCCTCTTCACTGGAACAAGCAGCATAGCGTTTTAGTAATTCAGAGTTGATCTCCAGAAAAGCCTCGCCGTAGCGGAAATTCTTCAAAACCTCCTTTGACCACTCTTCGTGTCCGCAGATAAAGAAACAAGCTGCCAGTGCTTCGACGCAGTTCAATCGCCATGGCTTGCCGTAGTTGACTGTATTCGCCGCAATGAGATAAGGCACTAGATGCAATAATGTTAGAGTGTAATCTTTGGTGGCCAAAGTTCGCACCTACAGAGTCGTTCGCATTTTCCACCGATTCGTGACCAAGGCACTTCTTTGACTCTGACCCACGAGCACTCCACTACCGCTGCGCCATGTAGCTCCATCAATTCGCGATCGGCGGGGGAAACGACTTTTTTCGCATTGGGTCTATTGCGACGGAATGTTAGTAACAGTTATTTCGCACGTCGCTCTAGCAAGACCCACGAAACAATCACACCAGGGAATCTCTGGCCAATATGGAGCTCTCTCATCAGTCCCAGTTTCATAAGTCGCTTTCCAGAGCATCTCTTCGGGTCACAGTGGCCAAGATCCCAACAGGCAGCTCGGAACGCAGGCCGAGTCGACGTGGCGGGCGCATTGCCATCATCGCGGGGCGCCGGTCGTGGACGAGGATTGGAGAATTTCTTGCCTCCTCGCGAGAAATTGTCTTTCTTGTGTCGAACCATTTCTGAGAAAACGACTTGGAGTCGCAAGCGCAGAGGGACGTGGGGTTGACTCAAAATCCGAAGAAGAAATTCCCGTCGCCGCACAAGCGCCACACGTGCAGGTTCTCCGCCCTGTTTGGGTCCAAACGCTACGATCTCGTGGGGGTACCTTTCCGCCTCATTGTAAACCTGGACATCCTGCTCCCATCCCAATTCTCCCTTTTATCCTCTCCTCCCAAACCGCCAACCTGGAGGCTGCTTCTGCACGCATGGCGGCTAGGGACCGCTTCGGCGCCTATGCTGAACCGGGGCTAACACCGCTTCAGCGGGCAATCCGTGAGCTGAATCGCAAGCCTACGCAAATGGACAACGAACGCGCTAATCCCTGCTCCTCTACCAGGAAATGCATGTGACCCACAGAACTACGAACCCAACCTGGCTCTCAACCTCGAAGTCGCCGATTTGATCAACACCAAGAAGGGCACTGCGTGAGTCCAGCTACCTTCTGACCCCTCCCAAACAACCGCCGCGCATACTGATACGAGCTTTCCCACCTAGCCCTCGCGAAGCAGCCATCGAGATTGTGCATCTGATCAATGCCCGCAATCAGAATATTGCTTTGTTGGCTTTGGGCGTATGTTCAATTCCCTTTCCCCCGCCCCTCCCCTCTTCCAGATGCCACCTGGCGGGGCTTGGCTAACTTGAGCCGCTCAATTCCGCCCCATCAGCTCCTCGACATATGCGTGAAGAACTGCGGCTACCCATTCCACCTTCAAATCAGCACAAAAGAGTTCCTGAATGAATTGGTGCGGCGGTTCCCCGAGCGGCCGCCTGTGCGGCCCTCGCGGGTGCAACACCGCATCCTGGAGTCGATTGAGGAATGGCGACAGACGATCTGCCAAACATCGCGATACAAGGAGGACCTGGGCCATATCAGGGATATGCATCGACTATTGCTCTATAAGGGTTATGCGTTCCCCGAAGTCCGTCGCGAAGATGCCGCGGTGCTGAACCCGAGTGACGTATGGACAGCCCGTATATATTGGTACAGATAGCGTTTACTAACGGATCCTAGAACCTGCGCTCGGCGGAAGAGATGGAAGAAGAAGAGAAAGAGGCGCAGTCCGCCAAGCTCCAGGAGCTTATTCGAAGGGGCACACCGACTGATTTGCAAGAAGCAAATCGGTTGATGAAGGTTATGGCCGGATATGATAATCGCCATAAAACCGATTACCGGGCGAAGGCCGCGGAAGAAGTTTCCAAGGTGCAACAGAAGGCCAAAATTCTTGAGGAGATGCTTCAAAATCAACAGCCCGGCCAAGGGATTCCAGAGGGGGACGTCTTTGAGGTCAGTGGTGATGAATCAGCCTCGGGGATACTCATTCTAACTGTTTACTAGGAACTCGCATCTGCTCTACAAAGTGCTCACCCCAAGATCCAGAAAATGTGTGAAGAGGAGTCTGATGACCCCGAGGCTGTTCACAAGCTGCTCGAGATCAATGACAGCATACATCGAACTATTGAAAGGTACAAGCTGGTCAAGAAGGGTGATCTGGATGCGGCTTCCAAGATTCCCAAGGGAACCTTGGGCACGACGACTGGAGTTTCAAAGAACGCCAACAACGAGCTGTCTTTGATCGACTTTGACCCAGAGGAGCCTAGCTCCAACGGCAATGGCGACGCATCCGGGCCATCCCAGGGTGGTAGCGCTCTCGAGAACGACCTCATAGGGCTGTCCCTCGACGATGGGCCTGTGCAGTCCGGCGGTATCTCCCTGGGTTCCTCAAACAGTATGTATATCCCACCCACCATGGTCGTGGATGATGTTCCCCTAACAAGCATGCCAGTGGGGTTTCCTACTATAGCACCCGGCCCATCTCCGCCCACATCATCACCGCCGCCTCAACAAGCACCCGCCGGGTTCAAGCCCAACTATGATCTTCTCGCATCTCTAAGCTCGCCTCGGTCTGCATCACAGTCATCTACTCCAGCGCCCGGGCATTCTCCTCAGGTTCGGTCAACGGCGACACCCCCTCAAGCATCTGACCCCTTTGCCTCCCTCGTGTCTGCCAGTCCACGACCTGCGGGTAGCGCTTTCCAACCACCCGCTGCCCCAGCGCAGCCAGCATCCGCGTCTTTGCTTGATCTTGCCGGAGGTTCTAGTGCACCACCGCAGTCCGTGGGCAATGCTGCCCCGGAGGAAGATGAGTGGAACTTTGCGTCCTCTTTGCCCCCAAGTAGCGCGCTCCCTGCGCAGAACGAAATCCAGGTCCTCAAGTCACAGCTGCGGGTTGACTTCCAGGCCCGTCGAGTGCCCACCTCGCCGCGTCAAATCCACATCAAGGCTGTCTTCTCCAACAACACGAGCCAGCCCATTGGAGGGCTCCACTTCCAAGTCGCGGTGGAGAAGGTAAGACCAATCTATTTTCAATGAGGAAGGACCCTTTCCCCAGCTAATGAGCAATATGACAGTCATATACCCTTCAACTTCGGCCGCAATCAGGCCGAGACATTGCTCCACACCAACAACATGGGGTGCAGCAGGAGATGCTTCTGGACGGAGTTGACCCGGGCAAAGGCGACTCGGTCAAAATTCGGTTCAAGGTTTCGTACAAGGTTGGCACCGAGGCTCGCGAGGAGCAGGGCATGGTACCGTCCCTGGGCATTTCCTGAAGTCGAAGGTGCGAGGAGAAAAAGCCCCCTTGACCCACGGCTAGACAAAGGAGGGTTTCGCGCCAAGAGTAGTGGCATGATCTGATGTGGGAGTTTTTTCTTTTTTTCCCCCTTTCTTCCTTGTTTCCTGCCTCTCTTCACATCGTTCTTTGGCTGGCCCAGTCGGGAATGGGCACCCATTTTTTTGAGTTATACAGCTCGGCTGTCTCGGCTGTGCCCGGTAAAGGAGACTACCGGCCTGGTGTGATTCCCCTTTTATCCGTCTTTGCCAACTTAGCGTTCTGCTGTCCATAAAGATTTCTCTGCGGCTACAACCCAATCAACCTCATGCCCCTCCCTCGCTCAGCTTCCTGTAGTGGTTTCACCCTAAATCGAGCATTGCCAACCCCAAGCATCTTGCATGTCTTTACCCCCCCAACTGCCCTATGAACTTCCTCGGCGCATGTCCGTCGGCCCCGTCTTCAGTGAAACGGGCCATGATCGTCCTGATCGTAGTAATCACCTCTGCTCCTCAAAATTCGTCTTCAGCCCATCTACCCGTGGTCTCTGGTTCGACTGCAAACTCAATATTAGGACAACGTAAATCATCCGCCCTCTTGCCAACCCCAGTAGTCCAACTTGCCGATCATCCAACGTCCTCGGGATTCGCCGCTCTACCGGGATTCAGTTTCATGTTGATGGACCTGGCGATCCCGACCGTCCGCATCTACATGGTGATTGGTGATGGACCAGGAAGCGTCGTATGCACCCATCTATTCGGATTTGAGTTCCACGTAGGCACATTTTGTGCTCAGCACTATCACACGAAGCGGCTCTGTGATTGGCATGAGCCGACCGTGGAGGCCCTTGGTGGCGCGGGGGGGGGGAACGTGGGAATTTGGAATCAGGAGGGATGGGTTTTTCCCCGTACATTTAACCTTCCCTTCCCCCTTTTTTTTCTGTCCTTCCCCTTTTTCTCCCCCTCATTACGGAGACCCATTGGGGGCCATTAGGGTAGCTGGAGAGGTGCGGTGCACGTCCGTCGATCGATCTCATACTATCCCCGTGGAGCTGTCGATCGTCTCCACTAATCTATGTTACACTAAATCCTTAGAGCCTCCACTTGTGTGAACGTCGCACTAGGCACCGGGGTAGTCTAACAGGGCGCTTTACGGTGGTTCTATTTCAATGGCATGATCGAAAGGTGTACCTCGTTGTATCTAAACGCCGTGGCGAGTGCCTTCACTGGGCGGTTCCGGCCGGAGTTGATAAGAGCCAAGGCGCGCCTAGACTCGCTGGTGGCGAAAGGGAACGAATCCGCTGGACTGTCTGGGGCATATCTGGGAGAACGGTGGTTTCTGCAGCCCCCTTTGCTCGGGTCCAGTCGCTCGGTCCCTTTGGTAACAAAGCGATTGCCCGTTTTCCTCGAAGGCCAGAATTAGTCTCGGCTACGCCCATGTGTGGCCGGGCCAATGCAGGCTATATGATCTGCCGACCTAAGAGGCTTGGCTTCATCTCCAAATAAAAAATAAAAATAAAATTTAAAATTTTAAAAAAAAAAAAAATTAAAAAAAATTAAAAAGAAAATTGGAGTCAACCTTAAGGCAACACAGAGGCGGAGCCTCGCGCTTCTTTCTGTATCCAGCAGGTCCTTTTAGAGATTTTGCCTGTTTTCCAGTACGGCACTTCGCCGCAGTGGCCTGCTTTGGCTTCGGTACCGACCCCGGGGGGGGGGCCTAGATTGGGGGGCCTCCATGGTGCAAAGGATAAGGTATCCGCCTGTGCCTATCTTCAGCTCCAAGGGTTTTCTGCACAGGGTCCAGGAATCGACCCTTGCTCCTGGTCTATGTAACTCCGCACAAAGAAGAAGAAATTTTCTCATCCCGCGTTTCTGCAGGGAGATCCCTGGTTAAAAAGGGTTTAGCCAGGATGTTACCGCACGCAGTCTGAACGCTAAAAGCAAATTTCCTACGAACAAATCGTGGGATCTGCCGATCGACCATGCTCTGCGAATCAGGAATGAAGAAGTAGTTCTGGCCGTTGGGAGCGGATCTGCAACAGGGCACTGTCGCATCGCGGGGGAGCAGCTCCCCACTTTCTACGTTGGCCGGTCTAGGCCAGCTTCGATCGTGGACTGGGGCAGACCACCACCGACACGAAGTGACCAGAAGTGGGCGAACGCTCAACGGTGGAGCGCGCTGGACAACGGCATCTCACTGCATGATCCCTCGGAGAAAAAGCAGGGAAGGACGAATCAAGCCCAGCAGCAGAGGAGCAGAGCAGCCCGCTACCACTGGGCCAAGCGGCCCCTCGTATTGGAGGAGAGCAAATGTGGCGCTCAGTCGAACGGACTCGCCGTGGTGGTTATCGGTCCCCAGAGGATCCATGGTCCGGCGCTGGACGAGACTTTTTTCCTCGGCGTCCAAACCTACGATCGTCTCGGATCCATGGATTCGCTCTTCAAGCTTGCGAGGGTACGCTTGGGGCCTGACAGCTTGCCCCTCTATTTAATCTTACACCCTCCCCAGTCTAGAACCTCATCAGCACCGTGACTCTTGTTTTCCGAGGGCCACTTTCACATGTACACAATGGTCTCTTCCGATCTAGATCAGGACATTGCCCCCATCCCCCGCTCGCGGGAGGAGAACCAGGAGCGGTAAGTTTGGAGATGGCACCATTCCACGTAGACAGGCCCGTACTGATCGAGCGCTCCAGCGCTTTCATTGCCGCCTCCCGGCGGAAAGATCGCAGTCTGGATGCCCGGCTGGAATCAGCCAACCGGGCCTCCATGTTGCACAAGAAGCGTACTGGCAAAGCATTCCACATCACCAAGGAAATCGTCGAGAAAGAAGCCATGTACGAAGAGATCGACGAGCGTTACCAAGAGAAGCGCATTCGCATGTTGCAAGCACAGAACATGCAGATTGAAGAGCAGTTCCATCGCCAGTTACTCGCAGCCTTTGCCGCCCGTGCAAACAGCTCGAGCGCTGCCACTATTGCCCACCGTCGCTCCAGCGTGACCCCCCGGCCCTCGATCGACCGGGGCGCTGCACGCAAGATGAGTCTTGACTTGTCCAACCTGCGCTCTCCCTTCGCACAGGGTGCGGACTCCAGCGCCCTGGCCAGCCCCATGACCGCCAGCGATGGCTACATGCTTTCGCCCACCACCACTTTCGACCCGAATGCCCAGTCGTACATGAACTGCATGGACGGCTCTGACTCCTCCCCGTACTCAAACTTGGGCACTACGGCGGCCCCCTCCACCCAGGTGCCCGCCTACGTGGCGCAGAACCCCGCAACGCAGACCTGGCCACCCCAGATGGGTAGCACCCCATCATGGGCCCTGCAGCAGCAGCAGCAGCAACAGCAGCGAATGCAGCCCATGCCGACGCCCATGCAGACTCCCAGCGAAAGCACCTCAGTCCACATGTGGCAGCAGCAAATGATGCAGCAAGCCCAAATCCCCGCCGACAGAGCCGCGAACATCCAAATGCGCCAGTTCCGCGACCGTCTGGCCTCAGCCCCCGAGCTGCCAGTGCACCAGATCCCGACCCCCACTCCCTCGGCCCCGGCGCCTCCTGCGCCCGTGGCCTCCATCTCTGGCCCCAGCGGCCACTCGCGGGGCCGTTCTCAGCCCAGCAACAACTTTCACAGCTTGCATCTGCTCACCCAGGGCACGCACCTCGCTGCGCAGGTGGGGTCCCGTTCTCACAACGGATCCCCGAAGGTCGACGCGCTGTCTGCGGAGACGCATTCGACGCCGGACTTCTGCCCTACGCCTAGTACGCCGCTCTCGCCTGCGGATGCTGGTCCTGCGCAGGAGTTTACCAATGTCACTTCGAAGCAGCAGCATGATAACGGGTTCATGGTTCCTCATGAGCAGCTGGATCCGGACTTTAACGAGTTCAGCCAGTTTGCTCTGGGATTGGGTAACTCTACTCTACAGGATGGGGAGCCATTTGGGTTTGACGATTTTGTGACCCTTGACGACTTTACCAGTGTTTCCTGCTGAGGGATTTCTTTGGATCCCCTTTGCATCTTTTTTTTTTCTTATTGCCCTGTTCTCCCTTCTTATTCCTGGTTTTCCGGGGTGGTTTTTTGTCACCTCATTCCATTGATTCCCGGGGGGGCTACGAATTCACCCCTTCGTTTTTTCTTTTTGTGTAGACGTGATGGCTTGTACATTGCTGCTTGTACGATACTCAATTTTCCTTGTCATCTTACTTTCTGTCATTACTTTGTGGGCTACGTCTTTTTAATGCCTCGATGACTCGGGGAGCACTTGGGGGAACGGGGGCAGGCCTCCGTCCTTGATTGATTCGGGCGCTGGGACTTGGGGGCGTTTTGATCTAGGTTTCGGTCCCAAGGTATTTTCTTTTGCTTGACGAGAAATGAAATCCACAAAGTTCCCAAATGTTCTCTTCTGCAACTTGACACGTCAATGGTACGGACAAGGATCTCATTCTCCACCAGAGGTTACATTCACAACCGCAACCAATTCCAATTTACCCAAAACGGCCTCCAATTCAACCTCAGAAACTTCCATCTATTCCCAATCACACTCAATCGCAGCACCCGAGGGCAGGGTACGGAGGGTCCCCACGGGCCGTGCCCACTACCCCCCCTTCCCATTGCGTGTGTCAAGCTACGTAGTCTCTCTCCACCCCCTGCCAACCAAGCTAAGGCCAAAGTCAAAGGAAAAGAAGAGTAATCAAAAAGGACATGGAACAGGCAATCCCGAACTTTGATTAGGAAAAAGAAATCCCAGATTTTCTGCCGAATCACACCCCAGCGCATCTACAGCAGATCCCGTCTCCACTTGACATCATCGGCAAAAAGACCCCTGCAGATGGGCCCATGCACTACCTGTCTTAGGAAGTACCTTTGCACCAGTCAAAACGACATGCGAGCGAGCTAGCATTCCCGTAGTTGAAAAATGCGAATAAGTGCAAAAGTTTAGTTGCCCGGTCAGCTGCCCTAGTTATTTCTTGGCTGAACGCGGGGCTCGCTTGCATTAGGTTTCGAGGGGGAGAAGAATCAAGCCAAGCTTGGCTTTGCAGGCCAGTGACTTCTTGCTCGTACATGACTGGTGCGTATGTCCAGGCTTGGGTGGGTTTAGTATACCGTGAGGGGTGAAAGGAAGGGAAAGAGTGGGGGGGGATAAGCTGCGGCCTGTGACTTCACAAAGTCCGAGCTTGGAGGGGGGGGGGGAAGTTTCCAATCGGAAAGATCGGGCGATCGAGCTAAAAATGAGCTGGATTGAGATGTGATCGGCGACGGTTGGAGGAGGGGAAGCTTGTGGCTGGACGAGGCAAGGTGGATTCATTATTCATGCGTTGGTCTGTGCTCGTATAGATCTGCTCTGCAGCGTCCACTCCGCTCGACGGGCATTTCCCTTTTCTTATCTTGCTTTGGCCCTTCCCCCCATGGCATCATAACCAATCCCGTGTAGAATTTCTCTCATATTCTAATTCTGCGCTCTGGTCTCTGATCGGACTTGCTTCTTTCCCTCAGCAGTGTGGGGATAAGGTTGCAGCTCCCGCGCTTGTCCGGAAACAGTCTAGCGCACTCACGTCCACTGGCACCCGCCCTGAACCGTGGATGGCAGGCGCTGCTGTCGAGCCGATCCTTGGGAAATCGCTTGAAGGGGGACCCGGAATGTGGCCCCCCGTGTGCACGTCCACGCTGATCATTGGGCACTTTCCCGGTTGGGAAGTACTGGTGATAGGGGCCGGGTTGGCGATATCAAAGGTACCAGTATGGGGGGATTGAACAGGCACCTTGGCTCGTCTGACGGGATCTCCCTTCAGCTCCTGAGTCGACCTCGGCATAGGATGACTTCAGTCGTAATGGGACTACGCCAACCTTGGAAGCACACCCCTAGTTGACTGGACAAGTTAGTCAGCTTAGCCCTGCCCTGCGCTGCAAGGCTGATCACAACGCTCCCGATTTCCCCGGCACCTATGGGAGGCCTTACTTATCACCACAGCATGACGCGCCATCACGGGTCTAGAACTGCTCAAGCAAAGTGCATATGCATGCTGCAAGAACCCGCCATCCTTGTTTTCCTATTGTGGCCTCGTGGTTGTGGCTTCGGCGGTTGCGAAAGTCTATTGTTCCCCCGAAGATACTCCCGAGTGTCCCTATCGCACGGCCAAAAGATCCGTAGGCTAAGCTGCGTATCACAGACCCCCCTGCCCCATTGCGCTATCTCGGCCCTGAAATAAGGGCTATCTCTTCCAAGATTAAGTCATAACCCCGCCCCCTTCCCCTCCCCTCCCCTTGCCCCCTTCGATCCTTGTTTTCAGAAGAGGGTCGCAAGGTTCGCAATCCCAGATACGACTTGGAAGGTTTGAAGGCGCTCACGCTCCTATTCCAAAATCCAGGCATTACACACGCAGAGGATGGTGCATTTCCCTAGCGGGCCACTGGAGATCTCTCCCGCGAACTGTGGGTCGAACCAGGCGTATCGCAGTGGAGTGATCGCAAAAGGGCTAACCTAGACTCAACGCCCAGCAGAACGCAGAGCCTCGGCAACATCAAGCTACCCCGGAAACCTACCGCATTCGAGTGCGGAAATCGCCCTCCCATCGCCCTCCTTCCCGGGCTGACCGTGCAGTGGAGAATGGAGGGGGAGCCTCAGGACTGCTCTAGATCGACACTGACATACCCTTATCCTGACACGCCCATCGACTTCTTACCAAGGGAAGCTCTGTTGACAGCTACCGCATCGGAACGAACCAGTTCCCCAATCTTCACCATTCCAAATCACATCCCCTCCCCCCCCTCGAGGATATAGCATAAACAAAAATCCAGCCTACCCGCAATACCACTTTATCCAGCCTCTGAAGGGCCCTTACCCAGCAACCGCGACCCTCAGGAACCAATACCGAGGCCCAGGAAAGCCAGTAGCCCAGGTACGCCCTAGCCGAAGCGCCCGAGCCATAGATAGCGATCGCAACATGCCGTTTCCGGCGATCTGGCACGCAAGAGGGAACGAAAAATAAGCTCGGCGACTCCGATCACTGTCGATGCCGTGACTATGCGGGGCCTAGACCCACGGGACTCGCCATGTCGGCTTATGCTCCATGCAGGTTCCGTATGAGGTGATCGACGGAGGCCTGACTCAAGTGGCTGCTGTAAGGCGAGGCCGTGGGGTCAAACTCTATCCACAGTGCAAGTCTGGGAGATCGATCGAGGGGATCTTTATCCGGGAGAGGTCCTGCGTGGCGAATGGAGTCCGGATGTGACTCCCGTTGGTGGGTTAAGTGGCACGGCTCAGATGGGCGATCGAAGTATAGGGAAAATCGACATGGACCGCAATTCATCGAGGGGTTCTTGTGCGGTGGCTTTCCCGCTTTCCGTGTTTTGTGGTCGTTGGGCTAGACCAGGTCGATTCTCCTCGTATCTCTTCTAGCCGAGAGATTCACGTTGAGAGCTTGGGTTGTGGTTCACAGTCCTCTGCGGCCTATCAAGTACTTCGGAAGGCCGTTATCTGGCGCAACGGTATAGCCATTTAAGCGCATGGGGCAAGCCTTCGCGTCAGGATAGACTTTCAAGAGCGCGCTGGGGACAGGTTCTACCGTACTGCCGGGCCACTCATGACGGACGCCACACAAGTTGACATGGCTTGGCGGTTATTTGGCAGATTCCCTGTTTATGCGAAACTTGGGAGTGCTTAGCTGGTGGGGGCTAATGTTGCGCGTCTCCATGCGCTTTGACACGGCCGTCGAGGCCAATTACCATGGTGTACAGTATATCTAAAAGGGAAAAAGGTCGATTTCATCACTGATTGTTGTATTGCTTGGATTCGCTATGAATGAGATGATGTCACTGCCTTTAGTTGGACATGACAAACGATAAAAGCATGTGGATGAGCACAACGCGAATATTGACCAAAAGCACCATTTCCTCAATAGGCAAGATCTGCTCGCTGGGTTCTCTTGGGCTGGGCAACATGGGGGTATTCGTTCACTCGAGGTCACGGGTTCATGTCGACTATGAACAAGTGAGTAGTAGGGAGCGGAAATTTCCCAATTCCTAGGTTGGTTCGCAACGGACGACATACGATATGTTGGTTTGGGGGGGGGGGTGGATGAGGGAAGAGAGAGGAGATTGAGGTTAGCGTAAGTCATCGTACAATCATGATGTTTCGGCGCCCAAGTCTCATATAGTCCATATTTTGTCTATTTGCCTTGTTGAGAGCCACTCGTACAAGCCTACAAGCCTCGGCTGAATAGCTCACGGCCGACCTCTCCACTGCGACGAACGCTCAAGCTTGACGAGCTGCTGCTTCGTCGGCGTCGGCGACTTTCAGCCGGGTCTGCAGGGCTCAGACCACTAGCGCGTGCGTGGAGGTTCAAAATATCAGTCAGGCTCACCACGCCTACTAGTCGTCCCGACAAGCGCGCGCCAGGGAGCGCTGAAGCAGGAATCGATGGTGACATCGGTGGCACGACACCGCTGCCTGCCGAGTGGGCGAGAACAGCCGGCTGGGGAGGAGTTGGAAGATGCGGGAGAGCCAAAGGAGTTTGAGGGGCAGAAAGAGGATGCGGAGATGCGGGCGGGGAGAGAGTGGGGGTTGCAGCTACATTCAGAGGCGTCGTCCCCAGAGGAACGTGAGTGGAAGACTGAGAAGGCGTTGGAGGCCCTGATGACGAGGGAGACATGGGATCCGTGACCCAAAGCCTAACAAGCAGTCAGTAATAATTTCGTACTTCCCATTGAAGTACATGGTTACATACCGATGTGATTTCGTCGCGACAATCTTCGCGACCGTATGCGCAAGGGTCGAAGTCGGATTCACATGGAAGACAGGGAAAGAATCCTTGCCCTCGATCAAGCCTCTGGTTGATAGAATGACGGAGATGAAATGGGTGCAGGTATTTTGAAGCAGCGGGAGGGGAAGATGATCGGGTAAGAAGCTAGCAGCCATTAGTATATCAGTCTCTTAAGTGCAATAGATTCCTTCATACCTTGACATCTGTGGTTGAAATATTTCCGATCACATTGAAGTGATTATCAACGACAACAAGTGAAGACACGCCCTCACTGTTCATGGTCTGCAGAGCTTCGCTAAGGGGCTTGTCGCCGCTATCCAGATATACATGGTCAACAAAAGGTATTGTTCTGCGGGTTGAGATCCACTTACTTAATGGAGATGACATTCTGCGAGCCAATCGATAAATCACGTAGTGACTGCGGGTATAGCTCTTCGAGAACGGGGAAGCTGCGCCCATTTTCCCACAGGAATTTGACCAGACGGAACTGGCTGAAGATGCCAACCACCTCGTGCCGGTCCTCCTTCGTCACAACTACTCGGTGGACTCCACCACCAAATGTCTCGACTGCTGCAAGCACATTCGCGGTAGCTGGTAGTGTAGTCAAAGGCTCCTTCTCCAATCCCATGTTCTTCACGTCTCGGATTGAGATCTTCTCCCCGTCGCGAGCCTTGCGGGCTAATTCATCGTATGATGCGCGCTGTCCTTCTCCGGGGAGAATCAAGCCGGCAGCCAGGAGGAGATACGTGTTTAGATCGGAATAGTCAAAGGTAGCAATTGCAGCATTATCTTGGGGAGTCTCGCGGATAAGCAACACGCTGATCCCAGAGTCAATCATTACCTGCAAGTGGATCAGTCCGCGGGGCGCAATCAAATTGCCGTACAACAGCCTTGCATAGAGCACTTACATTGGTAGCTTCTTCAATCCCCGTATCCATCTCAACCCAATGGAGGTCGTCCGGGCTGACGAGCTCACTGATTGCAATATGGCGCCAATCACGGCCCATGAAGGCGGGGTCAGCATTTTTGGGCGGCGGGGGGTTGTCGATAAGGCTTTGGACGGCAGACTGGGTGAGGGATGGCTGCCGGCGGGCGCGTGGAGAAGCCAAAGGGCCCCGCAAGCTTTCGCTCAAGCTCTGGCGATGTTGATGCGTGGGTAAGCCGGTGATGCGGAGCGACGTGCGGTTGGAGGAGCGCGAGTCCGTGCTGGAACGGGGTGAAGCTGTCCCAGCATCATTTTCAGGGAAAGTGAGCGAGGCATCAGAGCCTTCCCGAGATTGTTTGTCAGCCATGCCAGTGGTGAGGTTCTCTGCAAGGTGGGGAGAAGCAAAGGGGAGAAGCGGTGGTGGACGCGGGGGTCAACTCATGTGGGCCAATCATCGCGGGCGGGTTTGTGACATCATAAGCATAACATCTGCTGTTTTCCGCGATGGCTTGATGAGCCTCTCAGGTATACAAGCCAGGGTGTATGTCCGTTGACACTCTATAATGTGGACCAAGTCCGTCATCTTCATTTATTAACGATCTAGCGAATAAATCGTGGAATTCGATCCTGGTGAATTTTGCTAGAGATGAGTGTCACGTTCTATGACAGTAAACGACACCATGAGGTCGAGTAGTTGTAAGAAGAGAAAATACAAAACCAGCAAAATTTTTCTGCTAGTATCTGGCGGAAAAGTCATGAAAGTCGATCCTGGTGGAATTTGCTGGAGATGGGTGGAACTGGCCAAGCTACACCCAATCAAAGCCATGAAGGTCAAAATTTGCTACCTAGTGTATCGTTCATATACAACCCACACCAGACCAAGGCTCTGCGTCTCAGCTGGTGCTAGCTCGGAGTTCTATAGTAATTTGTTATAACCTCCATTAATGCCATCCAACGATAGAGGCAAGGTTTCTTGAGAATGAGGTATAACCGTTGAACTACGGGCAATTTCAAGTTGAAGTTCCATACCAGGGTTACTAGGATAATCTTGGGTGGTTAAACTCGGCGCCATGTACCACATGTGTCACCAGATCTCACGGCTAACGGGAGGTCCAACCCAAGATCCCAAATTTTGGAAGCTATGTTGTGCTGATAAAAATCCAAACATAAGTATGGAACTTTACGGCTCGAAAACATGAAGTGCTAGTACAGATGTTTATCTTTAGCTTTGGCGGCGACATGCCCAGGTGGCGAAGTTGCAGATGACTTGAAGGCGTTTGAGTATACAGAGCAATAGCCCCAACCCGCACGGAAAACAGCAGAGGGACTAGTGATAAATGCTAATCGAAAACGACCGGAGACTGAGTCGGATAGTCCTCTTCAATCGACTCACGTGCACATACAGATGCATCCATCTCAGGTGCCCACGCACACATAGCTCCCAAGTCCGTATACACTAGTGCACCGACAGGCCTCTATTTCAACGAAATCGAACAAGTTTTCAGAGAAACTGGTCAGTCTGTACCACAGACCCCACCCAAAGCAGGACAACAAACCATGTCCCCTTCAAGGCAGTCATGGCTCCTAGAAACAACAACGAGGCTACAAGCATCGCCACCTGACGTGGGCAAATGACGAAATCGATGTGTCCGCTGCGCCCGGTAGGCCCTTGGAAGTGCAGCGTCCAAGCATTAGCTGAAGTTAGCTGAGGCGTGCGAATCAGGCGGGGGAAGTTGGACGATAACCAACCGAGGCGCTAAAGGGCCGATCCTATATTGATCGGCAAAGCCCCTGATAAAACCACGTTCTTCTGACACCTGCACGGAATCCGCGGCGATCGCTTTATTTAGTTCCCCTGAAGGACTTGAGAAGTTCCATATTGCTTAAACTTAGAAAGCTTCTCCCCTTGCAAAAGGAGACTGGTCCTCCATCATGGCTCACGGCCAGCCGCCCGTGTCGACGGCTCCTGATGCCAAAACAAACACACGAGACCCCAAAGATCAACAGGCTGAAGTGGAAGAATCATCTACGCCTTCGACTCCGTCGACACCTACTACGCCCACGTCGGGCCCAGAGCGACGAGGATCCACGTTCATGAAATTCATGTCGTCGATCCTCGGCTCTAAGAATCCTATCGCTAATCCAGCGGACCCGCAAACAAACACGGTCTGGCTATTTGACAACACTGCCTACCAGTCTAGTATTCCGGCCAGTCCAAAGCCTGACCAAGCACATTCGACGGCATGGCGTGCTGAGGTGGTCGCTTGTATATTTGAAAGCCAGGGCCGTAAAGATGTGGGCAAGTTTGTCGCCACGATCGCAGACCAGCTAGGTATCGACGGCGCTGTCGGCGGCGCCGACGAAGAGACTCGCCAACGCATCGAAAAGCGCGTGCAGCCATTTTTGGATCAAGTCTCACCGGGTCGGACAATTACGATGGACATCACAATTCAAGACAAAGCCCAGTCCCATTCGCTCGGCCCGTCAGACCGCAACGGCATAATCAGCCAAGTAGTCGAGTTAGGCTCAAACGAGAGCCTTCACGACCAAACATACATTGCGTCACAGGCGCAATCATTCGAGAACGCCCACTCGTCCATGAAAACCTACTTCGCTGCGCCCGAGGGCTGGCTCGTCGTCTCCGACATCGACGACACCATCAAACGAACAATGACCCGCGAACCGACCGGCATCTTGCGAACAACATTCGCTGAGGAGCCCGCCCCAATCAAGGGAATGCCGGAATTCTACAAGTACGTGCACCGCGAGCTAAAACCAACATGGTTCTACCTCTCCGCCTCCCCGTACAACCTGTACCCATTCCTGCACAGCTTCTTGAACGAGAACTACTGCGCCGGCACGCTCGTTCTGCGGGACTACTCGTGGATGGACATCAGCGGGCTTATCAAATCGTTCACGGAGAAGACCCAGGAGTACAAGACGGATCGGATGGAAAAGATCCACCGCAACTTTCCGCAGCGGCGGGTGCTGTGCATCGGAGACTCGACCCAGAAGGACCCCGAGGCCTATGCAGAGATGTATCGGCGGTATCCGGAGTGGATCCATGCGATTGCCATCCGGAAGGTAACTGACGTGGCGCATATGGAAGAGCATAATAAACCAGAGCGCTTTGAAGAGGCGTTTAAGGGCGTGCCCACGGGTTTGTGGACTGTCTTTGAGGATCCGGTTGAGTTGTATGACTTTGTTGATAACCTAGGAATGGAGGAGCAAGTCCTTTGAGTGGGTTGATCTTGGGCTTGTGTATATATAGTTTTGCGGAGATTATTGATGCTGAGTTCCCAGTTTTAGATCATGTCGGAAGTGGAAGGTAGGAAGTAGCCGGGATTGAATCCCGCTGTGCATAGTTAAATGTGGATAACTAATGTTAGGTACTCGAGCCACACCGTCTTTCATCTAATCCAATATTATCACACTTAAATTGAAGTCTCCTGATGATATATATTGAAGACGTTCGGATAATTCAACCTACTGTCGCCCTCCTGTTGACACATACGGTGGGAAATGGATTGCGACAAGATGCACCTTGTGGCAAAGTTCTCCTAGCCATACGTCAAGATTAGAAAATGTGCTCGAACTACACGGCGCCACTCATAAACCGATCTCCTAAGAGCAGAGGCAAAGACCCAGGCCAGCAAATCTATCCTATCCAAAACTCTTCATTCCTGCAACCTCCCTCAAATCCACCAATACAAGCACATCAATCGCCCAAAAATGAAATCAACAAAATTCTCCTCCTACTCCGACCCGTCAACAGCATACATCCCCTCCGTAATGAGAGCTCTCTACTACTCCCCCTCCAACTCAATGGATATGGAGAGCCTCGAGGAGACCCCATCACCTGGGACAACCATTAGTACAGTCTCACAAGACGTCGACACAGGCACAGGCCTCATGCTCGACACCACGTATCCAACGCCCACGCCCACAGATGACCAGTATCTGATCAAAGTGCAAACAGCCGCGTTCTGCCACGACGAAATCCGGCTCGCGCAGACCCTGAACCCCAAGAACAACACGCCCAAGATCCCGCTGCACAGCACCTGCGGCACGGTCGTTACCACTCCGCACCAGGACCCAGACCGGCCACTCGGCCCGCGCTTCCATGTCGGCGACGTGGTCTTCGGCGTGCTGAGCTACACGCGTGACGGGGCGGCGGCGGACTACGTCATTGCGTACGAGGGCGAGATCACGCTTAAGCCCCGCAATATCAGTGCGTCGAAAGCTGCAGCACTGGCGCTGCCAGCACTGACGGCGTGGCAGGCACTGTTCAAGTATGCGGGGCTTGATCCGGACGCTGTGGCAAGGAATCGGGGGTATGAGAATTTGAAAGGGGCCAACCATGAGGCGCTGTATGGGTATGGGTATGGTAATGGCCATACAAATCGGAGTTCGCAGCAGTATGGGAGCCAGAGAGGGAGTGGAATGATCCCAAGTACCAATGGTCATGCTAACGGCTCTGCGGCGAATAATGGGAGAAAGCATAGCTGGGCTAGTACAGCGCGGGCTAGCATTGGGCATCTCATTGGGGTGAACTCGAATCGGAGCAGCACGTCAAGCGGCAGTGGGCGGGCATCGAGCACTGCGAGCGGGAATGCAGTCATGAATGGGTATGCGAATGGGGACAACGGTAATGGTTCCACTGGCGGACCGAGTGGTGCTGAGCGCAAGCTGAGCTGGGCAAATATGCGGCGAGTGAGCCTTGGAAGCACTCCAGGAGGGCACAATGGGAATGGAATCAAGAAGAAAAAGAGCGAGCAGTTGCGGGTCGTTGTAACGAATGTTCGGGATAATGAGATTGGACGGATTGCGGTAGAGCTGCTCCGGGCTGAGAAGCTCTTCCCGCAGGACTATTTGCCGCCATGGATCTGTGTGACATGCACACCTACCGAAGAGGCTGCTATACGGACTTGGTGGAATGTCGACGAAGTGCTTATCATTCCGGATTTGCCCACAAGCGATGAATGTGATTTCGGGGCAATGTTCCGAGAACGGCGTTGGGAAGCCGTGGATATAGTTCTGGACTGCATCGGTGGTGAGGCATTTCGGCAAGCCCATGCCATTGTCAGAGATGAAGGCACAGTCTTGACGGCTGTAGATCCTTGGCCAGCACAGATGCCAGCGGACACAATGGGCTCAGACCCGCTGGGGAGGAGGAAGCGAAGGCTAAAGAGCCAGTTTGTGCCCGTCAGTCCAGACGGCAAGGCAATGGGTAGAATTGCCGAGTTGGTCGAAGACGGAACAGTTACAGGTCGGGAGGAGGTCAATGTCGACCTGCTTAACGCAGCGAAATTATTGGACTCAGGAGCTGCTGGAGCTGCTGGAGCAAGACGCGGAGTCATGATGAGCGTGAGGATCAGCTATGGAGCTCTGTAAAGTGATGTATTGCGTCTGGCGTTAGTGGTTTCAGTAGTTGTTCGAATCAGTTCAAGCTGAACGGAACCCCCCTAAGAGATATTAGAAAGTCGTAATATGCCTAGTTATTGGTTCGTAAGCACGATCCATTTCTAACAGAAGAACGGGTAACCAAAAAGCGATTAGGCGGCAAAACGATCAAGATGGGTAATATATTCGAATACAAGAAATGAATTTTCAGCCGTATAAGATCACAAGACGCTTTGCCAGGTTTCCAAACCCACATGATAACGAGCTACATGAGCAAGAAGAAGAGAGAGAAAAAAAACCGAGTCCGAAGAGGTGGCGTGGAGACAAGGTCATGGGTGAAGCTGGAAAATGAAGAGCGGACATGAGAAAAGAAACGTTGTATTAAGATCAATGCGGGTGACCCGCTTAGAGTAAGGAATCAAGTCTGGTGAATACGCTCAAGCACGCAGCGACAATCTAGTAGGCAATGTCAGTATTTGTGGTCGAGATCTTCCGACCTGGGATATAACCATACCTCCATTTGCAGCTCTCGGTCTTTGGCGTTCACTTCATCATTGATAGCCTGCGCTAAATTGGCACCGATAGCCTGGCCTCCGCCAGTTCGTCGAGCAAATGGCCATTGAGAGTACTCGGCAAGTAGCTCATCCACCTGAGCAAATGCCCTTTCACGGGCCTCGTGGCTCATGGTGACCAGAGCATTCTCCAAAACATTGGCAGCGTATGCAGCACAAACCATTGTGATAGTTCGAAGGAAGCGGAACTCTGATTCTTCAGGAAGCCATTGGGAAGGAGGAAGGATAACCGTCCGACTGCTGCAGACGTTGCGTACACGGCGGTGGAGGTCTTCCTTAGCGCCACTGTCGGCGACGGGGTGGGTAGCCATGTCGAAGAGGAGGAAGTTTCGTTTTTCGGTTCGCAGAATGCCTTTGTCGACAAGGCCTTTCGCCAATCGCTCGCGCACTTGTTTCAATTGGTAGCCAATCTTCATTAGGTTCCATGTCTCTCCTACGGCGTAAATCGAGAGGTTAGTGGGGGCAGTTACTTTATGGGGTCCACCAAGGTGGGAATAGCAATTGCAAAAGATCAACATCCACATACCGCTGAGCAGATCAATCCATGAGTTCACGCTCATCTTCTCGCTCGACTTCATCATCTTCAGTGTCTCGTCCAGCAAGACCTCCCCAGTCAATGTGTCGTCGACGACCTCAATCACGCGGTCGGCAAGGGGAAATCGCCTGCGCGAGGAGTCCTTCTGCATGGCTATCCGACCACGGAGCGCAAGTTCAATCACGATACATCCTCTCAGAGCGTAGGAAATGTTCTCATTCCAGAAGGACAGGTAGCCCTACCATAGCGGAGAGGCGCAACGTCAGCAATCTGAAGGACAGAGGGGGCGGGAGCAAGTCCAAGGCTGCGGGTGTTGAACAAGACTCACCTGCTTATCTTTCAAGCCCAGCAATAGTACTTCCTCCATCAGAGTCAGCTTAGGTTGCTTGCTGCGCTCTTGAGTTTCGCTAAGGTCGCGAGGATCGAATGCGATCTTGTGACCGTTCTCGGCGCTGGTGAACGAGGTCTCGGGGCCGCGGTTGTCCATCGCAGAGCCATTTCTCGAAATAGGGGATGCCACACGGCTGTCATCATTCTCGTCTGCGCCGCCAGCTCGACCGCCGCCTCGGCGGCGAGTCAAGCCCTCGGGTGCGGACATGAGGTCAAAGATAGCAATTGAGGAAGGACGGAGGAAGGACGATCAACGAGGAACCCAGATGGGCAGAACGAGAAGGCGTGGGATCCTCCTTTTCACAAACCGAGGCCAAACTGCGTGCCGCTCGCAGGGGACATGAATTGTCTGCGTGGAGGAGGGAAAAGAGATCGCGCGTGGGTAGACCGAAAGTCTGCCGCTGCCGCTTCCAAGTGGGACCCCCTCCGTGTCAGGGGAAACCAGGGTCCGACTTTATTTGGGCGACTTAGGTCTAAGGAATCAGCGACCGATCAATGCGAAGGTTTTCTTTTTGATGCCGATGGGAGCAGTATCGAGGGGTGGTGGTAGGCTGAACAAACTGATGATTGGGTTGAGTAGTCGAGTTCGGTCAAGTGTGAGGTGGCTCGTGGTGCGCCCGATAGCGGTAGCGCCACAAAAATATATATATGAGAGCTATTCAGCGCTACATCTGCAGATCCAACCAATTTAAATTGATTCTGAAACCAATGTAACCTGCCACAGCTGGCACTATTCTGTTTGGCAATAAACAGCTGGGTCAATCACCTCTGAAAGTCTGCATTATGGACAGATGTATGCCGTAGCTTGAAAGTCTGTTTGCGGCAGCCGACCGCGGAACCAGCTAATCGATACCGACATCTACAAAACTTGACAGATATACACTTGGGCAGATCTGCTGTACGCAGTTTAGATGATCCACCAGTGAATATTCTGAAAGAGGCTTATAAGCTCCGAGTCAACCTTGGAAAGTCTAGTCATTCTCAAAGATTCAGGCAGGGTGTTGCCCCGAGTGTCCGTAGGGATCTGGTAAGAGTGGCGAAAGGAGTAGTTGCTCCATATTTGACACCGCGTCAAAACTGCATTCAAGATGATATACACGATATAGAAAGGACAAGAAATAAAACATTCGGCATGGATTCAGCATACAGCGTCAGGGTTGACGGTAGAGCTGCACTCGCCCAAACAAGAGTTCGAATAGATGCCAAACCCCCCATCCTTTTTCTATCCGACCCAACACATTCGCTCCGAATTTTCCATTAAATATCTAGTGAGCTGCGGAAATAGTTAGTACCAGCAGAATAAAACGAGGAAGGTAGATGTTGCCTTACCATCGGGCTGGGCCAAGATGTACTCAACGGCCTTCTCCACTGTTGGCACATGGCATGTTAGAAACCACGATCAATCCGAACACGTTTGATAAATCAGAGCTTAAACTTACCACTGTGGATCTGGTCGGCCTCCTTGTCGGGGATCTCAATGCTGAACTCCTGTTGGAAAAAGAGTGTTAGCGTTGGCGCGATAGAGCTTTTCCCGGGGGGAAACGTTTAAGCCACATACCTCCTCAATGGCCATCACCACCTCAACGGTATCCAAACTGTCAAGACCGAGGTCGTTGGCGAAGTGGGAGGTACCGTTCAGCTAGAACGCAGATAATATTAATGAATGATTCGTTCTGACGGTGGATCCCGTAAAGACTCGAGCTAAATCCGAGTATTGCCGAGGGCTTCGCAAAAATGTCAACTAACCTTGCTGGCGTCGGAGACCTATGTATCAAAATCAAGGTTAGCGGTTTGAGCTTATAAGTTGACGAGCATAGTCGTCGACCGACGACGTGTACGCGGGAAAAACATGATGACGCACCTTGTCGAAGTTCTTGAGCAGGTTGATGATACGGCCCTCAACCTCGGTTTTGTTGAGGCCGGCAGGGGCAGAGTAGAAGCGAACACCCTGAGCGGCGAAGCAGGGAGCGAATTGCTTGCGCACAGCGACGGGGGAGCTGCGGATCTGGAAGGGAGCGGGTGTCTTGATGACACGGGGGGCAGAGGCCCTCAAGGAGCGGACGATGGCGGAACGGAACATTGTGGAAGAGATCTCAGAAGCGCGACGGCTAGAGACCCTGTAGAAAAGGGAAGGGAAGAGGTATTGTTGGTGGGGAAGAGAAGGTCTAAAGACGGATGAAGAAGGGTTGTGAGAGAGGAAGAAGGTCGGGAGTGCTGCACCGACGCAAAATCCTGCCGCCAACCAATCAGCGTGCGGCAGAAAGGAATGACCCTAACCCAAACCTGCAACCTCAACCTCGACCTCTCTTCTCCTACTTGAGACGCCTCTTGTCAATTCGCTCCACTCCCCACCCCTCTCTACCCTCCATCCTCCCTTCCCAATCGTCGTAATGGCCTCCTCCCGACAGGTGACCAGGCTGGTAGCCTCTCGCCGGTCCCCTTTCATGCCTCTGGGCTCGACGGCAAACTTCTCTTCCTCAGTGTCCCGCGCAGCGACACCTGCCGGCGCCCCTCAACCGGGCTTCCGTCTGCCTCCCCCCCAAGCGCTGGGACCAGAGCAGCGAGTCTGCACTCGACAAGGCCACTAAGTACTTCCTCCTGTCGGAGATGATGCGTGGCATGTATGTCGTGCTGGAGCAGTACTTCCGCCCACCGTAAGTCTTTGTCTACACCAGTTGACGACCCAGGAGCTCGACCTTGGGTCATTAGTCGAAGAGACTGGCCTGACTAGGATTATCTTCCAACAGATACACCATTTTCTATCCCTTCGAGAAGGGTCCTATCTCCCCCCGATTTCGCGGCGAGCACGCTCTGCGCCGCTATCCCACTGGTGAAGAGCGCTGCATTGCTTGTAAACTCTGCGAGGCTATCTGCCCAGCTCAAGCTATTACTATCGAGGCTGAGGAGCGTGAGGACGGAAGCCGCCGGACGACCCGTTATGATATCGACATGACCAAGTGCATCTACTGTGGCTACTGTCAAGAATCTTGCCCTGTCGATGCCATTGTGGAGAGTAAGCTAGACCCATGACGACTAGTCTCCTCATTCTTGCTAATTGCCTTCTTCTCTTTAGCCTCTAACGCAGAGTACGCCACCGAGACCCGTGAAGAGCTGCTTTACAACAAGGAGAAGCTCCTGTCCAACGGTGACAAGTGGGAGCCCGAGATTGCAGCTGCCGCTCGCGCCGATGCTCCATACCGATAAACGGATAGACTGTTTTCTACTGGCGACTCATTCCAGGAGAAAAGTTTGTGTACCTTCTGCCTGCGTGTCTACGCTACCCTTAGTGGGTCCATGAAAAACTCCCGAGGGCTTGACTATGACCTTCACTCCATCATATAACCATGTACATATTCCCCCCAAACTTCGTGTTCTCGCTCTGTACTAGTCGATCATCCAAGGCAGTCTCTTTTGCAGCAGGCTCCATTATCTTTGTTAAATTTCTTTTGTTCAGGAATATAGCAGGTCTCTTGTTTATTTTAAGGCATAAATCAATTACACAAAAAAATGAAAACAAAAATAAAAGCAAACTAGAATTCTAAGATCACCTTCTTCATGATTCCTTTCTATTATCTGTAGAACTAGTAGCTTTTGGCAGTTATCAGGTACCAAACAGGGAGCTCTCTAGGCAAATTATAATACTTGAACTAGACTATGATAGAGGCAGGGAAACTAAACCGGATACTCTGTAGAATTGGTTATATTCACAAACGAAGATGTATCGCTATCCATGCAGAGACATAAGAATATCATAGAAGAATCATGCTGCTGATACAGACGGACGCCAGACACCACGAACACCAGATGGATATTCCCAGATCGATGTTATAAGCACACTTTTCACTCTTATTGATAAGGCAGAGGATATCCAGCTCGAATGAGGAAGGGTATGAGCTTGGAGTCAAGAAGGAAGGGGGGAAGGGCCGGGGGAAGATTCAAAAAAGGCGGAAGGAGGTTTATTTCTTCTTACCACCGCCGCCGACCTTGGACTTGAAGCTGCCCTCAAACCCCGGACGAGCCTTCTTCTTACCACCACCAGCAGGCTTCTTGCCCTTGCTACCCTTATTACCCTTCTCCTCTCTGCGCTTGCGCAGGTTCTCCTCACGCTTGGCCTGCTTCTGGTCCTTCATGCGAGAGACGGTTTCAATTCGGTCTTTCCACTCCCGTTCAGACTTCTTCTTCGCGGTCTCCTTACGCTTGAGAGCCTTCTTCAGAAGGGAAGTATCGTCACGGACCCGCTCACCGTGAGCGCGCTTCTTGGCATTAAGCCAGAGATCCTTTTCTTCAAGCTCGGCACGTTTGGCAGGGTCCATCTCGGCAAGACGGGCCTTCTTTGCTTCAACAGCCTTAAGCTGGGCCGCAGCATCGGTGGCACCACGGCGAGTGTGCTTGTCACGGACGCTCGACAGGGAGGCATCGGCTTCCTGGCCGTCAGCAAACACCACACGGCCGAAAGCAAAGTTGTTGCTGGATCCGGCGGGTTCGACGGGAGATCGAGGAGAGGCGAGGAGCGAGCCCGAGCCACCAGGGGAGAAGCGACGTGCCATGGCCTCGTCTTCCTTACGCTGCGCCTCTTCTTTGGCCTTTTGACGAAGCTCTTTTTTGTGTGCCTTGCGTTGCTCTGCTTTTTGCCGGCGGGCCTCAATGAGCTCTTGACGGTTGCGCGCAGGCTTGCCGTTGAGGCCATCTGCATGGCGGGCTGCCCGGAGTTCATCCAGGCGTTTTTGTAGACGCTGCTTCAGCTGCTCTGGGGTGGCCTTGAGAGCCTTGGGCTCATTGGGCTTAGTTTCAATGGAGGTAGCTGGAGGAACGATGGAGGAAATAGATGAGCTGCCTGATTGGGGATTTGAAGCGTCGGGAGAGTTGCGAGCGGATGAAGCGGAGGACTGTTCTTCTGGCTCTGCGTTGAACTCGAGAGAAAATCCCTCATCGGCAGCGTCATCCTCAGCCTCGTCTTCTTCCTCGTCGTCTTCTTTCTCAGGTTGATCGGCATTCTTTTCATTGGTGGCCTTGGCAGCCTTTGGGGGGTTTTGGGTTAGAGTATCTGTTGACTTGTCGTCCTGGTCCGATTTTTCCTTGCGGGCGTTTTGCTTGGCCTTTTTCTTTTCCTTTTGAGCAGCCTTCTTCTTCTCCTGCTTCTCCTGCTTCATCTTCTTCCGAGCCTCGGCCTTCTCGTTTTTGGCTTGGGCATCGGCCTTTGACTGCTCGACTGATTTCTGCTTCTTGGTCTTATCGCCGCGGTTCAATCCTTCACCGGGAAGTTCAGAGCCAATTTCTCCATCAGAAGAGTCGGATTCGACGGTGCCATCCTCTCGCTTACGCTTACGAGCGTTCTCATCCATCACGTCTTTCGCGGTCTTGGCGGATTCGGGGTCGAGTTTTGCTCGTTTGGCCTCGCGTGCTTGCTCTTTGGTTTGTTTCTTCCGTTGCCACTGATCCTGTGTAGCGTATGAACGATTAGACAAATGATTCAGGATCAGACGCTAGGAGGGAGAAGTAGCAGGGAGAAACAGCGAAAGCTGCATAGAAGAGAGCACACGTACGGTGGTGTTGTCCTCGCCGTAGTAAAGCTTTGCGGGGATCAAGGACATAAGGCCCGAGAAAGCCTCGGCGTGGCCTCTTAACCGTTCCTAAGAAAAGTTAACGGAATAGCCAAATTGCCGAGAACAGAACCACAAACCTCGATGTCAGCCATTCTCCGCGATGTTGAATGTCTGTATTGGGGTTGGCGTGGGTCGAAAAAAATGAGTGAAGGTGAGGAAATCTGCTGCCTTCACCGCCCACAAAAAATTCACCTGTTGGTCCGTGCTTCACTATTGACTCCCCCTCAGACTTCACGGACAATCTTTGATTTGTACATTCACACTGGCGGGGTTGTCAATGGAGATGTGTAGTGACTGACGATTTCCTATTACTAGCATTTCTTTTGTTTCAATAGGAATCAATCCAAAAAAGGGGATGAAAAACAGAGGGTGTGTTGTCTTTCAGTACATTAATCCAGTGTGTACAGTATATAAGTTGTTTACCGACTTTTAAGCTGCCTCTTACGGCATGTCATACTGGTCCTATCTCGTGTTCAAGAAATTACACTGTGTCCTGGGCTCTGAGGTTTGAGACATTATGAGATTGAAGGAAACGTACAAGTAGACAAGAGCCGCCCAATACACAGCTTTGCCGAGACTCTTCCTCCTGCTCCACTTATCAATGCGTGCATCCCATCCCATGCACGGACCTTTCCCCCGCCAAACCAGCAGAACCGTGTGCGATACTCTTTGATCCTCGACCATGGAAAATCCTAAGAATCTATCGAGCTCAAATGAGAAAGATGTGGATCTTCTCACCGTTGATGCTAGATCCCTTCAAAGGCTGCTGGAGACTGGTGCAGTCACGACCTTGGATCTCGTGACGCGGTACCTGGCTCAGATCGAGGAACATGACTCGAAGCTCCATGCTATGATCGCAGTGACTCCGAAAGACCTTCTCGAGGAGAAAGCGAAGTCACTGGATCAAGAGCGGGCCTCGGGGAACGTTCGTGGTCCTCTGCACGGCATTCCAATCATTATCAAGGTGCGCCCACTTAAACGACCAATTGAGACACTCTCGTATTAACGTTGCTCAGGACAATATCGCAACTCACCCTAGCCTTGGACTTCCGACCACCGCTGGGAGCCTTGCATTATTGAGCTCCAAGCCCAAAGCAAATGCTAAAATAGTGGATCAAGTACAGCAATTCGGCTAATCATTTCCCGAACACTGCTGACATCCATGTAGCTGATCGATGCTGGTCTGATTATCATTGGAAAGGCAAACCTTGCGGTAAGCTTACTGAGATTGAGCTTGAAAATGTATCGGGGTTGCTGATCGATGGTTCTGAAGGAATTTTCGAACGCTCGGTATGGAGCACAATGCATCCTTAGCTATCTCATCAGGAGATATGAGACGGTATAACAGACAAGCTAACGTGGATAGTGGCTCTGATATGCATAATGGATGGTCGGCAGTGGGTGGTCAGACACAATCGGCATACGTTATCAACGGCCTTGACCAGAATGATTCGCCGAAGGGTCATTCAGTAAGCGTTTGGATATAGACCAAGGATGCTACGACAAAACAAGGCTAATTATTCGTCGCAACAGGGTACTTCTGGTTCGTCTTCAGGATCTGCGGTCGGGGTGTCTGCTGGATATGCGCCTTTCTCCATTGGAACCGAAACAGATGGATCGCTTGTCAGTCCATCCGGCCGAGCTGCTCTCTACACGATCAAGTCCACAATCGGCCTCGTTCCTCAAGATGGAATCATTCCAATCTCTCGAACTTTCGATGCTGCTGGGCCGATGACAAAGTCCTCTCATGATCTAGCTCTTCTGCTTGATGTTCTTGCACAAAGGGACCCAGCAAATTCGTTCACAAACTACCTGACAGGATCGTGGTCTGATATTTCAGTTGCAGTCCTCGACCCGGATCATTGGAAATCACCATCAGATGACAACAAGCCCATCGAAGAAGCAGAGGCCCAAATGGTATATATCCCCCCAAATCGGAATTTAGTGCCCTTTGTTTGACTCATGATAACAGAGACGGGAAATACTTCAAGCCTACGATGTCATCGAACCGAAAGCAAAACGATTCGTGAGAAATGTTGACTTGATCTCGACCAAAGAGTTGGAACTTGATGGAGAAAACAGCGAATGGCTTATAATCCGTATGTTATCATGTCCTACCAACTCGCATTGTACTAATTTTCCAGTGGCGGACATGAAAAAACACTTGAACTCCTACCTGGAAGATCTTGCTGAGAGTGAGGTTCGGTCTATGGCTGATATAATTGAGTATAATATAAAGCATGCCGATAAGGAACTACCTCCACGTAAGAGAAGAAAAGGAACATATAATCATATATTCGGGGCAGAGGCTGATTGACTACTCAGACCACCCTCGACAGGACCATTTTGTCAAATCGCAGGAGCAAGATCTTTCCCCGGAGGATTACGAGCGACATCTTACGCATCTTCGAAAGACCTCCAAAGAACGCGGAGTGGAGCATGTGCTCGAAGCGAACAATGTGGATGTAATCCTTGGTCCAATTGAAGGGGGTCTGTCGACGATGGCCACAGCTGGAGGTACGCATGAACTCGAACATGGCAATGAAGAGCTCTAACGCTGAAGAAATCTAGGTTATCCCATAGCTGCGATGCCGCTCTCCTATCTTGACTACAATGGTCGAGCATTCGGAGTTGCTGCAATTGCGAACAAGGGTCAGGAAGCTTTGCTAGTCAAGGTTATGAGCGCATGGGAAGCCACCTTTCCTCCTCGGAGACCGCCTCCACAGCTTGTGCATTAGGTTAGGGCGTGAGAATTCTCGATCTGTTCACATGCTCCGTCCTTCAGGTCTGGGGACCATCCTCCACAATCAATCATGTCTTGGTTTATCATCATGTACATAGAGATAGATACATTGGTCGCAGTTCAAACTCAAGCGCGAAAGCAAACAGGATGAGTGAAGAAATACAAACCCAACGAAGGATTGACAGCCAGGAACCAGCATTTAGAGAAATAGAAATACAGTAAATGCACGCGAGCATAGGAATCCACCTTTTCAAGCTTAGCTTGGGCCCTGGCCCATCTGCGTCATTCTGCGGCGCCTGCGGGGCTCGTGCCGATCCCCTGGGGCGGTGTCGTGGGGACTCTCCGTTTCATCGTCGAGGAGAACCCCCTCAAAGGATAAGGGCCCAGTCTGTAAAACGGACCTTTCTTTTCATCCGGGAAGAGATCACAATGAACGGCGCACCGCCACCGCTTCCAGATCGCTCGAGGGTGGCTCGGCCGCCCGAGCCAAAAAGCGGCATGCGCAGACTGCTATTGGTCTATATCCATGGTTTTATGGGCTCAGAAGCCAGTTTTCACGACCTCCCAGCGCATGTACATGATTCATTGACGACCGTCTTGGCCGGATCACATATTGTTTACACTCGTATTTACCCGCGGTACAAGTCTCACGGTGAAGTCCAAGAGGCTGTGGATCAGTTTAGCAACTGGTGGGTGGTCTCCAGAGAACATCAACTCGGAAAATGGGGATTTACTAATAATGCCCAGGCTAGCGCCCCACGAAGCAGATGACTTGGATGTAATCTTGCTGGGCCACAGTCTCGGCGGGATTGTGGCTGCAGACGTCGCTCTCCAGCAAGTAGATGGCCATGCCAGGAATCGGATCTTGGGCCTAGTCAATTTTGATGTACCCTTCCTGGGGCTTCATCCACGTGTCATACCAACAGGGATTGGCAGCTCGATTCCGAAGAAGGATGTGACCGTGGAAGATGGACTTGCTGGAGAGCAAGAATCGTTAGGCCTAGAGCCCGCCTTCAAGCCTGCCCGGAGCCCCAATTTCGACCCGGCTTTCCAAAACGATGTGCGGCTGGTCGATCGGGGATTCTTCAAAGGAGTCTTGAATTTTGTCAATAAGAACAAGAATAACCTACCACGGTCTGTGTTCGACCGCTTTGCATCGACTTTCAGATTCGCGGGTTGTGTCAATAACTATTCTGAGCTTCGCCAGAGGTACCGACGTCTCAAAGCATTAGAAGCTGCCGAGGGGAATCCTCAGAGAGTGCGGTTTATCAATTATTACACAGCAAGCACGGGCCGGAAATCTCAGAAGGAGGATGCCAAGCATGAAAATGTGGCCACTGAGGCCGATGATGCCTCTGCGATCCCCGACGATGCCACGAAGACTGGAGAATCCGCGGGGACTCCAAGCGAGAAGACTGGCTTAACGGAAGAAAGCACAGAATTGAAGGCCCACGATCAACCAACAGAGAGCGATCGGAAGAAGAATCAAATACCGGAAACCAGTCTGCAGCATGAAAAGGAGACTGGTGATGAATCAGAACATCAAAAGCAACCTGACATATCAGCTACAAGCGAGGAACTGGAGCGGGAGGGCTCCAATGCTACTTCAATACCTGTGGAACCCCAGACAGGGAACAATTCCTCCTTAGATCTCACGAGCACTACATCGTCGATGTCAACAGACCAAAAAGAGAGCATCATGCCGTCAGAGAACATTTCACTCACAACCACAGAGTCCACAGTAAGTGCGAACAAGACTGAAGGAAAGTATCGAAAGTTCATTCTATTGCCATCTCATCATTGGAGCTACGACGATAATGCGTACTGGACACCCCTCGTGATGAAAAATATCGACGAAGTCGAGGCCCATCAGACTATCTTCAACACCAGTGGAAAGCACTATGAGTACCTAGTTGGAGATCTAGTGGCTTTGATCGAGAACTGGGTCCAGGATGACCTGACAAGACGACTTCTAGAAGAGAGTAATGACTACTAGCCTGAACAGAAAAATGAAGGCTATATAATTGATTGATTTGTCAGTTCTTGTTCTATGTATTTTCTAATATTAAGCTCAGGCGCTCTGCTGCTTCTCCTCTGCAATTTGCTTGTTCAGAACCATCAGCAGCGGCCCTTCGACATCTTCCCGTTCCATTGCAACTTCAATCAACCGCACGCCGCTGCCATTTACCACATTCTCATTCTTGAGAATGTCTTGGAGTTCCCCGCATGTCTTAGCCGTGAACGTGTTTTTCTTGACATGCTCTTCATCCGCTCCAAAGTAACTAAGAGCCTGAGTGTGTCTCCAGAATGGGATGTCATTGTAATGTTGTTTACGGCCATGAATAACACGTTCAATGGTATAGCCCTCGTTGTTGATGATAATGATCACGATGTCCAGTTTCTGCTTGATCATCACGCTAATCTCCTGAGCTGTCATTTGCAGGCTTCCATCTCCGATGATCAAGATAGATTGGTTCTTCTGCCCAGTCGTCTTGTTCATTTCATGCTGTGCCAGCGTTGCTCCCAAAGTTGCAGGCAGCATGAAACCAATCGAGAGATAGGTCACAGCACGAAAAAGCGTGCTTTTAGGTGGCAGTTTAAACGCAGCGCCGCCGTATGATGCGGTACCCGTTTCAGTGAGTACGATGTCGCCCTCGCGGAATAGCGGGTTAACTAGACGGTAGAAATTCTTCTGTGCAATTGGATCACTAGGCTTGATGTCGTCAAGTGTGACAACTCTCTTTCCCGGAGCAGAGGGTTTGACGAGGCGTGATTGGTCAAGTGCGGAAAGGACTTGTTTCAAGACATTAGAGACGCTTGAGTCACGGTAGACCTCGTCGCCGACCTGGATAATGTCATGTTTGAAAGTAATGGCGGCCGCAGTTCTGGGAATAGCAGCATTGAACATGCTATTCGTATCGCTAAAATGTGGGCCGAAAGTGAGGATCAGGTCGGCGGATTCATAGTAATCTTTCTCGGCTTTTTCACCAAACCCTGCATTGTACAGTCCATAGACGCTCGGAAGGTCCTCATTCACAAGGCCTTTGCCGAAGCCCGACGTCCACGTGGGCCATTGCGTACACTTGATCAGGGCGTCAAGCTGATCAACGATCTTGAGAGCTTTACTTTCGCCGTCGACGTAGATGGCAGGCTGCTTAGCAGAGTAGATTCGTTCCAGGATACGATTAACGAGTTCGGGTTCAGTTGCACTGCTAGGTGCAGATGGGACCTTAATGGGGGTCTTGAGGTTCTCTGTTGAAACTAGCGTGCTTGGCATGTCATCAGGAAGTTCGATGTACACAGGCCGGCTGTGTATAATAGCTTGTTGAAGGACCCAGTCGATTCGGCCGGGAGCTGTGGCAGCATCTCTGAGTTCCGTCTGAGCCGCAGTGATATGCTTTGCCATTGTAGCAAAGATCTTGTACTCGCCATCGGCAAAGGTGTGGTGCATCAATGCGCGTGAGTCTTGGTGAGGCCGAGGTGGAGTACCGACGATGTGAACCACAGGTGAGCGCTCGCAATATGCCCCGGAAATTCCGTTCGATGCTGATAGCTCTCCAACACCGAAGGTAGTGATCAGTGCAGACAGCCCATTGATACGGGCATATCCGTCTGCAGCATAGGCCGCATTGAGCTCATTGCAATTACCAACCCAATGGAGACCGGCAGGGACGACATAGTCGAGTAGACGAAGGTTATAGTCGCCCGGCACACCAAAGATAGATTGCACACCCAGTTGTCGCAAGCGCGTGAAGAGATAGTCAGCAAGCTTGATGGAGTCTGGAGAAGCCATATTGAAACCCTGAAAGTAAAAGAAAAAGAAATATGAAGGTGAAGTGGTAGGCCGAGGTTTATATGACAGAACCCCCCCCCGCTCTTCCCACCCTACGCCTTATCTCTTATCGCTTATCGCCTACAGCCGTCTGTAGCCGAGGACGTTTCTCCTCCAAATTGCGCCCAGCTTGCGCAAAGCCACTGTTTCCCAGCACGTCCACATCCATCCAAGCGCATGCCACCCTTCGTCCCCGCAAACGCATCTCTTCCGAGGAGCCGGCTCAGCCCCCGCCGAAACGCCAGGCCCAGTCGCACAGGCTCTCCAATCATGACCTCGCCGAATCCAATTCCGACTCCTCGCTGAGTGACGTCCCTGAAGAGACCAACGAAACTACAACTCCCCAGATATCCTCCCATGTCTCCGAGGATGAAGAGTCGGAGGAGGACGACTCTGATGATGAGATAAACTGGGAAGATGCGGTCGACCTCAATCCCCCTCGCGCGACCCTGCCTTCCATGGCGCGTCTGGAGGGTGGAGACCTCGAATTGATCTTAGATCAAGAAGAAACGCAGGCATCAGACCTCTTAGACGGTAGAAAAGGGCCGTCGAAGATTGAACGTCATATTCGTGTCCAGACCCATCGCATGCATGTCCAATTCCTCCTCTTCCATAATGCCCTTCGCAATGCCTGGACCTGTGACGCCAAGGTCCACGAGATCCTGCTTCGAAAGCTACCCGACAGTATCAAGAATGAGGTCAAGAAATGGAAGATCTCCTCAGGGTTAGAACTGCCGGAGAAGAAACCTGAGCCACCAAAGAGCAAGAAAAAAGGCAAGGGGCGCAAGAAGCAAGACTGGAGCGAAGACACACAAAGGCTAGAGCCGGGACAGCCTGATATGAGCAATGGAGATCCAATACTCGCACTTATGAAAGTGTTAGTAGCATACTGGAGGAAGCAGTTTCGCATCACTGCTCCTGGTTTGCGCAAGAACGGATACCGGCCTGGGTTGGCACTCAAAGCATTGCTGGACGATTTTCATAAACAGGACCATAACCCTGAACGTCATGGCGAGCGTATAGCTAATATCGAAGAGTTTCGTGGCTTAGCAGAATCTATGCAAGGATCTCGGGATGTCGGGGCTCAGCTGTTCACGGCTCTCGTTCGTGCACTGGGCATTGAAGCTCGACTGGTCGGCAGTCTACAACCCCTCGGCTTTGGCTGGACCAAAGCAGAGACATACATATCAAAATCCGAATCAAACGAGAATTCCGAACTAAAGACCGAAGATACTGAAATTGATCATGACTCCGATGATCAAGGGCATCGACCAAGGGCCAAAAGTAAAGTCGGTCCAAGATACGATAAAGACCTACCATTCCCTATATACTGGACCGAGGTTGCATCTCCTGTCACGCATGCGATTATTTCCGTTGATCCAATCGTTCTACCCAACCCATTGGCCCCCACGGCGGAACTTCAAGCATCGTTCGAGCCAAGAGGAGCGAAAGCCGAGCGCGCTAAACAGGTAATCTGCTATGTCGTTGCACATTCGGCGGATGGAACTGCTAAAGACGTTACCACTCGGTATCTACGTCGGCGGACATGGCCCGGCAAAACAAAGGGATTTCGATTCCCGTGACAAAGTTCCCTATACCCGGCCAAAAAGGCCAGAGCTTCGAGATTGACTGGTTCCGAGTAGTAATGTACGGGTACCAGCGACCTCCGTCGCAAAGAACGAAAGTGGACGAGATCGAGGATAATGGAGATCTCCAGCGGAAGCAACCGGAGAGGAAGAAGCCCGCCCAAGCCACCGATACACTTCAAAGCCTCCGATCATCTACCGAGTTTGTCCTTGAGCGATTCTTACGTCGTGAGGAAGCCCTCAGACCCGGCGCCGAGCCCGTCCGTACCTTCGTGTCCGGCAAGGGCGTCAAGGCCAAAGAGGAGCCTGTATTCCGCCGTGCCGATGTCCTCAAGTGCCTATCCGCAGAGAGCTGGCATAAAGAAGGCCGGCAGGTCCAGCCCGGCGCCGTGCCCCTCAAGCGCGTCCCCATCCGAGCTGTGACTCTCGTGCGAAAGCGCGAAGTCGAGGAGCTTGAGCGGGAAACAGGGGAAAAGCCCATGCAAGGCTTATACGCGCGGCACCAGACAGAATGGCTCATACCGCCTCCGATCAAAGACGGGATAATCCCGAAAAACAGTTACGGGAATATGGACTGTTTTGTGCCGAGCATGATCCCGCGCGGCGCGGTCCACGTGCCATGGCCGGGCACGGTCAGGGTCTGCAAGAAGCTTGGGATCGACTATGCAGAGGCCGTGACGGGGTTTGAGTTTGGATCCAAAATGGCCGCGCCTGTGATCCAAGGCGTCGTCGTGGCTGCCGAAAACGAAGACCTGCTCAAAGATGCTTGGCGCGCTGATGCCGCGGAGAAGCAAAAGCGCGAGCAGCTCAAGGCTGAAAAGCGGATCTTGCAGACTTGGCGCAAGTTCTTATTTGGCTTGCGTATTATGGAACGTGTGCGTGATGAATACGGCGGGGATACAGCCCAAGATGCCGAGCGAGACGCTCGAAACCCGTTCGCATCTAATAAGAAGAGTAAAGAGGAGCCAGAGGAAACGGGCCACGATCTCGATAATAGCTATTTTGATGACGAAGAGAATAAGGTCGTCGACCATGGTGGCGGCTTCCTCCTTCCAGGGGAAGATGACGACCAAGGAGATGGCGGCTTTATTATCGAGCACGGGGAAGACGGATGAAGCTGGGATAGGGGGGCAACCACCTCGAAGTCATATCATAGCTCCGGCAGCTCCAAACGGAAGGAATTAATACAGAGAAATAAGTTATGATAAGAGGCCCGACTTTCCATGTGTATAGCGTTAATACATAACTAGAATAGCTCAGACTGAGGTTTTGATTCCGACGGCAGACTGACTTTGTGGGAAACAGTACCTAAAGTATGCCGATCTAGGCACTGTTCCATCTAGGTTCTAGAACCCCTGGAAGCCTGAGATCATCGTGCTGGCGCTTTATGTAATGAGCGCCGACAATGTCTTATTTCGAGATTACACTTTCCCTCGAATACAGACACCTTGAGTCATTTCTTCATGGGTCTACTCCTTTTTTTATGTCCCAGGGTGTCTAATTGTCTAATCATACCAAATGGCGTTCATTCCGAAGCCCTGCTCCGGAATATCAAGGCGAGCAACCCGCGCCAATTTCTCGTCGCGGAAGCGATAAATCTCGACGAAGCCGAGTTGGTCGTCGCATAGAGCCAACCACTCATCACTGAAATCAGCCGGGCTGACCGCGTTGGAGTGTCCTCCGCTGGTCGAAGTGGGGTTGAGGAAGAGCTGACGCTCGATTTCACCGGACGGGCCGAGCTTGAAAGCAGTGATATAGCCAGTAACGTCGAAGTGGTTGGATCGGGTGGTCGCAAAGAGGTATTTCCCGCTGTGAGTGGTGAAGGTCACGTCGCCACGGTATTTGTTGCGCGGGGGCAGTCCTGAGACCTTGTTAACCAGTTGCGCTGGGCCGATGTATATAGGAAGTCCTCTTATTACCGGATGGGAGCAGTGGGTAGGTGATGTGGGTGAAGACGGGCTTGTGGGAGCGCTCGTCGATCACGTAAACCGCTAGACGATTGCCCGCCTCCATCAGCACATACAAGTATTTTCCGCTGGGATGAATCTCGACCCATCGCGGGTGGTCGCCGGGGTCTGGGGCCTCAAGGCTGTCTAATAGCTCTAGGTGGCCGGTTTTGGCGTCCTTCTTGTGAGTCCAGATCTTGTTGGCCTGCAAATCGGCGGAGTAAAGGTAGGTCTCGGTGGGATCGAAGACCATACCGTGAATACCGGTGTTTTCGTCGTAGGGGTAGTTCTGGACGTTGGCCTCCAGGGCTCCGTCCGGCTTCACGGAGAAGACGTTGCCGAATCCCGCATATTTGTAGAATGGGTTTCCGTAGACGTTGTACGGAGGCTTGTGGGCGGCGAGTACGAAAATTGCGCGAGTGTTGGTATCAGCGCTGGGTGCGAGCTCTACCGCAGGGAAACTACGGGTCAGATCAATTGAGTCGCGCGAATCTCCTTGCGAGTCGCCCTTGGGAGCTTACCGTGGCCAGCCACCGGATGGGAAGCCTGGTGAACGATCTCGGTAGGGCTCTTGACGGCGAAGCTGTTCCACTTCTTCATGGCCGCGCCGTAGATAACCTTTTTGTCATGCGAAAAGGTCATCCAGGAGATCGGCTCCGCCTCTGGAATGTTGGTTTTCTTGATCAGCTCCAAGGTCAGAGCTTCATCGTCGAACTGCACCGTGTAGATGCGCCCGGGCGCGGTCCACGTGCCAATCATCAAATGGTGCTTCATGGCGGCTGATGTATGCGACAACAATCGAAGACCACACAAAGACAACCAGGGACGAAATGGGGATCATATGATGTGGTCTACCGAGCTTAGGATACAGAGTATACGCGACGTCTTATCCTCTTATCCACTGCGGGGGAGCTTCTCCGGCAGCAAAAGGCGGCACTACCGACCAAAGTGGACTGGGATTCGTTTTGCCATAACGGTTTCTGCAAAGGCTGGAAGGGGCCGTGTAGGCGATGGGGCCAATCAAAGTGCAGTGGCAAGTTGCCAGCAGCCGGCACTGAGCGAGGGAGACTCCCCCAGCCCGGGAGTTGTGCTGCCGCCGCTGCCGAAGTATATGAACGCCTTGCCGACCATATGGTCCGGGGGTCTTGGGCGCCTTCAACGGCGGATGGGGTTGCAAATGCAAGGCCTTTCAAGCGGCTCTTCGGGGTAAATGCCACCCTTAACCCTCTCTGAGTCCCTTTTTATTTAAAGTCCCTGATCTCCCCTCCCATTTCATACTTCATACTATCACATCTCGAAGAATCCATCCCATCTATACCCACCATGTCTACCAACTCCCGCTTCGATCCGAACTTTACTCCCTATGTGATCAACGCCATGGGCCCTAAGACTCCCGAGCGTGCTCGTGTGGTCTTGGGCTCTCTCATCCGTCACATCCACGACTTCGCCCGTGAGGTCGAGCTGACCCCAGCTGAATGGATGATGGGTGTTGAGTTCATTAACTCCATTGGCAAGATCAGCACTCCCATCCGTAATGAGTGCCATCGGATCTGCGATGTTATCGGTCTGGAGTCTCTTGTTGATGAGATCGCCAACAAAATCGTCACTGAGCAGGGTCTCTCACCCACCTCCAACGTCATTCTCGGTCCCTTCTGGTCCCCCAACGCACCCTTCCGCGCTCTGGGCGACAGCATCATCCAGGACCCTAAGCCCAACGGCCGGGTCACTTACATGCACGGTACCCTGACCGACATGGAGACCGGGGCTCCCATTGAAGGTGCCATCCTTGACATTTGGCAAGCCTCCTCCAACGGCCAATACGACTTCCAGGACCCAACCCAGACTGAGAACAATCTCCGCGGCAAATTCCGTTCCAATGAGAAGGGTGAGTTCTACTGGTACTGCTACCATCCAACTCCATACTCGCTCCCCACCGACGGTCCTGCCGGTGTCCTTCTCAATCTGATGGACCGCTCCCCCATGCGTCCCGCTCACATCCACCTCATGATCACCCATCCCGACTACGCCACCGTCATCAACCAGATCTACCCCAGCGATGACCCCCATCTGGACATCGACTCTGTCTTCGCGGTTAAGGATGATCTGGTTGTGGACTTCAAGCCCAAGCCCAACGATCCCAAGGCCACTCTTGACCTGGAGTACAACGTCCGGCTGGCTTTGAAGAAGCACCACCCCCACCCCGACTCTGCTCCTCCCGTGTCCTCCTTCGAGCGCAGCCAGCAGAAGCTGTAAGAAGTTTGTTTCGGAGATTCAAACATAGTTTTGTGTTGCATTTGTTACTTTAGCGTTGTATTACATACATCTTTTTGTTCTTATTCAAACTTTATATACCGCCATGCTAGACCGAAACGATCACGTCTTAACGAGCATCTTCAGATCCTTTCTAATTGGAATCTAGCCATCATACCCTATTTAGCTGAAAGATCTAGATCCCGCTTGTCTTCTATGCATGACACCTGGGTAGGTGTGGATCGGCGCTTATGCTCGACCATCCCAGGTAGTAAGTGTTAGTGTAGCACATGAAGCGACCATACGTCTGAAGGAGCTCATTATTTCAATTCAGATAGGCTTTTTCAAGATGGATGAGAAAATTATACTATTCCATATCCACAATCTAAACCATATCCTTGCTCTTAGCATCGGGGATAAGAGCCCATCAAGTTCCTGCTGATCCAGCGCCCCAAGACCACCGAGACGGTGTCCCTGGGACAGACTGTTGATCCCTTGGACCCGGAAAAACCAACCAACCCCATGATCTCAAAAAATTGATTATCCCCGGGGAAGCGCTTTCCAGAGCCATCGGCTTTTCGCCTTCGGGAGAAAGGCTTCCCCACACTGGCGGGTAAGGAATTAGCCGGCTACGTGACTTCGGGAACAGTTCTCGGATGTCGCGATCCTCACGATTCCGCGGCAGGGGATGCCTTGACGGCGACACGCTGGACGGGGAAACTACTGATTGTTCGAGGAAATGACAGCCGAGCAGCTGATGGAAGTGGAAGGGAAAACCATTATCCTGGTGTTAGGGTTGGTATTGGCAGGCATGCAGGTGTCGTGGGATGCAGTCTGCTATGGAAGTCCTAGGAGTTCCTGGTGTCTCTATGCTAGAAACACGGGAAGCGTCTCTTTTGAATGATAGGTTCCCAGCTACGCTCATGCTGTCCATGCGGCTCTGCTCGAACCCTGCATAATTGTGGGGATGGGAAGCGTGGACATACATATTGACGCTATCTCGGCCTTATCGACAGTCGGCTATACACAATATCACGCTGCAAAAATCTGCAAGAACACAGAAGAACCAATGAGGACACCAAAACATCCAGACAGCGTTTTCTGTGTGGATGACAGGAATAACGGTGGGGAAAACAGGCCCTTGACAATTTAGTAGTAAACTCTTTACTCGATTCGGCACGCAGTCGAAGGACAGTAGCCATGATTACAGGCAAAGCTGCAAAGCCCAAGGTACGAACTATCCTCTCCCCACTGTGGGAGCCCATTCCATCCTGTGGTCGGTGGGGCAGATATAGGTGGCCCGTACTGCGTGCACGTACAAGGGCCGGGTGGGCAGTAGCCATAGCGACAGCAGAAATTGCAGAGACCGACGTAGTTACCGGGTCCTGTTCCTGCAACACAAACGTTTCCTGAGCCGCCCCCGCCTGGTTGACCTCCACCTCCACCTCCACCAGATCCGCCACCACTTCCAACAGTTTCGGTCACGGTCACCGTCTGAGTGGACGTAATGGTAGTGACTGGGTTAGTCACTGTGAATATTACTGTAGATGTAACGCCTGTCGGGCATCCTGTGGGGACGCTGCCAGTAGTGGTGGTAAGGGTTGTGCTAGTAGTGGGAGTGGTAGGGATACTAGTGGTTGTGGGGCCAGTAATACTCGTCGTGGTGGTGGTTGACGGCGTGGGGGGGAACCGTCCCTAGAGATGGAGTTGGGCTGCACGTTGTCACGCGTAGTCCGTCAGAGAAGGCCGCCAATCCATCTGGCTGAAGAGGATCACTAAACCCCGGAGGGAGGCTTCCAACTTAAATTTCAATATGTTAGCCCTAAGCGGCAAGAATAAATCAGACGGGGCTCACCGAGGATACGAACCATAGGCGTTGAAATTGTAGAGTCCACAAACACATCCATCGATGATTGACTTCAAACTCGTCCCAGACAGAATATTTTGTCCGTTTCTTGAGACCGCGAATGCCTGTACCCCAATGTTCATTGGGATTGCCTGCGCGAATGCTCCCGCAGGAGCATCATATTCCGTCACGCTACCTCCACTATTTACCTGAATTGTGGCGGGGCTCGTTAATAGTGAAACGACAAAAACAGAATCCTGCATGGACTCCCAACCGTTAGGCCTCCCTATGAAGTAGTTCCCACTGCCGTTGTTAGCAGGGACCATGCAGGTGTCTGTTGCGTCACAATTTTCGTTGCGTGGAGCTGGTCGATACCAGTAGATCAATTCGTCCGCAGTGATGTAGTCGTCCACGACCGTAGCACCATCCTTGAACGCGGCGATGAAGGGCTTGGCCATATCGAGCCAACCGTCATGGGGCCTTCTGTTGTTAGTGGTAGGCACATATTTCGAACGGGCACTATTTCGTACATATCATTGACCCATCTGGAGGATCCATCGTCTGTGTGAGGAGAGCTCAGGGGGCCGATATAGTGGGACTCTCCGTAATCATTCCAGGTCACTATCTCGATAAATCGTGGACCAAGCGCAAGAACATCATTCCATCTATTGTACCACAAGAGATCGCTTGGAAACACCCAGTTCTTGCTGTATGAGACCTCGGGCCCGAAATGAGTGGAGAACCATGGCGAAACCGCTGTCGAACATTAGAAAGTTGGCATTGTCAGTGATTTCTCTGACGAGACTTCAACAAGGAGCAACCCACGCGCAATATAAGCCTTGCCTTTCAGGGCATTGATATAAACGGAATCCCCATCAGCAACTGAGACATTCTGACCCGATGTAGGAGCTTTGTTGTTGCCGTTGTTCGGCCAGGCCATCCAATTCAGCAACCCGTCCACAGGGCTGATATCGGTTCCGTAAGAAGGATGGAAATTCGGAGCGAAGAAAATGTCTCTTCCTGCTGATGCACGGAGCGCTCCCACATCCAACCCATCACCAGCAAAAGACGACACGAACACCTTGTTGTCAACTGTTAATTGGGCCGGCTTGTTGGCGTACTGGGCAATTTTCTGGCCGATGGCGGAGGCTTGGCCGGTATTCCACCAATTGAAATCGAATGAGATGAAGACTTTCATGTTGTTATTAGCTGCTGATTCATATGCAAGTTCAAGCTGCTGGTCCGTATAGGAGTCCACTCCGATGTTTAAGGCAAATGCGTCAATGCCGAGGGATTGGGCGCGTTGCATATCGTCATCGTAGGCGGAGGCGCTGCTTCTGTCACTGGTGATTCCGATCTACCACTTGATCAGTATGTGAAGGACTAGTTCAACCTGCCGGAACTGCAAATCAGCAACAGACCATAAAATGAGCGAACACCAGACGATCGGTCGACTGCCTTTTGGAACTTCCAGCACTGTTCCCGCTTGCCATACCAGGCAATGATCTGGCGCATGACCCTGAGGCCAATGCACCTATAAATAAGGCTTTGAGTCCTATCATCCTGAGTTCTAGTTAAGGGATACTTCAGCTTTCTGCCTTTTCCCTCGAGTACCTCGTCTGCTTTGAAGACTTATATACTCACCAGAGGGAATAGCCACTGGAGTGAGAATTGATACGCGATCGAATCGGAGCCTGAATTCAACACAATGGCAGCTGATCTACGAGGTGTAACTATATGCATGGGGCCCCTTAGGATAATTACTATGTCGCATATGGGGCTTGCTATAGCCTGGACGGTAAGCTGATTCGCCTATAATTTCTGTGGCTTCATTTTGAAAGTATAACAGGTGGTTGCTACGTAGTGAACAGGACGGGAGCAAACAGGCTTTTCGCAGGATCGCGCCGACAGATGTCCCTATTTATCGCAGGTCCTGTCGTGTTGATAAGCATTCGATTTCAGAGACATCCAGTTTCGATGAGAATCTTCTGGTGTTCGGTACCACGACCAACGGCTTCCAAGCAGCTCACATGGCATCTGCAAGAAAGCGGAGGCCTAAGCGCGTCTGCTATGATGAATATGGGGAGCTGGCGGCTTCATGCCACAGGGCTGTCATGCTGTCTATGCAAATACCCTCATCTCCGGTGAGCGTGTACTACTCTGCTTGTGCAGATGCATGAGCCTTCCCCTTCCCCCCGAAAATTGAGCTCGTCACCCGGCAATGGGGTAACATTCCGAATGTAACCCATCAGGGCATACAGAGCGTCTAGCAACGTGGTAAAAGCTAGTGCTTATGAGGTCTATGTCCTTTTTTTTCCCCCGCGTACTAGTGAGTAGCCACGCGATTGCTTCAAGGAACGTCGCCAAGGGCAACCCTACCACTTATTTCTTGACGACTACAGTCAGAAAGGCGTCATACTGCGGGACTGCATCGTTGGTTTGTGCCCAGTGCTCAAGCACCAGCTAGGAACGGATGAGTGACTAACGCCTTCATGCGGGGCCTACAGAAAAAGCCAAAAAGTAATGCGCTCAATACTCGCAGTCAAATGGATCCAGACTCAAATGCTAAAGTTTCGAGGTGAACTCAGTGGTTTGCCTACAACTTATTGTTCGCTGGATTGGGACGGCAGAGTGCTCCAGCCACTGAAGGCTGTAGGGTCAATTCCGTTTCTCCACCCCCAGGCAATGCAGTAGTGCCGCGCAAGCAGCTGCCATTCTTCCATCTCGTCCAGCCGTTCGATATCAGCCACCCGCTCCTTTTCCTGTTCGTTGACCCAATGCTCCCATATGAATTCAATGTCAGCAGCGGCTTGTGTGCTGATAAACCCTTGCTCTTTCAGACGGGTGCGTTGTGCGCCCAGAGAGTGGTATTTTTGGAGGGTTTGCAGCTTGATCCCCCGCGTGGCGAGGTTGGCCACCATTGTCCGGCCAAATGGATCGTCTGGCCGAATGGGTTCATACAGGATGAGGCCGAGTGGTGTGATGGGCGTTTCGATGTTTGCCGTCCCGGTTACATCTGCCCCTTTGCCCAAGGCCTTGGTAAACCATGAAAGAACTTGCTCTGCCTCTGTTGGTGATAAGTAGACAAGACAACATTCCGATACAAGGAGTGTGGGGAGCTCTGTTTTGAAGCCGGGCATGATTTTCGAGGGGTCTTCTGTAGCAGATAATGATCGCAGGTCTAGAGGATGAATATGGTAACACGGAGAGTGGAGGGCATCGCCCGTTTCGGACAGGGATACTTCGTCGTTTGAAGGAGTGATCCCCACCGCCCGTTGTAGGAGTGGCGTTGATCGAATCGCCTTGATTTTTGCAGTAGTATTGACCGCGAAATCGATCTCGTGATAGATGACGTCTGGCGGTTGCCGCGAGGCAAGCAGTCGAAAGACACGCGTGTCTGACCCCGCACCGAGCGAAATAATTTGTTTCCTCTTCGGCACAGACTGGGGCGTGTATGGACCAAGGAATCGTGTGACAAGCTCATCGATTGCCGTCGTCCGGACGTATGTCCCTCTGTTGATAATCGGGAACCTCCGCACCGCGTTTTCGGCTGGTGTAAGAGCTTCCGCATAGGGATCGTCCAGGTAGCCCAGTCTGACAGCACTCAAACGGGAGACGCTCGCATCATTGTCGGTGCCTTGGATAACACGGTCTTTGCCGCTCGTACGACCAGGCCCCTCTTCCGTTCTTTGACTTCCGCCTCGTCCTCTTCCCCTGCCGCGTCGAAGGGTATTGAGGTTTGGTATCTGTGGGGCGGCCATAACCGCAAAAGGTTCAATCCTCTTAACCCCTTGGAGGCACCGTGGGAGCTACTACAGCTTTGCGCGAGAGGTCCTGCAAAGATGCGCGATTATGAAAGCTTTCAAATTGTGATTTCTGGGGCTTGCGATGCGCCGGCGGAAGAGGACTGAAATGGTGGGGCTGGAGTCCGGGGATGTTGGCCGTTATCCGAATTTACTTGGTGAAAACGGAGGTCTTTGGTCAATGGACTCATCTCAAGTTCGAGGCAAGATATGGACTTGAACGATACAAAAGCGCTTTGCTATGCTCCGATGATCCATGCATTGCTTCTTCTGCCTGAAACATGGTGGGGCTCCGAGTGCTGGAACAAAGCAGGCGGTAAGCAGCAAGCGGGCGATGCACTTGGAAGTATCATTCAACTGAGTATACCTGTAATACCATTTGCAGCATGGCAATCCTATCTGGGTTGGCGTAGCCCATGTCCGGATGGAGGACCTAGTCTCGCTTTACATGGCCACTGCTTCCGATATAAGATATTGGAACTCGAAAGCTTGACAAAGAGGGTTCAAGAAGGATTGGATAAAACCAGTCATATATTTTGGGTCAAAATATTATTTTACATATCGTTAGGACCATGGTCCTTTTGCTTCGTATCTGAGATAATGTACACAATTGCAGAAGCCATCGCGACTGTGCTGGTCTGCATCAAATAAAGAGAGATATCGGCTATCCGTGATAATGTGGCCGAGTGAAAATGCGTGGGAGAGTTTCCTTCCATCATCCCGCTCAACTCCATAGCGCCATGCTGTGAAAAATAAAACAATGGTAATAGCACCAAAATAAGGCTGTGCCAAGGACTACTCGTCGTCATCCTTGATAGCGGCGTTGTTTCCGCCATTGCCCTGGAGCCAGACACGTTTCCAGGGGCCCTCAGGTCCCAGAGCTTCGCGGTCTCGTCGCATGCCTTCTAGGACACCGACAATACCACCGCTTCGCAATCGTTCAAGGACTATGTTCATCCCCTCCTTACTCTTCATGACCGCTTCACGGGTGCGACTCAAGCCGACCAGCTCAATTGTTCGCTGGATACCGGCTGTCGACAACGAAGCGAAAAAGCCTCTCTTAGGGGCTTCCTCTTCCGGGTCCGCATTGTCGGCACCAGCTTTCTTCCTGCTGAGCAATTTGCCTTGGCCCAGGCGAGAGCGGAAGGTGACAGTGGTTTTGACGGCAGTCTGTTCGGCTTTCTGCTCGAGTGAAGCGCCATCGATGAGAACTTGGTCCATGGCAGGCAGCAATCGCTGGTATCGTTGCTTTTCTACCACGCTGAGAATCCCCGTCCACTCCATGTTTCGAGACTCTGTCTCCATCCAGCCCTCATTTGGGTCGACAACGGTAGTCTCCAGGATGTAGCTTTGACCAGAATTGTCGGAGCCACCCATTCCCTTTGGCAGAAGCTTCAGGATACCGGATGGAATTTTGGATTTCTTGAGATGGAGTCGGGTGGTGTGAAGGCGTTGGGTCTCAGGGTCAATGTAACGATCGACGACATCAGAGGTGAGGACATGGCGTGAATAGGGGTTAGGGTATCGGAGGAAATAGGCCATAGAGACCGCAGGGAAGGAGTAGTCATAGGTGAAATTGTTTTCAAAAAACTTCATGATGGTGGTTGGAGCAGACAATGAGGAGATGGAAACAGACAGAGTATTCTATCGTCTGATTCCCAACGGCAAAAACATCCCAGGGCCGGAGGTCTCGTGACTGTGGGGATGGCCGGATAAGTAGTCGGCCCGTGACATTGCGCCTATCAGCGACCGCCGATACTTGATGATGATGTCGATATGTGCTCAAGCTAGGTAAGCTCAGGTTGTACACTTATAGGGGGCTGTATTTGGAAATATATGATCGAGGCGGATCAGCGGGGTCCTGGAATAGCCCATACATACGCACCGGTGCATCTGTAGTCTCTACGCAGCCCTGGAGAATATTCACTTGATTATCTAACCTCGGATCTCCTCAAACTCCGAGGCCCGTCGCCTTCATGGACACTGTAACTCCTATGTTGTGCGTTCTGCTGATGATCTGGAATTATCCTCATTGTCCTCATTTGAATATGTTGATGGAATCCCTCGATATCCGAATAAGATTCCATATAACTCCTTGGAGAGCCCAGGCCTCAACAGATCCGGGACCGGAGCCCATGTTATCACCAGAAGGAAACTAATCATTGGGACAGCCTAGGCTCTACAGTAAAGGTCGCCCCACTTCTCCCCACGAATCCGCTGCCCGCTGATAACCGAGGTCCCTGCTCCTCCTCGTGATTTATGATCACGTTCACCTGCTACCTTTTCTTCCTACTCTACTAACCTTCCCCAAATCGGAATTCCTAGCACCAATGGCCTCTATCGCTCGTGCTCTGCGGCCGCTGTCGCGCACCACCCCAGTTCGTCTGGCCTCCAAGCGCGTAGCTGCTTACCGTCCCATTGAAAGGTAAATAGCGGCTAATCGTAGCCCATGATCTCAAATGGTAAGATCACTTACAGCTAACGACGTCTTGACCTAGTGCATATGCTTTCTCAACTACTCCTCGCCGGCGGGACGCCGATCTGGCGGATCTCGCCCCAACACCCATCTCCCACCTGTCCGAAACCGAGTCGATGATGGCCGACTCGGTCTCCAAGCTTGCGCAGGAGCAAATCGGCCCCAAGGTCCGCGACATGGACGAAGCCGAGGCCATGGACCCAGCGATCATTGAAAAGCTCTTCGAGCAGGGCGTTATGGGTATCGAGATTCCAGAGGAGTTCGGCGGAGCTGGCATGAACTTTACCTCCGCCATTGTGGCCATTGAGGAGCTGGCTCGCGTGGACCCCAGCGTCAGTGTCATGGTCGACGTGCATAACACTCTCGTCAATACCCTCATTTTGCGCTACTGCAACACCCAGGCCCAGCGCATGTGGCTGCCCAAACTGAGCACCGGCACCCTCGGCTCATTCTGTCTGTCGGAGCCGGTGTCTGGATCTGACGCCTTTGCCCTGCAGACCAAGGCTGAGAAGACTGCCGATGGATATAGGATCAACGGCTCCAAGATGTGGATTACCAATGCCCAGGAAGCTGGTTTCTTCATCGTTTTTGCCAACTTGGACCCTAGCAAGGGGTACAAGGGTATCACCGCTTTCGTCGTTGAGAAGGGAACCCCCGGTTTCTCTATTGCGAAGAAGGAGAAGAAGCTCGGTATCCGTGCTAGCAGTACTTGTGTGCTCAACTTTGACGATGTGGAGATCCCCAAGGCCAACCTAGTCGGTGAAGAGGGACAAGGCTACAAATATGCCATCAATATCCTCAATGAGGGCCGTATCGGCATTGCTGCTCAAATGACTGGGTTAGCCCTTGGAGCATGGGAGAATGCCGCCAAGTGAGTTTTTTTCCCCCCTCGACTTATCCCTAACAGACTTCTGATAACACCGGACAGATACGTCTGGAACGACCGTAAGCAATTCGGCCAATTGATTGGAGAGTTCCAGGCATGCAGCACCAGATTGCGCAAGCCTACACCGAGATTGCCGCCGCGCGAGCTCTTGTCTACAACGCAGCCCGGAAGAAGGAGGCTGGACAGGACTTCGTGAAGGACGCTGCCATGGCCAAGCTGTATGCCTCGCAAGTGGCGGGTCGTGTTTCTGGCTCCGCGATTGAATGGATGGGTGGCATGGGCTTTGTGCGGGAGGGTGTTGCCGAAAAGTACTGGCGTGACAGCAAGATCGGCGCCATCTACGAAGGTACTAGCAACATCCAGCTGCAGACAATCGCCAAGTTGCTGCAGAAGGAGTACACCAACTAGATGGCGTGTGTTGATATATGACCCACCTTACTTGAAAATACATTGTAGATTGACCCAGCACAAAGATGATGATGACCAGAGCTCGATTGTTTCAATTCATTCCTTTTAATAGCTTGAGGCTCAGCTACTTTTAGTAGTGGTAGAACCTTCAAATACACTTGTAGCGGGCCAACCCGAGGCTGAACGTTACTAAGTATCATTCAGAGTCAATTGTAGGATAATATGGATGGCCACACCTTTGAATGAGCCATTTCAACCATTAGTTATCTCCACAAATCTCATCATCGCACTCCGCATCAAAATGATCCGCACTACCCTCCACATTCTCTCGGCACAAAAGGCAGATCCTCTGGGATCAAAGCCACGGGGCAATAGCGACGATGGCAGCCACTCAGATGTGCTTCAAAACAATTGAGGTATTTGAGTCACTCCCTACTCTTTCTTTGCCTCTATCGACCCGTCATAACAAGCAATATGTACGACGACCCACATTTCTACGAGATCCGAAGGGCCTAGCTCGAATCCTTCATCGCACTCCTGTCCAGGACCTCTTCGATCCCCGTATTGTAGACCTTAAGATCGCGAACTCGCATGTATTCTGGAATATTTTCCAGAACTTGTTCCGAAATGACGTCATCTTGAGAGCCCTTGGAATCTACGAGTACCTCAAGATAATCGGCCTGCCATCAATTGTCACTTCACCTGCAAACGAGGGTAGTCAGCACCGCGAAAAGAACCTAGCATAGCTGGTGGAAGATCCCCTCGAGCGAATCACGCGTCGCATCGGCAAAAAGGGCAGTAATGTAAAGGATGTTCTTCTTCTCTCCGCGGTCATACAATCGGTTTGCGCCCAAGGCCCAGCTGAGCAGAAAGAGGACTGGATGTCTTGAGATGCAAAGACAGCCCCATCAGCCTGTCGATTGCACGTCTTATTAGCCACTAATTAGTTCGCCTACAATGCTTCGAAGCAAACGCAGGTGGTTAGAGATCGTCCTTATTCATATCCTGAAGGCAGTTTCTCTAACCTTCTTTATAGCCCGCCGATTCTATTATGGCCCCAGTCATACCGGCAAGCCTGGCATCTGCTTCCCTAGGCATGCGGGCTTCCTGCAGCAATCATCTAGCCTGGCCGCAGAGTACCTCGATGTCGACACTGATCTCTTTGCTTCTGACGATGGGGCTCTCATGTGGAATTTCTAAATGGCTGTAAAGTCTCGAGGGGTCAATCTCGGAATCGATTTCACAGCAAGCCCAAGCCCGATACTTGTACTATTCACTACTAGTATATACACACCATAGTCGTGGAGGAGTCCAAATTCTGTAACCAGAGCAATTTTAAGCAATTTTAGCCTCTCCGAGCGATAGGCTACCCGTCCAAGTTCATTCCGCCATAGTTTGACTAGCATAGTAGCCTACGAGTACTGCTAGCATAACTCGATAATACCATGGGCCGTGATTTGCCCCCAGACGCGCCACTTCGCCTCAGGGTGGAAACGGTCTCCACATCGACCTCCCTCCCGCTGGAGTAGGTTGAATCCGCCGGTAAAATGCCACTTGCGGATAAAAGCGTTCATCGGTCACGCCAATCGCACCCGATGGGGTTCAGAGCTCGAACGTCTTCCTAAATGGGCGAAGGGCCTGGGCCAGTAGAGATCAAATTGGGAAGGTTAATAGCGCTACTCTGCGCAATATCTCCAGCCAGCGAAATCGTAGTAAAAAATAGGGCTAGTATATTTTAACCGACAGCCGAACGCTCGACCCGGCCCGGCGACGAGCGATTACCAATGAACCGAATAGAAGATCATCGGAGGGACAGAAAAAGAAATACTTACAGAGCGGGCTCGGATTTCCTGGCTGAGACCCTCCGGGGTAATTAGACCCCGCGCGGTTAAATCGCCTGCCCCTCCGGCTCCACTTTTACCTACTCGGTCGTGTATGACTAGGAGGGGGATGCATTGGACCTGTTGGAATCTAATGTAATGCAATGTGGTCACCTGAACAGCTTGGTTAGAAATAAAGAGCTCCTTATGTCCCCTTCTGCTGTAATTCTTTCCTGCCAATTCCTCCCGTATATCCCCTCTCACCATGTCTTCCGCCGTCACCGTAACCAAGACCAACATTGGTGTATATACCAACCCCAAGCACGACCTCTGGATTGCCGAGACCACCCCTAAAGTCGAGGACATTCAAAGCGGCAAGGGTCTGAAGCCCGGCGAGGTGACCATCGAAGTGCGCAGCACTGGTATTTGCGGGTAAGCCTTCCCCCCATCTCCCCGGCAAGGGTGCGGGAACAGAAACGCGGGGACTGAACGCTGCCCGTAACACAGATCCGACGTCCACTTCTGGCATGCAGGATGCATCGGTCCCATGATCGTGACAGGCGACCATGTCCTGGGCCACGAATCGGCCGGTCAAATCGTTGCGGTCGCCCCCGACGTGACCTCTCTCAAGCCAGGCGATCGCGTCGCGATCGAGCCCAACATTATCTGTAATGCCTGCGAACCCTGCCTGACTGGCCGCTACAATGGCTGCGAGAACGTCGACTTCCTATCCACGCCGCCAGTGGACGGCCTGCTCCGTCGCTACGTCAACCACCCCGCCGTCTGGTGTCACAAGATCGGCAACATGAGCTTTGAGGACGGCGCGCTCCTGGAGCCGTTGAGTGTGACTCTGGCCGCCGTCGAGCGCAGCGGGCTGCGCCTCGGTGACCCTCTTCTGATCACCGGTGCCGGTCCCATCGGTCTGATCAGTCTGCTCAGTGCGCGGGCGGCTGGTGCGTGTCCGATCGTCATCACTGATATCGACGAGGGCCGCCTGGCGTTCGCGAAGAAGATTGCGCCCGAGGTGCGCACATACAAGGTTCAGATCGGCATGTCGGCCGAGGATACCGCCAACGAGATCATCAATGCCTTGAACGATGGTGCCGGCCACGGCCCTGGGGCGCTGCGCCCCAAGCTGGCCCTTGAATGCACCGGCGTGGAGAGCAGTGTCAACTCTGCTATCTGGAGTGTGAAGTTCGGCGGCAAAGTCTTCGTCATCGGTGTTGGCAAGAACGAGATGACCATCCCATTCATGCGTCTAAGCACACAGGAGATCGACTTGCAGTACCAGTACCGATACTCCAACACCTGGCCCCGTGCGATCCGGTTGGTGCAGAACGGTGTGATTGATCTCAACGCGCTGGTTACTCATCGGTTCCCGCTGGAGGATGCGGTCAAGGCATTCGAGACTGCTGCCAATCCTAAGACTGGTGCTATCAAGGTGCAGATTATGAGCTCTGAGGAAGATGTCAAGGCTGCTTCCGCTGGTCAGAAGATTTAGATGGGGTTGAAAAAGAAGGGTTAGCTTTACCTTGGCACATGGCGATGATGTATACCATAATGATTAGAGATGTCCGTGCCAAAAGGCACAATAGAGAGAGACCGGGGAATAGGATTCCGTTATATCCCTGTGTAAAGAGAATACAGTAGCCTCTTCATACGGATCGAGTCATTTAAATAGAGGGAGGACCCTGGTGCACTACTCGTTCACTCAAGGTCCCCTGATCATCTCTTATCTTATCGCAGATCAGTGGAAGCTGACGCCACCGCGGGCTTCGACATCATCCCGAAACTCCCTTCTCTCCAACTCCAACTTTCAACCATTAATCACCACCAGTATGATTCCGACTCGAAGACTCGCCGCACAAGGCGGCTTCTTCAAGCGCAGTGCCGAGGAACTCGGCCGCCTCTCAAGAATTGGTACGAAAACCATATCTAGACCGTCAACCAGCGAGAGGGAAAAAAAAAACCACTAACCCAATCTCAGCTTGGAACACCGAGGCCCTTTCCACCCCGACAAAGCCCTACACACTCCTTAACTTTGAAGACGAGAGCACCGTAACCGACTGCAAAACCTTCGCCGACCGCGCCGTCGGCGGCTACAGCACAGCAAACCTCGACTTTGTCGCGGGAGAACCCGGCACCAACACCCCCCCCACGCGCGCTTCCACGGCAGCATCTCCACCAAGCTCCCTGAAAACTGGCGCGTCGAGCGCACAGGCTACGCCGCCTTCCGCAACAAAGACCGCGGCCTATGGCTTTTCGGCCGCCTATACTGGGACGTGGATCCGTACGCGTACCTCGCGCTGCGGATCAAGTCCGACGGGCGCCGGTACTCCGTGAACATCCAGACCGACTCGATCATCGAGACAGACATCCACCAGCACCGGCTGTACACCCGCCACCACCGGGTGCAGGACAGCGAGCTCGCGGCGCGGGCGCGGGTGCCTGGCAACGAGACGGAGCAGGAGTTTTATCCGGAGGGGATTCCGCAGGCTCTGTCGGATGTGCCGCCGTCGTCTACAATTCTGTCATCGAGCTCGAGTGCCACGACGTCGGGCGAGACGGGGGTGGGAGACGGTGCTTTTGCCGTTTAATGAGTTTGTGCGGACGAATCATGGGTACGTTGTTGAGCCGCAGACGTCGATTATTCGGCAGCGGGTGAAGAGTATCGGGATTGGGCTCACGGACCGCATTGAGGGGCCGTTCGATCTGCGGATCCACAAGATTTGGGCTACAAATGGGATTGGCGAACAGGAGTTTGAGGAGGAGCGGAGGATTTGCGGAGCTGATGCGTTGCCTCTTGACGAGGGCGTGCGGACGGGGTGGATTGAGAGTAAGAAGGATGCTTCTAAGGCTGAAGAAGGTCAGAAGAATGAGGGCAAGGAGAAGGGCCTGAAGGGGCTTCGGTCTGAGTGGGATTGATTTGGGAATTGTGTTTCTTAACTGTAATAACATCTAGGTGTGATTTAGTCCGACAAGCGTTATAAAATATCACCGTGCCTTTCGTTGTAACTTTTTCCCATTCATAAGAACGCATCCAGGGAAATTTCTGAGTCATCTATCTCTAAGCTGCACATAAAATACACAGGTTCAATCAATTGCCCTAGTTTCCACCGGTAATCTTCTCCCACGCCTCGCGGTACTTAGCCGCAGTCACCTTGGCAACCTCCTCACTCATCCGCACCCCCTCCTTACCCTTCAGCCCCTCCTTGACCAACCAGTCACGCAAGAACTGTTTATCAAAGCTGGCTTGGCCCCGTCCAATAGTATACGAATCCCGAGGCCAAAACCTGGACGAGTCCGGTGTGAGCACCTCATCGGCCAAGACAACCTCACCAGTCTCCAGATCCGCACCAAACTCAAACTTAGTGTCAGCAATAATAACCCCGCGCTCAAGGGCATATGCATGCGCAACTTTGTACAGCTGCACCGCTAGCTCGGCGATCTTGGCCGCGTACTGCTCGCCGACGATCGCAACGGCTAACCAACCCCCCCCCAAGTCAGCAATCTACCATTGTTCGTTGGTTCGACTTTGGGACGAAGAGAAAGACATACCTTGGTCGGGATGGATGTTTTCATCATGCTCTCCCTGCTCCGCCTTCGTACTAGGGGTGTATATGGGGCCATCGGGGAAAGCCTCGCTCTCCTGCAGGCCAGCGGGGATGGGTATGCCGTGCACAGTGCCGGACTTCTGATACTCCTTCCAGGCGGAGCCGGTGATGTAGCCGCGGACGATAGCTTCGATGGGGAGAATGCGCAGCTTACGCACTTGCATGGAGCGGTTCTGTAGGACTGGGCGCAGGGAATCGGGGATCTGGGGTGGGAGGTCGAGGGTGAGGAAGTGGGTTCGCAGTGAGGGGATGGCGTCGGAGAGAATTTTGAACCAGGTTTTGGTGCAGAGGGTGAGAAGAACGCCCTTATTGGGGACTCCCTATTCAATTTCAATGGTAAGTAGGTGTAATGCAAGAGAATTGGAGGGACTGGTTTGGACTGTACATTCTCCATGATCACATCGTAGGCGGAGATACGATCAGTTGCGACGAAAAGGAGCGTCTTATCGTCAATTTCATACAGGTCGCGCACCTTGCCGCTGGCCACCAGGGGCAGGGCACCTTGCAGGTCAGTTTTGGTGAGAGCCTCCGTCATTATGGGGTCGCAATTGCGGTATATGCAATCGTGGGAAATCTAGATTTTGGTGAATCATTTTTTGGCGGGGCAGCTTCTGTAGGCGCCTCAGGCAGCTATCGCCCCTTATCGGAATTTCACGTGATAGGTATCCATTTGGCACCGCCACTTGTTGGGTGCCGTGCACAGCCACACAGCCACAGCGATCGTCGCGGGATGCAGTGCCAGTGCCAGGATTTGGCAGGTTGGGGCATGACGTTGCGGCGCCCAAGCTCCCTCCTTCCGCCATTTAAAAGTGTTTCGTGTTCCCCCCCTATCTTTCCACTCAACGTCCTCGTTTGCCTGCCTTTGAAGCGCGAAGGTGGCAGAGCGCTTAACAAAACCCGATCTGCACGGCGGACCCACCAGTCGTTTCAGCGGCAGTTCTATTTTGGGTCCCTTGGGACTATATCTTGTCTGCACCTCCTCGGCCATTTACAGTTCTTCAAGCCAGCTTTTCTTTACAGCTAAGGGGTATTCTACCCTAGCACCCTCTCCATCATGTCGAACGCGCTATGGAGCATGGTGGGCAAGCGCGTCCTGAACGAGCACGCGCGGAACAAGTTCGGAATGGAGGTGAGTAGGCGCTAACATGTGAGACGTTGTTTCGAAGAGACAGCACCTAATTCTTGTCTACAGGACCCCTATTTCGAGGAAGTGCCTGCCTCACGTCTTAATCGCGCCTTTGGCAAGAAGAAAACAAAGCGTCGCAAGGCCATCCCACCTGGATTATCGGAGCAGGATGCCAATATCCTAACAAAGGTCAAACGCCGTGCGTACCGCCTGGACTATTGTTTGTTCAATCTATGCGGTATCCGATTCGGATGGGGCAGTGTAATCGGTCTTATTCCATTGTGAGTGTCTATTCGCTATCCCTTTTTATGTGTCAGCGCTGACCGTGTGGAATTCTAGCGTCGGTGATGCAGGCGACGCAGCGCTCGCAATGATGGTCGTGAAATCATGCGAAGGAATTGAGGGTGGACTCCCGTCTCGCCTACGCATGATGATGCTGATAAATGTTGCTATCGACTTTGTGATTGGCCTGGTCCCATTCATCGGTGACCTTGCGGATGCGGTGTACAAGTGCAACACAAGAAACGCGGTGCTCCTTGAAAAGCATCTACGTGAAAAGGGCGCAAAAAGACTTGCCAAAGAGAACAGGCGAGTGGAACAACAGGAAGAACGGGATAGACGTGAGCAGCGCACCATCGACTACAGTCTCTCCGATGAGTTCGACCGACAAGAGGACGGGGTTGTGGAAAATGTACCACCCGGCTATGAGGAAGCACAACAGAACCAGCCAGCGAGACCTAAGCCCGCAAGAAAGGCTCAAGGCCGGTCCAAGTGGTTTGGCGGGGCGGCCCACCCGCAGGAAGATCCTGAGCGAGGGATTTAGAGGGAGAGGGAGAGAGGGAGAGAGAAGAGCTATTTTTTTTTGCGATCTGAGAATACCCATTTATGACTTGAGAATGATTCGGCGATGATATGCTGGGTTGATTTGACTCTGGTTGATGTTTTTCCTCTCTGGATTGTCCGGTTTTAATGAAATGTATCCAATAGTCACTAATTTAGGGAATGACTTCTGGGCGAGAACGGATACATCCGTAGCAAAACGAGCCTTGACTGTTGCCAAATTGGCTTGCAACAGTAAGGCCAGCATCATTGCCTTTAACGTTCCCTGTCAGAGCTCCACACAGAGAGCAGAATTGATCATCGACTCCCTTCGCCGGCTCAAGTTTGTTCGCTGTCCGTGACACATTGGCCATGACACCCCGGTATTTCTCACCCTGGGTCACGACGTAGCGCATCATCAGGTCATCAATTGACAAGTTTTTGGTAAGAATATTGTCGGATATGGGCTCTTCCGGTATGATCACGCCCTCGAGCAATTCACTAATGCCTGCGTATTGTAGCAACTCTGGCTTAGATAGATCCCTCAGAGGGAATTCGAACCGCACGCCCCATGGCGACATTCCGTCCGAGACTTGCCACGTCAATGAAGCTCCGCGGCCTTTCGCCGCACCAGCGAGTGTCTTTGCTGCCAATCTACTATCGGAGTCGCCCCAAAGAATGGCCTCGCAGGCGATATGTTTGGCATACGCGACCACTAATCGGGTCAAAAGGACCGAGTCGAGGTCCTTCCTCGAGGTCGCCGAGGTAATAGTACTCCGAAAAGCTGTCAAGCGTTCCTCATTCGACCTTGAAGCGTCATCCACGAACCCTGGGCCTGCATATTCGAGCATAATCTGCTTCATGTCGGGTGCATATTCGAAAATGCTGTGGAAAGGGATCTTCGTGAATGTAGTCGCGCTAGGAAAATTGGTTTTAGCGGCCAAGAAGTTCGTCTCATAAGTCCTGTCGCTGGGCGACAGGCTCGTGGGGTCAACTACGAGGACATGAAGATCGTAGGCCTTGTTCGTATTTGGCTTCCGGCGCCGGACTTGTGTGACCGAGTCGATGATGTGGAGCAGGACAGACGAGGATACCCCAAGAGATAGGGGGAGGAGGATCTGGGGGATGGGGTTATTGTTGATCGTGGGCTTATAATGCTCGATGCGCCGGATGACTTTATATGCGACGAATCGCTGGAAGCAGTTACTGAGACTAGGTCAGACTTTGAACAGTGGCGGGGTAAGTGATTAGCATACCTGCATAAAGCTCTTCTTCGGATAGTGAGGATTGATTCCTCATTCTTGCATTCCATACAAGGACTGGTCATCTCTATGGATGGCATTCTGGCGGGGTTGAAAACAGCAATTTGTGTTAATCACTTTTTTTAAGTTGATTAGAAAATTAAAGATCGAAAAAGTGGCGGGGCCGATAAGAGGTCCCGTGATTGGTATCGCCTGGCTATTCACGGCAGGTGAGATTATTTAGCGTTTCCAGTCAGCATTTGAGCTTTGGCCTTTCTAATTTTACTATACCGCTACGGAATAAGACATGCTGGGAAGCTCATCTTGGTTCATATTCTATGGAATTGGAACTTGGTGATTGATCTGACGTAGGCTTATTCTACGTTTAGGGCTGGCCCCAAGAACGTATACTCCATCCTGGAAACCACTATGGAATCATTTAGCCGATGTGACGTCGATATTGTTCCAAAACGTCGGCTCCCAGCACACCATCAAACCCTACTATCACCACGTGCGGCAGATGCGCAGGCCAGTTCAAAAGTACGCCTGATTGGCCCTTGAGAGTACATCCAACATTCCGTTCCTGAAAAGAGAGTTACATGTGCCTCTGCAAGCGGCATTGTTGCGGGTCCCACCTTCCGCCCTTTTAATCTGGAACGTTTAAGATTGGAAGATCTGCGCGATCGGCAACCTCGACATTTTCGACACCTTTCCAAGCTCGCAGGAGCTGCCGACTCAAGTGCAATCCTGCGACCGTCTCCCAGTCTCCTCCGCCAATCCTCATCTGCACGAATCCACTGGCCCAATGTCCCTCTCACGATCACCCTCACCCCGACCGGGCGGAGGGTGGTCCAGCCCGGGGCTAACACCAAGCGGGACCTCCACACCGCGCGGCTTTTCCCCATCGCCCTCCTCACTAGCGCCAAGCGAAATCTCTTGGGCAGCGGCGAAGGCGAAATCGGAGGAGGTGCGCGGGTATCCCTCCTTCTCGACACGCAACAGCGGCTTCTTCTCGCGGCAGAAGCGCCGGATCTCGGCACGGCTACCTAGTTTCGGGGGAATTTCGGTGCCTGAGACATAGCTATGTCGATAAAGATGACTACGGCCGGCAGGCATGGCGCGCCAGTGGTCCTGGCGCACGATCCTGGAGGATGCTGATGCGGCGAAAGAGGATGCGGGTCTTGGTAGGGCTTATGCTGGCGTGCATTGGATATTTCTTCTTCTGGCCTTGTGAGTATAACCCTCTCTCTATGACATAAAGCACTGGTGTTGCCGGAGGGGATCTGAGACTTACCGAGAACAAACAGTCATCGTCCACCTATACCGACGATCACCGCTGGGCGGCGGTCGCAAGTTTGTCATAATCCTCGGGTCAAACGTGGAAGGCGGCGTGATGGAATGGAAGGGAGCACGCGAGTGGGCGATCGAGCGCAATAGCATCTGGAATAAGGAGCTCTACGCCCACGAATGGGGCTATGAGCTGGAGGTGGCCAACTTGCTCGCCAAGAAGCGGTATTCGCACGAGTGGCGCGAGAGCTGGGAAAAGGGCGACGTGATCCGCGAGGTGATGCAAAAGTATCCCCACGCGGAATGGTTCTGGTGGCTGGACCTCAACACCTGGGTGATGGAGTACGGCACCTCATTACAATCGCATATATTTAGCCATCTGGAGGACAAGGTATACCGGGATATCAATGTGAACAACCCTCTTAACATCACACACCCCCTGCCGGAGTTTTGGCTCGACGAGGTGGGCCGCTCGGCGGAAGGGGACGGCCGTCCAGAATCAATCAATATGCTTCTCACCCAGGACTGCAGCGGGTTCAATCTGGGGTCCTTCTTCTTGCGTCGGTCCCTTTGGACGGATCGCCTCCTGGACGCTTGGTGGGACCCCGTGATGTATGAGCAGATGCATATGAACTGGGAGCACAAAGAGCAGAACGCACTGGAGTGGATCTACCAGAGCCAGCCATGGATTCGCAGTAGCGTTGCCTTCTTGCCACAGCGCAGCATCAATTCGTTCCCTCCTGGGGCCTGCGGCGAGGAGGAAAACCCGGCGATCCACTATCAGGAGAAAGACCGAGACTTTCTCGTGAACATGGCTGGGTGCATGTATGGTCGAGACTGCTGGTCCGAAATGCACCATTATCGCGCGGTCAGCAATAAGCACAACAAGACATGGAAGGAGTGGTGCGAACAAACTTATAGCGGGATACATGACTGGTTCTTCAAACCTGAGGATGTCCAGGAGCAAGAATAAAGTGCTGCCCTGCTCTAAGGGGGGTCGTATCATCTTTCTAAGGTCTCCATGCCTTAATGGTCTTACGGGGTCAACGTTTTATACTAAAATGACTGAGGATTGTATGATAGTTCTGTTTCTTTTTCAGTTTGTATAATTATGGGCCGCTGGGTTGACTAAAAGGACTCAAAATGCAAATTATAAGCGAGGGCAATATAGCAGACGTAATGTGCTTCTGCACGCAACTGCTCGGCTCCACTGCTCTTCAGAAGCATACAATCATTCCCAATGATCATCCCAATATAACTGACCAGCCTCAAATTACCCGATGTAAATATCTTGCCAAGGGATATCTTCAATCAATGCATATTGCACCTTCATGTAGTCGCCATCCTGCATATTCTCCTAGAGAGGCCACAAAGCATATGTCCAGCATTTCATCCATCCAGGGAAAGCATCATACTGATCGATATCCGGGAATCCTTCAAGAACTTTCACATATTGTAAAGTCTTATGGAAATTGTCCGTTTCAGTTTCCGCCATAGTCACACCTTTTGAGGTTTGTAGAGATTCATCATCAATGATTATGCACACTCGAAACATGGTCCATTCATCTTGCATGCCTTGCGCATCCACCCATAGAGCGCGTGAGGGATTTGGCAGTTTCGCGGATGAGGCTGTATTCCTAAGGCAAGCTGCTGGGATCTAGATAGATCCAATGGACAGTATGAGGATTCTGGGGGCATTTTCGATCTGCTCCGCAACTCGGAGGAAGCACAACTAAGCGAGGCCAAGACCCTTCGTAGCATGAAAGTGGCTTGGGTGATTGGGCAAGCCAGGTGACGCAAGCCTTCCCAGGACTTTTGACAACGATGCGAACATAACAAGTTCTCTCTCATCTATCCCCGGTGGACTTTGTGTATACGAGCTGTTTTCCCAACAAGCAAAGCGGGCGGGAACCCCGTTGTTGAGATTTACCCGGAAAGGACAAAGCGCGTCCTCGTCGCACGCCTAACACAACTTCCCCAAGCATGGCGTCCATGAACATACTGGACCGTCTGAAGGGCTTATATTCCAAGCACCAAGGTAAAAGATGCCATCCCTTTCTCCCGCCCTTCAGCCCCAGCTCACCCCCCAACCAGACGAGCCGTCCTTATCGGTACATACCGTTGCACTCTTCTCGGTAAGTCAGCTCGAGTCCCCCCATGGGTCCGCGGAGCATTTGAGCCTCCGAGGTGTCTCCAGTCCTTTCCAGAACCAACCCCCCCTAATACTGTATAGGTCGCACTGACCCTGGTCTATGTGCTGCCCTTCTATCTGTCGCCCACCACGCGACCGACCCCGACTCTCAGCCGCGATGCCCCATCGGTGATTCGAGCGCGCATCCGCGCCGTCACGGGCTCCTGTATCATCGCCTCGCTCGTAGTGCTCTGGCTCGCCACCGAGGAGGGAAACACCTCCTTCGCAGCAGCCGTGATGCTTCTCGGCTGGTGGCCCATCAGCGTCGCCGATATCGCGCGCTGTGTCCTGCTCACAGCCGTGCTCTTTCTCGGCCCACTCTTCGAGCGCGGTATCGTGGAGGGCGAATGGCGGCTCTGGTTCCGCCGCAACAAACTATACGAAAGCCTGAGCGGCTGGATAGGATGGAGGAATTATGTCGCCGTAAGTATCTGGACTGCTTTGAACCCCTTCCGCTTCCCACAGTACTAAGTCAGTATCCCCAGGGCCCTGTGACAGAAGAAGTCATGTTCCGCTCCGCCATCATCCCCCTCCACATCCTCGCGCAAGTGTCCCGGGCCATATAGTCTTCATCGCGCCGCTGTACTTCGGCATTGCACACATTCACCACTTCTACGAGTTCCGGCTTACCCACCCCGACACCCCTGCTCTTATGGCGCTGCTGCGCTCGCTCTTCCAGTTCGGCTACACCACTATTTTCGGCTGGTACGCCACTTTCCTGTATTTGCGTACAGGGTCGCTCTGGGCTGTTATCCTTGTGCATAGCTTCTGCAATTGGTGTGGGCTACCCCGGTTCTGGGGCCGGGTGGAGCCCGGCGAACCGCTTGGGCCGCCGCTGAAGCGGGCGAGGCAAGAGGCGGAGGTGAAGGCGGGCATCGTGATGGATGACAAATTGCATGTTGGATGGACGGTGTCGTATTATACGCTTTTGGTGCTTGGGGCTCTGCTTTTCGCGAAGCTGTTGTGGCCGTTGACGGAGTCGTATCACGCGCTGGTTACATTTAACGCCGCGGCGAAGACGGCGAGTAGCTGAGAGCCGAGTGCTCCGAGTTTACCAAGAGGTGACGACTAATTTATACGTGTGTAGAAAATGTTTTCGGCCTGTAGAATATACATTCAAGCGCTGAAGTAATGATACAGGCGTATGCCACTAGCGCTTGTCCATTTACTTTTTGTTCACGCCCTTGTCTTCATATCAGACGAAGAATAGTGTTTCGTATGGGGTGAGATGGAGGAAAGGGGACTTCCCCCACGTGGCACTTCGGATTTATCGGCCTGCCTTGCTGCTTGCTATTCATACTCAGTTGATATCAAAATCCGGAATGGAAGTGAAAAATGAATCGTTGTAGCAAGTCGGATCAACGAAAGAAGACAACATCGGCGGGAACACGATATCCGCGTTCTCGGAAAAGGCCGACGTAGGCCGCGCAGGTTGGCCCGTACGATCTGCACTACTCGGGGTAGACTCCGCCGGGAACAGCTTCCTAGGCGGTTCCGTGCACCACCGCTCCATCGAATCGGACAGGTTCTCGGCAGCAGAGGACCGCAACTGTCCATAGGCTTCATCGGCCAGAGCCCAAATTCGCTTGGTGCTCTTGAGGCAGCCGAGGATCAGGGTGACGCGATTGTAATGGTGATCGAAGCATTCGTCGTTGTGCTTGATAGATGTGGCTAGTTGGATCATCCCACATAGAGCCAGTGCCGGGATCGCGAAGGGGGTGTGTTTGGGGACATTAGGGCAGAGCGAGATTGCGTCTGATAAGCGGCGTGAGGCCTCGGTAGCTTTGATGCTATGGACGGAGCGGTTGAGGGTAGATGCGAGGTGGCGGGTAGCCAGAGGCCAGAAGTGATTATTTGATGGTGAAAGGACAGGCTGGAGGTCACTCCGGGGGAGATGGAGGAGCATAGTTGCGTATGAGATCATCAAGTGGGCTTGGAACATCATTTCATCAATGTTGCCGTATGAATCAACGACATCCAGCTTCTTTGGGGGCAGATGGTTCACCCAGCTGACAAGTGCGTTCTCGACAGCTTGGAGATGGTCACGGTGGTAATCTTTTAGTCCATTCAAAACTAGGGCTCGGCACAGGATTGTCGCCGCCTCAATTCGATAGCTTGATGACGAAAACACTTTTTCTTCAGGTGCGAAGACTCGCCGTTTGAAATCTAGGATTCTGCAGGGCGTTGGGATGGTGCCGGTGCCGGTGTATGCTGACTCCTCGCACGGTAATGACACTTCAGGCGCCATTGTGCTGCACAGGAATGAGTTGTTTTTGAATGGGGCTGCCATGAAGACGTCGGTGATATAGAGCTCCCACCATGTCCTTCGTAGACTTTCTGCTTCGATTGAATTTTCGGGATGTGCCGATGACGCGAACTCACACCGATTCATGCCCAGCTCAAGAGCAATTTCCATGCTGCGGGAGAGAGCTTCTTGTGCTTCTTGCCATTCACCTCGAGCAAAGATGGCGATGCAGTAAATGAGCCAGGCCTGTACCATGCACGGTGATCTGTCCGGGTTGCAAGTCAATTCCGTCAATACTTTTTCTTTATATTGAGGGCTTGCACCGGGCATGTAGTGAGATCCGACGAAATTGACCACAAGTTGGAGAAACTCGGGATACTGCCGGTCGTGATAGATCGCGCTTGGAACCAGGAAGGGATGGGCCACGTGAAAATTCTCGTAGAACATCCGAAGGAAGCGGTCGTCGTGAACCCAAGTTTCACGTGAAGTGTCCAGTCGTGGTTGGCTCATTTCATTCCGAAGAGGGAGGTCTGGCCAGGGTACATGAGCAGTTGGCAGGTTGATCATATTATTCGCTCGATGTAACAAGCTATCGGGAGTACTCGGTTGGACCGCTCCCGTGATAGGCAAATCCAACCTCGACTAGGAAACAGTCAGCACTCATACTCATCGGATTTGGCATGGATAACAAAACTGACCGTGGCTTGCTCCGTCTCAAACGAGGAAGAAAGGCGATTAGCATCGCCGCGAGGTTTTCTCCGGCCTCCACGCCGTGACGGAAGGTAGTGACAAGAGAGTTCATTCTGCAGGCAGCGCGAGCAAGTTGGCTTGCGGGCATCGCATTTTAGATGCTGCTTGCGACATTCGGTGCAAGCAAGTGAAGCCAGCCCGCTCTGCTTCGTAGAACGCGGTGCCATGCCTGGCTTGCTGGCAAAATAGCTTCCGAAGGTTCGACACGAGGAAGAGGACTGTGAGAGCAACAAATGGCTAACTTCAGCTTGTTCTTAACCTTGGTCCCATAATTTGGCGCGAGCACGATAGCTCAGCATTCGGGTATAGGCTGGAAATCACGTTTGACTGACTACATCGGAAACATACAGCTGGTTATCGTCGGCGACATTCGTCGAGTCACCGCCCGATAAGGGGCTTCACCGCCGAGCTCCACATTCCGGATCTGGTCAAGGGTGTTATAGACCCCCGCAATACTCGTCATCGCCAACGTATAGTAGCTATCTGTTCATCACAAGGATTGATCTAATTTATACAGCTGGGCCGGGTGTTTAAAGTGCAGGGGATCAAAATTAAAGGTGGCAGGAGATTAGCAATGTATTGATTTGCCCGGAGAATACACAGCTGTCTAGTCTTCGCGCCGGGCAACCCGACCCCAGACTTCATCGGCATTGGCTTTGCCCTTGGTCTCTGGTACATATCGGTAGATGAAGAACCCCAGCAGCACCGCCATAGCCGTAAATATCCAATACACCTTCCCGTGGCCACCGAGTGCAGTATTAAGCACGGGGAAAAACTGGGCAACTATGAATGTGGCAGTCCAGTTGGCCGACAGCGCCCAGCTCTGCGCTGCGCCGACAGCTTCTGGCCCGACAAGTTCAGAGGCTAGCATGAAGGGGACCGGTCCAAGTCCCGCGGCAAAGCTAGCAACAAAGAGGAGCGTGGCGATCGCTGAAAGGACTTGCTGATCCAGAGCAAATCCAAGCGCGAGTAGCATCGAGCTGAACCCCATTGCACTGATACTGATCAATAAACACGTTTTCCGACCAATGCGGTCAGGTAAAGGTGTACAGGCAAGTGTGATGCCAAGGTTGATCGCAGAAGTCAAGATTGTGAGCAGCGCAGCCCCGGTAGGCAGGATGCCCTGCAACAGTGAAACGCTGTACATAACGATGCTGTTTACGCCCGTAAACTGCTGCGCGAGCATGACCCCCACGACCGCAACTATGGCAGGACGATAGTAGGGATCCTTGACAGCTTGTAGAATGGTAACAGACTGTGTTGGAGCGGACGTCTCCGAAGGGGCGGAAAGCAGTGATTCCTCTTCGGCCGCAGGGGCAGCAGAGGCCCGCCAGCCCTCGATCTCGGCATCAATGTTGGCATCAGGCCCACGAATCCGCTGTAAGACCCGACGCGCTTGGTTTCTCTGTCGGTGCTCTGCTAGCCAGATAGGGCTTTCGGGCACCGCCAAAAGACCGGCAAGTTGCAAGGCTCCGATGAATCCGGCACCCGCAAGGATCCATCGCCACATACTATCACGGCTCCAAAAATATCCGAGGGTCTGTGTCAGCAGGATGCCGACGTTGGTCATGACCTGGGTGAACGCTCCAAAGAACCCGCGCGACGGAGGTGGTGCGACCTCCGACACGTAGATAGGGCCGACCACTATGGCGGCTCCAGACCCGATCCCCGACAGGAATCGACCTAGAGATAACACCGTAATACCTGACGCCAACGTCTCCGCTACCGGGCCCAAGACAAAGAATACGGTGGTCAATCGTAGCGTCAAAAGCCGCCCGTACTTAGTCGACACGGGCCCTGCCAGCAGAGCGCCCACGAATCCACCCAGGGTGTAGATTGACGAGACCACGCCAAACTGGGACGGGCTCATTGGAAGACATTGCGGCAGGCCGCCCAGTGCGGAGGTCGAGCCTATACTTTTCTTCTCACACGTCACGACAGCTTGCGGAGCATTCAATTCAGCCTATTCCCGGAGCACCAAGTCAGTGGGGTACGACCGAGCGGAGACAACTCCGTCCAATTTGGGGTAAAAACCATCGGGCCATACCAGGTGATAACCGAACTGAAGCGGGCCTAACGTCGTAACGAAGACCAGGAAGATCAAGTACGGAGTGATCCCCGAGGAACTCAACCAGCCCATGGTGAATGAGGACGAACTCGCAACTACAGAGGGATGACAAGGAGTTGAAGCTCAGACGGGCGGTCCCGCACCCGCAGGTCGCGCCATTCGTCCCTGCTCCAACTTGAATTCCGTGATTCCACCACATCATCCAACTCCTCCTTTTCTCCAATCCCGGCAAAGCCACCTTCGCGTCAAAGCAAATCCAGGTTCCTCTTTTCTTTTTTGAGGGCTGACTAAGAACCCCCCCCGGTCTCGGGATACTATTCACCGTCCGAGACTGATGGAATGACGGACCAATGAGTCTGACCAACCCGCCCTCCTCCGGTTCGATCTCTGTCCAAAAAGTGGTCAACCAGAACTTAAAACGGGGGCAGGCTTCGCTCGATGGTAATTATATTTGACTTCTTGAGTTGCACATCTGTGATCCTTTTTGGCCTGATCTCCTCGTTCCATCATGTTTGGAAAGGCCTTTCCTTTTCTACAGTCCGCTGGAGGCTTCTATCCCCGGGGTAATTTCCTTGTCCTTTCCCCTTTTGTGCTCTTGATGGGGTTCTCCCATGGTGCTGTTCCAGAGATGGACGGACATTTTCTCTGGATATGTGATCTGCTCTATGTACCTGCTGGATTCTAGACACGTTTTTCCTTTGATCTGGCACCTCTTCTCTCTGAGGAAAACACCGGGAAAGTCAGTCGGAGTGCTAACGCATTTTGTAGAAGCTGTCGACTCCCGCCGACCCGGTACATATACTAGCAAAGTGCGAGTGCGCGACCGGTATCATATCGTAGGGTTCATCAGCAGCGGTACCTATGGCCGGGTATATAAGGCCATTGGCAAAAATGGCCAAAAGGGCGAGTTCGCTATAAAAAAGTAAATTTGTCCCATCCCACCCGGAAACAGGTCGCACCGTCCAGTATCAGAGAAGAATCATGAATCTAATACCCAGAACACCAGGTTCAAACCCGACAAAGAAGGCGAATCAATCCAATACACAGGCCTCTCCCAATCCGCCATCCGCGAAATGGCCCTCTGCACAGAACTCTCCCACGCAAACGTTGTCCAGCTCGAAGAAATCATCCTCGAAGATAAATGCATCTTCATGGTCTTCGAATACACCGAGCACGACCTCCTCCAAATAATCCACCATCACACTCAACCCCAACGTCACGCCATCCGCGCGGGCATGGTCCGTTCCATCCTCTTCCAGCTTCTGAACGGCCTCCTCTACCTGCATACAAACTGGGTACTGCACCGCGATCTGAAACCGGCCAACATCCTCGTCACCTCCAGTGGCGCCATCCGCATCGGCGACCTAGGCTTAGCCCGCCTCTTCTACAAACCCCTCAACTCGCTCTTCTCCGGCGACAAAGTCGTCGTGACAATTTGGTACCGTGCCCCAGAGCTCCTCCTCGGCAGCCGCCACTACACACCGGCCGTGGATATGTGGGCCGTCGGCTGCATCTTTGCCGAACTGCTCTCTCTACGCCCGATCTTCAAAGGCGAAGAAGCCAAAATGGACAGCAAGAAAACCGTTCCCTTCCAGCGCAACCAGATGATGAAGATCGTCGAGATCCTCGGCCTCCCGCGCAAGGAAACCTGGCCGGGCCTCGTTTCCATGCCCGAGTATTCGCAGCTGCAGTCGCTCGTGCTGCACCGTCAGCCGGCACATTTCCACCGCAGCGGCGCCAACCTCGAGGGATGGTACCAGACATGTCTGAAGAACGGGGGGTACTCGGCTGCGTCTGAGAACGGGACGCCCGGGGCGGATGGGTTTGATCTGTTGTCGAGGATGCTGGAGTACGATCCTGCAAAGCGAATTACGGCGCAGGAGGCGCTGGAGCATCCGTACTTTACCAACGGGGGACCTATCAGTGGGAATTGCTTCGAGGGGATTGAGAGCAGGTATCCCCATCGGCGCGTCACGCAGGATGATAATGATATACGGACGGGTAGTCTGCCGGGGACAAAGAGGAGTGGATTGCCTGATGATTCGCTGATGAGAGCGAATAAGCGGCTTAAAGAGTAGCCCCGGGGGATTTCAATAATATTGGCGTTGATTCGAGTTGCATTGCATATATTGCATGGTGTTATTGGGTGGAGTTCGGGGTTTTATACATTTCTTTGGCCCGGTCGATTGATCTGGGTTTCAAGTTGGCGTTAGATACGAAGATACTAGTATTAGGATATTGCATTTGTATGTGAACACATCGCTATCTGAGTGCTTACTGGTGTCTGGGTTAGTACTAATTTTGTAGACGGAGCGCACAAATGCAGGGTTCGAGAACAGCAGTCCAAAGATACTAGTAGGAACTTGAGGTAGCGGTCTAAGAGCAGATGTAACTGCCAATTCATTCATATTGCTTTATTTTGGACGAAAAGCCTACAGCTATCAGCAACTCTTGCAGCGAAACCGCCACGACAAACTCGGTTTATCTCATCATATGATATCATAAAAGGAAACGCAAATGGCCGAAATCGGGAATCTACAGACGAGCCTTGAGGTTGGCCTTGAGGCGGCGCTCAACGGCAGCAAGGTACTCGCCGGTGGTGACCCAGGCCTCACGCTCCTTGCGGCCCTGGGCAAGCGCCAGGTCCTTGGTCATGATGCCCTCCTCGTTGACGACGTCAACACAGGCGGCCTCGAGGGCCTCGGCGAAAGCAACAACGTCGGGGGTGTTGTCAAGCTGACCACGCTGGACCAGACCCCGGGTCCAGGCGAAGATAGAGGCGATGGGGTTGGTAGAGGTCTCACGGCCCTTCTGGTGCTCCCGGTAGTGGCGAGTGACGGTACCGTGGGCGGCCTCGGACTCGAAAGCAGAGCCATCGGGGGTAACCAGGGTGGAGGTCATCAGGCCGAGAGAGCCGAAACCTTGAGCGACAACGTCGGATTGGACGTCACCGTCATAGTCTTTACTGGTTTAGCGGTATATCTATAAATCGGGGGGAATTGCGTTGGTAGCTTACTCTTCAAGGCCATGACAAAACCGCCCTCGCTCTTGATCATCTGAGCGACCATGTCGTCGATCAGGCGATGCTCGTACCAGATGTTCTTGGCATCGAACTCCTTCTTGTACTCAGCCTCATAGATTTCCTGGAAGATATCCTTGAAGCGGCCATCGTAGCGCTTCAAGATAGTGTTCTTGGTGCTCATGTAGAGAGGGAGACCCTTGAGGAGGGCCATCTTGAAAGAGGCGTGAGCAAAGCCGCGGATAGAGTCATCAGTGTTGTACTGGGTCTGAGCGACACCGCCGCCATTCTTGAACTCGAAGACCTGAGCGACCTCAGGCTCACCACCAGCCGGGGTGTAGACCAGCTCGAGCTTGCCGGGGCCGGGGATAACGCGGTCAGTGGCGCGGTATTGGTCACCGAAAGCGTGACGGCCGATAACAATAGGCTTGGTCCAGCCAGGAACCAGACGAGGAATGGCGGGAATGATGATGGGCTCACGGAACACGGTACCGCCACTGGATTTATTAGCATTTTGAAAAAAAGAAACTGAAAATGAAAAATAAGGCGTAGAGATGACACTCACAGGATGTTACGGATAGTTCCGTTGGGAGAGAGCCACACTATGCTATGGTTAGTCTCAGGCGATGTATATCAGACGTACGGCAAAGCTCACTCTTCTTCAGCTTGAACTCCTCCACACGAGCCTCATCGGGGGTGATGGTGGCGCACTTGACACCGACACCATACTTCTTGATGGCCTCAGCGGAGTCAATGGTGACCTGGTCGTTGGTCTCGTCACGGTACTCAAGACCCTACGGGCAGCGTTAGTCTGGACATACTATAGAGCTCGGATTCCTTTGCACATACCAAGTCGTAGTACTTGAGGTCAATGTCCAGATAACTAGCCAGTAAAAAGAGTTAGCCCCATGCAAGGCGGGGCCACAGTATACAACTGAAACTTACGGCAGAATCAACTATAGTAGTACAGTCAGTCTTAGTCCGACGCATATACGACAGGATGCATAGACCGCATGCAGCTGTCTGCAGCGTGGGGACCGACCCCGGTCTAGCCCAGCATCGAGAGGTGAAGGGAGCGTGGAGGCTTACCTTTTCTCGGATTTCCTTCCAAATGATACGGGTCATCTACCAGAAGACGTTAGTAAGGTGGAAATGGGGTAGAGGCAGATGTCATAGCAGTTGGCGCATATCCAATGGCAAGGCCCCGCCTCGGTTGGGTTGACACATGAACCAAGGCCCCGTATTCCCCCGTTCGATGCGGCACCCGAACCAAGACCCAGTTGCGGGAGCCTTTGCCACTTGTGATACGCGAAAATCCGGGATGTAGTGGAAGGTATAAAATGGGAGACGTGTCCCGGCCCGGAGGGTAAAGAACTATTTCTCATACCTCATCACCATCCAACTCCACCACCGGGTTGAGGACCTTGATCTTGGATTCGGTAGCCATGGTTCGGTATTGATTGAGGTACAAGGACGGAATTGATCGGGAGCGAAAGGGCGCAATTTTAGGAGATCGAAGGGGAGCAGAGGAGAGGGATCTCTTGGAGGAAGAGAAAGTAGCAGTGTGGGAGGAAAGAAGGCGAGTAGAAGAGAGAGGGGCGGGAGGGGTCAACCGAGCGCGCAATGCGACGGAAGAAGACCGGAGGGAGTTCATCATTTGGAGACTGGAGCAGCGGAGGAAAGGATGTCAGCGCAGTATTCCGGCTTCTCTGTTTGGCTCGGCGACTGGGGATCGGTAGTTTGCCAGTCAACCCGCGACACAACCGAGGCGATCTTCGGAAGAATGGGAGCAAAGAGGGCTCTGCCGCTCCCGCTTGCCGCCGGGCACAGCGCAGTAGCGCCTGGGGGGAAATGCCGGAAACGTAACGGGGCCAACTGGCAAAACGAGCACCGGGGGAAGTCTGTTGTTGGCACTGAAAAGGGGGAGAATTACCACAGTCGCCGTGAGGTGTGTAGGAAGAAAAGAAAGCTTGCCCGGTGAACTTTTGAGAATGCGATGCTCAGCTGGGCATCTCCTCTTTTAATGCCGCCCTGCCGAACATCGGACGAGTCACGAGATTTACAGGATACGAGATCTACGAACAACTTTTTTCTGACGGCCATTCTCCAATTGGCCAATTGAGCAATTGAGCTCCCAGAAGAATAATAGCTCCCCAGAGAGGCTCAGTAAACGAGTCACAGCTCACGATGAAATATCCACCAGCAGCTTCGGAGCAAAAACTTCGGGGAGGAGCGCGCCAATTCCGGATTCTGTTGTCCGCGGGAATCGCTTCCCCACCCGGAATTTAACCATTTCCGGGCTAGGATGCTCATTATGAGGTTATGTTGGCATGCCTTGATCGCTCTACGCCTGAACTTAGTTACGGAGTCCTGGTAGTATGTAATGCTGGCCGTTTACATGAGTGGGAGCATCACCCTCGCTGGGGTCGAGGTGCTGTTAGTGCCCCCGGGACTTGCCACTGCTTCTAACAAGAACCTGCCGCGCCAAGCATCCGCCAGCAATCGAGGTCTGTTGGGTATGGATGAGACAGACTCGGACCTTTGGCTCTCTTAGACAATATCATTACTTCATATTAAACACCCATCGATATTTGACAGCTGTGACCTGTGACGTAGGAAACAAATTCATTATACTACAAGCATGGGCGGCCTTATTCTATTTTCATTTGCCGACACAGAATTTTTCAAAAACAACGCCGAGGACGTCCTCGACGTCTCCGCTCTCACCTTTGCCGGTGATCTTTGCCATCATATCTGCGGCGAAGCGCAAGTGTTCAGCGGCCGTCACTATATCGACCTCGGATCCGACAGAATCAACCCTCTCGGGCGAGGACTCGAGTCTATCACTAGAGGATGTTTGGAAGAGAAAATCATTGAGGTGGTCCAGACAAGCCTCGAGATTTGAACTCTGGCGATGAGTGACGCCCAAAGAATCCTCCCAGTATGATGTACTGTACTCTGTATCGCCGTCCCCTTCAATGCCTAGTGGCGAGGCAATCTCCTCGAACGTTGTAATGAGTCCTTTCAGAAATGACTGAAGAGAGCCAGGATCTGTCTGATGCGTTAATTGGATTTCTTGCTGTGCTTCGTTGCAGGAGATTGCAAACAATTTGTCAGTCGTAACAGCCGGGAAAAGGTCACGGATCGTATCCACAAGTGCTTGCGGAAGGGTACCGTCCTGACGGTAGGACGGGACCTTATCACACTTGTTAATCGCGACCAGGAGACACTTGTTCGCCTTCTCGCAGTCCGCCACGGCATCGAGAACCTCAGGCTCCACGAAAGGAGCAACGCCCTGAGCGGTCTCTTCCAGAGAGACCACAATGATTACAACGTCAGACTCCAACGCTCTCGTCCTGGCTCTCCGAATCCCCTCCTTCTCAACCAACCCTATAGCAGCTGGAGACTTAGACTGAACGCTCGTAGCTTCTGAACGGATACCTGCCATGTCGCCAAGCTTGCAGTACCACCCGCCCAAGTCAATCCCCACATCGACGATATCCCGGGTAGTCCCCTCTTCAGCACTAACGATCGCGGCCTCCTTCCCCACGATCCGATTCAGAAGCGAGCTTTTCCCCGCGTTCGGGCCCCCAAGCAGCGCCACCCGGATACCATTCCGGAGCAGCTCACCCTTCGACGCATTCTGGATATGGAAGCCGATCTGCACCTTCAACGCCCTGACCTGGGCCGCCACAGAAGACACCAATTCCTCTGTCGACTCATCGAAATGCTGATCCTCAGAGAAATCAATCAGGGCCTCGAGTTCACCGCGCGCGTACAGCAGCTGGTGGCGCCAGAGTTCGTATCGCTTCATAAGCGCATCGCTCGAGCCGCGGACGGCGAGCCTGCGCTGCTGCTCTGTGTCTGCATGGAGGGTGTCGCCCAGCGCCTCGATCTGCGGGAGGCCAAGGCGGTCATTCATGAAGGCGCGGCGGGTGAATTCGCCGGGTTCTGCATACCGCACGACGGCATCGGGCTGATTTGTGCGCGCGATTGCGGCTGAGGACAGCTTTCACGAGGGCGGGGCCACCGTGGATGTGGAATTCGATAATATCTTCCCCCGTGACAGTCTTCGGGCTGGGGAAATAGAGGACTAAGGCGCCGGCGTCGAGAACGGTACTTGGGGAGGGTGGTTGGGCTGGGTCGTAGAGGGTGCGGAGGGCGGCAACTCGGGGCTTAGGAAGAGGTAGTTTGGGACATAACGCGCTGTAGACTGACGCGCATGCCGGCCCTGACACTCGTACGACCGCGATCGCCGCTCTTCCGGGTGCTGTAGACAAAGCGTAGATGGTAGAATCGGCGTCCAGCATGAAATTTGCCGGCTTAGATGAGGAAAAGCCCCGTAGCGGACGGAATGGGTTCCGGCGTAGCGGAACTCTTGGTCGGAGCCATGGTGTACGGGACACTAAAGCCCAGCGCAAAGCTCGAGGATACAGCGCCTGCATCCGGGAGGATTGGCCTGCGAGATGCAAACATTGGAAGCGGGCACGAGTTGCGCGGAAGAAAGCTCCAAGCTTGTTTTATCAGTTCTGCCGCGCTATTGCTTGCCGCCTTTGTCGTGCACTTTTGGCAGCATGCGAATTAGCCAGTTGGATTGGAATGCATGTTGAGTCTCAAATTATAGGGATGGGATGAATATCGGATAATCGAGAGGTCGTTATCGCAATATACTGGTCGATCGCTGGCGAGCTAGCAGAAGGGGCTACTTAGGGCCCTGCTAGTCGATGTCGGGCTGTCTCGCGATACAATTCGCAGATTCTCGTATTCTAATAGATTTTACCGTAGATTGTAGGACAAAATCCCTAGCAACTTTCGATCTTATGTACGACATTACCCAGAGGCGGGGATAAAGTCCAATGCGTACATCAAGAACAGGCCGAGTTGCCCCACGCCCGAAGGCATTTTTTTTCCCCTTGGCTCCGGAACCTCCAAACTATAGACAACCTCAAGCCACAAGACAGGTCATCAGCCCTGTTGACTTCCTTCGTATCTGGACGGCCACCGCAGGTATCATACCCTTGAAGAGTTAGCCGGCTTAGGGTCACTCATCAGGGCATCAAACAATAAGGCCTCAAAGGCATATCTTCCACCTGCGACAGCACATATCAATTGCGAAGACCCTGCAGCGCTAACGAAACTACAGTCACGCTACTTGGGGCTCTGGCTGTCATCCTCAAATAAGCCATGCATACGCTCAAGTCTATCGCGGCTTCATCGCTGTCCTTACCAGCTGATAGCTACATTTATTCAATTGCAGCCTCGGCACCTGGCGCCTTCGCTGCCATCTCTTCAGACGATTCCCTGCGCGTATTTAATGCTTCTAATCTCGATAATGTCTCCGTCGTCTCTCCTCAAACTCACGAGGCAGGTGTCACCTCCCTGAGAAGCTATGACTCCAACCTGCTGGTCACCGGCGGGCGAGAAGGCAAAGTTAAGGTTTGGGACGTCCGGTCAAAGGCTGCCGTTGCAGAGATGGAGACAGGTAATAAGCTTCCTTCCCTTCGTCGCTATCACAGTTCGGGCTCATGTGTAATATGATTAGCGAGAAATGCTCCAGTGCTCTCTGTAGCCTGCAACCCCGGCACAAATACTCTTGTTGCGGGGACAGAGCTTCTATCATCTCAAGCAGTGGTGGCATTCTGGTAGGCCTCTCCTCTTCCTATTCCTCTGGACCATCCTTCGTTGAAGATATTAAACCGCGTTATAGGGATATCAGGGCTCCTCAAGCACCCCACCTTCAATACGTAGAAAGCCACAACGACGACGTCACTGAGGTAAGCCATAAGAGAGCCATAACCCAGTCACTCTCTCCCGGTAATATCTTTGAGACCACCCACTAAATTAACAACAATCTAAAGCTCCAATTTCACCCAAGTCGCAGCAACATATTACTATCCGGCAGCACGGATGGCCTTGTCAACATCTACAACACAAACATCACAGACGAAGACGAGGCCCTGGTCCAAGTAATCAACCACGGCTCCATCCACCACGCCGGCTTCCTGTCCGAGCGCACGGTCTTCGCACTCAGCCACGATGAGCACTTCTCCGTGCACCCGGCTACGGATCCGGACGAGCCAGCCCAGGACCCGGAACCCGTCGACTTCGACGATGTACGAGAGCCACTGGGCTGCGAGTACGTGGTCCAGGTCTGTACCGGTAGCCAGGGGTCATATATCGTTGCCGGAAACAAAGTGTCCGTTTTACTTCCGTTCTATTTCTTACGAACCATCTGCTGACTAGTTGCGCAGTGACCAACGCCTTGATCTGGTCCCCTTAGTATCAAGCCCGACATGGCAGTTCGACCATGAAAATCTATGGCGCCTTCCCGGTGCCCATGGTGAGGAGGTTGTGCGCTCCGTCTACGTGGATGAGCAGGTAAGGATTGCAGATGCCCTTGTAGTTGAGGAGTCTGATATTAACCGGTGCCTCAGAGTCAGTCTGTTTTCACGTGCGGTGAAGACGGGTTTGTACGAGCCTGGAAGCCGGCTGATGGCGACAAGGGATCTCAGACCCAGTCGGGGCTTGCGAAGGGTCGTCCGAAAGACAAGAAGCAGAAGGAGCGGTTCCGGCCGTACTAGACCCGTGTTAGGATTGCGCGGGCTGTTAGATTGTGCTTTACAGCACCGGGACTTAATGGGAGCCAAAAATAGATACGAGGATGAGATAATGTTCTTTATGGGATGACTCTGATCTCGAAGCGGATGTAGAAGATGTAGAGACTTGAGGATGAGTATCGTCCTCTTACGGAGAGAAGATGCGAGAATCCACTTTGCCAAAATTCGTGGCACTATGTGACACTAGGCTTTACATAAACGGAGCGACTGTTGCGAATCCCTGAAAAGATGAATCAGGGAGGTCTGAGGGCGAGCTAACTTGCATGATCCCATTTGAATGTAGACCGGCCCAGCCGCTCTGCCAGGGACCGATCCCCTGGCACCGGCTCAGTCTCAGAGGCGTGAAGCACAGGCTCTACTACTATTTGTAGCACTCCGTGTAATGCAAGCTTTGACATCGGAGACCGCGGCTTTAGAACTCATGCTATCGGAAGCTCGTGCTCAGTAGGACGATGAAAGTCATGCTAGTCCATCTTCGATCCACTTCCGCTCCAGCTCAATGCCAAGGGCCATAAAATTGCTAAACTAGCCTAGGCCCGGTCTTCATCTCGCATGGCCAGCTCGCGCGGCCGCGTGGAGCGTGGTCTCGTCGCAGTGTAAGCAAGGATACCGGCGCATCCTCGTCCAGCCGATTCGCATCTAGTCTAGCCAGGACCACGAACACACTAACATATGTAGCTCTGCAAAGAATCCTGCCACGGCGTTGTGAACTCGACGCTCGGAGGCACGACGTGACTGGCCTGCGTCGACCATTTTCGAATCGACATGGCAGTTTCGCCGAGGATTCAAGCTAACTCGAGTCCGTTCGATCTCCTGGATCGGGAACAAGCATGGATTGCAGAAGTATAAATTAGTCGGCAGTGCTCAAAGTTAGGAAACCAGATCTCCAGACAATTCGGATTCCTAACCTGGTCTCTCTTGGCTCATTTCAAGGAAAACTTTTGGTGAGTATTCATGGAGGGGATGGCATCGGGTGAATCATCCGCACTGAGGCTGATGAGTTTTTGTTCCACTAGATCTATTTACCCACCATGCGGTTTGATTACCTTGTCACCCTGCTCGCCCTGGGAGGGGTGGCTGTTGCAGCACCCGTTGCTAAAGAAGCTAGTAAGTTACTGTTGCGAATCGTACATATGGATACTTATGCGATCACAGCTACTGATGCCTCCGATGTTGACATCGGGTTTGGCGGTGGACATGGCTCTAGACTCAACTGGGATCTTGGCATTGGCGGTGGTGTCTCTACGGAATCTGGTGGTGGGCACGGCGTAGCCTTCGGAGGCCCTGGAGGCGGCGGCGGCGGTGGTGAGGGTGGTGGGCACGGCGGTGGTGAAGGTGGAGGTCACGGTGGTGGTGAAGGTGGTGGTCACGGTGGTGGCGAGGGTGGTGGCCATGGTGATGGGGAGGGTGGTGGTGATGGCGGCGGTCATGGTGGTGACGGCGGTCATGGAGGAGGAGGCTTTGGAGGAGGCTTTGGAGGAGGAGGTGGTGGTGGTGGCGGCGGCGGCGGCGGCGGCGGTGGTGGTTTCTGAACCTTGTGCTTCTACTCGGACAGCTTAGAACTAAGCTTATACTAATTGAAGCCCATTTGGTGGATCCTCTGTTGTCTTCATTTCATGATAAGATACATAACGTCGTGATAAATAAACGCGGTCATGGAAGAATAGCCGAGTCACAGCTATTACTTTTTGCTTTTGCTAGGTCGGGCCAGCCGTGTAGGTGTTTCAATTCGGTCCACCAAGGGACGATACGGGGAGGCTAAGACATGCTCAGGGGCTGGCTCTCGTCGTGGAGCGCCAGGGCTGGGTCGATGCAGTTGCTCTTCATGCATGCGATCAAGTGGTTCTCCAACAATTTGATACTTGGCCCAATTGATGGGAGGCATGCGCACAATGTTCTGGGGCTTTGGTATCCGGCCGAAGGATGACGTTCCATCAGCCTTTTCATTATCGTCGGCATCTTCCCCGGCATCCATTGCCCTGTTGTCTGAGAATTGGATCACAGTGCCATGGTCTTCTTCAGTGCGCAAGCGCCCATCTGCCAAATCACGGGCAAATGCCTCGGGGTTTGCGCCAGCTGCCTCTTTCAGTCGCTCAAGGGTATTGATATCGCGAAGGCTTTGTTGCTTTTGCATCTGCAAAATTGAGATTGCGGAACGCAGTGCAATCGCATCGGGATTCTCACTTTCCGAGATAGGAACTGGTGGCGGCTCGGGTTTGAAGACTGGGGGGTTGGCTGGAGGTGGCGGGGGACGGTAGGGTGGAATGTTTGCGGTATTGGTGCTACGGGGTTCTGGCGATAAGGGTGGAGGTAGGATCTTCGTCTCCCCGGCAGGGAGAGGCTCAAGTTTGGCGAACACTGGGGTCACTGGGGAATAAGGCGGGCGGGGTGGAGTGCCGGGCGGATGGGGTTGAGCCTCGCCATTCGCTTCTTCTGGCGTCGTCTGCATGGTATGAAGCGTCGCGTGGGCGCAGCAGAGATTCAGGACCGTGTGTCCAGCACGATCAACTGAAGTGATGAGAGAAGTAAAAATCAAACACGAGAGGCGTTCGGGAGGGTTCTGCCCGGGAAGTGACGACACCGAAGGCTGCCTGGGCGGATCAAGAAGTTTCAGGTCAGGACAAGCAAGGCTCCTGGCTGGGGCGTTGTGAGTTGATAGGACGGCTATCTCAGACTGGTCGTCTTGATGAAAAGAGCCTGCCAGTAAATGAAGTCTGGGGTAGTTTTCAAGGCTGCGCGACGTTTGCCAGAAAGAACCCAACAGCGCCACTACCCGATCGGGGGATTTCCAAACTATCCAACCTTGGAACGGTCCTTTGTTTCCGATACGGGACTCGTGTGATTGGAGTTGGGATTGGTGGAAATGACACACATTTTAAGCTAACGGATGTTTGAGGTTGGGGATCAGAAGGTTCGAAGGTTCTAGTCTGCGGCTCGGCGGTTAGGCCGAGCTTGCCTGCGGTTTAAGGTTGATTCGATGCTTGCGCTTTCGACCCCCGATGCTGGGTGGATATCAGTCGACTAACCATGGTATGCCTGAACTTCCTATTGGGCATCCAGTAAGTTTACCTGTTTATTGAGAACTTCGACAGTATTGGTGGGCCGTTGAATAACTTGCCTGTTCTTGGGAGACCAACATGTTCTAATTATATATCTCGACCACCTGTTGGAGTTGATGATTATCTCGGTAGCATTTCAAGGCTTCACAACGCTTGGTAAAGAACGTTTCGTCTCACCGATGGAGTTTTCACCCGCATAGATATCGGTTACGGAGGGTAGGACAATCGGTCAATTAAACGCTCCTGAAATGGATACCATGAGATTCAGGATGGGAAATAGGCCCCATCATATCGAAAGGGTAAGCCCTCGATTCAATGTAAATATCTGCAAGCCGAGTTGAGACGTCTTCGCTGCGTAGATTGTATATCTCTTCCGCTAAGTAAAGAATCATGCTGCGTAGAATTACAAGCAGAACCTCACTCGAAGATTGACAACTTGAGAAATTGTGCCTTAGGGCAAATCCCCCGTGGCTTCTCGGCCTTGGACTCCCATCAACCCATTGAGCTAAGAAGAACATCGAAAAGTTGCAGTATCTCTTCCTTCTCCTCTTGAGAAATCTCCATTCCAACCGTGAGAGCAAACCCTTCTCTTAGTCGTGCAGCCGCAATAGCCTTGGGAGTCTTCGTCCTGAAAGAAGCCTCTATGCTCTTAGCGATACCCTGAAAAGGATACGCCATGAGCCCGATACCGGCTACAGAGTTGATACCAGCGTTAGCAAAGATCTTTAGTCGTGTACGAGAAGGGCCAGGAGACTCACCAGAGGGCATCTTTGTGGCCATTCCCAGCGCTCCTTTGATCAGACCCTTGGTTGCACCGTCGGATCCATCTTCTAGAGCACCTCTCAAAGGTTCTTTGATCATTCCAGCAATCCCGCTGGTCATACCACCCACAAAGTTCTTGCCTCCAACCTTGATGCCGGATTTCCAATCGCTAACGGTTCCGTAGTCCTTAGGTTTCTCCCCGTACCATTGAGGTGCTCGTCTGAAACCCTCGGCTGCAGCGTACGGGAGCTATTTGATTGTGAGTAATGTACAAAGGGTGCGCTTCTTGTCACTTACATCGACCGTCATGCCTCTGAAATATGATGCGGAGAATTTCCCAAAGGCTTTCAATGAAGCACCTGCCATATTGCCAGACGTTTCAAATGGGTCCCGATTCGCTGAGCTGGAACCCGAGCTTGGCGAACCTGCAGATTCGCTCTTCTCAAGTGAGTTTGAAGATCGAGCTCGTTTGTACTCTCTGTATGGCTCTCGAAACATATCCTGTGTTGATTTTGCCATATCCAGACCAGTGCCAGTCAAAGAGGACAAGACACCAGTCAACGGATCCCATCGCCGATTCTCGATGATGATCGGTTTGATCGCGTGCCTAATGAAAGTTAGCTTGGGATATGATACCCGCTTCGTAAGAAACACACATACCGCTCAAGCCTGCTGACCTCGATCTTATTATTCTCCACTAGAATATTGACAGCTACCTTGGAGAGAGTGAGGGACTGTTTGCCTTTCTTATATTCCCACACAGCAGGCTGGTTCGGCATGATACTACAGCGCATTCGGTCGAGGGGCAAATTCCGATGGAACGAGTTCACAGCTGTTGCCACGCCAGTCTCATGCTGCATCTTGGCGGCAATACCCTGCGCTGCGGCAGCGGCCTCCGGTGTGAGACAGAATTGCATTGCGTTTGCTAGATTTTCTGCAGTGAGTTCCGCGTGCGGGATGGGATCTGGGCCGGCTCCGGCTTTCGAGACCATTTTCCCCCAGAAAGGTTGATCGCCAAAGAATGGCACAATGGTAGTCGGCCGTCCATTGACAAGGCCGCAAGCCGTCGTTCCAGCTCCACCATGGTGAACCACAGCGGCAACGTGCTGAAATAGCCATGTGTGCGGGCAGTCGCCAATGTAGAATATGTTTGGATCGGAGGCCCCAGCTAACTCACTCCAACCTTTGGACACGACCGCGCGGACCCCGGCTTTTGAGACCGCCGATATAACAGTGTTGATCAACTTCTCCGCGTCGTCGACAACAATACTGCCGAAGCCAATGTACACAGGTGGGTTGCCTGATTGTAAGAAGTCCGCTAGATCTGCCGGGGTGTGTATTCGGATGGCTCTGTCAGAAAGAAGCCACAGACATCTTAAGTGGAAGCGATATGAGCTTTTGACTGTACCATAATTGAGTGCTTCCCTTACCAACGTGAGCCGGCCAATCCCATGGCCGGGGCACCAATGCTGGTGACCAGCAATAAGTGAACGGAACCTCTAAGGTCTCCGCTAAACAAGGCCCTTCAGTTGCTGGGACTGGGGGTAGATCGATCGAAGATCTCCATTTGTTGATCACATTGCCAAGCCTATTTAGTGCATCAGCTACGGAGTCGTATAGCGCGGCGAGTTTGTATTTACCCCTGCCAGGTCAGCCATTCTACCACCCCGTATGATACCCAGTTTGCTTTGCCTTCCTCGTTCTCAGCGCCTGCCGTAAGGTCCGCCAAAGGATGTGGGAAAACACTGGTGCTACACCAAGGCATAGTGAACATTAAATGGACAGGGATATCCAATGCTTGCGCACAATGGACATGGGCGAAACTGGGGGGGATTAGCGATGATCGCGTCCGCGACAAATGGTTCTTGCGTGATAGGGTCATCTTCGATGCATGACCTCCAGCATCCATCTAACATTTCCCCGACCATTACCTGCTTCTTCTTGATTTCCCCGTCACGCAATGTTTCCATCCGTGGCAGGAGACCAGGGTTCTTGACCATGTACGCCATGAGTTTAGCGGGATCGCCCCCAATGGGGAAGAATTCTAGATATGATTTCCGTACGAAGTCCGCAAAGACATCGTGCGTAGCGATGCGGACTCGATGGCCATGGGATTGCAGGGCGTTACCCAGGGCGATGAAGGGCTGTACATCTCCACGGCTTCCTACGATCTGAATGACGATGTTCAGTTTTACGTCACAAAAGACCGGGATGGCAGCTTCGGCCTCGTGAAACACAGTGGAGGGGCGCCCGAAGCGTTCTGCTTGTTCTTCGGCAATTTGAGCGAACGCTTTGGCAATTTTGGACTTTAGATTCACGGTGACTCGTCCATCATCTACGGCGAGTTAGCTAGGTTGTCAGACTTGACAGGTAGGGAGCATACCGCGGACGCGTCCCGACTCTTGAGTCAGCTCAGATTCGATCCTTTCAATCTTTTGCGTCTCTTGGGTATCTGGTGGGGTCGCAGACTGCACTCCCGGGTCCTGGTCGGAAGACGGCCGCTCTTCCATGGTAAAGCCGGGGTACCAAAGCGACTCGAAAGCAAAAAGAGAGGATATGAAGAGCGAGGGAAATTGTTGGGAAGTTACCGTCCAGCGTCCCTATGCCACACTGACGATAAAATGCTGGTGGCGAATCTCTCAAATGCCGATCTCAAGCCACGTATGGAGGTGCAGGTACATGTACATCTTTACGCAGAACCGCACCGTTTACAAAGTGTAAGAAATATCGTGGCTTGAGAGGCTACTTGCGTCATCAAGCCGATTCCTCTTGTGTAGGGGGCGTGAATGGCTCTCTGTGTCGATCGTTTGGGGCTGTGCGGAGGGACAGGATGTACACTCTCCTCGTCATGGCGGGGGAGCTTGTTTGGGAAAACGTCACCCGTCAGTTCATTAGTAACCCGCAAGAATGATTGAAAACAGAGCAGCTTGAGACGGCCACTATATTCAAAATTAAAAGCCGATGATCGCATTCTACAGAAGAAATGAAGAAACAAATAAAAGGAAAGGAGCTATTGCAAGCAGACAAGCTGCGCTGGTGGGTCTTGATGTCCAAAGCATGACAAAATAGCTTCGGACGGTGGTGATAGTTATGGTTGAATTACGCGGCCGGGGAAAGGATATCATGTCTGCTCCTTGCGTGTACCAACTCGTGGAATTGACTGGTTTTGATAAAACGATCATGAACCATTCGACTGGATGTATCCACTCGATATTCGAGACGGGGTATTGATAACCCGGAGAGCACGAAAGCCTCTTATCGATAAGCCGCCTTGGGGTTAGTGCGGTTGACTTATCGATAGCTTCACACACCCCATATGGCCCGTGCGCCCAGGCGCGAACCCGCGTCGTGCCTCTGGTTGCTCCGCGACCTGTTGCTTCTTTTCGCGTGCCCGACTTCTTCTTTTCATCTGCTCGAAGCCATTGTTACGGTCGCTTCAATCCATTATCACAGGCTAATTTTCAACTCGATTGGTCTCGCATTCGTTTCCAGCCTTTCGCTTAACTGTAATCTCAACGTTGACCGCGATCCTGACCTTGGCTGTGGCTGTGAGTGATCTTGACTGTGAGCGCGACGAACCCCGCCTTCGACTTTGATCACCCCTTGAAACTCGGCATTGGAATACCAATTGAACCAAAGTGGCCCATCGCGGGTGCTGTCGTGACAATCATGGTTGGCCTGCGCCTGGCAGCGGAGTGCGAGTACTCAGAGGACCCCACGCTGGTTCAAACTTATCCCATGATAGGGCTGTACTTTCCTAAGCCGGAAACTGTCACTCTACTCGATGTTGCTCGCCAGATATACGACGAGTGGCCTGAGCTAAACCCGGGAGCACCGTAAGTATTGGGGATGCACACCCGCCAGGCGCAGTCTAATTTTTGTCTTCTAGGCCCCTCAAGATAAAGGCGCTTGTCAACAAGGCTCGTCCTCTAATCAGATATTCATCAAAGAAAAACCTGTCCGAGGTCTTCTTGGACCAGGGCAAGGCTGAAACTGATCATTTGGACCAAGATGGCGTCGTTTCCGTCGTCCTCGATCGCTCCTCTTTCCCCGACCTCCCTCAAGACCCCTCTGCCGCGCCATTGCCAAACCCTTACCTTGAATTGTCCAATGCGTATGCAAGCGCATCTATCCAGCAACCCACCTCGGTGAATGGTCTCCAATCCTCGCTTCAGGCCTCTACCCTGACCCAACGAGAGGCGCGCAAGAGGAAGCGCAAATCAGAACCAATCTTAGCGCGAGATTTGTCAGGACAAAATACGTATGGCAACCAAGCCCCAGGGCAAGCCGCTCCAACCCCCAGCGCTCGGAAAAAGTCTCGTAAGTCTGAGCCAGCGCAACCTGCACAAACCCCTGTCCGTCTCCCACCCACCGTGGCAGATATGGTCTGGCCCTCTCAATACACCCCTGCGCGTATCGAAGAAATGCGCCGGGAAGCCGCCGAACAGATTGAAAAGGGTAAGCGTCGAATTGACCGAGTTCGAGAAGAGTTGACGAAGCCCAATCTGGATAAGACTATCAAGGGTATCCTCCTGACGATCATAAAAGACTGGGACTTGTTGCACCCCGGACCTGGTCAGCCGCGCGCCTACAAAACCTCCAGGTTGGAGGCTAGAATTGAGCGGTCGTTCGAGAAATTGCAGAGCATCGGAGCTGCACTCGAGTCAAGTGACAGTGAGTCTGAGAGTTATGCAAGTGACTCGAGCAGTGAAGCGGATGCAGTCAGCCTGAGCGCCGCAGCCAGCCAGAGCGACCCAGCCAGTCAAAGTGATTCAGGCGACGAAAGCGACGCAGATCGCGAGGTGGCAGAGACTATCTTTGCGGATTTCTTTGACGACGAAGCTCAGGCTGAAGAAGACGAGGACGAGGACGAGGATGAGGAGAATGAGGATGAGGATGAGGATGAGGAGGATGAGGATGAGGATGAGGATGAGGAGAACGTGGACGGCTTCGAAGATGCCGAGAAGGGCGGGCAGGAGGACGCTGAATCAGAAGGCTTCGAAACATCTGAGTCGCACCAACAGGAATCTGGCAACGAATTCGAAGCTGAAAGTGACGCCGAAGACTCCGAAGATGAGGGCAAGGCGAGCGATAACGAAGCCGAAGGTCACGAATCACCCGAGGGCCACCTCCCAGCCTCCAGTGATGGAGCAGAAGTCGACAGCGATGCTGAGTCTTCCCAGTCCGGTGGCCCTGCCGACCCTCAAGTCGGGGCTAGTGAGACACCGGAGAAGGAGTCTCAAGCATCCGCAGCAACTTCGGCTCCGGATTCTGCAAAGAGGTCCGTTGGGCTCCTCAAAGGACTTCTCACCAACCGTCAGAAGTTGGAGGAGTTCAAGCAAGCCCAGCGGCGGAAGAGACGCCTGCCAGACGTTTATGATGTGTCTGACCACAGCACGAGTGATGCTGAGGCGGGCGACATCTACGCGGATGGCACCTCCAGCAAAATCCGCAAGATTAGGGGGCGCACCTAGTCTTTCGGCCTGGGGAGTGGTCGCTCATTTGCATCCGCATTGGGCGCTTCATGTAGTTATATGTAGCAATAATGTGATACCCAAGCAAGAAGATACCCGCTTTCTCCCTTCCGTATTCCATGTAGCATAAGTATGCAGTGAAGTCCGACAGGGTAACAAACCAGAGCTGAAGCCCAGTAGTGATTATTTCTAAGAGTGTCCTGCGGTGCCTGGTGAGTCGAGGTCCACTTGCGTTTTACTAGAAGCTGAGACTCAGTCTTCCGTCGGGGAAACGTGGGGGGCCAAGAAGCGACAAAGGACCCCCTCCTCTGCCCCTCGCGACCTCGACCTTGCCCCTCCAACGATCATGGCAACCACGTACGATGTGAAGCTGCCCCTCCAGAGGGAAAGTCTCCAAACCATTGGACTGCTCAAGAAAGGGAAGCCAGTATCAGGTCCTCGACCGCTTGTTGTCTTTCTCCACGGCGCCGGCAGCAATGCCTCATACTTTGACAACCGAATTTACTCGTAAACCCCCCGAAGCTATAGTAGCTATTTCTGTACTAATACCACGCAGCTATCCCCAGAAGCTGAGTGAGCTCGGTCATCCTGTCCTTAATGTCCAGCGCCCGGCATACGGCGGCACCCCAGTACCGGCCACAACAAAGCCACTCCAGGACTCGATCCCCCTGATCACCGATCTGATTAATCAGGCGTACCAGGAGCATGCTGGTGGTAAGGGCGGGATCGTCATCATTGGCCATTCAGCTGGCGCTGCCGTAGCAGTCGCCATTGCTGCTCAGCCCGACAGTCCGTTGCCAATTGTTGGACTCAGCGTATTGGGCTTAGTTCCCGTAGAGCAGGACAACCTGCTCATTCCCCGTCCGGATCCTGACCCCGAGAACCCTCGGCTGTCAGCTGAGCATATGCCACCCTCGGCATCAGAGTTTATGGGTCCATTGCAGTATCTCAATGGAGACGTGTTTGGGAACGTTGCCATGATCAAGACGGTCTTCGAGCCTTGTATGAATAATTTCGCTAGGATTTGCCTTTGCTCTGTATTGATTGGCTAATTGTCTGGATACAGTGTCCCGCCCTGAGATTCGAGAATATCCAGGCTCCGAATGGCATAATCTGATGGTGAACAACTACATGCCAGCAATCAAGGTAGCTCTACCCCTTTTCAAGATTCGAATGAGTCTTGAGACTAACCTAGATAGGTGCCTGTGCAATACCTCGCTACTGAGTATGAGGGTATCTGGACAGGAAAAGAAGCCGGACAGCCAATCTTCGACTATTATGCCAGTCGCTTCGTCAACTCACCCGAGGTTGAAGCCAAGATTCTATCTAAAGGAGGTCACAGCTACGATTTCAGTTTGAATGCGGGCGAGCTTCATGAGCTGAGACTGAATTTTATTGCGAAAGTGGTGAGTCAACTTGTCAAGGGCGCACCGTTGACACTAATATGCTAACAAAAAGGCCTGTAAAGTCTCAATATTAAGAAAGTAGGCTCTCCTCGCAGCGCTTGACAGGTGAAAATGCTGTGTCTATGTAATCATTCTATGGAAAGGAAATACATTCATAACCTAGAGAACTGTATATAGAACTAGAGAGTGAGTTGTATTGCAAAATTGGCAGATCAACAGATATCATCAAAATGGCGTTCAAGTCGTCTCATCAATCACATAACATTCCAATCGGCACATCAATCGTAAAGGGCCTTCGTGAAGCTCAGTTCTGCGCGAAAAACTGGCTCTTCTCCGCTGCGACTTGACCCAGCTCCTCGATGCTAATATTCGCAATAATATCGAAGAGAGAAAGGTCCACCTTCATCTTAGTAGCGAACCAGAACCGCAACTCAACAGCAACAAGCGAGTCCACACCAAAGCTGTGCGCAGGCTTGGTCTTATCAATATCCTCTTCGGGGACAGACAGCGCCTGAGAAAGTCTCTTCGCCAGCGCAGACGCAATGATCCGTCCTCCATCCTCCACGGAGGTCGCCTCCTTCAGCAACGCACTGTAGTCAACCTCCTTGTTCGACTCCTGGGATTGATGATGACTACCATGATCCCGCTGGTGCAGATGGCAATACATGGGACGCTTCATGTACGGCAGAAGATCCTTGCCAATCGAGATACGCGAATTAGGACTATTCAGCGCAGAAAGGACCTGAGTTTCCCAGCTTGACCCGATCGGTATGGTGGGGTTGCACGCCCAGTCCACGACGCTGTGTAGTTCTTCTTCGCGAAGGACTTCAAAGCCCTCGTCGATCCAGCGCTGGGATAGTCCAGACATAGGCTGTTGTTCGGCGACATAGCCCACGGCTGTGACGAGACCAATGTCAATTGAGATGCACTTCTGTCCTTCGGACCAGCGGTGGCGTGCGAAAGCGTCTTGGAATGTGCCGCAGGCATTGTACTGTGCTTGGCCCTTGACTCCTATCATGCCACCCAGAGAGGAGAGGATGACAAAGAAGTCCATGTCGCGGGGTAGTTTGTGATGCAGGTTCCAGGTTCCTGTGACCTTGGGATCTTGGACTGCTTGCCATTCTTCTTTGGTCATGAGGTCGAATGGTCGGTCCTAAGTTCTTGTTAGAGAAAGAGAAATCGATACTGGGGGGTAGGAGTTAAGAATCATTACCTTGAGAACCATTGCACCTTGAATAACACCCTTGATCGGAGGCATGTGGGCACATTCTTTTAGAGCTGCTTCCAGAGACTCTGGGTTGGAAATATCGCATCGGGGAGTAGCAACGTTGACACCTCGTGCGGCAAGGTTATTGACCAACACCTTCGCAGATTCAGCAACGGCACCTGAGCGCGATAGTAAGATCAAATTCTTAGCACCCCGCGTTGGGAACCAGGAGGCAAGACTTCGACCGATTCCACCCAAGCCACCGGCAATGACATACGTGGCCTGCGGGTCAAACTGATATCCAGGGTCAAAGTAAGGAATGATAGGCAGTTCCTCGTCTTTCTCCCAATCGACGACGGCTTTGCCCATGTGGCGACCAGTCTGGAGGTATCGGAAAGCGGACTCAATATCACCAGGTGGAAATAAGGTGACAGGCTGAGGGGCTGTAAAGGTCTTCGCAAATATGAGATCTTTCATCTCTAGCATGAGTTTGTGCAGCAGTTTCGGGTGATCGTTATACACGCGCAGGAGGTCGACAGACGCAAACGTGACGTTCCTGAGGAATATGTTCATTGGGAGTTTCTGGAACGTCTCCATGTCGCGTTTCCCAATCTCAATGAAGCGGCCAAGTGAGGCGATACACTTCCACGACTCGACGAGTTGTTCTCCCGAAAGAGAGTTCAAGATAACATCCACACCCACGCCATTGGTGGCGCGCATGATCTGTTTGCCGAAGGCGAGGCGACGGCTGGAGAAGAATCGATCGTTCGGGATGTTGAATCTCTTTTGAATATGATCTTTTTTCGCTTGGGAACTCACGGTGACAAAGACATCGGCACCGATATGCTGCGCGAGCTGAATGGCAGCTTGCCCCACGGCACCGGCAGCAGCGTGAATCAGGACAGTCTCGCCCTTTTGGAGACGTCCGATATGAACGAGGCCGTACAAGGCCGTGAGCCAAACTGAGGGCAAGGCCTCAACAAAAGGCATATCATCGGGGATGTGAATGATCGTGTGGGTTTTGTGGCGGACGTATGTCCTGAAAGTACCTACGCCCAAACCGGTGACACGATCGCCAGGTGCAAAGTCCTTCACACCAGCGCCAACCTTTCGAATCACACCCGCAAATTCGTTACCAAGGTAGTTATCTGTGACCTGTCCTAATGCAACCAGGACATCCTTGAAGTTGATCGGTGATGCTTTCACTTCAACTTCCACCTCGTCGTCGGCTAGCGGGTTGTCGACCTCTGGGTCTCGGACATATCGGAAGCTGTCTAGCTGACCCGGGGAGAACTGGACTTGAAGAGGCTCTGTGACAGGCTCCCTAATCAGGCGCCTTTTCTCAATAGGCAGCTTGGCGTTTTGGAAATGAGAGTAATCGTTGATGTCGTTTGCCTCGATAGCTCGCGGGATCAGAACTGTGCCATCCACAACAGAATAGTCACCTTCCCGGCTGTTATTGTCAGCGGTTCCGAAGTAGATTTCAGCAACATTGCTGATAATCTTCGCCGCATAAAAAGCATCTTCAACATTGTCGATGTCCAGATTGGTCATGTGAACGCCTTCATGCTCCATTGCAAGCGCTCGACTAAAGCCAGAGCTCATGGCACTCTCTGGAATGGAAGCCTTCTCACCAGCGCCGCTGGTTACCCAGCATATCTTTGTAGATGTATCAACCAGTTTCTTGAGAAGACCAAAGTCGCTTTCGCTCATTCTCGATAGGAACTGCTTTCCATATTCTAGCAAGGATAGAGTAGCATCAACATGCGGATTCTGATCCTGAAGCTCCTCTGGCTTGACGACCTTGACCGTACGTTCAGTATCATTTACTTTCGCCAGAGAAACAAGCTCTTGCGCGACTTTGTTTTGCAACTCAGTCTCCGCAACAATCAACAAAGAGCTTGAAGGGTTCACTGGAGTTGCAACATCTTGTGGAGCCGCGCGCGAAATGATCAAACTGACAGTGTGGTTTTCAACCTTCGGGAAATCAGTGATAGCTGCATCGCACCCGGTGAAGCCGGTCTTTTTTCAAGTAATGGTCCCACTCCTCCTGAGTGTACAGAGGAGATGAGGCTCGGTCTGCCTCGGTCGACCTCCACCAACCTGAGAGAGTACCCCAGATACCATTCAGTGGGATATCCTTCTTATTAGTTGGCTCGATGATGACAAGGTGGCCTCCAGGCTTGAGCAGCCTGCGTGCACGAGTCAATGAGTCGGCAATACACTCTGTCGCGTGAATCATCGTTGCGGCAACAATGAGATCATACTTGCCCGCCTCAAAGCCTTGATCTTCAGGCTCCTTCTCAATATCGAATGTCTGGAAAATCATGCGATCGGTGTAATCTGAGAACTGAACCTTGGCTTTTTCAAAGAAACTTGGGGAGATGTCAGTGAAAGTGTAGCTGCTGAATCGGGGAGTAGCCCCTTCACGGCCACCTTGCTTGCCCAGAGCAGAGAGGATAGGCGCAGTGCCACTTCCGGTTCCAGCACCAAGTTCCAGGATGTTCATGCTGGAATTCTTGTGGGCGAGAAGATCGATGAAGTCTCCCATTCTCTTGGCGCTTACAGAGAAGATAACCTCTGCATACAGATCTTTCGCGAGGTTCTGGTTGAATAGAAGATCTAAAGGATCGGTTTCGCCGCGGATGAAAGGTACTAGCTCTCTAATGAAAGTGTATATAGCCTTGTTGACGACTCCAGATGCTTCGAAGTCGGCTAGGAATTTGGCGCGTTTGTCATTGTCTGCCAGGGTTTCCTTCCATGGAGATTGCAAGAGAGGGTTACTCTCACCGAGCTCAGCAAATCTGTTGCGAACCCAAGTGATGAACTTCTGCCAGTGGCCTGTGGGTTGCTGGAAACCAGGTGCGTCCAACTCTTGCAGCATCTGCTGCATGTAATATAGAACGACAACCTCCTTCGCAGGCTCCCATTCAACGTGCATAGGCTCATGGTCCAAGATATATTTCTCCTTCTGTTCACGGTTGAGTAAATCAACGTCAGGTTTCCAGTCGAGGCGGTAGAAGATGTTGCGCTTCTCTGACGGGGCGTACCCCATGTGTGAGACTGTGGTTGCCCTATACCCGTCAAGGATCACGGCCGGTTCCCCGGTATCCGAGCGCAATGCAAGAATGGAAGACTCGGTCTCACGGACTGCCTCACGGGTTCTATGGGCAATGATTTGGTATGAAGTTTCCGGTGTCCGATCAAGAAGACTGTGTGAGATCCAAAAGTCTCCGAACTGGGTTGGAGCCTGAAGAGGGCCATCGGAGGTACCGCCTTTGGTCGTAGCTAGTGCAGTGACCTGGAACACTCCATCAAGAGCGGACGGGTGGATGAGGTGAGGTTGGACATCTGCATTGCGCGCAGGGACCTTTGACTTCCACTCATCGGGCCAGATTGTGCCGATGGCCTTGGCCCCATGGGGGTCATAGACTACATCGTGCAGAGTGTTGAAGGTTGGACCAAATCCGTACCCAGTTCGAGTGGTTGACTCGTAGAACATGGATGGGGTGCTCTTTGCGGTACATTGCTTCAGGGCTTCTTGATAGCGGGCCTGGCATTCAGCTTTGAATACGCTCGCCTCGTCCTGACCGTAGATCTCATCGGGGGTTTCTTCTTCGTACTCGGTGGTGGCAGAGCCGGCCGCGACCTCTCTCCACTCATCGTCCGCATACACGCAAATACGGAAATCTCGGGCCTCGATTGCCTTGGAGCCTGTCGTACGGCTATTATCCTGGTTGCGGAAATAAATCTGGCATTCGACACCCTCCGGAGTATCGGGCACCGGTATGGCGGCAAATACCGAGACATTTCGCAGACGATAACCTTTGACAGGCTGGCCGGGCTTGTTCAGATATCTAACAGCCTCGAACGCAATGGTAGCAATTCCGGCACCTGGATAAAGGATGGTTCCGTTCACCTGAAATAATCAGCTACTGGCAATTCCGGCGGAACAATCGAAAATTGTTAACTCACCCGATGATCATTGAGCCATGGAAGGTCAGAAAGACGGATAGTGAATCTGAATCTTGGCTCAAATGGATTCCAATCGGTCACAGGGATACCGCGAAGTTCGTGCCTGATATTCTCACGATTTCTATAATTCTTCCACATACGACTCTCAAGCCAAAACTTGTGGGTATGGTTGAAGGGATACTCTGGTAAGTCTGCAATCATCTCTGCTTCTGCGTTATCATGGCAATTGACAGCATCGATCTTAACTGGGAATCCTTCCGTCCAAAGCTCGCCGGAAAGCTGCTTAAGAGAGACAACGCCTGACACATCTCGCCGCACCGTTATACCGTATTTTGGGTTGTCCAGACTGTCCATCACAGCTCGCTGCATGGCTGGGTGAGGGCCAATTTCCACGAAGTAATTATCATTACGTGATGCATTACCATTCAACGCATCGAATTGCTTAATCGCCTGGGCAAATCGAACAGGGGAGACAAGATTGTCAACCCAGTACTGGGGCTGGGAGAGCTGTTCCACTTCGATAGGCTTTCCCGTCACGGACGAAACAAAAAGAGGTTTGGAAGCATGCTCAGAATTTTGCGGTGGTGCAATAGATTTTATGAGGCCCAGGTATTCTTCAGCGATGGGCTGCATGTGGGACGAGTGATAGGCCACTGGAATCCTGAGCTTGCGAGCAAAAGCATTGTCGTCATCGAGGCGATTCTTGAGCTCATCAACAGCCTTATCCAATCCAGAAACTGTAATGTTGGTGCTGCTATTGAAGCAAGCTACAGAAAGCGATCCAGCACCGTGAACTTTGCTAATTTCTTCAAAGTACGGCCGAAGCTCTGACTCTGAGAGACCAACCGCTATCATACCACCCTTTTGAGGTGAGGTAGCAGTATCCTTGGCGAGTCGTGCGGCAAGAGCGCCTCGGAAGTAAGCAATGGTCCAGGCAGACTCGCGGGATATGGCACCAGCACTGAAGGCCGCTGCCACCTCTCCTGAAGAGTGTCCTACAACGCCCGAAAGGGTAATGCCCCAAGTTGCCAGCAGTTCAACTAGGGCGATCTGTAGTGCGGTACAAAGAGGCTGTGAAAGGTCCGGACTATCGATTCGGGAGGCATCTTTTGGCTTGTGCAGTTCTTCGAGAAGAGACCAGGTGCTTCCAAGTCCTTTCATGTAGGCATCCGCGGCTTTAAGGCTCTCACTGAATTTCTCAAAGGTAGAAAGCTCAACACCCATTCTTGCCCACTGTGCACCTTGTCCAGTGAACACGAACAGCAGATTTGGGGCAGTAGATGAGCGAATCGGCTTCGGAATATTCTCTAACTTCGAGATCAGATCCCCCAGAGACGCTGCAAGGACGTATGATTTGTATGGGAGGAGACTGCGTTTATTCGACAGAGTGAATGCAAGATTGCGGAGATATTCCGAAGATACGTCTTCAGGCTTCAGCAATGACAAGTATTCTTTATAGACTGAGGCAAGTCTGTCAATTCCACCAGAGTCAGCGGCAGAGTATACAAAGAGGAAAGGATCAGCCCTTTGGGCATCTCCATTGGAGCCTAGTGTATGTCCATTGCTGGAGTGGCCATTGACGCCGTTAGCCGTGCCATTGGAGAGAGATAATTGCTTCGGTGGTGATGTGGCCGTCACATGGCGTCCCTTGATACCGCGCTCTTTTAGATAATTATAGGCATCATCCAAGATAGCATGAGCATTGGAGCCACCATACCCAAACGCATTGACTGAAGCACGACGCAGGCCGTCGTTGGGCCAGGGTATGGGTTTTTTGGGAAATTCGAGGTTCCACGCTTTCGATTGAATCTGAGGATTGAGGTTCTCGAAACCCGCAATTGGAGGAATGATGCCTCTCTCGAGGCACAAAATCATCTTAATCACACTTGCAAGGCCTGCAGTTGCTTCCAAATGTCCAATATTAGCCTTGACGGACCCAACGTACAGCGGGTCGTCCGGACTTCGCTCGCTCGAGAAGACATTCCTAATTGCATTGGCTTCAATGGGATCGCCCATGAGAGTGCCAGGACCGTGTGCCTCGAACAAGCGTGTCTGCTTGAAATCGAGGCCTGCATCCCTATACGCTGTCCTTATCAGTCTTTCCTGGGCTGCGAGACTAGGCTGAGACATATTTGGAGTGTGGCCGTCCTGGTTCGTAGCAGTTCCCCGAATTACAGCTCGAATTATGTCGCCGTCTGCCACCGCGTCGCTGAGTCGTTTCAATACCAGAACACCGAAGCCATCGCCCTTCGCATATCCGTTTCCCTTCGCATCAAAACTGTAGCAACGGCTGTCTGGAGAGATAAATTTCAAGGATGACAGCGAAATGACGTCTGATAATGGCTCCAGGTACAAGTTTGTGCCGCAAACAAGACTCTGAAATACTTAGTTCCCGAATAGCAATATTGGGCGGAAGGGTTTTTACGAACCAGGTTGGATTCCTTTGCGAGAAGGCTCTTGCACCCAAGGTGAAGACTGATCAGACTGCCGGAGCATGCCGTTTCAATGGTCATGCTCGGGCCAAGCAGGTCATAGAACCAGCTCAGACGGTTCGACAAGATCGCGCCCGAATTACCATTAGCCTTATATGGCGCATGGACTTCTTCGTCGAACTCGAACATTCTGACGTAGTTAATGCCCAGAGCCGCCACGTACACAGACGTGTTGGATCCAGCGACGTGCTGCATGGGAAGACCAGCTATGCGAATATCAGCACCGATTATCGTGACACCGGGGCCATGGCACACTGACTTCATGGCTATGAGAGTGCTTACCATTTTCAAAGGCTCGATATGAGGTTTCTAACAAGCATCGCTGTTGCGGATCCATGCTCTCCACTTCAGCGGGATTCATTGAAAAGAAAGGCGCATCGAATGCAGCCATATCTTGGGTTACAAAGTGACCCCCGCGGCAATTGATCTGGTGGTCTCACATCTTAGCCTTCGTTTCAGTGCCCCACCGCTTATGGGCTTGTACGAACCGTGTCATTACGTGAACCGTCTGGATGGTAGAAGCCATTGATGTTGAAACGGTTCGCAGGCACCTCGGTCATTACAGATCGGCCATCTTCGAGGATTTCCCAAAACTTCTGGGGCGATGTGGCATCTCCCGGGAAGCGCATGGAGTATCCAATCACGGCCACATCGTCTTTTCCAATGGTGCCCACGTTTGCATCCTGGGGAGGCTGCATGGTTTATGGGATTTCCCGTAACGCGAAGGGTAGAGGGAGAAGGCAATGGGCGAAGAAGATGGAAGAGAGAGATTCTTTTACGTTAAGAGAGAAGAGGCAGGACACCCGGCTTTTGTTTCATATTAAGCCCGCCCGCTCCTTGGGCGAACAATTTAGCGAGCATAATTAACATTCCAAATGCAGATAACGGTTGCTAGAACTAACGCTCTGGCAAGAACACGCCACCTATCACTGCTTGAACCTACCGATCGGCGCCCCAGTTTTCGCTGGCGGGTGGGGCCTGAACAGGGATCTAGAGCCCCTCCTGTATGTGAGCTTGCTTCAATCAGGCAATTATTCGGAACATTGATGACATCGGTGCCTAGTCGCGCTTCATTCCCTCAAAACACTAAGTTTTAGCGCTTTGGATCCAGCACATTCTTCAGCCCCTCCCCCTCTACGTCCGGTCTTCGACCCCACTAGCCTTGCCGGGCCTGGCCGACATGGCCTGATAGACAGAGATCAGTCAATGCATGCGCTGGCAAATCCACGAGTTCACAAAGATCAACATGGCGCTCCACGGTTCTGTGGATGGCCGTAATCCTTCCGAGCCGCCCGGGTTGACGAATGGCGTCTGGCTTCATACGGTACGGAGCACAATGTACGGCGTACGCAGCGAGCCGATCCTAACGACACGCACCAGATCCATAGGATCCATAGGATCCATAAGGTCCATAAGATCCGTAAGACCCACAACCCCGCACAGTGGTTGGTGCTCGAATTGCATACAGCTGTGGAGTACGACTGACTATCTCAGCAAATCAATCCGAATACTTGGACTGTGCACGCTCGATGATGCTGTCTGCTGCATAAGCTGGCTGGTCCTAGGACTGTGCTAAGGATTGTTTACCAAGTCTTGTAAAACACCCTGGACCATCGGATCCGTCCCGTAAAACTGTACTTTCTTTGTTTGCTGCGCCGATTTCAGGATCGGCAAGGTAGTATTCCTCCAGTCCCGTAGGACCCCCTGTCAAACCTGCGAACCCCGGTTCGCTTTGCGCTATTTAAGAGAAGAAATACTGGAACTGGCTGTCTCTTCATTCTTTTTCCACAGGCAGAGAATTTACAGCGGAGGCTTCTTCAAGTCTTAACTACTAGTAGGCAAAGCCCGTAGCCCGTTCACCCGTTCCATTTGGATTGATTTCTGGTCTTCTACCAGTGTCTTTACTCCATTGTTTATCTTGGTCTCGGCATCATCCCCACAACTGACAACACAAATCATAGCCATGACAGAAATCCATGGCTCTTGCGATCCCGCCTTTGAATCCGTGCGCGGTCTTTTGCAGCAACAACTTGCCCAGGGAAACGAAGTTGGGGCGTCACTTTGTGTCAATATCGACGGGCAGAATGTGGTCGATCTCTGGGGTGGCCATGCCGATGCAGAAAAATCGAAGCCGTGGGAGAAAAACACTCTCACTGGGATCTTCTCTTCTACAAAGGCCGTCGTCAGCATCGCCGCTCATATCCTTATCGACCGAGGCCAATTAGACCCGAATGAGAGAGTCGCGACCTACTGGCCGGAATTCGCAGCGAACGGCAAAGAGGACATCAAAGTCTCACACATCCTTAGCCATTCTTCCGGGCTGCCAGCATGGGACGGGGGGGATCACGCCAGAAGAGATGCAGGACGTCCAAAAATCAACAGCAAGACTCGCCCAACAAGCACCCTGGTTCCCAGCTGGCTCACAGAGCGCGTACCAAACATCAACCTATGGACATTTGGTGGGCGAGCTTGTCCGCCGAATCTCAGGCAAGTCACTCACTCAATTTATCGCTGACGAGATCGCCGACCCTCTTGGGGCTGATTTCCACCTCGGCATTTCGGAGGAAGACTGGCCACGGACTGCCGACATCGTACCATTCCCAGCAGAGTATGCCGCTGCCTTCAACTTTGATCCTGAGAGCTTCCTGGGCAAATCTGCCGCGGGCTCTGCCTTGCTGCCTTTGCTCCCCAACGATCCCAAGTTCAGGAAAGCGGAAAATGGGTCCTGGGGAGGATTCTCGAACGCCCGTGCTCTAGCCCGGATTGGATCCATTGTGTCGCTAGATGGTACTGTTGACGGTAAGAAATATCTTAGCCCAGAGACTCTGGATGCCGTTATGAAAGAGCAGATCCAGGGGAATGACCCCATACTCTTCGTCTACATGCGCTATGCACTTGGATTCGGTCTGCCTCCTGGTAAAGACTTTCGTTCTGTCCCTGAAGGCGATGGCATTTGCTTTTGGGGTGGCTGGGGCGGCTCCTTGTTAGTCATGGATCGCCGCCGCCGGATGACTATTGCCTACATGATGAACAAGATGGAGTTTCGCACTATTGGATGCGCCAGAGCTGAAGAGTACGTGCAGGACATCTACAAGAATTTTGACGCCAAGAAATAGGCAGGCGCCCCAGTTGAGTTGCTTTCCTGTTATCCAAGTGTCATTTATGGGTCTTCTTGAGTTAGGCCTCACGCATCGTAAATCAAAATATTCCAGAGTGGATCAGGATAGCTCCTACTACATAAATGAGAAGCCCCCGTGTATCAGAACGCACTTGAATGTGCTTCCGCCCGCCAAACACATGTGGCTGCAGCTTTCAATCCAGGTCCTCGGACCTCATCAATACACAGCAGATCGTAGTATGTGCTTCTGTACATGCGGTCGATCGATCGGTGGACACAGCCCCGCGCCCATTGCAGAGTGGGCCCCGGGGCCCGGGGGCGCTTGCAAATCTATTAATGTTTCGGCAGTGCACCGCGCGGAGTGGCCGCATACCTTTGCGAGCCTTTCCAGTTTGCGGCCCAGATGCTCGGGGCCGTCATACAATAATCATAGTTAGGGTACAGATGAAAAGGGCTCCATGTTTCGGACACAGAACTAACCTTGCTTTTCTATATGATCCCCCACTCGGTCTTCAGCCCTTCGGGAATTGCGCATAAAAACAGTTGAAATTTGAATACAAGTAATTGGGGGCGGCTGCAGGTCTGCACGCCTTCCCCAATAGAACGTTTTCTTCATCAGGGACAACCATGAAACGTCGATCTCAGCTGACGAAAGGGGAGCGAGTTGTACCACCCGAAGAGTCCAAAGCACCTGGAGTCCTAATTTCCAAAGATCATGCCGTCTGGGCATCGTCATCCGGAGACTTTCCAGGCTCTCCCTCTGCGCAACTCGCTCATTTGAATCTGCTGCTCAGGCCGTGGTTCGCCTTTCTGGCCAACGCGCACTGTTGACACCTTATAAGGCCGCGCCTTGTCGAATCTCACAATTATTCCGACTCGGTCCATCGCGACGCCATGAATAAGACACTGAGTTCGAGCGGTTCTGAGAACCTGGGCGCTTCTATTGCTATGCTGCTCATTTCAGCGATCGCTGTTATTCTTCGACTCTCATTCAGAATATCAGCGAGGCAAAACTTGACTGTTTCGGATGGATTAATTGTATTATCGCTGCTATTCATGGTTGTCTACTGTGCCAGCATCATCCACTGTGAGTACAGTCTATTTTTCTCCCCAACGAATTGTGACGGCTAACATCGTCACAGATGTTACTGCGGGCCCCGGTCCTGGTACCTTCGATGTGGGACAAATAAAGGCGAACGTGAAGAACGGTGGTCTTCGCTGGGGAATCGCTATGGCTAAGGTACGACCTCCGTGGCAGCACTATGCCTTTGACTGTTGCAGGACTGATGTCCATTAACTTATCAGTCATTTTGGGCGTTAACCTTCATCATTGATAGACCCTTTACCTTTGCGACATCTTCTTCATTGCGACAGTCTCCACTGCCAAATTGTCGATTCTGGCACTCTATCGTAGTATCTTCGGGGTTTCCGTCACTTTCAGACGTGTGAACTACGCTATGGTTGCTTTTGTGTGCTTGTTCTGGATTGTCTTCACATTTCTATATATCTTCCAATGCAGTCCTGTCCACATGGTCTGGGATGCTTTAGCCTCACCAGTATACTGCATGTCGAGTGGAAAGCTCACTCTCGCCTTCGAGCTCACCAACCTCTTCGTCGACGTCACCATGGTGGCTATGCCTCCTTTCATGATCGGCCAGCTCAATCTCCGCAGCGCCCAGAAGTATTCAGTCATCGGCATTCTTCTCCTTGGAGGAGTGTAAGTTACAACTACCTACCCAATGCAAATCTCTCGCTCTGACAAAACACTAGGGTTTGCATTGTCAGCATGGTCCGCCTGGCCTACATCTGGGTCCCATCCAATCCTGATTTCATGAACACTGCCCCAGCCATGGTGGCCTCGAGTGTTCAGCTCGGTATTGCAATTCTATGCGCCTGCTTCCCGACCTACGCGCCCCTACTCCGCTTCTGCTCGGGCGCCCGCAAGGCTGACTACAACAATACGCCTGGGAAATATTACAATTACGGATCGGGGGTTCAAAATAATAGGCCTAAACCGGTGATGAATTCTAGACACACTGCTACTGAAAGCGAATACGAACTGAACACTGCTTCGGAATATGAGCGTGCTTAGAAAAGAAAAATTGCGATTAACACGGCGTGATACGGATTCTGGACGGCGTTGTGCATGGGTGTTTACGATATTATAGTGGTCTAATCATCTACAACTGGTATCTGTAATATAGACTGTCAGGGCTGGCTCTCCATTTGTCATCTGGCCTTCGGATGACGAAATGCTGTGCTAAAGATTCAAAGTGTTTCAAACGTTCAACCTACTAAATACTGACCATTAGTCAAGGATAGGCCAAGAATAATAAGGCAAACATTACTAGTATAGTGATTTAGAGCCGGGCTAGACCTGCCGTCCTGCACCCTCGACTCGTGCTGACTTGCCGGCCGCAGCTCACACTATCCAACTCGGTACTTGAATTTAGACAGTGGGTCTCATTCCTTCTTCTAGGGAAGTGACGCGGTACCTACACACCTGCCCCCAGTGTCTTTGTACGACTACATCCTAGCCCCAATCTAATCCTCAAGGTCCACGCAGCTCCCGCAGTCAGCCAATGGATAACACAAATGCCATCTTTATATAGTGCACTCTGTATACTGCGTGAATTTTGCCTGCAGCCCCACGACGATCCATTTCCTGCCCCACGTTACATCGCATATTGTACTTCATTTCCATACTGTGGAGGGGCGTTACTGCACAGACCCCAGGACGGGAAAGTGGCTACTTTTCCCCGGCCCCACTGGGTTGTATCGTGGCTTTCCTAGGATCCACTTCTACCTTCCCTCCTTGCATATACTGAGTACAGGTACTGTATTATGTATCTCGGTGTATTTTACGTTCTCAGGGCGTCGTGGAGCCCACAGGCACATATTGAGCGCCTGAAACTTAGTTTCTGAACGACGCAGTGTACTTATCATCATATCTGGAAGTAAGTACTGCGCACAAGAGCGGAGCTCCCCTAGTGGGCCCAGAGTCGTGGCCCCGGCACCTGCGGCTGTGGCAATAGTGTTGTAGCCACGGCCCATGCTGCCCCGCTCGCATAACTTGTGATATACGCCAGTCGTGAACGAGTTGGCCCACAGACGGCAGACACGGAATCTCAACCCATGCATCTTGCATGACCGAAGAATTGAGACTTTGTGCTTTGCTTACTATCGAAAGAATCTTTCTAGGGTAAGCAAAGCTTGAAGACTGAACTCTGCGCTGCTATTTGTACAGCGTGATAGTACAAGATTTGCCAGGACCCAAGGCCTGTAAGGTATCGCTTAATGCCTAGGCCTGAGGCCGGGTGATCGCGGACCCGATTCCTCAAATCTGCATCTCGAACTCGACGACCTCATCCCGAGCTCGACGCCAAAATGTACGAACCCGGGACTACAGATGTACACCCCCTCGCAGGCTGCCCCTCTCCTTATTCATGTCATAAATATCCATTTGCCGCAACCTATAGGGGTAGCAAACAATTCAATAATTATGTTTACCCTCCATCTCTGTTCTAGTTATTGCCCATACCCATAATCTCAGCAAGCGCAGCCCTACGCTGTTAGTAGAACGAAGCGGACATTACATAGTATTTCCTATCTGTACATTCAAAGTTCATCAAGAGATAGACTTTCCTGAACTGATAAACTTTTCGACTGTCCTATTGACTCGGATCATGGAACTCTGTTTGACTTTCCGGCCTAGTCTGAACTCTCGGAAGGCCCCGGTCATCCCTAAATCCCTCTTGCCACGTTTCACCTGCAGGAGAGCGAAATAGGCTACCTGATTGGATCCAATGGAATGCATCTTACTACCTCCCTTCCCTTGTGCCGGGTCGTCCTTTTTCTGTGAACTAGTCAAAGGCGCCCTTCCATGCACCCCCCCCCTTCCCCCCCAGTCGGCACGTTGTGATAATCCGGCAATCATATAGCCTAGGATCTCCTAGGACGGGCTTCATATCCAATAATATAATAGTATCTCATCATATGGGGTACTCGACACCGAATTCATACGCTTGACAATGATAGAACTCGGCCTCGGATGAGACCGGTAGCAATGGGGCGCTGGTTGAACAGATATATACCTCACACTAAATGTGGAACCGTAGCCAGCACAGTATTTGTGGCAGAAAAGGGCGGTATAATTGATTGTCGCACAAGGTGCCTCGCTGTATAAGCTCCTAGTTGACTTCACATAGACCTTCTTCTGTCAGCTTATGACACTTTGCCGGGACTTTGCTGACCTTGGAAGACAACCTGGGGCTTACGTTGTCGCCATAGTTGCATTTCTAGCAGATAATGGCCCAAGGAGCAGTTTCATTGTAACTAACTGGCGGGGAAATTTGCGGGGAAAATATTAGTAATTCCGTGATCGGCGTTTGCTCCGAGCGCTTCTCCCAAGACCGCCATTAGCGCCGACCAGTATATCCCTGACGTCGAGCCTTATAGACGTATAGACCACGGCTCAAGAATTGCGATGCCGACTGCCGAAGTCCCGGGCTCACAGGTAGTCACACGGCGAGTGAACAAAAGGCGAGGGACTACTCGTGAGCGCACGGGGTGCTTGACCTGTCGGCAAAGGTAAGCGTAGTCTGAAACGAAACCTTTATACGATATGCTCACGGTGAAACAGGAAGAAACGGTGTGACCTAGGCTACCCTGTCTGCAAAGAATGTGTTCGCTTGAATTACATGTGCAAATGGGAGGACCCGAGGCAGGTCAACCAGGATAACACGAGTAGAGCCTATGACCACCAGCTGAGCCGCCAGTCCAACAGTCCATATCGGCTTTTTGCTGTTCCAGACCCGGTGTTATTCTGGGTGGATGAGCATGCTGACTGCACGTCCCCTTCTAGCCGCAGACATTTTCTGAGATATTACACGCAGACCTTTACACATTTACTGACAACTAATATCGAAAACAACTCTTTCTTATCGGGTAGGCCCTGTCCCAAATGACCTCGTGCTTTATATCTCTAGGCTGATATGGGTAAAACAGTATTCTTGCCGATGGCCATGCACAGCCCGCCGCTCCTGAACGCACTGATCGCATGGTCATCCTCACATCTATCTCTGCGCGACGATTCTTTTCGGCATGTAGCTATGCAGAATCGATGCGCTGCTCTAAGCGACCTCCGGGCCGCACTCCAAAACGAGCCTGTGAGTATGGAGATGAACCTCGCAATGTCGCTTGTCTTGTGCTCGCTAGAAAGCATCATGGCCGATAACGGGGATGCCTGGTATCTACACCTGGCCGGAGCTGCAGGAGTAATATCTTCAAATGCAAACATTACAGACCATCTAAATAAGACAAGCCCGGTCCCTCTTCTGCAAAATTTTGAAGACGCCCATGCTGGACGCTGGCTTCTGCGCAATTTTGCATACCGCGATATCGTGATGGCGGTCGCTCGAGACCGCGCTCCGTTGTTGAACTCCTATTTATTTCTCCAGCTGGACGATGCACGTCTCCCCGATTCCCATTTCGGGCTTGCGTTCGAGATATTGGAAATTATCTCCCAGATCGCTACACTCAATGAACAACGGAAGAGCGAAGGATCTACCGAGATTGGCCAGCCCTTGGACTCTCAGGTGGCCGTTCAAAATACCAACCCCTCGCCTCTCATAGTCCCCCCTGACCTACTCGGCTCGCTTCAGGCCCTGGAATATCGATTACAGCAATGGGTCTGTCCCCAGTCCACCGATATGTCACTAAAACTGCTGGCAGAGTCATACCGGGGCTCCGCTCTCATCTACTTGTACCGCGTGATGCGTGGCATATCCCCGAGCGAAAAACCAGATTTGTCATCGAAAATTATGTCGCAGGTAGCTGCTGTGGTGGGCAATATCGAGCAGATGCCTACGCGCAGTCTACCGGAATGCACTCTGCTCTTCCCTCTGTTCCTCGCCGGCGGAGAAGCCACCACAGAGTCGCACATCAAGAGTATTCGGCATCGGATGCTCGACATGATTAACTCGCGGGGGTTTCGGAATGTGGAAGTTGCACTGTCTGTGCTGGAGAAGCTTTGGCGGTTGAAGATTGTGCGGAAGGCGGCTGGGTCTTCAGCGCAGGTTGACTGGCTTGATATTGTGCGGCAGGATGGAATCAGCCTGTCTTTGTCATAATATTTTACGATTGATAACTATTTACGGGTGATGTGTATGAGTCATGTAATATCCCATAGTGTGCTGAATTATGATACGACTTTGCATGGTTATTTCCTTCGATTTCAGCCAAATTGTTCAGTTTACTAGTATACAAGCCACAAACACAATAGACAATTCCCGTCAATCTGGAAGACGCCTTAAGGTAAGCAAATCATCCCACCCCAGCCACATGGAAATCATTACAAGTACAAGGATAAACAAGAAGTTGTGGTGACATGGAGTAGAGAACATCAAAAACAAAAGCCATCAAGGCTGGTACACCTTGAAACTCCTAAACTCCCAATAAGCGTCTTCGAATTGAGAGGGATTGTTTGACACAAACTCGGGACAGGTAGCCGGACAGTTGTACATCTTCTCATAATATTGTGGCTGGGCTGCAAGGTCGCCGCAAAGATCAATATTGGCAATGATGCTTTGGTTCCGGAAGTGCGATGAAATATCACAGTTGGTATTAGGAAAGTCGGCAAGTGCAGTGCCCCAATTAGATGGGTTTGGCGAAGATCCGGCGCTGCTGATGTCCGCTGGGATTTCTTCTCGGGGGAAGAACCACGCACGAACACCTTCGGCGCGAAGTTCTAATGCATAAACCTGTCATAAATCACATTAGAAATGATCCTTTTTTAGCCATGGCCCGACTGAAAGAGCACTTACGCCACCTCCACGCTGGTTGAACTCTCGGCCGTATGTCGATGGGTCTCCCTCCACACTGCAACCCGCGTTGCTGTGGGTGGTGTTCCCGCAGTCCTTGTAGAGCGCGGATCCAGTCTGTTTGCGCTTCACATCCATCTTGCATCCATCCGTGGTGTGTAGCGTGACCGCATTCCCACGAGACCCCTCGTTGGTAGTCTCCAGAATGTCGATTTCGCCATTGTTCGGCCAGTTGTACCCGTCGACGAGCCAGAGCGCAGGCCAAGTTCCACATCCATAGGGCGTATGAAGGATGTCGAAGATGAAGAGGCCTTGGTCGTAGGCCTTTTTGGATTCTATGCGCACGGAGTTCCGGCCGCCCACTGCATTAGGCGTGGAGGAATCCACTCGCAAGATGGCAGATGTATCCGTTGCATGAGTAAGATTGAGATCCAGCGCAGCTTGTTCATTCACGTATCTGGAATCGCAACAAGTCAGTCTCGGATTCTGGAGCACAAAGCAAGAAATGCGTACACGACATGACCATTGGTAGGATCCTCGCCAGAGAAGTAGTCAAACTGGTCGAAGAACGAGATTCCCCCGTATATATCCACCAATTTATAATCCAAGGGTCGATAGTCAGGGTAGCGATTCGCTTTCACCCCTTCGTAAGCACCAACCACAACAACGATGATGATCACGACAACAGTGCTGGCCACTACCAGCTGCTTGCGCAGCGACCAGCTTCGAGGATTTCGAAGTGACCACTGTCGCCAGTCGTACCATGCTGCTTTAGGCCTCTCTTCCTCGGGAGATTTAGAGGGCACTAGCACGGCTGGATTCGCCAGAGTTTTGGGCAGATCTGCTGCCTGTAGTCGCGATGTCGCATCGCTATATCGATCTAAGTATTGAGCCGGAAGCTTTCGGTCGTCCATGTTGAAAAGGAGTTCTCTATGAAATTGTGGAAAGTATATGGATTGTATATTGAGAATCGTAACAAAATCATGAGCCTATGATCTCCGATCCCAAAATACTTAAAGTTCTGTCATATTTCCTAATTAAGCTCCGCCGTTTTCGAGTCAGGAACGAGCGTTTATGTCGTCATGGCCGACCGTGGTATGCAGCCGCTATGGTGGACCTAGCTTGGTATGTTGAATGAGCACAACTAGTAGTTTCCATGTCGATCGCTGCCATTTGACCCAGCATGTTCCCTCATTACCCCCCGTCACCCCCCCGTCAGTGAGGCTCCATCAAAGCTCCAAGATGCTGATTCCGTTCATGGTCAGAATACCAAAGAACACTGCCCGTTGCATTGCCGCCGAATGGCCCCAGTGGGATGTCAAGGCAGGAACGCTGAGCGACGTCATCGTGGCCATCTATCCAACAAGGGATGAAGGCCATGGGAGCTTCTTGAAGCCATCCGCGTAGAAACGAGCGCTACTGCCAGCTCACATGACCTCTGGGCCGACGCCGGACGGGCCTCGGCTCGACGGTTCTGCAATGAGCCAACCCCGCGTTCAACCGAGAAGAGACGCATTGGAATGTTCTTTGGCCGCTGTCTCTCCGACGATCGGCTAAGGTTTTCCTCTTGTCCGGTACTCCCTCTTGTATCTAATCCGCCTTTTATCCTCTTGTTGCTGAATTTCTACTTCTTCCCCAACTGTCCGCAGTGCACGGCTATCCCCACAATCTTCTTACCCCGGATCCGGCTCTACAGAACCCACAATGGCTCTTAGCTTCAGAACAGCTCGCCCCGCCACCAAGCTCGCCCAGGTAGGTTGAAAGATAGCCGTTTTAGCTTCGGCATTGATCAAGGTTGCAGGGGCGTGAATACTAACCCATTTATCACAGGCTTCTCGACCGCTAGTCAGCAGCCGACGCTATGCGACCGCCGAGCCCGACCTGAAGACCGTCCTGAAGGAGGTCATCCCCGCTAAGCGGGAGCTGTTTAAGCAGGTCAAGGCTCAGGGCGAGGAGAAGATCGGCGATGTGCAGATTGGCAACACCATTGGTGGCATGCGCGGCCTCAAGGCCCTCCTCTGGGAAGGCTCAGTGCTCGACCCCAACGAGGGCATCCGTTTCCACGGCAAGACCATCAAGGACTGCCAGAAGGAGCTCCCCAAGGGTACCTCGGGCACCGAAATGCTTCCCGAGGCCATGTTCTGGCTGCTTTTGACTGGCCAGGTCCCTTCCACTGCGCAGGTCCGGGCCTTCTCCCGGGAGCTCGCTGAAAAGTCGCACCTCCCCACCCACATCTTGGACCTGATCAAGTCTTTCCCCAAGCACATGCACCCTATGACCCAGCTTTCGATTGCTGTGGCTGCCCTGAATACCGAGTCCAAGTTCGCTCAGGCTTATGAAAAGGGCCTGAACAAGGCTGAGTACTGGGAGCCCACCTTTGACGACAGCATCTCGCTTCTGGCCAAGATTCCGCGCGTGGCCGCCCTGGTCTTCCGACCCAACGAGATCGATACCGTTGGCACCCAGAAGCTAGATGCTGCGCAGGACTGGTCGTACAACTTTGCTGAGCTGCTGGGCAAGGGCGGCAAGGAGAACCAGGACTTCCACGACCTTCTTCGTCTGTACCTCGCTCTTCACGGCGACCACGAAGGTGGCAACGTCTCTGCGCATGCTACCCACTTGGTTGGCAGTGCCCTGAGTGACCCCTTCCTCAGCTACAGCGCTGGTCTTCCGGGCTTGGCCGGCCCATTGCACGGCCTTGCGGCCCAGGAAGTCTTGCGTTGGATCCTGGCCATGCAGGAGGAGATTGGCACCAAGTTCACCGACGAGGATGTCCGATCCTACCTCTGGAGCACTCTTAAGTCAGGCCGTGTGGTGCCCGGCTACGGACACGGCGTTCTTCGCAAGCCCGACCCCCGCTTCGAGGCTCTGATGGACTTCGCTGACTCCCGCCCTGACGTCCTCGCCAACCCTGTGTTCCAGCTCGTGAAGAAGAACTCGGAAATTGCCCCTGGTGTCCTTACCGAGCACGGAAAGGTATGTCATTCAATGGACTGGTACTCGGGTAAATGAGACTATAGCTAATTGATGTTGCAGACCAAGAACCCTCACCCCAACGTGGACGCTGCCTCCGGTGTTTTGTTCTACCACTACGGCTTCCAGCAGCCTCTTTACTACACCGTTACATTCGGTGTCAGCCGTGCATTGGGTCCTCTGGCCCAGCTTGTCTGGGACCGTGCTCTGGGCCTGCCTATCGAGCGCCCCAAGAGTATCAACCTCCTCGGTCTGCTCAAGAAATAAACTCTTCACTGTAGAGAGAAATCGGTATATGTTTGTAGGCGTATTTGCACAAATTGTTGATACTTATGGAAAGCGAGTTCAAATGGAATCCCAGGTCTTTTAAGGAAAAGCGCGATACTCTTGGTTGAATAGAGATAGAAGGGCAATTCTAGAAAGACATATCTTCACCTGAAATCATTGTTTCTTGTACCAACAGAACTCGAACCCGAACTCGGAGCACAACCACACAAGCGGCAAATGAGTTATGGCTACTTTCAAGATCCCTCAAGTAAGATAAGGTACACTATCCAAGAGTGACACTATATTCTGGAATGTCTGATCGCTCTATGGTGCAATGAGAGACAGACAGGCCCCTCCAATGCAAAAATGTAGGTAACAAGCTAGCACAAGAAAGAAGGGGTATAGAGCAATGGAACTAAACAGTAACGCAACGCTGAAAAGAAATAACGACAAAATTCATCTCATAAGTGCACAGTGGCAAGGTAACTTGGCACTGGCAAGCCATCGATTTCAAAAGCTTCCCGCATCAATCTTGCTCGGGTTTGCAAATCATTCAAGGTGCGATGCGGGAGAAGGTCGCCCATAAATCTTCTGATCATGTGAAAGCGATTGTCATCTGCAGGCAGGATTAGTACAATCTCACATAGATAATAGCGGAGAGCACTGACTCCGATAAGCCTTCAATCCATCAACGAGGGCTTTGTCTTCCGACGGACTCCAGGCAGCATATGCATAGACGACGTTATGCTGGTTGGCAGCTTGTCGTCCTCCATCATGCTCCAGCTCGCCATTATCCAGGGCCCTCTTCAGACGCGTTAAAGGAACATGCAGGTGCCAAGTACGAGGTGGCCTCCTGCCTGCGAAATAGTCTCCGTTCCTGAGAGCTTTCAATCGCTCCAGGCAATGAGAGACTAATTCCAAAATGTAGTCGAATTGGTGATAAGCTGCCGCGCCAAAGGAACGATAGACGCGGAAACTTATGACCACGAGGACGCTCAAGCGTGGGACAAAATAGCGCTGGAAGTTGTCGGCGATGAGGGTCGCCTTTAAGATGTTCTCATCTTGCCACGCGTTGAAGTTCAAGATCTCTTTGATTTCGTCAAATGCCTCGGTCTTGAGCTTCAAGATATGGGTCTGGATGTTGGTTGACAGAGTGGCTGAAGATTCTATGTCTTGGTAGCATTCTTCAAGCTCGTCGATGCTTCCAATGGCATTAAAAAACATCCGGGGCAACCGTGGCGGTGGGTTGTGTTTCAAGGTAAGGATGTTGGAGCATAGCTTTTCCCAGTCATTTTTCAATGGGGTTTCTGCAGTGGCTTTGTAGAGCCATTCCTTCAAGGCAGAAGACAAGCCCCCAAAAGCCGGCGTATCAAACTCATTCTTTTGCACCTCGATAAGCTCAGTATTTGGGGGTTTGGGGTCGGCAACGTATCTCTTGAGAATGAGTGCCTTCCTTGGTCCCGCAAATCCGTGTCTTCTGCTTCCTCGAGGTCTCCATCTTGAGGGTCGCTAGCGGGTATATATTCTTCGATGTCTGACGAAGCTTCTCTGACGAATAATGATGATTCATCCGCCGAGTCGTCTTCAGATGCAGGTTCCGGCTCTGCGCTTGGTTCCTGGTCCACAGGCTCAACAGAACCAGAGAAGAGCTCGACAGCCATCCCTTCAAAGGGCTCGACCTCGCCCCCTGAGACTCCCCCTGAGGTTTCTATTTTCTTCCTCACTAGCGCTCCCGCTTTCGTTGGCCTCGGCTTCCTCATCGTCATCGGATATACCTTCGCTTTGGATCTCTCTGGGAGATTCCGCTGGCGTGGTGGTTGTGATCGGTTCGACATTCGGTTCTGAGGTCTCTTCTAAAGGCGTCTCGTAGGAATCTTCCACCTCACCGTCCGGCTCCTCGACAACGCCGGGTTCTTCGTGATCTGGCGAGTCGACAATGCCTGGACCCTCTTCATTGCTCACTGCCTCATTGTCTGTGTCTACTTGGTTGTTTGATCCATCGTTATATGTCTCTGTCCCATTGCCCAGTTCCCCGGCGATGTCCGAACCCGCGTCATCGTTTGAAATTTTCTCATTGCCTGCTGACTCCTCCTCGTCGGCGGATTCGTCGCGATACGTGGGTCGTCGCTCGCTCAGTTGATGTCTCGCTGCGGTTCGAGCACTTCGGCGCGGTGTATCGGGAGGGATGTCGTAGATGTCTGTATGGGTCTTGCGTCTTCCGGCCCTGGTCTCATCCCTGGTTTTCGGTTTCCTAGGGCTAAATGTAATGGCTTTATCAAGAGCGAGCTTCCTGTGAGGAAAATTGTTCACATTATTGAGCCAGTCGACCGTGTCGTCGTCGTTGATCGTAAAGAGTTGTTTCCCCTGCCCAATTTCCTCCGCTTGAGTCGGGTCGGTCCTTTGGGTTTGGCTTCTTTGCGCGACGGGCCCTCTTCAGTTTGGCTGGCTGGTTCTTCTCGCTTCGCTTGTTTGGACACCATTTTTGTTCGTGGTTACGCGTGGAGACGCGATGCAAGGGATCGGGAGGTTGAACTGAATCTTGGCGGAAGGCAGATTCCCACCGATCTGGCCCGTGTCGGCCCCTTCTACTTGGACGGTTTTAAAATTGTCTTTCTCGGAAGAATACTGTATCAGGTACTCTGTGAGGAGGAATCAGAGAGAATACTTGATCTGCTTCTTTGCTTCCTGGAGAGGACGAAAAGTGAACTTGTGGCAGGTGCCCTTCGAGCATATTCATGGTCCTCTTTATTAAGATCATAACCTTTTCCCGCTCACCTTAGCATTTCTAACTTCAAGCAAAGCTGTATCTACTAGTAGCACTCATACTAGTAGGCAAATTTTAACATGAAACTGGCCAAGGCATGAACGTAAAATTCAACTTGAAATGATGGCAAAGGGTGCTTACGCCACCGGGGCTTCGACACAAGCTAGAGGCATCTAAAACGCGGTGGTCCTCATCCTGCATTGGTGTCATGGCCTAGAACTCATCTTAGACTGATAAGAGCATCATCAAAGAGGAGATAGTAATTGTGTGCAATTGGATTCTGTATACTATTCTTCGCTAGGAGTATGTGTGCCTCAGAGACCTTAGATCCATTTCTATTCGACTGGGTATGGGTAAAGACATTACCAGACGACTCGCTTGAACCCAGTCATGTGCATAAAAGATGATGTCTACATGGGCGTCGGTATTATGTACAGCTATGATGCACTTAATGGGCTTTTAAGGAAAACGGATGATAGAAGTCTTCGGTGAATTAACTATGTTACATGCTGATACAGTGAGGTTCATATGCAAAGTATTGTACATTAGCGCTGGAGAAAAAAAAGACATGATTGACATGCCGGGGTGGTCGTGCTAACTACCACATCTTGCCCTTGCTCCTTGGCGCCGGTTTTGACATTGCGAGCGGAGTTCGCATGAACATGTCCATTAGAAGAGCAGCAGCCACGCTGACATTCAGGCTGTCGATTCGAGCTGGATCGCTCTGCACTCCCATGTCGAGGCCGTGCCGGGCACCTGGAATGCTGATAAATGCATCCGCATGGGACTTGATATGTCCACTTAACCCAGATGCCTCACTCCCCATCATGATGACGCTAGGGGCTTGTGCGGTAGGGGAAGTGCTCATGGTATCTTTACCATCAGCTAAAGCACGATCAACATAAGTCGCACCAGGGCCCGGAGCATCAGCAGCGTAGAATTTCCAACCATTCTCCTGGGATTTCTGAATGAATTCAACTTCATTCCTCACTTGGAGAAGAGCCATGTTCTCGGCTGCGCCGGCAGATGCTTTGATTGTCACAGGCGAGAGGGGCGCAGAGTTGCGGCCTGCGAAAATGATTGCGTCGATTCCAAGGAAGTAGGCAGATCGGATGATTGCGCCCAGATTTCCCGTATCGACAACACCGTCAATAAGTAGGGCAACGGGATACCTACGGGTCTGAGAGCCAGGGCGCATATCAGGTGGGTAAATGATGGAGAGTTGGTCGTTGGTACCGTTCACCAAGGCTTCTTCGCGAGTCTGCGGAGCCAGCTCCACACGGAAACTATCCTCGGTGACGGCTGGGACTTCCAAAAGGCTACGCACTGGAAGTTTTGGAAGAGGCGAAGCCTCGATGACACATCCATTGTGTGGTCGGCCGGCGCTCATTTTGTCTAGAAGCCGATCCCACTCTGCAAAGGCTATTTTGGTAGGGATGCCCTTCGACAGTGCCAGCTTGCGAAGAGTTACCTTTGCAGCGCCTAGCTCTTCATTGGCGCCCTGGTAAAGATATAGTTTGTAGAGTTGTCGTCGGCTACAGCGAAGGGCTGCTTCTACTGCATTGGTGCCGTATATGAATTCAGATGCCGGAGTAGTGTAGGGAACCGAGTCGGGGATCTTGGTGTGTTCCCTGATTCGCTCTGGCATCGTGTGCGTGACCTTGTGCGCCCGAGGCCCCTTGTGGGGAGTTTTACTTTTGTTCAAGGGAGCTGGGATCTGCTTGTCGGATTGCTGGCTCCATCGTGGCGCGTGGGACGACTGGTGTTCACTCGGTAGCGCACGGAAATTGCCGGTCCGAATGAACTCCTCCTCGTTGAAAGGGGCCCCGATAGAAGCTGTATCATCTCGCCGGCTTCGATCGCGCGGAGTGAATCGGTTCGCGGGGGTTATTCGTCTCTCAAAGGCTCTGGGTCTGTTGCTTCGGTCTGGTGCATCGGAAGTCCACGAAGAGTCGCGGCCGGCTGATCTGCGAATGCCTCGACCGATGGCAGAGTTGAGAGATGCGTATCGTGAGGGCGTCCATGAAGGTGAAGCCAGCCGACCGAGTCTGCTCACAGCATTGAGACTGAGCCTTGATACGCCCCAATCCATTGTGTCGGGAAAACCGTACAATTTGCCTTCAGCTGTCCGCGATTTTTTGATGATTTCTTGTTATCGATAAGCCCGGAGGATAGTTAGCCCGATCTGTCCTAAGCACGCTCTTTTCTCCACTACAAGCAACGAGTCTAACGAGATTCTTCGGGAAAATGGAACGAAAGACGACGTTTTAAGGGAGGACTTCATCACGCTACACATTTCCTTTGAGAAAAATGGGTTGAGGGTGAAAGTTATCTTCAGGAGGGTTCATGCTCACCGACCGATAATTGGAACGAACAAGGGATGCTGTTTCGGCGTCTGAGAGAGGCTATTCGAGCCACCCCAACTATACTGAGTTAAACTATACTAAGCTCCTCCATTTGGCCATGCCGATCATGATCAATAGGCCCAAGGGGCAGATCTTCCATAAAGTGCTCGCTCCAGATTAGCCTCAATCTCCTTTTCGCTCAGCGAATTTCGGCCATCATGGTCATCGTGATGATCCGATCTGCGAAGCCCTTGAGCCGATTCCAGCGCACAGTTCAGATCATACGCCTCTGTGAAAAAGACTAAGTAGCAACGCTATTCCCGAAATGACACAGTTCACCGCCCAAACGGTGCGTAGGCTGTCTGTATAAGCAGTTTTCAGGTCAGACTTCTCCCCACTGTCCGTCATAGTTTGGATAACCTGGACAAGACCGGCTGCATCTTGACTATACTCGCTCGCCCTGGCGGCAAGTGAAGAATATTTCAGCAGATTAGCACGCATTCGGTTTTGGAAAATCACTCCGCCGATAGCAACCCCAATTGCTTGTCCCAGAGCGCGGAAGAAGCTGAACATCGCCACGGCGATGGGCACGTTTTTCGGTACCGCAGCGGCTTGCACGGCATATCCGAGAGAAGGGAATAATATGCCAAGCCCAAGCCCCGGAACAATGTTCAGCAGAATCCACCCATGGATGCTCGTGTTCACTTTGATGAGGCATACCAGTCCGAGTCCGATGGTAGAAACCACCCATCCAGACCAGATTGCCCATCTATAGCGCCCGGTTCGGCTGATTGCTGCGCCCACGATCATCGCACTGGGTGCCACGGTGAAAGTGGCAGGAAAGAGGGCCACTCCTGTGATGACTGGGTTATATTCCTTCACGGCTTCGAAATAAAGCGGCATATAATACAGCGAACACCACAAGATAAAGCCTTGGAGAGCACTTCCGATGAAGGACACTGTTGCCGTGCGATTGTTGAATATCATGGGAGGGACGATAGGGTCTCTTGCAAATCTATATTCATAGAAGCCGAATAATACCAGCCCGGCGGCCCCAACAACCAACGGGACAATTGTATGCCATGAGTTCCAAGGATAAGAAATTCCACCCCATGTCAGAGGGATCAGAAGTGATGCCATACTTGAGATAAACAGAAACGTGCCGATGTAATCGATTCGACGAAGTTTTTCAACGAGCGAACCTGGCATCCGCCGAAGGTTCAGAAAGAAGAAGACGAATATAACCCCAATGCCAATGAACGGAAAATTGATATAAAATATCCAGCGCTGTTATAAAATTCGTTAGATATTCCTTCCCTTCTCAAATCTCAGAGCCAACCCTCGCGACTTACCCAGGAGACCTTCTCGGCAAACCCACCACCCAAAATGGGTCCTGATACAGACCCCAGGCTCCACATCGCGCTCAATATCCCAAAGTATTTCCCTCGAAGGCGTAGCGGCACAAGGTCTGTGACAATTACCTCACTTAACGCTATAATGCCACCTCCGCCGCTGCCCTGCAATGATCTACCGACGAGCATGAAGGTGAAGCTTTTGGCAATTGCACAGAAGACGGTACCGATGAAGAACATGAGAAGCGAGACAAGAACCATGGGGCGGCGACCGAAGATGCATGAAAGAGAGGCAAAGCTTGGTTGGAATACTATGTAATGACGTTAGGGGATAGAACTTGGAAGTGGAAATTCGACTATTACCTGTCGAGCATAGTAAGAATGAAGTCCCACTCCAGAAGGCTTCAATAGCTGTCCCTTTCAAAGCCTTTGCTATGGCCTAGCCTTTTGTTAGCTATGCGAAGTTCGAGAATCGTGCTTTTTTCAGGTACTCACCGGAAGCGCCACGGAAAGCGAGGTTCCGTCAAGAGCAGCCATCAGTGCTAGGACAGCTAATGTGAAGAATGCAAGGACGCCACGCCATCCCAGCTCAAACTTCTCTCCCTGGTCATTGTCATTTTTCTTCCTTGAGAGTTTCGTTGAAGAGCGTGTGGTGGTGGTCAAAGACGAATGATGTGCAGACTCGGATTTATAGGATGAACGAGTCGAAGGCATACTATACTGTGTCATCGATCAGTTAAGAAACAGGGGAGCGGATGGATGAGAGACTCAAAACAACTCGCTCGAGTTAAAGGCTACTCAGAAAAAAGACCAGACGTTCAGACCACTATCTGCAATCGAATGTCAGCAATCACTTCATGCCAGATAGGGTAGCTGGCCCCAAAATCATGGGGATTTTCGTGATAAAGAGGAATTCAGGGGTGTGGTAAACTAAGAGCCAGGGGCCTGTAAGTGCGATGTTCCACAGAAGACGGATAGGAGCATCCTGCAGGATAATTATGAATTTGCCTTATCTTAGGTCTGACTGGTGCGTCAGAGACGGGCTATTGGCTCGCCTGTTCATCAGCGTAGAAGTCAAAGCACAAGCTTACGATTTACTGAAGGAAAATACATGGCATGAAATTATATGCCGAAAGATGGTTTTGGAGTCGTTGTAGCTTGAGAATTCGAAGCTTAAGATTCTGATACCCAAAGATATTGACGAAGGGTTCATTGCCGAGCCGCGATGTCATATTTCTCATTTGAACACGATGAGGTTGTGTCTTCGTCAATAACAAGCCATTTTGTGACTCAATATGCAATACTAGACCCTCGGGATCGGTCCTAGAGAGTACTAAAAGCTTTAAAACAGGCCTATGATGACCTGGTAAATTTAGTCGCTGCCCAGTTGGAGAAAGGAAAAACTAGCGGTCAGCTCTTCAACGCTGCAGAGAAAGTCCGTTTAGCCAACCTCCAAGAGGATCATATTCACGTACTGCAAGGATTCCGGGGGGCAATCCTGTAGATCACTTAGTGCCACGGACTAGACTTGTTAACAATGTGACTGTCAGTACATGGCGCCGCCGCCGACCAGCAAATCTACCGACTATGAAACGTGGCGTATAAGGACAGGGGATTCTCTAATGAAATTCCATCACTCCTGCAGCGTGTGAAGAATAATATAAGCAAGGGGTTTCTTAGTAGTACTACATAGCCATTTGACTGCATTCGCTCAGCCCTAACTATTTGTCGTCTGGGTTTAGTGAGTCCGGATAAATATAAGTCAGTGGTCAAATTGAGTCTCACTGATCAATGAGTTTTATTGGTTCACTGTTATCAGATCATAGATAGGACGTAGAATAGGACAATCAATGCGAATTATGATTGAGTGGTCTGTTGATCGACTTGTATAGCTCGGCTGCAAACACACCAAACATGCTTTGTCTTTTATCTGCAATTTTTCGGGGATCGCGTCCTCCACCACGATCACTTCCATGTCCCTCTACTTTGACGCAGTGACCGTCTTGACGGCCCCGTCGTCAGGCGGGTCCTTCAAATCTCGCATCTACAGCGCCAAGAACCTCCGCGCCACGCCCTCCCAGATCTACGCCCTAGTTGTTGAAGCTGCGAAATGGGACCGAGTCCTAGCGGAGGTGATTGAGCGGGCCGGTCTTCTCAATTTAGAGCGCAAGGTGAGTTGAGCAGAGCAATTCACACGAAAAATAACTGCTGACTGACAAGATTTGGACTGGCGGTATAGTTGACCCCTCTTCTTGCGCTCCTCCTCGTACATGACCACCTTATTTCGAAAAATGGCATTGCGGCGCCTGCGGCACACCCACTTCGCCAGGCTGTGGAGCGGCATAAGGTCCGCTTAAAGGCTGAGCTTGCAAAAGCTCGTGTTCGACGGGGCTGTGCATCATTGGCAGACCTAAAAGCTACCCTGTTGCGAGAGAAAAGAGAAGCCAATGGCATTAGTGGCTTTGTCTATCCGCGCTGGGTGCGGATCAATAATATCCGGTCGAGCTTCGAGGAGCAAATGCAGACGACATTCTCCGCATACAAGACGGTGGACTCTCTGGCAGGCTTAGCAGTGGATAGTGATGATCGGGCCGCTCAGCGGCTACTATTTGTCGACCCCAATATTCCTGATCTGATAGCGATTCCATACGGCGCAGATATCACATCCACCCCCGCTTACAAAAAGGGAGAAATCATCCTGCAGGACAAGGCCTCTTGTTTCCCTGCATATCTCCTCCTGGGCAATGTGAGCCCTCAAAACCCATGGCAGGGCGACCTTGTGGACGGGTGTGCTGCACCCGGCAACAAAACCACCCATATGGCATCGATTCTGGCGAAACAGAAGGAAACGAAGCCCCGCAACCAAATATTCTCAATGGATGCCTCCAAGCCACGTTCAAAGATTTTGCAGAAGATGGTCTCTCTAGCAAGCTCGGATTCCACCGTCACTATCCTGCCAGGCCAGGACTTCCTAGCTCTTGACCCCACAGAAGAACGATTTGCGAATGTTACTGGCCTTTTACTTGATCCAAGTTGCTCGGGCAGCGGGATCGTCGGCCGCGACGATATCCCTCAGCTCACATTACCGAAAGCCCCCGAGACCCAAGGAAAATCGTCGCAAGGTAAGAAGCGCAAACGCCAGGGTGATAGCCATGATGACCCTAGGAACCAGCAAGTTCCCGCAGCTAGCAATACTAGCAGTGCGCCGACGGATGAGAATGATATCCCAAGTGGCATCGTTGACAGTGACCGGTTGACTAAATTGTCGAACCTGCAAGCTCGGATCGTGGAACACGCTTTGAGCTTTCCAAGTGCGACGCACGTCACTTATAGTACTTGTTCTATTCATTTGATCGAGAATGAGGCTGTGGTAGAACGGCTTCTAGCATCGGATGTAGCTCGAGAACGCGGCTGGCGCCTCTTGCGACGGGATGAGCAGCCGGATGGACTTCGCAAGTGGAAACACCGCGGGGTTTCAGAAGATAGGACAAGTACGGCCATTTCAAAGACCGATACCCCGATGTCAGTCAATCTCTCTCAGGATGATCTGGAAGCTTGTCTGCGCTGTTGGTCGGGAGATGCAGAAGGACTTGGTGGATTCTTCGTGGCCGGCTTCGTTCGCGATCAAAGTCTTGCAGGGCGACTAAAGAGAAGCGGTCAGACAACGGGTCTCTCGAAGACGATGAAGAATGGGGCGGGTTCTCAGATTAGAAGAAAATGTACCATGCTCACTACTTGTAGGGAATTTTATATACATTTGCATCTGAACGCGTCTCCACCAATCATGATTCCAGTTCGTAGAAGGCATGTACTTCGTGAAACTCGAGTTCCTTCTTCGCAAGCGAACTTTGGACGCATTTAGAGAAAGTTTCGTTCGCGATTGCGGTGCCGCTGGCTGGTGTATGCATCGACCTTCACAGCCAATAAGACCAGGCTGTATTTTCCATTTTCGCCCTGTTGCAAAATCGGCCGCCATTGTCCTGTCTTAATCATGACCAGACCGTCGTCCGCTTCGCCGGTTCGTTGGCGCTTCTGATGCGGTTCATCACTATCTGATTCCACTGTCCCGAAAACTCTTGCTAGCCGCCAGGGATCTGAATCACCGTCAACGGTAAGATCAGTCTCGCGCCCCCCAGCTTACCTTGAGAGGAAGAGACTCAAGTTGCGATTCTGAGAGGTTGAACTTTTTGCCCACGACCTGGACCAGACTTTCCATACGGGTCTTCGTTTGACCAAAGAAATTCACCCGCTGCATCTGCCGATTGAACACCGTCCTGTCTTCCCCGATTTCCAAGATCAAATCGGATGCTGTCTCGTCTACGAAGGGTCGCGCATATTTCAACAAAGCTCCAGTTGCTTTTTCTGAAGAGCCGTTCGCAAACTGCAGGCCTGAAGGTCTGACATCTTCTATCCCCACGATTATCTCCAACCGTTGGGTGAAGGGATTCAGGCTGATGTGATGGCGAATAAGCCGCTGCTCCAGCCCTCGGAGATGGAAGTATCGGCAGTCACGCAAAAGCGCTGCTCGATGGTCATCATCCCGAATATGTAGAGTGTATCCTCGCAGTAGATGAATTATCTCCGCAAATATCTCGGCGGACCTATTTGGCACGCTCGGTGCAACAATCGATGGCGGCCGGAGGAGGCCGACGCGGTCGAGGCCAGGGAAGACGGACGACGGAGAGGCGAAGAAGGCGCCGAATCCGAGGGTAAAGAAGTTCGGGGAGTCTCCGGGACTTGAGAAGATGTCGCGGGGTATCTGAAAGTGACGGTCGCCAATCTGCATAAATATCCTCCTCGAACAATTGGCTGATCAATTTCGGCACTTGGTCTGGGTTAGCGCGCCCCCTTCCCGCAGGATACATCAGGCAAATCTCACATGAGTAGAACTGCGCGTCTGCGAAAAGTTTGACAAATTGCGCTCCGTTTTGAGGCCGAATATGATACCCTGCCCTTGGTTAATCCACGGAACAGAGGCTGCGCGGGTATCGGCCGTACCTTGGAGGTGTCTGGCGATCTCTCGGAATGTAGCAGGGTCGCGATCAATGTACAGAGTACGGACGTTCGAGGGATCGGTCAATCGCATCTGCTCTTCAAAAAAGCGCGAGAAGTAGGAAGGCGCTTGACAAAATCGGTCAGCACGCGCAATGCGCCCTGGGGTGAATACCTCGTACCATCTGACGCGAGTGAAGCGCCCGAGAGGCGAAACAGTTCCGACCCTATCTGGATGGAGAAAACCTTCTCTGTCGGCAGGCTGCAGGCTGAGGCATCCTGCTGGCTGCTCATGGCTGTGGCTTGGATAAGAAGAGATGAGGTGGGGAGAGCAGGCTATAGCGAGGTGACAAAAGCGACGCTAATCCCACCGAGCAATTGAGTTCACGGCTGGCCAAATCGATTCATTCTCATCAATTCGTGCGCAAGCATTCCTTGGAGAGTATGTTGGATCTTGCGATGAGGTCCCCGATGGCAGCTCGAGCTGTCAGCCAAGGCGGTGGGTACGTTAGCCCCAGCAGAAAATGCAATTTCTCGATCACCGCCATCATGGTTTTTCCGAGTCTATGGCCTCGTGAACACTTACTCCACACCTTGGACGGTCTTGCAATTTGTTGACATGATTTGCGACCAAGGTCAGGTGAATCCTGCGATCCATGCCGGGAATTTTTCGCTAGGAGGTCATTGGATCCCATCCTGTCAGGCAATTCAAGCCCGGACCCGATCTTCAGGGTCTCACGGCCGAAATTCTCTCTACGCCGGAGATCCACTGGGCAAAGCCCGAGTTTCAGTGTCAAAATATTCCGAGGGTATTTTGTTCGTAATGTCGAGATGTGATTGCCCACATCGATGGCAATGGTCCCACTAATGACAGGTCCGCGGAAATGCCTGCGCCTTTCGGCGTCTCCTAGGGCCGTTCTGCCGTTCTAGCCGCAACTTCCATGGGCACTTTTCGAAGACATTTCGAGATGCTCGAACAGAAATCATATGAGCCGTGAGAATGTGGCTGCACGGGAGAGTCCGAGGCAATGGTTTGACTTGTATCGCATCTCCGCGGGGTTGCTAGTCCCAGCAGGCACCACAATGAGAGTGGGGACAAAACCCCATAGTATATAAAGCATTTACGTACTACGCAAATTTGTTGTCAATTTGGGAGAACCAATTCGAATTTCACTTCGACTTGCCTCAACGCTGCTCGCTGTGCTCCATTATGCCGCTCAATGATCTCCAAATTCAACTTATCAAGGCCACCGTCCCCGTGCTGGTGGATCATGGTCAAACTATCACTACAACCTTCTACAAGAACATGCTAGCAGCTCACCCCGAGCTCAATAACGTATTCAACATTCCCAATCAGCAGAATGGCCACCAGCCTCGGGCTCTAGCTGGTGCATTATTTGCTTACGCCTCAAATATCGATAACCTTGGGGCGCTGAGCCCAGCGGTGGAGTTGATTTGCCACAAGCATGCGTCGCTGTACATCCAGCCCGAGCAGTACAAAATTGTCGGCAAATATCTGCTTGAAGCTATGGGAGAAGTTCTGGGGGATGCCCTCACTCCTGAAATCAAAGACGCTTGGGGGGCGGCGTACTGGCAGCTGGCAGACATCATGATTGGCCGCGAAAGCCAAATTTATCAACAGAGTGAAGGTTGGACGGATTGGCGAGACTTTAAGATTGCAGACAAAGTCAAGGAGTCTGACGAAATTACCTCGTTCTATCTTTCCCCTACTGACGGGAAGCCACTACCAACTTTCAATCCTGGCCAGTATATTTCGGTCCTGGTGAACGTCCCAGAGCTAAAATACCTGCAACCTCGTCAGTATTCGCTCAGCGACAAGCCATCCCCTGAATACTACCGTATCAGCGTGAAGAGGGAGAAGGGCTTGAGTAGCTTCCAACCTGATGCTGCCTCTCATCCTGGCTATGTATCTAACATTCTCCACGATACATTCAACAAGGGTGACACCATCAAGGTGTCGCACCCGGGTGGTGACTTCTTCCTTTCGACAGCAGAGGATGTTACTTTCCCAATAGTCTTAATATCTGCTGGTGTTGGTCTAACGCCATTGACTTCCATGTTGAACGCCCTCACCTCGAAGTCGAGTGCGGGCCGAAAACTGCATTTTATTCACGGTGCCCGCACCTCGGGGGTTCGAGCCTTCAAGGAACGTATCTCAACCCTCACGACCGTATATCCTGACCTCCAATCTACCTTTTTCACTAGCCAGCCGTCACCGGAGGAGAAACAGGGAATCGACTATAGCTACATTGGCCATGTCGATCTTAGCAAATTGGACCCGACAAAAGACCTTTTCCTCGACAACTCCCGTACCGAGTACTATGTCTGCGGGCCCGAGACCTTCATGACAGATATCGAGAGAAGCCTGCGGGCTTTGGGTGTTGGTGAGGATCGCACTAAAATGGAGCTTTTTGGAACAGGCGGTGTGCCTTCTTTGTAATTTTCGATGTTTTACTATGACGAATCTCCACACTTGCACTTATATAATTCACACTACTTGAAAGCTATGCTATGACCAGACAAACTCCGAAACACCTAGCGATTTTGGCGTATCGCAATTATGGAACAATGTAACTGTTACCAGATCAATACAGTTAAATGAGAACGATACCAAGAATGGCTATGACAAAGATACTGAGACGAAGATGATTGAATTCGTAGGCCACGATATCGTTCGTGATAATCCCCTCCTAGTGGGACCAAGCAGTATCAGATGCTGGAAAGGGTTAGCCGGCGGTCGGGTCTCTGTACGCGCAAAATGGAATCGACGCTTGAGCGCATGCATTCCCGGACCCCCGCAGAACCTCGGCTCGGCTGCGGAGAACATGAACACAGATCGACATTCAATGCTTCGACATGCCTTGGAGCCGCTGACTTTTGCTGTTAATCAAGATGTCTCTTCCTCTCCAAGGCATTCGAGTGCTTGAGCTAGCAGGCTTAGCCCCAGGTAGTAACGTCCGTCTCAAGTCGAAACCAAGCAGATCAACTAACACCTTATCGCAGGCCCCTTCGCAGGCCTCCTGCTGGCCGATTACGGGGCTTCTGTTCTCCGCATCGATCGCCCCAAAGCCGGGGTTGCCGTGAGCGCCGACCACTTAGCACGCCACAAGTCTTCAATTACGCTGGATCTACGCGATGCAAGGTCTAAAGAAATCCTTCTTCGCCTCCTGGTGGCAGCCGACGTGCTGATCGACCCTTTCCGCCCAGGCGTGCTCGAGCGTCTCGGCCTTTCGCCAACAGAGGTGCTCCTAAAGCGTAACCCACGGCTGATTGTCGCGCGCATGACCGGCTTCAGACGAGATGGCAAGTATAGGGACATGGCTGGCCATGATATCAACTACATTGCTGTCTCAGGCGTGCTGTCCATGCTCGGCCGCGCAGGGACAAGCCCTTTGCGCCAGCGAATATCCTTGGCGACTTCGGTGGCGGTGGAGCAATGTGCTTCCTTGGAATCCTGCTGGCATTGATATCGCGCTCACACACCGGTCGCGGCCAGATCGTGGAGGCGAACATGGTGGATGGTTCCGCGTACCTGGCTACCATGCCGCGACTCGCCAGGCAAACTCCGATGTGGGATAAGCCGCGGGGGACGAATTTGTTGGATGGGGGCTGTCCGTATTACGATACTTATGAAACGAAAGATGCCGGGAAATATTTTGCTGTCGGGGCCTTAGAACCGCAGTTCTACGCCGCATTGATGAAGGGGTTGGAGCTTGATCCGAAGACGACGCCCAAGCGAGAGGATCGAGCGAATTGGCCTGCTCTACGCGAACTATTCACACGGCGTTTTAAGGAAAAGACTCGGGCGGAATGGGAAGCGATCTTTGATGGGACCGATGCGTGTGCGACTCCTGTACTAGAGCAGGGCGAGTTGCAGGCTGCCGGACATGAGCAGCGCCCCGCAGTTCATCTTTCCAAAACTCCTGCTTTGCCTATCAAGTCTGATGAGGGCGGATGGACCGGTGGTGGCCTCGCGCCAAATGAGGGTGGTGAAGAGACGCTCCGAGCGTGGGTGGGATGGGAACCTAGCAAGAATTACCATCTCCGAGAGGACGGCGCATTTGTCACTGCAGATGATAAGGCGAAACTGTGATCTTTGAATATAAGATTCCAGGGGTCCAATTGTACATAGCTCATGTCAAACCAACGGAATCAAGCAATAAACAAGAAACGAATACAAAGCTCGTCGCCTCAGGCATATATTTTCCGCCTTATAATTCAGGCCTGCGGTCCTCCCGCTTTCCCCTCATTATCGAGGCTCTGCTCCGCCCTTGAATACACGGACCTCGCAATACCGCAGCCACTGCATTGCTAAAGTTCCTGCTCTCGGATCCCGCCCGATTACTATCGCTTGTCCTAGATCGCGCGATGGGTACTGGGCTCCAGTACAGGAGCCGACCAAATGGATAACCAACCCGACCCCCGCACGCAACATTTCCCGTCCCACAGCGAGCCGCGGGTATGGTTAATCACTGCTGGAGATTCGCCAATTGGCATCTCAGTTGCTCGGCAGGTGCTGGCGCACGGTGACTATGCTCTGCTCGGGCTCGCCTATTCGGTTTTGGAGCGTGATCAGCGCCGGAGAGATGGATTCGAAAGCTTCATGGCCGAAGTCCAGGCGCGTGGTGACGAAGGATGGGAGAAGCGGATGAAGGCCATTCCGCTGGATATCAGGTATGTCTCATACAAAAGTGGTGCGAAGATTACTGTCCTAATGTGGGAACTTTGTTAGAATGATGGGTGAATGTCAAGCCGTTGTTGCCGAAGCCGTACATGTATTCGGTCGAGTCGATATCCTTCTTTGCTGCACGAGTCAAAGTACGAAATACCCCTTCGATAGTGGAAATCATAATAAAATTTATCAAGACAGCTTTGGTCGGAACTGTCGAGGAGCTTTCGGCTTCTCAGCAAACCCTGAACCTCGTCCGCGATCAGTTCGAAACGAATTACTTTGGCCCACTCAATATAATCAAGGCCGTGCTGCCACATATGCGGAAAGAGAGTTGCGGCCATATCATGATAGTATCGGGGATCAGTAAGTTGCCGGTTCTTGGGTCTAATATTGCGGTTCTAATGATGCATAGCGGCGCATATTGGAACTCCTGGTCTTGGAATGTATTGCGCATCCGGGTGGGCCCTGGAAGGATTCTGTGATGTAAGGGTTGATCAGTATCTTGGCGACATTTCGCGCGTTGCTCAACTGACTTCTTTTCAGAGTCTGGCATTCGAGGTCGCGCCTTTCGACATCAAGGTCACAATCTTTCAATGCAGCATCGAAATCGGTATCCTGACAAACCTCGTCACAAGTGTACCACCAATGGTCCCTGCATACTCTCCTGCGTATAACCATGCCCCTCTATTCCGGGGGATACTCAATCATCTTGTTCCCCAGTTACCAGATGCAAAATTAGAAGGCCTCTCCGAGCCCAACCATCAGCCAAGCGAACCGCAAAATAGCAACCGCGTCAGCTCGGTCGAAAGTGGTCCATTTTCTTCCCCGGAAGTTGTCTCTGTTCATCCGCCGTTAAGCTCGGCTCATCTCGAAGTGCTGGTATCTGAGACAGTTTACGCCATCACGTCGATCGGGGGCCATGAAAACCCACCTTCTCGGCATATAGTAGGCCAAGAGGGCGTCGCGAGCGTAAAGGAGAAGCTCAAGACTGTCAGCGAAGAGCTGGAGGACTTCATTTCCGCTAGTTTTGCAGTGGACGTGGCAGCCGACTCAGAGCCTGTTCCGCCCCCTGGGACACTTGGCTAATCTGCTAACATCTTTCCGAAGTCTTCGGTATCACAATAGTATGAACGAGATGTTCATTTGAACCTGGTACTTGTCCGCTGAGTTGGAGGCTGATGGATGACTTGCATACACAAGAACAGCCACCCGGTGGACAACTGGTTTTACCCGACAGGAACCATGGTTGACGAGAGATCTACCCGAGAAATGGCACCTAGAATCTATACTCGTTCCAAGATGTCAATCTAATCATGATTTGCAACATCTAACTCTGTATCTGAAAATAGATACGCTATCCCGATCGGTACTAGTTGCGGCGCGTAGCAAGTCCGGGGCAGTGCAAGTAGTTACAAGCCCACCATCTGTGTGAGACGTAATATTATCAGGGCACGTGGATTTCAGAGCATCCTCGCCCAAGCTTTTCTGATCTTCTTGGCTGTGCTTGTTTTTTGCAGCTGAACAGGGTGAATACGCATCGCGTCGATCAGGGATGGATTGAGATGCTGCGGGGCTGCAGCTGACTGCGGCGCTTAAGCGTGACTGCGGTAGGAGGTCACTCGCCCCCTGTACTGATGCCTAGGGACGCGCTCTTATTTATAGCGGAATGCTGCGCCCCTTCTTCTCAAACCTGGGCGGCGTTACAACGAACTTGCACAGCGTCGCATATCTAAAGACGGTCCAGTCGTGTTCTTGCTGAGCTGTCTGCGTAAACACCGATCGGCACATGCACGCCAGCGCCTGACATGGCAGATTTGGCAGATTCGTGGGACGCTTTCAACCCACAGGAATACTATGCGGGCTTGAAAACAACTAGTGGCGATTTTAAGGACAAGTTCCAAGATATTGATGACCCCATTCAATTTGTCCGGTACATGAAGCGGCTCGGGGAACCAGATACGCGCAATTTCGTTCTGGATTTCGGCAATGAAGATGCCTTCTGTGCCACAAATTTAACGACGAATGATTTTCAATCTCTGTTGAGCAAACGAGTACGCTATTATCTAGGCCTCCGCACGAATTTCGAGAATGTTGAGAGCTAATGCGTGGTAGCGAGCGAGATGTTTCGGGACAAGGTGGATGTAAGTCAAACCGAGGAAGAGAGATTACATGCTACGAGATAAAGCTAATGCTGATCGCAGCAATATATGGTCACCCGAAGAGCAAAAAGACACAATCAAAGTATGGATCAATCACGCCTCCGTACTTGCATCAGCTAACGTTTCTGTGCCTAGTTGATCACATCTCGCTATGGAGTATCAGAACGCCTCCAGGGTCTAATGTGCACAGAACCTGTGACGCGAAAGCCCCAAAAGGCCCCGGAGGCCAAGAAGAGGCACTCACAGTCAAGTCAGATAAACCCGGTTTTACGGGACGAGCTTGAGGATCTCGAGAATGCAACTGCCCTGAAGGATCTTTCTGAGAAGACTGCTTCTACGCACGATACTTCATCTTCCAAACGCCTTACGTTCTCACAAGTGATAGATCAGATCTGGCATTTCTCCTCTGTGGACTACGGCCCCCGGTGTAAGCATTGGCATCATTTTCCCGCTTCGCACACCATAATCTAAGCTCAGCCAATGATAGATACATGCCTCGGCTACAATACCTTATTCGTTGCGGAGGGCGTCAGCCCGGGAATGAACGAGAACGGCAGGGACTTGCCAGAGGGAACTCGGATATGGACCTGGTTAATTCTTTGCGATGACGGAACAGTCATTTCTATGCAAGAAAACCCATTTCCGAGACAGCACGAGTTACAATCCGACCAGAAGAAGGTTGTCGATGTGGTCCGCCGAAACATACGTTTTATCGTCTCCGGGGTATCAAAACAGCATGCGAACACATCGGAAAGCGAGTCTTTGGTTACTGTCCGAGTCCGACATTTCAATGATGACCCAGACCAAGCGAGCATTCAGCCGGAAGATGGGCCCAGCTTGATCTTTTATTATATTTTTGATGATTGGGTGTCGAGCTATGGGTTGATCGCAAAGCGACAGCATCAATATGGCGTTTCTCTTGAAAGACTGGTATGGCTCTCCCCCGAAGCTTCGCATGAGCAAAATAATTAACACTGATTTTGATCTTCACAGCGAAGCAATATGCTTCACCGTCCGGACGTAGACCTCGTGGGTGAACTACACTCGCTTGGCCGACGATTGGCTGTTCTCAAGCGTGTGTACCAGAGCTATGAGTTGATCATGCGTCGAGTCCTGCAGCGGCAGCGAGGGCTCCGTGACGAGGCCCGCACAAACCCCAAGCCGCTGCTGTCTCATATGGGCACACTTAGTGAAACGGACTTTGATCTGCGACAGGGGTCGCTGAGCAATGGTCAATTTGGCACTTCCGATAAGACTGTGGGGGTGCTGCTGAGCTCGGCGGCAGTAGCGCGATTTGAAAGATTAGTGGATCGGATCAACTTATACTGCCTGAGCGAGATTGAAACCTGTCTTTCAGAGAAGGACTCTTTAACATTCCTGGTACGTACTCTTTCGAGCTTTTTAGGTGCTGCATTGCTAATCAGCCCCGCAGAACTTCAACTTGATTGCATTGAAGGACTCGCAGGCCGTCGAGAAGTTAACAAGAATCACTATTTTGCTAGCAAAAGCAACCATGCTATTTCTGCCAGTCAGCTTGATGACAGCCTACTTCTCGACAGAGCTTGTTGGGGTGAAAGGCGGATATACGAAGGCTGACTACTGGGTTTCCTTCGCAGTGATCTTTGTCTTGACCATCCTGCTTTTGATTATCTTTGGTTTTGCTAGCGATACCGTGGAGGGTAAGACGATCTATCGCTCTTTGGCGAAGACGTTCTTGCAAAATTCCCGCAAGAAGATCACGGGTAAGTCGAGTTCGACACCGCATACGCATGATTTGTGAAATAGCGTGCTTGTAAATTATGGACGGATTTCCTGGGTTGCTGATACGACATGTCTTTTTTCGTACTGGTGTATGTTATGATCCACGATGATAGAATGTACTGGGTATTGAGACGGATCATGTGACTTGTTATATGTGATTGGCCATGCAGTGGAAGCGGGTCCAAGCGCGCGTTCGAAGAGCTTCGTCTCGGGGAGATCCGCGTCTTCCTCTGAGGCTTTCCTCCGCTAGACTCGACGCACCTACATACAACGCCTTATATCTTGAACATACTGTATGTGTAATCTCAGCCCTTTCAATCGATGCGCCAAATCAGACCTGAAACAACCCAGGCCTTGGCGCACGTATCAAGCTTCCATGTCTAAAGTTCAAGATTAACACGTTAACATCCTTGATAGATCCCAAAGATGTTCGCCCGTGTTGCCTCACGAAGCACTCACGGGATTCGCGCTTTCTCCTCGGCTCGTGTCGCTCAAGCAGAGCTTTCTTACCAAGTCTTTGGGCCCGAGAGTGGCGACGCAGTTCGTGATCCAATCGTATTCTTGCATGGACTCTTTGGATCCAAGCAGAACAACCGGAGTATCAGCAAGTATGTTTGCGTCGTTTTTCAGTTCGATTGCCCGGCCAGCGGTCTAACGGTCATCCTTGCGAAGAGCTTTAGCTCGCGATCTTAAATGTCGCGCATTCACTCTGGTATGTATACCATCCTGGCATATTGCAATTGATAGGCGTGCCATGCGAATCATGAAGCAATTAGAGCGAAGGAAGCAGTCCATTCTGATGCTCGTTTTAGGACTTGCGCAACCATGGCCACTCTTTCCATGCGCCGGAACACAACTATGATGTCATGGCCGAAGATGTCCAAGAATTCTTGGAGCAGCAGAAACTCGATAAATGCGTGCTGATTGGTCACTCCATGTATGTCTGAAAGATGTAATGTAATAGTCGCTTAAAACACACCATGGCTAATGCTTCACAGGGGTGCCAAGGCTGCAATGACCGTCGCCCTTCGTTCGCCGGAGCGCGTCTCAGCTCTAATTCCAGTCGATAACGCGCCCGTCAACGCGAGCTTGAAGAGCGATTTCCCGAGATATGTGCGGGGCATGCAAGAGATCGAAAAGGCTAAGGTCACAAAGCAGTCTGATGCGGATAAGATTCTCCAGGAATTTGAAGAGGTGTGTCTTGCTTACTCCATTATCTTTTTATTTTTGGAAGCCACCAGTGCTAATCCCGTGTTATCAAGTCGCTTGGAATCCGCCAATTCCTCCTTACCAATCTGATTCGCTCAGAGGAAGATAAAAAAACCATGAAATTCCGAGTGCCCCTCTCGGTCCTCGGCGATTCGCTTGACAAGATGGGTGACTTCCCGTTCGGCGAGTCTGATGCTGTCAAATATGATGGCCCCACGCTTTTTGTGCGAGGAACCAAATCGAGATCGTGTCGGACGACACTGTTCCCGCTATCAAGCGTTTCTTTCCGAACGCGCAGATCGCTGATATTGAGGCGGGCCACTGGGTCATTTCTGAGAATCCGGAGGCGTTCCGACAAGGTAAGCATGCGATCTCCCTACAATCTGAGACCGACTCGGTGCTGACTTCTGATAGCCGTTATCAAGTTTTTGGAATCATCGTAGACCCGGGGATATTGAAGAAATTAGAATATAGTATATCCTAGATTCATAGACTAATAGAGTTCTTTTGGTTTTAAGTTCTTGCCCCGGGTCTATTCTACACGATGCAACCATGAAGCAACGCAGCTTAGAGGTAGTCGTTATGTAAGTGAGAACTTTGGATGGGAATTTTCGTTTCAAGTTTGCCATTATTGTCATTTATCCATATCAGCGTCCCGGGCACTGAACTCTTTAAATTTGCTTCACCACTCGCTGGAACCGCGGTGGATGGCGGCTGAACTTTTCAGGGGCATCCCGAGCGCCCTCTTTCCAGTAGTCGAACTCCATCCAAGCATTCTCGGGCATCTGAGCCTCGGTAGCCTCTAAGAACTCACCCAGCTGAGGGCAAAGAGGGATCACACCAGTCTCAAGCACATACTGGTCCCACAGCTTCAGAAGCTGATTCAACCTCTCAGGTTCTTTATCTGCCAGATCGTGGATTTCACCAGGATCCTGAATAAGGTTATACAACTGCCATTTTTCGGGACCCTTGGGTTTGGGCAGGAAGACAATCTTCCAGTCGCCATAGCGCAGGGCAGCTCGGCCACAGGTCTCCCATCCCTGGATGAAATCCTTGGGGTGAATGCGGTCGCTCTGGCCAGTGATATACGGATACCAGCTCTTACCACGCATCTCAACGATCTCACGACCCTGGTACGTCGGGGCAGGATGTTTGATGCCGGCCATGTCAAGGATAGAAGGGGCCAAATCCATGACCGTAGCAAACTGATCCGAGATACCTCCTTGACCCGCGATCGAATCCCCGGGTGTCACATTGATATGCTTTGGGAAGCGGCATGTGAATGGGACTCGAACACCACCTTCGGTAGTGTACGCCTTGTATAGGCGCGAAGGGGCAGTAGCGGCTTGAGCCCAGCGCGGGCCGTACCAGATGAAAGAGTTCCCAGCACCCAAATTCTCGATCCTGTTATCGTAGTACTTGGTCAAGTGGGGCATGACGCCGTTTTGAACCATAGGGTAGGCTTCGTAGGCAGCCCCTTCGGCACCGTTGTCGGACATGAAGCACACGAAGGTGTTGTCGAGTTCGTCGATGGAGCGCAGGTATTCGACTACTTTGCCCACATTGGCGTCAATGCACTCTACCATTCCGGCAAAAACTTCCATTGCAACACAGGACTTTTTCTTCTCCTCGTCCGTGTATTCATCCCACTCCTTAACCTCGTCTGCGACCACGGGGTGCGGCTCAACATCCTCGCGCACCATGCCTAGCTCCTTGAGCCGTTGGAGACGCTTCAGCCGAAGAGCGTCGGGACCCTCGTCATACACACCACGGTAGTGATCAATATATTCACGAGGAGCCTGAAGCGGCCAATGGGGTGCAGTAAAGGGCAGATAACCAAAGAAGGGCCGGTCACCTTTCCCATCAGGGCCCTCACTGCCTCCAGATTCCTTCCATTCACGGAGATAGTCTACCATCTTGTCACCGTAGCCGTCAGATGAATACCATCCTTCCGGGAGATGGCGCACATACTCGCCATCTTCACTGTGCAAAGCAATGTAGCTCGCTTCGATAAAAGTGGGGATGTCGTCCTGGTCCCGCAGCTGCGGCTCATAAGCATAGTGGTTCGAGCAAGCAGGCAGATGGGCAAAGGAGCGGACGAAACCGCGCTTGTGAGGAGAACGCTCTGGCGTCAACCCTAAATGCCACTTTCCAGACATCACAGTGTGGTAGCCCGCATCACGCAGGACTTCGGGCAATGCCACTACCCTCTCGTTCAAGTAGCCCTCATAGCCAGGCATACCGCGCTGCGGCGCAGTGCTCATAGCCGAGCCCTTAGGGCCGTTCTGGCCAGAGATGTTTGTCCACTCGATCAGATTGCCCAACCCGGCGATGTGGTGGTCGGTGCCGGTCATGATCATGGCTCGTGTGGGGCTGGACGGAGGTACCTGGATTAGCCATGTCCCTCCCGGTAATCATCTCAAGCTGGCGATACGTACGAGCATGCTGCGGCAGCATGAAAATCGGTGAAACGCAGTCCCTCCTTTGCGATCTGGTCAATGTGCGGGGTGCGAATCTCGCCGCCGAAGCAGCCCACGTCGGAGAAACCGAGGTCGTCAGCGACAATGACGAGGAAATTGGGACGTTTGGGCATTTTGATCGTTAAATAGAAAATAACCTCCTTCTGGGAATAAGAAGAAAAGTTGACGAGATGAGGGGTAGCATAGCGTGTTTATAAGTGATCTGCAGCCCCTCAATTGCCCTCCTCTAATTTCATGATCTCTTTGGCTGGTTGGAGACTCCAAAATGTCGTGCTCGGCTGGTATCAATCGCCAATCGGCTGTCGGCTGCACGGCTGATGTGCAGCTGCCGCCTTCTCCACGCGGCTTGCTTCCCCCTCTGTCGTTTTTGAGATATTATATCTTCTCTTATCTCTGATTTATCTCTCGTTTCACCCTCTCTTATCTCTTCAGATTTTACTTCAACCTTTACTTCAAATTTTAATTCATCTCTGTTAGCCGGCGCTCGTCACGTAGGCCTTACCTTCTTAGGGAGCCTCTAGAACAGTATCAATGTACCATCATTACATCTCCCCGCTTCGGCTCCAGAGTGCGACGAGTATGAGGAACAGCTCGTTGAAACCTGGGGTGCGTGCCTGGATAGTGAGAAAGCTCAGATGCAGATCCGGGTCATCAAAAGTTATCAAGGGCACTAGAAGACACGTCTGACCCTGATCGATGCAATTGGGACAGAGTGGCGTTGAAAGTGAAATCGTCCGAACCAGAGCATACGCCCAGCGGAAGCAATGACGAACCTAGCCCACGAATTGCAGAAGACGATCAAGTTCAAAATGAGTTGCTCTGCAGAACGGAATAATAAAACAACATATCTGCCACCTTGGCAAATATCTACCCTTTTCCTTTTTGTCCCTCCCCTCCTCTTCTCCCCTTCCTCCTTGACCCCCTCTCAGGAAGTAAGGACCCTCAAATCCTCAAGCTGATCTACACCGTGTCTACTTTGAGCCAGAAGCTGACATGGACGCCAATGAAACTATCATATCATTCAGCATATCTTGTCAACTCCCCATAAAGGCCATTGGGCCAGCGAGAGCAGACAAGCAACCTAAAGTGGACCTTTTATTAGGTCTGAAGATCCCTCTTTTCGCTACGTCGCTCAGGCTATAAATAGACGCAAAAGTACAGAACAAAGCGGAAGTAGGAGAGTTGATCTGTGCGAATGCTCGACTAAGAAAGGAGAACGAACGAATCCGAACCGAGCTTAACGCTCAGGCTCGGACCTCGAAGAGTCGAGAGCATGACAAGAATGCTCCACGGATACGCTCCACTCCGAACGGCGTCTGACCCAACCTGGTCCTCGGAGAAATCATCCCCCTAGAGACGGAAGGGCCGAATCCCCCCTTGACTAAGGATACTCAGCAACCAGCAAAGAAACCGAGGACAGATCAGACCCGACCCGCAACCATCCAGGGTTTTGAAAAGGGGCCTGAAGATACCCTCTGGTTTGGAAGTGATGGGCGGCCTGTAATGTCATGAAGAAAGCTGGGAAAGAGGAAGATCTGGAGCTTGGGCTGTCAAAGACCTGTAGGATGAGCTGAAAGAGCTCGACAAAAAAAACTACTGACTTGAAGAAAAGATTCATATGGCTGGAAGGTGAGAGTAGTGTGAGGCGGGTGACGGGCGCGTCTTCTGGTCATGGTCCGTCTGGGAAGCTCGTGCGTCGGAGGTCCTTCGATGATTCGGCTAGGGTTGGGGTGAAGATTCACGACCTCTAGAGGATCATGGAAGGCCCATGTAAACATTGATCCGATATTCTTACAGGCGCCCGGAGATCGGATCACTGTAGAGGCTCTAAACCAATTAATCACGTATGCTTAGCGAGCCGAGGAATTATATACTCCTATCTTCCCCAGACAAAGAAAAAGCCGCTTTAAACCTCCGTTTAAACTCCATTTTCAATGCATCATACTCATCAGCGGTTCGCAGCACCGCATCACGGTTCTCCGTGGCTCTTCGCAGAAGATAGGCCAAACATTCGCCCACAGTGCCCCATGTCGAGCACTTGTATACCTCTGGATCCCCATTACTATCCTTCAAGGCCAGGAGCGAAAAACTGACTTCGTCCGACATTCCGTGAAGCTGACCGAATCCGACAGGAACAGTAGGCAGACCTGTATCCAACCGCTGCTTATGGAGCTGGTGGGCAGCGATGAGACTCGCTTTGTTATGACTAGCGAGGAAGAGGTTTACAGAAGGGAAGGGGGTCTTGGTGCCAAAGTCACCGATTTCTTGCTTCAAGGCACCCTGGGCAATCGTATCATACGCATTATCGGTATACTGCTTCGTGTCGTGGATAAGAGCCCGCTCGTCAGATGCGATGTAGGCTCCGCGGACAAGCTTGAGGCCCAGTGTGAAGCCTTCCTGCTGGGCGGCAGCCAGGTGTCTAGCGAGAGTGGCAGGGGTTTCTTTCAGGTAAGCCTGGTAGGTGTTATAGACGACGGCGTAACCGTCACGGTTGTACTCGCGCATGAGATCGAGAGTCACTCGAAGGATACCGGAGAGGAAGTGGTGGGATTCCGCATCGACCAAGATACGGACTTTGCGCTCCTTGCACTTCCGGCTGATTTCGTGGAGCGCGTCGATCATTTGTTGGGGTGGAAGATCGCCGGCAGTGAAAGCTTGAGTGACTTTAGGGCCAGCCCCAGTCAACCTATATCAACATCAGCATAGGGTCGATTAGGAGGAAGGGGATAGTGATATGTACTTAGTAGCGAGACAGTCACCTTCTGATAATTGATCAACCGTTTCCAAGGTTCCCTGGCGCCATGCCTCGATATTGGCACACTGCGTGACGCTGAGGGGAAGATGCTCGCCGGCCTTTTCACCCTCCAGCGCTGCAACGCCTAGCCCTTGTTGGCTCCCAGTGCTATGATCGAAAACGGTCTCCTTTGCAAAAGTCATCATGACACCGCGGAAACCCATTTCTTTCAGCTCCTTGATGGTCCTTATGGATTCAGCCTTATTCTCACCAGCGCAGAACTGCTCGTAGAAAGTCTTCTTCAGAATGCCGTGCAAGATCGGATTCCGGTCAACATCCAGTAGCCGGCCTCGGTTTGGCTTGGACAGAATAGACATTGCCGATAAGGAGAGGTTGAGGAGGAGTGGCTTGGATGAAATCGTGCATACCAACAGGGACCGAAGAAGAACCCTCGTTGGGAGAACAGACAAGGGAGCGGAAGGAGAAGCAGGAGCAGATTTACTAGGTACATTAACTTGGAGAGTGGACGTAGACGATAGTCTATGGCCTTTTGGAACTTTCACAATTCCTCTTGGGAAGACAACACATCGTGTAAGGAGGATCTCTCTGGCCCGATAACCCAATGGTTTTCCAACAATTGTGAGGCTCATGGTAGGGTTATTTCAAGAAGCGCTGGTGTTTTTGGACTGGAATTCTTTGACGGATCAGCCTGTTTACTTATCAACAACCCTGCTACCCCGCCTCTCTGCTCTATTCTCTGGCAACCCCAGATTGCCATCTATCGGGTTCGTAGCCGATAGATGGATGACGGGGGAAATAGTGAACCATTTGGTTGATCAAACCCGCCGATTAAGTTCAGATCTGGAGTGTGATTTGTCGGCAGCACTCCCTTGCCTGATAAGAGTTGGGTTGTCTAGCTCAGTCAAACCCCGGAGAGTGTGGTGTGGTCGGGAGGGCGGCCGTACGTGGGGCTTGTTCTGCTGCGAGAGCGTCGGAAGGCACGCCGTCAATACATGCCAATGAATTCATAGACTTTTGTTCCCGAGAGTGGCAAATTTAATAATAGGAATCCAAACATGTTACAATATAAGCCATAGATAACTATCTACAATCGAAAGACGGGGAAACGGTGTAACAAGGTCCGATCTTAGTTGAGGCATAAAACCTTCGGGCGAATCTCCGCTCCTCAGTTTCGACCATTTCAGCTTGGTGAGGAAATCATGATCTCCAGTGGTCGAGAACGGCCATACCTTGGCCGCTCTATAAATGCACCTTTTCTCAGAAGTAACCATGTAAAATCGCCCTTTCCGACGCGATGGACATTTGGGCTCACCCTCCTCAACACAATCTACTTCCTGATTTTCTTGCCCACGATCACCGGTGCTCCCACCGGTGTTAGCTTCGTGATTCATAAAAGAAACCAGAACAAGGATACTCAGAAGCCTAAGCGCCTTAGAAAAGTCTCACCTAAGCGAAAGAAGAAGCAGTAAGCTAAAAGTGAAAGTAAAAGGTTGTGTGTTATAGAACCTTCCTTCTTAACTTGACGAGAGTTATAGTCAGTTAGATCTGGGACAGAAGGCATGAAATATATCACGGTAGTCCGCATCATCTTTCGTGGTGCAATCCACTTAGTCCGAATCTTTCAGATCCATCATACCGATGAAGAACGTGGCATATATCACAAGAGAAGCATTCCGGGGTGTCTCGTTGTAGTCTATGCAGGGCCAAGAGCTTCTCACGTCTGGTGGGACTTCAGGAGCTGGCGCAAAGATAGCACGGAATCGATGATTGCAAAGGGATAAACAAGTAATGTCAACGACCGAGAGCGAATCACATAATAGCAAGACTAGTTCTGGGGGATGCCCAGCGAGCATATTCATGGGGGGAACCTCAGAGCAAGGGGACTGAATCTCTTTTTTCGCTTCATACGGCCGCTTGAGGTAGCATTTAAGACGATTGTTTGAATGTTTCATTGTGATAGTTCGATAGATCGTGAAGTCAAGGAGGGAAGAAGAAGGGAGGAGAATAGGACGCTGACTGAACGAGTCTTCTGAGCTAGTATAGACTAAGGCAATTTGATGTGCTTTATCCATGGATCCGATTGTGTACTGAGTAGATTGCACATTTTGTGACGGAGCAAGATCGGATTGGACTAACCCACAGCCCCACGAGTTGGCCTCTATAACATGCCAAACCACTAATGCCAATCATCCCGACATCTCCTCTGGCACACTCTTAAGCACCAAATCTGGCTGCAAAAGCGCCCCCTGGATGGTAATCCCATTCAAATAGTCATTACTATCAACTCGCCGATACCCATCCTCCAGCGTCTTCTCAATGCCCGCTTTGACATGTCTCCTCGCCGTCCGATCTCGCGCATCCTGGGAATCGGTATCAACAAAAACCCTATAGTCCACAAGCCCCGTAATTTCCCTCCAGCCCGGTTCATCGAGCAGCAAATAGTTCCCCTCAATGACGATAATCGATGCATCCGGCGTGATTACAACACCGTTCTGAACAGGATCCTTAGCTTCGTGGTCGAACGTCGGCCCGCGGATAACATCCTCTTCAGCCCACCCGCCCGAACCTGGCGGTGCGAGAGGCATCCTGTCAGCCCAGGCGCGCAGTTCGCGGACAAATTGGACGAAGGCTGCTACGTCGAAGGTCCAGGGTGCTCCGCGGCGGACGTAGGCCTCTTCTGAGTTGGGCAGTTTGTCCAGCGTGGCGCGCGGCAGGTGGTACCCGTCCATTGAAAGAAGGGCAGCGTGGGTGTCGGGGTTTTCGTTAAGATATTTCACGACGGCCTGCGCGGTGGTTGTTTTGCCGGAGCCAGGGACGCCGGCTATGGCTACTATGTAGCGCTTTTTGGGGTGCGCTTGGGCTTTTTGGCGGATGGTGGCTGCTAGCCGGCGGTATTCGGTGTCCATCTAGGTACTTTGTGAGAATGACGGATCTTGATGCGTGGATTTCACTTACGATGGTATGTTTCTAGAATGAATGCTGGTTGTCCAATATCAAGGCTGGTTCGCGGATGTGGTTTTTTTATTTCTTTCAGGTTCAAGTTGAAGCCTCTCGGCACGGTTCGCCTAGCGAGTGGAAATCATTTTTTGCCAGTCATATCCTGAATCTACCGATTTTAAGATCTTGTAGTTCGATGTAGTTCGAATGTTGAGATTCAAGAGAGAGTTCTATGCTGCTATGTGCTGAGTACTGAGAGTACGGAGCTTTAATGCCCGGGCGGCCCACTGTGCTCCGATGACTCCATCGGTCTTCATCCGAGTCGCTTAACAGGGAACCTTGAAGTAAAAAGGAGGTTATCCTGGACACCTTGGTCAATGCCAAGGTGATGAATACTTACCCCGCCAGTGGGAGTGGAGCTAAGACCCATGCTTTAAGTTTTTACGCACACGTATTGCCATTGGTATAGCGCATGTCACCCCGGATATATATATGACTCTGCCCCGCAGTTCCGACTCGGAGTCCGATTTTGTGATCGAAACAAAAGCTCAACCTTCGCTTAGCCAAAAAAAAAATTATATATATATTTACCCCATGTGTAGTAGCACTAGTCCAGAGCATGCTTCGAAACCCGCTAGCGATACGGCAGGCGTCGTGATGCCATCTCGCTGCTCGGACAAGACCCTGCTGTTACCCCCGCATCACGACGTATCGAGACACAGCCAGACACAGTTACAATAGCTGAAGGCAATTGCATGGTAATTTTTGGGCTAAAAAGGATTCCAAGCAGATTGAAAGTGGACTTTTCACCTGAAGTCTGAGCTGTAAGTGTTGTTGCTTCCCTCATGGCTGCACCCCGCATAATGTCGCACCCTAACCCCGGATTGGTTAGTGCAGGGAACGGAAAGCAACGGCTCCACGGGAATATTTCCGCACACCAACGGCTATAGATCGCGGTTCTTGAACTCCGAATATCGATGCTCTGCGCAACGTAGTTGGCATTCGAGAGGGGTAATGTCAAAGGTAGATATATTCATATGTAAAGAGGCCCGAGATATATCCAATTTAAACCACTCATCTCCCTTGAAAATCGGAAACTCGAGATTGAACCATCCATACCAACCATGCCCGAAGTAACACTTTATACATACTTCCGTTCCTCCTGCTCGGCGCGTCTGCGTATAGCTTTACACCTCAAAGGCATCGACTTCACCCCGGTATTCGTCAACCTGCTGCAAAATGAGCAGTCCTCGCCTGCCCACAAAGCCATCAACCCATCCGGCCTCGTCCCCGCCCTTATTGTGAAACGTGACACAGCGCCGCCAGTAACAATCACCCAGTCTCTCGCCGCACTCGAGTATCTGGACGAGGCATTCCCTAATCAAGGCCCTGCACTTCTACCCCAAGATACAGACGCAAGGGCGCAAGTGCGAACTCTGGCGTCCATCATCGCTTGTGACGTCCAGCCTGTTACGAACCTTAAGATTCTGAGGCGGGTGGCTCCCCTCGGTGCTGACCGGACCACTTGGTCGAAAGATCTGATTGTTGAGGGGCTCCAGGCGTATGAGGCTACTGTGAAGCGATCCGCGGGGAAATTCAGTGTTGGTGATCAGATCACGATGGCGGATTTGTGCCTGATCCCGGCGGCTTGGGGAGCAGAGAGGGTTGGAGTCGATCTGACTGCTTTCCCGGTAACATATGTGATTATCCAGAACTTGGAAAAGGAGGAAGCGGTTAACAAAGGGCATTGGAAGACGCAGCCTGATACGCCAGAGGACTTGCGGGCGGAGTGATTGTGGGACCTGGACGTCCAGGTGGAAGGCACTACGTAGCCAGAGCTTGAATTACTGGGATTGATTGAAAGCGGAGGAAGTGATTGGACTCAAATTCCACGAGCTATGCTGAAGTATGTAAAATTTTGATTTTGGTCTCGTATTCATTCCAAGTTCCTACCATGCTGCTGTCTGCCGGGTTTACAGAGGAACAGCGGGCAAGATGGTACCGACACAGTCACCAAAGCCGACGTAGTTACCCTCTGTACCAGCCATGCCTCTCAAGACAACGGTATCCCCGTCTTCCAAGAACAGTCGCTCCGACCCATCAGCCAGCTTAATAGGCGTCTTGCCATTAGTCTGCTCCAAGAGACTGCCCTCTGTCTTCGGTTCCTTACCCGAGATAGTGCCCGAGCCCAGCAGGTCACCGGAACGAAGATTACATCCGGTGATCGTATGGTGAGCAACCATCTGCGAGAAGGAGTAGAGCAGGTTGTGTGCATTACTGCGCGAGATAAGTGTAGGCTGGCCGCCCTGGTTAGTCAACTCGACCTCGAGCGGAATCTCGTATGCGTTCTCAGCGCGCTTCTCACGAAGATAAGGCAAGAGGCTATCACGGTTACCGGGCTCGAGACCCACAGTGCGGAAGGGCTCCAGCGCATCGAGGAGAACAACCCAGGGGGTGATTGTGGTTCCGAAGTTCTTGGCGTTGAAGGGGCCCAAAGGCACGTATTCCCAAGCCTGAATGTCCCGGGCGGACCAGTCGTTCATGAGCACAACACCGAAGATGTGATCTTCAGCTTCGTGAATGGAGACAGGCTTTCCGAGATCATTAGGCTTGCTGATGAAAGCCGCGAGCTCGAGTTCGATGTCGAGCCTCTTGCATGGAGAGAAGGTAGGCAGTTTGGGGTTCGCGGCGGGATTCGCCAGGATCTGGCCCTGTGGACGGTGAAGAGGTGTTCCCGAAGGGACCACTGATGAAGCACGGCCATGGTAGGCGACAGGAAGGTGCTTGTAGTTGGGCTGGAGAGCATTTTCCGGGCCACGGAACAGCACACCAACGTTGTAGGCATGGTTCAGGCCGGCGTAGAAATCGGTATAATCGCCGATCTGCATTGGGACATGGTTGGTGACTTCCGACAATGGCAGCAGAGCTGACTTCTGCAATGCCACATTGTCTTTCAGAATTTGCGGGAACTGGGTGTCGGCGCGAAACACATTCTGGAGATACTCGCGTACTTGGCGATGTATTGGGCGTCCTAGTTCTGCGAAGGCATTGAGGGTCTGTTGCTCAAATACCCCGAGGTGCTGTTGAATTTCGGGAAGCTGCGAGAAACCACCGTTTGACGCAAATGATTTGAGGTTCAGAGCATGGTCGCCGACGGCAATCGCAGGAACTCGCGACGCATTTTGAGCGGAGATGATGCCAAAGGGGATGTTGGCAAGAGAGAACGGTGAGTTCTTGGGGACTTGTAGCCACGACGCCATTATGAAGGTGAAGTTGTGGGTGAGGATAAGTAGAACTCACACATCGTGTAAATTCACTTGGTCTTAACTGTTGGGTTACCCCTCGGTCAACCTTTCCGCGCGGAATTGCCCCGTTCTACACAATTCCCCGCATCCAGCCGGTGCGGAAGTCAACGGTAGGTGATTCGGAAAGATTCAGGAGTTTTATTTGTACGTGGGATATTGTGTTTAATTACTGACTATTGTACTTACTATTGTAATGAAGATGACCGGTATGCGATCGTGGTTGTCAAAAGCTCGCTATGACTATTCTCAAGAGCCAGCCTTGGAAATAAGATGATGTGGAGAGAACGCGAAGCCGCGGATATCCTGATGCAGTGATCGCCGATGAGCTGCGCTGGCCAGGTCAAATTGAGAATCCCAGAATGAATATTCAAGTCATCGCCCGGATACTCCACTATCTCTCCACCGAAATTCTTTATATCGCGCCTGTTCCAAGACTCGTATCTCCATGCAATGCGGCACACCCATGTTCAAACTCGGCCGGATCAAAGAACCGAGGGTGAATTTCATTTTCGTAAGCTAGTCCAACCAAGCATTTCTCTGTATGGTTGTGAGAATCATTTTGTAGACAGTTGAAATTTTCCACACATACCTGTGGACCCATATTGAGGCCAGCCAAAGTTCGTCAACCCTTCCTTCGGATCATGGGCAAAGGCCGCCCACGCAGACGCCATATAAGACGAAACCTTATTTTCCTGTGCACTATTCGGGATCCCACTGATCCCCGCTGCAGTGCCAAATACCATGCCAAGGTCGCTAGCATGATAGGCTCCGCTCGTAGGATATAGTCGCAAGTTATCCCAGTCGCCGAAATAGCGGGACTGCCATGCTGGGATGCCATGCGCAGTGCGGTCCCTTGCAGCTCGTCCGCTAGGACAGTCAAAAGCAGCCTTTTGAAATTCGTTCCAAGCATGATCGCTGAGAGTAACGTTTTCGGCGTAAGAGGTAACTCTATAAATCCCTGTTTCATGATTATTGCAGGTTACCAAGAACGGCTGCTCTTGATGTCAGCATCAACGGCTTCGCTCGAGTGGACTTGGAGACTCACGATAGCAGCGAACTTCCCTAGGGCAGACCTTTTGAGGTACTTGGAAAACACCGTGACCCCATCTATAACCGGATGGAATACTGGCTCCGAGGTGGCCAGAGACGGGCGATCTGGAACCCTGAACGAAGCATTGAGTACATCCTCAAACGGCTTTTCGCGAACACAGGCCACGACCTTCCCCGGATCCTCTTCGTGTTCGCAGCCAAGGAAGGAAGAAGCATTGTAAAATGCTTCCAATGACAGATCAGGTGTATTTGGCTGGAAGCTAAGGGCCGTCCCCGAGTGCGCGATGATGCCACTGATGATCGGATCATCGGCCCACGCGTAAGCATAAAGATCCACAGAAGCGCCGCCGGCAGACGAGCCAAAGATGGTGATTCGGTCTGGATCTCCGCCGAAGGCTTTGATGTTTTGGTGCACCCATTCCACTGCCATGCGCTGGTCAAGCAAGCCAACATTTTGTGGAAGACCAGGGGCTCCTGAGAATCCAAATATATTCAGCCGATAGCTGTGACAGCGTTAGTATGGCGCTCTAATAGTATTACTGGGCTCTTCAAAGGGCTTACTTGATTGTCACTACTACAACATCATGATCGGCGGCCAAGCTTTCTCCGTCGTAGTATGGGCCATGTGCGCCGCTAACCTCGAACCCTGTCGATGCAGATCCATGAGCAATAATTGAGATGAGGGCCAGCGCACTACTCACGACCGCCGTGTATCCAAAGCAAGACGGGCTTCAACTTAGGAGGCTCGGGCTTTGTCCAGACGTTCAGATATAAACAATCTTCGCTCTTAGGTCCGAGTGGCACGAGAAACGCTTTCATAATTGTTTGGAACTGTGGGGTTGCATCCGGATAGGGTGGCATAAACACATCGGCGCCGGGGCATGTTCTATTTTGCTCAGTTTGTATCTTAGTGGGTGATGGATATTCTGTACCCACGGTCCCTTTTAGGCCTTAATGTCAGCAGTGTCTTCTACAAATCGTGGGATATACCGACATAAGAGTTCCCAGGAATCGTGTCATTAGAGCTATATTCGACTGGGGCAGCAAATCGAAGGTCTCCCGTCGGTGGAGTCGCGTACCGTATGCCAAGATATACTGAGACTTCAGGTCTCAGAGACCCCGGATGGCCATGAACTAATCCGCTTGTGCTTTGAACAGGAAAGCAAACAATCTTGCCTAGTGCTAACGGCAAGTATGCAGCGAGGATAGCTGGTGACCGTTTCATTATCCAGCAGCCAGTCATCACTTGACTCCAGAATGACTACTACAGGGTTGAAAAGATTCAGAAAATGAACAACGGATAATCAGGAAGAACAGAATATATGGATTTAGACTAATGTTGGGATTTGGTCTCGAGTTTGACCTTTTTCATCTCGGGTAATATGCTACTCGGAACAGTCGGAATGTACAGACACAGCATATTCGTACCTGACAAAGCAATTGACTGCTGTACTACAATGGTCTTGTAGAGCTAGTATTGAGTAAACAGCGGGTGAGTCAGAAAGCCTTCAGGAGGCAAGATCGATTCAAGAGGTAAGATTGGACTTAAGCCGCTTGTGAAGAATCGCCTTATCAATTTCCAGCAGAAGCGTGACGATCTCTCCAAGGAGCAGATCTCCATAGTTGTTATTGACGAATGGCAGAGAAAGATACCAGGGGCTAGATCGAACCCACAGGTAGGCTTCCCTTGATCGCATTTCGTATTCCAAGGTATGAGTACGTCACCCTCTCGTTCAGGAGAGCAAGGAGCCCGGAGAGAATAAACCCCGGCAGAAGTGGCTCGAATCGCTCGTTTCTTATTGGCAGCATTGAAGGATCTCACATATCTTGTATCCTGAAGAACTTCCTATTTGTTGAATAAAAACTTGAAACGCCGACGTAACTCAACTGGCAAATGATGGGTGCATATTATCTGCACTGTTTGCTCCGCCCCCCATCATCGCCCCCGCCGGCACCGCCGCTCCCTTTTCTGGTGAGACGGTGACGTGGCTTGTGTCTCCACAGACTCCGGGAAGAATATGACGATGGCTAGTGGAGCCCACGCTTATTCCTTTGAGACAAAATCGAGCTCTCTGACCAACCCCCGCGCGGATTGGGGGAAGGTCCCTGGCTCTTAGGGGATGGTTCGATTTACGGCCCGATCTTTTAGTCTTTGCTTGGCTTCGACACAGTGGAGATCTAGGGCCTCTTGGCAATTTAGTGTCCGCGATACGAACAGTCCTGTAGACGACCTACAAAATATCCCATCCCAGTGCAAGATGCAGGAGCTTTGGAATCCGCAACATACGATGAGGGGCAGTGACGATCAGGGGGCGGGGGCCGTTCCAGAGCGGGCAGAGTAGACCAGGGATAGAAGGGAACAAAAAGTCCAAAAAAAAAAAGGAAGAAGACTAATTCACACGAGGATCCATAATGATGCAAGAGTCTCTGGAATTGGCTGCTAGCTATAGTAGCGACGTCAGGACTCTGCCACTAGCTCAATATTGACTAGCAGCCGATTGCATCGGAGGAATCGATTGACAACCAACGGCCAACAGCATCGGACCTCGGCATAATATCCCAGCTTCAGAGATGATCTGCAGATCCATGAATGTCTTATCTTCCGCCCCGAATGGATCTCATTGATCCGAGTGTTATGACCAAATAAGCCTTTTGGCAATTGCTTGACAGCCCGTATTCGTCCCGGCGATGGGGGCTGGTAGAGTACACACCTTTCCCATTCGGCTTCAAATCGTCGCATATCTAACCCGGCCAATAGATAGGAGTGACGCCATTACTTCCCCCCTCCACAAGCTTTGGGGGCTGGCCCATTTTGGAGTAAAGGATTGTGCCTTGTGGGGGCTACCGATCCATCCTTCGACAGACGATGCGCAGGAATGGTACGATGGTGGTCCCAACTCGCGCCCATGGTGGTCTAGGGCTCTTAGGTCTATATGAATCTTAAAACTCGCAGGGGCCAGCCACCACGCCGCCAGTGGGACATTATACAAAATCCAAATATACGAGTCAAAGCACCACTCCACCAAGAGCCCATCATGGTTAACAAGCTTGAAGGAGACGTTCTCGACGACTACCCTGATCTTCCACCCTTTCCTACCGACATCCCAATAGCCCCCCTTCCACGTATCTCCTTGGGGAAACTCCTGCAGAATGACGAAGCCGCAACCGAGCAGCTTTACACGATATGCAAAGACCTTGGCTTCTTTTATCTTTATCTGAATGATTCCGATGCGGGGAAATCTCTCCTCAACGAAACGCAATCGCTATTTAGCATTCAAGATGAAGTATTTGACCGCAGCTTAGAGGACTGGAAGCCGTATGACTTCAAGGAAAGGGGGACATACCTGGGGTATAAAGCCAAAGGTGCCGCCATAGTGGATTACCAAGGAAACGTTGACCGTAATGAGTCCTTTGCTGTAAGTCCCCATTGCAAACCTACGCTCATCGTTCCAAACTAACCCAACCCCAGATCAGCAAAGACGACCTCCTCGGAACCGGCGAGCGACTCCCCGCTCCTCCCACCGTGGACAACCACAGAGATCTCCTCGCGTCCTTCGCCAGAGATTCGCATAGCGTCACAATGCTGATCCTGAGGATTCTCAATGACAAGCTCAAGCTCCCAGAAGGCACGCTGCAAAGCTTCCACAAATTAGAAAGCCCCTCTGGCGACGCCATCCGCTTCAACCGAGTCCCGGCCCAACCCATCGACGACCGCCGCACGTCAATGGGCGGCCACAGTGACTTTGGCAGCGTCACAGTCCTCTTCAACCGTCTTGGCGGCCTCCAAATCCTGCCCCCCGGCACTCCGGCCCGGGATGACTCGAAATGGCTCTGGGTCCGCCCACTGCCCAACCATTGCATCATCAATCTGGGCGACGCTCTTGTCAAATTCACGAACGGGCTACTACGGTCAAACATCCACCGTGTGATGGCGCCGCCCGGTGACCAGGGCGATCTCACGCGATATAGCGTGATCTACTTTTCGAAGCCCCTGCACGGGACGCTGATGAAGCGGCTGGACGGGTCCGATGTGATCCCGCCTCTCTCGGCGGAGCAGATCGAAGAGGACATTAGTTCGCAGGAGTGGGGAAAACGTCGGCTGTTGGGACCCAGATTGGATTTGCATCAGCTGAAAGATATGGACTGGCAGAAGATTCGGGGAACGGAGAAGTTGAGCCAGCGGCTGAAGGTCTAGGTTGTACCAATAAGGATGGATGTGCTGCTTCTCTTTTTCTTTCGCTTTATGGGTTATGTGACATGCGTGTGCTTCTGAAGACTGGGCTGTACGAGGCTGTCGGTTCAATTCTATGGTAGGATATTGAAATCAACATTTTCGTTAACTATAATCGAGCTGAAACCTGATGTAGGTGTGGCAGGCTCCGGCAATGTCGATAGTTGCCCGGGCCTATTTGTTATGGTGACTCGGTGGCTTGCGGGCGAGGACGCCAGCAAAGCTTATTATGAAAGCTGCAAAAGCTGCGGTTTGCTGAAAGCAACTCACGTCTTGACAAAGCAACATGAGTTCAAGCTAATTCAAATGATAAATTGTGGTATATAACAAAAATTTGCAGATCATGGAAGGGAAGAATAAAAGTACCAGGGGAAAATGGACAGGTAACAAACAACAGGGTGGTGTTCATAGGGCCCCGGCCGTCGCAATACAAAGGGGGCCGCAGATCATGGCTGTTCCAGGCTAGATTGGACCCAATAACCTACTCAGAAGCTTCAGCCCGAATTTTGAGGTCCTTGTTGAAGACATTCCAATCGGCCTGCAGCTTCTTGCCCAGGATGGAGGGACTGAAGAGGAAGGACAGGAAGCCCTTGGACTCCTCCGACTGGGTCAAAAGAGTCGCCGCACCCTCCTTGAGAGGCTCCAGATGGAACTTATGCAAGCCCGAAATGGTGAAGACGGGCGGACCCTGCCAGGAGAAGAGGGATTCAGAATTCTCCTGAAGCCCAGAGCTCAATTGTGAGTATACACATCTGTCTCGCGGGTTCGGGAGTGCTTACCTTGACTTCGGCGACGAACTTGAATCCCTCGACGTTGATTTGAATCTTGTCGCCGACGGTCAGGGCGGCACCAGTCTTGCCTTCCTGTTGGATCTTGATCTCCTTGATCCACTCGGTGTGCCATTCTGGGTAAGCTGCGAAATTGAGGAGCTGGAGGGTTGTCAGCAGATCTGATTGGGTTCTGGACCGGGATACCTACAATTTCCCGGACTTTCGCGGGCGGCGCAGCGATCTCGATCTTGGTCTCGTTGAGGGGCATTGTCGATTCTGGCTGGGGAGAGGAGCTGAAGAATAGAAAGGGGGATGGTTGGCGAGCTAGTTGGATGATACTGAAAGGTGCGTGTGGATACGAGATGTGATGAGGTGCGTCGTGTGGCCCCGCACCTACTCATGAAACGTGTAGTGGCCCCTTGCAGTGTCATAGACCTCTATTTGACAACCTCCCCTGTTTGGAGTTCAAGCTACTAATTGTGCGGTGAATCCTAAATGCTTTAAACTAATGAGAATTACCATATAACTCGCTTTTAGAGCCTAAACACTGCTCTCTACTATATATTCCCGAGACAGAAACAAGCTAGAGTTGATATCCTCGCTGTCCGAATCCGTCGTGTGGGATTCCAGGTTTTTGAAGTTGCAATGGTTCAATTTGATCCAACTAACAAAGGCTCATTTTTCACGGGAAAAAGTCTGCAAATGCTGAAAGGGGTATTAAAAGAAGAAGAAAGAAAACAAAGCAGCCGGCTGCTAATGCATATCGGAACACTCAAAAGGCAACTAATTGCGTTAGCGGCACCCCTGCTTTCCCCCAGTCTAGGCATAGCAGGTACTCCAATGTCCACCTTCCCTTGCGAAGCTCAGTCCCTTGATAAAGTCATCCTTCCGACACCGTCCCAGCTCATCGACATCACATCCATGAAGCGGCACAACTCGATCATTCACCAAGACTCGCACCAAGGGCTCTTGATCCTCCTTCCTGTGAGATGAGCACTGCATCATTTCGATATAAGCGCGCGCTGCAAACGGAACAGTCCACGCAGCAGAGAATCCGTCTGCCTTAGCCGCAGACACAGCATGCTTCCGAGGCAAGGGGCCCGTTCCATTGTACAGCCCCAGGGCAAAGAAGATGGGGATCAGGCCATTGTCATGCGTGAAATCGGCGTAGATGGAATAGTTGAGCGGAAAAGAAGCAGTGCCGGGTGCGTCGAGGGTAGAGTTCGTGGTTGTATGGTCATGAACCGGGGTTTGGGTGAGTCGGGCAATAAGCTCATTTACGAAACCTACACCCTGGGTCGGGCCGAGTGGGTTGCCAGCGCCATACCCGTAGTACTTGGACAACGAGTAATAGTAGTTATAGTGCGACCATTCGTTGTCGCTGAAAAAAGCACAGAAGGGCGACCTGGTACTGCCCTCCGCGGAAATGGAGATTGTATCAAATGGGCACATGTCCATGAGGTAAAGAGCAAATTCCGGTGTGATAGTCACCCCGGAAGAAGAGTCTCTAGATGTTTGGCAATTGGTGGGATAAAGATGGACAAGTAACTATCCGCGATATCGTCGCCCAGTTTGCTTGCTTCGAACGCAGGACAAGAGTTGTGGTTCAGGGTGTTGTTGGAGTCCGTATCTTCGGAGATGATTACGCCAATTCGAGGCGTCGATGCTGGGGAAGCGTCTTTGTCATTCTGTTTGGTCTGCTGGAAGCCTTGGATGAACTTCTGACCAGATTCGATCACACGCGAGGATCCCGACGACCTGATGAACGGGGTATGTTTCCTTGCCAGTTTAGCATAGCGTTCGTAGAACTTAGTTCCGGAATTGACCATCTGGAGCCTCCCGAATGAGGTGAGATCATCACTCCCAAGAGTATAGTTGTAGGAGCTCAGAAAACCGGCCTTTCCCTTGAATGAAGTGGCATTGGCCTGGATTTCTTCGATAAGAGCCTTGTACTTCGAGCTCTTGGATGCCGTTGGAAATCTCGCGCCATGGCGAGACAGGACCTGGACAAACGTCACATTACAGTTGTCTGGCACCGCACTAGAGACGCTCTCATCGGTAAGCGAAAAGTAAGGGGAATACTGGCCCCAGTTGTGAGAGATATCTTGAAAGCATTGATATCCGGCGCGGACGCTGTTGCATTTTTGCGGACGATCAACTACCTTTTTTCGGGAACTAGAGAATATCGCCTGAGGTTGGTCATATGCGCCAGGTACTACTCGAGTCACAGAACGCATAGTGGTTTCATACCCAATCACCATATATACCGCGACACTCAAGATGCTCAGCAATGCTACCACAGTCACAACAGTCCATCTGCGCGGAACTGTGGCCTTGGACTTCAAAATCGGGAAATTCTCGGGGACTGGGTCTCTGAGAAGCCGCTCCTCTTCTGAAGGGATGTATTTGCTCGTCGGCCCTACCATCATTGTTTTCACGAAATGGTTACCCACTTGATCACAATGATGTCAAGGGGATCAATGGTTACGATTCCTTGACTTCCCGAGGCCAGGTAAACGTATGACGATGAAACGAGCAGCGGAAACGATGGGAGGACAATATTGATAACACAACGCGCATTCCTTGCAACGAGCCTGATTGTGGTCATCATGGTGCTCGTGAGCCCAGTGCGCCCTCTGATTGGCGGGTATACACACGTGGCGTATCTTGACGGTTGACCGATCAGGGTAACTCCAGGTACTTTTGTCCACTGCTAATCTGGTAGCATGCAGAAGTATCTGTACCTCTGCCTCCGGACATTTCCTTGATGGTTTGACCGCTTGAAGGTACCAATACGAGCAAAGCAACTGCGGTGTGGAGCCCTACGGTTTGTCCTTTCATCCTCTCCATTTCTACTCTGCAGTAGGAGCAGATGTGGAAGTTGCCCATGAAGCTGACACAGAAGACACTATCGAGCTGAGCAGACACAAGCGCTGGAGCCGAGGTGGTTGTTTGTGTGGTAGTGTGCGATGTTACTGGTCTACAGCAGCAACGTCTTTTACCAGTAATATTCTCAATCCAATCCGATCGCAATAAATTGCCGCTCAAGCAGTTCGTTTATGTAGCGCTGGGTAGAAAGGTGAAGTAAGGCGATACAACTAGTGTTCTCATGAGAGCAATGATTTTTCATACCAGTTTCCAGAAGTAGGACTCAGGTTTAGAAAACCCGTGGAATAAGCAGACTGTCGGGGAATACAAACGGCGATTCGCGGGGAGCCCAAAAGTAGCCTGATGTCTAAGGCTACATTACTGTGGGTCTGTAGTGAATGAGGTGGGTCCAATCACGTGATCACGTGTTGTCTATGGAAGCTTTATACATAGCTCTTGCACTTCGTTCCTCTCCCCTCTTCCCTCCCCAGTCCACATCACCCATCCCTCATCACGGTTTTTGAATCTATTGTGATGGCCATGCTATGTTTATCATGATTTTGTCCATTGGATATACAAAGCATCGTCACCCGTACACTGAAAACGCACACCCGTTCGACAACGCGTCTCCGGTACGCGTCGAGACCCGACCTCTCGCCCTTCGTGGCACTTTGTACAGCCAAACCTTCTTCGAACCCACCTGTCTCCTGCTGCCTTAAATGGTGACCTGCTCGGCGCTCTGCCTTCAGGGCGGTCCAGGTGGGGTCAAACCCCTAAGCCCTTGCCGGACGTTTGGTCTCCTGGCCAGAAAGTTTCTCGGGGAAGTCATACCAGATTTACGATTACACGAATTAGCCTGTGATGGGCAAATTTCGTCAAAATTTTTCTGCCATGTTCAGAGCCCTCGGGCACCAAAGACGGTGAACTATGCTGAGGTCCGTATGGGCCGAGCGTCGGTTCTCCCGTGCTGAACGAGTATGTTGGTCACAAATCGGATTGGCGACGCATGTGTGGAGCGACAGAGCCTCGCACCGAAAAGGCGGGTGGAGAATGCCAGGTGCCTCGGTTTGAGGTTACCTATGGGAAGCGGCACCATATGGTTTTTTGGATTTCTACGACGTTTCTGCTCGGGGGGCCCTAGGGCATTCTTCAGGGGTGGCACAGAGATCCGGCGCCTAGAACCCAACGGTTCCTATCACGCACAGGTTGTAGTCGTGGCAATTTTGAACCGTCCACTCGCCGGAATCGAGCTTGTTTTTCTTGGATCTGTCCAGGCAGACTTCAAGAGACTCGTTCGTCGCGAGGCTGTTCCACTTTGTTCCTTCTATGCCTCTTTTGGTTTCCCTACGGGGCTTCCAATTTTCTAGGCCGTTGGCACGTTCCGTCTGGCAATGATCATCTTCCCATCCCGGTTGAGTGTTCCTCGAACTCATTCGCTCGTTCATTTCCTCTTTCAAGCCATCGCTATCCTGTGCATACTCCTCCAGATGGGGATACCTGGATATCCCGCTCCTGCCTTTCACCCCTCCGACCTGCGACTCCTTAGCCATGGCCATCGAGCCTCGGCCACTGCGCGCCTCGAATTACGGCACCCGCCACCAATTCTGCTCTTCCATGAGAATCCCGACCACCCCTGTTAACCATCTCTTTGTGAAGCAGTTTGCAAATTGATTGATGGGCGACGTCCAAAAAACGCGATGGATTCGTTCATCGTTCCTCCTTCGGGAGTAGGATGCGATTTTTTCAGGATGCTCTTTGTTCGCTTCAACTAAATGCCCTCCGCCTGAGGAGAGGAAACAAAAACTTGTCCCAGAGGGTCCTGTACTACACACGAGAGAGAGGTGTCCGGCGCGGCAGATAACACGTTTGCCGATCGTGACGTTACAACGGAAATAATCGACGATTGCTTTACCAACTGGCTTCCATCGATCTCGACATACAAAACCCCAATCTCAATTCTTCTTTATACCGTGTCGGGATTTCGGGCTGTGAACTCGTCCGGGGCAGTCTTTCAAGGCCCGTTGCTCTTCCACTCCAATCCTGATTCTTGCAGTACCTCAATTTCTGCAGTTTCCCCTGCCCAAGTGCATGCGCTCTTTGAGCTTTGTTCTTTCGATAAGAATCGGGTTTTGCTGCATGAGTTGGATTCTTAGTTGGGCGCAAAGCAAAGGTGCGTCGAGTTGCGGCGTGGGACCTCACCCAGTGAGGATCAAAGTTTCGACTTGTCTATGCTGCAGTTGTTGCCCTTTGCTTCCAACGAAGTTTCCCTCTTTTGTGTCAATTCCAGTTTCCGTGTCAGATTGGCAAACCAGAACTCGCCGTGCCTTGGGGCTTACAGGGACTTCTGATAGACTCTGAGAACTGTGTTCGTGAATGCGGAGCCGAGTAATATGGATTGAACGGCTGCCCTAGACCCCCTTTTTTTTTTCTTATAAGTAACCCCCAAGAAAGCGCTCGTCAAACAGCACTAACTGCTCATCCAGATAGAATCGGTGCCACCCTGGGCTCCCGGGTCAGCCAGGCTTACTGTTCACAGAGCACGATGCTACAGGTATCGACTTTTCTGAGTGGAGATTACATTACCCGAGCCCTTTTGGGGAACATAGCACCCGCCGCACGAGCACAGTAGTAAGCGCCGTGAAAGTCAATGTCCACCACGCGGTGCCACCTGTCGAGCTCTTCGTCTATGCCACCCGCCTTGGCCCGGATACCAGCGTTCGCAATCCTGACATCGAGTCGACCAAAATCGCGCATGACGGCGTGGACAGCCGCTTGCACCTGCGAAGAAATCAAATGACCGCATCTAGCGTATAGCTGGCACGGAAGAGAAATCATACCTCATCAAAAATTTGCCCAGCGACCTTGTACGCTCTGATGTTGACACCGTACTCCTTTGCGACATCCACGGCCAACTCGTCAGCTTTAGGAGAGGATTTGTACCAGAGGGCCACATCGGCACCGGCGTCAGCCATACTACGAGCAACCTCGATACCAATAGCGCCCATGCCGCCGGTTATGATAACCACCTTGCCCTCTATGGAGAATATTTGGAAAACACTGTTGGATAGAGGGGGTTTCTACCGCCGAATGCTATGCTGTGCCATTTCGATTATGTCCTTGGACAGCTTTCAGGTCGAGTAGATGGTAGTATGATATAGTAATTGAATAGATGTCGATTTTGTAATTATTCAAGACCTCGCGTTTCGATGCCTTTTTTATATAAATTCTACATGGGGAGCTCTGCGTGCCGCCCCAAGTCTATGGCCGCTACAACGCATAAGAGCCCGCGTTGTAAATCTACATATAGACCAATGAGGCTATAGACAAAAACCCACCAGGGGAACATGGGCCTCTGATTTCTCGAGTGGTTTGGGTAAGTTGAGCAACCCACAATGAGCCGGACGTGAAGCTCTGCTGCAACGGACATTTGTGGGCCGTTTGATTGGTGGTTCCATAGCATGCTTGATGTTGGAGCCATAAGGAAGCGCTGTATGTCAACGACGGTAAGGATGTGAATTACCTCCGTTTAGTTAGTTAGTTTCAGTAAGTGCAAATGAGCTTTACGTATTACCGCGGTAACGGCACCGCGAGTTCCGACCAAGCGTAGATCAGGTGACCAAAACAATCCAGATGAGTAAGCAATCCTGCAATTCTGGGTGAGAGGCAGGGAGCGAGCATGTAGTGCTGAAGACGGAATACTGATAATCGAACAGAGCCGGCTTCATCTTTGTATGGCAACAGCACAGAAATAACAAGTCTAGGCTTGTTGCACACCAGAGCAGGGTGGGTGCGGAACTGTTTTGGGGAAGCACTCGTGAGGACCTTGCGGACGAGGACCTTGCGAGTGAGTACCTTGTGGGTGAAAGCCCCAATGCTCGACCAATGGACGTGAAATCATTGGGACCCTCCTCTCGGGATGGGTTATGCTTCTTAAACTTTATTTCGACCTCTGTCCGTTCGGTTGCTGCTATTGCATGCCATCAAGTCGCGTGCATGTCGCTTCGATCAGCCTTTTACGCGTCGGAGGCCTTGGCTTGGCCTCCAGAGCCTTGCATGAATCTTTTTATCCCTACTATATAAGTTGGACTGTTCCGAAGGTCTTATAAAAACGCCAGTAGGTTGGCCGAGATTGGCCATAGTATTTTCACGTATCCTTAGCCAAATCCAGTGACTGCTAAAGTTGACTTATCACTAACAAGCCCTGCGCTCAATGATATTTGGCTTTGGTATTCCTAAACTGAACTGGTAGTCAAGTCAGATGGCCGTGTTTACATTGTCAAAAAATTATTTAGATTGTTCCATGGTCAATGCTGCAGCACAAATGCGACGTGAAATTCAGCCCGAATACCACCATCTAAAAAAGAAAAAAGGCCTATGGCTCTTCGAATTCGATGCATTGCAGCAAGATACTAGAATCTCTGACTCGTTAATTAATACTCCAAGGGTAAAGTATAGAGTTCATAGCCGGATTCACTATTCTAACAATATTAAGTCTGAAGTAGACTCCACAGACACCAGAATAATAGAAAAAGGAAAACAGTAAGCAAACGGAAAGGTTCCTGGATGATGGCTGAGTAATTGGTTATTTCCTTGCACGGCGGGTAATCGAAACGATCCGCCCAAGTCGTCTCAATTGACCGCTCTAAGGGCATGAACACTGAAACCACGGACTAGGCTAATTGAGATATAAAGTAACAGTCTCATCTTATGTAGTCTGGGATCCATATAAAGCAGTATATTGGCAGAAAATGGAGGCGACGCAGACTGGAAGATATCTGAGTGATTACCGGCCAACTTTTCATAAAGCGTGTATTTACCACGCCACAACAGACATTTCAGACCGAGGACCGAGCGCCGCTGGCCTATTGAACTGAATTGTGCGGCCCGACCCCTTAAAGCCTTTTCGTCACTTTCCCACAACCTGCCTATTTTCATTACTCCCATCCGCGACCAAACACTGCCAGGGTGTTCCCAAACATGGCTCTGCATTTGACTCAATCTCAGCGTTTGCAGTTGGTGATATCTATCTCTTTCTGCTTTTTCGTTGCAGAGATATCGGGTACCACAGTAATCCCTCGGTTAACGTTCGTGGCCTGACCGTTGTCGCCTTAGTTGGATTCTACACACATTCTCTAGCCCTTGTGGCAGATGCATTCCACTATGTACGATAAACGTCTCCCTGTCCTCGAAATCCTCCAGCAGCTAATACTTCATAGCTGAATGATCTGATTGGATTCGTCGTGGCATTTGCTGCGTTGAAAGTCGGTGTTACGGTTTGAACCCGCTCATGCTCATAGCTAACTGAAACCAGATCTCCGCGAAGAAAGATTCCCCCCAAGACCTATCATTTGGCTGGCAGCGGTCTCGACTTCTCGGTGCATTTTTCAACGGCGTTTTCCTTTTCGCGTTAGGTGTCAGCATATTCCTTCAGTCGATAGAGCGATTTGTATCTGTCGAAGGTGCGTGGCATCTCATGTGCGGACATTATATCCTTCCGCTAATACAGCTACGCAGTCGTGGGACAGCCAAAACTTGTGTTGATCATTGGATGCGTTGGCCTTGCGCTCAACGTCATCAGCGCCTCTTTCCTTCACGGTCAGTGTAGGGAACTCCTGTCTGCGTGACATATACACTAACCTGGACCCTCCTGTCCAGACCACGGCCATTCACACGGTGAGGTTTCAGGGCCTTCAGTGGCAGCAGCGACGACTGGGGATACGGAAGATGGCACTGAGCAGGTTGGTATATTACCCGCGACAATTTCTCGACACTTACTCAGGCGTATCACAGGTCTTTGCCTTGCACGACAACCATCGTCACAATAACCTCCAGCCGTCCAAGAAGGGATACGATCTCGGCATGCTAGGTGTCTTGATCCATGTGCTGGGTGACGCTGCCAACAATGTCGGTGTCATCATCTCGGCTCTGGTGATCTGGCTCACTACGTACCCGGCTCGCTACTATGCAGACCCTGCTGTCAGCATGGCTATTGCCATCGTTATCCTTACAACATCAATTCCGCTGGGTTCGTTTACCCTGAATAATCGGAGTTGCCTCTGTAGACTGACAAGTCTCCTGTCTAGTGAGGAGCTCGGGCAAGATCTTACTCGAAAGCGTCCCAAATGGTATCAATCTTGAAGATATCAGACATGATCTTGAAACTGTGCGTCCCAAGCCCATTCTCCCCGATCCCGGGCTAACAGTGGCAATGAAATCCAGATACCAGGGGTGTTGTCTGTCCACGAACTCCATGTCTGGCGCCTCAACCAAGAAAAGGCATTGGCATCTGTCCACGTCACGATTTCAAACGAGACCATTTCCGAGTTTGTGCAAATAGCGAAGACCATGAACGATTGCTTTCATAGCTATGGTGTTCATTCGGCTACCTTACAGCCCGAACTTGGATCAAATCCTCCTTCAGCAATGGTGTCAGGTGTTGGCGACCCGGATGATTGGTCGCAGCTATGCCAAGTCAAATGTGGCGTCTCATGTGAGGTGTTGACATGCTGTGGCTAATCTGTTGTTCCACAATTCAATATCTGGGAGAGTAGTGCTGGAAACCAGGTATGGGGGTCATAGTAACGAGATATGCCCTTTAAACACATGACTTGAATGTGGGATATTGAGGTAGATAACTGAGGATAAATCAAGTCAGAATAAGTCGGGAAAAATATGGATTAATGTCGGGAGCTCGCTACCCGCAACTTCATACGCTAAAGCTTGGCCAAAATCAAAGCCTAAGAAGCGATAGTAGGGACATCTTAGTGATCTAGCTATATACAGGGGCATATTATTTCACGCTCGACAGTCAAGAGAACTGCAGCATCCCTTTTGTGTTGCTTTCACCGTCATAAGGGAAAGGGAAAGGCTAAAATAGAATAAACAAGGTTATTCGTTCTTAAAGGCAATGTGGCTCATCTTCTCGGATGATTCTTTCGCTTCCAGCGGCACAGATGACACGTAATCTCGACTACTAGTGCTGGTCGATTCGTTATCAACTATAGAGGGGCGGAATTAGCAGGGCTCTTTGCGGGGCTAAAAAGAGAGAGGCATTTATAAGCTCTCCTGTGTTCCCACAATCTGACGGCAGAAAATTCCCATTCTCTACCCCTGGGTCTTGTTTTTTGCGAGCATTACAGAGCTGGCAATTCTTAATGTTCTTTTCTTAGACGATCATCATCCCAATATTGACAACAACCGCCTGATATGTCTGGTCTTCTGGGAAAATTGGCCGGTCAGGTATCTGGCCAACAGTCCGGCCAGCCTTCGGAAGGCTCCTCTGGGCTCGTGCATAAAGTGACGGATGCTATCACCGGCCAAAAGCACCCGCAAGATGGCCAGGGTTATCCACCTACGTATGGGAGCAATCAAGAAGGGAGACCTTATCCTTCAGATACTAAGTTTACTTTCCGAGAACTTTGGCCTGTGCATCCCCACAGGAGCATTCGAACAAAGAGCCTAATATGTCAGGGCACTGAGAAGGTTATTATGGTCAGCCCGAAAACCAGAATTCCTACGGCCATCGCTACGAAGATGGACACGGTGGTTACAGCAATAGGAATGACGGCTTTGGAGGCAATGGCCGATGATACTACCCTAGTGATCCCTTTAACGGCTACTCGGGTGACCACGGAGGCTATGGCCCTGATCCCCCATGGAAGAGACCCTCATCAGTATCAGGCTGGTCACGGTGGACACGGCGCACCAGGTGGGTATCAAGGAAATGGCCAGGATCACCAAGAGTATTATGGTGGACACAATGCACCACCTAGCTACGAAGCCCATGGGCAGTATTCTGGTGGGCACAGTGCTCCTGGTAGCTATGAGAGGCCCCACACTAAGTACCGTGGTCCGTATAACGACAGTGGCCTCGGGGGTACACAAGGGGGCCATGGAAGAGGCCACGGCGGATACGAAGGAGCATACCATGGGCGGTGGTCACTGATATTAGGATGCTATGAATCTACTGACGCGGGATCAAAAACATTCTCATGTTCCACTCCAGACTAGTGTCACTGAATATGAAATCATTGCATCTCAGAAAATTTGACCTACTAATGACCGGTTTTGTACTACACCGCGATGACAACCTCACATCTGAATTTGCGCACCATGCACCAAAGGATGTCCTTGCGATGGTCCAAGGAAGTTTGTAAGATGCGGCGATCTCTCCGTGTTGATGAGACAGCGCCGTCAGCCAATGCTGAGCAGCTACAGGCCGGGCTCCCTGAGCAATAGAAACCCCTTGAAATCGAAACATCCCAGGTGGACCCCTCTAAAAAAAAAAGACAGGAAAAGAAGATCCGCACATGGCACGGTATTTACCACCTTCCTCTATTCTAAGTCTCCCCGGAGGCTTACCAATACTTACCTACAAGACTCCCCGATGATGATATATTCCGGGTTCCACTTCATATACATACAAGAATCCCACTGTAAACTCGGCGAATCGAGAGCCCTAAACCTTAGAATAGCTCCACTCGGTCCAATAACTTGATCGAATTTAGTTCCATCTCAGATCAAGATCTTAAATTAATCCAATCCTTTACCTTCATGATCCACAGACTGAACCTGGAAACGGCACAAATGTATAAGGCGATGCCCTCGGGTGTACAACAATTCCCTGAGACATCACCGGAGGAAAGGCCTGATTTGCATACAAAACAGGGGCTCCTCTCGAAAAGTTTCTCTATCCTCAAGTTGACCCTTGCAGCTCATACCATGACCCCAATGCTGCGAACACCAAATCTCCTGCTCTGATATCACCCAGCTCTTAAGCGAGTAAAGTACATACGACCATAGGGTGTGGAGAACAGGGCTTCCCGTCCGCTCAGCCGTACTTAAGCCACACGCCGGTCAGTTAGTACTATGGTGGGTGACCACATGGGAATCCTGACTGTTGTATGTTTTTTTTCTCGCGCCATTTTTTTGATTCGTCCGGAAATTTGCTATCGCCGCCACTCGGCCGAGACCGGAGCCCCCGATCCACTTACTAATTTGATCTTTCGATGATGACTAGTTAGTTGGCTCCGAACTAAGATAGGCTTACGCCTACTTAAAACATGCGAAGTGCCCTACAGGTCGGGGGCGAAACTCGCAGAATACGGCCCTAGGCCCGCTTTACGCTCTAAGCTGCTTTCTAGGAGGATATCCGGCTGAAAATATGGCTAAGGCAAGCCGCCAACTGGTGCATTGTAATTGTCGTTCTTTGGCAAGAGATAGAATCTTAGCTTAGCACGTCCCTATGCCCCAAGGGAGGCAAGGAGCTAGCGGTTCACACCGCCAGCTCTCCTGGACGTTAATAAATACTACTACTACTACTAGTTAGTTGGCAGCGGTAGAGCAGCGACTAAGAGATGGATATCCTTGGATTTGAAATGGATGAGATTATCACAGTTTCTCGTGGGTTGGGTTCTCCTGATGTAGGCCCATTGTGAGAAAGATTGTTTTTGCCTTGACATATTGTTCCCCGTTCCCCCCAGGAACGCTATTCTTACCAACCAGGGATCCCCGAATAACATAAATATACACGTCCTTACAGGAGCAAAAATATAGGTACTGGTATAGGTACTGCATATTTGATAGAAGTAGGACTACGGAGTAATCTGTGGTTTGAGTTGCATAGAAAACAAAGCGTATAATCCGCGATAAGCATCAGGTTCACCGCCCCGCGGAGCTTTATGTGAACCCCTTCTCCTTTCGAGTCTGACCTTGACTGGACACTGAGCACCGCTGACCTAGAATTTCTACCGCCAGCCTAGTTCGATTCTGAACGGAGATTATCTCAACTTCGTTGCCCACATTGGAGTAACCGCTATTGCGTTTTGTGTTGATATCGCTTGTTTCATCTTCCTATCCGAGACAGCTCCAAGAGATAGGCAGAAGACGAGGACAGGCGGTATGCTTTCTTAAAAGTCAGCAAGGCATCATCCATCGAGAAACATGGAGGTAATCAAGTCGGTTTTCCGGCCGGACTTCACTTGGCCCCAACCGATGAAACCGACTATCAGTAAAACTACGCCCGCCTTGCCATCTCGCCCGGGAAAGCTCCGACAAAGGGTATGGGGCCTATTGCATACATGCCTGTCCCACTTCTCAAAATGGTACACGAGATGGTATGGTGTCTATTCTGAGCCCCATGTCTATCAATTACCCTTCGGACTCATACTCAAGTGGTCTGATCGAACCAGCGAAGAAGAAGCTGTCGCCATGCAAATGGCACGAGCGGCCGGGATGCCCGTTCCGATGGTACTTTCATACGGATGGCACCCTGGCTGCTCGTACAACCGGTTTTGGTCAATATTGATGACACGGTTGCCGGGGTTTACGCTCGCAAATTCATCCGATCCTTTGGACGTCGAAGTGGAAGAACCCTGGCTGAGTGAACTGCGAGACTGCATTGATTCCATGCGTCAATGGACGTCGCCTTATGATGCGAGCATATGTTCTCCCATGGGCACTTCCATACGAAGTTCCCGCGTCCCAGATCATATTATGGGCCCTTTCCCCACCGAAGCAGAGCTACATGATTTCCTTCTGAGTCCTGCCTCCGGGCACGGCTTTGATTCAACTCAAGAGTATATCGACGCATTGGCCCAGGCGAATGAGATACGCAAAATGCCGCACCGTATCACGTTCACTCATGGTGATTTCAAAGCTCACAACATCATGGTCGGAGATGATAATCAGCTTACTGGAATTCTTGATTGGGAATCAGGCGGATGGATGCCGGAGTACTGGGAATATACAACTGCTCTGAGATTTGGAAGGAGAAGCTGGTGGGGAGAGGTAGTCACCTGGTTGGGTGGAGACAAATACAGCCAGCAATTGACGTGTGATATTGCACTGAATTCGTTGACCGTCGACTCTTACATAGCCTTCTAGAGGCCTAATATTATCAGAGCAAAGTGAGTACCGTACGGACGGTACGGTAAATATGTGAGCAGGAGTCAGTCCTAATTTTTTTTTTTTTGAACCGGTCCTTTTTGAATGGATCTATGTTGCTGGTTTTGCGGAAATAGCTTATGTTGGCCCGCTTATTACTGCGACGAACCATGGTCGGGGAACTACACCCGTGTGACAACAAGCTTGAGGGCCTGCAACTCTGCGACGGCGATACAGACAATTCCTTGATTGTCTGACTCAAGGTATCCCACAGTATCTCATCAAGGTAAATCTCGGGGTCGTGCTTCTATCCCAGGGCTTGGAGATTACCAACACATAAGCACAGAGCGACATAAACGGCAGACGCATCCGAAACGAGGGGCGGTGAGGTGATGTCATGCGAAAGAGGGACAGCCACAATCAAAGGAGAAGCATTTGAACACTTTCCACGCATCAAGTCTGCAACGATGGGAGGCGGACCAGAACTACCCTACCGCCAGAAACAAATGGAGCCAGCCGCAAGCCCAAATTCCAATTACCACGCCGTGGTGGATCTAGGCAGGTGAATCGCTCCACCCATGGTCATTCGCGAAGATACAGCAGAACGAGCCCAGCAACTAACCTACAACCACAGTAACGGAATACGATGCTCCATCTCCGATCTTTCAGCGCCAACCACTCGAGTAATCCCGACTGTGCACTTCCGCCGCGTCAACATCTCGCTCTACGAAGCCCAGCTCGATCCCGAGACTGGCGAGCGCATCCCCATTCCCAAATCAGTCATTGACCATGTCGTCTCTGCTATTCTGCGATTCCAGATAATCTGCGTCGAGATTGGTGTACCGCCCCAGAATGTCCGCTTCATCGCAACAGAGGCTACTCGGACGGCGATCAATTCTGCCGCCTTCACAGATGCAATCCGCGAGAAGACTGGCATTACAGTGGAGATGCTGCGAAAGGAGGAGGAAGGGATTATCGGAGCATGGGGGATCGCTAGTAGCTTCTCCCACGTTGAGGGCCTAGCGCTCGACCTAGGAGGAGGTAGTATGCAAATCACCTGGATCGTCTCGCACGCGGGCGATGTGCAGATCAGTCCGCAGGGCGCGGTGAGCTTCCCCTACGGTGCGGCGGCATTGACGCAGAAGCTTGCAGACTTGGGCCGAGGGAAGAGCAAGAGCGAGGCGAAGGAAGCTAGGGAGGAATTTCGGAAAGAGATGGCCAGGAATTTTAATGAGGCCTTTGAACGGCTACAGATCCCCGAGAGCATGATGAGCCGAGCCCGAGAGCAAGGAGGGTTCCCGCTTTACTTGTCCGGTGGTGGCTTTCGTGGCTGGGGCTATCTGCTTCTGTACTTGCACCAAACCCGCGGGCAGAACTATCCTATCTCCATCATCAATGGTTACACGGCGCCGAAGAAGGAATTCGAGAATACCGATGTGTTAGAGGAAGTTGCACGAGAAGCCGATGAGATATTCCCGAGTGTCTGACCGCAGGCGGAAGCAGGTTCCTTCTGTTGCTTTCCTAGTGGATGTATTGGCGAAGTCGGTTCCTTATGGGATCAAGGAGGCACACTTCTGCCAAGGTGGAGTCCGAGAAGGAGTCCTCTTCCGTCAAATGCCCCCGGTGGTCCGTCAGCGCGACCCTCTGGAGGTTGCCACTACTCTCTATGCGCGCCCATCAGCTCAAATAATCGCCGCGTTGTTGCTGGCTGCCCTACCACGACCAGGTCTGGGGCGATCGGTACCAGAGTCTATCACCATACACCTGATCCAGGCGTTTGCAAATTCACTGTATGTCCATTCAACAATGCCCAAGGAACTCTCGTCGACCGCTGCGCTTTACAGTACGAGCGCTGGATTCTTGGCTTCAACACATGGAGTGCCTCACTCGCATCGTGCGCTTCTGGCCCTACTACTTCAAGAACGGTATGGTGGAGAGTTGCCACCTCGTGATGTTGGGTACAAGGGCCACATGCAAGGAATATTGACACCTGAGGAAGTGTGGTGGACTCGGTACCTGGGGAAATGGGGATATGTTCTCGGTCAATTATACCCAATTGGTATAATTAATTCCTCCAGGCCGCGTATCATCCCCTCTGCTCGTTGGGTGACCGGGCTAGGCAAGAAGGGCAAGAAGGATGGCCTTGAACTCAAAATTACCGTCCAAAAGGTGGAACATGACGCGACTCATCTCAAAGAAGAATTGGTGCACGATACGAAGAAGGTCATAAAGGTTGGGAAACGCAAGAACTGGATCGGAGGGGAGGATGGTTGGGGTGTTAAGGTTGTGGTCGCAGTCGTGGAGGAGGATCTGTTACCGGAGCCATGATTCTCGGCCACTTGGTTGGGAAACACAAGCCTTCGAGAAAGCCCCAACTCTGACCGGCATGTGAACGTTCATCTTTCGGGTTTATTACTTTGACGATGGTATTCGCGCTATAGGAAAGCTAGATAGTGACAGCATCGAATGTGCAGTCTTTTTTCTGGGTTTATACTTTTTTCTGGGTTTATATTCTCGAACGGCCTTTGAAACACCAAAGATAAATACGCTACATTGAATAATATTCCATGAGGGATGGTTGAATTGATCACATCCAAAAGACATTGACTGCGCAGTCGAAGAACCACCGGTACTTCTTACGAGCGTCATACCTGGCATCTTTGGTAATATGCAAAAATTGCCTTGAATTGGAATTATGACGATCTATGAACATGTAGAACGTGGTTAAGCGTGGATGTACTCCCGCTGGTCCTCAGCAGGCGGTTATACTCTTGCCAATGTGGGTCCAAGGCATATAGGCGACTTCGAGGTTCCGGCACTTATGAACTTCGACTTCTCCCCCAGATTCTATAACAACCCTGCGGCCCCTGGGAAAAATACTCTAAGGCTTCTCCTATTGTGAATCAGCTCCACTGCATATAATGGCCGCTCGTAACACGCTTCGCCGCTCCCTGCTCTACGGTAAGAACCGGTCGCGTCTTCCCCGCATTTCAACCGGAAGCTTCACCAGCATCAGACCGCTAACTCCATGCTCCATTCTAGTTCCCGGGTCGTCGCAGCGCTTCTTGGATAAGTCCCGCAGCCTTGTCGCTGACTGCATCGCCTACGACCTCGAAGACAGCGTCACTCCTCACAAGAAAGCCGAAGCGCGCACTCTCGTGCGGAGAGCAATCGACCAGCCCATCCCCTCCGGCCTTCGCGAGCGCGCCGTGCGCATCAACTCAGTTGACAGTGGCCTAGCACTAGGTGACCTGACAGAAGTGGTAAGCTACCCGGGCAGACCAATCTCACGTCAAAGGACTTCAAGAATCTAAATCCCTTTCTCCCAGCTCCAATCGCCCAATCTCTCCACAATCGTCATCCCGAAAGTCAACTCCGCCTCAGACCTAACCTTCGTCCACGATGTCGTATCGCACACCCTCTCACAACAATCCCAAACTGACCGCCCCCCCAATCTCCCTCCTGGCCCTCGTCGAGTCCGCCCAATCCCTCACCAACCTCCGCGAGATCTGCGCCGCAACACCCCTCCTGCAAGGCCTCATCTTCGCAGCCGAAGACTTCGCGCTAGACCTCAGTCTCACCCGCACTCCCTCCCTGACGGAATTCCTTTTTGCGCGCTCTGCCATCGTAACAGCTGCTCGCGCGGCTAACCTCCCCTCCACCATTGACCTCGTCTGCACAGCGTACAAGTCTGAGAAAGCGGATGGCTCGCCGCCCGCGGCGCTGGAGGAGGAGTGTCAGTCCGGGCGTCGACTAGGCTTCAATGGCAAGCAATGTATTCACCCGACGCAAGTGAAGACGGTGAATGCCATTTTCGGGCCGGATGCGGAGGAGACGGTGTGGGCGATGCGGGTTGTTGTTGCGGATGAGAAGGCTGCGGCTGCGGGGCGGGGGGCGTGGACGCTGGATGGGAAGATGATTGATGTGCCGGTTGCGCAGAAGGCGAAGGCTATTGTTGCGAAGGCGGAGGCATGCGGTGTTGATGTTGCAGGGTTGAGGGAGGAGTGGAAGCATCAGGAGCCCGAGTAGGGGTCGAGGGGATGTTCAAAGCCCATGTATATAGCTTGGTTTCAGTCTATTATGATTTGTACAAACTCATGAACTGCGGTAGATGTTCAAGGGATAATAGTATTCGACTTTGCAACACTTTGATTCCGAAAGATGGATTCGGTAGAAAGTGTCAGTTTCAATCAAGTTGACACTCGCAGCCACTGGTTGGTATACTCTGCATCTCCTTTGACTTGATAGACACAACCAGATTTGTTGTCGTAGGCAGCGAATAGCGACCAATGATATGGTTCTCATGGTCCCGTGTTAGGCTTACTAGGCTAATCTGGATATTCGAAGTATTCTTCCCGGTATAATCACAGCCCAAGAATTCTTCCTCAGGACACTCGGGGTCGATGGATATCTCAACAGGGTAAGCAGGATAGTCAAACTCAAAAAATTCGTCATCCAGGCTGTACCACAAGTACGCACACCCAAGTGACTCGTCCGGTGCATGATATCCATGCTCCTTCATTTGGGTAGTGAGGGTCTCTTTGAACTGAATCTTTGCTTCACCTGGCCTGCGGAACTGATCACGCAATCCAGCATTTATAGTATCTCTAATAGACACCATCTTATCTACACAATGCTGTTTCGTGTTCATGACCGCCTTTACCTCAGCTGGTGTGTTGCGGTGGCACAGCACCAGCTCCCTGTCACGAATAAACCAGGGGCTCCTTCGGCACTTTTCCTGAATATGCTGCTTGAAAGCCCCCAATGTTTGGAATATCAAGGATCCGCCCCCGGGGTCCAGACATTCGATCCCGCTGCTGTCTGAATACCGCGCATATGTTTCCAGTTTCAGCCAGTTGATGGCTCTGGTTTCGCACCACAAGATACTTCCAAGTCGCCCACTCGTGAGAAGGTCATTCAGTAAGCCACATGGAACTTTCTTTGGTGGAAGCAAGATTCGCATCGGTGTCCAGTTCTCTTTGGTTAGACTCCAGTTATGTGCTTTCACTCCCCAAAATCTATACCGTAATCCCTTCTCATCCTCGTCGCCCTGACGTGGGGATCTATATGCCGCAAAGGCGGTGATATATGAGGGCGCAATTTCCACTAGCTCGGACATGAAAAAGGTCTCGTCATGATTTTCAAACGGCTCACATTTCTCATTGAAGTGAACTCTAAGTCGATGAGCTGTTGTTGTAGTTAGGAAGATCTGAAGAGAATTGGCTTATTACAAAGAGTGTATCAATGGTACATGGGATGCGTTTAAACGGACGAAGATTGATATGTCAATATTGAGTACAGGAAGAGGATGGATAAATTGTCTGCGAACCAGGGCTATTATACAGAATACTAAGACAATCTGTATGTAAACCTGATTATTCAGTATATTTAATTTTAGTATGGTCCAAAAAGAGTTGGTAGTGTGTATACATGAGTATACATATGTATGTGATGGGATAGGCGACGGAAGCAGTATGCACACAGACTTTTGCCCCTTAATGCGTATCATCTACACCGGCGTTTCCCCGAGATTGCGTATCTCTCGGCCTGAAGACCGCGTCAAGTTATCTGGCTGGAGCCGATTACATAACCGGTTATCACGCAAGAGCCGATCCCCGCACGCGGTCTTTCTACTGTTTTCTTTCCAATTCGGAAGTGATAGTTCCTGAACATCTCTATGAGCTTGATTAAAGCTTGCGCAAGATCAATCAACCTCGTGCGACGAAACCCCCCGCTCTGCAACGCGTCCCTTAGACCCAGCCCGCTCGGCTTATCACTTCACCCCACCTTCCGACGCACGATGGCCTCCGCAATGGCAAAGCGCCTTGAGGGCAAGACAATTGTTGTGACCGGAGCTTCGTCTGGAATTGGCAAGAGCACCGCCAAGGAATTCGCCCGCACTTCGCCCAAGAATCTGAAGCTGATTCTGACCGCGCGCCGCATTGATGCTCTCAAGGCGCTTGCCGAGGAGATCAAGGCCGAGGTCGGCGATGGCGTCAAGGTCCTGCCTTATCAGCTGGACGTGAGCAAGCCGGAGCAAATTAACAACTTCGTACCATCATTACCCGAAGAATTCAAGGAAATTGATATTCTTGTCAACAATGCGTGAGTCATGGATAGGACACAATGGCGCGGCAAGCGAATCAGAGGACTGACAATCGGAATGCAGTGGACTCGTCAAGGGCGTTGCACAGGCTCCTGATATTAAGGCCGAGGACATGAGTATCATGTTCGATACCAACGTCACCGGTCTCATTAACATGACGCAGGCCATCCTCCCCATCTTCAAGAAGAGATCCGAGGGTGGTCGTGGTGACATTATCAACATTGGCAGTATTGCTGGCCGTGAGCCTTATGCCGGTGGCGGCATTTACTGTGCGACCAAGGCCGCCGTCCGCTCTTTCACCGAGTCCCTTCGAAAGGAATTGGTTGCTTCCCGCATTCGGATCATTGAGATTGACCCCGGCCAGGTCGAGACTGTATGAATATTCCCTACCCGAAACCAGTTGCCCACAGCCGAGCTAATTCAAAACAGGAATTTTCCGTTGTGCGATTCTATGGCGATAAGGCCAAGGCGGATGCGGTTTACAAGTAAGTCCAGACGAGAGCGAAACATCCGGAGCTGAGCTGACTGGAGTAATTAGGGGAGTTGAGCCTCTGACCGGTGATGACATTGCTGAGATCATTGTATTCGCCGCGGGTCGCCGCGAGAATGTTGTGATCGCTGACACGCTTGTTTTCCCAAGCCACCAGGTACGTACTGGCGTTTGAGCCCCTTTAATGTTGGCCTTGGATGTCATGACTAACTTTCCACAGGCTTCTGCCGGTGTCATGCACCGCAAGTCATAGATATCTTCATAGCAGTTGAAACCAAGGATATTGATGTAGGCGATAAATCACATACCAAATAGACTGCCTAACTTGTTTATTCTGCCTCGATGTCGTAGGCGACGAACTAGTCTACGGGGTGTTTCCAAGGGCTCTGTATAGCTTATAGCGCACGGGTCAGAGCTTTTTAGTTGCCATTGAACCGGAGTCAATCCCCCCGCCGCCCCATGCCCAGCGCTGGAAATGTTACCTCAAGTCTCTCAAGAGCAGACAGTCCAGCTCCTTTGCCTAACTAGCTCGTCGAAACCATCTGCCATATGTCGGCCATCGGCTGTCGGCAAAAGATATCATGCGGGGAGTCTGGGAAGCTTTCCTGGGAAGCTTTTCCGTGGGTGCGGGCCGCTTCAACCACATCTTACCACGATGATGGAAATCGGCCAGGTAAATCGGTCACTTCAACTAACTGCTGCTGCTGATTTCCAGCGAATCCTTCGTCGATGAATACCTAGTCATGATAACATGCACTGATCGGCTCTCGGCAGTCCATGACGCCTCCAACTCCACCGCCCACACCTTGGACCCGCAGGAGCAAGTCCGGAGCATGAAACATCTCCAGAAGCAGCATGAGACCCATTCTTTACGCTTCCCCGCCGGGCCGCTATTCATTCTTTCAGAAAGCTTAGATCTCTTGCCCTGTTCTGCTTGTCTTCCCCGCAATGTCGCCCGATCGCCGCCATGGCCGTATATCAACTTCCCTCTCGCAGCGCTCTTCCCCTGACACTTCGAGTTTATTTTCCATATGGCCTCGTCAATTAATGACCTGGTTCATTACCCCGTCTGCATCTAAGTCGTCGTACACTCAGGTCCCCCAAGATCCAGACCAGACTCAATTGGAGTCCGGCTCTGAAATGGAAGCCTCGCAGCTTGTAAAGGCGCGCTTGCGCACATACTGGCTGGCTACCGTGCTGTGCTGTGGCGGTGCGCTGTTCGGGTATGACTCGGGGGGTTATCGGTATGGTGTCTTCTTAAACCGAGTACCCAGATGGAGGGAAAGGACCAAGTGAGCTGATCTATCTGCAAGGGGGCGTTCTTACATTTGGCTCGTTCAAGGAATCGTTCCAATTCACAGCGACGCAGAAAACGCACATTAGTGCTATTGCGGTGGGCATTCAGCAGGCCGGGGCCTTTGCAGGGTGCTTCATAATATGGCCCGTGACGAACCGGTACGGGCGCCGCATTGCGATGATGCTATGCGCACTGGTCTTCTGCGTCGGGGTTATCCTCGAAACCGTTGATTCACATTCCTCGCCGCTTTCTATGTCGGCCGAGTGATTTGTGGTCTGGGGGGTTGGGGGGTCCGCAACTATTATCCCGATTTACATGTCAGAGATGAGCCCGAAAGAGATTCGGGGCCGGCTCGGTAGCTGCTACCAATTTACTTATACGATTGGGATCCTGGTCTCGTACTGGATCGATTACGGCGTGGAGTTCATGCCGAGCGGGGCTCGTCAGTGGCAGATTCCCATTGCACTGCAGCTGGTACCCGGTGCTTTGATGGGCATTGGCATGTTCACGCTAGATGAAAGTGTCCGGTGGCTGCTAGCCCACGGCAAGACAGAGGAGGCATGGCGAAGCCTCGTCTGGATACGCGCGGGGGACGGCCCCGCCGTGAGTGAAGAGTTCGAGGATATGCGCCGAGGCCTCGAGGATGAGCGGCATGCGACGGCAGGCTTCCGGCTGCGCGAGCTACTCGAGGGTCCGAATCTGCATCGCCTTCTCATCGGAGGCGGCCTCTTTCTTGCCCAGCAGTCGACGGGATCGACTGCGCTGGCTTACTTCGGGCCGCAATTCTTCTCTCTCCTGGTCGGTCCGGGAGATAAGAATCTCTTGCTGACGGGCATATTTGGCGCGATCAAAGTCGTTTCATGTGGCTTCTTTGTGATATTCATGTCGGATCGGTTTGGTCGACGACCGACGTTGACTATCGGCGCTGCCTTTATGGCTGCGTGTATGGTTGCGACGGCGGCTGTTATCCGAAGATATCCCCCCACGGACGGTGTCGTCACGAATGCTGGAATCGCCACCGTCGCGCTCATATACCTGGACATCATTGCCTATAATCTCAGCTGGGGCCCTCTGCCATGGCCCTGTGCGAGTGAGATCTTCCCCACGCGAATCCGGGAGCCGGGTGTGGCGTTCGGAGTTGGTTCGCAATGGCTCTTTAATTTTGTGTGGAGCTTTTCAACACCGTATATTATGGCTGGTATAGGCTGGGGCACATTCTTATTGTTTGGTCTCCTCGACGTTCTTATTGTGGGATTCACCTATTCCTGTCTCAAAGAGACAGCTGGCAAGACGCTTGAAGAGATCAACAGCATGTACGATGGGGTTGACGCAGATGCCGAGCATGGGTGGAAAGGCGATGCTTTTGGTCAGACGCAGGGGCCAGATCGAGAGCCTGGCCAGTCCCACTCTGATGGCGCTGAGTCCGTCAGGAGCGACACCAAATCTAGTCGACATAAGATGCACGCGGCGCATCTTGAACAATTAACTAGCATAAGCGGGAGAGCATGATTTTTGCATGAATACTTTTGAAGTATGAACGGTCTGTCGATGCACCGACTTTCGCTACCGCCATCTATAGATTTACAAGGCAATGAATGGATAATCATCAAGGCGCAGCTACGTGTACATAGTGATCAAGCATATTCCAGTATCATGAACATACCAAAGTCATTTCTTCATTTTGTACTATCTAAAGATGCGGGTATTTAAACAATGACCTTGTGGGTGGCGGGAGCCTCCTCGGGCTCGCCGAAGATGTTGATGTCCCAGCGAGGCTTGTCTGTAATTGAATTAGTATATGACCTCATTCCAAACTCGTTTCAGGGAAAACGTACTAGCAACGTAAGGAGTGTTGTAACGGCGGCGCTCGCTCTCGAGCTTGGAGACCTTAGCGATCTCCTCGGGAGTAAGCTCGATCTCCTTGAAGTTGTCACGGATACGCGAGGGAGTGACAGACTTGGGGATCACACTGTGACCACCGACCTGGGACCAGGCGAGGCTACGAGAACGTTAGTAGAAACAGGCAATATGGAGCAAGTTTCAAACATACATGACGTGAGCGGGGGTGACCTCAGTTCCGAGACGCTTAGCGGCGGACTCGGCGACTTCCTTGATCTCGGGACGGGTGATGAGGAGGGGAACTCCCACGTTGTTGTTACCGAAGGCCTGAACCGTCAATTAGCACGTATAACTGTGCAGTCATAAAGTAGTACATACCGAGTAGGCAGTGATGTGGATTCCCTTCTTCTGGCAGTACTCAACGAGGTCGTTGCTCTGGAGAACGGGGTGGCGCTCAATCTGGTTGGCAGCAGGGACAACGCCGGTAGCATTAATAATAGCCTCGAGCTAGAAGGTATGTTAACGCACGACTCGATGTATAAGGATGAAGCAGGTGCACGAACGTGAGGAATCAGGTGGTTGGAAACACCGACAGAACGGGCCTTGCTCTTGGGGAGCTTGGTCATGGCTGTAGGGAATTAGTCTTTGATGCGGAGCATTATCAGCTGGATGGCTTACCCTTCCAGGTGTCCACAATGGAGATGTTGTCTTCAATAACAACGTCACCACCCTCAACCTTGCTATCGGCAACAAGAGGGAAGTAGTCGTCGCCGCTCTTGAAAGCAACGGGCCAGTGAACGAGATAAAGCTAACGCGGTTAGCATCGCATTTCTTGAATCGCCCAGTTTAGCTCTCCACTTACGTCAAGGTAGTCCAGCTCAAGCTCGGCAAGGCACTTGTCGAGAGCAGCCTCGACGTCCTTGGGGTCGTGCTGGGTGTTCCACAGCTTGGAAGTCTAATGTGGAAAAGAGTCTTTAGCAATTGATCTTGGGCAGATTTTTGAGTGCAAGGGGAAGCTTACAATGAAGATGTCTTCACGCTTCAGGCCGGGGACATCCTTGTAAGCGCGCTTGATACCCTGGGCAACCTCCTTCTGGTTCTGGTAGCTATATTCGAGTGGTCAGTGATTATCCAGAGCGGGATTACACCAAACCGACCGCGGGGAGTTCCGATGACGTACATAGTAGCCAGATCCTAAATAAGGTTAGCCTTCTCTTCAATTGAAAGAGAGAACAAGAGCTACACTTACCAGGTGACGGTAGCCAGCCTTGAGGGCCTCGTAGACAGCCTCGCCAACTTGGCCAGGGGCGGATTGCCAGGTACCGAATCCCAGTTGGCTAAGACTAAGTTAGCGACAGTCCATTGGCGTGACCCGACAGCTACTCACGGGATAGGGTGGCCAGTGTTCAGCTTAACGGTCTTTCCAAGAGACATGATGGATTTCTAGCAAGCTGGAATGAATTGAGCAGAGAGGATGAAGAAAAAAAAAGAAGGATGGCGAAATGCGTGGGATGCAACGCGTCTAATAAAGCGGCGACGTGACCGTGGGGTTCCCTCTATGCACCTTGGTCGAGCAGGCCATCCCACGGTAGCCCCTCCTTCGATGCCCTTCTACCCCCGGAGTAGACCCCACCGAATACTAGATCGGCATCTGTGCAACTATGGGATGGGATCGATGGTCCAATCACGTATACTACACGACTGTTCGAATCAAGGAATTCTCAACACGGTGAATCTGCAAGTCGTAGTAATAGCCCATTGATTTGCGTCCGTATTCAAATGTCTGAAGCTGCATAGCATCTAAGTACCTCCCGGGTCCCCCACGAACCTATTTATCTGTGATGTCATCGTCTTGTCCGCTTTTAACCGGCTTGTTTTATCCGAGCCTAGTCCCATACAAAGCAAACTCTGCATTTTTCTCCAGACCAACTACAGCGAGGTAGCCATTGGTGGAAATGATGACTTGGCATTTATCCGCCTCTCAGACAAGCCAGACTCGGGCACTCTATAAAGTCTAGTGTCCTGGCCTGTTAACTCCGTCAAAATAGCGGCACGATCGATTCGACCCCCCATGCTGACAGGGCTAGTGGAGCAGTCGAGGAAGGTCTAACCGTTCGGGGTCTCAAACAGGCAATATATCCACGCACCTTCCCGATATCTTCATGTCCGCCCGTCGCGGGGGATGGCCTGCCCCGACGCCCACGATTTCCTCTTTCTGCATTGGTCGGAGATCTGCAGAGTTTTTCTCTTACCAAACTCAAATAGCTGTTGATGAATTAGAGTTATCGTGCAGCGTGAAGAGTTCACGCACGGATCGCCGTTCGACCGGTGGTTATGCGAAGATGTCCTAATGCTGTACACTACTGGTTCCTTGGAAACTTTGAGCTAGGGCTTCATCGCCGATATATCGAGAATCTACAAAGAGCAAGGCTGATATAATACACAACAAGGTATCCATTTCAAGATGACCATTGAATGGACAAACCAAAGAATCTCTTAGCTCGAGCCGCTTATGGATATGCCTGTAGGGGTACCTAATCCGTGGTATACATATACACATACTCATGGCCATGCTATAAGGCTCGTCAACTGGCGATACCCCTTCTCTCGCACCGAAAGCTCCGTTAAAAGAGCCATCCGACCAAACGAGTCGCCAAAGTCGTCGTACAAATCCAGCCGTTACCAGCATAATATAAGTCGCTTATCGCTTGGCGAATACTTACGATTCTTCCATGTAAGGCCGACGCGGTAAGTTAACTAACTATAAATAAGGGGCTTCCGTTATTCTAGAACCATCAAACTTACATATATTTCACCCTTTTATCATAATTTACAGATCTCCTTCCCCTCTATCGCTCTATCAGCTACGAGCCCGGTCAGTCTGCGAATTACCCGGGGCTGAAGCTATTCGCGATATATTTCGCCCCCATTATTGTTGTTCAAAGGGAAAAATTTCCACGGATCGTGCCGGCACCCCTGAGTTCTCGGCCCCCACCTCACACTTCAATCAACAACAAACAACTGCAAAAGGGAGTCCGATTAGGGTTTTTTGTCTGATAATTCAGATGTACGGAATCAATAGTGATGTCTTGGGCAGGCCTCGACTGTTCAAACGATCTCAATGGACAAGGTGGTTGCTGTTGTTGAAACAACGAACCGTAACCTACGAGGTTTGGGAGTACTTGGATCCGAAGACACCGGACGAAAGTGCAAAGTCCTTCCTGATTCCAGATCCAGGGCTTTACAGGTCTAAGCCTTCTCTCTATAGAATCCTACTGAAGATCAAGAACGCCCCACAAGACTCAGAGTGCTCGAAAAGAGATCCGATGGAAGAATACACTCTAGCGACGGAAGAATACGCTATAGAAGAAACTGATTACTTGCTATGGGAAGAAAGGAAAGCTCGGTGGATCAGGCAACAAGAAGGCCTCTGGATCGCATTAATGTTCATTCACTCGACATTATTACCGAAGCAACATCAATTTATTACCAATCAAGGTGACATTCGACAAATGATCAAGGATCTTGAGGATGCATTCAGCCCAGAAAATGACTTGAGTCACTTCTTTCGGCCACCGTTCAGGTGATTTTCGAAGTCCATAAAGGGCAATGAATATTGAGACTGGGTCCCTATCGCCCTGGCAGTTGTTTGTTGGGGGGGAGGGGAAAGCAAAATCACTGCCACGGAGAATCCCCGTCGCTATCAGAGCGACCGACCGTGATAAGAATATCCTCATCAGTCTAAGTATCAGTGATCGACAGAAGGAAACGACAATGGAGTTCTAGGAGATTATTCCAAATCTCCCTGGCCATCTAGCCATCACGCTCGTTGGCGCCTACGAAACAGATGCGTCCGCCCTTGTTATTGCCAGGATGAGTCTGGAGGTATGGGCACGTTTCAGCCATTCCTTCACCCCGAACTTAGCTTTAGTATATACGAACAAAATCAAAAGTGGCTATTGCTGAAGTTTCACTTCACACAATGATCCGGGTTTAGACTGAGAGTAGCTCGAGGATTCTGCAGTTGAGGTCGATTATTATTACTTTCTGGCTCGCCGTGATGTATCTTCACTGCGTCATAGATCTCCGTATCCAATCAAGAACCGATAAGATCACGTGGACACATAATGCGATCTTGTCGCAATAGGTGCCAGCGGCAAGAATCTACAGCAGAGGATGTTGATTTTGATAAGATACTTGATTCTAATAGAAATTTTCCAGTGCCACGGGATGGTATTCTGCAACAACGCCCAGAACCTCTTAAGCCATATTAGGGGAACGTCTAAGATCTCTAAAGCAGTAGAGTACGAGCTGCTCAATCATCGATAAAAATTATGGAAGTATGGGAAGCCTTATTGAGACTATTATATATGTAAAGAATATGCTGTGCCCACATCAAAAACTCGAGGGATTGCAGTGTGTAGTTGTGATGGTCCGGGGACACCTTGCTTTCTCCGCCCGCACAAGAAAATCAACCCGCTTTCTTCGCAACCTCCCCACCACCGTAGCAAACAGCATAATGTCGCGCCACGCCCAAGTCGAAGAGCTGTCTGACTCCGACCCCGATGAAGTCGCTCCCTCTGATGATGAGCTGACCGGAAACGAGGTCATTGCCCCGGCCGGGCAGCCAGCACCACGGCCCTCTGCGCCAAACCTAACCCCGTCCATGGCCCAGATGGCCCAGCAGATGGCTCAGATGCAAGAACCCCAGCGCGAGATCCCGCGACACTTCCAATGCCTTTACCCCGTCTACTTCGACAAGAGCCGCACCCGTGCGGAGGGCCGCAAGGTCGGTTCGAACCTCGCAGTCGAGAATCCACTGGCTCGCGACATCGTGGACGCAGTCCAGATCCTGGGGCTGAAGGCAGGCCTCGAGCCAGAAAAGCTGCACCCCAAAGACTGGGCCAACCCCGGGCGCGTAAGAGTGCTTCTGAAGGATGAGGATGGCAAATTGGTCAATCCCAAGATTAAGAACAGTAGGCGTTTCCTGGACCGTATTCTGCAGGCGCGGAATTTTCTAACCAGATCAACTTGTTCCAGAGCACCATCTTTACATCCTTGTCGCCGAATACCTGAAAGCCCACCCCACCGATAGCAAATCCCCATACCGTCTCCACATCCGTGGGTTGCCCATGCCTGAGAAACTTCCCGATGCGCCTCCAGCGCCACGTGGGTGGAAGATTGGCACTATCCTTCCCATCCACTCACCTGCCTATAGCGGCGGGGGCGTGAGCGATAATCCTTTCAAGGAAGCCATGGCGGAAATGCAAAACATGCAAGGCATGCCCGGAATGCCCTCTATGCCCGGAATGCCGGGTATGCCAGGTTTGTCGGGCGAGCCCTCTGGGGGTGGCGCAGATAAGAAAAAGAAGGACAAAAAGAAGGGCAAGGCTTGATTCTATCTGATGACTCTCTTGTGTGTATGTATCTTCATTTTGCATTGCACGGCGAAGGGCGTTGGTTCTTTTGTTTGCCCCATGATAGAGAAGACTTCTGTCGCTGGCCCGAGGCTTTGCACTCGGTCGTCTTTGGACGTCACTCCTAAAATAAAGAAAGACTCCATTTGCACATCGCTTTCTCCTCAGGCGACGAAGGAATACGGTTATACAGATGAGATCTGTTGTTTGATAGACACACCTGAGCCTGTGGGTATGGAAATGCTGAGCCACGCCGACTCGACGATACAAAGCCTTTCGTCCGCTGTATTCAAGACCCCTACTTATACTCCTTCATACCCAGGACAGAATATAGCTCCATTTATGACGGCATGTCTACGTTAGTAGTATTAGTATCATGATATGTGCATAGTGCCCTCACCATACGAAGAGGTTTTGAATATCTCCAACAGAGACATGGGGGACCATCAAAAATGCCAGTCGAAAGCACCCAGGGTTTCTCGACTCCCCCTGCCCTGTGGATTTGTTAGTATGAAGACATGGTCATATCACAAAAATGAGCACCCAGTATGTATACTGGCCTGAGTGGTAGCCAACAGGGAAGGAGTCCAGAATCTCTACACCTTAGTCGACAGCGGTATTAGAAAACTCTTTAGATCTAATATTCCGAACTTACGCGCTTTGGTGCAAGAATGTGCTCGATCAACCGATCTAGGGGGAAATAGGTGATTATCTAGGTACAGTGGGACCTGTGGTATAGGTACGCGATATGAAGCTTGCGAGAGAAGCCGTATCAGGGCTGATCGTCGAGATCGGGCTGAGATTGGTCCTGAATCTCCCTGCCGAAAGGGATATTCTTCTAAAATGTGCAAGAGTTTAGGTAAATCTAGTCTGTGAAAGCTCGTTGCTCCAGTGTTTACAGTATGTCAAAGGGTGAATGGCTTTTCTTTTCATTAAACGAGAAGAGTTTCTGTTTCTGTTCGATAGCTGCTGTCATCGCTTGGTAAAGACCTTCAATGGTTATAAACCAATCGATACATTTATCCAAGTACAAATCAATGTCTGGAATCATGTTGCGATGACGAGCCAGAGATTTCGACTTGCCACGTCGCGTCCACACGGTTGCAGATCATTCGCTCCTGTGGGGCAGCCTTTCGACGTGAGATTGACCCATTTAGTGGATTCCATGAGAACCTGGAGTAGGTCTTGGTGGGTCTGCGCGAATCATGCCAGCCTACAGCACCTATCAGGCGCTCCTGAGCAGTGTTTTAAACTTACAGTACAGTACTGTGGTTGATCTAAGGATTCTTAGCAAAACTGCTAATAGGCCTCGTGAGAACCGAAAAGATCACGCATGAAATTCTCAACTTCATTGTTCTTCTTCGGGGCTAGAACCGGGGTACACGTTGTATATTCTAGATAAGTTGTTAGTGCTTAAAAGAGGGGATTCCAACAACCATAGGTTCTGAGCTTGGCGACTTGCGCGAATTTTCGCGTAGTTTACACTAACTTTGAATATCGACGGATCTTAGTGGCCCGCTCGCGCAGGGTAATCTCGGCTTACAGCGGGCGGATTTGAGATTCTCCTCACGTATCCCCGACCTTCTTTTCTCCTGTGACTTCCTGCCCAATATATGTCTAGAGTACTCCGCCGGTGAGCCTACAGGACGCCAGAGAACCCGCTACAGAATGGCGTCGGGAGCCGATCTCGAGAAGAGAGCCGGAAGCGATGGATCAGAAAAACCATACTCGAGTCCAGAAGATGGGGCAGCTGATCCCGGAGTGCCAGACAGCGCATCGCATGTTTCTACGGGAGTAGACGGAGGAGGGGTACCGTTCAGCATTGAACCTGGACTTATTGGCACGCCGTCAAATTTGTCCTTCGACGAGCAGGAGAGAAAGAACGTCGCGTACTTTGGGCTCCGAGACCAGTGGTTCAGAGGGCAGAACGCGAAGGGGGCCCCGTACGTCTCGATCGGTGTACTTGATCCGCTTATTACTGTTGAGAGACACCACGGGAAATACCACATTACTGCCCGGTTTCACGTCGAGACGACCATTATTGATTATAAGGCGCATGGAAAGTCTGAGTCCCTGGACTTCCTGTTTGAGGTCGTGCCTTTTTATTAACAGTTACACTTATCAGAGACGGTCATGAGCTCTTCTTCCACGACATCTGTCTCCAATACCTAAACTCGTTGGGCGATGAGGATCTCCTCACTGAACCGAAATCTGACACGACAGGCGCGTTCACGGTGACGAGAACGTCGAGTAGGACGGTCTCAGGAGACCTGGGGGTCTCCCTTTCTGGTACACCCTCCGCGAATGTCTCACTGGGCATCTCCCGGTCAAAGGAATGTACCATAGAGTACGCTGTTAACACGTGGAGTGTGAGCGCACATCGAGTATGTCCAGGTGAGTCAGTCAAAAATCGCTGTCCTAACTCCCATGATGAGTATAACAATGCCTTCAAATAACAAGAACCCCGAAGGAGACGCCGCAAGATCGATGCTCCGCGATATCAATGGTTCTGGGCGGCTAATTACAAGGAGATCGCGTCGCTTACTCCGGATCTGACGCACACTGTCAAGCGACATGTCCTCTTGAGGCGAGCTGTACCTATCGATTCCTTTCCCGTCGAAAGGCTCGAAAGCGCTAGGCGGGTCTTGCGAGGGAGAGCTTGGGTGGATAAGACCGAATCTCCCAACTCAACACCACACGAACTCGAATCGGCGAGGCACTCGCTTTTGACAAAAGAGGAGAAGGCATGGCAGGGATATTTAGCTGACTGGCAGAATAAGGACCGCCGGCATGTCCCATTGGAACAGTTGCTCGAATTCAAGTTCTCCATCCTGGTAGGCTAATAGCGACCCCGATATCCTAAGGTTTCGGACTGTATTCTACAGTGGCTAACGCGCCGTTATCGCACTCGGTCAAAAGATCAGACTCAAGAAGCGATATGGTCGTCTTCATCGCGCTCTAGTCTTTAGTGGCAACAGGAACAAAGGTAATCTCCTGAAACCCACATATAAGGAAAGGTTCTGCATTCGGGTACCTTTCTCATCCGACCCTCCGGATTCATTCCCCAGCGACACGACCTTATCGCGCCACTCGCAACGGCCCCGAGATTTCCCTAGCGAGCGCTATCTTAATAATTTGACCCGCATTCCGGTGCAAGATACTTATAACCTCCGCGATGTCCTCGCGAAGATTAAGAATGAGGTAAATGTCAACTGGCTGATGAGCCAATAAGACCAAGCCGGATTGCTTACTGTGCAATGGGGGCAGTACGACGGGAACTGGGATGAGCTTCAGAGTAAAGAGTGGGTCGATCTCCTTCAGGATGAGACTGGTGCTCGAGTCCGCGAAACAGATCTCATGGCGGAAGCGGAAGCAGACGTGGATGCAACGGCAGGGGCAGAGGCAGAGGCAGAGGCAGAAGGGAACATAGACGCAACGGCCGAGATGGTAGGCACAACAATAAACCCCGGTGTGGCCTCCTATAACACTCATTCACTGAGACCGGCGAATGCTCCCGTGATAAGAAAACGAACTCAGAATATTCAAGTTTATCACTAAGGTTCTAATTCAAGCTCAGCCTAATGCGCTTCTAGTATATCCTTCCCCACCGCCCAAGTTCTTTGATGTTGTGTCGTATTCTTCACGTAGAATTAGGCAGCTATGTTGGTTTTGATAAGAGGCACATATATAGCCGAAAGTACTCTAGCCCACACCTGAAGAAACACCCGTCTATACTATCGCAACAAAGTGGTCGACCTAATCGAGGCTCGTCATGCCAATGCATAGCCATACTATATCTATATCGATCTCCAGAATCAGGCTGTACCGAATGAGCTGGAGGTATGATGGATCGGAACAGACTGCCCTATACTCTGAACCTTATCATGTGTTTTACGAGGCTTGGCTAGCGGTGTGCGCGATCGCTCTGCCATGCGAGTAGTATAGCTTAATCAAGCCCATATGCTAAGGGCGAACTTGCCCCCGAGAGACCATATTGCACTACATCCTTATCACCCTAGACCCAATCACCCCTTACCTTCAGCTAACAGTAAAGCAATTGCACGGAATCAGATGGAAAATAGGACCTCTACTCCGCCTTAAAGGAGAACTAGGACCAGCTCAAACCCGTGATACTAAATCTGCCCTGTCAAAAAAAGGTTACCAGCGATTTCAACGGTGAGTACAATTATTAATATGGAACGATAAAGCTCACCAGAAGTGATCGAAACACGGAGTATTCAAGGCAAAAGAAGTTGCTTACCTCATGGCTTCGGCAATACTACGAAGTTTTTAAGGCCATCATCTTATCCATTCGTTCTTGTCCACCCTTTTGCAACGTACATAGATTTACACGGCCCCAAAAGCCTCTTCCAGCACATGGAGACAGTGCTATCTTTCAATGCTTCGACGTAATAAGGCACAGTGAAGCACAAGGTTTTGGTCCTTCCAGGTCAGACCTCTGATACCTGGTTTTGCGGCTCAAGGCTCAAGATAAACATCAGAGAAAACCAAGAAACCTTTTGATTCCAGGTTAGATCATCACCACCTTCAGTCTGTAGCGGCTCAAGCTGTGCAGCAAAGGCTCGCTGCGGCTAGAGTAACTCGTGAACGTGCGAGGATCCCTTATTTCTAAAGAAATTCTGCTGCAGTGCTGACAGATAGGAAAGGCCGCTTCGCTCCCCGGTCTTAAAAGGGGTTCCGAGAAATGCAAAAGTGCCAGCGAAACTATTCTTCCTATCATGTATCTTATATTTTTGCCAGCCTTAGCCGTCTCTAGTCATGAATTCTCTTATTTAAGGAATCCACCGTATGAATAGTCGGTGCCTGTCATTTTAGAACAATCAGAGTTACATGGTTTTCATCCGAATACCATAGATTCCGGACCCCCTTCCTCCTGTAGCTCCAACAAGTTGTCCCCAGCGGTGCCAGTCCGAGGATATCCGCTCAGCTTTCTCACCGCCCTCCCCGCAATCGATAAAGCTTACCAGCTTCACAGTCAACTTGGGAGGCATCTCACCATGAGCCTCATATTTGGGCGAATACCGCCCAGGAGAGCGCTTAGAGCTGCCTGCGCAGCACGTGGAGCACAGCACCGTCAGTGGGGTTGCAAGCGCATGACGCATCAAGCGACTGATGTGGCACGAGACGAAGTCGCCCGGCTTGCGGCAACGCCGCGACGAGCACTGACACTGGCTGATCTTCTCCGGTAAATATGACTCGGTGACAAGAATGATGAGCAGGCAATGTCTTACAATTTGACAGTCATGGTCGGCCACCATTATCCGAAGACGCCCTTCTCGCCTCGGCCAACTTCACATTATCCCTATTGCCTGCGCGGCTCGCCTCGCGAATCCAGGCCATACGCAATCTACCATTCATCGTCGTCTCCAATCCGCACGTCTCCAAGATCTACCACAACTACCTTCATTCTCTTTCCACCCTCCTCCCATATCAACAACGGCGAATCACCACCCTCCAAGAAGAGAAGCAATTCGGCGAAGTCCTCGCAGACCTCGTCCAAACACACACAAACACAATCCCGGTGCTCGCCCGGGGATTCCTTGAGTCAAGAAAGTACATCAATCCTGAAGATGTCACACACTTCCTCGACACCCACCTCCGCGCTCGAATCGGCACACGGCTGATCGCCGAACAACATCTGGCATTACATTTTGCATCTCAGCCAGTCGGCGACGACGCACCCCCACCTCCGAATCCAATCCCATCCAACTACATCGGCGTGATCGACACTGCCCTCCGACCTGCGCGAATCATCCGGGTCTGCGAAGACTTCGTGGGTGAGATCTGCGAACTGAAGTACGGAGTTCGACCGCGCCTAGAGATCGGCGGCGAGCCGGAGGCATCGTTCGCGCATGTCCCCGTTCACATAGAGTACATCATTACCGAGCTCCTCAAAAATGCCTTCCGAGCAACCATCGAGTCTGGCAATGAGCGCGAGCCAATCGAGGTCACGATTGCGGCCGCCCCCGACGTCCCAAGCAACATCCGCCCCATGCGGGGCGATGCCGATATAGGGTTTGAGCTGAGTGCGAATAATGATTCGGTGGCACCGCACGACCCGATTCGACAGTCCAGCCCCTCTTCTCAGAGCATCACCATTCGCATTCGTGATCGGGGCGGTGGTATTCCGCCTGATGTACTGCCTCACATCTGGTCGTACAGTTTCACGACTTTCTCGGAGGATGATTTCCAGAATCCTGATAGTAGCAGTCTTGGGGCCCTGAATACTATCGCGAGCACGGGGGGCCATCTAAGTAGTATTGCGGGTCTTGGATATGGATTGCCGCTGAGTCGGGCCTATGCAGAATATTTCGGGGGCAGCATTGCGGTGCAAAGTCTCTGGGGCTGGGGGACGGATGTCTACCTGACGTTGCAGGGCGTGGGAAGGGTTGACTGAGCCTCGAGTCCCTCTCTGCTTCAATCGACGGTAATCGAGTATGGAATCCTCAATCCCTGAAGTCTTAATGAAGGTATGCCCTCGGCTAATGATGATACCGCCCGAGTGACCTTTCCCCAGTAATATGCTTATCAGATTCTTTCCCAATATTCTCCGCCATCTATAAGCATTTACATGGTAGTCTTTTCATTCTGCTGAAGCTGATATTCATCGGCGGAACATCGTGGGATGTAGACCCTTTCGATCACCGAGAATGAGAGACAGATAAATCTTTTCACATATGAAAAGTGTGCAATTTATTTAGACTCCAATCTTGCCCTGGTGCAACCGGTGGACATATCTCTGCATTCATCCCTTGTATGCACCGGAGTAGTGCGGTGGCGCCGATCTAGAATTCCTGACTGCTTAACTGCACGAGGGCCAAGTGTATTCTGAGCCACCATGTGCTGTCAAGTGGGATAGCGCTCACAAGAACAAGACTATGCTAAGCATGCGAGATGCTCTATCTGTACTAGTTCCATTCGGTCAATTGGGGTCGGTACGCTCGGTCTCCAATCTCCATTTTCGGCTTGAACTACCGTATTCCGCAGCCGTAGATCGCATCGGTGGATTCTCAGAAACCAATGGCGACTTTGGATCGTCTGCGGACGAACTCTCTTGAACATATCATTTATGAACAATTGGAATTGGCTTCTCCCAGGGTTCATTTGACATGGTGGATCGCAGGGTATTCAAACCGAATGCCACAAGGAGCGCAATACACCAGCGGGTGCGGGGATACCAGGAACCCCGCGAGAGAGTGCAATTTAGCGTAGGGACCAGAAAAGATGATCAGTTCCTTATTCATCGAAGCATGACTTATAGAAGTCTCCGTGATGCGCGGAGGGATAGGTATGCCGTAATTTGATCAACAAAGGCGAACCTCGTTGCACCCCCACCCCCCTCACCCCTCGGCCAAGTGTCCGAGGGGGGTTAAATCCGCTCTTCCAAGGTTGTCGCTTCGACTGAAAAGGAAGTATCGGATGCCGTTATTCCCCGCATACTTAATATTTGCTTCTTTCTTATCTTCTAACATACTAACTTAATCACTCCAGTCTCGAGGGGAAAATTTTGAATTGATAGACAGATGTATGCTAATGCGTCTCCACAAATCAAAGTCAGAGCTGATGTTGTACCAGGGGTTATACAGCTTCAGTCGCCTTTTTCGAGGCGCTCTGGGAGGTGCGTTTTGTGAAAGAGCATGCTCAGTTGGACATTGTTGACCTGTCGATAGGGTGGTGTGAGCCATGTCTTCGTGAATCTGGGATCAGATCACCCCTCCATCTCGAAGCAATGGTGAAAGGTCAAAAGGAGAAGCAAGGAAAGTTCCCTAGGATTATCACTTGTCCGAACGAGGTATGCAGTGAACGCAGGATCATACACCCCCGCCATCTCGCTACATAAAACCGACATTGACTCACATTTGATAGATGGTGGCACTCTCAGCGGCGGACGGATATGCCCGCCTCACGGGCGAGCCACAGGCCGTAATCGTCCATGTGGATGTAGGAACGCAGGGTCTGGGCGCCGCCGTCCACAACGCCTCTTGCGGACGAGCCCCCGTCTTGATTTTCGCGGGGCTGTCACCGTATACCATTGAAGGCGAGACGCGAGGATCCCGGACCGAGTACATCCATTGGATCCAGGACGTACCCGACCAAAAGCAGATTGTCTCCCAGTACTGCCGATTCACGGGCGAGATCAAGTCGGGCAAGAACGTGAAGCAGATTGTCAACCGGGCACTGCAATTCGCAACAAGTGATCCCAAGGGGCCCGTGTATCTGATGGGGGCCCGCGAGGTCATGGAAGAAGAGATCCAGCCATACCAACTGAATCCGAATGTCTGGGGCCCGGTGTCTCCTGCAGCTTTGCCCGCCGCTGGGGTGGAGTTGATTACTTCTGAACTCGCGGCAGCGAAGAACCCCCTCGTGATTGTGGGGTACACAGGCCGCCAGGCTGCATCGGTGACTGAGCTGGTGAAGCTCGCCGACCAATTCAGGGGGATCAGAGTGCTGGATACGGGTGGCAGTGACATGTGCTTCCCTGCGAACCATCCTGCTTGGTTAGGGTTGCGATATGCAGGCCATGAGCTGGTGAAGACGGCCGATCTCATTCTGGTTATCGACTGCGATGTGCCTTGGGTGCCTACGCAGTTTCAACCCGCTGACTCGGCCAAGATCATTCATATCGACGTCGACCCTCTGAAGCAGCAGATGCCGGTATTCTATATCAACGCAATGGCGACCTTCCGGGCGGATTCAGCGACGGCGTTGAAGCAAATCAACCAACATATCGCAAGCAACCAGTCCCTCCAGCAGTTCATTCAGTGTGAAGTAAACGTAAACTTTGGAAAGGTCAGACAAGAAGAATACCAGAAACGGCGACAAGAAATTGTCGATCTCGCTGCTATACCAGACGGGGGTGATGGGGCTCCTCTCAACGTGTCGTATCTGATGGCCCAGGTCCGCAAGGGCTGCCCTGCCGACGCCATTTGGGCAATTGAAGCCGTGACTCTTACTCATCCAGTATCCGATCAAATTTCAGCAACCTTGCCCAATTCCTGGATCAACTGTGGAGGTGGCGGCCTTGGCTGGTCCGGGGGCGGAGCTCTCGGTATCAAATTTGCATCGGATGTTCAGAACGGCGGCCCCGGTAAAGGGAAATTTGTCGTTCAAGTTGTCGGCGATGGAACCTATCTTTTCTCTGTGCCAGGCTCTGTGTACTGGATCTCACGCCGGTATAATATCCCGGTCTTGACTATCGTGCTGAATAACAAGGGTGGAATGCACCACGGCGGAGTATGTTACTGGTTCACCCCAACGGCGATGGCTCGCGCGCTACGAACGAGGACCTGCATATCTCATTTGCACCGACGCCGGACTACGCAGGCATCGCGAAGGCTGCTGCGGGTGGCGAGCTGTGGGCGGGTCGAGCGTCCACGGTGGCCGAGTTGGCAGAGCAGTTACCGGCAGCAATCCAGAGTGTCTTGAGCGGGCAAGGAGCCGTATTGGAGGCCCAACTGGACGGAACTGTTGGGAAGTATAGGGGAGGTGCATAGATCGTTCGAGTCTTTACCATCCATGGATAGTTAGTTACCACATCCGGCATTAAGTAATCAGTGACTTGGAAAAGAGGTGACAGCTTTGGTAAAACAGGAAGCACTGGAGAAACGAGAAGTATAAAGGGCTTACAACCCCGCAAATGGATCAGATTCTTACGCCGGTCTCTGACCTGTGCCTTACCATGATTGAGTATTGGACCGCGCTCTGGAGCATGGAAACTCCAAAAGCCACCTTGGGTATAGAGGATTTCCACTATGGGAGAATCATGATGTATTGGGCCCTTCAAGTCACACCGACATGGAGGAGTGTGCGGGCAGGAGTACAATGGCATGGTCCGTAGATGGGCTGCATCGCGTGGGCGCGCATGCGGCAGATGCATAACGAGCGGTCGATATCAAACTGGACGTTTGGAACACGAGCTCTGCCGCTCCTGGTGCACTCAATAGCAGTTAATGGCAGAGTGAGGATCACGTCGCTGGTGTGCGCAACTCAGAGGGCATTGACTCGTGCAGTCCTGTGATCTCTTCCCGCTTGCTATGGACCACGAGATACCTATGACGAGTAATCCTCAAGTGTCTCCTCATGTGAGTCTGGATCTAAATCAAGCGTCCGCGACCTCTGATTTCCAACTTCTGGCGTTCCGAAATCATGGCGGAAATCAAACAGGGGTGGTATGCCTTTCCTGGCTACGCTTCCATTACTGTCAACGCCCTGCTTCGACTTCCTCTAGAGGGCTGTATTTGCTCTCCGAGACAAAAGAGTCCATGTTTCGGTAGCAAGAGAACCAAGCCGACAAGATTAGTCCAGGACACGGTTCAGTCCAATAACATGCTGCAGGAGCCGGACACAGTCCCAATTTCGGCCCTTGAGATTGACTCTGCGAGATGAATGAAAGAGCATCGGGATTTCCTGTTTCGTATGATCCACCAATGGCATTGAGGACATGCACGCATGGGAGTTATTTTAGCGAAAGTGAATCTGATCGCGGAAGCGGCGTGGCTGCGTTCGGCAGTGATCGACAGCCACGCGCCGTCCGCGAACGGCTATTTGTTTCGCCTCACATCTACAACTCGGCAAAGGGGAATTACTGGTAGGTAAGGAACATGAACTGTATTACTCCAGGGGAGTATAACAGCGTAGTTGAGGGGATAGATTATCGAGGTGTCCAAGGAGTTACGAGCATCAGCCCGGGGTGGTGATGCTCAAAGATATCAGACATCAAATACCCATTCTGGAAGACGTGGCAAAGGAAATCTGACACGATGTTGCTAACATCCGCACGCAATCTAAGGAGTCTCGGGATCTCTTGGTATCCCATCGAACCACCCAATCGGTATTGCCACATGGCTATCATGCCCCACGCAGGCATTTGCTACAGATTGTTCCCGGTGCTCTTCATCTCCAATGTCTCAGTACGCTATGATATTTAAGTAGGATCCTCCATTCCCCCGTATTTGTAAAATAACCCCCTCCTGCTGGGATTGCATATCCACTCCTGGCTCTCGTCTCTTAGCACGGGCTGAATGTCATCTGCGTTGGTTTTCGGTCGCAGTGTGGTCTATTTGCTCAGACGATTATTGTTTTTCTCATCTCATTCGAGACTACTCTAGAAGTTCTCTTTTGCTCTCGCCCAAACGAACCCGATCTATCTGATTGAGTCGATTGGTCCGTCTCGTTGCAATAAAGCAGAATACCTAGATCCGCCATATACCTCGTCATGTTCGCACGACTTTGGTTGGCTGTAGCCCTGCTGGCAGCGAGGGCGATTGCTTTAAGCATGACTACATTTCGTCGTGATGTGCAGCTTTTAGCATCCATGGACATCGACCCAACTCTCATAATTAAGCATGGGCTGTCCACGCATGCTCTCGCCGAGCAGCACTCATCCGGGGAATTTACAGCACAAACGATCGAAGTATGTACCTTATGTCAAGTTAACAATTGTTCGGAAAACTAACGTGATGCAGATACCTATTGACCACACCAATCAATCCGTCGGCACGTACCAGAATCGATACTGGGTATCCGACCAATACTACCGTGAAGGTGGGCCTGTCTTCTTATACGACGTCGGTGAAACGAACGCGTCCAGCCCCGCAAAGGCATACCTGGGAAACTCAAGTTCTTTCCTCGTGGAAGTGCTGAAGGAATTTGGTGGCATGGGCATAGTCTGGGAGCATCGGTGAGGATGATCAAGAAGGCATTGTCTCGCCATGGGAGTTGCTAACAATGTTTAGATACTACGGCCAATCGCTCCCATTCCCCGTCAACAACGCCACCCCGCCCGAACATTTTCAATATCTCACCAATAAGCAAGCTCTGGCCGATCTGCCCTACTTTGCAGACAGGTTCTCCCATCCGGCACACCCGGCCGTGGACTTCTCGCCGAGCTTGACCCCGTGGGTTATGATCGGCGGTTCCTATGCGGGCATGCGTTCAGCGTTTGCTCGAGATGAGTATCCGGGTACCTTTTACGCATCATGGGCCTCTTCGGCGCCGGTCGAAGCCCGGATCGATATGAGCGTGTACTTTGATCAAGTTTACAACGGGCTAGTCGGCAACGGCTACAGCAACTGTACGAAAGACATCAAAGCCGGACTTGAGTATGTCGACGGCGAGCTCTCCAAGAACGGAACTGCCGCTGCCGATATCAAGAAGAAGTTCTTCGGCGAGGGCGCCGAGAAGAATAGTAACGGCGACTTCACGGCCGCTCTGGCAGCCATTATGTCGCTGTTCCAGGCCTACGGCACCGGCGGAGGCGAAGCAGGCATTGGAGGATTCTGCAATCACCTCGAAACCGACCCAGAGACATCGACACCTGCTGGACCCAGCGGGTTTGCGCCGACCCGTGGGACGCAGTGGGTTGGCGAGCGGTTCGCTTCCTGGCCTGTGTGGATCGACCTCATCAACTCCCAGTACCAAACAAACTGCAACGGGGTCGACCCGTCGCAGCCTCTCTCTTGCGTTCTGAACCCGCCTCCCACCGATTCGGACACTATTAGCTGGACATGGCAGTATTGCACGGAGTTCGGGTACTTCCAGAGTAACAACTTTGGTCCGCATTCCTTGCTCTCCAAGTTCCAGACCCTCGAGTACCAGCAGGAATACTGCTATCGGCAATTTCCCGAGGCCGTGGCCAAGGGCCTGCTGCCCAAGGCGCCACAGGTTGATGCTACAAACGCCCAGACTGGCGGTTGGAACATCCGGCCCTCGAATGTCTACTGGAGTGGGGGGCCAGTATGATCCATGGCGCACTCTGTCGACGCTGGCGACGGAGAGTATTGCGCCGAAGAACCAATTCACCACGGATGTCCCCCAGTGTAATGTGAATACGCCGGAGCACACGGTATTTGGCTACGTGATGCCGAATGCTGAGCACTGCTTTGATTTCCGCACAACATTTGCTCCAGCGATCAAGTCCCGCCAACTCTTCTATAAGGCTTTGCATAGCTGGCTGCCTTGCTTTAATGGTGGCCAGAACCCTACGTCCACTGGCAGCGGGAACGGCACCTCCATGGCAAGCCCAACGATGAGCCCTAGAAAGCGGATGGGCATGAAACGCATCCAGCGCGGATTCTAGCAAGGCACTTGAGCCAGCACTCGCCTGGGACACAACAACTTTAGACGAGTGCATATTCCATCATTCAGTTAAATAGTCTATATGTATTTACTTCATCATCTTAGCCCTGTTCTCCGACGAAGCTTTTTCCATCTTCTCCCAATTTCAACCCTTTCATAATCAAGCTACTCCTCACGTTTCCAATGCCCGCTCTTCCCACCCACCTTCTCCAACAACCGCACGCCTTCAATAACCATCCCCTTATCGACCGCCTTGAGCATATCATAGACCGTCAATGCCGCCCCCATCGTCGCGGTCATAGCCTCCATCTCCACCCCCGTCCGCCCGAAGCAACTAACCGACGCAACGACCCGCATCGCCCCGTGGTCATCCGCAGACTCACCCGGCGCCACGAGCGTGACTTCCACTTCGACGCCGGTGATTCCGATCCCGGGATGGCACAGCGGGACGAGGTCCGGCGTGCGCTTTGCGGCCATTATGCCGGCAATGCGGGCGACGCTGAATACGTCGCCTTTGTGGGTCCCTTGGCCTTTTTGGAGGAGGGTCCACGGGCGGCTATTGGAGAAGGAGACGTGGCAGGCTGCGGTGGCGATGCGCTTGGTCTCTGGTTTCTCGGTGATCTGGGTCATGTGTACGGTTTGAGAGGGGGTTAGGTGTGGGAGGTCGGGGTCAGAGGTTGTGGGGAGCGATGCTGAGGTGCTCTGGTTTGGGCTCTCGTGGGAAATGGGAGGAGAGCGTCCATTGTGCTTGAAGCGGATTTGGGTTGAATTGGGAAAGGGGGCGAGGAATTGGACTGGAATATTCGATGCAGATGGGCGGGTGGATCTTCTTCTAAATGTCTGGTGGAAGCTGGGGGGCGAAAATGCGGTATGTGGACTATCTATCCGGCTATCAGTATGAACTTCTGGATCAATTTGTACGTTGGTATCGTCACAGCATTATAAGAGCCACATTTGCACAACTGAACGCTCAAAATGAAATCGCTGGCTGCCTACCCACCGATGAGAATCATAGGCCGGTTTTTCATATTCTCCAGCTGACCCATGCCTGCATGCTTCGCTTTCTTGCGCTTTACAGCCATGCCAATGATATCCAATAGCTCGCGCTCGCGTTCGGGGATTGAATGACCTTCATCGCTGAGGCGAGCGGCGCTTTGTACTGAGTCCAGCAAACCAAGACGATGTAACGTATCCTCGTCAATTGGCTGTCCCTGGTTCTCCTTGCGCACAATATCTCGCAGAGAAACCTCGGCATTGCCAAAAAGACACACCTTGAGATTTCCATCACTCGTAATGCGCAGTCGGTTACAAGTGCCACAGAAATTGTGCGTCATGCTGGTAATGAACCCGACCCGGCCCTGGAACCCAGGGACTCGGTAAGTCTTGCTCGTGTCGTTCTTATGGTCGACCACTTTTTCCAGGGCGGGATACTTCTCCCGGATAACAGCAAGCATCTCCTGATACGAGAACATCTTCCCTTGACTCCACTTATTGCCGTCGAAGGGCATATACTCGATAAACCGAACCTCAACAGCCTTCTCCCGCCCAAGCTCGACAAAAGGCAGGATTTCACGGTCATTGAGCCCGCGCATCACAACACAATTGATCTTCAGCTTGATGCCCGCACCAAGCTTATTCATCTCCAGGATCCGGTCGATGCTCTTCATTACGGCATCGAACCCCTTTCGCCGGGTCATGATCTGGAACTGGAACGGGTCAAGGGTGTCGAGGCTCAGGTTGACGCCTGTCAGGCCTGCTTCTACCATGCGGTCCAGCTTCCGGTGTAATGAGATCCCGTTTGTCGTGAGGCATAATTCGCGGAGCCCGTGCCGTCGCAGATCGCCAATGTCTTGCATGAGCTGCACAATATCCTTCCGGACAGTCGGTTCGCCACCGGTGAGGCGAATCTTCGTCACGCCTTGAGACACGAAGAGGGATGAGAGGTAGACGATCTCGGGGGATGTCAAGAGTCTTTCGGAAGGGGAGAGCTCGATTCCTTCTTCGGGCATACAGTACAGACAGCGCAAATTGCACCGTTCCGTAACACTGATCCTGAGGTAATCATGCTGGCGGCTGAAAGTATCGGTGAGAAAGTCGGAGAAGGGCTTGATCTTGGCGTGCTTGGTGGCGAGGCGGGAGGGAGGAGTGGGAGGGATGCGGTGCTCTGTTGGAGGAGTCGGAACGGTGCTCTGCCATCGATGCAGTGTCGCAAGACGCCAAGCCTGAGGCCTGAGTCTGCGAGGTGCTGATCTGAGCAACATGAGGGTTACAATCAACTTTCGAAATTCATGGCAGGCATAGACGTGAAAAAGTAAGTCACGAGCGGGGGAGTCGGAGGTCCTTATCGCGTGGACTTGCCTTTTGCCCCAGTTTTTATTCTGGATTCCGCGGAGTTGACCGACTCCGCGCGGTCGCTCAGGGCAGAACAAGCCAAGCAGACTAGAGTCGTTTCAAGACTGAGTTGGTGTCTCGTGCACTTGAGTACCATATATACATTTTATATCGTATTGAATCGGATCGCTGAAAGAAGCTAAAGGGGATGGGAATCCACGGTAACGCTATGAATCAACAAAATGCCCATGCTCAACTATCCTAATTCGCTGGTGAGGAACGCTTGAATGTACCAATGCAACCATGCTATGCTCACAAATTCATTTAATCATCAAGGCTAAGCGCTGCGAGAGCACTCGGTATTTTCTGCGCAATCACCAAATGAGCAACCCGAATATCAGCCTCCTCGGCAGACCCACATCCTTCAATAGATGCAAGCACTAGTTGATCGAGAACCGCCGAAGACCGATAAGTCGCAGGAATTCCCTTGATCTCCACCCGTTTAGGCTTGAAGACCAACACTCCCTGGAGCTTAACCAGGTCCTGGGCAGCATTTCGTGGATGCTGAACGATGACGTCCTCATCCAGGATCCGACGCAGGTACCGAATAAGCCCGATCTTCTCCAGGAAGGCAGCGCATGCGTCCAGGCCCGAGTCGAGGAAGATTGCCCCGATCACACTCTCCACGATATCCGAGAAGAATTTGTCTGCACGAAGCCGAGCGAGCAGCTCCCATGGGTATGTCGGCGAGGACTCGAGGGCGTCGAGGATCTCGTCGCGCATAATGGCGTATCGACTTAAACAAGAACTAAGAGACTCTTCAAGGGCATGTTTAGCAAAGCGGAGATGCTCCCAAATATGGGCTCGTCCAGAGGAAGACTGCTTGTCGGGTGCACTGAGTTCCATGCACAAGAATGCGAGTAAGTTTGCGTTGACGAGGGAGTGTTTAATCATGGTCATTTTGCCCTGGTTTAATGGAAGTGGGTGGGCTGACAGCACGGAAACGACCACCATGTCAAGAACCGCGTCCCCTAAAAACTCCAGTCGCTGATACGACTGGGTGACTTGATCAGACTCACACGATGGGTGTGTGAGTGCCTCGGTCAGGAGAGAGGCGTCTTTGAAGTTGTAGCCGAGGAGAGGAGCAAGACGGGTTGTATCCACAAAATTGGCCACTTCCCCACGATCGGTCCTGGAGTGAAACTCGATATCGATCTCGGGAAGGAGACGGTGGAGACACGCCTGGGCTTTGCGAATACCTCCTTCTAGGTATGCTGCGCCGATCAAGGCTTCGATGACGTCGGCTAGGACTTTGAGCGACAAGCTCCGTTTAGCGGGCTTCATAGCTAGCCGTTTGGAGATCATCGGAGGATCCCATTTGCGGGGGGTGAACCGGTCGTTCCAAATGAACCGATCAATTTCATTTTCAAGAGCGGAATGCGCAAGACGTCTGTTGTTGACGATTTTGTCACGGTGGATCGAGAGGTGACCCTCCTGCCAGTTGGGCTGTCGGAAAAACAAATGGCAGCTCACACTGAACTTGAGCACGGAGTCGCCAAAGAACTCATAGAGCTGGTAGTGGGTACTTGCTTGAGCCAACGGAGTCGCAGTGGCGGTCAAGATGTGGTTGAGGTCCTGCATATCGACATCACTCAGAACCGTGCGCGTGAGCTCATCTGCTACCATAACAGCGGCCATGCGGTCCAAGATGGCGGAAATAAGCAAGCCAACCATCGCTTTTGATGACGGCAAGTTTGCTAACGAGCAACCCGACACTGGGACAAGGTGGATCTTTTTCGCTTTGATAACTCTAGGATCTTCAGGCTCGCCATCTTCATTCACCGGAATCACACGGGGTTGGAGGAAGTTTTGACGCCGTGGAATCGACTGGCATTCTACCTGGAGCATTGTGTCCTGGTCCCCTTTCGTTGTGACCCATTTTCTGAAGAGACGAGGCTCACTATATTTTGACGTATCTCGTATGATGCCGATAGGTATTTGATTTTGTTCATAGGCCTGACGGAGGGGCACAGTACCCCGGAACTCGAGAGCCCAGTCTTCAAGCTGCTCGTGGGGAACGCTGGGGATGAATAAAACGACATAGTCTTGCTCAGAAGTGCCGACACGAGAAGAAGGCGCCTGGAAAAACAAAGCAGTGATTTCCCTCATCAGAGTCACCTGCTGGGATGTAGGATGGATCTCCCTTAGGGACGAAAAGCGAGCTATGTAAGTTGTGTCAACATCCCAGAAGAGGGGAATGACATCCGGCAGGGCGATCTGCTTTGGAACGATAACAGAGATCGATAGGTCCTCAATGACGGTCCCATCATGATACATCACTAAATCAGTTTGGTACAGCTCTGACGGGGAGTCCCAAGCTTGTGCAAGCTCCCTGTAGGGATCATATTGCTCGCGACAGTCTATGATCGAAGGCAGGTGTACATATTTTGGCCCAACATAGCCGCCTATTTCGTCCAGGAGATCCATGACTGTGTTGGGAGGCCCTCAGGCCAGTTGAGCGCTGAGCGCTGAGCTGTGTGTTCTTAAAAAGATGTTCGCGGGTTCTTTGTCGGCCATGCGGGGCCGCCGCACCCGATTTCCATCTTCGCTCCTAATGGCCACTTCCAGCGTTGGCGCTTGGAAAAACAGATATGCCGACACTATCTCATGACTGTTGGCTCTGAATTCTGCTCTTTGTCATGGACATAAGAGACTTGCGTCTCGAAGATTAGCCACGTGGACCCACGAGAGGAAAAGTAGGCGCAGGCGCGGGCGCAGCTGCGATTTCCGCGGCCAATCAAGATTGTCTTCTGCTGTTTCAGCTACGAGACCATGCACGCTTTCCTACACCAATAATTCCAGTACCCTAGTAAGATGTGTGGCTATGGGCGAGTTGCAGATACATCAATATTGGGCCTTGTCATATATGTAGCCCAGTATAAAAGATAGGGCCTCAAGCTCTTGTCCCTAGTGCTTGCCGTTACTCAGCCCGTTGACACCATTTGCAGCATTATTCTTCAAGTATTCGTCGCTCGCTTGCGAGATAGCCACCTTTAGGACAGAGATGATCTGGCTCAATTCCTCTTCTGTGACGGTGTATGGCGGACACACTAGCACATGATCCACTTGATACGTACCCGTGTGTCCGAGGTTCCCGAGAATATTCAGGCCCAGCCGTAGGCTATTTTTCACGATTTGATCACAGAACTTGGCCTGGGCAGGAAATGGAGTTTTCAACTCCTTATCCAGAACGAATTCAATGGCCCAGAAAAGGCCACGGCCGCGAATGTCTCCAATGAGAGGCATAGGGCCGATTTCTGCTCGTAACAAATCCTCGAGCTTATATCCCATCTGCTTGCACCGCTCAACCAGATTATCGCGCTTTATGATTCTCTGCGCGGAAATCGCCGCTGCACACGCAAGTGGATGAGCCTGGAATGTATGGCCATGAGCGAGTCCGCCAGAGCCGGCAGACAGTGCGTGGAAAATCTTCTGGTGTAGTAGTACCCCAGAAAGTGGGACAAACCCTCCACCGAGAGCTTTTCCGATGGTCTGGATATCGGGGCCCCGGATTCCTTCCTGTTCCCATGCGTGCATCGTGCCAGTTTTTCCCATTCCGCAGATGATCTATGCCTCATATAAGACACGGTCTCGAGAAGACGACAGGAACGGAAAACATACCTCATCTAGGATAAGAAGAACGCCATAGCGGTCACAAATATCACGGATCGCTTTGAAATACCCCGGTACAGCTGGCAAGCAGCCGAGTGTCGTTCCACTGACAGGCTCCGCAATAAAGCCCGCGACACGATCCGGCCCGACGCGCAAAATCTCATTTTCAAACTGACGAGCAAGACGCTGAACAAATTCCTCATCGGTCTCGCCCTTGTGTTTCATGCGGTAGGCATAACAAGGGTCCACGAATGACACATTGGGGGACATGAAGTCTTGATAAAAGGCTCTCCGGGACTCGTGGCCAGACACGCAGAGCGCACCGATGGTGTTGCCATGGTAGCTCTGTTTCCGAGCAATAAAGTGTGTCCGCTGCGGCTGGCCCTTCTCATGCCAATATTGCACCGCGAGCTTCAGTGCGGCATCGGTTGCTTCGCTGCCCGAGTTGACGAAGATGGCCTTTGACAAGCCACCTGGTTTCCCAGCAAGGAGCATGTCCGCTAACTCCTCAATTGCAGCGTTTGTGTACGGAGATCCCGAGTACACGTAGGCTATGTCATTCTTCAAGTGGTTTGTGATCGCCTCGACGATCTCGGGCTGTGAGTGGCCCAGACATGAGACTGACGGGCCACACGTAGCATCGATGACCTTCCTGCCGTCTTCGAGAACGAGGCTAATGCCATCGCCCCTGATTACTTTCGACGGCCGCTCGGTGAAGGAACGGTGCAGAATGTGGGAGCTTGCGACAAAGTCGTCGGTGGGCATTTTGACGGCAGCAGAAGATGCCGAGATGAATTCGTGGAGCGGAACAGTTCGAAGGGGCTCATCTTAGTGACCTATGAGTATTTTATAGTGGGTTTTGCCCCGATAACGCTTTCCATGGATAGGATTCCCGCCGTTGACGCCGGGTGGAGCCCGCGTGCGAGACTCTTCCCCGCATGGATGGGATCCCACCGCAATACTACTGCGTACACGCACTGGGACGTTCGCCGCCATTGACGCCCATGGAGGGAGTGGGGGGGGAAAACGGCAGTGCATCTAAACTATAAAAAGGGCCGTTTGCTCTGCGTATTCATTTTCTGTGTGAGTAATAGAGTCTCGGGCGTGGATAGGCAGGTTTATAAGTTTCTATAATATGTACGGTTGAACTTACGCTTACCAACTCGATCAATACTAACATGAGCGAATAGACCATACCCACTATGACCCTTACGGAAAAGGGAGACCTCTCAGCTCAGCCCTATCGCGGCGACAAGCTCCCCAGCGTCCCCGAAGACCTTGTCGTCACCGGTGCCCTAGACCTGGACTGCGACGAGCGTCTCTGGGTCCCCCAAGCCAAAGACGTGTGGTTCCGACCGCTCTGTTTCAGTGTATCCCAAGGCTACTTTGTCAATATCTTGCGCGTTAGAAGGAGTGGGATTCTTTCGCGCCATCGTCATACCGGCCCAGTCCATGCCACCGTCCTCCGTGGTCGCTGGCACTATCTAGAGCACCCTTGGTGGGCTGAAGAAGGTGGGTATGCCTTTGAGCCTCCTGGCGATATCCATACTTTGGAGGTTCCTGATGGCGTGCAAGAGATGGTGACCCTGTTCCATGTTACGGGGGCTTATATTTATGTGGATCCTGAGGGAACGGCCCTGGGAATCGAGGACGTGTTCAGCAAATTGCAAGCTGCGCGGAAACACTATGAAGAGGTTGGGCTCGGGGCAAGCTTTGCGGATCAGTTCGTGCGATAATTCAAAATGTTCACTAGGGCGTTACTGGTTACGGTCCAAGCATGGAGATGTCAAAATCCGCCCCCACTAGAAACGGCTTGAAGGGCGGGCGGGGCAGGACGGGGATTTTCGAAGAATCCTCCAGATCCAAACAACTCGTTGTATCAGAGAAGCCGGAATCCAATGTACGGAGTATAACTGCATAATTCTCCAGATCATAGCAACTGATTGATTCTGCATAGACTATGCACTCGTAAGAAACCCCGCACCTGAGGGGCTTGAAGCCCTCGAGCGGCCGAGCGCGTTTTCGGCTTTCACACTGATTACAGCCGAGTTCCGTGGTGAAGAAAGAGGGAAAAGAGGGGCTGCAGGGGCCAAGACGGGCTCTGGAAGGTTAGAAGCTCGATAGCTGGTTCTCCACAGAAGCTTATAACTACCGAGCTCACGCCACAGCCTTTGAGCCCTTACCGCTCTTCCTCGCCTTTGAGCGTTCTTGTAGCCATGATCTTCGAACCTGCCGAGCGAGTTGAACTCCCAACAAAGGATCTCCTTTCCTATATTTTTGACGCCCCGCCGTATGACCAGGATAAGCCGGTCGGTGCCCCCCGGGCCGTCCAGACTTGAGAACTCCACGCTGACTTTTTGGCCAATATAGGTTTTTAGCGATGTTAACAACCCGACTCGCACAATCTCTTGCAATCAGGCTCGAAAGACCATTAGACAGCTGATTGCGGGTTTACGAGCTGCGGGTTTCCGTCCTGGAGAGTGTGCATTGATCCATTCTTTCAACGACGTATGTCAAGCAGCTAGAACTAGCCCGCCCGTGTGGATTCTAAAATCCTGCAGATCAACTATACTCTCCTGGTCCTTGCAATCATTGGGGCTGGTGGAATTTTCACAGGCGCCAACCCAGCATACACCGCCAATGAGATTGCCCACCATCTCAAAGCATCGGAGAGCACGTACGCTATTGTAGAGCCCGAGCTCCTCAAGCAATTTCACGCAGGTGCTAAACAGGCCGGCCTGCCGGCCCAAAATATCTGGGTCTTCGACAACCTCGGCCAAGCAATCCCGCCGGGCGAGAAATCCTGGACGAAGCTTCGTGAACATGGCGAGGAAGATTGGGTGCGGTTTAACGACTTGAAGACAGCCTCAGAAACCAGCGCCGCTCGCCTCTTCAGCAGTGGCACAACCGGTCTCCCTAAAGCCGTCAAGATTACCCACTACAACCTGATAGCGCAGCATGAGCTAGCCTATACTGACCGCCCCTACGAGGTAAATCTATTACAACCTGCAGCCTTCCTCAGCATGCCAGAATCTAACCCGCAAAGGTCTCACGGCTCATCGCTCTCCCTGTTTTCCACGCAGCCGTCGCCCCCGTCACCCACATCACAACCCTAAAGACCGGCCAGACAGTATACATGATGCGCCGCTTCGAACTAGAACTCTTTTTGCAATCGATTGATAAATATAACATTCCCGAACTCTCCCTCGTCCCACCCATTGTCATCGCAATTTTGATGTCCCCTCTCTCCAAGAAGCACCCATTCCTCAAAAAGACCCGTGCCGCCGCTTCTGGCGCCGCCCCACTGGACAAGGACGTCCAGGCTCGCTTCCGTGCTCTCATGGGTGACGGCAGCCCCTTCACCCAAGTCTGGGGCATGACCGAGACATGCTGCGTGGCGACCACGTTCCGATACCCCGAGCACGACGACACGGGGTCGATCGGGCGCTTGATCCCTAATCTGGAAGCAAAGTATGCACCTCTCCCATTGGATCATAGCATTGAATTCGACGTTGTGCTTACCATTTTGAAGGCTCATCGATGACAACGGCAATAACATCTCAGCGTACGGCGTCCGCGGCGAACTCTGTGTTAAGGGACCAACTGTCACACCGGGCTACCACAACAACCCCGCGGCGAACGCCGAGTCCTTCGATGCCGACGGGTGGTTCAAAACGGGCGACATCGCCTACTGCGACGAGGCCACCAAGAAATGGTATATCGTCGACCGAAAGAAGGAGCTGATCAAGGTGCGCGGGTTCCAGGTTGCACCGCCGGAGCTGGAAGCAGTTCTTCTGGCGCACCCGCACATTGTCGATGCTGCTGTTATTGGCATCACGTTCCCGGGTGCGGATACGGAGTTCCCTCGTGCTTATGTGGTCAAGCGGCCGGGTGAGGGGGATAAGCTTACGGAAGAGGAGGTGCAGAAGTATGTGCTGGAGCGGCTGGCTAAGTACAAGGCGCTTACGGGTGGAGTAAAGTTTGTGGATTCCGTTGGGCGCAATGCTAGTGGGAAGATTCTGAAGAAGAATCTGAGAGAGGCTGCTAAGAGGGAAATTGCTGCTGGGACAATTAAGCCTCGTCTTTGAAACGGTATGCTTCTGCATGATGATCTTGGAAATATCCTAGGCCTCATATATATCACCATTTTCTCAAAACATATGATCATTTTCCATGGCTACTGCCACGAGTAGCAATATTGAACAACTTTCTTCCTGCCCGGGTGATATGTCGATAGACCCACTCAGGGCATATTATTGAGGACAACTTGGAACCTGGAAAAGGCTACAAGTACATGAAGGCAGCGAGGTAGTGCGACCAAGTGAAGCTGTATAGACACAAGACTAAAAGGACGAAGAAACAGCATTCACAGAGTTTCAACAGTCCTGTTTTAAGTTGGTGCGCATGCAAAGCGAGTCGCCGCTATCAGTTGATAAGAACGATGTCCAGATTAGACTAAAGTACCGGTGAGGCGCCAATGGCCAGCCTCAAGGTCCGCTTAGCACTCATTTCCTGAAAAAATGGGGGAAGTGGGTTAATGGCCAATAGTACCATCGATAGATTTCAAGATTCTGGTAGATACTGCTGGATGGCTGTCACTCCGCTGATAGTGGCCCAAGCGAGCTTCGCGAGTCCAGTTAGTCGTGGTGGATATATTTCCCTGCCGAGAACATGAAGCAGTCTGGGAACCCAGTTTAATCAGAATCCCGTACCATTAATAAACCCCACAATTGACACAGGAACTAAATCTCTCTCTGCAGTTACCTTATTCTCTCGAATCGCAAAAAGACAACTTGTGAACACAAAGAAAAAACAAAAAAAAAAAAAAACCAGACCGTAAAGGCCAATAACTATATGCCAAACACGTCATTGCGCCAACAAGTAAAACCAAGCTTTTGGTGACGTCGACGGATCCGCGATCGATTTCGCGATCCTCCACCTCCCTCCCCCCTTACACACCTCTCTGCCTGGACCCCCCAAATTACCAGGTATGGCGACCACATCTGAAGCTCATGCACTGGGGTATAACCTCGAAGTGGACTTTGTCATCCGCTATGGGTTTGGCGGTTCAGGTGAGTGTGTAGCTCTGAGCAGACCCATGGACTGGAGCTGAGATCCTCCTTCCAGACAAGGCGGATGCCATTGAGCAGCTCGAGAAGCTCCTACGGGCTTTAGCAGGCATCGGACTGCAAACAGAGATCCGCCAGGGCGACGAGTCGTCCCTCCTTATCTTCGTCCGTGCTTCTAGCAAGCAGTTGAACCGGGCAGTCTATCGGTCGCGGTGAGTGGTGCTGTACAGGCGGGGCTAACCCCGTACGCCCTATTGTTCGCTTTGAAGTCTCGTACACAGGATATTTGCTTACGTTAGTTCCTCTATAGAGTTCGAGATTGGCTCTACGGCATTCGAAATGACGAGCCCGAGCAAGGAAATTCGATCGAGCCTGAGACGGAGGCTGAACGCCTGCGGGTGATCTACAACATGATCACCCTCCCGAGCCTCGAGGGCGGCGCTGGTATCACCCCGGAGCACGGCGACTGGAAGAATGTGCTTTCTATTTTCCCACTGCACGACGTAAAAACCAACAATCGATGGATGCGTGACTGGAGCCAGAAGACATTCCTCTCTGAGGACGATTTGGATCAGATTAGGAACAAGTTCGGAGAAAGCGTGGGTGTCGTCCGGATGAAATCGAGAGTGAAATCTTTACTGACAGCCTCAAGGTGGGCTTTTATTTCTCGTTTCTCCAATCGTACTTCCGGTTTTTGGTGTTCCCAGCGATTTTCGGTTTCAGCTGCTGGTTTTTATTGGGAGGCTATTCAATTGTCTATGCTGCGGGCAATTCATTGTGGTGCATCATATTTGTCGAGTATTGGAAACGCCAGGAGGAAGACCTCAGCTGTCGCTGGGAGACAAAGGGAGTATCTGCTGTCCAGACCACCAGACGCCAGTTCCAACCCGAGAAAGAAGTTCGAGATGAGACCACAGGCGAAACCCGTGGTGTATTCCCGGCAACGAAACGTATGCAGCGACAGCTTCTCCAGGTCCCATTTGCCTTGGTTGCGGCCATTGCCCTCGGCGCAATTATTGCGACTTGCTTCGCTATTGAGATCTTCATTTCGGAACTTTACAATGGCCCCTTCAAAACATACCTGGTAGGTCGGCCCATTTACAGCCGCGAGGTCGACTGCTGACTGTTCAGATCTTCATTCCAACAATCCTGGTTTCTGCGCTCGTTCCTACGATGAGCGTTGTTTTGAACTCTATCGCAACGAAGCTGAATGATTACGAGAACCACGAGACCAACGATGGATATGATGTTGCGTTAACCCAGAAGGTTTTCGTGATCAACTTCATCACCTCGTATCTCCCTATTTTTCTGACAGCATTTGTTTATGTGCCGTTTGCCAGCCTGATTGTGCCATATTTGGATGTCTTCCAGTTGACAGTGCGCCCCTTCGTTTCGAAGGAAGATTGTGCAACAGAGCACAGAAGCACTCAGTTCCAAATTGACCCAGCACGCCTTCGCAACCAGGTGATCTATTTCACCGTCACAGCACAGATCGTTGGATTCGCCATGGAGACCATCGTCCCGTACGTGAAGCAGCATGCACTCCGTAAATATAAAGAATACAACAAGAAGCGCAGTGTTGAACGTACCGGAAAATCCGACTCCCCCGAGCGCAAGCCTGCTGTGACTTACGACGACCCGGCGGAGGAAGCCGAATTCTTGAAACGGGTTCGCAACGAACTCGAACTACCCGAGTACGAGGTCACCGAAGATCTGCGTGAAATGTGCATTCAATTCGGATACCTAGCTCTCTTCGCTGCTATTTGGCCTTTGGTACCGGTTTCATTCCTGATAAACAACTGGCTTGAACTGCGCTCCGATTTCTTCAAGATTTGCATGGAGTTCCGTCGCCCAACTCCCCTGCGAACCGACACCATCGGTCCTTGGCTTGACACCCTTGGCTTCTTGTCATGGCTGGGCAGCATTACAACTGCTGCACTGCTATATATGTTCAGCGGCAATACTCAGCATGGTCCTAACGGCGAGCCGAGAGATATCAAGGGCTGGGCTTTGCTCCTTACAATCTTCTTCGCGGAGCATCTCTACTTGATTATCAAATACGTCGTGCGTACGGCGATGTCCAAGATCGAGCCTCCTAATGCACGCAAGGCGCGCGCGGAACGGTACTTGGTACGCAAGCGATATCTGGAATCGACGCTCCACACCCCTATCCATGATTCCGATGAGAAGTCTGCGGAAGGTACGGGAGACGGTCTCTCGCGCTCGGCTCTCGAGGATGACGCTCGTGAGACAACTCTCCACGACGCCGACCCAGCGGAGCGCTTCTGGAAACGCCAGCATGGCTGGGACGAGTCTGCCAAGATCGGCGCGGGGATTATCCAGGCTCAGCCTTTGAAGGCGGCTGATAAGAAGAAGCAATGAGATGGAAATGTAGATAAGATTTCCGTGTACAAATTTCGGACCATAGGCAGCTTGATGTGATAAATGACCTGTTTTCATCATTCATTTCAGTACACGGAAAAGAACTCGATGACGAGAAACTTTACTACTATTCGAAGCGCGGAATCAATGTGATATAATTTCAATATGGTCTAATGTATCAGGTATCTGATGTACAGTATAAGTGTTTTAATGTACCGGGGCGTTCAAGGCCGCTTCATTTTAGGAATTGGGAGGCGATTTCTACGCCCTGTTCCCTTTGACTTTTCAAGCCATCCAAAGGGGCCGACGAGTTCCTCAAACGCAGCGCGGTTCTGAGGGATCTCCCAGAAAGCACGGCGTTCACTGTTTGGACCCGCCTTCATGTCCTCTCGCTGCTGGCGGACAATATCACGCAGTAGCTTACGAACAGCCTTGCTTGGATCCAAGCCCGCATTTTCCATATCCTGCAGGAACGACACAACGGCAGTGAGATCTTTGTCCCGGTTCCAGTAGAATATGACCATCTCATCGTAGAGCGCGGGGGACACGCCGTAGAAGATAGATGCTTGGCCCTGGGACTTAATCGCATCACGGAATTGCCCGAGAATAGGGGAGTCTGGGAAATAAGTCCCAAGCATGCGAAAAACCTGGAGCAGGAGTTTGGGATAGAGCTCGGCAATCACGATGTCTGCTGGTAGAATAGCAGGAATGTCGATCCGGTCTCTGGCTGTCTCGGGGGATGATGGGCTCAAGGCAGAAGGGGCGGATGACCCTTGGTCCAAGCTGTGCATCATAGAGAACACTTGCTGCGTGCATACCTCCCATACTCCGCTATCGCCTTTGTCTTGCTGGATGCTGGTGAGCAGCTTTTCTGTAATCTTGGTCACCTCCCGACGGATGACCATATTAATCGCCTGCCTTTCTTCGATTGAGGGGTTCTCCCATTCGTCGTTCCACACTTCGTCTGCTGCCTTGATATCCTTGAGTGTGATCGGGCTCCCAGGAGGCTGTTTGGGAGGCTGTTTGGGAAGCTCTGCCTGCGGCTCCGCGGGAGGCTCCGGCTTCTCTCCGCCCGCTACTGGGACAGGGACAGGCTTGGGCTCAGGCTCAGGCTTAGGCTCCGGTTGGATGATCTCGCATTTTTCCTCTGATTTGCGCTTGGTCGTCCTTTTCTCCTCCATGGTGGCCCCGAATATTTGCATAAGCTGACTTATATCGGCTCCATTGGGCCGGTTGTTTGAGGCATATGCCTTTTCTGTCTGTTGATCTTCATCCCGCTTCACAGCGCCTAGTCGAGCGAATAGATTTTGGAATGCTTCTCGTTCGCCTGGAGTAATTGTCTTAGGCTGGACCGTCGATTTAGGCTTCGGAGGCGGCGGCTTGGGTTTGCGAATGGGTGCATGGCGGGTTATGGCAGTCGATTTTCGGCGGAGATAGCTTGTGCGCCGGGGTGGGACTGGGGTCGTGGGTGTTGATTGCGTATCTGAGGACTCTTGATTGGTCGGATGTTTGATTTCAGCATTGTGATTCCCAGACGTATTGGCGTCTATAGCGATTCGATCTGTCGAGTCATGTTGAAAACGCCGTGAGATAGAATTGCGAAATGCAGTAGATAATGGCGAGAGCGTTCGGGTCTGGTAGAGAAAGGCAAGCGGGGAGGCTGCTGTAGATGAAAGCAGTCGGCGGGGCAGAGGAGGTGCCATGAACAAAGGCGTCTTATTTGGCTTCCGTCTCTGAGCTCTTTCATCTTTCGTCACTCCCAACTTTTTTCCTCATTAGGGGCCCACGTGATCCCGCGTTCCGCGTCTCTCGCGTACCTCGAGGCCCGCATTGGTTTTCGTATCCTCGTGTCTCTATCCAAGGTGAAGGCTTCCCCCACCCTGTTCGTTTAAACAGAATGTCTGATATTGAGGCCGAACGCCAGCGAAACATCGCTGAGCGCGATCGGCTCCTCAAACAGCTGCAACTGACAGGAGGCGGCGGGCTGGGTACCCCGAAATCAGGGCGTGACCAGAAGCCCAAAAAGAAGCCCACTCCGAAACGAGTTATCAAAGAAGAGTCAGTGGCGCCGCGACGCCAATCTTCGCGTTTGCTGGGCTTGACCGCGGACAGCGAGGTCGCCAAGCGGAAGGCAGAGAATGATGAATTAGCAGCCAAGCAAGCGCGGGAGGCGAAGCGCGTTCGCCGAACAGGTTCTTTTACCCAAGACGACATGTTTGTCGCTGGTCAGAAGTTGAGTGGGGATAGTCTCGTTGGAGTGGACATCATCACCAAGGGTGTGGCTGAGCCGTACATGCGCACCTTTGGCGAAGACGACATCAAGAAAACCACAGACAAGGACCTGAAGGCCCTGCGGGAAGAAATGAATGGTCTCTCCCTTTGGGAGGAGTGGGATCCGCAGAGTAAGCCTGCTTAGAAATATTTGGTTCTTGTGGCAGAGGGCTAACGTGTTTGAACCTCCCACAGGGATTAAGATCACCCCCCAGCGTGTATACGCCATGGCCTTCCACCCGTCAGAAACAAAGCCACTGGTGTTTGCTGGAGATAAAGAGGGTCATTTGGGAATACTAGATGCCTCTCAGAAGAAGCCGACAAGTAACGATGAGGACGACGACGATGACGATCCTGACCCTGACTTGACACAACTCAAGCCACACACGCGTACAGTCAGCGCGATGCACCTGAACCCGGCCAAGCCGACATGCCTGTACACGGCCAGCTACGACGGTAGCATTAGGGAGCTGGATCTCAGAGAAGATGCTTTCAACCGAGAAGTATGGTCCAGACCCGGGGTCTGCGCGGGAGGACGAGGCCATTTCTGCGGTAGAGTCGACAGCAGAAGACCCGCATGTTATCTACTGGACAACCTTGAACGGAACCTTCGATCAGTTTGACACTAGAATCCCGAAGAATAAGCCAGATGCCGGTTCGAGCTGGCAACTCTCCGAGAAGAAGATTGGTGGGTTTTCGCTTTGTCCAACTGCCCCTCACTACTTCGCAACTGCTAGCATAGACCGATTCATGCGATTGTGGGATCTGCGGATGCTGTCATCTAAAGTCCCTGTGCCTGTTGCAGAACATGAGAACCGCCTTTCTGTGTCTCATGCAGCCTTCAACGCTGCCGGCCAGATAGCGACCTCATCGTATGATGATACTCTGAAGCTGTATGATCTTGGCTCTAAGGGCCTTGCTTCGTGGGCCAAGGGCCATACCGTCGATGACTTGCGCCCTGACACAGTTGTCCGCCACAACTGTCAGACCGGTCGTTGGGTGACAATGTCAGTTCTCAATTCTATTTTGGTTCATTTGATTTTTACTCGCTGACCATTTCATATAGCCTGCGGCCCCAGTGGCAGATGAATCCTCAATCCCCTATCCAGCGATTCTGTATCGGTAATATGAACAGATTTGTTGACATTTATAGTGGATCCGGCGACCAGCTGGCCCAGCTTGGTGGAGATGGGATCAGTGCTGTTCCTGCTGTGGCGGTATTTCATCGGAGCAAGAATTGGGTCGTTGGTGGAACGGCCAGCGGCAAGATGTGCCTGTGGATGTGAGTTGAATACAGGTGTGAGTACTTTCTTGGCGCCATGGAGGTTGAAGTTTCCTTTACTAGCGATGTTCTCAGTAGAGCACATGTTCTTAGTGTTTCCCACCAAGCCTCGGAAGAGCATACCCTTCGTATCTTAGCTATTGACTGTACAATATACCCTAATTTTGTCGAGGAGGGCCTCGCTTTGATCTGCGTTTTGGATTCAGTATCTAGCCCTGGTAATACTAGCCCTGGCAACTCGGTCGAGTACATGAGTATGGAAACCTGGTTTACCGGGTTTATTATAGAAGGAAGAGGGATTATTGAAGCGACTATGTGAAGTTCAGTCCCTCCGAGCCGATCTTGAATCAGAGTTTCTATAAACGATTTCGAAACAAAGAGCAGCAATTTGATGGGAGCCTTACGAAAAGCTCATTGCCCAAGTGGACACTAGTGTTTTATTTGAGGGCGAGCGACCTTGAAAAAGAGCAAGTGCTTACGTCCCTGGCGCTGAGCTGATCCATTAAAGCCGTTTACTAGCATCCAGCTGATAGAATCTCTTCACGAGCTCAATGAAACCGCACTTTCCACAAAGCCAATGACCAACAGAGCGTAACCCGAGTCCTGTAGCCGTGGTACAATCCTCTAGGACTGATGTGTGGATGCTGAGAAAGTCTCATTGAGTTGGACTGCATCCAGTCTACCCTCTCTCGAGTCTCGCCGTCTACTTTGTGTTTCCCCTATCTGAAACCTGGGAATGACAACTGCGAAAAAGCAAGGGAGGCCCCCAGAAGACAGTAAAATGGTACTCCCAGCCGAGACGTGGGTTCCCCGTATTGTTCTTGGGTGACACGACGGAATCCGGCTCTGGGTAGAGGTTGACTCTATCTGGATTGTTGGTCATTCTTAGAGATTCGCTTGGGCGTCCCATACTTGAGGCGACTATATTGGGAAGGGAGAATCAAAGGATCTGAGGCCTTTGGAGGGTCCTTGAGAAATTCAGGTTTGGTAGGAAGGATTCGCTTCCAAAGAGATGTGACTTATATTCGAGCGAGAGAGGCTCTCACGAGTTATTCTTTGATATGAGGTACCGGGTCATCCCTGTTTTGGAGATAGACATTTGGATGGGAGACTGAAAGACGATCTTGCTAGCCAGAGGTGTGTATTGCCAAGGTCTCAGGTGGAGCAACTCCATTCGCTAACAATCAATCTTCAGACCGCGGTATATGTAGTAAAGTTGACCTAAGATGCCAGGCATTGTTCCCAACGCCTTGTAACCAAATTTTAAAGTGAATTGTATGCTTTAAGGAAAGTGAAAGGGTATCAGGCGATTTTTAGCTTAAGAGACCATTGAGGCCCAGGTCAGGCCCACCAACACCAGGAGGGAGAGATGGACACACACAGCCTGGGGGAATATTTGATGGGTAGGGAGACCACCCTGAGGAAGGTGATGGAAGAGATCGCCCCATGGCGCGGGCAAGGACCTTCACAGGGCTTGATGAAGCACCATCCCGGGAGTGAAGGAGTCCAAAGCGTAGGAAAACTTCGGAGATAGTGACCAAGATCGAGATTACAATCAACACAATGACAATCCAAGTTTGGTCTATTTTCAGTGGCCAGTGGTCAGTAAAGGCTGTGCGGTGCACGGGAAAAGGGAAAAAAGAAATGGTATCTTACGAGAAGTCCGACTTTCCGTTATCGAGTCAGATAGAATTTCTGCCAGATCCAGAAACACCCGGCAACGTTCGTTCAAAACTTGAATGCGGGGTTTGATCTCGAGATACTCGCGCACAGCGGTGTAAAGTGGATAAAGAGTAGGCTCGCTCTCCCAGAAAAAGTTTGGATTGTCGAGCATATTCGAAGCTGGAATGCATGGTTAGGAGGTAAGACTCATGTTGGAGGGCGGAATAACTTACATAGATTCACCTCTACACGGCTTTTAAACAGTCTGCCCAAAATCCGGAAGACGTCCTCACGTTTCATACCGAGCTGTCCAGTCACAGCTAATCGTCGTGGAATGTCCTTGGCATCTGCCATTTGCCGGGCCATTACCTCTTCGAAGAAACATAACTTAGTGCTCTGGGAGATACCGTGACTGATAGCGAGCTTGATCATGTGGTCACCGCTGCGGAGGGTAATCATGTCATTGTAGACACGGGGCCGTGAAATCTCCGTCGAATATTCAAAGTGGAATTCTTCCGTTTCAAAGTCCTCCTCATGAAGAGGCATTGTCGCCAGTGGAGTTGGAGTACCAGTGACCGACGACGTGGCGAACGCTAAGTCGGCCAGCAAGTCCTTCTCTTGTCGCTCAGTGAAGTTCCAGAATACAACAACGCCATAACTGAAGACAAACATCTCTGCGACATTATAAAGAGTTCTCGCTGGTTCCTGCGGTACTGACACAGATGGACTAGGCAAAGGGGACGGGGCTCGATCTCTCAATAATGCATGCGTATCGTCGGTGCTGTGACGACGTCTGCGCAGCGCTGGCTCGGGGCCTTTCCCGTCGTCCTGGGAGCCCGATTGATCTATCACACTGGTATCTGCAGGGGCATTTTGGTCTTCCTGTATACGATTTTCGTCGGAGAGCAGAGCTAGGAAATTTGGTTGGCCTTCTCTGGAGCCCTGATCATCTGAACTGCGGGGGGATTCTTCTGGCTGGTGACCGTCATGCTCATGGCGCCCACCAACCGAATGCTCTCCAATTTCATCAAGGTATTCGTCATGGTGATCGCGTAATTCGTTCCGTTCGATCTCCTCATCCAACAGAGATTTGCCGCCTGGGTATTTCACGACAGGACTGCTCCGTAGGCGATATCCCTCATGTCCTGGAAGAAGCGGGAGATGGTATGCAGTGTAGAGGCAGTCATCGTATAACTTCGTTCGAGCACCGTGCCACTCTTTGACAAAAGAGGCTACCGAACCCATCTTATAGGCTTGAGCCGTGCAGTAAGCAGTGACCCGCGCAAGCTTCTCAGCACGGCGCGCTTTGGGCAGTCGTTCTGCATAGCTCTTAGCTCGCTCAGGGGCAACACGTCGCTTTCGCAGAACCTCTTCCTCGGCCAACAGAGGCGCGAGATCATTGTCGACTCCAAAATCCCCACCTAGTCGCTTCTGCACCAACAATTGTTGTCGCACGAGCTCGGGATCAACTTTCCTTTCCTTGGCGAGCCGGTCCACAAGTTCTTCGTCAACCAGGTCCATATCCTCTTGGTCATCATCTTCCGTTTCGTCCGGCTCGCCGGTGTCTGGCAGAAGCACTAGCTTCTCGCTCACTTTCGTCGTTCGAGGAGGCAGACGAGGTTGTGCAGCCAGCCGCCCGATAGTCCCAGCAGTGCCGGCGGTGTTGATAGGTTGATTTGGACCAGAGTGGCCCGTAAGTCCACCAGAGGGAAGTCGACGGGGCCGTGCAATCGGCGGAGGTTGTCGCTGCTGCATCGACGGGACATCTGAGGCGTATTGGAGGACATTGTCAACGGTGATAAACCGAGTAGCAGGTGATCTTCGTCGGCGTGTATTGGTCGCATGCTGTTGGTCGCGTGAATCGGTGACCTGTACTCCCATGGAGCTATTTTAGTATCGCTCTCGGGGCGACGGAGAATTATCAGCATAGCCGGTTCCGGACTGACGTACCAGCACGGTTGGACTTCGTTGGCTGGTGCCTCGTCCTCGAGACGGGGGGAGCCATGGTTCCCAGGGGAAACTATAGGAGCCTCCCGACTAATTGGAATGTGAATGGAAGAGCTGACAGTAAAGAACCTTGATGGTCCTTCTAGACAGTCAGTCCGGACTGAAATCATGAAGCTGCGGGCCCGCCAGGCTAGTCCTTATCCGGTTTAGCTGGAGACAGTATGATGACGTAAATTGTCATGTGACACAAAAGATGAATGTGTGGAAGGTTTGGAAGGCATGCAAGGTTGGAGGCTCCTTACAATATCTACTTTTTGTGGAATGCTGGCTTTTGTCTCTATACTACTCTGTATTCATAACTAGCAACTAAATGCCTCAGGATGGTTAAATCGAGGGTTCAATGCCCGGTCCGAGGGTTTGCTAAAATGGAATTGCGAAAGTCTGTGCACGTGGCTCACCTTGTATGCAGCGTATGTACACCGCTTTTTACAAGTCATCCGTAGGTTCGCGTGTCGCGTTATGATATAGACTTTTACCTCAAATATGCCACCTGCAAAGCCTCAACCACGCACTCAAACAGTGCCTGAGTGGTCGAAACCAATCCCTCTACCTCCTCGTCAACGTCGTCGTGAACTCGATCCGTTCACTCGCACTAAGATCGTTGAATTACGCCAAACTGCTGGCTGGACATGGACTCGGATATTCGAGCATTTTCAACGCGAAATTCCACTATCAACTCTTCGATCCACTGTCAACAGAGCCAATGGGCGTATAAACAATATCAGTCAAGCTCGCAGTGGTCGTCCCCGCAAGTTGAATAGTGACGATATTGCTAAAATCTATAAGAAGATTGAGGAGAACCCCAAGGTCTCATATGAAGATCTTCTTGCAGAAGTTGATCATAAAGTTACAAAACAATCGATTTGGCGACTTCTTGCTGAAAAGGGCCGAACGAAATGACCAAAGTGGGCTTCTTTGGAGCATATTGCTGTTCATACCAGTCCTATCTCCTCGGGGGAATCTAAGCATTATTATAACTTGCGCCGTGATTATTACCTTAGGTATATAGATTGCGGGCTCCACTTCACAAATTTAACGAAATAATAACTACTGGAATTCCATCTTTGAATTTCCTTGAAATTAATATATAGTGCTAGTCGGCCCTATGGAGGCACCTTCACAAGTAATTAAATAAGACAGCGTTGGGCTTCTTGGGAGACTAAGCTATAGTCTATCGCATTTACTATGGCGTTCCAGCTGCGCAGTTCGCTTCCTGAATATGCTGTTGGACCGAACAGACCGGGTATGAGAATAATAACTTGGAGCTGGAACCGATCATACATCCCAGTGAGAATTTACACTGCCTGCTCTTGGATTCTGATGCAGAATAAGCGATTTGGCACGGTCCTCGCAAGTCGTCTCATTCGGGCAGCACTAGCGGTTGGTGGCTCTGTCGGCCTCAACAGGCTTAGTGGCCTTCGGGAACAGCATCTGAAGAAAGCGCCCGTGAGGGGAAGTGATATGTTCCGTGATAAACCAATCATCGACTAATATTATCGACTAAAATAGTAAACCGTTCCTGGCCGTTTACTCACTATCTTTCCCGCAATGTGACCCATGGATAGTGCCCAGGTGCGGGTAAATACGATTACTGACCCGCACCAGCGGGATCGAAATTTCTATTGATCTAAAAGACAAAAGACCAACTGTAATCTACTTTCATTCCAGCTGTTCAACTTCATTATGTGTCAATCAAAAATCCACGAGTTCCTTCAAGGACTTCCCAAGTGCGAGCACCACGTCCATTTGGAAGGCTGCCTCACTCCTGAACTCACATTCCAATTAGCTTCTCGCAATGGAATCACACTGCCTGATGACCCAGCATATGCCTCAGTCGATGCTCTCAAAAATCGCTTCGAGCGATTCACATCTCTCGACGACTTTCTGCATTACTATTTTGAAAGTATGGCGGTTCTGCGTTCAGAGCAGGACTTTGCTGATCTTGCCTGGGCTTATTTTCTGCAAGCCGACGCCGACGGCGTGCACCACGCCGAGGTCTTTTTCGATCCCCAGGTTCACCAGGAGCGCGGTATCTCCTATGAAACTGTAGTCAATGGATTCTCAGCGGGCTGCAAGCGTGCCGAGCAAGAGCTTGGCATTAGCACTCGTCTAATCCTGTGTTTTCTCCGCCATCTGCCCGTTGCCTCGGCCAACGAGCTATATGACCAGTTTCTCGCTAGTGGACACTACGAAGCCGGAGTCATCCATGGTCTTGGCTGGTCTTCTTCAGAAGTTGGCCCACCTAAAGACATGTTCCGGGATATCTATGCATCTGCGGCGGCAAAGAAAATTCCCCTTACGGCACATGCGGGTGAAGAGGGTGATGCTAGCTACATTAGCACTGCGCTGGAGGTTGGAGCGCAGCGAATCGACCACGGCATTAACCTCATACAAGACCCACAGCTGATGCAACGTGTTGCGAAAGAGAGTATTCTCCTGAGTGTTTGCCCTGTCTCCAACTTGAAATTGCAATGTGTCAAGTCTATCGCGGAAGTTCCCATTCGCAAATTCCTCGAGGCGGGAGTAAAATTTTCCATTAACAGCGACGATCCTGCTTATTTCGGCGCTTATATCCTAGGAAATTACTGTGCAGTACAGGAGGCCTTCAATCTCTCTGTTCTCGAATGGCGCATCATTGCGGAAAATAGTGTCCAAGAGAGCTGGATCCCAAATGAGCGAAAGGCGGAGTTGTTGGCCAAGATTGAGGCACATGTCAAGAGATTCCTTTAGGGATTCAGCGACAATTTCAACTTTTAAGGAGCGATATTTCATGTACTTTCATACCCACTGATTCAACAAGCTGTATGATAATAATCAACTTTTCAGACATAAAAGGGGGGCGGCGGTTGGGTATATCTAATTTTCATTAGCAGAACGTCTAAATCAAAGTCTATGCGTCTTCATAGCATTCTCCAAGACTTCGGATTATCACAACACAACATCCAGGGCTCCAGGGCTCTACTGGGCACGATATCATATGATTAGTCACCGATGATGGTGGGAAAGGGGCGGGAGTAATTCGTCGACGATGATTGGCCCGCTGCCCGCAAAACGTCTTGTCCACCTCGATCCGTCCTTCTCCTCCAACAACCAACTTTCCATAACATCCTCCCCACTCCGCCATGGCGTCGAAGCTGTTTACCGTTTCGCGGGCCAGCCGGGTGCTGCGCCAATTTCCTTCCTCCCCTTACAGATCTTTCTCCGCCGCTCCGCAACGTTACAGCGACTCTCTCGCGGTGGTACGTGAGCCCCGTCTTTCTCCCGGCCCTTCAAGCCGATTGCATCGCATTATCGTGAAAAGCGAGACACAGAAGGACAATGGCCGGCTAATTGAATCTCCAACAGCATCGCAATAGCCCCCACAACAACCCCTCCATCCCATTCAAGTTCTCCGAACAGAACCTCAAACTCATCGACGAGATTCTCAAGCGATACCCACCACAGTACAAGAAGGCAGCCGTCATGCCCCTGCTAGACCTTGGCCAGCGCCAGCACGGCTTCACTAGCATCAGCGTCATGAATGAGGTTGCTCGTATGCTTGAGATGCCCCCAATGCGTGTCTACGAGGTCGCCACTTTCTACTCTATGTACAATCGCGAGCCGGTCGGCAAATACTTTCTCCAGGTCTGCACTACGGTATGTTACTCCTTTTCCTTCCACCGTATCGATTTGTTCCTCGCGGCTTAAGTTCTAACTCGACTCAATTTCAGACACCCTGCCAACTCGGCGGTTGCGGCAGCACCGCCATTGTCAATGCAATCAACGAGCACCTCGGCATCACCCCCGGCCACACCACCGAGGATGGCCTGTTCACCTATATTGAGGTCGAATGTCTTGGCGCCTGTGTCAATGCGCCCATGGTCCAGATCAACGATGACTACTACGAGGACCTGACCCCCGAATCCATCAAGAGCCTTCTCACTGCTTTGAAGGACGCTGCTAGCGGCACTGGCACCAAGGTTCCTGCCCCTGGCCCACTGAGTGGCCGGAACACTTGCGAAAACAGCGACGGTCTCACCAACCTGCGTGAGGTCCCAGAATGGGATCCCGAGGTCATGATGCGCAAGGACGGTGCCCTTGACGCACCCGCTGCTCAATAAGTGCTCTCTTTCGACGTATTATGGGGTTGGGAAGGAATGATATCAGATATTAGAGGCGCTTGAGGCATAAACGCTCCTTGATTTGGTTGGAACTGCAGCCTGGAAAACCTAAAGCTATAGCATGCTGCTCAATCGTCTTTTAAGGGCGTCTTTTTGTTTCTTTGTTTGTCTACCATGTACAGTACGTGGCTCTTGGGCTTTTTGAATTTTTAGCACAGAAGCCCAATGGAAATTTAACCGACTAATACTCGGCACTCCAAATTTATTTTTTTTCAATCCTATCTGCCGGACTTTCAAAATCAGAAATTCCACCGGTCTAATAGTAGCTGCGTACAGTTTTAGATCTCAGTGTGATTGATTCAGACTCACATTGAGTACTTGAAGTTGCGTGACCCAGTGTCCCCTGTCATATTATTCATAGTAGGATGTCAAGGTGGGAAGAGGTTGTGGGAATACACACGAGTTATGATTTCCCCGACCTATGCCTCGATCCGATTTACACTGTGTATATGAGTAGCGTCACAGTGCGCTAAGCTACGGTCAAACGGTACCAAGTGGCAGCGCTAATAGCTACACTGTCCAAACTATGTCTGCCAGGTGGGCTCTCGCCTTTTGTATTTCAAATTAGATTCCGTTGATCTAGCTCCAGATCTGAACATTTCTTTTAGGGGGGATTTGGGGTTGAGTCAATCTTCACCCCCATCTTCATCTCTCTGCCCTCCTAATTGCCTTTCTTTTTTGGTGGAGGTGTGGGTGAATCTCTGGGGATATGTCACAGTCTCCGAAGGCATCTATGAGCCTCAAAATATGCCTTCCAGAGACCCTCCTGCACAGCGCTCATCCTTAGGCAGAATTTGATCTGCCTTGATGAACTCGGCCTGTCCATCCCGCTCCACCAAGACGCCACCTTCGCCCATGCGTTGCTCGAGGATATTGACATCCACTGTATGCTTGGACGCTACGTAGTAGGCGTGGACGTCCTTGTTCTGTCCATGGCGCCGCAAGCGGCCGATTGCTTGCTTCATGCCGGCCTCATATTCTGCCTCGTCATCGACCGCCAGTGGACCGAGGAAAATGCAATGGTTGGCAATTTGAAGGTTTCTGGACAATCTTGTTAGTATGCCTTTCGAAGAGGGGATAAGGTCAGGCATGCTTACAGTCCAGATGCCTCCACACCTCCGAGAGGGAGGATTAGAGCCTTGATAAGGGCTTTCTTCGAACCGTCATGCTTGTTGATCTGTTGGGCGTCGTCTGATCCGGGTGGAATCTGAGGCTGTTTGTCGGTGGCGGCAGGGAGGATGTCATCATGGATCTTGTATCCATACACGAGGGCATCTTCACCATTACCATCGTCAAGTTCTGCTTGGGGTTTCTTGCTTGTAGAAGTAGCTGCCCGTGCTGTTGTTTCCGAGGTTTCCGATATTATCCTCTGCTGAGCGAATTCATCGCTTCCGTTCTTCGAAGAAGTGGTGCGACATGAGATTTTGGAATGAGTAAGGTGTTCTTCCACAATAGGAATCAGGTCTGCGAAAGGTACGAAGATCAGGACGCACTCCTTCGCAGGAATTCTGTGGACCATTTCGATCAACTTGTCTAGCTTTGCGCTTCCCTCATAGGACTTGATACTAAGGTCACTGCCATACTTGGTTCTGGTCTCGTGCTCTGTGCCACTGCATCCCACGACGCGGCAGTTGATCTGAGTTCCGCTAAGCCCCACAGCTTTACAGGACTGGCAAAGAATATGCCCGCAGTTTTCGACGATGACCATTTCCTTAACACTCGTCTTTCTTCTCCGGCAGCTCGTGCAGACCAAGGCATTTGGATATCCTCTTAGTAGCCTCACCAATGATCGCTGGAATTGGAAACGGCGCCAAGGTCCGATCACATTGGATCTCAAGACTCTCTCAATCTCAAGCTTCAGTCCTTCGAACACTTCTTTGGCTTTCGCCGACCGCTCTGCCGGATCGTCATCACCCTGGCTTGCTAGAACTCTGTCTTGTGGTGCTGTCGCCGAGGAACACGGAGCTTGTGGACTTTGACCAGTCGTCTGGCTTGTATCCTCGTCATGTGTGTGTTTGGTCCTCTTGGGAGGGCGGATTGCTGAGATGGGCCCTCCATGTGCCCTTTTGCGGAATCGTTTTTCAATTCTTTCGGCAATGTCGTCAAACTCAGGTCTTTTGCGTGGTGTCAAACGCTCAGCGAACTCGTCTCCAATATCCTTATGGAGGTCCTGATGGTCATATTTCTCAACCATGACATCATTCATAGCTTCTGGTATGACAAGTTTGTCAAACCGTTGGACGACTTCCGAGAGGATATGGTCTCCAATATCCATTTTTGCGACATTCATCAGCTTCACCCACCCCTCGTTATCGCGAGAAGCATCTGTCCTTGTCTGTGACATTAGATATTTCTGTTTGAAAAGTGGTCCCGCCTTTGTCTCCAGCGCAGTAAGGAATTGCCTCTCTCGATTCTTGAGTTCTTTCTGGCAACTCCCAAGTGAGAGCAATGAAGTATCTGCCTCGGTTGTAATTGAGGTTCTCACGAGAGCTCCAACAGGCCCCTCCGTCTGACAAACACCAATAATCTTGTTCATGATGTCGACAACACCGTCATAGCGGTCTGTGGTAATCTTGCCCATCTGCCCTTGTTGGTCAACGAAGTGCTTTGCCAGTCTTTGGTAGACCTCTTTCTCTTTATCGAGCTGCGAACAGAGAACCACCTCGCTAGCAACTGGGATCCTCTCGCTGTCAGGATGGTTCTGACGACAGAAGCGATCAAGGAATTCCTGGGCGTGACAATGGCGACTCTCATGCCATGCGTCACTGTGGTGGGCTTGTACCATGTTAAACTCTTCAACAGGCGTCCATGCCTTGTTTCGCTTCTTTGGACGATCTTCATCGTCTACACCCAGATTGGCCCCAAGGAGGCGTGCAATGCTGTTGACATTGGAAAAGTTGGTCAGGCCGGGTGTTCCGGACAGAATCCATTTGGAGCGTGCTGAGAGCGCTTGTAGGGCAAATCTTCTCTCCTCTTCCAGGTAATTGTACTCATCGACTATCATGCGGTTGAAATGATAGGCTTGCAAAGGCACTCGCATGTTGTCAAAGGCGATGTCTCTGGAGGGGATAGTGGTATTCCGACCGAGATGGAGGATTTTCTTGATGATCTTCGTCACCTCCTCCTCGATGGCCTTCTCCCGCTCCCTTACCTCTTGCTCTTTCCTCGCCTTTATTTCAGTCTCGCTTTCCGGTTTCTTTTCAACCGCTTTGGATTCAATTTGCGATTTCAACAGCCTTGCTTGGGCGAACTGCTTGCCACGCAGTCGCTTCGAGGGCACAAGGCCCAACGCCTCCCCTTCGTTCTCCGGCATCTTACCAAACTTCTTCCGCGCCGCAGCCCTCCAGGCCTCCAGGCCACGATCCCTCAAAAGAGGGATTGACGACTCCAAGTCCTTTTTGGCATTCTCAAACCAATCGGTCATCATTCGAGGAGTGGTCTCTGGAGCTTTTGGGCTGCAGGTAAAGTCTTGCGGGTTTTTCAGGTACGAAGAAACCTGGAAAATCGACCACGGAAGAAGGATGATGTCTGCCTCCCCTAAATTGGCGCACCGTCCATTTGTAGACCTCATCCGGCTTATCGGTTTTGAGGATCTTGAGCCCTGGCTTGAGGAACTTTTTCATTTCCTCTGTCCATTGCCCAAAGATGTGCTTGGGTACCAGCAGGAGGGTTGCCCTGACGTGAACGCGTTCTTCAAGCTCCTCCTGGTCCCTGAGAGTAAGTCGTACCATATCTTTCTCGTGCTGAGCGTCTATAATGGCCAATGCAAGCGCAGTCTTCCCATAACCAGGGGTGTCGGCGACGAGTCCCCCACGAATCGTTCGTGGGATTGAGGCACGAACTTCCGATCGCCAGGCCATTTCTGGTATCATGGCCTCCTCCACTTCAAATTCCACAAGAGGCTCGATATCATCGGCCTCTTGAGCTATCATCCATGCTAAGGATCGGCGTTGGTTGGCTTGCAGTCGAAGTGAAACGTCTTCTACCCAGTGAGGTGGGTTATCGGCCAGGCTTTCACTCTCCTTGTTGCTCAGGAGAGTGAATCCCTTTGACACAGCCTCCCTAGCGTACGTTGTGTGGGTCGATGATAATAATCGCCATTCTAGCCGAACGTCCGAATCCTTGGGAATATCGGCCAGCTTCCCAGCCGCCCGATGAGCCATTGCTTGGAGGTTCAATGCGATCTTTATTTCTGCATTCTCTCGATGATCAACCCGCTGGAAGAGCAAAAACGGAGGAGGCTTCAGCTTTACTGCTTTCTCGAAGTCTGCTGCGCTCTTAGGATCTTCCCAAGGAATTCGGAGAGTCGTTTTTGCTGTCGGAAGCCACTTGACTTTGGGAGGAAGTGGTTTGCAAGCGAAACATGCGCAATTATTTTTCTTTGACTCGACTGGGATAGCAATGTCCCTCCAGTCTTCAAACTGAGGTAGCATGCCGACCTTTTGCGTGATCCATGAAAGTTTGCTCAATGCCGCCGAGCGCTTCTGAGGGTTGACGTGTTTCCAATCCATACACTCTTGGGGGAGACCAAGAGTATTACACATAGCGGAAATGGAAATCAGAGGGATGTAACTCTCCTGGCATCCATCGGTTTTCAATGAAACCACAGTTTTGTCGTCCAATACCATGTGAGAAACGTCGTTACTTTCATGGGCACTCAACCACATGCCGGGAACATCAACAATGTGGCGAGAATAGGCCTTCACTTGTTCCGAGAAGTAACGATAGATTTCCGTGGGTTTTCGTTCGGAAATTTTCTTCTCTATGGCCGGTGGCTCTTCTTCATCAGGGAGATCAGGGACACTTAGAGCATCGGGGGTATCAGGGACACTCAAATCCACAGCACGCTGGACGTTATTGCCCACTGGGTTTGTCGAGGGGTACATCTGTGCACCCCATGTATGCTCGACTTCCGCAAGCGTGAGTCTTATCTCGTTCCCAGGAATTCTTTCGTGGTCGAGTGCAAAGACGTAAAAGTCGTCTTGGATGTGTGTATGTTTTCCGGGGTCAAGGAATAGGTAAACTGGGGGCAGGTTGCCAATCCCTTCCTTCCTGTACAAGGACCCGTAAGCAGTGCCACATTCCGGGAGATACTCATAGAGACCTTGCAAATCATTTTCATGCTCATTCACGGGGGCTCCATCAAGTGTGACTTTCAGTCTCTCCCACACTTGCGACTTGGGAAAGGGCTCTTGTTCGATCTGTAGCTTTGCTTCCAGGGAATCGATTTTTTCTTCCCGAACCCTTGATCTGGAGCTTAAATTCGGTGCTCAATGGGCAAAATATTTGCCATTCATTGTCAAGAGACAAATTTTCTGTCGACTTTGTTCTCGCAATTGGTTTTCCGAGCATACTCCGTAGCAAACACTTTGCGGGAGCTGATCTTGGGGCTTTGACGAACCATAGCCACTGCACATTTGCGCTGCTGATTTCGAGATGTAGACTCGAATGATCACCCTCATAAATAACTGTCCAAACTTTTCTGCGTTTGATGTCGAAGAAGCGAACCTCTTCATTGGCTGCATCATTCACGCAGCTAAGGAAATCTGACCATGTCTTTTCGGTACTCCCTGCTTCGTTCGGATCAAGAGACACACACTGGTCAACGAGGTATTCATAACGATCGAAGACGTTGCTCCTAAGGCCATGTATCTTGAGACGCATGGGCAAGATCTTTTTCAACAGAGTAACGAATTCCAATGGTGGACGACGGTTGTCAACTAGCAGTTTCATGTAATGATGCACTGGGTTTCCGGCACAAGAATCGCAAGCTGTATGTCCGCACTTCTTACACACCTTCAGGCTCTTCGCATTAAGTGACTGCTTCTCGCACAGGCAGTAGCGGGCACTGCGCCTTGCGTCGGCCATTATTGCTGCGAGGCAATCACTGTCAGGATTGCGTTTGGCGATCGCATCAGGTGTGAACGCATGAGAAGCTTCAATTCCGGTGCGCTCAAGCCTGTAGCCTGTCTCCAGTGCGAACAGCTCTTCGACGGGATGATCTGGTGTTTCCGGCTCTTGCTTCACTGCGTCGGCCAGTGCACTCAGGAGGGAGAGCTCGACTGCACCAACGGTGGTCGATGTCATGGCGTTTCCAGCAAGGTCTTGGAGTTCTCGCTGGGACTCTCGGGCCAGTGTTAGTTGGCTAATCGGAAGACCTTGCAACGAGAGAGACTCAAGACCCGTTATTGGGCCTCCTCGAAGAGTAGAGAAAGGCTGCCCCATTGGGGTCAGACACCCAGCTATCCCTAGAGAGGCGATTGTTTGGTTGCCGCGGTCGACGCCCTGTGACAAATCTATGTACCACTCTTTGTATAGGATATCCACAGCATCGGCCAGCCCGGCCAGATATCTAATATCGAGTGTTTCCCAGATTCTCTCAGGATTGAACTTGAAGTATTGTTGCCAGAAATTGTCTGGTGGGGTACAGCTAGCCTGGCCAGCGGTAGAACGACTGATGGGTCGCAGTGGTCCGGTCTTGCATCGGAAACGCTCGTCAGCGTGGCGCTCCTTATACCGGTCCCATGACACTTCGGCTCTTGACGAGCTAGCTTCCAAGCTGAGGGAGAGATTCCTTTCGATCTGCTCCAACCTCCGGTCATCCTCTGGCAGCAGATGTGCGCTTGCAGGAGAACTCGCGGGCCTCTTGAGCTTTTCCACTGTCGCCTGGTGTCGTGAGATGATTTCTTCACCAGAGACCCCGGATTGTGCCAGCCACGACTTTTCGATGCAGACCATGTACACCCGATTTCTGGTTTGCGGGATGTAGTAGGCTTTGCTGTCCATCTTTGAGTACGCGGCGTGGTATCCGTTATTTTCCCAGTCATTCTTTATGTCTGACCATGGAGCCCCAAGAACATTCTCTAGGATGATCGCACGTGGTCGATACTTCCGTGCGAACTCGAACATCGCGTGGATCGTGGCGCCGGATTCGCCCATTTCCTCACGCGTCTTGCGATTCTCGTTCAGCAGGGAATAGTCGACGCACGCGGTCCCAGCGATAACCAGATCTAGATCATCTGGGATTCGTTCCCAGGATCCAAATACCGTTTGACTAAAGTGAATCGAAAGTAAGTTATGCTCATTTTTGATAGTAGAAGTGAGGTGAGACTGGGTTACTTACGCCTCGTTTCCTGTCATCTGCTCCATGTCGCGGAACAGAAGGGGGGGGCTCAAAGTTCCTCTGGATGTAGCTCTGCTTGAACGGAACGATTTCACAGCTGAACTCATGAGAGAAACTGAATCGCTTGCCGCTTTTGCGAAGGCCTTCAAAGCACGAGAACGTCAGTATACTTCTAGTGAATGTCAGACCGGAATATCTCTTGGGGACTTACTCGTCGCGATCATCTCTAGAGCCAACAACGGGCATTCGGTGCCCGAGCACATAGTCCCGACTCTAAGAGGACGGCCGTTCAGCTTTCCGATGAGCTTCTCCAGGCCTAGCCCCATGGCTCGATGTGCCAGATCGCCAAAAATCTCTTCCAGGTCGCTCATCGGCGGCAGGCTCCAGGCGAGCTGGGTCCTGATCTTGTCGTTCACCTTTGAGCGGAGGAACTCTGGAGATGAGATTGAGACGGTGAGGCCTGAGACTCCTGACGGATCCCTAACCTGCGGCGATGCAGAAACGGTCAACGCGCCAGGCAAGGACTCTCTGTAAGAAATCGGTCAACAAAAATGTTACAAGAAATCACCTGCGTGAAGGGCGCACTTACTCTGACTCGGTACCACTGAAGTCCCGTTCTTCTTCCGCATCTTCAGCGACGCCCACAGTGTCTTCGAAGGCAACAGGAGTCGTTGCCTCCGAGGGACTATTGACAGTCAGTACGAATTTCAGTAACACAAGGATGCAGTTGACTTACAGGTCATCTTCTACAGCCTCCCTCTGACTGCAGATGCCCATGATGTCCCAGAGGACATCATTGCCAGTGCCCTCAAGACCTCGGCGAGTATCGCTGTAAGAGAGTAAGTTAACCTGGTATCTAATCATCAAAGCTGCGGTTGTTAACTTACGAGTCCTGAGTGTCTTGAGCTGGAAGGCGGTGCGCTTCCACAATGGCACCAATCGTAGCAAGCCTGGCCAGGACTGCCCTCCGAGACAGCGGAGGGGGCGGAAGGAAAAGGAAGGGCGAGGAGGGGAGGGAGAAGAGGGTGTGGAGGAGTCGGCGCGAGAAGAGGGGGGCTCAGTCGAGGGAATGGTCGAGAGATCCCTGATACGTTGATCCTCGGGAGAGGCCATCTCGGCGTCTCCAAATCTATGTCCCTAACATCAGTCAAAACACTTCATGAAACTCTTAAAGGGTCTCCAGCATTAACATACTCGCAGGTTAGAAGCAGGGCTAGACAGATCACGTGGTTGCTTGTGGCTGGACACGGTGCTTGTTGTGCGTCGCTCAAACAAAAGATGCGTGGAAGGAAGAAAATATTCGGGAGAAGGTTTTTCCGAATTTATGTTTCCGGGCCAGGTCAGGTGGGCCCCGCGTGGAAACAAACGAAAACTAAGCTAAGTGAGGCTAAGGACACGCACTAAACCCTTTTGGTACACACCTCACCATTCACTACACTGGAAGTCACCATGAGCTTCAGGCTTCAATTATTGTTTTTTGTATTGAAGCGCGTTATAATGCACTCCTGGGGGGGTAAATTCAACGTTCCTATAGATCTCACAATGAAGACCGTGATTTTGCTGTTCATCGTACTCCTTACAGTCCAAGCATGGCATTTATATTCTTCAGATCATCATTCTTGAACATACAAACAATCAGCCCTGAAGACAGCATAATCACATCTTGTAATGTACACAGAAAGCTCATTTCTACCCCAATAGCAAGAGATAGCTGGAAGATGTATACCTGACTGCTGTATCGTTCACTAGGCCCATTTATCTGCATTTAGCCGTCATCTTCATATCCTTAAAGGTAGTCCCTGAGCCACAAGAGCACTGTGCATACCTAACATAAGCCACATGCCTAGAATTTCAAGGTACGTTAACAGGAAGCGAATTCAATTTCAAGCTTCACTTGATTGCATGCATTTAAAATACAGGTGAGATATAAGGGTAGTCAAATTGGTGGACCACGCCGAACGCCATCATTCGCCAAATATCAGGGAGTAAGAAAGAAAAAATACCAAAGCCAGGGGAAAGTCGAAAACAAAAAATCACGGATCGCAAACTCGAGTGCTCATGGATGCTGGCAAATCATTTATCGCATGCCACCTTGCATAAGCTGCTGACGTAGCAACATGATTTGGCTTCGCTCCATAGGCGGCAGGGCATCGATGGTTGCTTGTGGCATAGTGAGTACTTGCTGTAAAAGCTCATCTTGGCCAGGGACTGCTTGTGGAGCAGGTTGTGCAGGTGGAGGCGCGAATGGAGCTGCAGCAACAGGGGGTGTCGAAGTCTGAGCAGGAAGACCACCATATTGCGGCCACTGCGGATGTGCTTGAGGAGCCACAGGTTGAGCAGCTTGTTCCACAATGGATCCGAGGAGCTGGTATTCGACGAGATTCATGAGCAGCAGAGCCTGGAAAATGGCGTATGCCAGCTGTGGTGCTTGCCGAAGAAGCTCTGTAGCACGGGCAGGATCGGCAACAGCAAGTTGCTTCATTTGGTTGAGCACGTCAAGGAGTTGGCTTGGAGGGAGAGAGGCGAGAGTGTGAGAAATAACATTGGGGCAGTCGAGGTTCGGTGGAAGCTCAATTCCCGGTGGGAGCGGGGAAGTGGCGCAGCGCCTGGTATTTGCGCAAGTTTCTGGGACGAATCTTGAGGCGTGGGTTGGGATTGTTGCGAGTAGTCAGGTGGAACGGAGTCTTTCTCATTGTTGTGAGGCCAGTCGACTCGAATCTTGCGGCCCATGATCTCGTGGTCATTGAGGTTTCGCACCGCTGATGCAGCGGAATCAGCATCTGCAAAGTCTGCGAATCCATAGCCTTTAGGTTTGCCTGTCTCGGGGTTCATCATCAATCGGAACTTGGTGACGATCCCCGCTGTACTGAGGATGTCTTTGACCTGCTCCTCAGTAAGATCTGTTGCGACCAGTAAGCAATCAAAGCAAGGCAGACAGGAACTCGGTATAATATAGCATCTGTCACATACTGTAGGGGATGTTCCCTAGGAAAACGCTCTTTCCTGTACGGTCGGGCGCCATGGTTGCGATGATTCAAGGTTGAGGGAGGAAAGAGACTTGAGCAAGCTGAACGAATAAGGAATATATTTTGCCGGACTTTGCTTCACCGCCCTACCTACGTCTTCTTCGAACCTCCCGTCTTCATTCACTACATCCGTCCCGGTATCTCTCAAACTTCACATCATGTCTCAGAATCAACGGGAGACCTGGGAGCGACTCCAACTCATGCTCCAGCGCCGTGGTGGCGGTGGAGGGGGTTTCCCATCCGGTGGTGGCCGCGGCGCTGGGGGCGTTGCTGGACTCGTCCTGCTCGGAGTCGGCGTTTGGGCTGCCTCGAACTCTCTCTTCAACGGTACAGAACCCTCCAATGCGCTCTTTACGTTAAGGTGATGCTAATGAGCCCATAGTTGATGGTGGTCACCGAGCTATCAAGTACTCCCGACTAAGTGGTGTGAAGAAGGAAATCTACAACGAAGGTATGGGAGCTGATCCGGGCGCATGAAGGAGCTCATTCTAACCACTGAAATACCAATAGGAACTCACTTCCGCATCCCCTGGTTTCGAGACTCCGATCATATACGATGTCCGCGCCAAGCCGCGCAACATTCCGTCCTTAACCGGTACCAAGGATTTGCAGATGGTGAACATCACCTGCCGTGTGCTATCCAGACCCCGTGTGGACGCTTTACCCCAGATCTACCGTACCCTTGGTCAAGACTTCGACGAGCGAGTCCTCCCTTCGATCGTGAATGAGGTTCTAAAGAGCGTTGTTGCCCAGTTCAACGCCAGCCAACTGATCACCCAGCGTGAGAACGTCGCCCGTTTGGTCCGTGAGAACTTAGCCCGCCGTGCAGCCCGCTTCAACATCGCCCTTGACGATGTATCTTTGACTGTAAGACTTCCTCACGCCTTATCTGCATAATTTTAAATTTGCCTGTATTGACTCGTACAATAGCACCTCACCTTCTCTCCCGAATTTACGAACGCCGTCGAAGCCAAGCAGGTTGCTCAGCAGGATGCGCAGCGTGCTGCTTTCCTCGTTGACAAAGCCCGCCAAGAGAAGCAGGCGTTTATTGTGCGCGCTCAAGGTGAGGCTCGTTCTGCGGAACTGATCGGAGACGCGATCAAGAAGAGCAAGAGCTATATCGAGCTCCGCAAGATCGACAACGCTCGCCACATCGCCCAGCTCTTGCAGGAGAACGGCGGAAAGAACAAGCTCTACCTGGACGCCCAGGGCTTGGGTCTCAATGTCAACTCCGGTGCCGAGGAGAGCAAATAAATTACTTTAATTACGCGCAAGGACTGCCGCACCATGTACAAATAGCCTATAGCAGGAGCATCAAAATCGGTCTCTTCTCTTACTCGTTTTGCACCAATTTTTCTATCTTCCCAGTATTCTGTCGCTATCACTCGTAAACAGGTGATTCTAGAATTGTTACGGGATACGTGCATGGTTTCAGGTTCCAACTTGAGCTTGAAGGTTGCGCTAGTCATCGTACTAAGTTGATCTCATCCACAATTGAAATTTGGCTGTGATATATTTTGAGCGGGGCGGAAGGCGGCGAGCGGCAGCTCCATAATTTTTTCAGATCTGCGACCAAGTCGATTTTCACTGAATCTTCAAGCCTTACGACTGTGGAAATAGGTCGCAAGTACGTATATTCAAGCAGCTCAATATCCAAGTCTTGACGCACCACTACCATCAATTCCCGCCCGTGGATGTTGAAAGCTGACCAGAGAAACTAGCAGGCTTGCAACGCACGACCCCACCATGGCCGAAGACCCCCAGATCGAGATCACCCAAATCGACGTCGACGTCGACGTCCAAGAGATCCTCCTCGCAGCCTCTCAGCATGACAACGCCAAACTCCGCCAACTAATCCGCACCCAGTCAGCCCTGCCGGACGCGGCGAACGTCAAAGACCCGGAAACCGGGTACACGCCCCTCCACGCCGCAATCAGCGCCTGCGAACCCGACACAGATGAGCAGGCGAACGGCGCAGCAAATGGCGACAGCAAGCCGGCCATTGACGCAGAGCTGCTGCAGTCCGGCGTCAACACCGTCAAGTTTCTGCTGCAGGAGGGCGCGATCTGGAACGACCTTGATAACAACAATGAGACACCCGGCTGTCTGGCGCGGCGCATTGGGGCGCAGGAGCTGTACGAGTTGATTGTCGATGCCGGTGTGCGGGCAGAGATGCTGCTCAACCGACTAGATGCTTATGAACCCCTTTCAGACTCAGAGGGGGAGGGGGAAGCAGAGACAGAGGGCCAGAAGGCCGAAGCAGAAGGCGAGACAGATGCTGCGCCGGAGCTTGTGGATGCTACTGAGCAAGCGGCCGGAACAACCTCCGAGACCCTTGCTAACCCGGACGTGTCTCAATCGGGTTACCTGCAGTCCAGCCTTAATATCACACAAGACCGTATCCTGGACGATGATCAGAATGGTGTGATGATGGGCTGGGAGCGCGAAATCATGCGAAGATCCGCGGAGAAGCTTCTCCCTCGAGAAGGGCTGAAGGTGCTCAATGTTGGACATGGCATGGGCATTGTGGATGGGTTTCTGCAGGAGCACAGGCCGGCGGTACATCACATTGTTGAGGCACACGCGGACGTTGTCGCGGAGATGAAGCGCAACGGATGGGACAGTAAGCCTGGTGTTGTGATCCATGAGGGCAGGTGGCAGGATATTTTGCCTGGTCTGGTGAGTGAGGGTCTGCAGTTTGATGCCATTTACTACGATACGTTTGCAGAGTCATATAAGGACTTTAAAGAGTTCTTTGAGGAGCAGGTCATCGGGCTACTGGAGCAGGAGGGGAAATGGGGATTTTTCAATGGCATGGGTGCCGATAGGCAGATTTCCTACGATGTTTACCAGAAGGTTGCGGAGATGGACCTATTTGAAGCTGGATTCGATGTGGACTGGGAAGATATCCCTGTTCCTAAGCTGGAAGGCGAATGGAAAGGCGTACGAAGGGCATATTGGGTTGTGGACAACTACCGCCTGCCGCTGTGCCGCTTCATGGATTAATGACAGCTCCAAAACTCAGGTATACCATGGGGCAAAGTGAAGATGAGAAAGATGAACACTCCCTTCCAGGGGAGGAAATAATTGTTCTTATAGACATAAATGCGACGCTGTGAAATGCTATGCAATAGTAAAGCAATGATCATGACTGGTGCTATTACAGCTGAATCAAATCCACCTCTGAGAAATCCGGAGGACTGCGACTGAAAATGGTCCTGCACTTGCCGTCGAGTGCTTGGTATTCATTGCTGACCCAGATGTGCTTGCTGTACCGCTGTGTACGGTATACTTCGTCGTTGCTGACCCCGATATCATCGCGGGGGATCCATATGACGGGCTGCTTGGCACGAAGGGCTTCATGCTGGAAGGCCCGTTGCACAAGCTGATCACGCTCATCGGGCGTGAGATCCTCCAGTTCATCATGAATTCCTGCAAAGAGGGCGTGTACTTTGCTGGGGGGAGCTTGACTCTCTGTATCTTGGGCCATCTTCTTACGCAGTGACTCGATATTAGGGCTTGAAGGTGCCGAGTTTCCACCAAAGTATTTTGACCGGCGATTGGGCGACCGCTGTACCCAAGATAGCTGGGGTTTGATCTTCGTGGGGTGTGCAAGAAATCACAAGAGCCATTCTGTTTCTCTGAATCCATAATCCTAAGCTCAATTTCTTGATCTGGATGTCCTTCTGCGTGATCTGCCGGAGGGTCATTCTCATCGTCCTCTTCGTCGACCGCGAGGCCAAGTCGAGCATGCTGAGCACGTCGGAATTCTTCGTCGCGGCGACAGGCATCGTCCTCCAAGGTGATCGGGAGGTACCGAATCAAGGGGCCAAATGCATTGTTTAATAAGATCTGATAGCCTACTGTCAAGACCATCACGACGATCATGACAATAGCCTGACCCTTGCATGCCACATCACCATGCTGATCTTGAACCAGGAAGAAAAGACCGATCAGACTGAGCTCCATCACATAGAGGCCCGTGAAGAGTTGATTGATGGCACATGGGAAAAGAAGCCCCCCAGTGTCAAACCGAAATTTGGTGACATAAAGCGTATTGTAGCGATAGACGAACCAGAATAAACCGAAAGTGATGACATTGAAAACAAGAATGAGAGGGGCGATCACACAGTAGATCATACCAATACAAGCCAGGGTCGTGTACACTGGGAAGAACGTACCCCATTGCACCTGGTTCAAATTAGTGGCGCGTGCCCACTTCTTCCTTGCTGTGTTGTCGAAGATTGGTGCAAGAATGAACCAGCTGATTAGGCTGAAAATCTGTGTCAAAGCGCCCGCACTGACAGACATTGCTTGCAGAATCATGTAGGAGAAGAAATAGTTGCTGGACTTGGGGATGTTGGTGGCCAGAAGTTGAGGCCAGCTTGTGATGTCCGTGACATGGTCAATGATAGTAGAGAAACTGGAGGCGACGGTGACGACCAGGAATAGTTGTACAAATAAGAAAGCGAAGTAATAGTTTTGGACGGCTAACTCGATAGCCATGCCCGTATGCACGCCTTGTGTCTTGCTCAAGAAGCGAAGAGACAAGGGGAGAACGGCCATTAGAATAGCCAGGAAAAGTGCGGGCAAAATACCTTGAACAGCAGCGATGAACCAGGAAGGCAACTTTTCGAGCCACCTAAGCCAACTGAAGGCTCCCTCCAAATAAGAAATCTGGGACAGAAGACCGGTAAAGGCGACTGGGAAAGCCCACGCAACAACCATAGCAGCGACGACTATGAATATACCTGCTGTGCGAACATAGCGCTCCCACCACTTGATGGACATATTGTCCCAAATAACATCGTCAGGCGAGATTTCCACTACCCGAGGTGCCATTTGCTTCGGCAGATGGTGACTGACAGACTGACAGGCCATATGTGCAGCTACCTGGTGGTTGAATTGGATGAAAGCCGAATTCATCAACGGGAATCGCTCGGAATGTTGCTGGTCTATTTCGATTTCCATGTTCAATCGAGCCAATTCCTGGCGACAGTAATCAATTGTATCGACTTTCTTTCCAATGAGCCATATTGACGGCCACCAACTCCACTTGAAGATGGGAAGACGCATTGTATCGCGGTCTTTGCGCTTGATAAACCTTTGCCATACGGGCTCCCCGTAGTTTTCGTCGCTGAAGTCTTGGTTATAGGCGATTGGATAATGGTCGCTGTCTTCTTTGGCCCGATTTTCACTCTTGCCGTTCTCCTTCTCTGACTCGGACTTGGCTGACCCGCGGCGCGCAGCATCATCAACGGCCGGGGTCTCAGGAGCAGTAAGTGGGTGCTCATCGGCCTCAGGTGCATTTTTGGCGCCTGATGACTTTCGAGATTTCCAAAAGGGCCTCTTAGGTTGGGGCTCTGCGTCCGATTCACGACACAATGTGCCCTCAACTGGAGTAGTTTCGGTTGTTCGCGACATAGATGGCGACGCAGGAGATGCGGCAACGGGCGCATCGGTTGGAGAACTTTTGGTGCTCAAGGGAGGGAAGCCATTCCCGGCACTTGCATCAAATCCCCGTGTATTACGCATCTTGCTGTCAAAGCCACCATCGGCTTTTTTCAAAGTACCAAGAACGGACCTGCCAAGCTTCTCGACGCCTAAGCCAACTGCTCCCGCTGCTGCTAGGGCAGGGTCAAAGACTTTATTGTGTGATGCATCCGAAGTGCGTCGTGCCCGCGTATCAACTCCTTGTTCTGGGTGTAGAGTCTCCTGTACGGTATGTGCCTCATGGGGGTCTCCTGAGCTGACACCAGGCTCCATAGCCATTTGAGCCGCGCGCCGATCCGTCGCCATTTTCTCTTTATCTTCAAGACTCAACTTGTTGGCTTGCTTGTTTTTCTTGCCTTCGGCTTTGAGCTTCTTGAGCTGAGCCTTCTTGCATTTTATGATCAGATCGGTCTCCGCGGATTCTAGTTTCAAGGCTAACTTGTTTCGTGCTTTGACCTTTTCGTTTAGTTCATCATAATTGCGGTTGAGCCAGATATTTCGGATGCCGCCCGGGAAGACGTTGAAAAGATTGTCCAGCCTGTCGACGCTGAGCCACTCCGGTGGAATCGCCGTGACCAACACCGTAGTTGCCGAGGCGCGTAAACGATGTTGTGGGGAGGTAAGATATGTTTGACGCAAGCGAATGTATCCTCGCAATTCATCGAAAAAGACAGCACAGACGTATACGACAGCGATCACTGCCATAGCTAAATGAGCCCAGTATCGATTAGTGTTTTCGGGCTTGACATTCCCCCACGCCAGCTGATCTAACCCAGTGACATTCCATTGTGGGCCAGGCCCGGTGCCATTTTGGAAATTTTGGTCTTTTCCACCCGCGCGATTGACTGAAAGAAGGACCGGTAGAATAAGGAGGCCGAGGGGAACGAAAATCTTCAGGAGCATTCGTAGATAGCGCAGGAAAAAGTAAGCGTCGAGTCCGCACTTCTGGATGAATTCGGTACTTGATGTTCGAAAAACTGGACCGATCCAACGGAACAGGCCAGGAGGGGATGGTTGTGTTCGTTCTCGGTCTGGGACAAGGTATGTGCGTGGTTGACTGCCATCGTTAGTTGAATCTCCATACGACAGCCGGTGAGGTTTCCACATACTAAATACGAGTCAACTTGCTTTTCAGAAACATGAAGAGGAGGAATTCAACGGCGAAAACAATAATGGCAGTCACCAGTGACGCCGCAAATGTGGAAATCGACTCCCCTTGGTCAGCCTTTCCGTGACCGCCAGCATGCTCAAGAGCGTCCCCGATGTTGGTCATGGTGGCCAGTTGCACCCGCAAGAACAGGGACGTTGCTCAAGGGAAAGAAGCGCGAAAGGAGGGTCGTGATAAGACCATCGACAAAGAAGTTTCTTCGAGGGGTATCAACTTTAAGGTCAAGTTCGTGGATGGGACCGAAAGATCTGCAAGGGCGATCTTTTGTGTCTCCGGTCAATAAGGCAGAAGTTGGCCACCGCGAGAAAACCAAGAGCCCTGCCCTGTGGGAGACTGAAGGTCTTTCTGGGAAAAGAAAGGGGATCAAGAATAGAAAACAAAGGCGCCAAAGTAGCACCAAAATGGGACCTTCCAGGAGCTATTGTTTCGCTGGTCCCACAATGATAGCAGTGGCTGGTGGTCTGGCGCTCAGGGTAATGGCAGCTGCCAGCGAATCAGTTTACCGACAGGGATAATTGGAGGGAACAGGGGTGGCGCCGATCCAAAAGTGGAATGACATCAAGCGCCTGCTGAAACAGCCAAGTAGACCAAACAAACTTCAGCGGCTTCAGATAGATCGAATACGCAACACGACGTGACCGACTTTGTGCGCCCGACCGCGCCTTCGCAGAAAGCTACTATGTATGCCCGCTTCCAGATTTGGCCCCCTGAGCAGAAATTAGTGTCGGGCCCACTGAGTCCCTGAGTCCTGGAAAGTAAACAAACGTGAACAAGAACGCGGGGGCCGTGAGGGGCCCTGATTGGTCCGATCCAATCCTGGCGAGTAGTGGCGGTGCTGATTGGCCCATACGAGTAAGGCTTCGGGAAGCTCAGCCACAGTGGCTGCTGCTCGCACGACTCCCCGAGGAATTTCCGCTAGTGCCAACTTGGCCTGCTCCATCCCGCAAGTCTCGAGGAATAGGAAATCAGAGGGCAAGAGAGTTTGGAAGACTACAGCGAAGCTCGAGCCTATTTTGATTGTCCACATGCCCACAGGCCACTCACATGATTGTACACCACCTACGTAACGTACAGGTGACAGATGCGCACTCCGAATGACGCCGAATTATTTCCAGACACGATATTTGGAGTAAATTGGAACAACATGCCTTTCTGCTCTTTCCAAGTTAGAACTGTATATAGCACATATATGCGTCGCTTCGGAGGTAGAGGTGGGGACTACATAGCCTGCTTGTTTGCCTAGCACGTTTGTGGGTCACGCTAGTGAGAGCTCAAATTTTAGTAGACCTCTTAAAGTCCAGCGGTCCCGTTCAGGACCCATCCAAGTGGGCCCCAGGCTCCCATTTGGATCCTTGCGGCATTGCTACTAACGGACCTCGAGCAGCCTCTGACTTGTTTGATATGTAAGGTAGTTGGACAGAGATGTAATAGATGCCCTAACAGGCAATAAAACAGTCCTTTGGGCGTAAAATTCTGTCAAATTGTAATAATAATCCTCAGTATAGCGGGCGAACCACGTTAATGGTAACCCCCTCCAGTTGATCCCCCGCGCGCCATCTCTTCAACTCGTGCTTGAAGTCGGTGATTCCGTTAGGCCAAGGGCACATCCTGGCGCGCTTTTTCACCTCCTCAGCACTCCCATCGGGTGGAACCTCCAGAGCAGCAGTGTTAACTTTTCCTTCGGTGCAGGCAGTGATAACAGCAAATCTTAAGGCTCCTTTCTCGATTTTTTGGCTCCATTCTTCCTCAGCTTGAATCGAAGGCTCGACAAGGACCTTCTCGCCGTCCGTGGTGCGCTTGTTTGCCTCAGCTATGATGTATGTGATGTGCTGAATCATGATTTCAGACAGCTGCATAAAGCTAACTGGAGCCGCGGTCTGGCTGGCCCCAATCCAGAAAAAGTTGGGGAATTCGTTCGAGCAACACCCGTGGAGTGTTGTGATTCCTTGCGCGTTGAACTTGTCCGTCATAGTACGGCCACTGCGCCCGTATACTTTGAAACGACCGGCGGACTCGACGTTTAGACTGGAAACACGAGATTCATACCCTGTGCTCAGAATTAACACATCAAGAGGATATTCAATACCTCCAACCACTAAGCCCTTCTCGGTGGCTTTTCTAACCCCTCTGCCGTCTGTGTGAACTAGATGGACATGTGGCTCATTGAAAGCTTGGAGGTAAGTGTCGCTGAAGGTCGGGCGTTTACACCATACTGGGTACCAAGGTGTAAGTTGCTCAGCTTTGACTTTATCCTTGACCACCTCCAATACGCGGCCGCGAACACCTGAGCTGGCCGCAGCATCTAGCGCGAGGAGGTCGGCATACAGGTCATGAACCTTTTCCGGGTCGGTAATAGTCTTTGGCTGTGGTCCTCCAATAGCAGCGGAGTAAGCCTTTTTGTTCGACCACTCGTCTCCAACCAAATCCTCTGCTCCGGGAGGTAATGTATTCGTCAAGTGGCCCATCATATTGTCCTGGCGGGCTTCTTGCCAACCTTCTTCTTTGGTGATGCGACTCCATTCTTCGGGGCTGGTTTCTCGATTGTTCCGAGCATATACCGCGGACGGGGTACGCTGGAAGACGAACAGCTCTTTTGCGTATTTGGCAAGTTCTGGCACGACCTGGATTGCTGTTGCACCGGTGCCGATTATACCCACCGTCTTATCCTTTAGCTTCTCCATCTCCGGTGCCGATTCCTCTGGGCTTCCACCGGTTACAGTATAGTCCCAACGCGCGGTATGAAATAACGAGCCACCAAAATCCGTCAGGCCTTGGATTTGAGCTGGCTGGGCGCCGCGAAATCTTCCCAGGCATGCAATTGGGAACTCGACGTTGCAAGAGGTGGATATAATATCCTGTTCGGTGGGACCTCTTTGCACCTTTAGGTCAACTTTCCAGGTGTGAGTCGCCTCACTCCAAGCCATACTCTGCACCGTGGTTGCGAACATGAAAGAATCCTTCAAGTTCCATTTGTCAATCATCTGATGAATATATCCCCGAATCTCTACCCCCGATATATACTTTTGGGAAGGCCGGTATCCGGTTTCCTCCAGTAGTGGCAAATACACATAACTTTCAGTGTCGCAGTAGAGTCCAGGGTATCGGTTGTAATACCAAGTCCCGCCTGGCCCGCCAGCAGCGTCGACAATGCGGATATCGCTGGTGGAGAACCCAGCTTGAATCAATCGAACGGCCATAAGAATCCCGCCCATGCCAGCACCGATGATAAGAAGTTTGACATCAGCACCAGATTGAATTGGGGAAGCTAATGAGGCGTAATCAATCCAAAGGTCTTGAGACAAATTTCTCAGACGTTCATACCCCTCGGCAGGCAGAGGCTCGGATGTCGCGTCCCAAGCTGGCTGTTTGCGCTTCAGAGCCTCGGAAATAAATTTGTCCTGTGGGCTCTTCACGGTCATTTTGATGGATGAAGCTTTTTCTTACGGTGGGCAACTTCGGCTTCGAGAAACTTCAAAAATCGCTGCGGGAACTTTCTAATATTAGATACGATCAAGCACCGTATTTAAAACCCAATGAACGATGAATTGCACCAGGGGATATATATAACTCCTATAGTTTGGAAGGTAGCTTCGGTCGCGACCGAACCTCCCAATATGGTTATCACAGCTGGTCTTTGCTATCCCCGCACGATCCACGCTAAATCATATTTTATCCTGTGAGAGGAAGATTGTCAAGCCCCAGTCCATCCTATGTTCCTTACACAAGCGCCGTCTTTGAAACTACACGCCAGCCCCCGGAATATGAACAATTGCCTGTTCGGGTAATTATCCGAGCGCTGGAAGATAAGCAGCCGAGCCTTGCTGGGGCCCTAGGCATGGGCCCACCGGATTAAGCTCTTAGCAACATTTTTAGCCCCAACTTTTCCACATTTCTTCCGCCTGCGAATCTCCGAGATAGACATGCATATTTCCTCAAAGGGTAATTTTGCTAGACTTTTGCACAATGTGGGTGTGGTATGTATCACCGCAAGTTGAGCCTGGTGACTAGTATCATTGACGAGAATTTCAAATTCTGAACGTCCCCAAGAGGAGTGCGTTTCAAGTTTGAATCGAGAGCCATACATTGCTCCCGGGACTCTTTCCAGTTTTTGCTGCAATATCGTAATGAGTAGAAAATACAAAGTTATTTCGAAGGGCTTTCTCCTGTCTCGAAACGCCTAATATCTGGAACTTCCGGCCTATATTTATTATTGAAGAAAGATATGTATTGAAAAAAACGTGAATCAATTCTTGAACACTCGCTTTACCGTTGCCGTATTGGATTCTACTCAATTAAGCTCAGACAGATCGTTCGTACTGGTGCCAGTAGCATGCTCCATTAATTTAGCATCTGTCACCTTTACCCAGAAGTTGTATTCCATAAAGATGGTATAGGCTTCCGTGTCCCATGGCTTCAAGGGATTCTCTAGCTGGAAATCGAATGCGCGTAGCAACTAAACCATGGGTTACTTAGGAATCACATGGGGAATGTGAACAGAAGGTCTTCTTACCTCGAAGCACACCTTGTTCAACTCCATTAGCGCCACTGGCTTTCCGGCACATATCCAGCGTCCGTAGCCGAACAGCAAATCAACAGTGCGCTCCATCTTAGCACGCTGCGTCCCATCGGCCTCCATGAATCGCTCTGGTCGGAAAACGTCCGGGTCGGGTCCAAATTCTTCGTATGAGCGCATCAACGACGGGGTGTTCATGCCAATAGCGGTACCTTCGGGAACAAACTTTCCATGGATTGTGTCGCCGCCTTTAGGGACGGACTTGGGAAACAACGAAGGGGCGGGCGGGCGCATGCGTAGTCCCTCAGTCAGGACAGCCTAGATATTGTTAGCTGGCCCCGGCTGTTGGAGAGATGCAGTGCTTCGCTCCCTTAAAAGCTCACCTGTAAGTAGGGAATCTTCTTGGCTTGCTCATATGTGATCGGGCTCGAAACTGTTCTATCGCGGACCGCGTCTGCGATTATCCTCTTGAGCTTTTGGTAGACGCGTGGAGTCGTCATAACGTATAGCATGATCACGCGAAGGGCCGACGCGGTTGTTTCGGAGCCCGCAACAACCATGAAAAGACCCTCAGATTCGCAGTCTTCACGGCTCAGACCATGTTTAATGAAGGAACCCTGCAAAGACCCGGCGAACATTTTTAGCAGCCATACCGAGTTACTAGAAATATTACTGGTTTACGTACAAGCATATCATTCTCCTCTTTAGCGCCGGAGTCGAATCGCTTGTTGACCTCATTTTGGGCCACCCTATGAAATCAAGTTAAAGTACGCGGAAAAGTAAGATGAGAGAGATACTCACCACATTAGCCTTCCAATGCCCTTCTTGTCTGTGGTTTTGGGACCAAAGAACTTCAGAACGATGGGCGAGTAAAAGAAGTTGCGAATCCAGGGAACGTTCACGCTCAATGATGCGAAAGGGAAGAATGCTCGAAGAGTCTCGAACCATTCATACAAGTCGGACTCGGTGTCGAGGTAGCCAAACGCTTTACCAAAGGCCGCCTGAGTGATAACGTCCAAGGTGAAATAGCTCATAAGAGGCGCAAGGTCCAGCGAACGAGAAAGTCCGGCTTTATCCACGCTTTGAACATATCTACTGCGGATGATGTCCATCAAGTGGTTCACCTGGAAATCAATACCACGCTCCAACTCAGGAAACTCCCTTCCGCTATAAGCACCGAATATCTTTGCTTTGGCTTTATCGTGCGCATGAGCATCAAGAATCAGAAACATGTTGTCGTGGTAGGCATTCAGACGAGCACCCAAATACCAAGTATCCTTGTGGTACGGGCTGCGAGCCGCGGACATCCTTCGCATGACTTCGGGGTCATCAGTGACAAGCTCGTTAGGGCCAGTCCGTACCAAATGACCATATTGCCGGCCGAGTTCGCGATGTACTTTGTAGTGCTCTCCGCCCCAAGCAAGTCGTCCAATCCACAGATATGACACTGAAGCCCAAAATGGACCTGGAAACTCGCGCAGGCGGTACCAAGAGATGAAACAAGACCCAATGTACCAAGCGAAGACAGCAAAAGCGACAGGGTAGATAAGTCCTATTCCTGCATCGGTGCTAGAGAGTGTCATCGTGGCAGAGGTAAAAATGGCCCATCAAACCAGCACAAGGTTGTGGACAGATAAAAAGAGAAGCTTCCTTTAAAACGAGAGCTTCCCCCACCCCGGAAAGGGGCCCCACTGAAGCATTTTGCCTCTTACGGGTCTTTTCATAAGTTGGGTTTGATCTGAGAAGAGATCAAATAGCGTCAGTGCCTGCTCCTAGTTGTCGCTTAGCCCCCACTCTGCCCGCTTCACGATCTACACAGTGGTTATACGAATGATATTTTTTTCTTAAAAACGAAAATACAGTTTGAGCTCAACACGCTCTCCGTTACTGTTCCTGTCTAACGATAACCCAACTCGACTTGTCTTCCTCGATATTATGGATTCTAGCGGTGTTCTGCTCAAGAAATATTGTCCGACCCATTCCGTACGGGGCCATGGCCAAGCATCCATTTAATCGCCCACGACTAGTTAGTTACTCCTTTCCTCCATGATCTTGTTACTAGGAGGCATATCTTGTGTATCCACCTTGCAATATGGTTAGCAGCATGGGGCTGCTGTGAAGCATGGTTAAAGAACTGTAGATAGAGTTTTTACTTAAGAAGGTATCTAAGGGATGGCAGAATCTAGATCTCATTCGTCAAATATTCCCGTATCTTTGTCGCCTATGAAATTAGCATTATCGCCCCTCAGTCGACGCCCCAGACAGAGAAATCTAATATTGAAGACCCTTTAGAGTAATGTTCATTTTCCTTATCCAGCAATCCCTGGATCAGATAACTACGTTAACATTATTGACTAAGCCAGCGTGCATCGGCCCCGGGGGGGGCCCGGGCTGAATCCTCTTGTATCTCTTCTTCACGAAGTAGCTATGTGTATGTTGGACACTTTGCAAGTGCGGGACAATGCCATTCCAATTACCCGACCGGTAGTTTTCCTATAGAGGCAATCCCTTTCTCAGAATTCGCCCTATGAGTCTATCATCCTTGGGCAGCAGACCATACAAGATTCCCAATACTAGTACTATTGTAGCGGAGCTCGATTTCGTATTGAAGGAATACATACTACCTCTCACACAATGCCAGATGCACACACTATTACGTTAAAAGGAGGGTAATCCTCATATTAAGGCTCCTATAGTAAAGGTGAAGTGATTTCGCAAGGATTTTGTCGCCAGCTTCACGTTGCAAATAGCTTGGTATTCCCTGCACTCTGGGTGCTCCAACGAGGTTAGTCCAGCCCAATCGTTATTTGCACCATTCTCTGTGTCTGATTCCTATACTTGTCTCTTAGATGCCGGAAGTATCGCTTTTCTCTGCCGGTGTGGCAGCATCGTCGCTGTTTCTCTTCGTGATTTTCTACCTTCGACCATTCAGTCCGCTCGACCCTCCCCAGCCAGTGAAGGGCAAAAGCGGTACAGTCCTTTTTGTCTCAACTGAGAATCATGGCCAGATTAATGTGCAACTGGCAGCTGTCCAAGCGCTCCTAGAGCGCTATCCCTCCCTTGATATTCACTTTGCCTCTGCTCAGCCTGTGGCAAAGCTACTTCACCGTATTTCATCATCGGTTCGCAAGACAAGCGCCTCATTCGGGAAAGTCACATTTCACGATCTCCCGGGCCTGTTACCTATGCAGGTCACCATGCAACGACAGTTCGGACCTGAAGTCATGAAGCATTTCCGACATGAGCCTGGGGCAAAGGGCTCCAAGCAGCTGAACAAAATAGCTCAGGCTTCCATGGCTCCATGGACGACTGAAGAATACGTTAGGATATACAACCAGATGACGAACCTAATTCACGAAGTTGATCCCGCTCTTGTTGTCCTGGACTTCGCATTCCGCCCGGCGATTGCCGCTACACACAAGAGCAATCGAGTACATACGTTCCTCACGCCAACATCGCTGATCGACATGCTTCCAATGGTTCAGCCTCAAGCTAGTATACTCTGGAAGTACCCAGTGTAAGCACTTGATACCACAACTATAGCGCTGTACAAGAGCCAGCATACTGATTACTTACAGGGTGGGCACCGATTTCCCATTCCCGCTCCCATGGAGGAAGGTCCCAGAGAACATCTACGTGGCTGTACGAGCGCTGCTTAGCTTTGCGTTTATGGCCGATCTGGCTGAAACAAAAAAGCAAATTGCACAGTGCGGAATCGACAATGCCTTTGGTCCACTGAACGGCACCCATACGTCGTGGATCATGCAGAACATGCTTCAAGCAGGTCCTACAGTCGACCCTATCCCCGATAATGTCGTCTGTGTCAACCCAATTGTGTTTGCTATGGTACCAGCCATTAAGCAAGATCCTGAACTCGTCAGCTGGACACGAAGAACACCCACTGTGTTAATCTGCCTCGGGAGTCTTTTTGAATATGATCTGCAACGCACGGAGATCATGGGGCAGGCGATCAAGGAGCTGTTGAAAAGGACCGATGTGCAAGTGTTGTGGAAGTTCGGACAAGAAAACCTCATGGATGATGCCAAAGCAGTTCTGCAGGAGTACATAGACCAGGGCCGCGTGCAAATATACAAGTGGCTCAGTGCAAACCCGGTATCTTTACTGGAAACAGGCCATATTGTAGCCTCTGTGCACCATGGAGGAGCCAACAGCTACAACGAAGCTCTATCGTGAGTCCTCAACTGCTCAGTTTGTTAATGATCACTTTTAAACCTGCGGACGCTGACTTTTCCTCGCAGGGCTGGTGTCCCACAGGTCATCGTTCCAATGTGGACTGATCTGTTCAATCACGCTCAGCGGGTGGAGGACATCGGGGTCGGTATTTATGCTACCCGAGGCACTGCCCCTGAATGGACAGTGAACGGACTGAGCAATGCTTTCCTGAAGGCATTGGATGGGGAGAGACGAGCGTAAGTATTCGCGCAAAAGCCAAATATCTAGGTGATGTTGCTAGAAAGAACCCAGGAAGATATGCTGCGGCAAGGGAGATAGCAATGCTTGCACGATCTGAAGAAAAGGTTACCTCATGATGAAAGACTACTTATGAAGGTCGTAATGGGGATTTTTGAAGGGCTGCATGCTTACTATGGAGAACCACACGTGGAATAGAATGACTATAACGATCACACGAGCTCTATTATGCTTTAATTGTCTCTCGTATCGTCAAACTGATCGCGTGACATAAGGTAAACTCTTGGCCAAAAAGGCATTTTAATCTTGCTTTGAAGAGATTTCAAAGAGCCTACGAGGAATTACACGAAGCTCACAGGCTCTCAGAAAAGATAGTCATTTATGATGTAGAACTTTTGTTCATGTGTCGGAATCTGAGCTTGCATCTCGTCCATATGACAGAATCATAATGAACCCAATGACAGAACATTTGATTCTGTATACCACAGGCTAGAGCTTTTGCATAGTGACCTACGATGGATGTCAGTATTCATTCAGAAGTTGAAACAGTGTTCGTCTGCGACGCGGAAGACCTACCACATCCGAAGACTGGACATAATCCTCGAAACCTTCAATCTCCTCTTGCAACTCGACAGTCGAGACTTTGTCATCCTCGACGACAAGATTAATCTGGAGTTTTTTGATGCCAAACCCGACGGGGATCAGCTTCGAAGTGCCCCAAACTAGGCCATCTTTTTCAATACCCCGAACGGCGGCTTCCAGAGCAACCATATCGGTCTCGTCATCTGAAAAAGCAAAATCAATGAATGAACAGGCATTTGGAAAACAAATTGAGAACATACCCCAGGGCTTCACCTCCAGAATTACTACAGACTTGGCGACTGGCTTCTGCTTGGTTGCTTTCTTCGCCTTGTAGGCAGCTAGGCGCTCCTCGTGGACTCGAGCAGCCTCGGGATCCTCTTCCTCGTCACTTCCAAACAGATCTTCCTCGTCATTATCCGCTGCAGCCGGGGCCGGAGCAGCACTTTCTTCCGGTCCATAGCTACTGAAGGCCTTGGATGCGTCGCCGGGAAGGGAAGCGAATTCATCTTCATATGATGCAATATGCTTGTACCATCGAGCCGCGTGGGGGTATTTCGAGGAGTCGGGAGCAGACTTCACGGCCTTGAAACAGACTACATCGGCCTGAGATGGAGTATGACTTGTACGCGAGTCAGCTTTTCGAAAATGGACCCTCTGGGAACAGGGGCAGGGATTTGCCTTCACTCACGAGACAATGTAAGACCGGGTAGTCAGCCAGTTGTTGAGGGCTGGGTTGCTCATTCGCTTAGAGATCGTTCATGGCTAATCGTGGTGTATACATACCGGTGACTCCAACGTCACTAACCAAGTCTGTGAAGCCCATTTTCGCTTTTTGTAAGATCAAGTCTAGAAGAGCATCTGCCGAGCTGAAGACGCGAGTAAGAGGAAAAGAGAATCTTTGGCGGGGTGATGGAGGGGCTTGTCGTTAGGCCTTCGATTGCAGATCACCTTATCTTACTGGCCCCTTATCGAGCCAATAATTTCGGATTTTGCCAAAGATGGTTGCAGGAAGCTCGTACGAAGGTCGATTTCGAAGGGCTGCAGGTTTGCTTGTTCCAAATACAATACCAAATAACGTTTTGGCCTGAAGGGGTTAGCCTTGAAATTATGACACCATCGTCCGCGTAGTAGTTAACTAAGTGGATGATCTTGGCTCCCAGGTGGGCCAGCGTCGATTGCTTCATTTGGTAGGCGGCCTGCAGCCCATTTCGGCCTAGTTTGTCAAGCCCCTGCACTCTTTTGGCCCCTAAAAACTCAGTCCCATTTACGTGGAAATTACTCCAGATCGCAAATGATCTTCAGTTCAGCCAAAAGCTTAGCCCCTTGGAGCCCAACTTGGCCCCCGCCAGGTGGAACGCTATTCAGCTTCAAGGCCGGACGATTGAAGGGCATTCCTATCCAACCAGACGCCCTACCAATGGTTCAAAGTGACATATTAAGTCAGTAATTGTGTGAATTCAAAAGTCTTTCCTTCATTACTTGAAAAGCTAGTTTGTTACATGTACATATGGGCCGAAGGTGGCGAATGGAGCTATTGGTCGGCAAGGGGGCCGCGTATTTCATGTACGCCACTCTAGCCGTTCTAAGCACAGCTCACAGTGCAAAAAATAAACTGACATTATTCCATGAATATTTACTCCACCATGAAAAAACAACAGCTTAATGGCAATGCCGTACAACCTATGATTGTCGCAAAAATGATAAACCAGGTAGCAACAGCTACATTATCGAAGACCCGATAGCTAGCATCCCATTATTATATTCTTTATCTTGCAGCAGATTATTAGACGGACCCGTTGTCCTCAACGATATTTCCATCGTCTTGGACAGAAATCTTGTCCACTTGGAGCGAGGCTTTGACAGGATTTGGCTGCTTGTAAACCATTTCGAGCTGTTCTAAAGTGCGACCCTGGGCTTCGACACTAAGAAAATCGAAGTTAGCATGGCTTTTCGGCACCTTCGGTTACCGATTGTGAAGATGCTCACCCAAAGAAATACCACATGCCTGATTCAAGCACATCCCAGCCCACAAAGATATAGATATACTTATATCCCATATTCCCCAAAGCGATCGGCCCGGCAAATTGGTTGATAAAGCCCAATCCACCGACGAGAAAATTGTAAACAGCCATCCCTTGGCCCTTTGCGTCGTCTCGAGGGCCTCGGTAGGGACAATGCTTTGCAAAGGAGTATAAGTCAGGGAGAAAACGAACGTGAAGAGGAAATATGCTGCAAGAGCTCCCCTAGCATAGGATTTTTGGATATGGCTTCCTTGACTTTCTAATGCTGCAGAAAGACCAGAGTTGATAGCGAGCATTACGGCACATCCTAAAACATTGATGAGTTCTTCCCACGGTAAGACAGCGCGAGGTTTTCATCTCACCAAATGATCCAGTCACAAGAATCTTTCTCCGGGGAATGCGATCAACGAGACAAAGCGCGACCGCAGTTGCGATTGCCCCAATGGCAGAATTCAAGATATTGTAGGCCAGTTGCTCTGACACGCTCGCGATGCCTAAGTTAGCAAAAATGACAGTATTGTAGTAGCCGAGCCCGTTGCCAGAGAAGTTGCCAAAAACAGCCATCATGACTACCTGCGCCGTTCGCCATCGTCCGCTGTGAGTGAAAAGGAACGGTCGATCTGTGGTAATTAATGAAGGTAAAAACGGGGGATACCCAACGCCAGAACCTACAGTCACAGAAACTCTTATCGATTCCATCCTGTCGAATGCCTTCCTTCATCTCTTCGATCTCGAGGCGAACGAGCGAAGAATCCGAACGGCCGCAGCCGTGGTATTTGACGAGGAACTTTTCCGCTTCTTCCTCTCGTCCGTTGGCCACTTCGAGGACAAAATTAGTTCTCTTTGGAATGAAGAGAACTTTACGTCAACTTACTGAGATACCGGGGTGATTCTGGGAGGAAAAGAACCGATAAAATGACAATAACGGAGCCGAGGGCTTGGAAGATTACAGGAATCTTCCATGAGTAGTCAGAATCGAGCTGGCTGCATGCACTGCAATATCGGCGTAAGTGGAATTTGAAGAATACATCAGGAGACCACCCCCAGGCACTCACAATGTAACTGCTGCAGCGGGAATGGAACCGCCAAACCATCCCATGTTAAACATTCCTGTCTTTACGCCGAGTCAGCGGCATAGCAAGCGCGTTTGGAGTAGGCTCTTACACAGAGACCTCGCCCTTTTTGTAAAAAATAGTTTCAGCTTGTTTGTATCTAGGATTCCATTTCATTACGTTACTCACAGTGTGGAAAGGCGATTTCGAGACAATAGGTGGGCGCGGCTACACTCATGAACGCAGTCCCGACACCAATCACTGCTCGGCCAACAACAAATTGTGGTGTCGTGGAAGCAGTGGCAGCGATAATCATGCCGATGATTATCACAATACCTCCACAGAACATGCCTTTGAGACGGCCGAATTTATCAGACACGATGGCCGCGAATGGTGCGCCAATCATAGAACCACTATCTCCCTTCACCTGTTAGGCATCATCCGATTTAACCCTTTGGAATCGAGGATATTCTTACACCGTGTAGAAGGAATAGATAATTGAGACACTTGTGCCGGTAGTCCCTGTGTGGAAGGTATCTTGGAATTGTTCGATGGCAATAACTCCAGTCATTAGGGACCCTATTCCATGAATCGACTTAGCTTAGGATCACATTAGAAATAAATTGATACTAACCATCGTAGCCAATAGCGCAGGCGCAAGCAAATGCAGTAAACATGGCATCTATGCCATATCAGTTGGATTTGCTTTTGAAACGTAAATTTCTCGGATGCGTACAATGTAGTGTGAGCGATTCTTTGCTCCACGGATTTATCTTCAGCTCACGTGTCGCAGCATATAGCTCGGCCTAACATGGATGTATCCATTAGTATATTCACTTGGTAGGTGGGACTGCAAAGGAACAGTCTCACATTATGGACGCGTTTTGTATGGCGAGATTCGATCTTGGTACCGATGCCGACGCCAGCTTCGGATTTCACCTCGCTATGTGGTTCCTTCTTCATCTCCTCATCCATGGTGAGCTGTGTACTGTAAACGCACAGTTACGTGGTATACTTGTCTGGAATATGCAAGCGCAAACAACCAAACCTGGCAGACAGCTTAAGGACTAAAGGTTATATCCCAGTCTTAATAACTACCGATCTCATCCTTCTAGAGCTAAGCTGATAGAACAAGGAGCAGGCTTTCCAGGCTCCACAGCGGATGGCGGTGATCTTCGACCTTCCAGATATTTTCCCCGAAAGGAGCACCATTAACGATCTCTAAACCATTCCCACTCTTGACTTCAGACGGAAACGTGATGAGTGATCCTCTTACCGCCGGGGGTTCTAGTAGGAAAGGTCAATGTGGGGACACGTCACCCATGCACATACAGTCCATCCATCACAACTACCCCGCTTCCTTCTTGACTTCCTAACACGTCCGCGTGGGATTCCCACCTCTTTAGGAACGACTTTCATTATGCTACTTTTGGCAAATTGGCATATCTAGCTTTTTCTCCATTTGTCTAACTGCTCTGTCGAATGGGGCAGCGATTCTCTCTAGATCGAGACCGTGTTGTAAGGGGCGATATCTGGCGGATTGCCCGATAGGGAAATATTAGGAGTCACAGTAAAATCACTTTCATTCTTTCTTTTGAACCCGGTGTCTCTAACCTATCAAGGTAATAGCTATAACTTCCAAGGCAATTAAACGTACGTCTTGTTGAGTAATGGTTTGTTAGATGGACATAAGTTCATACACCAATATACTATCTCGACGAGCGACAGAGCTGCGGCACAGCGAAAAAGTCTTCGTTGAAGCAATCCCGATAATCCATGATGTTTACAGACATCATATTTCCCCTCAATCGGCTTGAAAGTGCTGAGGTGGTCATCGCCACCTTGGCGGGCTTGGTGTTCTATCATTCTCTGAAAACCATATATCGCCTCTGGTTTCACCCATTATCCAAATTCCCCGGTCCAAAACTTGCGGCTGCGACTAGCGTATACGAATTCTACTACAGTGTTATCCAAGATGGCATGTTTCCATGGAAAATCAAGGAGATGCATGAGATCTATGGTAAGTTCACTCACGGGCTCGGAGTTGATCGCCGTTAACACAATCCACGCAGGACCCGTTGTTCGCATCACCCCACATGAGCTTCACTTCAGTGATCCAGACTTCTACAACGAAATTTATACGGGGCAAATGAAACCCAGAGATAAATTTGTCCCCTTTTACCAATTTACCGGAGCAGTCACGTCGGCCTTCGAGACCCATGATGCCAAGCTGCACAATTCTCGTCGTCAGCCTCTGATGAATGTGTTCGCCAAGAAGGAGGTAACGAAGATGGAGCCGCTTATCATGAGCAAAATCAAAATCCTGGCACAAAGATTTGAGAGAGCTATCAAGGAGCAGACTCCGATTCAGCTAGACTCAGCATTTGCCGCTCTCACGTCGGATATCATTTCCGAGTATGGATACGGAAGATGTCTCGAATACTTGCATGATGATGCCTTCAAGAGTGATATCAGAGAGAGTCTGCTTGCCAGTCTCTCTCTATTTCACATCATCAGATTCGTTCCGGCTATCATGATGCTTGCAAAGGTTCTACCGTACAAACTTGTCAAGCTGCTGAACCCTCAGCTGAGTAAAGTCCTGGCTCTCCGGCGCTTGATCCTCGAGATGACAGTGGGAGAGCTGGATAAATTGGAGAAAAACATTCCCAGTGACGCGAGGTTGGTGAAATCACTTACTGCACCAAGCATTCCAGATTCAGAGAAGACATTGGAGAGACTAGGGGACGAGGGGTTTGTTATCCTGAATGCCGGCGTGACATCAGGAAAGATCCTTGCGTTTACAGCATTCCATTTGCTCAACAATGATAATGCGGTTTCCAAGAAGCTTTACGATGAGCTGAAAGAAGCTTTTCCGGATCCCAAGGCTATAGAGAACGTTTCTCTAAGAGACCTCGAATCACTACCATATTTGGTCAGTGTTCTCGCTAGAGATTCACATTTCATATTGTGGAAGCTAAGAATGGAACAGAAAGGAGTCGTGTGGGAAGGTCTTCGCCTCGCACTTGGTCCTCTGACCAGACTTCCGCGAACCGCGCCCGCTGCTAGCCCACTGGTCTATAAAGATAAAATGATTCCACCCGGCGTATGTACCACGCTCATAACCCAGAGCCTGGCAAACCTTGGCTAACGGCAATCACCCCCAGACCGGTATCAGTACCAGCAATTACTTTCTTCATATGAACCCAGAGCTGTTTCCCAATCCAACTGAGTTCCGACCAGAAAGATGGTCCGAAAATCCAGAGAAGGCGCAGACTCTTCAGAATTATATCGTTACTTTTGGCAAAGGAACTAGGCATTGTCTTGGTAAAGCGTACGTCCCTTTGGATTCCGATGAGAGATTCTATTATCTTGTTATTGCTCCGCAGCTAACCCTTCGCTTCCTGCTCTTCCAGATTGGCTCATACTGAGCTATACATGACTATGGCTGTGCTAACGAGGTCCTTTGGGATGGAGTTGTATGAGACAAGTGAGAAGGACGTTGAAGTAGCCAGGGATCGCCTATTTGGCTACCCGATGCAGCCTTCAAAAGGAGTTCGCATTCTTCCTAAGGCCGTGAGAGCCTGATGACAGGCCTTTTGGCTCATAGCAGGCTTCGTCAATCATTCATACGATTTGGTACCTTCTCATCAAGTGATTTCTCGGGATGTTTGCTAGATAGACTTTGAGAGCTGAAAATGAATGACGGTTCATTGAACGAAGAGAAGAAGAGAACCGACGATATACTCGGCTCAACTGAAGTAATTCCAGGTCCCGGTATCTCTCTACAGCAGCCAAAAAAAACAGGTTGGCGTCCCAAAAGGTTGTATTGTCTACTACTCAATTACTTGAATAGTATAATTGGATTGCCTGGGCCGTAACCTCCATGATAGTCCGCGAGGAGGTCTCCGGCCTCGGCCGTAGAAAGGAGGATCCAAGGATGAGGACACCTCATCTTCCATGGGGGCTGGAATACATATGCACGAGAGCTTTCCTACACTCTATACTCAGGATGTAGGCTGCGGCTGAGGTTAGCGGGCCCGTTCCCGCCCAACACCAAAACACGCTAATTTAGCGCCTGTATGAGCGCAACTAGCGCAGTTGAAAATTACTTCGTTGGGAAATATTTAGAGTTATGACTCCACCAGGCAGTCATGCAGCCCAGTGGGTCTGTCCAGGCCTAACAAGGGCCATCATCAACCAATCTCTCAGACCAGCAGGATCCTGAAGCGCTAACGATCTGCAGATCTCCCGATCTGGGCTGAGCCCTATATGCAGTGCTTCAAAATTTCCCTATACGGTAATTCTGGGAAGGATGCATACCGTGAATGGCCTGGGCTCTGTCGACTGTGGGAGAGGCTTGGGGATACGTACTCACAAAGTATGGAAACGGCAAAGAGGAATTTGAAGTCGATGTGCGACTACCGATGATGGAAGTATCGTGAGTGGAGGATGGGTCCAATCTTCCGGCATTGGGGAAATCCTGTGTCTACAGACAACATCATCTCAGATTCTCAGTGATCCTCGATAGCTCGATCACCCAGATTGTTGATTAAATCTGAGTCTCAAGGGCTTCATGCTGCCACCAAAATGGGTAACAAGAAAAGCAACGAGTCTAAAGCTTTGGAGACCACTAGTCTCGTCCAATCTCAATCAAAATCAGCACAAAAGAAAGCTTCACATGCATCGAATACTCCCCAAGTCAAGAAAGGCGATGGCGGCAGCAACGTGGTGGTGAACTTCCTCTGCATTGCAATGTTCTTCGGAGCTTGCGCCCATGGATTCTTTATCATCCCAACCACTTCAGTCGTGGAAGATATACTTTGTCGGCAGTACTACAGAGAAGAAGTCAACACTGGCACTTGGCTCAGTGTGGACTCCAGTGACCTGAAATGTAAAGAAAACTCCATCCAATCGAATCTGGCCTTAATTCTTGCTGTCCGCGATTCCCTTCAAGCTGGAGTGGGAGTATTCGCCTCCCTGCCATGGGGTATTGCTGCAGATCGGTATGTATTGAACCAACGAACGAAAATGGGGATGGACCAGCTGATGTGGACGCGCTCTACTCAGACTGGGCCGAAAGTCAGTGATAGCCCTTGGACTCGCCGGGCTAGCCTTATCACAGCTATGGTTCATGCTTGTAGCATGGTTCCCCGGATACTTTCCAGTGGAATCTCTGTGGCTCGGCTCAGCGTTCTTGCTTTTGGGTGGTGGAGACGCAGTTTTGGGTGCCATCTGTTTTAGTATGATCGCAGATGTGACCACTGAGTCAACTAGGTGAGTCCTTCGTTTCTCCGATGTCAATTAGCCTAGACTTCCTGACGGATTCATAGAGCGGCGGCGTTTATGCGTCTCATCATAGCTTCCCACACAGCCAGTTTTGTTGCACCTGCATTGGCTTCTGTCATGATGGAGATCAGGGGACCTTGGCTGTGTTTAGTAGCTTCCTGTTCTATTTTGACGTTCCTGGGGATTGCTACTGTTCTGTTCCTTCCAGAAGCTGGTGGTCCCAAGGGGAAACACGCCCCAGCCGCTAAGACTGGCACCGGATTCAGATCTGCGGTCGAAACTGGTATGAAAGAGCTCTGGGCGTCCACCCATCTCTACTCCGTCGCCCTGTTACTACTCACCTTCATTGGCACTGTTCCAGGGGTTCATTCAACAGGAAGCTTCATGACCCAGTTTGCATCCAAGCGATATGAAATCAAGCTCTCTCAGGCCGGCTACATCCAATCTATCTATAGCTGTGCAACAGTCACGGTATGCCTTGCCATCCTGCCATCGGTTTCAAAGCTCGTTATGAGATCGGAGGTGCCACAATTCCTCCGACCGTCGAGTGAAAGTCGACGGGATCTACTACTAGCTCAATGGTCCTTCGCTTGTTTGACGGTCGGGTCCCTTGTCTGCGCGATTTCTGCAGTTCTTCCTACTTTCATGCTTGGACTACTCATTTCGGCTCTGGGAACAGGAAACAGCAGCCTTGTTCGCAGTTTATGTAGCCTCTATGTGAGCACTGACCTGAGGTCCTCGCTTTACACATTCATGGGGATAGTCGAGTTTTTGGTCGCCTTTGTGTCTCATCCCTCATTGGCCTTTCTTTTCTCGAAGGGTATGCACCTTGGGGATGGATGGGTTGGTCTGCCATATTTTGGAGTTGCTGTCGTTTGCTTCCTGGCGTGGGTTATGTTGAACTTTGTCAAACCGCCTCCCGCAAAGCCAAAATAGCTAGCTAAATAGAAGTACCAGTGCTATGAGACATACTTGAAAAGATGTACCATGATATAATCTATGTTTTGAGCGATAAGAGCCAGTAAGGGCAATTCATTTCATCTGAGCAGAAAATGAGCATGCATGGGTCTAGATAAGAGACATTCTCTCGGGTAGAAAAAATCAACGTGAAGACAGAAGTGACATAATAGGCTGTATCAGAACTCTTTCCCCCTTTTCAGAACAGTCAAATCAACGCGCGGTCCATATAGCACTAGCAGTGTGGCGACGAGAGCACTACTGATGGCAACCAGAATCATTTGCTCCAATCTGTAGCCTACCGGCGGGCGCAGGTTCCTAGCAGGTGCATGGGGACCTTCCATCTTTTGTAGTGGTTTGATTCCCTTCTTTTCACTGGTATCTATAGCTATTAGAGTACCGGGGAGACCATCCATACTGTATGAATTCTTTTCTGCCCAGTATCTGTGGCGAAAGTGTCAGAAGCTTGCAATGACAAGATATAAATGAACACGTAGTAGATCCTGACCTTGTAATATCCTCCTTTTCATCCCCTGCGAGGTATTTCTGTTCTTTCTTCGCGAATTGGTCATTCAGAACAGTTCTATGCTCCTTGAATTCATATTTCGGCACCGAGTATCCGCATGCAAATCCCACCTGGTGTATATCCACCAGAATGATCGTTCTAGAACCCGGGATCGTGTCGATACTATACTGGTCGACGAATTTCTTAAACGCCGAGGTCCCGTATTCCAGAACTTTCCCATATCCATACAACCTCATGATCCTCGGAGCCCCCTCAAATGCGTTAAACTGGACGGTGATACGGCCATTTTCGTACAGGTGGCTGACAGTCTCGCTACCTGAGCCTGTGAGGTCAAGGTACCAGAACTGGCGGTTGTCGGCAGTCAATCCAAAGTAACGGTCGGGGCCTCCTTTGGGTGAGATGTTGATGTGTCCCGTCGGGGACAAAGGCGCCGTAGCTACCCAGAAGACTTTCTGGTTCAAAAGCCATTGGACTGTAGATTCTGGAATTTTTGCAAAGTAGCCGCCCATCTTGCATGTCTGTCGTTGGGCAGTCGGTCCACGGGCCCGAGTACTCTCGAAGACACTGGACACTCGAACAGAATCCGCTCAGCTCAGGTGGAGTATTGAAGATACCGAACATAGCTTTCCAGGTTCGACTATTTAGGTCATTTCTTGTCAGCATAATCCTCTGGGCCTGATAGCAACTCACTGCACCAGGACTGTGGAGAAAAGGGGGCCGGACCAAATTCCCCAACGCAGTAATTCGTCTTCTTCCTGAGTCGGTTACCGCCAAGTGCACAGCTTGTATAAACTGCTATAACTCAGGCTGTGCTCTCCAATGGGAAGTCAGAGGAATAACCTTTGATATTTGCAAACAATGGCACGTCTTCGCGAGGGGCTTTTTCTGCTCCTATCCAATGTTCTGTTGATCGCAGCGACTGGATTATTCATCTCGGGTCTCCTTCGACCAAAGATAGCTCCACCAGTGACTGAACAGTCATGGCTAAACAAAGTAGAGAAGACACCTTCGGCGCCTTTTGATCGCGTGATTTTCTTGCTTGTGGATGCCCTGCGAAGGTACCGTAACTCTGTATTCCAGATCGCCACGTACGCAAATACTGATCGTTCACTGTAGTGACTTCGTGTTTGCCAATAATTCTGGATTTCCTTTCACGCAGGAGTGAGCGTCTTTGCTAGATATCAAGATGGATTTTTGCTGACTTTTTTGCAGACTGATTCGTGCTGGGGCAGCTATGCCTTTTACAGCTTTGGCAGCTCCTCCAACACTAACCATGCCTCGCGTAAAAGCAGTGACATCTGGCGCGAGCCCTTGCTTCCTTGACATGTTTGCAAACATCAAAGATTCCATGAACAGGACGGAGGGAAACCCCACTTGGCTTCATACGTTGAAGGACACATATGCAGACAAGAAGCTCTCGTACGCTGGGACTCGGACTTGGACGGATCTTTATCCAGATGTTTTCGCACGATCCCATCCAACCGACGCGAATTTTGTTCCTGTAAGCGATTTTTCCTAAATTGATTGTGAAGTAATTCTGACGCGTATTTCAGGACTACACCTCCGTTGACGAAGTGGTTAAGAACCATGTCGACTTCGAATTAGCCAATGATGACTGGAGCGCCCTGATTCTGCACATGGCCGGTGTTGATCATATTGGACATATTGGAGGCCCGGACAGGTAATTTTCCCTCTCTTTTCAGCATTAAAAATTGATTCTTACTATCTGACAACAGTGCCTATATGGGCCCCAAGTTTCATGAAATTGACTCTTTGACTCGGAAGATCTTCGAGTCTATTCAGACCAAGCCCTATTTGAAGAATACCCTCTTTATTCTGCTCGGAGACCACGGCATGGACAACCGGGGTAATCATGGAGGGTCTCTGGAGAGCGAGATGTCCGCCGCTCTAGTTTTCATGTCGCCTTTGTTTCAACGTATCTCACCGGGTCAGACTTCCCCTGCTGACCCCAATGCAGGAGAGTACGGATATCACACAGTGATTGATCAGTCAAATATAGTTCCAACAGTGGCCAGTCTTCTAGGAATTCCAATTCCAAGACTCAACTTGGGCGTTGTGATCCCCGAGCTTCTGCCCCTGTGGAAGGATCCAAAGGAGCACATTACCTTACTGCGCAACAATGCAGTGCAGATGATGCGACTATATGTGGACTGGCTTCCCTCTCCACCAGCAGTCAGTGACGAAGTCTTCGGTCTCTGGAAGAAGGCAGAAACTCTAGGTTCAGGAGCTGACGAAGCGTTGTCTGTGCTATTGAAGGTAGATACTCCGTCCTAAGGCAAATCTTCTTCAGCTAACAAGCCTCAAGTTCTGCACCAAGGCACAGTACGTTATGAGCGTGCCTAGCGGAGATATCAGCTTTCCACTTATTTTCTACGGATTGGCAGCTGGGGTGGGAACCATTCTGAGCGCCCTCCTGGCACATCGAATGATCCCCTTCTCCTTTAATGACAGTGGATGGGAGAACATGGCCATTGTCGCTTCGTATGCATGTACGATGTTCTATGTCGGCTTGATCGAATATGAGCACCTGTTTTGGTACTATGCGTCTCTTCTATCGATGGCTCACATCGGTTACAGAAAGTTCGTCCTTGCCATTGAACCCACAAATGATGGCTCGGGAGCCAAGCTAATATCTTTGATAGCTTCCGTAACAATCAAGGATTCTTCGCATCTTGGGGCCCACTCTTCCTCCAGTTCATTTCTCAGTCCTGGAATCAAGCTGGTGAAAACCCCGCGCGCCTTGCCGTCTTCATTCAGAAATACCTCGGAGAAAACACAGGTGCCTTATGGCTGCTGACTAGTGCGACTTATGCTGTTAGCGGATATAATCTGTCTGCCCGTCTCAACCAGTCCAAAGGTTTGATTGATTGGACATCTTCTATATTGTCGCACGGCTTGGGTTTAACCGCTTTGTTATTTAAATTCCACTCTACTCTGGTAATCACACCGGAGGCTGCGTCATTTGCACCACAGTGGCTATTGTCCACCTCTGCTCGTGTCAATATAATCTTTCTATACAGAATCCTCTCCATCAGCATCATAATGAAAATGGCCTACGTTTTGCTGCCGCTGAGAAAGGGCACTATTAGAAAAGGTATGAGTGAAACGGTCCAGATGTTCTACAGTCCCCATACTGACTCCTTCTCAGATAATCTTGCTGCCATGATGGAGCTTGTCGGATTATACCTCATGACCCAGTCTCGTGCACACAACATCCCTCTGTTTCTCATTTTTAGATCGCAGCTCCAGCTCCTCGGTTAGTGCACTCTCATCTCTACGCTCTTTTGGCCATCTACTTACATAACGCAGAGTCTCTGCCGGAAAACCGGGTTTCCGTTATTCTGCTATTCGCGGAGAGCGCCTACTCTGCCTTTGGATTCACAAATTCAGTCGCTGCCTTGGACATTCCATTGGGGTTCAATGGTGTGACAACTTGGGTATCCAGTACAATCCAATTAATCCAATGGCAGATCTTCATTACCATGTGGGCTGGGTCCGCTTGGTGGATTTGTGCCGGTCTTGGGCTACTTGCTCAGCCAAAGTCGGGCAAGGCTTCCCAAAATGGGAACGCTCATGGGCCAAGCACTGCCTCGGGCAAACAGAAGCCGGATGGGCATATCAACGGGAGTGCTAAGTCGTCTGAAACTCCGAAGGAAGTTCTATCACACTCCGAGGGTGTTTGGACAACTTACCTAGCGCATATCACTCTCTTCCAAGCTGTGAGTGTGATTCGATTGATTGGTGCCAGTATTTGGTACCGTGACGACCCACAACTGTGGACCGTGATCCTACATGCTTCAGCGCTCATCGCAATGAAGCTTGTCATCCATACCACTGTTAACTGCTTATTCAGTGGATTGATGTGGGCAAGTGCGTGAACATGGACCAGATGTGTTTCGGGAAGCCCTTGGGGAAGGATGTAGACCCACTAGTTTTATAGACCCTGATGCGTGCTGACTTTTGGTTTTGTTGCAAAGGCTCCTCACGCTTGGAATGGAAGCATTCCATGGATGAATTCTTAAGATAGAGCTGGATAATAACTAGATGAAACAGATATCGGAACCACCTTTCACATATCTAAACCACTTGCAAATGCGGATAGTGAATAGTTCTCCATCTCATGAGTACAATTCTTCGGAAACAACCGGCAAGTTGTTGCCATTCATTGCCTTGGCTACTATAAGTTATTAGTTAATTAGTGTGCGGGGGGGTTTACAATATAATGGCTCTATATTAACAAATAAGCTGGCTCAGTTAGGTTCAATGTTTTCCATTTTCGTTTGCATGTAATATAACACATTAGACCTAGCGCATTAGACTTAGCACTGAGAAGGCTGTAACAGGCCCTCAGGGTCTGTTCAAGCAATGACAGCAGAGTCCGACAGGACGCTTGTTGCAACTGAGAGCATGACCCTGTCAGTACGAGGATGAGGTCTCAACCTGATCTCCACTCCTTCTATGCCGTCTGTTTCTCCCTGTTCTTCTGCTTGTCCTTCTTCGGGCGCGGCGGGTGACTTCGCCGGTTTCTTCAAAATGCTCTTCCACTCCATTGTCACAGTACCCAAAATAGTCAGACATGCCAATGCCAACATACAGTAAAATACGGAGCGCAAAGCTTCATTATAACCAGTCAGAGCCTGGGGCCTAGAGTTCACAGGAAGCACGTCGATGAGAGTCGTGGCACCGCTCGATGTGGCCATACCCTTGGTGAATCCAGGCACCCGCGTCAGATGGCTAATCAGTTGGCTGTAGAAAATGTTTTCCCCTGCTGAAGCAAAGACAGTGGACCCGAGTAGTTGAACGAATATCACTAGTGAAGACCCAAGAGGGACATCCTTGGTCGGTAACACAGCTTGGACTGCAAGGTTCGGCGCTGAAGAACACAAACCCTGACCGAAACCGAGAAGAATCTGGTATCCGATCCAGTTGGGCTCTTTCATACTAACATACACCGTAGTGAGCAGGCCCGCGCCAATCGATGTCAAGCAAGAGCCAAAGATGGCGAACGGCGTGTAGTATCCAATCTTTTGCACAAGAAATCCAAAAAGAATCGACGCGACAATTGCAGCGATAATTGTGGGCAACATTCGAACTCCAGAGGTGATGGCTGTATCGCTGTTGATGGTCTGAAACCACATTGGAATATAAGTAGCTGCAGCGAGGTTAGTTGCTGGTCAATAATATTCCGAAATCATATCACTCACCGATAACGGTCTGCGTTCCACCATAAAATATGGCTGTCCAGCAGCTAGAGATAACGCTCCGTTGCTTTAAGATCCTGGGGGCGATAGTGGCAGTCTTAGGGGTCAAGGCTTGGATCGCAATGAATGCACACAGGAATACTCCCGTGAGAACGAACAAGACAATTATAACCGCGGAGGACCACTAGTAACATACGTTAGAATCATTCTGCAAACCACCGCATGGAAGGATATAAACCTTACCGCCATTGTCTGTCCGCCCCAGGCAAGCGCTAACAGCAGACATATAACCCAGGCCATCATGACGGGGGTACCCAAAAGATCCAAGCTCATGATCTTTTCTTTCCAATGGAGTTTGGTCTCTTCACGGTCAGGCATCTTCATGCAGAAGAACATTACGATCACAACTGTGCCACCGAGGGGCAAGTTGATATAGAAGCACCATCTCCAAGAGACCTTAGATGTAAGGGAGCCTCCAATCAAGGGCCCAGCAATACTCGCAATACTGACAATTGCCATGGAAAGGCTTTGCAGAATCGGACGTTTCTCCAAGGGGATTGTATACATAATGCAGACCACCTAGGAATTCTGATTAGCCCACGAACTGCAAGCGGGGCCTTCACATACACATCCTGCGTAAATCCCTGACGCACCGAGGCCAGCTATCGCTCGACCGATAATCAAGGCAATGGAACTTGCGGCTGACCCGGACACAGCAGATCCGACTTCGAGGAGAAGCACACTAATCAGATAGACTGTTTTGACTGAGTAAAAGGTATAGAATTTTCCAACCAGAAGTTGGGATGCACAACAAGTCAACGTAAAGGCACTGGAGTACCATCCGACGTCGTTAGTAGAGTTGAATTCATCGGTAATTTTGGGGATGGCCTATATTACTTGTCAGACACATTGTCTGGTGAAAACTCCCATAGGGGGAAGAGAAAAGGCCCCAGCAAAAAGCCGCTGAGACAACTTACCGTTGAGAGGATATTCCTGTCTAGTCCGACCAAGAATGAACTCGCAAATACAGAGGATAATAAGAGAATGATTCTCGTTCCAGAACTTTTTCGATAAGTTTCTTCAATTGCGGTGTTGCCATCATCAGGTGGGCTCATGTCATCCGGAGAGTTTGATTTGCTGGTTTCAACCATATGGTGGGAATTTGTCTTGTCGTCCGGCTCAACGTAGCTCATTCTAACCCTTGAGTCAACCCTCTCATTCTCAGTATCTTCAGAAACTGCGGTTCTGGAGGTTCTCGAGGTGGTTCTCGAGGTGGTACGACTCAGGCCATCCATGGTAAAAGGTACAGGCGAAACTCTAGGAGTAAGAATGCTACCCAAGTGGTTGCTTTGCGCTTCCACATCGCTCTCTGCTATTTTTTGTGCCATGCTGCGTAAATACAGAGGTTTCTGGAACTGCTATAGAAGGCGGAAATCAGTCTGTGTCATCTGAAATACATTCCAATGGGACTCATTTTGTGACTGTCAGCTTGAGCTATGGCCATCTACTCCCATTGGGGCTGGATAAATCGGTTGGGCCAATTTCCGATCCAGATATGTTTAGTGGACGAGAGTCAGGCGAACGTTCCGGATCTAACAGGGGGCTGGATGATGCTAAGGCTGGTGCTTGCATGGCTTCGCAAAAGCTGAGGGGACGGATAATAATAGCAGTTCACGCTAGCTGACGTCTCAATATCGCAAGGATTATCCTAGTTGGTACTGTATGCCCGATTTTTCCCGCTGAAGATCTTTCTTTCCTTCTTTTGGACGCTTGCGCGTTGCCCTAACTTGCAGGCCCCCACCCTGCTGATACCCAAAGTTACAGCGGGGGTTCCTCCACGCCGCAGAAGCCACACTGAAAAAAAGCGGATTTAATTTATTTCCTGTTTTGCCTTTTTTTTGTCTCCTTTTTCTCTCCAATTTTCTTATTTATTGATTTATTTTTGTTCCTTTTCTTTCTTCCCAATCTTGATTTTTCATTTTGATTTTTACTTTTACTTTTTTTTCTTTTTCCCTTCATCCTTGCGGTCCTGCGAGCGTTCTGAAAAAACTTCCATTGTCTCCAAGTACATACATTAGATGTTGATCTTATTGTTATTGGAAATTTGTAAGTCCCGACTGTTGGATTGTGCTGACATTATTTCTAGCTTTAAGATTTATCCCTCGAACATAAATGAGGGCAGAGACCACTGCCATTGTCTCAACATGAGCTGCTTACGCCACCAGTACCCTGGGTTGACAATAAGCACTAATGGCTTTTCCCATTGCAGTTGCTTTATTCCCACGAATGCGGAGAGCGTTGCATCTCTATGCTACAGGCGCCACTGCTCATGGTATACTGGGCCCAAAAGGGGAATCTGGCTATCGCTCAATTAGTAAGACTTTAAGGTTACTCAGGTGTTCAAGTTTAGATAAAGAAGTATCCAAAACTTAGGTCCTTATTTATCCAAAGAGTACGTGCACTGGTAATACCCTAACCACACATGCCATGATCCAGGAGCCTCTTTGCTGTCTTTCCGTCGCTGTAAGGCTAACATCGCCATTTCTCGCTGCCTTTATGATCCATATGCTGAATGGGAATTTTGGAGTCAGGATACAGGCTAAGGACTCTTATCGTTTCCCATAGCAATCCATAAAATGGGGCCAATATCTGAATCACGCGGTTTTAATTTATCCCTTTTGGATATAAAGGAGCGCGGACACGTCACACTCGCCAGTCAGAGGAAGGAGCGCCATGAAAATGGAAAACCGCCTTTTAGACCCAATTTACGACATGTAAAAGCTGATAGGCTCGGGTCCTGGCACGAGATCAGCCCCTGCACTGCCCATTCAGGCTAACTCTAGGGAGGTAGCTTGATAACCACTGTATCAGATGGTGGTGAGACGGATCTGAAAAGGTGGGGACTATAAGTATTATTGCTCTCCAAATTACTCTGTACAGTAATTGTCTATACATTTGATGTAAAATATAACATTAGATATGGCTGTGGGTAGACTGTACAAGATAGTAGATTAACAGTATAATAGATGACCTTGATTCTTCACAGTGTCTAAGTCATTCTCTGTCTTTCAAGAATCATACCCCTTGTCCATAGTGCAAAATGCTTTCGACTACTAGTGCGCAGACGGTGCTCTCTTCATCGGAGAACGAAAAGCTATTCCTCAATGAGAAGGTTGTCGAAAGTCCTTCTCAGCCAAAAACATTAACAGCGAAGTCTCCTTCTTCCGTCCTTGGATATATTGCACGAGAAGTGGATATTACTTGCCGTCTATTACGATCCAACGCGGTGGGATTCCTATTCATATTCCTGGGTGCTTCGGTATCTAGAATTATCCGTCATCCACTATCATGGAGCGAGAACGTTCTGGCGGTAATCGAATCTTTTGTCCTGACCATTCCCGGTGCCTACGTCTTTGACATCTGCAACCAAACCTCCTCCCTGAGGAGGACTATGTGAACAAGCCCGATCGCCCCATCCCCGCAAGCTTGCTCACAATCGGCCAGGCAAAAAACCCGCTGGGCTCTGTCATGGATTCTCACACCCTTGGCCTTGTGGGAATATGCTGGTCCCTGGGCCATGTTCCATCTCTGGACATGGGAACTCTTGATCACCTTTTGCTATGTCTGGCCTCGGTGGTTCTCCTGGTTTATGCGAAACTTCTTTGCCGCATATTCTTACTGCATCTTGGGGAGACTCCTCAACCAGGTATACATCAGATATGCGGCCGATGATTGGGACATCAGCTGGATGATTGACTATACTATATTCGCGTGGTTTATGGGAACAATTCACGTCCAGGAATTCTACGATCTTGAGGGCGACCGAAATGCGGACCGGGAGACCCTCCCCATGCTACTTTCCCCTCGTGGCCTGGTGTATCTGCGGGTTGGCACATCGGCATTCCTTGTTGCATTCTCCACTGGTCTAGCCTATTGGAGCTATTTAAAGATGGATCAGGATATGATGATCGGGCCCATGGCTGCGCTGCAACTGATATTATCCACCTACCTCGCTTACCGCGTTGTGGCTCTCGAAGGATACAAGGAAGACAGGGCCACCTACCATCATTATTATTATCCTCCTGTTTTTGCTATTCTGTTCACTCTGGTTTTGGTGACAAAATAAGTGGGGCAACTAGGGCATGTCTCCGTTGCTAGTCTCCGTTGCTAGGCAAGATAAGTGGCAGCGTACACCTTCTTAGACACGGAGTCTATTATCTAGATTGCCAAAACAAGAACAGTATAGAACATTGCACAAATAGAATTTACACTCTCATTTTTTTGCAAGGCCTACAAGATGTAGACGGAGACAGGCTGTATTGGAAAGTGACCTCTTTGTCTTTGGATGCGCTGAGTGTCTAATCTATTAGCAGTACCCATTTTTCCAAGCTAGGATATTAATATTAATAGGTACGGACAGTTAGTTACGCCCTCCCCCCGCTCCAGCCTTGAGGTCCTTACTAACGAGCAGATGATCGAGAACGTCTACCTACTTGGATTCTTCGTTTGACATACTGTTAATGGCAATTCTCAGAATTCTAGCTAGAGTGCATCTGTAAGAGTTGCTGCCTCGTAAAGGAGCCTCGGGCAATCTAACGTGTATTGAAAATTCCTGATTGGCACAAAACAGGTTCCCGCCTCGGCTTGGAACTTCGATAATCCGTACCCATCCAAGAATTTCCATATTTGGCAATTGAAACCTCAAATACCCATAGGAATCAGGTCCACTACCTGGTGTCTAAACTTCAATAACCACGAACACTGGATACACTTGTAGAAGTATCCTATATAGGCAGTCTAGGTCAGTAATTGAATGCTATATATATGGTCGGCCAAGGATTCGATCTCTTCATCATTAAGTCCCTTTATTAGGGGCTTCGCCTCCGCAATTTTAAAAAATCGAATGCTTGAGAAAGGTGAGGCTCATCTTTTGAAAACAAAGCGACATCATGAGGAAACTTCCCAACTACCTCTGCCAGCAAATGCCCTACGACTGCGTACTCCGAGCGCAATTTCTCCCAGCACCATTCCTCCATCTGCGAGACCGTCCAGGCGTATTCAGCGCCAAGGCAGATCCATATTAATGCTTGGCTAGCTCTTGCCACTGAAAACTCGGCCGTGGAAGGCCTTGAGCCTGCATTTTGCGATGCCGTCTGGGCACGAAGGTTATGCAGAATAACCCACAAGGTTTTCAAGAGAAGGCTTAGGAGTCCTGATGCATCTCGTCCGTCACACTGTGCTATTCTGGGACCAGTGAGGGCCATGCAGAGCAGACTTGTAAGACGTAGTGCCGTCGTTAAAGTTTCAGCAAGATCACTATCTGGGGTCGGAGACCAGTCATCCAGCCCAAGATCTTCACCACCGAAAGTGATCTGACCATTTGCAGGGGAAGACGGGACTGTCTGTCGACCTCGAATAGGTTTTGGTGAAACCAGAAAGTTATGTTGGATCCTGAACCAGTCCTCTGCTAGAGTATCAATGTTGAACTGGATCTGTCCGTCACTTGACAATGCACGATCAACCACTTGGATGAAGTGAGCCAGATCTACAAAGTTTTCTATCACAGAGGCAGTCACACCCGCGCCTAATAAGTTCCGTGTGATAGCCTCACGCGTCCTTTGTCGTTCATGGGCTGGAATAGTACAGCTGACTGATTCGGTGAAACGGATGAGAGGAAATATTGGCTCGGTAGCGAGCCTGAATGCTCCCGCAAGATCCGCTCTGTGGGTTTTCAATCAACATGGTCGTTCGCAAAGTTGCCGCTACGAGATATGACTCACTGTCTGATCAGAGTTCGCATACGGGGAGACAGCCGCTCCTGACCTCCGAGAGAATTCACCAGGCTCTTCAATCCTTGCATGTGAAGATACCAATCATTATAATTACCAACGAGACCCTATCAGTATCTATCAGTATCTATGAGACCCATTTCACGGTGCTACACCATGGATGCGTCATGTACTTACAGCAATAATTGCCAGACTAGAGACTGGCTGTATAATAAGCATCTGCCTAGCGGGTGACCCAGTCTCGTCGCTGCTCAGGATTTGGTTTGCCAGCGCGCACAGCTTGCTGCAATGAAATGGAGACTCGGCTGAATCTTGCTTGCCATTTTCCAGCAAATTAAATAAAGCGCAGATTGACAGTGTGCAGTCTAGCGCCAACGGGTCGGAAAGCAAGAAATCGCTAGACTCAGAAATTTGTTGTGAGCAGTCGGTGATCGAGTAAAGGGTTTCAAACGGTAGCGAGAGAGGAAGATAGAGGTACTTTGTATAGTAAGTCACAAATCCCTTGTTATTGTCCGACCAGAGAGTAGGCAGTTCCTCAGGGGACCAGGCCTCCAGACCCGGGTAGGTCCCAGCTTGAGAGGCGAAATCCTCCAAGAAACCAGCTTCCGACACCGACCACAAATCTGAAAGATCAAGTGCCTGATCAGTTGATATACTCGAACAGTCTGAGCCTGGGTGCCGCTCCATATGATCCGTCACCATTTGATCATGCGCCTTCTCGGGGACAGTGCCATTGGAGCTGTTTCGCTTCTCCGGGGAATCCTTGCCCTCTGAGGTCGAAGTGGAGTTTGAGGCGGCACGGCTCCGCTCTCGTCGCTTTTTCCTCCCCTCGGGGTTCTTCTGGGCGACGAACTTCATACGTTCTGAAATTGGTTTGGAGAAGCCCGTCCATTCTTGTGCATCCGCATTCGATGATGTCGAGTTGACAAAAGTCCTTCCTTGATGCCTTTGTCGAACGATTTGCAAGTTCTGTTTAGCTGTGATAGCTGCCCGTTTATCAAGGGTGGAGGAGGTATTGGTGTCCATTGTTTGGGGTAGTGTCGGCTTCCATTGGCTTCGCTGTTCGGTCTCGAAGGGGGATCTGGTTCACGTTCTTCGGGGTAAAAGTATAACTCAGATCGCACCTATTTAACTGAGGTTGAGAATAACAAAAAGTATGACGCCGGAGTGAATGGAATGTCATAAGCCACCCCGATTTGAAATTGCGCAGAGTTGTTTGAGGGCCTAAAGAGGCGTATGTGCTGTTTGACTCGTTGATTGGCCTTGATCCTTCATGAATATCTAAGGTTTTCCGAAGGCTGTTTTCCGAAGGCTGGCCACTGCAGCAACCTGCAGTTCTGTCGAACCGCAGGCCTGGGTCTGAGGAACGGTAAGGCCCCCTTGGGGCTGTTATTATGGCAATCACGGAGATATGGATCTGGGGATCCACGTTGAAAACCCCCGATGTGCAGACCAGTCACGAAGCTGAGACCAGAAGATTGTAGAAAGCAAGGTAAGATAGTCGTTTCTGCAGCAAAAGTAGCAAGGGAACGAGAGCAGTCGAGACCTTTTCGATGCCGCCCCCAATTGTCAATGGCATACGGCGCCGCGGAGGGCCGGGGGACGCCGAGGTCATCGATGGACAATTTTCCAGGTTTGGCAATTATGAGGATAAACACACACATGACTGGGGGGCTGAATCCCATCGAGGACAGAAGCCTGTCTGCAAGAACAGAAGGGCTGCATCCTCCTCCCGTTTTGTCCATCGGACACGCGACACAAAAAGCACAAGGGTGCAGAACTTGGAAGTTCATCCTGCTGGTGGCTTAAGCAAATGCCCTAATTCGCGATAGGGGCGGGGTTTGTATACCGCAGGCGATCTGGCACCAAGCCTCATAGGGGGTGTTCTTCACATCAGAACCCTTTAGGATATTCCACTTCTTCGGGCTTCTATTCGCTTGATAAGCAACATGTGTAGTTACAGCCTAGCGCTGGGCCCTGTAAGCACTACGGGATGATTTTCGGCCGCTAAAAGTCTTAGGCAACTTAGCGCACCCTCACCGGGGCTCCACCTCCCGGCTGTGATGCGATACAAACTTAAAACCCGGTCGCCTTATCGGTTGATCTACTCCCCAATCATCGTACTTCGGTCCAATCGGACGCCTTAAAGGCCGTTGGAAATCGTAGCCCATCTTCCCCACTCAGCAATTGATTGCGTGCTATGAGACAATCTTCAGGGCTTAACCTTCAGGATTCACTCAAAGGATATATCGCCTATACAACCATATTTACCGAAAAGGCCCGAAGACCTGCCTTGCAGTACCGTGGCACCTTGTTGGTTTGTGTGGGAGGAAGCTACCTGGGGCTTAAGGGTATCTGGTACTCGTTTGTGTACATGACAGCCGCCAGGGACTCAATTGTTGTTCTTTACATAAATTGCGAGTCGGAATTTCTTGGGACGAGGGGGGGCGGGAGTGGGCCCTGGAGTGATGCGACGGCAATTGATATGTGTACTTCGTCTATATTCAACGAAAGATATAGGGGGAACGCGTCAGCCTTTGCTCGGCTGCGGCATAGGATGAGGTGTGACGCAAATCACTGGCTAAATAGTACAAAAGCACCTCAGAAGGATTTTGCGCCCTCGAAGCTGAAACCTTAGCCCCTACAACTGCTCGTCCGTAAAACCCCATGTTTGCTGGCCCAACCTACTTTCGAGGCCTTGGCTTACATCGAATCTTTTCGGCTCAATATGGGCACCTACACATCCGCCGAAGAGGTCAACAATACCTACGCGAGGCTGCGCGATACCTTTCAATCTGGCAAGACCAAGTCAGTTGAATGGCGCAAATGGCAGTTGAAGCAGCTTTGGTGGCTCGTGAGCGACAACAAGGATCGCTTTCTGGACGCGCTGCACAAAGACTGTAATCGAAGTGCCTATGAATCTCTCGTCTCCGAGTATACGGGGATCCTCAATGAGATCTTGTATCATCTCCAGAATGTCGATCAGTGGATTAAACCCAGAAGGCCGGACGATGGGTCGTTGCCAATGACCTTGTTGGCTGGTGCGAGTCTCCGACCAGAGCCACGGGGTCTCGTCTTGATCATTGGGCCCTGGAACTTCCCCGTCTCATTACTCCTGCGGCCTCTGGTAGCGGCCATTACTGCGGGCTGCACTGCGATTTTAAAGCCTTCTGAGTTGACCCAAGCTAGTCAGGCATGCCTGGTAGAGCTAGTTCCGCAATATCTAGATACCGATGCGATCAGCATAGTTACGGGCGGACCAGGAGAGACCACAAGCCTATTGCAGAACAAGCAATTTGATCTCATCTTCTTCACTGGCTCGCCTGCGGTGGGCCGACTTGTTGCAGAAGCGGCGGCCAAGCATCTTACCCCAGTCGTGCTGGAACTCGGTGGACAGGGCCCCGGTATTGTGACGGCGTCCGCTGATATCGATTTTGCGGCTAAAAGTATCGCTTCGACCAAATACATGAACGCCGGTCAGTCATGCCTCGCTGTCAACCATGTCTTGGCACATCCTAGTGTCGCTGAGCAGCTTGTCGAGCTGTTGAAGTTCCATTTTGAAGCATTCGCGGCAGACGGGCCAGACTCAATGACCGCAGTGATCAACAAGAAGAACTTTGATCGTCTGAAAAATTCTATTGAGAAGAGTCACGGCACTGTTGTCTATGGTGGACAAGCCGATCCAGATAAGCTCTCCATTCGACCCACCATTCTTACCGATCTCACACCTAATGGTTTGTGCTGCCTATCTTCCGTCTCTGGGGACATCCACACTAACTGTCCGCAATTTGGTACAAGACCCAATTTTGTCGAGTGAAATCTTTGGTCCCATCTGTCCCATCCTGATTACCACCACGGAGGATGCGATCCGATCAATAAACAGGTAAGGTCTCTCTTCTTTTGCGTGCTTTCTCTTCTTCAACTAATTGAGCATAAGTAAACCCCATCCGCTGGGTATCTACATCTTTGGCACTGATCAAAAAGAAAATGAACATAGTAAGTTCTCCTTCGATGTTCCCCCTATAACAGTACTCATTGCCAGTTAACAGTCATCACATCCACGACGTCGGGCGGTGTGACTGTGAACGACACTCTTGTCCACGCGGCCGTTTTGGGGGCACCTTTCGGAGGAATTGGTGAATCTGGCTATGGGACGTACCACGGCGCCTACGGATTCAAAGCTTTCTCTCACATGCGTACGATTGCGAATACCACCGGTCTCATCCGCTCTCTTTTCGGCGTCCGCTATCCTCCTTACTCGAAGAAAGACCCCAATAGGCTCGCCGTCAAGAACTCTCTCGGATTCAAACGTGGGGAAACAATACTTGACCAGAGGATAGGCCTTGCTGGATGGTTCCGGGATCAATCAGCCAAGATCATTCGCCTGACGCTGTTGTCTACGTTGTTTGTTCTCGCGGACAAGGGCGCAGGGGGCTGGCTGGGACTCCACCGGTCAATGACTTATGCTGCTAGTGTGATTAAGTCGCTTGCAGTTTCCGTGGTAAAGGTCATCCAGAAAAGAGCCTTGTAAGATTTCTCGCATGGCAAGTCCTTAATAGTTCAGATGGATCACTCTAGCTTACGAGGGAAGACTTTAAACTGCGATGAATAACCGAGGACAGTGGACCTTTCTTCCACAGTCCCTTTTAGGGGATTTATAACCTACACGTTGGTAGTGAATACATTGATTTCTCTTGAAGCATGTTCATTCCTCTGTGTTAAAAAACGGCAAGGAGAGGAGCAATAGAACGGAAAGAGGCCTCCAGGCGCTGCGGGAACTTGTCTTGTATATATCGTTTTGTACTCGAATATCGATTCACAAGACTGGAGGATAAAGATACGATACTGGTATCTTTTCCAACTTGAACTTAAGCCTAGGGACGCATGAGAAGGGCCAGGAGGCTTAAGACCAAAACACATACTGGTACTAATAGTACCTCAATATCGCAAAGAGTTAGTCCACAATGACCATTACCTACAAATTGAGTTTTACTGAGCGACCAGTCAGGCTGCTATCAGAGAATTCCTAGAGACTCTCGAAAGTAGCAGTGTGGACATCCCAGAGGGCGGCGCTGCACCATCGAAGGACGGAGCGGAGGATCTTTATTCCTGGGGACACGCTCGCCCAAAGAAGAAATCACTTTACGCGGTCGGCGCGTCTCCGTCGCGTCCCACATTGGCAATTTTGTCCTCCCTTTCTTCGGTGTCTACTCATCTCTGTTACCACCACCACCTATTCTCCCCTCCACCAATTCCTTATCACCCGCATCATGTCCTCCCCAGTTCGTAGGAGAGGACGCTCCTCAAATCAGCCCACGGCTTCGCCGTCTTCCGTGAGAACTCGCGAGCCCCCGAGCAGCCCGACTCACCAAGCGACTACCCCCCGCGCAGCCGGCCGCCTCGCCGCTCAAGGAAATGTCCCGTCCTCCTCTCCGATGTTCTTCCAATCATCTCCATCCCGAAGCAATCGCGGGGAGAAACCCCTGACGTGCGCATGGGTGAAGCCAGCTCGGTTATTGATGATGGCGACCGGACACCCCGAGCGGGTGGAGGAATGCGAGGTACGGCAATCAATCTCTGCAGATTGAAACGAAACAGAGATTAGGCATAATTCTAACATGAGAATAGACTCTTCTCCCATCAATTACGTCTCTAGCTCCAGTCCTACCAGGGCTTTCAATCGCAATGACATCCGCTCTGATATTCGCTCCGATGCACACAGCGTGAGCAGTGGCCTTTTCGTTTCACCAAGTGGCCAAGAACGTCGAGGTTACCGTCGTGCCGATCTTCATTCCAGTGGATTCGGGTCATCAACTGGTCGTCGGACACGGATGTTTGTGGGCGCGGATGGGATGCCCGCTGATGACAGTGTCCCTCGATCGGATGCCACATTCTCGAACCTTAATCCCGGGACCTCAGAGGCGGAAGCCATAGCTGGAGATGGAAGTCGTACAATCTGGGGCACGAACGTTTCACTTACAGAGTCTTATTCAGCATTCAAGACGTTTCTGTACAATTTTGCGACGAAATATCGCATGTGGGCAGATGGTGCCACCGATGAAGAGACTAGAGCCCTAGGCCCAGCAGCTGAAAGGCGCGAGTATATCGACATGCTCAATAACATGCGTCGACTGGGTCTAACTAGTTTGAATTTGGACGCACGCAATCTCAAAGCTTACCCACCAACGAAAAAACTTTGGCATCAAATGCAATTATATCCTCAGGAAGTCGTACCCCTGATGGATCAGACAGTGAAGGATGTGATGGTCGACCTGGCACTTAAGGAGATGGATAGTATCCGAGCCGATGCTCAGCATGGTGTTCAGTCCCGGAACAGACGAGGCCAAGATATTCTAACTTCGGATGGTGTGACGTCTCATGTCGATATCCCAGACCTCGTGAGCGAAGCCGAAAATGCAAAATATAAAGTCCTTCCATTCGGGCTGGATAAGACCGTGAACATGAGAGATCTCGACCCAGCCGGTAATTCTATCGCAAACACAGATTGAAAGACCAGTCACTAACTCGAGTTTTAGATATCGACAAAGTGGTCAGCATCAAGGGCTTGGTTATTCGAACTACTCCTGTCATTCCTGACATGGTGAAAGGTGAGCAGAGTTAACCGAATCAATGGTCTCAGTGCAGTTTGTTCTAATGAGGCTCTAGCATTCTTCCGATGTAACGTTTGTGGCTATGGCTCCGTCGTCGAGATCGACCGTGGCAGGATCCAAGAGCCCACTGTTTGTATTCGAGAGAGCTGCAAGTCAAAAAACTCCATGCAGTTGCAGCATAACCGTTGCGAGTTTGACGATAAACAAGTTATCAAGCTCCAGGAAACGCCGGATAATGTGCCCGATGGTCAAACACCCCACTCCGTATCGCTGTGCGTTTATGAGGAGTTGGTCGATGTATGCAAAGCCGGTGACCGCGTTGAGGTAACGGGTATCTTCCGCAGTAACCCCATGCGCGTGAACCCTCGTCAACGTTCTCAGAAGACCCTTTTCAAGACCTACATTGATGTTCTCCACATCCAAAAAGTGGACCGGAAGAAGATGGGCATCGACACATCAACGGTTGAGCAAGAGATGTCCGAACAAGCAGCCGAAGCCGACCAGGCTCGCAAGATCTCGGCGGAAGAGGAGGAGAAGATCAAACAAACTGCAGCTCGCCCTGACGTGTACGAGCTGTTGGCCCGATCTTTGGCGCCTAGTCTCTACGAAATGGACGACGTGAAGAAGGGTATTCTCTTGCAGCTATTTGGTGGCACCAACAAAACCTTCCAAAAGGGTGGCAACCCACGCTATCGTGGCGATATCAACGTCCTGCTGTGCGGTGACCCGTCTACTGCGAAATCCCAGCTTCTGCGCTATGTCCACAAGATTGCACCCCGTGGCGTCTACACCAGTGGTAAGGGTTCCTCAGCTGTCGGTTTGACCGCGTACGTGACCCGCGATCCCGAAACTCGCCAGATGGTCCTGGAATCAGGTGCTCTGGTCTTGTCTGATGGCGGTGTTTGCTGTATCGACGAGTTCGACAAAATGAACGAAGCCACCCGATCCGTTCTTCACGAAGTGATGGAACAGCAGACCGTGTCTATCGCCAAGGCCGGTATCATTACCACTCTAAATGCGCGAACCTCGATTCTCGCATCTGCCAACCCGATTGGCAGCAGATACAACCCCAACCTCCCTGTGCCTCAAAACATCGACCTCCCTCCGACCCTTCTCTCCCGTTTCGATCTTGTCTACCTTGTCCTGGACCGTGCGGATGAGACTGAAGACCGTCGCTTGGCGAAGCACTTGGTGAGCATGTACTTGGAGGATACTCCAGAAAACGCTAGCTCGGAAGAGATTCTCGTAAGATCCCCGTTGACCTGATTTCCCATTATCCAACCTTGTTGCTAATCCAATAACTCTAGCCTATCGAGTTCCTTACAGCTTACATCACCTACGCCAAAACCAAGATCAACCCCGTCCTTACCCCAGCGGCTGGTACCGCGCTAACTGACGCCTACGTGGCCATGCGCCAACTGGGTGATGACATCCGCGCGCAAGAACGCCGCATCACGGCAACCACACGTCAGCTCGAGTCCATGATTCGACTGTCCGAGGCACACGCTCGCATGCGGCTGTCCCACGAAGTCACCGCTGCTGACGTGGAAGAAGCTGTGCGCCTGATCCGTTCGGCTATCAAACAGGCCGCCACCGACGCCCGCACCGGTCTCATTGATATGGGCCTGCTCACCGAGGGAACTAGCGCTAGCGAGCGTCGCTTGCGCGAAGACCTCAAGAAAGCCGTGCTGCGTCTCCTGGACGAGCGTGGTGGCATTAATGGTGCTCCCGTTCGCTGGACCGATCTATTTAAGGACCTTGGTGAACAGAGTGATGTGACAGTGGAGCACCAGCAATTCTCGGATGCGGTACGATCGCTGGAGGCAGAGGGAGCCGTGAATGTCGTTGGGGAGGGGCCGCGGCGGAGTATTAAGCGATCGGCCTTGGGTCTGTCTTGATGGAGCATGATTCCCTATGACGCGATGAACCGGGAGGGCTGTGTGTTGATTCGTGCTGTTTCCCCTCCCGTAACTTTTCTTTTCTAATCATTCCAAAATGAAGTTCCGAGGTGCCTGGCGTTATTGCTCGTGATACCTTCTATGCAGTGAGAGATTGTGCTCGCGACCCCGCTTGTTCGTAGCTGTGTCTTACGACTAAAATAGAGATATATGTACATACAAAGTATCTACAAAACCAACTCGTATCCCGACCCAAGCGCATACTAAAGCTGGTTTCTGAGGTAGAAAGGCACGTGTCCTGCTTGGCTTGGCACGATCATCTCCGCGGGCGTATGCATGAATCCCCAAGATTTGGCCTCTCCGAAAGAACTTAAAATGGCTGATGATCTCCTGCCCAGGTGATAGACAAAGATTCGGGATTCGATCGTACATTCCGCCCGAAAACGGCAATGTGTCGCGTGCCACATGCCGCTTCGCCTTCATAGATCGGACGTGAAAGTGTGTCGCTAGAATTGATGATGGCTGATAGATGAGAGTCCCATTTAGAGAATTGAAAGGCCAGAACTACCAGGTCCACTACTCATTCTGTTCCAGCACAGCTGTAGCGGCCAATGGCGAGAGTGGGGGGATGTCACCTAACTATAAGGAATGCACCGTCGTACAAGGGGAGTGGAGGATACAGCCTTAACAGCACCGATGCTTACCCCACATGGTAGACAACACTGGCTGGGCATACCAAGAAGCCTCTAGAAACTCGAGGAGCTCTGGCTGCCAAGGTAACCCGAATCTCGTCTCAAGTGCACTATGCACGTGGAAAAAGTAAATTGAAATCAGTAGAACGCGCCAAGCGAACTAAATCTCCTTAGTGCTGTAGGGAGCAGCGCACGTGCCGAAGTGACTGGACGACGTCAGTGGGGCTGATGAGTCAGCACCGTTACTACAGCTCGAGGCGGAGCTATTGTACAGCCAATCACCGGTGCGGATCGTGCTGGACGTGCAGCTTCGTGCAGCTTCATTGGTTTGCGAGATCGAGTCTTTAGTGAGACAAGCACCACTGGGTCGCAGATAGCCGATCAGGTCGAGTCCACCGGGACGAAAGCTACAGTATTCGGCCTACTTCCAGGAGGGAAATCCTTGTCGCTGGGGCTTGGTGACGCCCATGTCCAGCTGTAGACGGACCCAGCCTTTTTTTTTGCGGGTCCGAAGCTAACCCGCTCTCGGGTGGCTGTTAGAACAGTCTCTCGCCGGGTTGATTTCAGGCTTTCTCTTCTCTCAAAGGCATTGACCAGCATCTTTGGCCTTCTCATACTCTCCCAGTGCTGCCCACCATGAGGTAAGTTCCATCTTTTGCTTCGATCGTCCCTCAATTGCATGTAAAGGGGTCCTTGGTCCGATCTGTGGTCCTTCTCGTCGCTTCCCGGCGCGAGGAATGCTTCCCCGCATACTAACCGTGCAACCCAGGTTCGGCGAGCAACTCCAGTCGTCTATGCTGAGGGAATATCACCCCTACTACATCGCCTACGACGACCTCAAGAAGGCGCTGAAGACTGATTATGTCACGCCCCCGACACCCGACACACCCAAACCCGCCCGGCGCGAGTGGAACGAGGAAGACGAGCGGAACTTTGTCGCATTGCTAGAGAGAGAGCTGGAAAAGGTCTTTCTCTTCCAGAAGCGCAAGAGTGAGGAGATTGTCGAGAGTATCCAAGCAAGTGAGCTAGATGTCCAGGATGTTGTTGGTCGGCTGGACGAGAACACCAGCAACCGTCTGCAGAATGCGCGTCCCGAGGACCGCCCTTCGGACGAGGACTTTCTCATGCTGGAGCAAATCCTGAGTGAGATTATTGCGGATGTGCATGATCTGGCCAAATTTACCCAGTTGAACTACACTGGCTTCCAGAAGATTATCAAGAAGCACGACGTAGGTGGATATGAAACTTCTTTCAAATCTCTTTCAAATCCCTTCGAGATGCGCAAGTCCTAACCTGATCACAGAAACAAACCCAATGGTACCTGAAGCCCGTGTTTGCGGCCCGGCTCAACGCCAAACCGTTCTTCAAGGACAACTACGATGCCTTCGTTGTCAAACTGTCCAAGCTGTACGACCTGGTCCGTACGCGAGGTAACCCAGTCAAGGGCGATGCGTCCGCTGGTGGGACCCAGCAAAACTTTGTGCGACAGACTACCAAGTACTGGGTGCACCGCGACAATATTACGGAGCTCAAGCTGGTTATCTTGAAGCACCTTCCTGTTTTAGTGTTTAACGCCAGTAAGGAGTTCGAAGAGAAAGATACGGCCATCTCATCTATCTATTACGACAACCCAGAGACCTGGGAACTGTATGAAGGTCGTTTGAAGAAGACGGAAGGTGCCGAGGCTATTCGTCTGCGCTGGTATGGAGGAATGGAGAGCGACCAGATTTTCTTGGAGCGCAAGACCCATCGCGAGGATTGGACTGGTGAAAAGTCAGTCAAGGCCCGGTTCTCTCTCAAGGAGAAGCATGTCAATGCCTTCCTTTCTGGCCAGTATACCGTCGAGCAGGCGTTTGAAAAGATGCGAAAGGAAGGCAAGAAAAGCCCGGCTGAGATCGATGATTTGGCACAGCTCGCCCGTGAGATCCAGTACCGGGTCATCACTCGCCACTTGGTTCCTGTCGTTCGCACATTCTATCATCGTACCGCATTCCAGCTCCCAGGCGACGCCCGTGTTCGGATCTCCTTGGATACCGAGCTCACAATGATTCGTGAAGATAACTTGGACGGTCGCCGCCGTGCTGGTTCCAACTGGCGCCGTATGGACATCGGAGTCGACTACCCCTTCCCCCAATTGCCCCCCGAGGACATTGACCGATTCCCTTACGCGGTTTTGGAAGTGAAGCTTCAGACTCAGGCTGGCCAGGAGCCTCCGCAGTGGATCCGCGATCTCACTGCTAGTCACTTGGTCGAGGCAGTTCCGAAGTTCAGTAAATTCATTCATGGCACGGCAACTCTATTCCCAAGCCGAATAAACCTCCTGCCCTTCTGGTACCCGCAGATGGACGTCGATATCCGCAAGCCCGTCACGCAACAGTATGGTATCCACAGACCACTTGCCAGTACCACGCTCTCCGCGAATGATGATGACTCTGATGACGATGAGACTCCTGATTCTGACCGTGCACCCAACGGGTTCCCCCATTCAACCTCGAACGAACATCTCCTCTTCACTGAGACAAACGGCAATGAACTCGATATCGAGGAGCGGATTGCCGCCCAGCCGCTGCCAGGCGACGAAGACTATCCTCTGTACGACTCAGATGACGAGAGCCTCTACCCGGATGAGCTCGAAGAAGCTCGCCGCGTTGGAGGAGCTTACTATTACAAGCAGCTTGCCAAGTACTACCTGCGTAAAACCAGTGAGTATACTTGGCAAGGTCTGATGGCCATACTTCCACGGCCGCGGGCTACTCCCCTGCCTCCCCCCAGAGCAGCGTGGGATTGCTGTCCTTCAAGGCACTCGTCGCAGCCTCAAACGATTCCAGGCACCTCCTGGCAAGCGTATGTTATTCATAGTTTGCCTATCAATACATGTCTCGCTAATGACTCCATAGGTATCTTTGTTCCCGTCCGTGTCGAGCCCAAGGTTTACTTTGCTGCAGAGCGTACATTCCTCTCTTGGCTCGAGTTCTCCATCATCCTTGGTGGTATTGCGGCCACTCTCCTCAACTTTGGACTTGACTATATTTCTCTAGCCTCCGCCTGGGCTTTCACTATCCTAGCTGCCATGGCCTTGGTTTACAGCTTAGTCCTCTATCTCTGGCGTGTGGATAAAATCCGCAAGCGCCGGGATGTCAAGCGTGTGTACTATGAGCGGTGGGGCCCTACTGTCCTTAGTGCGGGCCTTGTTACTGTGGTGCTCATCAATTTTGGCCTTCGTCTCAAGGCTGGTGGCTTTATGGCTGCCCCAGGTTTGAGACAGCCGGGCAATGGGCGTGGTGATGAGTTGTGACCTGCTACATCTTCCTAGTACCCACCTCATCAAAAGAGTTCTGGTGGCATTTATTGGTATCTAAGACATATTGCCATATTTTTTTTTTCTTTTTTCTAGCGTTCCGGTATGAGGTTCTTTTGATTCCCGTTTGTTGAGGGCATTTATAGGTGTACAAACAGGTGTCAATGGAATGGTCTATGTTATCTGTCTTAATGTTCACCGCACTTAGACAGACATGGACTCTATTGTTCAGCAGAATGTATTCCTCCACTTACTCCCAAACTCCCATACTTTTGTTTTACACATCTTTTTATCTTCCTATTGCGACTCTCCTAGCATCCTATGTTTATCTCTTCGCGCCATCTACGAGACAGATTTACAAGTTTCTACCATCATTATCATCATGCCTCACGGTAGGAAGGCCCATAAGCGTAAGCAGCAACGCGATCCGATGGCATCGCTTATGTCGTCGGCGTCGTCGTCGTCGTCGCCGCTTACCTCGTCGACTCGCGCCGCGCAACAGCCGCCCCATTCTGCGTCCCAGTCGCTTATGTCGTCGACTCCGGCCACTGAAACCAATGAAATACACCCTGGCTTGGTTCCTGTCTCCGTTCAACCTTCTCCTTTCAACATCACCACTCACCACCCTGAGAAGGAAGCCAAATACTGCACGTGCTCCCATCCTGCCCCAGATCACGACCACGACCACGAGACCGGTGAGTAAAAGACAACCCAGATGATTGAAACGCAGGCAGTTATGGCTGAACAAGATGTAGACGCGTCCAACTCCCCCATCGAAAATCCCACAGAAAACATGGAAACCTTTGAGGAAGGGGATTCCTTCCCTGAATGGCAATACATTGTCATCAAGTATCCAAACCCTTTCAAGCTCCCCCACACGCCTGGTCACGCATACTGACATGCCAATAGGATGAAGCGCCTGGAGATCGAGGTTCGCCGCCTGTTGGAAATGTACAAGAAGAAACAGCGCGAGAACGAGATCTTGCAATTCCAGGTCTCGTGCCTCATCGGCAACGCGAAGGTCGAGGACTTTTACAAGGTGTTCCCACCCATGTACGTGCTCTTCTCCTTGAAGTCAGGGAAATTTGTACTAATTCTCCACAGCTTCGACGTGGCGTCCCTGTACCAGACGCCCGAGAGCCTGGGCAAGGACCTCGACCAGCTGATGGCAACCTACGAGGACCCTGAGGCTGGTAACAAAGAGGAGCGCCAGGCCCTCTTTGAGCACGCCGTCAAGGCGCTCCGGCGTGACCGGGCTAATCAGGCCGCGGCTCGTCTGGTGCTTGCGGCTGTCAAGGCTGAGGTAGAAGGTGTCGAGATCGGGCAGTCCGACGTTGAGGCTGTCCTACTTGGTATGGTTGACCTCTCACTGAAGGCTCCTAAGAAGGAAGATGGCGAGGGGGCTGAGGGTTCTACTTGACCCAAGAAGCTACCTTCTTGATTGCGTTTGCGCACCGCCCAGATGGTTTTGTTCATGGCCATGGGTGAGCATGGACCATTTTGCTTTTTTGTGTTTGTGAGGTATGAATCTGCTCTGCCAGCAATTCAGGTAAACGCTAGGTAGCCATAAAGCCTATGCGTAGTTGATGAAGAATGAAGTCTTTACCATCTAAGGCGTCTGTAGCAATGTAGGGGGGTCTGATAGAATAGTGAATCCTTCGTAAACGGTAACTGCGAGGTGGATGAGAACTTATATGAGGATATTCAAAGCTGTAAATAACACACATCCGCTTTGTGCATATGGCAAACAACAAAACATGAGGCGATTCCCACCTGTATATCGACGGTAAATTGCACCCGTGCCTGCAATCTGCCGCAGCTAAACACTTCCAATGCACGGGAGAATACGGTCCCGCAAATTACTGGTATAAATGCGATCCAAAAGACTTCTGGGCTTAGGGATGCAGTACCTCATGGGACTACAGCTTCCCACTTACCAACAGCTTTGCTCTTATGGGTGTCACCGTTACTTACTTCTGCCACATATCACCGCCCAAGGATTGAGATATATTGATCGAACTTCTTCCTCTTCCTCTTCTTCTTCCTCTCCTTTCTTGAGTTCTAGTATTTCAAATACTGGCACCCTTGCCATTGCTCTCCATCAATGAGTGACTCTCACTGACAATGGGTAGCAAAGGAGCCGTTTACCCCTACAGTCGACTGGTCAGGATACGCCCTTTGGTCACCAAAACGCACCAACCAGCCGACATTCACAGTTGTATTTCAGAATTTTGAGGTGCAGTTTCATCGTGACCTTGAATTATTATCTGGCAGGCCACATTCTGTTATTGTTCAAGGGGCCTCCTACTGCCAGAGGTAATCCGGTCATAAAGGATCGTGACAGCCTGTCAAGCAGAGAACGTCTCGGTATGACGTTCCCTCATGGCAGTAGACACATGAAAAATGATAGCCGTTGATCATGCCGTTCATGAATGTTGGGAGTGCGAGGGCTGGGGTGCGATAAATCATTGCCATGTGATTACAAAGTGGCTAGGTGAGTGCTGCTTCAGCTTACCAAGAGTCTTGTTATCTGCATACTGATCTGGGCCCTAGGCAGCAAAATGTGAGAGAGCTCGATTGTTCTCTCAAATCTTCAGTCGCGGTGCTGCGACCAACAAAATCATCCTCTACAGTACCTGCTACACACTCCACCACCAAGTCTTCGGTCCAGCTTTATCTTTTACCCGAGATCTCTAGTTCTTCATTGATTTTGAGCGCACCGATAAGCAGAAATGTGACACGGCTACCGAGGGATGTTCAGCGCGAACTATCCTCAGAGCCTCGGATTACCAGCGCTACCAGGAGGAGACTGGAGCCATCCCAGCCGGTCTTCGTGGTGGACTCTATCAAAGAGTGTTCCTCGACCAACACCGAACGCCAACTGCCGACATCTTCGCAATCTCTACACCCAAAACCTAGCAAGGTCTTCCATCCTTGCTTTATTCGGTGCTGCTACCCCAAGCTCCCTGACGGGTCACATGAGGGGCTCCTCTTCGCTAGCACCTACTCTAGTTCCTAATGAACCATCTTCATTCCTGCAGCTACGGCTACATGTGCTGTATGATTATGTTAGCAGAAGGATTCTTCAAGAGGCTTATAGTCTGGAGTCGCACAGTCTAGCCCAGATTTGGAGATTTGACTCTATTCTGTCTAAGCTAAGAGCTAGTTAGCAAGGTACATGGTAGGCAATCCTCCTAGGTAATGATGGATAGCATTATAGGACATCCTTTAGTCTTGGGTATCTGGTCATCGTTTTCACAGATAGCCTCCTCTGCATGAGCGCCAAAAACATAGCCGCACTTTGCTAGCTGCTTGGTCCACGGGTGGGCTTGTCTCGCGGAGTGAAGGGCTTTTGGCTTATAACTAAAAGTATCCCGATCAGGCTAAAGAGAATAAATTGAAGTAGAAATGAAAATGAAGGATAAAATTTCGTTCTGTTGGTCAGAATGAAGAGACGTAGCTGTACTTTATCCCAAGACTTGAGTATAGATCTGAAGTGTCCAATAAAAGTAAAACACATTTTTCTACACTAGTGCGGGGTAGCAGTCTAAGCCCTGTGTTTCTGCATCACTGTGCTCTAATTCGTGAATTTTCGAGGGCACGGTGAAAATTGAGGTCCATCAAACATTAGGTCCGAACCCACAGAGACCTGGTGGGGCACAGTTCTCTTATGGTATGAGTGTCGACTACTCAACAGATATCTAGTTATGGTGGACATTTGAGTCATTGGGGAGATTCCAAGGTTCCCGGACTGAGATTTACTCGGTGAGTCTCACTAGGAAAGCCCCACCATAGGAAAAATGTTATAGTTGGCCCAAGTAGTTACTCCGGAGTACCTACCTCCGTGCATGTAACTGGTATTAAAGATAGTGGACTGGACCCCGCCGCTTGTATCTTGTATGACGTCAACATCCACAGCCCGCAGGGTTGCGCTGGCTTCGATCCGGTTTTCTGTTGGCAGTTCGCTCTCATAATTTTGATCTGCTGTCTCCTAAGTTTTTTTCTCCTTGTAAATATCTTCACGAGTTGTACGAAGCCTTCAAAATGTCCACCGGATACAAGCTTCCTGTAGATCTCAAGCAGTTCAAGCAGCTCAAGCTTGATCCCAAGAAGAATGCCACCTTGACTGCGGAGCAAAAGAGCGACCTGCTGAGCAATATCAATCTATTCAGAGATGCAATTATCGCTTTCACGGCAGCAGGCTCCGCCCGTGGCGTCTCCGGCCACACTGGTGGTCCTTTCGATACTGCACCCGAAGTGTGCATCCTCCTCGCCTTCATTAATGCCAACCCCGACCAATGGGTCGATGCTCTGTTCGATGAAGCGGGCCACCGAGTTGCGACACAATACCTCCTAGCTGCCCTGGACGGCAAGATCGAGCCAGACCACCTTCTCAACTACCGAGATGCTGATTCACACCTCCCGGGCCACCCCGAGCTTGGCTTCACCCCCGGAGTCAAGTTCAGCTCCGGTCGCCTTGGACACATGTGGGGAATGGTCAACGGTGTGGCGTTGGCGAACAAGGACAAGAATGTTATCCTGCTCGGCTCAGACGGATCCCAGCAGGAAGGTAACGATGCTGAGGCTGCCCGACTGGCGGTAGCCAAGGGCCTGAATGTCAAGCTTTTCATTGACAACAACGATGTCACTATTGCCGGACACCCCTCAGACTACCTGAAGGGATTTGATCTGTTTAAGACCCTCTCGGGTCACGGTCTGCACGTTGTTCGCGCCGAGGGCGAGAACATCGATTCCTTGTACAGTGCCGTTGTCGAGGTCGTCAACCACAAGGGCCCCGCAGCCGTGATTGTGGACCGCAAGATGGCCCCTGGCATTGAGTCCCTCGAAGGCCAGACCAAGGCTCACGATGTGATTACAGTCGACATTGCCCGCAAGTACCTCACCTCGCGCGGATACAGCAAGGAGTCCCTCGCCTTCTACGATGAAATCAAGGGCCGCTCCAACCCCCATGAGTACCTGGGCACATCGAAGGAGAAGGGCGCCAACCGGGTCATTTTTGGTGAGGCCGTCAACTCGATCCTCAACAAGCTCAGCAAGGAGGAGGCCATCCGACGAGTCATGGTCATCGACTCTGATCTTGCCGGCTCCACCGGTCTGAAGGCCATCGCCTCCGAGCACCCAGAGGTCTTCGTCGCATCCGGCGTTATGGAGCGAGGCAACTTCTCCGCCGCTGCCGGATTTGGGTTTGGCAGCAACGGCGAGCGCCAGGGTGTTTTCTCGACTTTCTCTGCCTTCCTCGAGATGGTCGTCTCGGAAATCACCATGGCCCGCCTCAACAACTGCACTGTGCTGTCTCATTTCTCGCACAGTGGTGTCGACGAGATGGCCGACAACACTTGTCACTTTGGCTTGAACCACTTCTTTGCCGATAACGGCTTGGCGGATGCCGAGGCCACTTCGCTGTACTTCCCCGCCGATGGTGAGCAGATGAAGGCAGTCTTGAACAGGGTGTTCTGGGACCAGGGCATGCGCTTTGTCTTCTCGACCCGAGCCAAGGTCCCCTACATCCTCAAGGAAGGTACCGACCAGAAGCTCTACGGCGAAGGCTACGAGTTTGTTCCTGGCAAGGACGAGATTGTTCGCAAGGGTACCGCTGGATACGTTGTCTCCTACGGTGACATGCTGTACCGTTCCTTGGACGCGGTCGAGCGGCTGCGCAAGGAGGGCCTTGATGTTGGTTTGGTCAACAAGCCTACTCTCAACGTCGTCGATGAAGACGCTATCAAGAACTACGGCTCCTCACCCTTCGTTCTGGTGGTAGAGTCTATTGCGGAGAAGACCGGCTTAGGTTCTCGCCTGGGCTCGCAGCTCTTGGCTCGTAAACTCACTCCCAAATTCCGCACTATCGGTGTCACCAAGGAAGGATGCGGTGGCTTGTTCGAACAGATCAATTCCCAGGGCCTCAGCCCAAGCGATCTGATGGCAGCTATCAAGGACATGGCAGGGAAATAAATGTCTCATGTACAGCAATAATCAAGCATACAATCTCTGATCCAGTCCAAATACAATTCCATTAACTTGTTCATTCTCCATGAAAAGTAGTCGTAAATTCCACATTGAAACAGAACTACCAGGAACCAACTTAAAAAATTGAAACCTAATCCCGGTCATCGGGATGGAATACCAACGCCCGAATCTCGATGCTTTCGCGCGCAGGCTCGTTCTCCGTTTCAGCGTTCGTAAACGCCGTATGGGGATACGGCGTGCCCGCCCATCAGTCTTGGAATCGAAGCACTTGATCAAAGTGACCAAGTTTGGCGTCTGCCCGTACCGATAATACCACTTGATATCGGGGTGCGCCTTTACCCCGAACGTCTCGCCCTCGCGGTCCGGATAGATGAGTTTAATCGGCACCAGGACCTCCTCCGGCACCGTGCGCGCATCAGCAACTGCCAAAGGGTCCTTGAGGATGGTCCGGATGGGGCGCCAGACATTGATAATCTGGTATCTGCCTTTCAATAACTCCGGAGCCTCGTCAGGGAGGTGGTACGATACGCGGTTCTTCGACGCCTGGTAGGACTGGTCAATATGGACCCGCTGGACTGGTCCGCGCAGGATGTTAGTGCCGGAGCCACGGCGGATTGTATGGTCGAAGATGAATACTCGTGAAGCACCGGTCCTTTACGACAGAATGTTATCAGTTCTGTGGGCTATTCCAAGGTTCGGTAAGCAGGGGAGGGGGAGGTTGTTTCTTCACATACGCATCCTTCAGCAGTTGCTCTGTTTCGGGATAGTATTGACGTTGGATCTTCTCGTCATTGAGAAAGTCTTTCTCTGCACTTTCATGATAATAGAATTGGAAGCCCTGCTTGTCGAGGGAATAATCCAGCTCGTGGCCACTGACGTCGTGGATCAGGGCGGGAAGAGTGTCATGCTCCCTGTTGTAGGACTCGGGCTTTCCTGCATAATTCGGCGTCGGCTCAGATCCGTCTGGATTCTCTTTGAAGAAGTTCAGTGTTGTTTGAACGTGATGGGGCTTCTCGCCCACGGGGACTCCCACAGGCGTTGCAAGAGCAGTCCCGGCGTGGCCCCCGGGAGTTTGAATAGCAGCCGATGCCATTATGATTGCGATTTGAAGAGAGCAGTGGAGAAAAATATTCTAGATGGTGACCAGTATCCTCCTCGAGGGCTTCCGCAAGATATCCCTTTATAGCACGTTTCTGTCTTGCGGGGTTGAATTTGTAATGGATGTACATACAGCACGCAATAATTGTGTTCGATGAAGAATGCTGATAAATTCAGTTTCCATAATCAGCTTGTCTGTCAAGTGACACAGAGAGCTAGCAGCATGTGACAGCAAGGTTGCACGACTTTTTAGTCAAGGGTACATTATATTGAGGGCTATCTTCTGTGTAGACTGTTATGAAGGCGTCATACTACCGCACTCTGGGATCGGGGCGCATGAGCGGTCTCTGCTATCACACCAAACTCATCCATTGGATGAGTTTGGTGTATATGCTCCCTGTGATTGCTAATAATCTTCTGCTTGATGGTACGAAATGATCAGCGATTTGTGTGTCCGTAGCTGCAATATCTTGGATGATTCCCGGCGTGGCCGTAGCTCGGTGGAGTAATGATTGTTCATTGGAAACTATGCTACCCTAAAAGCTCTATTCACGAGACCCACGGGATCGCTAACATCATGGGCCCGGCAAAAGACCGTTGTCCTGATGCGTGCGAATGTCAAGGGCTTCGAAGATGTAAGGAAGGCCTAAAAGTGACGTTTAAATTCGCTTCTTGCGGGCCTTGGTGACCCTGTTCGCGTTGGAGGCGTCTTAAAAGCGATCGTGCGGCTTATTGAAGTGCACATATAGTCTAATGTGACATTTACGAATGTTATAGCTGTATCTTTATCTTTACTTTCCTCGTCTGACAGGAGGTTAATAATATTATAGCACTTGAGCTTGTCAAAATAGCCTGGCTTGTAGAAATTTGTTTCGATGTCTGCTAGGCTATCATACGATTAAGGTTTGTAAGCATGACAAGGTTTTTATAGATTTGGTTTCGTGATAGTGGACAAGACGGTTGTGACTTTTGGTCTGAGTTGCGCTGCTTTAAGTATGTCTCTTGCTGCTTTCCATGTTGTTAAAGTGTTATCATAACGTTTGTTGACGGTCTAAATATCTGTTTGGATATCTGCTGCGAGGTCGAGATTTTTTCTTAGGGTCGGGTAATGTGTCTTATAATCTACAGTTAGAATAGCGGTGTATACACTCTAGGGCTCATCTATTAGACTTTTTAATGACGGATTTAGTTCTTGAAGAAGTTCTATGTCCGGAATGTGGGATTGGTGCTCAATAGTAGGAGTATTCTTGCTAAAGGCTGGATGGTCTATTATGCGTTTGAAAGAGAGTCTGCCGGTATCACATGCCAGGCAGAGCTCGAATACCTTGGTGGCAATTCTGTCGAAGCTCTCCCTTCAGGCTTGGCTGTCTTGTTCACTCGGGAATATGGTCTAGGTCGAGAGGACTGTACCTTGCAAATGCAGCTTAGTGGCAGCTTTCTGCTACTGCCACACCCGGCATGGATATAGGTGCTTTCAGATTTTAGACCACGACACATGTAGAATATTGGTTGGAATGTATCTGTGTGATATAATCAGGATTTGGAAGGACGCAGATTTGGCCCATTTAAACATTCGAAATTTGTATCTCTGCTGGCTTGTTTCCGCGATGTCGGGTAGTGGCACGTCCGGAAAAGGGGCCTGGAAGCCGTATAGGCACAGATACCAAAGCTCTCCACTGTAATACAGCGAATATATGGCTATGCTATGAGGCCATGTTGTTTTGGGTCTTCGGAACAACCGTTATATTTTGATATGATTCGGGTCTCATTTCTTCGGCCGGATGGATATTCAACATGTCGGATGAGGCATAGTATTTAGGAATTCTTCCACATCTTCTGGAGCTCCAAACGGGGTTCTCTCACATAAGTGTGTGAAACCCCACCAGCCGTACTTTTAGAGTTGGCAATGCTCGATGGATCGGAGGTCATGTCTGAGAACGTGAGGTTGAAACAGCTTGAACGATGAAGTGAAGAAAATTGCAGGTGAATGAAATTTGGCAGTAGAAAACGCTCGATGTCCAGCCTCAGTTGGGTTGAAGGTCAATCCGCGTAGAATATCACAAAGCTTGTCAAGAAGTATCATTGGGCTAATGTTGATTCTCAGTGGGAAATGTCATGGATGGTCAGGATAAGTTACGAAGACAACGCGCAAGTATACGGCACCACATTGTTGGGATGTCGAAGTTTGAGTATGGCATGGAAAGGAACAAAGGAAGAGAAGTGCACTCAGCACTTCGCTTGCAAGGCAGACGCCCAGGCCATGTCAGAAATAGGAAATTTCAGACCAATTGCCGTGGCCTCCCTGTCCATCGGCGATCCGGGTGTTTCCAAACGAACGTGGTACGAAGATGGAAAATAAAAAGAAAGAATATACTGGATCTTTCGTTACGATTACACAACCAAAGGAGGTATTCCGCAGGAGATTCAACCAGTGTCCGTGTGGACGAGTTGTGCCCATGTTCGAATAACGAAGGATTAAAGGAGACAAGAATCATATTTGTAGGCCAGAAAACTATCGACTCAAGAAAGAAAAGTGCAGGGCTGTTATTTCTCGTTAACGTACCACAGGATCTCGAAAGGAAAACGTCTGGAGGTGTCCTGGAGTGATGGGTCATAGCATTGTCATATCACCCGAGGCAGGCATGGGGGCTTCAATCAAAATGTTCACCCAGACAGAGGAAACAGCAAATCGGAAAAGGAAGAGCAAAAAAAAGAGAAGCAAAATCGAGGTCGGATCATACACCAACTCCGTGAGGACAAGACAGAAAACAGAAAGGAAATGGTTCTCCTGTATGCAGAGATAAGAATAAAGTGGGCACCTCTGGGGGATAGTAAAAGGGTTATTGTGACAACTTGACATCATGAACAGAAGAAGAGAAGATGGGCTTTTTGTGCAGACCGAATGCTTCAGGCTTGACTTAAAACATCAGAGATCGTGTCTTCTGGTGGCGAGCGTCGGCGCTAGTCATTTCCGGTTGAGAGTTTGTGTGTTTGTGGCGAGGCTGGAAGGTGGGAGACGCCTGCGCTCCCAATCCTGCAGATGTTGAAGGCCCTGCCATGACGGCGCTTCGCCTCTTCCCTGTTGGTGAACCAGAGGCTACGGGAATACTGCTACCCCGTGGAGGGAGGCTCTCGGCGGCTTGGCGTCGCGAAGCGAGACTGCGCTCACGCTTAAGAACAAAGTCTGCCCAGGGCTTCACAGATCCATTTCCGGCGGAAGCTCCTTTGCCCACAGCCTCCGACATCACTCGCAGCCAGCCGTCTTTGTCAGCAGCGCTGTCCGCGTAGAAATCAATCACTTCACCGTTGCCAAAGCGAATACGGAAGCCTTCTTCCACAAACATGTAGCCTTCTTCTTCCTCGGCGAAGGCAGACTTTCGGCGACCACCACCACGGGTGCTTGTTTCTTTTTGGGTGAGGGATGGCCTGTCATCAATAAGCTTGGCTGCCTTTGCGAGGTTGATAGTGGCACGGGGCTGTCTCGTTGTCTCATGATAAGCAGTCAACTTGGATCCTTGCAATTTGAAGAAACGACGGCGCCAGAACTAGTTCCGAGTCAGTGAAAATTCCGGGGTTTGGAATGAAGAAATGGACTTACTGGGCAGTCACCACCTTGTTGAGACAAGAATCCCTCCCAGGAACGAGAGGCAATACTCTCTGCATCACGCATCTCGCGGATGCAGGCGTTCATGCTCTTGGGCATGTCTTCATCCTTGGCACCCTTCGGCTTGGGGACAAAGAGTAACTGCAGCTCCAACTTGCCAATTCGGTATGGCGCACGGCGCGAGGCGGTGACACTAGTAGCACTTTTCTTGCTCTTCACGCTGCTAGGCTGCTCGTCAACCGCCCATTCATTGAAACATGGAACATCAACGGTGTAAGGACGGCCAAAGGCGTACTGCTCGTGGTCGCTGAGGGCAATGTAGCTACGGCCGAAGCTACCGTCGCGGGCAACAAGATTGCGAAGGCGGTCCCAGACGGGTGCATTGACATCCTTGGTCTTGGCTTGTTGAGACTGCAACTGCTGCTTGAGATCAAGTTCCTTGCGGCGGCGCGGCGATGCAAAAACGCGGCTCAACGCCGAACCCTTCTGGCGAGATGGAGAGCTTGGGTTCTCCTGAGGGTAAAGCTTGTTCTCATCGACCTTCATCTGTAGGGTCAATTGGAATTCAAGATCATTCTGAACAATCAGCTCGAATTCCTGTCCGATCGGAGCAGACTTTCCTAGCTCGAGCCAAGAGGTCGTAACACAGTGCAGGCCATTGTCCAAAGTGAGCGCAAAGTATGATCGCTCGCCTAATAACGTTAGTTTTGCTATTTCTGAGTGTTGATATAGCTGAAGACTTACCTTTCGGGAGAGGCAGATCCAGGTACTTGATTCCGACAACCTTGACGAATAGGCGACCTCTCTCCTCGCCCTCCTCGTACGTTTCTTGAGGAATTGACTCGCTCTCCTCGAGAGAAGATGCGTCCTGTACATTACTGGACTGGCCAGGGAGGGGCGGGACGGATCCAGATCCAGGAACGGGCTTCTTCTTGGGAACGGCTCCAGCCAATTTCACACTCGGACGACGGGGCTGGCTATTCCAGGGAACAGTAGTCCACGTCTGCTGACTGGCTTTCCTTGGAGAAGAACCAGCAGAGCGCGTCCCTCGGGGGTCATGTGCCTCTGATTCCGCCGCAAGAACAGAATCATCATCATTGCGGTTGCTAGCAATGACAACCTTGGTGTTTTGGCGCATAAGGTACCCTCTCTGTCGTAATGAACGGTGGTTAGCTATTTTTGCAAGGTCAAGTGGATTGGTGGCTCCTGGGTCCTGGGTCGCCAGAGGTTCCTGGTCCTGGTCCTGAAAGGGAATGCCGGGGGTAGAAGCAGATAGGGGAAGGGCGAGGTTAAACGCAACCTTTTGAGATTCGATGACACGGTCAAACTCTTTATCGAGTCCAAATCCTAGGCTTTCCTCTTGGATGCTGAATGGAATGTCCAGTTTCATCAAACTACTTTGGCGTTGAGCCGAGTGGTCGGGGAGTTCCAATTTGGGTGCTGATCCAGAACCATTGGACTTGCCCGACTTTTTGGACGCCTGATCGGACTTTCCAGATTCATTTGATAATGTCTTAGTGAGTTGCGGCATTGGCGGAGGCTGTTGACCGCTGATCTTGCGACGAGTGGCCGCCATAGATTCCATATCAGCCGGAGTGAGCGAGGGTCGAGTCTTGAGACCCATGCCAGGGGCACGGATAGTAGCGATGGGTTCAGGCACAGACTCATCTGACGAGCTCTCTGCTTCCTCCTGCTCCTCGCCGGATCCCTCCTCGCCCTCCAGTGGGTGGCGAATGACGGAGTTGGGGGGTTGATGGCTCTGAGGTAGGCTCCTCTTTGATCTCCGGAGTGACAGGGCGCCCCAGAGACTGACGGATTGAGGCCATGTTCAAGGGCTGATCTTCGGCGGCCTTATCCTCTAGGGCTTCTTCAGGGTCATTATCGTGCCCTTCATCGTGGCCATCTCCAGGCACGGGCGTAGTTTGACCAGAGGACTCCTGGCCGTCAGTCTGGGCTGGGGCGGCCTCCGCCGCGGATCGCAGTGAATAGTTGCTATCTTCGTCATACTTGGCCCGCTGGTCATGAGAAGACAGACTGTTGTCAGACATGCTTTGATAGAAGTCTGGAATCGTGTACAAGTCATCATCATCGCGTGCTTCCTCCTTAATTATCACGCTTGAGGAATCATCATCTTCTTCATCTTCGTCTTCTCCTTCATGATCATAGTCGGTTTCAAGCGAGGGGATCGGAACGTCGGGGTCATAGTTATTGTACGAATTAGGGCTGGATGCAATGTGGGAGTCATCGTCGAAGATTCCGTCATCTTCATACTCATCATCTTTCCGAATATCTTTCAAGATGGAGTCTCGGGAGATGCGGGGTGGTGAAAAAATGGCATCATTGGTGGCTGACTCCCCTGCACTGCCATCGTCATTGGTTGCGCATTTCTTATCTTCTGCATTATCAGATGGCTTGCTGTGTTCCTCTTTGTTTTCCTCATCTTCATCATGCTTGTCTTTCAACATCATAAGGCGAAGTCGTTCCTCTAGGGACATGGCCCCATTGATGTCCGATTTCGCACACGAGGCAGGAGCAAGAGGAGCCGGTACTCCTCGCTGGCTACCATTGCCAAACTCGAAGGCGCTAGCAAGCTTACCAGCCGACGATGGTCGCGCGCCAGAAAGTCGATTCACAGAGGGTAAAGGTGGAAGTGGACGACGGTCTCCGTTCGAATCCAAGGAGTCGACCCGGCTGTGGCTGCTTGTATCGCCTTCTCGTGAAACAGGACGTTCATCATCTGTATGGTTCTCCTCGTGTTCTGTGAAGCTGTCCTCGTCCTCAGCGCTCCCTGGACTCATGAAGCGCCAATCTTCAGGCATGACGACCGGAGTCTTCTCGATATCCTCAAGAGAAGCATCGAAGCTATCGTCTCGGTCCATCGAGTATTCAAAATCGAATGCAGAAACGTCATCCTCTTCTGAATCATAGCTATTCTCGCGGGACCCAGAGGCAATAGAAGATGGATCAGGTGTTCGCATCTCGTATTCATTGACTTGTGGTGGGGCGGCATCAAATGTCACACTCTTCGCATGACGATGACCTGCGCTATCATATTCTGACCAGATTTCTGAGGGATTGAATCCTTTGCCATATCGGCTACCCTTTGAGAGAGATGATTTGCCAGGGGAGGGTTGATCCTTGCTTGGTGATGGCGGTCGGGGGATCTGGCCTTCTACGTCCTCGTCTTCTTTGACGAATTGAGATTTCGCGAGGTTTTTTTGGCTCTCGCGGTTTGGCGACCGATCCGCTCCGAGCGGTCTCACGGGAAGCGAAACCTGTGCTGGGTCGTATTCTTGTCCACCTTCGCGGAACATATTATGATTCTTGACTCGTGACACGCGTTTTAAATCCTCAAGCGATGGACGCTTGGCGGGGAAATAGGAACCCTCTGGGTCGTAAGGCATACGATTCTCGGCGCCTTTGGAAAAAGGTGTTGGGGAATCGCGACCCTTCCAGAAGAGTCGCGGGGAGGCAGTGTTGTTCAAAGGTGATGCATCGTACGCCGCCGACTCGCCATTCGGAACCTGCAAATGTCATTTAGTTCATGGGCGAAAGACAAGGTAGGGTATTCTCGATCATACCTTCGTGTTTTGGTTCAAGATAGGAGAGTTGCGCCGCTGTGCCATCGGGCTCACTTCGGAGAGTGGCCGTTGGCCCAGTCCACCAGCCATTGCTATGGTGTCAAGAGTTTCTGGTATTTGCAAGCCAGCAAGTTATTAAACCCAGGTCAGGAGGATGTCTGTCGCTTGTTGTCAGTCGTGGCGCATAACGTTTGTTGATCGATTCGAAGAAGCCAAGCAAGGTAGATCGGGGTGATGGGCCGAAGGCCCGATAGCAGACAACATACCTTTGCCAATGAATACCAGAGCCGCGTGGGTACTGTTAGCCAGCGACCTAGCAGAAAAGCCCTTAAGGTAGGAAAGTTGTTGATCTCCTCTGGAATGTAGAATGCGTCACCACACAGTTGGCTTGTCAACAGCTGCAATAAGACCAATGGTTAAGATAAGAAGGGATAACGAAGGGATGTGAAAGGATAAACAGGGGAGTCAGATCACGATATCTATTTCCATGGAACAGAGAGTGGGTTTGTTACCCCGAAAGCAAGTCAAGTTGTTGACAGTTGCGGGCAGGGCGGGTGGTCTCCATGGCAACGACGATGAAACGGGGACGTGCGGGCGTTAGCGCCTTGGTTGCCAGATTTGATGCCTGATTTATGCCTTGTGGCCATCTGGACCCCTTATCTCTTATCGTCGCCCACTGCCACCTGATATATCAGGCATCGGTGACATATTGCGCTTTGCTTTATCGGGTATAGTGTCTCCTTCTCCTGATAACCAAGTTTTTTTTGGATGACCTTGGCGACAGCTTTACATCTCCGTGGCCCATTGTCTATTTGCGCAGGCATCATGCCTCTGCCTACCCGCCTTTCAACCTGCTTGCTGTGTCAATCACGGCCAAGTATTCTCTCATCCCCCGTTTTATTTGCAACATGGCAGACCACAAGAACAATGGCAACGGCGCGACAACGCCGCAGAGTTGCTCGCATGGCACTATCCCCGAATGTCGCCAAACAGAATTTGGATAAGCCACGCCGTGGGAGAAGCCAGGACGGACCCTTCGCAGGAATGAATCAGACAAGAGCACGTATTCCAGATGCCCCACGGCCCCGATCCCAAGCCGCCCTCAAGCGATCCGGCGAAGACCCCAAGACCAAAAAGGCCGAAAGTCCATTGTATAAAGCTCTCAAAATGCAAACGTCTTTATCTCCCATTACCTATAGCCGCCGCACTGCCATCAAATCGAAGATTGCAAACATCACTAGCTTCGACCATTTCCCGCTGTTGCCCACGATTCGCCAGTCGATCTTCACGCAGGCCCTTCCTGGCCTGGTGGACGCCACTCCTACACCTATCCAGCGACTCGCGATCCCTCAGCTCCTAGATAACAAACCGAAAACGAGGAAGTCCGTCCCCAAGGGAACAGAAGACACCCTCGAATGCGAAAAATACCTGCTAGCGGCTGAAACGGGCTCGGGCAAAACGCTTGCATATCTCTTGCCAGTCGTGGACGCCGTCAAGCGGTCGGAGGCCGTAGAGGCCGAGGAACAAAAGATCGCTGAACAAGAAAAAGCGAAAGAAAGGGAAGAGAGGTTGAAAAACCGAACCTTCGAGCTTGAACCGGAAGAGCCCCCTATGACCAACGCTGGCCGGCCCAAGGCTATCATCCTTGTTCCAACATCCGAGCTCGTCGCTCAGGTCGGAGCAAAGGTGAAAGCGCTTGGCCACACTGTCAAGTTCCGGTCTGGAGTCATTTCGTCGAATCTCACCCCTCGTCGCATCAAAAATACCTTGTTCCACCCTGATGGCATTGATGTTCTAGTATCGACACCCCATCTTCTGGCTTCCATCGCGAAAACGAACCCTTATGTCCTCAGCCGGGTTAGCCACCTCGTCCTTGACGAAGCTGACTCTCTAATGGATCGTTCGTTCCTCCCTACTACGATGGAAGTTGTGGACAAAGCGGCTTCCTCGCTCAAGAAAATGATTTTCTGCTCGGCGACCATCCCCGAAGTCTCGACAACCAGCTGAGGAAGCGGTATCCCGATCTCCGAAGACTTACCACTCCCAACCTGCACGCCATTCCTCGTCGAGTACAGCTGGGCGTTGTAGATATTGATAAAGAGCCTTATCGTGGAAACCGCAATCTGGCCTGTGCAGATGTGATCTGGTCGATTGGAAAAGCTGGCGAATCTAGCGACGGCGAAGACTATGGCACTCTTGCATCCTACATGCCTCCGAAGGTCAAGAAAATTCTTGTCTTCGTCAACGAGCGTGATGAAGCCGAGGAGGTCGCTAAGTTCCTGGCGTCCAAGGGTATCGACGCTGTGTCCTTGTCGCGTGACTCCGGTTCCCGTAAGCAAGAAGAGATTCTCGCCGACTTCACGGAGGTCGACCAACCACCGACCGCTGAAGAAGTTACGCTTGCTCGGAAGCAGGCTCGTTCCGAAAAGTCAATCCCATTTGTCATGTCCGAGAAGAAGCCTGCGGTGGTTCGTCACCTCGAAAATACCAAAGTCCTGGTCACTACAGATATTGCCTCCAGAGGTATTGATACTCTGGCTGTGAAGACTGTCGTGCTCTACCACGTCCCTCACACAACGATCGACTTCATCCACCGCCTGGGTCGTCTCGGTCGCATGGGCAAGCGTGGCCGTGGTGTTGTTCTTGTTGGCAAGAAAGATCGGAAGGATGTTGTGCGTGAGGTTCGCGAGGGCATGTTCCGTGGACAGGCACTGATATGATATATTTGCATCATGTATAACACTTGTACCATATTTTGGCGTTTTACGAAGACTCGGTCTTATTTCAGGTGGGCAAACGAGAATACCCGACGGACTTGGCTACATTCATAGCGCTGTACAATTATATAGAGCCTCATTTCTACTCCTGTTCTTCTTTTGTTCTTCGCCGGCTGTTCATGCTAGATGAATCTGGGCCTCGTCTCACCCGGGACTAGTGACATACCAGAGATATATTCGAGGGAACATAAGAAATGAGAGCCATGGAAAATGCCCTTTTAGGAGTCATCAACTGCGTATCAACCAACTCAAAGATACCGGTACCATTATGTTTTTCAAGTCTTTGTATTCCTCATATAATCAGCAATATGCAAATGACAAGAATAGCCACGTTGAACAGAGAATTTTGCAATGCCGGTAGTTGTACTAATACTAGTAGTGCATCGAAGGCCTGTCCCGGTTATATATTCCTAGTATGTGTGGGCATAGCGGTTTCGAGCAGGCCATAACCTAGAATTTGAAACGTCAAGTCATTCTGGAGTGGGCAAACGAGTTCACAATTCTCCATGAGACTACTCATCCCAGGGAGGCACATAACTTTCGCAATCTATAAGTTCAATATTGTTTTCTCAATGCATGGTGTTTTCTCGTGCTCCCACCGGCCGTACCCACCAGCTGTATATTATGACAACAGCCTCCAAAAGTATGGATATAAAACTATTTGGTCAATCCTGGTTCTTTGCAGATTGGTCTTGTGTCTAGGTAAAGTTATTTCGCTAAATAATTGACCAGGTATGGCCCTCGCTGGGCACAGGCAACCGCTCCATCGACATTATACAAACCATTCACAGCAGAAGGAGGGATAAGAGTGTCGGCGATCCATCAATTCTCATCAGCCGTGAATGTAGCCTGTTATCCCTGGAAATGGCCAAGACCCAACCCCCAGCCGATGCCAAGGGCAGAGAAGTGGTTGGCATGAGAGGGAGAAGCATAGTCCCTTAGCTCCAGAGCGAGTCAGCTTCTATCTATTCAGATCAATTTGTCGAGGGGTGGGACATGATTAGCCGAGCTGTAATGGGCAAGGGCAAAAATGAAGCTGTCTACATTCGTTCACAAAGAAGGGGGGGGCCATGGGTGAAAGGCTATGATCACGGGGGCCCTTTGTTCTCGACAGGGACCCAGGGAGGGTCCATTACCTGGCTTCGAAACAACCGGATAGGTCAAAAGAGTTGTTGGAATTGTGGGACTGGTGCATGGTGGATACGCGATTGTACCCCTGCATCTGTCGCTTGGATAACTCATTGCAGCGATGGAAGAGCAGATGCCTAATATGGGTGGATGGATTGCGAGTACTGGAAGAACGGTATCACAGAATTACTCGGAGACATTTTCCGAGACCCCGCACTGATATGATCGTGAGGAAGTAGAGCTGTAGTTAAGTCGAGAATAATGGCTGTTTGGCCTACACACTGAGATTGCAGTATACTGGCAAATTTGTATTTTATTATGTCGCCTGTAGAAGGAAAGACATACATTGCTTCATGAGGTCAAAAATATGCCAGCCAATCACGAACTCCCGCTGGTGGTCCAGTTGGTCAGGGCATCTGACTGTAATAGCAATTATTGAAATCAGAGAGTCGGCGGCTCGAATCCGCCCCAGCGGAGTTGCACCCTTTCTTTTTTTACCCCCTTTAATTCTTGACATTCCTTGCATTCTGCCCCCCATTGCGACATTCCCTGGAGCTACTTTCTTATCCCTTCAATAATAGCATATCATGAAATGGATGGTTAGTTCTGTCCTACGATTTTATTGTTCCAAAGCGCGCATCTTTACTGTGTGGACCAAAAAAGGAAGTGAAAGGCGCCAAAAAAAAAAAGGTTAACTCCGCTGGGGCGGATTCGAGCCGCCGACTCTCTGATTTCAATAATTGCTATTACAGTCAGATGCCCTGACCAACTGGACCACCAGCGGGAGTTGATACAACAGATCAAAATTTTGCCAACTTGGAGTCAACCGTTTGCTTGCTACACGCAAACCAGCTTAAAACTCATATAACTAATTTTAACTCAACATCCACAGGAAAGAGCGCTTTGGTCAATCTTAGAGATTGGGTGAATAGAAGGAACATAATGACCATCACGCTATCCTTGCAAACCTTCATTCTAATCTAATTCGAGTTCTGGCTGGTTCGCAGAATAAATTCATGGTACACAGCCGAGGATATATATGCTTTCCCCGGGCAGGAAGACAGATAGCCAGGCACTTTCACCATGCAACCAAACTAGTAACCCCATGTATTGCAAATATCTTCTCTGACATTCACGTAGATAACAAATATTGCGATCGAGTTACACTGCATTGAGTCTGACCCATCTGCATGAAGTTGGTGCTTAGATGATCTATTGGAGTTCTGTCCATGCGCAAGCCCCTTCTTATACAGCTAAAATGGCATGTCAAAAACAAAACCAGAAAAGAACACAAAAATGCAACCTGAATATTTTGCGACCCCTCTTAGTACCGAGGTCGCCGACTCGTGCATTTCCCATAGGTGGTATCGAGCCTAGCGCAAATGCACCTCCTTTGTTCCGTCCCGTCCAAGTTCCCCCGAAAAGGGCAACCGTAAGAAAGAGAAGAACGAGATCCGTGGACCATTTCTATACCGCAAAAATAAATTGGAAGTATTATTTCTCTGTTTTATCTGTCAATTATGCCTAGAAGTGTAGGTACGACGAATAGCCGCATACCTCCCGCCTCCATGAGCGCCAGACAGATTACCACAGTGGGATCGTGTAACCTCACATACTCTAGATAGAAAGGTAGAGTATTGAGATAAGAAGATCGAGAGTAGAAAAATATTACCTGAAGGGGGTATCTGATTGCGCGTGGGAAATAACATCCACAAATGATCTCCAGCCTAGGCGCATTTTCGAAAGATAGCAAGACAAAGAAGGTTGCAAGTCAAAGACAAGAGGTTGTCTAGCTGGGACGGCCTCGGATAATTTTTTCCACACTCGGAAATATGATGCTAGGTCTTGGAGAGATTTCACTGAATGAATCCAAGTGCCTTATTACAATCCGCAGTTACATTCCTGTAAGAGTCTGAAGCCAGGAGACCACCCCTGTGGTATTTAGTATAACCCTCTAATAAATGCCATCCGATCACAAACTCCTTAAATCTGCCCCCCCTCCGCATTGTCACCGCGGGGTCAAATTGTCAAAGAGCATTAAATGTCCGGTTCGAATCCTCTGCGTCGCCAAGTTATGTAGGAAAATTCGGACAAGGCTAATTCATCATGAAACTGCTCCTAATTTTGACATTTCTGTTCTCCGCCAACGCTGTCAACTTGTGCCCACTCCTTGGGCCCAGTTGGCCTGCTCCTACGAACCTCTCCAGTGATGCTACGTTCAACCTGGCATTGCAGAATATCACCACGAATATTCAGAATCTCATCGAATCAGGAAAATTCGCCGGGAACTCGTTGTCTTTGCAAGTTTTCGATAAAAGCGAATCAGTTCCATTGCTGAATTTCTCTTACACCGACCCCTCTATAAATACCACCATTGGCGTTACTACGGTAGACCAGAACACCGTCTTCCGTATTGGAAGTACTTCAAAAATATTCACAGCTTTCTTGCTCCTCATCAAGGATCGATTTCATACGTTTAACGATCACGTGTCCAACTACATCCCAGAGATCCGAGACGCCGAGTTTGAACTTTTTAATAATGCTACGAAGAGGGAAGACGGCATTGACTTCATCAAGTGGAATGAAATAACGGTGAGAGAGTTGGTGAGCCATCTGGCCGGCCTGGCAAGAGATTGTAAGCATGAACCTTAGGAATCCCCTTTATGAACCTACGGCAAAGCTGACTAGACTGAAGATGGTACCCTTGATCTTGCCGAGAAGGCTCCCCTGCTTGAGTCTTTGGGATTCCCAGCCTTGGACCCCGCAGAAATCCCACCCTGCGGTGTCCCGAATCCGTGCAATAGGACACGTAGGTCAAAGAGTTGCATTAAATCTCGTTTCATATCATCTGATGGATACTCTCGCCTCTAGAATTTTTCACTGGGCTGTTCCAAGCCCACCCTATCGTATCCGTATCTTCGACTCCGATTTACTCCAATGCGGCCTTTCAAATCCTTGGCTACCTTGTTGAAGCATTTTCAAGCTGGGATTTCGAGGACGTGCTGAAAAGAGACATCATCGACCCACTGGGACTTTCTCACACTTTCTATACGCCTCCAGATACTGCAATCGGGGTAATCCCTGCTCCACAAGGAGAATACTGGTGGAATTTTGCTTTCGGAGATGAGGGGCCGTAAGTAGCTCTGAGATCTTGACAGGGAGAGGAAGCTGAAATAGATACAGGGCTGGAGGTATCTTCTCAACGGCAAATGATATGGCGAGTCTAGGCCGTGCCATACTCAACAATATCCTTTTATCACCCTTGAACACACGGCGTTGGTTGAAACCTCAAAGCCACACGTCATCCCTTGAATACGGTGTTGGTTCTCCATGGGAGATAGTCTCGTTCAAATATGAGCGACCAATAGATCTCTACACTAAATCAGGAGATGTTGGCACTTACTCAAGCGTATTTGCTCTGGACCCAGACCACGATGCAGGCTTTGTGATTCTCGCTGCAGGAAACAACACGCATGAGCTCGGGGCACTCAGCGCGGACACTATTTCTGAAACACTTCTGCCTGCTCTTGAGGAAGCTGCTAAGAGGCAGGCCAACACCCGTTTCTCGGGCACATATTCTCAGAACAATAGTAATTCGTCGATTACTATTGCCACAGACGATGGCCCCGGTCTGGTCGTCACGAAGTGGTCTAATAACGGGACCAACATGCTCCAGAGCTATGCCACTCTAAACGGGTTCACTGATCCTTCACAACTTGACATTCGCTTGTACCCTACAGGGCTTACGAGCCCGGGCCAGCTCTCTTTCCGGGCCGTCATCCCCCCGTTGCTGCCAGACGGTATTGGTCCGTTCACCTCCTCCTGTATTACTTGGGTGACCCTGGATTCCCACATCTATGGAAATATTGGACTGGATGAGTTCGTATTCGGTATAGGCGATGATGGTACTGCAGATAGCATATCTCCCAGGGCGTTGCGCATTATTCTGCCCAAGACAAGCTGAATGTTGGGACAGAGGGTTGGTAGTCAGGACTATTGATTCAACTCAATTATAAATGGAAAATAAAAAGGCTTAGGATTTTCCTTTGCATATTGTGTATAGCCATATTAGATGCGCCAAGAATGCTGTGTTATTGATGGTCACCGAATCGCGCTAAGGGACATGTAGACGCGTTGTTTGGTAGTGGTTGTGAGCTCAATGGACGGGCAAACGGGGTCAGAAATCAGCTAGGATTTATGGACCGAAGCTATCATTAGCGCCTTCTGCTGAAATGTTTCGACTGGTCTTGGTTATACTGAAGTGTGCAGCCCTGGAGGCTACGGACTACCCCCCATCTAAGGGCAGATAAGATATGATATCACCACGTGACTGATCCACTTGATTGACTTTTTTTCTCTCAGCTCCCTCTGCCACCGCCGAGTACAGTGTCGCCCACACCGATAGTTGGTCCCAATTCTTGACCTGTCACTGTCAAGATGAAGTACGTTCTGGTTTCTGGAGGTATGTGGCTCTTTGTGTCGCTTGCGTTACACCATTGTTCTATTCCTTCTGACAATCGTTCGCATCCTAGGTGTCATCTCCGGCGTGGGGAAGGGCATTATTGCCTCCAGCACTGGTCTTCTCCTCAAGACTACTGGCCTCACAGTCTCGAGCATCAAGATTGACCCGTACATCAATATCGATGCCGGTACCATGGCGCCTACCGAGTCAGTATCCGTGATCCGACAATTCGGGGACGACCAACTTATTAACACCACCTGATCATACTAGGCACGGCGAGGTCTACGTCACAGATGATGGTGGTGAAATGGATCTCGATCTCGGAAACTACGAGCGCTACCTCCTGACTTCGCTTACCCGGGACCACAACATCACCACCGGAAAGGTCTACCAGAACGTCATCAACAAGGAGCGTATTGGCCACTACCTGGGCAAGACTGTTCAGGTTGTGCCCCATGTGACCGATGCGATCCAGGAGTGGATCGAGCGAGTGGCTAGAGTTCCAGTTGACGAATCCAACGCCGAGCCTGACGTGTGTATCATTGAGCTGGGTGGCACGGTTGGAGATATCGAGAGCGCGCCTTTCATCCACGCCCTCAGCCAGCTCCAACGACGGGCTGGAAAGGGTAACTTCGTCCAGATCCACGTTTCCTACGTCCCTGTCATCCCCCCCGGGCCGGGCGGAGAACAGAAGACGAAGCCCACCCAGCGCGCTATGAGCGATGTGCGTAGCGCGGGTCTCAACCCAGACCTTATCGCATGTCGTTGCGAACAGCCGCTCGACCAAAGTACCATCAACAAGATTGCCAACATGTGCTCTATCGAGCCATACCAGGTGATCGCAGTGCACAACGTGACTACCACATACCACGTGCCCCTTCTGCTCGAGAAGCAGGCGCTGATTGATACCATCAGCCAAATGCTCGACCTCCGTGCACCGGGTATGAAGCGTGACCCGGAGCTTGTCGCGCAGGGTAAATCTATGTGGAAGGACTGGGTGTCTCCAGCCCGAGGCCAAGACTTCCTCCACGACACTGTGAAAATTGCTCTGGTCGGAAAATACACTTCGCTTCACGACGCCTACATTAGTGTCGGGAAGGCTCTCGAGCATGCAGCTATGTACTGCCACAAGAAGATCCAAATTATCTGGGTCGACTCCTCACACCTTGAGGATGAGTCGGCATCGCCTGCCGACTACCATAAGGCGTGGCACTCCGTCTGCACCGCCGACGGTATTCTCGTCCCAGGTGGCTTCGGTATTCGCGGCTGTGAGGGTATGATGAAGGCCATTACATGGGCACGTACTCAGAACAAGCCTTTCCTTGGTGTCTGCTTGGGTATGCAGCTGGCTGTGCTGGAGTACTGCCGCAACGTGGTTGGCGTTGACGATGTGGGCAGCGAGGAACTTCACCCATCGGCCGAAAACCACGCCATCGTTTACATGCCCGAGGTTGACAAGGGCAAGCTCGGCGGAACCATGCGACTGGGCAAGCACCCTTGTATCTTTCAGGAGGGCACCGAGTGGTCGCGCCTGCGGGCTCTCTACGGGACCTCTGTTTCACAGATCGAAGAGCGTCACCGTCACCGTTACGAAGTCAACCCTTCTTACATCGAGAAGATTGAGAAGGCTGGTCTTTCCTTCATCGGCAAGGATGTCAAGGGCGAGCGTATGGAGATCGTCGAGATCAAGGATCATCCCTGGTTCGTGGGCGTGCAGTTCCACCCCGAGTATCTGAGTCGTGTGTTGAGCCCAAGCAAGGCCTTCCTTGGGTTCTTTGCCGCTGCCGCTGGATGCTTGCCTGAGGTCGTTGAGGCAACCAACCGGGGCCAACGAAGCATCGGAAGAAAACAATAGACATGATATAATGGGTGGTGGTGCCCTACCGGAGTTTTATTGGCATTGTCTTTTTGTTGCTCGTGGAGTTGGACTTTTGTTTTCCTTTGGAGGCTTGGGATGATCCTTGGCTTTTTTCCCTGGTGTAGATAGAACATCGCATTCGACGTCTGATATGAGTCAATTATTGAGTCCCCTTATTTGTAGTATGGACTGAGGAGACTCTTAACAGTGTCAATAAACTTGGATACCGACTAGATTGGTAACTTCTAGTAGCTGCTACGTGGCGAGTGTTGATTACTGCCACTAGTGCGGATTCTTGTCAACTAGACGCTCTCCAAAACTACAGCCTACGGTAGTTTATTAAGTCGAATTTGCACCCTACTGCATGTCCATCCATTCCAGTATTTACCAGCATCCGCAGAAGATGGATTGATGGGGAATACAGATAAAGAAGGGTCAGGTAGTGGTATAATTGAAGCGGAAGAATTGAAGCCAGTCTGTAGGAGCCCTAAGGGTTGGATCAACGCCGTTCGTCCATTCTCTCTACAATCTCTTCAATTTTTTGCGACCTTCCCAATCTACCCCTCCAATACTCAATCTGGCTAAGCGAGCCCCCCAATGCGACGTTCCCTCGCATCTGCAGCCTGCGGCAGCAGAGAAGACGTGATTTGCCGGCGTTGTAACACCAACCTAAACTGGTTAAGCTTTATCGGCATTTCCAACTAAAATTGTGCCATTTCTTCAGCTTTGCGCCTTGCGATATCTGTCCCCCCCAGTTAATCCACCTAAATCATTTCCTTCGTAGGTCTAGGAGGTCAGGTTTTTGATTTCGCTAGTCGCTTCAGCAGCCCCCCCTCAATCCTCATCGACGGTGCAGATCGCACCATGTGATGTGATACTAGGTCGACTTTAGCGCGCTGCGACAATTAGTTTCTGTGGCGATTGCAGGACAGGAGTTTCTTGAAGTACATTAGATCGTTCAATAAGAAGCTTATCTCTTCCTTGATTGTCCATTCCCTCTTTTCTCCCTGGTCCCCCTTCTTCGTACTTGTCGCGCGATCGCGTCATCAGACGGACATATCTTTTGTACGACGCCAATCAGGTCTTCCCCATTCGATCAATAGGCGAATACACACGCTGCAGGTATCTTTGGTGCTACTTCAGTGTATGCTCTCGTCCACAAGATGGCGGAGCAAGTGAGCGTCGTCTCCGAGCAGGGCTACCAGCACCTCTCAAAAAAAGAAATTAATACTCCTGAGCTAGAGTCCCCTGAGATAGAGGACAAATTGCCACACGACGCAAAAGCAACAGAATTATCGTCGTCTGACGAGGGTGACGCAGCCGGGTTCCAAGGCGACGACAAGGAAGAATACGTCAAGGGACATCCCGTCATTCGCAATGGTGAGTTTCAGTTTTTACCTTCTATGCCTGTCATGCTCACAGATCTTAGGCTTGGATGTATCCAAATTCCTGGTTTCGACTCGCGACGATGGCGACCCTTCGCTGACATTCCGCTCTATTGTCCTGGGGACCCTGTTTACGGCTCTGTCCAGTGTGATCACCATGCTCTATACTTTCAAGCCGTATCAGGTGCAAGTCTCTGCTGTCTTTCTGCAATGTATGGATTTAGCATATGAGAGATATGTTCGTGACGACATGCGCTGACAATGACTAGTGTTGGTCTTCGTGTTTGGGGAACTTTGGGCCGTCCTCACACCGAGCCCCGATCGCTTCAACTCGAAATGGCTGCAGGCGACGCTCCGGTTTTTAAACTTTGGGCAAAAGTTCCAGATTAAGGAGCATGTTATTGCATCACTGATTGCATCTTCCGGCAACAACGGCCTAAGTGGCATCGAAGTTTTCGCCGTCGAACGACTCCTATACGATAAGGTTATCTCTGCATCGACCGCAGTACTTGGGACATTTTCGATCACATTGTGCGGATTCGTGCTAGCAGGGCTTCTGAGGCCGCTGATTGTATATCCTGCAGAGATGGTTTACTGGTCGACCCTGCCACAGGTTATCCTCTTCCAAAGCCTCCATTTCGACCGTAAGGCCAACAAGGCGCGCCTCAAGAAGTTCGTCTATGCTCTCACGGGCTCTGCTATCTGGGAATTATTCCCTGCGTACATTATTCCCTGGGTAGGGGGCGTTTCGATCTTCTGCCTGGCGTCAATGGGCGCTCCAACAAGTACTCGAACCACATTCTCCAACATCTTCGGGGGTGCCTCCTCGAATGAGGGCATGGGACTTTTAAATTTCTCCTTTGACTGGCAGTATATTCAGAGCGCCTACTTGTCTTTCCCACTCAAGCAACAGTTTAACACCTGGATTGGTTACCTAATATGGTACCCAGCACAACTGGGGCTGTACTACAGCAACAAGTTCGATGCGAAGAAATATCCGTTCATGTCAACGGCCCTCTATGCAAGCAACGGGACCACTTTCTCCACGGTCAACGTCCTGAACGACCATGGGATTGTGGATGAGGCTAAATTGCATGCTATCGGGCTACCCCACTTGACATCAAGTACGATCTGGGGATTCTTTACTCAGAACCTAGGCATTGGGGCACTCATCTCCCACGTGCTCCTCTTCTACGCTAAAGATATGGCTCTTGCATGGAAGCAAGCACGAAGTCGCAAGCAGCCTGATCCTCATTACCAAGGAATGCTCAAATACAAAGAAGTCCCGCTGTGGTGGTACCTTGTGCTAGCGATCTTGAGCATCGTCGCGGGGATTATCGTCAATGCCAAAGGCGAAACCACTCTTCCGGTCTGGGCATATATCGTTGCGTTAATTCTCGGAGCGTTTATCGCACCCTTCTCCTGCATTCTGTACGGTCTTTACGGCACTGGGGTTTCCACGAACCAGATATCGAAGATGGTGGCTGGTGCCGTTGTGCCCGGCCGCCCGCTCGCAGGTCTGTACTTTGCCAGTTGGTCTCACCAGGTCATCCTGCTCGCCGTCAACCTCGCAAATTGGCTCAAAGTCGGACAGTACACGAAAGTATCCCATCGGGTCATGTTTGCCACCCAGATCTACGGCACTCTTCTCGGTGCTGCCCTCAACTACGCCGTGATGATCACTATCGTGACTAACCAACGCGAAATCCTCCTCGATCCTAAAGGGAACAGCGTCTGGAGTGGCTCTCTTATCCAGTCGCTGAATTCACAAGCTACCACGTGGGCCCTGGCAAAGGATATGTATAGCTTGCACGGCGATTACTTCATCGTCCCGCTCGGACTCCTGATCGGATTCGCTCTGCCCTTCGTGCATTGGGGCCTCAATCGATTATTTCCGCTGACGCGCAAATGGCCCATCAATACGCCTATTATTGCGATTATGCCGGGACGTATTACTATGGTAATACTTCGTGGATTTGGTCGACCATTGTTGTCGGCATCTTCTCTCAGGTCTGGCTTCGGCGACGGCACCCGGGGATTTACAATAAGTACAATTATCTGATCGGCGCGGCGCTTGATGGCGGTTCCCAGATCGTTATCTTTATTCTGTCGTTCGCTGTCTTTGGCGCGGGCGGCAAGCCCCGACCTTTCCCCACGTGGTGGGGAAACCCCCAGCGATAATCCTGATCACTGCCTGTGAGCACCAGTAGGTGGCGGGCCTTTTCCGGGCATGGTAAATCTCCAAAGGCATAAGCTTCCAGCCGTGGTCTTGAATGTTTAGCTTGACAATAAGAGAATTAGAAATTGAGTCGTGTGCTATTCCCAGAAAATTTAGAAGCAAGATGGCTAGATCTGTAACTTGTTACACACATGGGAAGAAAAGGGACCGAGAAATTTAAGAACGTGTAGACCCTTCCGCGAGAGCAGTAAAAGACGAAAACTTATTTAGGTTTTAGGAAGCACCATGGCTGGATAAGCTAAGTTCGGTGACAAGGTGTTCTGATTTCCGCCTGTAAAATGAGTTTCATATCCTAGCGCGAGGCTCAGCGTCCGCCTCCAGGATCCGTCTTATCAGAGTCAAGGTCAGCCATGCGCAAGTGGACATATCACGGGCACTCTCGATAGCAGTACTTCGGCTCGCCTGCAGAGCAGCATACGCTGCAGGAATTCTTTGGTGGACAATACTCGTGCGAAATAATGAATAGGCGCTGGCCCAGGTCAATTCCGACGTGGGGTTCCACCCCGCTACCGTCCTATACCAGAACAGGCATTCTGCGACGGTGGGTAGGCCTGGGACCTCAGACATCAACTGGAATGGCATAAGGAGCTCTTTCGCTGCCGCCGATAATGTCGTCACGATAGTGAAAGGCTGGAGGAGGGTTGCGAGATCGGCGAGAGGATGGCCGATGGTCGACATTTCCCAGCTGGGGTGCTTGGTTAGCAAAGCTCGCAGGAGAAGCACATGTGCTCACTCTAATATCCCAATAACTCTCGGCTCTGTCTTGTGGAAAACAAGGTTAGCGATCTTATAATCACCATGAATCAGACAAGCGCGGTCTTTGGGCTGGTATCGCTCGAGGGAGAAGAAGTCGGCCATCACGTCTACGGCCGGTACGGGGCCCACTGGTTCTACGTCTAGTACGGCGCGTTGAGCTTTCCTCGAATCTTCCCAGGCACGCAATTGTCGTTGGTAGAAGCCTGTTCGGCGACCGTAGGTCGCTAACCCTGCGTCATCAATATCCACGCTGTGAAGTTTTGCTAGAGTCACGACCGCTTCTTTCCACCTATTATCAAGATCAGTATCAGAGCTGATGCTATAATGATTCATGCGCATGCTGATCAAAGCTCACATCCGGTGTCTTTCCCACGGAGTTGCACCGGGAAAGCTAGGCTCCTCGAAGATTCTACCGTCTAGAAACTCCCTAATGTAGAACGGCGCCCCAAGGACACTTGTCTCTTCGCACAGGCAGTAGATCTTTGGAACCGGAACCGAAGACGCGTGAAGTATGCGAAGGACCCGGTATTCTCGCTCGAAGTTATGAGCACTTTGAGAAACGAGTTGGCCCGTGGGCTTCTCTCGCATCACATATTTGGCACCAATTCGATCTTTAATCAAGTACGTTCCGTTTGCTTGTTCGCACTCGAACTATTTCACTTTAGGCTTTGAACCGAGTAAGCGGATATTGCGGCAAAGACAGACCTGGCTAACTGCGATTGGTATTTGGATGCGCGGTACATGTTCGCAAATGTAGTCCTCGAGCGCTTTGATGTCGATGGAGTGGCGAAGTAAGCTTGCCATGGTGAAGTCAGTTTGTTAAACGATGAACAGCAATATTTGCGAAGATGTTCTTTTTATTTCCCGCGCACCACTGGGAAAACGTATGATTGTCAGTTCATGGCATCTGATGATTTTGCGGGGGAATGGTATGACTGCGGGGAACGGGAGCGCCCGAGCATAAGCGGTTCCAGCTCGTTGTGAATCACGTTATGCTGATTCCATGAATCACCGCCGCTAACGGGAAAAGGTGTACCGGGTTGTCTGCAGGGCTCTCCCGTGGGCGTGTGCAGAATATAGCTTGATGATGAGATTTTTTTTTTGAAAATGAGTATTCAGGGAAACAGATTTAAGACATTCATATCCTTATCTTTCATATGCTAAGACAGATGGGCATACTAGAGAGACATTTGGCAAAATATGACAGTGATTAGGAAACTCCCGTGGAAGATGCGTCAGCAGTGCTCAAATGTCCACGGGTGGAATTTGGAATTGGCTTTAATGTGAAACGATCCATATATGCAAAAGGGACAAATGAGTTCTTCAGTCCATATGAAGTCCACCTCCTCCCTTCGTAAAATATTGCAAAGAAGCCAACACGATGCTGATCCAGATGCCTGGATGAAAACGACTAAGAGTAGTGCAGGTATCCGGGATAAGAGTCGGACTGCATGGGTCCTTGATATTCTTGAAAAGATGCTTTTACTAGCCTCGAGTCATCGTGCCGTGTATCTATCCTGTCCTTCACAATATACCATTTCTCCAGCTCATTGAGCTTTGGACGCAGGACACATGAAGCATACTGATCGGTGGGGTGGTCCATATGCCTCCCCGAGAGTCCCCATAGCCAGACCCGTGTTCATCGAATGGTTAGCGTACTCCTACATTAATATATAAAGAGGCTTCAGCTTCCCTGGTAAGACTGCAAAGATCATTTGCTACAGGAGGCCTAAATATTTACAGGATGTAGACGAAAACAATAGCTGGGGCGACCGGCCACAGTTGGGCTACGCTTACCTGGGATTGGACCTCGGCCAGCTCGTCCCACTTCTCACGGCCCGGGGGTCCCGAGGTCCTTGGAATCGAGCCGGGTATGCCAGTGGGAAATAATGCTCGACATTGGCCAAGTCGAACATTTTTCTTTGCTCGGGCCTATCCGATGAGGCGCCCTGGGATGGAATGAGAAATACCAGACGGCTATTCTCTACCTCGGGCCCTCTCCAAAGAACTAATTTTTCGTTTCCTTCCCCCCAGATGGTCAACTAGTAGAGATATCCTTTTTCCAGCTAGAACGCGGAGAGATCGCCCCTGCTTCCCCGCACTGACCGCTCCGTACTTAAGAGTGGAACATCTTTCTCCATAGAGACGTTCGATCGAGTGAACCAGTGCAGGTAGAAAACATGTTGTACAAATCCGTGTTCCCCCCCCTTGATCTCCCGTGCACAAACATCCTGACCTATTTGTACCCGCCAAACCAAACCGTCTCCGATAAACCAATATGGATTGATGCGCGGGACCCCACGCAGTCGCTTTCACCTCGGCAGATGCTGTCCTGGGTGCGCCGGCTGGGATTAGGCCTAGATAACCTCGGGGTCCCCAAAGGAGAGGTGATTATGATCTTAACCCCAAACCACTTGTTTGTCCCGGTGGCATATCAAGGAATCGTCGGATCGAGTCGAATCTTTAGCGGAGCCAACCCCGCATACACGGTCTCTGAGCTCGCATACCAAATCGACAACACCGGTGCAAAGGCGATATTAGTGCATCCTTCCCTTGTGCAGAATGTAGTTGAGGCCGGTGCTCGCGCGGGCTTGCCCAGAGACCGAATATTTCAGTTTTCCGATCATTTCTGTTCCCCAGTGGATGGGGTCCTAGATTGGCGGCATTTGCTTGCATCCGAGGAAGAGGCTCTTTCATGGAAATGGGACGATCTCGGAGAAGACGCAAAGTCGACCATTGCGACCATCAACTACTCTTCCGGGACAACCGGCTTGCCCAAAGGGTGTGTATCTCGCATTATAATCTCACGGCCAATGTGGAGCAGACAATTTTTATACGAGACCAAGATACACCTCACGCCATTGTGCCGGCTGCACGTCCTGAGGAGCGGTGGATTGGCTTCTTACCTCTCTATCATGCATACGGTAAGATTGTTCCGCGGGTATAGCATAACGCAGAACTGAGTGGTTTGGATAGGTCAGCTCTACGCGTGCCTCATGGCTCCAAAACTGGGAGTGCCTATCTATATTATGCAGCGGTTTGCTTTCGAAGAATTCCTAGAGGCGATTCAGCGATACAGCATCACACACCTCCAAGTTGCGCCCCCGATCTTAATCATGCTTGACAAGAGACCCGAGACAGCCAAGTTCGATTTGAGCAGCGTGAAGAATATTCTCTGCGGAGCAGCGCCCCTATCACGAGAACTGCAGAATGCTATCCAGAAGAAATTCAATCTGAATGTGGTCCAAGGATGGGGGATGACAGAGGTGACGTGCGGCGCAATCCATCTGCCCGGGGGACGCAATGACGATTCTGGCTCTGTCGGCATGCTTGATCCAAACTGCGAATGTAAACTAGTTGATGACGAGGGCAAGCTAGCGAAACCTGGGGAAGCAGGAGAGCTGTACGTTCGAGGTCCTAACGTATGCTTGGGCTACTGGAAAAATGACACAGCCACCAAGGAGAGCCTGGATTCCGAGGGCTGGTTGAAGACCGGCGATGTCCTGATTGTACGGGGTGATCTATTCTGGGTCGTGGACCGCAAGAAGGAGCTCATCAAAGTAAATGCGCTGCAAGTAGCTCCCGCCGAGCTGGAAGCTGTGCTTTTGGAGCATGAGGGTGTTGCTGATGCTGGGGTGGTGGGAATCATGATCGGTGGAGAAGAGCGGCCGCGGGCGTACGTGCGGCTACAAGACGACAAACGTGGGAAGGTCACGGAAGCTCAATTGCAGCAATACATGAACGGATGTGTGGCGAAGCATAAGCAGCTGGCGGGGGGCATTAAGTTTGTTGATGATGTGCCGCGGTTGACAAGTGGCAAGATCCAGCGGAAGATTCTCAAGGAGTGGGCCAAGCGAGATGCTGCTTTATTAGAGAAGCCAATCGCCAAGCTATAGAATAGGATTTTCTAGACGATCAAATTACAACTTCCGATTCATCTTGATATCTCACATTCGGATTGGACATGAACCTTGAGTTTCCTCGGAAAATTCGAGTGCACAAGGAAATTTGGGTATTCCTCGGCGACGTTCCAATTGTACAAAAGCAACAGGTCAGCGTGAAGTCCATCTCTTCACGGAATCTGCTAAGAGCAGATATTAGGTCGGCTCTTGATCTATCGCATTTTTCGCTCATAACCACCGCAGGGAAAAGTGATTCCGAATGCCAGGAACATCACACGAGGACATATACTACGCTCTATTCATGTTGAAAACGACTCAACGTTTTGACTCCTTGCTACACGGTACCGGCTATGAGTAACCAGTTCCGCCAATTCTCTCCGAAGAGGCTCTTTCAAAGTGTGGAGTCTGTCAACAGAAAGCACATGATCCACATCTGACCTGAGAGGTAGCCCCTAAGGCAGATAAGCGCTTTGGAATGCTCACGGTATATCTGAAGTTGACTAGAGATCCTGGAACAGCGGCCAAAGACCTTCCGTGCGTCCCAGGACTATATCAGGGACCTGTCCCTTCAACACGGCACCGACATCAACGATGGCTGTTATGTGATCCCCATTGCGAAGCCCGATATCTGGAACCTCATCATACAACAAAAATTCCATATTACTGCCGGCCCCGCTCCACCGAAGAACCATTCCCTCGATCAAGAAGTTCTAGCGTGGCAGGGCCATTTTCTTCAACCTCCACAAGAGTCGCCTCCATCAGCTGGATGGACCCACCTGGTTTGAGTACCACTGCCCTCAGAGATAAGAAAACCTGGATCGTTATGATAGGAAGCGATAAAAATACCGATCCTGAAACGAAACATACTTCAAGTTGGCCTCGACCCGTTGGGCGGGTTCGAATACCGGATTGGGGAAAAAAACTGAACACCAGCATAGCACCGGCATTGATCCCGATAGAATCAAGTCGAGTCGTCAACGCCGGTCCGGATACACCAAAACCGGATTTTAGCTATTAGATCGTTGTTCTGTTTGTAAATGACGGCGATTGGAACCATTGGCGGTGCGTCTGAGACGGGGCTTAAAGAGAATGTAGAGACAATTCTTCCGCTGCCTTCCCTGTTTCGCGTCTTATTCGGGGCACAAAGCCCTCAGTAAAGTATGATATAACTATAACGAGTAGCTAAGTGCGATGATGACCTCTAGAGCCCAGTTGTTACCGGAAAATGGCTATAGCGCTTCATAGCTGTGGTTGCCCCGATCGCCCCGAGATGTACTCTTTTATCTCAACTTTAGGCACGCGCCGGTTAGATAATAAAGGCCGAGGTATCTCATATCCATTCTCGAGGTATCTCTTGCAAATATAACCATCCACGTATGCGCGATAAGAACTCGTCTCCAATGATGCTCGTCCATGTGGCAAAGGGAAGAAGTCCCGAGAGAAAGAACCGCGGAATTAAAACCCCATATCTACGAACCCCAAATCTTGCATTTCGGCACATAGATTAAGAATATCTAGGGATTATTCACATGAACTAAAACTATTTCTTTATACAAGGAAATCGCCAGAAGCCCTGGAGATATGCAATCTCTTGAAGTTCTCCGCAGTCTTGATAGTACACGGACCCCCATCGTCGCGGGGATCTGCGGTAATCGGGCACCAATCAAAGGACGACCCTTGATAATGACAAGGATCCCTGGCAAGATGATTGGAACACATGACGCTTTATCTTCAACCAGATGTACCTCTCGGCGATACTGATACAGGTCCCGCTATCGTGACACTTTGAATGATAATGCCTTCTCGAGGCTGTTTCTCAATTAGATCGATCAATATGGGGACATAGCCCACCGAAGAAGACTCTTTGGAGGTATGCAATCAGACTACTTATAACGTATGTTGTTCTTTGTACTATGGCCTTGAACAAGGCGATACCTCGGACGTGGCCTAAGAACGAGTCATAGCTTCGACTATATCCACGTCAGATACTTTGTTTTGATATCTCCAGGGTGGAGGCAGCGAACGAGCTACGGCTCCCATGCCGACGGTGGGTTTCGCGTCTGAACGCAGCGAAGGATCCGCGTCTCGTTGGGTTTCGTTGCTCCTTCGGGCGAGCTTGCTGCATCACCTGATCGGGATGCTCTCATAGACAGCCCCTTCGTATCAGGCTCAGGAACGTATAAAACAGAATCATGAATCCCAAATTGGAAATAACAGTACTGCAATTGATATTGCCTGAGAGCTCCCCACGATGGCACCTGGAATGCTGCACTACTTCGGCTTCGACAACGCCCCGACAGCCAAAGATGAGGCCAAATCAGAGCCTATCCGGGCGTTACCGGCTTCCTGGTACAATACTGCGGAAATGTATGAGCTGGAGCGCCGCGCTATCTTTTCCAGACGGTGGCTGTTTATTACCCACAGCTCCCGGGTGAAGGAAACGGGTGACTGGCTTCGCTATGAGGTCGCGGGCTTTGACTTCATTATCACTCGAGACCGACAGGGCAAGATCAATGCCTTCCACAATGTATGCCGACACCGCGCCTACCCAGTGATTGAAAAAGAGGGATCGGGCAATGCCAAAATACTCGCCTGCCGGTACCACGGTTGGTCATACGGGCTGAATGGCAAGCTCGCCAAGGCCACTGGCTTTCAAGGCAATAACGACATCGACAAGGAGCAGAACGGTCTCTTTGCAATCCACATAAAAGTTGACGTGAATGGCTTCATCTGGGTGAACATGGATGCGAAAGAGGAGCCGGAAGTCCCATGGGAAGAACACTTCGCCAACGTCGACACGCAAGAACGCTACAAGGCCTTCAACTTCGACAACTACGATCTCAGCCACACCTACGAACTCGAGGGCCAATACAACTGGAAGATTCTCGCCGATAACTTCAATGAATGCTACCATTGCCCGACTACCCATGCCGATATCCCCGAATTCCTCAACCTAGACTCCTTCGATAGTGACCTTAAGGATGGCCACATCCAACACCACTGTGTTTCGACTCCGGAGCAACTCGCCAAGGGTCTCAATACCGCCAGTACTTATTACTTCCCGATCTCTGCCATGGTAGTCTCGTAAGCATCATCCCCCCACTGCGATCACAAGCCTGCCGGGTTTCTAAATCTTCCCCAGACCGCATTTTATAATGATCCAGAAATTCCTCCCCAAGAACGCCAATACGTCAAAGATGTCCTACGAAATCTACCGCAACCGCCACTCTTCGGACGAGGACTTCCATCTGATCGCCGATATGTACGAGCGTGTCATGCGGGAAGATAAAGTCCTTTGCGATAATGCGCAGAAGAATCTCGACCGCAACGTTTTCATTAACGGCCAACTGCACCCCCACTACGAGAAAGCGCCGATTTTCTTCCAGACCACCGTGCGGGATGTAATCACCGAACACTTCGAGAAAGAGAAAGAAGCTGGACAACAGATCTGGCCTGCGAAGCGCAAGCTACCCTGTGATGCGACAGTGAGCGAGAAAGATGAAGAGATCGCGGCTGCTCTGGGCTGTAATCTCCAAAGAGCCGCACTGGCTTGGTAATGAGACTACGAGATGGAGTTTTTAATGCGCCAAGCATCTTTATAATAGCATAAGTTGACGAAGTTGAATTTATTACCTAGCATTGTGAACATTGAATAAAATCCAGTAGGATTGCAACTTTAAGCTAGGAATAGAGATTGGCAGATGACAGGGCCACGTTTAGAGTCCAGTTCTACTATTAGGGCAGTGCTGGCTCTCTTGGGAACATTACGCACAGGAAGAGCAGAGGATTTTCAAAGTTGAAAACTTATTCGGTGAGCAGAGACCTTGCTTTTCGGTTACAGGATAAGCAAAGAAGCCGAAGAAGAAGATTATCTGGGGCTTGGGATTTCCCGATCCATGGCGATTTATTTCTCGTATTATACCGCGAGAACAGCCATGTAACAGTTCGAACCTAAAATCTATCTCCTCGACTGATCTTTCAAGCCGATGCACAGTAATGCCTACAATGGCATATAGTAGCTATGAAGATCAAGAGTTCATCACAAAACGTTTTCTTGATTATTTAAAATTAATAATCTGCATATAAGTATAGACATGAAGCCTCGAACGTAACAATACCCCGACTCATCCCTAAGACATCTGCATAGTGGCTTATCGTCTATCCACCACCCCCAACTTAACCATAGTTGACAATGACCTGACCATTGCTGATATAGGCAGTGGCCAGCTCCTGACCGTTGGCATCCATGTCCCAGATATCCGCATTGTCAGGACCCACAGCAGCGCCATTCACCGTGGCCGAAGCATCCGAGAAAGTCACAGATCCAAAGTTCGCAAAAGGCACAGGCCCGCCCGAGCTAAAGTCCTCCACAATCCACTCTCCCTCGGCCATGCAGAGGTCCCCCTGCACATCTCCGTTCCACGTGTAGGTGCCGGTCTGCCCGTTCGACAGGTTCTCCACGGTAGCGGTGCCGGCGTTGTCAGCGGTGGCCGACACCGTTGCCCGGATCTGGTCACCCGCGTTGATAGAAAGCGTGCTGGAGTCCCAGCCGATCATGGCCTGCGGGAACCACTCGTACCAGGCGCCGTAGCTGGGAACGCCGTTCTGGATGCAGACGTTGACGCCGGTTTGCAGGATAGCGCTCTGGCAGCTGCTACCGTCGATACCGACCCAGATGGCCGCACAGTAGTTGGTGTTGGGGTCACCTCCGTCGGGGGCCTGGGGCGTTGGGACGGTGAATGTTCCGGTTACAGAGGAAACAGTGCCGCTTTGTAGTACGGCACCGGCCCAGTTGCTAGAGCTGACGGTCTGGGCTTCGACATCGGTGACGAGCTTTTTGGCCGGGGTTGATTGGCGGACGGAGCGCTTGGAAAGAGGGGATGCGAGAGCAGCGCTGGCCAGGACCGAAGCACCGATAGCGACGGTAGAGAATTTCATTATGGAGGGTAGTGCCTTTGGACCTTTAGAACTGTGCTGGTGATGAAGATGAAAACATAGGGCAATCATCCGTTCTTATAGACATACTCCTCCCGCTGCTGCTGCTACTTAGCTAGCACTGCTATTGCTAGTATACGCTAAATCTATACAGATCTCTCTCAAGATGTAACCCAGATAAACCTAATCAAGAATTAGTCCGAAGGATCTGTGGCACGCACTCGAATGGCTGCTCTTGAGGGGTATTCAATACCTACGGACGTCCGGCTCGGATGCAGAACTCAAGGATATTAGTCTCGTGCCCAGCAAAATCTCTTTAGAATAATCTTTATACTGGGCTTTGATATTTTCGTGTGCTCTATGCATACTGAAGTGCGTGCCTTCAAACTTGGTAACGGCAGGCGCTTGACAGCCATTAGAGACGCCAGATGAGTTGAATCTCCATATACACTTACAACAGTAGCGCTTGAAGTACAGAGTGAGGCCTAGCCCGGCATTGTAAAGCCTCTTCAAATAATATCGAGCTACTACTAGTGTTAAAGCTTCGTCCAGGTCTCTGCCGAGGTAGTGATAAATGCTTGCGTGATCAACTCGAGGCTACCCCTAAACAAGTAAGTAACCTCCTTCAACTTTATTGACTATCAGACGATAAGATGGTCGAGACTCCAACCGAATCACTTCCTGGCATTACAAAGCCGAGATCTGACCCACACTTAGTGCGAGATAAAGGAGACAATCCTCGAAACGGAAAAGGCCGAGGGGCCGAAGGATGGAGGGTTGCAAGATTCCAACGCGTGGCCCGAGCAATATCTTTAGACCTTCTCCACGCTGGATACAGTCAACACAACTTGTTTATTGCCAGGGGATCAAAAAAAAGGCTTCAACCGTAATAAGAATATGCTTGATCGCGGAGGATTTATATAAGAACTAGACTATCTTGATCATGAATGCCTTTTCACGCTCGGACTGCTCTCTTCGCACCCGTGTTATTCAAAACTACCCCTTTATCACTCTAGAGTTTTTTTTTCTGCAGCCCTTTGCAGGAGTAAGGACCTTTACCTTGCTCGGCACTAGTCGCGGAAGACTGTATACAAGACGAACGCTAAATATCTTGATCGCGCATTCTCCAGACCGCATGCGTCCTTAGCGCTTAGCGACGATACCACGTCCGATGAAGATCTCGTAGAATATGTGGTCACTACGGTAAGATGGTTCATAATATGGTTCATAAGATCCCATGATTTGTCGATCTTTTCGGGAGCTAATCCCTCGAACGGGCTCATCTTCAGTTTCATCCGGGACTTGATATGACGATTCCGTCCCCCCCGCCCCATTGTTTGTCCTTCTGTCCGGGCTCGTTAACTGCAAAGTGTGAGGAGGGTTCTTCGCAAGGCACATTTGGTGCCATCTGGGAATTGAGTGGTGGGTGGGTAGGGTTACAACGGTGCATAGTAGATTAGATTCACCACCTCGGGCGTCCAACGGCTTCCCGGCGGATCTTCCTGGTTTTGGCATAAAAGGCCCCGCAGCCTGACAAGTGTATGTTCGCCACCCAGAACAATTATGGCCCGGGCTTAACGTTGCGCCCTTTTCTACACATAGATGACCGCTGAGCGGGGTAACAATGAGGCTAGAAAATATCGTGAAATGCGATTCGTCTGGGCCGATAACCCTTTGGGCCGGCCATATCACTCTAGCAAGTTAAAGTCCATAACCCATTCGGAGAATATACTCGCCCAGCCGGGGGATGGCGGAGGAATGTAACTTAACCCTAAGTCTCCTGGATGAGTTGCTTGCGCATCAGTGGGATTGAAATCGCCGAAGGATTCGGTGTGGTCCAGCTCTCTCCAGAAGTCAGTCTCCTTGATACTCCCACTGGCAACCGGGCAACGACTCAAAGAAGTCCCGGCTGCTGAGATAGTATCCTCGGTCTGGTAGGAAGAGCTTGTGGGATCGTTCTCGTATCCACTGGACAGTTGGTCACCGATACTGTCTGCTCTCGGGGCATATAGCGGTATTAAAATCTTAAGTACTGCTGCAAACATATAGAAGACGTCCGGACATCCGGCCGTTGGGACCGAAAGTGTTCCCATTCGTTGGGTGAGGCTTTCGAGATAAATCAACATTTTCATGCGCGATCGGGCTTGGAATGCAGCAACGTCGAGATCGCCGGCTGCACCATTCGCAATGCAGACTCTCGATGCAGTCACGATCACAAAAATCAGCTGAAACCACTCTCTGATGGAGAATTGATGGTACTCTGCGAAGGGAATCGAGAGAAAAGTTTCGAGAAAAGATTCAACTTCGTTGAAACAAACAGTTACGGATTGGATCCCAGAATGTTGGTAAACAGTTGAGGGCAAGTTCTTTCGCTTTGCGTCTGTGGAAACGACGTTGATAGTTTTTTTCACGGGTCGCATAGATAATGAAACAATTCTAGCTCTGACAAATTTCCTCTTCAATAGCATCGGGACTGACGAGGCTTAGCCGTGGAAACTCTTTAAGGGCATCCGGAATACTCACCGCTGTTTGCCACATCCAGTGTCAGTCTGCATTCAAGGTCATGAAGCCGGTCCAGAAGAGAATCAATGTCTGGTTGAGACACAGCTCTGGTACCGAAAGCACCGCGCCTAAGCTCCCTCTCGTACAGAGCGGTATCTTCTAATAGCTTGTGGAACAAGGCATAATGAGCCTCAGTCTTATTTCCTAGATCAGATACTACTTGATCAGGTAGTGCGTTTCTGAAGAAATCTCGTGCCGCTCCATCAGGAGCTTGGCCCTTGAAAACAGAAAATCTGTGCTGAGGATCAGACCACCAACCTGAGTATGATTGGGATAATGAATAGACACATACAAGGAGTCTAGATAATAACACCCCAGACACGCACTCCAAGCAGCAGAGCCACTTGGTGCTTCACTCAGCTTCAAGTCAGAAGAAATATCTATCGCAATCCGAAGAAATTGCAGCTGTTGCAAGGTGGTTGGCCGTAGATGGAATGGATACCTTTGAATACTCTATAATGAGCATAAAGTATAAAGTACCTTCATGGCGATCGAAATAATAAGGACTTACCATGCAAGGTAGACCAGCAGGCCCTGGACATACTCCAAGCTTTTCTCACCCTGTACAATGATCTTATCGCTCAAGATTCGACGGAATCTTTCTTCAGTCCGCCGATGCAAGCGCGGTTTTCGCGCAGAACACACAGTCAAGATTGCTAAGAGCAAGAAAGGCTGCCTCTCTGCCATCTCGTGGCCCAAGGCTGCGGCTGAAATAGTAACGAATGGAAAGTACGCGTGACGCTGCCTGAAGTGTGATAGCAACTCATCTACTTCTTGCATCTGGATGTCGGCACATTCCGTTTCTGGGCTCACAGTCCGCAGTTGATCAGGTGGAAAACTCGCACGACTTGCTGAATCCAGGTCTACTGTTTGAGTAGAAAAGAATTGCTCCTGGAATATCCGAAGATGTTTCTCCCTCACGCTTTTTACCTCGTCGCCCTTAGCAGGTGCCGACTGAAAGAGCCGAGACACGACATCATCCGCGGAAGCTTTGCTGAATTGGATACTATTTGGTTTGGCTGTTTTTTGGGGTTTGCTTTTGGAGATTATGAGACTGAGACACAGCAATGGTCGAACAGACAGGGCTCACCGGCAATGTTGTTCCGGCGAATCTTGAAACCGGCAGTCCAGACCAAGCTTTACACATCTAGATGGAGGTTAGCAGTGTGCAGAAATAGGAATATGGTCTTCCGATTGTGTAACATGGGGTGCCTATACCTTCGACATGTGCCCTGGCCTTTTGTATCAGGCAAGCATCGAATTTTTCGCGACCTGCAGCTCTCGCAAGCTCTACGAATCCGTGGCCGCGGACATATCAGTGCCGGGTCCTTCTCCATGATTTTGATGCCACGAACCCTCTACTGTGCAAATTCAAGCAACAATTGTCTACTGATAGTCCTTAGATGGTGAAGGAGGCCCGGAAGGCGGATGGCAGCTGCAAGCGAACTTGACCAGCGGATGGCAAGTTTACGCGGCTCCTTTTATGATCACTTCCTGATGTAGTAATAAACACCTGCATAGAATATGCATAAAGACCGTAAGCACAATCGCTACCTCTCATGAATGAGGACTAGGACTTGTACAAAAATAAAAAGTGCCTGTTCAAGTCTCTTGGTAAAATACATCTATTTCTCGTACTCCACACCCCGCTGAGGCCATTCACCCATCTCAATAACTCTCTCGACCAGAGAACCTTCGCCGCCCCAAGTCTGCCTGGCAAAGGCCACAACCATATCTAGCCCGCACAGCAACGTCCCAGTTGTCCAGATCTTTCCCCCTTGAGCCCAGCGCTTATCAACCCAGTTCACTCCCGGAGCCGTCTGGGTAAGTAGCGGTAGAACAGGCGGGGGGCAGTCGCTGTTTTCCCCTCAAGAAGACCAGCATCCAAAGCATGCTCGACGCCCGTACAAATACAGAGGAATGCCGCGCAGTTATCGTAGGACTTACGCAGGAACGCCTTTTCTGTCTCTGAGACCTTGTAGCCACCAATGGTAGCGCCTTGGATCACGATATCCAGGGGAGGACAAGAGACGAATGAATCCTGGAAATTGCTCACGTTAGGTCCCCTCCTGCCTGTGCGCTAGTTACGAGTGTTCTAAGAGCTGTACCGTTGGCTGGACATACAAGCCACCGGTCATGCGACCGGAAGCATCGCCCGTTTCAGTTACCCAATGGAACTGGATATCCAGAGCCTGAGCCTTGAACTCCGCGGCAAGGAAGGGTCCTTCCATGTCTTTGGTGCATTCGCGGCTTACACCTGCCAGGAAGTCGACAGGACCAATATCCAAGTACTCAGTGACTCTGGAAGGCTGTGTAAGTGTGGATATATTATTAGAAAGTAGAAGGCTGTAAAACATACGAGTTTAGTAGGATGACACCGACATGGAGCTTGCGTCCGGGATTGCGAAGATCGACAGGAGAAGACATTGAATAAGCACAGCTTGGATAGCTTTATTCCTTGCCATGGCTGGGAGGGAAACATCTTTATATGTGTTCTGGGGAACTTCAGCTGTCCTCGCAGCTTATAGTCCACAGTGCTGTCTTGGGTTAGCCGGAGGCCTTCCCTGCTCAACCCGGCGTAGATCGACTCATGCGGGTCAAGTTGCCGCCCGCAGCTCCGTCGTCGCTTCATCTTGCCATCCGCGCTTTTTTTGCTTCGCTAAAGTCCTGTCTATCGAAATACATATTTCAAGTTCATGAGGGAACGAGAATGCCGGATCCCAAGTAGTATTTATTGCCAAGAATATTTATTTATTAACTCCGGTTCATGACCCAACAAGCATGAAAGCCCCCATGCCTACTACGCTCGAAACCATGGCAGCTGTCATGATTCCGGCGCCAGCTTTATCAGCCGTCGTGATGGGCGCATAAGTTGGAAGACTGTTGTCCTTATCCTTCGGATTGTTGTCGGTTCCAGCTTTTGGGTCGCTTGTGCTGTTTCCTCCCGTTTCAGAGGTGAGCGGCTTCGCTTTCTTCTTGTCGACATACTTCAGCATGATAGCGCTGAAGACGTTGCTGGCACTGATTTGCGCCTCCATGCCTGGTTTCCCGTCATAGCCTCCATACCAGCGAATGCCACATACGTTGGAGCCCTTCCCAGAGCATGATTTGGCGGCGCCTTTGGCTGATAGCTGAAGCTTTTGGAGAATGTCATCCTCCAGCTCCGGGATCAACAGAGCGATGGTTGCCAGCCATTGTGAGGTGATCCCCTTGAACAGGATATTGTTTCTGTTGCAATCCTCCCGGACCTCGCACGACCAATCGGAGAGAACATTCCCGTTCTGAGGGAAAGCGAATGTCTTGAAAAGGGCTTTGAGGAGCCCTTTCACGGCTTCAAGCCACTGATCATCTTTTGTCTATGGAAGGGTTCAGTGTTTCTGGACTGGCAGATAGTGATACGATGGTAGTGGTTATACTCACATAAACATACATATACGCAGCTCCAGTCATCCACGCACCGTAGTTATAGGTCCATTCCGTATGATCGATATCTGAGCACCCGTTTTGCGCGTTGGTACTGTCTGCCACATTCCATGTCGTTTTATCGAGGACGTTTACTTTCATGGCCCATTTCCATGTCTTGATAGCCCAGTCTGCGTACTCATGATTATTCGTATAGACCGCAAGGCGAGCCGCAAGCTGGAAGAACCCGCCATTGGACACCGAGTTTTTGAGCAGGTACCCGTCGCCCTGGATTGGGGTTCTCTGCCAGCGAAGTCCACCCCCACATGTCGTTGGGTCCCATCCTTCGGGCGGCGTTTTCTGGCTGTTGAAAACACCTTGTGCGAGTCCGAGCCATGAATAGCCGGTCGGTCGGTCAGGAAATCCATACTCGGCTGCCGTCATTGCTGCAACGCCCCAAAACATTTGGTCGTCATTTCCCTGGAATGATGCGCATGAGCGAGTGAACCTCTCGTCAACTTTCCGGTGATACTCACCAACCACTGGCTATAGTTGCTCGGTAGGTAATCCCCATTATCACCGCCCTGCCATTGCAGGCCAATGCTCAGTTCTTCATTATATGTATCATCCTGGAAGTAATGCCAATAGTTGAGCAGCGCCAGGAACAGTATGGATCCTTCCCACCAGTAGGCTGGAAATGCACCTGGAATTGCTCCTGTCTCATTGCCATGGTAATATGTCATCATCCCATATGTGGCCTCACTCGCGGCATTTTTGATTGATGCTGCGGATGTTAGTCGCTACGCCAAATAACAGAAGAACGCTAGAAGAAACTGTTACTTACCCTGGTCCTCCACGTCAAGATCAATTGCATAGACAACATTGGTGAGTGGTAGGATCTGCAGGGCAACCGCTGAAATCCTTCCAATGGCACTCCTGAGCATTTTCTGTGTGATGGTCGAATCCTAGTACGGTCGATTGTGAAGGGACCAAACTTCGTATCCAATAATGGGAGCGGTTTGGTCCTTCATGCAGCACTTGACAAAGGGCGAATCTCTGGTCTAGTGATCATGGGTATAAGAAAGGACTTTCTTTCTCGAGCGTCTGAGAAAAAAAGGTTGGAGTCCAGTGTCATCATATTGCGGAGCCCCCGTCAATCGGTTGCCAAGCCCTGGAAATTAAGATGGACCCTGGAAAAGTGGGCCAGCGACCTGTCGATTGTCGCAGCACGGATGCCAATCATGAAAATGACATGCTGTGACTGGTTCAATTGGAACTCCAATGACGACACCGATGGATTGAGCAGCGAATCAGGTGACTCCAGACGCGCAAACGTATTGTTGGATCTGCAGGAAGAAGGGGGCCTGTAATGTACGGTATGGAGAGGAAAAATCTGTAACCCTGATTGTTCTAAAACGACAGGCCCTATTTATACAGTGGGTTCCTTAGTTAAGAAAAGTTATGACTGTTTAATTACTCGCCAAGAAATGAAAATTTGGTAATACGGTGGTAACAGCACTGTGTGTTCCGACGCACCTCCCCAGGCCTGCGCGGTTCGCTAGGTTGGACTAGCAGGTCGAAAACGTTTGACCTATATTTAACGGGCCATATGACCTCGTTGGATTAGGATTAAACCACATTTGCTTCGTAAAGCTCTATAAGATGCCATGTATTTTCTATCCCGAGCTTCTAACAGCTATCTTCGAACTTACTTCAAGAGAGGATGGATCTTTATCAGGGAGATGGTATTGAATCTCATATCCACTGGAGCCGATATGCTGCAGTCTACCTACAACTTGCCTAGCCCTGCAGGTCTCATATGCCTGCAGTCAACATCCGCGGAGGTCTTCCGGATCTGGTACAATGCCGAGACTGACGTCTCTGCGGATGTAGGAAGAGCGGATTCGCTGGCTGCTATCAAGCGTCCGACAGGCAAGACGGCCGACTTCCACCCAAGGTTGAAGGCATCTTGCATGGAGACATTCATGCCTTGGCCATACTTGGCAGTATGGGTATGCACCGCATCGCCACCGAGTAAGATGCGGCCTTTGGTTACTGCGGTGTATTTACCTTGTAGGAGATAGCAAACTTACTCTGGAAAATCGGTGATAAACAGAGGATCGAAGATTCCCTAGATGGCATCGTTAGAGGTGCCTTTGATTGAGAAGCCTAACTGACGGCGTACCCAACTATGGGCGCCGTCACTGCCAACCACATATTTGGCTTGGATGGTTGTTTTACTTCCCTCCTCGCTGCTGACCGAGGGCATAGCGTCATTCTTGGTGACAGAAAAACAGAAGACGAAGAGATAACCCCCTCGATCTTGCCCTGTTCCTCCTGGATCACGCCGCCTGGGCGAATGCTATGCGAATTGGTCCGCCTAACAGCCCAGTATTTTCTGTGTTGGTCTTACAGTTGGAGCTTCACCGGGTAATTCTAATATTGGTGGAGGCTGAGGACCACCTGATCCAGATGGACCTCCAAAACCTATATGCCTCAGGATCGTCCGCGAGGCTCTCATCGAGCTCTACAGAAATGGATACTACGCCTCATTCGACCTCCGAACTAGATCGTTGTTGAATTGCATCGATCAGAGCGGCCTCTGGGTCGTCAAAATGAGAAGCGCGGGTTGAAGATGCGACATTCTTTCTTTCCCGGCGCAGCCATTCGGGATACCATGGCTAATCGCCGAGCTCTAGCAGGTGGAATTGTGGTGTGATGAATATGTTCGGCTGGAGTGGAGCTTACAAGACAAAGGGAGCCAGCTTATCTCTTCTTCTTTCTGATCTGTTGACATGGGGAAATCTCCAATGAAGATATATTGCCGGACTTAGGTCTAATCTCCTGATTCGGTCTTCGGGATCCGAACAGTCAATATCCTTGAGACCTATGGTGCTTTTGATATATTCAATAATAGTGAGCCTGCGTGATGATGTCAAGCCGGATTTAGATGTCTTAAGTCCTATAGCCGTTGGATAGTACCGTATTTATTTAATACTATATTTATTTGTGTTGTCGGTCGACTTAGCGCAAGTTTTTAATGAAACAGAACCCTGCATCGATTACTCAGTCTTTCGTACTCCTCATCCTATACATATATCAGAGCGCCGTAATCATGCGTGTCCTCCTTACTGGCGGCACAGGCAAGACCTCGGTCCGCCTTGCCCGCTTCCTTCAGAATGAAAACATTCCCTTCCTGCTGGCCTCTCGTCGCGGTCTCGCCGCCGCCCCTTCTGGCATGCCAGCCGTCAAATTCGACTGGCTGGACCAGTCCACCTGGAAGGAACCCTTTCAGCACCGCTTTGCCGGGGGCGGGACCATCTCGGCCATCTATCTCATGGAACCACTGGTCGCCGAGCCCTGGAAGCCCATGAACGAGTTTATCGACTATGCGCGCAAGGAACATGGGGTGGGCCGGTTTGTGCTGGTGGCGGGTAGCTCCGCTGAACCGTCACAGCCGGGCATGGGAATGGTGTGGCAGCATTTTCTGGACACAGGAGTCGACTACTGCGTACTTCGGCCCAGTTGGTTCATGGGTAAGTGTACCTGATGTAGAGTCCCTCGATGTAGTTTCAGTGCGGTATCTAAACCTTAGAATGTCTTTTACAGAAAATCTTTCCGACGAGGCTCCGGCAGCTGTCATCCGTGATCAGGGTAAAATATACACTGCATGCGGCGAGGGGAAAATTCCCTTCGTGAGTGCTATTGACATCGCGGCGGTCGCATTCCGGGCCATCACCGATCCCAAGTCGCACAACTGCGACCACCGCGTGCTGGGACCAGAGTTGCTGACCTACGATGAGGTGGCCGAGAAATTGTCCGCCGCGTTAGGTCGCCCTATCGAGCACGTGAAGCTTTCCGGGGACCAGCGGTACGAAGGTTTGGTCAATGCTGGGGTCTCTAACTACTTTGCTCGACTGTTAACCAACTTGGAAACCGCGGCGTCTACTGGATTCGAAACTCGCATGAACGCTACCGTGGAGACAGTGACAGGACGGGCCCCCAGGACCCTGGATCTTTTTGCACACGATAATAGAGGGGCGTGGCAGTCAGTGGCTGAATAAGGGGGCTCAGCCTACCTTGGCAGCCAAAATGAACCCTGTAAATCTGCCACGTGATCCTGCTGCATGCTGCATATCCAGTTATATTTCTTCGGGGGTCTGCGTCCGACGCAGATTGAAGGTACAACTGATCACCAACTTACATTAGAGGATTCAACTATATCCTCAGAAAGCTAGAGTGGGCAAGTGTTTTGTACTTCAGAAATGAATGTCATCATTTCTGAGATTCAAAAACTGTATATACAATGTGAAGGTCATGCAAAATAGCTTGGTTCTACGCATGAAGCATACAAAAATAGTTTCTGTTGGTGTAGCTCCACTTCTGATCTGAAATGGCCGAGGTTCTCCCCATAACTCCCAGAGATTAGTGTGCGTGTACAGAGTAGCCAAGCTTTCGCTCTGACCGGTAGCAGGCGTCCCAAGTCGGACGATTGAAGAAAGATTCTCCTCAGAAAGCGAACGCGATAACCCCCGTCAATTTAGCCTAATTCAGCGCTAGCAGACATATCGTATGGAAGAATTAGGGTTGAAACCCGGCTTGAGACCGAAACTCTGACGGTTTTCTCTATAAAATGGATTGTCCACTTTAGTCTTTGGTCAGACCGGAACCATACTGTGGAATTCCATCGAATACTACCATCTTGCCTGGTCAACTAGTGCCACCCAACTCTGGCAGCTCTCTCACAATCATACTATAACCTAACCTGGGCCCTCATAACTTAGCCAGGTTACCCAATTTAACCCGGACCCAATACTAGGTTAGACATCTCGACCCAGAACCCTACCTAGTCTAATTTGTACGGAAGCCTAGTACGATATAGAGAGGGAAGATATGTAACTGATTATTTTAAAATAACAGGTATCGACTAGTTATTTACACAGTGGGTTCCTTATATAAGAAAGTTAAGAGTATTCGCCAAGAAATGAAGGGCTGGTAATACGGTGGTAACAGCACCGCGTGTTCCGAGTTCCTATGTTGCGGTCCCGCACCTGCACCCTTAGGGGATGAATCTCGAACTCGAACGTTTTAGGCAAGTGAACTAATTTTAGTACCCGCCCACACATGGTTCCCGGCATATTGAGAGTTCAGATCTCCTGACAGTACCAGTTGAAGACTTCGAGCGCCCTGATTAGGACCCTTTTATAAGTGAGAACCACAACGCATCTCAACCTAGGGTGAAATACCAAGGTAAGTCAATGATATTTGTCCTTATAGGTTAAGATGTCTGTGGTAGGAAGGGTTGGAGGGCAATCAGGGGTATTGGATCTTGCACTGCCCCCCTCAGCAACTCCTCTCTCCCGTGGGCGAGCACGCAAGATGATCTAGTTTCAACCCGTCCATGAGGGTGTGTAAATTGGCATTGACAAAGTTTGATTGTATTTCTCGATATGACGTATCGGATGCAGTACAGATAAATACATGTTCAGCGCAGTAGCGTGCCTAAGACTATCATACTAGCAGACTATCACCGCCTAGGATGATCGCTGCTTGAACAAGCAGGCAACCTGTGCATACTACAATGTAGTATGAAACAGGTCCGATGCGGATTGCAAATAAGCCCACCTCAACTAAGCCAGCGTCGAAAGAGCTGCGAAGCATTCAGGGTCCAATTATGCCCCGTACTCGCCCCGCTACATTCAAACGCGTGGACAAGCCCCACAGTGGAGAAAGCGCCACGCTGATGATGTTCCCTGTGGACCTGATCCTCTTTGTTTGTGCGACTTGCACTGTCGACAAATCACTGAAGCTCCGGCACTACCGGAATTGTCTACCCCATCTGCGCCATCACTTTCGATGGGGCCCTGCGCGACTAAGAGCCTCCAAAGCCTGCATTAGCTGCCGTGGACGGAAGATCCGCAGCGATTCCTCGCACGCCAGGGGCTCTCTTGCAGCCGATATGAAGACAATTACTTCGATGACGCCTTGCCAGACCCGAAAGGCGACGTAGGAAGGGCGATGCGCCCGAAATGGACACGGTCCATTGGAGGCCAGGATTGCAGAGGTCGAACCCCGATCACACCATGCTCCATGAAGCTCCCAGTCGTTGATGAGCGCGAGATGCCGAGTAGAATCCGTTCAGCCGAGCCACCGCTGGGTGGGTCAACTGAATTTCGAATCTGGAAGTTGATGGTAGCATCTGGTCGATACGGCAGTCCCTACCAGTCCTTACATTGCGATCATCAACAAGGCAGTCATCATCTCCTCAACGCAGTCATCATCTCCTTAACACTGCCCCAGTCGACAAGCGCTAACCTGACAATATTCAGTACCTTCAGCCCGAGGCAGCTGCCCAGAAAGGAATCTATCCTGGCAATGCTCGTCCGTAGAAATACGAATCCCATGGCCCCCAGAGCCTTCCTGAGCACAGCATGACCCGGGAACATTATCTGGAGACCCTTTGATAAACCCAAGATACGTTCTACCGTACCAGCAGTAATTGAATAATGACTTCGTCGCCTTATACTCCAGCCAGCTGCTGTGTAGCATCAATATCATCCACCATAAGCATGTACACAAATTCGATTTCCTCCTTCTCAATGTTCAGCCGAAGCTTATCGCTTCCCAGATCCCTTCCAACCTAAAACTCCAGATTATCCATCCCGTCTGCGAATATCCCGCTGAGTAGGCTCAACCATCTCCTCACCCGAGAACCCCAAACACCCGCGCGGGTCTGACTGGGTATAGATGAAGTATAGAGCATTCTGGACGATTGGGCTATCGAAATTCGGGCGACCAGACGCTGATTTTCATATCTCAACGCTTGCCCTAAGGACGCTGGAACTGGATGCAAGGACTTTCCAGTAATACACCCATGATATCAGACAACTGCAACTGCTCCGAGGATAAGCAACAAGGTGAAGGGGGAAAAAGGAAACAGAAATAGATTAATCATGTACGACACGATGACCGTTTATCTGAAATGTTATAACCAGAAACGCGGAGGACTCCTTGCCTATGTTTCCAGTCCAGAATTCCCGAGAATGCACCATAACCGATCAACACCAACCCAACGCATCAAAACCCCTAAAAGAAAAGAGAGAGAGAGAGAAAATCGTGTGATAAATGTTACAAGTTACAGCCCCATTCTTAACTCCTTTACCAGGTCTCGTAAGATGCGTCAACTCTCTTTACATCGTCATCCGCAACTCTCGTGTGCGTCGGCGGCTAGCACGGGTATTGCGACGAGAGTCGACGGCATCACTGGACTCCGTCTCGGTGCGGGCGTCGGACAATTCGGGGGTGGGCGTGACGCCGAAACTGACGCCGCGGTCGCGACGGGAGACCCGAGCCTCGGACTCTGGGGACAGGAAGCGATGGATGATACGGTGGTCCATGATCCGCTCCTCGCCGTCGCTGTCCATATCTGTTTGCGGCCATTGGTATCCGTAGAGCTTCGAGTGACGCTCGCATCGAGGGCATTCACGCCGTGTCTGGTACGAGTTGCATTGCACAAACCATGTTTCACACGTTTGGCAGTCTACCCAGCGATCGTACTTCTGGGCAAGCAGACGCGAAGTCTTGGTGTAGTCTCCTGGGACTCGGGCGACGGGGGCCTCGGTTTCGACAGAGGTGACGACGTCCCACCTGCGACGACCGCGGGACTTCCGTGGCTTTTCGAGCGCTGCTTCGGAGCCATCATCTATAGATACAAGGTCAGATTAGCATGTCATGTTCTCTTCTGGTTGGATGCGGGATATCTCACCTGTGGATTCCCGGCCGTGCTGGTCGGCATCTGGGAGATCTTCGGCTTTGGCTTTTGACCCCGGTTCATTCATAGAAGTAACGCTAGAAGACGGGGTACGGTATGATATATCGTTGGCCGACGTGGATGATTCGCTGTCTGTTGACGTGCTCATTCGGGGTTCCGCGGATTCGATGGAATCGAGAGAGCGAACGGGGTCATACTTCAATGAGGGGAAGCCAGTCTCAACTGGCTCAGCTGGTTCGGCTATGACAACTGGCCGATGCGACTCGACAGCAGGGCCTGCTGCCTCAGATAGGATGATTTCTTGTCTCAATTTGGACAACTGCCGGTCACCTGCAGCGGAGGTTTCGACGACCGCAGCTTCAAAGTCAGGCTCCGGCGTAGGGGGAAGATCAGATTCTGGTGTGGCAGTAGACTCCAGCTCGGACGCAGACATCTCTTCTCGGAGTTTGGAAATCTGATGCTTGAACTTGGCCCGCTTGCGTGGGGTAGAGGAAAGCGAAGGAACATCTTCCACTTCCGTGGAAGAGCCGCGTCGGCGCTTTTTCACCGCCAGACGGTCAACAGTTAGTGTTTCGTCGTCTGCGCAGACTGGCGAGGATTCATGGCTATCTGGAGGAGAGTCGATGTGAGGCGCCCAGCCATTCCGGACCATGCGTTCGCAGGTCAAGCACAGACACTCGCAATTGTCGATGCCAAAATAATCTTCTCCGTAGGACACGGTAATTTCCTCTCCTTCGTGAATATCACGGGTGGCCACAACCGACATGCCCTCGGTTCCCCGAGTCACAAGGCGACCGTTGGCATCGCAGTCATGGTTGGCAAATCGAGCCGGGCCGAGGAAAAAGGAGGGAGTCTTGCGGCGACTGGACATGACCACGCTGAAATCCCTGCGGGTCAAGCCTAAATCCAACTCCTCCTCCTTGGTCATGGCAACAAGAGTCCCGGCGAGGAACTTGATCTCCTGGCCGGATTTAATGAACTTGCGGGCACATATAGCGGCCTCGTGCTGGGTGATGATATAGCGGTTGGTCGTGGTCACTTCAAACGGGCAATCCGGGTGATACATCTGGACATATTTGCGGATGTGTCGTCGAAACCACTCCTTCTCCCGAGGACTACGGAGATTGGCGAGATATTTTTTCAGTCCAGGCAGTTCGAGCAACTTGCGTTCGGCCTGTGGCACATCCTTGGCCACAACAACATCATGAAGGAGAATACGCCCAACGTCATCGTCGTGGATTCCGCGGGCGGGGCTGTACTTGGTCCGGTTTTTTCGAGTCGTGGTCCAGAAATAGGCCTGTTTGCAGACAGGATCAGTAAGATAGCCCTGGGACGGGAGGAAGGGTTAAGGCCGTACGTGGTCCACTAGCGCATCGGTTGCGACATCATCGTAGCTGGCCAACTTGGCCAGCGTCAAACGCTCGCGGGGCTCAATCGCGGGGGAGGACGAGCGTGCCTTTTTAGGAGCCATAGTCGACGTTACAGCGGCTGACCGAGTCACTTAGAAGCCGGAGAGAAGTGTCGCATGAACAGGGTGGGCATGCGAAGACTTCGATTCAAGCACCAGGACTGCTAGAGAGCGAAGGGGGGGGTACGAAGGAGGATCGCCCCACGGCAGAAGCAAGATTCACAGACAAAACGAATAAAAAGGAGCGAATGAAGGAAATCAGAGCCCCAGCATGGGGACCAGGAGGTTCTTGGGGGCGCCAATGGGTACTGGAAGGCTATGCCCGTCGCAAGTTCAAAGGGGAACCAGCGCGCTACTCTTCCCGTGTTCCAGGAACCCGGGCGTCGCCGCTTTTACTGCCCCAGCCACGTCATGGCTGGAAAACCGTTAGAGGACCCGTTTTCCAGGGATCCTAGATAACTCCTTGGCTCAATTAGAGAACGGGTGTTCTCCGACATTTGGTTAGAAGTTCGCTTGGACCCATTTTACAGCCTTAGCATTGTGGATTACAGGGTAGTATTTCCTGTCCCCGGTTTGACGATAAACAGGTTTGGGGCCCGAAGAATATAAGCAAATATTTTCCGAATATATCTACCAGACTACTAAAGTAATTCTATTAAGATCGAAGCTACTGGTAATTGCTGCTTTTTCTAATGGAAATATCCGTGAAATCCAACTAAGCAAATCCCCATAGAGGAAACAGCGTACAAGTAAAACAATCTAGGATTGTTCATAGTTAGATATGGTCGACAACATCAATTTACTCCTAAGCTGGTTGACTGTCAGCCACGCTTGGGCTACCAGGGAACAATTTCAATAGCAAGCCCCGAGTTACTAGATAACTAAACTCAGAGAAAAAAGCAAGGTAGTAGAGGGCGCTGGGTAGTTAACCGATCCCATCCGCCGGCCTTTGGGAACTCCCCCAATCCCCTTGAACGTTGCCTATATGCTTCAGAAAAATCTTCAGATCAGATGGAGCCTGTGCCAAGGAAAGAAAGAAAAGAAAAAAAATCCCACAGGGCCTATTCATGAGCAACTCTGGGCCATGACAGCTGGCCATTAAACGGTGTATCGGAGGCAAAAAGTCTCAGCTCAGGCGTTCACTTCAGCCACATTATTGCAAGCCGACCCAATAAGTGCACAGATTTGACTAGAGTTACAAAAAATCACAAAAACTCTAGGACTATGAAAGTTTCGGCCTCACAGACGTTGACATGAAAAACCATACCACGCTCATGCAAATCCAAGTGCAGCCGGAAGAACCTTCTAAGTGGGGAAACGTTTTTCCCTCCACCATCAATTTATCGGATACGGGCTGCGGCGAGCCTTCAACACCCACAGCGCCCATCATGATTCAATTAAAGGTAAGCGCGAACCTTCACTATTTCTCCATATATACAAAGGACTAATCAAATACCTGCAGACCCTTTTAAATTGTATCGACAACTCTGGCGCGTCCGTCGTGGAGTGTGTCAATGTCCTGAAGAAGAAGCGACCCGCGACGATCGGTCAGTTCCCACGGATGCATCGCCCCGAATAAGATGGTTAGAATACTGACCGTGTGGTGGAATAGGTGACCGCATTGTCGTCGTTGTCCAGAAACAGAGAGCAGCTGCCTCAGAAGGTGCCAGCTCAACTGCCCTCGCAAACAAAGTCCGTCGCGGAGACATCCGACATGCCGTGGTTGTCCGTGTGCGCAAGGAGGTGCAGCGCCCTGATGGATCCCTTGTCCGCTTTGGCGACAATGCCTGTGTCCTGGTGAACAAGGCTGGCGACCCTATTGGGACCCGAATGAACGGTGGGTCATCATGACACGCAGGAGTTGTGCAAATGCTAATTACGTTCTCTTAGGTGTCGTTGGACAAGAATTAAGAGGGAAGCAGTGGTCAAAGATTCTTTCTCTGGCCCCGATGAATGTGTAGGAATATTGCATTTTGAGATTTCGCATGTCATTTAGAGCGCATTTTGTAAGAATAAGAAGAGTACCACCATCTTGATCTGCTTCCTTAGGCCAGCTTTGATATAGCAATTGGGCTTAGTTGACAAACGCGCCTGCGTAATCGCCGAACTCCAGAAATGCGAAAGAAAACAACCAAAAGAAAACAGAAATTGTAGATTGAGAAACACAGGACCGTTGGAAAGGAACAAAGGGCCAGGGGTATTGAAATGATCGCGCCGTATCGTAATTCATCACATAAAGACCTTTCCGCATGCGCAGCAGACATAATACAGTTTCTGGGCCCTCGTTAGAAAGTATCATATATAAGACGATACAAGGTGCTCACCATTCCCGTTTCTGCCGAGCGCTGCTGGGATTGGAAAAAGACCGCTTCATTTTCGCCACAGTCCGGACAAAGTTTATTGGCTCGAGGAAGCTACCAGACAAGATGTAAGCGGAACTGAAATAGTACCTACTATTCAGGGTGAGTTGGATGGAAGGGTACCCAACGAAAGCTTGGTGCTACCCAAGCTTTCAACTTCGTTGAGGAGGTCATCACAGTAGGTGATGGAGCGAGAGTCGCAGTAGGTGCAGGTAACCATACAGCCGCAGAGGGTGCAGAATCCAGGCAGGCAGAGGAGGCTAGGATTTGGGAGACGAACCGTGGGATCCGAGCCAACATCCTGAGTGACACCCGCAGTGTCACCAACCTGGCTGTTCAGCTTGTTCTGGTAGACACAGTAGGAAGTCGCAAGCTCGCCGACATGGCAGGTGCGGCAGGTGTACATGAGCCTGTTGTTGGCGCGGTCTTCCTTGGGGTATAGAAGGTTGGAGCACTCGCGGCAGAAGCGAAAGTGGATCTGGTCGGCTTGCTTGGCCTCACCAGAGGCCGAAGGAGAAGGACTGGCAGACATGGTGTTGGTGAAGCAGAAGGTGGCCGTAATAGATGTCCGAGATCTTGCAGTGTCTGTGGCGAGGCAGCGATGGTAGAGGGCGGGACCACGGAGGATGCAAAGAGGAGAAGAAAGGTTAGTGAACTATAGCTTGAGGTGAAGATCCCTAAACAGAGTGGTCAGTCGGGGGCGATCCCTCAAAGATGGTGACTCGAAAGTAGTGAATGAAGCTAAAGTAGTGAATATTTCGGGATCTTGTGAATCATGTGAACATGTTCACTCGAGCCGCAGCAGTTTTGCGATGTTTGCCCTATTTGCACTGTTTGCCTAGGCTTCCCCCGCAAGTTGCGGCGGCAACAAGACAGGACGAAAGTTCCCCACGTTTCGTATTCACAACTATATCGACAGTTTGTTACAATATGGTGAGTATGGGCGCCTTCTGGGATGTTAGGTACTATGCTGACATATTATTTATAGGCTGAGACAGGACTGCCCTCCGGTTGGGAGGTTCGCCATTCGAACTCCAAGAATCTGCCCTACTACTTCAACCCCGCTACCAAGGAATCTCGCTGGGAACCTCCAGCAGACACCGATACCGAGACTCTTAAGCTTTACATGGCCACACACCACACCCCTGCCGCCAGGATGGAAGCCTCTGGACAAGGTGATGGTAAGATTCGCTGCAGCCACTTGCTGATCAAGCACCGAGACAGCCGCCGTCCCAGCAGCTGGCGCGAGGCTGAGATCACCCGCTCCAAGGAAGAGGCTATTGAGATCCTGAAGCAGCATGAGGCACGTATTCAATCCGGTGAAACTACTCTAGGGGACATAGCCGTTTCCGAGTCCGATTGCAGCAGCGCCCGCAAGAAGGGTGACCTGTAAGTTTCAATTTAAGCCTCAGGCGTTTGAATAGTTTACTCACCCTGTTTAGTGGGTTTTTTGGACCCGGGGAGATGCAGAAGGAATTCGAAGATGCCGCTTTTGCCCTCCAGCCTGGCCAAGTCAGCGGTATTGTTGAGACCGCGTCTGGCGTCCACCTCATTCAACGGTATGTAGAAGCTGCTTTTTCTTATCTGGACTGTAAGCCTCTGCTGACTTGCCTCTCTACAGTGTTCAATAAACTTACCATCACCTGAATGGATGTGACTGGGAGGCTGGGGGGGGTGGGAAGGAAGGGGGCGTGGAATCCTACTTGGTATGCGATATACGTTGACAGTAGGCTCTGTTCTTGTACCTGAGCTGGGACTCACACGAGATCGGACAAAAAAAAAGATCTTGAATTTACTATTTCAATGACAACTGAATGAGAGCTGCGTTCTGCAAAATTTGTTTCCGAGTAGCTGTGCGTAGAGGGGCCGTATGATATTTGCAATAGAACCTCTTTATAGAGGCACTCGATTTCCGAGGGTCGCTTTAAACATAGTAGAGATCTCCTGGAATCAGGGCATCGTTGATAATCTAGAAGCAAAATGCACCGGCTCAAGGGAATTTGAAGAATTTCATTGTTTCTAATAACAAGGATTATCTTGTTGAGGATTGCTATCGCTTCATGCAGAAAAAGAAAAGAAAAGAAAAAGCAAGAAAAAACTATTTTGAATCATTTCGGCCGCACAATGCTAGAGACTAGTGTTCAGGCGGTCCAAGCGAGAAGTGATGGCGTCGATAACGGCGGATCTAAAAAGAAAACGTTACTTGAGCGTCCAGTGGTAGGAATCCTTAGGGTATGACTTACTCTCGTTCTACCATTCTCATGGCATCAGCAACCTTGGCCCGCTGAAGACGCTGAGGCACCTTAGGCTGAGAGCCTCCAGGAGAGGACGGGCTGCTGGGCTCTGCAGGAATGACTGATCTGGCCGCAATGGACTTTGTCTCCGAGATAAGATCCGCCGCAAGGCGTTTGACCTATATGCAGTTAGTAGAATGTCCTTTCGAAATGGATGTATAATGACTTACAGTTTCTAGCCGATGCGCCAGAAGCCGGCTTTGGTCTTCCTGGTTTGATGCCTGGATGTCAAATGATTCGGTGAGCATGTTGACTTCATTAGCCCACGCCTTCTCCTTTTCACTGAGAGCTCTGCCACCAGAGTTTTTGACCTTCTTGCGCAAAGCGTCATATCGTTCCACGAGTTGCTTCTGCCTATCAGACGCAGCTTGCATTCGCCGATTCAGAGCTTCTCCGTTCCGAGCACCCTCCTTGCGAGTTCCGTCTTCGGCAATTTCACTAGTCAGGCCCTTGATGCGTTCTGCAGCATCCGAGATCTGCTTCAGCTGGTCCTGCAGCTCGTCTCGCAATCGCTCGCATCGACGGAACAAGTCCGACGCAGCCCTTTCGAGCGCATTGGTGTGGGTGGAAACGACGCGGTGAGCAGTAGTAATCAGGTCGAGCGTCGCCGGGGACAAACGGACATGCTCCTTGAGGGTATGACGCTGGCGATGAGGCACATGTTTCTCGACAAACGACTCCAAGGGTGACGTCGCGTAAAAAATCGCAGGCACCTGGTATGGAGCCCGTCGGGGCGGGAAAGTAGGCAAATTGGGGGATTGCGTCTTTTGGTCGAACAAGCGAAGCGCCCCCCATGGCAACGGAGAATGAATCCTCTGGAGAGTCCATGATAGCGGCGTATGGGTTGGATGGGTGGTATGTCAGAACGAGATAACCAATGTCAAAGTCGTAGAAAACAAGACATGTGGCTAGGTGGTCTTGTGGAGCAGTAACATCAGTATCTGAGACTTCCAAGATTTTATCTCTTTGAGCAACGTCCCCGCTGCACAGGACCTGGAGTCGGAAGTCTGAGCCAGAGAGGTCTTCTGCCTGCAATTCGGTCTCCAGTCGCTGTACCCAGGAAGCCATTGAGAAAGAAACCACCTTAGTTGGGGTCGTCACATAGAATGAGTAGCGAGAAGAGATATCTGGCGAAAATGTAGGCCACATGGAAGCTTCGTGTTGTTCATTCTGCTTCATCGTGTCCAGAGACTCAACCAAGATGAGATCAGCAGGCTCTGAAGCTGGGGTGCGGAATGAGTTCTTTTTTGCCTTGGGAAGCCATTGGCCTTCCACGCCATCGACTTCCAAGCAGATATAAACACGTCCACTGGTATTTGTCAAGCAAATGACAGTTGCCGAGAGTTTTTCCTGCCCGCTGGCAGCCACAGCAAGTTCTTCTTCCTCGCCCATCATGAGATCTTCAACGTCCAACCCAGCAGCAATGACGAGGATGTCACAAAGATCAAGGTCATCCAACTCATCATTGCCAGCGTCAAACCGGTAGGGTCCTTGCAAGCGGGGGATAGAACTTGGCACATCAGGGCGGGTGAAGATATCTGCCCCTTGGACTACAGCAGACTCTGCGGGGACATACAAGGGCTCCTGGTCGTCGATCTCTCGAAGCCACTCATACTGCTGTCGGCAAGCTATGAGCTCCTCTTCCACATCTTCGTCGGCCCCTTCCAAAGCTGCTAGCTTAGGAATAATAGCAGAAGACAACGAGGGAATTGTCGTCGGAGGTGCCTGCCATTTGGTTGGTAACAAGGGGCAGAGCGCATAGATGTCACCCGGGCGCATGGCAACCCATAGAGTCATGGGTGCCCACGCATCCTCTTTCTCATTTCCACTTCCTGCGAAACAAGCAGACACCACTTCCATATCAATTAAATCAGCGGAAAAGCCCTTACTTTTACCGAATCCGCCTGGTTTGAAGTCCTGGTCCGAGGAGGTACCGTCAACCAACTTCGTAAGATCCACTGCTAAGGTAGGCTGATCGAATGACCAATGATTGTTGCGATCGAGCTCCCAAACACGGACCACGGCATCTTTGGTGATTGTCACAATGCATGCGGTCAAGCTCGTGTGAATTCCCAACGGATGCCATAGAGCAGAAACCACAGGCGATTCGGGGATTACATGAGTGGTCGGGCCAAGCTGATAGGTCTTGAGACGGATTGAAGAACTCTCTAGGGATGAAAGGTGGAAGGTATCAGGGAGGACCGAGATATGAACAGTGTTGTCGGTAATGATTGCCAGGAATGCGCCGTTCGGAGATGGTAGAATTTGTCTGATAGAACCCGAGACTGGGACTGAGAGAACCTGTAAAAAGTCAGTAAATTTTCGTTTCAAGCATCAATGCCAGCCATAGCTGTTCGGAAGGAGGTCTTATGACATACTCTGTAAGAAGGGAGGTCTGTAATAGGTTTTGCGCCAATTGCGCCCTTTTTCTGTCGGGCCTGCTGTTGCTGCCATTGCTCTTTCAATCGAGCAAGGTCCGCCCAGCGGATTTCGTTGTCCACAACAGTAAAGATCTCTGTTCCTCGTTTTGCGATAGTCTTCGTCGGGCCGTTGTAGAGCGCAGATTTGGCGCCGTTCTGTTGATCTGCTGGGCTTTGAATCGCGCTGCTAGTGAATAGGCTGGCGCCCGGGGAGGGTCGGCACAGCCAGGCTGGCGCAAAGCTATTGACCTTTGGCATGGAGAACAGGTCCAAAGAATGAGCGTTGTGTCTAGAGGGAAGTTCCAGATCTCAAGAGTTCGCTGAAAGGCGGCAGTTTGGCTGTTGTTGCGGGAAAGGAAATCGGGCGCGCCAAGCCCTTTTGGGAAGCTCTGAAGCTCTGATCCGCCATCCAGTCTTTTGACTTCTTCCACAGCGCGTCGACCTCACATCGAAATGAGTCTTTTAAAAATTAACACAGTTGATCGCCTGGATCGGCCCAGTGCTTACTATGCTGGCAAGGTAATATTATCTCCGGCTTGGGTATACTGCGAGGCTGACCAAAATTCAAGCAAAAGCGACGCAGATACAATGACCGAGAAGAGGACCGAGATCGCGAGCGCGAAAAGGAGGATGAGTTAGCTAAACTGCAGAATGCAACAACCCTCTACGTGGGCAACCTGTATGTCGCCGAACAGCTTACTTCTACACGGGGGCAGGCAACTAATCAAGTACCAGGTCATTCTATACCACCGAAGAACAGATCCATGAACTCTTTGCCAAGTGCGCATCCCAGGCCTCCTACAACTTTTTCCCATATCTGACCCTTATATCACCAGGTGTGGCGAGATTAAGCGGCTGGTCATGGGCCTTGATCGTTTCGAGAAGACACCCTGCGGATTCTGCTTCGTCGAGTATTACAACCACCAAGACGCCCTGGACTGCCTCAAGTATATCGGAGGGACCAAATTGGACGAGCGCATAATCCGGACCGACTTGGACCCTGGGTTTGAAGAAGGTCGGCAATATGGGTACGTTATACGCACGTCCCTGCCAAGGGCAATATGGAACTCTTGCTGATCAATTGCAACAGACGTGGAAAATCCGGCGGCCAAGTACGAGACGAATACCGTGAAGAGTACGACCCAGGTCGTGGAGGCTATGGCCGTGCTTACGATGAGCTGCGCCGCGCAGAGGAGCAATATGGCTCGGGCCGGTAGGTGCTCATCGCACGTAATAATAGTTGTGTCGGTTCGATGGGCGTTCTCTTTAACGGCGTGGAATTTATCTAGCAAAGACGATAAATTAACAAGGCTTCTATTTTCGATACACCATTTACACAAATCTTGCCCACTCGTCTATTGTATTCTATGGATCTATGATTCTTATGATGCTAATTTCTCCTGTTTACCAATGGCTTCTTGCACTTGGCGCAGCCACCAAGCGTGGATTCTGGCGTCGCCCGTCAACTCAGGGTGGAAGCTAGTCCCAAAGACATTTCCTTGCCGCACCGCAACGACATCGCCAGCCTCGAGGTCTGGATTGACATCACGTCCCTGGGTGGCTATGTGGCTTGCTGATCCAGGTAAGGTGGCCAGCACCTCCACATTCTCAGCCGTTGCCGCTTCGGCTGCTGCGTCTTTAGTTTTCCGCGATGGCGCGACTATAGTATCATCTCGCTCCGATTCTGCGGTTTGTACGCCTTGCTGATGCGGTAAAATTGTCTCCACAATTGGAGCGCGAATGAAGATCGCGGGGAAAGGTGCAGCTCCCTCGCCCAAGAATTGTAGCTCCAGCGGAGCCTGGAAGCTCTCTGTTTGTCGACCGAAGTGATTGCGATTGACTCGTACATCGAGGCCTCCGATAAGTTCTTGCCCACCCTTCTTGGTACGGTTCGCCGACTCTGCGAGGAGAATCAACCCGGCGCAAGTTCCCCACGCGGGTTTGCGATGGACCCTGATATAGCAGTTTTGTTAGACCTAATTGCATTCAAAAAAAAAACCCTTGCAGGGGAATCGTACTTGACGAAGTCCCTCAGAGGCTCCAGGAGGTCGGACCGCGCTGCCACCAAAGACATAGTTGTGCTTTCGCCACCAGGTAGAACAAGCGCGTCGCATTTGGCGAGTTCTTGTGGCGTACGAACTTCAATGAAATCCCATTCCCCCGAGACTTCTTGCTCGGTAGCCTTCTTCAAAAGACGCACATGTTCAATGAAAGCGCCCTGTAGGGCAAGCACTCCCACTGTGATCATGATTCGTAATTGCGACTATGAAGATAGAAAACTGCTCTTGGTTTCGATGACTCGACGGCCACGTGACGACTATTTTCCGCGGGGAAGTCACTTATCGCCACGTGATTCTCCTCTGTTAACTTAGTACGGGGACCTAAATCAGCGACTTAATTGTCTATTTCAGAGGTGCTTTTTGATGTATTTGCCACTCGGGTGTAATACTTTAAGAGCTACTGGTATAATCATTTTGAAGCTTGCTTGCCCCTCCGCAGTGACCTCACTGGATCAAGTGAGCCTTGATTCTTGGGGTTATGACAACTGTAGAAAGTAGTTCCCCGGGTGCTTCAACATTCAGTTAGATTGATCTCCAAGGTTGACTGCAATAGAAATGGTGAGGCTGAGCATGAGGCTTTGGCGCCCCGCTAATTAGGCCCCCAGTTCGGCCCCCAAACAATCTTGCCGGGGCATAGGACCTTTATAAGATACGGGACAGCCTTGAACAGGAGGGATATTTCTTTTTAAGCGAAATCCAAAATCAGTGCAAGGATGCCTCAGCATACACGTCGTGGCAACGACGACTTCAAGTTTGACCTCGCGGCGCCGGCAGGGTGGTCTTACGCACCAGGCGACACCATCATCGGCAACTTGATGCGCAAAACGCCAATCGTCACACCAGATGCGACTATTGTATTCTCATTTGAGGGGCGCTCGGAGGTCAAAATTACTCAGCCCTCTAGAAATATCTCTAGAAATACTTCTAGAAATACCTCTGTATACCGCGATAACTGGCCGATTTGCAAATCGCAACCATTCACCGTCCACAAAGGACCTTTGCACTTGGCCCCGGGGAGCGATGAAGTTTTGAGCTGGCCATTCTCCCTGAATATTCCATTAAAACCCATGGCAACAGGCCCGGGGTCCAATATCGACCCTAGGCGTACCTTTCTTCCAAGAGATACATCCCACCCAGCCCATCAAACTCTGCCAGGTTCATTTGCGGCGGCAAGCAAGTCTTTCATGAGTGATCGCGAGTCACTTGACTTCGTCGAATACTATCTGACGGCACACCTCCGATATATGCATGGAGGAAGTTATCAGACCTGTGAAGCAATCTACCCTATTTCCATACGGCAGTCGATGCCTTCAGTCCATCGACTCGGCGTTCCCGTTACAGTTACCAGCCAAAGGCTCATCTCCAGCCAGCGACTTCTCCCCGGAATGGAAAATGCAGGTTTATCTTTTAAACAGCATGCACAAAGGTTTTTTGGCTCCTCTAAAGTGCCCCAGTTCTCTTGTACATTTCGCTTAACTGTGCCTGTGTCTATTCAACTGGACGATCCGACTCCACTGCAGGTGCAGCTCGAGATTATGCCAAATCTCGAGAGATCAAGTGACGCCATCAAAGATACCGCACAAAACATCGCAGTTTTACGCCTTCAAGTCGTTCTCAGAAGCCAGACGGCTGACCGTGCGCTGTCAAGCGCCTTCGGCATAGAGCACTCAAATAGTTTCGACCAAACAGATCGCCGGGATTTTCCATTCAGCCCCCCATTGGTGATCACTACGGGGAAGAAGAGCGAGCCATTACATCTTGGCAACCAGCTTCAACTCATTCTTACCTCACACGGTCTTCAATGTGGAAGCCAAAGGACTCGCCAGACTCCTGGTCCACATCCCTCCTTCATCTACCCCGATATCATCACACATAATATTCGACATACTCATACCATGGACTGGAGAATCGATGTAAAAATCGCCGGCGAAACAGAGACTGAAAGATTCTCAACGCGTGTACACATTATCGGGCCCGCATAACTGTATGATCCTTGTATTACATTGAACCCTTTATCCATATTCTACCTATATAGGTATGATAATTCTCTTATACGGCCGTACCTTCTTTTGGGCCCAGTTTGGTATACAGAACCATTTCTCTATCTATACTCGATTTTTGAACATGCGCATACCCAGGACCGTCAAATCATGATGGGGAGGCTGCCGAACAGGAACGAAGACTGGAAAGACCAGGAACATCCGAGGCATCCATACGATCAATCGAATTCATTAGGATTACATTTGATGTCTGCTTGAATGGGTCTCCTCTTATTTCATATCCTCCATATAGAGACGTAGCCACGCTTGGATAACGCAGCAAACCTGAAGTCGTACAAGGCAGAAACAACCCAACTGAGGTTAGCGGTGAAATACGCCCCCAACTAACGGTGGGGTCCAGCTTCATTCTCATCAGTATTACATCCTTAATCTGATTTCCACTATATACTAATACTGCTCCAATGTCATTATAAGACTCGTCTTCAAAGATGGCGGTCAATGAAATCAGCCTAGAAGAAGGCCTCCAGGATACCCCACGGGCAGAAAATATCGACCCAACCCTACAAGGACTTCCAACCACAGTACGCTGGTACATCGACTCTCGAGACTGGGAGTCGCACGGCCTAGACCTGCCTTTAATAGAAGCCCTCCGCCCAGACGAGCAAAAAGCCGTGAGGAGATTCCACCATGCCACCGACAGGCGCATGTCTCTATCCTCCCACCTCTTAAAATACCTGTACATACACCATGCGTGCAGCGTGCCATGGAAAGACATCGTCCTCGCCCGCACTCCAGCACCAGAAGGCCGCCCATACTACAAGCCCGCCGCAGGTCCCGGCATTGAATTCAACGTCACCCACCAAGCAGGCATCATCGGGCTAGCCGGCACGCTCGAACCATCAGAAGACCAACTCCTGCGCCATGCAGCAGGAGGGATCCTCCCTCCTAGGCCACGCCTGGGCATAGATGTGACCTGCGTGAACGAGCACCGGCGCCGCACGCTGACGACCATGAACGAATATCTCAACTTCGTCTCGATGTTCGTCGACGTGTTCTCCGACGAAGAGCTTCGGGTCATGAAAACCCCCGCTGCCGCCCTGCGACGAGCCCGACACCTCGGGTTCGCAAAGGCATTCCCCCCCATGTACGTCGACGAGTCGGGCGCCCCGATCGAAAAGCCGGAGAGCGTCGTGCGCTTCGGAGTCCGCCTATTTTACTCCTATTGGGCTCTCAAGGAAGCATACTTGAAGATGACCGGCGATGCCCTCCTCGCGCCCTGGGTGCGCACCGTGGAATTCTCAAATGTGATTCCGCCCGACCCTGTGCAGCCCCTGGTTGCGCCGAAGCCATACAGGCCGTCTAAGGACCCGAAGTATATCCCGCAGTCGCCGAAGAACTGGGGGCCGCCGTTCAACGAAGTCAAGGTTAGCTTGGCGGGGAAACCGCTTGAGGATATCCGACTACAGCTTGTCTCGTTTGAATCGGATTATATTGTTGCCATCTCAGCGAAGGGTCTTCCTGTGGGCGTTGTGCCGGGTGTGGTGAAGAACGTTGATCTGCATCACCTACCTGGACATATCACAGTTCGATCAGGCGAAGAGACTGAAGAATGGCGCGTCCCGATCAATGTGAAGAAGGTTCTCGGTGATGTAGACCCTTGGAACATCCCCTTTGCAATCAAAGACCCGTGGCTTCCGATGCAGGAAATTGATATCGAATTAGATGTCCGGCCTTGTGCTGAGGGGCGCTGTGTCCATCCTGAAAGCCCTGCGAGGGTGCTATCTGGTGCTTAATCCTAAACAAGGTTAGAGCTTACCCTTGAACCCCAGGGGTTACAACAGTGTCCGTAGCGCACTGAGGTGGCCTAATACTAATAGGAAGAAATAAATCATACTCATTGGATTTTTCTTTTTTTGGGAGCGTAGGTATGTACATTTTAGAATCTCGAAACTGGAAACAAAGAATGGGGGGCTGAGGAACATGATGGGGCGCATAATATTGAGTGCCAAGAGACATAATGGTATTCCAGTTGTTGACAAACCAATAGAAGGCCCATACAGAGTTATGCCACGCCATTGACCCTTCGATCTGCTGTATGAAGACCCCTTAAGCATACGAAGCTATCAGATAAATAGCGAAACAGGTTGGACAGGCGCTCTGGAGACGCAAGGGCATAAATTGGGGTTTGTTCCTTGGGAATACTGAGTTCGATTCCATGGTTTCATGGTCGAAGTCGCCGAATCTCCTCGTGAGTGGAGAAGAAAACTGGGATTCAGGTAAAACGTTCGTGGGGAGCTTTTCAGATCTCAACACCGGTTGAGACGCCATTGGCGCGAGACGAAGTCTTGTCCGTTTCGGAGTCCGTTTCGGACTGCGCCATATCCATGAGGGTCTTCAACATGGAGTCACGGGCAGAGGTGGTGAGCTCATCCACGTCGGCCGGAGTTAAGTTCTTGGTTTCGATGGGTGGGAGGACTGGTTTCAGCGAGTCAATAGACGGCGCAAGTCTAAACGGGTCTATCTTCACGGGGTAAAACTAACCTTTGACCTTGATAGCTCCTGACTCAAATCGCCAGTTCTTAGGAGAGAGAATATGCGAGTAGTTCTCCGTGACCACGGGCACGATAGGCACACCCGCCTTGACAGCCAAATGGAATGCACCCTTCTTGAAAGGCAATAAAGTAGGCTTGTCGGAGTAGCTTCGGGTGCCCTCTGCGAAAATAAATACGCTTTGGCGGTGGTTGCGCATTTCATCTGCGGCTCCATCGAATGCCTTCATAGCAGTCTCACGATTGGCACGGTCAATGAAGACAGTGCGAGAAAGGGCCATGAACCACCCGAGGAAAGGGACGTTCCTAAGAGACTTCTTCGCTGTGACACTGCAGTACTTGGGGAATATGGCACCCAACATCAAGACGTCGAGTTCAGTCTGGTGATTGCCGATGAAGACTGCAGGGCGCGTAGAGAGGTACTCCTCGCCTTCAACGATTTCGAAGCGCACCCCAGTTGTGAACCGCATCACCCACTTAAAACTCCGCGCCGTGGCCCATTGGGAAATCCGGCCATAGCCCACTAGCCGCAAAACGATCGACGCAACCACACCGTAGAGTGCGCAGAGGATCAGGGAGCCATACGAGGCCAAGCAGCGGGCGACGAAAGCTGCGCGAGGGACCTTTTGGCCGAGTACAAAAAGTGATAGCGTAATCAGCACATAGGAGCTGATGCCCGACTGCACATAGGAACTGATTGACATGGTGGGGGAGGGGGTCCGTGTCCGGCGCGGAAGGGTGCAGGGTAGCGACTTCGTGGAGGTTGAGCCTTAAATTACCACGATGTGATCACGACCCGCAGGGAGCATTCGCAGGTTTAGAAAAGGGCTGAAGAAATCTCAGGAAGTGTATGCCCATGGCTGGCCGCCGCGGCGGTGGTGGAGCGGTGCCCTTTTTATTGCCTTCGCCGACTCACCGCCAGCTGACCGCGGCAGATGACCGGATGTACCAGAAGTATAAGCGGGTGACACTACAGGAGCTCTAGCGGTCAGAGCCCGCGCTGTTACGGTTTCGAATAGCACATTAGCCCCACAGATACAGTGGAGGGAGACGTGAAGCGAGGAAGGATAAATTATGCGCTGCTTTCATCGGCTCGTTATGATGCCCAACCCTCATACAATAATGTACAAAATGAAACACCGGCCAGATGTCTAGACCTGGAAAAGAGAACTCCCCTCGGATGCTGTGCAGAAAAGCCGGAAACGCCTTGCAAGTATGACGAGAACTACCCCCCAAATCCAATGGAAAAGAGAAGAAAAAATAAAAAAAAAACGTGAAGAGAAGCCCCGGGGTTGTGGGAAACATCACAGCTATGCAATGTCCTCGTCGTCCATTTCATCATCATCATCAAGAGACTCCATTGCATCTTTGATGAAAGTTGCAGCCTGCAGATGAAAAGTTAATAAGAGTCGTAATTCACACCTGTGAGGAAATTGCCTTACCTTTGGATCCAGATTCAAGGCGGTCGTAAAGTGCTTAATCGCATTGGGCTTGTCGTGCATGATTTTGTACATCTTGCCTAGGAGGTAATGCACATTGGCCTCATCAGGAGCCATATCCTTGAGTATCTTCAGCTCCGCGAGGGCGGAGTTGTTTTCTTGAAGCTTCATGAGTACACGAGCTTTGCGGAATCGAGCCAAGATGGATTGCGGTGCTAGAGAGCAGGCCCGATCGTAATGTACCAAGGCCTTTCGGGGTTCATTATTTTTCTCCAAAACCAACCCGATGCAGCAAAGCAAAACAGCGTTTGTTGGGTTGATCAGAGCAGCGTTGCGGAAATGCTGCTCGGCTTCCTCCAGCTTGCCCATCTTATCGTAGACAGTCCCCAGGCCATACCAAGCGTTGTAATGGCGAGGATCTGCCTTAATCCCGCGGCGGTAAGCATCAAGGGCTTTGTCGTACTCTTCATTGGAAACATACTCGTGCCCCTGAAGTGTGAAAGCGTATGCGCATTCGGGGTCCAGCGCAGTTGCACGCTTGAAACACTTCAGGGCCTGGTCATGATCTCGTTGGTGAGAGAATGAATTACCAATAGCACACCACGCTTGTGGGGAAAGACGGTCGACTTCAAGCGTCTGGTGTGCCAGATAAGCCAGCTCCACATCATTTTTGAGATGCCAGAGCACTGTAGAATAGATCTCCATATCCTCGAGCCTGGTTGGCGCCAAGCTTTGCACCCGTGAGAAGTACTTGGCCGAGTCTCCGTACATCGCTTGCTCAAAATAGGCGCGTCCAAGCTGAGCCAGGACCCATGGTGTCTCACGTTGAGCTTGGCTAAGGGAATTGAATTGTTGAATGGCATCCGGGCATTTGTACCGGCTGAGCAAGAAGTACCCCGACGCGAGTTTTGTAAAGAGGCCCAAAAGCCAATTCAAGGCCTCTATTTCTTTTGTTTTCTCCGCTTGTTTCGGGAGAGGAGGCACAGGAGGTACGGAGTTCGTACGGTATTCCTTCCCTCGTAGTCAGATGCTTCCATAGGCTTACGATTACCGCTCACTACACGGCCGACGGTAGATGTGGTTCCATGTCGGCTCCGAGGTGCGGTGCTTCGCACCTTCTTCATTTCACGGCCATCCCTGCCGGTCAGTGTGCTATCCGAGAGTTTGCTGGTGCTGGGCTTGATTTGATTGAATAGGCGCACGCTGCGACGCTGGGGCGCACCTGGTTCGGGAGGTTGTTGAGGGGCGGGGTGTGCAACTTGACCAGAAACCGTACGCTTTCTATCACCTATGCGCGGGGCGGGTGGAGGTTCTCTTTCGGAGGAAGCCTCGTCTGTTTCTGGTCGTGGCTTGGTTCGAGGGCGTATACCCGTTGTGCGCATCTTGGGCGGTGGTTGTCCCGTTGTTTGATCCAAGCTCATGTGTTGAATCGTGCGGCTTTTTCTTGCTGGTGCCAAAGGTGGTTCCCACGTAGACTCAGAGTCGGCTGCACTATTAGCAATGCGGAATTCTTCGGAGCCACTACTCTGAGGTGTTTCTGTGCCTTCGTGAATAACAGGTGCGATAGGCGATGCAACGCTAACGGAGCTACCGTTCAGCTTCTCCCACAACGCTGAGCTACCGAAAGTTGCATCCGGGTCAGCGCGGGGGTTGGACACGGTAAAAGGGTCTGTGAGAGGGTTCCCAGTATTTTGCACCGGGAAAGAGCCTTCGGTGGGACTGAAGCGATCAGGCACGGTATCCGAACTCTCTGACGAAGATACCATGGCAATAAGCTCGGGACTCAGTTGGAAGATATTCGGTACTTTGATGTTGACGCCTGTCGGAAGTTGTTAGGTCCTGATCCTAAATATTCGGGTCCAAGTCGGCCAAACAAACCAGTTGCGCACAGCCCTAAAAATGCATCCCACATGAAAGGGTTGAGTTTGAGTGATTCCACGAAGCAATCCACCGCCTTGTTCAAATCCTTATGGGCTCTGTAGAGCTTTCCCTGGAGGCAATAAACCGCGGCTGCGTCCGGGAGATGATGGCGCTGGGTTTCGCTGTGCTTGCCTGTTTATGGCGTTAGTCATGCTTGACCGGGTCAAAGAGTTAAAATACCCACTCCAGGTGTTCTTCGAGGCCCATTGGCCTTTACTGCGCTCGAGGGCAGTCACCCCATCCAGGTACATTCCTAGGTCTAGACAGGCTTGCGCGTAGATGTAGGAGCAGCCAGCATGTAGCCCCCGAGTGCCTGTAGACTGGCAGGCCTCAAGCGCCATCTTTACTTGTCCATTGTGCAGGTGGCAGGTAGCCAGGAGATATTGAGCCTCGAATGATCGCGGTTCAAAGGCATGCAGGCGTTCGGCAAGGAATAGCGCGTTTCGAATCAAGTTGTTATCGAGGTTGTAGTAGATCAGATGTCGGAGCTGGCTGGCGACATGACCAGTGGACAAAGCCATGAGGGGCGTGTGGGGTGGCACGGGCCAGGGGGGTGAAGGTGTCGAACGATAGGGATATGTAGATGGCGAGAGGGTATTTCTCGAAATCAAGTTTGAGATCAAGCGCGCTGCGCGGAGTTGTCGTGTACACAGAGAGTGTTCATGCGGGTTCGCCGCTCAGTAAGTTCGACGCGGGAAGACAATGCGTGCAGTCACAGGAAAAACAAAGCCCAGCAATCCATCAAACCTCCTAAAACATCGGATGAAAGGCAAAATGCACGTTAAAATGGGGCTTCCAGAGGCAAATTGCAGTGTTTAGAAGACCTGGTTCCGGGACAGTGATCCACGGAATGTAAACTGACGCAAACGGTAAAGTTGTGAAAAGAGAGCTCGAAGAGAAACAAAGTTACGCATAGTCAGACTCCTGGGCGAGTCTGTCACAGCAAACCAGGCATCGCGTGAGGGGCCTGTTCGTTCGAAGAAATGAAGCGCGGAGTAGGTTAGTGCTTGGGCTTATTTTGGTTGCATCGCCAGGGCTCGTGGTTTCTGCCGGGCGGTCAGGGTCGGGGCGGCAACACAGATCCATATGTACTTCAATGCAATCTTATCTCCTGTACAGCCTCCACACGGGGGGAACTTCCAGGGCTCATAGCTGAAAGCCCTCTTTAGCTGCCTGGTGCACGTGGGATCTCTGGAAGACGCACCCGAAAAGGAAACTCATCGGTGCTCAAGCATTGGTCTGGCAGATATCCGCCAGCTGTTCATCATGGCCCAGGTAAGCTCCTACACCACCCCTCATGTTGCAGGTATACCCATTCTCACCTCTTGAAAGAAAGCTGCCAAAACCCTTGCTACTCGCAATGCTGCTACCCTGTCTCGCACTCACCTGATTTCGGCTGCCCTGCATATCCTTTTCCTCATTCTCCACTTCGTTTTTGGAAGACCACGCTCATTGAAGCCATATTTCTTCCTGGCTGTCCCAACCTTGGCCATTGAATACTATCTTGACCTTGTGGGTCGCCCAAAATTCAACCCCGATGGCTCACTGCGCACCGCAGGCGAGGACCTGAATGCTACAGGACTAACCGAGTACATGTGGGATGTGCTGTACTGGACCCATGGCTGCATTTTCGCCGCTTGTGTCTTCAATGACCGGGCCTGGTGGCTGTGGATTGTGATTCCGTTCTACTCGGTCTATCTGGCTTACACAACAGTGATGGGTGTGAAGAAGGGATTCGCAGGAATGGGCGGTGGCAGTGCGGAAAGCGACGCCCGTCAGGGCCCAAAGAGCAAGACACAGATGAAAAAGGAGAAGCGAGGCGACCGTCCTAAGCAGCGTGCTGTCCGGTAGTCTGGAAATTCCCCAAGGCTGCAATCAGACGCTTCTTCCTGCAACTTGCCTGCAGTGGAGCTGAGGCGCGTGATGTCTCACATGCGCTGACGTCGAGTCTTATCTTTTGCGGATAATGCAAGGATTATTTAGCAAACATAAATGATGGAAGTAAATGGAGGAAATTCTGCACCTATTTTGTCATGCCGTTATGTGCTGAAATTCATATTGAAGTCACGAGAACGCTTCCGCCGCGGATATACACAGTAACTAGTCCACATACCGCTCTAAGTTTTGCCGGGTACTCATAGATAGTCAAATGGGTCACTCATCGTTCTATCACATTTTCCAAATCTCCATATTTCTTGCACCTGCTCGTTGTCATCATGCTGTGTCTTGACCATGGGACTAGGATGGAAAATGGCAGGGAGACGGCTGGGAATGAGGTATTTCAGTGTTACATACTATTTAGGTAGCAGCCGTTCGAACCGGGAGATATGTTTATTGGATCGTCTAGGAGACTATAGTCGCTCTGACTGCTGATCCACCATCACCTTCAGGTTCAATTGACGTAGCTAGGTAGTCCTCCAAATTCCAGAGACTAGACGCAATTTTGACCATTGGACATCAGTCACAAAAGAACTTGAAAGCCAAACTAGGTCTGGATGACTCAAGTAGACAGGAACTCATACATGTCTCTACTAACATCCGACACTTGAGGAAGTCGCTACTCGAAATGGTTTCATTATGTACGCAAATTACATCGTTGCAAAGGAGGAGCCACAGGCCTCCGGAGATGACTGCAGCAGCAGTGCGCAGAAAGCCGAAAAGGGAATAAAAAAAAAAAATCGTGGTGCAGGGTCGTGAACATATTGCCGTCGTGACAAACTATATGGGGAATAATGCGTTGAGGAACAGTCTTTTCCTACCACGTAGCAGGAAAGATCGGCCCCGTCGCAACATAATTGAACACAAATGAGTGAACTTAAGACACAGGGAAACGAAAAGTAAATTAAGCAGGAAATCCACAAACAAAAGCCCCCAGTATGCGTATTCATTACAATTCGTCTTTGGCCGATGAGACCACGGACTTGACGCTGCTAGCCGCATCATCCACGTGTGATGCAGCGGTCTCGACAGCTTCGGACGCAGCACTACTTGCAGTGGAAGCGAGATCGGCTAATCGGGACTGAGCGCTCTCCACAGCCGCTGCAAGACGGCTAGTTGCGCTCTCAACGGCACCAGGCTCCTCGCCGTAGATCGCAGCACTAGCCTTCGACTGAATGTCCTCGATAGCATCCTTAGCAACATCGAGATAGCTGGGATCCTTGCCGAAGACCGCGCCGCTGATTTGAGCAGAGGCGGTAGAATAGGCTTCGGCCGCTGCCTCAGTGGCTTGCTCATAAGGGCCCTTGGAAGTACCATAGATTCCGACGCTTGCAGCCTCAACAGCGGCGCTGAGTTGATCGTTCACATTTGCAATGATATCCTTCACGGAGGGAACCTCCGATATAACGGAGGCAGCGACGGATGAGGCAGTCTCGTAAGCTTCGCTGGCATAGCTCGAGGCGGATGACAGCGCTTCTGCGGGATAGGGCGTCTCGTAGGCAACACGAAGCTTGCTCAGCACACTCTCGGTGAAAGATGGTTGTCTCCCTACGAGGAGTTCAGAGACGACATCGCGGATAGCCGCAAACTGTTCGGACGAGCTGTCCAGCGCGCGCTCCAAATACGGAGCAGGGGTGCCGTAAATCTGTTCGCTGGCCTTGGCGATCAACGCCTCCCAGTTTTCAGATGCCTGGCTGGATATTGATTCCAACGGACCGGGTGTAGTGCCGTAAAAGGCAGAGCTAGCCGAAACAGACGCAATGGAAAGGGTGGCGGAAGCAGCAGAGATCGCTGCGCTGTATCTCGACGAAGCGTCATCAATGAGGCGCTGCGCTTTACCGTCGTCCGCGGCAGAGATAGCAGAGCTAGCAGAAGCCACAACGGCAGCGAGACTGGCCGAAGCCAAGGAGGATACGTGCTCATATTGTGACTCAGCCCCCTGAAGGACATCCTGGATACCAAATGGAGTAGTAGTAGGGGTCGGAGTGCCATAGACGGCTTCGGAAGCGGTCGAGACAAAAGCGGAGTAGTGGTCATGGGCGAGACCAATTGCTTCATAATAGCGACGCTGGGCATCGAGCACAAAGGGCTGCTGTGCCGCAGCGTTGGTCTCAGAGGCGATGGGCTGAATTGAGACCAGCTGCTCCGACGCAGCGCTCAAACCTTCGCTGAGACGCGAAGACGCAATAGAAGAGATCTGAGCTAAAGGTCCCACCGAGGAGGGTGTTGGTGTCGCTTTCACAGCAGCAATTTTAGCATCAAACTGTTCGGTTGCATACTTGATAGCTCCAGAATAGGCAGACTCAATAGAAGAAAGAATTTGCGCATGAGCTGGGGTAGTGGATTCGGCTGCTTGGCCTTGAACATGAGACTTGGCAATTTCGTACAGAAACTTAGCATTGGCCGTCGAGTCAGCAAATGCTGAACTTGCTTCGTCATAGACATTGGAGTAGGCATTCTCGGCCTTTTTTGCCAAGCTGTGGATAGTGTCTTCGTCTTCCTCGTCAATAATAGGCGCCGAAGCCGACTTGATCTCAGCAGCAGCCACTCCACCAAAGACGCGTTTCACCGAAGCCGCTTCGTCCTTTTCGATGGGATCAGCTGAGGTGGGTTCATCGTCATCCTCGGTCCCAGCTTCCACAGCATCATCCTGTTCTTCAGTATCAAATGATTCACCAGAGACAATTCGATCCGGGTCTGGAATAGCATCTGCTTGCGAGTTCTCATCTGAAGAGCTGGAGACGGTGGAATGTTCTGACTCCTCCTCGTCAACAGCTTGAGAATTCTCTTCGTGAGTTTCAGGCTCTGCATGTGGGCGTGGTGGTGGGGCCTCAGTTCTAGTGTCAAAGTTATCGCTAACTTCACGAGCAGCTAACTTCCAGTATCCCACTTCCTTGAGTCTAATAAGTTCTTTGGCAGTGTCGGTGGCAACGGCCATAGCCTCGTCCAAAATCTCGGTTGCAACGTCTCTGGCTTCGGCAACCGATTTGTGGTTGATTCCAACCTTCTCGATTTCACTGCGCCAATCGTCCAGCTGAGCCTTAAGGTTATGGTACCTGGTCCAGTCCTTGTATGTGACGCCATCTGACCATGCCCAGCGCGTTCCGATCTCTTGCAAACCAAGATCGCGGATATTATCCAGAATGTTAAGGGTCGAATTGACAGCAGATGCAACGCGGCGCAGGAGCTCTTCGTCAAAAGAGAGAGACCACTGGCGTAGGGAGTGAGCACGATCTCTTACTGCAACAGCAGCCGCGCGCACATCAGCAGTCAACTTCTCTTGAGCTTCCCGCTCTGCTTCTGGTGCATCCTCCTCGGGCAGAGTCTCAACAAGCTCATTGATCCGGCGCTTGATAGCTGAAATCTTCTCTGCAGAGACACTCTGAAGAGCAGTGGAGAGACTTTGCCCGTGGCCCCGAGCACTGCTGGAGACAAGGCCGCTACGATTTCTTCGAGTCGTTCTTCGAGATCGACCACCCCCTTGTCAGCAACCGCGGCGAACTTTTCCTGCCAACGCTCAAGATCTGTATCAATGCGCTCCCGGGATTGCTGCGCTAGTTCCTCTGCAGAAGGTGTCGGCTGCGGTGATGGGATCTCGGTTGAGGTAACGGTCGCTAAGTTCGTAGTGTGGACAGCTTCTTCAGAAGTGGTGCTGGTGGGTGTAACGTCTTGCTCAGACTGGGTGCTGAAAATTTTGTTAGTAAAATGATCTTATTACAGTATAAACCAACCATACTTATCCAGATCCTCCACAACAGCTCGTAGTCGTTTGCCCTCCCTATAACTGGCTAGACGCTGGCCAATTTTAACAAGTTGGGGTTCTACCTGCTCCGAGTAGAGGCCTGTGATACGAGGCCACAGAGAGCTATTAGCAAAGTACACAGCAGATGACCAGGTATAGCGGGCACCAGGCATGACATGAGTGGTCAAGATCTCTTGTCCTGCGGTGTAGGTCTTGCCGATGAAAGGTTGCGATCGGGTATAGAAGGGAACAAGGTGGTTCCAGTAAACGGCAAAAGCAGCGGCACTTGCTTTCTCATAGTAAGGCGACACTGCGTTGACACCTTTCTGAACATGGGGGTCCACTTGGGCCATGTAAAGTCGGTATGCCTTATCTTGAGCCTCTTGGATTCTCGGTGTTACCTGCGCATTCCATTGCGATGCGCCATACGCCTGAGCCTTTTCCAGTGCTGGCGCTCCATACTTCTCGTATCCAGTCTGGGCAAACTTGGAGGCGGGCGCGTAAACTTGCCGATTAAATGTCTCGATGTATGGGCGCGCTTGATCCACGTAGGGGGCGGCGTAGGTATCATAGTAAGGCGTCAGATGAGGCTCAACATGAGACCGAGCTATCAAGTAAGGCTTGCAGACTCGGGGAGAAGACTCAGTGAGCCCGGCAAGGCTTGAGGGACACCGTAGAAAGGGGCGTGAGCAATGTGTACCAGATGCATAACCTAATGGTCAAGTTGAGGTCAGCTTTTGCTATCTTCACAATGATAAGCGAAGTTTTTTTTTTACCTGACAACAAGCCCAAAAGACCATCGCAGACCGCCGCTCTTCTTCTGGCGCCGTCCTCTTGGCCCATTTGACTTCGATCCATTTGACTTCGCCAAAGGCTCCGCGTGGCCATTCTCCTGCTTGACGGACATGGCTACGTTCCTGGCGGCACACGAGAACGTTGCACAGACGCGTTTCAAGGCGTATAGCTTTTGCAGGGAAGGCTTCCTAAGGACACTTAGTCGATGTCAAATGCATACGTGTCTCAGAAGAGTCTGTTTTGCCCGGGGGGAAAGGTAAGTCGTAGCTAGGCGGAACTCTCGCGTCAAGCCTTGGCACTCTGTTTCACGGGGTACCGCGGTCACGACCTTTCAAAGTCGAGGCCGAGACCAGGTCTCTATAAGGCTGGCAAGTGCGTCCGGATTGGAGAAGGTTGAAGAGAGAGAGTTTCTGCGCTAAGTAGGAAGATATGGGCTTCAAAAAACCGACGGTTCTTCCAGGACTGTTTTTGGATGGAATATGAGTGAGGTCATCGGTGGCACCAGCCCAGCATAAGCTGTATTACATTACAATTCATGATTAATTACACAAATCCCACACAAAGTTGGCCATTGCCGCCAATCCGATCCGGTGCCGTCATAGGGCTCCGTAATACAAATACAACAGTCTGTGGGTTATGCAGGTGCTCCATAAATCTGTGACCACCTTCATACACCGCCTTCATTCCCGCCTAAACGTAGTGTGTAAGTTAATACGGATCCTCTAAATGTAGAAGCGGAGGCAGTGTTGCTGACTATGTTACGTTCTGGATTGAAAAACAATGAGAGTAAATTATCGCTTCCAATGTTAGGATTAGAGTGACTAGATCTAAAAATGACCAGTGAGGTTCGGTTGAGAGGGCATTTAAGAAGAAACAAGGTTTTGCATGCTCATATAGCGCCCACAAGCGAGCACAATGTGACCGGTCTATCTAGCGCTTGGTTATTAGATGCCCTTAACCGAACATCAGCTTTATCCGTCAATCGTGTACATTGTTAGATCAAAGTCATGATCATATTATTGATCGCTCAATTCGCTACTACCTAAGGTATGCGTGTCATCCATGGTATATCAGTTAGTGGCTCAAGAGCAGACCTAAGAAGCCCATGCCCACATATTCTCTCTCATATTTGGGAGGAAGATTACGGGTAGATATTCTGGCCAGTCAGGCACTGGTTTTAGCTGTCGAAGAGCCCGAGTGTAGTATTCCCAATATGCTGGGTACCATCCAGCATCTTCCCAGTCGAGGATTGCTGTGACATGGCCTCCCTCGACGAGAATATTTCGTGGGGCGATATCGGAATGAGTAAAAACAATATCATGGTTATCTGTGAACGCATATTTGGCGTAGTGTCGCAAGATCTCCCAAGATATATTCGTTGAACTGTTCCTCAGAATCAGAGGGGGCACCTTCAAGAGATACGTCGTCCAATTACCGCCTTGCCCCGATCAACAGCTCCAATATATTCACCTTTCAAGTCGCGAAGTTGATTTATGTAGGAATGAAGTTCGTCGGCGATTGAGACCTTTGGACTGGAATCCAAAATATCCCATACTTCATCCAGTCGCTTGCCAGACATGTAGTCCATCGCGATCGACACAACTTGATTACCTTCCCAGCGGACATCGTGAACTTTGGGTACAGGGATCGTTGTGTTTGCTGCAATGAAACGAAGTGTTTGCGCTTCGTGCGAGCGGATACGAGCGGATACCGCCTGACTTTACGAGATTTTCGCCTAATCAGACGACTGTGCGACCGAACAACGCATGGAGGATTCCTTCTTCTGTGGGATTTGTTGCGTCCATAGCAAAAGGTAGAAATAGGGAGCTAGAGAATGCAATCGGAGCGTCTTCAAAGATTGAATGAATTTAATGGCCATCTGGTGTAAGCTAAAGTTTATCAAGTTATAACTGATCTGGCACGTGATTCGCGCGGTATGTAACACAGATCTCGATACAACCGGCAGTATATCTGGCAGAAAATAGCGGTGGGCTAGGTGGTCATAAACCTAAGTCACGCCACTGTACTCAGCCTGGCCAGCAATCTGGTGAAGTGCAGTTGCTCAAGTTTCCTCGAGTATGAGGGTCTGCGGTGACAATTATTGTAAGAACGTCAGCCCTTTGTCTTCTATCTGGCTACTCGCTAATACTTTTTTCAATCTCAGCCATCTCTTTCTCATCAAACAGCTGCCATCCTTCAATCTCGTTTATGGTCGCACGTCACATCCCACGCGCAAACTATACTCCCACGGCTCTCCAGATCAGCCCCCCCACCATTCACCTGGGGATAGGATGAAGCTTTGTTAATCCTGGAATACTGTCGATTCGATGCGGTCTGGCTAAAAATGGATACGCCATCAAGCTCAACCCGAAACCCCTTGGGTTCGAACCCATTTCCCGATCTGATGAACGACCCGGCTTTCGACGAGAGGGACAGAGGCGTGGAGGATACAGATACTTGCCGTATATGCCATGGTGAAGCGACGGAGGATGAGCCCTTGTTCTACCCGTGCAAATGTAGTGGGAGCATCAAATTCGTCCATCAGAGCTGCTTAGTCGAGTGGTTGGCACATTCGCAAAAGAAACATTGTGAACTGTGCAAGACGCACTTTCGCTTCACCAAGCTTTACGACCCTAACATGCCGCAGAGCCTTCCGACGCCTTTGTTTTTGAGACAAGCCCTTGCTCAATCTGGCCGGACTGTTCTTACTTGGCTTCGGTTTCTACTTGTGGCGTTTGTCTGGTTGGGATGGCTACCCTGGTCGATGCGCGCTATCTGGCGAGCACTTTTCTGGCTTGCAGACGGTCGCTGGTCTTCACACGGAAAAACTACCCCCAAAGCCGGTCAATTGGTAGAGAGCAAAAACGCTCTCACTGCGGGCGTTACTAGTACGATTAGCCTGGTGGCTTCTACAGCCTCCATGCCTGTGGTTGACGATGCCAACAAATCTCCTCCAGCTTCATTTGTCGGTGTCCCTGGCAGTGAGCCTTTGATGCTGACTCTGATTAGAAAGATGCTTCCCGGATTCCTCTTTCCAGGCTTGTCGTCACCAATGGGGGAGAATGGCTCTAGCACAACTGGATTGGGAAGCTCATCGAAGTTACGCTATCCCTCCTGGTTGTCGGATGTGAAGTTTTTGAACACCCTCACACCCTACCCGACGATCAATAATATGATCATTGACACCCTAGAAGGCCAGCTCATCACTCTTTTAGTGGTGATTGCTTTCATTCTCCTTTTCCTAATACGGGAATGGGTTGTACAGCAACAACCCATGGCTAATATAGCGGAAGGAGAGCGTGAAGCTGCATTGCAACTGATTGCCAATGCCAACAATCGTGCCAATGACCCAGCTCCTCACCCAGAAGCACAGGAAATGCCGGCTGCCCCCGTCTTCCGTCCACTTCCTCGTCCGGCTCCCGCTAATCAGAACCAAGGAGAAGAGTTCGCCGATGAAAATGACCCGCCTACCCCTCCAGGTTCTCCACCGTCCCCGTGGGCCGATTTAAACAATCCTGCTCCTCCCAACGAAAACCCTTTAGGACTACGGGCTTCATTCCCAGAAGATTTGGCCGATACTTTAGCGCCCGTTTCTGGGAGCTCTGCGGCCCAGAATATGGAAACGCCTCCTCTTGCGAGTGTCGCTACTTTCAGAGACATCCTTGCTCGCGCCAATGGTGATCGGGATGAAATGGAAAGGATTATTCACGAGCATGGCCTCGAGGACGAACTTGAATGGATTATGAATGCATTCGACTCAACACCGAATGACCGAAATATGGATACTCCACTCCATCAGGCAGACGAACCCAATAGTCCAGGTCTTCACGCAAGAGACACTTTCAACCCGGATATCAATCTTGACCCTGGACCACAATGGCCTACCCAACAAAATGGCCATCCACCGCACCGGGAAGTAAATCAAGCTGAGCCTACTCCCGCTCCCCCAGCAAACACAGATGAACAAGTGGAGCCTCAAGCTCCCAAGGGCATTTCAGAACAGCTCTTAGATTTTTTTTGGGGCGACATCACTCTCAATGAGAATGACAACGCCGGTGAAGCAGCCTTGGAAGATGATGAGCACATCGTCCAGGATCCGGCTATGGAAGAGCCTTTTGTGCCTGTCCTCAATCGCCAAGACGACCAAGCAGCTGATGGAGCTGAAGGCGGAGAGGGTGACGGTGGGGTTGACCCGAATGACGTGGATGCAATCGAAGGCGATGACTTTGAAGGAATAATGGACCTCATTGGAATGCAAGGGCCTATCTTTGGCCTTCTGCAAAATGGAGTCTTCTGTGCTCTTCTGATTGCTTTTACTGTCGCTATCGGCATTTGGCTTCCCTACCTCTGGGGAAAGATTGCACTGGTTCTACTGGCCAACCCCCTGGAGCTTATTGTGGGTGTGCCTATGACAGCTCTTACTGTCCTAGCTGATATTGCCCTCGACACCTTGGTAGGAGTCGTGGGTTATATCATGTACTGGCTTACTTTCACCTGCAAATTGTTGCTACGCCCAATTGCAACCATGGTTCCTGTGGCAGATTGGATCCCTCAAGGGAAATCTGTCACAAATGCCTCGTTATCACTGATCGATGCAAGTACCAATCGCTTGAACAAAGTTGTCAAAGCATTCCTCCTATTCCATGAATCAGACATCCCCATGTTCTCGGTTCTCTCTCATCAGGCACTTCGGCTCCATCAAGCCCGTCTTGGGTTCTTATGCAAATCTGCTTTCTCCGCGATTAAATTTGTTTTGCACGACTTCCCCTTGCGACTCGTGACACTTGGCATTCCCGATGCATTGTTCTTTGACGTGGACTTCTCTCAAGTGCAGAACTATACGGTCTATGTTCAACAACAAATCGGAAATTTCACCAGAGCCCAGTTGTACTCCAGCCCGGGTGCGAAGTTGATCAATGCGGGCACCAGCAAGGCTTTGTCAGGGACTGCGTCAGTCGACTACGATCTTGCAGTTTGGGATTCCAAAGACCGCGCTATTGCTATTGCTATGGGCTACCTCCTTACAACAATCATGGGATTCCTCTACCTTCGAATCACCGGAATCCTCACTGGTGCCAATCGTGGGCAGCGGATCGAGGGAATTGTTGCAGACGTACTTATCCAAGCTGGCGGTGTCATGAAAGTTATTCTCATCATTGGCATCGAGATGATCGTTTTCCCTCTTTACTGTGGTACACTTCTCGATATTGCCCTCCTCCCGCTCTTCTCCGACGCCACCGTCGTGTCCCGTCTCGAGTTTACAACGTCATCCCCCCTGACCTCATTGTTTGTGCATTGGTTCATTGGCACTTGCTATATGTTCCATTTTGCTCTTTTCGTGTCCATGTGCCGAAAAATCTTGCGAGGAGGTGTCCTGTGTAGGTATTTCAACGTAATGATTCATTTGCTGAGTGCTAACTTGGAATAGACTTCATTCGAGACCCTGATGATCCGACCTTCCACCCCATCCGCGATGTCTTAGAGCGCAGCATCACAACCCAGCTCCGCAAGATTGGCTTCAGCGCGCTTGTTTATGGTGCCTTGGTGATTGTGTGTCTCGGAGGCGTTGTCTGGGGCCTCCATTATGCGTTTGATGGAGTTCTCCCTATCCATTGGTCTGCTCGCGCTCCGATGTTGGAGTTCCCGGTGGACCTCCTATTTTACAACTTCATTATGCCTGTGCTTATCAATTCCGTTAAACCATCGGACGGATTACATAGCCTCTACGACTGGTGGTTCCATAAATGTGCTCACTTCCTACGCCTCAGTAATTTCTTCTTCCCAGACAGACACCGCGAGGAAGAAGGTCGCCATGTTCGGCGAACATGGCGGGCCTTGTTTCTAGGAGCAAAGGGCGATTGGGAGCATCCTGTGATCGGAGACGACCAGCGGGCTGCCGCTGAGAAGGAGGACCGAGACGTTTATTTCCTGCGAGATGGTCGATATGTGCGGGCGCCTGCCTCGGACCAAGTTCGAATCCCAAAGGGCACTCAAGTCTTTCTGGATGTCACGGAAAACAACGAACGCCTAGACGGGAAATTCGACGCCCCAGATGGATTGCATGGACGGAACAACAAGATGTTCACCATGGTGTATATCCCGCCTAATTTCCGGCTCCGAATTGCTGCATTCATTCTTCTCATTTGGCTTTTCGCTGCAGCCACCGGAGTAGGCATCACCGTTATTCCCCTAATAATTGGCCGCAGGATAATCTCCGCCTGCTTCTCGAGCCCCGTTCCGGTCAATGATATCTATGCCTTCTCCAGCGGTCTATGTGTGGCTGGCGCTGCCTGGTGTTTGGTTCACTACTGTCGGATTGCATACTTGGCGGTGAGAGAGGACCCGTCGACGTACATGCAGTCCCCACAGCAATTTATCAGAGTGTGTGTCAACACTGCCCTCGATGTTGCTCGGCTAGGCTACATCTCTGCGGCTCTGGTGGTTCTTCTTCCGATATTCTTTGGACTCCTTGCAGAACTATATGTTCTCATTCCAATACACACTTTCCTGGGAGCCGGAGAAAGCCATGTCGTACACATTGTCCAGGACTGGACACTAGGGGTGTTGTACATTCAAATGGCAATCAAGTTGATCCTGTGGAACCGCCAATCATGGGCTGCTGCTGTATTGAACGGAATTTTCCGTGACGGCTGGCTCCACCCTAACGCGAGCGTGGCCACCAGGGCTTTGGTCATTCCGGCGTCGATTTTCACTGCCTTGGCTGTGGCTTTGCCGTTGCTCCTAGGTAGTATTCTTCGGTGGACTGTATTCTACTCACATGTCGAGCTGCAGCCTTACGTGTACCGCTATAGCTTCCCAGCGATGTTGTCTGTCGTCTTGGGTGCCTGGGCCGTCAATCTGTTGTTGAGACGTATTGCGGCGTGGCGTGTCCATGTTCGTGATGATGTCTATCTTATCGGCGAGCGCCTCCACAATTTTAGCGAGAAGCGAGCTCGAGATGTGGGTGTGTCACGACGCGTGATCACTCAGTGAGACCTTTACCCGAGTTGGTAAGACTGACTCTGCGTTTATCTTTCTAACCACCTTTCTTCATGGTTACCGTCTTTTTTTTTTTACGGGATTCGTTTCACGATATGTACATTAAGACTGCATGATGCACCCATATACATTAAACTCCTCAATGCTAAGTAGATTCACTTCCTTTTTCACTCCACGAAGGGGAGGAATTATCATTTCATTTAACATTAGTCCGTCGTTACATGTTGTATATGTTGTTGCCTGAGTATGTATCAGGCGTACAACAATTACACAGCCAAATCCCGTAATTTACTGTGATCTGGCCCAGCCGGTACATAAATACGGATTCGATGAATAAATTTAGATGCCTGCCACGTGATCGTAGCCTCCCCCCACTTGATCGCGGGCAGGCAGCATTGTGATTGGTTAGGCAACAGGATTCCCTCCATTTGTTCTATTCGGCCTCGCCATCGGACCAGGCAGCTGTAGGTCATTATCGATTCTTCTCCTGAGCATTCCCCCAAAGCCGCTTGCTACTTTTTCCAACTCTCAGAATGGATTAGCGATATACGCGACCGTAAACGGAGTGCCTATACACGATAACCTGCGACCAAATCGCATCTGACGCCAGCATGTCTGTTCTGCGCCATGGAGGGGGCGGCGGCTTCCTCCAGCGCCGTCTCACGAAGCTATATACCGATACCAAGACATCGTGTGAAAGCGTTACTACTGCATCGAAAGCGCTGGACGATCCAGAACTTGTTGCTCTTCACCAGAGCTTCCAGAAGCAACGTGACCGTCTGCTCTCGTGGGGCCTAGACTGGAGCGATGCTAGCGCCGCCCAACCGAACGATATCGACGAATCTTTGACCGCAGCAGGCTTTAGTGATGTGGTGGAGAGTGTAATGTCGACTATTCAAGATTTGCTCAACGAAGCTGAACGAGTACAACATATCGATCCCCCGATTCCCTCGACGAAAGACCGCAAGGTGGATACGAAGGATGCTTTAAGCAGTCAGCCCCTCAAAACACAATGGACGGACGACGATATCAGTCGGTCGAAGAGGATTCTGAATGAGCTGCAGGGGTGCATAGATACCCTATATGATCTTTCAAGCTCGCGTCGGACGATGTCGAGCATGTCGAGCAAGCAAGGTAGCAGTATGCGACGACGCCCCGTGCATGCTTCTTCCTACGAGTCTTCGCATGGATCTCTCTCCGAGTCCAAGGAGAAGGCGCAAAGCCCTCAGAACATGTTCGATTCCTATACTTGGTCTCCTTCTACCACCACACCCCGCGACTTCCCCAGCAAGTTCGCTCCGTCTAGCCAACTCCTCATCGAACGATCGGCATTGCAACTCTATGGCGCAGCCCACGATAATAGCCCACCACCTTACCAACCTGTTGCGGCCTCTGCGAATTCACGCGCAATTGGTCGCTTGAGCACCTCTGCTTCCCCTGCTTTGTCCTCGAGTGTCAAGGATACACATGTCTCGGTATTGGTCGAGTTCATGCCTATGATGGTAGAGTCGCCGATGGACCAGAAGAGCTCGCGGCTAGAGAAATTACAAAAGTCGCTTGACCAGCTATTGCTCAATGCAAGGATCAAGCATTTGGGCCTCTTACGATTCATTGGCTACACTGTTGATGACTCTAACGCCCGTTACGCCTTCCTGTATCAGATGCCTGTCGATTATTTCCCATTCCTGCGCAATCCTAGCGATCTGCTCAAAGAGTTGAAGCCTGTGCCGCTCGTGTCCCTGCTCCCGTCAGCGGAGGATTACCGGGAGAAGCGTATGCCAAACCTCGAAACACGATTCCGGTTGGCATACGACCTTCTCATGTCTGCCCTGCATCTGCGAAGTCAGAATGCCGTGCACGGGGCGATCAACAGCAGCAATGTCATATTCTTTCCAGGTCGATCAGAGTCTAGAGATGATGAACTTACTCCCGACTTGCACCGCCCATATTTAACATCGCCAGCACGTTTTTCTGGAGATGGACCTACTTCCCGAGCCATTGGCTACGGCTATGTACCGCCATCCTGACGACAAGCGAAATGTTGACGATGATTGCGCCTGGGCGTATGATCTGTATTCCCTTGGCCTAATTTTATTGGAGATTGGTCTGTGGGCTCCCATTGGTCGGCTGTGGAAGATGAAGTACGATCGCTCATGGTTCAAGCACCGCGTTGAAGACCTTTATGTGAAGAAGCTTGGCCCGAAATGTGGTAGGGCTTACCTCGAGGTTGTCCAGCTGTGCCTGGATGCTCCCAACTTCCGTGTGTCTACACAGCCCATGACCGACCTGGCTTTGCGCGTGCCTCAGATATACCATTATCCTGTGCTCGATTTGTCTGATCCGGATGGAACTTTTTCTTTTTCAATGAACTTCCTTTACACTATTAGCAAGATCATGTGGTCTTGCTGCCAAATTGATATCTTCTCGGCTCCTCCAGCCGAAGAACTGGACGATTGTCTGCCTCTGGCGCTTGTGCCAACCCCCGAGCCAAGTCCTACTCAAGAAAAGAACATCACCTACTTAACACCCCATGAGCCTTCAACTTTTGATAAAAAGTTGCCCGCAGTCTCGGGCGATCAGTGGGGCGCTGTGGCACATGAAAGGGCTCCAGACAAGCACGCGAAGAAGCGGACCGTCAAGCGACTGCCTAACATGGAAATACCCAATGAGCACCTTCAAGAATGGAATTTCCACATGATGCCCAGGCTCAGTCGGCTCCTACAGAAAATTTTGAGAGATTCCTCCGAGTCCTGTGGCGCCTCTCTCATCATGACTGGCGAGTCTCCTGAGACTGCGCGAACTACCATTTGTGTCACTTGCGCCAGTGTCAAGAAGGTACGGTCTGCTCTGAAGAAGCACTTCCAACTGGGTCGAGATGACTGGGACCTCATCGTCATCCGCGGCGACATCGAAAGATCCAAAGTCCCTCGGAACAAGCGCCGAAGACCTGCCAAGACCAGACCCAATGGATCCAACGAGACGCCTTTTCGCCAGCGTGAGTTAAATCCGTGTCATCAGCAGCGACCCCTGTGTGGTGCATCAATCGGTGCTTTCCAGAACGAGGAACATCTTCCTCCTGTGTCCTATGGCGGAGCTGTCCTTGTGGACGGCCTGCCTACGGGCTCACTGTTCACCACATGCTGGAGGCTCCCAGTGATGATGAAGATAACGGTGGTTCGGATGATGAACCGGAGGCCCCTACTCGGTCCGCTGGTAACTGGCCCGGAACTACATCAACTGCCCCCAGCCAAGAGTTCATGTATACCTGGAATGAAGACAATCCTTCAGAAATCAACCTAGACCTTGAAATCTCCGATCTCGAGGATGGTGACGATGAGTCCGTGTCACAAGGCCCAGGTGGCTTAGACGAGGACTGGCTCTCTGACGAAGAGTCTTCAGATGATGAATCTTTGGACCCTGACAATGATGACGATGATACTGCGTCGATTGGTGATACGACCGGTATCGAGCCTGGCGAAGAACCACGTCTCTTCGTCACGCAGCCAGCCATCGACGATGTTCATGATGATTTTTTTCCCTCCTTAGAAGACCGTGACGACGAGCACCTTGCTTCACACTCTTTGGGCTATGTGCATGCCTCATCTGGTATTCGACGTTGGATGTGGAAGGGAATCAAGCACGAGATTGACTGGGCGTTGATCAAAGTGGATGAACATCGCATGGATCCTCGGAATATTGTCATTGATGCTACGACGTCCTCCCCCGCCCGGCCTCTACCAGGACGAGCAGCCCAGCCTCCCCCTATATTTCTTCACTCAGTTGCCCGGATGGAGGACCTAGGCGGATTGCAGGTTCACTGCTGTGGCCGCACCAGTGGTCTTCAATCAGGGCAGATATCCAAGGCGATGACAATAGTCAAACTTCATGGCCGTCATTCGTTTTCGACGAGCTTTTGCGTTAACGGAAACTTTGGAGGTAAGAGCGTACCACCACAGAGTAATGTTTTATGTCTATACGGTCCTTAATTAGATACCCTTTTGTTTTGTTTTATTCTTTTTTGTGTGTGTGTTGTCTCATATGCCCCTCGCCCATATGTCCCCCCCCCTTCCATGCCAAGTTGGTAATCCATAATGACTCCTATGATACTTCACCCTTCTGTATTGAGTAAGCAATTAGGCTAACTTATTCTTGTGGCACAATAGCCCCCGGTGACTCCGGCGCATGGGTATTTGACAGATCTACTGGTCGCGTCTGCGGCCACGTCCTTGCTTGGTCCGAACGGAGCAACACTACCTACATCGCCCCCATGGAAGTGATCCTCGAAGACATCGCTCGCACTCTCAATGCCTCCCTCGTCTCTCTTCCCGGCGACTCATTCCAAACCCTTGGCTACGCCAGTCCTACCTCTCCTCAAGGCCCGAACTATAGCTACCAAGCGCAGCAACTCCAACTTCCTGACGATATGAGTCGTTTGACTGTTGGCGGGCCCCCGCCTCCGCTACCACCTCACCCTTTCAACCATCCCGGCCCTCACCACCCCGGCTTCGGGCGTCCTCCGCCTCCCCCTCCTCCTCCACCTCGACCTCCACCACCAGGTTCCCGTGAGGGTCATGCTCATCGGGGCACCCCGGTTCCACCGGCTTTATTAGCAGGGCCTCGGAATGTGGAACGTCAACTGGCATAAGTTCGGTCTTTATGTTCCCTCTGTTTATGATGATGAGATTTTGGATTTTTCATACTGGGGTTTACGATTCTTGTGTTCATTTTACGATTGAAATTCGAAATACCCACGTTAGAGTTGTTGCTTATTGTTCGATATGCGAGCGTGTTTTGTTCTGAGTATACCTTATATTGTCTTAGCGTGAGTTTTGTCTCGACATTTAGAATTGACAAGAATTAATAGGTTCAACAATATTGCTTCGCAGGTTTCCAAGTTCCGTAGTTGTCCATGGGCGCTAGTCGAACTAGAGTATCGCTTGGTTCCATTGCCTAGAATGTTGCAGGCATCAATGATCCGTAGATTCTATCATGTTCGGCTGCTTCCTGGAAGCTAGGATTATTTCCAAGCCCTTTTCACTGAAGCCTAATTAAAAGCTAAGTATAGGCCAAGCTTCAATTAGATGATTGGTGTTGGCAAGCAGGGACCCTCAACGCGCTACGGTGATTTTGAGGCTCCAATGTTTCGAATTTGGCCTAGAATCAAGGCTAAGCCCCTAGGGTCGTTAATCATTATGGACAATGCTATGCCTAGGATGACGGTGGATCCACCGTCATCACAGCCACCTTGATTATGAGTTTGGGGCCGAAAATTAATATAACCGTTACGATACATTTCAACCCTTCCATAGCCATATTAGACACTGGCGGCCGCCTGATCCCCGGTCCGATACATCACGATACCTACGCAGCCCCAAGGCGAAACTGGAGCGACGAATGTGATGATTGGCTGGAAGGGCGTAAGATAAGCGGGGGAATGCATGGACAAATGCTTAAAATCTCACCATGGCTAAAACGAATAGGTAAAAACCAGCTAAAGAGCCGCTCGGTTCTCCTGAGTGTAGGTGGATGCTTCGCTATTCAATCCATAACGATGAGCGCCACCTCCACTCCTCCGTCAGCGCCTGCACGCAAGCGGGCAGGCAGACCGAAGTCGAAAAAAGGATGCATCACGTGCAAGTAAGTAACTTCCAACTCCTCTCCTCCCCTCGCATCGCCGTGCTGGTCCATCTAATGTCTCCAGGATCCGGCACGTGAAATGTGGAGAGGAGAAGCCGGCGTGCAAGCAATGCACGCTCTCTGGCCGTAGATGCGACGGGTATAACGAGGCCACGCAGAAAGAGCTCCGGCAGGAGATCCTCAAATCGGTCCCCCGCCGGTCATGGGCTCCGAGTGCAGACCATCGCATAGTGCTGGTTCCTGGGACGGGGCAGGAACGCCAGTATGTACATTTCTTCTGCAACGAGACCATCCGGGCGATGGCAGGGTTCTTCCCCTCGGAGTTCTGGAACCACCGGCTTCCGGAGCTGAGCTATCATTCTCCGGCTGTGAGGCATGCGGTGGCTGCCGTGGGCGCGATGCATGAGCGGCAGCTTCAGGGGAGGCTTGTTTCGGCTTCGACGTGGGTGGGGGAGACGGGGATGAGTCTTTTGCGCTTGAGCAATATAATAAAGCCATCCAGAGGTTCTTGGAGCAGATCAAGAGCCCGGAAACTGCAAGCGTGGAACTCATGCTTGTTCAGTGCTTGTTGTTCGTTTGTCTTGAGATGCTGAAGGGCAATATTGCGCGGGCAATTGAGCACACGAAGGGGGGACTGCAGATTCTCACTGGTCAGCTTCGAGAGAACAAGGAGACGGAGCCACAGCGGTCTTTTCACATGGATCTTTATCAGTTCTTCTATCGGCAGAATGTTCAAGTGGCTTTGTTCGGTACTGCCATGACTGATATTCACGGGGCTCCGGCGTTTCTGGCCTCTTGTCCATCGCATTTCCACAATATCAGCCACGCGAGGAACTGCCTTACGCATTTGATGAATCGCGGCCTGGCTTTTTCGGGGAAATTCCAACTGCCGCCGGTGGATCTTTCCTCACTGGAGGTAACTGAAGATGATATTCGAAAACAGCAAGCACTACTACAGGAATGCCGAACATGGTACCAAGCTATGCAGAGGCTCCAAGCCAAGTCTGCACGGAGCGCCGAAGTCCACGACCCGAGGGCCCCTTCTGCTATTCTCTGTTCATACCATGCCTCGGTAATATGGATCAGCTGTGCTTTGGCACAGCACGAGATGTATTATGACAATTACTTCGAAGATTTCGCAGCCATTGCCGACCACGCGGAAAACCTGATCAAGATCGGTAAAAAGAGCGCCTCATACAATAACATTGAGCTATTCAACCTTGATGCAGACGTTTTACCAACGTTATTCTATGCCATGCAACGCTGTCGGTTCCCGTTATTACGCCGCAGGCTATTGGCCGTATACATGGAGTATCCTGCGAGAGAAGGCATGTTCAATAAAGCCGAGCATGCGGCTCGGGCGAAAGATTTGATAGAGCTTGAAGAAGCGCCGCTGTCACATCTTCCGGTTGAAGAGAGGTTACCGCAAGAGCATCATCGTGTTTTGAAGAAGGCAACGCTGCACTTCAAGACCCAGCGGCCATCTTCTGTGTGTATTCGGACGAGACCGGTAGATGGCGTGAAAGAAGAATATCAGGAGTGGCTAGAATAGTGATGGTCTTGGCCTTAGAAGCCGCATATAATAGGTTGTTATTTTGGCAGTCTTGCATTATGGCTGTATGATGTACGACGGTTCGTGGGTCTAATGTTCTGAGCATTCCATCAGGCCCCGTAGCCGGTCTGCTCAGTTTCCCGACTCGTCTTCAATATCAGCAAAGAATTACCCGTTCTAGGTTTACCAGACATATCTCGCAATTACCGTTTTGTATCTCGGACGATCTCGCCAGCTGTATCGTCATCTGTCTCAACAGTGGCCACTCGACTGTTAGCTGCCACCGTGCATGCCACGAAATTGAACATCTCGCGTCCAAATTTCCCGTCCTAGTTGGATGTATGGCAGCTATGACAGTCTGCACGTCTCAAACTCGACGAAGGATGCTGGAATTAAAACACACCGTCCCTTGTCATCAGTAATGGCGCATTCTAGGCCTTCCCCTCTCATATCAAAAATTGCCTCAACTAAGTGTAGCCAGTGGATACCTAAAAGCAATGGATAGCCAGGTTTTGACCTGAAGCAAGACAGGAAAGTCAGGGGAGTTAAGGCAGTGTTGAGCCCAGGCACCCCGCTCTTAATAGTGGCAGTCATGCTTAGTTTCCGACGAATATGTCGTGACGAGGAAACTCACTCTATGGAGCTCCTCAGGACTGGCAAGCACAGCAACGGGTGGATGCAGAAGTACAGAGAGTTCAAGCTACGGATTCGAAGAAGAAACGGATTACTTTGCGCTTCATAACACATTTCATTATCGTCATCGATTCCAGTCTGCGAGTTCCGACGAAAGGTGAACCGCCTAAATTTGCATGAACTCGAATACCCCACTCTTGATCATGTCATGCCCCATCGGACGACGGCTATTCCCTTGCCATATGAAGCACCCCTGCGGAGGAAGATCTATACCCATCGGGACCGAACCCTTTATGATTAGAACTTCATTTGGCTGGAGCTTTCGATTGACCGGCTGTATTTCGTGCGTCATCTCTCTCGGCGTATTTGGAGGATAAATTCGAAAATTGGTCCTGGTTTCCTTGGTGTTTGCTAGATCTCGGAAGGCTGATACTGCATCGTCCGAAGGATGGGCAAGTCCGGGGGGCCATGCTGAGTGACCTTCGGTAGATGCGACAACAACAGGGCCTTGGTATAATAGAGGGCTGTCATCAGCGCCAATGACCTCCTGAATACGCTCCATGAACTGTTCTTGATGAATACAAAACTTCCTTGTTCTTTCTTTGGGATGCGTACCGCATTGTTCTCTTCGGCCCCGCTCGTAATAAACCGCTTGCAGGTCTCTCGGTCTCCTCTTCCGTAGACGAGCGACTCCTTTTCGACGTGATTGAAGGAGTACAAGGACCGCTTCACGGCGTCCACCCTATCGGAGCCATCGGAAGAAGTGGATAAAACAACAAAGCCTGTGAATTCCATCGGTGCGTGCTCATCATGAGGCGAACTGCACTATTGTTATGATTGCCTCGCTGTATTATTCCCGGACTAGCTTGATCAGGATTAGTGGATTAGTCTCAGACGAAGAGCCAGTGGCAGGAAAGGAAATCGGAAATCAGGCCAGACGAGGAAAGTCTTGATAGAATAGAGCTCCGGAGTCCCCCGACATGCACAATCATGTACCTGATTCAAATTGTCCCCAAAGTGAAAGCCCCTTCTAGTTACCAGTACAAGATACCGTTTCTGGACGCGAACAATATATATAGGAAAGATATTATGCTGATAATCATTTAGAGAGAGGCATTTAGAATCTATCAAATTCATATCCTACCTCTTAACCCTCCATCTGGTATCAATTCCCCTACTCGCTACAGTCATCTGCATGGTCCGTGTGGTCTTTCGAGAAGCTATGACCCGGGTCCCTATACCTAGAAGGATATCTTCGTGACGAACGTACAAGAAATACCAGCATCAACACCGATCGAACACCGAACACCTACCTCCCTTTCCGAAAAGGCCCATGGGCGGCGAAGACATCTCTATTCACCCAAGAGAAAGAACAATCGCGATAGGAGAACATCCCGCAAATGGAAGAAGCAAAGATCATAATGCGCTGCGTGAGTCCAGGTCTGCCAACACGAGATTCCCTCGGAAGAGCGACGGGTGAGCCTCAGAATGGTGCATCAATATATCCCTTGAATACCGCCATCTCCATGCCAAGTCCTCTATCTCGAATCTCGTGTGTTAGAGGGGCTTGAACCAAATGACCTATCAACTCCGTGTCTTCCAGGGTCGGCCTTGTACAACAAAATAGAGCCAACTTAATTTCAGGAGCAATTTCACCAAACGAGTAGCGGCAACTACGGTATTAGGGCATGTTAAGGCGTCTAACAAATCACCCGCGCTCGCGAACTTGATACCCGAACGAGCGAACGCCCAGACGTAAGCTGGCCGGCCCCCACGGACAAATTACGAAGAGGCCAATCAAGGCCCACAGTGTCCACAGGCCCCGCTAAAAAAGCATCGCCGAGCACGAGGCTGAGCTGTTGTTTCTGGGCTCGGCTCGGAGATGTGAAGGAGCTAAATATACTCTTGAGTATTCTTTCAGCCTACGCTAGTGCTTATCGCCATCGATGCTCTGATTCGCTCTCTCGTACATTTAGAGTATACTGCCTAGCTTCCTGGGGACGGAGATATTGCTGCGATGTAGTGTATAAAACCTCTCGGTCACCACATGCGAGGCTTCATTGCTACCCAGCATCTTCACGAATACCACTCCTCCCTTATTCCTCTGCAACCTTTTCTGTACAAGCTTTTTTAACTTTGGTTTCTTCTCGTCAAGGCCGGCATTCTATATAATAATACCTTTCCCCTTCGATACCTTTCTTCTCTCCATGTCTACCCAAGACGACATCGGCATCGGCTGCGCGGCCTATAGGGCTGATATCACCACATCCTATGGATACGTCCCCTCCAAGGGTGCAGGCATAGCATTCTGTGTTTTGTTTGGTGTGTCAATGGTTGCCCACATTGTCCAATTCTCCCTGAAACGAACATGGTGGGCAAGCGTCTTCGCGGTTGGCTGTGCAAGTACGAACTACAGCCCCAATTGAATACATACTAGCCCTCCTGCTAACAATCCCAACCCTAAAGCTGAACTACTAGGTTGGGCTGCCCGTACCTGGAGCTCCGACTGCCCCTACAACTCAACCGCCTTCTTGATGCAAATCTCCACCCTCATCATCGGTAAGCCCCTACTGCTCCTCAACCTGCAGAACACAAGCCTCCCCCCAATTCCCTCGAACAAAAACTAACTTGGACCCCCCTTCCCCCAGCCCCAACTTTCTTCACAGCTGGCATCTACGTAATCCTTGGTCGTCTCATCCAACACTTCGGCCGCGAGAGCTCTATCCTCTCCCCGAAACTCTACCTCTGGATCTTCTGCACCTGCGACGTGATCTCCCTCGTCATCCAAGCCGCCGGCGGCGGCCTCGCCTCCGCCGAGACCGACTCCACCCCCGGCACCCACACGATGGTCGCGGGCATCGTCTTCCAGCTCGCTTCGCTGACCGCCTTCGTGCTCTGCGCAGTCGATTTCCTGCGCCGCGCGACTCGGCTCGGGTTGCTCAAGCTGATGGCTCGCGGGCCCTTGGCGATGTTGTTGGGGGCAATGGTGCTTTCGACCGTGGTGATTTATATCCGGAGTGTGTATCGGACTGTCGAGCTCGCGCAGGGCTGGCATGGGTATCTGATTACGCACGAGTCGTATTTTGTGGGGCTGGACGGGGTGCTGATGGTTATTGCGGTGGGCGTGTTCAATATCTGTCATCCCGGGTGGTTGTTGCCCGCTGGCGGGGATGGTCAGCGTCACGGGGCTTCCGTGGAGGTGAAAATGTTGAATGATCCTGAGGCGAGGTAATGACGGTGGTTGACTGGATTTTCTTTTTTTCTATGCGTTCCCTTACAATGGGGCTTCTGTTCGGGTTAGAAGGTGGATGGGTAACGGACCTGTTTCGTCGGAAAGATCTGGTGTATCAAAGATAAGCGCTTTTCTATTATCATGACCTGATGAAATCAATCGAGTACAAAGCTATGTACATGAGATGAAGCAGTGATTCTTTTTTTTTTTTACAGTTGAACGAAACCTCGTTACACGTTATCCCAGTCCACAAAGCGTCGGACGAGGATATTGAACCGGGTAGCTTCCGAACCCACCTTTTGGGGCGTGAGGTGGTTTAGGTATTCAGAAGCCATTTGGCTCCATGAATGATATGCCATCTGCCCCGGATGCATGGAGCCGGAGAAAATCGCGAGCGTCTCATGGAACTCTTGAGACTCCTTCTCGGTAAGCGGCTTGTGCATGTACTCCAGGTGCCGCTTGGTCCAGGTCGGCCAGAAGAAGGCGGAAGGCGAGAGGGAACAAATCTCGTCGGGGAGAGTCCGCGACAGCTGTTTGGGCACAGTGATGGTCTGCGTGTTCCACTGCTCCTTCGAAAAGGCTTTGTAGCGGTCACGCCAATGCTTGATGAAGATTGACCCTGAGCGGCCGAGTATGATGCCATTGCCTAACCCGTGGCGGTTGCCTCCGGCATTTCCAAGCACGACGTCTTCCTCGGAGTGAAGCAGAGGAGCAAAGGGCTGAAGCGAAATTACGTCCATGTCCAGATAGATTCCACCTTGCTGTTGGAGGATATCGAGGCGGAGAATATCCGAGATATGATTCGTTTGCCAATTCTCCTCCACCTGCTGCGGGTATTCCCTGTTGATATTATGCTTGACTAACGTCAAGTGATCCTTCAGCTTGAGGAACCATTTATTGTTGGTGTTGAGACTGGTGTGGTGCAGGACAATCTTCTCAGGGGCGAGAGAAATCAATGCGGACCGGATCGTCAAGTAGTTCATGAACGTCAGGTCGTGGTTATCTAACCAGATCAGATGCACGACATTCGGGATTGGGTTGAGGGGAGGAGGCGGGCTATTGATGCACCGGTGCTCTTCATGGGTATCTTCGAAATTGAATGACTCAATAGAACTATCCCCGGAGAAGTCGATTAACGGGCCAAAGCGGCGGATCCCTGTGACCGTGGCATAGAGCGCTCCTGCAAGCAGGCCGAAGAAGATGAGTTTGGCGCCCAGGCTGAAGCGAGCCATTCTCGCTGTTGCGCCTGGGATCTGGCAGGAGAAATGCGACCCGGAGGGGAGTGCTGAGGCCAGTTTTGAAAAGAATTCCAGTCCGGGATTCCAGTCGTCGAGAGTTCGAGCACGCGCCGATCTCCCGGAATATGGACCGGCTCTTGCAACCAGGGCGCTTTTGATGCAAAAGGAGAAGTTGTCAAGACCGCGCACGAAAGGCGCACGAAATCGCCGGTCAGAATCCTGATCCCATCACCATCCCTTATCGAGCGGAATCGTGCCCCACCCTGAACATCCATACTGGAACAGTCGCGACTCTGGCGACTCCCGTTGAAAGTTTGGGAGGAGTGGGAGCGGCTGACGTACCTGCGCGGCTCGTAGTGGGTCGCAAAAGGAGGGTTGGGGCAGTTCAACATCCGTTGTAGGGCGAGAGAAATAGTGATAGCCGCTCGAGTCGCAAATCATCTTCCCGGATTACTTTGTCCGCCTTCCTGGCCCTTCCAGGGTCCCTCGAATTTTAATCCCTTCCACCATGGATCTGTAGCGCTGCAGTTGTGGTACATTGGCAGGCCCACCTTGACAGAGTCCGGTAGGGAGGTCTGCACAACGCCGATTCTAGCCTAAAGAGGCAAGGTAATTGGAGATCTCGTATTAGTTGAATAAGGTGGTAAAGTCCCTAGCTCCTGTCGATCAACTATGCGCATGATTTTGACATCTCATTACCAACTCTCTACGAAATGTAGCAAGTTCGCTAGGTCGGCTACCTGAAAACAACTACTCACCCCTTGGAGCGAGGGTCCATACCCATCTCCCCTGGATAATTGGACCCAATATTAGATTATGCAGGATCGAACGAAGACCCAAAACAGCGAGATGTGCCGATGCGGCGGAAACTGCATGATCGCCAAAACTAGCCGACGGCCAACTACGTCTCGAATAATGGAATTGGTCGTTGAAATCCTTCTTATTAAATAGGAGGGAACGCAGACCCAGCTAGAATTGTATGTGGATAAACTGCCTGCATTGCTTTGCGCTCAAGCTGCCCGGGTAAACGCTCCGCTAGGCTGGGAATCTTCTAACTGCTTGATCTATTCCACGAGCCACGTGCTTGACGTTGGCTGAAGTGACTGTATTTTTAACGTCAGAATAGCAGTTTACAACTTTTCAAAGCACCACTTACGGCCCGCAATCGAGATTCGTCCAGAATTCAGAATATAGACATGACTCTCCGCCCGGATAGCTTCCACCTGGACAGGGGTCAGACCGGTATAAGAAAACATTCCGATCTGGGAAGTGCTCGTCAGCAACCGTGAGACTTGGCTGTGCAAGAACCCACCTGTGATATTATGTGTTCCCACTTTCCGGGTGTCCCCAGCGAAATCAATTCTTCATACAGTGCCTGCCGCATACTTGTGATTCGGGAGCTCATCTCGTGCAGGTCATTGAGCCATTTCTGGAATAACACTTGATCAGTCAGAATAGCCGTGGCCAGATGTGCGCCTCGTCGGGGCGGCTGTGAGATTTGCCCTCGCTGAAGGCGACATAAATGTCCCTTGGCCTTCACAGCTCCTTCGGGGGAACTCGCGAGGAGGTGCAAGGCACCAACACGCTCGCCATAAAGGCCCATATTCTTTGAAAAAGACTGGGCCGCCGCGAGTTCGAGAGTTCCCCGCGACACAAAATGCCGTAAAGCCCAAGCGTCCTCGTCCACATCCCCGGTAGCAAACCCTTGGCTGTCGATATCTCGTGAGTAATAGCCCTTCAAAGCTGAAATCGACAAGACCAGACTCACTATGCACTGTCAAAGAAGGGAAACAAACCACGGCGTTCGCAGATGTCCGCGATCCTTCTCCATTGATCTTTAGTCGGGTCAACCCCGGTCGGATTATGAGCACAACTATGCAATACGATCACGTCTCCTGAAACAGCGTCTGTCTCCAGCGTTTGGATCATGCCTTCAAAATCCAACACCTTTCTTTGAGCATCCCAATAAGGGTAAGTTTTGACCTTGACACCAGTAAGACCCCAGATATTGGCGTGATTTACCCAGCTTGGGTTGGATAACCACACAGCCGACGGAGTTAGCGACCTGAACAAGAATTGTGCTCCAAGCGCGTTGGCTCCCGTCCCAGATATCGTTTGTAAGGATGCGAAGCAATCCGCTCTAGGACCAACGGGACCAAACAGCAAATCCCGAGCTGCAGTAACGAATGTCTCGTACCCAGAGATTGGGAGGTACTCATAACGAGCGGAGGTCTTATTTCCATCAACCACCCTCTCTGCCTTCCCTGGCTTAGCATGTGGCGTGAGAACCATCGAAGCCGGAGACTTACTTCTTCAATCGAAGGCAACACCCATGGCTTTGAGTTTCCATCTCTGTAGATCCCCGAGCCAAGGATGACTTTATCGGAATCGGTATCACCAGCAAAAGCCTCTTTGAGGGCATAATGCGGATCAAGAGGGACAGCCTCAAGATTCGAAAAATGGGAAGCACCGGCAATAGAAGCCATTGCGGTGGAAAGATTTGTTTTGATGAAAACTTGGAAACCAGGTATTATGCTACTTTTGAAGCGTATGAGCACATTACGCATGCCTTCAAAGGGATTTAAATACATTTCCCCCCTCCATATCAGCCCTAAGGAACATGTCGGCTCCTTTTCTGAGTAACTCATCACGCGAGCAAATACCAGCTCGCCACTTACATGAGGATATACCCATGACTCGATGGCGGAATTGCAAGAAAATACCTCATAGAGAATCTGTCGGGACTCGGCTCATATACTCCTCAATCTCTCATTCAAATAGTTCTAGACGGAGCGTACGATGTAACTGTATGCACGTCTGAGACATAGAATCATGTCCTTTTTGTCCGGTGCCATGATTTACAGAAGCTATTCGCACACATCGCGTGCTCAATTTCTCCATTCGGCTAACACACTTGCTCCTATGGAAAAATTAGGGCGCCGCCTCCGCTCAATCCCAACTGGATCATACAAGGGAGCTGAATCCCTGCGGGGTCATATGTTGCCAGGCATGGCAAAATGCCTCCTCATTTCGATAACTATAAGTATACACGATACCTATGAGCTGTCACATCACAGTCCGCAAGAAACAGGCTTGCTTTTCGCTCGAAGTCTCATCAAACGTTCCAACTATGTACACCTCTATGAAACCACTTCTCGCCCAGAAGGGCCAAGTAGTCCGCCTGCTCGAAAGCCATGACCGATTCTCTACTGAGTTGATTCGCGATACTGTAAGCGAAACCGGCCAAGCCTTCCAAGGCGTCTGGATCAGTGGCCTCACTCAAACCACCCACCTGGGTATCCCGGACACGGAGATCATCTCGCCGCTCCGCCGTGCGATCCTGGAAGCTGCAAATATCAAGATACATACCGAAGGCCGTTCTCTCTGTGCCGCCTTTGATGCCGATAGCGGCGGTGATATTGCAGATATCCCGGCGCTGGTTGCGGTCCTGACCACCATCGGCGTCTCGATGGTGATCATCGAAGACAAAACATTGGAAGAACCGGGGAAAAAGGTCAATTCGCTTCTCAAGGCAACGGGGTCTCAAGACCAGGCGGACCCGCATGAATTCGCCAAAGTGATTCAGGCATTCAAATCCGCCACCCGCGGCCAGGATTTGCTAGTCACGGCCCGAATTGAATCCTTTAACGTCCGCATCGCGAAGGCTGACGCCACAGAAGAGGAAGCCTCCGTGCAATTGGCACTTCAGGATGCACTAGCACGTGCGGCCATATATACTGGAGCGGGGGCGGATGCAATCATGATCCACAGCAAAAGTCCTAGCCCCTTTGAGGTTCTGGAGTTCTTGAAACAGTTCCGTAAACGCGATCCGATCACTCCGATGGTCGTGGTGCCGACCACCTATTCTAGCACATCGCGCGCTACTTTGGTTGATGCTGGAGCCAATGTCATCATATATGCCAACCATTTGATGCGAGCGAAGATTCGAGCCGTCCAGAACGTTTCGGACCATTTATTGGCAAGTATTCCGGGGCTCTTTGCTCATGATGAAAATGCAAAAGCCTCTCTGGAAGCCCAGAACTACGGGTATCTCCTGAAAACCTTGCTCGAGAGGGACTATTGGGTCAAGGACACCGATCAAGAGGTGAAACAGTACCTAATTATTGCCCTAAAGCGTGCCATTGAGAATATGGGGGCTGCTGTGAGAGAACTGGCTTTCGGCGAAAAGTCTGGTTGTGAGGCAGATGGGCGAATCATTCCTGTGAAAATGCTGTTACAGATTAATGCCATTCAGCTAGCTACAATCTAAAAATTACTTCGCCAGACCTCTTACCAAAGCCCTTCAGCTTCCCGTTTGGGAATCTGAGTCCGTTGGTACGGGTCTGGTCAATACTCCGATAGCTACCTTTCATAAAATTGAGCGGCCGCGTCACCTTGCATGTCCTCCAGTATCTTTGACGAACGCCTCCGTTGCGACCAGTTTGGAATAAGGTCGTGTGCACACCTTCCGGAAAGTCGCGTGTTCTCATGCTGCTGCTGCAGAAGTCGATGCAGATTGCCAACTCGGGGAAGTCGAGCGGGGTTACCGAAGCCATAATCTAGGACGTCACGTCATCTAATCCCTGCTCGTGAGTCCCGTCCTTTGAGCAGAAGAATCCAAATAAGAGCCGGGGTGCTCCTCGTAGTGACTAGCCAATGAACAAAGACTTCTCTTTGCTCTACTGCCGAATCCAACCATGAGCACCGAAACCACCACCCCCAAAACCTCCCTCACCCAGTCTTCCACCAACAAGACCTATCTCCACGACCAAACCCAACGCCTCTCATGGACGCGCCTGATCGCGGCCTACTTGTGCCTCTGTGCCTGTTACTTCATCTCCTATCTGGACATGAATTCAACGACTACCGCTCTACCAACCATCTCAAAGGCTCTCTCCGCGGGAACGACAATTACCTGGGCGGGCACGGCTTTTCTACTGGGGCAGACGGTATTTCAACCACTATATGGCCGCATCTCCGATATCGTGGGTCGCAAGCCCGTGCTCCTTGCATCGGTGGGGTGTATCTTTCTCGGCGATCTTCTCTCCGGCTGGGCGCAGAATGCACTTTGGCTCTACATCACTCGTGCCGTGAGTGGGATTGGGGCTGGGGGGATCAGCTCGCTCGTTGCGATTATTGTTAGTGATCTGGTGAGCTTGAAGGATCGTGGAAAATACCAAGGGATGGTGAGTATTGCTATTGGTCTGGGGGCCCTGGTCGGGCCCTTTATTACTGGGAGTCTTGTCCAGAGGAATGAAGATGACTGGCGGTGGGTGTTTTGGATCCCTTCTATCTTGCGTTTGTATGCACCGTGGTGCTGGTCTTTCTGTTGCCCCTGAAACCAGTGCTTGGCAGCTGGCGGGAAAAGGTGAGGAAGATTGATTGGTATGGGATTTTCGCTTCGGTTACGGCCATTGTGCTGCTATTGGTAAGACTCCGTGGTCTGATGAGCCGTTCTCTGTTGATATCTTTGCCGCGGAATTGACACGAGCTTCGCCAGGTTCCGATTAACTCCGGGGGGAGTATCTGGTCATGGCACAGTGCTTTAGTTATTGCACTGCTGACCCTTGGGAGCGTATCCCTGGTTATTTTTATCTTCAATGAAGGTCTGCTGGCAAAGGTTCCACTCATGCCATTACGCCTGTTCAGAGAACGATCTCTCACCATCATGCTGGTCTCTGGCGCACTACACGACTATGTCTGGCAGGCAACGCAATATTTCATGCCTCTTTACTTTCAGGAAATCCGCGGCTTTTCCGCTCTCGAGAGTGCTACCCTGATTCTACCATACGTGCTATCGCAAAGCCTTGCGGGTGCCACCTCTGGGCCTTTGATGAGTCGATTCGCTAGGTATCAGAAATTCCTTCCATGGCCCGAGCTCCTCTGACCGGCTTTCTTAGATATGCGCCAGTCCTGCGAGCAGGCTTTCTCTTTTGGACACTTGGGGCAGGCCTTCATCTACTCTTTAACCGACATACACATGTCGCAGTCTATGTTGTGGTGCTTGCGGTAGAAGGTACTGGAGTTGGCTTGGTTCACCAACCCGGTAATGTTTTTCGTTTCCATCTTGTGCAATCCATCTCAAGTTTGCTAATCATATGATATACAGGTCTTGTGGCTGTGCAAGCCCTATCCAGAACGCAGGATCGTGCAGTTTCAACATCCACTAGGAACCTGCTGCGGTCTCTTGGATCTGTCTTCGGTGTCGCTATTTCGACCGCGGTCCAGAACGCAGCTATAAAGTCATCTTTGCACGGGGTCATTCCGTCCGACCTTTTGTCAGACGTGCTGGAAGGGAGCTGGAGTAGCAATGACGCTAGCACTGAGAAGTACCGCTCCCAGATTCTTGATGCGAAAATGAAAGGATTTCGAGTGGTCTTCATTATCCTCCTTCCTATCATGTGTCTCTGCTTCATCGGTAATTTCTTTGTTGCCGATACAGTGCTGAAAGGTGATGCGAAGCAGCAGGATCAGGAGAAAGCGAAGCCATTACAAGGCGAAGCATTGAAAGGCGGAGGATTAGAGCATCCCAGGCCAACGGGGAATCTAGACAAAGAGGCCGAGGTTTAATCAATACCTACGTTACTTGTCGCAAAACGACGTGCGATGGAGGGTGAGTCTGTGATCGAGGTCGATCTAGCTATCAGAACGTACGATGCCTTGCTCCCGTATTCCAACCCGCCTCTTTCTTGGGGAATACTCACAACTTGTCTAGACAAGGCAGAGACGGTATAAACAGTAAGCTACAGTCATTTCAGAACAATCAGAATTATCTATATTCCATCAATTCACCGAACTTATAGACCATTTTCCCCTTATCGCTCCGTCATGAGGCCCAAGTCATAGTTCAGTTTTGGTTATAGTCGACATTCATGTCCATACTGATGGACATCTCAGGTCCCTGTGTTCGAGTTTATTCCGTACTAGAATATTGGCAATATCATATTAGGATGCACATCAGTGAGGTGCCAAATAACAAAGCCACCTGATTGGTCGCGAAAAGCATTCGAGCATATCCAATCAGACTGACCCCTACCCATGACCTGGCAGGGGTGAACTCGTGATCAATAATACTACTGTCGCTGTTAAGCTGCTCGAGTGGACGAAGCAGATTATCGCCGATATGCTGCTTCCTTGCGTCAAGTCCCAGCCATTGGGGGGCTCTGATGTTGCTGGAGTTGCGGAGGAAGTCGGAGAAGCTGCCACATTAGCCAAGTCAGGAGGCTGAGTCGTTTATGCTGCTCTGCCTCTGGAACCTGCATAAAGCAGGACTTGTCAGGTGGCTTCCAAGAATATGTTATCCTTCACGTTCACATGATGTTCAAGATACCCGAGCACGTTTCTCATGAGGCTGCCGTAATACCCACGGGTATTTCCACGGCATCCTACGAGCTTTTCGAACACACTGTCTTGGGCTGTGTCTACCTACTCCATAATCCGGAGGCAACCTCCATGCTAAAGGATTGTTGGTTATCTAAGGCAGAAGTACGGGCGCTGGGTGCAATGCCACCCAGCTGGCCGTCGCTGCTGGGTATGATGCGACCGTTACAACCTCTCCAAAGGACTTCGATTACATGAACTAACTCAGTGCCAGGGAGGTTTTAAGTTTTACAGTACAATAGCAAGACTGCTGTACAAAGCGTCATTGACATGACCAAGCGCAGAATGCAAAATATCATTGGCGCCATCTCAATCAGCAAACCTCGCTGGGAGCATGCATGGAGATTCTAGCGAGGACCGAGAGCTCCAAGCTCACTGCGGGGATCGATATGAAAGGTGTGTTCTCTCTATCGACCAATCTGGTGCTGCTGGCAAACATGCCCTACATGCTCTACTTCAACGAAGATCTGACTCAAGGCTTCACAAGCGGTGTGAGCCAAAAAAAAAAAACAAAAAAAAAAAAATCCATCTTCGGCGTTCAACTGGCCTAGAGTAAAGTTGGGCCGGCAAATTACAATGACTTTTTTTCCCGGGGCACCAGCTCTAGACACATTTGCTCCTTCACTAAGATGTACGTGGTGGACAAAGGACTCGAGAGTACCCAGGAGGCTTGCGATATCCTCAGGGCGAAGGTGTCCAATAAGAAGTTCTAATTGGTGAGACTCTTCTGTAAGGCCATTTCTTTCCTTGATCTTCTGTCGCCAATGCTCTTCGCAGTTACGTAAAGCCTGTTGTTCTCAAGCGAAGGCTCCACTGCTCCATCCTGCACGAGCTGTCACAATCACAATAGCCTTATAGGGCTGATGCCAAAATCTCTTCTGCCTACGTGCGTACCTTTCCAAAAGCCCGCTTGCGCATTATACTTTATGCTATGATGAGAAGCTCATTGGTTACTCGCAGTTTCTACATGCCCCATAGAGGGTAGCACGGCGCCATCACACCGACCAGTTCGCCGGTGGTTTCTTCCTTCCCCCAACCAGCTCATAAGAATAACCGCTCAGGAAACATCATGACCAGAGCTAAGCAATCTCAATTTTGGCTAATTCACCTACCGATTAGCAGTCTCCCGAAATAGAGTCGATAGTAAAAGTATAAGACGCCGCAGGATTCCCCGAAAGAGCCCTTCCCCGTCGACAATCCCATCAGAATCACTCCAGCGAGCTCAATCCGGACCCTAGATACTCCCCGCTACCATGGGATTAATCAAGCTTCTTCTCAAAGTTATCCTCATTCCCATTGCCGCTATCGTCATCATCAGCATCGTGGCCGCTATTCTCATCAAGGTACATCGCGACCGGAAGCGCGAAGCACGACAGATCGAGCAGCAGCAGTTCAAACCACCGCCCTTCCAGCAATGGATTCCGTATGAGCCGGTTCAGAAACCCGCGCCTGTAGCATATCCGCTCGTCTCTCCAAGTCAGATGGAGCAAGGTGTGACCCATGTCTCCCCTTCATGAGGGAAAAGGTGCGGACTAGGTCTTCTGGCTGTGGTGATTTGTTCCAATCTTGAGTACTAATTCCTGACGATTGGCAGGTTGCCGCCTCAGGTTATGTTCCAAAGAAAGTTTGGGAGGAGAGCTAGGAGGAGGTCTGTTCTTTGTTGTCAAGTATTTCCGCCAATGCCAGTTGTCCTTGTCTCGTTTTTCGCTCTCATTTACTCCTACTGTAGTGGCTCGCTAGTAGTCTTCGTTCCATGCTTGATAGACGATAGCCAGCCGCTTTGGGAGATGTAGGCCTGAACGGCCCCTGGTTGAGAATATTCAGTAAGCCCAGACACGCTTCATGCCACAGCGGGCATTCGCCAGATCGGCTAATTTCATCAAAGCTTATTATTCTCAAGTCCGGGGCTGGAGTCTCGATCTGATTGGGTCGCTGCCAAAGAACGCTGCTGCCTGCTTTGACGGCGTATCGAGTTACCAAAGTCGGTCATGCAGACCGGGTTCCGTTCGAACGACCTGGTGAAACGATTCAAGTCCAAATGTTTCAGAGCGGCGCTTGGTAGTCTGCTGGTACAAGTCTTCTTAGCAATGACTATGCGTCTATACAGGCACGGGGGAATGTGGCCATCAATCAAGGATTGGGCGGTGCACTAGCTTGTATTGTGGAGCTCGTCTCGTCAGAGGATGCCAAATAGAGATTCACGATAAGGGGACAATGCCAATTGGAAGACGCTATGATGTTCGAACATAGGAATGGCTCAGAGACATCACTAATAGTACTGAGGATAAGTTGAAACATAAAAGTGCCATGTGTCTCTCAATGTCTTTGGTCTTGATTGTTGTATGAAAGCGTTCGGTCCTCTAAGGCTCCAACATCAGCATGAGTAAATCCAAACTTTGCATAACTCAAACGAGCGTCTTGACTCCGGGATTATGCTGCTTCGATGTTCCTCCATATTGCTTCGGGGTTACTCTCTTCTTACACTTCTTTGTGCGGCTATTCCTTTGAGGTCTATTGTTCCTATTTCAGAATTGCTTCGGGATACCAAAGGGTCTCCTTTTGATATTGGACCCTCGCATTATGAAGACGTCGAACAATACACTTGCAATATCTATGACTACGCTTGACAATGAATTCCGTGGTTTCTTTTTTCTGTGCTAGAACACTACGGGTGTCATGTCATTCTCGCTTTGCCTCTCATCAATGACACGAAACCTATACGTCAAGTTCGCATAGTTATCATCCATTAAGCACCTTATCCATTATCCAAAAAGCCGCTCATTTAGCCCAGGCAAAAGTGAGAGATACAAATACGGAGCCGGGCCTCGTAGCTAGATCATAAGAACGCTCATCAGGTAGAATACCTCAGGAACTCCTAACAATTTTTCCAACACGACCAAGACATAATCAATACGATAAAATGACCGGTAAAAATTCTAGCAGTACTTCTTCTGCGAAGAAGATCAGAAAGGCAATGGCGAAGCCGTTCCGGAACATCCTGGGTAAGTCGAGCAAGTCAAAGTCAAAGTCAAAGGATAAAGAAGACGATATACCAGTCAGCCCAGCCGGGTCCCCTGGTGAACAGGGGCCTTCCGGGGAGCGAGGGGAGACCGAAGAGCGAGAACCTGCTGAAGAGCAAAGCCCAGAGGGTGAAAGAGGTCCGACTGGTCAGCGAGGTGCCCGGGGCGCTGAACGAGAACATCGAGGAACTCAGGCCCACCCAAGTATTTTAGGGAAACGAGCACGTCAGGAACCGGAAGAACAAAGAGAAGGCAAGGAGCCAGGGCCTTCTGGGACGAGCGAAAAAGGTACGGATGAGCAAGGTACGGACGAACAAGGTACGGACGATGAGGGTACAGACCAACCAGGCGAAGGGGAACGCCGCCAGCCTCAGCTGGGCAATGCTGACCTTGACCCAACTACATCTGAAGGGGCCCAAAGAGACGCCTCTCTGCATTCCCAATCATCATCAGGCGCCTCGTCCTACATTACAGCCGTCGAATATAACCGCCCTGCATGGAGAGGCCGTGACAGACCAATGGACGCCGAATGGCTGCGCATGCGAGGCCGACAAGTGCAGTCCTGGATCGACAACCCCGATCAACCCAATTGCCCCGTCCAACGGTGCGAAATGGACCTCCAGCACCTCAGAACCATTGCACCGGGGGTCAGGGTCCGTACAAATCCACACCTATACCCGCTAGTGGAGGACGAGCTGCTCTTCCCCCGGGGCGAACGGCGCCCCCGGGAGAGGGAGTACTCAGGCTGGCTGTACTTCTTCGGGCAAGAAACATACCGGGCCTTGGGCGAGCACCCGTCGCGGAATTACTTCGAGGGGATCACCGCGCCGGGCACGCTTATCATCCAGACCGTCGCGCGGAGTACGCGCTACTTCCCGTACATTTCTGATGTTGCGCTGACGCTATACAAGCACGACCAGAAGCGGATGGAGTCGCTGCGGTATATTTTTGTGCTGGACGTGGTGAATGAGCAGACAAGTTACCTACTCACGCGGCAGATGGAATGGGCGGAGGGGGATGTTTTTGAGCATGGGTCGCGTGTTTATCAGCAGATTATGGGGACGCGGGTGGGGAGGATGGTGGGATATCTGATGCTCGGCGCCTTTGAGCGTGGCACCTACCGGATTTCCCGGATCAGTACTTATTCGCTGCAGAACTTGAGATTCGACATTGAGAAGATAGAGGACCGTGAACTTGGTGAGCCGTCTAGTAAAAGAGCGAAGACGTCAGAATGATTCGCAAGCCGTTGGGCTGTTTCGTGAGTTCGTCGAGTCCAGCAGCTACTATCCCGACTACACCGAGCCCTACTAACACTGGGACCGGGGGGGGTTGTATCTTGTGATGTTTGTAGGTGCTAGTTTATCCTATCTAGTCGATTACTATTAGTAGTAACTGATAAACAGAATTAAGAAATTTAGACGGTCTGGAACGTTCTATTGAAAGCCGAAAGAAATAGAAGGAAACCCCCCCCCGTGATACACTTCTAGTAGTGCAGACCCTTGATGCAAAGGTACTCAGTGGCAACCAACTTGAAGAACTGGAAACATAACAGCTACTCATCGTAGTCTCATGAACCGAGACTAGTAATACTAGCATGAGAAATCAATGGTATAATCGAACATGTGTATTTGACTAGAAAACTCGTTCTGGCATGACAATGCGACCTGAAACAAAACACCGATGCAATCTGCAAGCTAAAGAGAAGAAAAACATAGATCACATCAGGTCATAAAAAGTGACCGCTCTATTTTCCCCCAACCAAAAGAACATAAAGACAAAGAGATGAAGAGGAGAAAGAAACCAACTCAGATCTATGGAGTACCAAGGAATCTGAGGACAGACTCACGCTCCTCCACAGGGAGCATAGAGAGAACCTGCTGGACACCACGGAGACCGCCCTCCTTGTTGCCAATAAGCAGCGATGCAACCTCGGAAGCGACGCCCTCGTTGCGGAGAGCATCGACCTTCGACTGGATAACCTTCTTGTTCTCCTCGTACCAGAGGGCAACCTTGTGGTCGTCGTGCTCGATCTCCTCGTCGAGCAGACCAGTCCAAGCATGCAGGGCGCGGAGATGGGCCGCACGAGCAGCTTCGGGGGTGGCGCGGGTACCGGAGGCAGGAATAGCACCGCCGGCGCCGTTGCGGGGCGCAGGAGAGCTGGAGGCAGCAGCCATGCGCTTGACGATCAGCTCTTCGCTGAGACGGCGACGCAGACGCCAGTAGAAGAAGCGGCGGGCGTTCTGCCACTTGAGGGGATGACGGATGGTGTTCTTGGCTTGCATGCGGCCTGCGCGGTCGTGCAGATCGGCAAACTGCAGAGCGATCTGCATGTACACGGGCAGAAGCTGCTCCTCGCGTTGAGCCATCTTGAGCTTGATCTCCGACAGCTGCTCGTTGCTCAGCGAAGAGTCCTCCAGAGAGCGGCGCAGCTCGCCGTAGGTGGGGTCCAGGCGGGCCATGGTATCGAGCTGCTTGTCGCGACGGTACTTGATGTTGACGATACCCTCGGGCTCGAGGACACCACCGCGGGAGTCTTCGTCGGCGTACATCTCCATCTGCTCGGGGTTGATGGTGGGGTCGACGACAACCCAGGATCCACCACGCAGTTCACCGAAGGGAGGAATGTAGACGAAGATGGGCTGCTCGTACTTGACGAGGGCATCGACGATGTAGGAACCGTACTTGAGAACCTCGTTGTACATGTCACGCTGGCCACCGGAGAAACCTCGCCAGTTGGCAAGGATCATGACGGGCAGCTGCTCACCGTTGTTGAAGTCACGCAGAGCCTGGGCGGTCTTGTAGGCCGAGTTGGGGTACCACACACCACCGGCCTCCTGGCTGATGGTCTCCATAGAGTCAGGGTTGGCAGGGTCAGCAGGGGTGATGTTCTCCACGGGGCGAGTCTCAACAGCAATCACACCCATGGGGATACCTCCAAGGCGGGCACGACCGATGACGACCGTGCGGGCCCAGCCACCGAGAGCCTCCTCGAAAGAGTCCTTATCGAAGAGGCCGGGCAAGAAGCCGTCCTCCTCCTGCTTACCAGCAATAAGCCAGCGAGGGTCATAGGCCTGCTTAGCCGGAGGGAAGTACTCGACATCACGGTCCCAGTTATCAGCCCAAGCGCGGATGGGGACGGGGGGCGTTTTTCTTGTCGGGGACGAAAGACATCCACTCGACAATCTTCTGCACACCCTCGAAGTCATCGTTGGCAGTCATATGGGAAACACCGTTCTTGTACATGATCTGAGTACCACCGAGCTGCAGGTTAGAGGTGTAGACCTCACGACCCAGCAGCTTGTTAATAGCAGGAGCACCAGTCAGGATGATGGGCTGGCCCTCAACCTGGATGGCGCGTTGACCGAGACGAACGAGGTAAGCACCGATACCAACGGAGCGGCAGGTAACAAGAGTGATGGTGAAGATATCCTCGTAAGCCTTAGAAGTAGCACCGGCAATAAGACCGGAGCCCTTCAGACACTCGACACCGAGACCGTCCTTGGCACCAATGACAGTGGTGATCTTGTGCCGCTCCTCACCCTCATCGGTGATGAGCTCAGTGATGACCTCCTTCTTCTTGCTAGCATCGAAGCGCTTCTTGACCTCGGGGGTGAGGTAGAGGTACTTGAAGCCAGCCTCGGGCTTGGACGCATCATTCCAAGCGACAGAGAAGTAGGGGATCAGTTCATCAGCGATACCGATACGGGCACCCGAGTTGGCAGACAGATAGATACGAGGAATACCAAGTTTGCGAGCAAGCTCGGTACACTTGTGGAAGAATTTGTCTTCCTGGGGACCGAAGGAGCCGATCTGGAAGGTGATGTCGTTCGCAACGATGATGAAACGACGGCCGCGAGGGTACTCAGGAGTACGGGCAGTGACAATCCATCCGACCATACCGTGGGTGTTGGTGCCAGGCTCACGGGAGACCTCAACCAGGTTGTCAGTGTCATCAAGCACAAGCTCGTTGTAGTCGATGCACTCGCCAACAGGGGGGGCGCTGAGAAGCCAGAGAAGGAATCTTCTCCAGGATCTTGGTCCAACTGTTCTGGAAGGCCTGGCGGAAGAGCTCGGGGAAATCGTACACGTACTGTGTTCCCATGAGGTGAGCCTTGTAACGTTTGGGCTGCAGCCACTCCTTGGTAGGGTAAGGAGTAGAGACAGGAAGCATGTGCATGGAGCCCAGCTTGGTGGTGCCACCAATGCTCTGGAAGATCCACTCGCCCTTCTCGGACTTGCGCTCGATGTAGAGCTCAACTTGGATGATGAATCCGAAGGTGTTGCTGATGATGACACGGAGAGGGTAAGGGAGGCCGGTGCTGGGGTCGGTGCAAAGAATACGGATCTCAGCCCCAGTGACACGGAGACGCCACAGACGACGACCGAAGCGGTCAAGGAAGCCAGCCAGAGCCTGCTCAACATCGATGGGCTGCAGGTTGAAGACAGGCGAGAAGTTGATGAAAATGTGGTTAAGATCAGAGTTGTTGTTGCCAATGATCTCAAGAGCATCCAGAATGTCGGTCATCAGACGGTCAGCCTCAGAGATCAGATACTCGGCAGTAGGAATGTCATCCCGAAGGCGACCAGGGCGCACCACGGCACGAACGAAGTACCGCTTGTCGACAGCCTTGTCGTTCTCAGGGCCCTTGCCAATAGCCTCGTAGACGTGGATATTGCGGTTCTCAGTGAAAACGGGCCTGATCTTGAACTTGGACAGACGACCGAGCTCAAGCTGGAAAGCAAGAGCGGGCTCATTGTGTCGGATACTGACATCCTCATCGTAGTCAGGGCCGCGGAAGGTAAAGTAGCCGGGGTAGACACCGTCCTTGCCACAGATGAAAGTGACACGGCGGATACGGCGGGCAAGGAGCTCTTCTTTGTTGTCTGCGAGCAGCTTCTGCATCTGGCCAACGAGCTGAGCATCGTCTGCAGTCTCGATGTCGCGGATGGCAATGTTGCAAACACCACTCAGGTCGTTTGTAGCGGTGTCAACCTTGACTCCGGGGCGGCGCTTTCCTTCCAGGTTGGCAAGCAAGCCACTGTCAGCAGGGCGCTTGGCCTTGCTGTCCAGGCGAGGAAGAGCCTCCAGGGCCTTGGGGAGAGCCTCCTCAGCATCTTCCAGGTACTGAACGGGGACAATCACACCCTTACGAAGAGGGTCACTGGTCGGGTCGTTGACCAGGTAAGACATGTCACTAATGGAGTTGATGCGCTTGAAGGGATTGGTCTCAGCAGTGGGAGTCCCGGGGGTTGAGGGCTGAGTTGAGGAGACCGGGCCGAATTCAGGCTGGCCAAGCTTGCCCATGCTGAAGTCCCACGTCAGGAAGGGTATGTCAGTTGAAGGGCTGTAGTCAATAGCCTTGACGGTGTAAGCACGGTATGCGCGGCGCACGTAGACCTCCAGCGCAGCAAGCGTAACCCATGGGTCCTGGTGGACAAAGAAGCGAGGAAGCACATCGAAGACAGTGTACTTCGAGTCGACAACCTCCTTCAAGGTGCCAAGATCGGGCTCACGGTGCTCCCAACCGCCCGTCTCACCGTAGCGAGACTCCACAACGGAAGAGCGCAGAATGTGCTCCATTTGGGACAGACGCTCTTCCAAAGAGGGCATAGCACACTGAATGAGAACTTCACGGGCCTTGAGAGTGACCTTGGCGGCCGAACGAGCTTCGAGCTCAGTGAGCTTCTTGAGGATGTCCTTGAAATAGGCGCCAACGTTCGTGACATTAGGCTGGTTGGGGCGGTACATGTCCAAGATGGCCAGGACCAGGTTGTTCTTGGAGCTGATGCGGCTGTGGGAGAGCACGGTGTGAACAACCTTGAGGATATCATCCTTGTTCTCGTCACGGAGCTTCAGGATCACGTCTTCATCACGCTTGACGCCAGTGGAGAAGAGGCTCTCAACTTCGTAGTACTGCTCGAGCAGGCTGATGAAAACTTTGTATTCGTTGACCTTCAGGCCATCGATGTACTTGTTGATGACATGGACCAGAGGGAGCAGAGTAGTCTTCAGAATCTCAGCATCGGCAGGGTTAACGTTCTCCTCGATGAACTTGACGATGGTCTTTTGCAATTGCTTAGCAGGGAACTCAGCGTGGCGAGCCTTGGACTTGTCGACAATGTTCTGAAGCTGGGCGTCCAACTTCTGAGGCATACGCGAGTGCAGAGCAGAAGACTGGGCGCTCCACTCTCCGTAAGGAAGCTCAGGGTTGCGCAGAACTTCAACGAGATCCTTGAGGGTCGCACCCATGATTACCTGGTTGTCAAATCCACGGAGAATGTTCTCCAGGATGCTGTACAGCAGTGTGAAGCGCTGAGGGGGGCTTATTACCAACGACGACAGGAGAACCCATCTCAGGAAGCTGGCCAGTGAAGGGCTGAGCGTGCTTGACGCGGGAGGGGTCATCCAGGGCAAGAATGCCAAGGATATCTCCAGCCTCGAGGGTCGCTCCAGGCTGCTTGATGAGCTGCACAATACCGTCTTCTTGGGCGATGAGAGGCATGTACATCTTCATAACCTCAACTTCGGCGTAAGGCTGGCCAGCACGAACGTGCTCACCGTTCTCGACAGTGAACTTGACCAGCTTACCAGGCGAGGGGGAGCGCAACTGGGTAGGGTCGTTCTCCTGCTCCAGAAGACAGGTCTTACCATCAACACTCAGGCGAGTGGCGGCGGGCTCCTCCTTCCAGTAAACGTTGTGACTGCGGCCGTTCAGCAAAACGAGCAGACCACCGTCGGCGAGAGCGCGGACACCAACGGAACATTTGGAGCCGTTGATGAACAGGTGGTAGCTGTCCAGGCCGGCACGGGTAGCAGTGAACTTGTATCGGGAGCCCTCGTAAATGAAGTCAACGGGGAAGACGGTCTTCAGGACATCGCGAGATGGCACCTGACCCTTCTCGAGACCCTTTCGGTAGGCGTCGATACCCTCCTCGCTGGCAAGGTGTGCCTTGGTGACGGCACCGCAAACAACAGCGACAATGGGGTCCGGGCGCTCGGCGGTCAGACGGTTAGAAATGAGTTGATCCAACCATCCAGTGGTGATGGTGTTGTCCTCGAAAGCGGGGGTCTCGAGCAGCTTGATGAGGTACTCAACGGTGGTTCGGAAATCACCGCGGATACTCAATTCCTTCAAAGCAACAACCATGTGCTTCCGCGAGGCCGATCGATTCTCGCCATAGGCGAAGATGTGACCGAATTGACTGTCCGAGAAGCTGTGAATACCACCGGCCGTACCGACAGAGAAGTAACCCCACACATTAGACGAACTACGGAAGTTGAGCTCGTGCATGGTACCGCTGGAAGGCTTGAAGCCCTCGCCGGGGTCCTCAGATGTGATACGGCAAGCGGTGGTATGGCCCTTAGGCTGGGGGCGGCGCTGGGTCTTGAAGCTCTCCTCGCTGGAGAAGTCAAAGTCGATCTCGGAGGAAGTGTTGGGGTCAACTCCGTACAGCAGACGAATGTCGCGGATGCGGTGCAGGGGAATACCCATAGCAACCTGCAGCTGCGCAGCCGGGATGTTGACGCCAGAAACCATCTCGGTAGTAGGGTGCTCGACCTGAAGACGAGGGTTCAACTCGAGGAAGTAGAACTGGTCATCAGAGTGCGAGTAGAGGTACTCGACGGTACCAGCAGAGACGTAACCCACAAGACGGCCCAAGCTGACCGCAGCGCGCTCCATAGCTTGGAAAGTAATGGGCTTGGCGATGGTGACGGGGGCCTCCTCAATGATCTTCTGGTGACGACGCTGCACGGAACAGTCACGGCCAAAGAGAGAGATGTTGTTACCGTACTGATCAGCCAGCAACTGGACCTCCAAGTGGCGGGCATTTCCAGCCAGCTTCATGATGAAGATTGGCGATCCAGGAATCTCGTTGGCAGCGGCATTGTACAGAGAAATGAAGTCTTCCTCATGCTCGACCTTACGAATACCCTTACCACCACCACCCTCGGAGGCCTTAATCATGACAGGAAATCCAATTTCCTTGGCCTTCTGCAGACCCTCCTCGGGGGAGGAGGTGCAACCCTTGGCGTAGACATCGTCCTCCACGGTCACAATACCCTTGTCATCGATCGTTACCTCATCCACGCCAGTTCCGGACCATGGGATACAAGGCACACCCGCATGCTGTGCAACAATGGTGGACGAGATCTTGTCTCCAAGCGAACGCATAGCCGAAGCCGGGGGGCCGATGAAAATAATCTTCTTTGGCGAGGCAGCCAAATACTCGGGTAATCGTGGGTTTTCCGAAGCGTGACCCCTGTATATCTCGTCAGCCTGGTGATCTTTGCCTTCCCGGCCCCGGCCCAATAATGAGGGCAGGCGCACAGGGTGGGAATTGCTTACCATCCAGCCCACACAGCGTGGACATCCATTCGCTCCGCAACATCGACAATCAACTCAACGTTTGCATAATTATTATTATTAGTTCCGCCAGGAACCTCGACGTATTGATCGGCCATACGGATGTAATCGGCATTCGCTCGTAGATCTTCGGGGGTAGCCATCACGGTGAATTGAATCGCCCGCTCGTTGCCGAAGGTTTCGTAGGCCCATTTTCGCACTGATCGGATCTCCTTGACGGCGGCGATACCATTGTTGGCAATAAGTACCTAAAAAGACCATTGTCAGACCTCCACTGCCACTCTTTTTTTTTCCCTTTTTTAAGTCAAGGTTCATTTCGCCCCGCAGATTTTGTGTGAGCCTCTCCGATCCAGTCACCGCGGCGAAGAAACGTGAAGGAAACGTGAAGGAAACACAAAGAGTAGAGTAGACCAGCAGAAGCTAACTTACGGAAGTAATGACAGTGTGACCATCGTGGGCGGCCACGAAGTCCTTCACACTACTTGGGGGAGCGGCTTCCAGGCGATTGCCACCGATGAAATGTGAGGCCAGTGTGCTGTGCTTGGCCGCGTAGGAGCTGGCCTGGCTGGCCGCATTACCGTTAGGGACACCCATTGTGTTCGGAAATCAATAGGCAGTCTCAAATCCCATGTAAGGGTTTTGGGGGAAAGCCCTCAATCAAATGTACACAGCACTGCTGGTACGAAGAAAAGAATAATGTACACTTATTAGGTTCGGTGGCGAGCGCGCGGAGGGTAGAAGAAGGATAGAATTGAAAATCTGCGCAAAACCAGATCTTCGATTAGCTGAAGTTTTGGGTGTTTGGCAAAAAAAGAAGACAGGTAAGCCCAGGCGTCCGAGGAGGGGGCGGAAAGTGCTGATCGCAAACGGACCAAAAAATTCCCAATGGGACGCGAAAAAAAAACTGGGGGCGACAATTGCAGGAAAAGGTTGCAACAGCGACTCACCGGGAACCACCACACTCCCGATTTGAGAGATAGAGGAGAATTAGGAGAAAGGAAGAAGCTGGCAATTACAAGATCTCGAAAAGAAAAAAAAAAACAGGAAAGATCCAGACTAATAGGGATAGATAGGGCGCTGCTAACTATTTCTCGACAGCACCAACAAACTAAGCACAACTGGGAAAAAAGGCAAAATGGAAAATATCCCCAAAGGAGGATTGGCCCAGAAAATTGCTGAGAATGCAAGTCAACCCCACTCGAGCGAAAAGTGGAGAAATCCCAACGACAGGTACTGCAAGTTCCTCTGGGCCCGTCGCTTCCCCAACTCTCCCCTTTGATTTTGTCGGGCTTTGTTGGGGGGGTCCACTGCGGCAGCCAATTGTCCCACCATTTTTACTCTAACCCCCTCGTGCTGATAGGTTGTGAGGTTGATTTGGAGGTGCTATACTCCGTAGTATGCACACATTTACTGGAATGCCTACGGCCTTAACCAAGTCTGCTTAAGCCAGTCTGCTGCTGTAGAGTCATATGTAGGCAGTAGATCTCTCATTTCGCCCGGACTCCGAAGCTGGTCCCGCTGTCACCTTGCCTTCGACTGCCTGGACCCTGCCAAGGTCCTGGCAAGGCCCTCCCCCATTCCGGCGATTCTCCTCCCGATTCGGTCGGATTGTTGGCCTTAAGGGCCTTAAGGGCTTGGCCAGGTCCCGCATCATGCAGCCCCGACGACATTCGGACACCGAATTGTTGAATTTGCGCGCTCGGAGCTTTCCGTTCTCGCTCAGAGGAGTCGTCTTCTAATCTCCGTAAGGCTGAGCCGCAAGCCTAGGCCCTTCGTACTCGTAGACAGCATCAATTGACGTCCCTATGTCGCGGAACCCCATCCAGATCCGTTTCTGCATCATGACGTCGGGCACGAACCAACGGAAAGGGGCGCAGAAACGTGGGGCTCTAGGGCTATCGTAGGATCCAATCCGAAATCAGTTAGCGATGTGCCCATCCGCTGGCCCGTGTTGAGATCGCCCTAAGGATAGTGATTAGATCGAAATCTTACGAGAGATCTTAGGCTACGGAGTACACTAACTACGGCGACTTCCATCTCAATAACATAACATCGTGGGTATTATTCAAAACGCCTCACATAAAAAGAAAATAAGGTTGCTGAGACACAGCTTAGGACGGCCCCAGAATCCATGGCGGCTACACGGTTCATAGAGACAAAAACAAAGACCGGGTTCCGACGGTCGTAGAAAGACACCTCCGAGGCGCTCCGATGAGAATAGAACAAGGCTGTACAGGATGAGAGCGCAGAAGAACGGGGGAATCTATCCAGGGCCACTATCCAGGTGGCCAATGCACAAAATGCAAAATCCCATGCTCCGAGTTAAATTGTCGATAATTGGAGTCAAGTAGCAAGAAAAAAAGAAGAAACGCCAAAACCCCCATTGGCTGGAGCGAAACAACTGGCTAGCCTAGTATGTTTCCCCCCAGGTCCGCAGCCGGCTTGCGTTCGAGAGGTGGTGGGGGGATGCCCGACCCGATGCTACTTTTGAAGCTTCGGGGGGTGGGGATGCCGCTGGCGGCTCGTTTCTTCAATCCCACGGAAGTAGCTGACACTGACGGTCGTCGCAGCTCCTGAGGAAGTCGAGATGTAGGAACTGGCACATCGTCGTCTTCCTCGATATACGACATGCCGCCAGGGTTATTGTTACTCATAGAGGACCGAGGCCGACGGCTCTCTGTTGTCGGGTTAGTCGAGTAATGACCGAGAGGGGTTTTGGCGCCAGGACGGCTGGACCGACTTTCGGGGCGAACGGGGACACCCGAGTGGACACTTTGGCTGAACGAGCTACGGCTGGAGAAGCTGGTTCGGCTGCTCGGGCGGCTGTCGCCTGTGCGTGCCCCGAAGGATTGGCGGCTCTGCGGGAGATATGACGGCGTTCCTTCGCTATCCCGAACCGACGAGCCGTAGCTACTACCGCTCAGGCGTTTGCGAGAGCTTCGTCGAACAGTGATATTTGAGGTAACAGGGCTATCCCCAATGACAGAGCCTGATCGAGACATGGAGCGAGGGGATCCAATAGACGAGGTGTCCGAAGGCGCGGGAAGTCGGGACTTTGCAGACTGGACTCGTTCCTCGAGCTTTTGCATCTTGCCAATCAGACCTCGGATCTGGTACAAGGACCCCGACTTGGGCATTCCCGATGGACGAGCAGAGTTCATCCGCGTCATGCTGTTGCGAGAATTGACGGAAGGAGTGGAGCGGCCCCCATTACTGTAGGCCAAGGACGGCGTCCGGGAATGATTGGGACGGGGCTGCGTTCTTGCGTTGATGAGGCTGCGCGAGTTGACAGGTTCGTTACCAGCGGCTCTAGTCCGAGGGAATGTGGGAGTGGCATTGATGGACCTGCGTAGGCTAGCCGACGACTCCGATATAGGAGGTGAAGGAGGTGTCGCAGTAGAGGACGTCAGGGAGGTTTGAGACAGCTTGGCAGGTGGTGTAGCAAAAACAGGAGAGGAAGTAGCGGTGTTCGGTGATCGATCAAAAATTTCCAAGGTCTGAGGAGTCGAAGGGCTGCGGTACAAGGGAGTTGGCTTGCGACGACGGTAGCCGCCAGCTTCGGTGTTGCGCAGCTTCTCCTGGATAATCTCAGCCTCGACCTTCAGATCTGATAGCTCAGAACGCAGGCGCTGGTTGTCAATTCTCAGGCCTTCTCGCTCTTGTTCCCCATTTCGGACTTCTTCCTCGAGCAGCACCCCACGTTCGATGGCTACGTTATATTTGGATTCCATGTCCTCCAGGGACGATGTGGTGTTCCGGGCTTGCCGCTCGTAGTCATCATTGGCAACTTCAATGTCTCGAAGCTTCATCTGCAATGTACGATTGCTGTCACGCAGGGCAGTGATTTCTTTCTGGAGGGAGTTTTGTGCAGCATTGGCGTCGGTTTTAGACTGCTTGTATTTGTTCTGCAGATCTGTCAGTTCTCTCACGTCTTTGGAGATATAAAAAAAGAAGCAGTGAGTGATCGCATACCTTCCATTCGTCCACTTCATACCGCAGTGTGTCAACTTTTTCTTTCAGCTGGCGCTCCCGCTTCTCAGAAGCTTCGATGTCCCGCTCCAGCTCGGCTTCCAGCTCCCGACTGGATACCTGGAAGTCGGCAAGTTCAGCCTCTAGCTGTTCATACTGAGCCTTGTAGTGAGCCAGTTCATCTTTGTATGAGCTGCCAGAATGCTTCTTCGTTTCAGAAGGCGATCCCTCCTCCGCGACTGGCATGATCCGGTGTTGGGCACCCAGCGACGGGTCGCAACGGGGACGGTGGGCGGTTCGCGATTTGCAAATTCGTAAGCGATGTAAGAATCACAGACGCAGAATGCGCCTGCAGATTGATGGGGTATTTTCCCCCGAAAGCCTTTGATGTTGTATGATCGAGGGAGTCTCGCCCGCCGGATGTGTTGTTGATAAGGACCCCTCCGGCGAGGCGGTGACGCAGGCTGGGGAAAATGACCAGTAGGCGGCTGGGGACCCTCCACCGAGAGAGTGTAGAAGACGAAAGTCGAAGATTCCCGGTTGTACGAAGCGACGGCACTTACCTTACTCTTTGTCGTCTTTGTCGATAGAGTGACTCTCACGGTGGAAGGTGTGTCGCAAAGGCGGGATCGATTAGATCGGTGTTGATGTGTTTCGGTCGTCAGGGGCCACAGGGCCGCTAGTCCTAACTGAGACGAGTTCGGACCATGTGAATCTGGGTTGCTTGTCTCCCTCCGTCATTTCTGTTGTTTTGCCACCGCTCTTGTCGCCTAAGGCACCAAGGCTTTAAACATCCTTTTGCGCTACTCCCGAACAGGCAATTGACTCGATCGCGCCTACGATCTGGATTCATCCGAGGGTCTCCCTGGGTCTGGGGTATTTCATCGCTACGAAGGTGAGTGGCTGTGATTTCCTGCGGAATTCCTACTTGCTGAAAGCGAGACTATACCCGCTGCGGGTGTCTCCATCGAGCTTTCATTTGGGTTGCCCCTCCCCTGATATGCCCACGCACAGCTTTAACGATTCGTGAGCTGATCGTCGTAATTGCTTCCACGCACTTGTTTACCCTCGTCTCCTCTGGTTGCTTTGCCCCATCCACCCATCATGTAGCCTGCCCCGTTAGCACGTGGCGATAACATGACAACCATGCTGACCTTAGATATTAGATAACCAGGCTAAAGGGGCTCAGCACCTCCTCGTCCGCCATGGCGAGTCCCAACGACCTCAACCTCGACGCGCCTAGCGATCTCACGGACATACCAGATATTGGCATGGCATTGGTTCCTCCACCAGAGGGAACATATCCTGACAAGTTAGTCTAGCATACCCCATTATGCATAGCAGAGCCAGAAGCTAAATACTCATATGTTATTCTTACCCGCAGAGCTACTTTATTGGCTGCTGTCCAGGCACATGGCAAACAACATGGCTACAACGTGGTTGTGAAGTCTTCCAGCACCCCGACTGAGAAAAAGCCAGGGCGTACTGCTAAAGTTTGGCTGCGCTGTGACCGCGGCGGTCACTATCGTCCGCGTAATGGCCTTACGGAAGAGACTCGCAAACGTCGTCGTACCTCCCGTCTCATGGATTGCCCTTTCATGCTGGTCGCGGCCGGTTCTCCTGGAATATGGACTTTGAGCGTACTGAACCCGACTCACAATCATGGACCTGTGGTCGAGAAGCCTCGGCAAGTGCCTCACCACAAAGTTCGCAAGGGCCAGCTGCCTGCGCTGCCATATGACTGGCCACATGATGCGACATTCACCCCTTATACTACTGCACTCGTCATCATCGATATGCAGAAAGACTGTATGTTCAACTTCTCTAGGATCCGTGTTACCGATTAGACACCACCTAACCTATCTATAGTTTGTTCCCCTGGGGGATATATGGAGTATCAGGGCTACGACATCTCTCCTAACCAAAATCTGATCCCACGCCTCCAGCGCCTGCTACATGTCTTCCGCTCTGGGGGATTCCAGGTCTACCATACTCGCGAGGGTGAGTGGTATCATCATTTACAACATTTGATTGCATTGCGGTTCCTAACTTTTGTCACCAGGACACCGACCCGATCTTTCAACTCTGTCCAGTCGGGAAGCCTACCGTTCTCGGAACAATGCATCGGGCCTTGGCATCGGCTCTCCAGGTCCATTAGGTCGACTCTTGATCCGAGGAGAGATGGGCCATGACACTATTGATGAACTCTACCCAGCTCCTGGAGAGCCAGTCATTGACAAGCCCGGGCGCGGCGCATTCTCACACACCGACTTTGAACTCATCCTGCGGAATAAAGGAATAAAAAATCTCGTCATTGCCGGTGTCACCACGGACGTCTGCGTCTCGACCACCATGCGCGAGGCAAATGATCGTGGGTTCGACTGCGTTGTCCTTGAGGATGGCACGGCGGCAAGCGAGCCATCTCTTCACGTCAGCACGCTTGAATCTATCAAGATGGAAGGTGGCATATTCGGTGCTGTCGCCAAACTCGAAGACGTCGTTCACGCCGTTGAAAACTTCAAGGCCGTCACTATGAAGAAGCTGGCTCCTCAGATGACCGTTTGAAATTTCCCATTGAGCGTTCTAGCGAGGCAATTTGGCCTATTGGCACCCGGAGGATTAGGCGGCGTTATGGCTTTTTTTTGGCTCTTTTCTTCTTCTCTTCTAATCTGTTCTGACTCATAATTGGGTTTCTGCGTGGAATTAGCGGGCCGGCTCGGGAAGTTTTCGGTATAACCTAGGATGTTTTTGTGTTCAAAGCACCCGAACTTGAACTTCGTACATGATAACATCTGGAGAGCAGCCACTTTGTAATTTTGTAGGCTTTGAATAGCACATAATCTCATATCTCTAGAATCATATGCAAGAATATCACCCTAATCACGCAAATATTAGGTAATGTTGTCGTTCAAGTAACGATTATGAAAGCCCACGAACGCCCACGCTTGGAAAAGGAAAAACTATGTCCAGTCCATCAACACCAATGAAATATAGCTAAAGCCACTTCTTCCCAGCAGCAGTGACTCGTGTCCGGAAGACAGGGCTCTTGATCTCCATCCCCTGCTTATAAAATGGGCTCATGGCGGTTTTGACATAGCTCTCGTAAATCTCATTCATGAATTGGCGTATGGCTTCTTCGGTTTGTGGAGAGGTCGGGTTTGCTGCGACAGAGCTTGACGAGGCGCGGGTTGTTGAAGCAGATGATCCCAGGAGCGATGAGGAACCGAGGCTCCCTGAGGTACCCGAAGAGGGGAGCTGGGGTGGTTGGTGAAGCAGGAGGAAGCGCGCACCACTTGGAGTGAGGAAGGCGGAAATGTATGCTGTCGCTGGTGGGTAGGTGTCGATGTGCTTAAGATACCTGGCCAAGATGTTAGATTTAGGCTCATCAAGCTTAAGGCTGTAACATAAGCCGTGCGAGAGAGAAGCCAGTTTGGCTGTCTTGAGAAAATCAGCATATTACTTACATTCCCCCATTGGTCCATTGGGCCTCTTCGACAATATCCAAGCTTGAGTGGATGATAAATTGGTTCATGTACTGTGCCGTGTCCGGGAAGCGGAAGCGAGCAATGCCATCGCCCCCTCCTTTAGAGGTTCCAAAGGCGATATTGAAAATGGGGGTATCAGTCGGTGAGAGGATAGTGAAGTAGTATGACATTTTGGACAGTTGCGAGTGTGGAGACAAGACACAGGGGGTTGAGGGGATAAGAACATCCAGGGCTGCACGTGATTGATAAGATAACATGTTCTAAAGTCCACGCTTCATGATTTCATAGGCTTTACAGCTTTGTTCAGGAGAGAATTACCTCTGTACTGATATCTTTGGGTAATTTAAGAGCAGTTTCATTTAATTCCTTACTTCCTGCGTGTCCAAGAAGACTTTTATGGTAATAATGAGGTTGAGTCAGCAGGTTTTGTTGGAGATATATTTTGTACTGACCATAGCTACGGGCGGTCCTAGTCGCGGGGCACGATTTCGACTTTCGATAACCAAACTATGACTAGTAGCCTAGCACTAGTATAATTTTGACTATTCATCCTACAGAAGAGTGTCTATTCCCGAGTATTGGCGGTTGAATTGCTAAATGAGCGTATGCTACCGAGTCTAAACGATATTGACCCTCATAGGGCCCGTATGGTCGGGCGCTGGTAATCAAACTCTTGGGTGCTCTATCGATTGTGATTAACCACTCGTGAAGAAGTGCACGGGTAAATCGGGGTATATTATTAGCTCCCCTGATCGTATAGACCGTGATTCAACAGCTAAAATTAGCTTTAATGACACTCAAGCTCTGGGCCATTTCGAGCAGTAGAGTGGTCACATGACCGATAAGAACAGCTGCTTATCGTCCTCTCGACCTACCCCAGACATCTTCACTTTTCATTAAGCCACGGTCTCCGTGGGTTCTCCTGATCCCAAGTACCACTGTCTTGCGAGAGTGTATCTTCAACATTCGTTGCCTTCGGCGCAACATACAAAATGGCTCCGCAATTCTCCATGGGGCTCAACTTGCCGAAAAAGAAACCTGCTGGCCCGAAAGCAGGAAACCCACTCGCCCAGAAGCGCAAGAATATATTTGATGATGAGTCGGACGAAGAACAGCAAGGAGATGATAAAGTTGAGGAAATATCCACCATCGATGGATTCGGGGCGCCATCATCGGAGAAGACACCATCTGCAGGACCACCCCCCCAAACGAAAGATGCAAATGGGAGGTGGCAAACCCAACCTCAAGCCACTAAATAAAAATTCCGTTTTCGCCGATGACGAGGATGAACATGAGAAAAAAGACATGGAGGCCCAAAAAGCAACAGAGTATGGATTGAATCAGGCGCAATCAAAAAAGCAACCTGCCTCCGATCGCGATTTCACAAACTTGTCCACTTTACACAGCAGCAAGAAGCATGCCAAGGAGGCAGAGGAACTAGATCCATCAGTATATTCCTACGATGAGGTCTATGATAGCCTTCACGCCAAGCCCAAGAAGACTACAACTACGAATCAGAGTGAGGTACCAAAGTACATGACGAATCTGCTGCGGAGTGCAGAGATTCGAAAACGGGACCAGCTCAGAGCGCGCGAACGCCAACTACAACGCGAGCGTGAAGAAGAGGGTGACGAGTTTGCGGATAAAGAAAGCTTTGTTACAAGCGCCTACAAAGCGCAGCAAGCGGAAATGCGCAAGGTAGAGGAAGAGGAGGCTCGACGAGAGCAGGAGGAAGAAGAGCGACGCAAACAAAATGGAGGGGCTGGTATGATCAACTTTTACAAAGATATGCTCTCCCGCGGAGACGCCGAACATGGAGAAGTTGTCAAAGCTGCCGAAGAGGCCGCCCAACGTGTCAAAGCAGGCGAGGTCCTTGAGGAAACGGTCGCGGAATCGGAAGAGAAAACCGATGCGCAGAAAGCCGAGGAGCTCAATTCTCGTGGCGCTCATGTTGTCGTCAACGATGAAGGCCAAGTTGTGGATAAGCGCCAGTTGCTATCTGCGGGTCTGAATGTCGCGCCTAAACCCAAGGCCACCCCTCCCTCTGCTGCTTCAAAAAATGCACGAGGGCCTCTCCCAAGACCAGGCGCTGGTGTTGGGGCGCAATTTGGCCGCGGGGCTCAACGGGCTCGCCAGACAGAGTTGGTTGCCCAACAATTGGAAGAACGGGCCCGCCAAGAGGAAGAAGCAGAAGCGGCACGACAAAAGGAAATTGCCGACCGTATTCGCAGCAAGAAGTCTGCCACAGATGTATCCAGCGCAAAAGAGCGTTATCTTGCAAGAAAGAAGGAGCGGGAAGAGGCGGCCAAGGCTGCTTCTGCTTCCTCTTGAGATCAACTTTAATTCCAATTGGGCTTTGTACATTCGCATTTACGGAGTCTATGTGAGCTTTGAATTGTATAAATGGGGTCTTACAGCAGATTGCTAGTAGGTCTGTACCAATGGTTATGCTTTGAACGAATTTTATTTACGATATGATGGCCACATGGTTTGAGGTTCTGATTGTAAAATGAGAGTAACTGCCATAATAATTACAAACGGAGAATACCAGGAAGCGAAAAAAAAGGATTGTTCAATTGGATCAGTAGTCAATAATATCACCCTGGCAGTATAGTCGGGAACCAAAACGGGAAACGGAATTGCAGGGCGGGCGCCTTAAATCCGGATGACTCAGCAATGACTCAACTTGCCTTTGGAAAATATAAATGATCCGGACCCGAAGGCCCTTCGCTAATCGCTAAGCCGCCCCACACGTCGCACTCGCAATTTTGCAACCCTAACGCCTCAAGAGAGACTTGCTTCATCCCCCTCCACCAACTCCGTCCTCCAGTCTTTTCATCGCCAAAAATCATCCATCATGGGTAAGGTTCACGGCTCTCTCGCCCGTGCCGGTAAGGTCAAGGCCGCCACTCCTAAGGTAAGTCTTGTGAACCCTCCTTGGAATACTCAGCGCCACCCTCGCCCAGACCGAGCGCTGCTCGTCCAAATTGCAGCTCTAACAAGTATCTCGCATCCAGGTTGAGCCCCAGGAGAAGAAGAAGAACCCCAAGGGCCGCGCCTACAAGCGTGTCCAGTACACTCGCCGTTTCGTTAATGTTACCATGACCGGTGGCAAGCGCAAGGTACATACCGACTGATTCCGCCCGCACACATCTACACCACCCTGCACCCCCCAAATTCCCATCTTGGATATATCTCAGATTCATCACAACCACAACGCACACCAAATGATTGATAGGGATGGCTGACATGATAAAACCACAGATGAACCCCAACCCCGGCAACTAAGCTGGTGCAAGTCGATAAAGAAACCCCCTGAGCCGTGGAGGACGGTCGAGTTTACTCCGATTTTGAAACAACTATCGCAAGACCCGGCATCGCCTCCGCGGCATCGAAACGAAAGCTCACCAGATACGGCTGGCTTTTTGTACGGATGATATCATGCTTTTTGAATTTTCGGCAATGGATCGGTTTTTTTTGAGGGGGAACACTTGCAAAATGGATACCACATGGTAGCTTGAGGATGAAAAGTTATGGCTAGGCGCTTGCTGCTACTATTATCTTGCAGCTTGTGTTCGGAATAGTCCCTTTGACTCGTACATGGGCTATTCCATGAATTGCATTTCTGATCCTGAAATGGAATTGTTTTGAACTTCGAAGACTTCTTTCATGTGGGCTATATGCACCCTTGTAACTTGCAACGCTACGCTTGTTTATCTGGGCCTGCTTCCCCTTCAAATTATTCCTGATGGGGATGTCAGGAGTAATCTACCAGCAGGAATAGGCGTTGATTTACGGCCATATAATTTGTAGCCTAAACTGATATGTTGAGTATCGATAAGGTCAGTATCACATCTCCAATTGGGTATTGTATCCTTGACTGAAAATACCTGCTGTGGTCTACCTCGTAATTACTAGAATCTACCCCGGGTATGCAGATCTACGATTTCATACAACAATCCTATCTGCACTTCACGCCACGGACAGCTTCAATTGACAAGTGAACTGATGACCGAGTTCAAGTTGCCAGAAGGAACTGGCAGGAACACTTATGACCGCGTAGATTCTCAGTCTCCGAAAGACGCTCGTAAACATCGATGTCATGACTCTATTGGACAAACCATTCACCAGACAGCGAAGGCGCGAAAAACATGATATTTTGGTATGCGTGAGCTTAAAGACATGAGATCATGAGCAAGCGAAACCCCGGCGTGAGTACGACAACTCGCTTTCACATTGGAGGGATTTGGCTTCCTGGAGAATGATCCATGGATTGGGGTCGAAGGCATGGCAGATGACTAAAGTGCACAAGGCCATGAACGGTCTTTGCGGCCGAATTCGTTGATTTCATGGAATCTTAAAAGGTCGAGGTGTGTAAGGTGGACATTGTGGCCTGAGGTTCTGTCGATCGAATACCGTCAACTTTCCCTCAGGTGGCTACTGGCCTCCGTAACCGAAGTCTATACGTCACCCCCGGGCCTCGCTCTATTGTTCCCATCGACAACTTAATGTCTTACCCCACATGAGATGATTCACGCCAAATTCTATAAGAATCAAAACAGATATCCCACGAGAAAGCTATTCCATTCATGGGTTTAATATACAGTTTCTCACAGGTACTCTTACTAGAAAGTCAGAACCACAAGGCATTGAAACTCACAGGGGCCACGGCGAGTATATGGACGAATACATGAAGTGGCGAGGTATAAACTCAATACTTGAGGCATTATCTGGTCGACAGACCTACTCGACCTTTGACTGTCTGCGCTGAGCATCATCGACTTGTGTGTCACCCGGTTCTTGGAAACGCCCCGCACAGATATCAAATCTGTTTGGACCCTATTGAGTAATGGTGGATGGTTTATGGACAAGACCAACAGACCCATGATGCAATGTGAAAGAGGAGCTATGCTCTACTTAGCCCCGATGTGCAGCTAGAGCCACTCCCGTCTTACTTCATTGATTACAACAACTACATGATAGCCCCATTCCCTATCTTATGATATTATCCATACTGTGTATCTCGAGGAAGTACCCCAAGATGTCTTACAATATGAACGCGGAAGATACCAAGCAGGATACGGAAAGTATTGGCACACGTTTTCTGCACAGACTGTCTGGGTCTAGTGCGAGTGGCCAGCGGAGGACTGGGTTGAAGGCCAAAGAAGTCAATGCGAGAGAATCCAGCTCTGGAAAAGATACGACAACGAAAGAATCAAAAGCCCAAATGGCTGAGCATGAGGGGGACTTATCTGGAAGAACCATCGGCGACGTCGGACTAAGCCGAGATGAACTCATTCAGCGAAACTTCGAAGATGTGGGCCGTCGACTTTTCGGCGCAGCTGGCAATGTCCCAGGGGGTGCCCTGTCTGGTGGAAAGGCGACCTCAAACGAGAGCGGGACTTCGAGCATCAGCGACGGACAAAGAATTAGTGGAGGAGCACAAGAGCCAAACTTTGATATCCGAAAGGGACCTCTTACCCCGGGGGCAGCATGTCAGGCCTTGACCAACGTGAAGCCACTTACCCATCAGCCGGAGCCTCTGGGTCTGGATCAACTGGTCATGAAACTGGCCAAGAAACGAGAAATCAACCTGCTGGGTCGGGAAATTGGACTACGGTTTCCCCCAGGAGAAACAGAAGAGCAAGCTTAGGGTCTGGTCTGCTCGCAGGAACTCGAAGCAGGAAGACTTCAGAAGCAGCTGAGGGTACGACACCGTATACACCTTTGTCTGGAGACAGCTCGATGCCCCCGTCTGGCGGCGGTTCTGTCTTTGGGAGGACGACCACTACGAAGGTTGCGCCTGCAACGAGTCCCAAAGGAAGCATTGATAATGGGGTCAGTGCGGGCGCAGGGCCCCGTATTACTTTTCAAGAAATTCCATCACGAAGCAAAGAGGACTCCGCAAATGTCACAGCATTAGGAGCCGGATCTCAATCTGCCAAGCCTGTTGATGATGCACCCGACCCGCAAACTATTGGCGAGCCGTCTGCTGCATCACCGAAAACAACAAAAACATCAAACAAAGCTGAAAAAAAACATATCAAATACATGAAACCATTCGTGTCGACACCAGATTCTGCAAGTACGGAGAGCTTCTCGCCGAAACGTCAAGGAAGATCACCTATAGAAATAATGCCCGGGGCTATGCCTGGCATGCAAAGCGATACCGTCCTCGGGACTGATGAATACGGTTTTGACCCTGACGCGGTGGAATCGACGAAACGCAAGAACGCTTCCGGGATCAAGACAGATAAGGAGGTACAATCAAGTTCCAATGCCGGGCCGGGACCTATGGCAGCAATAGCTGGAGCTGGGCCTATAGTCGGACTAGGTGCAGCCTCTGGGGTGTCTCAAAACCCCGAAGAAAAGAAGGAGACCCAGTTGCATGACAGGACCGGGAATACTGTCAAGCCAGACACCAAGGATCAGAATGAGACGGAAGTTGTGTCCCGTACACCTGATGAGACACCGTCCGAAGGATCTACTGTGGTAGTGGGGAACGCAAAGATGAGCACCACGCCGACCAGCAGGCACAAGAAGAGAGACAGTATCGCAGGTGGAGTCTTCATTGATGATTCGGCCATACATGATTTCGATAATCATGCTCAACTTGGAACGGGCGTTTTTGCAGATGGAGACACATATTTCGGCTCCAAAGAGAAGGGTCCATCCCAAGATATATCGAACAAGAGCACTGACAGCAACCTTGGAGATCAAGGTATTGCGGGGACGGCACTTGGGACGGTGGCAGGTGCCGGACTGACCACAAGAGCTGGAACGAGGAAGCTCAATAATTCGGACCGCCAACAGAAGCAAGAAAATAAGAAGATCAGTTCAACGGATCTTCCAGAATATCGCCATGATGGAGCGAATGACCTGAGTCCTAGCCCTGGAAAGAGCACATCTGCAGGAAGCCCCAGTCAAACATCTGCCGTCAAGCCTCGCGCTGCAGTGACGATTGTCGAACCCAAAAATGTCGATGGGAACGCTTTAAACAAATCCACCATCGGAGAGGCTCCTGGGCCTAACCTAACTCCCGACAGAAAAGATTCAGCGGAGCGAACTATCAAGAATGCCTTACGAAAAGGCAGTATTGGTTATAAGTCACCGAATCAAAGAGCTCTCGTCGCTGGCAACGCCATAGACCGCAACAATAAAGACGAAGCTCGACAAGATACATTGACCCCTGGTGAAGCTGAAAAGACCAACAACAAATTTGCTGAACCGACAGACAAGGCCACAATATCTACTCCAGATATTTCTGAAAATCGAGGAGTTCGTGGTCTAGAGACCAATAACGGCTCCGGAGCTTCAGAGGAATCGCATACCGACTTCAAGCCTAAGCCTGAGAGCAAATCTGCTGCAGTTGTTGGGCGGAGCAGCTCTCCGAAAAATTTGAGGTTCCTGGGGAAGGCTGGTCATAAAGAAAACCTTTTAGAAGAGAAAGTCCAGGGCGTGTCACAGAAATGCAAGACTCAGCTTGGAGTCCAACCGAGTGAATTGAGCGAGAGATGCACCACAGTGGATGCATGTTTTGATGCAATGGCCTTAGAAAGACTTCGATGGATGCCTCGGGATGGGAGTCGACTTGATTGTTCTCTGAGGTGGGCCTCCAGGTTGGCTTATGCTGTTGACGCTCTTCGTGAGTCTGTCGGCAGCTTTACTCCGGGCGCCAATGATGCAGCTAAGATGATTTGGGGCTGTGTCCTCATGTTGCTTGAGGTAAGTCTCTCTTGTGAGAGTTGGCTGTAAGAATACAAGTTTAGCTAATAGAGAAATGGATAGTCCAACACTGATGACACCGAGATGTTCGAAAGAATATTTGGTCGATACGGTCGAGTCGCCGTGGGAATCCACCTACTACTTCAGTACGAGGACACCTACAAATCTTCTCCAAATCTACAGCCAGAAGCTGCCGCAGTATTTGCCGACTTACTGGAGATGGTATTCAGTACATCAACCAGCTGCGTGGAAGGGCTCAAGAGCAAAGATCCTGATCAGAACATCGCTCGAAATGTCGACGTGGCATTCTTGACATACGCTAAGCGATACTCCAATCGCTGGAATACTATCGTGGAATCGTCTACTGCAAAAATAGTGCAGGAAAGCTCACTTATTTACTCCAGCCCTGAAATTGGCAGTCTTCGTCAATTCCTTGGGGTACAAGATCGCCCCTTTCAGTTCATACTAGATTCTCGCAGCCACAAATTAGCCGAAGGATCTTTTGAGTGGTTCAATAATACGCTTTACGATTTCACTGTGGGAAGTTCCCCGGTATTGCTCGTTACTGGTGAGCCTGGCTGTGGAAAGAGCGCCCTTTCCCAGTGGACGATGGACAGATTGCAAGAGTCTAATGAGCACGAGGCCTGGAATATCATTCCGTACACAATTCGTAAGTCTTATGAGCATGATATTAATCTGCATTGTGTTGACGACCCATAGGCGCGGACATTCCTGTCGCCACCTTGCCGCTGCGGATTTTGAAAGGAATCTTACATCAGATGCTGGATCACTGCGTGAGTGACAAGCGGATTCAAGAGAACATCTTGATACATGCAGCAAAAGCAGCTCAGAGTGCCCTCGATGGTGCTAAAGACCACCGCGTCGAAGAAAACCTTTGGCAGGGGATCCAAGCTGGACTAGAGGCTGATATTCAGTACATGTTCGTGTTGGATGGGCTTGATCAAATCAAAGGCGGCCCCAGCCTTGGAGCCAAGTTCCTTAGCAGGTTCAGCGAGACTTTGTCTCTGCAGAACTCTGGATCCAAAATGATTGCGTTCAGTCGGCCAATCACCCAAATAACAAGTACCGGTGGATTCCAGCATTTTACAATCCAGGCTACCCACACCCAAACCGATCTGGCAACTTACGTTTCCGAGACTCTTTCCTCTAGTTTTGACTCCGACCACACGAACAATGATCAACTAGTGTCTTCTGTTGCTAATGTTGTCACCGATATCATCAATCAGTCCAAAGGATCCTTTATCTGGGCTGAATTGGCCCTTGAGTATGCTCGTCAACAGAAAACTCTGAATAGGGCCGTGGCTGCGGTTCACACCTTACCTGATTCTATACCGAAGCTGCTTGAATTTCATATTCAACACTTGGACTTGAGTCAACGCGAGACGATGTCAGTTCTTTCATGGCTAGCAGCGGCTGAGAGACCGCTGCTGATTGAGGAAATCGACCAGCTCCTTTTGGTGGATCACAATACCCCGAGCTTCATTGCTTCGAAGCCCGCGCCGACGAATGCATGGAGTGAAGCACTGAGCCCTCTCATCATGACTCGCGATGGTGTCATTTCTTTTGCTCATACCTGTATCCGAGATCATGTCCTTCAACAGGCTAAAACACCGGTTTCAAGATCACTGTTCAATATTGGGGATGCTCACTTTGATTTGCTTAACAAATGTCTGGCATGGGTTCAGCTAAGTGTGCGTGAAGAATCCGGGCTCGCGATGGACAAGTTGAGCAGCAGCGAACGCAACCATCTCTTTGACAAGTATCCCATTTTGGAATACACAGCGCGATACTGGCTGTCGCATTTCCTCAATTCGAACCTGGTCAATGCTAAGGGTGACTTCAAGTTCGGCGCCAGCTCCAAAAACCTTATACCTGACACGGTCTTGTTTTCGCGCCTTGAGCTGACCTGCCGCGAGTCTCAATTCACTCGCTCGAGCGTAGTTGAATTATACCGTCTCGCGACAGATATACGCCGGTCTGTCTTGGGTGATAAGTCTCTGGCTTTCCTTCAGAGCTTACTCTTTACTGCCCAAGCTTCAAAGCTAGCCAATGCAAGCCATGCCGATGAGCATTGCTTCGAGGCGTGGCAGATCAGCCAAGAGCTCCTAGGGCAATCTGACCCCATCACTTTGCAGTGCATGGAAATGATGACTGAAATGTTCAGTAAACGTGGCAGCATGACTCCTGACCAGGAGGCTACTCTTCGGTACCTTATCTTGGCAGATTCAGAGGTCACAGGAATTGATTTCGACCAACGCATGAAGCATCTGGGAATGATGGTTAGCATTTATCAAGCTAGCGGTGACGATGAGCCCGGCCTTCACCTCTCAAAGCAATTCTACCAAGTCATCGCCCAGAAGTACGGAACAAACTCCAGGAAAGCTTCTGAAGCAGCAGATTTTCTTACAGACCATTTCTCCACCGGAAGTGAGGAGATGAATCGCGACATCGCTCGAACCAAGTACGACAACATGCGGAACACGATGGAAGTTACGAATGATCGTCGTATTCAGCATTCATTATACCTGGCTCAACTGTACGAAAAGCAAGGTGATGATGCACAGGCTCGAGGCGTCCTGTCCAGTCTCTGGTCTGGTCTTAATTCACGCGAGATCGATACTGTGGACACAATGGATAAAAAGGCAAATGTCGCTCTTGCCTATCATCAGTACCTGCATCGACAAGGTCGGGATCAAGAAGCTGATGCGGTCATGAGAGAGCTCGTCGCAGACCTTGAAGTCACTGGGGTGCACTCACCAGAGATGATGCAGGGTGTTCGCCTGCTTCGTAGTGAAACTCATGCGATGCACATGTATGACCTAGAGCGTTCTCTGTCAATCTTGATGTGGCATTACTACAAGGAAGCCAACGAGGAATACTCTCCGGAGGCGATGTCCCTTGCACTTTGGCTGGCTGAAAGCACAGCGAGTGCCGCTTCTATTAACGGAACTACCAATTTGATGAACGGTCAAGACCAAGGTAGCCAGTTGATGGTGGAACTCATTGATTCAATATGCTCCTCCCCTGAAAACCTCTCCGTGTCCACATTGATCCTATGCCACAGCCTGGCCAGCAATCACATGCGTGCGGGTGACTGGGTGGGTGCAAATGATTGCACCAAGGCTGCCCTCCGGTACATCTGGCCGACAGTCGAAGATCAAGGCTCCCATCCAAAGTTTTCCAGAGAACTGGCACCTCCTGTGGCCGATCTAGCCCTTGCTTTGGCATATTGCCATTTCCGCAGATTGAACCTTGAACAGGCCACTATTGTGTATGCAAATGCATTTGGTTCACTCAAATCATCTGAGAATGTCCCAGTGGCTTCTGTCATGGCCGTCGCAAAGGCTGTTGTCGAGTTCTACGAGACCACTTTCCAGTTCACCAGAGCCTTGACTCTTCTTAATGAGTTGAGCAGCTTTTTGGCGACGAGGCTGGGTCAAAGTCACAAGCATACGGTAGATAACATGTACCTTGAAGCAACTTTAGCGAAGCGCCTCAACATGGATCGCGAAGCGAAGAATACTTATCAGCGTATCTACGCATGCACGACTTACGACGACAAGATTGCACTTGAGGGATTTGAAGCTGCGTTTGCGCTCATCAGCCTGTACGAGAAGGAGAATCAATGGAAAGCAGCCCTCGGCATCTATAGACATCTGTGGCCGAGTCTCGCCTCGAGCGATAATATCTCGCGTACCGACCGGGCGACCGTAGAGCGCTCCCTCGAGAAAACCTTTGTGGGCTATATGACGACACTTAGCTCACATCCCAACGACACCGAGTTCTCTGAGCACCATAAAGTCTATTCCGATTATATTGCAGCATGTCGAAATGTGTACGGGCCAACGCATCCAAAGACCTTAAGTGCTACGCTCTTACTTGCCGAGCTTTGTGAGACCAACAAGTCTTCAAGAGATCAAGCAATTTCTCTGTATAAAAAATCTCTGGAAACAAATGAATGGGTTTCGGCATCTCAGTTGTCAAAGGGCCTTGAGCAAATGACCTACCCCTTGCCCATAACTCTGAAACACAAGCTGGCGCAGCTTTATGTCCAGAAGAAGGACTCGGGAAGCGATGCTCGTTCCCTTTACACAGAGGAATTCCAGCTAGCAAAGAAGACACAAGGCTACTATTCAAGGACAACACTCTCATGGCTTCGAGAATTAGCTCTGGCCCATTCGCACCAAGGAACGCCAGCGTCTATTCAGCAAGGAAATGCTCTTTTGCACACCTATATTACTGATATACTCCATGGAGAAAGCGCTGAGACAGATACGATGGACGACTGGGCACGCAAGATTGGCACCATTTATGTGGAATGTGGTTTCATCGATGGGGGCAATGCTGTGCTGGATGAATTGCGACAGCGCGTGGTATCAAGCCCCGATAAATCCGCAAAGACCCTCAGAGATCAGCGTGACGCCGTATTCGTCTCAGCTTTCGAAGAGGCCTTCAGTCGCAGAGCAAGCTCGGATGTGATCATGGATGAAATGGCCCGAGAAATGCAGACACGGCAAGAATTCTCCAAGAATCTATCCAGTCACGACTTCATACCTGCTTTGGTCTCCGGTAATCGCCTGGCTAATCTCCAGGCAGACCAGAAAAGAGACCACGCCGCAAAACGCACGCGCGATAGGTTGTATGAGTACTTTTGCTCGACCCTGTCTGCTACTCAGATTGCAGATCGTGGGATCGTCCAGCACTTCTACCAGATCTGTCTTCGAGAGGCCGATAATGAGAAATACATCGCCAAGATTCTGAACAGGACCACAAAGTTAGTTCGTGATCTCTGCAAAGCCTCTAAGTTTCAAGAGGCTAGTGATATTACTGGAGTCCTTCATTCGTTCCTTCACTTGACAGATGGTCTGGACAATTATGACAACATTAAGACCGCCACTAAGCTTTGCTTATACCTCAGCGGCAACAATATCACGAAATGCGAAGGAAAGAGTGTGTGTCGCGAAATGTCGCTGAAATCCAAGCTCCTCCTGCAGGAAATTATGGAATCTTCCAAAGCCATCGGCATCGAAATAATTGATCTCCCGTTCACCGACCTGAATGACATGATCACCCTCTTCGGCGAATACGAGATGTTTGACGAACTCGAAGCAACCCTGACCCAGCTCTGGACATCGAGAATCGTCCAGCGCACCTGGTTCCCAGATGTGGTAGTCTGGGTCGGTCGAAGGTTGGTCGAGACACGCTTCTGCCGGGGTTCAGTCGACTCCTCCATCCAGCTGTGCCGCGACATCTGCTACAACCTGCGGCAGGTATGGGGGGAGCTGGGACACCGTGACGCTGGAGATGACGAAGCTCCTGTCAGGACTTTTCACTGCATCTGGAGATCACAAATCAGCTACCACGCTCCACGAAGCCGCTTTGCATGATCTCTTGGGGGACGCGGATGCCAAGAATCACCCCGACGCAGCTGATGTTGCGTCGCAGCATTTGGAGCTGCTGCGTCGAGCACAGGCAAGACTTGGTACTGGCCAGAGCACTTCGAGGGCTTCCGCGCATGAGAGCCTGATTGCGCACGTCACCGAGAAATTCGGACTCAAGCCAGAACAAGTGCAGAATATCGGCGAGGTGCACGGCGGAGAGGCTTTTGGAATGTGGTCCAGGCCCAGACGGTTTAGTATTGATGTTGATGATCTCGATGATCAGGGCCAGGTGCATCAAAATCGTCTGCGAGAGTCGAGTGGGCCTGGCACAATGAATGGTAGTGGTGCTCCAAGAAGAATCTCAGTGCAGGCTTTGTAGAGAATTACTGCCACGAGGCTGAGAAAATGTCTGTAAAATATTGTTGATATTGAGAGTGCTTTAATTGTTTGGTTTGTTCGGGGCGTTCTTATAAAATGAATTTATTTAAATTATGATTTTTTGTTGGGATCTACGAATCTTATTGATCTTCGAAAAATTCAGTCGTGATTCGTTCTGGTGTATGAATAAAGCTCTATGACGCAAAAATGAAGCCCCTACTGCCCTAGAATCTTCTCAAGAGAATCTTCTCAAGTTGCCACAGCAGAACAATGCTGAAATCAAGAGAATGAGCGGCCCCTGCATGCAGTTGACTAGTGAGAACCCAAGGAAATGCGAAAGTGTTGAGTATAAAAACGCCACCCTGTCCCTTTTCGTTTTATATTGATGCAACCGTCTGTATGCAATTCAACAGTATCGTTGTTCAGGCTGTCAAAGCAAAGCTCAATCCCATAAGCCCCATGCCAGCAACAGCGAACCCAATTCCCACGCCCCGGCGATGGGTCAGACCAAGTCCTTCGCTAAACAACTGCAGCGCAACGGAAGTCATGACACCAGCGGTGGCTGCGAACATTCCTCCATAAATGCCCCAAGAAGGACCTGATGGATCTTGGCTGGTACGGCCGGATACCCAGATCCACAAAGCAGCTATTCCAGCCCCAGCAGGCTGACTGATACCACCTAGAAGGCTGGACCAAAACATCGCCTTCCAGCGAGAGCTCAAGGCAAGATAGAGGGGTAGGGCCATCGCAAATCCTTCAACAATGTTGTGGATAAAAAGCGCAAGGAATACTGTAAAGCCTAGGGTCGGATTCGCATGGTTTGTAGCATAGGTGATGAAGCCTTCAGGTAGTTTGTGCAGGGCAATCGCCAGGGATGTCTGAAGACCAATTGAGAGGAAAGCATTCTGTGGCACATGGTGATGGTGAGTATCGCCACCGGACTTTAAAGAATGAGGATCCTCTCCGTTTTCTTGATGATGATTACTTTCATGATGATGGCTGTGGTGGGAGTTATGTTCAACAACTTGGGATTTGCTGATGTGGGGCCGCGAAAGAGGTTGGGCATGGACTGAGCTCTCAGGAGCTGTGATAGGGTGTCTGGGGTGTTTTCCAGTGACCGCATCAAAATACCCGGGATTGGATGTAGTTTTAGTAGAGTCGAGGTTGGCATCAGCCTCACTATGCGTGTCGTCGGACTGCGTGACGAGGCCTGGATGTGGTGGCAATGAGGAAGACTGTGGAACTTCACCAGTGCTCATAGGGGCGGTGGGCTCACGTTGGGGAGGATTTTGGTACACTCGCGGCCACATTTCTGGGAAACTCCATAGCAGGGGCCGTCTTCATCACAGGTTGTCTTGACGCCACCCATCAACGAAGTCAGCCGCCGCGAGAGGGCAGTACGTAAAGATCCTGGCCTCACAGCTTTAGATGCAGGATTCGTCCGTTGTAGCACGGCGGGGGTCGAAGTGAAAGACTGGGTATGGTTGGTCTGGAGGAGAGGAGTCCTCTCGTTGCTGCCGTTTGTATGGTGATCGGGCAGCTCTCCCCGGGAGCCCTCGCCGCGCTCGGGATCATTGTCCGGCTCGTGAGTATGCGCGCAGTCCACAACATGGGAAGGTATGAAGCGGTGAATAAACCCCGATACAAATTGGATCACGATGACACCGGCCAAGAAGAGACCGGTCAATATATATGCCGACGCAGGTGAAGAGAACCCAGCACGTGTGAGATACTCTTTGGAGTTCGGGAGCATACTATAGAGAGAGGTGAAGAGCTGACCGCTAGATTAGCATGGGAAGGGAGCAATAACTGCTTAGAAGCTGGAGACAAACCATTACACCCGCACTGAGGCATAAAGAGGCCGACAGGAAGTTGTTGCTTTTTGCAATCTGGAAGCTCTTGTCGTGCATGATCCGCCGCAGCACCACATCCGCGCAAATGACGGTGGCTCCGAGGACGCAGGCTAGAAGAAGACATGAGACATGAGAATGAGAAAATGCGATTTCCAGAGGAGCAGCTGTACTTACCAACGCCCGAGACGGCGCTCATCACCCAGCCCCGTGCATCGTTGTTGGCCATGGCAGGTGGTGAAGAAGAGAAGGAAATAGTGATGTCAGTCTTAGTTCTTGATCGGGCGGTCAACTGTGCCCTATTTCCAACCTCGCCCACCTTATTGAAGCGACTCCTCCATGCTCGGCTTTTTATGTAGAAAGATGAAGAAAAGAGATCAGACGATAGTGGTGGACTCGTTGGCTCCGGCCTCGAGTCCCCGCTTCTTTGGCTTTGGCTCATCAGCGCGTCCTTTGCCCACAAGGTTCTCACGACCTGCAGTCGCTGGTTCTCCAACGTCGCTTTTATTCGCCACATTATGCAATCTTATTACGAGCTATCGCGTACACATCCAAGCTGACGAGCGCTAGCTATATAGGAGCTATATAGAAGCTATATAACAGCTACATGTCACATAATATGTGGTATCGTCTATACGTCCACGGTGAACCCGAGCGCACGGCATGAACAGCCGGTCTCTCCTAACGCCCTGTGAAACGTGGGCCTCCACGAATCGAGTCTTCTGATTCCAGAATGGCACATTTCGCATCTCTGATTTGCTGCCTGGCCATATGCAGCTGACCCTGACCAAGGCGCATCACAAGCGCTCACAAGCCCCCCCCGGGCAGGTCACGAGCTGATTGGCCCGTGACTACTTTTTTTTTTGGTACCTGAATTTCTTGGGTTTATTTTACTTCCGCGCGTAGCGGTGCTCTCCTCCAACTCCCACCACCTCCTTGGAACCACAATGTCCAAAGCGACGTTGGCCGTGATCGCGGCCGCCAGTGCTGCCACCGGTGCTGGTGTCACTGCCATCCTCTATTCCTCCAAGCCGAAGGCCCAGCAGCAGCAATCGCAGCCACTGCCTCCTCCGACTCCAACTACAACTGCCGTGAAAGTTCCCGTGACAGTTGCGCCTCCAACCCTCGCTGCGAAAGTCGCCGGCGGCCCTGTCGACCCTGCTGGTGTTCTCCAGTATGGTTTCCCTGGCCCCGTCGCCGACGAGCTCAATACACTACCGCTCCATGGAGCTTTCGACCGCCGCACCCGCAATCCCTCCTGGGTCGCTGAGCACATCACCGCCGAATCCCTAGCGCTTAACGAAGCAGACCGCAAGCATAGTGCTTTCGCTGAGGATTTGACAATCCCGCCCATGTTCCGTGCTAAGCTATCCGACTACTTCCGCTCTGGCTACGACCGCGGCCACCAGGTGCCAGCCGCCGACGCCAAATGGTCCCAAGAGGCTATGGACGACACCTTCGCCCTTAGCAACATGTGCCCCCAGGTTGGTGAAGGTTTCAACCGTGACTACTGGGCTCACTTCGAGGACTTCTGCCGTAACCTCGCCAAGTCCCGCCGTTATCCCTCCGTCCGCATCGTGACCGGTCCTCTCTATCTCCCGCACCGCGACCCGGACGGGAAATGGCGCGTCAGCTACGAAGTTATCGGCAATCCTCCCAATGTCGCTGTGCCCACTCATTTCTATAAGGTTATATACGCCGAGGACGGCTCCAACTCTCCATACAGTAAGGTTGCGGTTGGTGCGTTTGTCTTGCCCAATGCTCGCATCTCCAACGAAAAGAGCTTGTCAGACTTTGAGGTACCTCTCGAGGCTGTCGAACGTGCTTCAGGCCTGGAGTTTGCTGCTAAGCTCGATCCTGGCCGTCGCCGCCGACTTTGCCAGGAGGTTCGTTGTGAGATTACCGTTCGGGAGTTTAACAACGCCAAGAAGAAGATCTCGGGATAAGACCATTATCCATGGGGTTGTGGAAAGTGGAAGAGCAGTGACCTGATTGATCCGCTCTGTGTATACATAGAACATAGTCTCGTGCATGGTTAAGGCGTTCGGCTCACCCAGCCATTATCATTCAGATATTTTATCACTCCAGCAATGAAAGGCATCCCGTTATCCAGCGACTCTTTGCCGGATTTGGATCCTGAGAAATGTAAAGTGTACAGATACCGCTTTTTCCTGCTCATCAATTGTCCTGTATTCCGCAGTCTCTTGGCCTAGCATTGAAATGCCACGCCTTTCTTCGTAGCAACATTTCCACCGCCGCCGGCGAAACCGGTGCCCTCGGAACTGATCGCCACGAGACCAGGCTTGATTGCTTCCTTGTCCTTTTTCTTGGACTTCTTCTTTGAGCCCTCCTTCCCGTGGTCATCTCCCTTGTCTGTGGAATTTTGTTCCGAGACATCTGTCTCACAGACATAACATAACACTTTTCCAGTATCTGCTGCTCCGAAAGCTTGCTCTCCTTTCGTCCTATGCGGGTCTGGATCAAATGGCGTCATGAATTTACGAACACACGGCGAGCAGATAACATGGCCACATGGCTTGGCCACTATACGTCATGCATAATTAGCTCTGGATATCCTCCGCTGGGTAGGGGAACATACAAATAGCCTTGAGCCCATTATTCAGAGTCTTTTTGCAACTCGGGCAAGTCCGTGACGTAGTTCCATCCTCGCTCTTCTCTTCGTTAAAATGCACCTCCACCAATGACTTGAGCGAGTACGTATGCTGATCTTCCTCCGAAGACCCAGGACAAATAGGCGCCATCTTCACCGACTTATTCGCCACGATCTCATTCGCATCCGTACTAGGCGTCAGCGAAGGGACCCAGAACGACGGTAGAGCAGACTTGCTCGTCCGAGTCTAGAACCAAAACTTGTAATTAGCCGCATGAAAACCCCCCCACCCAACAAATCCGCAAAAGTCAAAACCAACCTTCTCTTTCTTCAATTCCTCCTTCAACCGCTCCTGCTCCTCCCTCACAACCCTAGCCATCTGCCCCGCATCCAACTCAAACACCTTCCTCCGCTTCCCCTCAACCAGAACCTCGCGCTTCTTGAACGCCTCCAAGGCCTCACTCTCCTCAGCTTTCCTCTTCGTCCCCGCCCCGGATTTCCCCTCCAGTCCCATAGAGACAAGCTCGAAATCCGCTAACTCTTTCCTCTTCGCTTCTTCCAGCGCGCGCTCCTCATCCTCTGCCAGCGCCTTCTTCGCCTCTTCCTTCTCCCGCTCCAACCGTTTGATCTCCTGCCTCTGCGCGAGGAGGTCGTTGATCGCGCACTCGCGGCAGAAGAGGTCCCCGTTGGTTGCGCAGGCGACGACGGGGGCGCGGGCAGGCTGTAGGCATAGTTTGCAGGAGCCGAAGGGGAGGAAGGAATCGCGGCCGATAACGCTGCGTTTGGAGCCCCAGGTTGAGCGGAGGAGGCTGCGCTCGTAGGCTGTGAAGTGCGGGAGGGAGGTGTTGCGCTTGGAATGCGCCATTTTGAGGGTGGGTGATGATGAAGAGGTATGGAAATTAAGTTGCGATGGCTTGGTTTAATGCGGGTGTTATCTGGGAGGGCTGGGGTGGGAGGATTTGATTGGGCGGTTTGGGTCACCGTGGTGTAGACCGCTTGTCATTTTGGGGGTTCATGTGGGTACCTACGTTATGTATTCGACATACTCCGTACTGATGCTTTAGCTCTTACAAATACTGGCAAGTATATTCTATGCATTAATTGAGGATACAATGTGTTCAATGATCAAAATCCGCTTTTAGCTCTAAACACGGCCCAGCCGCTACAGTGATAGTATGACATTGGCAATAAAGTAGCCTTCGGGATGGATGCTGCAACAAATTCGACACGATGCATTCGCATGCTTGGGCAACAATGGAAGCTTAGAGGAGCGACTGGGAGCCCTTCATGAGACGAGAGACGAGACTGCACATGCAAATCAGTTCGGAAGGAGCTCCGGAAGGGAGGGAACGCGCAAAAAAGAACCATATCTGAAACCGAGACCGAAGGAGGTCGCCCAATGCAAGAAGCCAGCCCTGGGTAGTAAAAGAAAAAGGAGAGGTCGAGAAGTTGGGGTATAATTGGGTGAACAGACAAAATGAAAGCAGACGAGGCTAAACAAAGGGTCGGTGGGGAGACGGAATACAGGTGGCTAAAGGGGTTGTGATCAGGCCCCAACGGCTTGCTGCCGCAGGTTCTCTGATGAGGGCGTTTCGACGGCTCTTTCGCCGAGAGATGTTGTTGATGGAGAGATGGGTTCATCGTCACTAGGTGCTATAAGAGGACCACCAAATATCGCAGATCCTGAGAATGACGCGGGGAAACTGTCTGCTTCGATCGTAGCTGGGCCTGGGCCATCTACAGGACTGGTTGGATCATCTGCGGCGGGTGTCGAGGAATCACCATGTAGGATTTCGTGTGCGTCCTTAAAGGCATCTGCTGTGAGCCCCTCGTCACTCCGCATGCTGAGCCTGGTTGTGGTGCTTGCGGTTCGGGGGGAGCGAGTGCGTTCAAGTGGTATGTTGTCCAAGATCAATGAATCTCCGCTATCAATGGCGGTCTCAGAGGTCCTGGGCTCATCGTGAGGAGTAGGTTTCCGGAGTTTGAGACGCTCCTCGGGTGGAATATTGGCCCAATCGGATCCGAAGGTAACAATCGAGGCCTTCTTGCCATGTACAGTGAAGCTCTTGGATTTACGGGACAGCCCCTCTCCGACATGCGGTATACTATCATCACCATCCAAAGGCCCGCCACTGGATACGGAGCCCTTGTTCCTTCGATGAGTGGCATGCGAGTGGTGTCTCGAAATATGGTTTTCAGCTGAACGAAGGGAACGCTGCAAACTGCGACGTGCACCTCGATTTGGTTTTTCTACTTGGGAAGCCTCGGATGTGTCATCCCGCTTGCTTTCAACATCTGACTCGTGCGCAGCAATGGAGGGCTTACGTGGAGGAGGGGAGCCACCCAGGTCCAGAAGACCGGTCTCTCTAAGTAGCCGTTCCTCACTATCATCATAGCTCACAGGGGATGTGAGCTTAGACGCGCGAGAGCCAAGGCTAGTAGTTTCGAACTTGCTCCCACGGCTGAGGACAGAGGCTTCACGTTCCAATCGAATATCAGATTTACTCCGTTCGGAAATCTGCGCGATAGAAACGGGTCGGCCCACACGAACGGGCTCAGACGATGCGGTAGAGCTCGGTATGCTTGGACGGCGCATCTCCTCTGTCGATGGCTGCTTCAGCAACCCGGGTTCCGCTCGTTCAGCAGCTGGCGGAACCCGCTCAGCCGTATCATGACTAGAGGCGGTGCGCACAATGCTGGGCGCTCGATCCACGCTAGGCTCAGATACGATTGTTGGACCGGAGGCAGGAGGCAGGGGTACTTGCGGTGAGGAGATTGTCTGCTCGTCAACTGAGCGGGCGCCGCCTTCAATGAAGCTCTCATTTCCATCCAGGTCCCGCAAAAGGACTTCGCGGTAGCACTTGTGTCGCCATATATCTTGACGGACCCATTTCAGCTTCGCAGCCAAACGGCCCGCTGCCATAATGACGCTCTCGCGCGTTCGGGGATGCACGGGTGTCAGTACTTGAAGATGTCGTGCATTTCGAAGCAGATCTTCAAGCTGTCTCTGGCTCACGAACAACTTCTCATTTGCTTCCCGGATCCTCTGGCTCATCAGCTCGCGTCTTGCAGCAACAAATTCAGCGACAATATCGCGATCGATGGTCGGTGTTGGGGGCTCTCGATCATGCGATTGATGGGAGCTCAAGGAAGAGGAGGAGTCGACCCGTTGCTGGCTTGAGCGATATCGCTGCCCCTCGTAGTTCGTGGCAATCATACCCTTCGTGCGGACGCCTGTTGTCCTAAAAGCAGCGGCATAGTTAAGTTTGGCAATCCAGTCGTTCATCTCCGCCTCGGATGTGGCAAGAAAGACTTCTTCCAAGGCATTAGGTCGTACGTATTGGAAAGCATACTTGTGCTTTTTGTAACTAGTATCCAACAACGTAACGGCATCATTGGTAGACATGATGGCATCAGGCTTGAACTCAGTCAGAGGAGGATGGAACACCAGTGTATTCTTACGACCATTCTTCACATAAGCATCATACTGTGCCATCAGAGATCGTACCCAGTTTACATTGCGGAAGAAGTAAAGCTGGGAAAAGGTTAGGAGTGCCCCCCATTCGGCCCAAGAAGAACGCGCCCTTTTCTTCTTTGGGTCCTTTCTCCAAAGCAAGCCGACCTTGGCTACCTTGATGTCGACCAAGCCCGGATTGGAATCTGCTGGGTTGTCAAGGCTTGCCTGCATGAATGCGTCAGGTCGAGAGCGGGCAGATACAATCTGCAAGATCCCAGATTTGGTGAAGGCTTGGTGTAGGTCTTCCATATCGGGCGGACCCGCTGTTCCATTATGGTTGTACATGTCATCCAGATCCATGACTTCCCTGAGACTTGGGCGCAGTGACTCAAGCTTTCCATCCATGATCAGTGCGTAAGGATCTACCGGCTCTCGCGTAGCCCTGGCCAGATGTTCGGAGCTAGTGCTCTTGAAAAGGGCTCGTTTTGGCTTGGCTAGATGCCGGTCACGTATATTTGCATCTTCGACGTGGATAAAAGGTGTGTATGAGACGTTTTCGTAAAAGCATTCGAGTATGTCGTCTGCAATCCCCTCGCCTCTCGTATTCTTGACGTAATCGGGTTTTTGCATCTTTCGTTTGTTGTTTTTGTTGAAGACGTCGGTATGCAGGATCAAAATCGAGAAAGCAATAAAATATGCTTGGTCTGGAATGATATGATTAGTACCAATGTAGCTCTGGGAATCATGATGAGGGCTTACCGGTATTTGCGAAGATCCCCGGGTTGCATTCATGATATCTATCAGCGAAGGCCTGGAGGAAACGGTCAATCTGCTGGGTTTCCTTGGGCAAATCAACCTCCATCAAGAGCTTCCTGATAGCCATATCCATTGGGTCTCCAAAGAATGAGAACGATCTCATGTATTTTCGCAGTGAAACCTTGAAGAACTCATCATCTGACTGGGAAAGAACACTTCCGATCATGCCTCTAGGCAAGCCCTCTTCCAATTTCGTCAAATAAGTAGCTGGCGTGTCGTCTTCTTCTCGTGCTGGAACAGGAGGCAAATCTGGCTTGATAGACATAGGTGTTGAAGCTCCTCCAAGGGCAGGCGAGCCACTGCGAAGCATCGGGGGCTCTGAGTTTTGCCTTAATCGTTGCGTAATATTGAACAAATCTCCAAAGCTCTTGCGACCAGTAGTTGATGTGGAGGTCCGGCCGGATGCCATGTACGGCGACGGGGATGGATCTTCCTGAGTCTCGGCGACTGATCCCATGGTGGAAGATCTACTCCGGACATTGTGGGAGGGGTTTGATCGAAGGGATCGTGCGGAGTTTGTTGAATCGTTGCGTGAGAGAGGAGGGTGTGCAGCCAGGACAACCGACGAGCGGGTGGGCGATGGAAGAGGCGAGACTTGATCATGATCACCTGAACCATCTGATTTAGAAGGCTCGGGCGGAAGAAATTTGGGTATGTTATCTGGCGATTGGCTCATCGGCGTCGGCTTCGGTGGTAGGGGGAACAACGAGCTGCGGTTGCGCCCTAGTCGTGGGAGACGGAAGCGTCTGGTAGAGGAAGTTGACCCAAAGCCATCACGGGGTGAATTGGTCCGGAAAGTGGCGTGGTCTCCATTGCTCTGATCGGACCGAGACGATTCAGAGAATCGAGGGTCAGTTAGTGAGGTCCGCGCCGAGTCGTTCTGGGGTTCGCGACCACCACTCCGTAGGGATATGGTGGACAGGCGGACTTGTTCATCCATGCTGCCCTGAAAGCCTGAGAGGCTAGAGTCTGCCTGGGAATCTGTGGATCCTTGATTGGTGCGTTGAGGCTTATGGCTTGTCCGAGGTCGCTCGGTCGATCCTCGCGATACCTCGTCTATTGAACCCTTGCGCGAGGAACCTCCAAGGGTAAACATGCTTTGCTGTGGATACTGCTCAAGATCGTGGCTGGTGGGAGCGGTCGTAATTATGGTGGGCGCTGTGGTATCAAGGCCTCATCGTTAGCTCTTTTGGGCCTGGAAATTGGATGGAAGACTGGATTCAACAATGTCCACTTACGGGGAAGAGCTGGTACCGGCGGGGCATCCTGTTCAGCCTGAGCATAGCTCTTGGATAGCTGAGGATCTGAAGCGTGTCGGAACCTCATAAAACTGAATCGATATCTCCGCATACTCGATGTGTTGCCATGCGATGAGCTTGCGCCACTTTGTGGTTCGTCCCTGTGGTCCTCCTCCCCTGTCTCTGGCAATTCGAGTCTCGAGCTCGAGTGAATGGAGCCATCAGCTTCGGGGAGTCCTGTACTGCGATCCGGGGACTCCGAAAGCCTCCTTTCAGTCTCGGGCGGAGAGGGACGAGGGAGGTGCTCGCTGCGACGACCGTGGGGTTGGGGTTCGACAGGACCCTGGCGTTTAGGGCCATCGGCAACGAGCCGAAGGCCTTTCCAATGCATGGCGAAGGGACCGAGCCGATCAGACCCATACGCGGCTGGTGCCTTGCAGTTGGAAAATCGACTTGTCTTGGTTTGATTCACATTCGCTTAGCCTAGGAGAACATGGCGACTCGTGTTCCAGAACGCGGGAGTTCGGGGGTGGAGAAAGTTGCAGAAAAGGGGAACGCGGGAAGAAGGGGGGGGATGTGGAGGGGGGGCAACTGGTGCTGCACCGACTGGAGGTTCAGCGACACAAAAAGCTATCCTGAGATGGTGTACTGGGATGAGGGGCAAGGCGACCGAATTTCTCGAGTTCTTCTGATGTCCTGAGCGCGGCTGAACACCGGGGGACACGCAAGCTGGACTTGTTCGCCAAGCGGGAAGTCTAGACCATCCGGGGAATTCCAACGCGAGTGGGAATCCGGACCTTTACTGCTTCTCTTCCTGGGGACTGTAATCATCATCCAGAGTCTCCGGTATCTCCCGTATCTACAGCACAAAAACACGTTTATGCACGCTTGCGACCATGACGTTCTTCTCATATCAACAAACCTGGTCCGAGATCCAGACCCAGCGGAGAATTTAGGTACCGACCGAGCCACGTCGTACTTGGTTCTGTAACGAGCCGAACTACTCGTTATTAAACTCAATTCACGATTAACCATAGCTTAGCTGCTTGAATCAAATGATCTAGCCATTCATTCCCGGCCCATAATCTTCCAGGACGGCCAGCTATCAGCCAGCTATCAGCCGGGGGTATCCCCGGAGGGGTCATCTCATCCTGACGAAATCTGCTGCGGGTCGTACTAGCAGTAGCGCGGCGGGTCTTTATCTGATGGACATCCACAAGATACATTTCAACATACAAAAACTTCAAGCGCTTCAAACTGGGACAGGCGATTCTGCATCACGATGAAACTGGTAACCCTGGTTCAACTTGTCTACGATACTCGGGCCGCGTGTACATCTGGGCCCACACAATGCCTGGATAGTGCTTACGCAACTTCTTTCGAGATAGTTAACTAACTAACTAGTTAACAGCTATCGTTGGATATGAACCTTGTAGGCAGAATTCACTTGAATACCTATAGCTCTATGCCAGAATTTGGCTAAACAAGGGATCTGCAACAAGAGCCTTGTCATCGCCAGTCTTCAAGGTGATGCAAACCTCCCACGGTGGAGCCGCCTTGCCCTGTTCGGCAATCCGTTCGGGCAAAAAGATGCAGCCACCAGGAACAAGCGCGAATCCAGGCTCGAAGTCTGTGATGTGTCCAATCGTAGGACCAAAGTCCAAGGCGTAGGTCTTCAGCCCTCGCCAACTGGTTATAATAATATCGGCTGGCTTTCCTTCTAGCTTGGTCCAGTCGTCACACTCGGCCACGGTAGCTGAGGCGCTGTAGAGCAGGTTATCGTCCATAGAGGCGAGAGTGTTCCGCACACGCACAGCAAGCTGTGTCAAGTGGAAGAGATCGGCATCCTCTTTTTGCTCCGCTTGGCCATCGCGGAAGTAGATATCGTCGTGTATGGGGTAGATGACGTTGCCCACATATGTTTTTGGGAGTTGAACTTTTCTACGCAGGTCCACGGCCATGAGGAAGTCAGCGACCTCCTGCTTGTTTGCTCGCTCCGGGTGTAGAACACGGTCGACCGAAATCGCCAGTACGGCGGTGATGATGTCGTTGCTAGAGACCCAGGTGGACTCTGTAGTCACGTCTGGGAGAATCATGCTGCAAGCCTCCTTGAGCTTGGCCACCTTCTCTGCACTGAAGGCATATCGCTTGGTCTGGACTACCGATGCCATGGCAGACTCAATTTGCGTCCACTGTTCCGCGGAGGTATTGGTGTCGAACAAGGGGGGGCCTAGTGCAGCATCGTGGTTCAACCGAGTTCTGCACAAAGAAGGATACTTCCCAATCGCGCTGCGAAGGCCAGAGTGTATGCTTGCAATGCTTTGGGTAATAGGAGTCTCGGTCGACGTGATACATTCGGCCAATGCCTCAAGGATTACTCCGGCACCGCCGCCGTCAAAGACGTTGTGCCAGAAGCACATAGCCAGAACAATCTTGCCCGGGAAGACATTGGCCTGAAAGCGAAGCACAGGTCTCTGGTCAGAGGCAGGAATGAAAGTGGGCACAGGCAGGTATGATTGTAGAGGGGTCGATTGGATATCTTGATCTCGGTCATATTCCTTGACCTGCAGTATGCGTGTTTCGGCATTAGGAACCTGCGGGGCTGCAATGTGCAAGCGGGTTTTAAGATCTTCGGGAGTATGGAGGACCACGTCTCCAGTTAGCCATGGCAGTTGAGAGACTAGCTTGCCCACGCCATTCTGCAGACTCAGGAGAGCAGCTTGGGTATCCGGGGTATCAAAGTACAATATGTAAGGAAGGGCAAGCTTGGCCGGGAGATGATCCAGAGGGGTCAACCCTATTAAGTCCAAAGGGGCCATATGGGTCATCTCAATCATTGACGCGAAGGATAAAACACAAAGCAATGTGGACACTTGAAGCGGGCCTTCAGTCTCAATATGGCGCACAGAAAGCAATGGTTTCGGGCGCGGGCTTTTGAGTCGCCAGACCTCTCTCTTACTAGTAGAAGAAATCAGGGGAAGAAGTCTACTGCTTTCAACAGCGTTCCGGGGTAAATACCGCCCCCTCCAGCATTTGGCCCCCGACATCTTACTTAACGCTTTCGGCCATTACGGTACAGTGGCACAAAAGACGAATCTACTAGTGCAACGACTCTACTCCCGTGGGTTGGCCATGCTGCAACAAGGCTATTATGGAATGGACGGCAACTCTCATTGGCAAAAGCGGGCTGAACGCGACTGGTTGAGCTGCTATTGGGGAATAGTCTCGAGTGCAAGAAAGTTATTCTTATGTCCTGCGAGTTCTAGCGTGATACCGAACGGGTGGATGATGAGCAGTGCATGTGCAATCGGTAATAGTGGCCAAGGGACAAGGAGAATACGCTTACCTCATTGGCAGTCAATTGACACACGCGGATTACTCGCTCAATTGCAAGACTCCAACGGCCAAGGTAGGGGGCAATACACTTGATGCTGGGCCGAGGGGGCCTCGGTGGTCGCTCATGTATCTTGCCCCGCAGACCTTGTCGCAGATTCTTGAAGGATCAAGTTATCGGCTAGCGCCGTCATCTCTAACAAGCCTAAATGCGGAAGGCGTAGGGATCGACACGGGATATTCATTAAGGCGGCCGGCTAGCGAATACGCAGACAAGGTCATCCATTTGCCTTTTGAGTGCAAATTGACAATGGGTGGCCCGTATCTCGGACGTCAGTCAAAAGAGTGGATCCCGCCCCCCATTGTCATGCACTCCTTAAGTAGTTATGGCGAACTCTGCATGATAGTGGAGTCGACACTTAGGCCTAGAATGGGCACGTTGGGCTTACTAGCCCATGAATCGGCTTCTCAGAAGCCCCCACCTGGCAAGTGGCACACGGCACTACGGACGCACTGGCGGATGATCCATGACGCTAAAGTAGTATTGTTGGCTGCTTCCCAGTACGGAGCATAGCTAGATTGTCTGGAGAAGAAAGACACTGATCGTCACAGGATTCAGAACCCTGTAGCCCCAGAAATGGGCTCGGCAGGACAGAGGATGCATTTTAATTAATATGCCCAGACCCTTTTAGGACGAACATCTGGAGTTTGTGGCGCACATTCCGTCCTCTCGACCTTGACGACCTCGATTCTCGTACATTGGATTTAAAGAATAGATGAACAGTGAAAGCCAAAATGGCCTCAACCACCTTACCAACGGTTTTGCCAGACTCGGCTCCATCTCTTGTTGATTCGATAAGGGCGATGATTGGATTGTTCACAGGATTTGAGCTGGTTGTCTGTCTACTGAGAGTATGGTTCCCTGGAGCCAGCTTTGCGGGCCACGAGCCACTTCGTTCGAAACCAAACTAATCTAGTCATAGTTATATGTCCGCAGGTTCATCACCCGACAGTTTGGTCTCGATGACTACCTCGTCATTGTCAGTGTGGTATGGCAGTCGCAGCAGATACTCGGGTCGAAACAAGAACATGAACTGATCTGGTCTGGTCGAATAGGTGCTGCAAGTAGCATTTGCAGCGATCTCACTTGTTCTCACAACTGTCGGCCTTGGCTACCATCAAGATACCGTACCTACGTCAAGTATGATTCAAGTGCATAAGGTGTGTCGTCCATCCACCCCAGCTCCTGGATGTTTCTGACCCTGACTAGTATGTTTACATCTTGTTCTGCCTTTACCTTTGGGCAGCCTTGGCTGTAAAATGCAGCCTGACGGTGTTTATCATGCGACTGTTTCCGACCAAATGGGTCAAGCGAGCAGGATGGGCAATCATTGCTGTTATGATCCTCGTCACGGTGTCTGGAGAGATCCCCTTGATTGTGCAGTGCAACCCTATCGAGGGGGCATGGGACCCAAATGTCAAGAATGCCAAGTGCTTCAGTCCAAAGACCTTGGAATACATCCAGCTCTATCAGGCTATCCTGATGTTGATCTTCGACGTGCTGATTGTCGCCCTCCCGATACCCACCGTGTGGAAACTTCAAATGCCCTTGAGCCGACGCCTGGTGGTGATTGGCTTGTTCTCTCTTGGTAAGTCATTATACGCCTCCGGCCAGGTCATTCAAAGTCGAATCTGACCAGTTCAGGACTTATTGCCTGCTCATGTGGCCTTGCACGGATTCCATTGCTGGGTTTCCAAGCCAGTGCTAGTGATTATACTTGTAAGTCTTGCTGACACCGTCATCTCCACGCATGCTTACCCACAATTCTCTCCATAGATCTCGGTGGGGTGCCCCTCATCCTGATGAACGTGGAATACACCCTCGGCCTAATCGCTGGATCCCTGCCTTCTCTGCGCGTACTGCTCAAGTCCATACCGGGGCTAAACAGCAGTGGCAAGGGCACCCCATACCCTACTCGAACCCGTGAATGGGAATCTACTACGAATGGCAATGGCGGGTATCAATTGACCGAGCCCACCCACTGGAGCCAGAAATGGATGAGCAAAAAGAGCGCCGATGTGGATAGCATTGAAAGCGAAAGCCAGCAGCCTATTGTGATTGCTGGAAAGGCCCCTGACCGCACCTGATTTGAAGCGAACTTGAAACCTCAACATAAACGAACATTTACGTCTATATTTCTTACACTTTGGAGGGGACTGGGAACTGAATACCCGAATTTACTTTGCACGGCTTCTATGTAACATACTATTTTGCGCTGGAACAGCGCGGGGCGGCGGTTGGATACACCGGATAATGGACATTTTTCTTTAAGTTTCTATATTCTCTCTTCGTCTGGATACCAATATGACTGATCTTTCTGTCTCTCCAGGAACACCATCACAAGTAATAGGAACGGATAATTTGCGTCACATGAATGCGATTAGGACACAAGGGACGCCTTACGAGGGACAAGGATCGAATGATTTTGATGCCCTGTTAAGAGTTATTTCGGGTATGAACGATTTAGCGACGCACGCCGTCAATGGTTGGACCGAGGAGATATTTATAGTACATCGGTAGGAGATCTAGTCGCCCAATTTCCATGCCCATGCCCCCATCCTTCCTTCATTCCCCGGTTGGCTTTCAATAATTAAATTGCAGGTACCGTAGATATGATAGCAGTGGTTGAGCTCTGCAGTGTATTGCCCAATTTTGACTTCCCCCGCTATGTGAAATGGAATTATCGCCATATATGGGTCTCCAACCCTACTAGTCCCTGGAAAATATATTTGAACGGCAGGCTTTATTCCTCGTTGTTGTAGGTTGCGACTCCGGCGATTTAGATTATTCTGCAAAGTCAGTGTTATATCCACGGGAACAAGGATGTTGTGCATACTATTGATAATCCTTCCATTTGAGCTATCAAATCTCTAGCGCGGCCTTGAATAAGGGATGTCGTGCATCTTGTATATTTGGGTGCAGTTCCAGTTACATAGAAATGGTCATCTGTACAAGCCTGGGTATAAAGTTCGTGGATAGACGCTGGGAGTTTCTCGCACTCGACCAGATTGTCAAAGGATTCTTTGTTGGCCATGCGTCAGTTGATGAAAAGAAGGGTAGAGACAGGTCAGGTCAAAAGACAACGATCCGGCGGTATTTTGGCCGGTCAGGAGATACGATTCACCTTGCAAAAAATGGTGTGTCTGGTGGCGATCATAAAAAATGGCGGGCAAGAGGGGTAGGAATTAATCATGTGACCTAGTCAATCACGCCTGAACATCTAATTACGGCTATAAGTAGAGCGTGGCCAGTGGCAAGTCGAGATTATTGGGGTTAGTATCACGGTCGCATTCCTTACGTTGATGATGGTCTAATATGAGCCTCAAACCATCCATGGACAGAACCACAGATGTCAAGCATGTCGATCTGTAAGGAAAATGTCCCCGCTTGACGCTCAGACCCATGGAAACGTTGTAGCCTGCGACTGCTGGTTGGTTGGAGCCTCAGCCACCTTATCGCTGCAATCGCTCCACCTGAGCAACCCCCCGACTCTCTTCTTTGTTCCCAGGATCTTTCTGGCATCAAGTATGCGATTCCTGCCGGCTCTCCTGGTCTTGACGACGGCGCCCGCCATCTCGGCCGTCCCCGCAGGCTCTAGCATAACCCCCCCGCCGCCCTTACAGCCGCGGCCAGTTCAGCTCCTGACCCGCCCTTCCGACCCACGCCGCCCGTGGACCAGGTTCCGCGACTGGGTGATCGAATCAGTCTGGGGAACCGGGCGTTGCTCAGCTCAAAAATATGCAGGTCCTCCATTGAACGTTCGTGATCGCTATGAGAGCGATGTGGTGCTGCGCTTCCACCCGCGCCACAAGGACGACACAGAGGCATTGGCCGAAGCAGCCCAGGCTTTGGTGCTCGATATCTGGTCAATTACCGCCGACCATGTTGACATTCGTCTGGCAGATGAAATAGTATGTGACTAGCCTGACCCCATATGGCTCGATCTCGCGAACATATTCCTAACAAATCGACCTGTGACAGGTTCCCTCATTTCTCGACCTGCTTCCGCCCACCCTCCGCACTGCCTATACCCCCCTCATGGATGATCTGGTAGAGATGATCTACGCCACATATCCTCGACAACACCACATCGGACTGAATGCTGGGAATGGTCTTCCGTCTGGAGACAGTGCCACGCAGTCCGATGACGTTTTCTTCCGCGATTACCAGCCACTCTCAGTCATTGTACAATGGATGCGACTGATGTCATCGATGTTCCCATCGTACGTGGAATATACCAGCGTCGGTTTCTCCTACGAAGAACGCGAGATCCCAGCTTTGCGGCTCGGGGCTTCAGACTTAAACTTTCAGACTTCGGGCCCGCGGAAGACGATCGTCATCATTGGTGGTCTGCATGCCCGAGAGTGGATCAGCACTTCCACCGTGATGTATGTTGCGCATAGCTTGATCACCCAATTTGGGGAGTCAAGGACAGTGACTCACCTCCTGGAAGAATACGACTTTGTTTTGATCCCAACTCTGAACCCAGATGGCTATGTCTATTCATGGGAGTCGGATCGCCTGTGGCGCAAGAATAGGCAACCTACCGGCCTCCCATTCTGTCCGGGTGTGGATCTGGATCGGGCGTGGGACTTCGAGTGGAACGGCGAATCGACGAGCTCAAACCCTTGCTCGGAGAATTACGCGGGCTCCGAGCCGTTTGAAGCCCTCGAAGCTCATCGCCTTGCACAATGGGCATTGAACCAGACCTTGAGCGGTGCGGCCACTATTGTGGGATTCTTGGATTTGCATTCCTATTCGCAGGAGATCCTGTATCCATATTCCTACAGCTGCTCCTCTGTGCCTCCAACCTTGGAGAGCTTAGAGGAACTGGCCCTCGGTCTTGCCAAGGCTATCCGTCGTTCATCCAAAGAGGCGTACTATGTCACCTCTGCATGCGAAGGCGTCTTCCAGTCAAAGGGAGCCACTAGCGTTACCTCAGGTGGCAGTGCTTTGGACTGGTTTTATCATAACTTGCACGCTAAGTATTCCTATCAGATCAAGCTACGCGATCGTGGTAGCTACGGCTTCTTACTTCCATCGGAGCATATTGTGCCTACTGGCGAGGAAATTTTCAGGGCGGTTTTGACGTTTGGAGAGTTTGTCTGGGGTGAAGAGGTGTCTTCAGAGGCACCTTCTCAGGATACCGTGGACCCTGAGGAGTTCGTCGTGCCAATAATGGGCGCAGAGTTCCGTCGTCAGGTCCCTTTGAAATAAAAGAAAAGCACTGCAGTGCTGCTTGGATGGGTTAGCGCTGCTTTTATAATGGTGATGAGTTCTAGCATGGGCTTCGAAGGCGTTGGTGGTTCTTCTGTACGGGGTCTTAGCACGCCCTTGGGACATAATTGCTTTTACAGAGCTCGAGTGGGCTCTATTGTACAATTCAAAATCTACGGAACTTGCCAAGAGCATCACGACGTCAAAGGTATATAAGGCCCAAGAACCGTATACTCCGGGTCGGGTTCCATTTATCCAGTCGAAGCTCAGGGTCGCATATCATACTTGGACATGACTGAAGCTGGAGATTGTACAATCCAACTAATCAAAAGTACTCTACTAATAGTAGATGATATTACTCCAGCCACCGAAAGGCCTCCTGTTTTCGTCCGACTATCACCACCACTCTTGCTAGTATTCACTGACACTCTATCTACACTCTCGTCGTCTATCATATGGTGAACTACAATACTATCTATCATAAGATCGCCAATATCCACAGACTTTCACATATCCGTACATTCACTAATCTAAACACATCACATATGCCCTCCGTGATACTCCCTTCAGCTTCCCCTTCATCTCCGTAACTGCCTCACTCCATCGGAAAAGCTCAAGCCAGACCAGCTCACCCTCACATTCATCTTGCTCTCATTGAGATCTCAATGGTAGTTAAGGAAGACCTGGAAGGACTTGACTTCTCCTCCGGAGTTGACGTACGGAGAGATCGCGAAAGGCGCAACGACCCCATCAGCATCCACCACCACAGTGAAGGGCACATTGGGCTGGCATCCCAGACGCACAGTGCCATTGTTGGCCCAAATGGAGCGTATTTCCGCGTCCAGGGTGGGATAGCTAGTCTGTTTGACCGCCATCTCAACAACGACTTGCCCATGTCCTTGAGATGGACTGGCTAGCTTGCCCTGGACTTGGTGCCCCCAATAGGCCGTCCGATCACTGAGGCCACGCAAGAAGCCCACTGGCTCAAGCACCAGCCAGTTGGAAGCTGGTACATTTGCCCGAGTCAACCGCGCGACTCCAAGCATGTTGCCCAACTTCTTGGGCATCTTACGGTCAAGGAGGACGGAGTGCTCGGCGGGCCCCTCACAAAGGTCATCCGGCCAGAAATGATTGTCCGCGAGGCAGATGACGTGAGCGATATGGAATCGCAGGCAGTAATTGCCTAGTTGGATTCGCAGCTTCTCTCGTTCGATGAACTTGTCTTCGTTGGAGTCCATGGGCATATGACACTCTGCGATAAGGCCAAAAGTGCTTTCGAGCCTGAAATGAGGCAGAGTCAAAGTCGACATATCGTCCGCAAAGCCGAAGATGTTGCGAAAGCCACTTGGCATCGGCTTTTTACAATTGCTGCGCGATTCCTCCGAATGGATCATGTAAAGGGCCTCCGACCTGTACCGCAAAGCTGCGTCATGCAACTTCTTTCGGTCTTTGGAAGTCAAGTTTTTGGATGACCTCAGAATTTCTTTCAGCGTGGTAGAGATATCCTCGATGATTTCATGTAAATCTGCGAGGCTACCCCCAGTGCGCCAGGTTGCGCGGACCTCACGTTTTTCCCAAAACCATTGGGGCTCTACATGGTCTGGGATATCCCCTCCACCCAATATCATTCTGGTCTTGGTGTTGATGAGTCGCTCTAACGGCCTCAGAAACGTCTCACTCCTCCTCCACGGGTGAGACTGACAATCAGGGTCGACGGCCTTCACAGATCGTCGTTCAGGCATAATCCATTTGGTATTGTGCCGGCCAATATCTCGCCCGTTGTGTATGGTGGATTGCTGCACAACAACGAAACCCTCACCAAGGTTGCGTTCACATGGAGTTGGGTCACGATAAACAGCTCCCATGGCTGCGATAGTCTTGTAAGCCATGTCCCAGGGCTCATTTCCCCACTTGCCGCGGTAATGATTCTCTATTTCCGAAAGAGCCTCCACAGTAAGAGCGCTTCCACCGAAAGAAACCACTGCATTGAAGTGTTCCCGCACAGCAAGAACCTTGAGGCTGCCACCAGGATGCAAGATGCGAGCATAGGAAGGCATATAGTCCTTGAGATCTTTATTTGCTTTGTCGTCGAATCGCCAGCCATAAGCAGCCGCTCCACCAGGCAGCATCAAAGACGCAAGCGCAATTCCTGCCTCTACTGAAAGAGAGTATGGAAGGAAAAGGGGTTTGTGGTGCGGAAACGAATACTGTGCCTGTTTCCAGTGCTGCATGGAAGTGATGCGGACATCCCAACCTTCCTTGTCAGGGCAATGAAAGGCCTTTGCACCCGTGGAAGCACATAAGATGGCCTGCACAACCCGTGTGGTGAATCCCATAACAGGCGCTGTTTCTTCAATGAACCGATCATTCCCCATCATTTTGATCAAACGCTCTTCTTGATCATGATACACTCTCCTGATAGGAGATGCGTTAAAGGATCCATGTGATTTTTGAGGGGCACAGATTGGGTAAAGGTCAAGGTTGCAAGGCTGCTTCGGACGATTGAGGGCAGGACCGGCGGGCTGGTTGGCGGGGACAGATATGCGGCGGTTTTCAAAGCCATCCAGTTGCAGCTCTCGGAGTTCTGCATCCGGTGGGCGTGTCATATCAGGATGAGGCCTGTTAATAAAGGCATCACACCTCAGGTCTTCCATGTTTGGGCTCAATGTGTAGGAAATATCACAGGCAAGCTGCTCGTCGAACATAGAGAAGTCTTCTTGATTTGTTGGGTCAGCCATTTTGAACGTAGCAAGGATGGGGTCTTCAATCGAGTATTGGGAGAGGTAGGGAAGAAGATCGATGGGGTTGGTAGAGCGTCAACAATTATACGAACACCAGAGAGACGGTGCGCGCAAGATCGTGAGCTCCAGGACTGGGGACACTACTTTCTAAGTAAACGTTCTCATCACCGGCCTCGCTCTCCGCACTGAGGCGATACATACCAGGGCCGAGCGCGCCAGAACATGAGCTTTTGAAGATTGAACTATACTAAGGGCCTTATACCCAGATACTATGCTAATATTACGTCAAAATACTCCAGATGCACTCAACAGGCTCTATCAGCTCAACAAGGAGGATACGGTCAACTCTGCAGAAACGCCTTCGTGGATTCGCTGGAGACAGCAGGCTTCCTATGAAGTAAAAGCTTGGAGTATCATTTTTAGTAAGGACAGCACCTCAGCTTCTGAAAAGGACTATACTAATTGAAAACACAAAGAAACTCAGTATAAACGAATCGACTGCAGATGATATGCCAGTCAAAGGGATCGCAGAATCTACAGACTTCGAGCTACTAGGGCTCTCGCAGCAAACAGCGCGATCTTTGACACATCCCAGACCATCTGTGGAGGGTGGAGTTTTTGCAATAGCCGAGCGGGCATTAAAAGTACACAATTTATTGGCAGATCAAAGGGAGAGACTGTCCTTGTACTTCATGGGATCATCTTTTTCATTGTTGTGTGTCTATATGGCCACTACTCTGGCTGAGCCGTCGAATGGCGATCTGGGCAGGACCCACCGAATACTGTCTGGACAGTATTCGGTGGGTCCTGCCCAGATAGATAAGTTTCACTTTACATGTCTGTGGTCATATTGCTCACGGTCATTGCCGACAAAGTCCTAAACACCTCCCATCTTCGTCTCTGCACGTTACCCCAATTACACCCGGCTCAGAACTCTTCTCTGTCAATCCCGCATGCATTTTGGCTTCAGAGGGCGAAGTCAGGCCTTCTGAGTGAAGGGTGAGTCGATTCGCTCTGGCATCCCTATCATTCTTGATAATCCATCGATACGATACCTGCGAGCTCATCAAGGATTTCTACTGGGATGTCTGGGGCGCCAATTCCACTGGCGTCTACTCCGATGCACTGGGCGCCTCGAATGGCAATGGGAACTATGCCTCGAACCTGAACAAAACGTTCCCTCGTGGCATTTAGAAAAGGGCTCGACGGCGTCGCTCAATGAGCACAATTCTCCCTGGACATTGTGCCGGTCGCGCCACCCATATCCACCCAGGCCCATATCTTGCCAAACGCGTTGACTGGCGAGAGGATCTCGCACATCGGCCAGCTGTTCTTTGATCAATATCTTATCTCTCGGGTGGAGGCTACCTACCCGCACAATACCAGCCCGGTCGAGATCACCCAAGACGCAAACGATCATGTTGTCAAGGTTGAGACAGCGGACTCTGACTCTGATCCGTTTTTCGAGCATGCTCATCTGGGCGACACTATCGAGGAGTGTCTTTCTGATTGGGTCACTCTGGGTATAATTGCCACGGCGAGCCAAGATTCAGATGCAACTTATCCGGCCTCGTTGACCTCCACTTGCGGAGTGACCAACTTAGACAATAAGTTTGGCAGAGGCGATTTCTAAGTGTCGACTTATGGCCACGTCCATCCAGTGAACACAGGTGACAATCTTGACGAGGGTCTCTTCGTATAACGTTGATGTGCCTCGTTACACAAATGTTTGTAATTGCCTGTTAATTGTTAACTGACTCCAAGAAACTCATTCTTTGGCATTTCAGTACTAAGCTCATAGGGAATGAGATGAAACCAGATAAAGACTTTCCAGGATTCTCAAGATTGTGTATTGTCATTCGCGTATCCGTCATATCTAGGAACCCAAATTGAAGCTAATATGCAAATTAGCCTCATATCTCCGCACTTACGCGCCCGCGGGTATTTCGCCCCCAACCAACAACACGCGATGAGGCTCCCGACTGGGTACGTTGCTCGACCGAAGGCGCACTACCACCGAACTATTGGATTTTCTGACCAGGGCTGACAGGATCCTGAGGCCGCTTTAACGGTCAAGAAGATACGCATTCCCACGTTTTGGATGACGTGGCTGCGCCACTAAGCTGTAAGGTCCAGCCAAGATGGGAGCTCCGACCGGTAGCAGGGATCAAAGAAGCGTGGGCTCGGGGTATTGTCAGCAGATAGAGAGGAGAGAAATCCTGATTCATGCTCCTCCGGTCTTTCTCCTTCGCGTTCGGATTGTAGACTAACTTATGTATTTCCAGGCTTACAAATTGTTCGACGACGGACGTCTGGGTTCGCAACGACGTAGCGGGACGTCTTGCATGTCATTACGAACATAACGGCTTGCCTTGGTGCCCAAGACTACCTCCTTCTGGGCATCTACATCAGATCATTGACATAGCAACGCAGAAACCGAGAATGGGCGAATATGGCTGCAGAGGGGCCCATGTATGCGTTCTCAGGCAATATTGCTCGAAGCACAAATGTCTCACATTTGCAACGTCCCTACTTCCCTACTTTAGTTCACACAAGAGATTCTCTCGTAAGTATGGATGGGACTTATGCAGGGAGCAAAACCGCCAAGCCAGTAGATTATCCACAGTATCCGCTGTCATTTCCGGACCTGAGTGCGTGTCTGCCGATGGAGACCGACAACACTCATTTCTTGATTCTTGAGACCCACAACCACCGAGCCCAAAAGCCCAGAACCAGCATGCTGAGCAGCGGCAGCCTATCGTTAGGAGCGGAGAGTACCCCAGTCCCTGGTCGTGGGAAATTAGCTTGAGGGGGTGCGCTCACGATATCAGGGTGTCGAGAGATCAAGTCGTGGTCCTCGTGTTAGTGCGTGATGACATGCAGGAACTCGATGTGAAAGCGACGGATTCGGGGCGGCGATTGGTGCACGAACGCCTCGGCGGTTACAAGTATTTATAGGCTCGACGATCCTATTGGGTCGATGGGGCCCGCTGCTTATTCCTCGCTTCCCATTGGCCAATTCACCAGTATATTTGCTATCATTAGCAGCCGGTTTGTCACTAAGAAAACGGGGGTAAATTAGGGGCTCTTCTATGTTAAGATATCATTGTAGGTGCGGGGGACTGTTGGTCCCCTGAACGGTTAACGGGGGCTCCCAGTCCCAATGCACGGTTATATCAAGGCCTGCACCCAGTTGATGCGGCCTCAACAGGGATTCCTTCCAGCAAAAGGGTCAACCCTTTGAACCTTGGACATATTGTACTCATCACTCAAGATATCTCGGTATACATCATGGGCGTCATGCGCATTCCTCGCCCAGCGGGCATCTATGTCCCCAACTCCCCGACTCGTCTGACCAACGAGATGATCTCGCCGCCTCTTTCTCCTGAATTCACATTCGACGCCGATGCCATCCTGCCCAGCATCCTCCCCGCTCTCGAATACATCTCCTCCAAGCTCCAGCAGAGAATGATGCACGTCACACTCCTGGTTGGTCGAGGCAAGCCATATCCAACCGGCCAGCCCTCCGATCTGATGGTCATCCCCATTACCAAGCTTGATCTCGCATCATGGCGCGTCCTGGAACGGACCATCGCAAAGGGGTCGAAGAAATTCTCCCTTGGTCCAAGCTGGAGCGAAGCTCTCGGCCGCAGCCAGTACGAGCGCCAGGCCAACGAGTACCTCGTCCAGCAATCGATCATGCAGAATGAGGTCGTCTTCAGCCAGGAGGGCCTCACCCTGCTCAACATGGATCGCATCTACACTTTCAAGCGACGCCTCTGCGTCCTCTCCAACCGTCCGTTCTCCCGGTCCGACGGACAGTCCATGACATCGTGTGTGCAGCTTTTGCACCGCCTGATGGCGGACTTCCAGGGCCGGCCCTTCAGCAAAGCCTTCTTCCACCGTGTCTACGAGCAACTAGACGTCAAGGACGAGTTGCTTGCTGCCGTCGCCAGAGCTTACCAGCAAACCTATGACCAGGAAGCAATTATTCTCCCCTCGCCGCCGAAGGCCGCGGAACCGAAGAAAGCACCAGCCAAGGTAGTCGCGAAGACGCCCAAGACAGCTATTAAGACAGTCCGCGTTCGTCGGCCTCCACCTCCGGCCAAGTCCAGTCCTGCGGTCAGGCGCGGTCCCAAAACCCCGCTGTCTGCTTCCGATGTCACCCCCATCACCAAGAATGAGTGGAATCTTATTACAACCAAGGATATCCGCCTGCAGCCCACGGTCACAAGATGGACCCCGTCCCCTGCTCCTGTCTTTGCTGCTGCTGTTGTCGCTGCTGCTTGAAAATAGTAGATCGACGAATGAGATAACCTTCCCTTCTACCAACCATCTGAGCTTCCAATACTCAACAACTGCATCCTTCGGGCTTTAAACAAGTCAATCCCAGCGAGGGTCTCGCAGTCGCGCTTGAGGTCTCGAAGCCGGTCGGCTTCGAGTTGCCAGTCAACCTCCCTGGCCTCTTCGTGGCTACGATGTCGGCCCAGCTGCCAACGGAAACCGGCACGGATGAAAGGTCTTTGTACCATTTCTCGTGGCCTGGAGACTACAGAAGACCACTTCGGGCACAAGGCATCGATCAATATCTGTATCTGCCTCTGCGCCTTCCATTGTCGACTCTCTGGCATAATGAATTATGATAAGAAAAGATCAGCTACCGCTACCTTCTTACTTTCGCGGTAGCTTGATACCTTCTACGTTATGTATTTAATTAGGGATAATTCCTTCAGCAAATTACACAAAGTTAATCTCCAAAACGGTGCTCCAATTTCTGAATAAAAGCAGTGATTTCAGTGAATTCTAAATGCCCACCACCAATTAAGAAATTGTCAACATAAAGACGCGGGCAGACTACAACCGATGTTCACCAAAGGTCATCCAGCAACCCAAGGGGCAGCAGACCAAAACCGAGCGACTTTTATAATTGGGCAAACACTGACGGAGAAACGCTAGAAACTGATAAGTGCCTGGTATCTGGAGGATAATATTATGTACGATGCAATAGTCGCTAATAATATTTGCCGAGAATATGCACTCCTGTCCACTGTATCAGTGGTGCTCCCTCACGTCCCATGTTCATACGCACTCCGAGCCCTGAGACGGGGACCAAAGTAATAGAACAGCCACGGGATGGGCGCCAGGACAATTGCAAGAAACCCCAAAAGACTACTCGCCCACCCGATACCAAGAGCCTCATACATCTGTGTCACGAACAGCGGGAACGCCGCCGACAGCAAATACCGCGATAATGAACTGGCACCGCCGGCCGAGGCACCATATTTCGAACCATAGATATCCATCATATAGAAATTGCAGGGCACATAGATGAGAATGCTACCCAGAATAGCAACGCCTTGGCCAACGATTGGACACATCCAATGGACCGAGGCGCGGGCTGTCCAGCCGAACCAGAAGAGACCAATTGGAAGCACTAAACTCCCATATAATGCGATCAAGAGGCGTCTTTCGGGCTTGACCGGGCATCCTTGGTTTCGACATCTGGCTAGGTCTTTATTGCGTATCGCGATGCCTAGAAAAATCAGCACGAAAGGTGCCACCAGGCAGCCTACAACGAGACCCAGCGCAGAAAGACCCTGTTCGCTGAGGGAAAACCCATACACAGTTTTGAAAACCCACGGACTGGCCACAACAAAAGTGTAGAGTAATGCAAACTGAAACCCACAGTAGAGGCAGATGAATCCGACCAATGGTTCTGTTAGAATCATATGCATCGGCCGCGTAACGGTAGACGAAAGAAACTTCCTGATTGTCTCCATGACCGGCTCAGGTCGCACCTGCAGCCCTTGGGTGCCTGTCTTCTCTGCGATACGCTTCAGGACTATAGCCTTATATGATTCTCGTATGAATATAGCCGGGGGTGAAGCACTGCAGCCATCATGAGGATCACCCACATCGTCCACCGCCACCCCCTCGCCTCGGTAACCAGACTCCCAACCAAGGGACCAGCTACACTCCCCGTAAAAGGAATGGAGTAATAAAGTGACAGAGCCACGACCCTCTGTTCCGGCGGCGTGAAATCAGAGATCGTAGCCGCCGAAACCGACACCCCTGGTGCCGCGAACAGCCCCGCGAAAAAGCGAAAGACAATGAGCGTCGCAATATCTGGCGCGAACCCGGCGGCCAGGGTAAAGACGTCAAACAGTGGGAGCGTGGACAAATAGACGTACTTACGCCCAAACGTCTCTGACAAGGGTGACGAGATCATCGGTCCAAAGGCCAGCCCGAGGGAGTATGCGGACAGAGGCAGGAGAGCTACGGTGGTTGAGACGTGGAAGTCTTCTTTGACCTGCTCATGGCCGGGTGCGTAGATGGAGGCGGCTAAAGTCGTCGTGAAACCAATCATGCAAATCGATATTAGGGTTGTGGTTTTGCGCAGTCGAGACCATTTACGGGGGTTGTTCGCTGTATCGTTTTCCCAAGCCAGCTGGTCTACGTCCATGTTGAGGATTCTTAGTCCATCAGCATCACATGGGGCTGTTGGACACTTTTGGTATCAGCGAGCCTCGGCGGTGGTGGGCATGTAGGCCATCAAAAACGCCATACAAGAGGCCTTACTCGATAATCCAAAGCTTCAGGCGGCGAAGATGAAAACAAACACCGAGTCGTCGGTGAGAAGTTGGACTCGCCGATGGCTGATTTCGGCAATCCTCGAGGGAGCGCCGATCCAACTTGAGCCTACGAATAAATGCTACAGTATCCAGGAAGAAGGACAGACTATGTTCGAATGAATTCAGATTTTGACCCTAGCTGTTCATGTCCAAATGGAAAAACTCCAATCTTAGAATGAAAACATCTTCCGCCAAATTGTATGACACAGGCCTCCGTGACTCAATAGCCCGGCTATTGAACCTAGCTAGAGCAAGATGAAACAAGAGGGAGATAAAAAGTTACAAAGAGGTAGTATCGCTGCTAAATCACTTGGTCATCATGCCCAACACAAAGTCACAAGGACAACGAGCAAATTAGCAATGAGATCATAACCCTGGCTGCCGGGAGCTGGCCATTTCACCATAGCGTCCACGGCCCTGGGTGGTGTCGTAGGCATTCAAGACGCGCATCTGGCCACCATCATCAGCCTGCGAAAAGGCATAGCCACGTTGCTTGCGCATGCGCTGAACTTGGCGCACTTTGCGAATGGCCTTCTGGAACTGTTCCATCCGTGGACGGTAGTCCTGGACATTGTATTTTTGGATCTCCTGCACATGGTGGTAGTGCTGGGGGTAGTACATGCGCTTGGCGTACTTCCAGGCATAGTCGCGAACCAGGCAAAGACAAGGCAGGACGACAGCCATGAGGTAGAAAATCGGAGATTTGAAGAGGACAGGGATGGTGCCGTAGTATTCAGTCGAAAATCCCAGAGCTGGCGCGGCATAACCGTAGGAGGGTAAGAAGATCAGCCAAATCAGCATGGAACCCGGGATAGCGATGAAAGTATACTTGGTCCAGATGTTTGAGATGAGAGCGGCTTTGCCAAGGACGGTTGCGAGCACGGCGGTGTACAAAGCTTCGCCCCAGACCCAATGACCGGCAACCTTACCATCAGCCATTGGAAGATCCCATAAAAAGATCAATTCAGAGAAGATGTAGAGAAGCAGAGAATGGTAAAAGCCGTTCAAGATCCACGCCCAGAAGCTATGTGTCCTGAAAAAGAGACCTTTTTGGCCCATCTGGTATAGTTGAGGGTATCGATCCAACAGCCGCGCCGAGATGTATTGGTCGAAAATCCCAATGGCGAATGGAGGGAGAACTGTGAAGAGGACGTTATAGAAGGATAGCGTCCAGGACTCGTAGATGACTTCGCCGGAAAAGGCGTTTTGGAAGGAGTACTGAGATAGATCGTTAGACTCTCAAATGATGAGAGTTTCTGTTGAAAGGTGACTTACCCAGAACTGTGTCATGTAAAGCGTGATATTCTTATAGAAAGAATACAGGATGACTCGACTTATACGGGAGTACGCCCAAGATCCATGGACCAAGAGAAGCTTTCGAAGGAAGCGGAACTGGCCGATAGCCACATCAGCCGATCGTGCAGCTTGAAGACCTTCCATACCGCTGATACCAACACCGACGTGGGCAGCTTGGATCATTGAAACATCATTTGCACCATCTCCAATTGCCAGCAGCAAAGACTTCAAGTGCCTCTTAACGAGCTTAACGACCAAAGCCTTCTGGAGAGGAGACACACGACAGCAGACGACAGCTTTGCACAAAACGGCGAGATCCAGGAAAAGCTTTTCCATATCCTTTTCAAGCGCATATGTCAAAGATTTACCGTCGATGATCAGAGCTAGTGATTCAATATCACCGGATCCAGCTTGGCTTTTCACTGCCTCCAGCTTCTTCTGTAAGTTGGCACGTGTAGCCTCCGCCGATTCCTCATTGATGATAAGGAGTGTCATGTCTTCTGAGATCAACTTGCAAGACATACCAATGTTGATAGCAGTCTCTTGTCGGTCACCAGTAAGAACCCAGATCTTGATACCAGCAGTCTGCAAGGTGTGGATGGTTTCAGGTACACCGTCTTGCAGACGATCCTCAATAGCGGTCGCACCAAGCAGGTAAAAGTCTTTTTCAATCAATTCTGCGGCTTTTTCCAACTCGTCTGCACGGTTTCCACCGACAGTGGTATTGGCTTTGTCGAAAATTTGATACCATTGCTGGAATTCCTGGTCGGAGACCTCGCGCACGGCCAGACACAACGTCCGCAGACCCTCGGAAGCGTACTCTTCAAGGTGCTGGAGAGTAGTTTCGACTGCGGGGTTTTCTGGGTGGAGTCGCTCAAGGATCACAGTATCGGCGCCCTTACAGTAGACGCGAATTTTGCCGTCAGGGCACCGGAAGATGGTCGACATACGCTTTCGGGTTGAGTTGAACTCAAGCACCGCCAGTAACTCATACTCGTATTCTTGGCCAGCCACGGTGAACAGGACGGATCTTGGTTTTCGATTGGTGAATCGATAACCTAAAGAGGCTGCGCCATCCACCAGAGCCCCCTCGTCGGGCGAGGCGGCCTGGTATTTGATGTCGTCCGGGTTTGTCCCATTGCGTTCGGGGATAACAGTGTGACAGGTAGCGAGGAGAGTGAGGAACTGGTGAATCGCACCCTGACTTGGATGCGACTGCAGATTTTGCTGAAGTGTCTTGAAACTATAAATCCCAAATTCACCTTCGCCCTGTCCAGGAGTGGCTTGTCGATCTTCCGGAACATCGTCACCATACTGAATACCTGCAATGGTACACTGCTTGAACTCCATTTGATTGCAGGTCAAAGTACCAGTCTTGTCAGAGAAGATATACTCGATTTGACCAAGTTCTTCGACTAGTGACGAAGTCCGGCATGTCGCAGGAGTATCCGTTTTATCGTAGTAGATATCCAGGTCAGAATTGATCAGGTGCGCTTGGAAATACTTCACGATTTCAATGGTTACAAAGAGCGAGATCGGGACCAGGTTGGAGTAGAGAACCCAGTAAGTGAATAAATCCAGGAAGAATTGCTTCACGGCGTTGACAGACCCATAGTCAAGATAGGTCAAAGAATCAGACAGAGTTTGACGAATAACCAAATCTCCGATGGAACTAATAACGCTGAGCGCAATGAGAATACCCACCAGCATGAGAATCTGAAGGTTCACCATTCGTTCCACAGCAGTACGCTTAATCGGAGTTGCTGTCGCATTGCGCATCAACTTGGTCTCATGACCAGTGAAAACAACAATACCGTGAATCCAAGGAGTGTTTCGAAGGGTCGCGCCACGAAGCAGCAACTGATCGGGTGCTAAAGAGAGCTCCTTTTCTCCTCCTCCAGCCTGCATTGTCAAGGTGGCCTCGTAGGTGTACAGGCTGCTATTGGGCTGTTCGGATCGAATGCGTCCGCTCACGCGACTCAGATCACTCGGGCTAACAAGTTGAGAGGTTTCGGGGATGGCTTGTTTGATCTTCAAGTTGGTTTCGCCGTCCAGATTCGCAGTCTCGATATAACATAAGCCCTCTGGTTCGGAAGAAGCTAGAAGGATCAGGTCGGCGGGAAAGGGCTCTTCTGACTCAACGCGAACGATGTCGCCAACGCAGACATCCACCCATTTCGCCGTATGAAATGAGGAGCCCTTGAGAACTTGCGTCTTTGAAGAGTTCAATCCCCTGTCCAACATTCGTCGCTTGTAATCTTCGACCAGTTCCTTGATAGCGGACACGGCTAAAACGATGGCTAGAGGCACGATGGTGGTGTATCTGTTCGTGGGCGTCACATTAGGGATTTGCTGAAGAACGGCGGTGAACAAGAAGAACAAGTTGGCGTATTTCGAGAATTGTTCGAAAATAAATTTCGGGAGGAAGGTGATGATGTTGTACTTTGCAGTTGACACGTGGTTGCTGAGGAACTTATGGACGGCGTTCGCAGGGGGATTGTTGACCTGGATGATGCGAGGACCAAGAGTCGCTGGATCGACCTTCCTGCCAAAGAAGGACTTGAAGCCCGACGCGCCGGTCCGCTTCTTTGTCTTTGGCATGCTACCCCCATCTGCGCTATCCGCAGTCGCCGCTCTTCGTGCGCCCGCTTCTGTCAAAGGAAGATCCATTTCGGAATACTCCGATCCCATACCAAACATGTATTTTGCCTTGCCCATGAAACCGCCCCCCAGACCCATAATGCTATTCCGCTCTTTTGCTTTCATTGCATGATGGGTGCTTGCGATGCGATCTTCATCTGCATCGAGGTCGTAGTAACCACCTATGGAGTGGGAGTCTAGTTCGTCGCCATCGTAAGAGTATCGCTGGTAGTTGTCTAGTCCGGAGGTCTGGGAATAGGTGCGGTTCCTTGGGATATCGGAGTAGGGATCATGGCTGTACACGCCGCCGCCCGCGCCGATGTGCGCAGGGCCAGAAGCTACATTGCTATGGGCTCCAGCTTGGTGGACTCCAGTGCCGACAAAACTATCATAGGAGACGGAAGGACGTGGCTGCGATGGTTGGTCGGAATCGTCGATGTTGAAGTGTTCTAAGAGATGTTCGTCGTTCACAGGTGGTCGCTGGCCAGAATTGTACGGTGAACTTGGAGAGCCAAGGAGCAGGTCGTCATCGCGGCCAGCAGCTAGATGCGACTCTGGGGGCCTACCGCTGGCCATGCTGCCACGGGGGGGAGCTGATACCCTCACTGGGAGCAGGAGAGGTACCCCTGAGGCATGGACTGAAACGGATGCGGGTTAGGCAGTCGCGAGTGGTGGACGGTGGACGAGGACGAAAAGCTTGCGCAGAGGGTGTACTAGTAGTCTGCGGAAATTGGGATGGACAAGTGGACAAGTCAGAATCGGGGTGGCTTAGCAAGTTGGAAGGCAACACGACATGCTCTAAATGGATGTTGATGACCTGATCGTCCCGCTTTTTTTGGGGGCTCGGGCGGTAAAACCATCTGGTCGCCTAATGTTGCAGAACGCTTTGTCAAATTTTAGATTTCAAAGGCGCATGGTATTAGCTGAGGAATTATTTTGGTACTAGTAAATTTGATTAGGCTTGGGGATGCTTGGCATTACTCTTGCTACTGGGGTTGGAAAGGCCATGCTTGGCATCACGCTCTTCCGAGTCCAACTCCGATATATTCAGCAACGTGCAGGCGCAAGTATGGACCACCGGTATGGGCATGTACCAACGTGACGGCCTTGTTCCGATTTCCTTTCTCGGGGAACTAGATTTCGGCCTGAAGTTTAAGCATCTAGGCCTCAAAGATACTGTTCATGTCGTCATAAACCTCAAATATGTAATGCAAGTTATTAGTCCTCGTGTCTGTTCGTCTAAAGAAGGGTTTTCGCGTAGTGCTGAGTATGTGGATGCCATAGTCTTTGAGCTCCTAACTGGAAAACTAGTGATGATAGAACATGGAACTTATTAGTCCCTATTAGATTCTGCCGAATGCAATCGTGTTTTTCATTACGAGTAAAGTGATATGGAGCTCCCGTCTGAGTCTCAAGGTCGTGAAATTTTATCATACAACGGTAGTCGTCCTCGAGTCTATCTCTCGATCATTTTCTGCCCGCGATTCCTCCATCATACCCTTCTTGCCCCTCCGTGAGAGATCAGCGAGAAGCACCTTGTCGATCCGGGCGTTAATCTCCTTGACCTTCTCTAGAGCGACATTTGATTTCTCGACGATGTCGTGCGCGTCCACAGGAGCACCTGCGAATTTGGACAGAAAGCAGACCTCCCCACCGTTGTTGATTCCGATCACAAGCTCACCCTCCGATGCCAGCTCTTCTTTCAATGAAGCATCAAGGATGAGATTCTTGCCCTCATTGAAGGCATTGAAGGTCACTGATAATGGCTTGTGTGTGATATTGAGGGCAACCGGCACCCGCTCATCGATACCGTAGACAATAACTTGGCCGTCGCGCACCACAGCATCCGGCCGGCGGAAATGCTGTAGTCCGGTCATGACAGCAATGCAGACCGCATCTGTGAGGTTCCCGTCAAAATCTAGTACGTGTACGTCGGCCCGAATGCTCCAGCAGCTAACACCCTGAACGATGCAAAGTGACTCGGTGTCTAGAGCGTTTGAATGGCGAACTACTCTGTCGACGACGTTTGCAACATAGGCTTCGGCGTCATTGGAGCTATATTTGGCGATTATGTTAGACAGAAGTGCCCCAAAGATAAGTTCATGAGAAGAACATACCGGCCATTCTCCCAAGCGGGGGAGCCCATAGCAGATAACTCGACATTGATGTTAAAGAGACCGTCAAAGGGTCGTTCGTCGCGAGGTTTTGTGACTTCAGCAGAGATGCGCACAACGAGGCTACAAGGCGCGGTTAGCTAAATTCATGTGTAAGATGCAATTGCAGGGTTATCTTACCTAGTCTTTCCCAGCTGTAGCTTCACATGCCCGTACTCTTCACCAAAAGAGATGCTCAGAGGACGGTATTGGTCTGCCTGACGCCCATCGAGGCGCTGGCCCTGGCGCAGAGCCTCGAGGACAAACTCGCGCTCTGCGACCGAGAGATTCGCTTCTCGTGACATGATTCGAAAAGAGTTAAGCGTATGGGGAGCAAAGCAGATGTCTTGATCGCTTTTTTGTGGTCATTTTGCCGTCGTTGGCCGCATTCTCACGGAAAATGGGGGGTTAATCTGCCAATAGGAAGGCGGGCATGTCAGGCGGTGAGGCGGAGGAGCGAACCTGCGGACGGCGTTGGGAGGTAGATCAACTTCAGCTACTTCATTTCCCAGTCTTTGTTTCGGCTCTTCCCAGACGTAATGACGACCGGTAAGTCTTTCGATGTGCTCTAAATATGAGTAAGACACGAACGCTAACCATCAATAGCCCACAGACCGACCTTTGACCCGGTATGGCCACTGACGACCTTTGCTCTATTGGCGAATACTAATCTGAATCGGATAGGCCCAAGGCAAAGAAGCCCTCCGTGGCCCAGCATACCATCAGAGACTCCTCCCAGCGCACAAACACTTAAAGCTTCGGTATGTGAAGCATATTATCACAATCTCTGGATGCCTACTAACTTACTTTCAGACAGCCAGGACAGGGTGGTGCAGCTGACAAGGGAGGTCGCGACCTGCGCGCAGAACTGCTCAAAGCCGAGGCTGCCCACTTCGCGAAGAAGAACGGGGAGCCTATTGATGAAGTTACTACTGAGTCATCTACGCCCAAGCGACAACTCGAAAATGCGCCTGACGCCGACGGCGACGCGACCGAAGAAGATCCGGACGCAAAAAGGAGGCGAATTCTAGAAGAGTCACGCGATATTGATGCCGATTCAGACGGCTCAGAAGAAGATAGCAGCGACGAGGAAAGCGATGACGAGGATGAAGCGGCTGAGTTGATGCGGGAGTTGGAGAAGATCAAGAAAGAACGACAGGCGCAGAAGGACCAAGAGGTATTTTTGTTTTTCTCCTTATGCCAATTGCTTGGCTATCGGATTCTAACATTATGGTTTTGTAGGAAGCAGCGCGCGCCGCCGAAGAGCAAGAGAAACGCGAGGTGGATATTGCTCGAGGAAATCCGCTCCTCAACCCGCAGGATTTCAACATCAAGCGACGCTGGGATGACGATGTGATCTTCAAGAACCAGGCTCGGGGCACTGAAAAGCAGGATGGCAAGGAATTTGTTAACGACCTTCTGCGCTCCGACTTCCACAAGCGTTTCATGTCGAAATACGTCCGGTAGTTCGTCTTGCCGCTCACCATCTTAATCCGAAGCTTTGGCAGAGATTGCTTCCAAGCTCAAGAACCTTCTACTACTACTGACACGATACCCTACTTGATATGGAATTTTCATTCATCGAAATCCCTCAAATCAAGAAACCTCAGTCTGGTATAAAGCTGGTACATGCCGATCCATCTTTCACGATACAATTGAAAGAGAACGTCGAGCGAGCATATCGTGCGGATCGCTTGGCATCTTTCTTCATTTGCAGAGATCGCAACATCTTGATAGCCCAATACATGACTTCAACCTACTTTTAATATATTGTACTAGTACTCTACCGGTCCAGTTATCTGTGCGAGACATAATACATGTAAGAAATTATCTGGCTCTCAATGTCTTAGGAATCCCGACTGCGTTCAGGATGTCCAGTGAAACTGAGAGAGATTGAGGAGATTGTAGACACATCTTTAGTATCCGCTTTATCATTTCCCCGCCCGCCGCTTATCGGGGTTGCCCTGCGGACTTGCAAGCTTCAAACCATCAATCACCTAGAATGGAGTCTCAACCCTCAGCGAAAGCGCTACACAGTATGTGACAATTACCTTGAGAGCCTTGGTAGCAAAGGGCTTCCGCCTCGCGGTACCCACGGACCAGCAGCTAAAGTCCGCAGATCGCATCAATGCCGACATCTCTCAACTGCTTCAGCGATTCGAAAATATCATGGCCACAGCGACAGTAAGCATCTGCCGATGCGACTTTCGAGCTTTGAGCTTGATCTAATTGCTAGCTTCAAGGTCGATAACCCCAGCTACACATCCACCGCTGTCGAGACGTATCAATTAGATGTCGAGTCAACAGCTCTGGTATGCAAGCCCGACACCTTGCCCTCATGAGCGCTGTCACCGATCAATGCTATATAATACATACAGAGATAAGACTATACAAATCGCTCATGTAGCTAATTTTTCTCCCCATATGCAGATCCGCGCCGCCGAAGATATCCTTGCTTTGACCCGGACGATGAAGGAGACATGGTTGTTCGGCAAGCTCGATACACTGGGTGAAGATGAACATGATGTGGAGCGACGAGAGAAGCTCGAGAATGACGTTCAGGCCGTCCAGAAAGCCATTGAGGAAGGCGTGCTGGCGAAATTGTCGCCGGCGCAGTGATGTTGAGACGTTGATTCGGTTGAATAACAATTGCATGGGTGCCTCATCTTGTAGGACCCGGATGGCGTTCTTGTGACGATTGGGCTAAATCACTTTTAAGGATTCTATATTTTTCATCATTAGCAACAGCGTAGGTGTCTGCTATCCATTGTCATTCCCGTGAGCACACCAAATTCAAGCTGTGTAAACTGCCCCTAGGCTTTCTTTGATCCCTTCAACTAGAACCTTCTATGATGTCGTCTAAACCACATACTAAATCTCAGGTAATGGCCCTCAAGCTCAATTGAGGACGACTCCATACCGACTTGCACGTTGATCGATTTCGGGCAGCTCGACTGCGGGGCTCATACACCGATAAGCTATCGCGCGATCAACGCGTCCCAAATCTTCTCCAAATACCAAAAGCCACTCTTCAAATCCTCACTATCTCCAACTTTACCCCAAACCCTTAGGAGGGGGGAAAAAGTTATAAACCCTACAATGACCATCAAAATGCCTTCAACAACCCCTCCGTCCCTCCCTCTCACCCTAATTGTCGCTACGACCCCCGTCCGCGTCGCGCCCCCTACCGCATTCGCCGAGCATGAACCAAGCCGGACTACCGTACGCCTCGGCATCGGGCTAAACGGGACACTGCCCTGGCCGCGCATAAAAACCGACATGAGCTTCTTCGCGCGTGTGACGTCCCGGCCCCCGGTCCCCGGTACCACGAACGCGATCATCATGGGCCGCAAGACGTACTTCTCTGTGCCGAAGAGTCTGCGACCTCTCGGGAAGCGCATTAGCGTAGTCGTTACGCGGGATCAGAGCGGCTCGGTGCGCGAGACCGTCCTGGAGGAGCTTCTGGCTAAGAAGGGGAAGATGGCCGCGAAGAAGGCGGAGGTGGAGGCGCAGGCGCCGGGCGAAGGAGAGAGGTTGGACGAGGAGCCGGTGACGGATGCTCTTGTTACGCCAGGCTTAGATGCTGCGGTTGCGGAGCTTGAGAAGGGTCATGGCAAGGAGGGGAGTCTGGGGAAGATCTATGTTATTGGTGGGGCGGAGATATATGGTGCTACGTTGAGATTGAAGGATGAGGCTGGCTCGGCCTTGAGGGATCGGCCGGTGAGAATTGTTATGACGCATGTGGTGAAGAAGCCTGAGGCTACCGGGGTTGAAGAGCCAATTGAGTGTGATACTTTTTTCCCGGTGGATGAGTTCAAGGAGGAGGATGGGTGGAGGAGTGCGAGCCCTGAAGAGGTGTCGGACTGGGTTGGGGAGAAGGTTACTGGGGAATGGATCAGGGAGGGAGACTTTGAAGTTCAGATGGTGGGATATGAACGGGCAAGATAGGTCTATGAATAGCTAGAAAAGCAATGCATCTAATATATAGCACGGGCAGCATTAAAACCTAAAGCATTAGACTAGCACGAATCTGAGACCCCGTTGCCTCATAGTCTCAAGTATGCAATCCCTTATTCATCCACTTCTAAAGCACACGCCTGGGGCCATGGATACCAAATACCTAGAAAGCAAAAACCTGATCCTCCAGCTTGCTGACAGGCCGGGCCTTCTCATATCCTAGGCTCTCTGTGGCTGTCTTCATAGCACTGACCATCGGAGGAGGACCACAAAGCAAGATCTTGACATCCGCAGCCGGTTTCGGAAGCCATTGCTCGAGAAGTATTAGCCATAGCAGCAAAGGATATTAATAGAGCTGGACTCACAGAAATCATGTCCTTTGTGACAAACCCAACTCCACCGGTCCATCCCTCGGGCGGGTCATTCAACACATAATGGACCCTCACACCAGGATCCTCCTTATTCAGCGCATCCAAATCATCTTTCAGAAGGATATCTTCCTCTTTCACATTGGCAAAAATAAGATCAACCTCAGTCTTATCACCACTCACACGGCCACGCATGATAGCTCGAATAATCTGCAGCATGGGCGTGATCCCAGAGCCACCAGCGATCATGCCAAAAAGACGAACCATATTGGGAGTGTAAGTAAAGTTTCCTTTCGGTCCCCGAACGCGGACATTCTGGCCAATTGCGAGCGAGGCGATATGTTGTGTGATGTTGCCCTGAGGGTAGGCTTTGACGAGCAGGTCGAAGTAGCCTGGTTGGTGATCACCGGAAATAGGTGTATAGGAGCGTACAACTTCTTTCGAAGATCCATCGGGCTGGGGGAGAAGGGCTCCAATGGAGATGTGCTGGCCAATTGGTAAGCCAAAGATAGCTTCGGGGGTGGGGAGCTTGAAGCGGTATCTGGCATTGAAAGTGGTTAGAATGAAGTTTTTTTTTTTTTCAAAAAATCTAATGAGATGTCAAACAGTATGGATGTAAGCTTAAGTTGACTTACATAGCGACATTGTGGGAGACAACAGTTTTCTCCTGGAGTTCAAATTCTTGGAATTCGTCGGGCTTCAGCACCCCTGGTGTGGTGCCTTCTGTGAGTGAAAGTGATTGAATCGCCTGCTCTACCACTTTTATTGGAGACGAAGGTTGAGCAGCTGATTCTGCCTTGATAGTGCCGATTAAGAAATCACCCAGGATCTCGTCTGCTTCTTCCGAATGGCCAGCATCGTTGTACGCCTCTGTAGCATCTTTGCCAGCTACATCGAGCAGCAGTTCTGGACCGCCTCTATTGATATGTTAGTGGCCCGCCAAAGGCATAAGAGGTGGAATCTTCGGCAGCTTCGAAGACACATACGGGTGCTCGTCCACAAATTCAGTAGCATTGTAAACGTTTCCACGAATGATAAAGTGCAAATCCTCTTTCGTACTGTGCGACTGCACATCCGCCAGGGTTAGTTCTTGAAGCATTCCGAGATAGGACGCAGTCTCAGTGCAGCAAAGGGAAAGAAATGAAATCGAATAACCTGGGAGCAGGGCGGATTTATTTGGGGAATCCGTTTAGAGAAACCTGGGGTTGAGGGGTAGCTACGAACTATGGCCTCCAAAGCCAAAAATACTTAATATTCAGGTTAGTCATATAGTTACTGTCGTGATGGTTATCTTGATTAGGACTGGATGGGCGGGGAGATATTGAGCAGGAGACCAATAGGAGAAGACCCGACGGAAATGATATGGTTGACGTGGGTCGGGGGAATCTTTGCTCGGATGTGGAAATTGAATACGCGTTGGGACGCGGGCTTTCGGTTCGGCTGCGGATCAGGAGCCGGTCTCTTCGATTCAGGGGATGGGGGGGTTATAAGAAGATTACTTGAGCAATGCGACTTGGATTACAGCATATTGGTATCTACCGGCTCGAGTCTGTGACCAGACGTCGCCCGAGGATCGTGGTTCGAATACCGAACCCCAGATCATAAATGCATGGTAAACTGGTATAGCTGACGATTTGACCAGAAATGCTATGTATCTCAGAATCTCAGGATCTCCAAAGTAAAAAGGCTGTACAGTGCTATGCAAGGCGCCCCGGTGAATAAATAAACATCCAATATAACTCCATGTGCAGCAAAATGGACCACTATGAGATCCACCATGAGATCCACCATGAGAGAATGGGTCAAAGCTCTCTTACTCGTTGTGCTCCTTCATGAACTTCACAAACGACTTCTTATGTACGAGACCAGCGTACTTTCCATCCTGAAGGACGCACAAGTATCGAAGACCGAGCTTGGTAAAGCATTGATATACCAGATCGATAGGGCAGTGGATGTCAAGCGCGATGGGGGCCTGGAAACAAGATTAGCCAGATGCCATGAAGTCCCTTCGAAGAGAAACTCACATGATCGATGTATGGTAAAAAGTCTTCTTTCAAAACATTATCGTCATCACTATCATAGATGACGACGGATGTATCAACAGTCATCAGGCAAAGGGTGTGATCCTCAGTGTCACCAAGAAGATCCAGACCGAATTCGAGATCTGGAACAGGGATCATGCCGGTCAAGACACCATCTCGCAGGATGGGCAAGCCACTGTCGATCTCGCCTGCCATCAGCAAATGCTCGAGTTTGAGACGAAGATCTGTAGCTGGGACAAACGGCGAGTTGGAGATGTCGATGATGCGGCTGTTCCGAACGGGCCGGACGATGTCGCCCAATTGAGCATCGATCGTCATTTGCATGTTGTTGTCGAGGAATGGGTAAGAGTTCATATCTGTCAAGAAGTCCTGGAAATAGTTAGTGCTGGTCAGGATCTGGGAAAAGAAAGAGCGGATTTACATATATGCTGCGAGGCTCGAGTGCATCGGCAGTCCATTTAGCGCAGAGCACTGCCAAAGAGAATGGGAGGACATGGTTAAGACTGCCAGTCAACTCGAATAGGATTACAGGCAAAGTGACAGAAAGACGAGTGACACCGCACATCGTAGCACCTGCTGCTACGAGCGCATAAACCCCTGGAGTAACGCATGACTCCATACCAGGGGCAGCCGGACAAGAATTGAACAGGATGAAGGTCGGATTTTTTGTAACCACATACTGAACTGCATGGCCAACAATGCGACCCATGAGGCCCCCAGTCACCATGGACGGGACGTAAATTCCAGCAGGAACCTTCAGGCCGAAGGTGACAACCGTGAGCAGACTTTTAACCACAAATGCAACGAGAAGATACTGGATACTTTCCAGTACGTTGTCTTCACGTGGACAAAGACCCACGGACTCTGTTGAGCTCGATTCACATGGACTCGTGATCTCCAACAGCAGTTCGGCAATGCCCAATTTGGTGTACCTGTTCCAAAAGCTGACCACCCCGGTTAGGAGAGCTACTAGAAAGACCTCAAGCATGGGGCTATGCTTGATGGCCGAGATGCGACGGAAGCATCGACCCCATAGAGCAGTAGCCTTGATGAAGAGCGCTCCAGCGGCACCGCCAAGGATGCCCAGGAATATGAAGATGAAAAGCTCGAACATCTCCCAATCAGAAAGGTAGCGGACCTCAAACAGCACAATTTTACCTGTGCCATAGGGGTTGAGAAACTTCAAGGACAGAGCTGCAACAATGCAACAAAAGAATGTTCGGAATAAGGTCTTCGGTGGGAAGTAATAGCTAACCTCTTCCAAGCTGAAAAGGACACCGCCGATAGGCGCCCCAAAGGCGACAGCAACACCACTCGCAGCCGCCGCGCTCAGGACTTCACGCCTCTTGGCATCGTTGTTATTGTATTTGGGAAAGAGGCGGCAGAAAATGTTGCCAACACAAGTTGCAATATGAACATAAGGGCCTTCTTTCCCAATGCTCAAGCCGGAGGAGACGCTGAAAACAAGGGCGATGGTCTTGATGACCAACGTCTTCAAGCCAAGGTATCCATGTAAGATAAATCCACTGTTAATGACCTTCACCTCCGCAACTCCACTGCCTGCAGCAGAATAATAAATCATTGCTGGACGAGGTGGACTATTGGGAAATGTCCCATGAGGACTAGTCTCCGATACTGGAGAATCACTCTGGTTGCTGAAGGGATCCTTATGTGACTCCGCACCGAGATTTTCATCAAGAGTAGCTAAGGAAATAGATGAGGGAATGACTGTTTTGGTAAGGAGCGTCAGAGCGCAAGAGATCATCGCAAGCGCAACCACCGAGCTCACAAAAATGGCATAGTTGAGCCAGATATTATCAGTTTCCGTTCTCATAGCCAGCTGTGACCAGGATCGCCAAGCATCACAATGGGCCTCGCCTTCACAGCATTTACTATGCGAAGAAAACCAGGAGGTGGAGCAGAACCCGAGCTTTGCATCGTAGACTGTTTCTTCGGACACATCCACTAAGAATGCAATAGCTGCAGTAACACATCCGGTTAGAGCCACGAGGACCCACCCTTGGCCACCATCAAGCGCAGCCAAGAGTCGGCCCCGAACATCCTTCCGCTGTCTAAGTCGGCGAAGGCGATTCCCGTCGGCGATGCTGTCATGGACCCAATCCGTGGAGGTGAACTGATCGTACCAACTGCGTTCATCTAGGAAAGATGAAGCAGTCAAGCCGTCTTTCATAGACGGCGGTAAGCTAACGCGATCTTCCTCTCCACTCTCGAGAGTACTGTTCCGGCGGCTTAAAAGCCGGGCCTGTGAATTTGGTCGGACTCGACGGGAGCTCCCTGAGCTAAAAAGAGGCCTCCCGAAGTCCTGCCCGAGCTGGCCTGAGGTACTGGTGTATGAGCGACGAGGAGCTCTTCTTTCCTGAGACCCTGGAGGACCGAGGAGACTAGTTGTTTCGTTGGCCTCGAAGTGCGAGTCGAGCGACTGGTAGCCGGTATGCTCCTCGGTTAGGTAGCTGCGGCGGAATGCGGAGGGCGAAGGAGGGGCGGTGCGGGCAGCGGGCGCACAATCAGGGTCATCTTGTTCGTCTCGAAAATCGCTGAATTGGGGGACGGAGCGAGGCATGGTGTTGGGAAACGTCTACCTTGGGCTTCAAAGGTGACTCCCGGTTCCTGGTTGGTTGTTAGTCGCGATAAGGCCGGGGTTGTCACATAAGAGGCCTGCAAGGGGCCTGCATCGGTAGAGGATATCAAGCCAGAAGCAGATCTAGGAGAAGCTTAGTACGTACCAACGACCATGAGATCCCCGCGGGTTTTGGAGAAAGCAGGCGGTCTTAAGCAGATGATGTGGAACGCGTCAGGTGAGGACCCACTGGAGATTTACATCGATTCGTCATCTCCGCTATTGACCTTTCTTGAACTTCCTCCTGACATGTGGGACATGTCTAGCATGTTAAAGGGAGGGGTGACTTGTACTCCAGGGCCTTCTTGGGTCTCTTCTCTACCAATCTTCAGTTGCGTGTGGCAGTTTACATTCATCCACGTTTGAGGGGAGGAATTTCTAGGTCGAATCACATTATTGCTGTCCGGCTGAGAGGGTCTCGTGCGGGGAGATGCGCCCCTTTCCCGCCTTGCAGCCTTCAAAGCTGCCTATCACCGCCACCTGAAGGAAATGCCAGCGAGTGACCCGATGCATATGGAAGTGAATACGGATTAAGTACATCTTGGGATGGGCCCGTGCATAGTCCAGGACTCCAGGCTTCGTTCTCTCCCATGTGGCGTGCTCCTAGTTCTCTGTTTAGAAAGGGCTTTGTTGCCCCTCACATAAACCCCACCAGAAGGAAGTTCAAGTTACGGTTTACGAATCCTCTACAGTATTTAAATGATACGGGGTTTTGTGTTGACTCGGGATCGAGATATTCTAATAGATATGGAGCCAATATAACAAATAAAATTATATTACCCCATATAAGTAGGAACACCAGGCGCTATTTGTAAATAACCCATGCCTCGATACTGATACGAGAGAGAGAACGAACGCAAAGTATGTCGAAACTGGAAAAGCCCAAGAACCGAATTGCCAGTGAAGGCAACCTTGCAAAGTTGTCAATTAAGGGAATTGTGATGCTAGGAAATATCATCAAGCTTCTTCTCCAACGGCTTAATTAAATATTGAAATGCTACCAGCTGTTGCTCACGTTCACCGGACGTCGGAATTGTTGAAAACAAAGACAATGCTAGGCAAAATAGGCAATGAAAAAAAAAAATGAATCGGCGAAAAAATTTCTGAGCGACTTCAAATATCAAGGTGTATGGAACTTATGGAGAATCGAGGCTGTACTGGAAGAGTAACGACGTGGAGTCTCCCCTGGCCAGTCAGCTGATAGCGGGCTGCCCCTCGTCGAACGGATTTAACCGTGGCTTCCCTGTCCACGTAGATTGATCGACCTACGCATTCCAGGGGGGGCTTGGTTTAACATTGCGCACGTTCCTATTTCTAAGAACTCGTGGCTAGCTAGACCCAAGCGTTCTAAGCCACAATGACCGCAACATCAGAAGATACGGCCGGGCCATATGCGCAGTTCATCCTCTTTGGTGACTCGATTACTCAGATGTCTAACAACCAGGATATTGGTTTTGGTTTTCACCCTGCTTTGCAAGAAGGTTTGCCGTTGACAATGGAAAGACAAAACATGGCCTTGTTGACAAGTTTTAGCATACAGCCGCAAGTTGGACATTATCAACCGTGGGTTTTCGTACGTATTTTGACCTACCGAAAGAACTCCAATTACTTACGTCTCCAATAGCGGTTATACTACGGCTCATGCCATCCAAGTGTTCCCGAGATTCTTCCCATCCCCTGAAGTGGCCAGTGTGCGATTAATGGTAAGAAGATCTCCATACGTCAAGGTAATCTTAGAAACCTAATTCTGATGGAACCATAAGACTGTTTTCTTTGGAGCCAATGATGCAGCAGTTCCAGGTCATCCCCAACATGTACCATTGGAGCAATACAAAGAGAATCTGAAAAAGATCATTCAACATCCTGCCACTCGAGCGCAAGGCCCACGCATTCTGATCATCACCCCACCACCGGTCAATGAGTATCAACTTGAATTCTTCGACAAGAGCAAGGATATCCCCCATCCGAGCCGTACTGCGGCCATTACGAAAACCTACGCTCAGGCAGCGAAAGAGGTTGCGGCAGCATTGAACGTTCCAGTAGTGGACATTTGGTCCGCATTGATGGGCTCGACCGGTTGGCAAGAAGGACAGCCTTTGCCTGGATCCCGAGATCTGCCCAATGACGAGAAGCTCAGTAGTCTGTTTCTTGACGGTTCGTTATATACTATGACCGCGCTTGTGCTTCGTTCTTGTACTCATTCTTTCTCCCAGGTCTCCATCTTACACCTGCAGGATACCGCATTGTGTATGACCAGATTATTCAGAAAATTGCGGACACTTGGCCCGACCAACATCCGGACCAACTACGCTTTGTGTTTCCTTCCTGGGTGGATGCTCCCAAATAAGCTGTTAGATACATCAAGTTTTACCGCGTCTGCAGCTCGGTGGCTCTTCAAAAGTCAGGAAAAGACTACGCACAAGCGAACTAGAAACAAATTTTATTAAAGTAAATTCTGCCCTCGTATCCAAGTGCTATCATCGCCAAAAGTGGGCGTTTACCCTCGTGTTGTTGAAGCCGTTAGTGGAGCACACGGAAGCGGTCTAGATCGACTTCTCTCCTGCATGACGCTGTTCTCTCCACTGCATCCCTCCAAGATCTTGCTTCTTCTGCAAATTCCACGACGTTTCCGTGGCAATCTTCCCCTTCGCACCAGATTCTGGATTTAGGAATATTGACTAAGTCCTTGGTGTTCCACCGCGCTTCATTTAATTCCTCACCTCTGCCGCCACGCCTCATTCCTTGGCTTCCCGTGCCTATACCTCGTGTCGAGCTCCATCTACAACACCGCGACCAGCTCGACCAGCGCCTTCACACTCCCTTGAGTCACTGCGAATCCCCTGCTCCATACCATCGAATTAATACATTCCCCGTGACGGCTTAGATTTACCCGCGTCGCGATTCGCGTGGTCTTCAAATCCGAGACTTTACCAGCGAATGCCTGAACCACAACAACAGAACCCTGTAACACGCAGCTAGGTGGACGGCCCCGTGGGCCGTCACACATACGAAGGAGGAAGGAGAACAAAGGTGGATCGGTGCTGGTCACTGAGGGTGTTGCGTGGTTGCCTTAGTTCAATAACCGGAAGGATCCTGGGATAACTCCGATTACCCATCCACCAACGCGGTGGCGATGGATACCCAGTTTCCCTTCGCTTCTCGTGACGAACTCTGGAACATAATAGAGCAGTTGAAGGAGGTCCGGATTGCTCAAGTCCAACAATCAGAGCGCATCGTGAGATTGGAACGCCGCAAAGACGAGGATGCAAGGCTGAAGAACGTTTGGGGTCCCCTGTCGCCTTTCCAGACCTCGGTAGTGGGCTCTGTCGCTCCAGGCATGTTGTTCCTTTACCGGAGCTTCCTAGCACAATGAACTGACCATTTTTTCCAATAAAAGACCCCGTCTTCTACTCCCCTCCCGACGCTTTCAAGGGCTTCGACCAGGGCCAACCGAATGGGATGGCTTCATCCGGAATTGGCCTTGACGGCGACGAGGAGCCACGGCGGGGAGCCTCACGGGCTAACAGCGTTCGTTTCGATGAGAGTGCGATACACGGATACTATGGCCAGGCCAGCCGTTCCAGTACCGACCTTCCGCTGCGGACTGGAAGTGGAATGGGCGGTCTTCCCCTCTCTGAACGATCATTATCCCATCGGTCAGACGGTCGACTGAGCTCTTCCGGCCAGTCCCTCCACTCTGCGCGTACTAACAGCCTGAGACTTGATACGACTAGTCGCCTGATGGGTTCTTTCAGCGATTCGCCCATAACCCCTCCTCCTGGGCTATTCTTACTTGGGCCGGTGCCTTGTATCATTCGCTGCTGGTTAACAGCGAATTATTCCAATGATACACTCCTCTACGCTGCAGTGTGCTCTGGCTCCTACGGTTCAATCGTGGGTGAATCCATGATCCGGAAGCTTGGACTGGAAGATTCCATTTTCGAAGAAGAGAATCAACAATTCATTCGACTCCGCGTCTGGCTTCCTGAAGCGAGTGTTCATCTTTCGTCCTCACAAAGCGGTATCCCCGAGCAACAGCTCCCGACCTTGACCATCCGGTTTATGGTGCGCCAATCTGATGCGTCGGACGAGTCTATCCAGATCATAATGGGGAGCGACGTTCTTCGCTCACATAACGCCGACATTCTCTTATCGAAAGACAAGATCCTCATGGTAGATGATGACCGAAATCGCATTTCTATCCCCTTGGTACGCCCCGAAAGGGATTCTGTCTTCAAATCTCTTTCCACCGTCTCCAACGGATCTCGCCACTCTTTGCAATCGAGACCTGAGGTGGAAAAGGACATTGTTGGCGTTATTGGGCCGCCCAAGAAACCACACCAGTCGGCGTCTGGACCTGCTTCAGAACACGTGTCTACAGGTGATGCATTCGAGACCAAAAAGAATATCTTCCCTGATGCCCCCACAACGACTATTACGACTACCGAATCGCCATCTACTGTGAACGCCAGTGACGCCCATTCCACGGCCTCTCAACCAGAAGCTGCCAGTGTCTGGGGCTCTTGGCGCCGAAGCTCTAAGCCGGATCCAAATACCAATGCTAGCAAACCTGCTCCGAGCCGCACGATGAAAGTTCTTCGGCCCACTAAGCCATCTTCCCGTACTGCATCTTCCACCTCCACACCAGTCACTCCTAGCGCAGATCAAAATGATACCCAAAACGGCTCTTCAGGTGGTGTTCGCCGATCATCTGATGATAACTCTGCCACGTCCGCAGCAAACCCTGTCGGGGGCGCCTCGGCATTTGGGTGGCTGACTTCTGTCTCGACCGCTCAAAAGGCTATGGGCTCCAAATGATATGGCCACTTCGTGCTTTTGCCTTTGATTCTTTTACTACTTCCAACGATACTCTCCAATGCGCCCATACGATTTGTCTGCGTGGTTCAGTGTTTCTCTCAGTTGGGGAAAACACATTTCTAGTTAACTTTAGCGCAATGCCTAGGTAGATCATGATGATGACAATGGCAAAATCAAAAGAAATCCTCTTCACGAACGGACAGAATAGTCCTGAGCCATATTCGTAAAATGTAGACGACCTAACCAGTAGACTATATAGTAGCATAGCAAGATCTAGATCTTCGAAAATACCCCCAAAGCCGCCTTCGTCTCCTCCTTTGTCTCCTTGATCAGCCCACTCACGGTTCTAAACGACCCGTGCTCCGCATCTCCCAGGATCTCGAACAGAATACTCTCACTAGAAGTTACAATTGCTCCGGCATCACGCAGCCGGGCAAGGGCAATGCCTCTCTCTTCAGCATTCATACTACTCACCCCATCAACAAGGAGATAGACCCTATGGCCTCTGGCCAGTAAATCAAGGGTCGTCTGCGCCACACAGATATGGGTCTCAATGCCAACGATAATGATATCAAGTCGCTCCCCTCGCCCTTGGGAAGAAGCGCGTCGATTTCCGGCGTGACCATCGAGAATAGGGTCTTGTCGACGTCGGCCCGGATATGCGAGCCCTGCAGATGGGTCTGGAGTTCTGGGACCGTGTTTCCGAGCTTTGCGCGGCTTTGGGTCGTTACAAAGACGGGCAATTGGAGCGTGGAGGCAGCGCGGAGCATCTTCTCTGACGTGGAGACCCTGGTGTGGAGGAAAGTCAATGGGCTTGTTGATTGGCCACAAAGAGGAGGAGGGGTTTTTGTACAGTTTTGAGAATTCGAAAATGCCATTGCGGAATTTCTCCTGGATGTCGCAGATGCTGATTTGGTCGGTTAGGGCGGTTGGGTTGGTGCCGTTGAGTTACACTTACAACAGGGCAGGGTTTCCTAGGTTTGGGTTAGTTTGGGCAATTCAATGAATGAAGGATTCCTCACTGATTCGAATTGTATGCGCGAGAGCAGCCATTATGGAGATGTATTTAATTGGAAGAGGGGAGCTGGAAGGAGGTTGAGGTTCAAGTTTAAGGTTGCGGCGGGCGGGGGAGTCGGAGGAGAGAATGGAGTGCGGGGGAACGGAAGTATAAACGAAGGCCTCGAAGACCTAATAATCTCGATGTCAAAATCATACTAGTAGTACGAATAGGAACTTGAAAAAGGATGAATTGTATTATTGGGGATTGGATACGTTTCTATCTGTCTACGAGACGAATGATATGGGACTGCTCAGCAGTACCTTTCGAGCCTGGCCTCTTGCGGGCTTCGCCAGTAACACCGCTACTAGCATTGGTAACTTCAGGACAGGTGATAGCCGAAGATCTAGTGATTAATCGGAAGACCTTGCCCAGGTGCTCTATAGATCGCAAGCCGTATACTGGCTGGACTAGCGCAGGCTTGGAGAACGCATTATTCAAGCTTCAAATATTCTATCTCCGTGTTACTGGTAAAATATCTGGGCGCCTGAACCAGTAGGGCTGTAAGGCTGTAGGTCTGTAGGTCCCTAGTCCGAATTTGAACGCAAATTATTATCCTTCAATTGTGGCTTGAGAAGAATCTTTAGCTCACTGGTGCCTAGAGTGGCTATTCCGAGTCATCTCTAAATGTCAATACCGCTTGCTGCCTGGGCCCATGCGGCCGTGAGGACGGATTCGGACTTGGCGAGTTGCTGAGGTAAAATCCTAGAGATGAAGGATTTCAGGCACAGTGGAGAGGACACGAGGGCAACTGGCTTCGGAGCAGGGTGATCCTCGACTGGCTTTGGTGGGGCTTGGGACGATTCGAAATAATTTACCTCATCCCGCAGAGTAGCCGCATCATCACTATGCAGGAAAACCCTGCCAATTTCCCGGGTTTGGTTTCCTGCATTTAGCATGGGCCGTAAAAAATGCAGTATGCGGCTGCCTTGGTCACGTTGCATTGCCTCTTATCATGTGTTACAATAGTTTCCGAGATCCCGGGCAAGTTGATTACTAGTAAGTTTGTTGTGTTTCTCGATATAGTAAGTAGTATGGAAATTTCCGGATGCTGTCTACGTGGGTTAGTGCTTGGAACAGACTAGATGATTTACCTACGAAGAATCTAGAATATGAAAGGGGAGCAATATCTGAATCGAAAGAGAAACCTGCTGCAAAGACACGACATTTTAGTGGCCTTTGCTAATGGGGGGATTCGGCCTATTTTGCTAGACTGCCACTATATGCAGCCATGCAGGCCTTCCAGATCGCGGGAAGTAACTTTTGCCACGGTGAGAAGCATCTCCGGGCAAATATGACTGCAATTGTCACTGCTCAGTTGAGTGGTCCGCAGGGAGTTCTTCTGTGACCTGCGGACCTTCCTGTCTGCATAACACTTGGGTCCATTTTCTCCGGGGCGAAAGACCGTCTCATCCGCGGAGCCATCACTAAGTCCGAGTGGGACCACGTGCCCGCTTAGGTCAGCCGGGCCGGCGGCCATAAAATCCTCTTTTCTGTTTCTTCCTTCCCCTCCATCACCACCGCTTTCAGTTCGAATCGTGAAAGCCTCTTGATCCCACTGCGTTAGCTGTCTCGATACAGTTCGCGCTAGCTCACCCCATCGATCACTTCGGTATCGCCATCATCACTCTACTCAGCTCTTCATTCCCGGGTTTCCGGCCTTTGACTCGGATTCCCTTAAGAACAACCTCGGTCGTTCTCGTCCCCAAGAGAAAGCCGTTCAAGAAGCTATCCGCCGACTTGTTCATGTATTCGTCCTCCGTGCAAAATTTCGAACACCATCTGCCGCTCAAGCTGCAATCGTTTCGCGAGTCGAAACCTTGTAGTAAACATCTTCGCTCTTGTGGCTGAATAGCTGCCCTTGAATCCCCCATTTACCTCTGTGAATGACTCGTGATATTTCACGCTGTGCACTTAACAGATATCCCTTCTGAAAATCCTCAAAAAATCAAGTCCACAAGGAAAACCACGCATGTCTTGTTCCGTCGACAATATTCCGGTCAAGATTCCCGCCCGCTACCTATTCCGCAAGCCCACCGTTCCGTTCGCCTGAGCAATCGTTAAAAACCCCAAACCGTCATCATGACCACCGTTAATATCCGCCGGGATGTCACTGATCCCTTCTACCGCTACAAAATGGAGCGCCTCCAGTCCAAGATCGAGGGCAAAGGCAACGGTATTAAGACCGTCATTGTCAACCTCAACTCTGTCGCTGGATCTCTGAGCCGGCCTCCTGCATACCTCATCAAGTACTTTGGCTTCGAGATTGGCGCCCAAGCCAATGCCAAGCCAACTGATGAGCGTTGGATTATCAACGGTGCCCACGATGCCAACAAGCTGCAAGACTATCTCGACGGGTTCATCTCCAAATTTGTGCTGTGCAAGAAGTGCAAGAACCCCGAGACCGACGTCATCATCGGCGGTGACAAAATCACTTTGGATTGCAAGGCCTGTGGCCAACGCTCCGATGTCGACCCTCGCCTGAAGCTGAGCACCTTTATTGTTCGCAACAACCCCAAGGGTGGTAAGAAGGAGAAGAAAGACAAGAAAGCCCGCCGCGAAGAAAAGAACAAGCTGGCCAATGGCGAGGACGGCAGCCCGGGCGAAAGCAACGGGTCCGAGCAGGGCGAAGACGAGGACGAGGCCCTTGCGGCCGGCAGTGATGACGAGCTCACCAAGCGCATCAAGTCCCAGGCTAAGGAGATCGCCGTCGAGAAAGAAATCAAGGACGATGAATGGGCCGTCGACGTTTCTGAGGAAGCTGTCAAGGCTCGCGCCCAAGAGCTGCCTTCGGACTTGAAGAAGTCCCTCGTCCTCGAGGATGTCGATGACGACGAGGCTGATGGCCCTTCGTCTTACGAGCAGCTCGGTAGCTGGATTGTGGATACCGCTAATGAGAAGGGCGGCGTGACCAAGGTCTCGGACATTGATATCTACAAGAAGGCTAAGGAATTCGGCATCGAGACGAAGCATAAGACGGTCGCCGTTCTTGCCCAGAGCATCTTCGACGATAAGATTGTCAAGCAGATCGAGGACCGTGCCCCTCTGCTCAAGAAGCTGATCACTTCCGAGCGGCACGAGAAGGCCTTCCTGGGTGGAACTGAGCGCTTTGTCGGTCAGGATCGCCCTGCTTTGATGGCTCAAATCCCTGCCATTCTCCTTGGCTACTACCAGAACGACCTTGTCTCGGAAGAGACTCTCAAGAGCTGGGGTGCCAAGGCCAGCAAGAAGTACGTTGACATCTCGACCTCCAAGAAGGTTCGCAAGGCCGCCCAGCCCTTCCTGGAGTGGCTGGAGAATGCGGAGAGCGAGGATGACAGCGACGAGGAAGAAAGCGAGTAGTTGTCTAACTGACTTCCTACGCTTATTCTCAAGCAGTCACTTGCTTTAGAAATTGCTTTTTCGCCTCCGTACTTTGTTTTTTTCTTTTTTTCTTGGGTTCCACTAGTTTAGTTGTCTCTTTTCTCTTTACTTGATAAACCCACGGGAGACTCGCTTGCAAGGGTCTCCCTTGGCTTAGAGAGTATCTAGTTTAGCTCACCAATTGCCACTCCTTTGACTACATCAAAACCTACATCCAGTCTTCATAGGATAACCAGTAAAATCCGTCATACTTTTTATGCATCATATGCTCCATCTAGAATGCTACCTCTGCAAATCGTAACACCTCACCCCCAATTTCCAAACTCACAGCATCCATGCGCTTCGGAACATGTCTTTCATTGCGCAGAGCATGCCTTTGCTGCATGAATATAAACCATGTCAAGTCCGAATTCCATGTCTCCATAGCCTGAATTGCCCCATCAACCTCCGCAAGCATACTCCTCTGCTCATCGCCCGCAACCTCAGGCCTAGAAAAATAATAATCAGGCCCAACAAACAGCGCAATCCACGCTCCCAGCATCTCACAAATCCGATCCCCCGTCTCCAGCGGCAGACGCACGCGCGTAAGAACAGTCAAGAACAGCGAGATGAGCGCCCGCCACAGCGCATGGTGGGGCGTAAAAGCCCTCGGTCCTGCACCTCCCGCCGTCGGAGAGAGCGCAAGAGAAGACGTGAGCACCAGATTCGAGGCAGTGTTGGGCTCGAGCTCAACGGGCTGGATAGGAGACCGGGCCGTCGGGCGAGACTGTTGCCGTGCGCGCGCTTGTCGCTCGTTGGCGGCTTCGGCGTCTGCGCGCACTTGCGTCCAGGCGCGGTTGTAGAGGCGCTCCCAGCGGGGGAACTCGGGGTCGACGCGCGAGGCCATGAAGTCGCCTGCTCCTTTGCACATGGCTTCGATTGCTTGGCAGGCGGTTGTTATTACGAAGGTTTCTTCTTGGAAGGCGTGTGGGTCGGGTCGAGTTGATTTGTTGGAGGTTGGGATGGATCGGGTCATTAAGCTGCTTGAGGAAGGTGTGTCGTCGCCTAGAGAGGTTGGGAAGACAATTCTTGACGCGACAGCTGGCCATAGGTCATTTATTAAAGGAAGGAAACTGTTTTCATTTTGTGAGAGAGTTGGGAGGATGTTAATGAGGATGCCGAGGAGGGAGCGTCGAAGATAGGGTGATGGTGATGAGAGGTGGGAGGGGATGGATTTGACAATGTGTATGAGGAGAGAATGAGTCTTGCTGAGCGGCTTCTCGGTGTCTTCGGGCTCTTTGGGAGGAGGCAGAGGTTCGTCAGAGTCTGCTTGATTTAGGAGCTCTTCAATGGTTTCTGGCTCGGCGGGTGGTTTTTCGTAGGTCTCAGACCAGGGCTTCTGGGGATGCGGGATCTTCTCGTCTATATTCGCTTCCTCTTCGGTGTGCTTGGCTCGTTGAGCCTTGCGGCTGGCGATTTCGGCAGCTAAAGTTGAAACTGATAGCCGCTCATACTGGCCTTTGCGGTGGTCATGAGGCCCGTTCTCGCGTCCATCATCAATGGTTAAGAGGGATTGCTTTTTGGAACCCTCTTCCACAATAGCTGCCAGCGTTTTGAAGAGCATCTCCACTAGTTTTGGGTAGCCGTGATAGAGGTCAATTATCCCAAAGATAGAATCGATCACATCGTCCAAATAAGGAATCAAATTGGCACCACAGAGTTTCACCATCATGAAAAGGACTTGAGGTGGGTATGGGGAAACATTGAACGTATTGAGCTTGAGGGAAACAGAGTTCACCAGGTAATCGGCATTCTCAATTATCATAGTACTTGTATCAGGATAGTTGCACGCCTTGGTCAAAATGTTCAAGCACGTCATAGCATGTCGCTGGAGAGCTGCATTACTGGATGCCAGTAGCTGTAACGTGGGATATAGAGCTTCCATCAACTCTGGCGAAACGCCTCGCCTAATTGCTGAGCCTGGAGCGCGACTGCTTCCAAGGAAAGTGCAAGAGTACGCCAGTCGCCAGAGCCGTCTGGTGGCAAATCAGTCAAGATGACTAGAGAGTTGTAGTAGAGTTCTTCGATCATCGCTCGGCGATTAGCCTGCAACATTGACTGATCCACCTGGTCGTCGGCAAGAAAGTCATCGAAGAAAGAAGCGGAGCTTGACTGTGCCCGAAGGGATGTCAGTGCAAGCCAGAATGGGCCTACAGTAGCTTCGTCAGAGACGGCATGCACTCTGTTCATGATCAAACGCGTAATATCATTCCCCGAGTCTGACGCATTTAGTTTCACAATCATTGATCGTAGGTCACTCAATGTCTTCCCTTGGCTTCTATGCTCTAGAAGCACTGGAGGAAACTCGAGCGCTTTGGGTTCTGAAATAATCACGTCCAGATTTGAGTCAGAAACCGCGGTAGATGCCACAAGCTGTTGGCTGGATGTGCTGAGTTTTACGACGGCACCAACGCTATCGCACAACCCTGATGCCAAGTTGCTTGATAGTACTGATGAACCAGGTTGTACTTGAGTCAGGATTTGAAATGCCGTTGCAATTTGGCGGATAGCCCATTGCTTCGCCGTTTCGTCGTTGTTTTGCATAATTCGGGGGAAGGAAGTCAGCCATCCATGCAATGACTCCTTGAGGACATCCACGACGACCGAGTATGTAGTCGTGAGGTGCATAATCGCCTTGTATGCATCGTTCGAAGTTTCTTCTTCTTTATCAGCTAGAACGACAGCAGTCTCAATCATCAAAGGAAGAGCTTCGTGCAGTGTAGATTGGCAGTCCTCAATGACCATGACACAAAGGTCGAGTAGTGCTAGTTGTACTTCTTGGCGTTGATGCCGCCGTATCTGAATGACATTGGCGAGTGCTAGCTTGACCTGGGTTGTTGTTGCCTTGAGCCAAGACGCATCTAGAGTGGGTCGCTCGGATTGTGGAAGAGTCGGGTCTGCCTTCTTAGTCCCGACAGCTGCTTTATCGCTTATAACAGTTCGTATAAGACGTGTCATTGTTTGCAGACAACTTTCGACCAACTTGTAAGACCGTCGGACCTGCGTTGATGGCTTTATGACTTTGACCAAGGCGGAGACTGTGCGAGGCATAATACTAGCCAAGACCACACGGTCTGAGATCCGGTTATAGAGAGAGTGGAGGGCCCTCGCAGCTGCTAAGCACAATGCATCAGAATGCTCATCCACGAGACCCTCCAACAGGATGTAAACAGTTTGATCTACAATTGTTGCAGTACCGATCTCGTGGTATATGGTCTTCTCTGCCACTGAGCCTTCAAGCACATCGAATATTGCACGCAGACAATCGAACCCGGCAAGAGAAAGCTCCTCAACCACCTGAGGTCTGAGAGGCTCGCCATTAGCCTTGTTCGGGGATCCTCCCACAATCAGTGTAAGCAGGATGATCAGCTGCTTTCCCATCGCTGGGGCCAGTTTACGGCCATAGCCATCTTCCACGAGGATGCGAAGTGACTTTATTGCAAGTTCTAGACATCTGGCCGGCAGCCGTTTTGTCTCGTTAAAGATATGTGAAAGCGGGAAGAAAGCATATTCCGCCATCTTTTCGTCCAGGGCATGCTTCCTGGAGAGGTCTTCAAGAACCCGGTAAACCGGCTCGGCAGCTCGAATCACATCATCTGCAGATGCGTTGTTTCCTCGAAATGCCAGTCCAGCGGCACTGAGCTCCACGCATGGTGCACGCAGCTTTCTCAAATGGTTAGCATAGGCTTTTTACTGTGATTGGCACTGCATACCTGTTTGAATGATTCCTGGCGCACATTCTCCATGGTTGTGGGAGTCTTAAATGGTGCTTTGAATACACATGGGCTCTAGACAATAGCAGGATATCCCTCTTCCCATATTAGAATATCAGAAGCATCTCCAATAAGAATTGCCGGTGCATCATGGCGGGATGACAGCAGTGCCTCTTTCTGCCAGGCGAACCAAGGCGGAGAGGCAAATATCGCCCAATGAGGAAATATGTCGATTATGTCATGCCGTCGCGTCGCGTGGAGATTCTTATCGCATCGCGAATGTTGCCTGGAGCTAGACGAAAATTGCTAGTGCTGGCTGCGTTGCCTGATTGCGCCTGTGGCATTTAAGTAGAAGCTGGAATCCTATTTAGGATCAGATATACCACAGATTTCGCGCCTATGAGTGCATTGCGGCCGTCAGTGCGAGCATCTTTCACGCGTACCAAGCACGTCTACGCCTGGGAAATCCCTCGATCTTTGTTCTGTGCTGTCCCAATTGCATTCCATCCGAACTGTGGCGAGAACAGACTTGTACGCACATCTTCACAGTCCTTGACTTGTCGTTTTGTCGCAACCTTGCGGCCTTTATCTCCACGCATCATGGCGGATGACAAGACCTCAAAGCAAGCTACCCTGGGGTACGTTCGCGATTCCCAGTTGACCCTCGGGTGTGTGTTCATTGCCTCCGGGCACGCACTCAATTAGGCCCACGCTAATAGTAATTTCGTTTGTTAGGCGCTTTTTTGGCTCTAATGCCAATCCTCCCCAGGCACCCAAGAAGCAGACTACACTCGCATTCGGCGGAAAGAAAAAGAAAACAAATGATACACCCAATGAGCCCGAAAATGCTTCTGCTGCTCAGGAAACAGAAGATGTGGAGATGAAGACAGAGACAGAAATTCCACAGCCTGATGCCAGCGAGTCGGAGTCGACCAGTGGCTTTAAGCGTGACAAGGCTGATGCGGCAGAAGAGAGCGATGCTTCTGATGTTCAGCCGGCTCCAAAGCGCCGTCGAAAGGCCTCTAAGGGTGATTCTTCCCCCCTGTCAAGAAGAGTCCCCAATCACCTAAGAAGCCTCAGCCAACTCCTAAAATCAAAAGTCCCCCAAAATCAGCTAAAACAGCCGCTGTTGAGGAAAGTCCGGCCGAAGTTGATATTTCTGACGTGGAGGTTGCGGAAGAAGACACGGCTTCAGAAAGCGATTCAGAGACCAAGCCAGAAGTCAAAAAGAAGCAAATGGAGAAGGTCCAGGCTACATTGAAATCGAGCGGCAAAGATGCATACCCCGACTGGAAAGCCGGCGACCCAGTGCCGTACGCTGCGCTGTGTACCACCTTTTCGCTCATTGAAATGACCAGCAAACGATTGACTATCATTGCACTTTGTTCGCAATTCCTCCAGCAGGTCCTGCGCTTGAGCCCCGACGACCTTCTTCCAACAGTCCAACTAATGATCTGCAAGCTGGCTGCGGATTACACGGGCATCGAACTGGGTATTGGGGAGTCCTTGATCATGAAAGCCATCGGCGAGAGTACTGGCCGCAGTCTGGCGGTGATCCGAACCGATCAGCACGAGATTGGTGACTTGGGTCTAGTGGCAGCCAAAAGTCGATCGAACCAGCCCACCATGTTCAAGCCCAAAGCCCTCACTGTGAGGGGTGTCCACGAGGGTTTACTGGGTATTGCAAAGGTCTCGGGCCATGGATCTCAGGACAAGAAGATTTCCGGGATCAAGAAGCTACTCTCGGCGGCAGATGCCGAGGCAGCTGGCAAGGGTGGCAAGGGTATCGATATCACCAAGGACAAGGGGGGGCCCTAGTGAGGCCAAGTTCATTGTCCGATTTCTGGAAGGAAAGCTGCGACTTGGCCTTGCAGAGAAGACTCTCCTTGTGGCGTTGGCCCAGGCAGTTGTCTGCCACGAGGCTGCCGTTGCTGGGGAGAAGGCGCCTTCCGCGGAGAAAATGGCCGAAGGAGAGACTGTTCTCAAGACCGTATTCAGTGAGCTACCCTCATACGAAGAGATTATTCCCGCCATGATCAAGCATGGGATTTTCAACCTGGGCGATCACTGCAAGCTTCAGCCGGGAGTTCCTCTTAAGCCCATGCTTGCAAAGCCAACCAAGTCGATTACGGAAGTCCTGGACCGGTTTGAAGGCAAGGACTTTACCTGCGAGTACAAGTACGATGGCGAGAGGGCCCAGATTCATTTTGTTGCCCCCAGCGCAGTTCAAAATTTCCCAGCATCTACCCAAACATTACAGAAAGAAAGCAAGGGTCTGGCTTCTATCTTTTCCCGAAACTCGGAAGACTTGTCTAAGAAGTATCCCGATATTCTGGGCAAGTTGGATACTTGGGTCAAGGACGGCGTGACCAGTTTTGTTCTGGACTGCGAGACTGTGGCTTGGGACACGGTCAACAAGAAGGTCCTTCCTTTCCAGCAGTTGATGACCCGAAAGAAGAAGGATGTCAAGGCAGAGGACGTGAAGGTCAAGGTTTGCGTGTTTGCTTTTGATCTTTTGTTTTTCAATGGCGAGGTAAAGTTGTGCAAGTCCTTCGATTTTGATCTATTTTCGCTAATGACTCTGTACAGCCGTGTGTCAAGAAATCGCTGCGAGAGCGCCGAGAACTGCTCCATGAGTGCTTTCAGCCGGTGGAAGGCGAGTTCCAGTTCGCGCAATACGGAAATACTAATGAGCTCGACGAGATTCAAGTCTTGCTTGACGAGAGCGTTAAAGCTTCTTGCGAGGGCCTCATGGTAAAGATGTTAGACACGTCAGAGAGTGGCTATGAGCCCAGCAAACGAAGTCGAAACTGGCTCAAGGTATGAATTCACAGAATCACTCAGTTTGTACTCACGTTCTGACCTCCCAAACAGGTTAAGAAGGATTATCTCGCCGGAGTGGGCGACTCCCTGGATCTTGTGGTTCTCGGTGCTTATTACGGCCGTGGCAAGCGTACTTCAGTATACGGAGCATTCCTGCTGGCTGCGTTCAATCCCAACAACGAGACGTACGAGACCATTTGCAACATCGGCACTGGCTTCTCAGAAGCAGTGCTCGAAGAACTACACAAAGTCCTCTCCCCTATGGTTATCGACCGACCCAAGCCATTTTACGCGCATTCAAGCGTCCCTAAAGACCAGCCTGACGTGTGGTTCGAGCCCCGACTTGTTTGGGAGGTCAAGACAGCGGATTTGACTCTCAGCCCTCGGTACAAGGCTGCCGCAGATGAGTTTAATGGAACCGCTGGTGAAGGAAAGGGCGTTTCTCTTCGCTTCCCCCGGTACATCAAAGCTCGTGATGATAAAAAGCCCGAGCAGGCTACCACTACTCGCGCCGTTGCTGAAATGTACCGCAAACAAGAAGCTGTCGCGAAGGAGAATGCCGGCAAGAAGGGGGTCGACGATGATTTTGAATATTAGTCTGCAGGCATTAGAAAAGCTACTCTCCAAGGTTTTTCACCTATGAGTCTACATACTAGTAGCGGACTGTTTGAAACCTATTGTAAATATCTTCCTCCGCGACTTGGCATGGGATTCAGTCAGATTTTCGAGAATAAAGTCGGCGCTGTCCCGTTTCGGGGATAGCGCATCAAATAGCCTTGAGCACCGCGAAACGGTATGAGGTAGGGCTTCGAACCTCCTGTGTATGCTTAACGGTAGCATTCATGCGACGCGATAACTACAACACTTTTCAAGGAAAGACTGACGGTGTGCTCTACGAATGAGTAAGGAGCGAAACGAATCGCTAGGAGAGAGCATCAGAGAGCTCCGGGAAAACATGCTTATTAAAGCCCATGGGCTTGGATGGGCAAGCTGGCTTCATGCATGCTGGCGAGTACAAGTCTAGCATACCGCTATGTCGACAAGGATGACTCCCAAAATGACCCTATTCGCAAACTCATTGACACTTGCTTTGATGTCAAGTTTCTGGGAGTTCCGCACACCCAAGGCCGCGAAACCCTGGTATTTGTACAGGAGGTAGTAAGAAGCCGCCTTAATAATATCAGAATGTGTGCTTCCAGATTACCTGATGATGGTCAGGAACAGAGTTGGCTAGATTGGATTTGCCAGGCCTTCCATTCTTTTTTCCAAAAATTTGAGTTGCCACCTCAAACCAATTGGACAAGTTCCCTTTCCTAAGACCCATTTTATACACTCCGAATATTGCTTACAACATGTTGACCAACGCCTGTACTCTACCGGCCTTAAATTGTAGAATAGTTACTGCTATAGGGATCGTTGTATCTAAGTGACTATCCATATGTGTTTCCTGTGGGCGGTTAACGCGATGGATAGAGCCGACTCGCGGGTTGATAAGATATTGTAGACAGCAATGCATCCATACACCCTGATAACTCCCCATGAGTACTAGATTACAGAAAATTAAAGAGCAAAACAGAGAAAGATTGCTGATTGCACTTCCGAGGTCACATTCTCGGTTATCGGCTCATTATTTGTTGAGTCTACGCAATTTTTTATACCAAGCTCTAAATAGTTTAGCTCATTTCAGGGAAATCGCACATGACAGTGGATATATAACGCTGAACGCTTCGGAGAGACGGAGAGACGTGTCCGCAAGTACTATTGGGCTAAAGGAAGGGCCTAGCCAGATATCCTTCGGCATCTTCTGTATCTAGATATCTTTCGACCCATCTATTGACCGGTCTTTGTACTCGTCTTTCCATATAACTCAGGAAATATCTCTTGATTTAACAAAATTCATGAACGACGTAATCTTCAATCATATCAAACTTTTCAAATTCAGTGAACTCTGAGGCCCTTTCTTTATCACTACCTGAAAGAGAATACATGAAGAACATGAAATGGAGATTTTGGAATTTGCCCCGCTTTTGTTTATCTTATTTTCTTTTGAACCGGATCTCAGTCTACTAATCATACAGATTTTACAATTTAGATCCGACATATTTAGGATCACAGCCCAAATCCATTCCATGCTATCCCTTGTTATCAACCTCTTGTTCTATATCGACATTAAGACTTCCCTCTTGAGCAATGTCTCCTTCATGCCCAGTTTTGGCTCGTCCAGTCCTTAATATGAGCAAAAATGAAACTCTCACGACACCGGATGTCCTTCACCAGCCAATGGTCGAACAGTGCCATTATAGGCCTGTATTTTAGTTGCTTTCCTCTGCAGGCAGCAATCGTTGCCTTCACAGAAGCACAATGTAGATACGTCTTTTAGCACGAGTCAAGGCTGAGATTGAACGCCCTGTCACAGCGGTGAACCCTGGCCGGTCAACGATAACGAGATCCAGGACAACTATATCCGCTTTATGGCTCTAGTAACAATCCACGGTGCCAACTTTTACCTTTTAGCTCCGAGGTCAAGCTTTTCTGTATGCAGTTTCACCATTGCGTTTTGGTGAAGCCTTTCTTGAGCCAGGTAGAAGGTTAAGATGCAGATATCGCAGTACTGAGCAGATGTGTATAAAATTCAGCGGTCATGGGGCACATTGTTGGCCGATCCGCATCATAAAGGGCTTGCCAAATTACCCCTAATATCGTCCAGTTCATGATGGGAGTGTACAGCGATAGTCTTAATGCTGACTTCTTCCTTAAGCTCGATTCTCAGAGCGCAAAGCCATGTTGTAGCCAGGTCGTTCTTGTAAGTAGGATTGTTGATAGGTCCGGCAGAACGATTGCACGACCTTCGTTGGAGACAGCCTCAGGAAAAGTCTTTCCCAGCAGATCTGTGTTCTCTGATAAAATGAGTTTTTAAGTTCAATCTGAGGAGGAGCCTTCCAGGGTAGGTAAATTGAGGATGTTTGTAACTTACTGGTGAGTGGGGAGAGGTGGAAGAAGAGAGTGGTGGTAAGCACCCACGGGAAACTTGTATCGGGAAAGGGGATAGCAAGTGATATCTGAACGAAATAAAACAATGGGAGTGGAAAGGTGAGGAGTGAATAAGTTAGAGAGAGAGGCAGTGACAAACGGTGGTTGAGGATAGGGAGGAAGATATAATTCAAATCAGATGCGCAGGGGCAGAGACAGACTTGGAAGCCGAAACAACGCGCAGGCAGAAGTAAAGGGAATTCTCAGACAGAAGGGAAATGCAGATATAGAATCTAAATAGAAGATGAGAGGGAGTGTTCAAAATGTGACAGTGTAAACAAACCGGCGTGGGCCACTTAGAGGAAAGCCAAAAAAAGTGCTGTTAAGTTATAGGAATCCCTAGGAGAAGTGTGACCTGGGCTTCTAAGGGAACGAGGCTGAGAGGAATGGGGAGGAGCTGGGCCCTGGCCTGTGACAACTACCACGTGTTGGGTTTTATAATTATTCATGGTGATTGCCGTTATATCCGTGCCCTTCGCTACGCTGCGACCCCCCCACTCGCTTCCGCTCGTGGGTGCACCACGCTTTCTTCACCAACCACGCTTTTATCACCAATTTTTATCACACCACGCAATTGGCTATCTCAACCACCCAACATGTCTAAATCGTCCAATTTTAGCGAAGATCAAATGGTTAAGGCCGTCGCATTCGCTATAGCCGAAAAAAAACCGAATATCTCGAAAATTGCACGTGAATTCGACGTATCTCGTGAAACCCTCAATTCACGCATCAAAAAGGCTAAATCGTCTCCTACTCCAAAGGATTCGCATCGGAACAATCTCCGTGCGTTCCAGGAGAAGGCCTTGATCAACTGGATCGTGAAAATGCATAGTTTGAATCTTTCTCCTACTGCTGTAGTTATAGAAGCGTGGGCAAATCAAGCGCTTTCCCGAGCTAGTTAAGAAAAATCGATTAGCAAGAAAAAGATCAAATTAATCAACTAAACTAGTAATAAATAACTAATAATCTAAATAAAATAACTCTCCAGTCTCTTCTGCTTCCCTTGCATTATTAATAGATCTTTGAATACTCTCCTGAGTGCATTGAATTGGTTTGAAACCATACGCTTTCTCGAGTTGTTTATCAAGTTTCCTTTTTTCAGCTATATTTTCCTTCTCTTTTCTTTGTCGAATTGAACAATTTGCATCACGAGACTGTAGGATACCATCTTGGCTAAGTGGTTTAACCTGTCGTTTAGTATAAACACGACGTTGGGGGGCTTGTGCAGCCCGAACACGTCGAAGTGAATCTTGTGTCATCGCAAGCTCCTCGAGTTTATCCAACTGATGTTTGAAGTTTTTAGCGATATTTTGCTGGGTTTTTTCCGAATTTTCTTTTATATCTCTGATAATTTTTGCCTGATTTCGTTCGAGCGTTTTAATAGTAGTTGGAGGGCTATTTTCCACGCTAGAAGATAGAAATTCCGGAGATGGTGTATGTATATCTGGTATCTGAAGTTCCGGGATATCGACATCAGGAATAACCATCTGATTTGATAAATTGGCCACGATTTGTTCACCATTAACTGGATAAATTCCACGTTCTTTGAAAGATGTGTGAATAATTCGTGTGTTGAAGGCCTTTTTGCGAATTGGACCAATAATCCGGAGAAAATCAGCTTTTCTGTACGGTCGGCCTTCCTAGAATGATAACTCATTATTCATAAGCCGAAATTGTTGTTTATAATTCAAAAATGGCTTTCCATCAAGTGGTTGATAGATATGAGTCGAATGTGGTAAAAATGCAAATGGAATAATCGAATTTTGTTCACATTTTTGAAGGAATTCAAGGGTAAGATGTGCACCATGACCATCGAATAAAAGATACCGTTTTTCACCACTTTTTAACCGGTCGGAAGTAGCAGTAGCAGCGATAAAATGATCTAGCCAAGCAAGGGCTAATTCATCAGTTATCCAACCATTTTGCGATATTGCAGCAGCGGAATTGAGTGGAAGATTATCGCTACCATCAAACCACGCTTCCATGAAGTTACCCGTGCTTTTAAAGATAAACAACGGATCCATTAACCATCCATCGGCTGCAATGCATTCAACTGCAGTAATATTTTCGCCTCGTTCAGATTCAGCCAAATTAGGACAAGATGACGAAGATCCAATAACGTTTCGAGATCGACCTTGACCAGGTTGGAAACCGCATTCGTCGAAGTTGTAAACTAGCCGTGCAGGAACATCTCGGAGGAGAAATTCAAGCTGATCGTACCAATGAGCAAGAAAACCAGCATCTTCCGCTTGAATTCGTTTCAATTCTTTGGTTTTCTGTTTTACTGGTGCTAGTTGTAGATGTTTTGGAAGGCGTTCGATAAAACGATAGGCCCACATCTTGCTAACCTGTTTTTCTTGACCAGCTCGGGAAAGCGCTTGATTTGCCCACGCTTCTATAACTGCAGCAGTAGGAGGAAGATTCCAACTATGCATTTTCACGATCCAGTTGATCAAGGCCTTCTCCTGGAACGCACGGAGATTGTTCCGATGCGAATCCTTTGGAGTAGGAGACGATTTAGCCTTTTTGATGCGTGAATTGAGGGTTTCACGAGATACGTCGAATTCACGTGCAATTTTCGAGATATTCGGTTTTTTTTTCGGCTATAGCGAATGCGACGGCCTTAACCATTTGATCTTCGCTAAAATTGGACGATTTAGACATGTTGGGTGGTTGAGATAGCCAATTGCGTGGTGTGATAAAAATTGGTGATAAAAGCGTGGTTGGTGAAGAAAGCGTGGTGCACCCACGAGCGGAAGCGAGTGGGGGGGGTCGCAGCGTAGCGAAGGGCACGGATACACTGTATACTAGCCTGCGATTTCGATCGCGATTGGCTCGCTTCTTAGCATGTCAGGCCCCACTTCGTACACTAGCGGGAGTTCTGCGCACGGACCCCCTACCCCGGACATATAGTCAGTCACTTTCTCCTACCTTTCCTCTTCTTCTTCTTTTCTTTTTCAGCGCTCTTTGCCAACTGGCTTAGATCAAGTGTAGTATCTGTTCTTTTCAGTTTAATCACTGAAAGTGTTCTCTGGAACACCCTGATTATCCCTATTTTTGGAACCCGCGGCCGGCCTCTGTGCTTGCGCATGCCAGCCGCACAGTGTCATTGGGCTTACACTATCCCCTCTCGACGCGAACACCTTTTTTTCATCAACTGTGTCGGCTTGTCCGGCCGCTTGGAGAAGAACTGGAGCATGCACAGGAGTGGGACATGTGTTGTTGACGTCTGTGACAAAGAACTTGAGGCTGTTACTGAAACAGCAGCTAATGTAGTTGCTGGCCTTGAAAATGATTGGCTTTCACGTGGCTATTCTAGAACATATAAATAAACAAGTGCAGTACGAGATGGTCCTTATATGGTTGTTACTGTTACTCAGCTCTGCCACCTGTTACTGTCTTAGTATTGAGAGGTCTCGTTCAAACTATGGGAAGTGGGAAGCTAGGATGGGGGATTTCTGGAAGGAGGTTAGATTGTTGTTGTAGTTACTCTCTCCCTAGTCCCATTATCTCGACTATAGGCGCCATTGCCCCTCCACTCCGCCAACTCTTTGCTCCCGTTGACCACGGTGACTAAATACCTTCACTGCTTATGTATCTATAGAAGCAATACTATTCCAGATACTCTATAATTACTTTAGGGATAGCAAAGATGCTACGACTTTTCTCAAGCTACGTGTTCGACAGGGGCAAACTATTGATCTTTAGGCATTCCTGAGGTTTATTGGTGAGTAAACGAGGTAAACGATCGAGATTATGCATTTATTCTCCATTGTACTTATAAAGAAAACCTTGTTATGAGGCTCAGAGTACCATCTATACCGATGGACGACTGCCAGTAAAATACCAGTAATCTACTAGGACGAGTTGGTCAAAGTCTTGACAATGAGCAATGGTCCCCAGAGGCCATCTATGATGCGAATTATGTTCTAGATATTCTGAAATATAAAACAAGACGGGACTCAACAACAGACATCGAAATCATCATTCGTAAGGAAGGTGTGATTATCCTTAGAGGGATCGGGGGTATTTGATCATTGGATTTGGCAAGGCGACGTTCACTTTACTTTGATGTGTGGGGTTTCCTTATTTGCTGATGATCTCACCAGACTCTGAGACGAGGTGGTCCTCGACAGAGATGGGTCCTTCTCCCACTTCCGGTCAGGATGACACGGCTCACGCCATTCTTCAAGACGTCAAGAACACGCGAATCAATCTTGTCGAGAGCGACACCAGGCGCAGTGACATTGGCCAATCTTTCATAGAAGGCGCCTTCCCAGCCGATAGTGTTGGCACCCAGAATAGCCTTGACGGTTCCAGCGACCAGCTCTGAGTCCTTCTCCTCGTAGTAGATCACAGCATTTGGGCCAGCATCGAAGGTGTACGCAGCAACAGTCTTGCCAACAGCAGTGTTAATGTCATGAACGAGGCGGACGGCAGCACGGGAAACATCGTTCATGTAGAAAATTGGGGGCCAAGAATCGAGGCAAGTAGCGTGGAAAGTGTTGGAGTCACGCATGGTGATCTCTGCGAACTTGGGAAAGTCGCGCGCTTGGATAGCGGCCTCGATGGCGCTCATACGCTCCGGCACAACGGATTGGGCACGAGTGGCAAACAGGTCTGAGGTGTTCACAGTAGTTTGCATACCCTCGGTACTGGGCACATCCTTCTTTTCGGCGCTAACAACGAGGACCAGAGCCCGCATCTCGGGCCAATGAGAAGCAGGGGCGACTTCCTCTGCGAGGCTGTCGCTGCCATCCGCAAGTTCACCGGTGCGCCATGCGACATATCCCCCCATCAGCGATCGACACGCGGAGCCAGATCCCTGTCGGGCGATGCGACTGAGCTCATTCGGTGATTGAGGAAGCTGGTAAAGATCAGCCACCGCTCGGACGAGCGCAGCGAACCCAGCAGCGGAGCTAGCAAGGCCAGCGGCAGTGGGGAAGTTGTTTTCGGAGACGATACGGAGGGGGAAGCTGGACAGCTTAGGAGGGAGGAATCGGCATCTTCAAGAGCCTTTCGGAGAGCGCGCAGGTTGGACAAGCAAGCTAGGGTTCGCTTGGAGGATTGAATGTCCTGTGGCTTGCCATTCAAGTTCAGGGTATCCTCGGCGGGGTAGATCGAGGAGCAAGAGGCGGTGGTGAGGGTACGAAGCGAGCGTTGTGAGAGGGTCACAGAGAGCGATGAGTTGGTTGGGAGGTTGAGAGTAGTATCACGCTTTCCCCAGTACCTGCGATTTGGCCTGGTTAGAATATAGGGGGGGGTTTAAATTAGACAATTGGGAGGGGCATGTCAAACGCACTTGATAACAGCAATGTTGACAGGGGCGGTCGTGGTGGCCCGATAGACAGACTGACTGGACGTAGCGGCCATTGTGGGGTCAATAAATCAAAATATCAAGGCCAAAGAGCAAGATTCCCGATCAGACGGAGTGTTTTGAAACTCCTAACGCTATAGGGGCGAGCGATCTTGGGCTGTTTAGTCTCTGGAGGCGGTGAAGAATAAATTGTCCACCTTATTTTAGCGTAGCTCCACATGCGATTTCCAATCATCTCATCTCCTCGAATTCCAACAACTTGTCACTCAACATCAATGGGGGCTGGTGCGAGCACTCCGGTTGCAGAGCCACCTGCGGCGACTTGTCCAGTGGACCACAAGACCCGTGAGGTCTGGCTACAACAACATGGCAACGCGCCGCATCCTCCGTCTCCCTCCGAAGCCGCTCAAGATGGAAAATCACCAGCAAAGATGCAACGGCCTTTATCAACAGATCGAGAAGTGAGCAGCATCCCACGGGCTGGAGATAATGGGCCACCGAGAGCTTGTCCACAATCGAATAGCGAAAGCCCATCACCATATGCTGCGTCGCACGGTTGCCCGTCCAATGCCGAAACCGAAACCGGGCGCGACGAAGCCACAGGCAACTGGATCTATCCCTCGGAGAAGCAATTCTTCGAGGCATTGATGCGCAAAGGCAACACACCCGGGTCTACATCCTCCGCTTCGGAGCTCGCAACATCAGTTGCTTCGATCATCCCCATTCATAATGCCGTCAATGAACGCGCCTGGCAGCAAATTCTAGAATGGGAGCGCAACGCTCCTTCAGAAGACCCAGGGAGCAAGAAATGTGGAGGGCCCAAACTATATTCTTTCCGTGGACTCGGTGTCGAACCTCAATTTCTGAGCCCTCGAGCGCGGCTCAATGGCTGGCTCGGTTACCAACGGCCCTTCGATCGCCACGACTGGGTCGTTGAACGCTGTGGCGGAGAGCACGTTGAATACGTTATTGACTTCTACCAAGGAAAAGCCGGGGGGGACCAGCACTCAGCCTGGTCTCACTGGCAACGCTGGACCAGGCAAACTCAGTTTCTACCTGGATGTCCGGCCAAAACTCAACAGTTATGAAGGCTGGAGGATGCGTTTCAACCGTTTTACTGGTCTATGATTCTCTTGTTCCCACTGTATAATCTCATGTATAAAGAAACCTGTACGATATTGCTGAAGATGGATAGACAAACAGGGGATCAATATTCTCCATTCCAAATACTCCCAGATCCAGTAAAAATAAACATTGATTGAGTCGGTTTGGAAGGAGAGCGAAGAAGAGCAGGCTTGTATTATGCATGAGGGATATCGTGCGTAGGCGTAACAAAACAAAAGACATGAGAAGAAACCCGCCAAGAATTGGATGAAGCATAGAGGCGAGGAAACACATCTATCCGAGGACAACCGCAAGCACAATGATGGCTAAAATGACAGCAAGAATGACTAGTAAGCAGCAAGCCTTGGTGCGCGCATTCTTCTGATACCGGCTGGCACTGCGTAGTTCAACATTTGCACCGCGCGTGTCGTGGGTGACGTTTTCGACATTTTCGCTAATGATGTCGAGCTGGCCTCCCTGTTCGTGGACAATATGAGCAACATCACGAAATAGCTCATTAAGCTCCCCAACACTCTGTTCAATGTTTCGGATCTCGGCTTCTCGCTCAATGATCAAGGTTTCTTGGAAATCGACTTCGCCTTGGTCGGCTAGTTGAGGCTGTTCTTGTAGCTGCTGCTGCTGAAGCTGAACATCATCATCCGTCACAAGGGCGTCTCCGTCTCCCATCGCTGCCCGGGCGGCTACAGTCGAAGCACGCTGCTTTTCCAAGGCACTACGTTGGACGGTCTGGAATTCGTCTAAGTTGGCTTTAAATTGGGATGAGAGCTTCTGCTGGGTCCATTTCTGAGAGGGCTGTAGATAGGAATTAGTTAAATTGTTCATATACATAGTGCTGTCTAAGCTGACTTACGTTGACATCCTCCCAAGTCTGGAGTTTCTTGATCCCTTCGCCGACATCCTTGAAACCTGCTCTGGTTTCTTCTAGGATATTATGAACTCGCTCGCGCACCCGCTCTGTATCACGCTTTGTCCCGAGAAGGGCGATTTGATTCGATAGGCGCGAGATGTTGGAGGTCAAAGTGAATATCTGGTTCCCTAGTGACTCGGCCAGTTGGTCGAATGCAGGATCATCGCGGTACTGTGGGTCCTCATCACGGCGCATGGTAGGCTGAGCCTCCAAAGAGTTTAAGCGATCGAAAGACATGCTGGTTATGATTCGAGGGATGTATGCACAATGTTGTCGAGATGAGGAGAAACGACTGCCTGTTGTACCGGAGCGCCCGCGCTCACATGACGTACCTGCGTTGCATTAGTCTGAATCGGGCGTAGTCCCGTGTGCCACATTCATCAACCCGAGCAAAATACGGTGCGCCACACTATTTTGGGAGCTCCAAGTCACATGATGTGGCTAGTGACCGTGTTTTGATGCCCGCCAAAATATTCCCAGGCCGCTTTGCTCTGTTGACCCCATCGACACGGCAGGAACACTGCATTGCTCCGATAGAGCTTTCGATTAACCATCCAGCATACTGCTGGCCGCGGATATTGCCTTTGCAGCTCCCCCAGCGATTGGAATGGTTCCCCAGACCATGCGCTAAAGCTTGTCTCATCATCCACGACCCAATCATCAGTCCTGCACACCATGGCCGCCCAACCTCGGTTGTACAGGCGCATCTTGACCTCAGCGCTACATAGGAGATTTGTCCATGCCTCTGCAGCTTCGCTTCTGGTCTGCTATGGCGTTGCTATAGCCATCGGTGATAAAACATCGTGTATGCGCTCCTTGAATAGCCCAGGATGTCCCTCATCTAACCATGCTCCCTTTGCAGTTTTCTGGTCATGGTTCCCGATCAGCGCATGCGGTGTCCGAACCGTCCTACTATTTGTTTCCGCCCTCTCTGTCTTCGTCCTTCGCGTCTCGCAAATGCACATTGGCCGCAGAAACAACACTTCGTCCCTGAGCACGTTCCGCTATCTATTCCCAGTACAGGTCTTCCAAACATTCGGATGGTACATCTTCTCTGCATGGTGGTTTACCGAGGTCTATCTTTGGTCCTGCGCAGCCGAAGCGCATCTAGAAATGGTCAAACGGGCTAGGTATGTTTCTGGTCGCAAGGCCAAGATTGGATTTTTGACTAATTGAGGCAGATCGCACGAGCGCGCCGCCTTGAACGAGCGACCGATCTACATTCACACATTCCATTTGGTGTTGGCATGTGTACAGGCAGCTTCGCATCTCTATTGGGACTACGACAGTATTCCTATTCCCGTAACAAAGCCGCGTTCGAATGCGGAGGACCAACGGACTCACCCCGTGCCTCCAACCTTGAAGCACATCCAGAGTGCTTTGCCGGAAAGAATCTATCAAAGCCTTGTTACCAGCGGAACTGTGGCCGTGGTTGGTCCTATCGTCTACCGCCTCTTCCTTCGACAGACCGCTTGGAGCGTATCACTGTACTTTGCGAAATTGTTCTGGAACTTCCCTCGTTCTGCATCGCAGCCTGATACCTTCTTGCCTCCAGGGATTCTCTTCTTGATTTTCAGGTCCTTCTTCTCTGGCTCTTGTCTTATACTCTGCTGGCAGTTGACTAATTTGTTCTTTACGATTTTCATCGGCAAGGAACCTCTGCGCCGGGAGCAACCGCTGACTGCTGATGCTAAGGATCCAAACGGCAGTTTACTGACCGGATTGAAAGCAAAGAAGCCCCTTGTCAAGACTTACGCGCTTTGGGAGTTGAGCCTGATTAGCCAGCGTCTGCCTGAGCGTCGTAAGACCATCTTCAATGAGATTGATCGGGATACTGGTAAAACATGGTCCCAGGTCTCAGAAAGCTTGATCGGCGTTATCAAGGATATTACTGTCAGAATCGAAGCAAGCAAGGCTCCAGCAGCTGCAGCGCCGCAAGCAAAAACTGCTGAACCTGTCCTACATAAACTGCCACGCCTGACAGACGCTCCAAAGGAAGAGAATGTTTTCGCAGCTTCCCCGCGACCGGTAACCCGAAAAGAACGGATAGGGGATGCCTTTACTTCCACTGCTAAATACTTTGGACAAGCAGAGGATTGGACACCCAAAGCGCGAGCTCGCACTCGTGAGATCCTCGACCACGCGTCTTCTGCTATGCTGAGCCCCGAACACAAGAAGAAACTGATCTCATCGTCTAACGACCTCAAGCTGATTGCTGGAGGTTCTTGGTCTACATACAAGCCAGAAAACATCCACCCAGTGCTCTTCCGCGCCCTCAGGTCCCCTGTTGGGCAATTAGTGCAACAAACCTATGCTCAACGTGCATCAAGCATCGTTCTGGGATCGCCTGATACATGCTTATCACAAATCATAGATGCAATCGATTCCTTAACACGACTACTGATTGCAAGTTTGGCAGAGGATACATATGGAAACGTGCAATCAGACGTACTGCCGGTGGTCCGCCTGTTCACAGAAACAATCACAGTCGTAGATGCTTTCGTCCACAAGGGTGGTTTGGATGCGCACTGGACTGATGTCAATTTCCCACCTGCAAGCAAGCCTGAGGAACAGGCCAAGGCACGCCACGTCCCTGACGTGGACCTCGTCTTGGAGTCGCTGCGAGGCGGTCTCAGCAGCCTCTTGGAAGCGTTCCAGCCCTACCTACGGGATATCAAGCTTGAGGGGAAAGATCTCAGGCTGGCGAATGAAGCAGCCAACCCCGAGGTGGAAGATGATTCTCCATGACCTACGATTGTTCTCGGTTTCTTTCCAAATTTATTCTATGTTATACTATGGGTAGCTATATCTCCAGCTACTCAATCACGCGATTCTATTGGTGTTACTTATTAAAGGACAAATGCATGGTCGGGCGTTTTTGTTCCATCTTAACGGGACGATGGATTGTAGCAAAATCGACAGCCTCTTTACTGCCGAAATCTTTACTGCTGAAAACGATTACAGTATCTATATGTAAGATTAGGACTCCGATGGCCTGTCGTAGTGAAGTCAAAATTCTCGTTATCTCCCACTCGCTCTTTCGTCCCGGGTCACATGACTGTCTCCGCAACGACTTCATGTCGCGTCCATAACACATGGTTTCTATCATAGGGAATTCTTGAAAGTCCAAAAAGCCTTCAGTCCTTCTCCAAAGAGCCAATATCTTAAGACATGGCGTTACCCAATGTCTACCACCTGCGGCGGGTTGCGGATACCTCGTCCAAAGCATGTTTAATATGCTTCAAGCCATCAACAAGTGTGTTGATTACCCCAGACAACAAGGTAAGGCCGCTTGAATTTGATCATTCCAAGTTGGTTTTGGAACTATGATTGAGATCTATGCTATGATTCTTCTTCCATTTCTGCGAGCTCTAACCAGCGTAGGACTTCTTTTACGTGTGCCCCTCACATTTGCAAGACCGCAATTTCTGCTCGGCTATAGTTGACACAGAAGGCGAAGCAGCACGCCTTAAAGAGGAGAAGATGGCTAAGGAAATCGAACAAGTAAAAAAGGAGTACGACGAAAAGCAAAGACGAAAAAAAGACCGCCAGAATAAATCCGACAAGGACAAGGATGAGAAAGAGAAGGACGAATCTAAAACGAAAGAAAAAGAGGACTCGGGCTCGAAAGCCAACGACGAGAAAGAAAGAGATGACAAGGTTTGACGGCGCGTAAGCATCCATCGAAAGTTGTTTACTAACTACGTTTTCGTAGATCGATTCCATTCGAAAGGCCGGTTCAGAGTCCAAGCCTGACAATTCACCCCGAGTTTTTGCTCTGCATAAGTATGTGCCTTTTATTGAACTCAGGGTCACACACTAATACTTGCAGAACATTTTATCAAATGCGGATAGACCGCCTGAAGGGCATTGAAATGGCCAAGCGAAACCAGGAACGGATGAAAAATCCTTCATTATTCCCTTCTGTTCCCAAGGGAGACATTTCATAACACTTGTGCTATTTAGCTGTAGTTTCATATACTGCATTATGCTATGGGACGGTCAGCGGGAAACCATACTACTGAAAATCGGCTCTCTCTATAATATGTATGAATTTCAGAGGAATCTTAAGGTCGCATTATACTAATACTATCAATGGTAGCCTACGATGGAGTTGGTGGACTAGCAACGGCGCTCTGATCCGGGATACTAAGACTAGAGGGGGAAAGGAAGAGAGAGAGCGGGAGGAGCTACAGCGACGATCTATCTATTCCTTCGTGAATCTCTGTCCCGTCTTCGCCAATTTCGTAGTTCGAACGGTCCTCTTCTATCCAAAGGTGGTAAGTGGTGGCAGAATCGAGTAATCGTGTGATGCCCGAACGTTAATAGGCTCGGAGTATTATGGGATACGACTGAGGGAGGCCGATACTACTACGAGTTCGTGAGAGAGGAGACTCGATTGTAGCAAGATAATCAAACTAATCGTTGGAGAACCCTTCGGTTCCTCCCACGATTATCCTATATATATTGCGAGATTTAACTAGCGAGCCCCCCTTTATGGGTCTCGAGTCATGCCATAATGGCGCCAGGCCTTCCGAGCCTTCCTTCGAGTTCCTCCGCGGCTTCTTTGTGATTAGTCGGAGTGTCTCGTGACAGCGACTCCTTTGTAGTCGATTAATCGGAGCGTGTCGTGACAAATCGGTGACAAATACCATAAATTAGTTAGTAATTTAGCCATAGTTATAAGCTAGAAATATAAATATCGCAGTTAATCTCACCCCGAAATTTCAAGGATTCCACTTACGTACTACATTAACCATACAGAATATGACTGTGAAATTTGCCATCTATACGAGCCCTAATACTTGAGATACAAAATTGTAAAGAACAGCATTTAATATGGTGTTCTACGGTGGCCCAATCGGTGGTGTGACCCACTCGTTACGTTAGACCTGGATTTAAGTTAAGAGGACGAGCGTGCTGGCCACTTCCATGATCACCTTACCCTGGAACTGGTAATGACCAAATGGTGGAACTATCCGAGCTTTTCTTTGTTTTTCAAGCCGTTGATTGTCCTCAGCATAAAGCTGCTCGCGAAGGCTGTCGGGAACGTCATCATGCGTCGAGGACACCGTCTTGTTCCACATATTTAACGAAGGTTTTCATATCGTGTGTCTTCAACCTGTAGTGTTTTCCCCCTTCGGACCTTGCCAGCAATATTGCCCTTCATGGCGACATGGGATGGGACGTCGCATGGCACGGCACACATCCCACCAGATGGAATGTTGACCAGAGGATTGCTCGGCGTCAATCTGAGCATCTCGTTCACCAGCACTCCTCTTAGTAACCGATGACTTTTCTCGTTTGTCGCTTGTGGACGAGAGACGTCCGCTATCTTCTATGTTGGTGGATATATGGAGGCGAAGCTTCTTGCCAAGACGATACAGATGGGCCCATGCCACCAGCAGCTCCTCCACCGTTGCTCGACCAGTATTAGTGCTCTCAAATCGCTTGGTATGATCTCGTTGTAAACGATCATTTACAGAAATGACAACAGTAGTATCTTCCGGTTTCACCCGTCTGTTACGTGTTAACTTCCGACGTAAAACACTTCCGGCAGACTCTGTCATCTACGGCCAGTAAGACCTGGGTAGCAGAGCTAGGTCTTGATCAGTGTTCTTTGCCACTCCCCGTTTATTTATTGTAACCCTCCGGTAGTGAACATAGTTTGGGTATTGTCCATCCCACGTCACTTCGTCTCGGTCAACTTCTGGCATAAAATTCAGTGGGTCGGACTGTGGTCAATGCAGGGGGATGAACAGTCATCGACTATTTGTTCGGGTTCGGGTGAAGGGCAGATTGCAGATGGCGTGCATTCACGGTCCAAGTAGTAACCAGGAGTGGAGGTTAGGCAGTTCATGCCGGTAGGCATCATCGTCGGTATTATCATCTTCAAAAGGAGTTCATCTTCAAAAGGAGTGTGATTCATGTCCCCAAGACAAAATATGCCACTGAGAAGCCTAGGAATATCAGTGTGTGTTCCTTTGTACCAGGAAAGAAGGTGTCACGAAGCGTCCATCTGGAACTTCAGTCTTGGGATGGACAATGTGGTCTATTGGTGGATGATGCACCTATTGTCGCAATAATATATGAGCTATTTAAGCGGCTAGTCGATTTTCCATGTCGGCATGTTCTTGGGCCACTGGACCGCAGTCTCTATGAACTGGCTCCTTATAGGCCATGTAGTATGAAGGCAGCTACTATAGCTACAAGGACAAGCTGCCTGTATGAAGCCAATATTATATCAAACCCATCTCAGTCTCCGTCACGATAGCTAGTGGCACATCAAGTTCCTCGTCAATCAACCCACCGCACCGATAACAGGCGTATTCCCCAACTTCTTCATAGGGATCCAGCTGACTAACACCGCCGTCCCTCCCAGCGCGATCCCCAACGCCCACGATGCCTTAATTCCCTTCAAATACGCGAGTAAAATGCCTGGTAGCTGAGAAGGCAAGAATAAATCTCGAATCTCAGTCGCGCCGGCGGCGAAGACAGACGCGGGAGAGACAGAGGGCGCGTAGATGGCCAGGCCGGCGACAAGCTGGTTGTCGAAAATGCTTTGGGCAGCGGGGACGGAGAGGGCACCACTGATAAGTTGGAAGACTATTGAATTCATTATTAGTTATAAAAGTTGAGAACCCAGGGAGGACATGGAACGGCGTACATAGCACCATGGACGTTACGACGGGAATATCCACCGGATCTACCAGCGTCTGGCATGCCATCACGGGAATCTGGATACTCAGTCCCACGCCCACACCCACCAGGATCTGGTACCCGATGTACTGGCCGGTGGAGGGATTGAGCCCCATAGTGTACAGCATGCCTGCGCCGATGGTCAGGACGGCAGATCCTGCCACTAGGAAGAGCTGAAAACGACCCTTGGCGTATTTGAGGAGGCTTCCGCTAAGGAGAGTGCAGATCGCTGGATTTTACGGTCAGTGAGTTCATTTTCTAGGGTCGTATGTGGGATGGGATTACAGCTCGCGAGCATCAGCGGGAGATTGCGAATGCCACTTCCCATGGGCGAGGCGTTGGCGATGGCCTGGAAGTAAACGGGAAGGTTGTAAATAAGCAGGAAATTGGACGAGTTGAGGCTAGACATCGTTATTCAAAGCAGTCTTTTGTTAGGGCATGCAGTGTCAGGCATACAAGAAGATGAACGCGCAACACACGGCGATCTCGCGGCGTTGCAGGAACCGCGCCACCAGGAGCGCCTTCTCGCCCTGGAGCCACTGATCAATGCTAAAAGCCACGGTGAGCAGAACCCATCCTACCAACGTCCCTATCACCCGCGATGAACTCCACGGATCATGGACACCGCCCCATTGCAGGGCCAAACAGTAGCACACCATGGCGCACAGGATGATGAGAATCCCCAACGGGTCCATCTGCAATAAGATGTCTGTCCATGATGCCGGTGTGGGTTTGTGGCGGCCGGGGGTGTGAAAGAAGAAGATCAGAATGAGTAGCACGAATCCGCCGACGGGCAGATTGATGTAGAAGCTGAATTCATCGGCATCAACGTCAACAATCATTCAAAAGAAGGACAGTGAAGATAACGTACCACCAACGCCATGAGGTCTTATCCGTGAACACTCCTCCCAGCAATGGGCCACAGACACTAGCACAGCTGAATACGGCACCTAGCAGACCCAGGTATACAGGAACCTGCGTGGGCTTGACGATCAAAGCAGTGATGATATACACGCCGCCTGTGATGCCTGCACCCCCGACCCCTGTGATAGCTCGGCCCACTATGAAGGTGGTGTTATTCTGCGCGACTCCTGGGCTTGGTTCAGTCTTGGTTGGTTCGGATTGGCCGACGAAAGAGAAGCTTACCCGCGATAAGACTACCCGCTTCGAACAGCACGACGGAAGCAAAGAAAGTCGTCTTGAGCGGGAAGTACTTGTACGCCTTGCCCCATGGCGACTGAAAGCAGGCAAGAGTCAAGAAGAAGGACGATGCATACCAACCCACTGTATCCACACTGTGAAATTGAGCCGTGATCTTTGGAATCGCCGTCGACACAATGTTCTACGAGAGCTGTTAGCCCTCGCCTTCGTCCTCGTATTCGGCCAAAAGAAGGCTTACCATGTCCAAGGCAACCTGAAACCCAAAGCTCGCAAGTGAGCTGTCAGTCTACAATCTGAGACGCCAAGGGCGGGCAATGCCTTACCAAAAACATGCCTATCAGTAGCGCAATCATTACCAGGAACAGCCGAACGCCCGTCAAATGGGCTGGCTTCTCCTGCGTGGGGTCCCGAGCTAACTCCTCCGATAAGAGAACTTTTTCGTTGTGTTGGACCCCCATAGGGGTGTCACCGGGAACCATAATGGGGGATGATTCAGGCTGACAAGAAGAGTGATAGAAAGCAGATCACGTAGTCCGGCCATATCAAAGCTTTAATGCCGGAGGAAGATGGGCGGGCATACTCACGCTGGTATTCGTTGTATCAGCCACCAAAACCACCAGAACGGCGCTTGTATTTTTCAATATTGTCGTTATAGATCGATTCAACACGCATTGAGGCTGAGGTGAGAATATAGTGGCACCAGCAGAAGGCTTCCACGGTAGATAACGGGGAACTCAGGAACGGAACCCGGAGTATAAAGGGTTGTCGTTGGAAAGACCCCGTTCCTGGTGGATGAATGCATATCCTTCCACTATCGCCAATCGCTGGTCACATCCTCTCGGCTACAGATCTTCTGCTGCTCTATCAAACCTTGCCAAGTATGCATCCTATTTTAGGTGTGGGGACACTCCTGTTTGCTCTGGGTGCTGCCTACCGACCGCAGTGTCGCTATCTGCCGGGGGACGTCCAATGGCCGCGCCAGAAGCTCTGGGATAGGCTAAATGCCACGGTGGATGGACGCCTCATTGCAACAGCCCCTCTGGCCTCAGTGTGCCATGATCCGCAGTACAATGAGACCGCATGTGCGGTGCTGCAGGAGTGGTGGTCGTGGGCGCGATATCAGTACGACTAATGCAATCCCCACTTTCGTGCATTCAGTTATTGAAGACATGGATTAATGATTTCGTACAGTGAGAATTCCCCCACCTCGGTCATGACCCCCTGGTTCCAGGATCAGGAATGCAGCCCCTACACCTCGGTCTCAACACCATGCCAGCTGGGCAATCTGGTGGCGTATTCGATCAACGTTTCCAGCGCAGCCGATGTGCAGGCAGGGGTCAAATTTACCCGGGAGAACAACGTGCGCTTGGTCATCAAGAATACAGGACATGAGTAAATGACTCCTTGGATTTTCTTGCAAGCATCTATCTAATCTGACCTTTGTGCAGTTACATGGGTAAATCTACCGGGCAAGGGGGTTTGGGACTGTGGATGCACAACCTCAATGCCATTGAAGTGCTGTCAGATTATAGCAGCCCCAGTTATCATGGACCAGCTCTCAAACTGGGAGCAGGGGTAGTGACATCCGCTGCGTATGAAACTGCCAACCAGCACGGACTACGGATCGTAGGAGGCGACTGTCCAAGCGTTGGAATTACCGGGGGGATTCACTCAAGGCGGCGGACACAGTATCCTCAGCTCGCAGTATGGACTGGGGGCCGACCAAGTGGTGGAGTGGGAGGTAGTAACAGCGACAGGGGTGCACCTTATCGCGTCCCCCTCACAAAATACTGACCTGTACTGGGCCCTGAGTGGTGGAGGTCCAGGAACGTATGGAGTGGTCATCTCGATGACGGTCCGGGCTCATTCGGACGCAGGCGTGGTGGGCGGAGCCAGTCTGAGCCTCTCATCGACCGGTTTAGCGCCATCCATCTACTGGGGAGCCATTCGCCAGTGGCATGAGATGCTGCTTCCTATGACCAATGCTGGAGCCACTGTCAATTACCTGGTTACTTCGTCAGCCCTCACCGTCGAGGCAATTACCCTGGTCAACGGCACCGCTGACGATATCCACACCCTCCTGCAGCCCTTCTTGGTCTATCTCAATCGGTCCAATGTCACCCAGGCTGCTTATACGGTCAATACGACCACTTCCACCGACTTTCTATCTCACTATTTGCGATATTTTGGGCCATTGCCCGACGGCGCCTTCGCTACCGCCCAATTAATCGGCGGCCGTCTCGTCCTCGATCCATTTTACAGAATCCTGCCAGCCTCTCGGAGTTAATGACCCTGGTGCAAAACATTACTGTCTCCACACCCTTCTATGTCGTTGGCTTTGCGGCCAATCTCTCCATTACGGCGTCCAGAAGTCCGGTCGCGTCCAACGCAGTGCTTCCCGCGTGGCGCGACACAGGGGTGTCACTTATCCTGCCTTCGGTCTGGAATTTTACCCTGCCTCGCTCCGTCGAAGTCCAACGCGAGCTACAGCTGACCGAAAAGCTGGAGCCGCAATTGCGCAAGCTTACCCCGGGCAGCGGCGGCTACCTCAACGAGGCCAACTTCATGCTGCGAACTTGGAAAGAGGATTTCTACGGCGCAAACTACGACCGTTTGCGCGCAATCAAGAAAAAATACGACCCAGAGGATCTATTCTACGCGCTTACTGCCGTGGGCAGTGATGCGTGGACGGTGGCTGACAATGGGCGTATGTGTCGATCGTAGAGGGAAAGACCCGACAAAGCGTGCTGATAGGACTCCAAACGTACCAAACCAGTCTTTTAGTATGTAATCTCACCGTCCGTTTTGGAATCACTGTCTCTTATTATCCCTTTCTGATACGATCCCTGGGAGGCAGTTCTGCCCAAACGAAATATCTGCGTGGTGTATTTAGGGGGAGAAGACTAGCTAAGCGCGAGAGACATGGCTAGATCACAGGAGCAAACAAAGAATCATGCAATGATGCCTCTATTACTTTTCCTTACCAGGGGAATTGAGATCCATCCCACACGCGCAGCTGCCCCCCCAACCGACTCCCTCGTCCCTTCGTCGATGGTCTTCACGATACCGCCGACACTCTCCTCGACCGTCTGGAAGGCCTTCTCGAGGCCAACAGCCTGGCCGCCGGCATTGCCCATGTCAGTTTGGGGGAAGCTACATATTCATTAACATGTCTGAGACGCAACGACGATTCGAAAAGAGCAATCACTAACCCAGGATCTGCAACAAAGCTCACAAAGTCCTCATTCTCAAGATGGATCTTGCGCACGATCCAGTGCAAAATGGCCTTGCTGGGGCCATACGCCGCACACGGGTACGGGCGCTGCTCCATGCCGCCGATGCTGCCCAGAGGACTGCCGACTCCCACAAACGTGGGATGCTTGCTCTTCTTGAGCAGCGGGTAGATCGCCTGATAGAGGTAGATAGGCCCGTAGCCATTGACCTCGATGTGCTCGCGCAGCACGGGGATGGACACCCCGTGCACGGGCGAGAAGTCTTGACTGATGCCGGCGTTGGCGATTACTACGTCCAGGTGGTCAATGCCGTGTTCCCTCTGAAGGGTCTCTACGGCAGCGGCCGGGTCCGTGGAAGACTTAGAGTCGATCTTCACCACGATCAGGCGAGAGGACTCGCCCTTGGGGAGGGATTGCAGGGACTGAGATGAGGCACCGGCGGGATCGCGGACGGCCGCAATGACAGTGGTATTGGAGCGAGAGAGGAATTTCTCGGCCAGGCCACGGCCAATCCCGCGGCTAGCGCCAGTAATGAGATAGATTGTGTTGGTCATAGTAGCAATGGTGGACTTCTTGGTTGGGGATGGCCACGTTGAGAGATGAGAAACGGCCTAAATATGCCAAGGGTACGCTGCGATTTCTAATAACACCATAGGGATGACAAATGCGCGTGAATTCTTACAAATACAACCTGAATAAGTACGAAATGTGACAGAAAGGAAAAAAGAAAAAGAAGACAGGGGAGAACAAAGAGGAGGCCTTAGATGATTCCCGATCGGGTTAGTGTGGATAGATAGCCCTAATGATAGTACAAATGATCGGAGACAGATCGCTCCACTCCCATATACCTTATCAAGGATCTGTAATTAATTACACCACGTGAGTGACCCTGATACGCCTCTTACATTACATTCGTACATACTGTATTTACCTATGTATGGCGACGGATATACATACACATCTAGGTATATTAAATCTCTGGGCAATTGTCCCTCTAACTTCGATTTCACTCCTTATGACCGTTCGCATTCTCTCCCTCCATGGCATGGGCACCAACGCCCGCATATTTGCCGCCCAAACAGCCCATTTCCGCAATCTCCTACCGCCGGATTATGAGTTCGTCTTTGTGGATGGCACCACCGTGTGTGATCCAACCCCCGAAGTCGCAGACAACTTTGAGGGGCCGTACCTGGGCTGGTATCGCAGTCCAAGCACCGTCAGGGTCGCCGCCGCTCATGACGCCGTGCGCAAAGTGATAGACGAGAAGGGGCCGTTTGACGCAGTGCTGGGCTTTAGTCAGGTATGTCTACTTCTATCTATGTACATTCTATACCTACTCGCTCCCATCCTCTGTATTCTAACCATCGTAAATCACTCAGGGCGCCGCCGTCGCCGCATCCATGCTCCTACATGCCCGAATCGCAGGTCAGAGACCCCCCTTCCAGGCCGCCATCTTTATCGGGTCGCCGATTCCCTTCTCTTGCAGCCTAGACTACGGTATCGACACCCGAACGTACTTCGGTATCGCCGCGTCTTCGCCCAGCCGGCCCGGTGCGCTCATGCAGATACCAGATTACCTAGTCACGGACCCGGCGTATCTGAAGGGTGAAAAGAGTGCGGAGGAGGTCTTCTACCAGATGTTCCATGCTACAGTTGATCCCTATCGCATTGGCATCCCGACGGCTCATGTGTACGGGCTGCGGGATCAGTGGCGCCGCCACAGCATGGATTTAGTGCAGCTGTGTGATCGTGTAACGGTCGTGGAACATGGTGAGGGTCATAACGTGCCGGCAGGGTATAGTGAAGAGATTGCTGATGCTGTCGAGACGGTGATGACCGGGGTTGGGGGGAGATAAAATATATGACATTAGCAGAACAAGTATATTCAGGAATATATCATGTCCGGTCGCACTACTTGTCATAACGTATAAAGGAAGTGGCCAAAAAGACAAAACTTTTTTTTGAGGATAGTTAGGTGATTGCTTATTATGTGAAAATATAATAGTCATATATGGTTTCATAATTTCGCCGAGAAACTTTAATTTGAAAGTATGTAGTGATATTTCCAAATTTTGGTCGGTAACAAGCAAAGCGGGGAAATACATTTGTTCGACTAGTGTATCTAAAGCCGTAACATATATATAATCAGGGTATATGTCTAGCCGTTCCTTGGTATCTTCTTCCCTCTACCTTCACACCTGTTCCTACCTCCAACTGTACCTCTTCACTAAGATAGTATCACCCTTGTTCCATGTCCCCCATCATCCTCGTCACTGGGGCCACGGGCCAACAAGGCGGAGCGACAGCCCGCCATCTCCTAGCCCGAGGGCTGCGCGTCCACGCCTTGGTTCGGACAAACTCCAGCGCCGCCGCGCTCGACCTGCACCGCCGCGGCGCCGTTCTAGTCGAGGGCAATTTCGACCAGCCAGAGCAACTCCAGTCCGCCTGCCAGAATGCAACTGCAGTGTTCCTGAATGTGTCGCCTTCGTTCCGAGGCGACGGGGCTGAACTGCGGCAGGCGACCAACGTCGTGCGCGCAGCTCGTGCATCCAGCACCGTCACGACCCTCGTTTACACCAGCGTCTGTGCCATCGATGAGCGCGAGAAGTTTCCCGGATGGTACGATGGCACTATTTCCAGCATCATGAAGGGGTATTTCGAGAGCAAAGCTGCTATCGAGGATCTCGTACGTTCGGCTGGCTTCACGTACTGGACGATCCTCCGCCCCCCCGTCTTCATGACAAACTACCTCCTTCCCAGCGTGAGAGGGTATTTTCCTGAACTGGCTGAATCCCGTACTCTTCGCACCGCTATGGCGGCCGAAAAGAAGACGATGCTTATCGACCCTGATGATATCGGGCGCTTTGCAGCTGCAGCTCTCACAGAGCCGGAGCGGTTCTCGCACCGTTTTATAGATATCGGGGGTGAGGCCCTGACGGCGGAGCAGATAGCGAGCGCTATTTCTGAGGTCAGTGGGCGCGTTATTACGGTCGACCACATTCCCCGCGACTTGGCTGTGCGTCTGGCGCCCTCGAGTCCCCAGATAGACTCTCAGCTGTGGTTCTGGGAGCGGCAGGATAGGTTTGGGCCACAGGAGCTGGAGACCGAGTTTGGGATCAAGTTGACTAAATTTAAGGAGTTCTTGACTGCGAACAAAGAGCTGGTGAGGCAGACGTTTGGATAGATGGACATCATCGAGTTTCTAGTCATTGAGATGCGTACACCAAAGAGAGGAATGTAAACTTCTGAATAACCTACTCTATATATAACCACCTCCAACCATGGACCATATCTCCAGTCTCCCATGCTCCACTCCGTCCCCTTTCTATATACATTGATCTATTTCACAACAACCCTCACTCCCTTCGTGCCATCCGCTGCCATCGGCACAAAAAATTCCCTCGCCATATCCACAGCCTCCCTTCCTGTCTCCCAAAGCTCGAGATCCAGCCTCCGAAACACCGCCGCCAAGCCGATGTAGATCTCCGCCTGCGCCATATTCATCCCCAGACACATGCGCGGGCCACGCCCGAACGGCACCAGATACTGGCCCAGTGCCCGGCCATTTGGAGCGACCGGCTCACCCAACCACCGATCGGGCAGGAATGTGTCAGGCTCGGGGAATATGCGCGCGTCCCGGAGCTGCAAGTACGAGCTCATGCCGAAGACCGTATTTGGGGGGATCGTGTACGAGCCGTATTGGATTGGGGCTGAGGGGTTGATCCGGCGGAGGCGCTGGGCGATGCCGATGGCAAGGCGGAGGGCTGTACCGAAGTTAGGATGTCTATTGGAGTTTATTGTAGATTAATAGATAGACAACGTACACTCCTTGGTCACGGCCGTCAGGTAAGGCAGGCACTCCAGCTCCGTGAGCGACAGGGGCGCCGCAGGAACGGGCATCGCAGCCTCGAGTTCCTCACGCAGTCGGGCGTGGATGTCGGGGTTGGCGAGGATGTGGTAGCAGGCGACGGACAGGGTTGTCTTGGTGGTATCGACTCCGGCACCGACGATGCTGGCGCCGTCGTGTTTCAGTCGGTCGGGGAGCAGCTCGATCGGATCGAGGTTTGAGTGCAGGATCTCGTGGAAGACGGTCTTGTGCGCGACTGTCTTATGGCGGTCGTTCTGGCCTGAGGTGACGTGACGGATTTGCACCGCTATTTCCTATTCGTTACAATGAGCATGAAATTGGGTAGAAATTGACTGAACGGAACATGCCTCATGGAACTGAAAAACCGGCTTCATGGTAGGACTTAGAATAGCCACCAAGGAGTCTGGAAGGGCCTTCAACGCTGTGAGAAGAAAGGGGAAATGGCCTGCCACATGCAGTGAGCGAGCCAGGTGTTGGATTGCGGTTGTAAAGGGTGCCTTGAAGTCCGGATAGTCCAAAAAGTTGTAGGACAGCCCGAACGCGTAGAAGGTGATGATATCCATCGTCAACGCACCCCAGGCCTCGTTCAAGCAAACTACCTGCCCGCGATACTCGTCCTGCAGCCGGTTAACCATTCTGTCTGTCTGCTGCTGGATGTAGGCGCTGAACTCGAGGATCTTGGATCGCGCAAAAAAGGTGCCCAGCGGACCCCGTCGTCGATGGTGGTGGTCATGGTCGATCGTGTCGAAGGTCGAGTTCTCGAGTCCAAACCGGAAGCGCCAGTCTTCGGGCTTCTTGTATTTGGCTGTCGCCGTGTACAGCTGGTTGTAGAAGTCGGGGTCTGAGATGTGAACCTCCCATGGGTTGATACGAATGATGGGTCCTGGAGCGCTGATTTAGAGGGTTGTGTTTGTGCGGTAGAGACTCCAAAATACCGTATTGCTGATGCCACGCCTCAATTTGAAAGGTAAACTGACCACCCTGGAAGACATCGAAGAAAGTCTCGTACCATCCAGTCAGAGCGGCCAGTCTCGGTCCGGGAATATGGGCAATTGGGCTCCAGTACAGACGGTACAGGGCCAAAAGGGCCAACTAGACGGCCAACAAGGGGAGAAGCAGCATGAATGCCATTGTTGCCGATGTGGTATGGAAAGAGGAGACAACAAGCAAAGGAACGAGAGATGTTCCTTTCATACCACGGATATGTATGATAAATTTATGTATGTCAATTACCTCGAAAAACAGTAATTTGTTACAAAATACATACATATGAAATACGAACGAAAATACCCTTAGCGGCTTGATCTGGCTTATGGACTAATGCAAGTCATCTTTGGCTTATGCTTATAGCTTTTTACATTGACGCCTCATAGTCACGGGGATAAGCGACGTTACATTGCATCTGCAGTGAGCATCTGCTTGTCTCGTCGAATCTAGCTCTCGTCAGATCTAGATCCCATCGCGAGCTTATCGCGCGGATGGCACAATGTCGGAGTCGGGCGGGACAAATAGAGACAGCTGATTTCCCTTCAGCCAGACAAAGAGGAGGAAAGTTGACAACGATGGTTCTGATTAAGGATTTTCTCGAGGCCATTGGAGCCGCAAGCCATCATCCAGTTAGACTGTGCCTGGAAGCGATTGTCATTCAGCTTGTCTATCTCATTGTCCTAGGCGTCTATCGCCTCTACTTCCATCCTCTGAATAACTTCCCTGGTCCAAAGCTGGCGGCTTTGACATACTGGTACCAGACGTACTACGATCTCCTCAAGGCTCCCGGTGGGCAGTTTATGTTCCAGTACCGCAGGCTTCATGAGCAATATGGTAAGATCTGGCGGCCAAAAACACAGGTGTACTGGCTAACGAGAAGCAGGACCAATCATCCGCATCAGCCCGAATGAGATTCACATCCAAGACTCGAGCTTCTTCGACGAGATGTTCTCCCAGACCCTGCACTGGGATAAGCCTGACCACCTGCAGTATCGCTTCAGCAATGCGACGGGGACGTTTCCGACTCCTAAGCACGAGATCCATCGGCGTCGCCGTGCAGCGGTCAATCCCTTCTTCTCGAAACAGAGGATCGCGGACGTATCCTGGATCATGCAGGAGCAGTTGGACAAGCTCTGTGCTCGCCTTCGCAAAGAATACCAGGGAACAGACCAGGTCCTGCGTTTAGATTGGATGTGGGGTTGCATTACGTCCGATAGTATCGTTCGCTACTGCTTCGATCAAAGCTACGGGTTTCTCGATGCTCCGGATTTCAAGTCCCCCTTTGTGCAAGCGATGGTCGATCTTTTGGATGGGGTCCATCTCGTTACGCAATTCCCCTGGGTGATGGCCATCCTAAATGCACTTCCGGAGCGTCTGCTGGCTCTGATCCAGCCAGGGATGAAGTCTGTCCATGACTTCAACCATGTGAGTGCCCTACTTCTGGTCACCAATCTCCTCAAAATCAAGGCAGACAAGCTGATCTACGTAGCAAATGGAATACCAGATTACAGACGTGCTGGCTGACAGGAAAGCTGGAGGAAAGCCCAAGCGGACTGTCTTCCACGCGCTACTGGAGTCCGATCTTCCCCCAGAAGACCTCTCTCCGATGCGCCTCCAGCACGAAGCCATCAGTGTGGTGGGAGCAGGCATCGAGACAACCAAATGGGCCCTTTCTATTGGCAGCTTTCACATCATCAACAACCCTGGGATCTACCGACGCCTGCGGGAGGAGCTTGAGGCGGCGATCCCCCACCCTCAGAACATCCCTCCACTGAGAGAGTTGGAGCGACTCCCTTACTTGACCGGCTGTATCCAAGAATGTGAGTTCCATTTCCCTCTCCCCTTGGCTTCTATCTTCGAAAAGGATCGGCTAATAATATCTCGATGAAAATCCCAGCAATTCGCCTGTCTTATGGAACCGCCCAGCGAAGTCCTCGCGTCTCCCAGACCTTCGACCTACCCTACAAGGCGTATGTAATTCCCCGCGGGTCCATCGTCAGCATGGACAATTATGCCATTTCCCACGATGAAGCCATCTTCCCAGATTCGCACGAGTTTCAGCCCGAGCGCTGGGCGGGTGACCCCCTCGCTCCCGACGGGAAGAAGTTGGTCCGGTATCTAGTGTCTTTCGGGAAGGGGACTCGGTCATGCCTGGGTATCAACCTGGCTTATGCGGAGATGTATATTGCCATGGCCAATGTCTACCGGAACTTCGAGTTCGAGCTGTTTCAGACGGATCGCACGGCTGTTGACTGTTTCAAGGAGATGTTTGTTCCTCATCCGAAGCCAGGGACCTTGGGGGTACGAGCAAAGGTGAAGTAGACGAATGTCTTAAGGGATCGTATTGATGACGGTTATCGGTGGATATCTTGAGACTTTTAGTTATGCCATCATGTTGGTAGAGATTTCTGATGAGGGAGGTGATAGATCTTTGATTAGTGAATGAATAAAAAATCTCTTGGGAAGAAGACCTGATCCTGTCGATAACATCAATGAAAGACAGAACAGGGGTATCATTGACACTGCTAGACGATGGTGGGATGCGAGCCACGTGGACTAACAATAAACGAGTGTGATTTCTTCACGTACATATCGTACTTTGCATCAGTTTCTTATCTACTCTGCTAGTCTCGTATATGCCCAAATTACCCGGTCAGAATACCCTGCACGAACTCCACCTGCAGCTGCGACAGCGCAGGGAAGTCATCGCCACTCAATACATCCAAATGACCCTTCCCAGGCGCAATGTGCACCTTCTTAGGCTCAGGGAACGTATCAAACAGTGCCAATTGGCCCTCCGGCAGAGAGATCATATCTTTCTCCGGTACGATCATCAGCACCGGCGTGGGTGCCATGTACTTCATGATTCCGTGCGGCTGCCAGGAGATGATCTTGTAGTACGACTGAAGCGTCGTCCGGTTCTCGTAGTTCGGCGCTCCACGCGTCTTCGCATTTACCATGTAGTCGAACTCCTCCTTGTCGGCGCCAATTCCCATCCCAGCCGGGTTCTCCCCCTTTTCCGTCAGGACAGGCAGAAAGACGGGCGCGTTGCCTGCCAGCTGCGATTCACGATCCTGCATGCTCTTGGCCAGCACACGCGGGAACTTCTCCGGCGTCAGCTCAAAATCGAGCAGCGGACAGACCGAGATACACAGCTTGGCGCGTTTGTCCAGGCTCGCGGCGCAGAGCGCAATCGTGCCGGCGAAGGACATGCCCCAAAACGCAATGGCATCCGGATCAACGGTCGGCAGCGTCCTCAGGAAGCTGAGAGCATCTGAGTAGTCGGACACCTGCTTTAGAGGGTCAATCTCGTTTCGCGGCTCGCCATCGCTCTCGCCTAGGGAGCGAGGGTCGTAGATTAGCGCGGTGATGTTGGCCTTTTGGAACTGTTCCGCCACCTCGGGCACGAACATCTCCTTGACGCAATTAAACTGCGACACCGGTTAGCACCTGTGGTCGTCATCAAGAGACTTGCTCAACTCACCCCAGGTGTGATGATAATGGCCGGTCCGCGCGTTTTGGCGGGATACAGCCATCCGCGGATCGTCAGTCCGTCGAGGGTGGGAAATTCCACATTTTCATGGTAAGTCGACATGGTGATGAGTGCTTGTGTCAGACGCTGCCTGCTCTCGACCTTTTCTCTGCTGAATGCAAGTAGCAAGCGGGGGCCAATGGGTTTAATCGTCAGAGACGGAGGCTCTCTGACATTCTAGTTTATTCTTACGAGTGTTATCGGTTGCCACATCCTCCAAACTGACAGCCTGGAAGGATGAGAAATGGTAGTCTCAGAGTACGTGTGATGAGACGTGCAGCAGCTTATCATGGCAATCAAAAGCACATGCATGTTGCGGGCCCTAAAGAAGCTCACAACACGCAGGTGGGACCCACTTTGTGCAAACAGCGCATAGATAATACGAGGTCCACCCACGCAACGACCTCGGGACGCGCCGCTAGCCGTGGGGGGCAGTAACGCCATGACCGTATTTCGTCGGTTCAGTTTCATTGAATGTATTGTAATACCTGTATTTCAGATCCCGAGGTTGAACAGACCGCATTGCATATGTACAAACAGCAGGAGACAGCAAGAGCTTCAACCATAGCAAACCATTCAGTCGAATGGCAATACCACCCACCACAAGTCATGATTTGAAAATTACCCGTTGAAATATATCATTTCTCTCGCCCAAAAGGTGCAATCGCGATTGAGTGCGTCTTTTTGGCCCACCAACACGATGGGAGGCCCTATCTCCCGCTCCAAGCAAAGAGGTGGCCATGTTATCAAGTATATCGGGTGAATTCGCCTTCCGGCGTTGCGGGTAGTCGAGGTCAGTGTTCTATAAAGTGAGTACTCGGTCATTTACAGAAGAACCAGTTATTGGCCCTGCATCCATCTCTTTGACACACAATGACGATCAACGATTCTCACATGGAGCCGCAGAGGTTCCAGTTCGGAACTCCCCTGTCTTCTGCGAGCCATGCACTCCCCAACAAGTCCTTTTCACAGGAGCCCATTGCGGTGGTTGGGATGGCCTGTCGGCTGCCTGGCCACAGCAACTCCCCCAAAGAATTATGGGATTTCTTGGAGCGTGGTGGCATTGCGGCCAATGAAGCCCCAGAATCCCGTTTCAACCTCAAGGCACACCATGATGGATCCAAGAAGCCCAAGACGATGCGTTCCCCTGGCGGAATGTTCATCGAGGATATCGATCCAAAGGTCTTCGATGCTGGCTTTTTTGGTATCTCTGGTGCAGATGCACTCGCTATGGATCCTCAACAACGTCAGTTGTTGGAGGTGGTATACGAGTGCATTGAGAACTCCGGCACGCCCATGGAGAGGCTACATGGTGCCCCGATCGCCTGCTTTGTAGGATCATACGGCGTTGGTAAGTCTCCTATAGAACTGAATGAGCAAGACTGATATCGTGCTATGCAGATTATGGTGATATGCAAGCCCGGGACCCTGAGGACCGGGTCCCAGGTGTGACAATCGGAGTGGGACGCGCCATCCTCAGTAACCGAATCAGCCATTTCTTTAACTTCAAAGGCCCCAGGTAGACCCTGCCATTCTCATAATTGATCATAAAAGTGAGACAAGGCTAATTTATGATAGTATGACCATCGATACAGCCTGCTCGGGTAGTCTGGTAGGAGTCGATGTGGCTTGTCGATATCTCCACACTGGAGAGGCAAACGGGGCAGTTATTGCGGGTGCCAACCTGTATCTCAGCCCTGAGCATAATACAGACAGTGAGTCCCCATCGGCATATGCGGATCTTGGAATAATTTCTGATTTATTGTCCCGACCAGGCGGTGCTATGAAGGGAGCGTCTTCCCTTACAGGAAAGTGCCACACATTCGACGTCAAAGCGGACGGTTACATCAAAGGCGAGGCCATTAATGCCGTCTATTTAAAGCGTCTGAAGGATGCTGTTTGGGACGGAGACCCCATCCGCGCCGTGATCCGGGGAACTGCGACAAATAGTGATGGTCGCACCCCCGGAATTGCGAGTCCCAGTGCGGAAGCCCAGGCGTCGGCAATCCGCGCGGCCTATGCCAACGCAGGTATCAGCGATCTTAACCACACCGGGTATTTGGAATGCCATGGAACCGGCACGCAGGTATTAGCATCTCAGATCAGTCAAGTATTTCTTGAGGCTAATATCCCCATGATAGGCAGGAGATCCCCAAGAAGTCAGGGCACTGTCGACCGTTTTTTCACCCTCCAGGATCAACGACCAGCCTCTGATTATCGGATCGGTGAGTTTTCAGAAATTGTAAGCAAAGTCCGTTGTTGAAGATTGCCAGATCAAAAGCAACATCGGTCATTCAGAGCCAGCCGCAGGCATTTCTGGTTTGATCAAGGCAGTGCTGGCCATCGAGCACGGAGTTATTCCCGGGAACCCAACATTTGTGACTCCGAATCCTAAGAGTAAGTGATTAGTATCGTGAGTCTAATTACTTCTGTCAGGTCTAACTCCGCGCAGTCGACTTCAAGGGCCTCAACGTGCGGGCGACCCAGAACAAGATTCCCTGGCCCCAAGCCCAGTTCAGACGCGCCAGTGTCAATTCTTTCGGGTTAGACTCCTATTTAACCTCTTGAATGATATGTGAGCTGATTTTCCTGTGACAAACAATAGATATGGCGGCTCCAATGCCCATGTCATTGTCGAAGAACCCTCGTGCTTGTTACCTGACTGGTCCGGTACACATGTCTCCTCCCACCGGGCGCTCGCCGAGGACTTGTTTGGCGATGACGATGACAGCTCATCGGCTGTGGGTAGACCGTTCACGCTTGTCTTTTCTGCCAACGACGAACCGTCCCTACGTGCATACGTCAAGTCTTTGAGGAAGCATATGCTGAATCCCAGTGTGAAGATCACGTTGCCGGATCTGTCGCACACACTCTCGGAACACAGGACGCGCCATTTCCACCGCGGCTATCTGGTCGCTCAATCCACGACGTTGGATGAAGCTGCCTTGGTGATCGGTAAGCAGGCGGCGGAGGAGCCTCGGATTGGGTTTATCTTCACAGGACAGGGGGCCCAGTGGTCGCAGATGGGCAAAGCCATCGTGGAAATATTTCCTCGCGCGCGGGCAATTCTTCAACATTTGGACAGGATTCTGCAAAGTAGTGCGGTTGCTCCGTCCTGGTCCTTGTTACGTATGTCCTCCGACAAAACCTTGCTGATGTCATTGTTTCGCTAACATGTATGTAACATAGGCGAACTTACCGAGCCTCGCAACCCGGAGCAGCTTCGACTACCTGAATTCTCTCAGCCTATTGTGACGGCTCTTCAGATTGTCCTAGTCGATATTTTTCGCGAATGGGGGGTGACCCCGTCCGCTGTGGTTGGGCATTCGTCTGGGGAGATTGCGGCCGCCTATACCGCGGGCCTCGTGTCAAGAGAGAACGCTATCAGAGCGGCTTTCTACCGAGGCCAGGCCGCGACTATGCAAGGAGCTGAGTCCCAAGTTCCAGTTGGTATGATGGCCGTCGGTGTTGGCGCCGAAGTGGTGGCTCCCTATCTCGAAGGTGTTGAGGATGCCGTGCAGATTGCCTGCTACAACGGCCCTAGCAGTGTGACCCTGTCCGGCACGACAGAGGGCCTGAAAATTGTGCAGACTCGCCTGGGAGAAGACAATGTTTTTTCGCGCATGCTGCAGGTCAACCTTGCCTACCACTCAACCTTCATGGATGGGATCAGCCAGGGTTATAGCAGCTTGATGGCCCAGGACTTTGTCCATAATTCATTTAGACGCGACGATGTAAGAATGTTCTCGTCTGTGGTTGGCAAGGAAATGACCGACGCTGCCGATGCTGCATACTGGAGGAGTAACATGGTGCGCCCAGTTCGCTTCGACACGGCTGTGGAGCAAATGATCACCGCAGAATCCGGGCCAAATTTCCTGATCGAAATCGGACCTAGCGGTGCATTAGCTGGCCCTGTCTCTCAGACCTTGAAGAAGCTCTCGTCAGCCGCCCAATACTGCACCGCCATGTCCCGCGGTGCTGCGGCGATCCGGTCCATGTTTGATGTGGCCGGGCGTCTTTTCAATAGTGGGGAACAATCGACTTGGCCAGTGTGAACCATGTGGAAGGGATGAAACCCCAGATTATCATCGATCTCCCGAACTATGCATGGAATCACTCGACAGAATACTGGTATGAAAGCGAGGCGAGCAAGGACTGGAGAAATAGACTTTTCACCCACCATGACCTCCTAGGAAGCAAGATTCTGGGAAGCCCATGGCATTCGCCCTCGTTCTCGAAGTTACTGAAGGTGGAGGACCTGCCATGGCTGACCGACCACAAGGTGAGTACAACCCAACGATCGGGGTACTTTGTCTGACTTTCTGAATACAGATGGGACCTGATACTGTGTTCCCAGCCGCCGGATTTATGGCCATGGCGATGGAGGCAATCTTCCAGCGTTCTGAAGCATTGACTATCCTCGAGGACGCGACGAAGATCGAGAAGCCACGATACCGACTTCGAAATGTCGCGTTCAATAAGGCACTTGTCCTGAACGATAGCGGTGAGCCGACCAAGGTCAACCTGAGCTTGAGCGCTCACCCTGGCTTCAAGGAGAGCTGGCACGAATTCAGGGTCTCATCACTAGCGGGTTCGACCTGGACGGAGCATTGTCGCGGGTTGGTTCGAATTGAAGAGGATGTACAACAAGGTATGAGATGGAAGGCCCTTCTGTATTCCCTGTGGTTGCTAATGTTTTGTTCTCAGTCGCATCGGCCGACGCAATTCGGCCACTCGTGTACCCTGTTGACGGCCAGGTGTGGTACAAGGCAATGTCTGATGCAGGATACAACTTCGGCGCCAGCTTCCAAAAGCAGCTTCAGGTCGAGGTCATATCCGGAAAACGTTCCAGCCGATCTTTGGTGTCTCTCGAGGCACCAGACTCGGCCTATCAGCAGTCAGTATATCCCATGCACCCAGCGTGTATTGATGGATGTCTCCAAACCTGTGCTCCGTCCCTCTGGAAGGGTAACCGCAATGATGTGAACGCAGTCCTGGTACCTGCCATCATTGACGATCTTACAATCACCTCGAGCCGAGCGGCGAGCGGTGTGTCATGCTCTACTGCCAAGTTTGTGGGCCTTGGTCGCCCAGAAGAGACCAAGAACTATATGTCTGATGCCACTGTCTATGATCCAAAGACAGGAAATCTGCTGTTCCGCTTAGCAGGCCTTCGTTATCACAAGATCGATACTGGCTCGAGTCCTTATGATGCGCATACATACAGCTCTCTCGTCTGGAAGCCGGATATCACACTCTTGTCATCGGATCAATTGGCAAAATTATCTTCCAGCGAAGAAGATATCCATGATCCCGCTTTGCGAGTTGTAAGCGAAGTTCTCACTCTGGCGGCTCATAAGAAGCCCAATTTGCGGGTCATGGAGTTGAACATGGTTGCCGGTCAGAATGACAGTTTGTGGCTAGAGACGGTTGCACGCCATGAAATGATTCGCAAATCTTATCGTCATTTCGCTTACTATCTGGATGACCCCAGTGGGCTTGTCGAAGCTGGAGCAAAGTATGCGGAATCAGACACCACAGAGATTGCCCTGCTCGATCTCACCCACTTGGTTATGGAGGAGCAGTTTGACTTGGTGATCGTTCGCCTGTCTCCGTCCGCTGAGAATGTACAAGGCCTGTCTCAAAAGGTACGCGCGATTGTCAAGGACTCAGGACAGGTCCTCTTTCTCCGCCAGAAACTCGCACCCGCAAATCCCGATCTTGTTGTCAATGGCGAAGCGCGTGACTTTGACCTCGGTTTCAGTTTCGCCGACACTCGGCATCTGGCATTCGGTGAAAGTAGCGCCTTTGGCAGCATGTATCTGAGTAGTGTTCGAGACGTCCCCAACAACAGTCGCGATGTCGCGTTGTTCCATTTCACGAAGCCCAGCCCAGCTGCTCTGAAGGCTATCACGGCTCTCCAAAGTCGTGGGTGGTCGTTTCAGGCTTTCGAATCGAGTCCAGAGCCAGATTCCATCGCAGCGAGTCGGGTTTTAGTGTTAGATGAACTGGACACATCTCTCTTTCCCAACCTCAACTCGGACCATTGGGACTCGCTCAAGAAACTGCTTTCCAGTGACAAACGCGTTTTGTGGGTAACGAAAGGGTCCCAGTTAGCCATTGCAGACCCGGAAAAGGCAATGATTCACGGCCTGGGACGAACAGTGCGCTCTGAAGACCCCACTATCAGCCTGACAACATTGGATGTGTCCAGTTCGTCTACCGATGTCATTATTGACTCCATCGATGCGGTCCTGCAACAACTGGCGGGAGATGCACCGATCCACAACGTCGAGAGTGAGTTCGCCGAACTAGACGGTATCATTCACGTTGGGCGCATCCTGCCAGATGCTCTTGTGAACAACGCGGAGAACGAGGACAAAAATGGGAGGGCTCTAGTAACACACTCATTGCACGACTGCACTACCATGGTTCGCCTTCAGTGCGAGCGAACTGGCACGATCGACTCGCTGGTCTATACCGAGGTTGCACCTGTCGAGCTGCCTCTTAGGGACAACTGTGTAGAGGTCGAGCTTGAGGCTGCCGGACTAAACTTCAAGGATGTCGCCATCACCATGGGAATCATTCCTGAAAACGAACATTTGCTTGGGCTTGAGGGTGCTGGCACCGTTCGTCGTGTTGGAAAGTCCGTGGACACGTACAAGATCGGCCAGCGCGTGCTGGTCTTCGAGCGAGGCACTTTTGGCAACCGCATCCACGCCACCACCGAGCGAGTTCACGCCATTCCGGATTCGATGACCTACGAGGAGGCTTCAACGCTAGCTAGCGTGTATCTGACTGCTCTATACAGCCTCTATGATTTAGCCAACCTTCAGTCGGGCCATCGAGTTCTTATCCACTCCGCAACAGGTGGGCTAGGGATGGCGTCGATCCAAATCTGCCAACATATCGGCGCAGAGGTCTTTGCCTCGGTCGGAAATCAAGAGAAGCGGGACTTTCTGACGGAAAAGTTCAACATTCCTGCGGATCATATCTTTAGCTCGCGCGACATCTCTTTCGCTTCAGAGCTAATGCGGGTGACCGATGGATATGGTGTGGATGTGATTCTTAACTCGTTGACCGGGGATCTACTCGACGAGTCTTGGAGATGCATTGCTAATGGCGGAACGATGGTCGAGCTGGGCAAGAGGGACATGCTCGACCGTAACACCCTCAGCATGGAGCCCTTTGGCCGCAATGCATCGTATCGGTGCTTTGACATGTCACACAAGCATGTTTCAGACACACTGATCGGTCGACTCCTAAAGCAGCTGTTTGAGCTTCTGGATGCAGGTCACGTCAAGCCGATCGCTCCTATTACCGTATTTCCCTTTGAGGATATCCCTTCCGCCTTCCGGTACATGCGGTCGGCGAACCATATCGGAAAGATCGTTATCTCGAATACCGACAAAGAAAACAAAGTCATTGAGGTTCCAGTGCGTCCCAGTCCAAAGTCGGTGGTGCTTCGTGACGACGTATCCTACTTGATTGTTGGTGGCTTGAAGGGACTTTGCGGAAGTCTCGCGATTTCACTCGCCCGTGCTGGGGCGAAGAATCTCACCATCATGTCTCGCAGTGGCTATGCAGATGATGCATCCCAACGGATCATCCAGAACCTCCAAGCCTTGGGTTGCGTTCTCGCCTTAGTCAAAGGCGACGTCTCCGTCGAGAGAGACGTCCGACGTGCAGTGAAGGATTCAAAAGCGCCCGTAGCAGGCGTCATTCAGGGAGCCATGGTCCTTCGCGTAAATAAAAGCCTCTTCTATATTATATGTGGACCCTTCGCTAATCCATCGCTCTACAGGATAAGGTCTTCACCTCCATGACTATCGAGGAGTACCATCAAGCCGTCACCTGCAAGGTCCAGGGCACGTGGAATCTACATAATGTTCTCCAGGAAGAGCATCTCCAGGTGGACTTCTTCACCATGCTCTCCAGTGTCTCCGGGGTGGTGGGTCAGAAGGGCCAAGCCAATTACGCAGCGGCCAACGCGTTCTTGGATGCTTTTGCCACCTACCGACAACGACTTGGGCTTGCGGCCAACTCAGTTGACTTAGGTGCCATCCAGGATGTCGGATATATGAGCCAGCACGCCGACCTCCTGGCTGCATTGGAATCAGCAGCTTGGACCCCGATCAACGAGGCGTTGTTCCTCAAGATCGTGAAATTCTCACTGCGTCAGCAGCTGGATACGATCAACCCAGACAGCGCCGCGCAGCTCATCACGAGCATTGCGGTTCCCCAGAGTGAATCCTCACCATTGCTGCGGGACGCACGATTCAGCACCCTTTGCTTCCGTGACGGGACTAATCAAGGCGCAGGCGATGCGGCCCAGGACGGATCAAAGGAGATCAAGGCGCTTACGCTGTTGGTAAAGAACCAAGCGGAATTGGGCGTAGTGCAGCAGGCGGTGATTGACGTTGCAACGCGTCAATTCACATCGATGTTGCGTTTGAGTCAGCCGATGGAGGCAGCTAAATCACTGGACAGCTACGGACTGGACTCATTGGCGGCGGTGGAGTTCCGGAATTGGTTGCGATTGGAGCTGAAGGTTGAAGTGACGACCCTAGAGATCACCAGTGCGGCATCCCTGATGGCGCTGTGTGAGAGAATCGCGTCGCGGTTGCTGGGATAAATACAGGATGAATCGGAAGTAGGAGGCAATTTCCAGCTGACTAGAATTCATGGGATTAGTTTGCAATAAAGCCCCCCCCCCCCCCAAAAAAAAAAAAGCCAACGTACTCTTAGGCGGCGCGCTTGTCGGTATTACTGTTCGAAGGACTATAGAACGAACAGCCTGTGGTGACCGGATTACTAGATGATCCGAATAAAAAATAGTCCCTCACCGCTCTCACCGTTCGGGCCCTAGTGTGACGGCAAGGGCGGGAAAGCACTTTTTCTGCCGGCAATTTCTCCGTCTACGGAGCAGCCAGGTTCAGGTTCGAAGGGCGGTGGAGCCGTCATCATTTGATCACTATTATCCCCAAGAAGGGGGCTACACTTAGCTTTTAGAGAACATACCTTTTTAGGAATTTCCAGTCTTAGTCTCGTTTTCAAATCTCACGGCCCTTGTTCGTACAGCTTGGGTTCGTATATGCTACACTAGCTCAATGAAACTTTTCTACTCTTCCAGGCCAAATTGATACTATTCACAGCGCTAATCCCAGTCTACCTATGCAATAAAGTGGCTCTCCATCCTCTCCAGTCTCCCAACTAGGCTCTGCCTCCCGTTTTTTATTTTTTTGCTCCTTCTTTGGTCCTGGCAAAGCATTTCGTTGCGCTGCTGTTTGCCATTCCGCGCCCACTTCCGCTTCTTTTGCTCTGCATCTGCGATATCCTGCGATCGTATAAGGGCATTAGCATCCCTAACAGAGAGATGCCCACCCGTACGAATATGGCGCTTAGTTTTAGGCGCCTGTGCCCGCAATTTGTAAGGATCCGTGTGATGTCTGCACTGGTCTGGGCAGCCAATTCCGCCTGGGTAAGACTACCTTGGAAAACGAAGTCAAGCTTCTGCGAAATGTTGGCTGCATTGGCACTAGCAGTTGAGGAGGCCTCTGCTAGTGTTGCAAAGCTCTTCTGGACCTCAGAAATATTGTGTCGTAGCTTTGTCAGCGTCGTCGGTGGTGAATTGATAGTAGAACTTGATGCTGGCGGTGTTTCAAGCCTAGAGCCTAGGTCTGGTATAGCGTCTTAATTCCAATCTGGTAACTTATATTCCCTCCATTGGTCGTATACCACTAGATGTATACCACTAGATCTGGCCCATCATCACCACGGAGGGGTTCACAAATGACTTCAGGATTGAACGGCCAAAGCCCACATTGATTAAATGAGTGCCGTACGGTTGTATCTTTAAAGGTCTGTAGGCGGATCTCGTGGAGTCGGCGTAAAGATTCTGCCTTCTCTTCAGTAGAGCCACCCCGCTGCACTACCCTATTATTGTACTGGCGGTAATAATGTTTGTATGCCTGGAACGGGTGCCCATCCAGAGGTTGTAGGAGATGTGTAAACTTTGGAGGTGTTGCCAAGGAAAGTTTCTGTGATTTTGGCTGTAGTTGATGAATTCAAAGCCGATATGTGATGGGTGATTGTCCATAAAGAGAAGTCGGTAATCCCCACGCTTTGGAAGGCGGTCTTTGTATGCTCTTCGGAATATTGGAGCCATTGATATGCGCGCACCTAGTAACGATAGATGCTTTTCTAACTAATATAGTTATATGCTTTATAAGCACTTACCTCATTGTTCCAGCCGGTAGGCGACGTGGAAGTGACATAGTTGTCTGGCAAATCAGGCTGCTGGCGATACCAATTCTCTACATAGTATGAGCCCTGGAATAGGATGAATGGTGCCATCGCCCACCCATCTGCAGCGATATATTCGACCCCAGTCACTGTTTAACCGATTTTGCCGGTTGGAATAGACTTTGTACTGCATTTGTGCTTGGTAACCATCCGCTGGGGTTTTCCCTGGCCAAGTTGGAAGCCGGATTCATCGAAATTGTAGATATTCTTTGGCCCGACTTTATTGGTCTTCAACGCCACTTCTAAGCGATAAAACCACTCGATTATAGTCGTTGATCTCTCTGAGTCTATTCTCTCTGCCTCCTATGGTTTTTGTATGATATGACTATAGTCGTTGGGGAGGCGTTTGATAAGGTTGTAGACCCAGTTTTTGCCAACGCGTCGCGTAGAACCACCGCGCGCCAAAATTTCATTTGCACAGCTCTCAATATCCTGTGGAGTTGACGGGGCCATTGCATCATCAAGAATACCTATCCAGGCTATTAATATCTGCTCTTAGGCATTATCTAGAGCTTTTTTTTCGCCAGGACGCGCCGAGCAAGAATTGCGGCCGTGGACGCGTCGTAGAAGTCGCTGGTAACTCACCCCAAATTCTGCGCCAATGGCTTGATTTTGGGCTTTTTACGATTGTGGTAGGCTTGGAGCGCTTCCTGGATACAATTCTCAGGGCGCCGTTTCTGGCGGCCCGCTCACCGTGTCCTCGTATACTACTGGCTTCCATGGTGCGATGGTATTCTCCGTTGGCAGTATGTTTGCACATCTTTTTCCTAACGAAGCCCTTGAACGCCTCAGGGCACGCCTGATATTCCAACGCCGCCGGAGAGTTAAACAAGCCTAAAATCCGTGCCAACACATGCATTCGAGCTTCTAATTCTTTTAAGCTGCAAAAGCAAAAGTAAAAGATCGACATTCAGCCACCCCCGCCGCTCTGCAGTGCTTTCTAAACATAGCAGAAGGACAGCGCAATCGTGCCCTGCCAGCGTGCGTCAACCTTGTCAAACGGACTCTGTGTTCCTAATTGAAAGGTCTTCGGTAAAGATAAAACTGGTTTCCCACGTACTTGCCAGACAGGGACCACCCATACGAGAAAGGACCCCATTTGTTGATCGCGCAACGCCCTACATAATGAAGGCCTTGCAGGACCTTGCAGGTCAGATTACATGCATTTACAGACGTATAGAACGAAAAACTAATCGCAGCAACCCTGAGATATCCAGCGTCGCACTCATATATCTTAGCCGCCCTACAGCCTGTTTCAGTCATCCCACGTCACCCCCTCTATTGAAGAGTTTGATGTATCTCGATGCAAGGCCACCCATATCCACGCACCTAATAGGGCTAGCGAAGTAGTAGATGCGTCCTTTGGAAAGCCTAGAGCCCAAGATTCTCGAAATTCCTTCCTAAACAATCAACTACTCTGGAGGCGGGAAGTCCGTCGCCGGGAAGGGTATGTATATGCACGAATGCATGGGCGGAGTACTCTACTCAAGGCGTGGATAAGCACTAGAGCGCGTTTCCCCTTGAGGCGAAGCCCTGAGCAGAATCTCTCCCCTCTTTCCCAAGTACTCCTCGTGCGTCAGCCCTAGGAGGCTATCGGGCTCGGGCCTGCTCTCGCATTGGGCTCGGCCTTACAGGGTCGTTTGAGGTTGGATCTGCCATCGTACGTGTCAATTTTGAGTTTGAAGGATGCCTTGTGATGGTGTCATGGTCGAGGTGCTGCGGCCCCTTAGGCTACATGGGGGGCCTGATCGTCTGAGCCGATGTCAGAAGAGTACTACTTTCGATAACTATTGGTCTTTTCTACACAAGATCTGCCTCGAGGTGTTTGTGCTGCCCTGGGCAGTAGGTTCACACTGAGCTTTATTATGTATTAGCTATTTTGGGAAATGCAGTCACCAAATTCGCACTCAGGCCCGTTGCATGACTGCGCAATGTTTAACATCTGGCTTTCTGCACGGCATGATCCGAGCTTTAGCACATGGCTAATCCAAAAACCGAGTAGTTTAGCCGACGTAGTTTTGTCTGCGGCCTGAAGAGTGCTAAGTTGCATAGCAATGCCTCATTCCTGGTTTTGGAAAATGTACGTAGATGCCTAGGTAATAGCCTAGCCAGAGCGGTTATACTCACCCAAGATCTTCGGAATGGGGATGAACACGACACTAATTTAGCGCAAGTTACTATTATCAACATCAAATGATCCAGAGGGGCGGCAAGTCGAGACATTTGTTCTGTATGGCGATTTTTGAACCGATGGGCCAATAGCTTTAGCAAAGAAAATAGCAGGCCAAGTACCTAGGCTGTCTTGGCAATAAACCCATCTACTACATAGGCGTCGAAGTATTAAGCCACTCAAGCCACTCAAGCCACTCAAATTTTACAAGCAAGAGCGAGCGAATACAGAAATACGCGATTAATGAGCAGCAAGTAATTGCGTGGTTCTAGCAATCACCTCCACTGCGGTCCGACGTGCCTTGGGCCCGTCTTAATATGCCCATGTTCACGGGTACACGAGGTACCTAGGACTCCCCAAGCCCTGAACTCGAAACAGTAGTCACAGCTACCCCATTCACAAAGTGATCAGCAGGATCAAAAAAGTCAAAAAAGCATGAAGTTTATCCAATTCGCAGCAAACCAGCAGCGAGCTATGTTTTCGCGCCCCTCTCTCTCTTCTTTTCTCGTGCGCAGCCTCGAGCCAGGTTCCACCGAAAGCTGAGAGCTCATGTGCAAGGCAATGGCACGGCCCCACCCCCACCAGGCTATAGGGCCCTGCTGCTAGGGCGATCCTCACTGGGCACTTTTATCGGGGAGCTTGCAGCCAAGAGAAGAGCTACCCTGAAGCAAGTAAGTCGAATACAACGAGCACCTTTCTTGTACGATTTAGACAGGCCATCGACCTCCCATTTTTTTTTTGGCTTTTGATATGGTAGATTTCATGCATATACGGAGGGCTAAAGAACAATGCAGCCCCAGAATCCCCTTTTTTGATTTAACAGGCGTCACGAAATAGCGTCCCGGACGGTACCAAAACGCGTAATACGCTTACCCGGATTCACAGGGCAAGGAAGCCAATCGGGAACGCTAGGATGGTGACCCGCTTTGCACAGCCTCCCTCTTCTCCTCCAACCTTGGAATAGCACACGTCCTGAACGGGGAAGAACTCTCGACACTAATCCTATTCAGCATTATTGGCGCCTGCTTTGGCTGATCCTTCAGGAGTTGAAACACCGCTGCTTTGGCACTCCCGGCCCCTTGACAGCGCGCGCGCCTGGGGTTGGAGGGGGCCATACCACACAACCAACCTCGCGTGGAGAACCTGAGAGGACCATGGAATCTAAGTTAGGGTGGAGCACCCCTGTGAGCCAACTACGAGAGGCCAGTGACATGCTCAAAACAGAAAAAGAAAAGAAAGGGAAAAAACAGATCACTGCCAGAGAGAAAGCTGCCGGACCTCCCGGTTGGCGCGCGACTAAGTTGATCGGAGAGGCAAAGAGACCACTGGAGGCCCTGGCAGCCACGCGTCTGGCGACGGTCGCCGTCATGCAGCCCTGGAACTAGCTCACCCGGGCCTTAGGGAGTGGATTCCCAACTAGGCCGGATTGGCCGTTACACGTCGCCGACTCATGGGGTGACTTCGCAGCCATTTTGCAGGGCTCCAACAGCAGGTATTTTGCATCGGGACTCTGTGGAGCAAACTGTGCTTGATCGAAGATCCCAGCTAAATTACGTGTCTACGTCGGCTGTGCTTGGTGTAAGGCTGGTTCTAGAGCTGCATGTGACCATCCCCTACCATGAATTTTGCAAGGGGCTGGCTGGCGAATTGAGTAATATCTCCGCTATCACATCAAAGTATTGGATCACGACGATGGTTCGTTGCGCGGACGAAGCAGAGCCGCTAGTGCGGTCTTTAGGCTTCCGCCGGCGTCTCTCTAGCTGCCCAATCGTAGTGAACAACGCCAGGTCGGAGACGTAAGGCGGCTCATCGAACATTCCTTTCGACCATAATCCCTGAAAATTTCCGAGCATATCCGGGCGGAGCTGAAGCGGGGATGAGGCCTCGCGGAGCTCCTCGCTGGTCGCCGTATATCGATAGATTCAACTCTCCACATATGTAGGCACCAGGATGGCTTTATTTTGAGAAACCTTGAACTACTGAAAGTTGAAGGAGTGGCTTGCCTCCACATGAGGAAAGTAGTGCTTTGTAATGGGACTATTAACAATTGAGAAGCCTATACGGAGTATGTGCTAGTGATCCACTAATGCCTTGCGCATGACTTGATAGGTAGGTCTCAGTTGAAGTTTCCTATTCTGTCAAGGTAACTATTCAAGTCTAGCTAGAGGCTAGGCTATGCCGATCTTGTGAGAGTCATGGGGGAGATATTTATAGAAGGCAATACTACTGGCCAAGCACATAATCTTACAACAGGAAGGCTGCTCGGATATCACAAATTTTCGTGGCTCGTAATAATCTATGTACATACAAGGACATTCCTGTGAACGTCTTTAAAGGTTACCTCGACCATTATTCGAACCCTCCGCAGGCCGCATCCCTGGAGGCATACGGATGCCCACTGATGTTGGAGGCAGGTTACTGGATCTCTTTTTCGTAATATCCACTTTGGCCTTAGCAAGACCGAGAGCAGGCACCACCCAGTGGTTACAGTTGCACTGCAGGCCTTGCCAGGCGAATTTCCCTACGTTAGCCCCGCATGAAGGATTAGGGCAAATAAGGCGGCCTGACAAAGGCGCATCGCCCTCGCCCTGTGGAAACAAACTTGATGTCATCCACCTCATAGGATGTAGGAAGATGTGGGCGCATTCAGTGTATACCTTGGCCTTGGCATTCTCATGCTTCTCTTTCTCGTGAGAGATGATGGATGGCGTTTTTGCTAGTTCTCGCCTAGAGTAGAACGAAAAGTTAGCCCTTCACATTATTAGACCCTTGAAAAGGGAAACGGGGACGAACCGGCATTTGCGGCACTTGATCTCCACTGAGCTGCCGTCACTGTCACTGATCTGGGCCGGAGTGGACGTTTCGTCCTCGAAGCGCACCGAACTTAACTCCGGCGCACGGCCACATGCCACACTGTCTTCAACGTCGCGGCGGTAAAGCCATCGCTGGTAAAGGGGATGGTCATCAACCTCGTCTGGGCAGCCCATTTCATAATAGAGTTCTAGCTGACTCATGAAGCCATCATTCGGCTCGCAGAGCGGACGGCCCTCTCGAATCAGAGCCAGCGCAGCTTGCGGTGTGAGGTTTCTGCGTTGTTGATGGAGTAGATAGGCAATGCAGATGGTTGCGGACCGCGACTTGCCCATCGCACTGGATCATGTCAGTAACAGTACGGCGAGTGCTGAGGGCCCCCGCCCCCGATTCGGCCAGCTGCGCGGAGGGAAAAAAAAATTCCAAGAATTCCAAAATTGAAAAGATTCAAATAATAAAGGTGCTGTAAATATCAACCGAGCGACTAGTTTCCCGCCACATGCTGATCATAATGGGGCATACAGTGGAGTTGGTTGCAGATGTGGACATGACCCGCGGGCAAGGGCAAGAAGGGGGAATAATCAGAGAGCTTCGTAAAAAAGGATCCTCGGGAACTGGTGCAGGACAGAAGCAAGATGACGTACCAATGTACAAGGACACTTCCACCGGCATCTAGGCCAGACTGGATGAACCTGATGGCGGATGGAAAGTGCTCCAAGATGTTCTCATAATCCACGTCATCCACCTCGACCAAATGACTTTCATAAGATTTTAGAAGTTCCTGATTGCCACCAAACCTCAAGGCAGAAACAATATGGGTGATATTAGCCCTTTTGAGTGCTTGCTTATTTGAGAGTGCGAATATTCTAGATATCGGAAGCTTGTTAGCATGCCAACGCTATCGAGAGTCCCACTTGAGACTGACCCGCCAACGTAGATGTTATGACCTGGAATTTGATTCATAGCCATGGTTGCGGTAATTCCAGGGTGTCTGTTGACGGAAGACAGCCGCTCTGGGGAGCTTACGGCCAATTTGAAGGCCTCTCTCTGGGGGTATACAAAAGACTCTCTGGGCCGGCAGAATACGCTCTGGCAAACGGTTGGCTAAATCAGTCAAAATTACCGCTTTAGGCATGTAGGGCAAGGGGTTTGCCATGCACGTGATATACATCCAAGGTCTGTCTGCTCAAAGTTGGCCTTAGGCCACTAAGTCGTTCTTCCCCGCGTAACTCAAATCCAAACGCAAAACCTGCAGTCTTTTACGGACTCGATGCGCGAGGCAACCTTCCCACACAGACAACCTCTGCCCGTCTCCTAGAATAGCCCAAAATTATCATAATCACGGTCGGAGTGAGACTCCCCACTTGCAACTCATACCATGCGTCGCATATTCCAGACATACAGAAGCCGGAACCTGAAAGCTCATCACACAAGCGAGATCATGCGTAAGGAGGTCAGTTGAGCCTGTGAGGTATGATTGGCTCAAACTGTCCCAGTTAGCGCTCCAATAAGCCGCCAGACCCAATGCAGAATATCACTTACGGTGGCTGGCTTTGATTCCGGGAATCAGACGCTCTGTTGCCACCGTGTGCCCCCGCGCAACGTAACCTACCCTTCCTTTTCCTGTACTCAAGCGCCATTCATGGATGGGTCCCGGGCAGGAAATCTTGTTTGAGTCGGTCGTGTCGAAAGCCCCAGTCAGGCGGTTCATGCCGCGTTGGTGGGGCTTCAATAGTATCTCCAACTAACTTCCATCCTCCACTCATGTGCATCCTAAAGCCGATTCGCCTCACCGCGTGTTAAAGGTCGACGCGCAGGAATCCCTTACCATGGATTTGGTCCTGCTAGACTGAGCGGCTCTTTCCCAGGTCCGCCGTCGAGCAGTTTTGGTATGACGTCTATGCGTACGTACAGGTGATACATCGCTATTGTACTCCTTTCAGGGCGCCCGAGAGACTTCGGTTTAGTAAACTCGGATGTGCCCTGAGTGTAGGTATGATGGTCCTCTCTAGAGGCTGCGAGGTCTCAAGCTGCAAAATGCTCCCGACTTTGAGCCCGTACATACTAGTACCACCACGCTTACCAGCAGCTGAGCCTCGGTCCGGTGTGGTGATCTAGGCATCAAGAATTTGCGTCGATATTAATGACCACTGGACGGGGTCATTAGCCTTAACATGTCTATAGATGCTACTGTATACTGGGATGGCCGGTCTGTCATAGGGCCATGGCACCTAGCTCCCCTACTATCTGGCATAACATTTCATTGAGCCTTTGAGTAGAAGTCAATAGAGTGTACGCATAAGTTACTTCGAAAGTCGCTGCGTACAAATATGCCACACGATAATTCGACGCTAGACTTGGAAGAAGTCAGACGATCTGATATTTGGCGCCACCGGTGGGTAAAGTGGATGATGTATGGGTTGGACGATAGGGCTGCCAAGGCCGAGGGCATGCAGCGTATGAAGTGAAATCTGAAGGGTTGCTCGGCAGAAGGAGCACCTTGAAGTTGCCCAGTGAAGGTCCCATGGATTAGTGATATGTGCAACGCATAGACTCAGGCTCCATTAGGGTCTCCGAAAGATAGATCTGCGATCTCATTGAACGGAACATTGAGAAAAGATCAAGAACCAAGGAACGCAACCTGAAAAAACAAGAAGCACGCCAAATCTCATTCTTGCAGCTGGTGTGGAGAACAACCGCCTGAGTCAGCAGTGCTTGTTGGACCCGTGGACCCGTGGACCTTGGAAAACGAATCTGAAGTCGGGGAGAACAGCAGTACAGTAACCCTTGGGCGGGGTTGGCCTGGGCGCCTATTGGGCGGCTCTCTTGTCCAACTTCGCCTTTGCGCGTATGAGCGTCCGAGGCACACAATGAGTGCGTTGTGCTAGAAGACGTGGGCAGAGACAACCCCCCCGAATGACAGCGGGCCATGAGTGTGGCAGTGCATGCAAGACGGGGCACCAAGTGGGGAATTTAAGGAAATCAGTGGGTCGCAACGACTCAGCACTGTCCGCTCATCTGGCTTCATTTCGAGGCAAGGGAAAAGAACGCATTCTTGCTGGCCGTGGGGTCCCAGGAACCAACAAGAATTCCTCTCCGTACAACTTCCACATTCGCAGGTTTCAGCCCTGAATCCTCGCCGATAAGGCCGGTTTAACACCCTACAAGGCCACGACCTCCGACAGGATTCCCGGCTTTAGCGTGTTGTCCGGTCGATATAAGCCTGGTGCCAAGACATTACCGCTTGTTCGCATCGCTATTGCTGAACGTGATCATGGAACACTGGATCCACTGGGCTGGCTAGGACTGTCAGCACTATGGCCGCCTTGCTACCATGGTTCTGCTTTGGGGAAACGTGTGGCTACCCGTTCCAAAGTATTAGCCTCTTTTACTTGCTGGCAGATGAACTCTATTTGCATGCGACATCTTACCTTATGGAGGGCCTTCTTTGCCTATTCACGATGATCAGTATGGAGACGGGTGGCGCCATGACTCGGACGAGGCGCCCAGCGTCTGTGTCCGCACACCAGAGACTTTCATTTTGTAATCACGAGAATGAAAAGGGAAAAAAAACAAGAAAAAAAAAAACAACAACCAAAGAATAGAATGACATAGCGGCTCGTATATTAGATAGGATCGACATTTTCTTGGTCACAGAACGGAGAGAGAACGTGGCTTTGTGTACGGAGTACTAACTGTGTATGTCAGGCCTAATGCCCCCTCCCCATTTACGGGGACCAAATCACGTCTGGTAACGGGAACAAGGTTGGGGCCACGCATCGAACAGCCACCCACCCCCCTACGGAGTACTATTTCGCCTTTCCTTTCTTTTTTTTACTTTGCTTTTTTTCCATTTTGGGATAGTAGGCTCGGGTTCTAGAAGCCTTGGGTGCTTCCTAGGTCCAAGCGTACGCCACCGAACCATGGGAGAAATGGTCTTCACGAGGAAATGTACCTGGTACCAGAAAATAGAAAATCGAGCCCCGTTGAACCCAATAGGGAGCCCAGAGTTTTACTAATACTTAGTAAGGCTGACCAGGGGGTTGGACAGTGTTAGGCATGGCCCCGAGTTTAAAGCCAGCCTTGTGCACTAGCGGCATCGGTTTACAGTAGGGCTAGGATTCATTGCCAACGTGGCCAGCTACGCCTGTCGGCACCAGGGTGGCGCCTACCGAAACAGGGGGATACTGCTAGAGTCGAAAGGAGACCACCATGAGAATAGAAGCACTAAAGTACGCAGTAGAGCGCGCCATAGAGGAGAGAAAGACATGAACAAACATCTCCGGTATTCCGAACTATAGGGTAAAAATACGGCCGTACAGTACATATACACGAGTATACGGCCACCCACGTCAGTGTATCATCCGAATTGCAGGTTAAGCCCGGAACCCAAAGAGCGAAAGAATTTCTATTTCTTAATTTCGCCTTTTTTTCGATTTTATTTTTTCTCTTTAGATTCCAGAACCAGAATTTCCCAAGCTTTTACCCTTTCCCTCCACTTTTCGACAACCCCCCTCTTCTCTTCTTGGCTCAGCTCGGTGAGGATGAGATCACCATTGCCTCCCATTTGATCTTAACTTCTTCCCCCCACCCCCGGCCCAATCGCCCTTTCAGCACAGCCCCAACCTTTCCCAAGTCAATTCTCGCCGAGGGGTGTCTCTTCTCTCAGATTCCCCGGACCTGATTAGTGCGAGTCCCTCAGCCCTTTCCAGCCTTGCCATTCTGTCTCGAGAACGGCCAGGACCAATTGTTCAGCCAGTAGCGGGAGGCCCGAAGAGAATAAGAGGGTCCCTTTCGCGACGGAGTATACTCGCGCTTCTTGCATCTTGTCGCATAGCTGACCTTGCCCTTTTCTCCCTACTTTTTTCTTTTTCTTTTTTTTTTTTTAATTTGATTTCCCCAATCCCCAATTTGCATTTTCCATTTTCCACTTCTGTACTGCCATGTTACCGTATTCTCATATTCCAACTTCTCTGCTTTCCTGATCTTGCTCCTACTTCTTCCCGCCCTCTCTTGTTCTCCCCCAAACTCGGACAATTCGAATTGCCGCGCAATTTCCAATCCCGGAGTGAACAGCGTCCGAGAGAGTATGTGCGATTAAAATCCACTTGAGCCATTGGTTGGTTTCTATGGGACAGAGGCGGCTTCTCCCGGGCTGTGCGTGTCACTACTGCGGCAAACGTTTCATCCCATGAGGCGAATCGCCGAACCAGGGTTTTGCAGCTGTAGGCGTTTCCCTCAGCCCTATTTGGTTCTCAATATCGCCCAGTCTGACTCGTTCTTAGTATCACCTTCAGCCGCATGAAATCTCCCACCCCGTCGCCCCCTCGACTCGCATCGACCCCTCGCTTCATTCGCGCTTGCCGCGCTGTATAGAAGCTGGGTCTTCTTTCGCAAGCATCGAAAGCGGGGTGAGGCTAGTGAACGGTGTGTTGGGGAATCTGAGCCTGGTTTCACGACATTTGTATTCAACTGGTTTGGGGTTGCGACACCAGATCTTGATTTGATCTGCTGGTTTTCCTCTTTTTTTTTCCTTCTCCCTTGCGATCCTCCTTCCTTTTTATTTTGGCCTGTGGAATTTCGACCTGGGATTATCTGTTGACGGCACCTTGGTTAATGGGATCACATCGGCTATCGTCGCCCGCGTTCTAGAATGGACCCGAGACATACATCCGCCTCAAGCTTCTACGAGTACGAATATCGCCACCATTCGTCCGCAATCCCCATGACTATGTCCGATTCACCTTTCTCCCACGGCCCATTACCCATACCGTCTCGATCTGCCATGCATACTGTGCCTCCTCCTTTACCACCGCCCCCAAGGATTCGGGACCTCGAAAATGGATATGATGCTGGATGGCTTCACGCGAATTCAGGCAGACCGCATACTGTGCTTCCTCCCATAAACCCGAATTCGAGCCTATTTGGGGGCCATCGTCGACCCGATTCGACACCGCGGAGCGACCGCATGGTGGTGGACGAACTAGAAGGACGGCAAAGTGGGCCCCCGGTGTCACGCAGTCCAGAGGCCCAGATCAAGATTGAGCCGCCACCACCAACTGACGATGGGTTTCCTAATTCAATGGCGGTCAATTCTCCCTCAGATCAGATGTAGGTGCCCATGGGAAAGCATAGATGCAGACTTGGAACTGCTTGAATTGTCTTTTATTTGGATCCGAAACTAACAGTCTCCGCAGACTGAAGGGTGAACGGAATTTTTCATTACAGAGTGTCAAAGATTCCTCGAACGCGTATGACCAACATTTACTGAACAAGATTGGGAACTCATTATCTCCCGGGGCTGCTGCCAGTATCGGATCGGATAATCGGTCTCCGATTCCGTCATTGATCGTCCCATCGCGGCCTCCTAGTAATATGCCCTCTCCAGGCCCATCAGAAGGATCTACGCTTGATGTGAAATGGCACAATAGCCCGCAGTCTGGAGGGGTATCTCCTCGATCGAAGATTGGTTGGAAGGAGTATATTGAAGGCCGCAGCCCCAGCGTCGAAAGCAGCGCGCCTTCAGTGGCTTTGGATTACGAGTACATGCGCGATAGCGTGGGTCGCAAGCGATATCACGGAACCAGTGCATCTCGTGAAGGAAGTATCAGCCTTCCAAGTCGTTCCAATCGAGGAAGCTACGACCAGGGCGTATTCTCGGACATCGAGGTTGATTTGCCCTCGGACGAACTGGCGCCACGATTATATCTGGACGAGCCGGCACGACCCAGGCAATTTATTATTCGCGAACCAACTCCGCCATTCGAAAGCTCGAGGCAGGGAATGAAACGGAGAGCTTCATCCCCGCCGCGCGAGCCAATAAACGACGACCGGCATACCCTGCACGTCACAACAAGCAATGGCGATTTATCTCAGCGGAGGACCACGGGGCAGCCCTTCACGAACAGCCTCACAGTGAACAGCACTGGACCTAGCAGTCACCGAGCCCTGTCCGCGGCCTCATCCTTGAGTATTAGAACTTCAGGCTCATACTCTTCTACGCTTTCAATCGGAGGTAGCAGTATGACTAGCCTTTCGCCTTACGACCGACCATCTCCCGGCGGTCTTTCACCAAGCTCGGATCTTGATACATTTCACGAGAAGTCCATCTTAAACCCCAGCCCTCCAATGGCATCTATTCCATCCCTTCCACGTGTGTTGGGCGCTAGCTCTCTTGAACCTCCGCTCACTGGTGCCACCGGCAAAGTGTCCATGCCACCTATGCTGAATGCTTCCCAACCTGTCGGACCCAAGCTCGTCGGGCTCTATATATGCGATTGCTGTCCCAAAAAACCAAAGAAGTTCGACAATCCGGACGATTTAAGGTATATCTCTCTATCTCCGATTTAATATTCCTCCTCATCTTCTAACATTCCCCAAGAGCCCACGAGATGGAAAAGCAATACTCCTGCCAATACTGCAACAACCGCTTCAAGAACAAAAACGAAGCCGAGCGCCACCAAAACTCCCTCCATCTCCGCCGTCACTCCTGGTCTTGCGCCGCCCTCCCCAACTTCCAAGCCGCCTTCCACGGCTCCGCCTCCTCAAACTACCAAACTGCCGCAGGACCCTCGCATGACTCCTGCGGGTACTGCGGGGGAAGAATTCCCCAATTTCCCTCAACCAGACTGGGACCGCCGGTTCGAGCATCTGACTACGGTGCACAAGTTCGGCGAGTGCAACAACGCCAAGAAGTTCTTTCGAGCCGATCATTTCCGGCAGCATTTGAAGCACAGCCACGCGGGAACTAGCGGGAAATGGACTAATATCCTTGAGAACGCTTGCATGAAAGAGGAGCAGCCGCCCGAGCCGAGAGACAAGATTTCTGGCTCGGGTGCTGGCTCTGGGTCTTTAGTCTCGAATTCTATCGAGGAGGTCATGAGTGAACAATGATCGCCTATGCGTCTGATAACAAAGCCCCCCTTCCGATCCGGGGGCAACATGTGTCAGACTGAGTACATCTAATCAGACTAAAGCCATTTCTGGCTGGCTTAGCCACCAGCTCGAGCTCGGGGGCCCTCGCAGCTCCCGAGAAAGCACATCGCCTCTCGTACAATGAACGTGGAGAGCGACCGTGTCTCCGCAGCGGCTTCGCTCCATCCAAAATGCATATTATGGGTTTTAAAAAAGTGCTATGTCCTTAAAAGGGTTTTCATGAAGCACTGTATGTCACGACGTGAAACGACCTTTGTCAATTTTTAGCCTAGGTTTGTCTCGAGCGAGACAGCAATGGGGGGGGTACGAAGGAGTTGGGGTTCGGTACAGCCTTTGTATACTGGTGCGTTCATTCACTGGGCGAACCAGTTATTCTTCATGGCTCGGAGTCTTGTTTTACTTCATGGTGTCGGTTCTGGCTTGGAGATCGAGATCTCCTTTTGACTCTCATACATAACCATTCCTCCACTTCTTGTATATACACATGCGTACCAGAATTTAGATCGCAGCCGGTATTTACCGTTGCGCTTTCAATCGTGCTTTTGTCAGTAGAGCTTGGAACACTGCTGTCGATCGTGAGTCAACCTGTACTCGTCGATATGCCAAATATCAACTCTTCATGACTTCGTTAGCTCTGCAGTTATTGCATCATCCGGTGCAGGACATCCTTGCTCCACATTCAGAAGCACAGCATAAACCTCTGGTCCGTATATCAGCTATAATCACAAAATCCAACGCTAGGATGCCAGTCATACCAGCAAGTTTCCACTTATTCCCAAGGGCTTCCATGCCTTTCCTCATGATATTCAACGCCTCCAGGCTCTCATGGTGGCCATCAAGTTGATACCGATCGTAGAAATACTTCAAAACCCGGAATCCCCACGCTAAGAGAAACGGGGATGCTCTCTGCGCACTGGTCAAATCCCCACTGAGATAGATCTCCGTCAGGTCGCGACAAGTATGGGCCGAAATACTCATGGGATGCGCCAGGTCGTACACATTTCTATACTCAGCATCCCTTGGATCGTCATAGGAATAAAGCATGAAAATCGCACTGTACCCGATTAGCACGAGCCGGACTGTGGGTTACTAACAAGATTACCTATTGAGAGTGCTACGCGCAACACTCACCGAGACGAGGGTCGTTTGCAGTTCGACTTCGAGCACGTTGGCCAACGCCTTGATCGTGCGGTACAGCTGTGTTCGTCTTGAGGGCAGGACTTCGTGGCCTGCATGGCGGTCTGACAGGAGTTGGACGACGCGGCCGACGAGGAACGCTGCGTGGACAAGGAGTCGAAATGTGCCCATATTGGAACTGGCGGGGGAGAGGAGTGTTAGATACGAGCACTGTAGTGGATGCTGTTATCTGTTAGTCCTCTTCTGCCTTTCGCAACGAGGAGCTGCATGCCGTACCTCTTGCTTCCAGGAGAGGTCGTCCGAAAGGGAGCATCTCATCCTCGCTGGGCTCCTTCAACAACAACGGACGAAGTGGACAACCAAGGCCCATGATTCTTTTGCGAAATAGTCAGACGTAATCCCCGGATCAACAACAGCACCCCGAAAAAAAAAAAAGGAGAGACTTCGACTCACCGATCCATCACATATACGAACCACCAAAGCCGCCTCCGCACCTCTCCACTCATCCAATCTCGCGAATACTCCTGTTCGGACCCCGTGTTGATATCCAGCGCCGCAAGATACCGAGCACAGCTCCCCAGCGTCGTATAAGCCGAGGGGTACACCCCATGCCCATGCTCATAAATCAGCAGCAACAGCAGCGCCTGTAAAAGCCGAATAGACAGCGTCCAATAGATCTCCGCGCTCACAAAATTCGACTTCACAGCCAAATAAGCCCGGTTCACCGGCTGGCCGCCAGGCACGGGCTCCGTATTCAGTCGGATGCACGCCAGCAGAAGCACATCCTCCCCAGCCATCTGGCCCTTCTCACCCAGAAGCCTCGTCTGGAGCTCCTGGAGCGGGATAAACGGAACCCACGGATCAACCGTCCGTATAAACTCTGCAATCAGCCACCGCCGCTCCTCGATCCCACTGCCAAACACATAGTCCAGCACTTCCGGCCCGACAGCCGTGCTCGGCCACGCAGGAGGGCGAGGGAGAGACTGGCGTGGATAGCCCAGGAACATAGCGGCGTTGTAGCGCACGCGCTGGGTGCCATCGGTCCCGTTGGCTGGGGGCACTAGGGCTACCACCGGCCGAGTCGGCCGGTCAGGGTGCCCGTCGATGCGGTATTCGCAGCGATTGCGCATCCTGGGAAGGAGAAATGAGCGATGCGCTTGAATCCTTTAAGGGAGACCCCGGACTTACCGCAGACAATAAGAGCAGACGGGGTAGGCGCGGTCGCATTTCTTCTTGCGGGCTCGGCAGTTCTTGCACGCGAGAGGCGGTTTCATGGGGGTGTTAAGCGTGGTGTAGGATCTGAGACTCTTGGTTTTGTTTCGATGATAGAGTTGCCTAAAACTCCTCGCGGGGTCCAGCCGGTGCTCTAAAGAGGCGATGTCTGTATCTTTGGGGCTGGGATTTCACAAGGAATTGGGGTTGGCATTTTGCCGATCGAAAAGATCTCAGCTTCGATCTACGCCCCCCCACCTGAAGTAACTCGAGGACTTTGGGAAGGGAGGGCACGTCGTACAGAAAGTAAAAATACTCGAATGTGGCTTGATGTAGGGCCGAATGCATGTTCTAGGCTATTATGAAGGCTTTCTTCTGGTATTTCTTTAATTCAATATACATAAGACTACTGAAACAAGAAGTGGAGTTCCTACACTAAAACGCCCATTGCCGACACCACGCCTCCGTCATCTTCGCATCAATAGGACCCAAGTGATCCAGGGTCTTGCTCACACCCCTCGTCTTAGCTGTAGCAAAGCCCTCGGATTGAGGAGTATCCGCAAGCCCCTTATAAGTATCCAAAAGCTTCACGGCCGGAATCTCGACCCCGTCAGCCGGAGCCTCTTCGACGGCACGAACCCAGGTCTTGAAGTCCACAATCTCAAGCTTGCGCCCTTGCTTCTCGTAGAAGCCCGCCACAGCCGGAACAAGTTCATTCCATTGCACATGCGCCGGGTTGACAATATGGAAGTGTCCCGTAATATCCTTCGGCGCTTGCTCAGCCAACACCCCCGAAATCTCCAAAATGACGCTCGCAACATCTTCAACAGGGACCCAGTCAACTGTCGAGTAAGCTCCGAGGTCACGCGGCAATTTGCCGAGTCCCAAGGACGAAGAAATGATTGTAGGAAGCCATTCGTGTCGGTTCCAAGCTCCTTTCTCCGCGCGCGGGCCGGAGATCTGGCCTACGCGGATGATGGCGGTGGGAACGCCGAGGTGTTCGGTGGCTTGCTGCAGAATCAAATCGCCAACCAGCTTCGACTGTCCGTATCCGGTCGAGGCGAGTGCGAAGTCGGGGAGTGAGGACTCGGGAACGGGCCCGGGCCGGGCCAGAGGTCCGCTGAGCCAATGGAAGAGATAAAGGCGATGGGGATACGTTTGGACGCATGGAAAGAGAATTGTGCGAGATTGCGGACGCCAGCGATGCTGGGAGCAAAAGACTCGACGGAGAGGTTGAAATTGACGGGCCAGGCGTTGTGGATGATGCGGTCTACGGTGGACAGTAGTTGTTTGTAGAGAGCGGGTTCCAGGCCAATGTTCGGCTGGGAGAGATCGGCTTGGAGAAATACGGCCTTGGAGAAATCTGTGCTGAGGCCACGCTCTTCGCTGGCTCGGAACTGTCTCTGGCGGCCATCAGCACCTCGGTTGAGGCAGATTACCTTTGCGACGGAGTCGCTGGTTTGGAGTTGGTCGAGAAGGTATGAGCCAAGGCTGCCGGTGGAGCCAGTGAGGATGACTGTTTGGCCCCTGTTGTTGGGGGCTGGCTTTTCAGGGATATGAGGAACCGGACCGATGCTGTATTCTTCCAAGACTCTTTGCGACTCTTTCACTCCGTTAGTGGCGCCGTTGGTGGGTTCATTCTGCGAGGTCTGGGCGAGGAGGTATGCGGCAAGCTTCTCGGGAGTGGAGTTGGCGTAGATAGCTCGAGTAGCCACCTTCGTGCGGTCTGAAGGAACACCGGCTTGTCGCAGTCCGTCGCTTATAAGCTTGGCTAAATTGATGATTCCAAGAGAGTCGATACCAGCACCGAAGAAGTCCGTATCTGCCTCAATATCTTCAACATCGAGAGCCGTCGTAATTAGCTTCTTGAGGGAATCAGTCAGTGCTTCCTTGCTAGCCAGGGAAAGCTCCACCGCTGCACTTTTTTTGCTATCATCGTATAAGGCATCGATCTCGTCCTTGTAGAGCTTCAAGAAGGCACCACGCTGGAGCGAGCCCTTTGCCGAAGACGGGATGGGCTTTTTGGGGTTGGAAAGCGCCACAAGGTGTTTCGCAATACGTCCATGGGCCACAGTCTGTTGATTAACCTTCTCGATGGTAGGCCAGATATCTTCGATCAGCTCTCGAGCAGCGGCTTCATCTTCGGGTTGTTCCAGGGGGTCCAGGAAGATAGCCGCTTGGAATTTACCCTGGCCGACCACAACAGCACGCTTGAGGGCTGGGTGCGCGCTGATGGTTTGTTCAATTGTGACCGGATTTAGCTTCTCACCGTTGGAGAAAGCGATCACGTCATCTGCACGTCCAACGTGCATCCAGTGGTGGGCTTTGGTCGGATGGGGCTTGTACAGATCATTTGTATGGTACTCCGCTAAATCGGGGAAGGTATAGAAGATACCCTGCATGCCGGGCTTCTTGTCGCGACGCACAATAACTTGCTCGAAAGCCTCGTCGACAGGACGGTAGTCTGTGCCGAAAGTTTTGTCATCGAAGATGAAATATCGCCAGTCTTTCAGGTCCAACTGGGCGTAGATTGGGTATATCCCATATCTACGGATTGTCAGCTTGTTGAGTCATCGCTGTAGTAGATTTGACTTACTCGGTAGTTGAAATCACGTTGAAAATCGGGACTCCTGCCTTGACCAGTTTATCTCCAGCTTCAGACGCCATGCCACCTACACCAAAGAGTCAGCCTAAGCTGACAAAGTAGAGAAGGGAAACCTTACCGCCACCAAAGACGACACATTTCATAGCCTTCAGAACCTCCGTGTCAGCGTCTTCGTGGCTCATCTCCTCCAAAACCGAAGGAGCTATAACAATGCCGTCGGCGCGGGCGTGCTTGATGAGCGACACAATCGAGTCGGGTGTCATTGCCAAGTCTGTGCATGGGAGGACCATAGGTTTTCCATAGTAGATCGAAATACTAATGAAAAGGTAAAGACCAAGGGCATGGAATAAGGGCGCTGGATATAGTTAGCTACTGGTACCATGTAGGAAACAGCTTGTGAAAAGCTTTTGAGAAAGGAATAAGCTCACTTGTACAGAGTAGCCGATCTGACACATTAGCAAAATGGCATACGATATGGGGATAGCCGTCGAATTCCGGCCGCAAATGATATCCATCAGCCACCGCAAGACTACCATGGCGACAGATGATCGGTTTTGGAATCCCAGTACTTCCACTCGTATGAAGCACGAAAGCAGGCTTGTCTTCAATCTCATCGGAGGGCTTCTGGAACGGGAAAGCAGGAACCGGTTCGGGAGAAAAGATCTCGCTGATGCTGCCCACCAATGAAGTTTTCATCGAGCGCGATGACAGCCAGGACTGCACCGCTTGGGTGTATTCTGGGGTATGCAGCACCCAATTACAGTTCGTCGCTTCGAACAGCGATAGCTGACTCTCTAGGTTGTTCCGCGGTGAAATAAATAAAGCCTGTTATGTAGATTCCTCCCGTTAAACCCAATTCGATGCATGATCGCCCCCCCCCCCCCCCAGCGTGAGAGACTCCGTGGAACATACCTTGTACCCCGCTTTTATCGTCGCGGCCATTGTAACCAGGTAGCGAACGTCACTTGGGCCGATGTAAGCGATGGTGGGATACTCGCCCTCTTTAGCGGGGCCAACTGTGCTGACAATCCAATGCGCGTAGCGGTTGATGGCATTGGCGAAGTCCCTGAAGCTCACATCCTGCCAACCTTGGGTGGGATCGGAATTGGAGCGCGGGATAGAGATGACAGTGCGCGAGGGCTCGGTCGCAGCGTATTCATCGATTAGGTCCACGCAGTTGCGCTTCCCGTAGGAAACCGGCGTGAGGGAGCCCATGATCTTTAGTAGTGATGGAATGAGGCTGAGATGGATGTTTTTGGACGACAGTGATGAACCTTGTGGCTGCCTTTCCTGATTCAAGACCCCGTGGATTTCTAGATCCCCTTTATACTCTATTTCCTGCAATCAAGACAATGCCGAGTTCCGCCCGATGGGGGAGGATGAAGAGGACAGTGGCACCTTTATTTCCATTTTGAGCACTATTCTGCAAGAATGTTTCGTATTTATCAGCAAACAAGCTTCAGTGGAGTATTATTTCGGCATTGAAATATCCGGAGTAGCTCACTTCGGCATAGCAGCGGTCTACGAACGGAGTGTAGATCGATCGTGGGTTGGACAGTACGAGCGGGTTCTGAGCGGCCTTTAGCGTCACAATCTGCATGTCGATCTGCAGTACCAGTTGGGAAAGCTACAGAAGTGGGGCTGACACTTGGAAAGGCTGGGTATTTTAGGAGGCACATCAGAATACTACAGGGCTCTCGAGGAGCTGCCTAGCCTGTTGGGCTCCATTCTGTCGTCTGGTGCGGTGCCACTGTCGCACGAATGTCCATGCCGAGATGCCGAACAGCCCATTGAACTCCACCCTGGGCAGACTATAAAAAGCTGACATTTCCTGCATTCCTGCAGGGATCAACGTCATCAGTGGGAAGTGGACCACAACAGGATTATGCGAACATACTCGGCATCAATCTCCGACTGGTGGTCGCGTGATTTCCAAGTATCGCCAGCTTGGATGCACTTCTGGGCCAATGAATCTCGAGAATTACAATGGATTAACACTTCAACTTCTTGCAAGGCTGAAAGCTCATCGTGCGGCTCTTCTCGGCTAGTCTTGCTGGTATAGAAGTTTTTCCAAATTCGGCAAAATACGCCTATGCGAAATCAAGTGTCTGTTCATTTACTCAGCCTCTCTGCTCAAGAACCAGTACACCTGGAGAGGCAGATATATACAGCCCAACAACCCGCCTCCCCCAAACTTGAAATACACTACTCAGTAACACTATCCTTAATACTGCGCAATGGACTCAACTTATGTGCCGGCTCAATAGCAGCCGCATTCTTCGCTCTCCTCCGCGCATCCGTCCACAGCATGAACTCCCCATACCCCTTCGGCATAACCTGCACATCCCGCTCTACCAAAAACGTGTAGTTAAACATCCCTGTCGATTTCTTCGTCCCGTGCTCCACATCCCGCACCTTCGAGTCTACCCGGACCTGCACCTTCGTGTACTTCGTGGCGTCACCCTCGCGCTCCTCGGGCTCCGTGTACGCCACCGTCGCCCGCAGGTACAGCACGCTGCCGACCGGGACGGGATTCTCGAAGGTACTCGGGTCGAGGGCCAGGAAGTTGGGGCGAGAGTGCGAAAAGGAGGCGGCACAGCAGAAGGCGAGCTCGAAGGACTGCTTGAGCAGGAAGCCGCCGAAGATCATGAAGTTGTGGCGATTTCGGTCCTGTGGCTGCATTATCATGGCGGATTTGAGGACGGTATCGCTCATGAAAACCAAGTTTGTGGGGCGGGTTGCCGGGGCTTCGGGGTCTGATTCCTTTGTTAGGGCATGCGGGTTTCGATGCAGGGTGTCTAGTAATCTATACGTACTCAGGTATGACATCTCCTTAGTCCACATGGAGTGGATGAGGTTACTCTCCTCGGCATTGGGGGCTTGCTCGAGGAGACTGCGCGTGCGGAGAGCCTTTTTGGCCTGGGAGTTCTCTTCGCCTTTTTTGAAAAGGCGCTTTTCTTCCTCTGTTTCCAGGATCAAAGGAGCGACGGAGGCGGGCCTAGGACATATCCGTTAGGACCGATAGTTGCGGAAGTTTTGGAGGATACGCTTACTTCTTCGTAACAGGGTCCAAAGACACCATTGTGAATGCACAGGTGATAAGAACGTCCTCTGGTTGAGGGTCCTGCCCCTCAGGACGACTCTTCCGGACTTGACACGAGACCTCCATACTGGATCTTCCCGTCGCATAGGTCACCTGGCCACTGAGCTCAAGATCGCAAATTTCCATCAGAGGATTCTCGATCGTGATCCGGTCAACGGCAGCAGTAACTGTAGTGACACCGTCACCAGTATGACGGTATGCAATGACACCAGCCAAAGCATCAAGGTCCATCAGAAGAGAACCGAGTCTAGAAGAGCATTAGCTATGCCAAGACTATTCTCATAGGTTTTGCCATACCGAATGTTGCCCGAGGCATTGAGATAAGTGTCTAAGAGCCATTTGTCTTGAGCCAACGGGAGCACCTACATCCACTAGTCAGCTTCCATCCAACTTGTCCCACTTCAAAGAAAGAGACCAAATAACCTACGGCACTGTAGTAGCTATCAGACATGCGCTTTGGCGTAAGCTCCGGCTTTACAGGCTTGGGTGCAGGCCCGCCCTCCTTAGCATTCCGAGCTGCCTCCCTGCTCTGCGTCAGGGCATCAATCCACGGCGTCTTCACCCGCATCGGCATCCATGTTGGCCTTGACGCGGCGTTTCTCGGCGAAACATGGAAATCTCTGGACTGACAGCCGTGAGGTTGCGCTGCGGCGACAGCGTGGGCTGTAGGGCCGAGCGCCAGGAACTTGCGGTGCGACAGGGCAGCTCTTCTTCCGACGCCGAGCATGGTGTGTTGGTCCAGACAATGGAATAATGACAAGAGAGATATCAGTATGCGCGGTCATCCTGTCGGTCCGAGACGGCCCAAAGCGGTTAGTGTGCGGCAGAAAAAGACGGGGAGGGGGGGGGCGTGTGGACGGATGACCGGGCGACCGCTGGGTTTTGTCGGCCGATGATCGAAGGGTTTTATGGTGTTGATGGGGTAGTGTCCATGTCATAGTTGCTTTTCTTTTCCCTAGGGGGTTAATGGAGTACAAGATCGGAACATTGGAGGTTTGGAATAATACATTTCTTGGTATGATCCATCGTGTGAAGTAGTGGATTCTTAATGTACATTAAATGTCCAAGACTAGGTATTTGCAGTGGACCTTCGGGATATTGCAAAGAGACAGCAGCTCTAGATGCATGGAAAGAATGTGTAAGGACTCGAGGGCAGTCGAGAAACAGTATGTGAAAGTGGTATCGGGGCAAAAGACAGATATGGGCGTGAGGAAGAAAAGAAACATGAGTAAAGACTCATTATTATAGACAATAGTGGACGCTTGAAGAAGACAAAGGATGGGATCTGCGAGTTGGGATGGACAAGGCTGGTGGAATGTCGCAAAGTCACATGGACTCATGAGGTTCTCGCTAGGGAATGGCAAAGCTTTAAATCAACAATGCCATGCCAACAACCATGATCGACGGAATCAAGCTGATAGAAAATGATGATGCCGAGTTCATGGGTGTGGGGGATGGCGACTCTGACGATGAGGTGGTGCCGGTCGCGGTCGCGGTCGGTGCAACAGTGGTGAGGGTGGTCGCAGTGGCAGTCGGCACCACGAATGTACCATTGCCGGGCACAGAAGTAGCGTTTCGAGTGCCAAAGCCAATCTGTGCGTTGTCAAAATCGAAGACGGAATACACATTCTTCAAGAAGACGTCGCCGACCAGCCAGGTGTCGGGCCCAGACGACTCCTGGGAGATAATGGTGGAAACACACCCGGAGCCTTGGTGTTGGCTACCAATGTAGTCTTCGGGCTCGATGGAGTATTTGATTCCTGCAAATGAGAGCTCTAACTTTGCGCTCGCATCACAAGGAACCACCCAATTTCCACCTGAGAACGATGAGTCAGGAATGGCAGCGAACAGGATCTTCGCATCATTGGGTGGAATCAAGATGTAGGTGGTCCCGGTATCGATGGTAGCAATCTTTCCCTGGAAACCAAGAGCTTTGCCATTCACGTAAGCATCATCAAGGGCAATGCTCCAGATGTCGGTGACAGTCGTGGAATATGAGATAGTTCCGTCGAACTTGGTGGTATCGACACCACCGAAGTTCACTTCACCATCAAAGCCACCCTCGGATGCACGCGAAAGACTAAAGCCAACAAGGTTCGCTGGGAGAACACCAGATTGGCCCACGACATCCATAAAAGATGGGATGTTCCAACCCGCTGTCCTGGAGCGTCCCAGGCCGAGAATTCCATCAATTGGATAATTGTTGAATGTCTGACTCGCCGACGTCGCCTGTCCAAATGACAGAGTCGCATTCAAGCCGGCAATCGACACAGTGTCCTGACCCAGACCACCCTTAATAGTTCCACTGCCATATCCAATCGAGATTTCAGAATTGTTCGAGATAAAGGAAGTGGATGCTTTTGAGTCGAATGTATGGTGGTTTGTACACACTGTATCTGTACAGGCCGAGTCAAACACCCATGTGCTCGGAGACCCAGTGTCAACAGCCAACCACATCTGAGTCTTCTGCGAGCCGACCTCCACGACAGAGAAGTATGAGAAGTCGGCACCATCCTGGTCCAATGCAGCACTGTGAGGCAGCGTAGGGTCGTTCGCTCGGATGATAGTGTATTTGTCGTCGCGGCGAACAGGGGCCTTCTTGATGCCTAAGGTGAACGGCTTGTCGTCGGCGTTTTCCTCCTCCGATTCTACTGCCTTGATTTTCCATGGCATGAATCGACGTTCATTGTCGCGACTATTGAGAGCGACAGACTCCTCTACCTTGATTTCCCATGGGTAAAAGGCGTGCACGCTTGACGACAGGCCCGCAATGACCAGGCATGATGAGAAACGCATGATCCAATTTAAAGGATCTCAATACGCTGGGCTCTGGGCTGCATTTGTCGGACAGCAGAAGCGTTGATTGGACCTCTTCAAGCGAAGTGCTTCAACCCCGCGGCGAATTTCGAGTCTTTGAAAGGAGCTGGTGGAGAGGAACGGTTTGTGGGGCGATTCAGGAGTTCGACTGCGTAGTTGCGCAAAAAAACAGAAAGGACGAAAAGAAATGAACAGTAACTAAGATGCAGCCAAAAACACAACAGAAAAGCAATTTAAATGCCCAAGAACCAAAGGAACGACGTAGCGAACAAGCCACCAGGAGGTTGAAAAGAAGCAGTGTTGACGTGAGGGGGGACCGAACTGCACATTAGGGGTCCCACCCAAGAACCACTGAGGAAAATACGTCCCTGACAAGTCGGTCTGAGACTGGACTGGGGTAGCGTGGCTCCACCCGTTCGCTGTTCGCAGTTGGGATCGACTGAATCGCTCGGAGCTAGGTGCACGCTAGTCGCCAGCTCGTTGCTACTGTAGGATGAGATTGCGATGACCAAAATTTCCGACGGACATGGCAGGTCGGCGAGAAGTATTCAAAGAAACAAGTCGTTCTATTCCAGACCCTCCCATCCGTGACTTTCCCCTTGACCAAATGCTTATCAGTGAGCTATCAGGAACATAGGGGGGCAATGAACCATGAAGAATTAGTCCCGCCAAGTTGTTCTTCCTGCGGGTCGCACGGAGTGCCAATTGGCCAGAAAACCGTGGCTGAAGTCTGTGTCCAATCCCACAGCACACGTCCTTGTTTATCGCACTGGCAATTTAAGTAGCGCGGGTATGCTAGACTCGATATTGAGTCTCGCTCCACAGGTGCTTTCTCACATAGCCCAATCATGGCTGCATTCTGCACCGTTGCTTTTGCTGTAACGGAGAGTGGCGCACGCCCTCCAGCCACTTAGTGATGCATGGGGGTATATGCATTCTATGTACGGAGGGCCGGCCACATTGTGCAACCAGCCCGACTCGGCGTCTGACTAGGGTTGAGAATCCATCTGCATGTCGGCTATACGCTTGGTGCTGGTCTCGTGTCTAGCCCACGCGAACGCCCTAAATCGATTGAAATCACATGTCGCAAAGCGAGGCATAGTGAAATGAGTCGTGTAGTATTATCGAGGATAGCAAGGACCTTTCCAGTCGCCGAGTATTGATAATATTTGATACTTCAGAGACATGTCTACGATGAATGGTATGTCATTGAGCAGTAATACCTGTAGCCCCATTGGCATAACATGTCACATTGCCAAGTCATTGATATATCTCGCCATTACCTGGGGCTTCAAGGTTGCCCAAGGTTGCAATTCAAGCTATGCTGATCAGTAAAAGATAATTTTAATATTTCCTAGTAATAGGTGCTGTAATCGAGACTGCTAAAGATGGAGTACCAGTGTGGACCTCCACATTGGAGGCTGACCGGAGGAGACCGGAACGTCAATGACATCCGCGGACACCAGCCAGGAATTATAGGGTGATCATCAGATCAGCTTACCCAGATATAGAATGAATACGTAGAATAAGGGTCTCAATACCGTCAGCGCGTGATCTTACTAGGAGGCAAAGCCCTGAGAACTATCCGAACTTCTGCAACTGTCTTTGGCCAGGGAACTGTATATTTGTGAGCCATACTAATCTTCCAGCAACTACCGAGGCCGGCCAATTTGAATAGTAACATGAGTTGAGTACAACCACTCATAGACGGATTACGTGGTAAAGCATTCGCCTAAAAATCACCAGAAGATTCTGTAAAAGGTGAAGATTCAATAATCCGAACTCAATTCAGTCTTTAATTCCTCCTGCATAGAATGACAGCGGGAGAGGACCGAGCACATGCAATGCACCCCGGCGACCCTTCACCCTTCCACCCCTCTCGAGTCCACAAACGCAGGAAGCTATACAGAGAAATCATGTGTAAAATTAAACCCCAATAATCTGATCCGGTTAATGAACCAGGCTCCCCAGAATCCCCGGGGGAAGACGTCATCCCCCGGTAATCCCCAAGCCGATTTCACCCGCAAAATTTCGCCTACAGTCCCCGGGCAGACAACAGAAGCACCGGGCCGTATGACCTCGGAAGGCAAGTGGATCTAGCGCTTTTAAGGTCCGAGGGAAATCGGATAGACGATCTCTGCTTCCTAATTGTTAGGGCCCAGAGGTAGGGCTTTCTACTGGACCTCGGTAAAATGGAGGTGGGACAGGCTAAAGTCTACACGATGAGTCAATAAGAAGAGTAATCATCCAACGAATTCATTGATTCGGAGCTTGTGCACAGCAGCGGCCAATGACTGTCTCTGGAACAAATGGAATTGATCATGAAGGGGGTATACCCCGAGAGACAACAATGGCGAAAGCAGGAGCCCAAAGGGCGGAAGGTAGACAATATTACATCAAAACGCTAGTTCTCAAACAATCGGACCGAACAATCCCAAGAAAAGAATATAGAAACGAGTAAGGTTTAGGCAAGCACCAAAGTAGATTCGTGAGCCGTGAGCAAGAATCCGTATTTCAACCGCCACTCAAGACCGGGCAGCGATCTACTTGCGGGCAGAAGACTGTTTGGGTCCGAGGACATCGTCCAAGAATCCAGACCAGAGCTCCTGAACGATACCGGGCTCCTTAGAGCCTGAGCCATTGGCCTGGCGCTGGATCTCTTCCCGGCCCTTGAGCGACCGACAGCCTCGGTCAAGGAGAACGGGTCAATGTCGACCGCGTGATTATCGACGACTTCGCTCATGGGGCTGGCGGCGACGTCAGCGCCGGCACCGGCGACAGTGTAAATCTGGGGCTTCATGGGTGGGGCGGATGGGGCTTGCGAGACCCCGCGGGAGGAGAGATCGGGGAGGACCGGGATTTGTTGAGGGGGACGGGCAGATGGAGCTTCAAGGTCGGCTAAGGAAGGCATGTAGACGAAGTCGACTGTAGAGGAATCGCCGACGGCTTTTGAGGAACGGGAGGTGTTGAATAGGCGGGCAGAAGGGCTAGAGGATTGTTAGATCGAGGTTGTAAATAGGTAAGCTTGGTCGGTACATACGCAGAGAAAGCATTGGGGTTGATGCGGCGCATGGCAATGCTGAAAGCGCGGGATTGCAGGACATCGTGGTTAGAGAGGCGCTCGATGAGCTATTACAAAGGTTAGATCGATATCCCATAATATCCGATGCAGCCATCAACTTACTTCCGATTTGCTTCCAGCGACACGGATCGAACGTCTTTGGCACTCTTGCTTGAGCTCCGGAAGGCTGCGAGCAGCATAAAGAGAGGCCTTGTCGCCAGAGTTGAGGGGCTGGGCCGACTGAACGCCAGTGATGTGAAGGCAACGACGGGGAGCAGAGTGTTGAGTGACCTGGCGCAGGGCACGCAGGGAAGTTGATCGAGGAGCGGCCATTACTTGATGTGGAGGATATGTGGAAAGGGGGAAATGGGTAGACGAGCGTGAGGTAGTATATGTGGGAAGCAGGTAGTACCAGAAGAAAAAAAAAAGTGTATCCGGACCAGGACAAACGTCAACAGTCGCCCTTTATAGAGCAGAGCAGCTTAGGGAATCGTTGGGGGAGCTATGAACCCACTCTTGGCGGTCTGGGCCCGTTATCGAGTGTTTCGGCCAATGAACGCGTGGCGCCTGGCCAAGTCTTGACGTACTCCACCTGAGCAGGATAAGATCGAGGGGGTACAAATCAGCACGATAGGCAGAATAAGATCCAAGAGGTAGATTCGAGCACGATGTTAAATATCTGGGAATTATTGGCCTCAACACTTCCTCTGATCTCGTCGTTTCGAAAAGCGGGGATAGAACAAAAAAAGGTTACGTAGTCAGTGGTGTCACAGCGAAGTACTCAAGTCCCCGAGTACCTTTGATACAGCCAATCTAGTGATTCTGGCCTACGGAGGACCTTCCGGTACTTCCCCTGGGGATGATGCCATATTGCCTAACTCGACTGCTGAATACCCCCCGCCCGGGCCAAGGGCGATCATTTCCCGGAGGACGCCCCTGCTCCCCGGGCCATTATTGGGCGGCCACTGGGAAACCCCTCAGGCTGCATAACGGGGTAGTAATGAGAATTCTCCCAGGGAAACGGCCGGGAACAAAATCCCTACTAGTAATCCACCTTCGGTAAGTGGCGCCTCTTCGTACTGGCTCCCTCTTAAGGACGCGATTCGAGAACCCTGGACGGACGAATCAGGATCACGCTAAGAATGATCGACCCGTTCTGTTGAGCGATTGAATCCCATGACCACCACTTTGCGGTGAGACACACGTGTGTACCTTGTTCGACAGCACACCAGGGCTGGCCTTTCACGCATCGGTTTTCCCCTTCGAGCGAATCCCGTTTGCTCGGTCTGGTTTCGACGACCGGTGAGTTTGAGATGACACCCTACCCCCTATTGATGATCGTCTCGGGCTCATCAATAGAGCAATGAAGCCAAGACCTTTATCAATGATCAGCAGATTCCTTTGTGGTGGCGCAGTTATATTCAGCCTTAAAAAGGAGCTGTTTCAGGGGCGGAACGTCGTGAGGCCCCCGCCGGGCAAATGTTACCAATGGCTTGGCAGGATTCCGACGGAATGGTAGGATTCTTCAAGTAGCAGTCCCTAGATAGCGGTTCTTCTTCTATTACAGCCTTTCAAAAAGATCATCCAATGCCAATGCTTGGATGCTTGGGGGCTGATTGCGTACTACATTAGCCTGGAAAGTGAAATCCGCGTGCCTTGACCCTACGGTCCAAGCGTACCGGAGCCGGGGATCCAAGGAAACAAGATCTCGTAGGTTGACCTCATCCCAGCAAGGAGGTCGGGGATCTTGCATTCCTACCTTTGGTTACGGCTTTCGGGGATTTGTTCGTAGTTTCGCGCCAGGGGAATGGGTACGATCGGGCTCCACTTTCAACTCCCCCCGGATTTACAACCCCACACACAAGAAGCCAAGAAAAGAATATACTCAAGCTTGTCTTATCTATAAGAGGACACTCACCTTAAAGGTGGCTTGTCATAGTCCCAGTAATCAATTTTTGAGAATGTGCTCTAGGATGTCTACCTGCTTAGATACATATAATCTTCATGGCCGGGATAAAACGAAAGCTGGTTCCCACTAATTCCAAGATATGGAGGATAGCCATCCATGAGAAGAGCATCTGAGTCTATACTAGGAACCTCCGTCGGAGCATAATCGAGGCACAGATTGCTTTGAGATGTTTCAGGCGACTCACAAATTTGCTCAAAGCTTGCTTCACTCTGGCTGTCGAGGAGCAGTTCGTCGGACTCGTAATCCGACTGGAGAAACGACTCCAACAATTTATAGTCTTCCCAATTAAAGTCAACGTCCAGCATATCCGAATCCTCATTATGTTCAGCTTTGAGATTTGGAAAGAAGATTGCTTTTGCTTTTGGCACCTTGGTCTTGCGGAGACCGGTTTGAGCGATACGCCAGAGTGACGTCTCGACGGCCGATTTGAAGCCATTAGGCATGGCGCCTGCTATGTTGCCTAGAACCGAGAACATTGCATCAGAAATCAAGGGAAGTGATAACGCTCTTTGATTCATAGCCTGCTATTTGTTTAGCAACCAGGACTAGGAAGAATTGGAATCGCCCACACACATCACGGTATCCTTGTTTGAAGATGACTGGGGCGCGTATTGCTAAGTTCTCCAGCGTATCTTCTCCTAGCACTTTAATTTCCTGTCGTTTTTCAGGAGAGCCGGAGACTAGCTTTTGGAGAGCAAAGTCCAGCAAGGGAAGCATTTCGTGTGCAGATCCAACCGAGCGAACGCTGGGACCAGTTCTCGTGCTCATTGCTGTGCAGCGCATGAACCCAGGCATGCAAACGGAGGGCTCTTCATACGGAGAGATGTCAACACCAGGGTGCTTCTCTAAGCTTGTTCCCGAGGAGCGAATACGAGACCCTTCTCCGGCCTTTGGGCAATATGTATAATCAAGTACCAAATGGATTTCTGCGAGCGATACGGTGGGTATCTCCGACGGAGGGAACGAATCAGGTGGATTGTGCAGTATATCAGGCAAGGCCCTGCCATTTCCCATAGTAGCTCTGTGGGACTTGACAAGAAAAAATGCCAGAGAATGGCCTGTGTCAGAACCGCGATGTGACCAGAGGTCATCACTCTCCGTAGGTGTAATCTCGAATCCAAGATTGGACCAAACCTATCAAGGAGGTTAGCTAAGGCAACCTTTGGTTACGCATACCTCAATTCTCTCACGTCTGATTCCGAGATGCCTTTCTTGACAAGGGGAATTAATGAGTATGCCATAGCATTCAGCCCAGAGCCAAGCTGAACGAGAAGAGTGAGCTTCACTTGTGGTGCTTCTATAACCCAGTAAGAAGAGTCCAATTGAGACATGGGTATTGAATTGCTCAAAAAGCTCAGTGCTCCAGTAGCTCTAGGCCATTTCACAACAGCCTTTGCAGCAAAGTGAAGCTGAAGCTGTAGCAGCGCATCGCGAAGGAAGCAATGTCCCAGATCAATGGTATGCGCCATTATCAGAGGGACCCATTGGACAACAACACTTGAATATAAGGAAATCTGTATAGAGCAGCCCTGAGGGCCAATAGCCAAATACGGCCGGGGAACTTGGATATTTTGAGATTTTCGAAGTCTAAGATTCACCCGCAAATCGGGACCCCATTAGCCACGCAGGGCCGCACATGACTGTACAAGCAGGACACAACAGACTACGCTAAAGCACTTACAAATGAATTGCGTGACGCTATTTTCTTCATGTGAACCTACTTTTACATTTAGAATACGAGAGTCTGTCGAATCGACGCCAAAAACGGCCGCCCTTTCACTCGTACCTTTGGAGGGCGAGCGGATGCTTCACCGCCCGCCAGGACCTTGACTATTTTGCACCCATTCACGCCCTCTGTCATCATCCCGCCAGCAGTTTTGTTTGAGTTGATGTTATTAAGAAAGGGACTTGGCGTCTAGGCCTGGTCACGTGCTCAGTTTGTGTCGAATATCGGACCGGGGCCACCAGCAATCTTTCCTTCACGACACTTGTATCACCTTTCGGTTGGCATAGCAAGAATTCGCTGAATCAATACCTTTCCCTCTTCTTCCCAAGTTTGGGTTCTTTCTTAATTTGATTTACCTGCTATCAGTGCTGTTAAAGTTCTGAAGCAGGCATTATCATACTCATTCATCTTTCTGGAAACATGTGCTGGATCCAATCCGCACGTCTTTGGTGCCCTTACCAACGTCCCAAACTGAGTCTGAAGCAATGTTGCCGTCCAACTCCTAGAGCTTCGAATTTCTCCTACGATCACCGCTTCAATAGTATGAATTCTCCTCAGAAAGGCAAGAACTCCTATCTGGACGCAAATTAACATATCACTAAGCTGGAACAGATTGGAATCGTAATGATGATTTCTTCAAATTCACGCGCGGCCGCTTTATCGTGGATGAGGCAGAGAACCTGCGAGAACGAGAGGTTAGGTTCGACATGAACAAGCTCGCACAAGTCGCAGCAGACTCGGTTGGCGCTACTCGATGCGTTTCTATCAAGAAGTATCCGGATGGCATGTTCAACAAAGCATTCCTCATGTCTATGGAAAATGGCCAAGAAGTCGTTGCAAAGGTGCCTAACCCGAATGCTGGTATTCCACACTTCACTACCGCCAGTGAAGTTGCCACGATGGACTTTGTATGTTTATCTTGGATTTTATTTATGGAAAGTTTTGTTAACGAATTTGGAAGGCCAGAAGTATCCTTCAGACACCGACACCCCATGTATACACATGGAACTCGCATGCAAAATCACACCCTGTTGGAGCCGAATTCATCATAATGGATAAAATTGAAGGTGTTCCATTATCTCAAGTCTGGGAAACCTTGGAACTATCCGAAAGGCTACCATGGCTTCTTGCTATGACAAGTCTCCAGAAAGAATGGTTAAGTGTTTCTTTCTCACATTATGGCAGCCTGTACTACACAAAGGATGTACAGCCACTGGTAGATAACCATATCATGAAGAATGGTATGATTATCAAAGACTCCGACTTTGTTGTTGGCCCGACTATAGGCCGGGACTGGGTCGATGCAGGCCGATCTACTTTGGATATCGAGAGAGGACCATGTAGGTTGTATCTTGTGTTAAAATTATACAGCTACGAATATATTTATAGGGAATTCTTTAACCCAATATCTACACGCAATTGGAATACGAGAGACACTGGCAATCAAATCTTTGAGACCTCCAAAACAGACTACCATGTTCTGTGGCCCAGGGCTTTATCAACCAGACGCGGAAAAGAAAATCACTGCTTTGAAATTATTCCAGCAAATTATTGATATCTTGATCCCGAGCGATACCGCTATCAACGTCCCGTCTCTCTGGCATCATGATTTGCATACAGACAATATTCTCGTGGACCCGCTTAATCCTGGAAAGATTACAGGAATTATCGACTGGCAATCTTGTCAGATCTCGCCTCTTTTTTATCATAGCCCCGACCCAGCATTCATCGAGTTAGATGGCCCTGAGCCTAAGACACTCGATCTAGTGCCATTACAGGAACTCTCTGGGCTTTCTGCAGATGAACAATTCGCAGCCTTAGAAGAGTTCACGAACCTAAATGTTTTTATTGGGTGGCGGAACCTTATGTGGGCCAAAAACCCAAATCTTTATCAAGCAGCCGAATTTCGAAAAACTACAGCGTTCGGCCTGATGTCCCTTGCCTGCCGAATGTTTGAGTACGGTGAGGCCCATTTCCTATCACTTCTAGTCGATCTGAAGGACATATGGGCGGAACTACCTGCCGTTAAAGATGATATTCCATTCCCCTTTGATTTTTCGAGAGAAGATTTCCAGCGCATCAGACTGGATTGCGATGGGGCAGAAGCAGGAACACAGCTTGTTGGGATGGTCAAGGAGAGAATGGGTAATTTGTGGCCCCAGAGAGGCTTCATCGGTCTGGAGCAATACGATGATTGCAAAGCAATTCTTGACGATATTAAGGATCAGACTTTGAAGTACCTGGCTGAGACGGATGAGGAAAAGGCTGAGTATGAGCGGTATTGGCCATTTGAATAATCTAATATTTTGAGGCAATGGGGAAGAAAAAGGCATCTTGAAGCGCGTATGGGAAGTTATTGAATCTCGCTGCAAGGCGCAGTGACCAAGGCGGGCCCACAAGAGGGATCGAGTTCGATATAACTCTATTCTGGGTGGAAAATCATCTGTCCATGGGTGCAATGCGTGATTTTCATGGTGGGCTTGGCGCTAGCGGGATTTTGTTGTGTTGTCTCCTTTGGGCAAGAGGCTCAGGCGGGATGAACTCACAAGTTAAGCATGACGTAAGAAGGTACCATTGGTTTATTTAACTAGTTGCCTAGGACCATGATTACATAGGCACCATTCCCATCCCCCTCGTGCTTTGCTACTCGTAGGGGATAAGCAGCTAGCAGTATAAACGAGTGCCTTTTGCCGATCATGCTCTCTGACACCGGCAGAAGCCAGCCTAAAGCCGTTTCCATGCATAGACAAGGCATGTGCCGAAGGGGGAGGAACAAACTCGTTCAGGTACCCATTCAGGTACGGCACACGCAAAACTTTCCAGAAAACCCCACGGTTGGCGATCCCAGGAACCACAAAGGTACATTTCCCCAGATCTCCACCGTGCACCACATCCATGCACGGCGGGATCGGCGCTTATCGACTATCGATACTGATCACGTGCATGCGTCATAAGCTGGCCTCAAGCCACCTGCTTCTTTCTCAAAGTACGGTCAACAATGACTGGCGATGAGGAGCATGGCGAGCCCCTCCTTGCCGATGAGCATGAGGATCTACAGGTTCTCTCACCCATCCAGGAACCTGAAGATCTCATAAATCATGCTCCCCCCAGTTCAACGCCATTGCCCCCGACAAACCCAAAGCATTCAAAGCGACAATCCTCCATATCGCAACCAGCCCCCGACGGGCAGCGACGAACCCCTCGGACCACAAACCGTGTGCGATTCGATCTCGATGAAGGGTCAAACATAGACCTCGACGAGCTGCACTCCAATGGCCATCCCCGCAGCCCCGACGAAGACGCGAGATGGCTAGACGAGGAGGACTACGAGCTTGGCGAGCATGGGTCTCCCAGAACCAGGCGGAATGGAGGACAGACGGTGCCGCTCTTGACCGACATTGAAGCTCCCAGCGTCACTCTCGCCACTTCAGACGACTTTTTCCCGGAGGACCACCTGGAGAACGCCCGTCCGCGGAGCGGGATGAAAATGGCGTTTATGAACATGGCCAATAGTATCATTGGAGCGGGTATCATTGGACAGCCATATGCTCTGCGTCAGGCTGGTCTCACAATGGGCATTGTGCTTTTGACAGCTTTGACAGTCACGGTGGACTGGACCGTGCGCTTGATCGTGGTCAATTCGAAGCTGAGCGGAGCAGACTCGTTCCAAGCAACAATGCAGCATTGCTTCGGAAAGGGTGGATTGATTGCCATATCAATTGCGCAATGGGCTTTTGCCTTCGGTGGCATGGTTGCGTTCTGTATCATCGTCGGCGACACGATTCCTCACATCTTCGATACTTTATTTCCGTCTCTAAGGAATATCACCTTCTTGTGGCTCCTTACGGATCGCCGGGCGGTCATTGTGCTGTTTGTTCTCGGTGTCTCTTATCCCTTGTCACTTTACAGAGACATTGCGAAGGTTAGGCAATCTCTTCGTACTCTCAATTGTGTGTACTTATGTTCAAGCAGTTAGCGAAAGCGTCGGCCCTGGCACTGGTCAGTATGCTAGTTATCGTGGTAGCTGTCATCACTCAAGGGTTTCGAGTCCCCTCCGAATCACGAGGCGAAGTCAAAAGTCTCCTTTTCGTGAATTGGGGGGTTTTCCAAGCAGTTGGTGTCATATCGTTTGGTGAGCTGCTTCACCCTAGATGATTTTTGCTTATTGCAACTTGCTAATTTCTTTTACAGCATTTGTTTGCCGTACGTACGACTTGATATCATGACATGGTGTCTTGTACCCGCTAACTTCTGCGCAGACCACAATAGCCTACTCATCTACGGGTCTTTGAAGAAACCTACCCTTGACAGATTCGCTATCGTGACCCACTATTCTACTGGAATCTCTTTGGCGATGTGCCTTGCCATGGGAATAGCTGGGTTCCTTTCCTTTGGGTCTAAAACTCAAGGCAATGTTCTCAACAATTTCCCATCCAACAATGTTGTGGTCAATATTGCACGATTGTAAGGAACCCCAGATTTCATGCGAGGCGGTAATAACTACTAACGAGTAGATAGCTGCTTCGGGTTAAACATGCTGACAACCCTCCCTTTGGAGGCATTTGTCTGCCGCTCGGTTATGACCACTTACTACTTCCCGGACGAGCCGTTCAACGCGCATCGACATCTTATTTTTACCACCTCCCTCGTGATGACATCTGTCGCGCTAGCACTGATAACGTGCGATCTTGGCAGCGTGTTTGAGTTGATTGGCGCAACAAGCGCGGCGTCCCTTGCGTACATTTTCCCGCCCCTTTGTTATATCAAACTCAGCAGTGCTAGCCGAAAGGAAAAGATCCCAGCATATCTATGCGTCGGGTTTGGCATCATTGTTATGGGTGTCAGTGTCGTCCAGGCTATTGGGAAGATGATTCGGAGTAAGTTAATTGTACCCTGATGGTGCTGCAATTTGCTAACGTGAAGTTCCAGACGACGGTGAAGGCCACTCATGTGCTGCACCTTAGACCACGAGTCTTTCCATAGCATCAAATAAAGACACTCGCCTCCCGGAAGAAAGCGAGCTTCTTGTAAATGTATTATACATGCATAGAGGAATACCATGGCATCTGTTATGCCGTTGACCTTCGACAATTTTCTTTCCAAATCAGAATAGGCCCAATTCGAGATCATACATACAAGCTTGTAGGCGGCACTCAATGGCCTGAGAAGCCTGGCAGACCTAGTCTCTGTGTTTTGGGGAGTCCAAGCACTCAGTCACCTGCCCCTCCAATGTCAACAACAAACAACATTCAGAATCTTCTATCCTACTTAATCTCTTCCTTCTCAAGGATCGTTCGTCTTCTCACCACCCCACCCTTCGTGTGAGCACATCACGCCCTTGAACTTCAAGCATATCTTTCCATCATTTATTCGTGTCTACCATCAAACACGAAAATACAGCTAACCGATACCGTCCGAAAGAACCATAGGAACAAACCCTCATCGAATTTTCCTTCGACTCACACTCTCACTCACCACGGGCGACTCGCACTATCCTTGTAATCTTCTACACCGTGGGAGAGAAGGCAGATACACGTGTAACTGCTTCCTCACTCCACATTAGGAGACTAAAAGGGATTTGCGCGTCACCTGGCCTTCATCTCTCCTTCAACACGCGCGGTACGAGTTCATCAGCAACCACAATACATCACCATTTCACATCGCCTTGATTCCCTGCGACTCATCTTATCAACACGTTGAGTAAGCACTAAAAAAGATGGATGCTGCACAGATTGCTCGGCTCAACGAGCTGCAAATGGTACGTTAACCCAGAACCTGTTGATGACAATACTAACCACGAGTCGCATAGGCTGATCTTGGAACTCAACGTCGCGAGTACGTCACAACCGCCGACGACCCTAAGAAAATCTCACGCGCAGGAACAAAAGAACTTGAAGCCACGCGCGAATGCAATATCGTCGGAACCGCCTCACACTCGCAAGCCACCCAGAATAGGGCGAAGTTAGATGCCTGGTCCAGTATGTCCCGCCTATATCAGCCAGATATATATGGTACTTACACGCTTCTTTACTAGACCTTCACAAAACTGTGGCCGATACAGGTGGACTTGAAAAACTTGCGGATATTATGCAAGGTCAAAGCCACCGTGCTAATCTGAGCGCCACTATTGCAGAGGCTGGAGGTCAACACTACGGCATTGTAAAGGCTGGAAAGGTGTCACCCAAGCCAGCAGTAGGACTAGGAACGGGTAATCACCCGATTCTTGCTTCAACTGGCCGTGGAGGTGGTGTGATGGGGACACGAGGCCGAGGAAATCCCTCTCGTGGCCCCTTTAACCCCCCCGTCGTCAATTCCAGCCCACGAGTTGAAGCCCTTCCGTGGAGGACCATTGTCTGGGGTATCCAGGCTGGACCCCGCGCTTGATGCTAACAACGCCCCAGGCGAGGCATTTTCTCGACAAAGCAGGAGCCCTGGTTATGGAAGAGGTCAGCCTGTTCTGCGCTTTTTTTTTTTTGCTTTCTCTTTGAAGGCAGGCTAACATGGTTCGGTTCACAGGTAATCGACGGGTTATGGCATCAAGACCTCCTCGGGAAAAGTGAGTATTGAACAGTCCTTAGAAGTACCCCTGGTATATTGAGATTATGCTAAGAAGAAAAAGTCTCAGAGCCCCAATTCTGGGGACGCCAATGGACTTCCTCCAGCAGCTTCACTCACGGGAGGCTAAACTTGGAGAGCCAGAAGTGGTACCAGGTTCAACCGCAAAGATGATCGCGGAAGCTGTGGGACGAATGACGGATTCGCCCCCTATGAAGCCCAATGTGGTAGCCTCCGCAGCCAGAAAGCCATCAGGTCTCTCGGAGGACAAGCATCAGAACAAGGGAGCCAAGGCAGAGGACCTGGCACTAGCCACCAAACCCTTTTCGGTTTCTTGTGCGCCATTGGCCAAGCTTGCTGAGCCGGATAACTCGATGGAAACTTCAAAGGTAAGTTACAGCTTGATAACCCCAAAGGTCTTCATGATAGCCAAGTCCGGGGAAGACAACACGTCTCATTTATTGGATGATTGTCTAGAGGATAGCCCCATCGAGACTCAAGCTCTGAAGCCTCTCCCATCGAACAATGACCTTTGGGCCTCAGTTCCAAATCATGCTGACACTATCTTGAACCAGTCCCACGGAGAAAGCGTGGAGCATGACCTTCTCTTGGATTTCCACGGCGACGGCGAGAACATCCCTACGTCAAGCACTATGAGTGTTCCGATTTCCAAAAAGGTTCAACAAAGTACCTCATTCGTGTCGAATTTGGACGATCTTTCTGGGCTTGAGTTCGTCCATGAGCCTGAGCCGGAGTCGACAGAACCCAAGTTGACAGAACCTGAGTCGAGAGCACCAGAGTGGAAGCCTGGCGATTCCAGCTCGAGCCAGGCCACACAGACAATTAGTGATGTGGAAAAAAGTCTTACTGACCCGGAGATTATGGAGAAAGTTGCAGCTGCTGCGAAACAATTTACGGAAGCCTACAAGACCCTCTCGAGTCTCCCGCCTGAAGTTTCGGCTCTCCTATGCCAGACTCTCGCCGAAGCCCATAGTCAAACTCCGGGATTACAGGCACTTGTTCCTAGGACTGGATCAGATGGAAACTTCAATCGAAATGTAATTCTTGCCATGGACAGGCGGTTTGCGAAGGTTGGATCTGTTCTGGTTGTGGGCTTTGCTTTAGCAAAGGCCACATTTGAATCGGATTTAATCAACGCTTGCCCGTTTACCCTTTCCCCTTAGGTTTTTTGATTCTAACAGCTTCAAGGATTATCGAGAACGGACCTCGCCTTCGCCGGATAATACCCCGACTGATGACACATTATACGACGCTCAGCAGGACCTGAACTGGTCTCCGAAGAACAGTCAATTTGCCTTGGATGAAGTGGCCGATGTCGAAAGGAGTCTGAGAGCCTTAACTATGTCGGACCTGAACTCTCCAAGTCCTACAATTCGTCGTTCTAGCAATAGTTCGATAGACATTGGGCCACGCGTTGCAAAGGACAAAAATACCCGCGCAATTAGCAGCCCAGCTACTGTGACCCATGCAAAGCCCAAGCGCAAGCCCATTCAATCGTTGAATGCATCGCGATGGGCCAATGTGGACACCGGGCCCAGCACTGTTTCTACAGAAAATGACCTGCCGGATGAAGTAGTGCAAAAGACCCGTTCAGTTAGTGTCCCGGTCAAGCTTACGGCTCCTAAGCCGAATTCTCTAGCTGAGTCTATACATGCACATGATTGGAAGCTCCATCATCAACTCAACAAAGCGAAAGTGATCGGGGTGCCTCCATTTAGTGCCGACAGAAGCTTCTGCACTGTAGTCGAACCGGCTAGTGCGTCCCGCAGCTCCTCGGGAACTCTCTCGAGCGTGTCTTCGAAGCGAATTGGCGTCCCAACCATTGGCCCTCCGCCTTACAATCCTGACACCAGCCACCCGATTACAGCTTCAGTCCAGACTGGTGTCCAGACTGGTGTCCAGACTATCGGCACTCGGCCCTACAATCCTCGCGCCACCCATTCGATTACGGCTTCCAGCCAGTCACTTGTCAAGACTATCGGACCTCCACCTTACAATCCTGGTGGAAACACTCTGCCTGTCGCTTCGAGTCAGACTGGTGTCAAGACTACCGGCCTTTCTCCTTACAATCCTAGCGCCACAAATTCGACTACAGCTTCGAGCCAAACTGGCGTCAAGACGATTGGCCCTCCTCCTTACAATCCCGCCGCCAAGGCCCTCAAAAAGGAGAACAAGCCGTACAACTTCAGTGAGGGTCGGGATCGGGAAGGCCTTGATCATGAACTTATGGACCTGGTCTGATTGAAGTCTCTCAAATGTGAGGAGCTGCTGGCTGATGCCTGATTCTGGGATATTATCTGATTCAGGCCAACCAAGCGAAACTAGGCCCCTTGAATTCGTATCTAGTTAATTTCGTTTCCACTTTGATGCTGTCCCTTCCAGGTGAATTGTTCGAAGGAACATGCTGCCCGTGTGGTCTATTGTCTTAGTCTAGTTTAATTCAAGATCTCAGGGGCCATTTGAGGATTCGTAAAAACAGCAGAATAGGCTTTAAGTTGGTCTCACTCTAATCCGTATTGATAGCTATACGAGCCATACTACGTCACCACATACTCACCACACTGAATCTCCACTTCTTGATGTTTATGGCAAAACCTAGATATCTCATATTTAAGAAAACAACATGGCATTCTGTGGAAGGCTCTCCCGTCCAAAAAAGAGCAGACTCCAGAATTGCAATGCTGTAGCAGCTGCGCAGACCCAATCAATCAATCCGAATCGCAATCTTGGAGAAATGCTGCTTCTCCTCGAGACGCCGGTATGCATCCTTCACCTGTGCCAATTCAAACACCACATCATCAATGGCGGGCACAATCTGCTTCTCATCAACAAACCGCACCACCTCCTGAAACTGGGTCCGGCTAGACGCCAAAATAGGCCGCACGATAGCACCATGAAAGAAAGACTCCAACAGCGGCACTGCCTCTGTCCCAGAGTCCCCTACCATTCCAACCAACGTAATGATCCCATCAATCCGCACAGAAGCAAAAGATTGCCTCAACCCCTCATTCCCAGTCACCTCAATGACAGAATCAAACCCCCGCCCACCAGGCGTAAACCCTCTCGCCTCCTCTCCCCAGGCCTTATTAGTCCGGTAATTCACCACATGCTTCGCTCCCAGAGCCCTCAATTTCATAGCCTTCTCCTCGCTGGACGTAGTGGCCACCACGCTTGCCCCCGCCGCAACAGCAATCTGCAACGCAGCCACACTCACGCCCCCGGTCCCCTGCACAAGAACCCAAGAGCCCGGCCCAACCTCCTGGCCCCGGAGCCCAAACAGCGCATTCCACGCCGTAGTCCACGTGCAGGTCATTGTCGCCGCGGTGATGAAATCCAGCGACGCCGGCGCCCGCACGAGCCCCTTCTCGCGGAAGACGCCGTGCGTGCGCAGCGTCCCGTCGCTGCCTTGTCCGAGGCAGTTCTGGGCATCCGCAAAGCCCATCGGGGCATCGTCGCCGCGGGCTTCGGCGGCGGGGGCACAGAGGTGTGCCAGCACGCGGTCGCCTACGCGGAATTCGGTGACGGAGGGACCAATTGCTTCAACGGTCCCGGCGCCGTCGCAGGAGGGGACCAGGGGTGGATTTATTGGGCCGGCAGGGTTCTGTGCGGTATTTGTTAGTGGCAATGAGGATATTTTGCTTCTCTGGAGGTTTTTTTGGCTTACAGTGGGAGTGGGGATCATTAGTTCTCTGTAGTTTATGCTTGCGGCCTTGAGGCGCACGAGGACTTCGTTAAGGCCGAGGGTTTCGGGGGAAGGGATGGCCACGTTTTCTTGGAATTCGAGGGACTTTTCCCAGCCTTCTTGGCCGGTGAGGATCCATTGTCTGGCCATTGTGATGTTTGCAGTTGGGTACTTGTGGCGGAGTTAGGTGGTTGTGATGCTGTTGTAATCGTGAAGACCGAATAGGCTGCTGGATTGATGAGCTTTGTAGTGGGAGGATAACCTTTATATAAGTTGTCTTGACTGGCGATGCCTCCGAACGGATGAAGTATACTAGCAAGGTTAATGGGAAGTTTCGCTGACCAGCACTTGTGTTGTCGATCACTGTATCCGATTTTCCTAATAGATCTTATTTTCCTAATCGAGTAAATCAGATTGCCGGTCTGGATGTGGAGGCGCGGCAGTGCAACTTCTCATTGGCTGCAATCCCCGCACAGAGACGATCTATTACGGGCTCTGGTCTAGCGCAGAAGTCTACCCTGCGTAGACTTGCGGGATCAAGGTCCGTTCCACTTGGAAAGCTGATCGCTGGCTCTCTTGGTAACTATGAAGCCAGCATTTTTAATCAATGGGGGGTGGATTTGTCAGATCCGACCTTCGCATACTTGTCTATTAGAAATCCTCGTACAATTGAATCCACGCTTAGCTGATGACCATTGTGATGCATTAACTATCTGTCACGTCTTGGCCCACGTCACATGGTCAAGTGCACGACTATATGTTCGACCGGGAGATGCTAGGGCTTCAAGTTGGGGTGTTTGGGCGGATCCGACGCGTTGGACAATAGCCTTGCTCTTGTTGCCGTTCCCAAAGCGTTGCGCTAATATCATCGGATCCATCGTTTATGAGTCGATATGTGGACCCCATTCAAGGGCTTTGAGCTCCTGTCGAAGACTCAAATGTCTAACAGCACACATATCATCTAATTCCTCCCAAAGCGCCGTGAATTTCATGCTCACTCCAATACCGGAGTGATACCTATTTCCCATGAGGTGGAGAGGGTTAAGCCACCCTCGCTGTTTCATTGCTCGGACTGCTCCAGCAATTTTGTTGACAAACCACTCTCTTGTGGAAGAGCCTTTTTCCGCAGCGACAGCACCGATAACAAACTGAAAACACGTTAAATCCATAAACATGCAGCCCTTGACGGGCCACTTGATTATCGAGTGCTTCATTTGTTCAGCAAGGAGGGTCAGGTGAGCTGCTGACTGTGAAGGCCAGAGCAGGTATAGGAACAGCTCAATTGCTCGTGCGGCGGAGTCCATATTGGCGTCGTCACCTGCGCGCAGAAAGCGAGATTGAAAGATTAAAGAGGAAATTGGCTCCTCAATCTCTCGAGCCACAAAATTGGGGTCGAAACTGTGCGTGTGGTGGGATTCCACTACGTTCTGCAGCTGAATGACATCTTCACAAATTTTTACTAATTTCCGAAACTTGGTATCCTTATCCCCATTTAACGCATAGATAACTTGCTTGTGGTAAAACCGCGGGAAGCCACAAATATAATTAACGGAGTCCCTGGGATGAAGTCAGTCAGAATTAAATAGACAAGGCTCAGAGACCCCGCGCAGACTTACTGAGTGACGATGTCTGTTAGCCAGGGAAAGACCGGATTTGACATTCGCATGTTTCTGTCTTTGATAATGTGCGTAACCCCATCAATATGGACCTTCCACGCCAGTGTATCTTGCGCCAATGCCGCGCTAAATGCCATAGTGCACACCGCAGCTAGAACACCGTCTGTTCGGGTTGCTGTTGATATAATCTTATCCTTGATCAGACTTACTGCATTGGATAAATGAAGGCCAGACTTTATTTGCCACCAATTTCCTGGGGACATGAGCCCGACGCTGACAGCCATGGTCGCTTCAATAAGTGCTGGCTCGGAGGCGATCATGTGGAACCAGGCTGCCTCACTTGGAGAATTAGGTGCGTGACGACCTTCCAAGAAACAAAGATCTTGTATTTCATGTACTTGGAAGTAGGTTAGCAGACTGGCTCACAGTTCGGCATGCTTATACGAACGCGCTTGGAGATCAGCAGAACTGGGAGGTGCCCCGTTCATAAGCCAGGTTGCCTCCAGAGGGCGGCTCACAGGGCCATTCTTTCTTCGCTTTAGATGAAGTTTCTGCTGGTCAGAATATGCAAAACGAACCTTTCCAGGCTCTTCCCCAAGTCCCGCTGCGCTTAGTTGATGCCTCCTTTTCGCGAAGTTCGCTTTGGTGATATGCGCTCTCACCCTTCTGGCAGCTGGCTGTGAGAGGCTAGATGCCCCGGTTGTATTCACAAAGGTAAAGTTCGATGCCTCCATTTTGCGAAGCCTTTTCCGGTGAGTTCAAAGACTTCAAGGACCTCCTGAAGCGCATCGTAGTCGACCTTCGGGGCTTGCATACATTCCCAAAAGCACACGGGCCCCGCGCCCGGGGCCCGTAAGACGTTGATTAGTAACATTTACTAATGTCACAAGGGCACTTGAGCATAAATAGGTGTCGCAACCAATAAGACCCGCGTCTGTCATTTTAGCTCAGTTGTACATGGTGGGACAAAGTATGGTTGGTCGGTTCGAGGTCGCCCCTTTGTGGCTCGTGACGATGCCAAACCCTAATTTTCTTTTTGCCTTTCTCCGTTGGAGGGCAATGGTAGTGAATATGGAATGGTGAATCGATCCTCTCGACTGTGGATTCCTCAAGGTCTACTCAAAGTCCAGAAACAAGAAACTTGTTAGTATATTATCATGTACGCTCACATTTTAGACTTCCGAGTCTGAGTCTGCGTAGCTCACAACTGGAAACGGGCCCCACTGCAGGCCCATTCTTGGGTCCGCTCCGGGGAGACATGGAAAATTCGAACAGCCATGGATAGAAGCATACAGAATATATACTATTCACAACGGACCGAATGCATCGAGATACGGAAGGGAATGAAGGATAGCGCTGACTTGCCATCGGCTTGTCCCAGTAGCGAGAGGACACAGGGCTATTTGTAGTAGGACATTACTTGGATGTATAGAGTGTATATTAATCAAATCTTTAAGCAAGTCATTATAATTGGCATATAGTTTGAAAGGTAAAGGGGGAAGGAAATACCAGATCCCGGTCTTTTTGAGTTGAGATATCGAATTCTGCGAACCAAGGTGAGCGGGATACCCCGGACCCGCCAGCCTGCATGGGAAAATGCCTATAGAGGCAAGGTATGATGATCCCGGGCCAAAGAAGTTGGTAGATCTCGGAACCTATCGTCTTTCTAACGCAGAGTGCCGGGCCAGTAAACCTGAGAGGGAAGTTGGGCTGTCCGGCTACTCGACCGAGAAATATCTGTGTTATTAGCCTATAATAATTTCAAGACTGGCGGACATTGGAGAATCCCAGCAAATATAAATCCTTCTTTGATTGTCGGCCTTTGACTTTCCAGTGCACTCTAACCTGCGTTTGGTCTATCCAGATATCGAAAGCGTGGCGTTTTTCACGAAAGTGACGACCATTCACCAGTTCAGTGGGTACATCGGAGGAAACTCGAACGGTTTTCGAAGACAAGACACACACCGACACAGTATAAACATCATAATCCTTTCTGTTCATAAAACGCCATATTAAATCGACATGAGATAAAAGCTTCTCCCCAAGTAGCCAGTATACAAAAAGAAACATTTGCTTTTTTTTGCCTTTTATTTTCGTGGAACTCCCTAGTGCTGAAAGAGTGAATCTTCGTTTCTGCTTCGATGTATAGGTATCTGGCTAGAATTGCCCCGATCGTGGAAAGAATCATTCGTCTTGATAGGTATATATGCGTCGTCGGTAGGTAGAAGTGTTCTCTGACTGCCATTCGGGGACTTGAATAGGTAAGGGTTCCTGGGCTCGGTGCGATAAGCTCGGAACTGCAGATTCCGGATTCATTTGACGCATGGCCAAAAGCTTACCCGAGTAGTGTCCTCAAAGCCAGGTTCTTGTGCTGGTTGGCCTGCTAGAAGCTTGAGACTCATTTGCATGAGCTTGATCACAAAATAAGCCACGAGTGAGAGGCCAGTGGTTAAAATAGCCAGTTTACAGGCATCATAGGGCTGGCCAAAGTAACCAAACATCTTGTAGGTGGCTGACAAAGGCATGTGAAGGGGTTTCTGGGATGCTGGAACAGAACATTGGGGAAACGGGCAGTGGGAATTGATTTATAGCAAAGGTAATTAGGAGCACCTCTAACTTAGCTTGGGGGCCTGCCTGGCGGATTGGGAGAATAAACTTTGATTGGTGAGTTACCTAGGTAGACCCATAAAAGCTAAGGTAGATCTTTTGGTTTTTTCGTTTTCTTTTCTTTTTTTTTTTTTTTTGCAACGGAGAAAGGCCAAGTGCTTGTATCACCCGCCGATGATTAGCTTAGCTAGACATTATCGGTTATCGGTATCGTCCCAAGTGAAATTACCTTCAATCATACTCAATGGAGCGTGAAAAGGGGATACTCTACATAAAATTATTGATACAAAAGGAGTGATGCGACACTCAGAAGCTATAATTCCCCAGATACCGCATTTTACCAGAGGCTTATGTGGTCAGAGGGAACGGCTTGGTGGGGATTTTGAGCAGGTTAGGGCGCTCGTAATGGTACGGGAAATACACAGTAAACGACGGTCCCCTCCGAACATGGTAGCGTGGCAAACCGAAGAATAATGTGGCTCTGCATTGGCCGTGGACAGTTGCACGTGGACGCTTTGCTCAGCCTTCCACAGCATCGAACGAGAAACTGATAGCCGGCTCATATCCGAGGGCTTCGCTTTTTGTTTTTCTTTGTTTTTAATTACTTTCTATTTTCTATTTTTTGCCATGAATGCGGCACACCCACACAGGCCACATGTCACGTTTGATGCAGACTCATGAAGTGCGGAACTGATAAGCCAAGCTGGCCAAGGCGATCTCAAATAAAAGCCTTTGATCTCAAAATTACCGGGGGTGATGACGCTAGCCGGTAGCCATCAGTAGCCATCAGTAGCCAAGCCTGAAGCGACCGGCCGTTGCTTCGATTCATGGGTAGCTTTGAAGATCTTGACCTCCAGGCCGACGAAAGGCCTCCTCTTTGTCGAAAATGACACCACTGCTCCGTCACAGTACGCCAAACTATACATTGTTCGATTTCTGGCAAGAATAAAGGTAAATAATACCATTTGGTGAATCGAATAATTACAGGGCACACGCCAATTCCGGTTTGCCCGCGATAATGCCTGCATGTTCATGGTATTCGATTTTGGGAGCAGGGACTCACCAACTTCAGAGCAAGAGCCAACTGAGATTTCGGCCCCGAACCCTCGTGCCTATCACATTTCGCCAGTTTGAAGCGGGTTAAGTGGACCCGTTGCAGGGCTGCGGACCTCTCGGAATGTCCGCCCTCCACCCTGAGCCCCGCTTGGGGGCCCCTCGAGAGCTACCCCCTCGTTAGCTACCCCTCGTTAGCTATCCCCTCGAGAGCTACCCCCCTCGAGAGCCCTACCCTGACCTCTAATCCATCTTCCGGCTCTCAATGCGGTCCGTCAGGCATTTCACTAGTCCTAGAAGAGAAAAATATGGAGAACAGATTTGTGCCGCCACAGCGGTCCACCCTCAAGAGCCCAGCTTGGGGGCCTCGAGAGCGACCCCCTCGTGAGCTCCCTCTGGAGCGCCCTTAATTCCCCATTCTCCCATTTCTATCTTTAGGGCTTCTCGCCGTTCACTGTTTGGTTAGAGTTCCTTTGGGGACCGCGGCATTTCCGCTCGCAGCTCTAGAGTCCCCGGGCGCTCGGGCTTGCAGGTCCGTCACGCTCGGGCTAGCTTTCCCCAGAGGTTGCCACGTACCTTACGCGGCGGTGTTTTGGGGGGGAGGCCTCAGATACTGGCAGGCTCGCGTTCACCGAACCAATGGCTTAACTGGTTTTTAGGGCTGATTTGAAACGGCTTAATGGACCTTAGATTTTCTCGCTGGGCAGTTTTCCTAAATACGGCACAAAGTATTGAGATCGCAACTGCGACTGGTATGATAGTGGAATCGGACACTTCGGTCGTCTCATCCAAGTACTCGGGCACTTTGTCGTCAATCGGCAGGGCCATGGAAGGACGTGGTAGCGTCTCTCTTCATTCGGAATCGACTCGGTGAGGGCAACATGCCCAAGTGTCTTTTCTAGCCTTCCACATACATGTCCGAGAGAGATGTCTTTGGAAGAGTATTCTGATTTGATTCTAACTACTATGGACACCCAGAAAGAGAGAGATGCGCTCTCACCCTTCTGGCAGCTGGCTGTGAGAGGCTAGATGCCCCGGTTGTATTCACAAAGGTAAAGTTCGATGCCTCCATTTTCTGAAACCTTTCTCGATGATATCAGCAATTCTAAGGGCTGCCTGAAGCGCATGACAGTCGACCTTGGGGTGCCGCGTACATTCGCAAAAGCACACGGGCCCCGGGGACCCGGGGCCCGTAAGACGTTGATTAGTAACATTTACGAGCTAATAACTAATGTCACCAAGTCACTTGGGCATAACTAGGTATCGCAACCAATAGAACCTGCGTATGTCCCAGTTGCACATGATGGGACAAAGCATGGTTGGTCAATTCGAGGTCGCCACTTTATGACTTGTGACTATGTCAAGCACTGTTCTGGTTGTTTTGGGGATCGTTCTTTCCATCGGAGAGTAATAGTTATGAATGTAAAATGATACATCAGTCTTCGTTCTTAGGTTTGTTTCGGAGTCTACAAACAAGAATTATTAGTATAATAGCATGTAAACGGACAGCTTAAACCTCCGATTCCAAATCTGCATAGCTCACAAATGACATGAACACCATTGTGGGCCCATGCTTTGGCCTGCTCCAGAGATATGTAGAGGATAAACGGCCGTTGACGATGCCAGATCAGACATATGGCCTGCAGCACAGACATAATGCCTCGAGATGTGGAATGGAATTGAGGATAGCGATGACTTCGACGTATTGCAGTAGCGAGTATTCGGGGCTACTAGTATTAGGACATTCCTTCCCCGTATAGGCCGTATACAAAGTATGGAAGGCTGTACACATGTCATTATAATCCAAGTCAAGCTGAGAAAACGAAAGGATGGAAAGGAATTGAAAATACGGATATTTGTTCTTCTGAGCTAGAATCTCTGGCAAAGCCTTATCAGAGCGAAGTACTTCTCGCGTCACGATAGCAAGCTCTGCGAATCAGGATGAGAGTGACAGCTCCGACCGTATATTTCGAACCTGCATGGAAAATTGCCTATATAGACAAGAAACGATAATCAAAATTCAAAGGTGTGTGGTAGATTTCGGGAAACAACTTCTTGTGGCGAAGAGCATCGCACCTGCGGATTTAGAGGGTGAGGTCGGCTGTCTGGCAACTCAACTGAGAAGCGGCTGTGATATTAGCCTATTAGTTCCAAGGCTGAGGCGCATAAGAAAATCCCAGCGAACAGAAATCTTTGCTTTTATTGCCAGTGTTTGATCTTCCAATCCACTCTAACCTGCGTCTGAGCTATCCAACATCGAAAGCCTTACATTTTGTAAATCCAAACGACGAGCCATTTACCACCTCAGTGGGCATTGGGGAGGAAACTGGGACGGTTTTCAGAGACAAGGCACATCCGACACAGTGTAGATATCATAAATCTTCCTGTCCGTGAAACACCGGACCAAAACCTCCAGGGATGAAAGTTTCTCCCTGCTCTTGCATTAGCGCGTTCCATCCACCAATGGTAAGACAGAGTGCGCCGCAACACCAATTTTCCAGGTCTTGGTTAAGGGGGGGGTGTCTTAAGCCCCAATCTGGCCTCTTAAGGCACCCCCTCTTGTGTCTTTCCAGGTCTTGGTTAAGCTACCAGCATGCAGAAGAAGACACTTGGTTTTTTTGCCCCTATTCTTTTCATGACCCCGCTTAGTACTGAAGGAGTGAATCGTTGGAGAACCCTATGCCCATGGTTTCTGCTTCGATGGATGAAGTTACGGCTGAGATTGCCCCAGTCGCGGAGAAAATCATTCGTCTTGGTAGGTATATATACGTCGTCGGTAGGTAGTATTGTTCTCTGGCTGCCATTCAGGGACTCGGATAGTTTCCTGGGTTTGCTGTGATGAGTTTGGGACTGCGGACTTCGAATTCATTCGACAAATATTCAAGACTTACCCATGTAAGGTCCTCGAAGCCAGGCTCTCGTTCTGGCTTTGATTGGTCTTCTAAAAGCTTGAGCCTCATCTTCATGAGCTTGATCACAAAATAAGTCACGAGAGAGAGACCAGTGGTCAGAATAGCCAGTTTGCATGGGTCATAGGACTGGCCGAAGCAACCAAACATCTTGGAGTTGACTGAGAAAAGGAGCTGTGAAAATATCTGGCGATTCTTGGGAAAAAAGAAGTACCAGGAAAACAGGCAGCGAGAATGGATTTATAGTAAGGAGAGGCTCAGATCACCTCCACTTTACCAATGGGCATGGGCTATTAGCCGGGACAAGATCGCCGCAACTGACAGATCGGGTGAATAAATCTTGATTCGGTACGTTAGGGCCACGAAGCCTAAGGGAAGATTAACGGAAGGCTTTTAGCCTCTTGATTCCTTCTAAAATGGAAAATCAAGTTTTCGAACTACTCGCCGAGAAGCGGGCAATCTACAAATGATCATTCTTTTCTCGAGTGAACTTGCCTCTGTAGCAATAGGTAGCAATACTCGCATGAGTGATAGTCTCAATCTCGAATACTTCAAATATGGCATTTTGAAAGATCCTTGTGTTTTCAAAGGAACCCGATGTGACCAGATGAACTGGCGTGGTGGAAGTTCTCGTCACATCATAAAGTGCCCATACATCCAGAAAGAGAGTAGCGTAGACCAATGGGAATATGCGAAGCCCTGGGGGCCCCTTGAGCTTGCATTAGTGATTACCTTTTGCGCACTGACGCCTCCAGGGCTTGCTCAGCCATCTAGCAGATCCGAGAAATTCATAGATCGGGCAAACTCGAGATTTGTCTTTTTGTTTATTAATTTAAATTTTTTTTCCCCCTAACATGAATTTCGCATCATCCAGCAAGCCACATGTCACTTTTTCCAAGAATACCCAAGAGAAGCGATGTGGACCTACGAGCTGATAAGGAAACTTAAGACTAGACAAGGTGATATCAAGAAAAAAGCCCTGGATCGAAATTGATGGCAGGAGCCATTATTAACAAAGCCTGAAACTACCGACCATTGCTTCGATTCGTAGATAATTTGGAGATGCTCGACCTTCTAGCTAAAAGAGGACCCGACGATCCTCTTATCTGTCAAAAACGACACCATTGCTCTGTCATATTGGGATAAATACAACACGTGTTAGTCTGGAAAAATACCATCTTGTGAATTCAATGCTTACGGAACCCGGGCTCCTTGTAACTATACCGCGATGCCTCCGTGATCGTGCCCTTAAAAATCCATTCAGATTTACCTTTCGGTAGCGAAAGATACCCGACACAGGACAACATGATGGACCAAACGATCAAACCTTCGAGCTCAAAATGCCTTCAATCCTCTCGGAGACAGTGGAGTTAAACAACATTGTGATCATCTATAGGTGACCCAACTTGGCTCCAGTCACCTGGCCTGCACCAGTGCGCCAATGTAGTTTTGTAATTAGCTGCAACCTGGGTAAGTTCCATAATTAAACACCTAGCGTATATCCAATGAAGGATACACGTAGCCTTCTAATGCTCGTAGGGGCAAGAAATGCAGAGATGGTTATTCCCCGGGGGGTCTTCCGCACCAAAATATTCCCGTTTCGAGCGCGTTCAGTTAACCCGCTGCAGGACAGTGGGCCTCCACAGCTGCTATTCACCATTCCTTGGATCACATAGCAGGCCAATTAGTCTTCGGCATTGGGTATGACCTATTTTCTCTCGCCGCCAAGAGGCTTATATATTGCCACAGCCGAATTCATTGCATATGTAGTACTAGACTTTCGTAGAAGGGTCCTATTTACGGAAGAGACGACAAATCGCTACGCCCTCGCACTAGTACATTGGCATGTGGCGACAGTTTCATCTCCCCTTAATCATGGCGATCATGTGGAGAGGGCCTTGATTATTCAGGATTAGTATGGAGATTGGTAGCATCATGGCTCGGACGAGGGGCCCAGCGGCTGTGCCCGCATACCGGAAATTTCGTTATTAGTTTTTTTTTTTTTAATTGGGGTTTTTTTTAAGTTGGGTTTTTGGAAGTTGGGTTTTTTAGGTGCCTTTTTTTAGGTGCGTTTTTTTTTCTCGAACGAATAATCATTACAATAATAATGGATAGTAAACAAAAAAAATAAAACAAAAAAATTAATAAAGAAGAACATAACAAAGCCTGGACCCGGGGTTGTGAGATTTCTATCTCCGCGAGAAGGCAGACCGAGAGTATTTCGTATTTTCGCGCTTTCTACTTCAAATTTTTTATTTTATTTTATTTTTTCACTTTTATTTTTTCCCGTTGTGTAATCAATATTTTCCTAATTAAATCCCTGTTATATTTTTAGGCGCCGTAACCGGGAAACGCCCACGAATCTGTTCCACGAATCTGTTCCGCGCTCAAGGAACCGTTCCCGAGAAACCGGTCCCCAATTAGACCCGCAGATGCCCATACAAAACACTTCGCGGCTTTGCTACGTAAAAGAGAATGACTTTGATCCCCAAGGATCTCTTCTGAAGGAATTGCATCCGATTTGTTACCGGTTCAGCCAATTCGAACATCTCTGTGCTCTTACGACCGTGGTCCTATCAGCCGATGCACAGTGGTTTCTCTTTGCATGTCGGTGGGCCGTCTAGGCGCTGATTGGGGGAGCCTATGAAGATCATCGTTCTTCTGCTCATCTTTTTCTCTTCTTAATGGTCCCTGCGGCACCCCTCGCCCACTGGAAACAAGATTAAAAAAAAAAAAGGAAGGAACGAGGAAGAGGAAGAGGAAGCATGGACAAAAGGGGAAAGGGAATTGGCAAGATCCGCGGCCCGGAGGACGCTAGATCACCCGTAAGGTTACAAAGTAAGTTGACAAGCAGGGGTGGAAAGAAGGGTGGAAAGAAGGGTGGAAAGAAGGGTGGAAAGATGGGTGGAAAGATGGGTGGAAAGCTGAGTTAAAAAAAATGGACCCAACGTTTGACCTCCGCTCCGTCGTGGATCCGGCCCCAGACTCCAGTTCCACATACAGGCCTGCGTGGAGATGACTAGGTACTCTGAGATGTACCTGTCTAAGAGTGCGTGGGATCTTTTCCAGTGCCATTCAAATTCCCAAGTACCCGATAAATAAAAGAATAGTGATCGACTCGAACTGTACGGGAAGGCGTCTATGCTAAGGCTACACCGTCGATTTTGCATTATATCTCGCGCTCTGCGACTTCATCCCTCCGGACCTGCAGGAGTCCTTTGTTCTATTGGTCGCTTGGTGCGTAGGCGAGTTAGCTGCATATTATAACCCGGGTGAACTTGGGTCAACTTCAGTGAACTCTGGATGGGAAGCCTAGATTCTGTCGACAGAGCGAGCCATGCCTCCATTGGTCCCGGATCACGGCTACGTCCTCCCCGGTCAATGCACAGACGGTTCCTAGATCGGTCTTGTAGGGAACGAAAGAGTCTCGGGCCCAGCAAATTCCCTTTCCTTCTCTCTCCCTTTTATTATGATCCCACTTTTTTGCCTTGATCCGACCCACTTTTTCCCCTTTTAGTTTCCTGCTGGGTTAGACTACCTGGGGGATGCCCGGAAGTCTCGAATTATTGATAGGCTCGCGGATCTCGGCCAATGCATATTCTGGCCTTACGGCTAACCTGAAACAGCACAATGAATTCCAGGATTTGGGACCCTTCCCGAGGACTTGCAACCAACACAGCCTATATTGATTTGTAGGGTATCAAGAAACAATTTGGTAAACCTTGGGTTTTTCTCGCTAGACGGTTTGTCGAAATACGGTAATCCGAAGTGAAATCACAATTGCTACTAGGATAATAGTGGAACCGGACCCAAGGGTCGTCTCGTGCCAGTCCTAGGGCACTTTGTCGTGACTTGGCCCGTGGTGCTGCGCGGAGGGCCATGGAAGCTTCTAGACGTGATAGCACCTCTCTTTATTCGGCGACTCAGGGAAGGCAACATGCCCAGGTGTCCTTTCTGATCTTCCACATACAGGTTTGGGAGAGAATGCATGGTACGTCTTTGGAAGGTATTCTGATTTGATTCTAACTACTATGGACACCCAGAAAGAGAGAGAGTAACAGTATTTGTAGGTGAAGTTAGACCGTAATGCCAGTCTCCGAACGCCGTCCTCCATCCGTACCCGTTAAGATATGCAACCGCGCCTCGAAGAATATTATGAAAGTAGCTCGGAGACGAACGATGGTAACAGCCGCTAAATGTACCTGGAAACATGATATTGTGATGGTAAAAAGCAGACAGTCATAAATCACTTCTGGGGTTGAGGTGGTGGCTGCTCGGGCGCAACATCAGACACTCGCGGTCTCTTCGTTTCATTCGGACCCATTGAGCGAGGCACACCGGGGGGGCTGGGCTCAGCCGTCGCGTTGGTCACGTCGTTCAATGGAGGTCGCTTGCCGTTCGGGTTGTTTTGCGGAGGTACACTCCCTCCGTTCATGGGAGTAGGGTTTGATACGCTCCGCTGATCAACATTTGGCCTGGTCAAAGGACGATACGAGGATGTTGATGGTCCTCGAGACAACGGACTGCCAGCACCACCTGCTGGGCCTCCAGGGGCACCGACTCTGCGCTGCAGGTCGGTCGCCGGGTTCATGAAATCGCGTGAGCTGCTGTTAGGTGCAGGGGATGCACCCGCAAGCATCGGGCGTGAGATCGGGACACTCTTGGTGTGATCCACGCCTGCAGTCTTGCGGATTGACGGGCTATCAGCATGAGGATCAAACTGGCTTCCGGGTGCAGGTGCTGCATTGGGGTTATCACGCAACGAGTCCGCAACTCGAGCGGAATAAAAGCCGACGGTTTGCGAGGCACTTGGAGGGATCGAGTCTTGGTTCAACCCGCTGGGTGGCTCTCTCTTGACGGGAACCGGAGCATTGGAGGTTTGCCCATTTTGCTGCCATGGGAGGTCGCTGCTGGGGAGGACCAGGCCTCATGTTGGGGTTATTTTGCATCGGCGCAGGTGCACCCATCGGACGCCCGGGTATAGAAGAAGGATTTGGTCGCGCGGTCGGAGGTAAAGGCTGTCTCATGGCAGGACTTACTCCGTTCCATCTCTCTGGCTTCGAAGGGGTCACAACATTGGGATCAAAGCGTCCAGCGGCTGGTCCACGATGTGCAGCTGGGTTGTTCATTGGTGTGGGGGGTTGAGCCCGTGGAGGCTCAGGGTCTATTGATATTTCATCGGGATTGCCGCCTGTTGCTGAAACAACAAAGTCTGCTTCATCGAAAAGATCGCCTAGAATCCGTTAGCTAAAGCACAGTCTAAAGTCAGTATGTACTTACTACCAAACTCGCCGTCTCCGTCAAATGAACCCGTGCTATTCTGAATACTCTTCGCTGGTTCAACAGGCGCTCCTGGACGAGGAGGAAGATCATCATCCTCCGGTATAGACTTTGAAGGGGCAGGTTCCTTCTTGACAGGGGCGTAATCACGATGGCGATGAAGCGCTTCGACATCCCATCTGGCCTGTATAGAATAAGCAGGATGCTCGACCGTGAACGAAGCGGGTATGCCTTACAGGTGCAGCCTTCACTTTGATGACCTTGGACAGGTAGTCCTTGTCGTAGACACAGTTGCCCAGCACATTTCCAAATGTCCTCAATGTCCGCTTCAGGGCGTCTGTTGTTCCTTCTTTCTTAGCCTTCTCGAATGCTGCGGCTTTGCCTTTACAGTTTTCGATGTGACCATAGCCGATGTCCTATAGCAAAAGTTAATAGCAAGGAAAACACGGCCTCATAAAAACCACTTACTTCATGGAATGTGCCATCCCTGAGGATGATTCTCACGATGACGGAAAGTCCTAGACTAATCTTGCCAGTGGTTTGAGATTCCTCAATCTATGACGCGGGCATGAGTGAGAGAGTAAGGACGAAAATTAGAATCGTGAGACGTACAAAATCAATGTCAATTTTTTGAATCGAGCTGGACCAGCCATTGAACCCGAAAACCTCGTTGGCAAGATTAATGCATTTATCTGCTGAGAGATAGTGCACTTTCTGTCCACCGGCACCTGGTCGTGCTGAAATGTATTCGGGTCCTAATTTCTTATCCAGTCGAGATTGGAGAGTAGCGATTTCCTGGGCTGTGTATTCGCTCATTCGGCGCTGTGGTTCCTCGAATGGGTTCGCCGCGGCCGCGCTTGGAGCATTAGGCATCCCGATGGTCGCGGGGCCGCCCCGATGCTGATCGCCAACACTTTGGGAGATCTGATCAGTTTTCTGGTCCTTTTTGTTCTTGTAATCCATATTCGGGGTCATGTGTTCTCACGCTGGCATGGTAAGGGTGTCGCTGTTCGTTGTTTGTTGGGAAGCGTGTCAAACGCGTCTTGATCGACCGCGTGGGCATCACGAGATCACGTGGTGATAGGAGCCGCTTTCTGTCCGCCTTGAATCTCGGGCAGAACTATACACCTCTATGATCACTGCTGGGTATCACGGCAGTTTCTCGAGATCCATGGCTTGAAGCTCAGATTTTCTTTCATTTCCATCCCGTCCTTTCAAATTATCGGACTCTCTTTCCGATCTCTTTGCCGGTAGTGGAATTTATCAGAGTTAGCAGGACTTTTGTCCTGAGTGTTATACTATTACTTGAGGCAACAAGCGAAACAGCTACCATATTAGTAAGTGTATGACATTAACTTCATTTGAAATTCATGAATATACAATATACTAGCATCACCCCCAATTCTTGGTTCAGCTGGCCAAGCGGACAACGAAAACAAGGATATGTTTCACAGGGATATCATTATAAGGCCTGCCACATCAAAATTGCCGCACCTAGGGGGCAACGGATTGGTGAGCGAGAGGCCGGTAGGCGCAGTATTCTTGCTGCTGGTAGTGGAGCCTGGGGCAGCGCCAGTAGTCGAACTCGAAGAAGCCTCTGCAGTCCCAGTGGAGGATGATAGAACGGAGGATGATGAGGAAGTTGACTTTGCCTTTGACGACGGCTTAGGGCAGACATTCTTGTACACGTACTGCTCCGGGCCACCTTTGCAAGTGGTCGAATCCTTGGCGTTGTATGTGCCGTTGGGGTAGACCCAGCAAGTGCCATCAGCATATTGCGAGTTGCCGTCATTGTGCGGATTGAACACAGCGTAGCTGCAGGAGTCGGCCTCTGCGCAGATACTCAAGCAGTTCGTCGCACCCGAACTGGCATAACAGTTTTCAAAGCAATCGCCAGGCATTGGGTACCCACAAACCGAGGCAATGGCAGAGGGAGTTGCGGTGGCGGCGCAGGCGCCCGACGTAGTGGTTGCGCTCCCGCCGGAGCACACAGGCTTGTTATAGACAGATAAGTTGGGGGTGGAACATTTTGTGCCCTTGCTGGCATCGAACGTTTCACCGGGATACAACCAGCATGTGCCTGTGCCTAGGGTAGGGTTTCCGGCATTGAAGATGATAAAGTCACAGGGTGGATTGTTGTTACAGTAGTCCCAACAAGAGGCTACGCTGTCTTCGGCGACGGCAAAATTGCCGTTAGGCTCTGGATAGCTACAGAGGCTATCGATAAGAGAAGCTGTACAGCTTGGCGTTGCGGCGGTCGAGGTAGTGGACGTAGCAGATACCGCTTCTGCTAGAGCCCGTGGAGCCAAGAAGGCAATGGATACCCAGAAAGGAGCGACGATCATATTAGCGAGCGTGAATGAGCATGAATAATTAAATCAGACCGGCGCGCTCAGGGGTGTAAGCCCTGTCAACCTCAAGTCGTGCTAGTAACATCACGTGTCAGTAATTCCAAATATATGAACGAGCCCCCGCAATCCAATTAAACTAGCCGCTCCGCGCACGTCCATTCGGATTGATTGAGAGTGCAATATTGACTAAGGTCTACTTTTGACCATGAAAGTACACTTTCTTCAAATTCCAAGGGTCATCCAAAGCCATTGGGTCTTGATTTGTCAAGTCACTAAGTATCCGACGCCCTAAGAGCAACATTGACACGGCTATACACGCTGAGCGACTTGCCTTCCGGGATTAGATAGGCAAAATAATAGCAATCTCAAAGATCATTCATTTCTTATAATAGGGCTCTCGTTCATTCCAATACACCATATTGTGTGTATTTAAACATTCATGTCATGTCTCGTTCGTTGCAAAGCGATAGCACCCAAGGTCCCCTCCTAGTGGATCTTGAGTAAACAAATCATTGGACAATCAGGCTGGCACTCGGAGTAAGTCCAAGCTCCTTCAGGGTCTCCCCGAAGAACTCTGAATTGAAAACCTTTCTGGGGAAATTCTGGGTGAAGCTTTGAACCTCAACTCCGTCTTCCGACTTCAAAGCCGCAGCCACCTCGAACAGAGTTGTCTCAACCGGCAGAGTCTTCATGATGTTGCCACCGGGGGTTTGGAATCGGAGACGAGTCTCGGTATAAGCAGATGCAGGCTTTGATGCCACCGGGCCAGACGTGGTAGGGCCGGAGGGCTCGGTAGGCTGGGGAGGAGGAGCAACTCCAGCCCGCTCTGCGCGTTCTCGCTCAGCCTTAAGGCGTCGTTCCTCCTTGTCTGCCTCGATCTTAGCTCTGATGCGCTTCTTAGCCTCGATCTCCTCTTGCTTCTCCTTCTTCTTAGCAGCCGCCTCCTTCATCATTTGTTTCCGCTGTAGCTCCTCCTTCGCATCCTGGCTCTCTTTGGTGCTCTTTCGTCGGATTTCCTGCGGGCCGCGGTTAACAGCTGATCAGTACCGTCGCAGGGATCCCACATACCTCGTTTCTCTTTTGGTCCACTTTATCTTGCTCTGACTGTAGAGCCTTCTTCTCTGCAAGCTTCCTCCGCAATTCTTCCAGGCGCTCCTTCTTCTGGTCTTCGGTCAACGGGGCGATTTCTTCGGTCGACTCGGAGAAATCGACGTGCTGGGACTTGGAGGCATGGAATTCGGCCTGCGATTGACTTCGGAACTTCTTGCCACACTCGTTGCAGACAAGGCTGCGGGGTTCCTCGCCGGGCTTCAACGCGGGGGCTTCCTCCTCTCCTTGAGTTTGCGCCTTGATCTCTTCAAGTGATTTGTCCTGGTTTTGCTCAAGCCATTCCAGGGCTCCTTGCACTGTTTGCGTGTTAGGAATTTTGTATGCGGCTGCGTTCGGGAGGTCATGACTTACGGCCACCTTTCTTAGTGACCGCTAGCTCGGCTCGTTCCTTATCGAAGCCCATCTCAAGCAGCTGCTCTAGATCGGACGCCATTGTCGGTATGAAGTGTACAGGTCAAGGGGATTATGGAAGAAAACGGGTAAAGAGTGGAGGCTTTAGAAGCCAGGAGAAGTGTTATATTGTAAAGTTAGCGAAACGGTGGGTAAAGCTTGGGAGTGACGTATCGCTAACTTGAAGGCGGCGAGTGTTGCCCCGTTCACGTTTACACCGCCCCACGTCCAAGGCGGATCAGTATTCCTACGCAAAAATCACTCGCAGTGGTAGTCGAAATATCTTGATTTTAAAGATGGACTCAGAGTAAGAATAGTTCTCAAAGATACCACAGATATACCAATCAGGAGATTGGCGGCAACTGTGGCCAGTCCTCTCCTCTACAAGCATAACTAATACCAGCAAGGAATGCATTGGACTGGAACGAGATCATGATCCAATATTCATAGTGGTTCCATTTAACCGGGTCTAACCCTTAAGGAGCAGGCTCGGTCTTAACCTTAGCTTCTTTTGCCTTCTGTTCCTCCAGAGTGGGCTTTCTGGCCCACACACGGCGACTGAAAGTTGTTAGCATATAACGGTAGTTTTCGCCAAAGGACATGAAATGTACGTACGCTAGCTCATAGGCATGGATATGGGGGTCCCTCAGCTCCTCGCGAATCTTCGCCAGGTAAACCTGGACTTCCTCCCTCGTCCACGGCTTCGGAGCTCCGTGGTGAGTAAGAAGCCACATGGCCCAGCCCTCCAGAGCAGTGTTCCAGTGGGCGTTCTGAAGCTGACCGGCCTCCTTCAGAATTCGATCCTTGGCCCAGGGGCCTAGGGGGGATCTTATAAAGTTTCTCTTGTACGTCCACAAAGCCAGCCTTCTCGATCGCCCCGCGCATGGTTTCCTGTGTTAGGAGCGACTGCCCAGCTCGTTTGGCACATCCAATGAAGATATCACCCCACGAATACAAATTTTTGTCTTCGGTCAAAGTGCCGTCGTCGCTGAATGCTCGGACATCCAGCTCCATATGTTCAATCCAGCCGCCAGGCTCGAGCGCGCTAAAGACGGTGAGTATAAGCTTACAGCGTCCGATTGGCGATAAGAAATCGACTTACTCGTAAGCTCGCCGGTAGACTTGATCCCATCCTTCGTCGGTGAATGCGCCACACATCACGCGCAGGTGGATAAAGTCAAATGGATCTCGCCATGTCCATTCGCGAAGCACGTCGTCCACCTCGAAAACGCAGTTCCGGGGCATCCAGGTGACGGGCGGTGGGAAAATGTCGACCCCACGAACGGTTGCTAATTGGGTCAGCCACTAGTAACTCGACATACTGAAGATCTCGGTATGGATTGTTACCATCTGGATATAGATCTGCGACATCCCTGGAAATCCGTTAGTGGAGTCTTTTTTTATTTTCAGTTGTTGCAGGTCAACTTACACAGCCCAACTGCCTTTACCAGTTCCAATGTCCAGAATATGCTACAGATGATTAGCAGGAGGATATGAATCTCGTAGGTATCAAGAGTACCTTCGGTTTCTCTTTAATAGGAGAATGGAAAAGAGGATTTGGCTCGTTGTGGTCAAGCACTAGGAATACCAAATGACTTGAAGGCGTGTCAGAACACATCACCACCGCGGAGAGGTAGGATACTTACCCAATCTCGAAGGCTTCGAATTGCTGTTCATCAGAAGGACCCCTGTTTTTCGTTAATCATGCATCGGGATCACGATTGCACCCCAACGAACCAGTAATTATCCTTCATGGCTTGATATCTACGCCTAGTCAGCTTTGCAACATAACTTCGACCCAACATCGCACCGACCTTCGGCCATTTTCGAGACGGCCCTTTGCGATGGAAGACGTAAGTGAGGTGGTCTCACTGCATATCCATGGTTAGAACTCGATGAGCAGTGGGTACGGTTCCCAGGGTCCTCACGATTGGAAGTCATCCGGTTGGTAGTCGTCCGCCAAGGTATAAAAGTCAGGATCCTATAGAGATTAGATTGAGTTTTCAGGTTGTCAGGGTCGGGAGGCGTACGACAGCGATCTGGTCCTCTTTCGGGGCCATGTCTGCGCCTTTGTTTAGGGGAATATGAGGGAGGATCCAAGGAGAAGAGGGGAGGAGGATTGTCTCCCGATAATAACAGCGCACTCTCTAATCCCAAGAAGGGAATGTATGGGTCCCGGCGTTCGCGGCGGCCCGATTCGTGGACGGGAAGTCCATCTCCACCGCCGTTAGTGTACCCTTTGGTGTCTCGCTCCGGCTGACCCACGCCTTGGTTTGCGTTCTCGAATGCCGTATGAACTACGTGGGTAGATGTGCGCGGATCACCTTGGGGTCTTGCAAAGAGCGCAGGGGTTTCTTCTTTTCCAAGGGTTCAAGTTTGCGAATCGTCCAATGGGTAAGCGAGGGCTATTTCGGGAATAAGAAAAAGCCTCTTAGTTCGAGGGCCGTGTGCTCGGGGAACTGGCTTGAGCCTTCCGGGCAGAATCTTATTGTCCTGTCAGCTCTTTAAACACCGCATCCCTGCACCATGCGTGCAGACTGGGCCCATGCAGTGGCCTTCCCTGTCGAAACGCCCAGGGGCTTTATGCTGATGATGCAATGTTCTAACAGGCATTTGCTGCGGGGTCGATGCGTTTGACTGAACACGCTGCGCTCGCCGATCTCGGTTTTAATCGCTTCGTATTTTCTTCACGGGGTACATCCTTTCTTCTTTTGACTCGCCACGTTTTCATGATACCCACAGTGAATCCCCATGGTGCACGCCACCTACTGAGTAGTGTCATTCGTAGGTTGAAAAGATTGGTCGCTCAAGATCCTTATTCTTTAGAATATGGATAAAGAGAAAATCCTCTAAACCCCACCAGTGCACTTCGACCCGATCCTTTAGTCAACAACGTATTACTCCCGCGCCAAGGCGCAGCTAATACCTCATTCGGGCTCTTGGGAGGCCAAGTCGCATCGTCAGTCTGTCGGTGGTCTACATAGTCCCAAAGTATAGGACTAAACTACAGTCAAAGGGATCATTGCTAGTATATGGTAGGTGGATGGCAGCGGTGGGGCAATTACGATGGCTCGAGGAAGAGCCTAGACTTCTTGGAGAACTGCATCATACGATGCACTCTTAGGACAGTGGCTTGCCTTGGGACCATTTGCGCCAGTGGGCGTATGCGACCTCCTCTTACCGACAGGTCGGGACAGCCCTGTTCATCATCCGTTCACTTCCCCCAGTAGAATGTAATGGAAGATATGGCAGTGTACTACGGAGTGGAGCCAGCTTATTCGTATACAGTCAAAAGTTAAACAATCTACTCCTGTAAACCGCGGGTCTATAGTGATCATCATTTATGTGGAACGTGGGACTTGAACCCAGAGAGTATCGCCACTGATTATGATGTCCACCTAGCCGCCCTTTAATTCATTGATTTGCTTATAATCCTGCGCCAATATTCAAACACTACACAGTAGAAATGTGAAAGCTTCTGCCATAAGGACTGCTCATGAGATGCACGGATGTTGGTGGCCTCCAAGTGGCGGGGACGATTAGCATTGCTCGAGGGCGCTTGAACATCTGAATCCAGATACGCGGAGACGCGGTTTTGCAAACGGACCCTTACTTCGTCGAGTCCAATATGAAAAATTCATTATTCAGGGAGTGTCCTTCAATGTCATGGAGATTGTTTGATACCGAAGGTTGCTCCTTGTTAGGCTTACAGTACCGCCAATGCATCCGACTGGTCAAGTGACCTATGACGACCCTAGTGTTTTAGGCTCTCTCATGGCAGACCATGTTCTGCAACGCCTTTAGAAGCCTAGACGCCCCGGCGGAGACTTAGTCAAGCTACAGTCCATCTACTTACGGCTTAACCCGCACTATTAGGACGAAATAGAAGCTCATTTGTTACTTTTCTTTTTATCTATTAGCCAGGGGGGGGCCTTGATCCCTGAGCCAGATGCCACTAGGACAAGCTGGCAAAGAGGTCGGACGAGCATGATGCCCACGAATATACTCTAAGGGGTCATACGCGGCTGACACCCAAAGACCATCATGGACATGGAATATCCAGGACATGGAATATACATGATGGAGCTGCCCGCTGGATTGGCACTCAACTGCAAGAGATGAGGTTGTGCCCGGAACTCGGAGGGCAGCGATCCCAGGAGACTTTTCCATACCATCAACTGGACAACACTGCCAGGAGACTCCGGTCTGCAATCTTTCATCCTAATTTTCACGTTGCCGGAGATTGGCTCATAAACTCCCGAGGATCACCGCCCCCACTGTGATCTCACATGTTGAGATCCCCAGGTCCGAGGGATTATCCACGCCGAGGCAGGGCGCCTACTGCCACCATTCGCTCTCAATTTTCAACAAGATCGGCAGTGGCATTTGAATTACCGGGGATCCTCTGGAGGGTCGACCAGTTCGAGGCTCCTTCCATAGATCACCTGATTGCTGAGTAATCGAGTCCCAAAGTGGATGATGATCAACTCCTGAGGACGCAGGCTCCCTTTCCTCAATAACATTTCGACTTTCCTCGCCAGCAGTACCTGCGCTCTCGCCTTACCTCCTCTTCTCTCGCATATTTCCCTATATTTCATCTGCGCAGTCCAAAAATCGCCATGTCGGTTGAAATCGATCCCGCCGAGCTGGGTTTCAAGCGTTAGTTCCCCGTGTCCTTCGCCCGCATCCACCGCAAAGCAAATATGGAAGCGAAACGGACAAAAACTCACAGTATTGTGTCCCAGGCCCTTTCAATCACGAAGTCTGCGAAATTCTGCGTTTGCGCAACAACAATGAAGAGCCTGTGGTATTCAAGGTGTGTGCGCAAACGACCCATTGGGTATTTGTCAGGCTCGGTCTTTACTGATGTCATTGTCTCTTGTGCGATAGGTCAAGACGACTGCCCCAAAACAGTATGGCGCTCCTCTACCATTTCCAGCAATCGTGCGGCTCTAGCTCTGGAATATCGCTTACCCCATCTCTATAGTTATTGTGTTCGCCCCAACTCTGGGCGTGTAGAGCCTGGCAAGCAGGTCGAGGTGCAAGGTTCGGGACCATGCGACAAAAAGAAGTTGCGAATAGGTTGGCTAACATTTGCGGTATAGTTCTTCTGCAGGCTATGAAGGAGGACCCAGCTCCGGATGCGAAATGCAAAGACAAGTTCCTCGTCCAGTCTGTTGGAGTGACCAAGGACCTGGAGCACGCCAACGTCACATCTATCGTGGGTTTCACGTCCTTTCTAGGCCCTCAGAAGCTTCTTCTAACCTCGTGCAATAGTTTGAACAAACCCCGAAATCCTCCGTCATCGAGCGCAAGATCCGTGTGGCCTGGTTGGCGGCTGACCATCAAGATACCTCCGAGCTGAACGGCGATGATTCCGTATGTTCATTCATATCCAACAGGTGCTACATATATCCGGCGCATGCTAATTATTCTGTCTCAGATGGTGGAACAGCCTGCCTCTAACTCTCCCGCCGGCCACTTCCAAACCCCCGCTCCAAAGAAGACCGCAGCCGATGACGTCTCCCCCGTTCCTGCTCCCGAGTTCACCGAGAAGATCAAGTCCGAGCCATCCCCCCCCTCCTAGCGAGCCCGCTAGCACTTTCTCCGCTGCCAAGACCGCAGTCGCAAATGCCCTCCCTTCAGGCGACGACTTGAAGGCTCAACTCGCCGATGCAAACGCCCAGATCCAACGACTCAAGGACCGACTGGCAGACGAAGGGTTGCGCCAACGCAAAACAGCCACCGAGCCCAAGGCCGCTCCCGCCACAATGCAGCTGCAGCATGCACAAACCGAAGCCGGGGTACCTCTTCAGATCGTCGCTGGGCTTTGTCTGCTCAGCTTCCTGATTGCGTACATCTTTTTTTAAGCCTGGCCCCACCGGGTTTATGCCTCCCAACGCCGACACGCCCTGTCTATTCAAGCTCCCATCTACCTTTCTTGAGTCTCTTGAAGAGCCATCCGTTTCGCTTCTAGCATCAGCCTTTGTTGTCTCTGGTCTTCCTTTTTCTTTTTCCTTTTTTTTTTTATATCTTTCTCCCGGTATCCATAACTTCTGTTTCCTTACTCATTACACCGTCTCTTGTCTTGGCTGTGGGTGAATATTGTCTCCGAGCACTTGTATTTCCCTTCTTTTTGGCTTTTCCTTGCTTTCCTACACTATTCCTGTCTTGTCTAATATCACGTTACGATGAACGGACTCCAGCGTTTCGATCCTACTTGTTCCTTGTGTGATAAGTGATAATCGAATCGAGCGCCAAAAGATACACTAAGTTGACATATACCTTCCGAAAGTAGATTAAATTCGATCGTCAACCCCGCGAAGGTAACTATCACTCATGTCATACATACAATGACAACGACAAGTCATGTATATCGCCCATTGGATTCATTCATATTCGATCTGCTGCATACAATATTTTCATGACCTTCATGATGCCAAAACAAAACCGGACCTTTATGTCATCGACCGTCTAATATAACTCCGATAGGATAAGAAAACTGGGAACAAGCGGAACACTCTAGCACTGAAGCTCACTCTCTTTCCACCCATCACCCTCTTCTTCCCCAGTCGTCGGTGGCGCCGATATAGTCTCGCCACTCCGACCAGCAGGCGTTTTGCTCTTCCCAGAGCCACCACCAACAACACGACCACCCTGCGCACGCTTCACACGGCACCACGGCCCAACATTTTGGTCCCAGATAAACGTCCAGATAACCCACACCCAACTGCGGTGGCAGGGAAGCGGCTCGTAGAACTCGGCCGCAATCTGGTGCAGCTTATGGAGCTTTGTCCACGGGATTGCGGGGAAGTCGTGGTGTTCATTGTGGAGACCCACGTTATATGTGAGGATGTTGAGCGGGCCATAGTACGAGTAAGTCTCTGGCGGGGCGAGGTTGTCCAGGGCCCGTGGGGTCTCGGACTTCGGAGCAGCAGGCTTCGTCTTCAGCTCGGCGAGAGACTCGGTGCCGCCGCCCTTGACCTTCGAAAAGAAGTAGTGCTCCGCAATAAAGTGACCTGCGCAGGGGTGCAGCGAGCCCGCGAGGAAGGAGCTCATGATGAGGTAGTACAGGGGTTGTAGGGAGCCAGTGGCGCGGGTCAGCAGGTAGTCGAAGCTTAGCTGGACAGCTAGGTTGAGGAGGTGGATGATGGTGAAGGGTGGACTGTAGATGAACATGGGGGCGCAGGGCGTAGAAGAGGATTTGGAAGGTGCAGAAGAAGGTCTTGCCCAGGACGGAGTCAAGGAAGAAGGCTTCGAGGGCGGTTGGCAGGTCGGTGTCTAGGCCGGCCACACCGAGGGACTTGTGGTGGGTGAGGTGGTAAGGCTGTGCGGGGTGGATTAGCTATCGAGCGAACTTGGATCCGGCGGATGTCAATTGAGGAGTCTCACTCTGAATGCGGCGCTGTACGGCACCCCGATAGGGAGATTGGCGAACACAGCCAGTAGCCGGTTTGCAAATCCAGATCGGAAGGCGAGGTTGTGAGAGATTTCATGGATGGCGAGGAAGAGGTTTTGGTTCGAAGTAGCACCGATGAAGTAGGCTGTGGCTATGAAACGCCAGTCAAGGATCGAGGTATTCCGCAGCAGATAGGCACAGGTGAGCTGCGTCGAGACCACTCCCAGTACGACCCACTTGGTGAGAGGCTCGGGGCCACAGAGCTTTGTTACCTGCATGGACGAGCATTAGCATTGCAAATCATAAAGCCAAGTGTGCTGTCCTGGAAATTGAGGATTGAATAAAAAGTATTTGATCATTGCATGACGACAAAAGCAGCACGGGATATAAGGAAAGTCATCGATACCTCTGGGTGTGCCTTGATGATTGCCATGCGTCGGGAACGGTGCGGTTCTTCAGTATAAGTCCAAAAGAACTTGTCCTCGACGGAAGCCGATTCCGCAGGAGGAATTCTCTCATTGAGAGCCTCTTTGTTCGAGTGCCCATTGGCAGCAGACACCCGCAGGTGTGGCTGCTCAGCTTCGACGACAGACATTGTTGTATTGGTAGTTGAGAACTCCAACAAGCAAATCCGCCGGAAGACACAGGGGCCGGTTCACGTGGGGAGTGTTGTGGATCATCATGCAACGAATTAATCATTAGAAAGATAAATAGAACACAGTCACACTAGCCATATATGGCTAGCGTGTTCTCGAATATTGGAAATTGCCCTGCATTTTGAGGCGGTATAAACCGGCGGTCAATATAAAGTGGCATGATTCGGATCACGTGCCGGCTGCTGATTCTGTCATGGGCCTATTGGCCGAGAAATTGGCAGCACTCTTGGCTTAGCATCAGATAGGGGAGTCATTCCTAAGTGATAGACCAGACAATCATTGTGAATACCAAACAGACTCCTTATTAGACTGCGCATCAATTGGTTGCCTTCTGGTTACTGGTGCTATAGACCAATCATCTAGTTACGACTATATGTGACCAATACCATTTTTCGTATGGTCTACGAGTAAAACTTTTCGCGGTCCTTCGAGATTTGGAGCTTGCAAAAGGTAGAGATCACGTCGCTTCATTGCGTATTTTTGAGAAAATTTGATAACTATATAGACCGTTCAACGATCAGTAGTCGTCACCACGGCTGATAACCTCCTTTACGTTAGGACGAAGCACAATCGTCTAGAGAGAGTTAGCATACGAGGAACACTAGGTATTTGAATACTGAGAATACTGACATGTTCAAATTGGGCGGTGTATGAGCCCTTGATGTCGCAAAGAGGCGGATAATCTTGGACAATTCCAGATGAAACCAAGTTGTTCAGCTAGTTACCAGTCAGCTTATTGTCCATAATTCCCGTCATGGTATACTCACCCCCAGAAGATATTTTTCTTGGCCCAGTCGGTCCAGGTAACGACGGCAGAACGGAAGAGTACCGAAGTTCTTGTTGATAACGTTCAGCAAGTTCTTCGCAGACGAAAGACGAAGAGGCACGTTGGGAGCATCTTGGGCAAGAGCGTAGTGAGAAGTTTCCATCTGAGAAAAATACTTAGTTGAGATGCAGAACAGAAATTTTTGTAGAAAAAGAAGCCTTACATCCTCTCGTACGTAGCCCTTGCCGGTACTACCGAAGGTCTCGATGGCGAAGACTTCGCCTTCTTCCATCTTAGTCTGGTCAGTGCCCTTGACGATAGGCACGCTCTTGCCACCATGGATGACATGTTGCTCAATGTTGTGGCCGTTCAAGTTTCGAATGCACTTGACAGGGTACATGGTGCCATTGAGCTCGACCTCGTAACTTTCCATCGCCTCTTGGATGGCAGCACCGATATCACTCATGCGAACATCGATTCCAGCTTCCTGCGAGATATATGAGTAACATGCAAAGACCACTGAAGGAGTTTATTGACTTACCCGAATACCGGTGTTGGTCGCGTCTTTAACAGCCTCCAGTAGTGGGTCATAGACAGGGTCAAAAGACATAGTGAAGGCACTGTCCACGATGCGACCGTTCAATTGGGCACCAAAATCGACCTTCATCACATCTCCCTGGTTCAAAACCATCTTATTTCCCGCATTGGGGGTATAGTGGGCAGCACAGTGGTTGATACTCAATCCACAGGGGAAGCCCATACCACCCTTCAGGTTGTCACCCTCTTCAAGACCCGAGTGGCCAGTCAGAGCACGCACGGCATCTTCAATCCCCTCTGCGATCTCCGTCAAAGTCTGGCCCGGCTTGATGTTCTTTTGGGCATATTGGCGCACTTGTCGGTGGACTTCGGCACCCTGGCGGTACTCCTGGAGGAAGTCGTTCTTCATGCGGTCGAGGTAACGCTTCTCCTCGTCGGTTGTGCGGTAGGCATTGTCATTTTTGTATTCGACGATCTCGCCCTCGGGGTATTGGCCGTTGGGAAATAGGTTGGAAACTGGGACTCGCGGGGAGAGCTCTGGACCTTAGCTCCGCCCTTCTTCTTCTTCTTGGACTTGCGCTTCTTCTTCTTTTTGGCGGCTATCACACGACCGTGACGATAACGTTAGTTTAAGTTTCAGGCATTCTCCCAACCAAATTTGACCACTCAGTCTTGATCGAAACTTGGAGAAAAAAAAAATTGAACAACATACCGCCAGCTGCTCCAGCTTCTGGGGCACCTTCTCCCTCTTCTTGATCGTCGTCAGAGTCGTCCTCCGCTTCGCCGGCCTGCTCGGGGGCGGGGTCGGCCTTTTGGCCATTCTGGCCGTTTACTGCAGAGGTCAGTTGTCGAATCAATGGAGTTAGTGGTTACACATACGGTCCAGCTGCTGCAGCTTCTCAGTAGTCTGAGCTGCCATAGCGTGATGTGCTGTGTAGGGGTGGGGAAGAGGAAGAAGGCGGGACGGGGAAGGTTTTTCTCTGCGATAAGATCCGCCGCCTTCCCCTCAGTGACGATCGTATAGATCTTGGAGATTTGGTCAGGTCAACGAAAATTTTTAATATTGACCAAAATTTTTTTAAGATTTGGAGGATTGGAGTTCTCTAGCTTTGAACGCATTCCGCCTTCGATTTGACAGGAGCAGTGCAAATACTCCGGTCGCCACCAGTGTCTGCTCGCTTCTTGCCCACGCGCAAGGTCCTTTGCGGACGTCGATTTAGGGCACAAAAAGAATGAGTCAAAGATACCTCATGAGTTGGATTTATTGATGAAATGCAAGCCCCCAGTTCGAGCGTTGGTCCTTACGGTACTCGTACTAGCATATGTCCTTGGAAATACTCCCACAACTTGAAGGGTTGGTCATTCTCCGTACTAGCAGAATTCTCAATGTGAAACTTCCAGAGTCGCATTTCTCTCAATTTTGTATTTGGCAACTACCAAAGCTTTCGTAGTTCCCTCCAAGCTACTATGAAAGGTCTCAGTTTGCATTTGCTTTGATATATTCAGCAATGTTTGGTCGCTTCTCCATCGCCTCCTGCAATTTGATCAAGGGCGCGGGGATTTGAGACTTATGAAGCTGATTAGCATGACTGCATTATCTGGGCAAAGGACAAAGGGTTGACTTACCGGAAGAGTGCCTGTTCGCTTATCGTTATCAAGAGACTGGTACACTGCGAAATCGGCATATGTGATCTTCTCACCCAAGAGGTAAGGGCCCTCGAAGTCGGAGTAGTACTTGGCGAGAACTTCATGGTAGCCTGGCACCGAGTTCTTGTACTCCTCCGTCTTGTTACTAAGATTGGCTACCCATTTTGACTGGAGGCAGGTCAGTGGATTGATGATGGAGATAGAGGGGAATAAGCTTACCCTCCAGTCGATGTAGATATCGGCCACCGCATCAACAATGTACTTCTCCCATGGAGTCTCTCCATCATAGGCACCGATATCTGCAGCAAGATAGCGCAAAGTCGGGATGTGCTAGCGGGGTCAGCAATCGTTGATTAAAGATTGGCAGGCCTACGGTATAGGCATACCTGTGTCAGAATGACACCCTTATACTCTAAAGCGGGCAATAGGCCCGTTCTCGAGATGCCTTGCTCCTTCAACTTGGAGCTTCTCTCAGGCCAGGTGCTATCCCAAGGATAAAGCGATTCCGTGAACTTGATGCCTGCGTCTTTCAAAAAAAGACTGTTCATGATTAGTGTCTTGTAGACATCGAATCTTGAGCTTATACTCACTTGACAACTTCTCCACGGCCAAGACGGCCAAGAGTGAGGTAATGGTAAACGGGGAGAGACATTCTGAGTTATGGGGGCGGCTGGTACCTGTTAGGAATAAGGACACTGCTGAAGAATCATAGAGGGATTGCAGTGCAGACCGGACTTTATAGCTCCCAGGAAATGGTCACTGCATTTTACGTGCTTCTAGTATAGAGGGGCGTGCAGCCATGGAAGTGGCCGCCTATTGGCTAGAAGTTGCGAGGGCAGGAATCTCCGAGCTGAAGTCAAAAAAGTGGATTCCGATCGACGCAGAGCCAGACAACCTGCATGAGATAGCGAACTAAGCGAACCACCCTCACTGAGCTGTCCAGGCATGAGCTTGATTGTCAGTCAATCTTAACTACAAAGGAAGTTTCCACGGAGATCTAACGGGACGGATTGGTAAATACGAAAAGCACTCACACATCCCGATCTGCACTTGAGCTCGCAGGTAGTTGCCTGAGAATATTGTTGCATGTTTCGCTTTCAAATTACCGTCTGAGTCCGTAACACATGTGGCACCTTCATTCCTCAGTCTCAAAGCTTAAACATCAGCACACACCCAGTCCAACCGTGACGTGCTACACTGCCCAGCCTTGCAGGTGGGGCCAATGCTTATTCCCTCTATGGCAATTCATACCGAGTGGCTATCATCACCTTGAGGGCTTTTTTGCTCGAAAGTATAAGGCCGTATCGTTTGCCTCGTTAGCACTCATTGGTATGTATTCCAAAGATTTGAAACCAATACAGCCTGTTCTGCCATGGCAACATCAGCACTCCCAGGTTGGCATCCAGGCGAGCTTTCCATACAACGGAAACTTGGATTTGCAGATGCAGTGAAGAGTAATTGGCAGAATGTCCGCAGATTCATGCCTGAGCAGCATCGTATCTTCCATACTCATAATCTTCCCTTTATCCCGGTCGCTACCGTGGATGGAACGGGTCGTCCGTGGGCGGCAATAGTCGCTGGGACTTCAGGAGGGATCGGATTTGTACAGAGCCCAGATCCGCAAACTCTTAGCGTCCATGCACGGCTCTGGGAGGGGGATCCTCTGTTGGATACGGTGAGAGGGTTGACTGCGCTAGGAGGCAAATTGCAGGCTGCTTCGGAAAGGTTCTTGCTAGCTGGACTTGGAGTCGAGTTCTCCACGCGGCGAAGAAACAAATTTGCAGGCTACATAAAGGAAGTCAAACATTTGGAGGGCTCCGAGTATCAAATTGACGTGAATGTCACAGAAACGGTCGGGTAAGTGGATGGTCAGGCCTGATACTTGCCACCTACTAACACCTCGCAGGAACTGCCCCAAGTATATCAATGTCCGCTCACTAGTTCCTTGCCCGCGTACGCAACCAACAGTTTTGTATCATCGACCCCACATGGCTCCGTCAGAACGATTGCCGGAAGAAATCATCCAGTTCATCCTCGAAGCAGACACGGTATTCGTCGGCACAAAATCCAAGCCAGAAACGTCACCAGCCGGACATTTCGTACCGCATGCCGGTATGAACGCACGGAGTGGCCTGCCTGGATTCCTGCGAGTCAGACCTAGCGACGGCCGTACGATAGTCATGCCAGACTACTCGGGAAACAGATACGTCTCCAGCCTGGGGAACATTGAATCAACAGGCCTGGCCGCATTTACTGTGGTATCCTTCACAACTGGCGATATCCTTTACATAACCGGCAGAGCCGAGAATTTAGTCGGGCCCGCAGCACTTAAGATCATGGCCCGACACACCGTCATCACGACCATGCAGGTGACCGGGTTCATGTTTGTCCAAAACGCCCTCCCCGTCCGCCAGAAAGTAGGAACAACAGTTGAGCGCAGCCCATACAGTCCCAAGGTCAAATACTTGGTCGAAGAAGCGGACGCCCAAGGCGATGACAATGGTCAGCACAAGGCAGTCCTTGAAAAGGCGGTTCAGCATACCTCTGATCTTGCAACTTTTACTTTCAAGGTTGTAGCGAAGCCTGGAGCTAGGGACTTGCGGATTCGGCCTGGACAGGCTATTGTTCTTGATTTCATGGATTGGATCGGACCGCCGGAGTACCACCACATGGCGGACTCTGCCCCATCGTCGATCAATGATGACCGCGTGCGTACCTGGACTGTATCAAGCGCGCACGAATCGAAGGATGTCGCGTCATTTGACTTAACGATGCGGGAAATGAAGGCCGGTGCAGTGACCGGTGCTTTATTTGACTTGCTGAGGGAACATCCATCCAATAAATGGGGCACTCCCATCTATTTTCGATGGCTCAGTGAGTGCTGAGATAGTTGGTGTCATTGGAGACTTTGTTCTAGGTCACCACAAGCTGGATTTACTTTGGGTTGCTGGAGGAATCGGCGTAACGCCGTTTCTATCCATGTTTGCTGCACTTGCAGACCGCGGTCTCTCTGTCGATGCCAACATTACGTTACTGCTTTCAACTAGGGAGTCAGAGGCCATGCTGTCGCTAATTTGGCCTTTGCTTATGAGAATCTCACCCGCTATCACGGTTAAAATAGACGTGTTTACCAGTGTCGGTCCATTTGAAGCCAGAGATATCGGAATGCGGAATGTGCAAGTCTATATCCATCGAGGCCGAGTCGGGTCAGACTACTGGTTGAATATTCCGATGTCAAAAAAGGTCTTCATATGCGGTCCAAATTCGTTTGGGGATTCTGCTACGGAGGGCTTGAGGGCTGCTGGGCTGCCCATGTCAGAAATCCATAGGGAGGGTTTCTTCTAATGAACGATTTAACAATGGTCCGATGATTAGGCGGATACGTTTTATTCTCTTTATTATTATTTCAAATTCATTATTCAGATAGTTCAGGGCTTGCCGTTGACAACAGCTCGCTGCCATGCAGATGATCTCGCAGAGCCTGGTCAAGATCAAATCCGGAAACGTGGGACCATTCGATCCATTCCTTGACAAGAGGCTGACCCAGTAGCCATTCTTTATCAAATGGACTGTCCGTCTCGTTAAATGTTTCGATTACCGGAGGTGACTGCGAGCACGTCCACGTAGCTATACATAACGGATAATGCACCTGATTCCCTCCGCCATATCTGCTCTGTGCCGAGGACTGTGGCTGCGCGTAGAATGTCACGAGGTTCCGGCCACTTGCATCGGGCAATGGGATTACAATGATTCGATAAGAAGCCACGGAGAAGCGGTCCACAATGCCAGATCCTGAGTACTGTTTGACGCACTTTTCCAGAGATAGTAAAGGTTCAAGGCTTTTTGCAAATGCACAAGTGCTGTAAAGCCCTTCTCGGTCTAGCTGCCTTAGTTGTTGAATTATCCACTGAAGCCAGGAGGGATTCGGGCAGGAATGACCTATGAGGAAAAGCATGGGAGTAAGACTGGCCCCGAGTGATTCGCATGGCAGCGGCGGAGTTGATTCCAAGGATGAAGAGCATTCCGTAAACGTCCTGAATAGCCTAAGCACTTGATAGAAGTAGAAGTATGCTTCCAGCTCGTTCTTGCTGGCTTTCTGATGGGGAAGGCTCATTCTCCATGCGAGACGTCCCCGATAGAAGGCGTACGTGGCCAGAAGGAGGCAATAGTCTCGGGAAATCGCGGGATGTGCATTTGGAGGGAATTGAAGATTGTCCAAAGCCTCTCTTGTAAAATCGAGTTCATCCGGTTGAATGTCTTGATCACCGGGTTTCTGGAAGATAATTTCATGATTTTTCTTCCAGTCGTCTAGGAGCCTGGTAAAAGCTAGAACCCGTTCAATGGGAACTTCTTCGAGTTGCCCGATACCAGGGCTCCATATCAGCTGTTTAATTTGAAAGTCTGCAGATGCTATGTCGACCAGATACTGTAGCATTTATATTGGAGAAGATCCAGATGCTTCATTAGGTACCAAATGCGCATCCACTTGAGCATGCGACGGAAGGATTGAATCCACTGTGCTTGGCAAAGGCAGAACCACACAAGCAACTAGATCCAGCTCATTGAGAGCCGATACCAATGGCCTAATGATCGGTTGATGCTGAAGATAAGTTCCATCCGAATAGATTCCGTTCAAATAATGATGGGCGATCCTGTTATGGCGTACAGCCGCAGGTATATTCCCATCGAAGGACTATGCGACAACGGTCAGTGGAATACTTTGGTATGGACTAAAAGTTAGAGCCCGCAATACCTCGAAAAACGCAAAAAGCACCAGCACTCCTACTACCAGGACTTTTGGCCTCTGGCTTTTTGACAGCTCTTCAGCAAGGCCTTGGAAAGCTTTGGTATACGCTTGAACAGCGATCACTTTAGTATCTATCCCTCGATGCTGATCATCCTTGCACCCTCGCGACAGTAGCAAGGTCGCTCTATGCATGCTCCCAAGCGCTATTATCGCATCGTAGACATACTCGACCTCCCATGCTGCTTCACAGAGATAATCCCTCCAGACATGATCCCTGTCAAACGGGAAAAGAGCGGGGCATGTTCTGAAAAGGAACTGGTGATAGGCCAGAATATCGCGTGCGCGCGAATGTGGCCTTTGGGACGGCGTGGGATTGACAGGCAGACCTACTAAGGGCAGACCGTCTGCGCGGAATATCGGAGAGGGTGGCACATCGACGCGACCGCTGAATGTTGGTACCAAGCCGCCGGCGGCTTGTTCGCCCTGATAGATTGGAGGGCGCCTGGGCCTTCGGATCTGCAGGCGTCGCTTTCCTTCGTATCCTGCGCATTCAAGGTTTGCTGTCTCACAGCGGTTGCATGCGGGCTTTCTCTCGTCACACTTGACTCGCCTGGTGCGGCATGTCAAGCAACCAGTTTTTGTGCGCCGCTTCTTTTGATGCTCGTCGCCCGAAACACCATTTCCGATTCTTTTATTTCTTCGTGTCATTCTCGAAATGCTTGGGGCGTTTGTGGACAGAGAAGAAAATCCCGGAAAAATGTAGTTCGAACTAACTAACTAACCCCAGACCCGCGAATTAATCAGCATCTGCTTATTATCGACACATTCTCTTCTGGCGGAGACAGCAGCATACAGCACACCCAAATATGGTCTGGACCTTTTGCTAAATCCATCCAAAAGGGAGAATTGTTGGTATACAAAATGTGCGACTAATTTGAACTGGTGACAGTGGCTATTTGAGAAAGGAGCCTCACTAGCGACTTTGAAAGTGCCATCTCACAGGGGCAATCGAGCAAAGGACTCTTCTGAACTAACTAAGTTTGACAAATCCACTCCTAGCTCCTTGTACGTAAGAAGTTGCCCCTTTGGAGCCAGATCCTTGCCCCGGGTGACATCCCAAAACCTCATACCAAGGTCCATTTCTTCACCCTCTCCCGGAAATAGAGCATAATACGAATCACGAAAGACCTGTACATACACGCCTGTCACCTTATGAGCTTCTGCCCACTTTTGGAGAAGCTCTTCCAGGGATGATTTTTCGATGAAGGCGTGTACAATCTTCCCACCCCGCGTTTCTTCGGGCTTCTCGAAAATAGCTTTGATGAAAGCCCCGAGGTTGGCTGCGGTATCGCCAATGAACGCCATGGGTGTACTTCCGGGCACGCTCTGAATTTGGACGAATGTGCTAGCACTAGGCATATACACAGGCTTTAGGCATCCTCGAGCGAAGTTGCTGGCGTAGTATCCAGACCATAGAAATGTCGTTTTAGCAAGAAGGCCCGGCTTGCTCTCGATGTAGCGGTTGACTGCCACTTTCGACTCATAATGTGGAACAATCGCTTTTTGCTCACTGTTGTGAGCAGTCTCTGCCAAGGTCGACCAGATAAAATGCTCGAGCGTATCGATCGTAGCCTCAGCCGCGTCAACAATATTCTTGCCTTGCTGCGTCTCACGAGCGGCAGCGGCTTCTTTGCCCGATTGAGCGAACATTGTCCAGAAATCTGTCACTGCAAATATAGCGTTTGATCCACTAACGGCCTTCTCTAAGGAAATGACGTCGTCTAGATCGCCCTTCACGACCTGCACTCCCTGCCGGCTCAGATCCTGTGCTTTGTCGCCATCGGGATTCCTAGTGATCGCGCGAATGGTGTGCCCGCTTGAGCTATCTTGAAGCAGATGTTTGATAGCTGAGCCTCCTTGGGTTCCAGTCGCTCCAATAATTGTAATTATCATTTCCGCGAGGGGGGTATGCGCCGCCTTGAAGTTTGCTTAATGTAGAGGAGATGAGTCTACATGAGAAGAATTCTTGAGTTTTCAAGATCCAACGCGCTAATAAATGAGAATTTTAATGCTGAGAAATCAAAAAGCCTTCTGCACAGGTGAGAACAACAGCCTAGCGCGAATAGCTAATGAAATTTCTCTCCTCGCTTAGTTCGCTTAACTCGCAATGCTCGCCTGATCGGAATATCTCCACTCAATGGGGATCTCTTGGTAAGGTCCAGCACTAATTTCGATCTGAAAAAAAAAAAAATAATAATCCACAGATAAATAAGCTCAATATGCTCTTCCAGCTTCCAATAGGTTTGACTCAACTGATAGCACGCGTGAACTTGAAGCGGAGCCGACCAGCCTGTTATCTAATCTGATCTGATCTGGATTGGGTCGATGCGACAACATGAAGACCTCCCCATCAAGCTCGAAACGCAGTTTTAATTCAGAAATGATAAAGAATAAGATCTAGAATGGCCGCTACACCATAATGATTGCATCCGAGAGACATCACGCTATGGTCGTCAATGATCCAAGTCCCCGATGCTGCTTGCCCGCTAATCTACCGATGACGCCACAGCTCACCTCCTCACTTTCCGTTCCTCTTCCCCACAACCACCTCTCCTCTTGATAAATGTGACCAACCTCTACAGAGGGTCTGACACGGGCAATGGTAGCACCTCGAAGCCCAATTCTTCTCTTCCAAACCACCCACACAACAAGCAGGGCCTCGCCCTGCTTTCACGCGCGCCACCACTCCCTATCCGCACCTCACACGACCGTTAAACGGCCACACCCACAGCATGCAGCGCGCCCACGGCCAGCCCCAAGGCCCAGGCAAAATATCGCCCACTTTTCCTCCACAAGCCCGTCTCGCGCCCGCGAGCAGAACTACTATGAGATCCTCGATATCCCCGTAACCGCCACCGCAGCGGAGATAAAAAAGTACGTCTACCGCCACCCATCAGGACCATCCCGAACGACAAGCAGAACACACTCCCCCAAACCACAAATCAAGACAGAAGGGAACCCAAGAAAAGCTAACGCGCACAGAAAATTCTACTCCCTCTCTTTAAAATACCACCCAGACCGCAACCGCTCCGACCCCAACGCCGGCAACCGCTTCGCCCAGATCTCCTCCGCCTACAACATCCTCGGCCACGCCACCAAGCGCGACGCCTACGATCGCGAACATGGCTTCTACCGCGCAGCCGCCCCGGCCTACCCACAGGGCAGCCATAGTAGCGCGGGTGCCACCGTGCCGAAAGGTGGCAGCTATGCAGGCTCGAGGCCGGCGAGCGGGCTGAGCAATCGGCGCGGGACGTTCCGGGGGCCACCGCCGAGCTTCTACGAGCAGGGCGGGTATGGGCGGACGGGGCGGACGGCGGAGGGGTCGTCTAGTGGAGGGGGAGGATTTAGTTCGGCTTCGTTCTCGGGGAAGAAAGGGCCGCAGGCAGATCCGGAGGATCCAATGGGGTTTATCCAGCGGAATCCATTAGAGCATTTCAATGCGCGGGAGCACTTTCGGACGCAGCAGAAGGAGGATATGAGGAGGGGGGCGAGGAGGGCGCGGGCGGCGAGGGCGGCGTGGGCGAAGGTGCAGGATGAGGAGCTTGCGGCGTCGTCACAGTTTTCTATTATCAGGGTAATCTTGCTCTTGAGTATATTGGGCGGTTCGGCTATTGCTGTGCATGCTTTTAGCGTCCCGGCGACGAGTGCGCCGAAGGATACGGTTGGGGCTTTGTATGCGCAGCAGAAGGAGCAGAATAAGAGGAAGAGGAGGGAGAAGGAGGAGTTGTAGATCTTCCTGACACAAACTTTGTATATATTCTCGAGGTCATCTAGAGGCGAAATTCTACCATAAATTTTTGTATCTTGAATCATTTTCAAATCTGACTTTCAAGGTCCCTTGAATATTATTGGTTGTTAATCTTTATACTCTTCAATATTACGAGCTGTCCAGTATTCGGAACTCAAAACTTTAAACCATCTAACGTTGCAACACCTTTCAAGTTCGATGGGCAAAAAATAAGGAGGCTTGCAAATTTATGTATTACCAATAAGATTCTTACAGAGATATTCCAAGTTCTGGTGGTGTTTGGTTTGACAGACACGTTCAGATGTGGATATGAAGCGTCCTCTCGCTTGAATCTTGGACCCCGAGACTAGAATCAATACTTCAATTGGAAGCGAGGACAAAGAACAATCCGCTGCCGCAGCTGTGATAGACCTCTGCAAATTGGATGTGCTTGCAGGGCCGAGGCTTCATCAAGTGTATATGGCGGGACCCTACGAGGTTGGAGTTAATGTGAAGCCTATTATTATAGGCTTGGAGTAGGGGATAGGATACGGCCGAGAGAGGCTCATGCTACTAAAATTTTGCTATGCCATAAATCAATGGTAGCGGTTGAAACCAGATCAGTCGCTAAGGAATCCTTATTGTTTCCTTGTTATTTATTGTGGAAACTTTAGCGAGCTACCTCTTGGACTGCTCTAGATATCTTAGTGGGAGGTGCGGGTCGTGGCCCGAATGGTTATACAACAGCCAACAAGCGTCGTCCGAGCGTCCTCCGCGACAATAGAGTAGCATCGTAAATAGCAGGCTGTACCAAAAAGTGTTATAACAGTTAAGCTTGGCCCCAATGGTGAAAAGAGTTCATTTTAAATCTTACACACAGAAGTCTGAGTAGAAGAGAAAACTCATTCAGCTATATAGGAACATCAAATTGGAAACCAGCTGTAAATGCACTATGAAATAATTGACTTTTTCTCAGGGCTCCGGTTGGCCATTTGAGAGCAAAGGAATGTACAGTCAAACACTCGTCGAGGGGAGTGATACCCAGTAAGATAAGGTCGCTTTGAGTTTGGAGAATCTAGCTCAGTTTGCAGACTTTCAGGATACTCTGCAAGGTGTCGTCGTTTGCCTTGAAAAGGTCTCCCATACTGGCAATTTCAGATGCCTTCATTCCAGCTCGAGTCTTGGCGACATCTGAAAGACCTTCGCCGCTGCGGTCAGCCTTTGCAATCGCTCCGATTCCAAGAGCAGCACCGATAACATTCACGATAGCCGACTTCGGGTCCTGCACTGTATCGTAGATGGCGAAGCCAGCGTTGGCAGCCTCGCCTGCCATGGCAATACTGCGGGCAAGTGTGGCCATTCCAGCTGCAGCTGCGGCTTCCTCGCCCACGAAAGGAACAACCTTATTGCAAAAGTTAGCCATGAATCCCCTTTGTTGACCCGCAGAGTCACTAAGAATTGGGGCGTTGATCCACTTACCACAAGAACCACGCTAACAATCATCAAAATGAAGTTCTTCTTTTTCTCCTCCGCCTCCTTCTCCTCCGCTTCTTTCTCTTCCTCGCCCAACTTTTTGGCCTTTGCCATTGAGTCAATCGCCTGCATGATGCTGAATACGGCCGTGCTATACACCTGGGAAGGATCGTTGAGATTGCCGCCGACCCATTGACCCAACATAATATCATAGACTGTCGCTTGCATATCATCAAGAAGAGTCGGGATGTGTGGCAAAGCCTGGTTCATGATATCCTTCGGGTTCGGTACAACCATTGACTCGTTCTTGATAGGAAAGTTCTTGAAATAGTACTTCCACTCAGTCATACCGTGTGTGGCAACATTTGGAGTTTGCTTGCGGGTATAATCGCCGTAGGTGACATAGTCAGGAGAGATGCCACTGTTCGTCAGGTTCTTGTCCCATCCGTCCTCGTCAGTGAGTGTCCATGTGACTGTTTTTTTTGGGTTGTTGGCAGGCAAGATTGTCTCCCTTCCAAAATTGGTACATCCAGCGTAGGTCTTACCGCCGAAACTGCAGGAGAAGTCTATCAAAGAAGATTTGTTCGTGTCAGTACTTGTCTTGTGCCAGGCGTGTCATAGATCAAGGAAATTCTCTTACGCGATGCGCCTACTCCAAATTTGGGCGCTTCGCCTGTGATTTCACCCATTGCGCCGCCAGAATCGGTCATCATAAGCTCGTTCTCAAGGACAGTCGGGACAAGGTTCTCCATGTACGTAACATAGTAGCCGAAAAGCTCATCGTATCCGTTGTTGACATCAGTATAGTTATCGTATGCTGTCTGCAACATCGTGGTGAGCGTCTGGAGTGTAATGCCGGCGAGGCAGTCTACTCGCATGTCTCCGGAGGCTGCAGAGAGGGCATCAAGGTCGCTGAAGGTTTGACTGTAGTCGCAAGCCGGATAATCAAAGTCCAAGTCAGGGTCTATCTCATCACCTGAGCCGTCGTCAGCATAGGTCGCATTGAGATCGATGGCCCAGTCAGATGTTCCGCCGAAGTTCATTCCGTCATAATAATCCCTGTACTCGAGATAACTTAATCGTGATAGCCAGGATATCCAATTCCCATTGTAGATCAGGACGTCACCATGGAATTGATACTGCTGAATGGTGGTATTTCCATATATATCCGGGTTTTCGGCTTCAACGAGAATGTTATAGATCTCATAATTAGCAAGGTAACCAGAACTGAGGGAATAGAGAATATCAGTACGCTTCATCGATATAGAAGGCAATAGAGGATACGTACGTATTGGTGCACTCCCCTGCTAGAGCACCCGATTCAGGGCCGGTAAAATGACAATCAGGCCCACTGCAACTTGGGTCCACCATCTTGAAGCTGCGCCCGTAGAGTGGGAGGCCTGCTACGACCTTCTTTGACGGAACACCAGCCTTGGTGATCATCGAAAGCGACCAGAAGATTTCGGTTTGATTGATCTGGCTGCGTAGACAACCGCCAGTGGGACACCCAGAGCTTGAATGAATTTTTTTTAGTAGGGACTTCATAGCAGAAATCAGACATGGGCTACTTACTCGGCATTCTTGCGGCCGTAATCCCATTGACCGTGAAGGTCGTACGTCATGTAGATGATGTAATCCTTGAGAATGATCAGTATTTTGTCTAGAATTCACAGTCGAATTCAGCGCTCATTTGAGGCACGTACCACAAGTTCGGAGATCTCCTTGATGGGAAGGTTTCTCAAGTACCAGTACGAGGCAGGCGCGGCTACTGAGAGACTCTTGCTAGACGGCAGCTGGGCCCTGACTAGTTTCAGAAACTCAAGATAATTCGCTCCTGAGTCTTTACTGTCAGGCGGAATGCCAGGGATATCTTGAGCCTATGTGAAAGTTAATTTTGTGGCTCACTGGTGTATAATTGACGAGCTTAAGATTACTTACACCGGGGTATTCCCAATCAAAGTCGACACCATCAAGGTCGTTATCAGTAATGAACTTGACGATATTTGTCGCCAGCGACCTACCAGCCGAGTATGTTAGTGATATATAGTGGGGTTCATCGTTTGTTACACCTTGCATACCCAAAGGCAGTCGTAGGAGCTAGAAAGTCCTAAAGCAAGGTTTCGGGAAGACTTACTGACGATTGCCATCTTTGACACCGTTGCGAAGAATTTGGTACGTGTATGCAGTGGTAGAAAAGCCCCAGCCACCAAAACTGACAATGCGTTTGACAGAGCTGATCTTCTTGAAAGACTCAAATTGGTCTTTGTAACCCGCGATGTCCACTTCCCAAGACTCGGTGATATTTGCGAATGCCCAGTGAACATGCGAGTAGTAGTCGAGGTGCTCAAGCTCTGAAACGTCCATCTTCAAGCATGGACGATCCTGTCCGAAGTTCTCATAATATGCAACACGTAGAGGCTTGTCAGGGCCTTCTTTATTATTCTCGATCTGCGTACCACAGTTCGAGATGCATCCGTTGGTTCCATTCCGGGAGGTTCCAGGTGCTCTAAATATCTCGATTAGACATCAACATGAAGGACGAGAGACCAACCGGGGAGATCTCACCCTGTCGAGGAATCAACCTGTTCACAGAACTCAACAGTAATACCACATTGGCCCCACTTGTCACAGCAGGCGTTGAGAGGGCAAGGATTCAAGTTGGTCCAGTTGGTGTACGGCATGCCCTCAGGCGCTACAGTACCTTTGACCTGTCATCCATGGGACTCAGTGAACTGCTCGGAGACTATAGCATGTTACGTTACGATGGGCCAGACTCACCTGGGGACCGCAAATCGCATCATCCGTGGACGCTGGGAAGGGAGGAGTCCCATCACTCAAGCAGATATATGCCCCCTTCTGCATGAGAGAACATCCTGCCCATCCCCACGTCTGATTGTTGTAAGTTTCGATCGTGCCTCTCTTCATCTGATTGGCATCTTCAATATCGGGGCAGTCGTCGTTCTCTTGGACAGTGTAGACATGACAAGATCCATCAGGGTTCTTCTTGGGAGAAAAGTCTGGTGGGGATCCCTCAGAACAACAAACATAGGCACCCTTCTGAATGTGGTTGCAGAAGTCATCCCCAGAGGTGTATGTAAAGCCATCGCCGGTATTGTCTGCCTTGAGAACATCTTGCGTGACACCGCAACGCTGGGCCAGGCTCCAGCACCCATCACCATCTTGAGCTTGAATGTATTTGCAGGTACTTCCCAAAGTTCCAGAAACGAGGGACGATAGCACCAGAGCAGTAAGGAGAGACATGGTGCTGGGTGGGTGGGCTCAAGTTGGGTTCCTGCATCCCAATGGAAGTCGTATGGTCTTTTATAGGTTTTTCCCCCCCTCCACAGTCTTGTTCGAGAACACCACCCCATTCCCTCCCGTATAGACTTCGGAATTACATCGCACAATTGCTGGCTGGACGCTATCAGTGCTCCACAAGTCAATGCGTCGAAAGCACTACAACCTAGCACAAATTATTCATCGGCTTTTACCGTTCGGTGATAGAAAATTTGTTGCCCGAGGCTTGTGTTTTCGTGATAATTACCTGAATTGGTAATGCACAATCTCTCCTGAAGCTTAGCCTCCCCGCCCTGGCAGCTAAGCGCCCACAGTAGGCCAGGGCCCAGATCTAAACTCAAATTTGCTTTGCATAAACGAATTAGGCGTCCTGCCCGTGAAAGAATTAGGCCCCCTGCCTGTGGATCCGTCATTTATACTAGCGGCGCAAACGGAGTCGGAATATCCCCAACAGGGACCCTGCCGACCCTAATATGCGTTGGAATGAGGAAAATAACGCAGGTCACTCCGTCGCTAAGCGCAAATTTTCATTGCTGAAGTGACTCCCTTGGGACAGAAATACGAAACAATGGGGTCAGGCTAAACTAACCAAGCTCGGGAGAGTGGGTATGGTTCTTGGCAACATGCATTAACAAGCCAACAATGTAACCTCCATCTCTATATGGGTCTAATTGTCTCTCAACAATTTCCGAAGCGAAACCCCGAAGACTAGTAGGAAGATTCAGGAGAGATAGCAAGTCGGCCGACTTCTGTTCTTATAAGGCCCATAACCTTGGCAAGTTAAGTTAGATCCTGTTCTTCAAAATCCTCGTTTGAAATCCTGGTGCAGATTGTGCCCGCCACTGGCAAGGATGAGGCTTTCTATTCTCTCTTTTTATCTTTCCCTGCTGATTTCGGGGGTCGCCTGCAATAAGTTCTCTGGTGCTTATGAGGTATGATATTATCCAGTCCCGCCAGCGAGCCCGGTGTTATCGTCTGCTTTCCTACCTATAATATGGTCTGATTCGGTGGTTTAGACGACTTTGCTCTGGTATGCCTACCGCATGGACATTATGGCCAACGGTGTTGCAGGCCGCTCGATCCTGAAAGGCTCTGACGCGGTAGCTACCGGCCCTCATGGAAGCTTTTACTTTGATGAGTTTCTGAAGGCTATTCAAAAGATTCCTCAGGATGGTTCGCTGTGGACTGGGTCCACCGGTATTGGCGAGACATTAGACCCATCAGTCAGTGATGCGGTGGAAGCTATTCAGAATGCCAACCCCAGATATCCCAACACAGAGGACCCCGCAAGAATCTTTCCTGATGCCTTCAAGGAAAGTACACCTGTAAGATTTCCGGCCATCTATGGAAAGGTATTCGATGTCATTCAGGAAAGCCGCCGAAAAATCACGAGCAGTGGAGTTTCGAGCGAATTTACCCAGGATGATTATGATACCGCTCTTTCGCGGGCTCGAGATGCGACTACAGGAATGCATCAAGGCCGTATTGCGGATGCAGACTATACGGCAATCGAAAAAAATAAGCGCAATAATGAGTCAAAAGGGTTTTCCTATGGTATGTCTCCATTCTCTGTGAAGTAGAAGAAAGTTAGCTAACTCTATATCTCCAGGAGCTGGTAACAGTACAAAAGTCAGCGTTGAATGGGCAAATGACATGGGAACAGCTCGACTCAGAGGCAAGTCTCGAAGCAGCTGATAAGGAATATCCAGGTAAAGGCCGCAAAAAGTTGCAGGCATCCATCCAAGCGTGGTCTCAAAATAAAGTTGGGAGCAACAGAGACCAAAGAAATGAGAAGAACCATCGGGAGGCCCTGGCATTTGCCCAAACTTGTAACAGCCGAATTCATGGAGATGAAAACTGCTGATTGGTTCGTCATTGTCATGTAGTTAGAATTTCCGCTTATACCCAGGTGATACCATGATGTTGGATTACCTGTTGGTATCTCATTGCTATGTTCTATCATCTCGCATTCGAGGCTGTAAACTTCCTTTCTGAGTTGATTGTATGAAGATATTCAAGGCTTATCTTGCTGGTAAATTAAATTGATGATCTCTAGTACAAATTGTCATTTGGATGATAAACCCTTCTTTGGGCTACTACAATTCGACGTACAAAGCCGAAACATGATGGCTGGATGCATTCTCGAGGATGCATTTTCGGATATCCTGTTCCTCTCGAAGCTGTCTTTCAGCTCCTGCTTCAAGGATTCCAAGGACTCCCTTCGGATTACCTCGCCAGAAATCTCGCGAGCGCATTCATCGGCAAAGTCGTACAGCGCATTGGCTTTTTTCTCGTCGGCCAAGGAGACAATCTGTACGGTTGCGTCACCTAGTAATCCAAACAGACCAGTCTGTGCGGCTTCTCGGAAACTAGCATGGATAATCACAACACGCATAATCACCCATAAGCTAGGCAGCTGTTCGAGAACATCAAATCTCTCTTCTTGCTGATCAACCATCATGCTAATCCAGTCGTCCATAATTGAGGGACGGCCGGCAACCAAGCGACTTTTCCACTTGAGAGAGGCCAATGCACTACCAAAGCTTCTTTGGTAAATTGATTGGTAAAAAGGGGTCCAGTTAAGATGCGCAGAATCTCGCTTGGGGTCAACCCAAAAATTCATACCGTCTCCACCACTCGTTTGAGAGACAAAAACAGCGTCATCTGGTCTACCCTTGAAGAAATCTTTTGTAAGGATGCCCCCTGATTCTTGGGCAACGAAGCGTGACTCCTTACAGACGCGGGTTATGACAGGCGGAAGCCCGTTCAGCCTTGCTGTGGTGATGACCCTGCAGGGATAGGACCCATCAGCGTTAGGCTCATCATAAATGGCTTCATCGGTCGGAAGATCCGTATCCCATACGCGATATGGGAGGCAAAGGCGCCATATTTCAAGTCGTAGCTCTGTCGGCAGCCTAGGGAAGATATGGAAGGTCCTCTCAGCTTCAGCCATGAGTAGAAACTGACAGTGTGCGTAAGGCTTTGTATTGACTGAAGTGTGTCTTAGAAAGCTTTCCAGCAAGAGTAAAGTTCACGAAGATAAACAGACGAGACAGGCGGTACAAACCGGCAGGACTCGATTAGGGCTAACAGGAGCGCCACATCCACGGTGGCACGGACGCTAAACCTGAAGGGACCGGCCGAAACAGGACGGGGCACCCAGCAAATCGCAATTGAAGTAACGATAGGTACCTTCCAACTTGAACTCTGGTAGCATTTACATCAGGATCCTGATATATTGAAAATCCTCTGTCCCACTTTTGCTACCTGTTCCGTTCAAAGTTCTCGAGGGCCCTATCATACCTCGTCCACTTTCGAGTTGCAAGCTTCCATGTTTCATGAAGATAAAAATATACCGTGGTGGCTAATAGTACTCATGAAATACAATTGGACACGAGCTGGCATTGCTAGGCTTCTTCGGTCTAGAGGTTTCCGAGATAATTCCATCAGACAAAGGGAACTGAATTTGATGTACAGTGTGTATCGAGCACAGGACTACGATGCACAGTTAATCTTTAGAAGGGAAAGACAACCAACCATTAGTAGATAAAAGCTTCGTTCTTTCACAAATCCACCGATAAGGCCACGATTACATCAAACAACAAAACATTTAAACACTTGATTGGGCATTGTCTCATACCCCTGGCTAGTTACAGCTCACGAACGAGGCGCTTAAGCCTCGAAGGTGAAGCTGGCACCAACCTTGTGGGCAGCCTGGTTCAGGTTCTGGGTATCGAAAGAGGCACCCAGGCCGAGAGTGACACCGGGGCGGAGCAGGACATTGTAGGCAAGAGCAGCGATACCACGGTCGTTAATCTTGGCCTGTTGAGGTGGAAAAAAAATTGGTCAGTTTCCAGGTATATTCGACGGACAAATTCAGGTAAAACGCACCTTAGCGAAGGAAGAGGGGTCCAGACGGTACTTGCTGGCGACCTCGAGGCCGACGGTGTTACCGGAGGTGGAGTCCCAGGAAGCCTTAGCACCGGCCTCGACCTGAGCGTTGACACGGTGGTAGTAGCTGGCAGAGAAGACAGACAGGTTGTTGCTGGCAGTGATGGCAGCAGAGTACTGAGGAACGCTGTATCCGACGGCGGCGGAGTACTTGGTGATGGCAGCCTTGTTGACGTCGTAGCCACCCTCAGCACCGACGAGGAAACCCTCGTGGCCGAGCACAGCGTCGAGGTTGGCGGTAGGGCCGTTCAACAAGTCGAAGAAGGCACGGGCGTGCAGGTTGGGCTGCTTGAAGTGCAGGTTGAGCTTGGCACCCTTGGACTGCTTGGCGGGCAGGTACTGGGTGAGGATCTCAGCCTTGAGGCCCTTGGCAATGTTGTTGTCCAGCTCAAGCTTGGTGTCGAGCGCGTTGGCGGTAGTCCAAGCCTGGGTGAGGGTAAGACCTGGGCGCGGACGGAATATTAGCTTTATTGAATGATTCGAGATGTTGGAGAGCAAGAAGAAGGTCAATTGGCGTGACGCAAGCTGGCCCGATGACATGAAGAAAAACGCCATCGGGCGTCCCTCGCGCGCGCCAATGTCATAATCGGGTGGTTTAAGAGGCTTGCAAGGTTTGCGCTTGGGGAGAGCTTTACCGGTAGGGGCATCGACGTATTTGGCCTCGAGCTGTGCGCAAGGATCATCAGCTGCTGCTGCGGTAATGGTGTGGTTTTGCGGGATGAGAGCTCGTCTCAGTCGTGTTTCGGAACGAACCCTCGATCCCGAGGTGGAAAAAAAACACTCACCTGGCCAGCGATAGTACCCTCGTGGGAGGACTTGCCCTTGACGGTGAAGGTGACACCGTTGGGGGCCTTGGACTTAACCTCAAGGTTGGCTGAGAACAGGTCAATATGAATCTCCTTTCGCGAATTGGCAGTTGGACAAACCCGGGCTGGCGTGGTAGAAGTCCTTGTTCAGGAGCTGTGATCTTGTTAGCTTCAATGAGCTCAAGCAGGAAAACCAGCTTCTTCATACGTCGTTGGCCGCCTTGGCGACATCGGAGAAAGCAGCAGGGGCAGACATTGTGAAGAGGATTGGATGGAGATGGGAGAGGTGAGGAGGGAAGGAGGATTGCGTTGGTGATGTTGGGGGAAACTGGGAAGGGGGAACCACGGGCCGCGGGGCCTGACGTGATTGGCTGTAGCCGGGTTACCGGGAAAGCCCGCCGTGATGTGATTATGTAATGGCCTCGAAATTCAGGCCCGCCGTGCGTTTGGCTGTTCGTTCGTGCTGCTAAATCACTAGCGCCCGCGTCATTAAAGTACGTTGACTATATGGAATACGGGAGGTGTACGGTACATGAAGATCACCATTATACGGAAACGGACCACGGAGAAGCCTTTATCCTCTAACCTTAACCTCGGTTGAAAATGCCCGTTCCAGTATATACAAGTCCTCTAGTTAATCTACCCACGCAGTTGCAATAAGCTCTTTTTTTGAGAATCAAAACCGTCCTGGGGCTGCTTCTTTTTACTCGACGTGCTGGTACTTCTGCTGGTGGTAGGAAATTGATCTATGCTTCGTTAGTAATGGAACACAACCTGGAATAGAGGCACGCAAGAACGCGTCGAAATGACTCACCGGCCACTGGGATCGGTCTCCTTGGACCATGTGGGGGTCCAACGCTCAACAGTTCCTGCACAGTATGGGGGGAAGTGCTCGTCGAACATTGTGCGGTACAAGTAGCTAGACAGAATCAGTATCAATCGCAACCAGTAGAGAACATCAGATAAAACATACGCTTCCTTAGTGTCGGGGATATCGTTGCCCCATTCAGGCTTGGGGTTTTTCATCATCTCATCAGTGACGTGCTGCGCGGCGTGATCCTTCAGGCCATCAATCCAGCTGTAGCCGACACCGTCACTGAACTGCTCCTTCTGGCGCCACAGAATCTTCTCAGGCAGGTAGGGCTCGACATCAGGCTCGTCGCTGGTGTCGAAGGCCTTGCGCAGGATATATTTCTCGATCCGCTCTTTGGTGATCATCTTCTCTTTAGGGTCGACACCCATAGCAGTCTCGAGGAACTGCTTGTCAAGGAAAGGCACACGAGCCTCCAGACCCCAGGCGGAGGTCGACTTGTTGGCACGCAAGCAGTCTGCCAGATGCAGGTTCTTGACCCGACGGACGGTCTCCTTGTGGAACTCCTCACGGTTGGGGGCAGCGTGGAAGTAGAGGTAGCCACCGAAGATTTCGTCACTACCTTCACCACTCAGAACCATCTTGACGCCCATAGCCTTGATCTTACGCGACAGCAGGTACATAGGGGTGGACGCACGGATGGTGGTCACATCGTAGGTCTCAAGGTGATAGATCACATCGGAGAGGGCATTGAGACCATCCTCAATGGTGAAGGTGAAAGCGTGATGCTTGGTGCCCAAGAACTTAGCAACCTCCAAAGCGGCAGCGGTATCGGGAGCACCGGGCAGACCGATGGAGAAGGAGTGCAGCTGCTGGAAAGTGGTGACGGTGGACAGCTCGTTCTCATCATCAATACCGACAAGATCGTTGGAGATGGCGTTGGCCTTCATAGCAGCACGGGTGGCCTCCTGCATGCGCAGTGTCTCACGCTGCGCAATAGCGGCAACCAGAGATGAATCAAGACCACCAGACAGCAGCACACCGTAGGGCACCTCCGCCATCAGACGCTTGCGGACAGACTTCTCCAGCATACCGCGGAGAACCTTGTAGTCGACTGGGGTTGAGGGAACGTTGGTAGGATCCCACCAGGTGGGCTCGAAGTAGCGAGACAGTTTATCGGTCTTGGAGTCATAGACATGACCCGGAGGGAAGGCAATGATGTCGTCGCAGACGGGGTGCAAGCACTTCAGCTCAGAAGCGAAAAAGACAGCACCGGGAGTAGACGAGGAGCGACCAAGGTAAAAGCTAGTGACACCAATGGGGTCACGAGCTGCAATCACACGGTCCTGCTTCTTGTCCCAGAGAACCCAGGAGAACATACCATCCAGGTGCTTAGGTGCGTCGAGGCCGTGCTCCATATACTAAGATTCGTGTAAGCAACGATTTTGTGCGACTCCATTCATGTCACATACTAAGGGGATGATGACTTCACAGTCAGAGTGTGTCTTGAAGTTGTAGTTGGTCTTCAAGTTTTTCCGCAGGATGCGGTGGTTGTAGATCTCACCGTTGACGGCGAGGGCGAGGGTCTCATCTTCGTTGACGAGGGGCTGGGCACCGGTGTCTAAAGACAGATTGTAAGCACTTGTGTGTTTGACGTCCTATTCTCTCATGCTCCGTAGGCGACATACCGACACCGACAATACTCAAACGCTCGTGAGCGAGGACTAAAAACACATTGTTAGCTGAAGTTGCCAGCATTGATCCCACTTAATTGACCTACTAGTGCTCTGAGCGCAGAAGTTTCCGCCTGTTGTAAGAAACATGTGTCAATTTCCCTTGCCATGGAACGGTTGCTCTATTCGCATTGCGACTCTTGGTGACTCACTCCAATCGGGACCACGGTGACGCACACTATCGAAAGAAAAAAAAAAGGCACGCCGGTCAGCGCCAATTCATCTTCCAATGGTAAACAATCGCAAAGATATAGAGGTTTTCACTTACGCCTTGGCCATGCGCAAAGCCGTGGGCTTGAACTTCTGCACATCGGGGTGACTGGGATTCAGTTAGTATGGGGTCAACCAGCGCAAGCCGCGGGGCATTGTATAGTGGGGGAATCCTTCAAGGTAGAGCACGTACTGGTGACACGCAAAAATTCCACACATGATGGGCAGCGAGCACTCAATTGGAAGAGTGGAATTGAGGACAAGATATGGAGGAGGAGGAAAGAGGGAATTGACTAAGCGCGACAAGATGTGGAGGGGGCCTCCGGGTGATTTTTTTCGCTGGCGGAACGAGGGGCGATGTCGGCTCTTTGACTCACCGATAAGATAACCAGCTGCATAAGCGCTAATCCTCCACTAAGGAACCAGCTAAGGAATGAAGGAAAGCTTTCTCTCTGATCACTCGTATTAGAATGATGTTATAGCTCATATGAATATTACAAGGGTTAGGCCTACATGGCTTTGGGTTTTTTTTTCACTTCAGATAACGCCTTCCATTTGGTTGAACGCCACGCCGCGGTCGCTAATATGCTCTCTACCAAGAGGTCATGCACGCAAGATCTATTCGTCTCTCGAGACCACCTTGGAAGAAAAAAAAGTGATCAAATACAAATAAAATCATGAAGAAAAATCCCATGTCGTAAGTCGTGCCGCATGTCCCTCCTTACATGGGAGGGTTCTCTTTGACCACTTGGCGCACACGGCGTTCGTAGGCCTGCTTGTCCTTCTTGAACAGGTTGTATGCGTCGGCCTGTGCAGGCGACTCGGGGTTGGGGTCATTCAAAAGATCCTGGATACCGAGGAGGATCTGTCGAATGGTAATCGCAGGGCGCCAGGCTTCTTCCTCGTTCAGGATCGAGAGGCAGACGGTGCCCGAGGGATAGACATTCGGGTGAAACAGCGGTGGCGTGAACTTGCCTGGAGGGGGAAAATATGTTAGGGATATCCTTGGCCGACAATGGGTGGTGGTTATCCCAGGGAATCAATAACGCAGGTACATACACTTTGGTGGCTTGGTAGGGTACTCTGGAAGTATGAGGATCGCATATCAGTATCCAGAATAAAATGCAGGTGTTGATATAGATTACCGTCAGGGAAGATGACATCCAATCGGAACGAGCCTCCTTCCCAGAGTGTATCCTTCTTTCCTGGGATGGCGCATTGCCAGTTCTTCAGATCCAGAGAGCCGTCCTCGCTGCGTTTAGGCTTGGCGACAAACCCAAAGGGATGATCGCGGCGCCACTGCTTGCTGTAGGACGAGAGATGTCAGCACGATCAACTGGCGCCACGAGATTGCAATATGCAATTCATACCGTTCCTCTTGCAGGCGGTTTAAGCAGAGTGACATGTTGCTGGTTTGATGGTACTGGTGAGGTATGGGAAACTCCTGGGTATCAGGAGGCTATAAGCTGCCGATTAAATGGAAAGCCACGCGACAGAGAAGGAGGAAGGAAGAGAAGAGGAGGCAACCGGAGATTAAAAACGAAGCTGCCGTTGCGCCTCAGTTCTTCCATGGCCATTTCCGCCCCGCTAAACTGGATTACGTAACCAGTTTGCCTGATCTATAAAAAAAGATCTGCCAAACAACATCACGACGATCAGGACATCTACTTGGAATAGTCTTTGTCAGGTAAGGTCTGTGAAAATTATGCTCTTTTAAATATCAAGAAGTATAGATTCGATTAGAGACATTTTCTGGCATACAAAGGGAAGCTTCGAGTACTCTGTAGAGCAACATGTCAATTAACCGCTTTACTGTTACGGACACGGTCAACACACTCGTGTTCGTTCTACAGAAAGAGGTGGCAGAAAAGCTGAAGTGGGTTTCTAGTAATAAACAAAGGCTTTCTTCTTCCTCTACCAACTTTGCACCAACAACAACACGCTTCACGCACATATCACGTATCAACAGCTCAACATCGCAGACAACTTTCAAGCATTTGATCCTTCCATCAATCCCATCAAATCAGATCAAACCTTGTCTCTGTTACATTCGTGATATTCACTATGTGCAAAGGCATTTCCTGGTTCCACCCTAGTTGCGGTCACTATGATCCTCCTGCGATGGACAAGGAAGAATGTTGGCAAGCGCTGAGAACTGGCGTTGAGTGTGAGTGCCAACCAGGCGAGAATACAGAGGTCTCGTTGGCTGGCGATTGTAGCCTGTGCCTTCGTAGGAATGGAGCCCATGGGATTACTGATCCTCAGCAATCCATGCGGCGATCTCCCCTAAGGCCAAGCCAGCGACCAGAACCAACGTACGTGTTCCCTTATCCAGAGAAGCCCCCCTCTCGAGTATACGACTGCTGACCTTTGGCTTTGTTTATCTAGAGTAAGATTCCCACTTCACAATTACCACTTTCCCTGTTACAACCCACAGGGAGGGTGGCAGCCGCCAAACTACTGGGACACTTTTAATCAACCACAGACTCCTGCTCACCACTCCATGCCCACATCCTCCACGCAAGCACCGTTCACCCCAACACCGCACGCCGCGCAAGTATCACAAGAAACGCACGTCGGCCCGTCTTCAAAGCCTGCTGGTAAGAAGCTTGATCCCACGCGGGTATTCATACCAGGCAAGCAGCTTACCCAAACTTCAGAGGTCACGCAAGAGCAGCAACGCAATCCAACTGCAGAGGATGTGCCATCCCAGCAGCTCGATCCAACCCGGCAGTCCACCCCACTCCAGCCAGTCACGCCAAATGGACAATCTGCAGCGCGTGCTGGCAAGCAGCTCGACCCAACCCGTGAATTCACCCCAGGTCAATACCATGCCCCAGCCCATGACACTTTGCCAGGCCAGCAACCCAACCCATTCTGGCACCCAGTCACCCCAGGGCAATCATACAATCCCACCTGGCAATCCGCCGGTCAGCACTTCAACCCAATTTGGTCTTCTTCAGTCTGGTCCGTCCCCAGCCAACAGTACAATCAACCCTGGGGCCCCACTCAAGCATGGCCATCTGTTCCGAGCTGGCAAGCTGCTGCAGGCCAACAATATCCCCCCAAACTTGCCAGCCCCAAACCTGCAAGCCCCGACAGGCCCCCGGTCTATCTCAAACCGGCTATCACCAATCCGCCGTCCCATTCCCAGCCGCCGCAATGCCAACATTGGACGTGCCTCCGGTGGACAAGTTAGCTCCAACCAGCATGGCCTCGCCGCCCAGCATGCTCACGCAGGCCAGCTCAACCAAACCCGCTCAACCTTGTCAAACCGCGCTGTTTACCCCTACTTTCCACCGCAGCACCTGGCCTCATCACACCCCTAAGTTTGACATCGAAGATGGCCCGATGTGTCCTATGTGGGCAACAATCGTCAAGCCAGATGGGCCTCCGCTGGATTTTGACTGGGCTGAACTGAAGAGTAATGTGCGAGTACCAAGGCGTGGGTTATCTTCCTCTCCTGTTGTCAATGCGACTTCGTCAATTAGCACTGATTCCGAAACCTGCGGTGACAAATTGGCTGTGCTAGAGCCCAAGTGTGCAGGCAAGCCTGCGGTTGAGGAGTCTGCGTTAGATTGTGAGTTTAATACCCAGGAAGATGTTGTTGATTTTGATTCTGACGAGTTCTTTGATGCAGAGTCAACCCTTTTCTTTGATGCTGAGGCCACCCTTTGAGATCTTCCTCAGAGGGTGTTGCCAAAACTCAAAGGGAGAGGGAAGCTTGTACAAGCGGGGTGTTTGTTCCTTCGATTTCTTTTTGTGTTTATTGTTTTTCTTTTGCTTCCGGGGGCGGGATCTAGCAGATTAATCTACGTACCATGTCTAGTCCCGAATAATCAAAGTCCGTTTTCAAATTTCATCAGGTAATGTAGTGTTGAGAGTACACCAAAGATCCAATCGTAGAACAAGTATACTCTACGCATTTCTTCAGAATCCACGAAACTTATCAAGACGATTTCCCAGAAGAAACATAAAACCTCCGGTAGCCGTGCAACCTGGAAAACATTTAAAAAGATATCGGAAGACTAGAGGGAAGGGAACGGAACTCACCTGAAGAGAGAGAGCTGGCATCTCAAATTTGATAGACACTCCAGGCTGAAATTCTTGAGTTGGACTTGGTTTAGGATATGATCAACTTAGGATGATGAAAACATGAGGAACCTGGAACGAGAATATCATCCGACACTTCGAGTGCATGCTAACTTGGTATCAAAGAAAAATCCACCGGGGATGAGAACAAAAAACCGAAACGCCAAGTTGTTTCCAGATGGAAAGCCCCATCTATACTCTCGCACTTAAAGAGAAGGATTGTTAGTCCCCGGGCTCTCAGATGTGGCCGAGGTAATAAGTCATATATTCTCACCCGATGTCGTAGCTCAGTCAGAGTAGATACCCTGCTCGAACTTCTCCAGCTCGTAGAAACGAGCCGAGACAGCTCCCTTGCTGTTCAGAAAAGTATGACCGTCCAGAGCATTGACAGCCTGTAGACCATTAGTAGCCGTTGTAAGAGAGTGGGAAGAAGGACATACCCGCAAAGCAGACAAGCTGCTTCGGAAATGGACAAATACAGGGACTGAGCCCTCGACCTGACTGGCCACGAAAACACGCTCCACATCCCCGAACTGAGTAAATCATCAGCAAGCGAGCCTTCAGATGTCAGTAACGGAACACATACCTCTTTCGTGCATTCGTCCCCAATCTCCTGCATCAGGCCTCCGCCCTCCTTGACCAGCTCAGCCTCTACGTCCATGCCATCCAGCATGCCCTTCACGATAATGACCTCGCTAGTCCGGCCGAACTTGCCAGTCTTCTCCTCGCCCTTCTGGCCACCGATGATCTTCCCCTGGCCAGCACGAGTAGCGAAGCCCCCACCTTCAGAGTCTGGTCGCTTCTTCTGCTTGACCGTCTTGACCTGCAGAGGGGTTTTAATGCCCTCACCCGAAGCACCGAGTCCAGATCCCTTGGTCCAGCCATACTTTGTGAGCAGACGCTCTGCAAAGCCCTTCTGGCCTGGGCGGCTGGACTGCGGAGCATCGCCCTCCGCGGCATCACCAGCAGCTTCCGCTTCCTCGACGATGGGCTCTTCAGACTCGGCTTCAACCTCCTTGGGTGGAGAGTAACGGACCGGGGAGCGAGAGATGGTAGCCGAGTATGTCTTGGCGGCATCGGGAAGGGGGAGATAGGCCTATCAGGCTGTTCCGCGGGACCTTGGCTCATTTGCGCGCGACGAGCGAAGGCATCTTCTCCAGATGCATCGTCAGTGTGAGTCGGTGGAGCTGGATCATTGAGGTTAGGTGGTGGCGCGAAGCTCATAGGGGGCGCGAATTGAGCTAAGAAAATACATTAGTTTCGAACTTTGTTAGCTTGAAAGGGCAAGCATCAACTCACGGTTCTTCGGTTGAGCCGAATCCGGCATGTCCAAGTCCTCGCTCTCGGGACTTCCCATTTGATGCGCATGGAGATGATCCTTCCAGTCGTGGATCTCGCGAATTTTCTCCTCGCTGCGCTTGTGCTGTCTGGGATCGGTGAAACGAGTAGGGTCGTAGATCTTATCGGGGTTCTGAGGTGTATACTCAGGTTCCCTATTCTCCTTCTCTCTCTGTTCTTCTTGCGCCGCTGCTTCCTGCCGCCGCGCTGGTGCTTCTCGCTCGTATTATACGCGTAGAGGTCATCCTCTTCCTTCGAAGTCCACTCGCTAAATGTCCTCTTTGGTGCAGGATTAGTGCCTGGCAATGGACCTATGGTCGGTTGCTGTGGAGCCTTGGGCAAAGTAGGCTTCTTCGCCTTGGATTTCTGCTGCGGTCTCTTGGCATTCGTGAATTGGAATGGAAATGCGGGAACTATCAAGAGAGAAAATGAGCTTGAATGAAGTTTATTTGGGGCTGGGAGGGAATAGCGGAGGTTCATGTAGACTGTCCACCTACCGAACTTACCTTGCTTCGGCTTCGTAGTGTGCTCGTCAGGTTGCGCGTTAGGGTCGTCTTGTTTGAAGATAACCGGGGCGCGAGAGATAACTCCAGGTTCCGAGTTGTCGTGCTCGAGCAAGTGAGGGTACAGAGCCGTCCGCAAGCCTTTCGGCTGCGCGGGGTCTGACGCCATGGCGTGATTGATGCGGCTCCGAAGAACTTGTCGTAGGTGTCGTGTTGTCGGAGTTGTTGCGGGGAAAGTCGTCGCGTCGACGACAAATCGATAAGTGGTTGGCAGAATTGCGACTGCCGCCTTTGGCAGCCTTCCAACTACTGCGTCCAGAAGAACCTCCCCACTTTGCTTCTACGCCTGTAGGATAGATCTCACTCATAGCTCTTGTCTTAGCAACCTGAATATGCCAACCCTAGAAGAGGTTTCTATGACTAGTAATCGCTGGATCTTGTATACAGCGTCTTAACGCATTTCGTATCCTGGCCGCCTCTAGCCGCATTTCAAAGCTATGCCAGCTAGACTGTAAATTCGGCCCTTTCGCATAGTTCAAGAAGCGACTTAGAGTAATCTAGCAGCATGTCTGAGACGGCACCATCCCATCGGCGATTTACAAATTTCGCAGCCTCTTGAGAAATAATCCCACGTAGATCCGTGATACGTCTCCGCGCACATACTCCAGCCCGGAGAAAATGCCGAAGCGTCGGGAGGGCCATGAGGGAAACCCCCAGACTAATACGGAAAGTCCATTGGCTCGAACCTTCCAATTCCAAACCCCCAGAAACATCCCTTAAGCTCACCGAGAATGCAGATTCCTCTCGCCCGTCTCTTCTACGCAGCACGCGCCCCCGCATCCACCCACGCTCGGCCACAATTGCTCCCCGCATCCACTCTATTCCCGCGGGTCTCTCGGAATCCTCTCTCTCCTCATCTTCTATCCTCACGCAAAATGTCTTCTGCGCCTGCTATGAAGGAGTTCGTGTGCATCCTGCCCGATAAGCCCGGCGCTCAGGCCAAGCGTCTCGAGGTTCGCCCGTGAGTCGGCCCACTGTTTTCCTCTCACACACGTACACTTTCTCGCACACTGCGTACAAAAGATCCGAGTCTGCAAGCTAACTTGACTCGCCAGCTCCCACCTTGAGAATGCAAAGGCCCTGACCGCTGCCGGTTCAATTGTTGCGGGCGGTATGTGTTCCCTGTCGTATGCGCCTGTATAACCATGCCCGTCGTGGAATCTGCGAAAATCTACTTCTCCTCCGGAACAGAGGTATGGGTCGTGTTTCTAACAAATGGTCCGCAGGAGCCTTGCTCGAGTCTCACCCCGCTGAGGGGGAGGCGCCTGTCTTCAAGGGCAGCATGATGATGGTTGTGGCCGAGGACGAGGCCGCCGTTCGTGCGCTTTTGGAGAAGGATATCTATGCTCGCGAGGGCGTGTGGGACCTTGAGAAGGCCCAAGTTTACCCGGTATTTTTATCTCTTTTACCACCTGCCTTGGAGGCTCAGCTGAGGCTTCAACGGGGTTTTGTCATGGATGCTAATGGGAATGGGGTTTAGTACAAGTCTGCTATTCGTCAGCCGCTGTGAGAGGATGCAGGGCGTGGAGTCAGATTACAAATGCAGTGTATTCGATATCCTTAGGTTCATAGAAATGAAATGAGCAGGGAAACCTACTCCATTATTATACAGAATGGATGGAGACCGTAACTTTCGTACATAATACGTGGGAGGATGTAGCATTTTATCAAACTCGGGAGCTCCCGCGGTCAGCGGGATCGTGATGTCAAAGCGTAGGCCGAGAAAATAAAGCCTGAGTTGGAATCTACTAAGAATCCTAGCAGCAGTGCGGGTTTGTACCAACCATGCCAATTTCACTTCTTAGACTCCAAGGCCGTACAATTTATTATATACACGAACACCGATCGGGTAGCCAAGGCGTCTCGTCGTATTTCCGCCGAATATCAATGAAAACAGGCACGAGTCCACGCAAGACGTCTGGAAAACCACCCATGCTACCTGCGCCTCGACGAGACACAGGGGATTGAACAAGGAAGATGGAAAAAGACTCTGCAATCACAAAGCCTGGACTGGTACGCAAAAGAAACAACACATGACAAAGAAGGGCCGGCTCTCGGCCCCTACATGGATGGTGGCACGGGAGGGGAAGACAGGACAACATCCACCACATGACGTTTCCCCATTCAAGGGATGTCCACTAGGTAAATGAGCACAAATCAAACTATGGAGGTCTGAGAACTGGCGAACTCTATAGACCTGCGAATCCTGCCGAACAACGTTTTCCCCGAGCGCCAAGGTAACAAATACAGTCCCACACACTCCCGAGAACGCGGCACGAAGATAGTGGATTATGGAAATCATTAGGCTGCCGTCACGAAAATCCCTCCAAGAGGAACAAAAAGAAGCGAAAAGTGGAACCACAATAGGTTTGGGTATGGGAAACATCGCGTCCGGGCACGAGAATAGTCGTAGAGTCCCGGACGGTCAAAAGGAATTGGCAAAATGGAGGGCAGTTGTGGCCGGCCGAAGCCAAAGGTCAACTTTGAAACAAGGGCCAGCCAGCTGAGCTTATCATACAAAAGGCGTCGCCTAGTATGCCTTGCGATTTCCGAGGTTACCAGGCTTCTCGTCAGTGTCAATATGCCACACCACGTAGTTGGGCAGGCCAATGACCTGGTAGCCGGCGCGCTTGGCCATCTTGGCGAAGCCCTCGGTCTCGGCCTGATTCTCGAATGCATAAGCGGGGAAGTTGATACCTATATGTGATGATTAGAGTTGGAGATCATATTTCGCGAAAAAATGAGCTCGCATACCTGAACGGTGGACGTCAGCCTTCACGAGAATGTTGACACCGCCAATACCATCAAGCTCAATTTCGTCGTCCTTGTTGTTGCGCCAGTCGCCCATGCTAACCATGTATGTTCGGCCCGTATCGTACTCCTTATAGCCTTCTGCAAGAACGGTATCGGGGTCCAGGGTCTGGCGGAGGCGTCTGGCCTTATCCGAGTCAATCCACGAGTTGTAATCGACTTTGCGACGGTTAGCAGGGAGAAGATCGGTAATTTAGGGAGGGGGTAAACATACATCGGCCTTCGATATCACGGCCATCCTGGTAGCGATGGAACCAGATGTCTGCAGGGTGTTAAGAGGTGCATCGTGTAGGATACGGGCAGGGGAAACTTACTTGGCACCAGAATATCCTTGTCATGGGCCATGAAATCCTCCAGAATGCGCTCTGGGCAATCCACAATATCCACATCGCGCCAGTAAACCCAAGAGTGATCGGGCTTGAGAGCAGAATAGAGCAGGTAGTTGCGGGCACGGCCAATCGCCTTGCGACGGGGGCCTTGGGCCGCAAACCCATGGCGTTCCTCCACGCTCATCTCGATATCAGCTCCGAAATCCTTGCGAATGACGGTTGCGCTGCGGAACCGGACTTTCTCATCGGCATGGTTTTGGATGCGATCGAGTTCGGAGGCAAGATTGGCCAGCGTGTCATCTTTGGTGTCACCGACCAAGAAGGCAAGGTCGATCAGCTCGTGAGGATAGCTGAGCTTGTAGAGCAGGTCGAAGTATTTCTCGAGGTAGGGGGCGGCGTCGCGCAGAGGAGTCAGGATGAGCACGCGCTCCCGATTGGCAACAGCCTGGGTAGTGGAGGAGATAGGGTTAAGATCGACATCGGTGATAGTTGTGCTGTTGACTTCGTAGGGTTCATGATGGTTAAAGAGGACGGGGGTCTGGGCGTAGCCGTTCCATTCGACCATCTCGTTGATCGACATCTCCATCGGAGATTTCGAGGAGCCATAGCAGTAGAAACTAGTCCGATCGGTTAGCTCACAATCCCATGCAAAGCCAGCAATCTCATGTTGCTGAATAAAGATGGATGGGCCGCATACTTTTGCATCTCCGACGCGGACTTGCTCACGCCACGCCACAGGAGAATGATCAGGCCCGTCACGGCCACGGAGACCAAGAAACGAGTTCGCGTCAAGAGAACCAGGACAGCCCTCCAGGGAGGTAACCTGGACCTGGCGGACTTCCAGTTAACTCCGCCCTTGGGTAACAACATGGCGGATGTGGGTAGAGGGAACGAGCGAAAGGAGAGTCTGGACTTTTTTTCTCTGGAGCCTGGCGAAGAAACGGCGGCGATCTCGGGGCGTATCGGTCGCGGCGCCCGTCGATTACCCCTGACCGAACGAGTGAGGCCTCAGAGGACGCGCAGAGGGCCACAAAGGTCAGCGAAGGGGTGATGAGCAAGATTGAAGTGGAGAGTGATAGGGAGGAGGGAAATGGCTGAGGACGGATCGCCGGGGAAATTGCCAAGCGGGAACGGGGTCAAGGTCAGTGAGACAGCCTCAGCCTGCGGGCTTTTTGGGGGGGGGGGGCCGGTCACTCGGTTTTCCCTTTTTCACTACGCAGGACTAAGATGGATTCCGTTTAGCTTTTCTTTCTCCCATTTCGTCCTAAAGTTACCCTCTGCTCCACTCCTTAACTTGAAGGTGTTGCCTTATTGCGTGTCCTTGATGCACTAGGATTCCGGTTGTGGCGTTAGCCCCTGATGACTACGTCTGCAAGTAACCTGTGCTACGAGGATTGGCCTAGGCATGTCGAGAAGAAAACGCTATCATTTGGGTCAAGCCAAAACCTATTAGAACACCTTGCAAGAAACGGCCTAAGAAGAAGCCAAGTAACCGTAATCTAAAATTGGCAACGCGCTACCGCACAATTCCCCTTTCCAGTCTGGACCCTGAACGATCGACCGAGACAAAATCGGATTTGACCGAGAGATCAACAAGAATCTCAGATGTTACGAGATGAGGCTTAGCATCTAATATGCAGGCACCGGCTTTGCCAAACTGGTTTTGTATACTTGGGGTTGTCAGTGTTTATAGTTGACCCGGAGCCCCCACAAATCCAATCGTCATCTTACCATATATAAGCATATTGACCGAGACACAATTCACTTGAATGACAAGTTATGGTACTCGGCTCTAGGTGTTGTACCATGATTCATTGCGACTGAATAGAGGTTGAAGCCATTTCAAGGGGTGAATCTCTCAAGATCAGCTTGCACCTGTGAACTAGCCAGCCTGGTGGAGAAGTTCGGGCCACGTAAGCAGGAGTCAATGCCCAGCAAATGATGATTCAATGGCTGACTGTTCCGAGTCGTCCATTTGCATCTGGTCTTGGCTTCTAATCGATTAATATACTCGTAGTGCTCTATTCATAACCTCCTAGTAAACGTCCATGTCGATTTAAGACATGGGTAATCCATCGCGTCCCACGAAAGAGTTTTCGGAGCGCCGGAAGCAACGGAACCTGCCGGCTCAAAAAACAAAAATATAGTCCGTATGGAACCTTCAGGCTGCCATATTAAGCGACCAAACCTGACAACCGCGGAACAGTAGGAGAAAAGCAAAAACAGCAAGTCAAGGCATTGGAGAACCGCATTGCATCAGCAAAGCCATGAACCAACCCCACCAATGGCGCTGGCACTGCTGGCCAAGGCATCAGTCAGTTCAATATCTCCGGTCGTGCTACCAACACTGGCAGCCATTGAGAACCTTGACGAAGAAGATGCCCACTTAAGAGCGGGAATCAAGCCTAGTGACATAGCCGTAATAGATATACTCAGGCTGGCCTTGCTACTCTTCGCGCTCAACGTCCAAATCTGCCACTCTTGGAGACATACCAGAGATAACCTATGATACCAGGCAGGATCCTGCTCCCTCAACGTGAAGCGCAAAGCTGCCACCATTCTATCACGGGCATTCGCCAGAATGGACTATGCCGTTCTTCACTAACGTTACAGCCTTCCGGATTAACATCGCGCCGGCGAGTGTTGAATTTCAAGATATATTTTTAACGAGGGAGCTATATCTCCAATTTATGAAGATATCAGCGAAGAAAAAGCAAGCCATTTCTCAATCTTCTCAATTCAAATCCACCAAGGCCCAACTATGCCCAATTAGCATCCAAATAAGATCGCCTTACCATTCATGGCTGGATGCGTTTCCATGCCTATGATTGATAGAAAGGAGATGTGTGAAGATATCGAAAGAAACGGAACCCCCTGCTGAGGATCCTTCTGTGATGGCGACGACGAGGCCTCTGTATCAGGTACACCCTGAAGCATTTGAAGCTGGGAGGCTTCGTCGTAGTTTTGAACAAGTAGTAGTAGTAGTAGTAGTAGTAGGAGGAGGAGGTGAGAACGGTTTTCCTTTTTCAACAGACGTGGTGGCATTAAATCGCGGCGATCCACTTCCGGACGGCTTGGTGGGAAATTTGAGCATCCGGACTCGGGCCCGGTGCCTCCTGGTCCATTCGAGTTCGAAGTTGAAATGACCATTTTGATCATCCAAGGTTGCTTTGTTCAGCATGGCTGAGTTGAGTGCTGAGTTGAGCATCGTTCATGGCCAATGGGAGGCTTTCAATAGCCCCACCCCATCAAGATGGTCAACTCAGCACTCAACTCAGCCATCTGGTTCACGAAGACATATTTTCGAAGGGGTAACTATTTAAGGAACGTTCTTTCTTCTCCTTCATTCAACGGTTCCACAAAACACAGTCTGCAAACTTATCAAGGTTCTCATCTCTCAGTACCACAATGTCTTCCATGGTAGCAAGCATCACTGCAAACAAAAGCTCGATGGAGTATACACGGTAGGTTGAATTCTTGAAGCCAATTCATCCGGGTTTTATTCATTAGATTTTCTAATTTGGAAGTTGATTTAGGCTTGGACAGTCCGGGCTTAAGATCTCCAAAGTCATCCTAGGTGCCATGTCCTTCGGCGAAGGAGGCACAGGAGGCGACACTTGGACACTGCCTGAGGAACAGGCACTTCCTGTCCTTAAGCATGCCTATGACAAAGGTCTCAACACATGGGACACGGTACGATGATCGTCTTCTCGTGTTGAAACAGTCAAGCCAGAATCGCTGCTAATCCGTATCTCCATAGGCAGATGTCTATTCCCTAGGCAACTCGGAGCGGGTGATTGGCGCTGCGCTTCGCAAGTACAAGATCCCTCGGGAGAGAGTCGTCATTCTGTCCAAGTGCTTTGGCGGTTGCCCGCGACCGGAAGAAATGGAAGGACTCTCTGACATGGAAAAGCTGGCCCGCATGGCTAACAATGACGGTATCATGGTGAACAGAGTCGGCCTTTCTCGCAAGCACATCTTTGAAGCTGTGGACGCGAGTGTCGAAAGACTCGGGACCTATATCGATGTGCTGCAAATTCATCGACTTGACCGCGACGCTCCCAGAGAAGAGATCATGAAGGCACTGAACGACGTGGTGGACAGCGGAAAAGCCCGATACATTGGAGCGAGCTCGGTAAGACTTTTACTCCCTTGGATAGACACAACGAGGTATAAATGCTAACTCGAGTCGTTAGATGTACGCGTGGGAATTCCAGGCTCTCAATAACATCGCCGAGAGAAACGGGTGGCACAAGATGATCAGCATGCAGGACTACTACTCGCTTCTTCATCGTGAGGAGGAACGTGAAATGCACCCCTACTGTCGAGATGCCGGGATCGGAATTATTCCCTGGTCGCCTCTAGCCCGTGGCCTCCTTGCTCGGCCATACAAAGTCTCCATGGAGCAACCGACCACGCGCCAGAAGGAGGACGCGTTGACTGCGATGATGATCGGACCTATCACAAATGAGGACATTGCTATCATTGGCCGAGTGGAAGAGTTGGCCAAGGCGAAGGGCGTCAGCATGGCACAGATTGGAATCGCGTGGTGTTTGAAGAAAGGGTTTTATCCAGTTTTGGGCCTTTCAAGTATTGAGAGAGTGGATGAGGCTGTCAGCGCTGTCATGGGACTCAAAGACGGGTTGTTGACTGATGATGACGTTAAATATTTGGATGAGCCATACATCCCGAAGGTCCCACTTTCTCATGGTTGGTGAACACAGTCATCGTAGCTGTGAAAGTCAACTTGAAAGAATAAGCTTCAATAATTCGGAGGGGGTGGGATACGGAAGACCTTTTTGCGAAAAAAAAATTGTGCGTTGTGAAATACTAGGTTCAATAGATAAGGACCTCTCCAGGAATAGACCGTGGACACATACTGAAGGGTCATGAACACAGCCAAAGCTTATACTAGTACCAGAAAGGGCTTGGGGCAATTGATCAGTTCTAAGCACGTTAATTTGGTAGTAGAATAGGTTTGATTATTGGAAAGGCGAAAAGTCAGAAACATGCATCCGACCGTGTTCTGTGCATCGAATATACCCATTATCGAACAGCGCCAATGAACTATGGACAAAAGAAATGAAAAGGAAAAAGAAGTACTCCACCCAGTATTTTTTGGGGAAAAGGGAAAAAAAAATCCTTCAAAAGCAAGGGATCAAAACGGATCAACGAGAAGATAGGAGTATCGAACCAAAGAAAAAGAAAGACATAGGAAATTCAGCCACACCAAGCAGCTTGGTGACCTCGTGTCTCCGAATGGAGGAAGCCAACTAGTGTTACAATGCAGACATGCTCGAACGAGAACAATGTAGCAGGGAGACAGCGGAGGGTTTGAGGAAACTTGAAAAGGCCAACTAGATGCAGGAGAAAAGAGCACTGCCATCTGCAAGGGGGAAGCGGCAGCTCGAGAAGAGCTAAAAAGGGAGGATTCGTCAGAGCGTCATAGTCTATGTCGGCGTGTATCATGATATAAAGATCTTCATGGAGAGGTCAGAAGAGAGTGGCGGCGTGATGAGGGGAAGTGGAAAGATGAGGCGTGGGATGGAGGGAAAGCCGGCGATGAAGGCCCTGTGACAGGAGGAGTGGTCGTAAGGTATGAGGTGCTGAAGGTTTGGGATGTGGCACTTGGGAGGGGGTCATGGTGGAATGGTGGCTCCGAGGCATTATAGGCTCCAATCTCGTCACAAAGGACACGGAGGCCAGGCAGTGCCCTCTTTTGGCGCTTATGCGCTGGAACCTCCCCGATGAGGCGAGGGCTAGTGTTCTCTGCCTTCGGTGATCGGAACATCGTGTCGAAGGACTTTAGGTGGGACTCCAAGGCCCGGTTGCGGTCAGCGAGGGCCTCGTTCTCTGCCTTCAGGGCACGTATTTGCTGTTGCTGAGCTTGCTCTTGCTGCTGAAGGGCTTGAATTTGCTGCTGCAGCTGCATCACACGGAACTGAGGCTGTAACCGCTCCGAAAGCTGCGGAGAAATTTGTTCCTGTCGAATGAGGTTGACAATGATGAAAAGCATGAAGTCAATCAAGTAGATAGCACCCTGGACAATGTGCTCCTTGGACTGGGGAAGACTCTTGGATCGATTCCAGCCGGCACGTTCAAGAAAGAAATCGTGAATTCGGCTGTCAAGCTCACGGTGGAGCTGGCTCAGGTTCTTACGGCGGTTGCCCTCGGCAATACGATGCTTCTCCCTCTGGTCATCTGGGTCGGGAGAGGTATTGCTGCTCTTACGCTTGCGCCCACAGAGCTGTTGCAGAGGTGCCTTACGGTTGATTTGTTCCGGGGCAATGAGACCCATAATCTCGCCTTGGGAGAGATTAGAAGGCCAATCGTCCGAAGCTGCCTTTTGGGCGGCAAAAGTCTCTTGCCAAGAACTCTCAGCAGAATTGGCAGGAGAAGGTGGAGCAGTGATGTGCTCGCTACCAGTCCAAGGGGACTTAAATTGGATTGGTTCCTGAGCACCAGGAGTTGTAGGGGCAAATGAGTCCTTGATGTGGAATGGATTGAAAGGCCCACGGGGCAATGGGTCAATCCGAGGAAGAGGGGGCAGACGGCGGTCGTCACCCACATCAGAGCCGGTCATAGTACCGGCGGTGGTTGATCTCAACGAGCTGAGTAGACCATGTTAGATGCAAGTCCCGAGTCCATTAGATTAGGAATACTCACGGAAGCGAGCAGCGTCGCTGAACGTCATCAGTCATGGAAGCCATATCCTCATACATCATTGTATATCGTCAAAAAGGGTGTTGCTTGGTATCGTATAGTTCGTATGTGCAAGGGGGGGGGCGTAAGTGACACGGATTATCTCCGAATCAATATCCAAAAGCTATGTACTGCAAAAAACTTCAAGGGGCAGAACTCTGTCGTATGGCTCTCTGGAAAGCGTAGGTATTCACAGGAGGATGAAGTTCGGTAGCGATAAGTTGAATGAGTCGTGGGGTGCTTGGTTGGTAATGTTGTATGTGCACAAGAAACGTGGTGGAATAAACAGATGAGACGTATAGACAAAGAAGGCGAAGGGATCGAAATCCACACGAGGTGAAGACAATGAATGAGACAATTGCTACCCAGGGCTACCGGGCTGGGTGCATGTTTATATGTCGATGGGATGGAGGAGGGGAAGTCATCACTGGGGTACGTTTGCAGGTCCATGTACCACGCCCGGGAATTCATGCCCTAGGGCCTCGTCCCTCCCCGGCCCAGAGGGGGGGGGGTCAAGGAAGGTTCAGCGCCGATCATCAATAGACTCCACAGAAGCCGGATTACATACAGAAAAGCACAATGCAGAGTGCAGGTCGCCGCTGGCGTGGGGCACCAGACGGGGAACATAGATTGAGCTCCCGGGTGGACTCTAGGCCTGCCGCCAGACCTATTTGGGAATAAACCCTGAACTACGATCGAGAGTGGAGGAAGGGGATTGATGAGTATCTGTCACATAGATGCACAGACGAACCTCTTCGCCACAATTAATGAGATCGGCGAATCACGGCCCTGCGATGGAGCCACGAGAAGCAGATACGCAGCGAACATCTACGGTCCTTGATTTGTCACTGGGTTCTTGACAATCGGATCAACACGGGGAAAGACTTTGGAGCAGTGTCGCCGTGCCCTTGCATCAATAATCACCAATGGACCTCATCGTTACCAGCGTTCTCCGTGCATGGATAGCCCAAAACACGGGAGCCCTCTGCGACCAAATGTCCCGGAGATCCATCGGGGAATGTGATTCTTTACAATATTCAAGCTTCTAAACTATCCTGGAAAATAGGAAGAAATGCGAGTATTACCCAGATGGGAATTTGACACTTGGACACCAGAAAGTTACGCTCGAGCATACTTGGGACTTGCAAGCGACGCAGGAACAGATTTTTCCAGAGAACCTGCATGCATCGGATCGAAATTCTCACGTCCGCGCTCCGATTTGGATACATCGTGAAACCCCATGCTGCAACATGATCATCGGCCGGCTCTCGATCGCTTGTATTGATGTTCAGGAGAATGTGCCGTAGTTATTCAGGAACCATCAAGGGATAGCGATTGAGTTTGTCCGGAGTCGATCCTCCTGTGAAGAGGTCCTGCTAATTAAACTCACACTAGAGGTGATAGAATCAAGCAAGGATGACGGGAGTGTCATGATGAGACATGCGAGGAGGCTCTCCAGAACGACTAGTGGGTGGCAATGGACCTTGAGGCGACAAGTATAGGCGAATGACGCTTACCTATACGAAAACCCGTAGCTAGGCGGGCAATATACGAATGACAACGTATTCCCTAAGCTGTCCGATTGATTATCCCATTGTTGCATCATCACCAAGCTGTCACAGGCGCGTAGGCTTATTTTATCCAGATTGCCTCCCGATCTGTCCCCTTCAGGCAAGCGAATCAGCGGTCCCGAAAGTCATAAACGGCGCTCAAGCAAGACGATGGCTCGAGGGATACCAGAGTGTTGGGACGCCACAATCCCGCTGACCGGGATAGATAGCTGTCAGTCTTCCAATCAGAAGACAAAGAGACATCTGGAATCGACTAAACGAACACACAGACGTTGAGCGTCGGTACTCTCGAGCGAGTCACAGGGCAAAACAATCGCGCTGATAGGGCCAAAGCCCTAATTAATTTGGCACGTTCTCCAACTAGCGCGAGAGAGCCCCGCGTCTCTGCATAGCAATCGGGACCAGAGCTCGATCTCCTCTATCCCAAGGAGGTCCATCCCGTGCTGGGAGTTCGCTAAGCCCACAGCAAGTGGGTCTGGTTGCAACCCGGACTTTCTGGATCAGAGCTGTCACTTTTCTCCGTTTCCCGCCCTCGCCCTCGTCTCCACCTTTGTTCCCCACGTTCTCCGTTGGTCACAGGTTCCCAGGCAAATGATTCACGGATGCCAGTCCCTGGCTCATTTTCCATATAAATGAACGGCTGCGCTCGAACCGTCGCTCAGCGCCGCCTCAAGTGCGATAGAGTGCGGCTGGAGAGTGTGGAATATGCCGAGCCCCCTTATTCCCTAAAGTATGTATCCCCAACCCACCATGACGACCCAGTTTAGGACCGAAATCAGATACATGCATGCGACCGGCCTCTGATGGGTAATCCCGCTGTGCCTAGACCTTTGCTGCAGATAGCACGCTACGGCGCCTGCAGCATGACTCGAGGGAAAGGTTTCCTAGGCACGAACCATTCGAGATCAGACGAACTTTAGCGTTCCGGCACTTCCCCGGCCCCTCCGAGGCGCAGGATCATCGATTTTGCCCTTCTTCTGCTTGCCATTTTCAGTGATGTGCGTCAGTATGTACTCCAGGCTAGCCGCCTGGTGTAATTACCAGGTGGTCGGATTTTTAAGATTTTAGGAGATCAGAGATCAGAGATCAGAGATCAGAAGTTCGAACTCTGGTCCCTTGCCAAGAATGGGGTAACCTAGTCGTGAAAGTGCTTATGCAAGTTGTTCGGTCCATGTAGAGGGGGTGCTGTCCTTATGGACCTTGCTCTACATGGTCCAGGCCTTGTGCTTTGCTTTTACATGCCACAACGCTCACCCCAGCTTTCAAAGCCAATCATCTCACATAGGCGGCTTGTTCTGCCAAGGGTCTCCCAATAGTCGCTCCTAAAACTCAGCTGAGACCCGCTTCGACCTGTCAAGTCTCAAACGTCAAAAACGATGTGGTGGGGGCCACCGTAGCCGGGGAGGAGGGAAACTTACGTCTATTTCCCAACTGAGCTTCTTACCTCGAAGTTTCCAATCCTTCAGGTTGGCCGATTATCGCGAGGTTCTTTCGGAATCCACATACCACGATGGGGCCAGATCTGCCAAGAGAGCGTTCAAAAGTACCAGTTCATGCACTGTTTACACCAGGAAATGCAAGATCAATCCCCTTTTCTCCTAGATTTGCCTCCATACAAAGTTTCACTACAGCAAGCTACTGCGATTTCGTCCACGTCCAAGCCCTTTTCTTAGCCACAGCCCCGCTGAAGGGCAACTGATCTTCCCTTCTGCCGTGATCGATTTGGCTAGGGTGACATAAACCTGCATCCCTCGGTACCTTTGACAGAATATCTCTGTCTACCCCTCTTCCCTTGCCATTGTTTAATCGGCACACTAATATATGTTTGCACTTTGGGAAAAGGATTCGGGTCAGGTTCTCATCTCTTGCTAATACGGTGGCAAATTCAAGTTACTCGTGCTCCTCTTGAGACGGATGTGGGCCGTTTGAGAAAGGGCAGGTCATCCCGGCATGGCTGAAGGAACTCACGTAATATTCGGTACATTCCAGGCTATCACTTTATGAAACAATAACATCAACCCAGAATAGCACCAACGGAAGTTTCCTCCGTGAGCATAAATAATTGTTATGCGCATATTCTATTGAAGTTATCGCAGCAAGGGAAATGTTCTACAGGTTGGCGTCATGGACAATGCGCAGCCTCTATTGTTACTAACGATGACATAGCCTTCGATAGTGGTGAGCTAAAGCATGTTCAACCCCTCCCCGAGGCTCACAAAGCCCTATGGGAAGTTTATTTTCCCGAGGGACTATTGCCACACTCAGGGTATGCAAGGACCGGGGGGTACCATACCAATCTAGTAACGCCTCAAAGTACATACTAGTAATCAGGACCTATTCTAAGCTCTACCCTAGAACTCAAATTTGCCGCTTCTGACACGTCTCGCATTTTCAATTCCCCGAACTACCCTCGCTGCCCGTGGAGTCCTTTCTCCTGGGTCCTACATGCCATGGAGCCCAAGGTTTTGGGGGTTCGTAGAGTCTGCAGCCTCAAATCGATGAACACTCGAGGGGTAGCGGCTTGCCGAGCCCGGGTATTTTGTTCTTCATGCAAGGTGAACAAATCCTCCACGGATCGTTCTGCACTGCTTTCACTCAGGTACCCTCGTACCTGCAACAGGCATCCGTTACGCAGAAAAGAAGGCAAAAAGTACTCGGGGAATCCGGACCAGGTACTCTTGCCACCTGCACCTTGTCCCGTCCCATGCACTACCCCCTCTCGCCTCCATAAGTCATCTACGGTCTTTTCTCGGCTTTGAAGGGCGTCAGCCGCCTTACTCGGATATACCCCTATTATGTTATCTTACTCTTGAAGAATGATGTTTATATCGAGAATATGGGTTGACTCCATGCAGCCCTTACGAGAAGGCATCCGTTTCAAAGTTGAGAGCCATGCATAGATCACATTGTACCTTTGGCAGTGTCGAGCGTGCAATCGTTCGTATTACACAGCCTGTATACGGCGTAATGTTCCAAGGCTCGGGCTCGCTAGATTTACGCTATACGGGCCCCCCACGACTCAACTTATCAGTTACTTGCCGTATGGTCAAAGCGGACCCCGGAAACTTTCGTGACGATGACACTAGGGCGCTTAAAGATTGAGCCCTTCGGCTTCTCAGAAAGATCAACACGTCCTCGGCTTTCATCGGCGCTAAGGCTAACGAAGGCGTCCGTGCGAAAAGTCTATTGTAGACTGGATCTTACCTGATGCTCAAACTACTCTCGTCCGCTCTGTGTATAGGCTAGAATAGCTCGTCGGCACTGGATTCCATGCAATCATAGTTTATATACTGAGCCATGAGGCCCCTGCCATCCCTGTCCTCTTCGTCTTCTGTTAAGATGGCCAAGCCGTGTGGATCGCTTATAAAGTTTGGCCGGGAGCGGATCAGGTCTTCCGGGTCCCAGCCCCATGGCACATGGCACAGGTCTAGCATAATCAAAGAACTACCGGTAACAGGGAAGTACGCTTCCCTACTGTGCGCGGTCCCGTTTGCCGTGCCCTGCGATCTACCACGTCGGAGGCTCTGAGTCGGCATTCCCTAGGAGCTTCTGTCCGTGCAGCCACGATCCAAAGCCACGTACGTGGTGGGCATGATGGACCGAACCCCCCGACAAGACGAACGCCCTACCAGACGAACCCCTACAAGACGAACCTGAGGGATCAATGCGCTCATATGCATCTGCCTTCCCCCCACCGGACAGCGGCGACTTCGATCCACTTCCACAGGTCGAGCTCGGCAGGCCTTGTGCCCTGATTTTGGCGATTGTTCCTGCTTTTTACACATGCAAGATAAGATCGGCCTCATGATCGCGAACCGGCTCTTTCGTCATGGCCGGAGAAAGTAGAGCAGACCTTGTAATAGCCGGGACGCAGGCCTTGCACCGGCGGGAATTTCCCTATTTTAGCTAAGGACCCGAACCGATATCAGAAATCCGGGAGCCGGGTCTCACTTTCCTAAATTTTGGGAGTGTACTCTGCTCCCCGCCTGCTATGGAGACTGTTGAATTGGAGCGGGAGTCTCGCTGCGTAAGTGTTGGAATTCAATCCTTCCCAGCCACCAGGGTTCTCCCTATAGCGGAGATCAATCCGATCGACCTGGGACTTCGCGTGGCGCCTTTGGTCCACAAATTACCTGAATCGGTTTAAAGCAGTGGATCACAGTGGGGATTGGTGAATAGCCGGGCCGGCAAGGACGAACTTTCGACTCCGTTTTTGAAGGGGCTGGAGTTTGAGTTCTGCGATTGTATCTCCATTTTTGGGTGGGAACAAGGTTAGTATTCTGGTACACTCCCGTTGCAACTCAAAAAGTCAAAAAAAGAAAAATGGAAAAAGGAAAAGAAAAAACAGATGATAAAGCAGACAAAAGAAGCAAACACCAGCGAAACAAGATCGTACGATCGAACCGCTCCGTATGAGCCTCGAATCGGATCTTGAGGAGTGGAGAACTTGAGTTTCTAGCGCGATAAATTTGAACACATCATCGCCCGCCCGCCGTCGTCGAAAATCGCCGGGAAAGTTCGTTTTGCTGCACGAAGGCAACCTGAGACGCACATGGACCAAAGCGATACAGCCGTGAGGGGTAAGTTGAACGATATACTAGACGTCTCGCCGTGTCTCACCTTTCCCCTAGCCTTGACGGAGAGGTTTCTCTGTGGATTTCTGTGGGGATTTTTAAACTTCTCTGCTCATTCCACCATCCCTAGCTCTGCTACCCGCGTAGGCTGGTGGGCACGGCTGAATTTGTCTCCACGAAAGCCATTCTACACCGTGAACGTACGTTGGAACTATCAGAGTGGAGGCCTTAAAGCGCGGGAACTAATCCCAAGCTTCGCCGAGGTATCACGCTTGAGTTCCGTCGACATCTCCGTTAATAAGCGAAAGGGAGCTACCTTAATCTTGCTTGGTGTGAGGGTTGTGATCGGGAATTGGCCCACTGATGATCCTATTACGCTGGATATTCGCCCTTGTGCGGAGTACAGATTTAGTTCCTATCCTAGTTCGTGGAATCGCGGCACTTTCATCCTAGTCCACTGGGTCGACATGCGACTGTCTATTTTCGGCGTATGGTACTGGAGCCCTTATCTTGAAGATCGTCTTCGAACGTATCCTGAGTTAGGGTCCTATTTTTGTGACTCAATTGACTCTTCCGTGTGTGCGTTCGCCAGCACAGAGCAGGTAGATCCTCCAATCTGGCCGGGATACCTCTGCCTAGTATGAACCCGGCTTAGGGTTCCAGCAACACGGTAGGGACCCCTTCCTCCCTCACCTGATCTGTCTCTTTTACTCACATCAGTGCCATGGTGGCGTGGCGATCTTCTTGCTGTGCGATGGAAGGTTCCGGTGGTGCGGGATAAGGGCCTCTTGCCTTTTGATAGCTCGCCTTCATCTTTCGCCTCCGCTGAAGTGCCTGTGCGGATGTGCCTAAGGGTCTTCCGGATTGGATTGCCACTCAGGTTGCCACTCCGAAGAAGTAAGCCCCCCAGGATGGCGGGTGTTATCTGCCGACATTACCAGTAGTGATTCTGTTTACCGGAGGGTTAAGGCGTTTGAGCTGGGCTGTTGCCATCGATATGCTAACGCCCCTAGTGCGGCCAGGAGTAGTGCTTGTTTCGCTCGGGTTCGATTCTGAGACACTACTTGTAGTACTAATGTTTTCGGTATCCTCGAACAATCGGGACGTAGCTGCAAGCCTTGGAGCTAGCCTTGACTGAAGTAAATTGTCCTGCGGTAGCAGTGCCTCAGTACACTATTATATATATATAAAGTATCCCTAGTACTATGGGCAAAGTCTGAGCTAACTCACCGATGTACTAGTAGCTGCGAGTAGATAGTAATCTCGATCACTACTAGTACCCATGTACTAGATGCAAGTCTGAAAGTCGTTGATGGCAACCGAACGTTACTTGTCGGTTCGTATGTGCCTTCGATTCCTTATAAGCACTATCAGTATTGACTTTCAGTATTGACTTGAATGTTCAAGTAGATGTTCAGGTTCACCGTGACGGAGCTTAAGGAACTCGGATTCGACTCGTACTTCCAGACGTTGGCGAAGATATATATCCAACTGAGTTGAACCGTCAATGTTTTCAACGTCACAAACTTGCTCCAAGTTGAATTGAAGCACTCCATGGTCGTGAGCACTGGAGTACTGCCAGTAGAAGTCTTATGCAAGTTGGGAGGATTTCAAGTTATTACCAGTGAACTACAAGACTGAGGTGAGTCAAAAGTAGAAGCACTAAGATAGAGATTCGAAGTTATCCAACACTAAATACTAGTTCTCCTAGGAGTAGTAAGGCCCGTTCTACTCCGATTGCCTTGGTATTAGCAAGTCAGATTCGGAATGACGCTTGTTGAGGGTTGAAGGCAATCTGCGAAACATGAAGGGGTGCACACAGCTCATCCGAGCCTGCGCCTAGGTCTTGAGGAAGGTGATGAGAGAATGGCCACTTGAGGAACTAGGAGCTTCAGAATGTTCAATTGAAGGGACACCGGTCCACTCTTGACATTGACATTCCACTACAAGTAGTAGTCTGCAGACTTGAAGCCGCGCTAAAATACGGCAAAGAATGCTACGGGCTACTAGTACACAGCATGGAGACATTGCAAAGAGGGATACGTTTACAGGATGCACAGGAGTACATTGGCGCACATGCACCGGTAAGAAAACTAATATGGAAACAGGGATGGGGTAAGGGGTAATAAAATGGAATCCAGTGAACGGCCAGAAGATGTCACCCGAGGACAGAATTATTATCATAAGGACAGCGATGTAAGACAAGAAAAACAACCGTTGCTTGGAGTGCATCTACAATCTTTCAAAAAAAAAGCAAAACTTTCCTGTCTCCGACCCGACTACATCAGCTTCTTAGAAGAGCTGGGCCAGAGCGAAGAAAACGGCGGCAATGCCAGTGGCAGGGTAGACACCGTTGGCCATGGCGGCGCTGGAGCTGGTGGAGCTGCTCTTGCCGCTGCTGCCGCTGTTGTCGTCGGAGCCAGTGGTGCTACCGGCGGCAGTGGAGGCCTGGGGGTTGGTACTGTCACACTTCCACTTGCCCTCGACCTTCTGCTTGAACTCGGACTCGAAAGAGCTGCAGCTGAAGTTGCCCTTGGTGGACTGGACGTTGAAAGCACCGGAAACACGGTTCAGGGAGCCGAACTCAAGCCTAGGGAGATAGTTAGCAAAGAGAACGAGGCAAGAGAAGGGGTTATAGAGAGAATGCATACTCGTTGAAGGTACCGGTGAACTGGATAGCGCCGCCAACGGTCTGAAGCTTGGGCAGGTCAATGCTGTCAAGCTTCTCGTTGAGCTTGATGATGAAACCACCGTTGACGGTCTGCAGGTTGGGCATGGAGATGTTGTTCAGGTTGGGGTTGTCGTTGAAGGTCAAGTCACCGGTCTGGGTCAGGTTCATGGCAGTGAAGTTCTTGAGACCGGTACCCCAGAAGCCGAGCTGGCTCTTGGCGACGGTGAGGGAAGGAGCCATGACACTGCTGACGTTGCGGAAAGTCAGGCCCTTGGCGTTGTAGAGGTTAGGGAACTCGATGTTGAGGCCGTCGTCGTTTCCGGAGAAGTTGATGACACCAGTGGAGTTCTTGAGCTCGTTGATGTTGATGGACTCGAGGTGCTTGTTGTCCTCAATGTTGAAGTCGCCGACCTGGGTCAGGTTGATACCGTTCAGGTTGGTCAGACCGGTGTTGATGATGCTCACGTCACCAGCCTCGGAAATACCCTTGGGGAAGTCCAGGGACTGCAGCTCGGGGAGAGCCTCCCAGTAGATGTTACCGACGGAGTTAAGCTGGCTGAAGCTGAGCTGGGTGAGGCCGGTAAGCTCGTTCAGGGTGAAGTTGGAGCCAATGGAGGTCAGGGAGTCGGCAGTCATAGAGCTGACACCAGTGGCATTGTTGGCCTTCAAGCTACCGGTGATCTTCTTGATACCGTTCAGGGCGAGGGTACCAGAGTAGGTGTCCTTGATGGTAACGTCACCGCTGATGGTAGAGCAGGAGGCGATTCCGTCAGCATCGACCTGGGTCTCGAGGGTGGTATCACCGCAGTCTGGGTGAGACGAGGCGCCATCAGTATATCAATTCCCATGCACGCTCGAAATAAAACAGAAAGAGACTCACCAGATGAGGCGAACGCCACCTTGGTGGCTGCCAGGGCAGGCAGGAGGTACTTGACGAAGGACATTATGCTGGGGTGTACTCTGAATGCGACCGGGCAAGTTAGATGTCGATGGTCTCACAGACAGGGGAAGATGAACAAGGCTAGATGGAAAATCGTACCAATGAGTATGCGAAGCTAATAAGACAGGGAACGAGCGAAGGCCTCAGAATCAGAGGGAAAGAACGAGTGGACGGGTTTGAGGAGGGAGGAAGGAGCAGAATAAGAAGTTCGGGGGAAGAAAGGGGAGGCGCGCCCAGTGGAGATTTGTTGTTCTAGTCGTAATAAATAACAGGGTAAAGCAGGTACTTTTCCACTTATAGTACCGTTAGTGCCCGTGGTAACACACTACTCTTTGCGGCCACCCAAACAAGACTGCCCCTAATACGGATACATACAAGCACAATACCGAATGCGGTCGGCAATGTGCCCTGTTGCTGCGTTCCCCGCCCCCCAATTCCGGATTTTGCCTGTTTCACTGTTTCCGTACGGCTGCCCTCTGATTTGTCCGTGCGGGCCCCCTTTTCTCCATCTGATGTCTCAAATGGTGGAGTCTTAATATCACTTTTACTAGATCGTTACACAGTTCACGTGAATTTATGGCTCTACGCAAACTTGGCGCCCCATCCTGAAGGGAAAATCCATGGTTTATACAGGACACACGCAGCAGAACGCATCTAGCCCAAATTGTACAGCTCTCGATGCATTGCGTATTGTTGGCTATGTGATTACTCAGGAGCTGCAGCACCTGCATAGGTAGTGCGTTATCCGTATCGCAGCAGCCTAAACAACATGGAACTGTAATTGTAACCCTGGTCCAAGATTCTGATCTTGAGTGGTCTTGCGTGCTCGGCTAGACTGTCTGTTAAGCTTTCAGACTTTTTTTTTTATTTTTTACCAAGCCTCGCGCAACATGGCTAGTTAAGTAAGTTATGGTATAACAGGAATCCCAGGAAAGCGCACAGCACAGCATCTGAACTTTGGTGCACAGCACAAATACACCCACCAATCAGACTTCCCCACCTGAGGCTGCACTGTAGCTGATAGCTGTGTCGAATTGCGGTAGGCAATTGATAGAGGATGGCCCCATTTACCAGCTACGCAGTATTGAGTGTTCTGTCGTCATCGGGAGCTTCATGCCCCTGATCAGCATCCTCCTGGAGTTTCGCTCGAGTTCATTTGATGCCCAAGCTCAAGTATCCAACTTTCAGACTTTTGTGCCCCTTTTCTCGAATCCCATCGCCCCCATTCCAGAATCCATCACACCCCAAACTGCAGCAGTAAGTGCCCCTGACTAACCCGTACTGTGCAAATGCCCTTAAACCGACCTGTTGCCGATCCAAATTTGCAGGAACACAAGCATTTATAGGATCCCCCGTCGCGCCCCCTGCTGCTATCAATAACGATCCGCATGGCCCGTGATTAGGACGGAGTCAGCTTGTCCTGCCAAAGTCCGACCCGAGGATACGCTTTCCTTTATCTGAGGCGCAGCCTTCTGTCCCCTCACGGAAATGATAGGCTAGCCGACCGAGATCCTCATGAAACGAGATCTCAATGGCAGCCACGACGAGCATCGCCAATAACATCGCCGTCGGCATCTGTAGCTAACGTGCTATTTCCTAGGGCCTTCAAATCGATGAATACATAAGCATGGCCTTCGCAATTTGCTCTGAATTCATGACTGCTGCATTCTATGTAGCCAGATTGTTCTAGATGGCTGATGCTGACGGCCCGGATCGGGGACGGCGGTTCGATGCCTGGCTTGTGGCGAATGGGAAGGATCTGATTGGGGAAACTTTTGATAGGAAGGACTCGGCCAGTCTCGATTAATCAAACCCTTGCAACGCTCAAATTTAGTCTGCGGCCGCTTATAGGCCTGCCGTTCTAAATAGTCCCGACGATCACACGCCTAGAGCTCCATTCGCTGGGCATTTGCACGCCAGAGTGGAATCGAAGATAAAAGTGCCTCCGAGACTCACGGATGATTTATGTGGGGGGAATCAGCCCTTCGAACGATGCTATTCGCAGTAAAATCAATGGTCTCAGATGGTCACATCGCTTCTCTTCATTAATACACTTAGGCGTATGGGGCATTACTTTCAAGTACGTGTAAACTTGTTTCAGATCGCTGGGAGCCAACGGCTCCACCAGACCATCATTCTCCACTCCGACAATCCACCGATATCCTCTCTGAACGTTGGGACCCTGTGGATTAGAGACTTGGTTTACTCTGAATCACTGTTCTTCGGCTTCGATTTCGCGGGTTACAAATCACAATGGCTGTCTTCCATTCGGTTGTGACCGACCAAGGATATCGGAGAAGACAACCGGTATGGTTCGCCTCCCCTGAAAAACAAGTACACCAGGCTAACTTGGGGCCCCGGCTGCGAAACGCCACAATGGATACCGCGCGGCCTGGTAGCTCTAGCCTGGCCTGCGACACAGTCCTGCTTGAGCCTTCGGCAAACATGGAATACATGGAATTTTGACTCACATTCCAGGCCTTTGTACTCCATACACGATCAGCTCCTTCTTGCTCTGGAATGCGTGGTCCCCTCCCCACATTTTCCATGAGAATATCCATCCCTGTCCTGCTCCCAATTCTTGTGCGTGGCTAGGAAAACTCGGGGTGGCGGGGGAGACGTGGACGTGCATTATTGAGAACACGAGACCTTTGCACATTGCAGATTCAAGTTCGACTTCAAGTTCGACCAGGGCTTTCTCGATAGTCCTTGGCTGTGATGTCCTTGGCCGTGATTGGGTGGTCATCCTTGGCCGTTGATGCGAAGCTTTTTTTCTCGTTTGACCCCGACGCCACAGCCCCTGTCACTATCGTTGCACGGAGCAACATGTTTTATTCCAAACTCGGTCCTGTGTAGCTCCCCGTCAACTCCCCTAGCAATGGACCCATCCCCCTGGTTGGCCGGTTGACGTGTACATGGCGTGCGACGTGGAATCTCATACCGCTAATTTTTTTTCTTTCTGTCTTTTCTCTTTTTTGGGGGCAGATCCCAAGGAATTTGTCTGCCGTTGCAGATTCTACTGGGATCTATGCAGTTGAGTTCGCCGACGCAAATTGGGCCGATTACCCCATTTGTCGAGCTTCAATGTTGAAGCAGTTCTGGTTCAGTTAGTTTTGTTTTCTGTTGACAAAAGAAAGCGTGAGCGATTGGTTGGCCAAGGTTCCATATTTCTCAAAATAGATCCTTGGAACATGCGCTGCCGAGTAAACTTGGTCCAATCGTATAACTTACCTCAATGCAGTTCTCGTAGCCTACCATGGATAAAAAAATACCTGGCATGCTCCGCCAATCACGATGAACTTTTGGTTACTGGACGCCGTTGGGGCTGAATTAGCGACACCAGCGATAACGCTCGCTTTCTGTTTAAACCTTACGAGCTTGCATGGGCTGGTACTTAAGCAGCGATTCCAAGGGTTAAGGTTCTATTTTTATCGCTCTAGCTCACCGACGACCAGTCTCAAACCAATCTAATAGCGCTATCACATAAAACGGAGGGCGTACTGCTAGATTCCAGAATCGAAGTTCATGTCAGTCCCTGCCTAGTATTAACTGTTACTTATTCTCGATTATCAAAGCGTACTTCATCCATGGATGGAACAATGGGGCATGCTCTTAAAACCTGAAGCTAAAAGTATCTGCGTTCTTTAACCGGTATAATAGCTTAAAATAGTATGAATAGCTAGTAACCGTGACTCGGTGAATTAGTTTAGATGGATTGTGCGAATTTTCTGCAGTCATCTGACTAAAATAAAGCTGTTGCAGAGCCCTTGTGCAGGACGCGGGTATGGAACTCGGAACTCCGAGCTTGGCATGCGCTGACTGAGGATCTGGGGGAACTGATCATCGACATCCCTGCGATCTCGGTGAAACTGCAGACTTGCCTAGAACACTACATTCAGATACACGAAACCATGTCAATCAGGCGGTCGGCGCGCTTGGGAGCCATTCCCGCCATCAAACCCACGATTCAGACTGCCGCGCCGAAAGTCTCCAGGGTTCAGCAGAGCTCCGTCGCAAAGCCTCGCAAGACCTCCACGACCAAGAAGACAGCCTCGAGATCAACTCAAAAGGCACAAGCGAAGCGAGAACACTCATATTGGTCTCCAGAACCTCCGACGGCGGACAAACCGCAAGCAACACCAGATGACCAACAAGCTACCAATAACCATACAACAGCCCGCCCCCTCACACCACCACCCCTCGATCGCCCGGTCGACCCGCACCGAACAAATGCATACCTCCTCACGCCTCATGGCTCCTCTGTCTCCGCTTATCCATCCCACCTGGTGGATTCCTCACCCTCCAAGACCGGCCTTCCACGCCCTGCTGCGACTACGGGAACATTGCTTGAGCAAGCCATCGCACACTTGATCGCCCAAGACCCTCGTCTACAACCAGTGATCGACCAGCACCCATGCCCGCTCTTTTCGCCAGCTGGATTGGCCGAAAAGGTTGATCCCTTCAACAGCTTGGCCAGTAGCATCATCGGACAGCAGGTGTCCGGGGCCGCGGCAAAGTCGATTCGCAACAAGTTCGTGGCTCTGTTTGATGGTGGTGGGGAAACAGATGAGGCTTCTGAGACTGGGCGATCACGCTTTCCTACGCCTCAGCAGGTTGCGGCATGTGACTTGGCAACGTTGCGGACAGCAGGCCTGTCGCAGCGCAAAGCAGAGTACATACAAGGGCTGGCAGAGAAATTTGCCAGCGGGGAATTAAGTGCCCAGATGCTGGCAAGGGCAAGTGATGAAGAGCTTGTGGAGAAACTGATTGCCGTTCGTGGATTGGGCAAATGGTCTGTGGAGATGTTTGCTTGCTTTGCTCTGAAGCGCATGGATGTGTTTTCTACGGGCGACTTGGGTGTACAGTGAGTTGATCTTTTGGGTTTTTATGCTGGTCTATTTTGACTCATCGTGGTATAGGCGAGGCTGCGCGGCCTTTGTTGGCCGAGACGTGAATAAGTTAAAAGGGAAGGGTGGCGGCAAGTTCAAGTACATGTCAGAGAAGGATATGCTTGAATTGGCGGCCAAGTTCGCACCGTACAGGTAAGAATATGACGGCAAACAGAGATTAGAAATGTGTTGACATATTTGAAACAGGTCCCTTTTCATGTGGTACATGTGGCGCATTGAGAATGTCGATGTGGCCGTCCTCACGGGCTAAATGGCAGTATCCCTCATGAGCTCGGGATGTCCAGGGCTTATTAGACATTCGAGTCCGTTGGCCCATAGAGCGCTACTGGGGACATCGGCTTTGCCTCAACTGCTCCTTCATTTAAAAATCACGGCTTATCACCTAGGTACGAGTCTTATCCCGTCTGTAATCGGGTCTGTTTTATGCGCTCCGACAAGAGGCTCTGGTAGCCCCTTTGGTTTCTCCAAGTCTGTACCATAGTGTATCTTTGTTTATATCGCTTATACCAACTTAAAATATGGGATCTTCTGCTGACTTGTTTTGTTCTGTCGTCTCCGTAACCTCTACAAATCTCCAATTTGGAAACGACGCTCTCTTCCTTCTCACTCCAATACTCTACCATCCTATCCTCGCTTTCTCTTTGTTCTTAACATCACATACTCCTCTGAACTGCACTGGTGTATATTCCCTGCCTCTACTACTCGACTGCCCGCCCTTTTCTATCTTCAGATCTTTACCGCCATGCCCTTCTAATAAGTACTTCGCTGGAATCTTATCCTTCTTTACCTCCTCGTGTGGTTTCTTTCCCTAATATTCTCTCTTGCTTCTGCATACCCTTCCCAAGCCTCTATTCTCTGCAACGTTCACTTTGCTCATCTCCCTTTATCCCTCTCGCCTCCTCTCTTGGGTACTTTTCATATTTACAACTCGTGCTTCATCTTCCACCACCCTTCTCTCCCACTTAACACTCTTCTTCCATGCCAGAGAAAGATATGAACCGAAGGAAGATGAGATTAGCCAAATCACGCCACGCTAAGTCAAAGTGCGAAAGCATTTCGCGGCGCCTTCACTCAGGATGGCCATCTACGGTGACAGTATATAAAACCATTGGATGCCATGAATGAGAACGGAAACTCAATGTTCACGCAGGAAGGCATTAATTCGAATGGTCCTAAGCAAGGGATCAAAAAGATCCCGGAGCAGATCATCCTGTTCGTGGCCTGGGGATGGCTGAGATCGCGTGCCAAAGAAGCTGCTGGACAAAAGAGAAAAGGGCAGACTTGCAAATTACGGCGAAACCGAGGTTCAAAAAATCAGTGAGACGGCGAAGACAGAGCCTGCGGCGGATGTGCTGAACGTTGCACCCATATGGATCTCCGACCAAGAGAAAGAAGATGGGCCGGAAGGTCGCAGCAGTCCTGGCCATCGCGCCGACAAAAGAGCAAGACCAAAAGCTCGAGATTCCTGCCAACAATTAGTCAATTGCCCACGGTCAAAATGCACGCCCAACCGTCGAGTTCCATTTTTTCCCTTTCGTCATCTACAATTCCTCAGACTAACCACAGGGTCGTTCATCACTCGGGCCCATTGCATTCCATTTCCCTCCTCACTATATGGGCCTTCTTGCCATTTACGAATCTGAAACTTGCAGATCGTCGTCCGCAGTAGAGACTACTGGTCCTCTGGATGATCGAGATGTCCACGCGAAGTGTAACGATTAATAATGAAATGACGGGGCAGAGCGCAAGGGTTGTCCAATTGCTTCAAACCTTCAGCATCAATGAAAATTCGGCGTACAGGCTCAAGGCAATGGCAAGGCTGTACGTCGATGTTAGCCGCAAAGAGCGTCATGGCCTCTGCATGCATTTGGCTGATATTGTCGACCTGTTGCGAGAAGATCGGTAGGGATGTGCCTTTACGTACCATGGCTATGTCTAACCATAACATGCGTTGGTCATCACCTTGCGACTGTCCACGGGTGGTAGTTGTAGAGATGACACCGCCATATTTCCGTGCATAAAAGGGGACATGAGACCCTCCTGTGGTACAGGATCTTCCAGACTAGCACAGCCTTGGATCACCATTGCCAGAGCGATACGACAAGTAGTAGTACTTTTCCCGGTTATAAAGAGAATGGGATAGGTTGACCTCCTTGTGTTGGAGAGCTTTAATCAGCCTCGAGGCCTTAGACCTTTCAGCTTCCCGTCCCCATGTCCTGGACAATACTTTTGGTTTCAAAGAATAAGGGCTTGGCCCTCACTCGGCGGGCTTCCTTCATATACTACCTCTACGGACAGTATAAACTAAATGCAGCCACTGGATATGGAATGGCGAGGCTGAACAAAGAAAAATCGATTTGTACAGTATCAGTACACACGTGGGAGTAGCCAGACAACCTCCTCAACGGCAGACCCAGGAACATCCCCCCCAAAAACATCTTAGTTCTATCGCAGAATAAAAAAACCTCATCTCCATTGAGTACTAGCGCGGGGTTTTAAAAGGCAATCGCAGACCTGATCCGACTCTCGGCTGGGCGCATTTACTTGCGGACGGTGAGGTGGTCGAGATCCTCACGCTCCTTGTTGGCGGCCTCGATCTCACGGATGATAGGGCTAAGGTATTCGACATCCTAACAAGAATATTTTCGTTAGCACAATGCAAATTGTAAGATATTATCGCCCATAGTCGAAGTCTGTGATATGTGACAAATCCTTGCAACGGGATTGGCCGATACGGGGTTCGATGCGGGGAGAGCGAATATTGAAATGAAGGAACGCACCTCGTGAGGCTTGATCTGCTCTTCGGCGGGAAGGAGAGTGTGCGAGATCGAGCACTGCAATTGATCGCTATATTAGCTTGGTTGATACAAATAACGGTGAAGGGGGTAGGGGACGAACCTGGAATGCGCGGCGAATACGGAAGACACGGTCGTAGGCCTCCTTGGGGGGGAAGACGCTTGATAGCGGTCTGGACGACCTCGCTCTCCTCGGGAATCAGGTCATCGGCCCTGGAAGCGTATTAGCAACTGGTGGGTTCAGGGCGAGTTCCGGAGAGCCGAAGCTCTGCTCTGGACAAGGCGACCGAAGAGTGCGCCTGGGCAACAACAGCAGGACAGAAAGACATGAAGCTTGAGCTTCTGCTGCTAGGAGTCGCTCTGACGACTTCAATGGCACCCGATTGACAAGGAATTGGTTTGGAGGGGGCTCGATAATTACTTCAGTCCGATTCTCCTGTAGCCGGCGGCGTCGGTGTACCACTGGGCCAACGGGGTCATCCACCGCTTGAGCCATGGGCGCTTGACAATGTAGTTGGTGATAGAAGGGGCAGACATCTTGGAACCCGATAATCCAATGGAGGAGTTGAGGGTAAAAAAGGGCGGTCCGGCTGAACACGAGATGACCCGATGTTGCGAGGTTGTGCAAAACGGAAGTCGGAGGCGCTAGTCCCAAAGCAGACAGCTAACACCTGAGGCATATAAGAGATATCGTGTCATGTGACCGCCGTTGCTTCTGCCTCAGGCCATAGAGGAGGAATGCCGATGGATTACTCCACCTCACACCACTCTAACCCAATGCTCTTATATTCATATCTCTCTTTCGCCCCTTTTCGACCCCTCTTACTCGTTTAGATATGAGCTTCGCTGTTGCCGGTGGCGCTGTGTGATCCCCCGAACGAACGCATAACTAAGCAGGGCGAATAGCTGTGCCCCCACCCAAATCAAGTCCGTGCTGCGACATCATAGGATATCGCATTGATCCCAGGCCCGTTCGGCAACTCGGCCCCCCAGGAACTCTCTTCCATCTTCAAAACCTCCGAATCCTCCGCACACAGCTATTCCTCGATTTCTTCACCTGCGACCGTGAAGCCTTTCTTCCTTGCCGGCTATTGAATCGGGTCCTTGGATTCCGGATAGATCACTCGATATGCTTGGGTCTCGGAGCCCTCGGTGATACAATACGGACAAGTGCGAGCGCCTGCCTTCTCGATGCGCTCCAACGGCGCAGAAAGCTCTGCTTCCGGAGCTGGAGCTTCAGGCAGCTCTCCCACCCACCTTTCAGAGAGCTCTAACATAGAAAGTGCCGTTATGTCCGCGGCGCACGTGCCCGCTTACGAGGCTCCGAAGTCCGGATTCGTCACCCGTTTACAAGTTCTGTCCACGCGCATCCCCAGCATTTGGGTCGCTCCTTTCTGTGGCGCTACTGCTGGCGTAGCTTCTGGGATAGTGACGTGCCCGCTCGATGTGATCAAGACCAAGTTACAGGCCCAGGGTGGGTTCGCCCGACGAGTGGCACAACAAGACACTGCGACGCTTTACAAGGGCATGCTGGGCACTGGCAAGACAATATTCCGACATGATGGTATCCGAGGGCTTTACCAAGGCCTGGGTCCGATGTTGCTGGGGTATCTCCCCACATGGGCTGTCTACTTGGCAGTCTATGACGGGTCTCGTGAATATTATGAGAAGACTTGGACAGGTAAATCCTCAAGTTCCGCAGCTTTGTAAAACTTCCGATTGCTAATGAATGAGCAGATAATTTCTGGCTCTCACGCGGCTTGGCCTCGATCACAGCCGGTGCCTGCTCAACAGTTGTGACCAATCCTATCTGGGTCATCAAAACAAGGCTTATGTCACAAAGCCTCAAGCAAAATAACGAAGGATTCCGAGCTCCGTGGCAATACAAAAATACATGGGATGCGGCTCGCAAAATGTACCAGATTGAAGGGTTTCGCTCGTTCTACTCCGGGCTAACCCCTGCTCTTCTCGGTCTTACCCATGTAGCTATTCAATTTCCGCTTTATGAATACTTGAAGATGGCGTTCACTGGGTACGGAATTGGAGAACATCCCGATACTGGCAGCTCCCATTGGATCGGCATCTCATGTGCCACATTTTTGAGCAAGGTCTGCGCCAGTACCATTACTTACCCTCATGAGGTTCTCCGTACTCGATTGCAAACGCAACAACGGACGCATCCAGCTTCATCACCGGAAGAAATCTCATTCCGAGGTGCCGTCAAACATCCCCACGACAGCAATCGCCTTTATGGGGCATCTTCATCCGATGGGATGCATGGTCGGCCTCGCTATCACGGAGTTATCCGTACCTGTCAGACTATCTGGCGAGAAGAGGGCGGCCGGGCATTCTATTCTGGGATCGGCACAAACCTATTCCGGGCCATTCCGGCGGCTATGACAACCATGCTCACTTATGAGTATCTGCGGAAGCTTATCCACACACTCCAGCACGAGGGTGAGATGCATCTGGCCATGCAAAAAGAAAATGCTAAGTTTACTTGACGACGCGGTATTCTCCGGATGACTTAGAACGACTTTCCACTTCCCCCTTCCAGACTTGTGTGTACGAATGAATCCCGTACATTACTCCTCGCTGTCTTGATCTATTATCCTGTCTCAACTTTCATATCCGCTACCTCTGCTTCACAGCCTGTATAGAATTGGAAGCCATCAATCGCTTCCCTCTGCTGGTTTGCTCGACCAGGTTTATCCCTACCCTCTCAAAATCTCGGCATAGATGTGTCTATGGAGATCGGCTTTATCACATGGGAACATTATGCATCATACAATCACATGTCAGAGATCCCCACGTTACCCCTTTCCTTGCTTTGCTTTTCATGTGTGGCCCTTGTCTCATCAGCGATTCTTACATCGATGTCTGTTTTTGGTTCTAGAGATCCAACTCCATATATCGGTAGCCCGCAAGCACTTTTGTACATACATCTCTGTCTTTGCTCTTTCGAGATCAATAAACCATTGGTCTATTAAACTATACTTTCCGATTACGTATTCCCCTTTCTCTTCAGTCAAATCTATTCATTTCAAATCATTTCAAACAAGACACAGATGAGTCAACGGAGTGAAGATAACTAGTTAACTATCTCGACCGATGATTACAACCAGTGGAGCACCTGCGATAAGGTCACGTGCATAAGCCGTATCCTTCAATTTTTTTTTCTCGCTTGGCTTCTCTTCTCCTTCCTTCCCACAATCTTGCGACCGTTCTATGAAATTCCAGGATTTTTATGCTGAATCCCCAGGCGCCATAGATTGGCAGCAAGACCACGTTTTACCCAGAGGCCAAATTTGCCAATCGTGAATATCGCGTGGCCTCCAGTGGGCCTCGATATGCTCCTATTCCAAAGAATCGGCCGAAAACACTAATAAACAGCCAAGTCGTTCGATTTCCGTTTCTGCTTCCTCGATTGTACACCTCCTTCGCTACATTGTCTATATGATGATTTTTATCAAGATTATTGATCCAGGTTGTTATACACTTGAACTCCTGGGCATGATCATTTCATACACTGAAAATTCTGATATATGATGGAGACGAAGGCATTTGTACATATCGGGCTCGTGGAGGTTATGATAGTCTATATGCTGCTGAATGTCATTTGTAGTGTACTTCGAATACACTGTCACAATACTGGCAATTGCCGCATGATGCCGTTGGACATGCCTTATTCAAGTTTGATAAAGTACATATGGAGTAGTAGCCATCTTTCAGCCGTGTTTCCCCCCCTTGTCCGACCGGCTTTCTTCCAGAGCCTGCTGGATCCACGCGTCTTTCTTCTCGTGCTGGGAGCCACGGTGAGGCGAAGCCATAGGTGGATGAACTTGCGCATCCCGTCGGGCGGAGCGTATTGAGATAAAACAGTAACTGCAGAGGATCACAGCCATGGTGAAAGCCGCTATAGGGGCATTTATAGACTTGGAGAGAACCGGGTTAGCACTTGTCTCGAGCTGTGTTTGCCATAAACCGGATATAAGCAGCTCAAGGCCTGGTGGTATCTGCACATACCCCTGTTGGCCGACCGAGGGTCTTTTGACTGGGTGTATGTTTCTGAGACATGACATTCGTTCTATTCAGACTTCACTGCCCAGGCAGGCATGTTAGCTCTTATTTATTGTTCTGGTAGCTCAAGATGATGTACATCGTATGATGGTTCATTGGGCTTCTCTTACATGGCGGACTGACAGGACAGTCTCTGTATTTATGCGCAATCAAATGAGGTATCTGATTCCCAATGAATTTGGTATATCTCGGACAAAACAGAGGACATTTGCCTCAGGAAACTTGCTGGTAATTGTGGGCTAAGAACGACTCGGACGCGGACGATGTCAAGATACTGCCGCTGTTTAGACGGGCGGTCAAACCTGCGCGCCCTTAGCACTTACTACTTTCAACAATTATTATTGGGATAGCTTTATTTTTATGATACTGAACATTGATATCTTGTTATTCACTGGAACGGCCTTGAAAGTCACGAAATTTACAACGAACAGAGACGAAGCTCGCTACAGTGTCTCCGAAGACATGATATCCCACTCCGGGTCCCACTGGAAGAACTCCAACCCATCTTCCAAAAAGCTGTTCAAGAAGTCAGTGCCGTCGGCGACACCGACCGTAAAATCTTGAGAGGCGTCTCGATTCCATATGAGGGGAGCATCAGGGAAAAGAAGCCCATCGATTTCCTTGGTTATCGGCGCCTCGAGTTCATCGAAGACATATCCAGTGGTAGCAAGAACTGAATGCACTTGCTTTATCAGAGGCTCCAATCGATCCGCACAAAGCGATGCTTCATTCCATCTCTGTCCGATCTGCCTCAAAAGGTCGAGACATTGAGGAAGCGAAACTTCGAGGACGCTCATGGCCTGTAATTTCGCCTGGTCCCAGTGCCGCGAGGACCAGCAGGCCTCCAGGGCAATGATAGCCGTCTCGAACAGGATGTGAACCCCATGCCAAGGATAAAAAAGCCGGCGCCGGCGCTCTTGACTGAGGTAGTCGTCTATGAGTACTAATGATGCATTCAAAACCATCTGCCGATCCTCCGCACTTCGGGTTCTTAAGCGAGGGGTAGGTCGATGGATGCGGGCAATCAAATGGTGGAATTGAACCGCTTTGAATTCAAGCATGTTGTACGGAGTATAAAGCTTGGCGGTTTCATACCATTCTCCAAGTCTCGAGCTGATGTCCGTCGTCCAGTTTTCGATGGTATCGCAGCCGAACTTCTGCAAGTCTTCTTCGAGATGCAACACACGATGCACTTCAGTCTCAAGCGCACGGTAATGGCATATATGGCTGGAGGCTGACTGTGGAAGGAGCCTGTCAATGTCCACATTTTGCTGAAATGGGTCTTTGACAATAGGATCGAGCTATGGGGGAATGAATTAGCATCGAAGGGGGAGGCTTTGCTGTGTTCTCATACCTTCACTGCAATCGACTCTTCTGGGAACGATAATGGAAGCCTGAGGTTTGTGCAAAGTGATCTTTCCATTCCATATGCGACCCAGAAAAGGTTCGTTCGTTCACGGATGGTCTCTTCACTCAGGCCTTGGGGGGGACTCTAGATGCAGTCCTAGGTTGAGAACGATTCTGATAGCATTGGAAATGCATGTCCAATTATCGACTCTCTCTGGACACATGTGGCCGTAATGAGCCAGAAGCAACGAGATTTGGAGTGCTTGGATTTCACTGTGAGTTGGTATGGCTTGTAGATGCCGCAAGGCTAAGCTATAGAATGATTCTGACGCCGCGCGAGCTTGGTCGTTGTCTTTCCAAGTCAGAGTCATTGATGACAGGGCCAAGACAATAAGAAGTATGAAATACTCAAAATGGCTAACCCCCGACGACTCGGGGGGGTCATCTAGGAGGAAAGAATGCGAATTCCCAAGCTCTCCTTGCCACGCCCGCTGGACGATCCTGTTCAACGCAGCCCCAGAGACGCAAGGGTACTGCGGAAGATGAATGTTGATATAATTTTGAACCATACGAGATATTGCTGCCCTAGGCACACTGTCCAGGTTTATGAGCGTGGTTGAATTGTATCGAACATAGTTCGATGAAGGCGTGCGTGTTGAAGAGGAATGATCCACGTGTAAATCTTGGTCTTTGCCTCGCACGACTGCAAGTGGAGGGCACGATGGCCGAAAGAACAGCTCGGGAGAAACCTTAGAGGGGAAAAATAACCCTGGGCTAGAAACTGTCGCCGAGGTTGTTGCTTGCGCTATCTTTGACGCCATCAGATAAGGCAGATTCGAGTTATCTGCCTTGAAGGTACGCATCTGTGCCTCTAACTCAGCGACCTTTGCTTCTAAAGATCTCACAAGACTATGAAGCGTTTAGGAAAATGCAATCCGGAAGACTCAAGTCATGTAGTGGTAGTTACCTTCGTGGCACTGCCTGTTTCGTGGTTGGGTCATAACCAAAACATGCCTCATTCGCTAGTTTGCAGGCTGTGCAAGCTGGAAATTTAAAGTCGCACTTTCAACAAGTAAGTAATAATTCAGACGACCTGAAACTAGCATGCATTCTATTTACCTTCGTCTTGCGTTTTCTACACCGGGTGCACACTTTCGTAGACCGTCGATGAGATTTCTGCATCTTGGAATGACAGGGTCTATATAAGAAGACCTACGCAAGATTGGAGATCAAGGAGACCAAGTGACTATTGGAAGGTATTCGAGAGCACAATTGTCATCCTTTGCCAGCAGTCAACGGTCGCTGACCCCCGCCTATAAATCTCAGGGCTCTGATTGGCCCCGATAGGCGACGGACAAGATGCCGAAGCGCCTCTTTGACGAATGTATTACTGATACGGTACTGATTACTAGTACTTGAGTGGAAATGGATATCTCACGCCTTGGTTCCGTTTGATCCAAGTTCCCAAGTTCCCAATCGCTGATACCATGCCCCAAATGCTGCAGACGTGCACACGCTGTAAAAGTCGCCGCGTCAAGGTCAGTGCCCAAGAAGCTTCAGGAACCTGACCTTAGCTAACAGACTCAGTGCGACTCTTTACTGCCAGCATGTGCGAACTGCGCCAAGGCAGATGTGGAGTGTACATTCAAGGATGACGCCCTCCAAGCGGAAGTCCCCAGAAGGTGAATTTCTGGACAACTTACTGAGATGCATGTTTTACTGATCGAATCCAAGCTATATAAAATCGCTAAATGATCGCATCCAGGACCTGAGCTCTCAACTAGCACTGAGCCGCAGTGCCCCAGGGTAAGATGTTTAGGCATCTTCTACTAAGGGCACGTCAGAACTAATACCATGTAGAAAAGAAGCCTCGGATAATAATAGACAGATATTTGACTCTGTCTCAGAAGGTGCTCCTTTCCATGTATTGATTCCTGGAGCTGGCAAAGATTTATATCTGGATCAATCATCTCTGTCCCGAATCACTCAGATGACTTTCGAGGTGCTATTCACTTCAGGTTCGCTAGAGAACATACCCGACGAAGCGAACAATGAGCTTCCTCCAGAGCTTGTATTCGGAGACCGCTCTATCCTAACACCAAGCATCGTCCGATTTCTTCTTTCCCGATATGAGCAGAGGATATGCCCCAGCTATAACATCATACCTATTCACGTCCTCCGGCACGATGGTATGAGTATTAAAAAACTCCCTGACTGTCCGAAATTTTATCTCTTGATCGCCTGTGCCATTGCCGCGGCGCACGAGAGCTTTAGAAGACCAGAATGGAAGGCCTGCGCACAAATTTGCCGAAATTGGGCGAATGAATTGGTCGCACCCCTCATATTACCCGCCGATGGAGAGTCGTTGGCTACCATTTTGCTTTTGTTAATATACGAACTGGCAGACCCAAGCAGAGGGGCAATGTGGGAGCTGCTTGATCTTGCCATACGAACGTGTCTCCAGCTTGGGTGGCATCGGACCTCTGAGACTTTGGATGTAAGCTCTCCGACCTCTTTCCTGAGTGCTGAAACCTCAAATGGCGCAAGTCATTCTGCTAAATTACGTCTGATGTCAACACTGAGGGATATTGACGGGTAATGAAAACTCCTCCTACCCCATTCGGTCATAGCTTACTGAAAATAGATCTCTACGCATTATGTTTAATCGCTCAACAATGCTGAGTGGGTTTAGGTGGCCTGAAAGCAACGGAAGTGAGGCTATGCTTCTTTGCTACGAGCAGCTATGCCAGACAATCTATAGCAAACACGGTGCTATTGCGTCCCAAAGCTGTCCTTTCGTGGGAGACATCTTTAGCCTGATGCGCACCCTCGAAGGGTTTCCCGAGGCCAGTCCTATTGTGAAGAAAGCATGGCTGCTCTATCTCCCTGTGTGCATCAGACACCGACCGTGCGTGTTCTGTTTTCAAGAGCCCGATGATTCCCTCGGAAAGGGTTTGCGCTATTTGAGAGGAAGATTGGTCAAGTCCGCGTCTGATCTCTTGCATTCCACATATGAAGACACCGTGGTGAAAGAGAATTTCGTGCCTCCACTTCTTGCAAGCTACAGGGCCCTTGTGGCCGGGTGCTGCATAGCAGCCAGCATCTCAAAAAAGTGGACGGATTATCAGGCTCAAGTCAAAGAGCTCCTTATATGTACTGAAATACTCAGCCTTTTCGCATCACATTGGAAAGGCGGTCGCAGCTACCTTTGCGCCTGGCAGATCATAACCAGCACGCTCCATACAAACGCTCAGTCCACCCACCGAATGGCTATTTCATGAAGCAAAGTCTTTGGACCCACACCATTGCCTATCAATCAGAATTGGAGGTTACACCTTTGAGGATTAATAGTCGGCCACCTTCCACTCGAACCACCTTCCCGTCCATAAAGCTTCCAGCCTTGCTCATTAACCATAGGGCTGTGCCAACCATATCTTCGTCATTGCCAGCTCGCCCTGCCGGGGCTTCTTTTGCCAAATGCAGATTGGAGCTTGCATCCGCGGTCGTCATCCCGGAGGGGACTATTCCCGGTGAAATGGCGTTTACACGGACTGCAGCTTTCGTCAGAATAGCACAGCAGTCAAGAGAGGGAACTTACTGTAGAAATCTGCAAATTCAGTTGCCATTATTCGTACCAGATGGTCTACCGCCGCCTTTGATGTTTGATAAGAAGGCACGAATTGATGATTGTGCACACTAGCCGGGCTGCTGAAGAATAGAACACAGCCTCTTCCTTCGCCCCGTGATGCTGCTTCTCCGAGAGGGACGATCAAACCCGCTGTCAGATAATAAGGAGCTAGTACATTCAGACGAAATGTACGCTCCCAGTCTCCATATGATGCGGAGAGCGTGGCGGCTTCAAGGGTTCTCAAACTGTCTCCAGGGGGAATAAATGGTTTCATTCATGTACCGAACCCCAGCGCAGTGGATCAAGGCGTCCACTGGATTTTGTAAAGCCTTTACTTTTGCAACAATCTCCTTCACCCCATCTTCAGATGAAAGGTCACCGTGGATGCTGCGAACACTTAGGCTGAATAGAACAGAGCAAAAAGGTAGCATTTCCGACGTACGCGTGTGTTTCTAGAGACGAGTACTTGGAGTCGGAGATTATTCTTTGAAGCTCCTCGACTGTCTCGCAAAGGCCTTGCTCATTGACGTCGATGAGAATCGTATGTGCTCCGTTCGCGGCACACCCTCGCGCTATCATGCGACCGATTCCACCGCCCAAAAGATCATTAGTCAAAAACAACGGCCATAGGGAAGATTTCGCCATACCTGCACCTGTAATTACCGTCCATCGTTTTTCGACGCTATATAACTCGCTTATTCGGAGGTGGTGGCCCATCATGACTCGCCCGCGTAAGAACGACAAATTCACGTCGTGGTCCTGAATACGGGGTTTGGTCACCGTCACTGTAGAAGCCCTGGGAAGCGACTATTCTAAGCTACTCCGCATGTCTATCTATCTTCCGAGACAGATAATAGTGCTGCGGAGTTCTGTCTCGCTCGCGTCTTTCCGAGCATACGTCCTCCACCGACGCGCTCCGCCGACGGCGCCCACCGAGCGGTACCTTTCCAGCTTGCGAATTTTCAACGTGTGTACATGGCAACAGTATTTATGGTTATTTGCTCTACAAGTTTCCTCGTTTGTGACTTGACCAGGTAGCTCGCTCTCTTTACTCCGTCATGCGTTTCGACTCTTCTGATTTCACCAGACACATTACGCTTATCTCGGCGTCTAGCATTCTTATCGGCCTACTGTTGCTCGCCCTTCTTTTGTGCTTCTATGTGGATTTTTCCCAAATAAGTGGCATCCCTGAGATCCCAGGGGGCACGTTCCTGGCAGGCCATCTATATCAGCTCGGGAATGACCATGCGACGACTGCCGAACGCTGGGCCGCGCAATATGAAGCGCCGGTATTTCAAGTCCGGTTAGGTCGAAGAAGAGCAATCTTCATCAACAGCTTTGAGGATGCTCGGGAATGGCTGGTCAAGAACCAGTCCGCAACGCTTGATCGTCCCCAGTTCTATACCTTCCACGGCGTCGTGTCTGCAACTTCTGGTCAGTTTGACTCCATTTCAGCCCGGGTATTGATGCTCATTATTCGTATAGCTGCCACCATTGGAACAAGCCCATGGAATGAGAGAACCAAAAAGCAACGCCGGGTCGTAGGATCGTTCACTACCGGTCCATCCATCCAGAAGCTTCGGCAAATGTTAAACCAGGAGACCTTTGCAATGGTCTCGGATTTGTATCAAGACAGTCAGAATGGTGTTGCTGCTATCATGCCCCACATTTATCAAAAGCGACTCGCATTGAATATCATGATGATGTTCTGCTATGGTACCCGGTTTTCCTCCATTTCCGATCCTCTGCTTCTGCAAATTCTTTCCGATGCTAGTACAATCGCAAGGTAAAAGCTGCCAAGAATTGACCCACGTGGTATGAAACATGCACTTACCATACTCGAGTAGCTTTCGCTCCACAAACTCCAATCCTCAGGACTTCATTCCTCATCTAAGGTATACATGTGGTGGACGAACGAACACCGCGGTCGACGTGCGGCAGCGCCGAGATTCTTGGCTGGCCTCCATGCTGGATAATGTCAAAAGCTCTCTTCCATTGAAGAGAGAGTCGAAAAGATGTGTGGCTGAGATGCTCTTGACGGACAATCAAGAAGGCCTCACCCCTCGTATGTACTTTGTCCTATCTTACTGCGCAAATCGCTGACGCCTTTAGTTGATGTAAAAACTATTCTGGGTGGCCTGATGTCTGGCGGGTTTGAGACGGTATTTTCTACCGCTATTATCACCATTGGACTTCTCTCTAGTCCGGACGGGCAAGCGACCCAACACGAAGCTTACAAAAGCATCATGGCTACCTACAGCACGCCAGAGGAGGCATTCGACAAATGCATAGTCGAAGAAAAGTGCGACTTCGTAACATCCCTGGTGAAAGAGGCGTTGCGGTTCTACCCTCCTCTCAAGCTTCTCCCGGCACGGCAGACCTATAAGGAGTTTCCTTATAGGGGCTCCCAGATTCCCAAGGGTATCCTGGTCTATGTGAATGCACAGGCTGTCAATCGAGGTAAGCCCCCGTGCCCACACCAGATGGCACATTTACTAACAAGGCCGGGATAGATAAATCTGTTTATGGAGAAGATGCAGATGTGTTCCGGCCAGAACGGTGGATGGATAAATCTCGAAACATCTCCCCTCCGTACCACTTCGCCTATGGTGCCGGCTCGCGCATGTGCACTGCCGTGAACTTTGCGAACCGGGTTCTGTATTCGATTTTCGTGCGATTGATTGTCGCTTTTGAGATGTATGAAAGTAAAGAGTACCCTGTCAACACCCACTACGTCGATTACAAGAAAGATCCGACGGCTTCGAACGCCATTCCCGCGGATTTCAAAGTCCGATTCTCTCCCAGAGATAAGATGGTTTTGAAAAGATGCTTCGAGACGGCCCAGGCATGATAGATTTTTAGCATATAGGCGTCTTTTTCCGTCTTATTACTCGAATGCAAATGAGACAAAATATTCTCCACACTAAGACGACATCTGCCCTTTACATCAATTTGGCTTTAACCTAACTTAGCCACTGTTACTTTCCATGCTAAGAGAAGAGTCTAGGAGAAGAGTCTAGTCTACCTACGCCTAACTCTGAGTGAATTTCCCATCTCGCTTCCACACCTGGGCATCTTTCATCACAAAATCCACTTTACGCAACGCCTCTGGCGAAACCTCGGGATCGCCTTCCAAAGCCACAATATCTGCCTGCAAGCCCTGCTCGAACCATCCAAACCGACGGCCACAAAGGTCCCGCCCACAAGCTTCCCACCCACCCACAGTGCACGCTTCCAGGACATCAGCCACGGGGATCCCCGCTTGGATCATCAGCTCCAGCTCTCGCACATTGTCGCCATGCGGATAGGTACCCGTATCCCCTCCGCAAGCGATGCGAACACCGAGCTCATGAGCGCGCTTGACCTGACGCAGGATCTGATCAAAACGCTTTGCGTGAAGCTTTTCCGCAATAGCTAACGTTGGGACGAAAATCACATTCCTGTCTACCATTCGCGCAAACATCTCATCCGTCGCGAAATACCCATGCTCGATAGAGTCGACCCCCGCGTCGATCGCCGCCAAAGCCCCCTCAAGCGTGCAACAGTGGGCAGAAACGGGGCATCTCGCAAGAGCCGCTTCGGAAACGATCATTTTCATCTCCTCGTGGCTGAATACCATGTAGTCGGGGTTAGGATCCTGGGGAGGATGCAGCACGCTGGGGATATACGGGTGCTGCTGGGCGGGGGAGACCGCATGATCCTTCGTCGATAATCGGCAAAGAACTTGATGATGTCTGCGCCTGCGGCGATCCGCCGCCGGACAGCCTGGCGACATGCTTCGGGCCCGTCGACTGCGTCTGCGCTGGCAGGCAGACAGTGGCCTCCGCTGGCGTTTTCCGTCCGGCACTCGAAAGACCCGGTGCTGGCGATTACCTTTGTGGCGACGAATAGTCGAGGCCCTGGGATTATTCCGCGGGCGATGGAATCCCTCATGTTGGCGTCAAATTCCTGCATTCCTTCTGAGCCAAGGTCCCTTTTTGCAATTAGCCCTGGCCCTTCTCTGCGGAGGCTGATTATCCAGCACACTTTACCTGTAAGTGGTGTACCCAGCCATCAGTGCAAGTTTGCAGTGATTGGCACCTCTAAGCACCCGTTCAACAATGCTTTCGTCTCGCTTTTGCTGGAGGGCTCCAGCTTCACTAGTTCGGATATGGGTTAGAATGGGGTTGCGAGGTAAACACCACGGTCCCTCTTACTCATAAGAATGCAGAAAGACGTGAGTATGCGAATCGACCAAGCCGGGGAGAACGTATTTCCCACGTAAGTCGATGTCGCCATCCTTCATGACGGTTTCGAATGGTCGCTTCCCATCGTCACGCTCAAAAACTTGGACGATGAGCCCCGTCGAAGAGTCTACTTCGATGGAGATGTTTTTACGAACTTTCTTGATCTGTGGATCAAATAGGGCTGTCGTGTGTAGCGTGAATTGAGTCATTGCTCTCGGGAATCTGTTGCAAAGAGTACTGGGGAAATAATTCTCTCAATTGGTATCTTCGGCTTTCTGCTGGCAAGAACGGCGCTGTGTTGCTTCGTCGGCTTGTCACGTAGCTGGGTCTCTTCTCAGCGCGGAACCCCGACCACGACGCTCCCATGCGTTCCAAATACGTTCAAAGCGTTAAAGTTACCGGTAATGAGCTTCGAGTCTGGATTTGAAGACCGTGCTTGACTATACGCCCTAGTCCTTCGGATTATAATGTGATGCGATCTCAATTGGGGCTTCCCCTCCAAGCTATTGCACGGGCAGAATATTACAGAACAGGGTCACTGTAATCGTATGGTTCTGTAAGCAACATGACAGTGAACTAAGACCTCTTCTACTGCTGGCGCAACTGCTGGCGCAACCCCGCTCGGTGAATCGTTATCTTTGTCCCAGACCGGCTTTCCCCGCGTGTTACCATACAACCTGCGCCTTCCGCCGATAAGCCCAAACACACCCTGCCTGTCTGGCTTCAAGATGTCCGGATAGAAAAAAAGGATATAAAACAACCATAAAACGCAGGTTATCTGATCCATGAAGTCAAAACCATGGCAGCTCCAAGTAAACACGTTGTCTTTGACGTCGTAGGTAATGTATAATCTCTTCTCTGCCATCTCTTGAATACTACGAGTACTAACGAAACACCCAGGAACGTGCGTTTCTTACGAAGCGTTCTACGAAGCCATTGAAGCCCGTCTCGGAGAAAAGCTTCGGGCGAATCACATCGGGACCCGGATCTTTGGATACGCCTGGATGGAAGCCGGAGAGCGCGAATACACATACCTAAGCCTATCAGGCCACTACGTCAAATGCTTCGATTGCCTCCATGCCGTATTCTACCGCACCCTCTGGCAAGCGGGCATCCCCGAGCCACGCAAGTTTGCTACTGACGAGGACCGCGACTATCTGCTCGCGTGTTACCGAACGCTGAAGCTTCGCCCTGGCATCGCGGAGTGTTTCGCCCGGCTCCGCAATGCAGGGTTCACCGTTTGGGCCTTCACAGCGGGTGACACGCCCCGGGTGGCGGGGTACCTTGCAGCGGGCGGCGTGGACATGCCCGAAGAGAACTTTGTGTCCTGTGATACTATCGGCATTGGCAAGCCGGAGCCTTCATCTTATAAGTTTATTCTGGACAAATTCAAGCGAGAAGGGGAGGAAGCCGAGACATGGTTTGCGTCGGCGCATATGTGGGATTCTGCGGCAGCGAAACGGAACGGGTACGTGATTTGTGCTATTCCTGGTTTCTTGCACTCTGTCATTAACGGGATACATGCAGGTTCAAAGGAGCGTGGGTTTCTGTCTGGGAGAAGGAACCATGTGCCGAGATATTTGGGGAGATGGATGTGGTTGCTGACGATCCGGTCTCAATGGCGGATAAGATCATTGCGTTCTAGATGGAACCTTAAGAGCTCTAGTAGTGATGAATGAGCTGAGCTAAATTTGGCTCAATATATGCTTGGTGGTAAAGACCCCGGGAATAATTCTTTCGCAGAAAATGTAAAGTCCATCGACATATCTCTATCTAAAGCTTGCTCTCGCCATTTTGCTTCTGAATGCCCTCGAGAACCTCGTTTCTCGTACTAGCGAGCCGCGCTTCAGTGACCTTGAAGACAGAAGGAACTCCAGTGTCCTCGAAAGATGTTCCTCTTCGCACCATGTCGGCTATGGCTTTCGCGCAGAGGAGAATCAGCGGCATTCCATGACCGGAAAATCCTCCCAGAATCATCTGGTTCTGTTTACCGGGTATGTTGCCAACGTAGGGCATATAATCCGAGCTATAGCCCATTACTGCCAATGACCAAGTTAGCCGGTCGCCAACAAAATGCCGAGGGAAACCATCACTCACTGCCCGTCCAGACTTTATCAGTATAAGCACCGCTCTCCTCCCATCCAATGAACGTTCGCTGCATAAGACCGTCAAACCAGGGCTTTGCTGGCTCGATCAGTTTACTGTCATCGGTAACCCCGTACCAATGTGAGCTGTCAGACCAAAATGGCGGCTTTGCACCTCCTACAATAATACTGCCATCGGGCCGTGGGATGAGATAGTCGTACAATGCGTCGCCATGCCGGATACTGTAGGTCTGGGACAAGAAGGGAGCCGGCTTGCCCTCGGGCACAACGATCCGGCTGCATATGCCTCGCACCGGAATGATATGGTTGGTGAACTGCGTTGCCAAGTGGGATGTGTATGCGTTGGTTGCGAATAGCACCTTACGGGCTTTGATAGTCCCTCTCTCCGTTGACAGGATCCATCGACCCTCGGAGTCCGGGGCGTCAGAGACACGTGTCACCGGTGTCATGGTCTGTAGGTTTGCGCCTTTCTTGACGGCCCCGTCCAGCAAGTGCATGACCATCTTATATGGCCAGATATGGCCTGCGGTGAAGGTAAAGCAATTCAAAGCCCCTTTCACACCCGATACCTTCAGGGTCTGTTATTTATTTTTCGTCTTTTTTGTAAAAGCGGTTGGGTTCTAGGGTCACTTACTCGTTCCGCATCTCGTCGCGGTGTAAAATGCACGTCTCTCAGGTTTGCTTCGCCCGATTGGACCAATTCGCGGAACGCTTGCTCAGTCTCTCTAGCCAGCTTTTCCTCCAGGATCACATCGCAGGCTCTCGTGAGAACAAAGTCGCAGTCGATTTTCTCTTGCTCTACTAGTTCTTTCACCGCTAGCACCTGGGACGACTCGAAGGCGGCCACCTCAGCAGCAGCACGAGCACCGAACTTCTTGATTAGCTTTGGGATGTTGAAGTAGACATCCGGCTTTAGATGGCCACCTGTTTTCAGATCAGCAAAAGTGATTTAGAGAGGGTTGCCGAAAAGCTCATTCGGGTACCATTTCGCGCAGTTGCCCCAGAACAAGCCTCCCGCGCTTCGAGGATAGTGACAGAAGGCGGCGAAGGATTGTCTTTGAGCAGGAAATGCGCCAGGGATGCGCCCGCAAAGCCCGCGCCAATTATGACAATATCGGATTCCGTGGGGAGATCAGGGGTGCTACGATGACGATCTAATCGGTGCGTGGTAGTCCTCCAGAAGGAAGTTGTGGAATTGGCCACTGGGGCTGAAGATGGATTCAACATTATGACACGAGGTCCTGATTGCCACGGACGGAAGGCCAAAGCTTCTTAGTGCCTTCTATTCCATACATATAGCTTGGATCAGAGAGAAATAGCCGACACCTTCTACCAGATAAGTGGCCTGGGGGTCCACATCGGCTTTTAGCTGCGGGGAAGCTCCGTTTCTCGCTGTCCGCCGATAGCACCAACGTTATCCTTACGTCCAGGGATGAGCCTGAAACATGATATTGGATCCAAAGTTCCCCTCGTCGTATTATCTCCAGCGAATTTGCGAACTATCTGCATAAGAAGGTAGGCGATTGCGACAACCGCGTCGCAGATAAGAACCCCGGGACTTTTCGAGCTAGAAGAGAAAGAAGTAAGCGACGATAGCGTATCAGATAAGAGAAATGACCAACCAAGTCGTGCAATTCTACCGACTTGCGATTAGAGTAATTTTCTACTAGTATTATATCTCGGCTTTCGCCGTCAAATACCTCGAGTTGGCCGGCAAGGTTCCGCACCCTTTCTTGTTAAGCGCTTGCGACACGCGTGCCTGCATATCTGCATATCGGGACGAGGCACTTTGAAAGCCTTGACATGCAATTTTTAGGTTTCTACGAAGGATATATTTCATATATCGAGCTATCCGACAAGAGGACACGAAACTTCTGACACAGGCCGAGTGAAATAGTATAACGAAATAGTATAACCCTATCATTCCAACGAGGATGAGTCCCGAATCTCAGCAGACAGCACCCATGCCCGAGGGTCCAACAACAGATCCACCTGCGAATATCACTGATGAAGATAAAAAGTCAGCGCGCAAGAGCTTGGACTATTCGGTGGATCCTGTACACATGTTAGGCGACGATGTTGCCACGGGCGACATCATATCTTCCTCTGGTACATTCCCACGCTACAGGTTGACGCGACAATGCTAATGGCTCCGTATAGACTATACCGAGGACGAGTACAAGGCGTTAACCAATAAGATCGATCGATTTCTTATGCCTATGATGTGAGACTCATGCAGAAATTTGAATCTCGTCTTCTAACAGAACAGGTTCTTTTTCTACGGTATCCAGCAAACCGACAAGACCTCCACCGGTGTTCAAGCAGTGAGTTGTCTCCTCTTCAAATTTGAACTGTCTGATTCGGGTTCTGAGTCGTCGTAGCTTTTCGGAATGGAAACCGATCTCGCGCTTCACGGCCAGCAATACCAATGGTTAACGACAATGTAAGATGATGGAGAAGCCGATCCCAGTGCCCCCAGTGACTAAACCCCCGTCAGTTTCTATTTGACCTATCTCATCGGAGAATTCCCTTCCGTCTATCTCCTGCAGAAGTTCAAGCCCGGCCGAGTCCTCTCGATCTACATCACATGCTGGGGTGAGAGGAAACCCTTGCCGTCACGCGATCCCCAAGTCGCTAACCGTCATAGGCATCTGCCTCATATGTACCAGCGCAGCACAGACCTGGTCGCAGCTCATGGCCATGCGAGCTCTTCAGGGCTTCTTTGAAAGCAACATATCCCCGGGCTTCCTTCTCCTAACAGGAACTTGGTACCGGACTGAGGAGCACGCCAACAGGTCGCTTTTCTGGCAGTCCTCGGAGGGATTCTTCTCCATCGTCTGTAATCTCATGCTGTATGGGATTGCTCGCTATGCAGAGGCCCATGGGGGAATTGCGGCATGGCGTTGCATTTCCTTGTTCCTGGGGTCTTTGACCCTTGCTGGGGCCGTTGCCGCTTTTCTTCTCCTGGGGACACCCCATGAAGTTCGCTGGCTCAACGAGAAGGAGAAGCGGATGGCGTACGTGCATACCTAACCAGGTCGCGGGAAATGAAGCTAACGGAGCCAGGACGGCGCGAACGATCGATAACCAAATCGCTCAAGACACTGTCGGCAAGAAGTGGGACTGGGATCAAGTGGTCGAAGCGTTTCAAGATCCTCAGCTTTACTTCTCTTTTGTGAATTCGTTCCTGGCGGATATGCCCAACGGGTCAGTCTTTTTTCCTCATCCGGCAGCATCCGACGCGCCTGATCCTAATGTGCAACCCCCAGAGGCATCACGACGTTCAACTCTCTTATATATGAGACGTTCGGGTTTAGTGACTGGGAGTCGATGCTTTACGGGTGTCCTCGCCAGGGTAAGCTTCCACCGTTCCTGGTATTGGGGACAGACGCTGACATCAATCTTTTGATAGCCGTCTACGTTGTTGTCTTTCTAGCCGTTGCCTTTTATACCCGGAAAGTCAAAAATCAAAGGATGTGGGTGATGATTGCCAGCACCATAATTCCTTTCGTCAGTCTCCTGGTGATGTCCCTCCTTCCGAATACACCAGAATATAAGTGGACGAAATGGGGCATGTACCTCATGACGGCCGTATTCTCCCTGGCCATCTTTCTTGGCTGGAGTTTGAGTGAGTCCTGCCCATTTACTCTTGCGGCCCCGATAGCGCCCCGGGATCTAACTGACCGGATGAACTTTAGTTCCATCCAACGTCGCCGGCAAGACCAAGCAATCCGTGATCTCCTCAATGACAATGATCGGCTATTGTGTGGGAAACATGGGCGGAGCTCAAATCTTCAAGACCAAAGATGCTCCCCGATATGTATCGGGCACGGTCGCATGTTCCATCTGCTTTGCGCTCGAAGCACTTGTGATTCTTGCCTGGCGCCTGTGGTACATGCGCGAGAACAGACGTCGAGACCGTCTTGCGGCTGCGAGTGGACTGTCCAAAGAGGAACAAGAAATCAAGGGGCGGGAGCTGGGAGAGAACGATGTAACGGATCTGAAGAATCCGTACTTCCGCTACACGATGTAAATGCACTTCTCGACCATCGGGAGTTGAATGCCAAGAATTCTAGTACCTACCTAACCCTGGCCAGGGATTTGTCATCCATAGCTTAATTCCTGCCGGACTGGAACGCCTAAGAGGCCACACTGGGCCTTCGCACGTACGGGAGTAGCGTGCATTGCCTTGCATAAAGTTCGCCTGATTAGCGTGTCCCTCAAAGGTCGAGCCCCCAGTTTATTACCAATCGCCCAGAAGGGGATACGAACCCGTCAAACCTACCGGCAATCCTCGGTCCGCCTGCACTTAAGTCCGAGCACCTCCTCGATCCCCGCGGGGGCGCCCATGGGCTCAGTTTGCAAGGCATTGCACATGAGTGAAGAATCCCGTGCGTGATTCTCCAATATTCGAAAGGATTTCCAAATATCATTCCAGACCATTAAATCATTGGATCCCAGGCACGTTGAGGCAAATCTCCACCCATCGGATATCGTAGAGCCACAATTGGTTGAGGGGCTTCTCCTTCGGGAAACCTTCGTCACCGTCCACGGACAATGTGAATGGGGTGCCTGCCCTTGCCACTGATATCATTGCAACAGAACCGGTTCACTCCAAGCTGTCCATTCCCGCTCGTCCAGCCAATATCAGTAGCTCAGGTAGAAGAATTGCCAGTAATGAAGGGCCCAAAGGAAAAGAATCGAAACCCAAAGCGAGCGAGCGACAACTCCGACCTCCGGCGACCGGAAGGTCTGCATTTCCCCATTAGGCTTAGCGCATGCCTTAGCTAAGAATCAGATTATTTATGAATTCATCATCGCCTCGCCCATATCAGATCTCGTTCGCCTCCCCCATCTTTTCCACTTTCAACCTACCTAATCCAACTATCCACCACCCCAACTGACCCAAACATACAAAATGTTCAAGCGTATCGTATCCGTCGCCCCCCGTGTGGGCGTCGCTGCTCCTCGCGCCTTTGCTCCCCTCGCCGGCGTGCAATCCGTCCAGCCCGTCCAGCGTACTTCAGCACCTGCTCCCTCGCAGCGAAGAGGCTACCACGAGAAGGTCCTGGACCACTACAACAACCCCCGCAATGTCGGCTCGATGAAGAAGGGTGACCAGGATGTCGGCACCGGTCTCGTCGGCGCCCCCGCCTGTGGCGATGTCATGAAGCTCCAGATCCGTGTCGACAAGGAAACCGGTCGCATCGATGACGTGGTCTTCAAAACCTTCGGCTGCGGCAGTGCTATCGCTTCCTCAAGCTATCTGACCGAGCTAGTCCGGGGCATGACCCTCGACGAGGCTGGCAAGATCAAGAACACCGATGTCGCCAAGGAATTATGCCTTCCTCCCGTTAAGCGTATGTTCACCACCCCCGGCAAGTCTTCCCAGAACACACGCCTCTGATGGTGTCTGGTGGACATGCGATCGTTTTTTTCTTTCTCCCGAGAATGCCGTTGCTAACACTCTTTCTAGTCCACTGCTCCATGCTTGCCGAGGATGCTATCAAGTCCGCCATCTCCGACTACTACACCAAGAACCCCAAGGCCAAGTCCACCGACCTCTCCGGCACCGGTGCGGCTATCCCCCGACGTCAAGGTCGAGGTTGAGCAGACCCCCGCCGCTGCGGTATAAACTGAAAAAGATACTCCGCGGCAGGTTCCGGGTGAGGGGGGGTTGCAAGAGACCCCGAAATACGTTCATTTCTGAAATGTGATTACTGCGAATTATTTCCCATCAATCACAATCGTTTGATCGAGGAGCAGGCCTGCCATCGAGTTGTTTATACCAGGCGAGCTGGCAGAGTTCGGCCTGGGTGAAGGCGATTCAAACAGATTGTTACATTTGTTTGCTGTACAGATATGCCTCTCTGATATCACTTTTGAACCTTGCATGTTTTGCAGCTTTTTTTTTTTTGTGTTGGTGATGGCGCCTCGGTACGTGGGATCCTCGATCGATGTTGTTATTTTTCAAAAGCGATGGTCTCCTTGATAGTTTCGAATCAAATTATGAAACTTGCATCCTTAATCCTATTGTTCATTTCGCGTTCAGTAGACGTAAGTGTCGTCACGGTCGTAAATGGTAAAGCTACCTTCTACACCTATACACTCTTCTATCCAACAACTGTATGACGCGTACAAGGATTTCTCCATGCAATATCCGCGGCCAGAACAGCGCCAGGGTAACTCGGCGGAGGAAAGGAAAGGAGCCTACCGATACTTACAGCGGCATCACCAATTCCACAGAATCTATGTTTTCAAAATCTATCTACATCTATCTGTACAGACGAGTCCCGCGGTCTAGCAGACAACGGGCGATAAGACAGAGCCTCGCCTAAAAAAGCCAGTATAGGTCTTGACGAGTCCAGGAAAAAAGAAAGTAGGAAGAACGCCATCGCTGATGCACAGATGACCCCACAAGGACAATCCGTGCCCTTGAACGTTACAAAACAACCGTGAACATGGAGCAGGGGAATATATATACGTGACACTAGGAAATGGGACAGCCAGGCCGATATGCGCGGGCGTATCAAGCAGTTCGCATTCCGAGTCGAGTCTTCAGTGTAAGCACGGTCTCGTAGATGGATAGCTTGGCCTCGACGCGCAGAAAGCTGGCCCAGGCAGACAGGTATCTGAAAAGGTTCGCGAAAACGCCTCCAGATGTCCGGATAGTCTCGATTTGTTCTTCAAAGACTGTGCGAGCGGCATACCGTGCCAGAATCAAGAAGGTGCGCACGGGACCGTGGCGGGTGTGCAGGTTCTCGTCAAGACTGCGGGCTTTTCGGATCGTTAGCAATTGATGGAATTGATGGAATTGAGCCATTGAAAGGGTGTGATCACTTACTGAGATCATTCGTCTTCAGAATCAGCAGGATGATCCGTGGAACTTGACCAAGCATCTCTACCAACTGCTGCAGCATACCCTCGCCCAGCGCCTCGGAAATTTCTTGCTTTTCTTCAGCAGTACGCGCCGAGGCTACACTTTTCTTCGTCAGGACACTATAGTCACGACCGGTAATGGCGCTAGCGAAAAGAGGGAATTGTTCGTCTGTAATACCAGCCACCTTGTGGGCATATTCGCGCATTCGAGGAATATCCGCATCGATCACAGCCAGCCAAAGCTTGGCATAATTCCGACGTAGATCCTGGGGGATTTTGCGGTAAAGACCGTGATCATACAAGATGATATCGAAGTTGGGGTGTTTGCGAGTAGAGTTCGGACGAATGGCGATGTTACCGCCGTGCGGGTCACAGTGCAAAGGGGCATTATCACCAAAAATCATCTGGTTGAAGATGTGGGCAAAGGCGGCAGAGACCTCATCACGGTCGATGTTGTTGGCTTCGAGAAACTCGAGGTCGTCTGGGCGTCGGCCGGCGATAAACTCCATCACCAGAATACGCTTTTGAGACCACATCACTGCGCTTCTTGTTAGAAGTATCGTTGATGATATCGTTGTAGTAACTTACCATCGGGGATGACGAGTGGGGCATCGGAGTGTTTCTTGAAGTACTGGCTGGCCTCGGTGGCGTTCTGCGCCTCCATACGGAAATCCAGCTCCATGGGGAGAGACAAATCCATCTCGCGCGAGAGCCATTCAAGGTCGTATTCCGGAAAGAACTTCTTGAGCATCGAGAATGTGAAGCGAGTCAATGCAAGATCCAACGGCACCCATTCCGCAAGTGCCGGGTGCTGGACCTTGACCGCAACCTTCTGTCCAGTTTCCTTCAATGTGGCAATGTGCACCTGGGCCAGCGACGCAGCACCGGTAGGCAGAGGCTCGAATGATGAAAAGAGCTCGTCGATTGTCTGACCAGTATCCTGGACGAACATTTCTCTGATGGATTCGATCGAAGACACAGGGCACCGATCTTGGAGCGGGACAAACGTTGTAACCCATTCATTAGGCAACAGGTATCCCATGCTACTCAGGTGCTGGCCCAGTTTAATGAAAATTGATCCGTTTTTCTCGAGAACGTGCAGAGTACGTTCGGCACAGCGTTTGTGGCAAGCGCGAAGTAAGGCATCCTTTTCTTCAGGAGACGAAGTTTCCGTGTTCAGGGTCACGCGGTAGCTATGGTAGAATATTATAATCAGCACTTGTTCTCACGAATAGTCACGATTCGGCGAATGCCTGTTGCAACAGCTTCCATCGGCCGGAATAGCTCCACTTACTCGTTGATGCAGACAGCCAGAGCGCCAACAACACGGCCACTCCGCCTGGCTGCTTGATACACATGGTGTGCTGAGTCCGAGAGGGTTACAGCAATTATACCGACAACACCAATAGCAGCCAAGTACTTAAGCGCATTGCTCTTCGGCTTGGCCTTTTGCGATTTCGATCCAGAGGCATGTCCAGGTTCCACGACCTTATACTCTGACAGAAGGGGCGATGACTGTGTAGCAAACCCTCTCCTTGACAGCCGAGAGACCGAAGCTTTGCTATAATTGGAAAGGTTCCATTCTGCCGCGGATTTCGTACTGGGTTGAGGCAATGGGCAAGAGGTCGAGTTCGCAAGTAAACCGAGCGAAGTAGTCGCGATCGCTTTTCGTCGGCTAACTGAGGCGGGACTTGCGAAAGCCCGCAGCGGCACGCGAAGCGCAACGCTCATTCCGACCAGGTACGGTCCTTACTGCGAAAGAGGACCAAGTTAAAAAGAGAATTTCCGTGTACCTGGTCTAGTTCATCGTCTTGGTTCGAGAGAATTTTGCGGTTCTCGCCGCCAATCGGCTGAGGTCGCCCGAGGATCGGGCCACGCAAGACACGTGACTCAGAACTACACAGGTTGACCCTGTGGATAATGCTAGCGTGGTACTTCCGGAAGGTTCCACCCCTATTTGATTCCATCTAACCGCCTTCCAAATTAGGGTTAGTCTAATACGTTGTATTTCGACTCTCTTCTCCTAATTTCTCTCTTTTTAGTTATATATATCTCCTACAATATCCTATATCTCCTATTATACAATTATATCTTCTATTATACAACTATATCTTCTATTATGGAGGCTCCACGCACCCCTACTCATAAAGCTACTCGAGATCAACGCATTGCAGCACGTACACTACGCAATAAAGGATATACATACGCCCAAATTGCTTCTGAATTAAAGATAACTCAACGTCAAGTTCAGAAAGCTTGTACAGACGAGAGGCCTACACCGTGGAAGGCCCCTGGTCCACGTCGAAAGTTATCTGACGAGCAACTCGATGAGATAATTAATTTTATCACATCGTCAAAAACAACACGACGGATGACTTATTCACAAGTTATTCAAGAACTACAACTTTCTGTTAGTTCTGAAACTTTACGACGAGCTCTTGCTAAACGTGGATATCATCGATGTAAGGCTCTTCGAAGACCTCCTCTAAATGACCGTATAAGGTCATTACGTTTAACATGGGCATTAGAACATGTTAATTGGACACGTGAACAGTGGGAGAAGATATTATGGACCGATGAAACTTGGGTTACATCGATCTATCATCAACGAATCTATGTTACTCGGAAAGCTGGAGAAGAATATGATGAAACTTGTGTACGAGATCGTTTTTCTTGTGCGCCTGGTTGGATGTTTTGGGGCTCTTTTTTTGGTAATGAAAAAGGCCCTTGTTTATTCTGGGAAAAAGAATGGGGGACTATCACAAGTACTCAATATATTGAGCGAATTGTGCCTTTGATTGATGGAATGGTTACAATGGCTCGTAACTATTTTAATAAACATCTAATTTTGATGCAAGATGGTGCGCCTTCACATCGAAATATCGCAACAATTGAGGAACTCCATAATCGTGGAATATTTCCTCTAAATTGGCCCCCATACTCACTAGATTTAAACCCAATTGAACAGGTTTGGGATTGGATGAAAGATTGGATTGGAGATCGATATCTCAAAGATTACGATCGGAAGTTATCTTATAATCAACTTCGTGAGGCTGTTCGAGCTGTCTGGGATGCGTTGCCTCCAGAATTTTTAGATCAACAGATTGATCTTATGCAGGCACGTTGCCAGGCTGTTATTGACGCACAAGGAGGATATACGGTTTATTGAATTTTTGCTGCTTTTTTTGCTATTTTTTTTGCTATTTTTTTTGCTATTTTTTTTGCTATTTTTTTTGCTATTTTTTTTGCTATTTTTTTTGCTATTTTTTTTTGCTATTTTTTTGCTAGTTTTATGCTGTATTTTTGTTGTATGTTTGTGGTTTAATTACAGATAGTTGAAATAAAAAATATGGCAGAATATTAGTCATAAAGGAGGGATGGAAGTACCACGCTAGCATTATCCATAGGGTCAACCTGTGTATACGTCATTTCATGGTGTTGCGGCGAATTTAGGATGTGATATTTACTAAGGATACGTACAAGTCCATGTCCTATCAGTATATATAATATGCATATATATGTAGGGATATTAGTGATTGTGATGCCTGCGGTCAAGAGCTTAAGTTGTTTTTGGAGTTGCGGCTGATTACTGGCATATTCTCAAGCGTTTACATGGGAAGGCTACCTTGTCCTGCTACCGTCCACGGACCGCAAAGAATACAGGTCTGGCATTCGGAGAGTCATGTATGGAAGAAACCTAATTGACGTGAGAATAGGTATTATGTCTCATTTAAACATTGATATTGCCTCTATGTGCAACCAGTGCTATCATAGCGCGAAAAGAAAAAGGGTGAAAAGTGTTTTAACACAAGCGTAGAATCATGTAACCCAACCCCGGTCTCAGTTCCGACGCCATAGAACCCGGAAAGCAAAAACAAAGGGAAAAAGAATAGTTGCAGGAGAATTGAAGAAGGTCTTCGAAATCAGATATTAAAGGCCAGATCCTGTCCATTCGGAATCGGCCACAGATGTAGGGCGTCGCCGGCGCGGAATGACTGAGGGTCTCCGACTAAGAGTTGGAGGTTTGCTTTCGTCGTCGTGCATGCTTTCCATATATGACAGACGATTGGACATACCACGCACGTGGCGAGGTCGCGCAGCCGCGGAGCTACCAGTAGCCGCAGAGGCGAGAGCCGAGACACTGCCATCTCGACTTCCCGGTCGCAAGACGAGAGAGGGTTGGCTAAGAGCATTGCGAGGATGCCGAGGAGTCTCTCTACCCTCAAAGCCGGCACGGGATTGACTGGAGCGACTTGATGAAGGGGTTGATGGTGTAGAGCTAGCAAAGGGGTTCGGTGGGGTGGTAGATGTGCTTTTCCTGCGGCTTGTGGGTCTGCGTTTGAGGCCAAATGACTCGCTAAGTTCGTTTGACTGAATTAACTTTCCTGCCATATCTCGCACGAGAATGGCTGGATCGTTTTCAAGTTCCCGGATGGCATCAAGCAGTCCATACGAGACGAGGAGCCCCCCCTTGCTGCTCGGTCGAATCGCGTATACTCGAAATAATACGCAAAAGATTCAATCGGACTGCAGCTTTATTGTGGTGAAGCTTTTGTCTCAGTCGAGCGAAAAGATCGGGTCGAGCGAATGTCGACGCCACTGGGGGACTCAAACGAAGAAGCTTCTGCAGAGGTTCAAGGATATTCTCGAATGCATTGGCTTTGGATAGTGTCAAGCAGCGGACAATAGCGTCAGTGAAAGAGGTTTTATCTTGTCGGTTGTCCAAGAGATGCTCCTCCACCTTTGCAGTTTCTTCCTGGAGCCTGCAAATTTATCAGTACCGAATACATCAGACAAGAGGGGGCAGGTATGCACATACCATGTAAAGATTGCATCCAAGGCTGTAACTTGCCAGTATGGATCGGCAAGTAGAGATATGTAGAAGGCAAGGCCCTTGTTCCGCCATAGCTCACGACGACCGACCTTTCCAGATTGGGCCATATCACAGAGGATTGGAAGGGCAAATTCTTTCAACGGTCGTTCGGTCTGGACGACTTTTTGAAGTAATGGCACAATTCCGTTGAGGGCTGCATCCTCTTGTCGAGACTTGTTGAGGCGACACATATTGTAAATCGTGTTCAGGATTTGATTAGATACTTCTCTGAAGTGTCCCCGTTTCATGTTTGAACGGAGAAGCTCGGTCAGAACGTCGATCGCATTCGAATTTTGAAGTGAGTCCAAGGTAGTCGAGAGCATGGAGAGGTTCTTGATGAACTTAAGCATGGTGATCTGATGCGTTGGTGACATGCGTTTTAGCTCTTTCAAAACTCCTAACATGAGATGTCAGCATCGTGCCAAAAAAACAAGATAGAAAGGAAACAGATGGGCGTCTAGGAAATCTTACTGTGCAGAACGGTGCGCTCGGCAACCATTTCCTTGACATGGTTTTCTGCCTGCGAGAAGATGAAGAATATGTTTGCAATCCGACCTTCGATGATTTCTGCCAGTTCACCTTCCTCATCCAACACTCGACCGAGCACCAATGAAAGGGGATCCAACACAGAATTACGAGATAGAATTCGACAAAAATCATTCTTCGGAGTTGATCCCTAAATCAAATATTGTTAGCCAATAGCGGATTTTTGTTTTCAGACCCAAGTCACACACCTGTAGTTCAAACACACTCCAAATTCCGTTGACTCCGATCAAGACTAGGTCTCCTTCGTCTTCGTAATCGTCTTCCAGGAACTCAACCAGGACATTCAATCCACCAGCACTAACGAACATTTGAAGAGTCAGTGTCGATGTCTGGTACATTTGCTGGACAAATGCCGCGGCTTCTAAGCGAATTTCCCGGGGGTATTTCTTGGAAGCAAACTCGTTGACGATGGGTATACCACCGACGAAACACAAGTTTTCTTGCACTTCATAGTCGTTGAAAATGATGGCATTGACAACTCGAAGCAAGCAAAAGACAATGTCCCGACGCCGTGTTGTATCGAGAATCTCCAGAATAGGTAACATCCCGTGAGCACTGATAATGATGTTCTTTGTCTCAGGCAGGTCACAGAAGATAGTCAGTAGCTGCTCCGAGATCTCTGCCAGAACATCTTCATCTTGCGAAGTCTTCAAGGAGCCTACCAGGCCCTCGACTTGGTTTCTAAGACGCGCATATTTGTCTCGTGCGATGTTGGCTTCCAAGTCCATTTCGTCAAATCCCTCTTCTAGCTGCGCAAAGGGATCATCATCATCATCCTGATCTCCTAGCCACGAGTTGTTCGACAGCTTGGAGTTCAACATTAACTTATCTCTGTCGGTGCTCGCGCCATTTTGCTTGCCCACTTTTCCTTCGTCATGACCGAGAATATCTGAGAAGTCTTCATCACTCTCATTCTCAGCAAATTTCTGAATCTCGATAGTGGAACGGTCGCGTTTGACAGACAGCTGCTTGCGAAGTTGGGGATGCTGCCCACTATGATCGTCACTGAAAGGATCGTATCCATCCTCGCGAATTGGGGAATCTGGGTCATAATCTTCTTGAATCAGGGCTAGTTTGCGATCAAGGACATCTTCATTAGCCATGATGAGATCTGTATAATCTTCTACAGAATTCTCTTTATAGAGAGTAGCGGGACGAGGTCGTCTCATTGGTGGTACAGGGGATTGAGTCAGGATTGGGACATTCTGCAGGGCCGTTGACGGGACTTTAGTTGACTGGCGTCTAGACAACCCTTGGGTTTTAGAGGGATCAGCGGGAGATGGGTTGGCTGAATATGGTCGAATTGTTTGAAGAGGGTCGTTGTCTTGTTGTGAAGTAGCGTTGGAATCTTCAAACTCATCCAAGTCGTCATCTGGCCGCAAAATTGTTCCATCCAGCGAGGCAAACGCCTTGAGTCGCTCAGAGGAAAGCATGCCACCAAAATTATCATGTGGTCGCAGATGGGGCAATTGCAGTGCACTAGGAGATATGGCAGTTGCAAAATCATCGTCCCAGTTGTCATCTTCTGCGGACTCAGCAGAACGAAAGCGATCAGTAGGTTTTGTGGTGTTTGGGGAGGGCAGCATATCGACGAGAGAATTGCGGCCTGTTGGCAATGGTCCGGCATGGTCAAACCTGTTTGGCTTCTTAGATGTACCCGTGCCTGGGGATTTGAGAGCTTCATTCCACTCCTGGACACTCTTGACAGCCTCTTCATATTCTGTAGATTTTTTGGGAACCACGGAATCAGACCTGCGTGCATTGACAATCCATGGATGCTTGAGCAATTTCCGGGCTGAAACCCGCAAGTTGGGGTCTTTCTGGAAACACTGCATTAAGAAGTCCTTCACAGCCTGCTCTAAAATTAGTTTTCACTTATCTGGGAGACTAACAAAGAAGCAAGCATACCGGAGAAGCGCCCTGGGGGAGCGGAGGATGGTCATCATTGACAATGCGGAAAAGGGCTGGCATGGGAGCCAAGCTGTGATAAGGGGGCTTGCCCTCAAGAAGTTCAATGACTGTGCATCCCAAACTCCAAATGTCCGACGCCGTTGTTGCACCAGACAATTCGATGACCTCGGGAGCCATCCAGTATGGAGTACCAACAACACTTGACTCGCTCAAGCCAGTTGTCCGACTTGCAACACCGAAATCAGCAAGTTTGACCAAGCCCTCTTTCGTGGTCAAGATGTTGGCACCCTTGATGTCTCTGTGGATGACACCCTGTTCGTGGAGATACAACAACCCATGCAACACTTGCGACATGTACAATCCAACCAGGTTTTCTGGAAAACGACCGAAGTTCTTCGCGATAGAGTGGAGGGATCCATTTTCACAGTATCTGATTGAAGTTAGTTACTTGGAAAAGATGTCATATGATAGTCTCCAGGAACTCACTCGAGGATGATGTTTAAGGTTTCCTGGGACTTGACGAATCCATGGTACTTGACAATATTCGCATGCTATCAGTGAGTCAGCAGACGTTTCGGGGATATTGTTGGGCTCGGTGGTGTCTTACATCCAGGTTTTTGAGAAGGTCAATTTCAAGCTGCGGTGTCTCATATCAGCATAGGTCTTGAATGACACACAGACCAAGTCGACGTACCATTATAACCCGGAGTTCGCTCTTAGGGAGATCCGTGAGCTTGATTTGCTTCACCGCAACCGTCTGCCCGGTATTCCAGTTCAGTGCACGGTACACCGATCCAAATGCTCCCTTTCCCAGGCAATCACCCAATTGCTGCGAAGTTAATGTGTCCCCGGTTAGCATCTTCCTAACTCCACATCTGGAGGTCAAGGGTTTCGGCCATACATAATCTTTCAGTTCTGCCACATCCTTTGCCGACGATTTCACAACATTGTCGTCCTTCGGTTTCTGGTCGCGCTTCGACGGACTCGTTCCTACACGTGTTAATCGGGGTTTCACGGGCGTGCCGGGGGTCCTGGAGGGGGTGATGGGCCGCTGCCCCTCACTCCCATCTGAACGAGTGACCATTTCGGAGCCGTTCTGGAGGATATGGAGCCCAGCCTGAGGTTTCGATCTGATCGCCGGTCTCAGGATATGGACTCAGGTAGACGGGGGCGGGGTGGGAGTTGGATAGGATGGCAGGTGCCGAGGACAACGTTCTCTCAAGGCTCATGTCCGCAGGTCCTAGAAGTCTCGATTGTCAATTAGTCTGGCCAGCAATCGTAAACGAGAGCTACATGGGATGCTCCGTTGGTCATGCAGGTGCTGGGGGTGCAGGAAAGGGAGGGTCTCACCAAGCGAGCCGCCTCACAGCAGGGACATCACGCTCGCCCTCTGGGATCAGATTAGCGGGGCAGGATGGGCATCCAAGGTACAGGACAGTCTTCTGAGATCCAGCTGGCTTTAGACTAGTCGTCAAGACCAAAGAAGGGTGGGGTGTGAAATGGTTGTTTTGAACTTTCCTTCTCCACAAGCCGCTCGGCGCATCATGCAGCGGCTGTGCTGAAAGTGCCCGCCGATCAGCCCTACGCCGATTACACGATTTGCCCCATAAGCGCTAGTTAGCGTTCTGTCCTTCTAAATCAAGCCATCCACCAAATTGAATCATTTATTCTTAAGATACCATATAGCGCGCACTCATAAAAAGTTAGACATGTTCTTGTCCTCTAGCTGGGCTCTATTTTACTCTGTAAGTCTAATACTGTACACAAAGGCAATGGCAACCCGCAGCTCAAATCAAGGGTATCACGATGCATCCCGAAGCAAACGATGCACATCAGAAATCAAATATAAACTGCCTGCAATGACAATTGGTTGGCCATTGGCAACGTCGTTGGCCCACTTAATTGCAGGGAGAAGATCACCCTCAAAACTTTCCACTTGGTTAATATCTGGGATCGATCGCACGGTGTCTGCTAACTCTGCCGCGTTTGTAGGTGCAACCCAGGGCATCCCATCAACAGGGCCAAATTCTGCCGTGGCAACTTTATCGCCTGGTCGAATAATTGAGCGGAAGACACCAGCAAGGTCTTTCCCACTGGAGGCTGCGATCACCCAAGTGACACTCCCAGACAGCGGTCGGAGCTTGCGGTCGACATATTTCCCCAGGACATCAGCTGATTGTGGATTGTGTGCGCCGTCAAGGAGGATAGGTTCTTCTCGGGGAATAAGAGGCTGAAGGGAGACTTCCTCCAAGCGACCAGGCCACTTGACATCCGCGAGGTGTGGAAGAAGAGCATCGACATCGTGTCCGGGTCGGATTTTGGATAGAGCTTGCCGTAATGCCAGCACGGCACTGCACATGTTCTGTTTCTGGTGAGGCTCAAGATCCAGCTTTCTAAACAGACGCCCTAATGCCGGGAGTTGCTCCTCGACGTTCTCTGGTGATGCGTAGGTGGCCTCGATGCCCAGCTCTTGGATACGCTTCGAAAGTGTCTCAAGCACTGCGCGTTCATTTGAGCTATCGATAACACATGGCACTCCAGGCTTTAAAATCCCGGCCTTTTCTCCTGTAATTTCTACAATTGTAGATCCCAGAAAAGCTTGATGGTCCAACCCAATCTTGGCGATGACCGAGACAAGCACGTTATTCAGAATATTGGTAGCATCGAGGCGACCACCCATGCCAACTTCTACCACGCCAATTTCCACTTGTTCATGATTGAATATCTCGAAAGCCGTGGCCGTGAGGAGCTCGAACTCGGATGCGCCGATCCCGAGTTTTTGGTCTCGCTGTTTGATTTGATCTTCGATTTGGTGGAAGAGGGATTTCTGGACGACTCTCTCATCAATCGTGATACAGTCCCATCTATCGATAAGATGGGGCGAGGTAAATCGGCCACAACGAACCCCGTCTGTGGATAATAGATGCGAAAGGTAAGCGCTGATTGAACCTTTTCCATTAGTGCCCGCAATATGAATGGCTTTCCATGTTAGTGGCGTCTGTTGGACGAGCCGCGAGACTCGGGCCAATCCTAGGTCAATCATTCCTTTCTAGCCAAAGAGCAAGAGCTCGACAAAAGCTTTCAGCTCATTATAAGGTCAAGCCTCTCAGCGGGATCGGGCTGCAAGTGCGGAGATTCCCGCTGTTGGCGTCTCACGTGATGCTCTCCAGCCTCCGGCAGAAAAATGCCCCATGGACTCATTCCGGCCTCACAGACACCATCCATCCCCACTCCTGTCATACTCGGGGTTGTCGCGTCGAAGGTTGCGTTTTGGAAGGCAACTTTCCTCTCCCTTCTTTCATTGTTCATTCGTTTGGCCTCTGCGCCCGTATATTTCGTAGATATGGGAATTCCGTAAGTATTCTCCTATTCGACTTGCTGCCGCGGTTGCGCCACCTATTGTCGCGTTGACTAACCACGACCCCAGGCTATGGCGCGAGCCAACAGAGGCAGAGACTGCCAAGTCCGCTCCAGACGAAGACTCTTCGGCGGCTGCGCGGTCCTCTATTCGTCGTCAGTCTGCGATTCGCAGGCCGCGCCACCCGAACGCTCGCGCGCGTGGCGCCAACGTTCTTTCTTCCTTCCACTCCCAAATTCTCGATGAGATCCAACGAGGCATTAGCGAACCACAATCGGGAGTGCGCTCGCCTGTGATGAACTTCGGCGTTAGCGAAGACGGTGTTGATCTCGACGCTAGTCGCCGTGAGGCTCTTGGTCGCACCACTACGCGTCCATCCACCCACCGTCCAGATTTCTCCAGTCGACGTGCCCGGAATACCACTCGCGATCAAGCTCTGTTCGACATACTCAGGGACCCACCGCCCCGTTCTCAAAGCTATTCCAGTCCCTCTCTGACCCCAAACTTTGCTCCTGCGGCCGCAAGCCACTCCGCATCCTCTCCGCAACCGCCCGAGGTGCTACGCATTCGCGGAAGCGATATTGTTCCATCCATATACGCCGAAAATAAGGAGCCGTGACAATACAGAATCTCGTCCGCCATTTCCATTGCTTCGGAATTTCATTCGGAATCACAATCGGTCGAGAGACGAACATACCCGAGCCGAAGCACCGAGGCCATCTATTGACGGACTGGGGGACCGCCAACGTAGTCCGAGCCCTGATTCAGAGCGTCAGATCGATGCATGGGAGACCCTTCTATCCACCCTCACCCCGATACAAACCTGCCGTCTACCGATAGCTCTTTCTCCTCCACGTTTACCTCCGCTGCAGACACCCTACGCAACGGCGGCAGCGCGTCTCGAGGGACTAATAGCTTGCCCCATCTCCGCTGGCAATCCAATGGTCTGACGCCCAATCAACTGGCACTTGACCCTACCTCTGACCAATTCAATCCCTGTGATTTTTCGTCTGACGACGAGGACGCTCCCCCTAATTACGGACAGATTTTGGCCACTCAGCCTGTTTCTCTTCGTCGCCCACCTGGGCTGAACTCGACATTGAGCAGCCACCCTCCTATTCCTACTATATCCCTTTCCTTTAGCAGTCTTGACTCTGGCGATACCGATCTCCAGCAAATGCAGGCCATTTTGGATCGGCTTGCCCGGCGGGAAGATATTCCAGATGACTGGTGGGCCGGTGCTGGTCTTTCGCGTAATATGGGGCGTGGCCTCAGTGCTACTGCTCCTACACGCGCTAATGAAAATGAAAATTCAGGCTGAAAGTGCATCAGTTTCCATTTGCATATGACCGTCTCGGAGGTGACCGGCGTTTATGTTCATTATTTTTACGTGCTTTTCCGGATATAAGTGGTGTCCCGGGGCGTTTAGGGTAGATATTCATCCCGATATTCAATGCACTACCAGAGGAGTCTATTTGGGTTGTTTTACCTTAATTGGTCCATAAAGCCATCGATGTTTCAACCTGTTCGGCCAGTACAGATTGCAGCCGAGGGCATTTGTTTCTCGCAATGGAGGCTAGGTCCACACTGTTGAATCCATATCTCTTTGCAGCTCTCGCGATTGCTCAATGAATAGAAAGCACTCAGCGCAATTTAGGAGCCGGGCAATGAATTCACATCAGGATAATCATGCCATAGCCATTTAACGGAAACTCAAAAATCGAAAACAATTGCTATTGAACTGTTCCCTTATCTGTAAAATCCACCTCGCCTTATCAGTGACGTCGTAGCCTCGGAGCACAGAAGTCCCCGATATCAGGTACCCCGCCCAATCGGCCATCGCGGGGGAAGTCTTTCTGAGACAGCTACCAAACAGTGCGCCGAGAAAACGCTGGCTTGCGAAAATTCAGAGTCGCACAGTTTCAATTGATTGCATTCCACCTCATTTTACTGCGCTTTTTGCTTTCACCGAAGATCTAAACGCTGCAGTTGCGACAAAATACGCGACTGTGCCACACCCGTTAAGAGCTTTGAACATTTCCCCCCGCCGATCTCAAGACCTGGATTGGGCAAAACCAATACGAGCCATTTTCAATTGATATAGACCAAAGAAACTTTATTCATCATGGACGAACAGATCAAGCACCTGGTTAACAAGACCTGGGGTAAGTCGAGCTCCGAATCGCCCAAGGCCCGCAATTGGATGTGCAGTAGCCAGTCTTATCCAGACGCCGAGTCGCATCCAGTCATCCGCATATCCCAGCAATTGCTCACAATCCACAGCCAAATTCTGCTGCACCGCAGACGACGCCCGCCTCATGATCGCCGTTAGCGGAATCCCAGGATCCGGCAAGACAGAGCTTGCGCAGTCAATCAGCAAGCGCATCAACCAGATCTACGCCTCCGAGAGTCCTAGCGCACCTCCGATATCAACGGCCCTTCCCATGGATGGATTCCACCTCACCCGAGCTCAACTAGCCGCGATGCCGGACCCGGAGCACGCGTTTGCGCGCCGCGGCGCAGAGTTCACATTTGACGGAGAGAAATTTCTGGGATTGGTGAAGAAGCTTCAGGAGCCAATTACGGCGGAGACGAAGGATGTGCATGCGCCGAGCTTTGATCACGCCGTGAAAGATCCTGTGGAGGATGATATTACTATTCCGGCTACTTGCCGGGTCGTGTTGTTTGAGGGAAATTATTTGAGTTTAGATAAGGAACCGTGGAGGGAGACTGCCAAATTAATGGATGAGCTGTGGTTTGTGGATGTTGATTTCGAAGTTGCGAGAAAGAGGTTGATTCGCAGACATATTAAGGCTGGAATTGCGAAGAATGAGGAGGAAGGTAACAAAAGAGCAAAAGAAAATGATCTGGTTAATGGGCAGGAGATCGTTGACTTCAGGTTACCTGTTCAGGAGATTGTCAAGAGTGTCTACGACCCGTCATGGGAAGAACCCTAGGGGGGCAGCGCGATGTTTCCGGCGCATTATAATGGCGTATTATTACTAGTAGAGCATTAGCATAAAATGGCACCATAGAGCTGACTGGCATTCTGAATATCAGACCTTAACAGCCTTCTAGCACTAGATTGCAGGTATTATCATCTAGCTCAGAAAAGAGACTGGTGGGCTAAGATTGAGCAAGTGGAAATATCTTAATCATGGTGTTGATGTGAGCGACTTGGTCTGATAGCAGCACTGGGCTTCAGGCATTAAGACCAGGTTAGGAAAGAGACTGCGGTCAGACAATGAAACAGGTAGAAATATCTTGAGATAAGTGTTTAATTGAAGAGTGTGGTCGATCGTACTATTACTGTAGGAACTAACACTAGGCTGTAGAATCTTTTCACCGGGGCAGAAAAGAGGCCGGGGAAACAACAGAACAAGTTGAAGTTTCTTAGTCATGGTGTAATGCCACCAGACTGTAGAAAATAACATCATGTCCGAAAGGATCTCATGGGCTAACTGCGGAACAGGTGGATATATCACAATCCTAGTGTTGACTTGAATGACACGGTTGATTTGTGCCATATAACTTAAGATATATTCGGTCTATATAAATCAGCACCAGGTTACAACAGAGACAACGGCCTAATGATAGAATGGGTGTAATTTTCTTAATTGTGGTGCTAATACCATCAGTTTTTTGAACTGAGCACCAGGTCAGAAGATAGACCGCAGGTTGATAACAAATTAGGTGGAATCCCCTCAATTGTGGTATTAATATTACCAGATTAGAAGATAGAACGCATATTAATAATGGAACAGGTGTAATATCCTTAATCGTGGTGTCAAAGGTTAAAATATAGACTACAGGTTAATAGTGGAACAGGTGGAACTATCTCAATTATGGTGTTAGAGCCACCAGGTCAGAAAACAAGCCGCAGGTTAATAATGGAACAGGTGAAATTTTCTCAATCTTGGTGTCAATAATCACCAGTTCAAAAATGCACCGCAAGTTAATAATGGATCAGGTGGAATTTTCTCAATCATGGTGTCGATACCACCAGGTTAGAAGATGGACCGCAGGTTGATAATGGAATAGGTGGAATTTCCTCAATCACGGTGTTAATACCACCAGGTTACAAAAAAGACCCTAAGTTAATAATAAACCAGATGGAATTTCCTCAGTCGTGATGTTAGCACCACCAGGGTTCTAGACTGAGCGCCAGGTTATAAAATAGAACGCAGGTTGATAATGGAACAAGTGGAATTTTCTCAATCGTGGTGTTAATACCACCAGATTAGAAGATAGAACGCAGGTTGATAATGAACCAGGTGGAATTTTCTCAATCATGGTGTACCGCCAGGTCAAAAAGATCCATTGCTGGTCAATAATAGAATAGGTGAAATTTCCTCATTCCTAGTGTGGATACCACTAGGTTAGAAGATCCACCGTGGGTTAATAATGGAATAGGTGGAATTTTCTTAATCATGGTGTTTCATACTACCAGGGTTTTAAACTACGCACCTGGTTAGAAGATAGACCGCGGTGGAATGATGGAACAAGTGGAATCTACTCAATCCTGATTTTAATACTATCAGGATTTTAAACCCAGCACCAGGTTAGAAAACAGATCGTGGATTGATAATAGACCAAGTGGAATTTCCTTGATAGTGGTGTTAATATTACTAATATTTTGAACTGAACACCAGGTTAGAAGATAGACCACGGGTGAATAATGGAGCAGGTGGAGAATTCTTATTCCTGGTTTTTATTTGAGCGATCTAGGTGGTAGTACCACCAGATTATATGAAAGAGCACCGTGTTGTATGGAAGACCACGGATGAGCACAGAAACAGGTGGAAATTTACTAACCATGGTAATAAAACCCCAGGTTATCAATATCAGCACCAGGCCATGTTCAGAAAGAAATCATGAGCCAACACTGCAACAAACGAGCGCCCAAAGTCTTCTAGTAGCCTCGTGTTGCGCTTCAGCCATTCAACGAAAGGGCAAGCACATTTCCGGGGACCTGATCATACAGCATTTCTTTTCACACTTTGACTTATACCAACACCCCACGGATGAACGTGAGCGCCTGGAGTAGTTGGCAAACTTCTTCAAGTACTAGCCGTACCTCATCTAGAATATATCGTTCCTCCAGCTGCGTGAAAATGCCATGTGCATTCAAACCAATCTTCCCTTTCAAGAACTCTATAATTGGTGCGTTACATTTGAAGAAAAGCATGGGTTGGCTGGCATAGACTCCATGGCGCCCCAGAGAAGATCCTTCTTGCGTGAATACACGGAGGGGGGGCAATCCCACTGCCTGCATTTACGATTATGATTGCTTGCTTTAGATCATCAGAGAGCTACAAAAGATATACAGCGATGGGTCCAATCCCACTAACCCCCTTTCGGTTAGAGTACCAAGGCCCTACTGAAGTAACGTGTCTCACCTAGTGGCAGACGATACTCCTTTTTATAAAAGTGCTGGACGACCGAGGGCAACGAACTCAAAGATTCTCACTATACCTGCCTATTATGAGCGACAATTCAGATGTCCAATATGAGCGGTATAATGGCCTCGATACTGGCGACTCAATGTGACATTAACGGGGGCTCAGGGTTCCTGACTAAACCCGATTGGGCTTCGATCAGGGACGGAGCAAGCAGGGCTCGTGGGGCGCTCTCCTGATTGGTTTTTCATTGGCCTAGTCGAAACCGCACTTGGCACTTGGGGCCGTTCCCCAATCTTGGACCCTGAGACCTCCCTGAAGAGTTCTTCGAGATCGACCTCGTCCTTCTAGTGATTCATTGTCACCACGCTCATTTTTCGTCGCTCGCCATAGTCATTCCTTCGCCCATCTACGGCCCTCACACTCTCTGATTCGCTGCGCGAACACTATAATTGTCTACCATCGCTTACCGTTTGTTGTTTTACCCCCCGAAATCATCACAATGCTGTTCAAGTCGACTTTCGCTCTCGCCTTCATGGCTCTCGCCAACCTTGTCACCGCTACCACGGTCCAGACCCCTGCGTGTCTCCTCACCGTTATGAGGTAAGATTCTGAGCCGCACAGTCCTACACAGCCGTACTAACTTCTCTATAGCAAGGACACAAACGACCCTTCTCGGATCACCTCCATCTGTACCACCCAGACCAAGGATATCCAGTCTGCTATCAAGGACACCTGCGGCTCTCAGTCTGAGGATGCCTTGAACTTCTACGTCAAGACCTGCAAGGAGAATGGCCAGAAAGTTGGTATGAGATACGCGATATCCCTAGGGCAAGGCACCGTGGGCACAGTACTAATATCCCTTTATAGTCTTGGCTAGCAGCACCGATAGCAGCGCTACCTCTACTAGTTCCGGCTTCGTGACTGCTACTGCGACTTCCGCTTCAAAGAGCTCCAGCTCCAGCTCTGACTCCAGTTCCGACCCCTCATCAGCCACCGCCACCGGCAACACTTCCAGCTCTAGCTCTTCGGGCGCCGCTTCTCCTTCCGCAACCTCCACCAACCTTGGTGTTGCGGATCGCAAGATCCCCGGCACTGCGCTTGCTGCGGCGGTATTCATGGGCGCTGCTGCGTTGCTGTGAACATTTGTTGACTTGCTCTGGTTCTTTTTCAACGTGGTTTTTCATTTCCAATCTCTCGATCACGATCCCGGTCGGGTATGCCTGCATTTGACATGTTCTAAACCGTTGAAACTTACTTGTGGAAACAAATTTTGGACGCGTCTGATGTCTCGCTGAAGCATGTTTTATATTAGTCTGGTATACCACCATATTCCGTTATTCAAGAAGACCGCTCTTCCTCCGATCTTTTGCCTTATCAACCCCCTTTATCTCCTTTGACTCTAACTTTGAACCTTACGCCGCACGGAGCTCTGCATACACGGGTTTGCCAGCGCAGTAAGGAGGTGGCGGTCAAGAGTCCTCGTAATATGTACCTCAATAATGCGGGGCATTTCTAATTTCTAGGCAGATATAGCTGCAGCCTGCAAAACCGACAGTTGCCTGAGTCTGGAATGCAAGGCTCCGCTCTTGGCGCCAGAACAGCCGATGCCATGCGAAAGTGCTTTTGGGCTTTCATTGGCTGCCGTTTCGAGGTTGTTTTTCCATTAACGCGGGACGTGTTTTCACGTGACCTCCGCGGTACATTAATCAGCTGCGGACACGAAAAATCGCGACCCGACCAAGCACGCGTCCCTTGCCTCCGATCCTCAAGTATCTTCCTCACCCCTCTGTTTTCTTCTTCTCTTGCACACCTTCCTCCTCCCCCCCTCAATCCTTCCACCCTTCTACCTATACGGATTCTAGTCCGAGTTGATACCGCAATCTATTCCTTAATACCCAGGCTGTTCTGATCCACCCACCTTCCTCCCCTCCGCCACAATGTTCGTCTACAAGAGAGGTAAGTGAATATTTACTGAACAAGCCATAAATTTCCTCAATGCGGGGCAGCTCTTTCTGTCTTTTCATGAGGAAGCAGAGTTGGCCTCCCCATCTGTAAGAGAACGTGACTAACGGCGGTTTCTTCGCAGATGGACGCAAAGAACGCGTGCAGTTCGATAAGATCACTGCCCGTGTCTCGCGGCTGTGTTACGGCCTCGACCCAGAGCACGTCGATGCGGCTGCTATTACTCAAAAAGTTATCTCTGGTGTCTACCAGGGTGTGAACACCATCGAGCTGGACAACCTGGTACAGTCATTCCCCAGAATTCGCCACTCCATAGGTCATAGTACTAATTCAGTAACCGCATATAGGCTGCTGAGACCGCTGCCTACATGACCGTCACTCACCCTGATTACGCTATTCTGGCCGCCCGTATTGCCGTGTCCAACCTCCACAAGCAGACCAAGAAACAATTCTCTATGGTCGTCTCAGATCTATACCACTACATCAACCCCAAAAACAATAAGCCTGCCCCCATGATTTCTAAGCATATCTACGAGATTGTCATGAAGCATGCCGATGAGCTGAACTCAGCTATTGTTTACGATCGTGATTTCAACTACAACTACTTTGGTTTCAAGACTCTTGAGCGTTCATACCTGCTCCGGACCAACGGCAAAGTTGCCGAGCGGCCCCAGCACCTCCTGATGCGTGTTTCCGTTGGAATCCACGGTGAGGATATTGAGAGGGCTATTGAGACCTACCACTTGATGTCCCAGAAGTACTTCACTCACGCCTCCCCCACTCTGTTCAACGCTGGTACCCCCCCAACCCCAGCTGGCTTCTTGCTTCCTGGTGGACATGAAGGAGGACAGCATTGAGGGTATCTATGATACTCTTAAGACTTGTGCTATGATCTCTAAGAACGCTGGTGGTATTGGACTTAACATCCACCGTATCCGTGCCACTGGCTCTTACATCGGCGGCACCAACGGCTCTTCCAACGGTATCGTTCCTATGCTGCAGGTGTACAACCACACCGCTCGCTACGTGGATCAGGGTGGTAACAAGCGCCCTGGTGCATTTGCCATCTACCTCGAGCCCTGGCACGCCGATGTGTTCGAGTTCCTTGACCTTCGTAAGAACCACGGTAAGGAGGAAGTCCGTGCCCGTGATCTCTTCTATGCTCTGTGGACCCCCGATCTGTTCATGAAGCGAGTCGAGGCCAATGGTGACTGGACTCTTTTCTGCCCTAACGAGGCCCCCGGCCTTGCTGATGTGTACGGTGACGAGTTCGACGCTCTCTACGAGCGATATGAGAAGGAGGGCCGTGGCCGCAGCACCATCAAGGCTCAAAAGCTCTGGTATGCCATTCTCGAGTCCCAGACCGAGACTGGAAACCCTTTCATGCTGTACAAGGATGCTTGCAACCGCAAGAGCAACCAGAAGAATCTGGGAACCATCCGCAGCTCCAATCTGTGCACTGAGATTATCGAATACAGTGCCCCTGATGAGGTTGCTGTCTGCAACTTGGCCTCTCTGGCTCTTCCCACCTATGTTGACGCTGCCCGTGGCGAGTATGACTTTGGCAAGCTGCACGAGGTTGTTCAGGTCCTGGTGCGCAACCTGAACAAGATCATTGATATCAACTACTACCCTGTTCCCGAGGCTAAGAAGAGCAACTTCCGCCACCGCCCCATCGCCTTGGGTGTGAACGGTCTGGCTGATGCTTTCCTCGCTCTGCGTCTTCCCTTCGACTCTGCTGAGGCTCGTCAACTGAACACGCAGATCTTCGAGACCATCTACCACGGTGCTCTCACTGCCTCCTCCGATCTGGCGAAGGAGTTCGGTCCTTACGAGACATACGAAGGATCTCCCGTTTCGCAGGGTATCCTGCAGTATGACATGTGGGACCGTACCCCTACTGATCTGTGGGATTGGTCGTCGCTGAAGGCTAAGATCGCTGAGACCGGTGTTCGCAACAGTCTCTTGGTCGCTCCTATGCCTACTGCCAGTACCAGTCAGATTCTGGGCTTCAACGAGTGCTTCGAGCCATATACCTCCAACATCTACTCTCGTCGTGTGTTGGCTGGTGAGTTTCAGGTTGTCAACCCTTGGCTCTTGAAGGACCTGGTGGACCTGGGTCTCTGGTCCGACAACATGAAGAACCGCATTATCGCCGAGGGTGGATCTGTGCAGAACATCCCCAACATCCCTGCCGATATCAAGGCTCTGTATAAGACTGTCTGGGAGATCTCCCAGCGTGCTATCTTGCAGATGGCTGCCGACCGTGGTGCTTTCATTGATCAGTCCCAGTCCCTGAACATCCACCTCAAGGAGCCCACCATGGGCAAGATCACCAGTATGCACTTTGCTGGCTGGAAGATGGGTTTGAAGACTGGCATGTACTACCTGCGTACCATGGCCGCCTCCGCTCCTATTCAGTTCACCGTCGACCAGGAGCAGCTGAAGGTCGAGGACACCAACGTCGCTCGTACCAACGGCGCCTTCGCCAAGCGTGCTGGTGGTGGCTCTTCTGCCTATTCGGCTGTGCCCCGTGCCAATGGCGCTCCAGTTGCCGCTGCCGCCGTTGATGGCCCCATTGAAGAGGCCCCTCGCACTGTCGTTGAGCCTACCCCTGCTGTCCCTGCTCCTGTCCCTGCTGTTGAGACCAACGGCTCCAGTGACGCTCCCGAGGGCGAGAAGTCCGAGGCCGACATCTATTCCGACAAGGTTCTACAGTGCAGCATCGAGAACAAGGAGGCTTGCCTCATGTGCCAAGGTTGAATGCTCCCACATTGCGTGACTCGATGATTTTTATGTTATTTTTGCATCCTACCCCTGTGTTCTCCCGGCTGCAACGGCACACTTGCTCCCGTGTGATTTATGTACCTATATTATGAGACTGATGGTTTATTCCCTTTGTTTGTCTGCTTTGGTGGTATGTTTGGGCGTTCATGAATTCCTTCTTTCCTCTATTTCCCCCGCATATTCCCTATATCAGTCTAGCCAATTACGTTCGATACCATCCTGCCCACCGTATTTTCTTTGGCCCCGTGCTGGACATGTAGAACCGGCGTTGACGTCGAATCTTTGGTATTTGCTGGCTTGAGTAAGCTTCCTCGGAGTTCCTGGGGGTCAAGCATGGCATGTGCTAGCAGTCAGGTCTCTACACGTTTCTCACCAATACCTTTTCAACACGGCTCCGCTGTCCTGGTCCCCGCTTTTGGCCCATTGCAACTCCGCTGGTTTCTGTAGCTCTAACAGCCCGGGCCTGGAAAGGCCTGTCTGTTGGAGAGATTAGTCTCATCTTGCATTGACTGGTGCGAACCAGCTAATGCACAGTGGTGGAGTTGCGTGAGCTAGCGATACCCAGCTAATGCACAGCGGTGGAGGTACATGAGCTGAAGATACCTCATCTCTTGACTTGAACCGTTGTAAGTGCCGGAAATCCTCCCGCTGGCCGTGCCAAATCGTCGACCCATTCCTCAAAACTTGTGTGATCTGACAGGACATAGCAGAAACCTTCAACTGTGGGAAGTGGCAGATTCATACTGATCTTATTCATCCAGACCTCTTCCGTGGGTCGCGACCGTCGTTCATACGGTAGATTCCCAGCAGATTTACGGTACGTCTCAAAAGCATAATCTGCCACTGTCCTCAGAGGACAATGTCTAATAAGGTGGTTACTAGAGCGATGGGGGTTCGCGCCCCGTATATACTTGAGGTAGATACCCTCATCGGCGGAGAAAAACCACTGCACTACAGAAGAGCGTTCTAGATCGTAAGAAAATATTATATAGACCTCGACTTCGTCTGGAAATTGCCCTCTTTTGAAGTCGCCAGATTCGGGCCCACTCACTAACTACATCTTGCTTACTCCGTACAATGGCCAAGATCGCGAATGAAGTGGCGAACTTACGACGCCCGCTCTTTGACTAAAAGGGAAACGCTTGTGTAAGGAGCCAACCTGTCACGTTTTATGAGCCTGCTTACTCAGGTCGCCTCTCTTTGGAGGTTAGTTAATAGGCGAACATGGATCGTTCAGGTTAGGCTCAGTGAGCAGATCAGGATACTCAAATCCGGCTACGTGAGCAAAGAGCGGCGGGGTGGAAGCACTAGAATGGAAGGGGGCCGCCGAGCGTTGCCGCAGAAAATCGGTGTACATGCACACTCGTAAGCCATGAACTGAATTGAAATTCGTACCCAAAACATTCTCTTATGAGAGCGTCGGTGGTGTGGTGGGTGCCAACTGCCTTGCCGATTGGACTGTCGCAGGCTCTGGTTGGGCCTAGAACTGTCGGGCAATTCGGAATGGTTTCACAGGTGGCAACCACTCAGAAGTGCCAATTGTCGGTTCGCCAGCAAATACCGAGAGGATCTGGCCCTCAAAGAGTGGAGTGAGACTGGTTCTTGAGCGTGCGCACTGTCCAAGAGAGACAGGGGTAACTTTCTGTCCCTTACGACGCCCTCGGAGCTCACTCTAGTTGCGAAACAAAAAAGAACTCCTTCTCCGTAATCCGTATTCCTTAATTAATCCATTCTCAAACCAATTGAGCCCCCATCCCATGAATGTAACCCGCGTTGTGCGATGGCCGCAATCCTTTTGGGGGCTCTCAGACCCCTGCCCGGCTGTCGAATAACACCCCTGACACGGATCTCGGCGATCGCCACATAAGCCACAGTCTCCACTCTGCACCGTGTCCTTGGCTCGTAGAAGAACATGAAACGGCCCAGATAGATGGAAACCCCCGTAAAAACGTAGGCAGTTCCCATAGGGCCAACACATGTCTCCGCTCTAGGGCGTAACTGCTCTCTTTGATGTGTCTTTCCCCCAGTGTGTATTGTGTAGCGTGGACGTGCGGAGTCTACGTTGCGTATACTAGGTGTCTCAACTTCTGCCAATAGGAAGCCTTGCGTATGGGCCGATGCACCGGGCACCGCAGCCTTTCCAGCCAGGAGTTCGTCGCCAGGCACCCTGCAGACAAGAATCAGAATTTTCACACCGTCACTTCCATTAGTATCCCCCGCGATGGATACGATCTTTATTTTTGGGGGGATGGAAAAGCCCTCGGACGTGCCACGCCGGAAATGGAACAGAAAGGACCGAGTGGGTTTGAGTCCAGATCTTGAAAATGAGGGATCGGATTCTTCAACCGTGCCCAATTCGGCTTAGGCTCAGGAGCGCCAGCTGGTCGGTACCTGCGCCATGAGGTCGTAAGCCTAACTATGTCTCCAATCAGCGATCTTCCCCGGTCTTCCCGACTCGCGTACCTGTCAATCCCCCTGGGAAACTCATCGAGAGGATCAGAACCCAGATCTAATATGCAAGTCCTGAATCCCTGGCAATTCCGTAATGTTTCGTAGGATGTCATAGTATTTCCGTAGTATGCAGCTATGTAGGGAAGTGGCGGGGAAGGAGAGATCCATGGGAGAATGCTTTTGTGGGGATCCACTTTTCTAGCGTTTTTCGATTTTGTATGGAGACTCCTTGTAGAGTGCACTCTGTATTTATTCCCCCCATCTTCCCCTTTCTTGTTTCTCGCTCTCCACGCCGCTCTTCCTCACTCTCATTCCTTTTGAGTGCTTCAGCCATTTGCTTGACTGCTGTGCAGTGACCAATCATTACAACTCCCAACTATCAAACCGACACTCCTTGTCAACACTCTCCCTCAATCCAATTGAAATCCAAATGGCTCCCATTACCAAGACCCTCGCCCTCGCTGGCGCCCTCTTTGCTGTCTCCGGCGTCGCCGCCCCCGTCAAGCGCGCTGTCGTTTGGGAGACCGTCACCGACATTGTCTGGACCACCGTCGATGTCACCACCACTCTCTACCCCAACCAACCCCAGGCCACCTCCACTTTCGTCCCTGTGACCACTCCTATCGCCGAGGTTCATGCCCCTACTACTACTACTACTACCACTATGACCACCAAGCCTGAGGAAACGCAGGCTGCTGCCACCCACATCCAGGCTGCTCCCTAAGCCGGAGACTACTACCACCGAGGCTCCCGCTGCTCCCGCTCCTACCACTACTCAGCAGCCAGAAATTACTACCCCAGCTCCTGCTCCTGTTACTGTTGAGCCGACCACCACTGCCGAAGCCCCTGCTAGCACCGCCCCTGCCCCTGCTCCCGCCAGCAACAATGCGGCTTCTTCCAGTGGTGGTGGCGGCAGTGGATACAGCGGTGTCTGCTCTGAGGAGTCTCCTTGCACTGGTGATATCACCTTCTACCAGGTTGCTACCTCGATGACCAACCCCAGCTTTTGTGGCGGGTACGACACCGATGAGAGCCCTGTCCTTGCCCTCCCAGTTGGCATCATGACCAAAGCTTACTGCGGTAAGACCGTGACTATTAAGCGCCCCGGCAGAGAAGCCCAAACCGGTCGTGTTGTCGACAAGTGCATGGGATGTGACGATACTTCCATTGATCTGTCCCCTGGTCTGTTCCAATCGCTTGCCAACGAGGCTGAAGGTCGTGTTTCTGGTGTCACGTGGTACATCAACTAAGCTATGTCAACCACATACATGTGGAGGGGGTCAATGGGTGTTCCATGGTGAATTACACGTCGGTCCGAGCATATTCTATACTTTGGCCTTGATGGCTATTATCTTTTCTATCCTGTCATTTTTTAAATTTTCTTCTTTCCTTGTCACATCACAGCCCGGTGATCTTCTGGTCGCTTGTCTTTGATCTGGCGAGGCCTCATTTTACCCTTCTCACATTCTCTTGCACCATTTCGCTCCTATGCGCCCCTAGTGGGTTGCTTTTGCATCTTTTACCCTTTCATGTTGATAGAATTGCTTTTGCTCCTCGGAGTCCTGTGAAAATACCACGTGATGACCCATCCAAGAACACCTTCAAAATGCACTCCTGTCCTAAACCACGCATGCAGGCAATGTCATGGTGTTCTCACGCAACGTGGAAACCTTCCCGAGTGTGATGTGCAGGAGTGCAAATTTACGATTCTATGACGATCATGCTTCTTGAGTGGATGGTATCCCTCAACGCAGAGAAAAGGATTTTGGCATTTGACTTTCGCAAATTCAATTCTAGAGTTGGTTTGAATCAAGTTCATTTTCCCCTAGGGACAAAAGCTCCACTGTATTGTCCGTAGCATATAACCATTTGCCGTATGTTTCAGCGATTCTCAGGCATTCACGAGACTTTGGCCTTGTCGGGCAAATGCCCGGGGCGAATTAGAACTAGTACGTGCTTCCAAAGAATCGTCATCTAACCTGGAACGCTCAAGTGGTATCGATAGTGTCCATCGACTGTTCCGCCATGAGCATATTTTTGGCCCTGCCACAAAACAATTGTTCCTGACTTTATGGAGATGTGGCTCACTAATTTCCTCGACTTTGATGCGTTTTCTAAGTGAATACAATGATGCTAATTCGCCAGGTATCGATGCCACGGGTGGCTGAATATATTCAAGTGCTAGTATTTGAGACAAGGAACCCAGGCAGGGCCTAATTGATACACTTCATCATACAAAAAGAATTATAACATTGTGAGATTCGTACTAGTACTACTATGCTACATGAACGTATGAAGAGAAGACTATTCGTTCAAACCAAGCAGAAAACCGAACCTTCGAAGAACCCCACATAGCTCCCGCCGGTTTCCATATTGGTCGAACTGCAGGAGATAAGCATAGACCACAGCTAAATACTCTAGAGCTCTTGCAGAATATGGGGTAATGCTTTTGACGGGCTGTCCGTTGGGACGAGTTCTCGCTTGACTGGATCCGGTCATATGATCTACGTGTATGATTCGATTGAGAAGCATACCATTATAGAGCCACAATATTCACTAGTATAATTCATTATTTTGATATTGTTTTATAATTATTGACCATAAAAAGGACGCCTTGCAATGCAGATGTTCAGTCATCATAATGTAGCCAGGCATTATATCTCGGTGAACGTAAGTGGTTCTTTCTCCTCCTGAATCAAGGAGACACGTATATCTCGAGATAGGACATTCACCTTGTTCACATCTTTCAGACTGGATATTTCATGTTCCGGGGTAGTCTGGAGTTGGCTCATCATCAACGGAATAATAGAGTCTTTCCAAAGCACGACTTTTTGAGTCTTGCTCATCATCAATGTCCCCACAAGTAAAACAAGCGACCCTAACGTTGCACACATTGGTAGAATTATCCAGGGCCAGCGAACATCAATGAAGCTTTCACTTTTGAAAGCCTCTCCCTGGAGATTTTCTCCTAGTGGATTGTTGGTAGAACGAATATTGTTCGTTAAACTAGCAGCGATAGAGGCCATTGTTTCATTGATTCCACGCTTCTGCATAATTGGAACAAAGTTCATCGAGTTCAACCCATTTTGCGTATTACCAGACAAGTTGAAGACCCCCTGCAGTGTGAATTCAAGGTCTGATAGCGTGTCGGCATCTAGGTCATATGGGTCCTTAGATAGGAACTCAGCGCCATTCGCAGGAGTCAATTTAATTGCTTTCTCGTTATATGAGGTTATGAGCTCTTGGGTATGAGAAATCTTGGAATAATGAGTCGAGCTATCGGTGGCGATATATCGACTCGGGGAAAATTGTTGCTCGCAGACATACATTCTGCAAATTGAGATTGAGGGCTTTGGTGCAGGTGCAGTCCTGTTTTGTCGAGTCCAATGGACGACACGTCTTTCTGAGGCGGCCACGAAATAAAGAAGTGGCGAATCATATGATGTGCCATTGTTTAGGAGATCAGTGTACACATAATCATACGTAAGGTATACGTCTTCCTCAGTTGGAGGAACTGCATCTGCGTTCACCTCGCCCATGAAATGTACGCCGTTCGGAGTAGTGTAATTGCAGTAGCCGTGGACGTGTAATGAATAGGCAGTTGGATCGGACATTGACCAGGGACCGCAGACTTGTTTGGTGTCCTTCGTAACATCTTCACAGTGGCTGCAAAAGCCTAGCGAGATGAAACCGGGGAAAGTACAAGTACTGGTGGGACATTGTGATGCTAGTGGGTCGGTGTGTTGCGCAAGGCCAACCAAAAGAGAAGACACCATCGTGTCAGAAATACTTCCACTCCACCTTGTAAGGTGACCGGTGAAATTATATCCATGAGTTGACCGCACCAAGGCAGTCTCGTTGGAAGCCAGTACAGTACGCTCGGGAAAAGCCAAAATCTGCTGCGCGAATGGGTCAACGGCAAGTGCAAGAACTGTTATTGACGCTCCAGTGAGTGTCAGAACATCCATTCGGATACCAGTAAAAATATTGAAGAGGATGTCCAGCGATCCCCACGGTCCACGGCTCGCCTGGTCCACGGCCTGCATGCTGTAGAGAGGCTTAGAGGTTGCGCCGCGATACTGATTCCATTTCAGCTGGCTGAGACAAGCGGAAACCGCGACGAGAAAAGACGCTTTTGCAATTGTGATAATGACGGAGACAATTGTGTTGGGCGAAACGGTATATTGCCAACTGGCATATGGCGTTCCATGGATCTTCGCAAGAAAGGCGACAAGGAGAGCAAGGCAGATGATACTGAGAAGGACAGCTCCAATTTCCCAGAGCCAGGATCCATTCCATTTGAGCCTACTCCTTCCTTTATGACCCTTCTCTGCCTCCTTTGGCCTCGCTTCCGTAGTATAATCGGGGATTTTCCCATGAATCGGTCTTGATATGGACTTTCCGATAAAAGTATATGATTTGCGCCCCGGGGACATGGGGATGAAGGGGAATATAAGACGTATTTAATGTCGTTGAATTAGCGATCAAGGATAATTATTTACAGGCTTGGGAGGGAGGGGTGAAGATTTATAACGGCAGCCATAGGGTGGGCTGCGCGCGAGGAATGCAGGGAGAGTCGTGACTTATGAGGGCGGCGGGTATTAGCGGGCGCTGATTAGTCGAGGGGGACAGACCCCTGCGCGCTTCGTTTCACTTCGTCTCTGAAGAGCATTTTGCACAGTCAAGAGACGCTTCATTGGTCGATAAGCATAGGGTCCGCCAAAGTACCCAAAACTTGAGGGGAAAAGCGCCGGTCTTCGTCCGACCTTTCCTTGTTTGGGGATCAAACTCGGCACAGTTGCTGCAGGTTGTCTATTATTATACCGCCAGCTTGTGTAGCCCCCTCAACCCATAAATTCCTCCTTAACCCGATCAGCTCAGTATGGAAATTCACTGTGAGCATTTATGAGCAGAACGGGGCAATTGGAAGGGTGAATAGTTTCGTGGAAGATAAGACTGAAGATGCAGCCCAGAAGGCACGCCGCCGGATGTTTTACAGAGTAACGTGACCTTAAGAACAAGCCTGGAACGCCCAGCCAAGGACATTTGAAATGATGATGATTATGACAGGGGGTCCTGCATGGTCGTGCTCTCTGGGGAACATGTCTCTGCCTCCCTCCTAACATCTAGTCGTATGGACTTGACTTTATCCAAAAGTACTAGCAGAATGAGTCAAGCCGACTAATTCTTTCCCTACGAAAAACATTAGCTTTGTTCGAAGGGACAGGCCCTTGGTGATGGATGAGACACTATCTGATAACAGGTCTCCTCCACGGAATAGTTCTGTCATTCATACACTGACGAGAGTTCCTCGACCATTTGCAGTAATTCTCGTATGGTTTTCCACTCCGTATGGGGTCGTAAGGTGGCATAGATTGACACTAGAGTATCAGAAATATGGTCGAGCTTATCTTCAACCTTTCTTAGAAGATACTAAAAGTTCTGCCTTCTACAGTAGCAGAAACATGGGCCTAGAACAACCGAATGTCGCTTTCGCAGAGCCTCCCCGAGAATTGCCGCATCGTAGCTTATAGCAAGCTGGAACGAGATCATCATAAGTGTCAGAGTGCGCACCTATAAACTTGTCAAAGGTAGTGAGCAACCGTTGCTTACCGCTGTTCATCCCACCGACGTTTGGGCCGGACTATATTTCAGCAATGATATCTGGCACTATAAGAGCGACCAAGTAAGTAGCAAGGAAGTCCTAGTACCAGCAGCAGAAGAAATAAGATCCCTCGTCGGCCTCAATGGCAGCCCATCTACGCTCATACGCTCCATGGGCCAAATTATTGGACGGAGAAGACCAGGAAGAAAACTTGAAAAGGATTCGAATTTAGTAGTCTGTACGGCAGAACAGCCAGAGACCATAAGAGACATCAGGGCTCTCGGGGACACCCCTGAATCTCGACACCAACGGGTTTGTCTATAAAAGATGCGAGCGGTCGGCTCCTGCACAAGCATACGATTGATCGGATCCAGAAAATAATAAAGATATCTTTCTTCCGGAATGAGACGCTATTCTGAAGGAGATCGCAGGAGTCGATGAGGTCCTGAATTTTAATTGAGAAGTGGGCCACACGGATATGTTTCTGACAACATCTTCTAGGCTAAGTTTCAATGATAGATCAGGAAGCGAAAGCGCGCAAAAGACTGACGGCCGAGAAACCCGAATCTGCAGGGGTTCGTCCAGCAGGTTCATATTGGTGTGTTTGAGTTTCCAGGTCCAAGTTGGTATGATCGACTTTATCGGACCAAAGCAGATGCCGACAGTATCTCAGACACACTGCTCACCCGGGATAAGATTGGGACTCCTATGATGGAGTGTATGAGAAATCATCTCCCGGAGGAATCTCAACACCTTTCTGGACGAGTGCGAATAATCAAGTGAGTTGAAACTTTGCGATGCCTCGGCGTATCTTGCCGAGGTTCTAATTGTGAGGAATAGCCTTTGGCGTCCAATTAGCGGACCCGTTCAGGATCATCCCATGGCTGTGTGTGACGGTCGAACCGGGGACGTATCTAGCCTGATCGGAACTGATATGATACGTGGTGATTATACGGGCACACTCTTCTATCCGCAGTATGAGTCGAGTCATACAGATAAGTGGTATTACATGAGCGGGCAGGATGTTGGAGATGTCCTTTCATTCAAGAGCTTTAATACGGAGGACGCAGTCAAATGTAAGTGGATTGACACCTTCATTATCAAGTTTATTGTGCTAGTCTATGGGTAATATTGTGGGCTGGAGAATCTACTACGGTAAATTGGTCTGACAAGACTTTGCTGCAGATACTCCGCACATGTCATTCACTCCGTCCGATGAGCCAGGCATGCGGTATCCAAGAATCAGTGCCGAGGCCAGAGCCTTGGTATCGTCAAGCTCCATCACTAGATCCTGTCCACTTTCACAGGCGACAAACACGCAAATACCCTTCAATAAACCTTGGAAGGTGACCATGTCATACACACCGTACTAGTACCCTTGGAAAAGATCCAACGGCCATGCAGTCGACTCAGCACAGTCAGGGATATGAGTTGATTGATGAATAGTCGATCCGGCTGAAACGGTACCTGTATCAGACTGGGGATCCATGGATCGTCTTCACACTATGAGAAGTCTATATCGAATAGAGGATGGAATTAAAAAGCAGTCACTCAAAGGAGGATGGATCTCATATTCACTTCTAGACTAAACTTTTGGCTTCGTCCACTCAGGTGCCAATATGGCATATCCGCCCTGTGATTGGAAGGATCGGATTGCTTGTTCCTGAACATCGTAATTTCGTTCCTGAATATCACATCGAGCTTATCACTTGGGCAGGCGGTCATGCTTGACGACAGCACCTCACCCCCCCTGAGGGTATAGACGATCGATCACTCCAGCAGGCTACCCGTCATTATCGACCCCCAATTTTATGAACTTCCCGCTATGTCACATTTCGCCCGCCCGGGCCCCACAGCTAAACGCTCGCGCCAACAGCGCGCGCCGCTCAAAAACAATCGCACAGTTCATCACGTCATCAGCCTAAAAAGCTTGGAAAGCAACGAGTGTCTCAATTTGATTGTGATCGAATTGCATATTTTACCACGCGAGCTGGGTCTAATATTTAGGATCATGTATTAGATGATTAGACGCCGGTCTCTGGGCTGCATGTGTTCAGGCCGGGAGGGTCCTGTAGTCGTCAGCGCCCCAACTTTAACCAGTGAAACCGTCGAGGCCGGGTGTCGATCGCTCGACTCGTCTGAGTCGACTCGGAGGCTGTACCAGGCGGAACACTCCGAGCAACATCTTTAGCCTCTACCGAGTACTACGCAGTAAAACCCTGTGTCACTGGGCCTTTTGGAGGCGCAGAGGAAAGAGGGGCCTGGACGGGGGCGACCCACTGGGTACAGCCACCTGCGCATTTTCCGTACGGTGTCGGGAAGGGGGAGGAGGGGAAGAGCTGTCGATAGTCAAGAGCCCCAAAGAACAAGAGCTCCTGGGCCCTGGTTATACGGGCCGAGGGGGAAGTTTCCATGGGTCTACAGTCTTATTTTTCCGGCTCGTGTATAAGATTGCCAGGGGCATTGGCACTATACGGGGTAGCTTTCGAGGCGTTTGGCCGGGCTGGTTTCAGGGACTGAGCACAACGACCTCTCCTGATTGTAGAATGTAACTCTGCAACTGTGCCGTATCTCTCCCTTGTGGAAATAAATGAAAAATCGTACCAAAAATCGTACCAAAAAGACGCCTCGAAGGAGAGAAATCACCGTTCGGGTGGAGGGGGCGTCTCCCTATTGGTCCTCTTCCCAGCTTGCGACCAATCTAAGATCTTCACTCCCCCTCGTTTAGGACCAATCACACCCGGGATGTCTTCACCTGCAAGGTAGAGATCCCCCCCCCCGTCTTCACTGGCGCCTTTTCACTGATTCCTCGCCTGAAACTAGCGGGGCCGTGATCATCGTTACCATTCACAGTAATACCAAGTCGCCTGTTCTCCCGAACCCGGGGTCTTTAGCCTGTTTCACTTTATGCGCCTCCCACACTGCACTCCAAAGTCATTGGGTGCCCCCTGGGCCCTGGTCTCCATGATGGTGCATTGCATCCCCACAGGAGTTGTAAAAAATCTGTATAGACTGACGAATATTGGACCATGCGTCTCGGTTTGCCCGTTCTCCACCCTTCAGGGACCCAGGGGAGGGGGTACATATACTCCAGAGCTCTCGCCGCAACTTTTCCTTCTAGCAAGCTAGTCTTCTGTCTCTCATTTCGTGCAGGTCACTCACTTCATCATCACGATGTTCACCCTTCCTCTCATTTTGGCTGCCGGCAGCCTCCCACTCATTTTTGGGGCTCCGATCGCATCCACTCATTTGAAGTCCTCGGACTCTAGTCATCCCTCAACGAGCGCAGCTCGTCTTTGTATGCCGCGGTTTTCGGTGGTAACGGTGATGTTTCTGACGGCTGGCCCGCCATGGATCAATGGATCCAGAGCTTCGACGATATGTTCGAAAGCAACAAGGCTGTGATGTCTGACAGCTGCGCCAGTGGAGCGTTCCTAACAACTCCGACGACGAGAACACCTCCATCAAGAACGCCATCAACCAGGTTGCCCAGGACACCGGGGTCGACGCCCGCTTCATCCTGTCCATCGTGATGCAGGAGAGCAACGGCTGTGTCCGTGTCCACACCACCGACAATGGTGTCATCAATCCCGGTCTGATGCAGAGCCACGATGGCACCGGTTCCTGCAACAAGGACGGCAATGTCCAGACCCCATGCCCCGATAGCGAGATTCTCCAGATGATCAAGGACGGTGTCGAGGGTACCTCGGCCGGTCCTGGTCTAAAGCAGCTCGTCGCCCAGGAAGGTGGCAGCAACCAAGCCAGTTCTTACTATAAGGCTGCCCGTGCCTACAACTCCGGCTCTGTGGCCCCCGACGGTAACCTGGGCCAGGGTGGCGCCACTCCTTGCTACTCGTCCGATATCGCCAACCGTCTTCTGGGCTGGGCCACCGGTGCCAGCACTTGCAACTCCAACATCGTCAGCACCCTCCTCGGCAGCAACTGGTCCGGTAGCAGCAGCTCCGGCAGCAGTGGCAGCAGCAGTAGCAGCTCTGGTAGCTCTACCTCTTCTTCTGCCCCCTCTGCCACCTCCAGCGCGGCCCCTGCCCCCGCGGCCACCACTGCTGCTCCGGCTCCAGCTCCAGCACCTGCCCAGCCTCTCCCTTCCTCGGCGCCAGCGCCCGCGGCGACCACCTCTGCTCCAGCTGCTAGCAGCTCGGGCGCTAGTGGCTACTACGGGAACTATCCCCAGGCCGTGTCGTCATGCCAGCAATACCACACCGTTGCCTCTGGTGACTCCTGCGACCAGGTCTCCAGCAAATACGGCATCACTTCGTCCAAGCTTGTCAGCCTCAACCCAGGATTGGATTCGACCTGCTCCAATCTCTGGAAGGGTTACGGTTATTGTGTCAAGGCCTAGAGCCCCTTCCCAACCCTTTTTATGTACTTCACTTCTTGATCATACTTTCTCTTCTCTTCTGGTCCCTTTTTTTTTGGAAAGGAATCCTTTTGACCATTTTTGACCTTCTTTTACTTCCTACAAATCCAGTGACTGCGTCACTGCTTTGTATGAAAGGGTGAACATTATGTACACATTTTTTCAAGAAAATGTCTCAGAGACAGTTGGTTCAGCGCATGGCGAGACCGGTCTTGCCCACGCTCTCCTCTAACCGACACGATTTCACGATAGCTTCTCAGCATTTTTTTTCTCTACCTTGATACAAACCAAGATACCACCGGCGTCCTACGTGCGGACAACAATACAATCGTTCAGAACACTCATCAATCATTCCTTGTAAAAAAAAGTACTTGTAATCTATCCAAGTGATACTTCGAGTATCACAAGGTAAAAGCAAATAACCCCCCCCCCCAAGCGCCACAACCTGCGCCCTATCTGCACTACAACCCTATGCGACCCACCCCTCACGTCAAGTTTCGTTCTTTTTTTTTTTTCTGCTTTTCTCTTTTTTTACAAAATGTCGACCCCGCAGGATAAACAGGATAAATTGCATAGTCGCCTGCTCATGCATGCGCAGAAGCCCGACTCCCGCGTGGGGGTCCCAAGCTCGGCGCGTAACGCCCGCCGCCCATTCGCCTTCGCCTCCCCAAGGTTCCCAACGGTCACAACGTGCGTTCTGATCGGACATGCCCCGTAGGGCTGAAACCGGATTCTGTGTTCTCGAAGTGCGCTAGAGATTCGATTGCGATTCGTTAGTTGGGGATATCCTTGCATGCTGTGTGATGGGGTGGGAATGGTGCCCAGGTGCGCTATAACCCCCCGCTGATGTGATCTGTAGTGTAGGCGCTTGTGGGAGCCAATCGGGGGATTGGAAGAGGGGAGGGTTATGGGATGTAATCTATTTGGCGCTGGATGGTTTCTTTCGCTTATGCAGTTTACATGGGGCGGGGATTCTTTTTGTATGACGGTTGCGTTTTGGCATCTGCTGGTGGATGTCTGGCTGCGGGGGTCAGGGACATGGATACTACGTGCCAGGGGTTGTAGAGTGATATTGGCAAGTTATGATGTAGTAGTATTCGCTTGACATTAGGCTGTGGGTTGACCGGGGTCCTGGAACAAGCTCAGGGAAGATCGATCATCACACTTCGATTTTCAGCAATTGCCAGAGCACGTCGAGAATGGCAGCTGTATCAAAGATAAGCAGAGGGCCCAGACTAATCTCAAGGCCACGACGCGAGGATATTAGAAGGATATTAGAAGGATATTAGAAGGATATAAGAAGGATATAAGAAGGATATAAGAAGGTTTGGTAAGCTCTCCGTTGGTTGGAGAGCGTTACGGGCAAAACGACTCAGTGGGCATTGGTGTGTGAGGTTGATTAGTTGGTATATGAAATATTGATGCTGACATGACCGATCATCAGGCGCTTTCTCGTGGGACCCACTCCTATTAATCGCTGCTATCTTCATCTTCATGCAATCTGTCTGTCGTTGGATTGAATTAAACATATGTAAACTCGTCGTGGGGCGCTTTCATGAAAGCCGTCTGGCGTCGATTGTCGACATCGACACAAGCAATGACAAAGAGTGAGAAATGGTCCGCCCTGCCACAAAGTTAGCTTTAACCTCTTCCCACCCGTACTGAAGAACCGGACTTACGCGACAAGAATCGAGAACACAAGCGCCGCAATACATCGCGCTCTCTGCTCATACACGAGGCGGTCGTATTCATAGTCATCATAATGCCCATAAACAGAAGTCCCGAACCCAGCAATCACGCAGATAAACACCGAAGCAGCGGTCAATAAAAGGTCGAAAGCAATCATGAAACCGGGGTGGGGGACGCATTTGAACGCCATGATGATGAGGACGATGAGAGACCAAAAGGCGCAGAGGCCCAACTATCAGATGTTTAGATATCGGATTTTGTATCCCATAGTTTGGGAGCCTTACCATCAAGTAGTACCAGAAAGCTGAATCAGGGAAGGGACTACCCGCCGCGATCGCGATGATCCCAAAGACCGAACCCCAGAGCGAGATCATGCGCAGGACAACGCGCCACACGCTTTTCTCCGAGCCTGGAAATGCCATTGTAAACGAGTGTGGGGTGGGAATAAACGAGTGTGTAGGATGTCCTGGGACTCCGTCGAGGTGTATGAATAAATAAAAGCTGGCCGCAGGATTGAGCGACCGCCAACCCTTTAACAGCCTTGTGGCGGTTTTGCGGACCCCTGCTGCTCGCCTCCGGGCCCTCTGTTAAGGAGCACTTTTAGCCTCGAGATAGCTCCTTGGCAGCATGAAATGGGCTGTGTGGGCTATCGTGATTGGTGCAACGGGGGCTAATTTGATGAGTCTGTTTCGATCTAGTCCTGTTCCGGGAAGACGTAGACCCTGTGCCCTCCATCGCTGCCATTAGTCGCAGGTGAAAACCGGATTTAGATGAGGCTGAAGCTCTGGAAATTGTGAGGGATTGCAGTTCGAGGCATCTCTCGCTTGAGTAAGTGCTTCTTCTGAGATGCGATGCGAGATATATGGAAGGAACAAGCAACAGTTGGAATGAAATTGGAGATTGAGGCTGTAGATGTGGCGGCTGATTGGTGCGCTTCGGCCCCAGTGGCTCTGTGGATGCCTGTTAGCGAGGACTAGGCCCGAGCACTAGGCGACGCGCATAAGGCAATGTGGAATTTTTGATCGCTAGTTGTAATTGGTATAACCACTAGAATAGAAGAGACCTCCAGGGTCCCCCCCCCCAAAAAAAGAGAAGAGAAGAAAACCAAAGTTGGAACTTATACACGGTCAGAGAAGACTGCTTGTACTACCCTCTTTCTTCCTAGATACGTAGTTAGGTTTTAACACCCAGCAGGTATTGTATATAAGTTTATTACAGGCACGCAATCTCAAACACGAACTGGCTAGGACGGCCACTAGATCAGTAAGGCACACCTGCAAAAACACACCTGCAAAACCGAGTCGTCAAGCTCGAACACACTGGCAAGTCCGCTGAAAATAGATCCCGATCATGAACAACGACCAGTCGCAGTCAGATAGACATCCTTTGATCAGCAAGTCGTGTCTAGATCAACACTGAGGCGAGGCAGGACTTACCAGGGAATCGTCGATCTCCGCAAATTGGTCCAGACATGCCTGTGGGTTCCCAAGAAAATCCCGATGGTCCCCAGACGCAATACCCCGGGGATTCCCCGAGATATCCCCAAGATCATGGCTCCTCCAGAGGAATCTGAGCAGACGCCCGCGCCGTCCAACAGATGCCGCACTGCCTTCGCCGGCGATTCATGTCGTACCCGAAAGCCTCGATGCGACGGAACGCGGCCGCGGTGCTCGCTGTGCCGACCTGGGTTCCGAATGCATTTATTCGCCGTCAACGACGGCGACAAACGTTATTATGCAGAAGGACTATTTACAGAGCCTAGAGGGCCGTGTGAGAGCTCTCGAAGAATCACTTCTCAGTGTTTGAAATGATATTTTTCTAACCGCCCATGATATTTCCTGGCTAAAGCACCACGAAAGTTCAATTCCTTGTCATGATAGGTCAATATCTCCACGGTACGCAAAAGTCCGTTCAGGCATGGACTATCCACGGATTAGCTGCAAGGGCAGCTCTCCAACTTGGACTTCATTCCCGGCATGCGTCGCAGCTGTGAATTCCAGTCCCATAGATCAAGATATTAGAAGCGTACGTGGTGGCTATGCGCCATGCTCGATGGGTGAGCTTATAGTCCACTATCCACTGTTCCTCATCCTAACCTTTCAGAACTCTGAGCATGGCGTTTGGCAGGCCGGCATCTATCCCCGACAATTATGCCAAGCTCGAACTTCCCTCGAAGCATCAACTCGAAATGCCACCTAGCTTGATTGACGAGAACACAACGTGCCTTAGCGTTTCCTTCTTCGGTTCGGCAATGTGAGCGAGACAATAGCTAGATCAAAGCTTGACCTGAGGCTAACCCTTTGTGCAGGACCCTCTACAAAGAGCTCTGGAATATTTTGGACCTCCTGTACGGTCTAAATATCAGTGTCAATCCTTCGCTGTCCGTCGGTGAAGCTACTGCCCATATTTCCAGAGTGAAAAAAAGGCTGATTGCATGGGAAGGGTCGCTCCCTCGGTCCCTTCAGCTTATCGGGTCTTTGGATCTTGATCTAATGACACGGGACTGACCTCCCGACCGGGAATACTATCCATGGAAATTTTCAAATCATTCTCATGCTGCTGATCCCGGCTATGGATGGAAGCACGATCGGTTGGGAGCTTGGTCGTTCTCCCTGTACTAAAGTACGGCGCTCTTTACTTCCCCCGTCCACCATAAAAATCCTCCATGATTTCTGTTATCTATCTATGCTGATAATCCATGTTCATGTAGCGTTCAATGCCGCTGATACTCATCGGCGCCCTCTGAATATCCAGGGACGCCTCTCTCAGCGAATCGGCCATGAGAGTCGAAGCACGGAGTTCAGAGAGATGTCCTGGCCGGGCAGTCAACACGCTTTCTAAACTCGACGATGGCAATCGCTTGGTTCATAAGTGTAGATATCTATTAGAGCATTTCAGGAAGGTCGTGGTCCATTCAGGTGAGTTGGATGCCGGTGTTTTAGCCCGGCGCATTTTCATACCCTCGAACGTCTTAATTAGGACTGACAGGGGCTACCAAAAGGGCTACTAGAAACAGATGTGCCTGATCAAGCGCTAGATCCCCAGTGGGTGTCTCAGTATCGTGCCTCTTTCCCCGGTGATGAATTCGATTTCGAGGCGTTTGGAATGGATCTGGGCGAGTTGATGATGGATGATCACCTCATTGCAATGATTGATTGCCCCGGCCCACTATCAGATCCGGGGCCTGCGTATTTGGGTAAGATCTTGTGCATTATCTTTGCAGAACTGTATAACAGCGTTATCAGTCCGGGACGGACTTAAGAGATAAGCGGACGACGGGCTGAACAGGGAGATCATTGCGCGAGAATACCTGGCAACAGGGTCTGTGCTATGGGCCTTGGCGACTGGACCCCAGGGGGTTTCGGCCTTGGATCTGTTGAGAAGACTCCTAGACTTGGAATTGATAGAATCCCCATGGGGCTCATGATGATAAGAGCGCATCCAGGGTTCGGCCCCTTTTTGCTCCGCCAAGCTCATTAGAGCTGCATGGCGGTGCCGATCTAGGCGATCGCAGAATCCGGGGAAATTAGTGTGGTATCCAGAGGCTGCAAGGTTGCTTTCCTATTCCTTGGCCTTCCCCCTGGACTGACATCACCCAGTGGCCATCCCAAACTGCAGGGATCTTTGTTTTTGAGGGCTGCGACCGTGTGATCGAGCCCCGGGAATCCCCGCGTTTTCGGTCACACATTCCCAGAAAATACGGAGTAAAGGCTGGCCAGGCCTGGTAGGCCCCCTTCCACCCGTCATCGTCCCTACACCAAGAATCCAGCTGCTATCTACCACTTTGATACCCCTCCTGCGTCTATGTCTATACTAAATAGATACATGGGCTCCCGAGTGCCTACTCTTGTATAATGTACCTCCATTGTTATATTACGATTCACATCATGATTACGCAAGGAGCCGTTCAGCTGGGAGAAAGTGGAATCATGGAGTGGGTGGCTGAACCGGCGGAAGACTAATCATACCGGAGAAACCGTGGAAACCGGGAATTGGAACTCGAACTATATTGTGCCTCCGGGCAATATACAAGTAGCATAGAAGGGCGCCGGTCGCTCCAGTGAGTCACAGTATGTCAGTGGCAGCAAAAGATCCATGCAGCCCTACGCGAAGCTCCTCGCACAAAAACGTAAAAGCTGGTGAATAGCGGTGAACTTGGTTCATTTGGCCGTTCCCGTGCGGGATCCAATCGCGATCATCGCATTCCCCTCCTTTTCGTGTGCTGGCAAAAGGATTCGGCTTTCAGAAAAGTGCGCAAAATTCGCTTGCCTTGATTTTTTTTTCTGAATAGTCTCTACCCTTCGACTTTTCCTTTTCCCCTTTCCCAGCTCCCATCTCCCATCGCCTATCGCCCATCGCCCATCGTCCAGCGCCTCCCCCTAACACCGCAGCCATCTTGTCATCCCTGCGCAAATTCAGATCCACCCCGACTTACCCCCGACTTACCCCGGATTCGGCAGGCTATGTTCCTCCGAACCTCTTAGCTAGCGCCCATCCCCCCCAAGGTCGACCGCCATGAGAAGACCGAACCCCTTATGGGGGAATCGACTCTATTTTCAGTGAATTTTGTGCTCTACGATTGCGCAACTCGCCGGAGGCTGTGGTCGGCATGGAAAATCGCCGACCCGCCACCCTGGGCGTGTCAATCGTCGTCTTCGTGATCGCAAGCCTGTTTGTCGCCCTCCGCTTCATCTCGCGCATATTCCTCGTGAAGAGGGTTGGGTTACATGACTATCTGATGCTGCTCGCATGGGTACGTGGTCTCGGACGCCTGCGTCAATCGACTCGAACTAGGGAGGTTGGCTTACGCGTCAAACGGGAGAACCTCTCTATTGCTTCGGCTCCAATCTAACTCTATTCATCAGGTGATCGACTTTGGATTCTCCTTCTCTCTATTTTACGCGACTAAATATGGCCTCGGACTCCATGAGAGCGATGTGCCCGATGCAAAGGAGCCTGGGTTGAACAAGGCAAACTATGCTTTTACGGTGCTCTACGTACGTTCAGGGGATTGACGAGGGTCGCTGAATAGCTACGATACTGATTGGTTGCGCTAGAATCCGGCGCTCATGGCCGTCAAGACATCCATCCTCGTATTTTACTTGACCTTGACACGAAATCAAAAGGTGTACCGATGGGCAAATTACATCACGATTGCGGTTGTGAACATAGCCGGCCTTGTGCTGACATTTGTCAATGTTTTCCAATGTCGCCCGGTGTCTGCTGCATTTATGGCAACCCTGCCGGCCAATGCGCACTGTACTGACATCCTCACTCTCTACCTGTCCTCCTCACCCGTCAACATCATAACAGACCTTGCGATTCTTTTCTTACCCATGCCACTCCTGACGCAAATGCACCTCCCTACGAAACAGAAAGGGATCCTTGTTGTCACGTTCAGCTTCGGATTCTTTGTCGCTGTCGTTGATGTGATTCGGATTGCTTTTCTTCAGCAAGCTGCTACCTCGCGACAGCTGGCGTTGAAGTCAATCCACATCCAAAATGGGGGCACTGCAGACTTTAGCTGTAAGTCATGGTTACGTGCTGGTGGAAAAAAATGGATAGATTGAGCTCTTGTACTGATACTCGTCATTAGGGTATGCATCTCTCTCGTTTATGTGGTCAGTCGTCGAAGTGAATGTATCAATCATCTGCGCATGCGTCCCGAGCCTCAAACCACTCGTCTCTCGCATCATGCCGAAGCTGATTAAAAACACGAGCGACGCGTCTAACCCTAATGAATATTACGCGACAGGAGAAAATGACATCACTCCGCCACAGCCTGCCATGGTTGCTGGGGGTCAAGGGCAGCGGCTCTCATCATCTCCAGCAGAGAGTACTGGAAGCAAGCCGAGCCAATCCAGGAGCAGCGGACACTCCTCCAATCAGCGTGATTCAAATGCTCCAGTCACTCTGCTTGACATCCTAGGCCACCCCCGAGGGCCACCCCGAGGACCACCCCCGGGATGTCGAGGCAACTACACACACCAGCGCCTCCTATGCTCCTAATATGACATTTTTCGACTTTGTCAACATGAGAGGCCCAGAGAGCATGCTGAAGTTGAATAATCGGGAATCGATCGCACCCAATGCCATCACAACCCTTCTCTTCTTTCTATGGGGGTTTGCATATGGCTTGCTCGATATCCTCAATTCCCAATTCCAGAAAATTGTTCAGTTGGATGCTTGGCATTCCTTGGGGCTACACGCAGCATACTTCGGCGGGTACCTCCTTGGACCATTGCTCATCGGGCGGCCAGTTTTGAAGAGCTGGGGCTTCAAAGCTACTTTTATCACAGGGTTGTGTATCTATGCATGCGGGGCTCTCATCTTCTGGCCATCGGCTGTTCTCACGTCGACCGTGGCCTTTACGATCTCCAATTTCATTGTTGGTTTGGGATTAGCTGTATTGGAGACTGCAGCCAACCCATTTATCGCTCTCTGCGGGCCTCTTGAAAACTCGGAGATTCGTCTCAACATCTCACAAGGGGTGCAGGCTATTGGCTCGGTATTGTCGCCGTTGTTGGCGAAGAAAGTACTCTTCAAGAGCGTCCAAGACGTTGCATCCCTAGTGAACGTACAATGGACGTACTTGGGGATTGCACTCTTTGATTTCCTCCTTGCCGTGGTATTCTATTACCTGCCGCTTCCCGAAGCGTCAGACGATGATCTGGAAGAGCTGGCGAATCGACGGCGCGAAGACAATCACACCAAGGTGGCTGGTATACCAGTAGTCTGGCTGACCCTGGGCCTAGGCCTGTGGTCGCAGTTCTTTTACGTAGCTGGGCAAGAAGTCTTAAATACCAGCGTCGAAAGCTTCGCCATTGATGCTCGACCCACGACGAGTCTATCCCCGTTCGACATTCTCACGCTGGGCCATGGCATGTTTGCCATTGGTCGTTTCCTGGCGGCGTTCGCTCAGTGGTTCCTCAAGCCTCGTTGGATCCTTCTGGTGTCATATATCGGCATGGTCGTGTTCGCTGTGCTGTGCATGAACACCACGGGCTCGAGCGCCATCGCCATGGCCATGCTGGTCTTTTTGTTCGAAAGCGGTGCCTATAGCATCATTTTTGCCATCGCTTTGCGCGGCACCTCGCGCCATACGAAAACCGCCTCGGTCCTTCTCACGATGTGCGTCAGTGGAGGCGTCTATTTCCCCTTTGCCCAGTACGCCGCCTATCTATCCCACGGCACCGTCCGCTATTCGTACTGCGTCCTGGTGGCCCTCTTCGCTGCGGGAGCCATCTTCCCTCTCTACCTCAATCTGGTGCCCGCGGTGAAGAGACAGGTGGACCCGGTTCCTAACGAGTACCTCCGACGTCACCACCGCCGCAACCGCCCGCCGCTGGAAGTGATCCACCGCGAGAAAGAGAACCGAGCTAGCGGCGGCGTCTTCTCGCGTCGTCGCAGCGTTGTCCCGGGTCCTGACCACCTTCCCGACCTTCCGTTTCCCGGCGAGGCTCAGCTCAACATACCCCCCAGCCTACCCATGTCCCGGTCAAGCTCTAGCTCCCAGGCTAACTCTCGCATCTCTCACAATCCGCTTCAAAGACCCGTCGCTATCAGGGAGTGACGGCCTTTTACCCATTCAACCGCCCCTGCACATACTTCATGAACGTTTGGTATGATCTGTCGCCCGCTTTACGGAGTAATGATTTTATAGATACCCCCCTTTTTCCTATTCTGCGTCTCGGTCGGTTTCAGACTAGGGCTGGCTTTTGTCCCAATACCCCACGGTGTTCTGGTTCTGATCTTTCTGCTTTTCTATTTTCCGAGATCTTTGCACGCATTTGAGCGACGGAGTTGAGGGACCCCCCAAAAAAAGAGCTTCATTAGGAGAGCCCTACCATAGCCTGATAGCTTTCCCAATACCACCATCGTATTTCACGACTTCATATTCCTACACTCCTGTGAACGGAAAAGCCCAGAATTCGCAAGCTGAATCCTCGAGCAACGTACGCGTAAACTTCGGGAATTCCTTCAGCTTACACATTCGGATCCGACAGACCCCCAGAAGCCCGAAGATTCCCCAAAAGCAGCAACCAATGCGGACACAAATGTCCCCACGTTCAGGTTCAGAATCCACAAAGCCTAAGTATCGGAGTTTCACCGCGAAACCTCAAAACTCTTTTTTTTTGCCCCAAAAACACCCCCACTTCCCTGCAACAGCCCCCATCAGGAGAAATGGTAGACCTAATTCCCCAATTTGCCGAGCCATATTCCCCCAACCACGCGAAGGACCGTTAGACGGGGTCCCCGACCCATAATGCCTAGCCCGTTCTGCACCGGCCACGGTATTTACTCTAAAGCCCTCAAACATCGGAATCAATCCTCGTCTTTGGGCCAGAAACCGCAGGATAACCAATCATCGCGAAAGTAGAAGTAGACAGAGCGCGTCAGACACGAACGCAGCACGTACCACGCAGCACGCACCACCCCGGACTAGCGCGACCACTTGCCCAAAGCGTGCCGCCCACTGATTTACGCTGCAGAACAGGGGGGGTTGCCGCCTCGGGCGCTGCCCTCGGGAATAACGAGAGGGCAACAAAAAAAAAAAAAGGGACGAGCTTAGTCTGGGGAATCTTGTGCGACACAGCAATGTACTCTCTAACGGAGCAGTTACTCGAAAAGCACAGGAGGGGGTGGGGGGGAGGGCGAGAGCAGAAAAGGGGGCGATTGAGCCTCGCGGCGATCGTGCAATTCCATCTGCCAGGGTGATCTCGGAGAATTACATCGGCGGCAGGTGGCCAATGATGTTTTTTGATGCGGTGGAGGGAAGAGGCTCCACGCCGTTAGCGCCTGGACTAGTGGCTTTGTTCAGCCACGCCACTTCTCTCGTTTTCCCCCCTTGCAAGGGGAGCGGCGATGATGGGGTTTCCCGAAAAGGGGGAGTGGGAGAGAAAGGGCTTCCGATGATTCGGGGATCGGATATGTGGAATTGTGGATTTTAGGGCGCCAAAGGAAAAAAAAAGGAAAAAAAGAAAAAGAAAGGAAAAGGAAGAAAAAGGGTTGCAAAGCTCCGCGACGTCGGGAAGGACCCAGGTTCTGGCCGCGGGAAAAACTGTTCTATACGATTGGCAGGTTTTTCTTACTGGCGGGTTATGAACGTCCTAATCAGTCGCCGATTTTTCGAGGAGTTGCGTTGAGGGCTCGCGTGGGATGCTTGATTGAGGTAATAGCTATGGGAATATGGGGGTGCGGAAGATGACGAGCGGTGTCCCGGTGGTAGGGGAACAATAGAATTCGTCGAGGTCTAAATGCTGTGAAACACGAACTGGCTGGAAGTAACCAAGGGACCAAAACCCTTGAAGCTCGGATTGGATCTGGGGAGTCCACATCGGAAAAGCGCAAACTAGTGGGGTTGTGAAGGGGGGGCCATGGGAAAGGGCAGAACGATTCACGGCCCGGACCATAATTGGAATCATCTGGGTAGCATTGCGCGAGCAGATGGTATTTGGAATCATACAGAATCCTAGCTTGTCAAAAACCAATATAGGAGAAGATAGGAGGCCTAGAATGGAATTTGACTCCCCCCCCCCGTTGGTTCTAAACAGCGCCGTGACTGGTCGTGAGGGCGTCCTGGCGCGGTGCACCGACTAGCAGCGGCAATGATTGACGGCCATTATTGCCCTTTGGCTCCAGTCGTGCGGCCGACTTCCCTCGCGAAGCCGGCCGGATGACGTTTTTCTCTCGTGTGGCGGCGATCTGCAACCGCCTATGCATCGTTTCCTCGTTCTTCTTTCGCTGTCTCCGCATGCTGGGGTGGCCTTGAAAGGGGGGGGGTGGCATGTGCTGGAACCGATAGGACTACCACGTAATTTGGAATCCGGGTTTTTTCCAATTTCTCACCCTCCTTTCTCCTTTTTTTTTTTGGAGGGGTCGCTAATTGGTCTAGATCCGAACCAGGTCGCTCGGACACTGCCCATGACAAGGGATCGTCTTGTAGAGGTCGATCGCGCGGGAAAGCCTAGGGATCGGAGGAAGCTCCTCCCCTTTCCCCTGAGAGCTATAGGACCGAATTGATGAACGGGTAGAATGTAGTGGTTTCTGTTTATTGGCAATAAAGAGGTATATGTTCGTAAGCTCTAGTCTTGATGCGTAAGAGTAGTCGCAAATTAGAGTTCCCCGGGAAGGTAGATGCACAGAGAGCCGGAGATAATTTAGGTCACCACCTCTGATCTGGCGAGAGAATATTCGTAGTGAGAAAATGCTGCAGGAGCAAAGAAGCAGAGAACACCTCGCTAGATCAATGGACTCAATTGACAAATGGGACGCCGTGTCGCCAATCCAGTAGTTATGATGCCCGCTCCCGGGGCAAAGGCGCCAAAGATTAAAAAGTAAACGGTGAAGAACAAAGGGTGACGAGGGGGAGGAAAAGTGGGAGCAGCAGCTTGCTCAACCGCGCGAGCTTCGAGGGCGAGAATTTTGTGATGAAGAGTCCTGGAGAATGTCCGGTGCACGGGGCCCTACCATCCAATCTTCCATGGCGAGCCATTCGCTCCAACTGCGCTCGGCCGCTTCGATCTCCGCGTCCAGCGGTCCTTGGAGTGGGCGTAAGAATGGAATGGTTTCCAGTGGTGACATGTCGTAGCTCTTTTTCACGGACGCCCATCCGCCACTCTTGGCGGCAAATAGATAGTTCCGACGTTCTTGTTCGTGCAAGGGCCCGACTCCGCTGCCCCAGTCATCGCCAAAGAACCCGTGCAGCACGCCGGGAAAGTCCATGCCAGTTGCTACCAGCCGGCGGATATATGGAATCAATGAGACGGCCGGTGGACTTGGTGGGTTCAGGTCTGCTGAGGATGTGGACGGCGCTGTGCTTGAGTTGAGGACCGGGTTGTCTTGCTGCTGGAAGGGTAATCGAATATTCAAGAAGGCGGATAAAGCTTGGACTGGGACACTATGTTGGGCATGATCGAGGAAGTATCGCACGCAGCTCTGATAGCGGGGATACCATTCGAAAATGTCAAAATTATCGTCTGTTCGCCCAGGAGAAGCGCCAGCCAGGCCGATCATGGTGGCCGGGTCGAAATGCGGCTGGGAGTTCATGCCGGATGGGTGCTGAGGAGGCTCTACCGGAGGTCTGTAGAAAGGATCATACTCTTAGCGATAAGCTCTTTTTCTTTTTGGTCTCTTCGTCGGCACTGAAATCTCTGGGGAAAGCCTTGAGGCCCTGGTTTGCGCTGCCTTTGGGGGGTTGGGATCTCAGTGGGGTCGGTTCTTGGCCTGAGGGAGCCGTATTGACCGGCCGAAACGCCAATGGAGAGTGAACGAATCGGGCCACAGTCATAAGGGGGGGAGACAGTAGGGACTAGCCGCGTGCCAGTGGAAGAGGGAGAGGGGGGGGGGGGAGAAGATACTTGGTTGAGAAGATATCCCTACCTCGACGAACCAGTACAGAAACTCGTCGCCGTGGGGAGGGATGCGCAGGAGAGGGCGGGGGAGCAGAGCGGAATAAGCCTCGAATAGCCCCGAATCCTCGGCCAGGTTGAGACTTATTGAGGGACATCGGTCAGAGAAGGGCCATTGAAGAGAATGGAATCTCATGGCAGGGTCGAGGGGGTAAGGACCAAAAGTAATAAAGAGAGTCCCATTGGGGGTTATGCGAATGGACAGCAGACATACATGGTATAAAGAGACCCGGAGAAGAGCAGGAAACAGGGAAAACGAACGAACCACAGAAGCGCAGAGAGCGAGAGAAAAGGATGAGGTCAAAAGAAAATGGAAAGTTTATTCTGGAAGGTCCATAGAAGGAAGAGGAAAGGGAAGAGAATCGTGCGGAGAGTGGGTTTGGAATTGTATACGGAATATTTTCCTCTCGGTCTTTTGACTTCTTTAGTACGATTTATTTTTTTTATTTTCGCTTTTAAATCGGATCCATCAGAACGGGTCTATCCGGTCAGGCCAATCAGTAGGAACGCGGTCCATCGTCCCTACGATCTCACGGTCCATGGGTCGAGGTGGGTACACGTTCGATCTCGTAAACGACGATTATTGCGCTGAGCCTCTGAGATTGTGGTACCAAAGGAAGCCCGCGTTGCTTGGCCGAGCCTGGAATCGTGGGTGTTTTGAGAGGGGCATCAGGCTGTAAAACATCCGAATGAGCCTCCAGAGAACTACTCAAATAGGGAATGGAGTTGACTACTTTAGGTACTAAAATTTTCTGTTTGGAATTCTTTTTTTTTTTTCTTCTTTTTTTCTTTTTTTTTTTTTCTTTTCTTTCTTTCTTCTATGATTTTTTTTTCCCTTGGTCATGATTTGTATTATTTTGCCCTTCTATCGAAAGCAAGACCGTAGCCCTGGAAAAACCACCTGCGAGTCCCTTCAAAGGGGGCTTGTGAATTGCACCACCCCAGGCCCTGGACACTGCGAGGCTGACATCCTTGCGCCGAGGACGCCACATCATTGAGAGAGATCTCATCCCCCAGATTCTCATTCCCATTCGTGGGCGAGATCAAGACGCCGTCGATTCTAATTAATATCCCTACCCACTTCCTGCCACTTCCTGGGATTTTCTTCTTCGATGCCCGAGGGCACCTTGTTGGGCACCTTGGCTTATTAAACAATTCGTTTTTAGCTCGATCTCCAAAGTATTTCAATTCCATCCGGACCGGATTCCAGGAACCAGGACCAAGGGAAGAAAGGGATCGCCCTAGGCTGTGTTCGACCGAGACTGCCGCAATCTAGACTGAAGCTGGGTTACCGCTGCAAGGCATGGTCGTGACTGAAATTATGATCGGTCCACGAGGACAATTGGGCCCTGTGGGTTTCAGGGTATCTACCAGATCGTCGGCAAAACAACCAAGTAGTCGCGTCACGGTCCTCCCCCACCTCATATATTGGCCATGTGGTCCTCGCTTTCCAGATTAGGCCCGAAGGTCCTGCATCCACCTCCTCGTGGTTGGCAAGAATATGTCTTATCAAATCTGCCTCTCTCCTTTCGCCTAGCACTGCTAGTGTGGTGGGAAGAGTAGACGAACATTCAATTGAAGATCATATTCTATATTTATCGCCTGGAAAGCCACCCCCTTTATTACTTGTATGCGAAAAAGCCGCTTACCCAGCAGGCTGAGAGCTGACTTTTGCGACCGTGGGTCTATCCCTGAGAAGGCTCCAGCGAGAAATGGGCTCGTCGGGGGGAAAGGTCGTATTTCGATGACGATCGAGGGCCCTTCTAGAACCTGAGATGGCTTCAACCCGGCACCTTGCGAGTATCCATAGATCCTCTTCGAGCCGATGGGGGTTCTCAATGGTGTTTAGGGTTTCCCACGATGATCTTCAGAAGGGCGCCGAGCAGGGACCAGCTGCAGCTACTTTTCAACCCCCTTTTGAAGCGGAGCCCACGACGTGAGGCCCAATCGTCGGGGCCCCTGGATGAGAAAGTGACAGAGCCGATCACTGAGGGGCGGCCTTGCCCCCACAATTCTATCGAGGATTACGAATCAGGTCTTCAAGAATCGAGAGCTCTAATCGATTGGAGGAAAGGAGGCGAAATCCCCTTTTCCTGGAGGGAAGCCTGGAGATGCGGCGGGGCGTGACAGCTGCATGAAATCTCAGCTCGGTTTTCGGGCTTCGACCCGTATGGCTGTTCTGAGCAATTGCTCCGGTCCTGTCTTTTTTCTTGGACTCTTTTCTCCTCTCTATCTGCATCTTCTTTGATTGGCTTGTCAGAGTCCCAGGACTACGTCCTGCCAATTTGCCACTTGCGGAGTGGTCAGATCCACTTCTGACCCCCTCCCACAGCACAGCTGTGGTCGCGTTATGGGGGGGCGGTCTTTTGTTTGGTTCTTAGTTCATATTGTGTTATGCATAACGGTGTTCATATCATCGGCACAACTCCGACAGTCCAACATAATCGACCTCGCTTCTGTGGCCCTCGGAATACCGTTCAGTCAGCGCCCCTTTTGCCACTAGATATCCGATATCCTCGTTTGGAAACAAGGTTAGAGGCACAGTTGCCGCATGGGCTCTGTGGTCCCATTCCAGGATATGCACGACGACTATCGTGGATTGCGGCAGACCCGCAAGGTCTGATCTCGCTCCCGCACGTGATCGGACTGTTGACACGAAACAAATGAACAAGCAATCCGTCTGCCCCAGCTTACCAAGTTTTGAATCCACGAATAGATGAGAGAATGGCTCTGGAAATTGGGATAATAAATGCTATCGGTTTGGAATAACCGACCTCACCGACGGCACAACCCGTTTGTTCTAGAGCGCGCCTTCGCGCATCAAGCACGCGCCATCCAAGCACGCTCCATCCAAGCACGCGCCATCTATCTCAGCCCCTGCGCTGCTGCCCAATGCATCATATCATGTTCCTCATGATGGATGTTCCCTAGTGCCGAATCCGGCAGCAACACCGGTCATTCAATCTTGGTTCTTGAGGATCCATCCGATCCCTTTCGCTAGCACCATGGCCCTCGACCCAATCGCAGCCTCGGCAACAGCGTCACTGATCAGTTTAGCTCTACCGAGTACCCGGGCACTAAATCGTGATTCAGCGACTTGTCCTGCGTCCTGCAATAAAGGGCACACCGCGCCGGCTCTTCCTTAGAGCATGGATGCGTGCAGGACACGGAGTACCGTCGTGCCCTATGAAATCTACATTCGTGGTTGCGCGCTACTGTAGATACCAATATTAGTTCTGGCATGGTAGCCAATGACCCGCTGCGCCCCTCCCCCCCCTTCCCGGGGCGATGAAATGTGATGGATCGACTTCATCCCGCCGATGTCCACTTCACACTGCGTTCGGCCATAACACGTGCCCGAACTCTCTAGATCCTGTACACAATTCTCCGAAGACTCCGGTAGATCTTTCGAGACGATCTTGCCACTCGCATCTTATTCTCCGATCCGAACCTGGTGAGCAAAGATACGTCGACTAGGACCCTGCGGAGAAGGATCACTTGGCTCGGCCGACTGGATACCCGGAGGGCACTGCTACCATAGCGTGTAGATCTCGAGTAAAGCAATTTGTCATTAAAGAGCTCAGACTCTGTCTGTGCCCTTGATAGGGAAACCGGTTCGAATGTTGAACGCCATATGAGTTTCAGGGGTTCGCGGTGACTTGCGGAGGCTGCGGAATCCGCCGATTCCCTTGCCCGTACTTTTACATTGTACTTTGGACGAGCACTAGCCACTGTGGCTGGGTCGGGTGGAGAAGGGTTCCTCGTCTTGGGATTCTGTTTCTCCAGGGGCATATGGTACCTGGTTTCTAGTGGCTTTGGTGCTTGCGCCGGAGTCCGGGGTAGCGGGGCTCTGAGACCACAATATGTGGGGTCGACATGCTCCCTGGGCTGGTGGATTTGCTCGAACGCATCCACTGTGGATGGGCTATGTAGACCTGTTGTTGCAGACAAATGGGATCACTAGTGCTTACAGTTGGAAAAAATTCAATATAGAGTTAACAAACTAGAAAGGAAGTTATTGTGGGTTGCTAGGACATCGAAACTCATTGCCAGTACACTGTCTTCTCGAAATGCATGGGCACTTCGAATCAACAGACGTGAAAGGATGTCTCCAGGGAGAGAAGACGCGCGTGGTGGAAGCTTAATTATGGATTCTTTGGGGGCTAGCTGGCGCTCCGCTCCCTAGTATGTTCACCTATTCATTGATAGAGAAATTGCTGCGCTAGATCTTACTAGTACTGGCAAATCCCAACCCAAGTCACGAGGGAATTTCTGCAGCTTCAGATTGATAAGATCAGGGCAAACCTTCCAACCTTGGAAACATGGAGGGACCAAAGTTTCTTTAAGCCGAGAGTCGGGGTCTCCATTGGAGGATCTTTCGAATGGGGCGCCCCGGTTTGGTGCCCTACTCCAGGCTGAGGTTTGCAAAAGCATCGACTCCGGAATCGGCCCTCGCCTGGCAATGATGAAACAATAATCATGGCAATTGCCATGTCGATCCCCAACTGTGAATCACCATCGCCTTACTGGAAAGTCCTTACTCGCATTCGAAGTCCGAGAGGGGCCGTCGCGCATTTACGGTCCGGACTACGTCGTTCGCGGCGTCGGAGGAGCAAAGTCTCATTTTTGGTGTTTGATCGACAATGAGGGGCGTTTGCAGCACCGAGGTACGGGCAAGAGTATATACGAAGTCATGCGTAGCGCCACTCAAAGATTAGAAAAGCAGTGGCAAGGTGCATTGAACGCCGTTGCCGCCAATATTCAGGGCCACTAAGAAAGCACCTCCTAGGATTAACCTCGTACTTGGCATCATAAGACGATGGGGCTCATGGGGCGGCCCCTAGCACCGGATTCGCGGGGTTAACAGAATGACAAAGCCTGAGCAGCGTTAAGCGCCGTGACGTCGGTTAAGAAGTTTGATTCGGGACTTTTAATGCCATGGTAGCATGACATGGTAGTACAGCCTTCAAATGTCGGACTTGACCTCGGACATTACTATGGCGTACGGAGTGCCTCGCTAGCTGTAGCACCTACAAGAAAAAAAAAGAAAAAAAAAACTGGACCGATCGGCACTACCCCTCCCTCTGGTTGGAGGGGTAAATATTTCAATCGGGCGAGAGTGAGTGCCGAATACGGGACTCGGTGTGGGTAAACGCATAATTTCTTCTTTCTCCGGGCTGGAAATATGGGGAGGGACTGGGGAGAGGGGGAGGCTAGATAGTAAATTCGCAGCCAGTGTGGGTGTTCCTGTGAGTCAAATGGTTTGATGAAAAGAATAGACATCAGATAAGGTGTAGTGGGGCTGGTCGAGTGTTCCGACCATTCTAAAGGCTTCGTCTAGGAATCCTCTGCAATATCCGTCCCTGCTGTCTCTGTCCCTGTTGACCCCCAGGGCTCCACCCAAGTGGCGCTTCGACGCGGTGATTCGCTGTTTGCGGAGGGGTACGCACGTGACCTCAGCCGAAGCGGGCAGTTGGTGGCATGAAGATCTGCTGCCTCGGCGTCTCCGCGTCATCGACAGCTAGAAAGCCATTGGACTTGGTCGAAGCATTAAGGGAAGAATTATGTGCAAAGAGCCCTTCGCGATTCCCGTCTACTCCGCGGGAGACATGCGAGGCCTCGCCAGTCGGAGAGGACCGATCCGTATAGGAAAGACCACTAGGCACGAAATTGAGCCGGGGAACCAAGCCATGACCCTAAGAATTCGAGTGCGGGTCAGTCCTCTGGTGCAGTCGAGGGCTGTGATTTGCCCCAGCAGGTAGCGGCTACCAGAGATAAGCAGCATTCTGTGACCTTAATCCATAAGATAAATCGGCCGGGTGGGGCCCCGAAAGTCGGACGTTTCTACTCTTTCCCGGAGCTGGAGACGTGAAGCTCGTGTTACCTCTTCGAATCACCGGTTCGTAGACGCAGTCTCCCTTCCACGTTATGCCCATCCGACTCCGGCTGGCGTATATAACTCTGCTCCCTCCCCACCCGCTTTTCTCTTTACTTTGTCCTCCATCCCTTCCCCGCTTCAATCTAACCCTTTAATTGATCACAGCGGATCATCTTGAAGCCGGACAGAGAAAAAGAAACTATATTCTCATACTCCCGCCATAATGACTGCCACCAACCTCCCCAGCGAGCCCGAATTCGAGCAGGCCTACAAGGGTATGTTGCAAATTCTGCTGCCAAGTGAAAAGCTAGACAAGCTGCCTCATTGGACTCTGGCATCGTGCATGTCTCGGGTCCCATTGAGCTTGTGATCGGCTCCTCGGCAAGTGGCTTTTTCGGGGAAGAAAATTCAAGCTGACCATTGGGCGTCACAGAGCTCGCTTCGACCCTCGAGAACTCGACTCTCTTCCAGAAGAAGCCTGAGTACCGCAAGGCTCTCCAGGTCGTCTCCGTCCCCGAGCGTGTGATTCAGTTCCGTGTGGTCTGGGAGGACGACAAGGGTCAGGTAAGAATTTCTGCCGATCTCGGCCGGACCAGATCTGGTTCGGTTGCATTGGAGAACAGCCCTATTGATACATCTTTAACAGGTCCAAATCAACCGCGGTTTCCGTGTTCAGTTTAACTCCGCACTCGGTCCTTACAAGGGTGGTCTGCGTTTCCACCCCTCCGTCAACCTTTCCATCCTCAAGTTCCTCGGTTTTGAGCAGATCTTCAAGAATGCCTTGACCGGCCTGAACATGGGTGGTGGTAAGGGTGGTTCCGACTTTGACCCCAAGGGCAAGTCCGACAACGAGATCCGCCGCTTCTGTGTCGCCTTCATGACCGAGCTGTGCAAGCACATTGGTGCGGACACTGACGTTCCCGCTGGTGACATCGGTGTCACTGGTCGTGAGGTTGGCTACATGTTCGGCCAGTACAAGAAGATCCGCAACCAGTGGGAGGGTGTGCTCACTGGTAAGGGAGGCAGCTGGGGTGGTTCGCTGATCCGTCCCGAGGCCACCGGCTACGGTGTCGTCTACTACACCGAACACATGATCAAGCACGCTACTGGCGGCAAGGAGTCCTTCGCCGGCAAGCGCGTTGCCATCTCTGGCTCCGGAAACGTTGCCCAGTACGCCGCTCTGAAGGTCATCGAGCTCGGCGGTTCCGTCATCTCTCTGTCCGACAGCCAGGGTGCTCTCGTCCTCAAGGGCGAGGAGGGCAGCTTCACCCCCGAGGAGATCAACGCCATCGCCGCTATCAAGGTCGAGCGCAAGCAGATCTCCGAGCTCGCCAACACCTCTGCTTTCAGCTCCAAGTTCAAGTACATCCCCGGTGCTCGCCCCTGGACCAACATTGTCGGCCGCATCGACGTTGCCCTGCCCTCCGCTACCCAGAACGAGGTTTCCGGCGAGGAAGCCAAGGCGCTGATTGCCGCTGGGTGCAAGTTCATCGCCGAGGGCTCCAACATGGGTTCCACCCAGGAGGCCATCGACGTCTTCGAGGCTCACCGTGAGGCTAACCCCGGCGCCGCTGCCATCTGGTACGCCCCCGGTAAGGCCGCTAACGCCGGTGGTGTCGCTGTCTCCGGTCTCGAGATGGCCCAGAACTCCGCCCGTGTCAACTGGACCCAGGAGGAGGTTGACAACCGTCTCAAGGGCATCATGGAGGACTGCTTCAAGAACGGTCTTAGCACCGCCAAGGAGTACGCTACCCCCCGCCGGTGATGTTCTTCCGTCCCTGGTGGCTGGTAGCAACATTGCTGGTTTCACCAAGGTTGCTGAGGCCATGAAGGACCACGGTGACTGGTGGTAAATCAGTTTCCCAAACCGAAAACAAAAAAAAAAAAGTTTGATGGATTTATGGCTGTAGTCTCTTGAGGAGACTTGACGCATCTCTTATGTTTATTCTACCAATGTCGAGCGGGTTCTTTTTTTTGTGTTTGTTGGATAGAGGCGCTGGTTTTCCCTTTGCATTTATGATGATATTCCCAATCCGAGCATCTCGTTTTTCGTTTGCTTTGGGGTTTGTCATGGTTATAACGAATTGAAATGAAATCATTCAAAGAGCCACCTTTCAGTAGCCTCGTAGACCGAAGTTCATTTTAAAATCACCATGCTACTGAGGTTTTGAAAATGGAGACTCTGGATATGAGATGAGTGTACTTGATATGGCTATTTACCCATATCCTCAGGATGGAAACCAGACCCGCTCAATTCGTTACAGGTACCTACCATCTCGCAAAGAAATGCCAGTGCTTGATTTCTACCAAGAGAATTCGTGTGAGCTGTCTTCAACTCATTCGAGGCTGGAGAGGCTCTCTGGGAAGAGTTCAACATCGTTGAAGGCCTGCGGAGCTCGCATCGGAGCTCGCATCCTTCCACGACATAGGGTTTTGATCCTGAGTTCATCATTAACCCTAGTTTCTTCATACGTTCCGAACTAGACCTCGAATCAACTGGTTCTACAAGCTGGCAATATATCCTTTCTGACTACTCAGATTTTGGAAATGGCTTCTCGTTGGTGAAAAACTGAACGTGCATATGCATTGGCGACTTGTAACTCGCACGACTGACTGGACTACTCGATACACCACCATGCGGGATGTCTGGCTAGTGGGCCGAGGGTGCATATCACTACCCCCCAAACCCCCCAGTGTGTAATTTCAAGTCCTTCAAGGAAATGAAAATCAACGACAAAAAATTTTTCCAAGAAAAAGCAGAAAGCAAATATAAAGACATCCTTCCGATTTACCAGTCTCACTGGGCCATGAATTTCAGGGTGGAGTAGAACTCGTGGCAGGAAAAAAAAGATCCGACAAGAGTGAGATTTGAACTCACGCGTGCGAACACATATGATTCCTGATAGCAACGAGGGCTAAACAGATTCGAGTCATACCCCTTAACCGCTCGGGCATCTTGCCAGGTTTAGCCAATTTTGCCAATTTAGTGCTCCATGCCTCTGTACTACGATGGTGGAATGCGGTAATTCTTTGTTGCGCCCCTCAGCGCTCGGGAGCAATCCCGACCGTGTCAAAATTTGGTTACACTCGCCATGCAGTACTAGCGATACGAAACTATATACGAATCGATGGTGTTTATGTCTTGTTTCGCGTTTATACTCAGTCGGCTTTTACATAGCGATTACTGGAAAGACTTGAAATCGCGACCGAGCAAGCGGAAATATCTTGTCCGAAGGACTTCGATATAGACAAGCATGGATTCTATGATCTCGAACCAATGGACCAAGTGAAATTGTTAATTTTCTAGATCTATTGTTCGAAGCTCTGAACTGTATTTGAAGATTCCAAGGTCCGCCTTGAGAAAAGGTACCATCGCCCGGTGGGAATGCCTAACGATTTCATACAAGACCTTGGTCCCCGGGCGCGTTAAACGCTATCAATTATTCTGCCCCGATGATCTTAGTCGTAGGTATCCTCGGGCAATCGGATTCCATCATGGATGGACGTGCCCAGCATTCGGCCTCCATCCACTGTGAGGAGTGCGCCGTTCATGTATGCACCGCCCGCGCTGGACAAAAGAATCACCGGAGCGACTATTTCTTCGGGTTTTCCTGGACGACCCGCTGTAGACCGCCGAGCAGCCTTTTCAGCCGGAGGGCTGATGGCGTACTCGTGCTTGCCTGTCGTGGTGCCTGTCATTTCGGAAGGGAAGACGCCGGGGCAGATGGTGTTGACGCGGATTTTCATTCTAGATAAATCCATGATTAGTCGGTCAGGCTTTCAACTATGGATCGAGATTGACAGTTTGCACCTGCCACACGCTACTCACGGATGTAATCGACCGGCAAGGACTTTTGCAAGATGGACAACTGCATGACTGTTAGCGAAAGACTCTGCGGTGGATATTCTGAAACCCACCTGCAGCTTTAGATACGGCGTATGTTACAGAGCCCATGGTCCTGGGTTTTCCGGTCAGAAATCTCGGCACAAGCCTGAAGGATGCTTTGTATTGTGTACCTCTGGGTTCCGAAGGCAGCGATAGATGCAATCACGCATACGTTTGGGTCTTCTGCCTTGCGCAACAGCGGGAGAAGGTTGACCGTGAGGAAGTAGACACCGTTGACATTGACTATGGCTATGTTAGTATGTAGACACCCCGGCAAGGACGGGTCCCATACTTTGGTTGCTTTGGTTGAAGTCTTCTCTGAATGGAGATGGGGGGTTAGAAGGAAACTGTCGGAAGTCAAGGATGGAATAGCGACTCCGCTGGACTTACTCAAGGACGCCATTGGTCAATAGATTCTCGACCTGATCAGCTGCATACAATCAGTCTCATTTACTCGGCTGTTCTTGGCGCTGATAGCTCACGGTCATTGTGGTCACTGGTCCGCGCCCGCCACAGTTTGTTCACACCGGCGCAATTGACGAGGGTATCCAAGCGAGATTCGTGCGTTTTGATAGCATCGGCGATTTTCACGCACCCGTCTTGGGTCTGCACATCGCCTTGGATACTGGTTTCTCCCAGGTCAGAGGAGCCTTTCAACAGCTTCACATTAACTCACGTGTGCACGTTCTCCCCCATTTCTTTGGCAGCGTTGTCCAGGACGTCCTTGCGTCTTCCTGTGATATACACCTTGGCTCCGTTAACAGCAAACCCCTCGGCGATAGCCTTGCCGATTCCAGAACCACCGCCGGTCACCAGGACCACTTTATCCTTGACGGAAAAGAGATCCTGGACTTTGAATGAAGCGTGTTCGGCCATTGTGAATAGTTGACAGAAGGATGTGAATATTGAAAGGTATTTGAAATGATCAGGGGTCCGGAGGTATATCGGGTTCACAGAAACCAGATTGTCCCCGCTGGGTTCCGCGGCAACGACCTTCCCGACAACTGTTTCTCGGCTTCAGTTCAGCGTGTCCGATTGGTTGGAGGGCCCCGCATGATCGCCTCATCCTGACAGCCTATGGTTGACAAGCTTTATAATGGGATACTAGAGACAAGCTTGATTGAGAGGCTATTTCGTAAGTTCAAGGATGTGAAGGCATATGCGAGATGCTGCTGCGACTAAGGATCTTCCTAAAACTGCAAGATCTGTACCAGCCCCTGTCATCCTCCATCAACGAGATCAACTGAGAATGATAGTACAAGGGAAGATTCCCCGAAGATACCGAGGCTCAAATTTGTGTGTGCTGGAAATCCCAGTCTGTAACCCTCTTGACGGGCGGGGTTCCTTTAGAGTAGGATCATTTCTATTCGCTATCAAATGCAATTATCTCTCATCACGTATTTTGACCCCCTCGGCACAATTGAGAGGATAACAGTTGGGCTACCAGGCTCAAGTTCTCCTGCTCGAGTCTTTTGAATCATCAAAAATTTCTCGTTCTAAGCTTGCTTGAACAAAAGCTGCTGCGCCATGAACACTGTTGTATAGCAGCGGTTGCGAAATGTAGTACTGAGCAGTTAGCATGCCATGGGGATCCGAGAGGTTCCGACAGGAAAGAGCTTACCTCGTACGAAGCCGATGAATTCAGACTACAGACAGAGACCGTCCCATTGTACCCGAGAGTTCCATTGTCATTCTGGACCACAAAGGCATTCAAGAGATGACTATAACACTGGTCCGCCGTCTTCCGTGCGTCAGAGGCGAGATCATCCGGGAGATATCCAAGCCGAGCTGCGCGGAACAAGGCGGTCGTGAACATGGCAGACCCGCTAGACTCAATATAATTGCCTTCTCGGTTTGCTTGGTCCATAACTTGCCACCAGCACCCAGTGGTCGAATCAGCTACCGAGATCACGGATTCAGTCAACTGGATAAGCCTAGACAGGAGATACCGTGACATGGACTTCGGAAATGAGGATGAAAGCTCTAGGCCATCCACGAGTGCCATGAAATACCACCCTAAAGATCGGCCCCAGACAATGGGACTACCGCCGGTGACAGGGTTCGCCCAGGATGCACTCTTTGACTCATCGTACCCGTGGACCAGCAGTCCCGTGCCATCGTGACGGCAGTGTGTCCAGAGCAGATCGAGTTGTTGAAGGACATCATCGGGTACAGTGGCATTTGTGGGGTCGAAGTTTGTAGTATAAGACAGGAGGAATGGGATCAAGGAATACATCCCGTCAAGGTAGCTCCAGTTAGGGTAATTGAAATACCAGTAGCCCCCGAGGGCATTCCGACGCTGCAGATTTACAGAATTTCGGAGTGAACGAAGGCTACTTAAGGCATTTCGGGTGTGGTATTCCTCATATTGATAAAGCAACCCATTGGCAGTGGATAGGCGGTCGAGAGGGTAGCTGGCGTCTTGCGTAGAATTTAGGAGATAAGGGGTAATGGCATCTGTACTGGATTGGAGGTATTTCTCCCAATCACTTTCCGCGCAGACTGCTTCAGGCGTATGATAGTAGTCGATCAAACGGATGAGGGAAGACTGGAAGAATCCAACTTGAAGATATGTGGATGCTGACGGAGCTTCCCTTTTTTGAACAGTGGCCTGAGCGCGAGAGATGATGCTATCCGCCATTCGGGCAGAAAAAGGCCGGTTGCAAGCTAGGGCATCTTGCGCATAAAGGAAGACCAAAGCCCAGTACATGTATGAAAGAGGCATATTGCGCGATTGGCAGCTTCTGGGGAAGCTCGTCGGGCCCGGTTAGCTGGTCAGCATGTTTCGCGGATCGCTTCCTCTTTCGTGGCGATTCGTGAGTAACATAGAGGGCGCTCGGGTGCACGTGTAGTATATCAGAGACGACTCTTCCCCTCCGATAGAACAGGGAGCATCCCTAACCGTACATGGCAGAAGAAAAGCCATATCTTGAAAGGTGATCTGGTGAACAAGAGCAGCACATATAAAATTCTTGAAGTCGGCGTGCTCCGACGTTACAGACACTCCATCCACCAATAGAATCCTACAACCTGTAGCTAGAGCCGATGGTATCACTTCCACGTAACGAAATGCGTACCGAGTACTTCGTCGACCTCGGGGAGCAAGTTGGCAGTGATACTGCCCTCGGTTTTCATCAGACATGCTTCATACAGCTATGGACGTGCTTATCATGTGACTGGTGACGGTTGTTCGATAGCTTATCACCACGTGATATTCACACGTCCTCCCAATCAACGCGCTCCAACATTCACTAAAAACTTCGCGTCAAAGGCCCGATGACGGGTGCCATCCGGTCTATAAATACCCTTCAGATGGTCTCTCTACTCCTTGTACAAGACTTGTCTCAAATTGATCAGTCCTGATTGTTATGCACCTGAGACCCTCAACATGTTGCCGCCTGCCGTGGCATCTCCGGAGTCTCTCCACAACTGGAGCGTCTTTGTCAAACAATGCTTCAAACATCGCTTAGGAGTCGACGAGTTCCGGAAGCTCTCGAAGCGCATGTTCATCCGTAACCCAATCAAGGGGGATTATGTTATCGACCAGCTTCTTGAAGTTCGCGCCAGCTACAACTTCCCTTGGGACCCTCTGCTCCCCGCCTATGCCGACTGCTTGTGCAAATCTGGACACGCCAAAACATCCACGACCTTGTCCAGGGTACTCAGCCAGTCGACCATCAAGGGTGTAGATGAGAACCGCAAAAACAAATACCCTACGCTCATGACTGACATCAAAGTCATCAACGATGCTATTCTTTCCATCTCTGCTGGGATCATCCCCAAGTCTCTCCTTGAAACCGCCGAGCTTTATGATGCAGCAATCGAATGGTTGAACAGTCTTGTTGCATGGCATACTAATATCCTTCACCAACCTGCGCAGAACGGGGCGCTGCTGAACTCCTCGGATGCAGTTACATTGATCGAGTCGGCTGGAATCTTCCTTGCTGCACTCTCGGGAAGCCCCAAAGGCCTGGAATGGCTCACTGAGGACATCCATAAAGGTATGTTTCCCCTTAGTGCCCGATCTTATTCTGCGTCTTCCTTCTCTCCAATCAAAGTCCAAAGCTGATAGATGTCTGGTTGTTTGATCAGGCTTGAAGGTCAAATTAGGCCGTGCTCTGACGGCCTATCTTCCGCTGTGCTTGGAGATCTCTCTGCCCCTTCGTCATCGACTGGATGCAATTCAAAAGGATTTCAATCTGTTCGGTCAAATACCCTCCAAGGGATTGGATCATTCTACCATTGAAGGCATGAATGTCAACGCCCTTCAATTTGAAGCATCCGTGATGGACAGCCCTATGATCAACACAAGAGCTGGTCTCTATGTGTATCTCAACTCCATGGTAAGAAAAATGCCTCCCAGATATGCCTCTCGGGCCAGGATTTGACGATAAAAGTCTAATTTTCAGTAGCTCGTGGGGCGTCCTCTTGTCGACGATTTGACCCTGATCAACTATCTCAACAACCGATATGAGGGTCATAATGAGACTATCATCATGGAATTAATCACTGCAGCTTTTGACGTTCTGTCCAATGGGGTTTATCGTAGCGAGTCAAACCGAACAATGTTTTTGTTCCGCTCTTTCCTGGTCAACAAACTTCCCGCCTTTTTTGCCGCGCTGACAGCTACCTCCATGGTGCCCCTAAACGTGGAGATGTGTGTGTCTCAAGCTCTCAGCCGTCTCGACCCAAACGCGTTTCCTTCTTTCTCTCAGATGTTTTCCATGCAAGGAAACAGTATCCTATCCGATGCCCGACAGGAATTCTTATTCGCGTGCGCGTCACACCGTTTGATTCCTGAATCTAGCATAGAACGGCTTCTCGGAGAAAATCCCATGCAGACCTTACCTGTCGGTGGACCCTATCAGAAAGATGACCTCGTCATGCAAATCCACAATAACCCCGGGCGGGCTGATCAGTTGATTGGAGAAATCGAGTCTATGGAAGGCAATGCAGGCGCCATAGTTGGTGCGATCACAGAGGTCATGTTCGGTCTCTGCAACTCAAGGGAGACAATCACTCTCAAGAACATCTGCAATGCGCTTTCCCGGCGCCCACAGGCTTTGGATGTTATTTTGCTATTCAGAACTACAAAACAAATCCTACAGCCTCTTTGCGCTCTTTTAGATTCCTGGCGATGGGACGAAGAACAGGGTGAGAATCAGCCTGTCTATGACGAATTTGGAAGTGTTCTCCTTCTTGTCCTTGCTTTTAAATACCGTTACGACTTGAGTCCCTCCGACTTGGGCATTTCAAACAATGACTCGTTTGTACTCAAGCTATTGGATCATGGCTCATGTAGCCAGAAGTTGGTTGAGCTCAGCGAAAAGCAGAACAAGGACCTTGGGGTATGGATCGCGGCTTTGTTCAACTCCGAGGGCTTAGGAGAAGAGACCATGTCCGCATGTAGCCCACAGGAATTCTACATGCTGGTTGCGACCCTTTTCGATCAGAGCCTCGGAGCTTGCGAATCGGGACGTTTGGACTTCGAAACCCTCAAAGGAGGCTTTGAATGTAAGTTTGAATTAATATTGAAAGATCTTTCAAATTCAGCTAACAGAGCTATCAGATCTTCTCGAGCCCTTCCTTCTCCCGTCTTTGGTGGTTGCTCTGACATGGCTTGGCAACCATATCTGGGAATCGGAAACCGATCCGACGATTGGACTGAAAACCTTACAGTCCTTAATCAAACCCAGCTCTATCTCCGGCGAGGCACAAGCCATTCACCAAACCGTTCTGAGCATCACCGCCCGCCCACTTGAAGAGCGACTCAAGGACGTGCGCACCAGGAACCAGACCCGCTCGGATATCAAGCCGGCCCTCGACGCGCTGGACCCTTATCTCTCCTTCCGGCGCGTAGGGAGCTGCGTCCGCTCGGAGCTAGAAGCATGGTCCACGCAGAAGGTCAACGGTCTTCCCGGAAGCATCCGGGACACTCTTCAGGCCCTTGTCCTCTGGAGCACCAACTCCGAAATCCACATGGCACCCAGCTCATACTCTCATCGCCAGATTCTGGCGGGTATCCGCCTCCTGGGCTCCACTCGTGTAGCATGCGCGCTCATCGACGAGGTGAAGCAGCAAACCGAAACCGGAAACGGGGACCTGGCTCTAGACATCGCGGCCAGCATGATGTGTGCCCCCATGCCCGAGTCCTTCGCCGTGGATCAAAATATCTGCCACCCGGTCGACTCGAACAAAGAGTCTCTTCCTCGCTGCTCGGTCCTCACTCTGCGGGATGCCCTCGCCATCCAGCATGAGAATGTCCCGAAGCTTTCGGAGAGAGACCCTCTTCGTGCGGCTGCAGTTGTTCGTCTTTGGCGCCGTGTCAGTCTCTTGGCGGCTCCTCCGTCCCAGGTCTCGAATATCGATGTGAGCAACATCATGCAGAACATGGATTACGGTGTGGATAGTCAGGGCCGTATGGACCTGGATACCTCGGCCGCGAATGTTGGTGATTCTGGCGTCGGTAATGACGATCATGATAACATCAACCAAATGTTAGATAATGCCGCTGCCGCTGCTGCTGCTGGCATGGATAATTCGATGGATGCCGGGATGGGACTCGGTCAGGACATGGATCTGGGTGCTGATCCCACGGGTTTGGATGCGATTGATGATGTGCTGAACGCAGCTGATATGGCTGTTGGGAACCCCGAGTTCCTTGATCTCGATATGGAGGGGATGTTTTAGGCTTAATGGGGAGGGGTTCTTATGGTATGCGGAGCATGAAAGGTATCAGGGACGATACTTTATGATGAGACACTTAGTACATTTATTATTATTTCTGTCCAATTCCAATTCTGGTAGGTTATCGTGGAGCCATTACGTGTGGGACACGAGTGTAGACCTTGCAAGACAAGTCGCATGAAGACACCACAAACGGGTAACACATGGGCCATCGCTTCTTAGTGCATCAACACAGTCGCGCTTTAATCGGTTTATCCTGGCTCAGATCAACCATCCTTCAAGCAGATCCAACGTTAGTCACAGTGTCCAAATATCCCAGGGCCTGCGTAAGAGGAACGTACAGATGTTGAGTACTTTATCGAGTTTGCCCGCAAGCCTGGGTACGCCAGAATGAGGAACATCTTTTCAAGGACCCAAGCTGGGGTTGGTAGTATGTTCCCCCGCTCTTGGATTGAAATCGGAGCCGCTGCAGCGATGGAAGAGATAGAGAGAGCCGCCAGGATCGATGTGACCTTCATTGTCGCTTCTATATCACGGTCTATACGAGTAGGTGATCAGTATTGAGAGATTCTCCCCGTTGACGCCAGATAAGTCGCGTCAACGTCTGACTGCAGATAGGATCTACTGTCTTCCGGAAGCTTACCCTCTTAATATCCGAGTTTCCTGTACCAAGACGACAGAGAAGGTGTCCGTGTGGTCAGAGGTCTTTCTTGCTTTGGTTTGCAGCTGGGTCGAAGGGCTATTTGTAAGAAAGAAAATAAAAGATGCCGCGGCGACCAGGTCCCTTCTGTGTTCAACTTCGCCCTCATTCCGCCCTCTGAGACCAAGGGGGCCTGTTTATCTGCGAGGAATCTGAGACGCGTCGGGATCATGCCAATGGGTTGCCCCTTCCGAGCTGCTTGCCACGTGAAGCGGCGGGTTCGCCAGATGGCCTGAGGATCGCAGTATGGCTTATTCGAGTTAATATATCTTCAAATTTCATTTCGTCTATCCGCGCTCTTTCGGTATCATGCGCGCTCATACTTGGGTGGCAGTTTGGGCCAATCACCGTGCGGTTCTTCCGTTAATCGGAAGATGGACCGTGTATATATATACTTCAGGCGGGCACAGTGCCAAAATTCTAAGCGAAATTTTTCCCGACTCGATACAGCGGCGCGGTAGTGGAATAGATAAAGATATTTATCTCACAGTTACATTAATTGACAAGGATTTAGTAAAGCATGAAATAGGACACCCAGACTTGTAGCTCTAGACGTTGAACGCTGGGTCGGTGTTGCGCATTCTCTTAGTTCAGTGATAAGCAAAACATATGTTCCCACTCGTTCTCTCTGAGTTCAAGCTCAAGATATCAGCCTTGCGTGCTTCAGTCCTACAGCTGGTATTCACAGAGGATCATTCTCGCATATTAAAAATTTGAATTTGTGGCCTTGAAGGCTCAAACGTGACACCTTTCACCACGAGAGGCACTTCAAGTATTGGAGCAACCATGGAAATCAGACAGTGGCTGACTGACAGCCCCATATTTGAGTCAAGAGATGGGTTTAGCAATTGTTTCTGTTTCTTACTAGTATCAAAAAAAACGGTCAACGAAGCTCTGCGGTTTCTTACCCTATGATAACCAAGATTCGCGAGCTTTCACAAATAGCAGCGAAAATTCTTCCAAGGCCTAGAACGCAGGCCCTGGAAATGAAACCTGTAATGCCGCACTATTCCAGGAGAGGCTACCTTATCCCCGCAAGAGAGTTCACCGAGACCTCAGAACTAAGACTACGGAGTAGATCGGATAGGAATACCAATCAAACGGATCCAACATCACGTTGGATATGGGGCCACCTCCTCGGCTCTCCATGATCGTAGATCCCACAGCCTCGGGCCGGCCTGTCACCCCAGTTGATCAGTGGGCGAACACAACTGAGCCCAAATATGAGAGGGGGCTAAATTAACTAGGTTGAAACGTAGAACCTTCTTGCAAAAGCGCCGATCAGAGCCAGCTAAGCATACACCTCGTAACTACAGAGCACAGTGACCAGAAGCACGATCGGGATTGGCTGTAGACTATATTCCCGCCTCACTTTTTTTCTTTCCTTCCTTTTTTTCTTTTCTTTTTCTTCTGCCCCGTCCGTCTTTATCATCTGGGCCAGGGAATTATCGTTTGGGACCAGCAGTTCTTCGCACTAGTTTTCGCGCCGCCGCCTGGTACTTGCCGATTCTAGATCTTACTAGAGATCGTGCCTGTATATCGTCATTTAGATGACACCGATGAGCTGGAACCTGCTCCTTCGCGGGCCCGCTCAATGCACACTTCGTATAAGCCAGTAGCAGCCCCGTCGCATTCGATCTATCCACGAGGGACTTGCATAAAAGATTGGGGGCCATGTTCTCAGGAGAATATGGGCGGATACCGGTTTTAGCTCAATTGGGTTCACTTAAGTGGGCGTCATGGGTAAGAAAATTCAGTGTGGTTTGACAGCATAAGCACATCTCTCTTTTCGCTTTTCTCTTCTGTGCTCTTCTTTTTCTTTTTTTTCAAATTCGGGCCTCATGCCGCTTTAATGATATCACTTTTCATGCATTGCTCGCTCGTGCTTGACGAGTCTGTGCCCTCGGTTCTGCAGGAACACGAGGGATGTGCGGGTTCTCCAGAGCACAAAAGTACCGAACTCGATCGCGTCAGGATTCCCAAACTGGACATTGGTCGTCATGCAGGGTTGATCACGGATCAGATAGACATGTTATGGGGATGCTGGGACGGCTCGCAGATCCCAAGGTGGCACGCACACTGGGGAACCCATTGAGCTCTGTAAATTTCTCGATGTTCTCCGTAGGGGAATGAGCAAAGTGATGGTCCGGGTTGGCTACCCCGGCACTAAGCCCGGGCTCTAAACCATTCGGGGTACTAAGTGACCGGAAATCAGGGCCATGGATCCTGCAGGGACCATCGGGTCTATTGTCCATATTGCTTCACCAATGGGAACGCAAACCATGACTCGCGTTTGTCTTTCCTCGCTGCAGTCTCCCAGGATTTCATCACACGTCAGGCCAGCCCTGTCCCGGTGAGACCCAGAGATGATGATCTGACGGCCCAGGTCAGAAAGGATCGGCCGTGACGGGTGGGGGAGACAGCACGTTCTTGTGAATTTTGCTTGGCTAGAGGGGTCAAGGCTCAGCCCCGCTGGTGAGACTTTTCTAATTGGTGGAGGTGCTGACTTTCGAGCTCCGTAGCGACTTGATCGTCGATGTTGGGGCTCCACACAAAGAACAGCATTTGGTTAGAGGATGCTTGAAAACGCCCACTTGAAAAAGCAAGCGTCGCTGGTTGCTCGAACAACCGAGTCAGGAACTCTAAACCAAGTGTTGGGTGGCAAGACGGAATTGAAGAGCCGAGAGAGTGTCTGGATGGGAGGAATGAAGATGCTTGGAAGGCTTTGGAATGGAAGAGAACGTGTCGACTGTCGATACAAACTGCATGGAGTCCCGGTAGCGACCCGACGAGTCGGGCTCAATCCACCTATATTGAAACTACTGCAGTAGTGTACGCAGGGCAGAGCTGCTGGAGTCGCCACCCCCAATGATCATCAAGTCTAGCCCCTGGGTAGTGACGTGAGGGCACCATGAAAGGTTTGAGGGAATCGTGGGCAGATCGTGATCCGTTTCTTCTTTCCCCATCAAATGATGCCGATGTGGATAAGCGCGAAGACGCAGCCTGTACAAAACCTTTGCCGTCACAAACGCGCTCACGGTACCGTCACGTAATTTACATTATCAGCACGTGATAGTAAAATATTACTCACTCCTTCCGGTGGAGCAGGAGAAAGGCTAGAGGAGCTAAAGAGGGTCGCGACCAGACAACTGGAACGACTGAATCATGCCATACGGAGAATTGCCTGAGAGAATGGCTGAGGAAATCGCTTCTAGGAGTTCATATCTTGCTATCAGGGGGGTTCGGATTACGCCGAGCTACGAGATAAGGTACATTGCCTTCGAATCTCCGCGGAGGAGGAGAAGATTGAACGAAAAGAAGCAAAAAGAAGCAAACGAGCATGTCGGCAAGAGAAGCACAGAGCACGTCGGCAAAAGATAACTATAAGAGGAATTGATCTGCCGCAGCAGCTATCATCTTCCGTCCCCAGGGTTCTGAAGGTCCCAAAATCCAAACTTTAAAGGATCACGACACAAGACGTGGAGAAGATGTCAGTGGGGCCAATTATGCACACAGCGCTGAACGGAGCATACATTGGCAGATTGAACCATGGTTTCGTTTTTCTGGCGTCGGCTGATATGCGATACGATCCCCAGCTTCCAGCTTGAGGCGTCCCTGATACGAAGTATTGCGTACTGAACCAATCGTTCCACATGGATCGGCTCCGTGTCATCTCCCGATTTCCACGCTGAGATTCGCACGTTCCACTTCCGCGAGGGAAGAAGTCAAGGTTTGTTTTGTTCATCTTCCCGATGCACCCGAAGGCGGGTTAGCTGACAAGTGAGTCTTTGGTTCAGGGGGAACGCTTCTCCGTCTACTTTCTCGAAGGAGGTTAGTCCATTCTGGTCCCGCATAAGCCCACGAGCACGTGCTGTGAGAAGGAAACAAAGAGGACCGATGCCGCCTTGATCGCGTCAGCCTTGCCCCTTAATCAACCAGGGCCGATCATCGAATGATCCTGGGTGTTCTGGACTCGAGGCCATTCCCGTTGTAGATGCCGGTCGTACGCAGTAAGAACCGGGTGGAAACGTTGGAACTATCAACACTCAAGCAATCGCATGTCGGTCGCCCTGTGCCGCCTGGCCGATTATTCTCTGCCGCGATTCCCCGGATACCCTGATTCCTCCCGGCTAACGGTCGGAGGCGCCATCATACGGGGTGGAAAGGGGTTTCTTTCTTTTCTACGTTCTTTGTTTGATTTGGATAGTGTGCTGCGCTTGGGTTGTAAGGGCAGCTGGGCTGGGGGCACTCTGGTGGAACTATGATCACATCGTACATCTGGCTACCGCTCCATGATCCTGGGTCTACCAAGGATCCCGAATCTTTATGACAGGAGCCCGAAGCCACAGTCCAGATTTCCTTCCTTTCTTTGTTTTGGGATCCCCCGGAAGCCCTTCCGCTGCTTACCCCTAAGCCGGATTCAGATCACTAGCAGCGAAAGACGCGCCAAAAACGCAATTTTGAGGCGACTCTGCGATGCAAGAACCCGTGAACAATTACTCAATAGGCCCGAAAGACGCCGATGGAGATCACCCAGTCCCAGGAAGTAAAAAATACAGTGCCTAGAGGCGTTAGCCTGGAGGGGGGGGGGGGGGTTTGCAAACAGCCTGAGGAAGCCCCTCAAAAGCTGGGGATAATACGCTGGGAGGATTAGTGGAGAAAGCCGATGTTGATTTGGTCCCTCCTGCACTAGCGGCGCCGGGAGCTCGGATTAGGAACAGGGGGCTTATGCATCTCTATTCCTTCGCGCCAAAGGTACCGGCCAGACCGTCGTGTAGGAACGTGGTGGCCAATCTGATCGTGGACCAGCCTGCGCCTACTTGTTAGCGTCTCCTCTTGATTATTCGCGGATGTTGAACCGGATGCATGGATTTTCCGAAAGTTCGCACCATGATCTTGGCTTGCGTCTTGGATCGAGTGGGCAGTTTTACCCTCTTCATGATACAAGATCGTCTCCATCGTTCGGCGTTAGTCCGTACCATTATGGATCCCGTTATACGTACGCATGATATTTCGTACTAGTACGGAGTACTGTGCGCCTGTATGTATCAGTAATAGACAATGTATTGAATACGGTATACGCATTCTCATTGGTCAAGCCTGGGGACCGCCCAGTTCGTTGTATCGCATTGCCCTCCCTGGTCGATACACCTTTTGGCTGGATGACTTCGACATTTTCCGCAGTGTGTGGTTGTCTGATCGAAACAATATGACCCGGGCAAGTCCCGGTACCAGCATTGTGGTTTGTTTCTGCCTTGCCGGATACTATTGTCAGTTTCTCCAATGATCGACCTTGGTTCTGTGGGTCGAGCTTCCAAAAATTGAATCGCAAAACGGCGCTCCTCAACGGAGTCTAGTCCGAGAGCACCTTTTAGCGCATGAGGGCAGTTGCCATTATTAGCCGACGTCTCAGAAGGCTGCATCTTGGTACGCAGGAATGAGAAGAGGGCGGAGTATGGTCTAGAAAGGCCTTTAAACTCGCCTCCGACATCTCAGCCTTCCATCCGGACCCAATCTAGGCCTCCCAGAATCCAGAGACCAATTAATGCTTTGTATGAAAGACCGTATGTAACAATGAAAGGCGGTGAACCCCCCCGAAGCCCGTGTAACAGAGATCGTGGTGGCGTAGCTGGGGCTCGCAGGGTAGGAACGAGGGCGAGCAAGCCATTCTCACGTTCAAGTTCGACATGTCGATGACGATGGCGGTGTAGTTGCACACGTTCGGAAGTGATAGTTTGAATGCTATTGATGACCAAACCGAAATTTCCAGGTTTTCGTGCAAATGCAGGTACAATTCTGAACTTGACTTATAGTGCAGCAGATTTCCAAGGTCGGATTTCTCAGCCTCAATTGAGTAACGCTGAGCAACGTCGGTCCTTGGGGGAAGATCCATGGTTCATAAAAGTGCGGAACTGAGCCCAGACACTTGCACAGCATGATGGTTGGCCGCGGATGGTTCGTTGCCTGGTCCCCTCAGGCTGGAATCTATCCGGTGACGTTGAGAACATGGTCTTGAAACTTCATGCGAAACGCACATGGACAACGTCGAAGATCGGTCAATTTGACTGATGAGGATAATATCAAAGGATTTGCTTCGTTTTTCAACCTGAAGAACAGTGTTGATCAAGATTGCGTTGTTGGTCTTTGTTTTCAGGAAGCTACGGACAATTTCAATTTCGCGTTACACGTCCCTTGCTAACAGACATTACCACGACGCGAGGCTTGACGACAAGTCTGGGAAAGGCCCATGGAGATCTGACTCATGGAACGATGTAACCTCTCTAGCAAGAGTAGCAATGACTCGAATGGCGCTTTAGGTTCTTATCAAAGGAGCTTAAGGCCCAATCCTACCAGTCGCGTGTCGAGATAACCTCGGGAGTGACAATCAGGACATTGGTCTAGCCTTGCCTGCTTGTGATCATCACCTAGACCCCGGGAGGAAGACCATCTATCACGCAATGGTAGTACATTGAACGTCTATTGGGCAGGGGAAAGAAAGCGACCAACTTTGCCCTGCACGACTCACGAATACGGTGGCCGTGAGCAGGCAAGAAGCAGTGCAGTCTGGGTCAAGTTAGACAAGCTTTCCAACCAGGCCATCATGACCGCAGCTGAAATCCCATGAATGAGCCCTCGGGAGCATTTTACAAGGCCTTCCTCGCCAAGACCCATTGCCAGAGGGTCCCCCTCGACGCATGTAGTAAGCGGTGCCTGAGCCCTCTCTCTGCCTGCCATTTTTGTACACAGATAGGCAAGGAGAATAAGCACCATCAGGTTAATCCCTCATACTGGCGAGGGGAATAAAAAGCTCCGAACCCCACTTGATCAGCCGTAGTTAAGGCGCGGGAAACAAATGCCCAGAACTTCTGACCCACAGCTTGGGCATCAGTCATTTTGAAGGTCTTTTTTGCTCACCGAGGACGCGTTGCGCTATCTCCAGAAAGCGAGCAGTGGACTACGCGAGTCAAGTCAACTCGTGTGGGGAGTAATCAATGTGACGGCAATGCCGCCAAATGCGCCGTAAGCTAAGCAAACCAGACTCCTGAGACAACACATCCGATAGACTTGCGGGAAAGCCCGTCTGCGTGTCACTTGCATCTCGCATTGTACAACGTGCAACTTATATTGTGCTTGATTTCTTGTCCCCATGCAACCACGTAGACAATGCAAAAAAGGACGATGCATTTCCATGCCAATGTACGTTATAGATTGGCTCTGCTGTAGGGCCAACTTTAGCCTAGCGGGGGGGAAGGGGAGGGGGCCCGATCTAGAGGGCGATCGGATTATACCACGGACTGAGCCACCAACCGCTGATGCCGGAAGGGTTGTTTTAGGATGCGGAGATGGTCCTCTTTCGAGGCGAAAGATGTAGATCCCACTCTTACTAAAGGACCCAAGGGTCCCCGGGGTGTCGAGCAATATCTCGCCATGCGTCGAGATTGTGATAATGTGGGAGCGGCTTGCAGGGTCTTGCGACTAAACACCCCTATTGGCCGCCCCGCGACCAGTCGACACCAGTCGGAGTTTTATTTGGCGCTGACAGGCCTTGTTTGTAAGCAAGCGACATGTGACTGGCGGGGAATGCGACTGCTGCACCAAGCCAGTTGCGTGTGAAAATTTTTATATCGACTGGAAACTGCAGCAATGTGCGCGGGGAGGGGTTGGCAAACGGGGAGACCGGCTGGTGCGAGCACCCTCTAGCTAAGGCCTCCAACGTCAATGGTCCACCCCCAAGAGTACGAATAGAAAAGCCCTACGCGTGTTTCCTACTCCACTTCACCTCACAAAGTAGCATGGAGACGGGAGTTGAAGTTCGGGCCATCGTGAGATACATGCCGCCGTGAAGGGCCTAGTCAGTTTCGGGGGGGGGCAGTTGAGACTCGAGGGAAATCCCGGAGAGACCGGGAGTCCATAACGACCCCACGGAAAAGAGGCATAAAGAAAGGCCTCAATACACTATTTTGCATAATCCCCCCATTCGTTGATCACGAATCGTCCGGTCTGGAGCTCCGAGGTCGACACAAGCCACATCCTGGTCCGCACGCGACCCATCCAACTGCTCCAACGCCACCGGCGGACGTCAAAAGCGGATTCGAGTAAGACACCAGACTGTCTGGACTCGACTCCGGACCCGAGACCAGAATCGAGCCCGAATTGGTTTGGAATCGAGTCTTAGACCAAGCGGGTCCACGTCAAAAATCTTTCCTTTGATGGCTGCACTGCTATGAGCTACTATCTAATGCACGAGGCAGTTGGCCCTGCAATAACCCGTTCCCGATGTTGATACAGTCGCGGTGGATCGAGCGCGAACCTGCTTTAAAGCCTGTCATTGACGGTTTCCCTCTCAACAGCCCCACGCGGGCCCAGAAAACAAAGAACGCGTTCGGGAGTACGGAGTAGATATTCCTGATAGAAACAGATGAATGACGATCCTCCACTGCAATGGCATTCCAAATAGCAAGAGAGTCGATAAGCCAACATCACAAAGCTGTTTGCACCTTGTGGTAATTGGTAATTCTCCGATGTGACCAAGGTAGATTTTTTGGTGGCTGTCACGGCGCTGGGCAATGTCGATCGTGGAGTTTGACGGCGAGTCTCGCCACAGAGCAGTTCAAGTTCGGGGGGGGGGGCGTGTTAGGTACTGCGGGTTGCGGCACACACAGGCCAGTGGATTTTCCACGACATGGTCCGCTATTAACCAACATTTTCGTGAAATCTGGAGGTCTAATTGGTGCGGACCCACGGGAAGGTGTGGGTGGGGACTGTGATTATTTTCTATTTTCTCTGTTTTCTATTTTTTATTTTCTCGGGATTTCAGTAGGAAAATGAATTTCGACTGGTGGATTGAGGGGCTTTTATTTAGCGTGAAAAGGGAAGGACGAAAAAAAAGGGCCTCGAACGGGAGAGTGGGTACCATGCAAGGCGTACGTACTGTATTAAGCTACTCGTATGAAGAAAAGGGCTCGCCTCTCTACCAGCACAGATTGTCCCATGAACCCCCGTACTTTGGCCTATTGATTTTAATTTCCTTCAGGGGCATAAGTATCCGGAGAAGCACGCACAATTGGGACAGCTCCGCTTGGGGAGGCGCGACGGATAAAGTATGAGGTCCGAACTCCACTGAATTAGAATATTAGGTATTAATCTATTTTCTAAGGTTTTCGACGTTATTAATATATGGGAGGGGCCAACTGGTAAGGGGAAAAAACAAAAAAAAAAAAAACAAAAAAAACAAAAAACACCCCCTAAACAAAAGATAGAAGATGGCCGAAAAGCCCTAGTTAGGCAGTTGGTACAGACAGTACCGGGGGGCAATCGGTATTGGGCGGTACGCACAGCGATCTGCTGTGTATTTGGGCGTCACAAGAGCTCCTGGCCAGCGCGCCGTATGGATCCATACGCAGCGCATACGGGTACACGGGGTGGGTCATGGATCGTCCCGATCGAGCCCCAGAAAGAATCAACCAGCTCTTAATTAAACCGTCTCGCCCTCCTTTCGTTCACCTCCAGTTGTGCCGTTTTCTGGTCTTCGTCTCTCCTTTGGCTTTTGACTTTTAGCTGTTCACGTTGTTGGGAGTCATTGCCGCCGGTGGCAATATAACATTCGTTCATCCCTTGAGCTTTACTCAACCCCCCCCCCCCCCTCCCTCCTTGCGTGGGATCCGTCTACCATAGGGGGTATCTGACTTTCACCCTGTCAGTTTTCTGGTTGAGCACTGTCCTTGCTGCGCACAGGGCTAGACCCCAAAGATTCTGTATACTTCATTCGCATTGACTTGCGACTCGTCAATTCCTCCGGCTGGGTCCATGCTCCGGATTTTCTAGTGCAGCAACTCTGTTCCTGTTTATAGTTTTTGCTTGTTATTGTTTAGAAAAGGGTGTGTACTTGTCTCATCCCCCTCCTTCCTTGCCCCAGCATTCTTGTTGCACAATTGGTACGACACGGCCTTGGTTGGGTGCATTCCAATACGACCGTCTCTTTCCTCTTCATTCGACTCCATTAGCTCTCCGCGCCTTTGGCTGGAATGTCCTTTACCATTAACACTTGATTGCTCCTAGGCTCATACTTCCCCAGCCATCTGGCGATCTGACCCTGGCCCCGCGGTCATCCCTACTCTTACGTCGCCACTCACCTCATCGAACGATGTCCACTGCATTTACCGCTGTCTGAACGCCCTGGTCTACGGCTCACCAACGGTCTTTCAACATCTTACCGACAGCTATTCCAATGAAGCCGATCATCTCGCCGTTAAATATCGCCAAGTCGAACTACAATATATCTGCGGTGACGACATTCGACCCGAAGTCGACCACCTCCCGTTATTACTCGAACCCCGGCCGGTCTGAAACCACGCCGCCGATGACGCCGCACACTACAGACACCATAATGGAACAACCAGAACTGGAACCTGCGGACGAACCTCCGCGCGCCGTCTTCCATAATTATCTCCGAGCGTTCTATCCATTCCACCCCGCCGGCGACGTCTCGCCCTCGACCGTCACTCTTCCTCTGGATCAGGGAGATATCATCTTGGTCCACTCTGTTCACACCAATGGCTGGGCCGACGGTACACTATTAGATTCTGGGAATCGGGGCTGGCTACCAACCAACTACTGTGAAGCTTATGATCAATTACCTATGCGTCCTCTCTTGAAAGCATTGACTGATTTCTGGGATATCATTCGCGGAGGATGTGGTTCATCATTAAAAGATTTCGGCAATCAGGATCTCATGCGAGGTCCAATTGCTGGTGTACGTTTTCCTCCTGGAAAAATCAGAATGCTTGACTCGCGAAGCCCCGCTGGTTAAGAGGTACGATGGACTTCGGAGGATCCGAAAGGCCCTGCTTTCGGACTTGTCTTCACTGGTGAAGGCTGCCAAGCGATTTCAAGAAGTTGCTAACGGCGGTAATCCCGCTGAAGACGAGGTCGAGTCTATCCTAGATGAGATGCTGCTCAAGGCCTTTAAGATTGTCACCCGTGGTGTCCGTTTCCTTGATGTCTGGAATGAAGAGGTGGGATTGAGCCGCACGATTGCCGAACTTGAAGCTGCTGGTGGTGGAGTTGGGGCACACAAGTTGCCGCCCACGCCTTCGTCCGAGACCTTCAACGACGCAGACAGCATGGCGATTGATCAGGTGACCGAGCGCAATGAATCTCAACAAACCACTCGCGGCCGTTTGGATACTAGCCGCCTATCGGATCACCCACCCCGACCTATCTCGGTCACGACTAAGAGAATTTCAGTGTCTCACCGCGTTTCTTACTCCGGTCCTTCGGCTGCCATCCGTACCCAGAACCTTGCATCAGAGCGCTTCAGGGACGACCTACGATGCCTTCCTCGGCGTCCTGGGATCTTTCATTGGCCTGCACATGCAGTCTCGCTCCTCAACCGAGCTGGTCGTGACTACTCAGCAAGCTGTCCAGTCTTGTCGGGCCTTGCTGAGATGTCGTTGAGACGGTCTGCGAACATGCTACCCAGCGCAACACCTTTCTTGAACAGACTCGGGATGTCATGTGTGACAAGCTCGACGAGTTGGTTCATGCTGCCCGCGATGTGTTTCGTCCGGCTCACCTGCAGGACGACGACCTGGTCTTCATGCCTGACGGGGGAAGCGCCTGGTTGATGCTGCAACGGACTGTGTCCGCGCCGCTGGTAACTGCCTGGCGAAGGCTCGGCTGGTGCTGGAGCAGATTGGAGACATCGAACTGACTCCAGTTCAGGAGGATGAAGCGGTAGAGCCGGCTAGCACTGCTCCTTGTATCGTCACTTCTGAGGTTGAAACACCTGAGCAAGAAGAGAAACCTCAAGAGCTGTCATTGCGCCTGCCTCCACCCCCCCCTCACTATTCCAAACACAACTTACTCCCCCTCTACCCCTGGCCTCACCGACGCCTCTACTCCTGCCTCTTTCCAATCCCACATTCCGTCTACCGCCACATCTGCTATCTCTTCTCTCCCCAATTCCGCAGTCCTTCCTACACACCTAGAGCAGATGTCTTCTTTCTCTTCTTACGACAGCAACTACCATGAAAGCCAATCCAAGTCGGACGTCAGTGAGTCTTTCGGCCGAGGTGTCACAAGCACGGGTAGCAGCTTCACCTACAACCACACTCGTGATTCCGAGATGAGCGGTGTTTCTCAAACCTCCACTCGCGCCACCTCTCCTGACATTGGCAACAGCTTCCATGCACCGTCCCTCAAGGAGAGCTTGAGTTACTCGACTCTGGCCGAGGAGAATGAGGAGACCGAAGCCAACATCCTGGAAAAGACTTACGCTCATGAGCTTATCTACAAGGAGGGTCATGTCATGGGCGGCAGCTTGCGCGCGTTGATTGAGAAGCTCACCGCTCACCAGTCAACCCCTGATGCTCTGTTCGTCTCCACCTTCTATCTTACCTTCCGCCTCTTTGCGTCTCCTCTGGAATTTGCCCAGGCCCTCGCCGAGCGCTTTGAATATGTGGGGGACACCCCTCATGCTGCAGGCCCGGTGCGCCTGCGTGTGTACAACATCTTCAAGGGCTGGCTCGAGTCCCATTGGCGACACGACAGAGACAACACCGCGTTGGACTTCATTGTCGAGTTTGCCAAGGGCAAGCTGTCAGCCACCCTGCCCACCCCCGGCAAACGCCTGCTTGATCTAGCTGAGAAGGTCTCTGCAGTTGGTGGACCTCTGGTACCTCGTCTGGTGTCATCCATGGGCAAGACCAACACATCCATCGCTCAATACGTTCACCCCGATACCCCTCTCCCTGCTCCCATCCTCGGAAAGAAGGAGTTGAACTTGTTGAAGCAGTGGAAGAACGGTGAAGCGTCCATCACCATCTTGGACTTTGATCCTTTGGAGTTGGCCCGGCAATTGACGATTAAGGAGTCCCGCATCTTCTGCTCCATCCTCCCCGAGGAGCTCCTCGATACCGAATGGACTCGCAAGTCAGGATCACTGGCAGTGAACGTCCGCGCTATGTCGACCTTGTCGACTGACCTAGCACACCTGGTCGCGGATTCCATCCTGTGTCTCGAGGAGCCCAAGCGCCGTGCACAAACCATCAAGCACTGGGTCAAGATCGCCAACAAGTGTTTGGAGCTGAACAACTACGACTCTCTCATGGCGATCATCTGCTCGCTGAATCTGTCCATGATCTCTCGGCTTAAGCGGACCTGGGACATCGTCTCCCAGAAGACCAAGATTGCTCTGGAGCAACTCCGCGGCATTGTCGATGTTTCCCGCAACTACGCGGTCCTGCGACAACGTCTTCAGAACCACGTTCCTCCTTGTCTCCCATTTGTCGGCACCTACCTGACCGATCTCACCTTTGTGGACCATGGCAACCAGTCTCTCCGCACTCTGCCTACGGAAGACGGCGAAATGGCCGTCATCAATTTCGACAAACACATGAAGACGGCGAGGATCATCAGCGAGCTCCAGCGCTTCCAGATCCCCTACCGTTTGACCGAGGTGCCCGAACTGCAGACCTGGATGCAAAATGAACTGGTTCGTGTTCGCTCTAATGGCGAGCTGACCGCGCAGACCTTCTATCGTCGATCTCTCGTTCTCGAGCCTCGCGAGGCCTGCCGCAGCGGCGGCAACTTGAATGCCGAATCCAACCCTCCTCCCTCCATCCTTGACAACGCCAAGGATAAATTCGACTTCCTCTCCCGAACACACCCGTCCAAGCCCAAGTCCGTTCCGACTAATGGCTAACTTTTCGTCTTTCTCTGATCCGTTTTGCCTCCATGTTTTGCCATTGATACCTATTCTATAATGACCTCATGACTTGCGCTATATTTAGTTCTTTTTCTTTTCTTTTCTTTTTTTTTTGGTTTCTTTTTTTACACCAGGCTTGTTGGTGTTATTTCCTCTCCCGACTTTTGACTATGCTGGCTGCGTACCTATTCCCTTCTCAAATCTCTGCATGTTCTGTGAATATTGTTTACTTACCCGGGCGGCGCTCGTGCTCTTTGTTTTGCAGCTCCCACGAGGACTGGCATCGAAAAAGCGGCTATGGAACTGGGTTCAGGTGGGAGAAATCGGAGTTCCAATGGCCTTTCTTTCGTTCTGATCATTTCTTGGGTGGAATTCGGTTGGGAAAAGGGATTATATTGTTACAGGAACTCCTCTCGACAGGACAAGCCTCGCGGCTATTGTACAAGTGCACATTATTGGCTCAAAAAGTGATCTGCAATGCAATCCAGCTTTGATACGAAAGTAATATCTTGAGTAGATTCAAGCTAGTTACAAAGTAGATAATGAATTTTACCGATGGCTGTGAACAAAATGGTGTATTGCGCTTAGGTTGCTTGTGATTCTGACTTTGCTTGGTTTCGCCCACGAAGGCTACTCATCCCGAGCACCACGTAAAGGTGCAAGTCAAGCTCGAGTGTCATACGACCGAGACCTCCCTGGTCTCCGTGGATGACTGTCATGAAAAGAAGGGGTATTAGACTGCGGACTGCTTCGGAATGATCAATTTACCAAGTCTCGCGGCTTAGTTTAGCTAGCACATATAGGAGCTCTTATAGGACCTCTTCTATAGAAGCACCAATAGCTGGACCGAGACAAGCTTGCCTAATTTGTACATAGAATTTAGTATGCACAGATTCAATTTGAAAGAACATCATCCCAAGATATCAATAGCCATGTGAAATTAGGTGTTAAGGCTGTGATCTACCTGGCCTTGCGCTCGGTAGCCTCTGCGGAGGAGCCGCCGGAGCATCCGGTGCTGTCTATGTCACCTCCAAAAGTAGAATAATCCCGCCTTGTGATTGAAGTAGTATCGGAAATTTGTCTATATTTTCAGTACGAGAAGAAATCATCGCTCTCAGCTCATCGCCTCCAACAAGAAAACCTTGGGAACCGCCGCGGGTTACATTCCCCATCGTAACTCTGCCAGATGGGCGCAAACTCCCAACTGGCACAGTGGGCGCTTTGTTGGTGAATATCAGACACTCCTCCAGAGGACTGGGTTACGCCACGAAGCCCTTTCGACGTGTAGTCAAAGAGCTAGCGGAAGAACACATTGTGTGAGTTTAGTTCTCCGTCAAGTTTCTTATTATTGGTGAGTTGTTATCACTGATTTTGTCTGGTATAGGGAGCAAAGGCATAGGTTCTTTACTGGGACCTCAAAAATCGTGGATTCCATACGAATTGACATGAACACATTCCTCGTGCCTTATTTTACCGTCCAGGGCAAGTTGTCATCTAAATACATGTTGTGTCATCATAATCATAAGACCGCCTAAGGGGAATCCTTCTTGCCCTTAAAAGGGAAGGAGAACAAAAAGGAGAAGAAACGAAATAATGGCGAGTATGGGTTCCGCTCCCCCGCCTGCTGTTCTGTGACCCGTATTAGTTAACAGCGGAGCGTTTAAAGAGAAAAAGTCTCCGAGCTGGGAAGAAGACTTGGGGTGTCATTACGAGGAGCAGCGAGGATCAAGTGGTCAAAAGAGGCCGCATCCTGGACACGAGGGTTGAAGGGCTCGAAATCCCAAAGGTAGCCGAGAGTGCGGAGCACAGAGCTAGCGGAGTACGACTGGCTATTGCCCTGGTAATTGGTGCCCTTCTGCTCCACGTATCCTTTGCTCACCCATGGGGAGATGAGGAAGGTGGGAATGCGACCTCCGAGACGGTTGAACTCAAGAGTGTACTCCTCGCCGCTGGGGGATTTCTCGGTATAGGTCAGGTTGTCCGGGCGGGTGGCGAGGGGGGGGAGGAACGTGGTCGTGAAAGCCACCCGTCTCGTCGAAAGTCAAGACAAAGAGGGTCTCGTTCCACTGGGGGCTGGAGCGGATGGAGTCGTAGACCTTCTTGATGAAGGCCTCGCCGTCTGAGACGAGACCGCTATCGTGCATGGAAGTGGTACCAACACCACAGCAGGAGGGGTTGAGGTAAGAGAACTCGGGCAGGGCTCCGTTGGCCGCATCGGTATAGAATTGGTCGATAGGGACAACCTTATCTTGGTTGCCGGTTTCCTTGGTCCATGAGAACCATTGAGCTTCAGGGCCCGTACCACCGGCAGTATCCCAGTAGTTCAACCAGCTGTGGTTGGTCTCACCCAACTGCTGGAAAATCGAGCGCTGGGTAAACGCATATGTACCAAAGGAATCGTCGTTGCTACCGTGCCCGCCCGAGGTACCGGCCACAAGAGCAAAACGATTAGGGTCAGTTGGCTAAAACTTCCGTTAGTAACCCCTTTTGTATCCACGGATCGAAGGTCAAGCCCTTGGGTTGTGCTTACACCTGGGATATCAGAGTGCCAGTGGTTGAAGGTAACATAATTCTGAACTAGCGAAGTCAGAACTGGAACCTGGTCTTCAGTGTAGTAGTTCATGACTTGGATGGCAAGCTCCGTCTTGTTGGTGTTCGAGCCGTAGTTGTGAATTTGCTCGTGGATGAAACCGTTGTTATTGGCAACAAGCTTGCCATCCGCAATCGCCTGGTTATCAGGATTCCAGTCACTGTAGAACTCCATGGTGTTACCAGTAACAGCATGGCTGGGGTCATTGGTGACTGAGTCGTAGTCACGGGCCTCGGTGCAATGTTGGCCTTGAGAAGGATCGTTGACATTGTAAGGATTGCAGAATGGACCATTGTTGATAGGGTTCTCAAGTCCCTTTATAGTCTGCCCGCCCAAAAGATTGTCCACGGAGCGGTTTTCCATACACAGAAGAACTACATTCTTGATCTTGGACCGTAGATTCGACACGGAGGCAGAAGAGTGTGCACTGCGCGAGGTGACGGGAATCGCCGACGCAGCAGAGGCAAAAGCCAAAAGGCCCACGAGAGCGCTAGAATGCATTCTCGGACTCTAAATGCGATCTTCTGCTGAAAGCCAGTGGCAAGAGAATGGGAAGGCAGCACAGGAGTCCTCCTCTCGCCGGATTTGCGGACATCTTTATACACCAACGTGGAGCAGATGCGACAGCCAGAATCGAGGGGACAGGAACCCACGTGTTGCAACCCTGGAGTTAACCCGGCAGTTACTAGTATAATAGCCATTCTTGAGGAGTCATGCGAGGTTGCATGCGGAGAGAAGCCCCTTCTGGATGCACATCATTTTGCTCTTTGCAGAGACCCAAACGAAGATTCCATATGGGATCTCCAATGAGATCAGCCACTGCACCCACGAGTGGTCGGAGCAAATAGACGTGTGGATTGGTGTAGTTGCCAATTTAAGCACTAGTTCCCGGTGGAATTGAGGGGTGGATGTACCGTTACTTTTTTTTGATGGCGCAATTATGGTCATAACTACTAGCAAGGGACAAGATCCCCCTAAACCGAATGAGAAGACTTATAGGCAAAACTGTAGCTCAAGAAAAACGTATATACGACTGATTATCCTATTTTCTCACGACAGTATCTTTGAATCTGGAGGATGTCCATCAACAGGGAAGTAGTCTCGGGTCAAGACTTCAAGCGAAGCAAAGCTTCAGCCAGATGATCCACCGCCGATCCGCTAGACTGAATCCAGTAGTTGATCGACATCACCCCACTATTAAAGCGCTAGAGCAGCTCGTGGGTTTCGACAGCAAATTGATTGGGCAGTTTTGGCTGCTTCCTCATGATATGTGATTGTCCCTCTGACCAAGACGCGGCCTCCGCTACGGGCAGTGTAGACTCCCCCTGAGTCCGCGTCGTGACGAGCCGCGGAGACTGCCGCGGATGACGGAGGGGTTTGCGATGCAAATCCTACAGTATTGGAGACTACAGATAATCCATCTATTAAGTCAACCGCGCTCGAAGTGATCGGCATACCACCAGTTCCCATTTGTGCAAGTGGATTTTTGGACGAATAATCTACTTCCGATAGTGTGCTCGAAACGCTTGCACGAAATTCAGCCCGGACTCGTGTTCATCGCCAAATACACCGCCATCTGTGGTGATCATGGAGGCTTCATGTTCGAGTTGAGGCCGGAGATCCAGAACAGGAATCATGGAAGGGCGTCCGTGAGCACATTGAAAAGGAAACGCACACCGGGCCAGACGCCCAATGAGTAGTTCGCACTCGGTTATGCTTAACGGGTCATTGAACATGATGGCGCCCCGACAAGCACGCGAGTTGAGAAGATCCAGGACACCTTGAGGGCACCCATTCATCTTCTGTATCCAGGGATGAGGAATAGGAGTGGACGCTAGCATGCTGTTCATTATTGATGGATCATGACCATTCAAACTAGCTTGGTCATACGGTTGTGAGTCGTTGTCAGGGCCAAGTTTTGACATTTGCACCCTTTCACCATTCTCCTCACGCGTCCAGATATCGCGACGAAGAATGTCAATCACCAAACTAGGCTCTAGTCGACATCGCTCTGCAATGAGAGCCGGGAGCGAATTTACAGTGATGGTCATATCAGACTCGGTATGTGTGGCTTGATCGTAGCTAAAGCCCCATTTCCGGAGAAAGCTCGAATATTTGGAAAAAAGAGCGGCCTCCGTGATAGAAACATTGAAGACGATAGGGTCAATGTCAACTGCTGCGACTCGCGTGCCTTGATGCAAATCTTCGGCTGATACGAACATTTCGTAGAAGAGTCGTTCGATTCGACAACGTTCATCTGCAGCATGTTGGTCAATCAAAACCAAAACGCCCCCATTGACGTCTTCACCGGATGCCGGATGAAGTTTGGCTAGAATGAACTTCTGATCAACCTGTGAAATTACCGTGGCTGTTTCCAGGCCTTGACGGTGTAATTTGCCCCGGTATTTAGCAAAGTGAGCATGATCATGAGGCTCTCCACGTAGATGGCAGCCATGCGACATGGTGGACTTGTTCAAATAAAAATCTCCAAGATTCATGCTAGGCAGTGGTACCTCCGTTCGAGAGAAAACTGGATTGTTCCATGTTCTGAGTAGGCCTTCCAACCAGGTACTGTCCGTCGACTTGATGTCTTTTGCCCTGTCAAATTTTTGGAAATAAGGCCGGAGAGGATTACTGCAAGACGCGGGATCGACGGTTTGACCAGTTCTTGAGTTGATCAAATGTGACTGCCCAGAATGTGGATTCACCCAAGGGATGAGATCGTCCGATGTTTCGCATGAACCGTTTGCAATGCCGTCATTTTCACTCGGCCTGACGTGCCCGCCTGAAGAAAGTGCTGACTCTCCACCAGAAGGGAGTGGCTGTGAAGTGTCGGCGTGATTTTGCTCATAGTCTAGGGATCTTCTTGGATGCTCAAGTAGCGTGCGATTTCGTCCTCGAGTATAGTTCTCGACGGTGTTTGAGCTGTTGTGCATACGTTCATTAAGATCCTTGGCTGTTTTGACCCGAGACCAATCGTGAAAATGCCGACTTGTGTTCACGGTTGGTCGCTGGAAAGATGGAAGCTTTAAGTGGTCGCTGAAAGCTTCTTCAGTGTTACGCGTAGCCCTCGGCCCTACCAGGGGCAACCTATGATTTCCCCGGTCAGCTAATGAGTGGGTCCTGCTTTGATCTCTCATATGCTTTCTTGCAGCACGCGGCCTTAAGTTTTGCTGCCTCAGAAACTCTGAAATCATTGCCTCCAGAACATCGGTGATACGTTGAACGGATTCCTCCGATTCTGCAGGAGTTTGACCTTCTTCACCAAAGGGCAGAGTGGCTCCCGTTTCCACACGGATATAGAACATAGGCCATTTATTGATAGGACGAACCCAAGTTCTGCCACTAGTTGTACTAGGAGCCTCAGAGGGGCGCAGAGGTTTCGACTGGCCCTCGCTATTGCTGCGAGGCACAGACATGGAGCTTCCAAAGTCAGATAGTGATATCAACCGATTGACCTCGTTGAACAAGACATTTGAGCTACCACGCGAGAGAAGGGGGTCGTTGTCTAGTGAAATGAATTGAAGTCGCTTCGAAGGACTAGGCACAGTAGATATTGCCGCAGAAACTGTGAGATCTGGGACGGTGGCTGATATGACAGACCACGAACCCATGTCCCGGGAACTGATCATTCCTGATTGATAAAGAATGGTCCCAATTCGAGAGAGATCGACCGTAACACTGTCATAGCCAGGGCGCATGACGATTCTTTGACCTCGTTCAACATCCGTTATGACTAGTTTTGAAAGCTGCGAGTTGGCCAGCATCACGGACACGAGTGAGTATTTCAGATTTTCCCACTCTCGGTCCAGCTCCTCTGGTTTTTGCAGTGCGAGGGCACGACTCTTGACACGCACTGGCATATTTCCAAAAAGATCATTCACCGTTACGGATGTGCCATATTCCCCGACCTGGAGACTTTGGTGTGGAGGAGCAGGGGTTAACCGCGCTACCGGTATTGCACGATGAAAGATAACTGAATTGGTTTCCTGATGGTGAGTATGGCGAGACGTTATCGTCAATAGAGACAACGCCGCTAGAGAAGCCAAGAACAATCCCCGGTGGCTATACACGCCGGGAACATTGAATTTCGATGTATCTGTCGGCATTGTTAGATGTATGGCTCACCGACATAGACAGCCATCAGACTCACGATGTGCTTTGGCGAGTCCGCCAGAAGGCTTGAACTCAGCTGGAAGAATGCCGTCCCCATCGTCTTCCACGATGCAGCTCCCACGCTTGAAATCAACAGAGACATGCACAACCCGGGCATTGGCGTCAAGGGAATTTTTGACGAGGTCTATCACGACACCCGTCAGATCCGTGATCGAAGTTGAGGATTTAATCTTCGCCACCACATCTGGAGGAAGGGGTTCAATGGCTGATCTTGACGACATGCCAAGAGATGGAGCCCGGAAGATCGCTGGAGTTGTCTAACAACGGCGGCAATTCATCCATTGGTTGAATCCTGACCAAAGGCAGGAGCATCCCATCATGGTGCTAGTATTAGACTAGGCTGGGACTATGTAAGATAAAAAATCCTTGGCCAAGCTCTATGCAGGTAGTCTTCCAATCGTATTTCTTTCCAAAACAAAAGCGGTCCAAGACCTCATTGAAACATCCATGGATGGGAATTGTGACATCAGATATCAAGGGCGGGGAGCACATGACTTGGGCGGATAAACAGTGGGCCCGCCCTCCTACTGACTGAGCGTCTACCTTACGGTCCAACTGTTGTTACTCCTTGGGAGTCATAGGTGCTTTCTAGGACCTATTATCTCGACCTCGTCACAGTCCGAAGATGGCTACAGCTGAAGGGCCCGCGAGGGCGCACGGTAAGCCCCCCTTACGAAAGTTTTCTTGTGCAAGCATCCCTAACGACCTACTATACAATAGATCGCAACGGTCGCCGCCGTCCATTCTCGAGCTGGATGAAGCGCCTCGCCAGCTTGAAGAGCTCCTCCGAACCCGGGTCCAATCGCTGGTCAAACAGGCGCGGTTCCACCAAGGGCAAAAAGGGCGTACAAGGCAACAACAACCCCTATCCACTGTCTGGGACAATCAGCAGACCCTCGAACCCGAGCGAATCATACGCAGAGAGCGAACGAATTGGCGAAGAGACCCAGTCGCGGAGCGATCCCTCTTTAGTATACTCAGCTTATGAGAATCACACCCCTGCGACCGGCGCGAAATCCAATGCTCCTACCATCTCCACCAATGGCGACACCGCGATTTCCGACGCAGCGTACTCCAAGGCAGGCACCATGGCAACAGCAGGTGGAAGGTTGAGCTCGCACGGAGGAGGAGAAGGGAGCACCTTTTCTTCACCAGCCCCTTCTGTGCGGTCGTTGACCACGACTCTGACGACCGTGCAATCTGCCGCCCCTTCCACGCAGCTATATCCCAACCCAAACAGCCAAACCACACCAGCTCACGGTGGTTCGACACAAAGCTCTGGGAACCAGCAGCAGGTTCAGTTCACACACCAGTTCCCCACCTCGTCCTCCCCCGCGACGGCCGTGCCTCCCCACCTCATACCCCACAGCCACTCCGTCACCTATAGTACGGCCACGGCAAACAACGTCTTGACTGACAATGCCTCGGTCCTTACACTTGCAAGCTCCTCCAAGCGACGCAGACGGAATTCGTTGGATACGAATGCTTCTATTCGTGGCCTGGCACCATCTTCGGTCTTTGGGGGCAGTCGGGAGAGTTTGCCCCTCAGTGTCCTGAGTGGTAACGTGGCCGACAGTGCACAGGGAGCACTCAATCGACCAAGCGTGGGTCTTGCTAGTGCCGAGCGTATCAGTGTTTATTCGGCTTCGGGGGTGATCCCAGTGACCAACAACGCCGGCGAGCGGGGCAGTTTCTACACCAAACAGAGCCAAGCCGCGGGCGATGGGGCTAGTATACGTAGCGGCGCACCCTCGCATGGGCGGAATGACAGCACGGCAGCAAGTATTACTGGAATTAGCAGTCCACTAGCCATGGCATCAGGCCGCATCAGCCGCCGAAGCTCTGGATGGGGTGAAATAACTGGCGATGAAGACGAGGAGAACAAGGCTACGGAAATGGCCGACGACAAACCGAACAAGGCCGAGGCCAGCCACGAAGAAATCAAGACCGATTGATCTTGATGCTAAACTTGATAGGTCAAGATGGACGAAACCGTCTTGGGAAGATATCGATTAGGATTATTATACAGGCGTCGAGGATTGACATTTGCATCTTTCTTCAGGGTCGGTACAACGCAAGGTGGTTACTCACCTTCTCTAATGAACTTACGCATGACAATTTGATGGAGGATCGTTGCGGGCTGCTATTATGAGGTGTTTCTGCGATTTTGCGATTCTGGACTCTGATTCTCTGGCGTTATCAGTGGATGATGACTGTGATACCACATGCGGTATTGGGGCTCTTTATGTTGCTATTCATTGACTCAATTGCTTTTTTTTGGAATTTTCAGACTGCTTGATACATAAAAGCCGACCGTAATTACTACTTGAGGTACAGCCATTATGAATGTCTTTGGAATTACTCGATCAATCTTGCCCTTCGTTTCCCTTATTGAGTAGCCCGACGTGGGAGAACCACTGACATGTCATCCTGATATACAAACCGTGAGTTTCCGTAAATTCATTCGCAGTTGGGAATCCTCGAGTTGGACTTGAGAGGTCAACTTGAGCCCACAAAAGCACATGAACTGGTTTCTTCCAAACGTCACTCCCATCGAAAGGAGTATACATGGCGACCAACTCCTTGATCTCCAGTATGACCGAAATTTCGGGCCATGCACACCCAGCAGTCTGCTCCAAACACAAAGCCAAACTGTATCCTTCATCCTTCGCTGTCGCCATTCAATATTCTCCTCTCCCATGTCTTTATGCCGTAGCCAGCGATCGGGATTAAAGCTGTCTACCCCCGTCAGCAAAGAACACCAGAGTCCACGTGGACCGCATAAGGATTAATGCCTACTTTTGTACCTGCTGACAGGTGCCGACCATCTGGAACTAGAAGCTCAAAGATTATCGCGGCCCCTAGGTGATACGCATGCACTCGATCGAAGTCCGCTTGGTCATCATTTGCCTTCCTTCCAGGTTCCTATTTGGACACCCTTCCTCGAATATCCCCAAGCTTAACGGGAAAAGAGAGTTTTCTCATGGTAAAATACCCACCAAATACCAGGGAAACAAAAAACAAAAAGGCCTATGCTAGCTCCGAGTTCCAGTGTAAAAGTCTTACCCATATTCGACCTGTAAGAATGTCTGACAGCTACAACCAGGCTACACTGGGCACTTTCAGGCGCACCACCGTCTCTAAGAGCGAATGATGCCACCCACCTGAGAACGAATTCTCGGTAAAATATGTTAGCGGGGCTTCAAATGGGTCTGCAGCTTAAAATAAGAGACTTTATGAATCTCAAAAAGCCATTTATCAACGTCATGGGCCAATGGGCCAATGGGCCAACCGGCATATGGTTTGAGAATACAGTGGGCTCTCATATCGAGCGTATTTGGCCCGTGCCACTTCCACCTACGTAGATATCAAGTTCTGGAATTACTTTCAGGAGCTCAGGTTGTCTGAACCCCAGGCAAATATAACGATGGAGGAATCCAGATCATATAGTCTCGAGAAGTGAAAAACAAAAGCTTAAGTTATTTCACCTCCATTTGCAGTCCCCCATCCTGTCGCAGAAATGCTTGAATTTCGTGAGATCAGAAGCCCGCACAAACATTAGCAGTACCACATGCCGTCGGACACTGATAGCATAAGTCAGGTCAGATCGGAAGATAGACAGAGTATTGTGAAGTACTTACACAAATATCCGCCCCCGATGGATTAGAGGCAGGGGGGGCAAGTGTTAGCGGCCAGGCAACAACCAAGAAGTGGCCCACCCGTAATGCACGATGTTCCAGCTGGGCACTGTCGCATGGTTAGTAGGGGATCTTAGATAAACAGGACTGAGACTAACGCAAATTCCTGCTGGAGCGCAGAAGGGTGTAGCTGCCGGGCAGCTGACGCAGACTCCATTGACACAGCCTTCGCCGCCAGGCGCCGGAAGGCACTAAATCCCAATTAGCAGATGATATAAAATGAGTAGTATATCCTCCACATACCACTGTGCCGCAGTGTCCACAGTTATCAGTGCTGGTTGCCAAGTCTGTACAGACTCCGCCGCAACAAGCAGGTGAAGTACCAGTGCAAGGAGGTGAGTTACAAGCCCCACAGTGTGTGAGGCTGGAGCTCAGGTCAGCACATGTTCCATTGCAGCAAGCAGGGGCTACACCAGAGCATGGAGTCGCGAGACACGAGCCACAGTGGCTCACATCGGAGCTGAGATCAGTGCAATTTCCGCTGCAACACGCCGGTGTGGTACCCGTACATGCGGGCTGCGTGCAAGATCCACAGTGAGTAATATTTGAGGCCAAGTCCACACATGTTCCATTGCAACATGCCGGCGTCACGCCTAGACATGGCGTCGCCGTGCACGACCCACAGTGGAGGGTATCAGAGCTAAGATCCGTACAGACACCAGTGCAACAAGCAGGCTGCGTCCCAGTACAGGGAGCAGCACTACAGGATCCGCAGTGGGTAGGACTTGTCAGCAGATCTGCACATGTACCATTGCAGCATGCTGGGAGATCGCCTGTACAAGGAGTCGCATTGCAAGATCCGCATTTAGTCAGACTAGTCGCTAAATCTGTACAAGTACCATTGCAACAAGCAGGCTCCGTTCCAACGCATGGCAGCGCAAGACATGCGCCGCAATGATTCACATTCGATGTAAGGTCAGTACAGTTTCCTGAGCAACATGTTGCTGCCGTTGGAGGGCACTATCATAGTTAGATGAGGATTTTTCTGAAGTATTAGTACCGAGTTCGAAATTCACTTACAGCCGTAGCACATGACCCACAGTGCGCATTGCTTGAGCTCAGGTCAGCGCAAGTGCCAGAGCAGCAAGCGGGTTCAACACCGCCCCATGGCATGGCTAGACAAGCTCCACAGTGATTGACATCGCTGGAGAGATCAGCACATCCGCCTAAACAGCAAGCCGGCTGTACTCCAGTGCACTGCGGAAGTACTGATTAGATCAAAATCCTGCAGCCGGATAAGACCAAACTCACTGTCGTGTTGCATGCACCACAGTGGCTAGCGTTTGTCGCTATATTGGTACACGAGCCACTGCAGCATGCGGAATCGATTCCAAGACACGGGGTCCCCGTACAACTACCACAGTGAAGAGGGTCGGCGTTCAAGTCTGCACAGATGCCTGCACAGCAAGCTGGATTAACACCGGTACACTATCACATTCATGGATATTAGCGATATACATGAGTCACTGAAGTTGGCACAGGCCTCACGTTTGTGCCGCAGGATCCGCAGTTGGTGACGGAAACGGCTAAATCAGCACACTGGCCAGAACAACAGGCAGGAAGCAGTCCAGTACACTGTATTCGATTAGCTTTTGACGTCTGGGCCGGTAAGGTATGAGAAGCCAATCACATTTGGAGCGTTGCAAGATCCACAATTGTTTGTAGTGTTGACGCAAAAGAAATTGCAGCACGTTTCACCTGTTGGGCACTAAATCGAGATCAAGCGTCAATAAACTTCCAGGGCGCAGTATGGAAATCCGGGTACCTGACAGGTTTCCATGGAAGGAATGGTGCGCATATTTGATCAGAGCCATGGCTTGCGATGTCGCTGACCCGAACAGTCGCTGCAGTTGCGGGTGTCGCATTCAAAGGTTTTGCTTCTACGAATAGAATGCTCGAAATTAAACTTGCTGGGAGAGATCAGCTACCCCAAATCGTCGAAACTAAACTGCCCAGTCCGTTGTACTCACCAATAGCGCAAGGGAGAAGCATTCGCCTGCTAATCATGTTGAGGGGAGTCATTTAAAGAATGATGCAAGCAATGTTCCCTATGGTGCGATGCTCCAGATGATTAGCTCTGATAGGATATGAGCAAAAAGTCTCGGTACAAAAACAGGACTTGCAGACCTTACGATTGTATATAGTGAGCACCTTCTCCACATGATAGTCTCAGGATAAGGCAGTGAAGATCAAACTAGGTCCTTCAGTTGCTGGGTCACATTCCCGCAAGCTTCCCAATTTCTGATGGAGGGTCTCAAAACTTTGGTCACCAGGGCCATTGGATAGTTTGCGATGCGCTTTAGACACCTCCACGATGCAGTGTTACGCGAGTTGGGGCCTGTTTACACACCGTGTGCTGCTTCACGAACTGTAGGTTTCAAAGGCTAACGCCTTGTAGCTCTGTTGCACGAAGATCGGAGTGCAGCTGGTTGAACGGTTGCACAAAAGAAGGAAAGGAAAGGGCCTCTAGTAAGAACCGTTCCATGCAATGGTCGAGACAGTGTTTTGTCATCCATCTGCTAGTGCTCCAGCAACGGCTTCTGCGCGGAAAAGAGAAATACAAAGATCAACTTGAGAAACTTGTCTATTGGAAGCAATGGGTTTAGTATCAGGGGATAGAGATGGCCACCCTGTTGCAGGGGTGGCACTATACTACCCTCTCTTAGACTTGGACATGAAATCGATGGCACTATAACAGGGCTTCAGTATTGTGTCACCTCCATGCTCACCAGACATCATCGAGTTCCCTCCGACATGCGTGGATTCGGAGTTGTCGCTGATATATACCAGAACTTCAAGTTTGGATGTTGTACTAACCATGTTCTACTTTTTATATCCGATAGTTCATTTGTGGTATACTGTGCACAAGCTGAAGTCGAAAGTTGAAATTTTCCTAAAGGAGATCTCGAAAAGCTGCCCTGACAACATAGTAAATTTGGAACTCCTTGAGACTCTGTACTCCCCGTACCATACTTAAACCACGTAAATTGTAAGCTCTTTGCGAGTCTGTATTCCCCGTACTATGACTTGAACTGCGTAAATTGTAAGCTCCTTGAGAGTCTGTATTTCCCGTACTATGACTTTTTCCACGTAAATTGTAAGCTCCTTCAGAGTCTGTATCCCCGTACCATACTTGAACCACGTACTTTCTTAAGAGGCCCATGGAACCTCGATGTTCAGCTTCTCCGCTACCCGTATCGCCGAGGCAATGCACCCTTCCAGCATCACCATCCCATCCCAACACCACCCTCCCACGAGCCAAACGTTTCCATCGCCATTTTGCCATTGCTTGGAATCGCCATCGGGACCAGTTGGCTTTGACTCGAAGATGTCCAGCGTCACTTGCCGACTAGTCGGAGTGCGTAGAACTCGAGTGAATGTCGTGGAGGAGATAACCTTCTCAGAGTCAATAGGCACAATAGGTGAGGTAGAAATAAGTACCGAGGATGGGTGTTGGTGGGTTGATTCCGTTGTGGAAGCATTTGAGATGATGTGGATTGGATGTGTGGAGGAACGGTCGTTATCTGCGTGGAGGCGAGCACTGATTACCTGACTGCATGCTGGGAGGCGGGCGAAGTCACGATGAACGATTGAATGAACCGGGGTCGTAGGCACAGCGGCCAATATCTTACGCAGAGGAGGAAAGATTGCGCGGAGCACATCGGGAGTCACTGCCAGAACAACATGGTCAAAAAACAATGACTTGACCTCCTCCCTGGAGCCATCTTTCCAGGTGACTTTGACTTTGGAGCCGACATTCTCCACTGCGGTCACTGCGGCGGAATACCTCACTTTCTGACCCTTGGAAAGCTTAGCTTGAACTTTATTCACACCGCCGAGGACAGTATAGTGTGGCTTCCGAAAAGTCTTGGTCTGATAACCGATCACATCGATGGCGGGGAAGTCCAGAAGCTGATTGTGTGAACAGGTCGTAACACAGGACATGAGGGGAAGAAAGTAGTTCTTGATGTAGTGCCCGGGTATGTGGATGCGCTTTGCATAGTCGCGGAATGACTCGGATAGGCCAGTGTCACTTGTCGTTCGAGGCGCGACAAAGAAGCAACACGCGACAAAATAGTAATAGCATACCGCAAGATACACGACTCGCATCAGCCATTCGATCCACGAACATCCCTTAGGCCGCAGGGGTGGTAGCTGGTGATTATTAGAAGAGTGAATAAAATGCGGATGAATCTCCGTCGATCCAGGGTCAGAAATCCTGGACATTGTGTAGATAAAGCGTGGCGATGCATACTGCACGCCAAAAAAGTCGTACATCCGTTTCAGATTCGCGTAGAAACCATCGGCAAAGACTCTCATGGGCAAATCAATACGATGCTGCTTCTGGTCATTATCTGGGCCTGATGAGACTGTCAGGGATGCCGAGTCAAGAGACAGCTGGGCTTGCTAAGGTTTATGTTAGAGTTGGAATGTGACACAGAGACGGGGATCGCATACCTTCTCGAACACTTCCACATCGAATCGGGGGTCAGTTCGCAAGATGTAGGAAGTAATAAGCCCGGCCATCCCCGTGCCAATAATGGCCACCTTCTGAGGCTTCTCCGACATTTTCGAGCCGCACCTGTTAACCGGACTTACCTGCGACGCGCTTTTCTTGTATTCGATGGGTTGGGAGATGGACCCGCCGGAAGGGCGTGGAGATCGGTTTGTCAGCCTTTTTCTTCACCAGGACGCGTTGAGCATCGTCTGATCCAGCTGGGTGGACCCTTGTATCCTCGGTTAAAAAGGAAACAAAGTTACGGTGGCCCATAGTGCACATATATAAGTCTGCCACATCCGCCTTCTTTACCGCCTCTACAATGAGCTTGGGGTCTGTTTGTACGCCCCAGCATTCATTCGGCGCCTCTAGTGAATGCTCTGGAGTACGGGAAGATACAAATACCAGCCCGCAGTAGCGGCACGCCTGGAGCTGGCCCATTATGCTGCCATTCACTGCCACAAAGCTTCGACCAATCCCCGAGCTCGTTTTACTAAAACGAGTAGGTGAGATGCGCCGATCGAAGAGATACGACGCGGGTCGCGTCCGGGACTACACTGCATCAGGTGATAGGGGCGTGGCTGTGTGGTAACTGGAACACCTGGCTGCGGACTAGGAGCCCACGGAATTAGAAGCCTAGCGGTTTGCCAAAAACGCAGCAGCAATAGGATCTGGGCGAGTTCTTTTGAGATCTATTTGTGGATCTTACCTATTCGCGCATAGGATAAAGACGTAGAATCCTAGCGGATACAGAGACTTGGGATCGACGCGAGGAGTTCTACAGGGTCCGAGCTCTGGACCCGAAGGATCTCTAAACGCGCGGGGAAGTCGGCTGCGCAACTCGTGAAGCGTATACAGTAAGAATGGAGCTCCTGTCCGATTGGAATACGCTCCAAAGATGACGTATGATGGCGCCTTTCCATTCATGAGTGCAGGGGGCTCTGGTCTTTTGTACGGTCTGGCCTATGGGGATCCGACAATGAGTCACTGGACCCTGAGCGGGCCGTACAACCGTACAACGTGGCTTATGCACTCCCAACAAGCTTATACTGACGATGATCCGAATCAACGGGTATCTCCAGCAAGCGGTTAGGTCTGCCTTGGCAGATTAGGATCGCCTTGGCAGAATCGAATGACGCAATAACAAATGCGTTTCGAATGAGTAGGTGAGATGTAGGGGATGCTCCCCCGGGCTTCGTTGGACAATGTTTCTGCCGGCAGGAATATTACCTGACTTTTGGCGCGTATCGTCCGCCATAACCTCCAGGCACCATGTGATCCTCAGGGCTCGTCGATGAACGGGTCTCAGCCAATCACAGCCACCCGATTGCCACCTGCAACTGCGGTAGGGTCATGATCTTACTTAGAAGTTTGGAATACGTGGCAAATTTAATCATGAGATTCGAGACTCGCGGGTTGGCCATACAGAAGGCCTTTGTTAAGATTAAGCTGAATGGTTCCTTGGCTCAGTGGGATGCCACGTGAGAACGGACCAAGGTCCACAAACGGCTATGGTCATGGCTCACGATTCATGGAGCAACCAGGATAATTCTTATCATATTGCTATGCATTTCTGGTAAATGAAAAGGGCCTTCTTGTCAATTGAAAAATGCATTTAGTTCACAAAAACAAAGAAAGGGCTTGGAAACAACGGCATTCCAAGAGGCCCCATTTGCGTTACACCCCTCCTGCCCCTCCTCAGGCCCAAATTGATATATCCATTTTGTTGATCTGAATTGACGATACCATAAGCTCTTCTCATAATTCCTTCCCGCTTGATGATGTGGGGTTCACCTAAGTCTCTGCAAAAGATGTATGATTTCTCGCCAACACTGCAAAGAAGTGTAGTAGCACCCGTATCATCTGTGAACTGCACTCTATCAATTCTTCGCTCCCAAGGAGAGAGTGTTAATTTAGAATGTGTCGTGCTTTCCGATCTTGTCGCATGGGTTGGGTGATTATTGAATATATACACATATCCTCTTTTGCCCCTAGACCAGTTCTATGTAAGTACTGATCATAAACCACGGGGAAGTTTGCTTTGTTGATTGCAACAGGCCCATACAGCAGCTTCCGCCCAAGGGTAATTTCTCGGGTGATTCCAGCATTCCAGCTTGCCGGTCCAGTAGGACTGGTGGATCGCTTTAGTAGTAGCAAGCGGGTGATCGTCAACATCACAGCTTTCCTTCTTAGTGTGTTTCCAAATGCCTTTGAGGCCAAGGAGCCGCTGCGTCATCTCCCAGCTGAGGACTGATGCCGCTTTCATGTCTTCTGGTCCTCATTTTGAAGATCTGGGGCAGATCCCTGCCTGAATCGCTCACACCACCGCTCAATATTTGCGTCTATGCCCCTCGCGCAAGAAAGTCAAGGATCTATGTGTGAAACAGTGTACTCTACGATATCTCGATACGAAACATATAAAGAACCGAGACCAAAACCAATAGCATCCAAGTCTCACCTTTGAGAGATGCCTTTGCCATCCGTAGTAGGCTCTGCTTCGATTATCTCCTGTGAATAATAGGCAGCGACCCTCGAGAAGATACACTGATTAGTCCAATTTGTACATTGGCACTGGCAGCTGTCTCCTTTTGCTACCTCTCACTGGAAATATTATGCACCGCAGGGTGAAGTGAAGTGGTTGAAAGAGAAGCTTTTGTTAGAATGACGCGATGGTGATATACTAGTACATTGTGTACAGACTTCAACCAGCTGTCTGATCTACGACTACTAGTATTTCTAGCTTAATTTAATATGAACATTGTGGGTCGTCCTCTTAGAAGGCTTTTTATGTATTCTCGGCTTTACTAAACGGGTGGGGGGGGGGGGAGCCAGAAGAACCAGTACTTGAGAAGATGGGATGAATTCCAGTCCTAAATTAAAACTATTCAAATGCCAATTTTAGATTGGAGACCAGGAGGCGTCAATAAAGCTCCTTGAGAAGATCAAAAACAGCAACACGCCCGGTCGGTCACTTAACCTCATTGGTATCATTTCTCCAGGAACTAGCTAGCTGCAGACCCAGAAATAGACCGCTCTTTCGAGCGAGTCACATTTCAATGGACATTCGTACCGCATATACTCCTTGAGGCATAGACTCGGAACTGTGCATCACCACCTTTCCATCGCGGCATTTGTCTTTCTCCAAAACTGCCATTAGCAACGGACACTTCAAATCCAGAAAGGCATAATTCTACCCGACCGAAAAACGCGGATTTTGGATCTCCAGACCAACGTCCCCGTGCAGTGCTCTTTGTTATATTTTCCCGTTTTCAGGGCGTTTGGCCAGACATTTGAATATGGGCGGCTTGGCGAATCAGACGATGTCTCACGATAACTGATAAGCCCCGGAGGACGGAGTACATAGCGCTTTGATTCCTTAACATTATACCACCATCAGGCCCATGGGAAGTTAGAACGGACTAATCAAACCTCTAGCCCGGCACACATATTTCCAGGGACCACAATTCCGCGATAGGCGAACTTGGTATTGACCTTCGCTGACACGGTGGCAGCGACCTCCCCTTGTCATTGCAACCCAAAAACACCGGCCTTCAAGCCTACTGGAACCTGTCACCGCACAAAAGGTCCTACCAAGGATGCTTTCCTTCCTTCGTTGGCTTTTCAAATATTCGCGCCCTGAGATGTACGGGTTAGACCATGCTGTTCTTAACATTCAGCTCCCACCCCAGACTATGTGGATGAACATGGGTTATTGGGAGGTAAGACCTCGACTTCCCCCCTTCTCCATCAACCCGTGTACACTTCGAAAAAAAAAAAGGCTTTTCTCGCTAACTCTTGAAGTAGTCGACTTCCGACTTCCCAGAGGCCTGTCGCTCCTTACTAGAGCAGGTGATCACCTCGGGTCTCTTGTCTGTCACGGAAAGGAGTGGACCAGTGAGGGTCGTCGACGTGGGCTGCGGCTGCGGCGACCAAGCCCTGTATCTAACCGATCTCCGGCGCAATCCACCAGGAGACGAAGCATCAGCCTCTGGATTTGAGGCGGTCCCGTCCAACCAGACCGCCCAGCCCCGAACTCAGGAGCCGCGTCTTCTGGATACCTATGTCGGAATCACCCTCGAACCGGGCCAAGCAGCGCTCGCGCAGCGCCGCCTCCAGGACAAACATGGCGACCTCCTCAATTCTCTCAATGGCCCATCTGCGCGGGTCTTCTGCGGCGACGCGGCTGATCCCACGCAGTGGTCGGCGGAATTGCAGAATTTCATCGCCCCGCTGGTCGACACCGCGCAGAGCGGCAATGCGGAGACGTGGCTCCTTGCGCTCGATACGCTGTATCATTTCCGTCCGTCGCGTCTGCCCATTCTGAAGTATGCACATGATACTCTCCATGCCTCGGTCATGGCGTTCGATCTCATTCTAGCCGATAACGTCTCGTGGCGCGAGCGCGTCCTCCTGCAGTTATTCTGCTGGCTGACCGGGGCGCCGTTTGGGAACTTGATCTCGCAGGAGAAATACCTGCGCATGCTGATGGCGGCAGGGTATGACCCGTCCCGGATCGAGATGAGAGACCTCACTCGACACGTTTTCAGTGGTCTGTCGGCTTACCTTGATCGGCGGGTGCAGGAAGCGGCTCCGTTCGGGCTGAAGATGGGTAAGTTCAGTGCTGCCAGAATGGTCTTTGATTGGTGGGCGAGGAGTGGTATACTAAGGGGGGTGGTGGTCGTGGCGAGACGATCGTGATGTGAAGGCTTGCATGAAACCTTATCTTACTGAGGGCATTTTAGTCCTTTACAAAACTAACATAGCGAGGAGTTAAGGACATTTACATTGCAAGACTGTCATATTTCGTGCATTCATATCAGCAGTTGATATTATATCAAGATAAGTACCATTTGATCATGATGTCGCCTGAGAATCTTTACGGTATTGCTGTGGCTACCAATTATGCCGCTTGGGGGCTTTGAGGGTTTCGAAAGACATTGTCGGGGTCGACCTCGCGCTTGATTTTCTCCAGGCGAGGTAGATTCGATCCCCAGTACGCCTCCGCTCCATTGTCCAGTCGAGGATCTACGTAGCCGGGATAAGCAGCGTAAGGGACATCAGTCGGGGTAACGAGCTTGTTGACTTTGTCCAAGAAGTCGACTTGAGTCTGGGAAACAGAGCCCAGAAGATTGACCGTATACGACTGCAGCCAGATGATAACATCCCGATGAGCGTATGCAGTTGCGGTGGATGGCACTGAGCTGGTGTAGCCACCCTCGAAATCAAAGACAATAAACCAGATCGGTGTTCCCTTGTCAGCAGAGTCGACGAACTCAAACATCTTGTCAATCGTCTCATTGCTCATCAGGTTCTGAGGAGTCCAGGAGCTAGATTTGGCGTAGAAGTGAGCAGGCACGCCACCAAACAGCTCCATGGCCGCATCCTCAGCCCAATTGGCGACAAGGCCAAGCCAATCTTTGAAAACAATAGCGCTGCTGTTGGTTCCGGGGAATTGGCTGCCGATACCCAGTGCCTTGTACTCTTCCTCCGTGCCAAAGAAAGTGCCACTGATAATGAGAGTGTCTTCGAGCAAAGTGAGAGTGGACGCCAACTTCCATGTTAAGTCCGGGTTGGTCATATAGGCCTGCCACTGCTTGAAAAGGCTTGCCCGCTGTTCAGTGGTGCCGACCTTGAGAGTGTACTCATACTTCACAGCAGTGCCGGGCTCTGGCTCAGTCCGAACCTTGAATTCCGTGACGATGCCAAAGCCCGAGGCGGCGCCCTTCACAGCCCAGAAAATATCCTGATTCTCCTTTTCAGATGCCCGTACAATACTCGAGTTCGCGAGGACAACCTCCACCTCCAAGATATGGTCGAGCGCAGAGCCGAACTGGCGAGAAGTCGGGCCCAACCCGCCAATCGTAAAGTGGCCGCCAGAGCCGATCTGCGGGGAGGTTCCGTGCGACATTGCGCGACCTCCTGCATCGTGGAGGCGCTGTGTTACATCTCTAAGTAGAGTTCCACTGCCGATTGTAGCCTCCCAGTTTGTGCTATCCATTGAGAATTGCTGTAGGTTCTTCAGATCGACGACGACAGCTCCGTCAACACCACCCAAGCCTACCAGATTATTTTGATGAGTAGGGTATTCTATTAGAAATGGGTAAAGGGTATAACAAACCATAATTGCCATAGCTGTGACCACCGCTTTTAGGCTGGACCGGGTATCCGTTGTCGGCAGCGCATTTGACAACGGCTGCAACTTGTTGCGAGGAAGCTGGGAAGGTAACAGCAGCGGGCGTCAGCGGGATGTCGAGGTTATATGCCTGCACGTCGGAAGCCTGGTAGAGCAAATCACCAGGGAAAGCGACCTTGCCGCTATCAGTCAACGCATACTTTAAACACGACTTTAAAGTGTCATGGCTGCTGGCCACAGCTGCAGACGCTGCGCCGAGAGTGAGCAAAGCCGTGCGAATGGCTGACATGGCTGCGGTTATGAATTTCACGGCCGCACGCTGGAATGAACAACGTAAGAAACCGAGCTGGGGGGGGTTTATGCGCCAATTATTAGGCTGGCAAAGGGACCAGAATGCCATTATGTACGTACCGAGGGCTCCGAATCAACGCAGTGGGTCCAGGGACATATGCCCTGTAAATGGGTCCTTCGCATCGAAGCGATCCTCCCTGACCCAATCAGATAGGTCAAGATCGAGTACCTTAGGTGGCTGTGGATGCATCAGTGACCCCAAATCCCTCACTGTGGAGAGCTGAGAGGAGCATCTCGATGATCTCACTGGTCTCCTCGGAACAAGAACTGACCCCCATGTCCAGCGAAGCGTCGAATGTCCGACCCAATCCACCGGATATTGGCTCGCGTAATGAGCAACATACCGAGTAGGAAAGTGATAAGCATTTCGAGCCGACTCTTTGGGCAGAACAGAAGCTAAATGCAGCAGCTGACCGCAAGGTAGAGATCCAGGCTTTACTGATGCTGCCGATCCCCACTGCTGCCGATCCCCACTGCTGCCACTGCCACTGCGAGACAAATACGCTGCGTAATTCGAGACCTGATGGACTCGTCGCGTTCTCAAGAAAGAGAAGGGGGTAAAAAAAGAAAACAACTGAAGATATGACGCCAGTGGAATACCGAGACCTCCAAGAATAAGCATGTTTCCTATAATAAGATTCAGAGATCTCGATCTGTGTGGCATTCCAGGGGTACTTCCGGCCGAACCTCGGGAAGATCCCGGCTGGATGGGTGGAGTAGCGGACAAGAAGACCCTTCTGCATGCATGTCGCATGTCTACCAAGGAATGAGAACAAAGAATGGTATAACTTGAAGGACTTTATTCAAACTGCGCTGTAAGAATACTGGTTTCCATCCGTAGGCCTGTGATATGCAGCCATATAAACAAATACCAAAAAGCGCTAAAACAAATATAAACAAGAATAGAATGGGACCTGGAATCATAGCAGGAAACCATCTCCAGCAGCAGGAATGAATAGGAGCAGCGCAAATTAGACCGCAAATGATTCGTGCTTTTTCTGCCTTTTTTGTTTTTGTTTTTTTTTTGTTTTTTTTTGTTTTTTTTTTTTACTTGAGCACCTAAGCCGAGGTGCCTACGCCGCGCTTCGATTCGGAAAGACTTGAAGTCTCACCACGAGATGCGAGGAAGTTCTTGAACATCTCAGAGATAGCCTTCTCCGATTCTTCGTTTTGCTCTTCGTTGCCGTTCTTCTCCATGATAAGGCCACGGAGCCAGTGGTTCTCGAGCTCCAATTGAGAGACACGGGCCTCGAGAACACCGTTCTTGTCGTTGGTCTCTTTGAGGCTCTTCTCTAGGGCGGCCTCACGCATCTTCTTCTTGACACGGAAACGAGCGCTGGCGGCAGTGTTGCGTCGGCGCTTATCTTCTTCGGCAGCGCTACGGGCGGCGTCCTCGGCACTGGCCTGAGCAGATTTCTGGGTGTTCTTGCGCTTAGGAGCAGCCACAGCAGGGATGACTGGAGCAGCAGAGGTTGGAGCCACAGTCTGGGCAGCGGTCATGGGTGGAGCGGGAGGGACTGCCGAGAACGGAGCATTTTGCATCTGCACTGGCGAAGAGGCCACGGCATTCAGATCGGTATTGAAGTCAGTGATGTTATCCAGGTTACCTGAGTATATACATTAGTCTGATGATCGCCTGTGAATGCGCATGATGATCGTGTTCTATAGCTCCGACCAGGTCTCCTCAACTGGTCTCCAATAGAGAAGGTATGGCATTGTGCATCACGTGAATGGCGTGATAGCGGAGCACGGTTGCAAAGCCTCAAATGACCTAGTCGCGAGGTACGAGCCGGGGAAGTGAAGCGTGAAAACCTTGCATTAGCGCCGCAAGCCAGATTACCTGGAGGACACCCTTAGAAGGCTTCGCTAAGGTTTCGCTCTTCGGTAGGCAACCCCGACCTCGATCGATGCAAATCCCACGTAAAAAAGACGTGATTCAGCCAAGACTTCACACGCAAATGCACACAGTCAGAACATAAAGCACGTAGCCAATGGAAAACGACCAGCGCCATGCAAGTAAATGTGCCCTGCGATGCAGTTGTTCCATGGGATGATCTTTATGGTGTGCTTCAGGGGAATCGTATGTATCTCGGATACCCCTCTTTCGACAAAACCGACGAAGCCAATAGAGACACGATCATCAATAGTAGTTTCACTCACCATTAAGGAAATCCAAAAACTTCATGTCATTTTGAGGCGGAATTTGGTCAGGCAACTCAGTAGAGGGAGGCTTCTCTTCCGCCGTATCGAATGAAGGCAGGCTCAGGTCGCCAAAGTTATCGAAGTCGAAGAATTCGGCATTAGTGAAGATAGCCAACTCCTGGTCAACATTGAAGGAGTTCTGTTGGTTCTGCTGCTGCTGCAAGGCCTGGTCATATGGCGATGGGATTTGGTTCAAATCATCGAGATATTGAGCGAAATTTGGAGCCCGCCGCCCATTGTAACCGGCCATTGTGGAATAACGTCAACCCACGGTTGACTATCGCTTACCCTCAGATCACAGATCGACTTGTCGAGTGTGGGCGAGGGTTTCGCGGATGGATTCGTGGTCGTGACTCGACGTTTTTTGTGGGGGGTCGCGCCGAATGCGGCTCCGGGATAGCGGCGAGACGTGCGGTTTTTTGCGTGTGCGTATGTGATACTCGACGTTTGGCGATCGAGTCGACGGTCGTGGGGTGATTAAGAACGATGGAGGAGGGGAGGCGGAGGAGGCGGAGGAGGCGGAGGAAGCGGGCAGGTGGAATTTTCCCTTTGAGTCTTGAGGCCGAAAGTGGTGGGGGGCGAATCCGTGGATTGGATGCCTGTGAGGGGGAGATGATTAATCCGTAACGAATCTCCCGAGTCGCGATCGACTTCTACCCTACCACCGCCTTAAATTGACTGGAATGCACAGATCTTACTGGCTTGACGAAGTGACCTACTACATAGTCCTCTACGATCTTTCTGAAATTGTGCATATTTGCGTCTTGAAGCCTTATACAAGTTGGCCATCCGTACTATCCGCGGGTTTTGGTTTTGATTCATTCCCGTGGCCGAAGATCGGACCGGCCAATTTGGAACGTCCCCACTCCATGGGAAAACTGGCCCGATGGGGTAATAAGATGAGCGCACTTATCGTACGTTGAGCCGTTTGGAAGTCGCATTCTACTGAGCTTGCGCTGTTGCATTCGGTCTCCAAATCACGTCCGTGTAGTACGAAAAGACGATATCACAGCCTGCATTCTCAGCGACAAACGCGGCTTTGATGAATTCGTGCTTACAGATCAAACGAACTTTGGCATTTGGCTCCTGCATTTCTGATTGGCTCGTCTATCAAGGCCTCGAGGGCCCACTTTCTCGGCTCAACAGCAAACGACCAAAAATCAGAATGAGGTCACATACTGGTCACCTACTGGTCACCTTCCGGTCATCCTAGTTCTCCCGCGATTCCCCCCATCTTCCATTAACAATTCAGGGAAATTTAACCTTGAAGGGGCTTGTGAGGCCCAGCACAGGCCTCCCGGATGTCCAAATTGCACGTTTACTGTGCCCAACCTCGTCCATCTCGGCTAGTCTGCACTAGTTTCCCGACATGGAATAGCTGAAGACTCTTAGAGCTTTACATTCAAGGGAAATTGTTCTATAATTGTCCCTACTAAGCAAGACGTTTACAAGGCATATATGGATAGACCAGATCCGACAAAAACGCTATTTCCGATCGGCCAGGTTGGATTGACGAGCTATGAATTGAAATGCTCATGTATTAAAATCGCACCATCCTAATGGCTGCCCATATATTATCTGTCATAGGTCAGAACGATTCTGCATACTGCGTGCAACCTGGGAGAAGAGGTGTTGGAACGTGAACTGGAATCTCGAATCTCCACGTGCCTAACTTTATTGTTGTCATCACGTGATGTTTCCAATTCAAGATCGGACGCGTGTAGATGGGACAAAGCAGAGCGTCAACCATGCAATTCTCTGGTGTACAGCTACAAACAGACCTTTGAACTGACACGACTCCCGATATTCATCGGCCATGGCACGTCCAAGGACGGTTCGCGCGCCAACTTCAGCCAGCCTCCCAAACAACCTCCGAATTCCCTCCACCTCTCCGTCTTTGAGCAAGACTCTGGGCAAGCTATCGCGCCAATCGCTGCTAGACCTGGCATTAACATGGCTGGATGATCAGAATTCTGCTTCATTTGTCCCTTTTTTGAAAGGTGACGAGCGGGGGAGCCGCGATGATGATGATGACGAAGCTCTCCCATACCCCGCCGCAGAGACCGTCGAAGAAGTTCGCCAGATATATGAGGACCTGCAGGAGCGCAAAGGTGGGAAACGTGAAGTCCTGGAGAGAATACTCGAAGGTGACTGGCGCCACGGACTCACGTTGCGCCAGCTTGCAATGGTAGATCTTCGCTACATGGATGACCATCCTTCTAGCTTGCGATGGACAGCACTGGAGCTGAGTCGCATCGATCCTCGGCGAAAGGAATCGGCTTCGAAGAATGGTTCCGAAGACTGGTCTGCCAATCTCCCGCGCATTCAAGCAGCGAGCTTCGTTAAGGCTCTACAGCAAGAGGTCGCCTCCCTGGTCAAGGCACACTACCACCTCGCCCGCTCGTCCACACTCCCTCTGACTTTTCTCCGAATATTCGTCGTCGATTCGCCATACCAACCACCCCAACAATCACCAGAAATATTCGCAGACTCGGCTCGCATTATCTACGTCGCATTCCCCGACAGTTGCCCTTTCATATACACCTCCGTTGCAGCATCGACAGGCGCCAAACCTGCTGCTCCGCCATCCACGTCCATCGCAACAGACTCCCGTAGTCTGCAGCGTCTAGTTCGCGACGCGATCCCCAAGGCACTTTCACGCCCACATGAGCGATACACACTCAAGGCCACCGCTCTAGCCGCGAAGAACCTCCCAACTCTCCTCGCCCTCCGTGGCCCCGGCCGCTCCACAGCAGCGAATGGCAGTTTCAGCATCTTCGCAGACGCTGCCCTCGAAGGAAGCCCGTTAGATCCTCGTCCCGCAGACACTGTATCCGCAGAGGACCATATCCTTGGTGGGCAGAGAAGGCCTCTCGGCACAGAAGACAAGGAGAATGGCGATCCCGAAAATTCGGCCTCACAGAAAGTCTGCAAGCGCCCTTCTTCCCGCCGGGATACTGATACTGTACCTCTAACTCCGGACTCGAAGAAGCGACGGCTTGCAGTTGAGTCGCGCTTTGGAACGGCAGGCTCTTCGCTCAATCCCGCGCCTCTTGACCGCCTTGACGTCCGGTTTCTGGATGCCCTGGATAGCGGGCTCGAGGATGAGGAAGAGCAGCCCAGTTCTACTCACCCTGTGGTCTCACTTTCGTTCACTGGGTCTGATGTTATAGGTGGCATCCGCCAACTTGCAGAGCTGGGAGTTGTCGACCCTCACCGGATGCCTTCGTGGCTGACTGGCGAGGAGGCTGTTAGTATGGCTACAGTGAAGTCAGGACAACGGGTTAAGATGTCCTGACTCGAATGGATTTCAATTGATATCATTGTACGGCGTTGGACTGTTAAGGCTGGAATTAGGACTTGGGCTTGTTTTTATGATACCCACTCATTCTTGGCATCGTTGAAATTTTGAATTATTGATTGGTTTTCTGCATTTTGGCTTGCTCCGTATTCTCATATAACCTCTAATGTGCCATGGCTTGACCACGAAAGGAACAGAAATCGGAGTGCAAGAAAAGTAGCCAGCAAAACATCTCTTCCATAAGGCATCGAAAGAAATAAAATAAAATAAAATAAAAAGAAAATAAAATAAAAAGAAAAATACTTTTCAGTCATGCCCCGATATCCAATAAACAGCACCTTCGTATAGCAATTTGAAACTCCTTTGCCCCGATTGCTACTGTGATAATTGTTAGAGAACCCGATCGCCCCAACTCCCGCTTGAAATCATGATCATAGAGCTACTCGCTGCCGTCCTAATGTTCATTGCGACGCCGCCCAGAATAATATGATCGATGGACAGTTGAGAAACGCGAGTACACGGAATAGTCTGCCCCAGTTGATTCAAAGTCAGTAAGTCAACGAAATCAGAATAAGAGGGTAGAAAAACAGAGATAGATCCATACCACGTTCAGTTGAGAGGCCAAATTGCGCTGCTATATTGTGATAACCCTCGCTGTTGCGTTTGCCTTGAGCTCGAATGGCGTCCATATTGAAGTCGGTAGATCCAGTCTCGAACTTCCACGTTGTGCGACTAATTTCTGGTTAGAGGCATGCTGTTGGATTCCTCTTGTCAACTTACCAGTATACGCAGCGCACGCCCGTACTCCGCGAGGCAGATGTGGCGCACCATTGTTGGAAACAAGTTTTGTGGATGTTGTTTCCGCAGGCAGCCTGGCACCAGACGAGCTTCTCATTCGGCTCGAATTCCATAAAGCAGATTGGGCAATCGCCCTCGACGGGCTTACGCTTTCCATCATGCTTTCTGGACTCAGGAGCTTGAGATTGTTTCATTGGGGAACCCTCATATATTTGGCAAATTTCCTGGAATGGGTTAGCAATTTGAGAAGTAGAGCTTGAGAATCGACCACGAGAAAAGCTACTCACAGAGGACAAGAAAGCAAGCTGGTACTGCAGGTGATCGGGGGCCTTGAGGGCGAAGACAAGAACTTGCCATGCCATTAGTCAAGATACTTGCTCACTTACCCAGGTAGCCAATATCTCCATTGGAGAGATATTGGAAGCTGGTGATGTGAATAGAGCTTTCGGAGCTTACTGTAGATAATGTGTTTGCAGAAATTGCCTCGCTTTCCATCGGGGCAGTCGCATTCGGGTTCCTTCTTGATGGTGACATGGTACAAATTTCCTGTACTCCCCACGATGTCAAATGACAGCGTAAGGTCGTCGTCGGCCCCGCTAGCTTTCTGGCTAACCACATACATCCTGAGATCTCTGGTTAGAATATACCAAGGAACTTAAATTCATATTGAAGGCGGATAATCACCGTTGCTTGCTGATCATGTCCAACTTCCCCAAGAACGATTGAGGAGGATGATCCCGAAATCTTCGCGCACGTTTCTCGGCTGGCATTTCCCAAGCTTCTTTCTGTTCAAGCCTCTTTACTTTAGGCGTGGGCTCAGCAGGAAGCGGATCACCGACCATCGCATTTCCACCCCGGGTAGAAGCATCGTTCGGTATCTTCTTGTTCCGCTTTTTGACAGGTTTTTTATGAATACCACCCCTGGGTCTGAGGCTGGACTCATGGCTGGCACCCGATGTGGCCTTTGATGACTTATTCGCTTGACGAGAGGTATTAGGCACAGAACCTGTAGATCTACCCATCTTGAAGCCTTGATTGACGCGGTACTGAAATGGGCCAATTTGGAGAAATGAACTCTTGGACTGAAGCCTGGTTCAAATGAAAGCGGTAGGGTTGTCCAAGTGATATTATCGTATTGAAGATTCCCAGCCTGCTATGAAGAGCTTCTTATGACGTCACTGCCACAGAGTACAAAGTTCTTCGTTATTGAAGTCGGTTTTCAAGACAACGTGACGAATCAAAATGAAGGACAATGCAAAGAATAACAAGGAAAGTGGAATAATGAAGTAGTAACTAGAAGCTGTCCACGGGTCTGGTTTGAATGTTTACCTAATGGGTGAGACTCCATGTTTGCACTGTTTGATTTTGCCTATCGCTATCGTTGAGCAGCACAGCGGTTGTCCTTCAGCACGCGAGAACCGCAATGCTCCGCCGGCGATACGAAAACTTTGGATTCTGCTTGACTGGGCTGATTATATGAGCCATGGCTCGTCCTCGAGCTACATCTAGTGCCGATGCCACAAAGGAACCGCACGCGGTCTCCCTGAAAGGTATGTAACCCTCGGTGGGATGACTGACGAAGCTTGTCGATATGTAGCTAATATCGCTGGCTTCAAGTATTGCGGTAAGCCTCTTGACGAGCGGTATTGAGGAAATTTCCATTATGCGATTCTCAATCGGCCTAACCTTGAACAGCCTCTCCCGACCATCATTGTCTTATCAATCGCCTCTTCCTACCGCCAACACTAAGATCTCACCAGCTGCATCACTGGGCGATCCTTCGGTAGACTCCGATAAACAATTTATTATCACGCCTATTGTTTGTCCATCCTTCGAACGATGAATAACGAGAATCATGACTGATAGCGACCGTAGCTTACACTCCCCCGGCATTCGGATCCGTCTACGTCGGAGAAACGTTTGCATGTACGTTGAGCGCAAACAACGAAATTCTTGAGGATGAAAAAGGGCGCGTAGTAACGTCTGTGCGACTCGCCGCTGAGATGCAAACGCCGTCATCTATCGCATCGCTCGAACTCGAACCTCCCGGGGACTCTGCGCAAGCAGACGGCTTAAAGATCGGCGAATCCCTACAAAAGATTGTCCGATATGACCTGAAGGAGGAGGGTAATCACATCTTGGCTGTCAGCGTCAGCTATTCCGAGACACGGATCGGCCAGGATTCCCAAGCAGCCAGTAATCGAGTCCGAACATTCCGCAAGTTATATCAATTTGTTGCCCAGCCATGCCTAAGTGTCCGGACCAAAGCATCAGAACTTCCACCACTGGAGGTTGACAACAAATCCCTTGGTCCGTATGGCAAAACTCGTTTGCTTCGTTTCGCCCTGGAGGCCCAATTGGAGAATGTGGGGGACGGGGCCGTTGTGATCAAGGTATGACTGGCAAGATCTGAGAAATCCCCGAGGGTGATTTCAAATAAATCCTAACGTGCATTCTCCCCTACAGCAAACCCGGCTGAACCCCAAGCCACCGTTTAGGTCCGAATCCCTCAACTGGGATTCGACAGGTCTAGGTCAGCCTGAAGCCCCACCAACTTTGAAGCCTCGCGACGTGCTACAGATCGCATTCTTAGTGGAACAGGAGCAAGGGCGCCAGGAGGGTTTGGAAGCGTTACAGAAGGATTTGAGGCGCGATGGGCGCGCCACATTGGGCCAGTTATCGATTGAATGGCGCGGAGCCATGGGAGACAAGGGATTCCTCACCACCGGCAATCTGATGAGTCGGAAACGCACCTGAAACACTTTGTGAAGATGATCCGTTGCCTCTGCTGCAGGCCAGTCGAGGCATCCCCGGAGTATTTAGCCGTTCGGGTCGCAGGCACGAGCAAGTTGCAGAAATGCAAACAAGATTTGTTGATTTTTTTTCCCCATCAACGTGAAGACTAATTTATGTAATGGCCTATGGCCTATTGAGACACCTGGGCAAAGAAAGAAAGTCTTTTGTAGGTGTATCGCTTTTTTCTTTTCTTTTTAATTTTGTCGCAATAACTTGGAAATGCTCTACTACGAAATTTGAAAAATCTATAAGCCTTGGGCACTACTAGTATGTTTCGAGCCGCACGGCAAGTCCAGCCACCCGCATGGAGGCGTGTAAGGGGGGGGGGTTTGCCTTGCAGCTTGTACTCCTTTGTACATGTTCCACAACGTGGGCTTGTGGGCCTCGGGACCTTGTTGTACACCTGTGGATATTGTAGATCGGTAACCAGCCATGGCGTACTACAAGACCGATCGCTTAAGTGGGCGGCGGCGTTGGCGTCGATTCTGAAATACACTGATGCAAAATACATAGAGTGCAAGGACACATAGAAAGGCTTGGGTATATCGGACAGTCGATCTTGTTGATCCGGGCAGCTGTTGGATGTCTTTGTGCGGATGAGTCTAGACCGGTCGGCCCTTCCCATGGGATGATAAAGATGGGGGGGGAACCATTCCCTCGAGTCTACTTTGGCCTTGCCTAGACCACCGCGGAATCCGCAGACATGCACCTGGGCAATATGTACTCCATACGTACTCATTAATTTGATGAAGAAGATATACTGGCATGTGGCATTTCCTATTCACCGAGAATTGGGCAAAATATCGGCCGATCGAAATACAACTCCGATTGGATCCTTTCTGAAAGGTTCTGACTAGGTGGGGAGGGAGGTTCATGCTTCAGGCCCACCGCTTCTTCGTCTTGTCTTCGATATGTACCGCCGAGTACGCAGAACATGCGCGGGCTGGGACAATCTTGCCGTAATCCTGGTAGCATGCAACTCCCTCGAAAAGGCAGTCGGAGCATGCTCAGGTGGAATTCTAGCATTACAATGTTGACGACTCTGAGGTGTGCTGATGGCTGGCTGAGGATTGGATTGATGGCACCAGGTATGACCTGGCACAAGTCGAACTGCACCAGCAATGCGTGAATCGACTATTAGAGCAAACCCCGAACCTACGAAGGTCACGCTATCGCTCGTGCGTTTTGGCAAACCGGGGTTTCTTGCTTATTCCTGCCTTGTGGCGTCTGATGTTGCGACTAGTCAATGTATGTTAGAGCGAATTCAGGGCTTCTAGTTCGTGTCAGAGGACCGCGGTCATGGTATCGCAACGTAGAAGCACGAGGAATCCATTTGATTACATTTAAGTCCGGTATTCGACTCATTCACCCCTCAACGCTCCACCTGTAAGCTCATATGGCAATGATCGTCTCCCCAGAGCCACACAGGCCTCCGCCCTAGTGGAACTCCCGACTCAAGCTTGAGTAAAAGCCTTTACCCGAAGGCACCAGAATGAAATTGTATTGTGGCATTGAATTGTCGTGTGGATCTCAACGCTGCTAGATGCACCTACGGGAGGTATATCGAGTCCAAGGCAATGGGGGCAAAGATGAACCTCTTGAGACTTGAAAGACCAGGATCGAGCATCCGACCGTTGCTTCGGCCGCCTCCGGTACTGGCAAGCGAAGCAAAGCGAACTCCCCGAAAACCACGGCGTTCCTGTTCTTGTTCCCCCGGTGGAGAGTTGCCTGGAGCAACTCCGAGGTAAAATGCCTTTGTTGGTTCCCGCGATCAGCAGGTTCCAAGAGCGCCATGTTTCACGCGACATCAACGCCAATCGATGGCCCCCACGCGATAACATGGCGAACCTGGTGCTTCAAAGGATTGATTCCTCATTCCTCAGATATGCACGGTCTAATAATTCGATTTAGTCTGGCTTCATCCTGGACACTGCTTGGCTCGACCATGGAACATGAACAAGCTATCTTGGTTACTGTATTTGCGGTTAAGGTCTGGAATTGGTTGGATAGATTGTAACGAGGGGTGGGCAGAGAACCACATCGGGAAGGGGGAGGATCGAGTCGCTCCACTGAACCGATCAACCGTGAACAGTTTCGCGGTACGTGGTGGGGACCTCGCAGCAGAACGCGGTTATGGGACAAGCTGAAGAACTGGCGCAAGAACTGGCGCAAGAATCGGGCAGTGAGCTCCTTGGAATCCCACGTGAGAACTCCCACGTTCAACAACGCGATTTGAGGGTCTCGGGCAATTCCAGTCCATACCCGGCCAAGGATTATGCAAAGGCGTGAGGCCCTGCAGATTGTACGTGGAGACCACACGGATTACTTAGTGGCCCCTGCAGCGAAAAGTTTCGGGGGGGAGGGGAAGGGATACTTCCTCCCGCTATCAGTTGGCAAGAGTTGCCTAGGATAAGGGGCTTAGGATCATGGAAGCTCCAATTGTACGGGCAATTGCAAACTATCCACCCACATCTACCTCCAGATTCCAGGTGGGGGGGAGGCAATTGACAGAGACCAAAAGTACGTACAGGTACGTTTTATCCACTAGTAACCGGCGTTACTAGGAGCTGTACGCAACCGTTCCCTGTAAGGGCAAAAAAAAAAAAGGAAAACAGAATAAGATGAAAAGTAAAATACTAGTAATTAGATACAGGGTAAAAGAATAAGCAAAGAGATTTTTACTTCGACTAAAATATTTCTTCAGAGAAAGAGATAAAATTAGCTAGCGACCCCCGAGGGGAAAAATGGTTCCATCTACTAGAACTCCGTTCTCTGATCTTCAACATCACTCCTTTTTTCTGTTCCGCCGCCACTCCCGATCTTTCAGGGCCAAGCAAACTGAAACCCCCCCGGTAGTCTGATCGAAAGCCCCTCCTCTACCCCTGTACCTACTCGAACAACCACAGCAAATAATAATTCGCCCGCCATATACCCGTCCCGCGAAAATCAACTCCCGCACTCCGGCTTTTTCATTCCCCCCGCGCTGTGTGCCCGCTCTTTTCCCCCTCCCCCCTCATTCCCGCCCCTAATTGATGCGGACGATTTGCAGTCCATGTGGTGACAATAAGATTCCGGTGGAGATTTAACCCACGGTAATTGGTGTTTGCGACATTCCTGACAATGCCTTCCCCAAGCTCCCTGGAGGGTGCCCCTCTTGCGGACTACTTCTGGATTGCTGGCGTGGATGGGGCTGAGGTCCTGGACATGTACAAGCGCCTGGGCGAAGAATATCGTATCAACAATGCGGCTTCACCTGGGCCTGCCCTCACGGATGCAATCCAAGAAGACGCCGACGCCGAGGAGGAAGAGCCCGCGCCCGGAGCATCGCGTCCAACCTCGAGTTTGTCCGTCAATACGACCCGTCGCATTTCCCAGCAACGACTCTCCACGCTCTCGCGCGAGTCCGAGAAGACCAATGGGGCCAACAGCAATCGGAGCAGCACCACGATCAAAGGCGCATCATCACCGGTTCGAGCTTCGGCTCTTTTCGACGGCGATTTCGATTTCGACCAAGCCTTGCTGAAATTCGCTTCCGAGAGGGACACCTTTTTGACAGACCTTAATGTGAGCGCGGGCGCTATCACCAAGTCCCGGCCTCGATCGCGCGTTCGCACACAGAAGATTGTTGCGGAGGATCAGTCGGCTCAAAGCTCACCCAATCTGTTAAAGTCCGGCATTGGAAGTGTGCGGCGACATATGTCATTTCGTGACATGAACTCCATGAAGAGACAGCCATCAGTTGCTCGCCAGGGTGGGTCAATCCTTCGAAAACCATCAGTGCTATTCCTGGCCATATATTAACCCTCCTCTGACTAGCTTCTGTCCGCACCTCGCGAAGACTCAGCAACTATAACTCGGTCATTCCATCCCCACAACCCCTCGAGATATCCCCCACAATGCACCCTTTGAAGCGGCGATTCGAACCTGTTCTGCTGGACCGACATCCAACCCGGGACATGACAGACGAGGCGAAAAAACGGGGAAAATTCCCCGATTACGTCCCTATGTTCGCATTCCCCAATGATATTAACATTGTCTCTTCGGATGAAAGACCTCGATCTACATGGCACGGATTTGCAATGACGACAGAGAATGGTTCGAAACTGCATGCTATTTGCGTGATCATCTGGATCCCATTGAATCCGAAAGCAGCAGATGAACTCGAGATGCGCTGTGAAGAATGGCGGAAAGAGAACATGACCGACGAAGAGCGGGAGCTCGCAGCGAGTCTGGGAGAGAGACTCGCCCTTGAAAGAGCTAAACTCTCTCAGCTGCTAGCACAGTTACCAAATGTGGCATCTGGCTCCGAGTCCCGTGAACAATTGGAAGACGAGATCAGCGCAGTCGAGGAGAAGATCGGATTGATGACTGATCTGCTACGCCCAGTACGCCACGCAGCAGCATCAAAAATCGAGGGTCTCACTGATGGAGACACCGGATTCTGGATTCCACGGGCGTATGGTATACTTGGCCGAGAGAGCACAATGACTTCCTTTTGGAAAGAGTGGCTGAAAGCTATCGTTGTCCCTATGACAGAAAACTCCGTTCAGAGAGTACCACACAGTTCACCGCGAATGGGCGTATGGCAGCCTTTGGAACGCTATGTGATGAACCTTTGCACTGAGGCATTCTCTCCTGCCAATTCCAAGACTCAGGTTGAGCTTGCAATTCGCGAACTACGCCTTTTCGCCCGCAAAGAAGCTGCTAACGAGCTTCCTGGATCTCGAAACACTGATCTGTACGCCTTGTTCCGTACGCTCTCGGTTCCAAATATCATTATACTGTTCGAGTATGCCTTGACGGAATCTCGAATCATTTTCTTATCTTCACACACTTCCATGCTTTACTTAGCAACGAGGGCCTTGATTGATTTGTTGTTCCCGCTTGAATGGGCTGGTGTGCTGATCCCTGTCCTCCCAGCTCGTCTGATCCAAGCCTTGGAAGCGCCATGCCCATATATAGTGGGCATTGAACGTCGATATGAGAAAGTTGAGCTGCCTTCTGACGATTTCGTGCTGGTCGACCTGGACGCCGACATGATCGAGAGCACCGTGCGTCCAACCCCCCTTCCTCGCCATCAGCGCAAGAAACTTTTGTCTCTCCTGCAGCTGGCAGCGCCTCACCACAGCCGCTGCGGTGTCCCGACAGGCCCGCCAGCTTATGCAATCGAAACCTATCCGTGGGACACATTTCTCACGGAAACTCCTCAAACATACGTGGCAAAAGCACCCCCAACGAACCTAGCAAAGTACGTTGGTCTTAACTCTAGTGCGTTTGGCTCGACTGCTGTGCTCCCGAACTCGTACAATCCCCCCCATCTTCAATGCGTTCCTCCATGCACGCCATGAACATGGAGCTTCGTCTCGAGGCTATTCTTCCAAGGGCGGCCATGAACGACCCGGAACGAGCTCCGGCTCACGAATGACTGCTTCGCCGCCGTCTCCAAGAGAGAGCTCTCCCACATCCGGTCATTTCCCTCCCCCTCCTCCCACTCTTTCATCACGAAACGACTCCGGCATGGCGTTACAAGCCTCTCTGCGCGAGAAGCGATCGGGCCATTTTGACACCGCTTCCCGCCGAAGCTCCTCATTGGGAATGAACCGACGTCCGAGCGCACCGTTCCTGGGACACGCCTCCAACTTGTCAGTCACTACTCTGAACACAGACCACGGCTCAGGCTCCACTTACGCCCCATCCGTGTATGCCCAGTCTACGATCGCTGCCTCAACTATCGTTCCACAGGCTGTCTTGTTCCCGGTGGACAACGCCGAAGGCACTTGCTGGGTTGAAGGCCACTACCTCAAGACCCAATCGTGGGACGAGAAACTAGTGTGCGCCATTTGTGACGAGCGAGCTGATGAGGGCATGTACAAATGCCAAGCATGTAAATTGACTGTCCACAACCGCTGTGCCACCCAAGTCTGTCTCGTCTGTGATGCTGCTTTCCACCCCGATCAGATCCGTGCGGCATTTGTGAGATGCTTCGCCAGCTTGTTCTACACTTATAAGAAATACCTTGTCCCCGCCAGCAACGATAAGAAGAAGGCCGGCATGTTCTACACTTTCAACATGGATGCTTTCATGAGGAGCCTCCCACACGAACATGCCGAGTACATTGCTGTGTTGCAGCAGACTCAAGGGTTCAACGAGTTCATCAGCGAACGTGAACGCGCTAACCCCAAGGAAAAAGATTCGAAAATGGCTCTCTTCGACGAGATCGTTCTTTCCAAACGAAACCGGGGCCGAACCTCGATCTTCTCCGGCCGGTCCACAACTGATTTCCTCTCCGATACTTCCAGCCACCTCTGGCGAACTGCAAGTGCGACTTTCCTACCCTCCAGCAGCCGCAGTCATCAGAACCTGTCGCAGGATTTCAGTGGACTCCATTCCAAAGGTACGTGGTATTCCCCGAACTATTTCCAACATCTCTTCCTTGTGGCTAATGGGATCTAGCCCCGGCCAAGTTGGATACCAGCCTGATGTCTGAACCGCGTATGATCCATGGAGCCCCACGAGCGACGAAGACAGGAAACACAGCACGCAGAAAGCCGCTTCCTAAGCTTATGAATGGACTGGCCATTTCACCATCGAGCTAATTGGTGTGAAATACATTAAGATTCGTCACCTGGGCGGACTGGTTGCGAAACCCCCACCATGCACGTCCCTCGGGCTCGGCCCCCCACCGATCCTCCTGAAACGCGCCTCTATCGGTACCGAATCTTGGCAACTGGCCCGGGAAATTCTAATGCTGTGCTCATCCTGAATCCACTGTGTTGAGCCGATGCCGGTCATCTGCATTCGTGGGCCGTCTGGGGCGGGGGAAACAGATCACGGGCCGACCTACAGTCTCATACTTGCGGCTGGAGTCCGTCCTTTTGCGCCTCGCCCGTCTTTGTCTCATCCTATGGTCTCCATGCGGCAGTGTGACTACTCATTAAAAGATCTGGGAGCTGGTCTCCATCCTGATTATCTCTAAGCCTTTCTGGATGTTGACTATACCTCCATTGAGACTAATTGCCTCTTCGGCGTCGATACAATGACCCTACGACCCCGTGGTGGCACTGTCTCCTCGTACATAGTTGTTTTCGGGCCCTATTGGTTGTTTGACCAGAATTCCCAGAAGACGAAAAAAAAAAAAGACTGCGTGGTTGAACCGGCCTTTCTGCCGAGTCGATATCATATCTGAATTTGTTTTTTCAATCGTTGATTTTATCTGCTTCCAATCTTGAGGTGTCTACCAAATACCCCCTTGCTCAGTCGGTATTCCTTTTTCTCTCGCTCCTCTATCTAGAAAATGTCTGCAATCTCGTGGGCTGGATCTCTCACTTCTTAATTTTTTGGTTTTTGGTTTTTGGTCTTTTTCTTTTCTTTTTTTTCTTTTTTTTCCCTGTCCTTTGTCGATGTTTGTGTTACGATAGTGACCCCTTATCATCTCTTATTGGTGACATGTATGGTCATTGCAGGTTCTTTGACGTGATCGGCAGGATCGAGCTATTCTATCCCGACGTTTTAATGATGTACTTGTGTATCTGCTTCCAACAGGGTTGCCTGTGGATATTTCCGTCCTCTAATCTTTCTCCAGTCAAAAGGAGTAATTCATAAAATTGGACCCGATCTCTACCGTACAATGCGAAAGTCTGTAAATGTTCCATAGTCTTCAAGTACTTGAACTTTCATAGGTTGATAGCACCCGGAGGGGCCTTGAAGATTTGCCAGCGGGGCACTGTTACTCGCAGCCATAGCCATATCATGGACTCCGATATAGCAGGGCCAACACCGGTAGATAAGGGAAAATTGACAAAGCTCGCCTGGACTTAGATCAAGCCGTTGCTTTGGGAAGCGATATCGACTCCAAGCTGTTCGCTTCTCTGTTTCAATTGCCGAATCAAGCTCTTTCCGATATCGTCGACAACCGTCTATGCGCGCCTCGAGTGTGATTGGCGGAGAAATTCTACCCCGTTTCTCCCCGCGCCCCAGACGGATCATCGAATGCAAATGCGGCTGGTTGCAATTCTTCAATACCGCTGTGAATCGTGCTTGGCTTCTTTTTTCTGACACGGACTCCCTTTAAATTTCTGGAGCTCTCCCTCGTGCATCCCCGCTTGACTCCATACCCTTCTAGGCATCTGTAGGAGATTACTTTTATCCGCCAGTTGCCCCCCCCTAACCTCCATTTTGGAACGTGACGCGGGAGTCTCTCGGTGTTCCTGCGAATTTTGCCTTGGTTTTACTGCCCGGGCTAGGAGACGCTCCTCCAATCCTACCTAGGAGCACAGGAGCCAGATTGTGATCCCTGCACTTTAGCCCGGGCTCGAAACAACACTTTCTCCTTCCTCCAGCATGAACATGTTCTTGCCTACGATGCGATGATACCCACAGCTGACCTGTCAATGGCAACGCTCTTGAACGAAACTATAGTCCATCCTATGGCTCAGTTCGAACATCCATCCGCAACCAAAGCTTCATCTAACTTGAATGCGACCTCCATCTCCTCTTCCCCGCACTTGGCCCGTCGCATCGCACAAATAGCCGAGTTTCGGTAGCACCGTTCCAAAATGAGCACTCTCCAACCGTCGTTATTGTATACGGACCAAATCAAGACCATTTAGTACATCTGGTGGCAGAAATTCTTGGCAAATCATGGACAACAGAGCTCGCGCTGGCCGTGCTTGTCAAGACCAAGGCCAAGGTGGTTGCTGGAGTCACGGCGCAAGGTTTAAAAAGGGAACTAGAAGGGTGCGAGAGATCGGCGTTGGTGCTAATTAATACACACTGTGTCGAAGACGGTTCTTCGCCAGAAGATAACCTTACTGAATTTTGCGACTATGAGTTCTTATATTCGCAAACACCATTCTTGCGCCGCGACTTAACCCGTTTCATGGCTCTGATTCTAGGACAAACAAGACCTCACGAGGACCTGCGTACTAAGCCGCGCACGAATTTCATTTCGACCACCTTCCCGGATGTGCATGCGGCCCTACCGAACCTGGATATCCTCTCGGTTGGCTCTGATGCTGTAGAGATACGAGTTGATTTACTGGTTGAGCCAACCCCCGATGGTTCTCTAGCGGGGTCAGTACCAAGTTTAAAGTATGTCGGGAAGCAATTGATGCTCTTGCGCCAGCATACGGAACTCCCTATTATATTTACAACGCGATGTACCAAAGAAAATGGCAAGTTCCCAATGGACGATCCGTTACTCTTCTACAAATATCTTCGGCGAGCAATTCAATGGGGGAGTAGAGTATGTTGATGTGGAACTATGGCTCCCAGAGGACATCCGAAAGCGACTCGCAGAAGCCAAAGGCAGCAGCGTCATATTATCGGCATTCCACGACTTCTCGGGGGCTTGGAAGTGGTCGGCGCCCGAAGCACAGCGCATATTCACAGAGAGCGCCAAATACGCGGATATAGTCAAGATGATTGCTATGGTGCATAGTGTTGAAGCCAATTATGAGCTGGAATATTTCCGATCAACCATCAAGGCAAGGGGTCCTGGACCGTTATTATCTGCCGTCAATATGGGTCAACTAGGCCAGCTTTCCCGTGCGCTGAACACGGTCTTCTCTCCTATCACACCCTCTGCTGCCTATGATAGCTGCCCCAGGCCAATTGACGGCCGCCGAAATCAACGAGGCGTTGCATATCATGGGGCAATTGCCGAAGCGTGATTTATATGCGATTGGGTCTTTCAGAGCCACTCCGCAATCGATGTTCATACGGAAATGCCTGAATGAGCTGGGCTTACCACACACGTTTTCCACAATTGACCGAGGTCCGAAAGGCTCTATGGAATCTATTCTGTCGCAACCTGCGTTTGGTGGTGCTTCCGTCAATCCGCCAATCTCCAGCGCGACTCCGTATATTCCTACAATCAGCGAGGCTGCCCGTGCGATAGGACTCGTGGATACGATCGCCTTAAGCAACGCAACAACAGGCAGCTCTGTAGATGGCGCTGCGCGTATCATTGGAGAGAACGCGACATGGAAGGGCATTCGGGCTACCTTGACCCAAGAGTACGTTCCCTCCGCTTACCATGGCCGAGCTGCAATCATCGTCGCCGGTTCAGAAACCCACGCTTCAGCGGCGATATTTGCGTTGCGCAGCCTGGACATCGGCACTATTTACACGGTAGGCTTCAAAGCAGTTGGCCCTCTTGCTGCGGGCCTTGAGCCATTCACTTCTATTCAGTCAGTGAAACTGGTCGAGCAACCTTTCGTTATAGTGTCTGCACTGCCACCTGAGAAGTCGTTGCTGGTGCAACCCCTGTTGAGGCACTATAGCAGTAACGGTCGGTCGTCCCCCTGCTCCACTTGTGGGAAGGTCTACCTTGATTTGACTACTGGGCCGCGTAAGGGTGACCCAGCAAGTGTGGCCGCCAGCGCCGGATGGACGGCTTATGGGTCAGAGGATGTCGACGCATGGACTACTGTCGAGACTCTGCGCCTATTGGTCGGGCAGAATGTGCCCTTTGATTTTGTACGCATGGCGTCTGGGCGACCACTATTCTAGCTCCAGACCTCTTGACGTACCCCATACGTACTTCAGACCTCTGCCAAGGTTGTTGTACTGCTGCCTGTATGTTCGAAATGATGCAATGCCTCTATCATCTTTGATGGCATGGATACGAGTCTAGAAAACAGAAGAAACAAGAAGAAAATGAAAATGAAACTTGATCTCGGAATGAGCCTCGGCTGCACGATAGACCTGCCATAGTCTATCGTGCGATCCGAAATTGTAATTCCAGCCGCCCGTCCTGTTTCGATGTATTATTACTAGAGTGGCTCCTACCAGCGAAGAATTGATGTGAGTTTCCCTTTTGTACATGTAGTCCGAGACCTGATCCTATACACTATCCTAGAATTGTTCCGCGATCTAAGCTTCGCGGATGATGACCGGACTCCGTGAATCCACAACGCCCCCCTCCCCTAGACCCCTAGATACGGAGCCTCTCTGGTGAATACCCGGTATCCAGTTTTGGGGAGCCTCCCGAGGCAGATCAACGACGAATCCTGTCAGGCACAGGTACGTGCACTGCTGAAACTGCAGTAGATGGCCTCTCTGATGAGACGTCAGGACTCTCCCGATCCACCATGAAATGGCATCGTATTGCTGCACATCTAACCTAGTATGGCCAAGGGACTTTGGGATGTCCCCACCTTGAAGGACGCGGCAGGATTACGGCTGACCGATCTACGATGATGGTCAGGGTTGAGCTGCTGGGGCGATTCAGTATCGAGTGGTCCCTGATCGCGAATGAGGAGAGAGTCATGGGGCTCTGGCAACTGCCTAAACCATCCTAGTAGCACTTCGTCACATCGCGCTTCTAACGACAGAAGATATTGCCACTCGTGATTCTATTTGTCGGGGCTTGATACGCCGCCCCCTTGCGAAGCCCTGAATCTTCCAAGAGTTACTAGCTTGCTCAATAGCAACCGATAAAATGCCGACGATTGACCGTGGTGGAGACACTGGGCCCAGAGAGCCCTGGAGGGAATAGAAAGCAAATGCGGGCGCCCCTGGGGCTCCCCAATCAGGCCTTGGAGGCCGGGTCCCACGTCTTTAAGAGGGAACCCTTATGATCAACGGTCTTCCCAAGTGGCCAAGCCTTTGTCGCTCGCCACCGACAGGGTTTGGATATTCTCTATGGACGTTTTATAGGAGATTGTTGACATAGTAGAGGGATTGATTGGTAGGGATCCAGTGGTCCGGACGTGGCGTGCGAGTGTCTGAGCTCTTGGGGGCCTTCGGTTAAAGCGATGCTTATCCTGTTCAGTTCGTCGGGTTTGTGAGACCCATTTCCGGCTTAGTTTACGCTTTAAACTTGATGGATACCCCACCTGACAGTTTCATGAATGGGCTCTTGTCTCTGTCTGAAGTCTAGCCGAACCCAGGGGTTCTCCACTCTCTCTGTATCCACCCTTTGAACTGACCCGGAAATCTATGATCGATCGCTTCAGGTTTCACCTGAGGACCTGAGTGACCCTGGTACCCTAGTGCCTTAGTGCCTCGGTTCTTAAGAAGAGGTAAATGCCGACGAGCAAGGGCTAATGTGGGGGAAGTGCTACCCTCTGCAGACCTGCAGATATTGCTCGGGGCTAATTAAAGGGGGGAGGCATCATCAGGCATTTTGTATGCCTTGGCGCCGACTCCCCCATGTGGCATTCTTCAAGTCCATCTGGGTCCAATCCAATAAGCTAAATGTGCCTGTCGGGGGTGTTTCGGGATGGCCCAGCCCTAAAGGCATTGCAGAACAGGCATGATCTCCGAAGGTCTGGAATTCGCCTGAGTGTCCTGGAGCACCCAGCGGGAACAAGAGTCATGATAATATTATACAGTTGATTCAAGTAGAATACCCACGTGGAGATTAGCACATAGAACATTAGCACTTATTTTCCCAGAACGGGGACCGTGGTGGGTTGTTCCCTGCATGACTTGGACCTTTCATCTGGCTAATCTGGCTAATCTGGCTAAATACCCGGACAGTCGCCGATGGCTGCACAGAGGCGTCCATGGGGTCCTGAAGAAACCAAGAACGGAGATTCCGTCGAAGCTAGGATGGTCCCAACTGTTCCAAGGCACTAGAAGAGCGCTAAGAAAAACAACACTAAAACTACTCAAAACAAGAAAGAAGAATCCCGGCGGCACGCCTCTTCTCCGCATTCCTTCCTCTCCACATCTTTCTTTTCTAGATTCCCTTTCCATATACCACCCCCTCCTCCATTCGGCATAGCTGGGCTTTGTCTTTCTTCCTCTTCCTCATGACTCTTTTCTAAACTTCAATGCGCGATGTCTCGTCCTCAGGTCAGCATCGATCGCCTCACCCCGCGCCGCGCCACCATTGAGCCGCGTGAGGCGATGAACTGCAAGTCTTGCCGCAAGAGAAAAGTGAGTATGTTCCATCCAGGGGTTGGTATCAGAGAGAATCTAATTTATGATAGATCAAATGCAATCGATTACGACCTAGCTGTGAGGCCTGCAAGGTCTTTCAATGTGCCTGTGTCTATGGTGAGTTGCGAGTCATCGAGGACGTTTGGGAGGAAGGGGGGGGAAAGCGTTTTCCTCGCAAAGCTCATTATCTGATCATCTCCGCTTTTGAAAGATGCGGTCCCCAAGAAACGAGGCCCGAAGACAGACGTACTCGAGGCTTTGCTCAAAAGAGTCGATGGTTTGGAAAAGAGGCTTCAGGATGAGAACAATCCGATTTCGCCAGCCTCGCCCGCGGATACCTCCGATGAGCAGCTGCCTCCCCCGCCACTTGCTCGTCGCAATACCGTAGATGCATCGTTCAATGCCTCCTCTTTGAGGATGCGGCCTCTGGAGGCAGACCAGCCTCTGTCCGCTGGGCCATCCTTTGGGTTTCCATCAACACCTAAGTCATCGATTCGCTTCGCCCAACCCTCGCAGGCCAGGCTCCTGTCGGAAACGCTTCTAAATACGTTCTTTGCCCGCCTGCATGGCAAACCTTTTTTTATTCTAGATGAGCCAAGTACACGACAAAGATATCGATCAAATGAGCTTCCCACTTTATCTATCAATGGCTATTGCAGCACTGGCGTTACGGTACGCAGAATTCACCTGTGATTCACGTTTGCTTTGAAATAGCCGAATGCTGACTTGTGGTAGCTATGCTCACAATAGTCTTCAGGCAGAGCAGTCGATTCGGGCTGGATTGGATACATCCTTACACGTCCGTCGCATGGTTGACCTAGACAATCCTACGATCGATGGCCTACAAACATTACTCCTCCTTTCGCAAGCTTACTTTGCCTATGGGCTTAGCAAGAAGGCTTATATGACATTTTGTAAGCTTGAATACGTATCTCCTCTTTTATGACAGGTTCTGACTTCGTCTAGCCAATTGTGTCGCTATGGTTGTCGTTCTCGATCTGTTCCGTGAAGCTCCCACTAAGGCTAATCTGCCCCCTCCCGAGCGAGAAATGCGACGGCGTCTCTTTTGGACAGTTTATCTCATGGATCGCTACATAAACTGTGGTTCGCGCCGTCCATATTTTGTTTCAGATCATTCAATCCTTCTGCGGCTTCCTTCAGCTAGCCTCAACACAGAAGGAGACTTATTCCGTGTCGGCCCAAATATCCACTACTCTACCAATTCACGACACAAATCGCCCAGTTCCGCATCCCTGCTGGTCGATATTACTCGCATTCTCGGGACGACTAACCGATATTTGGCCTCGGGGGGAGTCAAAGGCGATTCGCATTTCCCGTGGCATGCGCTGTCAACTCTATCTAAGATTCGGCAAGAATTGGACATCTGGGCAGCCGGCACACAACATGTCTTTGGGTCTATTGAGGCCCTCTTTAGCCACTCAGAAAGTACGACCCTGCTCCTGAGCAAGCTGATTTATCACCTTGTTCACTGCCTCCTCTTTCGCCCGTTCCTGCCGATCGACCTTGTCGAATTGAGAGGAACAGGCCAGCATCAATCCTGGCAGATTGAAGCTACGAATCTTTGCTTTGCACACTCCAACGCTATTGTTGAATTAGTGGAGCTGGGTCGCAACTCCGCTTTGGTCGAATGGCCGGGCTTTGTAGCTTACTGTATTTGCACAGCAGGTACTGTGCACATCCACGGTGTTCACTACCAATGCCGCGAGGGAGAGGTCTTTTCCTCCAGTGCGGAGTTCTTGGCTCGGGAAATGCATCAGTTGGCATGGCTACAGACTGCTTGGGCTGGTGTGCAGCACCAACTCGAACTTCTACAAACTATATACGCATTTCATACGGACTTGGTGCGCAATCTTGCCAGCAGACCCATGCGCTTTTCACCCGTATTCCATCTGGAGGACTTCTTCGATAGATATCCCGGTCTGACGATGGACGGAGCCCATGTGCTGTTACTGGATGTGGGTGACAACATGCTTGCAGGGTCAGTCCTTCCTTCTGGCGGTACAAATTCCGGTTGACTAATTTTTTAGCAGGTCGGGCCTTGTCGACCAACCTGGTCAGTGCTATCAAAAGCAAATGCCACTGCCGTTTCAAAACCAGCCTCGGCATGATTCCGGGCCGCGAACACAGTCCCTTTCATCAGCTGAAACCACGGAGGCTGGCCGCCAACAGTCTCATCCACGGTCATTGAGTCTTGAAACACACAATGCGCCCCCTCAATCGTCAAAAGTCCAACTACATCAGTCGCCGAATACGTCTCAACCATCTCCATCCTCCTTGTCTTTCGTCTTTGCAGCTCCTGGGTCAGCAGAACAGTCTACTGCAACTGACTCAGCTCAGAACACTCATCTCCATCCACCGCATTCCTTCTCTCCGTCGGCATTTGGTTTTTCCCCATCGCCCTTTATGGCGGAAAACTCCTTCAACATAGCCCCCACGCCACCTTCAAACCCGCAATACGCCAATTTCCCCCTTTGATATTATGAAGTCCAATTTCGATAGCACCAGTCATTCAGGACCCCAGGGTGCTCACGTCGTGACACCCGGCTCGCACTCTCAGGCCAGCGGCTCTCATAGGGCTCCTAGTGATGCTGGTAATCAGGAAAACGACCCATTCTTGAGTCTTCTAGAGCAGCTTGCGGGAAACGAACATTCTCAAGGGGGACCCAGTGAACTTGACTTCTTTCTAACGGGTGCTGTGAGTCAGGAAGCAAGCATGACTCTCATTGGAGAGAAGGCAGATACGGACTCTACCTAGTGAGAAGAACTCACTCCCAAGCATCTTGTATCTATCTGTAAAAGTATTCAATTGTACATTTGGCCGTTCAACCTAAAGGTTCTGGACAGTTTTCGTCTGCTGTTTTTGTTAGCCAGCGAGTCCGATACCCCCATTATGTGGATGAATGAATACCAACTCTATCAAAATGATAATGTTATCCTATACTCGTACTCGTAGTTTCGGCTACCGGTATCCGTGTCCGAGTAAACTTTTCATGCAGCGCCTATCGAATGGTAATAGCTACCTAGATGATCAAATGAAAAACAATTTTGGCACAGATGATTTGAATCTGCGGATGTTGCGAGGTGCTCCTACACAAACTTCTCTGCTGGACAAGCTCCCTCTAGTATGAGCAACTTTCGTTTTTTAAAACTTCCAACTGAAATCCCGAACAGTGCGATCGCCGAGGCCGATGGCCCCTGTACCTCGCTCGAACATGTCATTTGCTCAACACCCTAACGCCTCGTCAGTTATATAAAACGGCAGACATGAATCAGGGTAAGACAAATAGTTTGTGCACACTTCCTCAAGTAAATACATCGGTCTCATCCACCATGGGGTCGGTACTAGTAGCCCTCCAAAATGGCCATTGTTCACCGCCCACCGTCCTTTGTGTCTAGATGGATTAGAGAACCTTACAGAGCCTCAATCTGATTTGCGGCCAGTGGCTATGGAAAAATGAGGAGGAAAGGGCCTTTTAGGGCAACCCTATCGAGTGAAGCGATATAGGGGTGGATCAATGGTCTAAGCCTTGTTATTTTCTCACCCTGAGATAGCCAAGGCCATGGCTGGCGATGGAAGAGGTTGACTACGATCTGAACTCAATAATTCAAGATTCATCTAGGATTTGAAGAAATATACAAGGGTCACATTCCCAACTTGTCGTAGGATAATATGGCTAGTGGCAGATTAACTATGTACAAAATGCTCAATGACGCGTTACCGGATGTTTTTTTATTTCCACACAAAAGTCGTGGAAAGCTCACAGTCTTGAGCTGTTTCCTGGCGCATTCCCAGCACAGCAAGAAGTGGGGAATGCGTTCGTTGACTGCGTATCAACACAGATAGCTGATGGAGGAACCCAGAGGCCGGGGTTCTTCTCGTAGAAATTTGAGGCACGCAGCATGATGCTGACAGGCTCGGCGGGCATGACAGGGAAATCCTCCGTGCGAGGGAAGTGGGTCAAGCCAAACTGCAGATAGCACACAATGTCCGTGTTCTCGATGTTCTCATTTCGCTTGGCCCAGTCCAGGATCGTGGAGTTGTGAGGGTGGTTCTCTGCGCCGTTTGACTGGCAGACATAGTCACCAGCTGGGAAGAGCTCGTAGTCCCGGTAAGGGGTGACCCAGAGGGGTTTGCGGGCAAACGCGGCACGGTTATAGACGGTGCTGCCTGGCTTGGCGAGGAGAGGAGGGCAGTTGTTGTTCAGAATCTTGTATCCAATGGGCTTCTTGGCGACCTTGTTCAAACGGTTGGGGTTGATGATGTCCCATGACCGGTTGGTCTCGTAGCAGTAATCGGCCGCACCCTCCAAAGACGTCCGCAGAGGCGTCTTCTTGCTGATAAAAGCATTTCCATAGGGATTCTCGGGGGGAGCCCACGGCGTGCTCGGAGGAGGAAACTGCGTCGTTCTGCACGACGGAGTTGTTGGGGCCATCGATCTCAGGGTCGACGCGCAGAGAGAAGATGTGCTGGTGGTTGTGGGCGGTGATTTGGGGTGCAACCTGGGTACCATACGGGGCAGCCTCTTCGGTTGGGTGAAGACAATAAGTGTTGAGCATACCGGTGAGCTTCATCTCGAGTTTGTAGGTCCCGTCGAGGGTGAAGGTGTGGTAGAAGCCGTATTCGTAGTTGGCGGCAGTGATGATTTGCGAGACGATCAGCTTGCGGTCACGGGCAGAGATGACAGTGCCGTCACGGTAGTCGGTGTGCTTGTAAAGAAGACCATTATCCTCCTCGTGGATACAGATGGCATTCTTGATAACGGCCGCTTCGCCGTTGGAAGTTGACATAACTCCATCCATGTAGTGGATGGCACCCTTGCAGTCACAACCCAGCTTCAGCGAGTTGGTCATGAAACCAGTACCGTATTCACCCACGTCAAAGGCGTGCTTCTTGTGGTGAGGCTTCTCCGGGCATCCGTATGGGACCACCATTTCGACGACACTGATGCGGTTGAAGAGAGTACGCTCACGGTCCTCATACATATCGTGGGAGCGGACATCGGAGATGACAATGCCTTCGCGGTAGTTAAAGCCAATGTGCATTTTGTAGTTCGCCCAGGACAGTTCGTTGCCGCGGACCTTGAAGGAAACGCCCTGAGGCTGGGTGATGTCAATTGGCTTCAAGCGCTCGTGGTTGTATTTGTCGCCAATGAACTGTGGCAGGTAGTTGTGCTCTTGGAGAGGCACAGCGGTCCGCTCGCCGTTCACAAGACGAATATCGACGCTCAGGACTTCCTCCTTTTCGGTGTCGGCCACCACGGTAAAATCCAAAGGATGGGCGTACTGGTTGTCAAATTCAGAGGTCCGGTAGTAGGCAAGACCCTGCTGGAGACGGCGCTCGAAACCCCAGCGCTCGTCGATGCCAATGGCCCAGGCATCCAGGAAGACCTTGGACATGTCGGTGATGCCGAGCTCCTTGCAGGCCCGGATGACGCGCGAATCCTGCCGAGCAATGCGCTCCATGACATCCAAATCCTCGAGAGTGAGAGTGGGCATGACGTCGCTCACTTCCTTCCACTCCTCGACCTTGGCCTTGGTCAGGTTGACCACCACTTCGGCCACCTTCTCAGTCTCCCGCTCAATAATGATGGCAAACCCGCGGCGGTCGGGGGCTGGGATCTTGCCCTGGCGATAAGCATGGTATTCAGCCTTCCGGGGTTCCCGCAATGTGATGCAGTTGAACTTGATGGTCTTAGGGCTGGCATATTCCCGGACAAGCTTGGCGACTTCTGGAATTTCCTTGATGGTGAGTTGGTCTGGCCAACAATGTTAGTGTCAATTGACCATGTCTTCAACACTTTGTCCAACTCACCTAGCGGGTGGGGAGTGCCCTGCGGGAGCATCGCAGTGGCGGCAACGCTGTCATAGTCGCCCTCCCGGAAGATGGTATAACCCGGAATGGATGTGGTGTCGGGGGCAGAAGCCATGATGAGTTTCAAGAGCTTGGAAGATATGAACTTGAGGTTGTCCTAAAAGAATCCTCGAGTCGCCATCCAGCCGTATATATAGTGTGAGTCCTGTTTTTTCATTATCTATCTGATCAAAAGGAACGCGTGGACATGCCCGATTAGGCAAACCAGATGTGTCTGGATCCACTGACGCGCGACTCGCGACTCTTTCCGACCTTTAAGTCTTAGTTTGGCTAAAGTCTGGAGACTCTCCGCGTGGTCTTCCTTTGCGACGCTGCGTATCAATATCTCTCGCGTAAGGCTATTGTTCGGGCGCCACGGTGGGCCAATCATACCTGCAGCCCTGACACAACATCATCCCATGCAGTATCGGCTCCCCAGCTATTGCCCAAATCAGGAACAGCGCAGCCTTAAGCGGGGTATCTCTTGCCGATAGAGTAGGTTGATCCTAAAGCTAAGAAGCTCTGATGAAGCTTATCGCGGGGGGAAGATCTTTTTGCCACCTGTTGGCGCCAATTCTATAAAAGAACGATTGCATTGTATGCAGAATTGAGGCTAGAAACGCCAGTTTTGACTCTTGATCGCGTACCATATACGGCCTTCTGATATCTGTAAGGTTTCTAAACAGTATCGACTTCGGTCTGGCTTTTCCCCGGACTGTGAAGGTTGAAGATGTTCGCCGTTGGATTCCTGGTGGATCCCTGGTGGCGGCATGGACCTGCCTGAACGGGAATGGCGTCGCGAAGTAGATTCTCCACGTTCGGCGATAGAACCTCCCCGGAGATGCTGGAGATACCGTGGTGGGCCCTGATTGCTTCTTTTGGCATGTCGTGCCGAACTTGTTATCGATAATTGCGTTCTTGATGCTGGAGTTTTGCGGAGACGTTTAAGAGCTACAGGGCGTTCGGATGTACTTGAAAGCTCCAAGAGTTTCTCAGCCCAGCTCTGTAAACTCGGCACCTCCAGTAATCTCGAAAATGTCATTAGACGTGAAGTGCACTGCGCCGAATGGTCGCTCTTGGATCCAGCCCACGGGGCTATTCATCAATAACCAATGGGTGAAGTCCTCAGAGGGTGACAAGATCGCCAGCATTAACCCAGCGTAAGTCTCCATGGTGGAATTACGACAGATCAAAGTCGAGAAGCTCACCTGCGGATACTTTATTTTTTTCTAGAACTGCTCAGGAAATCGTTTCTGTTCAAGCTGGCTCCGCTAAGGATATCGACACCGCAGTGAAGGCTGCACGCGCAGCGCTGAACCACCCCAGCTGGAGGGACTTGCCGGGCCTAGACCGTGGCAAGATGATGAACCGCCTGGCCCAACTGATTGAAGATAACAAAGAGACCCTGGCTACTATCGAAACTTGCGACAATGGAAAACCATATCTGGTGTCGCTGAACGATGACATGACCGAAACCAGCGAGACTATTCGATACTATAGCGGATACGCCGACAAGGTGTTCGGACAAGTCATTGACACCACCCCGGACAAGTTTGCCTATACTGTGCGGCAGCCAGTGGGGGTATGTGGCCAGATTATCCCGTAAGTAAACCCCCCTTGGGTGGTAAAGAGCGGAGACTGGGCAACTAACTTCGAGGAGGTGGAACTTTCCCCTTTCCATGGCGGCATGGAAGCTCGGCCCTGCTCTTGCGTGCGGCAATACCGTGGTGTTGAAGCCAGCTGAGCAGACTCCTCTCTCCATCCTTTTCCTTGCCAACCTGATCGTGGAAGCGGGCTTCCCTCCTGGTGTGGTGAATATTGTCAATGGCCACGGTGCAGTTGCCGGGGCCGCCCTCGCTTCTCACATGGATGTCGACAAGATTGCCTTTACTGGAAGCACGGCCACGGCAAAGCAGATTATGAAGATGGCGAGCAACAACTTGAAGAACATTACCCTGGAGACCGGCGGGAAGAGCCCTCTCGTGGTCTTCAATGATGCCGACCTGGAACAGGCCGTGGAGTGGGCGCACATCGGCATCATGTACAACCAAGGTCAAATCTGCACCGCTACCTCGCGGATTCTTGTCCAAGACGAGATTTACGACAAGTTCGTCGCCGCATTCAAAACGCAGATCAAGAACGTTTCGAAAGTTGGCGATCCATTCGACGAGAGCACTTTCCAGGGTCCTCAGGTGACCCAGGCTCAGTACGACCGCATCATGTCTTACGTCGACATTGGCCAGTCTGAGAAGGCCACCTTGTCATATGGTGGCAAGCCGTTCAAAGGTGTGGGAGACGGCAAAGGCTTCTTTATTGAGCCCACCGTTTTCACCAATGTGACTCCGAAGATGCGTATCTACCAGGAGGAAGTTTTCGGTCCGTTCGCCGTTATTGCTCGATTCAGCACCGAAGAGCAAGCTGTGCAGATGGCCAACGACAGTACCTACGGACTTGGAAGTGCCATCTTCACCACCAACTTGACCCGCGCTCACCGCGTCGCCAAGCAGATTGAAGCTGGCATGGTCTGGATCAACTCCAGCAACGACAGCGACTGGCGCATTCCTTTCGGTGGTGTAAAGCAGAGTGGTATTGGCCGAGAGCTAGGGGAGGCCGGTCTCGAGGCTTATTCCAGCATCAAGGCGGTTCATGTGAACATGAAGTCCAAGCTCTAGATCCTGTTTTTTATGCGGTGGAGATTGTCAAGAATAGTAGTTTCACATCCAAAACATTGCGAGACTTTCCGGTACTGTGTTATGTCCTTTGTATGTCGATTCAATAGATGCCACGAGAAATACTAGTAGAAGGAGCTTGACGAAGAAGAGCCACGAATACTAACGAATGCGATATGTATCCAAATCAGTATTCGCAATCAATCTTCATCTGTCTATATACAAAAATGAGCTGGGTTTCGGTGGCTAAATGAAGATCAAAACACCCCGGCTGATCCTGACGGAAACAATCCAATCAGAGTTAATCTCCGGGAGAAACCACTCAGTCCTTCTTTATCGCTGACGACGCGGGAGGGTTATTCACTATCGCGTCCTGCGCTTGAATAACTGAAGCGAATGACTCCTCCGTGTTCAGATAAGTCCGGCGACCCTGGAGCGTCCAGAAGGATAAGGCAATCCCAAGCATGACGCCAAAGACGGCAATAGCATAATTCATATCGGAGCCAGATGGATTAGGCGAGCTCGGAAAGAAGAAAAATACCGAAGTGATGCAGCAGTATATGATGCTGACCCAGTTGGCTGGGGCACCGAACTTTCCCAGACGGAAGTGGCCTCCAGGAGGAAGCTGATCGCGTCCTTTCACCATGACAGTGGCGATCGGCAAGCCGTAGGAGATGGTGAGTGCGATAGTGCTGACACTGAGAATCGCGTTTAGGACGGTCTCAGCAAAAAGAAATAGCACCCCGACTAAGGCTATCAGACTGCCTTGGAACCATAAAGCACGCACGGGCGCTTTCCACGTAGGGTCTACCTCGGCGAGGTAGCGACTGAATGGCAGTCCACCATCGCGGGCAAACCCCCCACGTCAGTCGAGAAGCGGTTGTCAGGATACTGACACCTTGTCCCAGACCGTTAGTGACAAAGAGAGCCATGAGGACGGCACTTCCTTTCAGGCCCACAGTCTCCTGAACCAATTCCATAAATGGCAGGCCAGTTGGTGAGTCGATCACTTTGTCTAGCTTCTGAATGCAGAAAAGACAGACCATCATCAGAACAAACCCACTGGCAGCACCAGACAGCACCGCCAAATAGATCACCTTTGGCGCGTTTTCCTCGGCGCGGGGATTTCCTCCACCATATGAATCACCGCGTCGAATGCGGTCAGCCCATAGGCAGCTTGGACCAAACCGATAAACCAAACGACTCCGTCAGGCCATCCAGTCCGATTGATCCATCTACCGAAGACAAAGGAGCCTGGTTGAAACGCTAGCTCCGAGCGCACACCGACAGAAATAAGCAACGCCAGGCAGAAGACGAAGAATAGGCCAAAGAACCACACCCCGACGAAATTGTTTAACCAGGGCAGGAACTTTTCTTTGCGGCATCCCATGACGTTTATCAGAGTGAGAAGAAAGACGAGTCCGATATATACCACAAACTCCAGCCACCCCATAGACGCTCCAGTCCATTCGACGTTAAACATGACCTTCATCCCCAGGATAAAATTGGTCATAAACGCGATCTGCGAGGCAGCAAGAGTCCACCAGCCAAAGACATTAATCCAGGCACACATATAGGATACAAAACGACCCCACGGTGTGCCCCAGAGCCGATGGATCCAGTAAGCTTGGCCCAGGGCGGTTGGCATGCTACTGCAGATTTCCCCAAGGGACACTGCCACGCAAGTATTGCAAAACGTCACCAGCAAGAGGCCCCATAGAATCGAGACGGGCCCACCGTTGATGAGACCATCAGAGAGATCCTGTGCAAAGGTCGACCATGTGCCGAGAACACAGAATGCCAGCGCTAGCATGCTCCATATATTGAAGCTACGGCTCAGACTTTGGTCATGTCCGAAGGCCGCCAAGTCGTATGCATCGTGGGTGTCTTGATCAATAGGTTTTCGAGCGGTATCATGCTCAACGTCCATCCTGCTACGGCAACAGATAAAAGAAAGCTTTCAGAACTCCTGGTGGCAAAGTGGCGTTCAAGCTGGGCAAGGTGGGCGCATTTCCGAATGATGCTGTGGAATCTCGGATGTAGCAAGAATAGTCCTGATGAAATGTTGGCAGCGGACCTTGCTCTTTTGTAGCGAAACCAGGAACCAGGTGATCGGGATGAGTAACAGTATTCTCCCAGGAACCCGAAGCATCTTTCTTCCCTTTTTCGCGCTTTCTCACTTTCATTTTCTGGGGAACCCCGCGGGCGTCGACCAATGTGGGAATTTGAGGAGAAGCCCCAGTCTGGTAGACCGGGCTGCTCCACACTGCTTGTCATCTTCTAGGAAGCATTTATGAGTTTAGGCGAAACACCATGCGAACTTGAAATCACAGCGCAGCCTGGAGGTCCCCACCGATCGGATGTGCAAAGTCATATTTTCCTGGTCAGGAAAGTAGATGCGGCCTTTGGACGTTGTTTACCTTCACCACGAAATCATCTGTGGTGATCCCAGCCGCAAAGGAATCAATGAATCCCCAAAGATCTCTCTTTTCCATTGCTGGGATCTTTATGATAGGGTGGGGGAGAATTCTATGATACATGGGCAACGGGCATGGTGCTCCGGATTCCCTGGAGGTCGACGATTCGTGTGTGATTCTCCACACGTGCGCAACAAGGGCGATCCCGATTATACCTGTCGCATCGCTACCAGTACGCTTCTGTAGAGCTCAGCTGTCCCTCTTCCCCTGGAGACGAAAATTGGACCGCATACTAGCAGCTTTGCAGAGCAGCTGCCGAAAGACCCCTCGGCAGCTTGTACCTGCCTGAAACGGGATGTTGAGCCAACAATCTCCACATTTCCGTCTTCCCAGGCCGAACACCGGATCTATAAGAAATAAGAAGGCGATCGTGATGCGAGCAAGAATGCGAGGGATATTTAAAAGCCAGATGAATGCGCTCAAATTGTAGGAGACCCCAGAAGGAGCTCCCGTAAGAGGATTAGAACGCGCCATTTTTGCTGCGTGAGAAGATTATTGAGCCAATCAGAGGCCGCGGCAGACTATAGGCTTTATGGACGCTGGACCTATTTATGCTCGCGAAAGGATTCCCCTCCATGCCATGCAAATCTTTCTGCTCTATACCCCTCTAGACAATGGCTTCTCTCGATAATAAAAGAAAAGACTCCTTCAGTTCCCGCCACCGTTCCCATAAGGGCTGCTGGACTTGCAAGCGCAAGCGCATCCAATGCGACGAAGCCCGCCCCGGCTGTGTCAAGTGCAGCTCGCGCGGTCTCACATGCGAAGGCTACGAGATTCGACTGCGATGGGGCGCAGGGATTGCTTCGAGGGGTCGCTTTAATGGCGCGCAGAAGCCAGTGCAAGAGTCCATCCCGCCCCATTATAAACGAAGATGGGATTTAAGAGCCAAAACAGAGAAGAGTGAAGACGATAAACAAGGACAGCCACTCTTATTGCTCGAAGAAGAATTTGCTCCAGGTACGGCTATCTTTTGGGTTCATTTTCGGGAAAATTCGAGACTATGATATTTTCCATATATTCAAACGGGAGGCGAAAAGCTAACGTAATAAATTGAAGAAGCAGCGCGGAACCCACCGTTGGCTCAACGCGCCACGGTAAATATATTGAACATGCCTTCCGGAAAAGACTTCGACCAGTACATCGGGATCAATAAACACTTTGAATTGCCCGTATCAATGAATCATTATCAAGACCGCGAGAACGTGGCGTTCAATGGGCATCAGATGAATACTGGTCAATTTCAATATAGGAGAGGACTGCCGGGAAGGTCGCTAGCAATAGCATGAGATCATGCGAATGTCCAATAAGAGAGGAAAAGCAGGAAGAGGAAGAAAAGGAAGAAAAGGAAGACATCATTAATATGGTGTGGTATTTTCAAATATTAGCAAGATATATAATATCATGAACAACAGAGTTCTCGGCTCGCTTGCATTCGACCACAGCGGTTCTGATATCTGAGTCGGCAGATGACTTTAATGGCGGGCTGCGTAAACCAGGAAGTTTTTCGTTCTTTTTTCTTTTTTTTTGGTTAGCCAGCAATGGCGTAGGGCGCATCGACTAGTCAACACCCATTCACGCCTTCTTGGCTTTGGCTTCCGCCGCGGACAGAGCAACAAACGCCTTTGTACTGGCGCACAAGCTGTGGTAAAGAAGCACTATTGCAAGTTAGTATTGACTTCCCGTCTCTGTGGCGCAAAGTACTCACAAAGAGGAATCACGATCCAGAAGGCGTTGCAGAAGACGAAATAGCCCCAGAAGATCGCAGCCTCGGGCCTTGAATACTCGAGACCCAGGATAGAGCTGTCGAAGAGGCAGGTTGCATAGTACAGCACATCGCCATACAGCTGCCCAAGAGAAACAATAGCTTGCAATGGATACCGGAGAGGGTGCTGGGTCATAATCAAGCCCGCAAGAACGAAAGAAAGAGGACCCCAGCAGACCGCGGTGACGGTCTCCATGCAGAGTACAAAGGCATCTTGGGTCTGGTAACGGGAATCCGACAGCGAATATTCCTTCCAGAGCTGACCGAAAAGATCTTGTCTGCTCGGCATCTGCCGGAAATTGTAGGAAAAATAGCCCTCGAAGAAGAGATGAATAAAGCCGCCTGATGTCCAAGTCAATTTAGGCCAGCCACGAAATGATGTAAGGTATTCATACAAAGAACAAACCACATGACTGTCAGCAAATCACCAGAGCCGATCTTTGGCTGGACTCCCATCACCAGCAGATAAGTCACCTAAAAGATTGCTGTGCAGCCGGATGCGAATAAAGACACAAGCGTGAAGGTGTCCCACTGGTCCACCAGATAAGTGGGAATCTCTAGATACACGGGATAGTATGGGTGTGAAGTCGCCATGATCAGTTTTATGTACAAATGGCGCTCTATACCATATACAATGGGTCTTGGAGCTCGTAAACAACTGCTTCTCGAATGGATATCACGTGAGAAAAGGGGATGTTAGTCATCCGATCTGTTGGGTCAAACTAGCGCCGCCGTGCCCTGAGTGGAGTCCGCCGGAGTGGAGCGGAAAAGCCTGACGATTGATCGATTATCTACTGCGTACTCGTATTGATTGACCTTCCATGTTGCAACGGACCATATCGCGATGGAGTCCCTTCGAGGCACCGAGCAGCCACGGGCCCCGGGATCTTTCGAGTATGCAGTCCCAGCTTGAAAGTAACCGCTGAAGATAACGGGGCTGGCGTGGCAGCTCATTCGCAGATGTTGCCAAGAAGAAACTAACCTGAAAAGGCGACGAAAACGGGGTCCGAAATGGAGCTGAACAATGAGAACCTCCAAATCAACAGCCGCGGTACGATCCGACGTGTAAAAAAAAAGGGGGGGGGGCGGATCTGACGCCCCCAATGTAATCAAATTGGGATTTGCATGGACTGGCGTGGAATCGATGGCCTTTCCTCCTCGATAATCTCGATTTGCGCCAGGGCATTGGGAACCCGCACGACCAAAACCGCCAGAGATGCCCGCTCAACATACCTCGGCCCAGTCCAATGGCGCGTCGCGTCGCCGCAAGGAACCGCCCAACAGCCATCTCGGTCATGTTCGCAAGGCCAGCATCGCCCATGCAAACAAACGTCGCAAGTCCCGCTCGCTGTGGCGACGCGCGACGAAGCGCGCGATCCAGCATACGTGGCTGATTCCATTGATTCTCATCCTGGCCTTCGTGTCGCTGTATGCGATCAATCCGACCGAAGACAACATCGTCCACCACTTCCTCTTCCTCTCCTACGAACAACCTCCTGCGGTACCGGGCGGCCCGGTGCAATATGGCAAGGGCCTGTACGATATCGCCTTTGTCATATTCTACTCCATCGTCCTCTCATTTACTCGCGAATTCATCATGCAAGAGCTCTTGGGCCCGCTGTCCCGCTCCTGTGGAATCAAGTCGAAGCGCAAGCAGGCTCGGTTCATGGAGCAGATGTACACAGCCATCTACTTTGGCATCATGGGCCCGGCGGGACTGTACGTGATGCGTCAATCGCCGGTGTGGTATTTCAACACTGCGGGCATGTACGAGAACTTCCCGCATAGGACGCACGAGGCGGCCTTCAAGTTTTTACTATCTGTTTGAAGCGGCGTATTGGGCCCAACAAGCCCTGGTGATGATTCTGGGTCAAGAAGAACGTCGGAAGGATTTCAAGGAACTTGTTGCCCACCATATCGTGACGCTCAGCTTAATCGCCCTGAGCTACCGATTCCACTTCACCTATATCGGGGTCGCCATTTACACCACCCATGACCTGAGTGACTTCTTCTTAGCGGTAAGTTCTCTCCCGTTCTCACTGGGGGTCTCACGGTCCTTCGAATGCGATTGATACTGATGGGTGCATAGCTGTCCAAATCGTTGCACTACCTCGACTCCGAGTTGTTGGTTCCCTTCTACGCCTTCTCTGTCATCTCGTGGATCTACCTGCGCCACTACTTGAATCTGCACGTTCTCTGGTCGATCCTCACCGAGTTCAAGACCGTCGGTCCTTTCGAGCTCAATTGGGAGACTCAGCAGTACAAGTGTTGGATCTCGCAGGTTATTACGTTTTCCCTGCTCGCCATGCTCCAGAGCCTCAATCTCTTCTGGTTGTACTGCCTCCTGCGTAGTGCTCTGAAGGCGCTCCTCACTGGAGAGAAGAAGGACGACCGCTCGGACGATTCCGAGCCCGAGATGACCGTCAACGATGCTCCCGGCAAGGAAGTTGGAAAACCCTGATCAGCGCATCGGGTGACCAACCTGAAAAGCTCCATAGCCCTATCCAAACCGGGTGCGGTCTCTCTTCTCCTGAGCAGGGGGTCGGAATCGACCTCCCTCAGTAACCCAGTTGAAGGCATCTATCTTATTGGTAGAAGCCTTGTGTTGCACATATTCCAACACCTGAACGATTGATGTCCAAGGATTAAAAGATTTGCCCCATGTATATCTATTATATAAGTTAGCCAACCCTTAATATATTAATAACTAGTATTCGGACCCCTATACACCCCGCTCACTGAGCCGGATCGGATTCCACCAAGCCTTCCATAGAACATTGCCATTCTGAACATTGGGGTATTCGATCCATCTCGGGAAAGGCCCTTCAAGATGAATCCACCTGGATGCCTTGAGTAGTACCGTGGAAGAGGATCATCACGCAAATATACTAGGACCTCCGCATAAAGTCCTTCCAAGCTCCTCCCTCTTCATAAGTCATCAATGCATATCAGATGCTCTACTAGTACGAAGTGAGGGTTTAATATCTTCTGTTCATTTTAAAGTGAGTTCATTATTTACACACTAAGAACAACCGAGGATCCATGAGCCAACGCCAGGTTTGCAATATACCGAAGCAACACCAAGCTTCTCAAGAAATATACAAGGAGAAAACAACCATCAGAATGTGGTAATAGGAAAGAGAAGCAGAAGCAGAAGCAGAAGGGCGGGGAAAAAAAAATAAGAGCAAAGGAAGGTGGGCTGCGTCACATCACGGTAAAAGAAGAGAGGTACACAAGGTGTACACAAAAGGTAGTAGAGTGCTGGTTCCTTAGAATCGTCCGACCGGAGCAGGCGATCGTCTTCCAGAGCTATCAGAACTTGTGGGGATCAAAGGAAGAGTAGGCTCCAACACGTCGTTAACCGGCGAACGCGGTGGTTGAGGGTATTTTTCGGAATTCTGTGCAGGGAGGTTTCATCAATGTTGTAGCGAGATCGTCCCGGGGCGAGGGACATGTTGAGTTGGTCGTTTGACATGGCATGCGAAGTCTCGTCCACGCCCCATCGAGAATGTAACCCCCGTTCATCCATACCGCGGGCCGTCTTTTCGAGTGGTAGTAGCTCCGTGGTCATGCGGTTTTCTATTCCCGACATACGGAAGGATTCCCGGTTATCAGACAGTCGATTGTACTTGCTTCCCTCCTCGGGGTCTTTCAGGGTCAAGGCCCAGTAGAAGGAGATAAAGAGCCAGATCAAAAGCGCCAGGGTAAAGATGGCGTTGAAAACAAACCAAAGTACTCCCATGATACCGGTCATCATTGGGGGCTGGTTGAACACATTCGAGAAAACGAGCATGAAGATCGAGTTCAGGAAGTTCAGAACTGCTGCGGTAATGGCAAATGCGTTCGAAGTTCGGTCAAGATAAGGCCGGAGGACAATGGTAGCAACCATCATGGCCAACTCAAGCACGAGGAGGATGATGGATTGAGCAACCCAGGCAGACTGGGCAAATGCGGTGACCATCCCCTTGATGATAGTATATGCCAAGACTGGGACGATAAAGAAATACGCGGTCGCTCGATAATTGACATATAGGAAACCCCACTTAGTCAACGTCGTAAGATCCGAATACAGCGTGTACGCCGGGTGCTCATTCAGGGCCTTGGCAGCCTGAGCCCGCTGGAAGACCCGGAATGTCGCAAAGGCAAGAATGCCGGTAAAGATGAGCCACATGGAGATTGCAAGGATAATTTCTGCCACGGAATCTCGGCTTATCAGTTCCCACATAGAGAGCACACAAATCTGAGGGAAGCCTAGCGCGACCAGCCGATACAGACTGCCGCGCATGAAAGTCTGCCATTCAGAAGTGGCGCCAGCGGCGCGATCGAGTTGTGCATTCTTAATTTTGTTGGCAATCGGCGGCAGGGCGAATCTGAACAACAAGATGACAATGATGATGATCACAGCCACGAAATAGAAGAAGAGGTAGCCGGTCATAAACATGTTTGAGGCTTCGATACCGGCTCCAAATCCCACTCGTTCAATGCCTCGTACGGTCTGCTCGGTTCCTCCACTGGTGGTCGCAGTTGACCGCTTGGCCGTATAGACAGACTCTTGATTCGCCAGAGCAATCAACGTGGACGGGGTACCGCCTGTGGCGCGTTGAAACCATGTCGCGACGGTCTGTAACGCAGAGTTGCAGATGATGCCCAGCGTCCATTGGAACAGTTGGGTCCAATTTTGGGCCATGGGAGGGAACTCGACTGCACTCATACCAGCGATCGCCTGGGCTTGCATAAAGCCCAGTAAAATCAATGTTCGGAAAGAAACATGCGTTGCGATCATCTGATGGCCCAAGATCGATAAGACGATGGTTGTAATCAGGCCTATACCAATGATCACGGCGAGGACCCATGCGACGGCTACTTGGTCGACGGTTTTTCCATTGGTAATCCGGCTCTCGAGGCAGGTAATCTCATCTCCGTCCGGAGTCTTCAAATCGAGCTTAATGACGGCATCGATATCGGGAACAGTATAAGCGATGCCTAGAGCAAGGAATCAGGCTGTTAGAAAAGGCCCCCTGGGGCGTCACGGCGGGAGTTACGTACTGGGGACAATAGATAACGAGTCTCCCGGGATCGAAGGGGTCATGTCTGGGAAGTTGAGGTTTTTGGTGTTTAAGGGACATAGTCCTGGAAGTTGGTAATCGCAAGGGTCAAGGGTCTTTTGAATGGCTGGATAACCGTAGACCAGCAAGGTCAAATCCACCAAGAACTTGCCCGAGAAGGAGGCGACGCCGGTAAAATCGATGGAGACGGTATTGTTGTCGGGGAAGAGGCCAATTTTGAAGGAGTTCACAGCGAGCGCTTGCTTTGTGGACGAGCTACAAGGGTAGAGGGCTTTGGCCTGAAGCATCCGCACTGCGGCTGCGGAATCAACGAGCGTGAGGGCGCCTATTAAGCCGGCGGCCCATGATGAGAACTTCATGGTTGGAAAAGAAGGATCCCCCCGGGGGGGAGGAGAAAAAAAACTAAGGGAGCGACAAGATTCGGAGTTGGGTTAGATTTTCATTGAGTGAACCCCATATCCTATTGACCAGGGGGTTCCCCTCAAAAGCGCGTGGTGAAGGTGAGAAAAGGACAATCAGGAACCAAGAAGGCAGAACAATTGCCAATACAGGCCTGACAGTCCTTGGGGTTCGTGGTAATGGTAATTCACTGATTACATGGGTCCACGGCGTCCGGGCCTTGGGTCTCTGATTGGGTGATGGTAGAGGCCTTAATGGGTCCATTGCCCTTGGAGGAGGGCCTCCTGCTGCATTGTACTCCGTAGGCGCTGATTATTGGGAAAATGGGGGGGACGAGAACGGCCAGACTCTGCAGCCTTGGCGCTTGCGCTCTTTGGCTCTAGCGGTAAAATACAGTAAATTATCGTATACAACAGGTAATTCGCAGCCTATGTCGCAGTCCCCGGGGCGCCTGAGCCAACTGCTCCAGCTCCTGCAGGGCGCAGGGATACCTGTTGCAAGCAGAAATTGTGCGACACTGCCACACTGAACACGGTTTCAGATGTCTTGTCCCGTCCATTGTGGCCCGTTGTGGGTTCCTGGGCCCCGCCCCCAATATAGAACATTGGACTCCGTACCTGACAGATCAAGGGCCCAAAGGGGGCCCCCAGGTTCAGAACCGCTCATGCTGCCATCGATGCCAATGGAAGGGGGTTTTATATCCATTCACTTCATAGTTAGTCTGGAATGTGTCGTCCTCGTGGCATAAATGGTCCGTGACCCGTTTTTACTTTTTGATTACGCAGTTACAAGTATCTTACCCGTGGGCGTACTCCGCCGTTGCCCTAACTTCAGGGGCTTTGATATCGCGAAGTACGGGATCGACTATCTATATGCTTGTAGGCGATGTACGTGTCTACTGCCCTCTCTCAACCTTGAGAGTGCGATCGACTCGGGATACTGGAATCATGAGATCATTGATCCCGCTCCAGTTGCTTCTCCTGGTCGCTGGTCTCGATGAACTAGACCCCACCCCCTGAATCCGCTTCTCGAGAGATCATTGGCTCTGCTCCACAAAGTACGAACGGTCCCTTTCTAGCCTCCCAATACACACGTCTTGAAATGAAATTACCCTAATCCAGGGGCGCTGAAACGGAACCAATCACATTCATCCGCCCGCCTTAATCGCTGCAGCACTTGGCTCGACCCGTATTGTTCTTCAGGCGTCTAAGGCTGCAGGTTTAATTTGCTCTTGGAACTGAACAGGACCCAGCCCCAAGGATTTCTGGGGTGTGGAAAAGCGACCTGGATACACCGCCGTGGTTGGCTGTTCGACAGGAGGTTTCCCGACCACTGGCTCTCATTCGCTGTCAATCACGTAGAGTCGATCAAAAACCGGGGACAACGCGCGTATCTGGCGTTGAGGCGGGAAAGACCCTGTCGAGCGGACCTCGCTGATGCGTCGTCTCCACGCTTTCTTTGAGGATCACACTCCTCGCCCCTTGATAGTTCTGCAGTGTAATTTCCTTGATACCCCCCAGTTAACAAGACACCAGGGGATATTGAACCTGCCCGTAGAGCACCTTTGAGAAACTCAACTGCTACTCTGTACAGTTCATAAAAATTCTACGCAGTAGGTCTTTGCCGTTTTTGGAGTGCCAACGGCAAAAAAGGAGTGTCTTCGCTTCTGCTGGTAGCTGGCATAGCCGGTCTAGTTAATTCGATGCGCTTTGTAAGCCGTTTCGCTGCCACCTGGGCAGGCTCGTAAATTTCTCTTCTCATGCTCTCGCAACCTCTCAGACTGGAGCGCTAAATCATGATCTCCGCTTCGTACCGTTGCACGTGTTACGTTCTAACTCACGGGTGACGAATCGCAAACCTGCACACAGTGGATCTCTTGGCTGAGGTACGGCACGAATTGACCCGTGATTGGTCATTGCTGGCGGCTACTGGGACATATCCCATACGATTAGACTCTTGCAAATCGAGATTTGAGCCAATAAGGTGAGATGTATCATGTTCTAAAGTTATCACTACATACATCTAGCGCCCAACGTCACCACGACCATAGGTTGATTAACTGAGTTCTTAGGAGAAGCGCAACCCCTGGCTGGGATCCCATGTTCCTGGCTGGCCTGCCCGAGGTTGGGGAGGGGCTACGCCAGCGCTGGGGCTTGAATTTGCCCCGGGCGATGCTCCCGCCGAGTTGAAGCGAATTCCCATTTGAGGAGACCACATCCCAGGGGTGGGAGTGGGGACCGAGGGCGGTGCAACAGGTGCGCGCACCGGCTGAGGTGCCGTGAGCGGCGTGGCAGCCTCGGAAGGCCGGTGCATCGGTGCTGCCTGTGCTGGTACTGGGGCCTGATGCGGCGAAGTGTACGTGGGGGAATGGTGTGCAGGGGCGTTTGCTGCGCGGGCTGGCGAAGATAGGGCTGCGAAATGTGTAGCGAGGACATTGCGGTCACGTTTTGGATGTCTCTGTTGGTCTCGTCAGTTCATCATCTACAGAAAGACCCATGTGCTGCCGAAGACTCACGCCTCTAATTGACTGGCCTCCATCCGTCGCTGGTGCACAAAGGTCTTGACATCATCTCGAAATCGGCCCACAATCTTGGCAAGATCGTTGTAGAACTTCCGTCCAACCTCGAGATTGGAGATAATCTCTTTGTACTTCATGTATCCATTCTCCAGATCTTGGAGCGCCAATTCGCGCTCTTTGGTGGACGTATCACCTCTATGTGCTCGAGTGAAGGCCTGGTTCGCCTGACGTACCTGATCCGACAGCTGCTCTTGGTCCCTTTGCTCCTGGGCCAACATGTCACGGTCAGAGTCATAATATCGCAGGTGCTCCTCGAAGAGATCTTCGAATTGACTGGCTTGGATAGCCTGCATCGGGAATTCCCGTTCTAGGCGGGCAGTTTCCTTCAACAAGGCCGGGTCTTCTCATCATCAGCAGGCCGTGGATCGAGCAGCTGTGGCGGGGTAAAGACTTACGAATATCGTCAGCGCGAGCTTTCTCCTTCAATGCCTCGATCCTCCGGCGGCGGCGGCCCTCCATCCGAGTGACTTCGCCAAGACAACTCCGTAGCTTGGTAGACTCTCGCTCCAATTCTGGGGGGATCGTAGCCCTGCGGCTACTAGGAACGTAGGATTCCAGGTCTCGGTTCGTCCCCGTAAGCACCAAAAAGACCGAATGAGAATCCCGATACTTCCGGTCGACGAGATCGTCGCTCTTTTGTGCGGATGTAAAATACCCCTCGATCTCTTTGGAAGTTTTGTAAAGCTTCGGCGCTGCTTTCTCGGGTGTATCACGAGTCCATCTATCCGTGCCATATTTCTGGCGAGCCGCATCATCCTCAGCTTTCTCAGCGGCCAGAAGCTCGACGCCTTCTTGATAAACAGCTCTATCATTAGATTTGATCTTTGAAGTATCATCCATAGATCGGCGCAGCCGATTCAGTCCATCTTGCTGCCGCATCTCGTCCGCATGACTAACCAATGTCGGTGGAAGCCCAAGCGGTTTCTCCAATGCTTGGAGCGAACCAGGTAAATTGAGTTCTGATAAAAGACTATCTGAATGTTAGCGACCCAAGTTTGATGAGGAGAGGCCTCAACACTTACTCTCGCAGCTTGTCTGTCATGGATTCCAGCTCTCCAATCAGGGTCTCATTAACCAATCGGTCGCGACGGTCGGAGTATATGCTGGCAGCAATATGAACCGCATAGGGAACTAGCTTTTCAAACAAGGGTTGGCCAAGTGGCCCCTTTTGGCCAAGCATAGAAATGGCATCCGTAACTTGAGACGGTGCCTTGGCAGCAACCATGCTTGCTCGATCAATGGCCTTGAGCTGAGACTTGGGAGGCACGGGGCTAAGATATATCAGGTCGTTGTCTTTCTCTGCGCGCTTCAGGTCTTCCGTGACTCGGTTCTTTAACCCATTCAAGTCTCCAAGAACCGTTCGGTTCAGCCATTTTGATTCCTTAAGCCCCTCATTGACACAAGCCAGGCTATCTCGTAAACGGGCAACTTCTTCTCCGTATTTGCGCTTCTCTAAACAATCCAAGGACTGCCGAAACTGGGCCGCCGCAGCAAAATGGTAGTTCTTAGCAGTCATATGATGAATCCAATCGGTACTGATCGCATTTGATTTCACAGCTAGGTCGCCCGCATCGCCATAGAAGTCAGATACCTTCGCAGCTAGCCGGGCAATGGAAGCATCTTTCAGTTCGTCCTTCACAGCTTTTTGCCAAAAGCATTCCTGTCCCTGGGCAAGCAACAGTTGTTCTAGGCTCTGCAATGTCATATCGTCCATATCTTCGGGTGGGGATGCGCGGAGGTCCGGGAGAATATCGGTGCGAAGGTGGTGTAATACGCCAGCGGCGTGGCATGAATAGTTACATGCTTGCTTCAATCCATCCGAGGTGGTGCGGTTCAAGGCACATGCAAGTTGGGAATAGAGAGCCGCCAGGTTAAAGAGTACGTTTGCTAGTTCGAAACGGAGATTATTCTGAGATACTATGCGCATGAATGCATGTTAGCAGGATCCATGGCGGGGCTTTTCTCCCAATAAAAAAAAAGAAAAAGGCAACGCAGAATCCTCGGCATGCAGGTAGTAGACACTCACCAGGCCGCGCAGTATTAAATCCAAATGCCGGATACCAAGAGAAATCAACTCCCACCTGTACCGCATTTTGTCAACAATGATAAGATGTTATTGAGGAAGGAACACACACGTCCACCGGGAATTTTCCTCCTAGCCATTTCAGTTGCGCGGCGTATGTGACGAGTCTGCTGATGCCACTAACATGCGGCTCCTTCACATTGATTGCCTCTGTCCTTAGCCGATCTATGATCAAAAGATCATCTGCAAACATATCCGGGCGCTGATCATATTTCTCCGAGATGTACTGTGTGATGGCATCGGAGAGCGAAACGGAATGGGAGCGACGAAACGGCAGCTGGAGAATATTCCTATACGATATATGATAAGTAATGAAGCTTGTCAAGGCCAGATAGCCACTGAAATACTCACGACGCCATTGTCAGAGGGAGTGTTTGGCGGGACGAAGAGGAGAATTGAATGTTGACGGGGAATCGAATACCCCACGTCATGCTGCGGCCTGAGGCAGAAACTCCGCAATCGTCATGATCGTCTTCCAGGAACACTTGGAGATTTCCTCAATTGTTTCCGAAGTTGTTCCGAATCCTCGCACAGAGCACTTACGACCTGAGAATAAAAGAAATGCTCCTGATTAGCGGAGTTTTCGAGAAACTCTAAAATTCGAGTATAATCTACTCTAGTAAGATAATGTCAGGGTCAAAGTTCTGCGATTCGAAATACGCAGGTGTGCTATATCCATGAATTGACCTCCTCGGAATGGACTATCTGACTTCTATAGTCTTTATGGCCGGACTTGTGACTCTCTGGTGGAGGCCGAAATTGTGGCTTGTAGATGGTAGCAATGTGACAGCCAACGAAGAAAGCAATCCAGGTCCTTTGGCTGCTTTATGGGGCAGAGGTAGTGTTTCTGGGATTTTTTTCGAAATTTTTCTGGAAAAATTCAATCAATGTCCGATTTTGGGGGCAGAGTTTGCTACTCTGTCGGTACGAGAGAAGGTGCCGGAGGCCTTCAAGCCTTTCGACATTCCACAGCTGTTCAGCACTGCCAGAGTCGCGGGCTTCACGAAATTTGCAAAAGAGCAGGGCTCATATTCACCGAACGGAAGAAGGGCCGTTGTGGCTACACATGATACAACTATCCCCATGCTGAAAGCGACAGTTCAGCGATAGAGCAGCAATTTGACCGCTATACAGGTAGTCGTCGGAAGCGTCCGGTCCCTTTTTCTGGAACCGCTTCCTGCAGCCATCTATGCTAAGGGGTCTATCAAGACTGCAATGGGGCAGGGGGATACGAGCGACTCCCTCATGGTAACACTTTTTAACGCTACTTAGGGCAATACCACGGATGAGACAGGGTCGAAGAAGCCGCCCCGAACATTTCTGTCAAGAATCGAAGATGATGCCTGGAGGATTGAGTGTCCCCGGTTGATTCTAGCTATTTCGCACAGACTCAGCTCCTACTCGTCATTTTGACCAATTTGCCTTTGGCCATAGCTCATCAATAACCCTACTTAAAGCCTAATCCGCATCGACCTTTTGAGAATCAACTCATCACCAATCCTACAGGGCACTATTGGGTAATGATACCTGCCATCATACAGGTCATATGCGCGTCCGAGGGGCCGAGCTCCAAGCGAAGGGTCTCCAAAGGCTGCGTGAGTGCCCTCTTGGGAGATGAGGAGGCCCCGACTCGATCCTCTTTCATCGGCACTTGGTCTATGTAGTACCTTAAAATAGAACAAAGGAGTCACATCACCTATCCAAGGGGTGTTGACACCGGCTCTGATGCTGCTCACCACTCGCCCCTGCTTCTCGCTCAAAGTCTGGCAAACCCTTGCACAAGCCGATGTGGGGGCCCCAAATACTGGCCTCCTAGACCGTTCGAGCTTCAATCTTTCACCATCTGTATCTAACAAGAGGATCATTATTCTGTTTCGGGGTTGCTCAAAATTACGCCCAGCCCTTGACCGTGGACATGCGCTGCATCGGCCGACTCGGAGGGATCTCTAGAAGAAGGATAGCACAATCGACTGAAACGTCTAATTAGCCATACCAATGAAGGAGAAGGATGGGCAATAGCGGTCATTAATTTGAAGACTTGATCCGAGAGAACCCCGGAGCCAATAGTTTGACCTTTTAGCAAAAGAGAAGAAAATTGAAAAATTGAAAAACGGGGTGTTTTTGGGAGCTTGTGGCTTAAGTGGCCAGCTTGGTATGTGACTAGTATCCAGGAGATCGCTTGCCTTCAGTTTATGTCTTCGAATTATTTGCTCTTTCAGGAATAACATACTCTAAGAGATGCTACAATATATCTGCGTTTAGATCCGAAATTTTCTCGAATTTCTTTTTCTTCGGGGATATCTTAATCAGGAACCTCCAGCTCGTAGATGCGGTATATATATGTACATAACAGAGCAGTCCATTGAAAGGTCAAGCAGAAAGTGAAGGCCACCTCATCCCCGCGCAACTGAAATGCGAGAGCTTCACTCTGGAAGCTGTTGGATCTTGGACCGGAGGTACTCATAGAGGCTTAGGAGGATCATGTTGTTGACCCCGGTCCGAAGAAGGATGATAGACACCCCCTTGTACATGCTAGATTGGGCGACCGCCACCGAGGCTTCACCAACCTCCTTCGTTTTGCCCAGGAGAACGCTCTGGGCGCGGGTCTTCCGCGTGTCAAGTGGGTATGTCTATAATTGATGAATATGCACGTTAACTTCAAATGACTCAAAGGTGCTAAAGTCGTTGCATGAGCTTACACATATCCACGGGACGGTGCTACAGACGGCACCAGCCAATGCTGGGGCTCCGACCGGCGACTTTTCGTCTGTCCCCAGTCGTTTGGCGGTCTCCTGCTTGCACGTCTCGTAGATAGAAAAATAGAGGCCAGAGCCTATTGTATCTCTCATTGCATGAAGGCGGAACCCGGTATACAAGCCTAGGAAGCCATGGCGACGAACGATCTGCCGAATAGCCTCAATGGTTCCCAAGCGAGGCCGATTGCGCAAAGACGGATCCCTGGCAGCATCCGGCGATGCCAAAGCCCGGTTCGACACCAAGACCGACGTTTGGACCACATTCTTGGCCAGTTCAAATGGACCTACAGAACGTCAGCATATGATATAATCCTCCCACAGCTTTAGATGCATACAAGCAAGAGGGGAGGTCACCAGCCCCGCCATCATGCCTGCCGAAGTAAAAGTCACAAGTGCCTTAATGCTAGGGGAACTGTCGGGCTTGTTATACTCCTTCGCAGGAGATACGCCGGTGACGCGTTCGAAAAGAGCAGAAATCTTCTGCTTGGCCGCATTGTATGTCGTGAAGTTCATCACCCGAACTGTTGTCACACTCACGAGAGGCGGGAGAGCACCTGGTCCAATAAGTCTCGGAAGGCAGGATTCCAGGAATTAGCGAGCATACCTGCAACGAATCCACGAGGGCCCTCAGTTCGCCACAAGTATTGGACACATTCAGAGACGTTTTTGAAGTTGTGACTGGAGCTCGTCAACGAGGTTCATTGTTTGATCACGAATATATACATACGTTTGCATGCGCGTTTTCACGTTCTCCAGGGGGGGTCTATACAACGACGAGTACGTAATTAGCCTTCGACTGGCCCCGGGAGGCATTTCACGTGTTCCTGTATTTGCGGTGGTATCAAGGCCACGGAATTGATTACACACGTACCAGAACCAGTGTCGCACACATGCTGGAAGCCCCAGAGGCCACTTGCGTCTCATACCTCTTCAGCAAGTGGTTTCGGGTATGTTCATCCATGATGATGTTCTGTTTGGTTGGTGCGCTAAGATTAGTGGATGGTTGCGAGGAGAAGCGTGCATATCCCGATGGTTTGTCTGGATTCATTCCTGGCGGCGATCCATGGGAGGCAATAAAGCTGTGATGAAAAAGGAAGGATCAAGCCGTAAAGTGGGATCGAGATGGGAAGGTAATGGGCGGCACTCGGTCTCGACAACCGATATGATTATTGAGAACCTTGACTGGCCGAATTATTGAAACTCAAGCAACCTTGAAGCTACTTGGTTGTCGCAGCCCGGCTGTTCGCCGCTGCGACCATGCAGGAGATATAGTATGCGCAGGTTTTATATGGCCGCCAATGGGCTGGGGAGCCCTATGGAACGCAAAGCGGCCTCTCAACCTTTCGAGAAGACCCTTCAGCGTCCCACAGTCTCTCAGAGGCTGGAATTGCACAGCTCCAGTTTTTTTTTTGGCTCCCGAAATCAGAAGATGTGCACGTCCGAGTCGGGATTCAAGGCTAAGGAGCAATGCCAGTCGGAAATGCTGCCTGCGACGGGGCAAGAGCCCTTCTAGCCACGTAGATCGGACAAACAGCCACTGCCACGATTTCGGCACGCGATGTATAGATTAAGCTTAATCGACGAGATTTCGTGGGTTTGCGTCCGATCGCACCGTTTTAAGAACTCCGCACCTAGGGAAGAAGTTAGTCGACGAGCTTGAGCTTAGGCGTTCGTAGGCTGATAGAGTTCGCGTGGCAAGATTGTTCTTTTTTGTGTACTGAGAAGCACCTACACCACGATTCAAGACGATTACCTAGCAGGAGGCCCGATCCAATGGACCTGGATGTTGGTGGCAGGAGGAGTGCGGGCATTAGGAAAGAAGCATGTGGGCCTTTGCAAGACTACTCGAAGCGGTTTAGGGCGAAATCCAGTGACGTCGCCGTGAACAGCACCCCAGCACCAGAGCCACGCGGGGTGAATGTATTTAATTCGAGTATTTGGGTCTTGGGGGTCTACACAAACAGGTTATTGGTGTTTTTCGAGGACTTCGAAGCTTGGAATTGGTCTAAACATTGGCGAAAGGGGATGGACCTGGAGCTCTTCATGCAGAGCATAGACGATGTCTGCGGTCGGGCGATGCCCGCATTGCCAATTGTAGGCACAGACATGGGATTCCGCGGACAACTCGAACTCAACTCTGTCTTGCGCACCTAAGGGGCCGGCCGATGGGCCTTTCGTAGGTTCCATAAAGTCATTGTCAGGTTCTCTTGAGTCTTTGTCCTGCATTCGGTGCTCGCCCAATCTCATGAGCACGCCAGCCATGGAAATCTCACGAGACTAGTCGATTGTCATGTTCTTCTTCGGATGTCACAGTTCCAAGCTGAACTCGAACGACTGCCAGTGTGTAGCGTGTATGAGCCACTGACCTCCGACATAGAATGTGATTATGCCCCACAGAACATATATAGCTTGTATTGTCCTCCTACTTGACATGGGAACCAAAGTCTACCTTCTAGGACTTTTCACTACAAGTAGGTGGACAAGGGTCCATTTACTGTGCTTGAAAAGCGGGGAAAAGGGGGGGGAAGAATACGAGGATCTCTGTTCGCAGTGGTCATCTAGGAGAATTCCCAGCTTGGCTACTACCAGACCTGCTTCTCTGTGGATAATCTCATGACTTGATGTTTAGTATAATGATCCTAAAATGAAATATAATAAGCAAAGTGCAACTCGAAGTTGGATTCTACTAGCAAGACTCGGTGTGCTTGCCTTGGTCCGAAATGCATCATCACAAATATATACGAGTACGCAACATGTGATCGGCTGGAACCAACGACAACTAACCCCGGACAGATCGGACCTTGAGTTTACTAGTAAAGCCGAACTTCACGCACCCGATATTCTAAGCGAAATGATCAGATGAATAGGTCCGAGCTTATGTGGCGGGGAACTATGCAGGTTATATTTTCCCTCGAGGCCTCCGGACCTCGGCAGCATCTCTCCCCGCAGTAAGGCCTCGGGCCTAGTCTGATGCGCGCCTCCTTAAGCTACATATACAGCTCCGTGCCCCTTAATGACGAAATCCACTCCTCCTATCAATACATCATACATTCACCATGGGTAAAAAGCAAGTTGGTCCCGCTTACGTCCTGGGCGTTGGCATGACAAAGTTCATCAAGCCTCGCGGCAAGGTCGACTACCACGAGCTCGGTTACGAGGCTGGAATTAAGGCTTTGCTTGATGCGCACATTACCTACGATGATGTGGACCAGGGTGTAGCATGCTACGTATACGGCGACAGCACTTGTGGTCAGCGTGTCTTCTACCAGTTCGGTCTCACCAATATCCCTATCTACAATGTCAACAACAACTGCTCGACTGGCTCTACAGGTCTGGCTATGGCCCGCACAATGGTCTCTCACGGAGCCGCCGACTGTGTGCTCGTCGTGGGGTTCGAGAAGATGAACCCTGGTAGCCTTCAGTCAATGTATAATGATCGCGCTAGCCCCACAACCCTCTTTGGAACAATGATGGCGGAGACCCGCGGTGTGACCAACGCACCGGGCGCGGCGCAGATGTTCGGTAACGCAGGTGTCGAATACAAGGAGAAGTACGATTCTATCCAACCCGATTACGGCTGTCCCATATATCTTGTGCTGACACTTCTCATCTATAGGTACGGAGCTAAGAACGAGGATTTTGCCGAAATCGCTCGCATCAACCACGAACACTCTAAGCGCAACCCTTACTCGCAATTTCAAGATGAATATACCTTAGAGCAGGTGATGAAGGCCCCGATGATCTTCGACCCTCTCACCAAGCTGCAATGCTGCCCCACCTCGGACGGGGGTGCCGCGGCTGTTGTGGTCTCTCAAGAGTTCTTGGATGCCCGCCCTCACCTGAAGGACCAGGCCGTCCTGATTGCTGGCCAGACCATTGCCACCGATACCGACCAGGTGTACAGCCGCAGCTCTATTGATTTGATGGGATTCGGAATGACCCGACACGCCGCGCGTACTGCTCTCGCCGAGGCTGGCGTTAACGTGAAAGATGTCAAGGTCTGCGAGTTACACGACTGCTTCTCCGCCAACGAAATGATAACTATCGATGCGCTGGAGCTCTCCGAGCCTGGCAAGGCACACGAGATGGTCCGTCGGGGAGATATTACATACGGCGGCAAGATGATCATCAATCCCTCCGGTGGACTCATTTCCAAGGGTCACCCTCTTGGCGCGACCGGCCTTGCTCAATGCGCTGAGCTGGTCTGGCATTTGCGCGGCTGGGCCAACAACCGCCTCGTAGACGGTACTGATGTTGCTTTGCAGCATAATCTTGGTCTCGGTGGTGCTGTCGTCGTCACCGTGTACAAGCGTGCCGATGGTAAGGTCGCTGCTGCCGTTCCCTCCGATGTGGTGGGCAAGATTACGGGTTTGGGCTATAACCCGGCCGTGGAGGCTCGTGGTTTCACGGCTGAGCAGGCCAAGTCGGTCTCCAGCAAGAACCACACCAGCGAGTATGCCCTTGCTGATACACAGGAGCGCGTCCTGGCCCGGTTTTAGAAGGTCGGATTCCGTCAAAATCTTTTGTATATAGTCTTCTTGCAGCACGATAACGAAACTATGAAGATACTCTTGGTTGTATATTGGACCATCCTTTTTTTCTATATAAAACCCTAGGAAGATCATGAATGAGTATTTTCCCAATCGTCTGGCAACCTGTAGTTCGGCGGTACTTGGTACTGTCCTTGACAATCCCCGGGGCTGAAACATGTAAGATCGCAACGCCCGTACAAAACACAATAGCAGTCCTTTGCGCTGGGACAGGCCTCTTTATTGAGTTCTCCCAGATGAATCTCACCATCAGCACCCGGCCGGGCGAATAAGATATGCCATATATAGGACAGGATTCGACCGGCGACCCTGTCATCCGGCGGTGCAGACTGGCTCCTGGCACCCCGGCGAGAATTAACCGAACCATCGCTATTACTGGCGCCATCAAGCAGCCACTGTCGCAGCGCGATGTACTCGTCTCGCGAATGCTGCCATATTCGCTCCCGCGAGACAACAAATTGCGCACAGCACTGCGCCCTGACAGCGTCCGACCGGCGAAGCTGAAGCTTGGCTTTGGCATATGCGGAAGTGGACGGGAATTCATCGCCACCAAAAATAGCCACCAGTGCGCGAGGCAGCGCAATATCAGAAGCGACTCTCGCGCTCCATGGCTCCACGGTAGACTGCAGCCGTAACTCTAGACTGCCCTGCGCGGGAACAGAAGCAGGACACGTGCTCGAACTCCAGTCACATCGGAGGTTGTGGTAACCCTTCGACGCGAGTGCGCGTTCAACATCGAGCCTCGACAGCAGGGCCGCGTTGTCGTAGTCGGGCGCGTCGTTATGCCACGCCCATCGCGACCCATGCACAAAGACAGCCCCGGCGGCTGGGATGGACGCGTAATTGTCAATGAGGAAGGTCAGATAGGCCATTGCCTCGTGGCCGCGGTTCGCGGGCACTTGTAAGGTGGACGAGGTCTTGTCGGCTGCGGCATCGACATTGTAAACACAGAGATGGTATTTCTTCGAGAGCGCATCGAGCCAGCTTGGGTCACCATCCGCTTCCACTCTGGATACTACCAAAGCAGGCTTTTTGGATCCGGATAGTTTGGGGCAAGCTCCACGCGCCTCTGGAATGTTGGTGGCAGATGTTTTATAACGAATTTTAGTCCATGAGAACGATTTGTCCTCGGACTGGGGGCGATTGATATATAGGATAAATGAGAGGATGACGAGGAAAATCACTATCTGGTTGACGGTTCTTCGGGACCTACGATTCATATTGTGTCCGGGTCACTGTTTGCCAGCAGTGCACCTGGTCTAGCAATGGATTTCGCGGAGGCTTCGGGATTGAAGATGTCGCGGCCTGAGGCAGGAAGCCGTCGCCAATATTTGCTGCCGAGGACAACACGCTCCAAAAAGCAACGAGGGTTTCGACATCCAGTTCCCATTCAAGTTCAAGTGACATTCGTGGATTGCTTTCCAACCCGACCTTGCGACTTTGCGAGCTGCAATGGCAAAGCAAAACTCATGCTTGGAATGCATCACCTCAAGTACCCCTCCAAGCCCCTTTGGTCTCTGGAATGCTAAATAGATCGTAATCTGCATTTGCATTTGCATGGGCTTGGGAGCCAGTGCTACCTTCCATAACAGGGTGTATGCCTGTCGTGATCTGGATAAGACCGTCTCTCGGGTATATGCTCTTCTATTCAAATGCCACCCATGCAAAGGGCTATTTTTTACCCACCTGAGCTTCTTTCTAAGCCCTCCACATTATCTGCGCAAATGAAGCTCCATGGGAATGCGATAAATTCCGACATATGAAAAAAAAAATCACCTATTGGTGCTGTTATCTCCGGAATGAACTCGTGTTCGACCCCTCGCATTTGAATATCCGGCCGGCTGATGTGAGTGGCTGCAGCGCCCATGCTCATGAGCCCTATTGAGTGGAACTTTCCCAGATCCAAAGGACAAGAAATGGCTCTCAGCGCAGCGGGCGATAGTGTTTATATCTGGATTTGCTACATTCCAAGGGGGACTTATGTATCACCTTTTGTGAATTGTCCATAATCTAGACGAGCAGCCCCTGTAGTTTCCATTCCCTCCCTTCATCGACGACGAAGGGATACCGATATAAGTGTAGCATAGCTTTCCTCTTGGCCCCATTGACCGATCGCTCTAAACCTTCTTGCAGTACAGTCCTTCGTTCTCGAACAATTCGTCTTCCAACTAGTCAGCACTCTCGCTTACTTCATTTCACAATACATCATTTACAACATATTCGTACTTCAGAATGGCTCGCTTCAACCTTTCTTTCCTGGCCTTTTTCTTCGTGTTTGCCGTTCTTGTTCTTTCGTCGCCTATCAAGCGCGATGACGCGACCTCTGACCAGAAACTGAGCCTCGAGACTGCTCTCGACGACGTCAAGGTATGTTTTCCCAAAATTGCCCGTTTTCAATTGTTTACTAACTCGTCCCTTAGGCTGCCACGAAGATGATGCAAGGCTTTGATAATAGCGACTCCAATGACCAGAAGAACCAGATCAACAATGCCGACGACGACACCAAGACCGACGGCGAGAAGCCTGAGACGGAGAAGAAGGTCAACGAGGCTACTCCTACCCACACGAAGAAGACCTCTGGAAACTTCGCCACTCCAACACCCACCAACACCCACAAGCCTACCTCGCAGCCTAATGCGCTTGGCAATCTTCCCATTCTTGGTGGACTCCTAGGTGGTACCGGTGGCCTGTAAATGACTGGCTCTATTCACAGCCTGGAGGCGAGAGGTTTTGTGTGCGCGGGAGGTGAAGATTTGATTGAAATGGCAATTGCGCCAGTCTGGAATTGGGTATTTATGGGACATGATTCGATAGCTGCATCTTTTGTTCAGCTAGGCACATTTAGTTACCAGTCAATTTATGTGATGATTCTCATACCTGTTACTTGCCCCACATTAAGTGCCATAAGGCTTCAAGCTGGCCCAGCCCTTGAAGGTGCCGCATAGGGAACTTTCACAGACTCTACATCGCTTTGAGTGGATCATTTCCACTTTGACGACTTGACATAACAAGCAGAGGAAGGACGCAGCATATGGGTTTTCTGGGTTCAAATGTCTAGGAGCGATCCCTCTCTTCATTTATTGGCCTTTTGCTGCCCCTCATACAGGCCTGTGTAGTATCCTGCATAGTACCAGGCCATCATGAGGTTCTTCAGATTCTCGTCTTGAGCTAGAGGAAGCGTTGGTTGTCATTCCCGAAAGAGGGCAAAGGAATCGTTTGGAACGTACCCGAAGCTAGAACAGGCTGGGGCATGGGCAGCGTGCCTGGATGAGCAGAAGAGCCTTGAGCAGCCTCCGCAGAAGATGACGGAGCAGCAGCTGTTACGGGAGGTGCATCGGAGGCCGCATCGGGGTTCAAATCATTGGCTTCAGTTTCCGTGCCCAAGTTCCCTGCATCGTCGATATCCACTTGCATGGAGATCCTGGTATCATTTTCGAGCCCTGCTTCTTGGGCGCCTCGGGCTTCTCGAAGAACGTCCTCGACATTCTCGCCCTTCGCGTGGATGCTATGATAGAGCTGCATCAAGTTAGTAACCAACCATGAGGAGACGTAAGAGTTGTCAGGTGCGCACCTTGTATTCTTCCTCGACATCATCCCACGACTGCACCAGAGAGGAGTCATCCCAGATCGCCTCATGGGATAAAGCCTTGTTGCGTTTACTTTTCCCCATGGCTGCCCGTTTAGAAGGAAGTCGGGAATCGCGTTGGTGATTGGCGATGATTGGTGTAGGTGCTTGGGTGAGGTGGGGACTCCCGGGGTCACCGCCTTAACTTTTTTTTCTTCTCCAACGATAATCGCAACGATCGGTCGCCAATCCTCCACAATACAGCGAAATGGCTCCTGATAAGAAGGAGAAAAAGCGCAAGTGTATGTCCTGGAAATTTTTCACTCGCAAATTTTTTCTTTTTTTCACTAACAATTCGCAGCGACGGTCGCCAGCGACTCTCCCGCGAAAAAAACCAAGAAGGTTGAGCCCAAGACCGGAGACCTCGAAAACATTGCCCCCAAGTCAATTTTGAAGAAAAAAGACGCTGCCGATGTGAAGACCAAGGAGCCCAAACCTAGCTCCGTCAAGGCGAGTAATGGGTCTGTCCACAAGAGCAAGCCCCGCAAGCGCGCCGCCGATTTCCTGAGCGACGATGAGAATGAAGAGCCTGCTGCATCTACTTCCACCAAATCTGCGAAGAAGCCCAAAAAGTCAGAGTCAGCTGGCAAGGAATCTAAGACCTCTTCAAAGGCGAAAAAAACCGAGGAGGTCGCCGAAGACTCTGACGATGAACCCCAGGATGTCGCTCCAGAGTCGGAGGACGAGGAAGACGAGGAGCTCGATGACCAAACCGCAGCTTTGATCAAGGGTTTCGAAAGCAGTGGCGATGAGGATGACTCTGGCGATGAGGGCTACAGCAAGGACAAGCCGGTCCCCAAGATTCCGGACTCCAAGAAGACTCAGCGCAAGATCGCCAAGAAGCTGAAGCAAAATGAGGCCCCAGAAGAGCCAGGAACCGTTTACATTGGGTAAGTGGCCTGCAGAGCTCTCTCGATCGCTTCCCTCTAACGAATTGACTTAGACGTATTCCCCACGGTTTCTATGAACATCAAATGCGCGCCTACTTTTCTCAGTTCGGTGATATTACCCGTCTTCGTCTCTCTCGCAACCGTATTACTGGTCGTTCGAAGCACTATGCCTTTGTCGAGTTCTCCTCCGCTACCGTCGCCAAGATCGTTGCTGAGACCATGGACAATTACTTGATGTATGGTCATATCCTGAAGTGCAAATTCGTTCCCCAGGAGCAGCTTCACGCGGAGGTCTGGAAGGGCGCCAACCGCCGCTTCAAGCGTACTCCATGGAACCGTATTGAGAAGAAGCGATTGGAGAAGGGCAAGACCCGTGAGCAGTGGTCCAAGCGCATTGAGGAGGAACAGAAGAAGCGACAAGCGACGGCTGAAAAGATGAAGGCCCTGGGCTACGACGTTCCTCTGCCTCAGCTGAAGAGTGTTGACGACGTCCCTGTTCAGGTACAGGAGTCCAAGGCCGTCGAGGCTGCCACGACTCCTGCCGAAGAGCCTACAAAGGCTATTGAAGCCCCAGCCGATGAAGAAACTCCCAAGAGCAAAAAGAGTAAGAAGATCGACACCCCGAAGGAGAAAGCAGTGGAGGCCGCTACCGATTCGCCTGCCACTAAGAGCAAGAAGAAGGCCAAGAAGGCTAAGGCTTAAAAAATGGTGTACCAACAATGGGGGTTCGTTTATTCATAGCCATCGATGCATGTATCTTTTGATCTTAAATATGACTACTCTTTCTTAGACCGCTGTCACAAAATTGTTGTAAACAACCTGCTCTGTAAAACTTCAGCTCTTGACTCTTTCCAAGCCGGTGGAAATATCTACAGACACAAGTGACCCACATATTATCCCACAACAGCCTAGCTTGGTCACATGACCTTCACCAGAAGAAACAGAAAACGCAAAATTCGTCCCGAGCTTTCTCTTTCCCAACTCCTCGCTCGAAGAATCGCATTCAAAGCTTACGCACAAAAGAAGTCTCTTCTTTTCTACTCTTGCTTTGGGAGAAAGTCCCCGGACACCCTGCGCTTTGGTTTTCCAAAGTTTTCAAGTCAGGCAATGCGGAAACGCGCCGCCATAGAAGCAATTCGATAGCGGCTTACTGCCCTATCCCTCCAAGCTGCTTAGCTACCGCCCGACAGTCTGACTGGACATAATGGGGCGGCTGGCTGTGGCTGCAGAGGGGAAGGTGGGATTCGTCTCCCTTGTATCGGGTTGCCTTTCGTCGTGTTTGGATAGTCATGCGATTGCCCTCCTTTGAAGGAGGGTAACTCAATGGGGCTCATTCTTGAGGCGAGGAGTTCAAATCTTTTGAGTCTGTAGCTTATAAGCAAAGCGGTGACGGGGTGGTTTACCTGTCACAGATGCCCTGTCGAAGGGGCCGGACTCTTTGGAATCTCCTTTGCTTTAGCTATGAGCTTTATTTTTTGTTCGTGTGATGATCAGCCAATCATAGAGTCAAGCACTGAGATTCCCTAGCTACGGCAGGGGATCCTTGACGATAAACGATTGTTTTATATCTGATGAACATTGCAATACTGCGAGGCTATTCATATCGTACTAAATAGTTCCCGGCCATTATCGAAATACAACTAAATTACATTGGCTATGCGATTTGACACCTAGAGACTATATGATTAAACAAAATATCGTACAATAACCCCCCCTACTGTGCCTTGCTGGCCTCTTTGGCAGCTGATGGGGCAGCAGGTTTCCTGGCTAATTGCACCACCAACCCACCCACAATGTCCGCAACGACTGCGATAACTGCTGAACATACATTATTCCACATCTGGATGCTAACAGTCCCCACTGGTGCCTTGGGAAAGCAAAGGATCCATTCGATAGGGTACGGAAGCCAGCCGCTGGGCAGAGAGAACATGGGGGGTTTTCGTGTAGTAGAATTGCAGGATGATCTTCAGGCCGCTGGTGCTGACCCAGCGAACGCCTCGAACCTTCGAATCAAAAGAAGCCTTTGCAGCGGATGTCTTCTGGTCTTCATAGGAACAGGGTCAACTAAATGTATGGTAAGGAGGCTTCCGAGGTCGTTGCACGTACTCATCTCTTCGTATTCTTCCAAGCTTTTGTCGTGACGTCTCCGTAGCTTTGCCCATTTCGCGAACTCGTCTTGCGAACTCGTGTTATTCATATCACGCTTCAGTTCGAGGGATTCCTTTTTGAGTCGGAGCTGCTCGCGCACATTTCGTGAGTTTTCGGAGGGGAGTTTCAAGTAGAGATGCCATAACTAGGTTCAACGATTAGCAGAGTGCCAGGGCTGCATTACTGCGCTGCAGGAATATCAAAGATCTTTTTTTAGAGATACCACACACCAAGGCATTGATTGTATCGGCTCCAATTTCATTAATGAGATAGATCACGACGTTCAAAAAGAACATCGTCAAGATGAGTTCTGCCATGATGACAGTGGGGTCGACCAAATACCAAACAGGCTAGTCGCGAAAGACTGGCTGTGAAGGCTGGAAGGAAATCGGATGACAAGGAGGTCGGGAAGTATGGGCACGGCAGCGGTGCAGTGCTCTGAGTCGTAGGAACAGGTGTCTCGTGGAAAGCCACAGGTGAATGTGTCCGGACAACCTGGATTCTTTGGCAAATCGCCCGGATCCCTCTCTCTCCGCCTTAAGGCTGGGGCCGCTTTTCCAACCCCCAACCACAACGTCACAACCGTGGTCTGGGCTCAAAAAGAGATAAAAACCAAAAAAAAAGAAAGAAAAAAAAAATCATTCCGAAGTGTTTGAGCCCTTGATCCATGAGTGCCTCTGAACAGGCATTTCGAGAACTCAGCCATGTTTTCTCCACCAGAGGTAATCAAGTCCTCGAGATCGAGATAATACCTCCATCCTTGGGATCTTCATTCCTACAAGATGAGGCATCAATCGGTCTTACCAAAAAGGCCTTGGTACAAGCATATACGGTTGCTAGAGAGCTGTTTTTCAAGCATCTTGTGCTCGTGTTCGAAGAGGGCACCCGAGCCCAGCAAAGCCACGATGAGCTTGGGGATGAATTAGGAATCACAGAGATCATGCTCCTTTTCGATTGTGAGCATTTGACTGCGTGTAACTGGCGTAAACGCCAGCTTCTAGCAGCGGCGGCACGATGCGCAAAGGCGCCCGATCAAATCGTCCCGACCAAAGAGATGCTGAAAGCAGAGTTGACTCTTTTAACGAGCTTCCAGACCTCACCACTGCACCGGCACACGAAATCCCCTACATTGTGGTCTCATAGATTATGGACGGTAAAGCAACTCTTAGCCTTGGAGTCCTTGAGCACCAATGCCATGTTGAAACTCCAATACGAGGAGCTGGCCTATGTTCTCCGTGCAGGCGAGCTCCACCCGCGGAATTACTATGCTTTCGGCTATATGCGGCAGCTGCATTCCTTCCTTGCCAGTATAGCAACTGTGGAGGGTCGACCTGGGTGGTCTCTTGATCTGGCGAAGAGCCTACTAGATCCTGTGCTGAACTGGTGTTATGCTCACCCAAGAGACATATCGGGCTGGACGTTCGGCAAATATCTGCTCCATCAAATATCAGACCAACAGATTCGGAACCAAGTCATAGCTCGGGCTCTATCATTTGCCCGAGATATCGGATGGGAAGGCGAGAGCTTTTGGACATTTGTCGATCAAACCGTTCGAGAGTTTTCTCTTGAACAAGTTGTTCACGCGATAGTTCCTTTGGAGACTGAGCCCTCATTATCTACGGGAAACGCGCCAGCATGGGCCAATCGACTCGCCACGGCCAAAGTATATTGGGCCGCGCACAAATCTCCCTCCTGAAATCTGAACCATCGCGTATATCTCTACCTATAGTACGGCCCCAAGAACTCATGTCTCGTTGATTGAAAACTCCGCTATGAATTCTACATTGATGAATGAACGCCGGAGTGAAAGAACGCCTCGCTAGTTGCCCGGCTCGATGAAAAGAAAAAGATCTTGTATAGCAGAGTCCTGCCTTGTGATAAATGTCGCTGGCGCTTCTGGGTTTAATCGAAAGGGGTCACAAAGCCGCCGGGGATGGAAGGGATCAGATCCGGGTTATTTCTTTTTCCCGGCTGCTTCGGCGGCCTTTTTCTCGTCCGCTGTTTCAATCCTCTCGTCAGTATGGTATCTCACAGGCTCCACTTAAGGCCAACTCACCTCTCCTCTGCTTCTCACGCATGATAGCCGCCGCGTCCTCCTTGGACTTTTGGTACTGGGTTCCCGACATGGTGTTCTTGGTCTTCTGTAGCAAGACTTAGCGGAGATCTCGGTGGACGGTATAGGGTAGACGAACCGCCGCGGCGGCCTTCTTTTGGGCCTTCGCCCGATCAGTATCACGCTGATTTCCTCGGGTCATCGTTGGGTTGAAATCCAGACGAGTGGTGCTTGGTTAGTAGCGCCGAGGTTTGGTGATTGGGTATGGAGGGGAAAAAACGGAGTAAAAAATGAGGGGCCGATTCTCCCGGTTTAAAAAAAAGGCACCCCAGACTGGAATGGCGCGCCGGCGAATCACGGTGCCTTTCCTTTGTTCGGCCCTCCTAACTCCTCCATAACCCTAACTTGAAATATTCGCCTTGTATTTCTTCATAGGAGCAAGAGCAGAATCATGCAGATTCTCGATTTAGATATTTCCTTGCTTCGTCCCGGCGCGTCGGGGGCTCCTATGATTGGGCGCGTAAATAGCCGCGGGTTTCATGTTCGTGAAACCAAGAATAGTCACTGGGTTGAAGTCATGAGATTGAATGGGCCCAGAAAACATGCGTTAGGAGGAACAATTGAATACAGGGTTTCCTAGTTGGGCTATAATGACTCGGTTGTTGAGAGCGACAGATCTTATATACAAAGAGAAGAAGAATGTCTTTATGCCACCACAGAGGGCATATACCATCCGTAGTAACTCCTTGACGCCCAATTCTGGAGGATTTTAGGTTTGTTTCACCATTGTGGAAAGTCGGACACTCCTGGCCAGTGCTTCTGTCTGCAGTGAAGGTGGCCCAGATTTGAATCGAGTTTTGGCTCTAACCTCAGGCCGTCAAGCTACTAGCTCCGATCCCTGCGCCTAGAAGATTACCAATAGAAATCATAACCCTATAGAATGAACCAATTAATGCGTGAATAGTGTGAAGAGACCACTTATAGAAACATTAGCCGGATTCATATCTCTAGCTCTAGCCTGTTTCAGGTTCTAACTATAGGCCTTTATTTGGGACCTAGGCGGCTCTGGGCTTCCCCAGTGAATGTGAGCCAGTGAAGACATAGATATTCTTTCTTTCCCCCCTCCATTCACGCTCTGCAATCCATCGTTCATTGAAATTGTAGGCTTCGAGTTGATCTCGCCTTTATTTTGTCCCTTTGTGGGATTCTAAGCTTCTTGCTGGCCAGTCGCTTCCTTCCCCTTCTATCCACACCTTCCTTGCTACCTGAGACCTATATCAGTGGTCTCGATATCTTCTTCTTTTTTCCTCTTTTGTCGCAAACAAGCTAGACTCAGCTCTCCAATATGATGAGCAAGCTTCGGCAGTCCCTGGCTGGTCCAGGTTATGTGATCCTCAACGTGATTCGTGCTTTGAACATCATCGTGTTTATTGATACGATTGCGGCCTGTGTGGTGATGCTGGTCAAGATCAAGACAGAAAATGGATTCTTCTTCTTTGAAGCTGTCACCCATGCTGTGGTTGCTCTGATTAATAGTATGTTTCCAGTGGCATGCCCGTGATTCGAAAGGATACTAACCCTAGAGTAGTTGCGTTGATCATATCGGAACTCCCCATCCTACGGTCCTTTGTCAACCGCAGGTGGCCAATGTTCGGCGAAGAAGCAGGCTTCCTTTCGCTCGCCGTGATCATGATGATTATCGGCGTTTCAACTCTTGGGAATCTTAATTCCGATACCATGAGCCAGAAGAAGCTTGGTGTGACCTTCTGGAGAATTGTACTCTCTGCGGGCATTCTGGGTATGATCATGAGCCTGATCAATATCCTTGCTGTAAGTCAGAAATAATGTGTCGATTTTGGATTATTCTGCTAACAAATCATATAGACGCTCATCTTCAGCGACAGCGAGGCTGGTGTTAGCGCCCGCCATATTCGCGCCCACGGAGCGGTTGCGCCGCAGAAGCTGATGAGCCGGACCAACAGCCGCCGGTCACTGCAGCTCAGTCTGAAACGTGAAGACTCCGTGCTTCCTGGATACTCTCGAGAACCCACCTCGGCCTTCAAGCGGGCTTCTCAGCGATTCACCAATCGTTTCCCACTCAAGATTTCGTCTCCCCTCCGACCTCCCGAGCAACAGCAAGATGCAGCTTCATCCCGATACTCTCGCGAAACAGCTGAGCCCAAGATGCCAGACCCGGCGCACCACCCCGCTATGAATGCCAGCTATGTTTGATTTGATAAATTCTGAGGAGTAATTGGGCACAGTAAGGCGTTGCAGGGGCATACCAAGTTCGATGCTTCAAGTTTCAAATCCCTTCTGATCTTTGTAAATCTTGTATGGTTTTTTCTTTGTATGAATGACGCTTATACTCAAAGAATCTTTTAACACGAAGGATTTTATAACTGGTAGAAATACAAAAATAAGACGTAGAGGGACAAAATCAATAACGCGGTATAACTAGTTCCTTGGTCGCCGTAACTACCCGTTTACCTAAGTTAGCGACCCTCGACCGCTTTGGGGACGCGCTCCGCAACGTGTTGTTCAACCTCTCGTTTGCACTTGGACTCATTCCAGCATTCCGATGTTTTTGAGGCTTTAATCGAAGCCATGGCCGGGACTGGGATTTCGTGGGAAACGTATGGTCCCCTTTTTGCTTTATTTTGGGGCATCTGCTAACACCAATCGGCTGTGAATAGCACCAAGTCCCTTCTGATCTTCTTCGCTCCCATCATCATCCCCCGGCTCATCGGGGCCTATCGAGCTCTTCGGGTATCTATTGCGAGTCGACCGCCACCTCGAGGCCTCCCCGATCTAGCTGCGCGTGCTTTGAACGTCCTATTTGGGAGTATTGTGTACTTCTTTCTCCTCAGCCTGCCTTTCAACCCGCATGCGCCCGAGACAAATATCTTCGCGGTCACCCGTTCACGCATCAATACGTCAACGGATGTGATCTTCCAGCGTCTGTCTCGCCTTCGACCGGAAGGTCAGTTAACTGAAGCTGACACCCTCTTACGAGACAAGCTCACATCCCTCGGAGCTCGCAAGGTATATCTCACCTTTGGCCCCGATGCTTTGGTATCTTGTCAATACTGCTCATTCGACAATCTCTACACTTATCTCTTATACTATCTTCCGAAGAATGTCCTACGGCCACATCTGCTCCACCTGTTGATTCTGGGGATAGCTACGTCGGCTCCTTTGAGTGGGCCGTATGGAGCCCGCTGGCGCACCAAGTTTACCTTAGCTGGTTTAGCATTGGCCGCCCTCGATCTCTGGATCGTAGCTACGTATGATGCTGTGCAGTCAGCTTCTATCGCCGTTCGAGCCGGCCAGGTGCCCCCCTCCGGTCTATACAACTCTATAACCCTCTTGCGGCCGCTCGCATTTGCTATCTGCGACGGGATATGTGCCATGGTCATCTATCTCTCGGCCACAAACCGGTTCTTCTTCAAGCCGCCGTCGACTGCAGAACAGATAGATCAGACTGTATCCGCGGCCCTCGTGGCGGCGTCCAATGCCAACTTGAAGCTCCACGCTGCTAGCGTAGCGCGCAACGCTGTCGTACGAGACAAATCGCTTAAAGCTCGGGATGATGTATACTGGCAAACCATGGTGGCGGTGGAGAATCCGACTCGGGGCAGCGGGAATGGGCTTCAGCAGCAGCCGGTGAAAAATGGTACGGTGGTGAACAATATCTGGGAGGAGGAGGAAGTGGCTCGAGCAATGTCGCGGGCGATGGCAGGCCACGGCGGGGTAGACCTGGCGCAACTGGGGACCAGCGCCAATGACTTCGTACGCGGGGTGACGGAAGGTTTAGACTAAAAGAAAGCGCGTAGAGCAATCTGCATAATCACCTTAGAGATTTTTCCCTCTTTCAATTCAATGCAATGTCACAGATCCCAGCCTTTTCGAGGCGGTGTGGAGCTTGTCGATCATCAGCGTGAACGACGTGAAACGAGTTCACCGGTCCTCCCCCGCCTCCTTCTTGCTCCCACCTCTCCCCCGTGGACTCGAATTCCCCTTCCTCCTGGGTCTAAGAAGTCCTTAGCTCTCATTTGGGACTCATATAGCGCAGCTTCTCCAACCCGGCCAGTCTCTCCAAGAAAACAAGGGTGGGAACGTTGCTTCTCCCTCTGCTGAGCCAGTGACCGTGCGGCAGATCCGCCCTGAGGCTTCCAGACCCATCCCACTCCTCCGGTTAATTACGCAGTACTAGTGCCGACCCTCTTTTTGGCTCTCCCGTGCAACTTCGCCAACATTCCCTCTTGCAAAGCTCTGTGATCTTTGCCCGCACCCCTCCCCCGTCATGGCCAAAGAGACGACGGTGTCATTGCCAGCGCCAGAGCTCAATGCCTATGTTTCGAGCCCGAGCGGACCGCGAGCCAAGGAGACCACGTTCCGAGAATGGGTGGTCGATAACCAAATTGGTATGATATCAACACGTTTCTACAACCGGCCAAAAGCCTACAACTCCGGTCGCAGCATGGAAGCTTTCAAAGAAAAACAAAAACAAGTCGCTTGCTGTGCTGCATGTTGATCTAGGCATTGGAACCGAAAAAAAACCTGAGCTAACTCTTGGCACCTCGTAGGAATCTCGATGACCATATTCTCGATGCTATTGGCCCTCCACAATCTTTACCCTTCGCTGCGACCGTATACCCAGCCTTTCTTTGAATTGTCGTACTATGATGCTGCCGGCGACTACTACGTTCAGGGCTGGGACGATGTATACTTCGTCTTCAGCGTCGTCCTTGCCCTCAACGCGGTCCGTGCAATTGCGATGGATTGGATTCTCTATCCCTTTGCTCGAAGCGCCGGATTGAAGCGAAAGGGATGCATTCGTTTCGCCGAGCAGGGCTGGCAGACAATCTACTATTCCGGAATTTGGGCATTGGGCTTGGTAGGTGTTTCCACTATGTAATCTTCAGGTCAGCCAATTGCTAACATTTCTTTTCTCCCTTTTCTATGTATAGTACCTTTGGAAGAACTCATACTATTGGTGGGACTTCAGCGCACTTTGGGACGAATGGCCTGCACGACCTTTATCAGGCCTCATGAAATGGTACCTGCTAGTTGAGCTGGGCTTTCTAATCCAGCAGATCTTTGTCATTCATATCGAGGAGCAGCGCAAAGATCACTACCAGATGCTGTCGCACCACATTATCACCAGTGTCCTTTTAAGCTCCGCCTATGTCTATGGATTCTACAACGTCTCTAATGTGGTGCTGTGTCTGATGGATGTCGTGGATTTCCTTCTTCCGGTAAGACCCAGTCGTTGAATAGTTCTACGTCCGAATTTGCACTCACAATCATCATAGTTTGCCAAGATCCTCAAGTACCTTGGTTTTATGAATGCCTGCAATGTTGCTTTTGGCGTCTTCATGGCAACCTGGGTCCTTACGCGACACTACTTGTACAACGTACTGTGGTGGTCGATTTACCAGAATGTCCCGGACAGGATGGCGTACGGTTGCTATTCTCGAGCGACCGGCGAGCTTATCAGCGAAGATGGATATCCTCGTTCCTTTGGATACCTGTTCACGCCTTTCCAGGACTTGAACGGTCCTATTTTGCATGAACAGCACGATCAAGTACATATTCCTGTCTTTCTTGCTCTCTATCCAGGGACTCTCTGTCGTCTGGTTCCGCTTGATTGCCCGTATTGCATACGGTGTGGTCTGTGGTAACGATGCAGAAGATGTTCGCAGTGACGAGGAGGACGAGGTTGAAAATGACGAGGCTGCACCTAATGCCCCTGTGTTGTTGGCCGCTAAGGAAGGCGTGAGCGTACCTCCCATTGCCAATGATGTCGCTACGGGCCCGGACCACCGCCGGACGAATGGTTCTGGGTCTGTACGTGCTCGCGGCCGCGGCCGCGGCCGCGTGCCTTTCGATCAGAGCGACCGGAAAGCACTGCTAGGTCGCATCGGCTGCGACAAGCCTACCTAAACGTTTCGCCCAGCCTCAGTGACGAATTCCTTTCGAGTTCCGTGCTTACATGTTCTCACGCCTTTTCACTTTCACTGTGCCTCCCGGTATGAGCCACGGCAGGTTATAGGGCCTCTCCATGAAAATGCTCGACTAATGATCTTCTGCGATTTCTCAATTTCCCGTTTGTCCGGCAACCTCTATTCCCGCGCCTCCTTATCTAGGTCGCCTATATCCCTGAGTGTTTTTTATTGGTTTTTTTTTTTTTCCTTTTCTTTTCCTTCTTTCTCCTTTCCTCTTTGTTATCTGCGTATATTCTATCGACCTGGGTTTGGGGGCCTCGGGGCGGGGCTTTTCTTATGATTGTCCTTTTCCTCTCCTCTTCACTATGATTCGAGATTCAGACGATACCATTCAATGAAACACCCGGTGAATGCAAGAACTATACTATAGATCTATATGCAGCCAATCATGTCTCGACAAAAGTCATCTAAATTGAACAGCCACTCAAAAGCGAGGGATGAATAGTCATGCCGCATTAGCGTGTGGCACTGGTCCAGCCACTCAGAACAATAACCTTACTGGGTGTAGCCCTTCAAGGGCGGGCTCGATGTTCGAATGCTTCTAGCACAGGCAATGTAGTGGCGAAAAACAGCCATTGTAAGAGTGCCTCAGCCAGCTCCCCGCAGAACTGAAACCCAAAGTAAACATCTTTCTCTATCCTGCACCCTCACTGTATCTCTGATCGATCCATTGGATATTTTTCAAACTCAACGATCGAACTATTATTCAGTTACTTCCATGAAATGCATCTCCTGCTATCTACTCGTATGTACAGCGCTATGGGATGATCTTGGCGCGTCTGTAGCGATCAAATGCCGTGTACCAACATTGACGAACATCTGCCTCCTCCTTGGAAGGCCCCCACGCCTGATGCGTCTTTGTCATGTCGAGTGGCCGATCAAAATCTGACGCACTCATCAAGAAATGAGGAACCATGGATAGACTGCGGTCGTTGCTTTGCCCGTGCCCCTTCTGGAGATTATACTTCTCTTCCATCTCCGCCCATCGCGAGTTGTTCTCTGCAATATATCTAGCTGGATCTGGACCAGATCCGCCCTCGGGTGAAGCACCCTTAAGACCAAAGTACTCACAGACAATAGGCCATTTGACTTCCCAGGTGGTCGGCTCCTCACTATCAGCTATGTTGTATCTTTCACCCACGCCAATGTGGGGATCCAGGCTGGCGTATATCGAGAATCGAGCAATCAAATCTTGGCTGCTGTCCTGGCTTAGGGCTTTCCAGCTCTTCATCGTTCCGGGGAAGACAACAGTTGCTCCTTCACCGTTGATCTCTCGATAAAGACTCAGGAACATTGCTAACCATTGAGCGAGGGAATAGAAGTTATTGTTAGGCACGAAGCCCACGATAATATCCGGCAAGACTCTGCAGTGCTTCCATCGCTTGCCTTGCGCTAGGTGACTCAATACCTCCAGTTGGGGGTAGTAGAAGAGTTCCGACCTATACGGCTCCGGTAGAGGAGGATGTGTCTCCTTTAAGGGCAATTTATGACCCCACGGAAACTTGTCCAGCAGATGGATCCCATATTCTTTGACTCCAGTACCGAGAAGAACAAATCGGAGCTTCGGGCTGAGGCTATCCACCGCAGCCACGCCCTGTCGCAAGATCTGCTCATTCTTCTTGGTCTCTATTTCAGGGTTGGGGTCCATAGCGTAGGCAAAGAAATAGACTTCGGTCACGGTCTCGATATCAGGAACCCGCTCCCGCAGCTGCTGTTGGAGATTCAACTGGCTGTCTTGCAGAAGATCGATTCCAGAGACCAGTTTTAACTTCTCAGACGACGGCCATTGTGCAGCTTCGGGTGACAGCGGACGGTTTGTGAGAGCAGTTACCCGGCGAAAGGTCTCAGGGGTTGGATATCCACGTAGGATTGAGTCCACGATGCTCCAGCCTGTGACGCCAGAGGCACCAAAAACTAACGCGTGATGATCTTCGGCCATGGTTGCTGGAAATCACTAATGACCTGTGAAGTTGAAGTCCACATTTATAGGAGAAAGAACTTGGCTGGAAGCCTTGGGATGTATGCGAGGCGGGGTCATGATAACCGGTTCAATGCCACCGGTGATACAGATCCTGCGGGATTTTTGGCAGCTGAGTGGCATTCCTCCTGGCCAGCGGGGCTCGGAAACATTGCGCGATAGGATCTACCCCGAGGCTTATACGTAATTCCTCCAGGACTTACGGCCTCATGTTCACTGTGAGAGATTCGTGGCCATTCTGGCTTGGGCTCAACTTGAGCGTACTGTGGCTATATCCCCATGATTCTTGAGGTAATTACGGTCTATTCCGTTAATTTTAGAGAGTTGATGGTATAACCCCCGCTTATCTACTCCCCCCTTTAGCTAGTTTCACTCCCTTTGATGCTATCTAGGCATTGATACCTAATGATGCCCAAATTACATGTGGCCTGCGCCCGACTAAAAGTCATACGACTCCAAATGAACACGAGGATAAAGGAAATAGTGCCTAGGGCATCAAAATGATCGCTTTTGGCAAGCCGGGCGGAGGCCGCATACGCAGGAGGATTTAGGCGTACGTAGGCCTCAATGGTGTCTCAATAGTATCGGATTAGGTGAGTTGTAGCATTTCCCTGGTTCGATAACTATATACTTAATCAAGTCCACCTCTGCACGGGTATTTTACACACGATATTGCAAAAGACAGGCGCCGTAACGATCAGAAAAACCTAAGCCTCGAGAAAAGCTGTTCCTTCCAAGAGCCGAGCAACTGTACCACTTGCAGCGCATACTGGGGCTTCTTCCGAAGCCATTGCACACCGAAGAGAAAGCTGCCAAGTACAAGTAGTCGAAGTACCCGGGAAACCCGCTGATGACTGACTCCCTTTCGGGTCAATTTGGCAGACCAGTCACCCCATACGGGGAAAGCGCACCTATACCAGTAATGGAGCTGAGAGTACGGATAGGTGGACGAATTCCAGCCGTCCGCGGTGATATACCAGCTTGAGCACCCCCCACGACGGAAAACGGTCTTCTGCAGCTGATTCTGTATCTGCTTTGTCCATGATATTTCTGCTTCCTCTTTGACCTCATATGCACTCACATGGCCCTCCAGAATGGGTTTGATGAACCGGAGAGAAAACTCGACGGCATTCTCTGTCGCAAAGATCACACTGGTATGCCCAGTCCCTGTGTTTGGGCCAAACAACATGAAGAAATTGGGGAAATGATCCATAGCGATACCCAGATATGCCTGTGCGCCACCGCGTTCTTCCCACACCTCATTGATATCCTTATTACCTCTACCGGTGACCTTGAGTGGGTGTAGCCACTGGTTCGTCTCAAACCCATTGCCTAGAATGATCACATCTGCGGGAATCTCTCGCTCAGGGCTATCGGCATTCTTAGGGTAAAGATGCCCCGGCCCTATAGTGACACTCCTTGGATGAACCTGGGTCAAAGGCTGGGTGCTCAACTCAACATGGGGAGCGTTCAAACTCTTGTACCATGCGTTGTCGACCACCCGTCGCTTACATCCGAGAGGATAGTTTGGGGTAAGCATTTCGTGGTATTCTTTGGGTGCGTGTTTGCGCATATTCTCCAGGAACCTTTTCTCGATTCCTGGCTTCTTTCGGCGAGAATATGCCGTGTCGGCGAACATGGTCAAAAAGCCATGTTCTGCCCTCCAGAAAATGTAGGCCCGGAAAAGGCGTCCCAGCCCCGGCACGCGCGTCAGCAACGTTGGCATCCATTTTTCGTACCACCGAAGATAAGTTGGAGGGAGAAGGTCTGGCTGCACCCATGGCGGAGTTCGCATCAACTGGGTGACCGAGCGTACGTGGGCTTCTGGCTTCGCGATCTCTGGAACCACCTGGGCAGAACTGCAACCTGACCCAATGACGACAACATCTTTGTCACGTAGATCAACCTTATCATCCCAGCGAGCTGTGTGCATCACTTGCCCTTGGAATTTATCGATCCCCGGGACATTCGCAGGCCAAATCTTAGGCTCGACTAGCCCTCCCACGCCACTGACAACGATTTTGGCGCGTACAACCTCAGTCTTGATGTATACCCGATGAGCGCCCTCTTTGGCAGCGAGTTGCTCCCGCTCGTAGGATGATAGATCACCTGTGCCTGGAGCAAGGTATGACAGAGTAACCTCCCATTCCTCTTCGTCTTCAAGCCATCGAAGATGTTGGACATCGGTGTGAAACTGGATCTTGTCGACGATTTGGTATTTCTCGCAGACATCTGCAAAGTATTGAGCAAGTTCCGCTCCAGGAGGATGAAGGGTCGACCAATCAGTTTTAGGAGAGAAAGAGAACGAGTAAAGCATTGCCGGACTGTGGAATGTCAGTTTCCCTCTGCGGAGAGTTCAGTAGGTACACACGTACATGTCGCAGGCAGCTCCAGGATAGCGGTTGATCCACCACGTACCCCCAATCCCCGACTGTCGCTCAAAGATCCGGAATTGATCGAAGCCCAAGGCCTCTTTCAAACGACAACCCATCGCCACGCCCGACTCCCCCGCGCCGATAATGAGAACCGGGTAATAGGTATGGGCATCTTCCCCATAGAAGCGGCGTTTATGAATGCGGGTGGGCGAAGGCATTATGTCTGCGAATGTTTATTGTGCAGCAAACATAGGGGAAATGAGGCCAGGCCCGTACACCAAGATAAACCAACTCGACCTGGGAGCCCGGGTAGCACAGCATATAAGGGTCCAGGTTTCCTTCTTGGAGACCTCGGCCCCTTTGGACGTGAAGAACGGAGCCCCCCCAGATCCACGTGGATTTTAACCGAGGAGCCTTGCGGCGATAAGATCGACCTGCAAAGGATCAAATATCTGGCTACACTATGTGAGGCCTTGCAAAGTTATTATCCACGCACGAACGAATGCTTGGTGCTGCGTTCGGAGTCGACCTCAGCTAGTTCCTACACAAACCAATGAATAGGTAATACTACGATCCAATATTCAGAGAATAGGAGAATCGTAGAGACATGATCTTGATGAAATGAAGGGAAATCGCATTAATAATAATAAGAAGAATTCTATTGTGCTGGAGGACTGGATATATTCCATACTCCAATGGCGTCCAACTGGGATGCGTAGGGCTGTCGCACACGGTAGGATTCAGAGACCAGGAACGCGACTTGCCTTCGGGTACTTTCTTCTCGTGTCCTCTCGCACAATGAGGCCCCGAGGACCATATCGCCCAAGAATTGCCTCTTTGGGCATCTCATGCGCAGCTCGTGCATTCTGCGCCTCCGCGGCCGACGCTTACCGCGCTCTCGACGTGTTGCCAGCGTCCATCGACACTTTCAGACAGAAATGCTTCCTCCCCGAGCATCCCGGAATCCTTCCACGCTCATTACTTGACCTGCCGGCTTCGACAAAATGGTTCCAGAGAAGCTACAGCCCTGCCCGATTAAATTTTGACTACTTGCAGGAGCACGCTGGCGATGCGCTTGTTCCGCTTGAACTCACCGAGTCGGACGCGGGCGAGTCCGACAGCGTTTCGACTTTCCGACAATTCCATGCGCCACTCTCTCTCTTTCTAGAATGGATACGCCTGGCGGAGAAGGCACCCCAGTCCACCCAGCTGTACCTCGCGCAATGCCAGCTTCTGGACCTCCCGCCGGCTCTGCGCGCTGATTTCCCGGTCCCCGACGTAGTCGCGCGGGCCGGCAAGGGAGATGTTTACGATACAAATGTCTGGATCGGCTACCCTCCCACTTACACCCCTCTACACAGAGACCCCAACCCTAATGTATTTGGTCAGTTGGCCGGACAAAAAGTGGTGCGGCTGCTAGCACCAGACAAGGGACAGGCGCTCTTCTCCAAAGTCCGGAGCGAGCTTGGGAAAAGCAGCGATCGAGGCGCTGCTGCATTTCGAGGCGATGAGATGATGCAAGGCCAGGAGCGCGCTTTACTAGATGAAATGGTATGGGGCGCATCAGCCTCCCCATCAGGGTTCGAGGTACATATGGAGGCCGGGGATGGTCTGTTTATTCCAAAAGGCTGGTGGCATAGTATCAAAGGGATCGGCGAAGGTGTAACGGCATCGGTAGGTTGACTCCATCAGAAAGAGAAGACTAGTGTTGCTGATTTTCACAGGTGAACTGGTGGTTCCGATAGAAATGTTAGAACCTGTCAGAAATGTAGAATCCTAGAAATTCTGTCTTCTAAGGGTGTTTTGTTTTTCCGTCTATGTAGAACAGCACGGTGGCGCCGATCCCGTCGGTTCCAGAATCATCGCGACTCCACGCTTTTATAGGATCTTAAACTTCTTCGCCACACCACATCCAGCCATGTACTTGTCACGCACCGCATTTCGCGCAGCAATCTTCCACCTCACTGTTAACCCACTTATTGTTCGCGCATCTCTACCAAGTGCTTTCACTCTCAGCGTCGCTCCGCCGCAAAGTCCAAGTTCGCGACTGTACACCGTCCTTTTCCCTCAGTGCGCACCTATCCTCAAGACCGAGCAAACCCGCCAAGCACACACAATGTCGACACAACCCCCCGAGTCGGTATCTCAGGAGGCCAAAGAGCCCGACTCACCGTCAAAGCCCCCCCCAAGAACAGCTCTATCTCCCCTCTACCGAAGGCTCGGAGACGGGGGACGCACAGCGTCTCGACCTGAGCGCGGAAGGAGGCTCTACCGTCACGCTGGACCATTTAGGGCCAATGGTGGTCAATGCCGATGGGACTCTCGCGCGGATTAGCAACTGGGAACAGATGACAGAAATTGAACGCCAGAATACGCTGCGAATCCTCGGGAAGCGCAACAAGCAGCGTATGGATGCGCTGAAAGCCGGCGAAGCAGAACAAAAATAGAGTCTATGCTCTAACCAGCGACATTATGCGACCATAGGGTCCTTCGACGATATTACGCAGGGACAAGGGAGTACAGGGCTAGTCGTCGCAGTTTTCATGATCAACGAGCTACAAACTTGTAATATACATCCAATTCACATCGCGTCCTTCAAAATACTTATTGGAAAACATCCAGAGAGGTGTATCGACTTTCATTCATTCGGAGAGGTTTAGAGCGCTCTCTGCTCTGCTAGTCTCTGTACCAGAGGCCTTGCTTGTAGTGCTATCATTGGACGACCGTCGAGTAACTGAGTCTTTGCCGAGCCAAGCAGGAGGGAAGAAACTCTCATTGTCATCGAAGTAGAGATGGTGGAGCTCGGCGTCAAAGCTCTGCCGCTTGTCTTGATGTCCTGGGGGCATAACAGCCACCTTGTCATTCTGGGGAGGCATCTGGTCTCGATCGGCAGAATCGGATAGTATAGTAGTACACAGGTTGGAGTAGATGAACTGGCCGAGAACGATGAGGAGACTTTCGTCATCGATGTTATTGCCACTGGAACGTCGTCTATCCCGTCGCTATACTTGGTTCTCGCGTTCTCGAGACAACCGTGGAGGAGCGTACAGGCGTACAGTGTCTAGTGATACTCTCTTGATGATGCAGCCTTGAAAGATCCACTTTCCTACTTCCTAGATTGAGCATCTTGAAATCGTAATACTGCGTAGATCATCCCCCGAGCTCACCGAGCCGGACCAATTCCGAGGTCAATCTACTCCGTTTTACCCTCCGACCCCGCTTGCCCCACGAACCGGAAAACGTAACTCAGACCTTCCATCCTTTTCTTCACCTCACATCATGGCTGAAACCGACCAGTCTCAAGCGTTTCACGCCCAAGGTGCCAGTTCAGCTGGATCCGCCCAAGGATGACCCCATCTCTCAGGAGGAATTGGCCAAGTGCGACGGTATGCGTTCCCCTCAGTGGAGGACGAGAATCTCAGCTCTGATTGCGAATCCATAGGGACCGATTCAAGCCGTCCTACTTTAGTCGCCATCAAGGGCGTTGTATTCGACGTGAGCCGTAATCCCGCCTATGGACCCACTGGTCAATACCGAGGTGAGTTCGACACCGACACACGTTGGAGGTATCTACTGACTGTGAACCAAGTCTTCGCTGGCAAGGACCCCTCGCGTGCTCTCGCCAAATCCTCCCTCAAGCCGGAAGACTGCGTCCCAGACTGGTATGACTTGGAGGATAAGGACAAGGTGGTGCTGGATGAGTGGTTCACCTTCTTCAGCAAGCGGTACAACATTGTCGGCAAGGTTGAGGGTGCTACTAACACCTAAAGCGTCGGCCGTCATGAAATGCAAGACTTACAATCATATGTAAAATACCCGAGACAGGCGGTCAATCAATGCTTTTACTGTATGCTCCTCCATAGACAAAAAAGGTATCAAACATATAAGGCCGACGAGGGCACAACATAGAAGGATAAACCCCCTCTTCACAATGGGCACGCCTCACGCCTTGCCCTTACGAGACTTCCGCTTCATGCGCTTTTGCGCAATGATGCGATTGCGCTTGGCCACCTTGTTCTCCTCCTCCTCTTCTTCGGTCTCTCCCTTCTTCCCATCCTGGTCCTTGCCTCGGCTCTGGGAGCGCTTCCTCTTCAATCCCTTCCCACCCTTATCCTCAGAACCGGCGTTCTCCGCTTTCTCCTTCGCTTCCTTGGGTGCGTTGCGTTTCCTTTCTTGTATCTCGTTGCGGCGTTTGACGACTTGCGCGTTTTCAATGGCAAACTCCACGACAAGTCGCTTCTTCTTCTCCTTTTCGCCCTCTGCTTGAGCGCTCGCAGGGATATCAATGGCGTGACAATTGAGCCACCGCAGACCCATGAGAGCATGGCGATGAGTGAAGTATTCGATAAATCCATAACCGCGGCTTCGGCCACCACCGCTCTTCTCAGGAACCTTCGTGCCCTCGCGAGTTTCGAAAACGACCTTCGCTTGTCGCACGATACCCTGGCGTTTCGTCTTGCGCAGGTGCTCCAATTCCTTCATATCGTCCGACGAACGCTCCCGCTCTTCTTTTGAGAGTGGCTGGCGCACTCCGTTCTTCACATCAGTGGCAAACCCAACGACACCTGCACGAGCAAGTTGTTTCAAGTCTTTGGAGGTGATGTGACGGGGGAGATTGCGGACAGAGAGGCGGGTAAGACTCAGATGAAGCGCGGGGTTCTTCTTGATAAAGTTCTGTCGCTGCTTGTAGCTCTCTTCGCGAAGCTTGATTTCGGATGGAGAGAGCTTCTTGTATAGTGGGGAATCCGATGGAATAGTGCCCTCAGACAGCAGATAAAGACGACGCTTATCCTTGTCGCGCACAAGCCGGCGTGAGACTCCCTCTTCTTCCAACCTGGTGGCCTCACGCTTATTCACCGCGCGAGCGACTTGGAGAACACGGCCGTCCAGGGTATATTTACCGCTGGGGTCTGCGTTCTCGTTCTGCAGAACTGAGTGTTTCAAGGCCTGGTGGTTGCGATCCTTATCGGCAACAGGAGGCTCGTTAATTCTGGGTGCACCGCGCACACAAGTGGCTGCATCCTCGGGCTTCCAGAAGCACACAAATCCTGTGCCTCGCGGACGCTCAGTTTCAGGGTCAAGCACGACACGCGCGTATCGTAGAGGCCCAAACTGTTTGAAATGTTCGTAAAGAGTCGCGTCGTCGCAAGTAAAAGGAAGATTGCGCAAGAAAATAGTCGAGGCGTTACGCTCATCCTCTTCATTCTCCTTGCTACCGTCGAGATCGTCGAGGTCCAGATCATCGTCATCGTTCTCATCCTCATCCTCATCTTCATCTTCATCCGAGCCTTCACTTGACGTATTATCCAGATCATCTTGCTCAACGTCTTCCATATCCTCATCTTCGGATTCTTCTCCATTCTCTTCCCTCTCCTTCTCTTCCTCCTCGTTTTCTTCCTCGCCCTTTTGGTTATTCTCCCAAACTTCCTTCTCGACCGCCCAATCAACGGCCAGTGTACGGCCATCTACTTCCTTTCCGTTCACTGCCGCAAGTGCCTTCTCGGCATTCTTCCTGCCTCTGAGAACGACAAAGCCAAAACCGGCCAGTTTGTTTCCTCGTTTGGGCAGAGTGACATATTTGACCTTGCCAAAGCTGCGAAAAAGAAGACCCAGATCCTCTGGTTCCTTGATGCTCCATGGCAAATTGCGGACAATCAGCTTAGGGGGGGTTGCTGATCTTTGGGGCCTTCTCGCTCCTGCTTCGACTTGATAGCAGCAGCCGAAGGAACACTTTTGCCTAGTTTTTCATCAATCTCACGGGAACGTGGCTGGGCGAAGTCGACTCGAATTTTCTTCCCGTCGAAATCGGATCCATTGAGCTCTTCGAGTGCGCTCTGGGCATCTTCGAGATCGGCGAATGTGACAAAACCGTAGCCTTTCGATTGCTTTGTCTGGGGGTCGATGACTACCGTAGCATGCTTGAGTACGTACGATTGCGAAAAATATTCTGTGAGGCGTTCGGTCGTGACCGATGCTGGGAGGGAGCGAACGAACAGCGTTCGTCTGGGCTTGGTTGACGCCTCAGAAGATTTTGCGTCCATGGTATCCGCCTCTGTTGCAGGATTCTCTCCTGAGAGACGTCGTTTCTTGTTGGGCTCCATCAGTTTTGCAATGCTGCGACAACAAACTTCGGCCGGGCTCTTCTGCAAAAATTAGCGGCAAAAAAAAAAACCAACTCCAGGCGGTGAGAAACAAGTGGGTCCGATAAGCCGCAACAGCTCATCCTTATCAACATCACTACTTACCCATGCAAGACCCAAGACGTGAATATGGATGCTCAATCCAGCTCGAAAGGAGTTGACGGTAGGGCCGATAATACGAATGGATCCTCAACTACCACGCCTACGCCCAAAGTTCAACAACCGAAACCACAAGCGCTTCCTCATCGGTCAGGCCCTTCATCAATCCTTGTGTCGACGCGACAAAAGGGCAATCCAATCTTGAATCATATCAAACTTCTACCTTGGGAATATGCCGATATCCCCGCTGACTATGTGGTTGGCCTCACAACTTGTGCCCTTTTCTTATCCCTCAAGTACCATCGTCTGCACCCCGAGTACATCTATTCACGCGTGCGGCTTCTTGCCGGCAAATACAACCTGCGCATTGTGCTGGTTATGGTCGATATTCCAAATCACGAAGACATCCTCAAGGAATTATCCAAAACCTCCATCATCAACAATCTCACATTAATACTTTGCTGGTCTGCACCCGAGGCTGCCCACTACCTTGAACTCTTCAAGTCTTCTGAACACGCGCAACCAACCGCTATTCGAACACAGCAAGCTCAGTCATACAAAGACTCACTCAATGAGTTTGTCACCACTCCCCGAAGCATTAATAAGACAGACGTCACGAGTCTCATATCGAGCTTTGGCACCCTACAGAATGCAATCAACGCACACCCTGAACAGCTTGCCTCGATCCCAGGCTGGGGTCAGAGAAAAGTTCAGCAGTGGTATAATGCAGTACGAGAAGACTTCAGGGTGGAAACAGCAAAAAAGTCGGATAGAAGTCAAAAGCACCATGTGTCTGCTGTAGATGAGGACGAAGCAGTGCTGCGTGCAGTTCTAGAGGAAAGCCGAGTATCAGCTGCCGAGGAAGCAGCACGAAGGCCGCCACCGCAAGAGCCTGAGGAAATGAGCGAAGGCATAATGGCTGCTCTGGCAAGATTACGAGACGATGGTGGATGAGAGTTGTTCCTTATGGCTCATCAATTAATGCAAGAGCTATCTCCTCATAGTGTGGCTAAGCAGAGAGCTCTCTCTTCTAGCGAAAATTGATCCAGCATCGAGAAGTGCTAACCCATATGGGTCAATGATTAGTAGCGCCCCAGCGTCCACATGGACTCATATTGCTTGCACTAGAGCAAAGAACGGATGATGTGTCCTATGACTGATATTCACAGCTTCAAAGTCTATTGGAAATGTAATGTCCTCAGCCTATAGCTTTTGTACACTATTCCTAAGAAGTTCTGGGGTTTTATCTTCCCCATAGCCCATTCACGTTGATCTATAAGCAGGATGAAACGTCCAGGCCGCAGAAAATAGGATGAGTCAGCCCAAATCCGGGGAAACCAGCAAAGCCGCAAACCCCGCGAGGAATTTCTCCGCACTCCATCGCAACCTTTTCCCCATCAAGCTCAGGCCCTAACGCCTCGAATCTCGAAAAATCATGGAGTCCGGGTCGCCTTATGTGGAGAAGACACCGCCACAGAGTGTCCCTGGGGACTCGGCCGATACCCCAGCCCAAGACAGCAGCAAGAGGAAAGCGGAACAGGGCAACGGAACGCAAACGCGCGCAAAGCGGAATCGCTACATCTCCATTGCATGGTATGTTATGGCCCGATTCTTTATCGAGGGAATTCCATGGCCCCGGGCGGCATGGAAGTGCAGCCGATAGCTGAATGCAGCTCTCTGCACCGCATCATGCCACTTTTCCTGCCGACCTTGGAACTCTGACCGTCTGATTTGTCAATCTAGCAACGAATGCAAGCGCCGCAAGATCAAATGCAATGGACAAGTTCCTTGCCAGCGATGCGGTCACCTCAATCTCGAATGTATGAACTCTTCCCACTAGCTAGCCCAAGGTCCCAACAACGGAACTAACGGCCCCCCCGCTAGGTCGATATGCACCCAATTGCTGCAACAACAATTTCAAAGACTCGGAGTAAGCTCATTTACTATCCTAAAATTCCCGTCTTTGGAAACTAATTCCGGTTTAGAGAACTTCGTTCCATCACGTCACAGATTAAAGCATTGCAGGAGCAAGTCAACAGCCTTGTCAGTAATTTGCAGGAGCTGCGAAGTCAAAAGTCTAATTTTGAATCTCCTCCATTTGACCCTCTTGCTCGGGATGGGTCCCATTCTGTCTTCACTCCGCTACCCACAGGACCGCCCAGAGTGCGGCCGCACCATCCACGATTCCAAGGCCCGACCAGTTCGGCCTTTAATTTCGATGTCGCCAAATCCAGTCTACAGAGCATGGGAATCGCTCCCGAAAATGAGACGCCTGACGATTTGACTACTGCTCATGTCACCCCAGCTGGATCGCCGCCGTCACTTCATGCAGGTCCCTTGATAAATGCCATCCACCCGACTAAAGACCCGATCTGGTCTATCCATCGGGATGAAGCAATGCGTCTCTGCAAAGTCTACGAGGAGGAAATAGGCATCATGTATCCCTTGGTGGACATATCTACCGTTACTAACCAAGCTAATCTCCTTTACACCTTCATGGAAGCCGCTACGCGAACTGGATTTGCTCAGCGAGGTCTCCCAGGCACGGATGGCCTCAATGATGACAGTTCCGTTTTACTCAAACTCATCCTCGCTACGACACTCGTCGTTGAAGGTGGGGGCCAAAGTGATCTCGGTCAGCGACTATTTTTGTCTGTCAAGCCAGTCATCGAATCGAAGCTCTGGGAACCTCATGATGTCAAAAACATCCAGCTCTTTGCCATTGTGGTACGTTTTAGTCGACCACCCAGAAATTGCCAGCCATAGCTAAAATTTTTAGGCCACCTATCATTTCCATACCGACGATGATGCCATGGCCTATCGGCTAATTGGTCTGGCGGCAAGAATGTGCTTGGAGTTAGGGCTTCATCGGCGGGATGCTCTCATGAAATCGTTCCCCAATGAAGATCAATGGAACTTAATCATTCGAGTCTTCTGGACCGTATACAGTCTGGATCGGCGGTGGAGCCTGGGCACAGGGTTGCCTTTTGTGATCCAAGACGAGGATATTGACCCAAATCTTCCCGAACCCACTTCCGACCTCCCTTACTTAAGATGCATGATCTCGTACAATCGAATAAGTTCCAAGATTTGGTACTCTGGCCTCGGCTCTGAAGGCACCACGGATATTCGACGAGACGAGATTGGCTATTTGGACTACCAAGTTTTGCAGTGGTACAAACAAGTGCCGGATGAACTCAAGTTCTATCCCGTGGAATCTCCGAAGAATGGGGAGACAGCTAGCCGAGGAATTCGGCGTCTTCGGGTCCTGCTCTACCTGCGGATGAATCAACTGCGGATCTTGATTTATCGACCCGTCCTACACTCTGCTGCAAGCATTGGGGAAGACCGTGGTCATGCCCAAACAGTCGTTGATATTGCGAAGGATACGGTGCGGGTGCTCACCCGTCTAAATCAGATGTCCGACATATACCGCACCCAACAAATTACATTTAATTATTTCCTGGTGGCAGCTCTTGCCGTACTGTTCCTTGCAGTCTGTCATGCACCAGGCGAGTTTAATCGTCAGGTCCGTGATGAGTTTTACATGGCCTTAGATCTCATCAATGGATTCAGCACCCGGTCATATGTATCCAAGCGCCTATGGAAGACGATCAAGGGTCTTCGGAAGATTGGAGAAAAGTTAGGGGTCATCGCCCGTGCTTATTCGGGATCGGACGATCCCCATTCTTCAGCTGCTGTGGCTATGGCTGGCCTTGCTGGACACTCCATCAATGACCTTGCCGTTTACGGGCCTATGAACGGAGTCAATGATCTTGGGAACAGTCCGTTGAATGGCTTGCAAATGAGCCATGAGCTCACGAATCTATTCGAGGCAGTTGGGTCCTTCAACAACTTCATGCCAGGCGCAAGTGGCCCTGGTAGTATGAATGGGTTTGGAAGTGGTGAAGGCGAGATCCATAATACTGGAGAAGGCCTTTCTGGCATTCTTGGAGGGGAAGAGGAGTTCTCAAGGGTTATTCGAGATTTATTCTAGGAACCGCTAAAATGAATACCAAGTAATCCTTTTGGGAAGTCCAAAAGGCCATTAGTATCAGCACCCCACTTCTAGGCCTATAGCACGTGACTTGTGACCTCCGGTCTTGCAAGTCTCAAGGAATCCATCGCAACAATCGTGTCTTGTGCTCGAAACCCCCTACCATCCATGTCGTGCTAGATCTGGTGCACATTAGTCGCGTTTACCCAGGCGCCCTTGAACCGTGCGGCCCATTCTGCCCTCCTCGCCCCAAACCGAGCCCGAACCTAGCGTTGACGTCTGATCGACAGCTGCGAACGCAAAGGACCCAAGAATACCGGCAGGGACTCTACCGCAGATAAGTGGGTTTGCCCTTGTATGTCGTTTTAGACACCACTCAACCCGCGCGATGTACCCCAGAGCTGACGAGAATGAAATTTTTTTTGGCGGGGCTAGGCTCATACCCTCTCGCACAACCTCCCCTCTCCCGCACATTTGCTATGCACCTTCGCTTTCTCCACTAAGCCACCTCGAGACCTGCACCGGCAGTTGGTCTTGTGAATCGCGACCCAGGAGACCAATTTGCTTTGGTCTAAGCTCTCCATACGAACCTCGGCCTGCTTTATCGCCCCGTTCCCTACTCTCCGTCAAGCAAACTTCAGTGCTCTCGCGCTTCCTCCCCCGCCCTCAGCCCCTCGCGTGTTGACGTGCCGGGTTGCATCAGACACCCCCCCCCTACAACGCCACCTCTTCACCCACGCGCACTCCAGAACTTCTCCCATTTGTGATCCCATCTCGGCAACGTGTCGAGAGAGACTGGTTCGGCGTTGGCCGACGGCCTAGATAGGCTGGATCTGAGTCAACTGTCTGAATCGACCTTATCCTCTTCCGTGTCCGCCTCATTCGATATGTCATCGTCAGAAGGCGCCCCGGAGTCATGGATCTCCTCATTCTGCTCCCTCATGGGCCATGAGTTTTTCGCAGAGGTGTCCGAGGATTTCATTGAGGATGACTTCAACTTAACCGGCTTACAATCACAGGTGCCAATGTACAAGGAAGCCCTGGAGATGATTTTGGATGTAGAGCCCGAGGATGACGAAGAGGAAGAGGAGGAAGAGGAGGAAGAGGAAGATGACGATGAGATATTGGGAGATGAGCGGCCCCTGGGCTACCGGAGAGCCGGCGATCGGCGCCATGCCCGCGTAGCCAGCGATTTAAGCGTCATTGAAAGCTCCGCAGAGCTCCTCTATGGTCTCATTCACCAGCGGTATATCACCTCACGCCCCGGTATCCAGCAAATGCTGGAAAAGTACGAGATGCAACACTTCGGCGTCTGTCCACGCGTCAACTGTAGCGGATGTAAAGTCTTGCCTGTTGGACGATCGGACACACCTGGGCAAGAAACGGTCAAGCTGTTCTGCCCTGGCTGTATGGATATTTACACACCACCTAATAGCCGTTTCCACTCGGTTGATGGGGCCTTTTTTGGTACCACGTTCGGTTGTTTGTTCTTCATGACCTTCCCTGATTTGAGTGTTGGCCCGCGGCTTGACGCCTCGCTGTCCCCGACTAGTCGCTTGTCATCGTCTGCCAACCGACCTACTCAATCCTCTGCGCCGGACCTTGAGACTCCTACTCCCGAGGAACAACCACTGGAGATCAACGGGGTACACACACTCAATTTCTGCCCTGGACTCGGACGAGGCAAAATCTACGATCCTAAGATCTACGGATTCAAGGTCTCCGAAGCCTCACGGGTGGGTCCGCGCATGAAGTGGCTCCGAATGAAGCCCAGAAATATTTACGAGCTCGACGAAGCAGCCCAGCACGAGAGAGTTACACCTTCCGAGCCCGATGCAGATAAGGATGGCGACACAGAGATGGACCCCAATCAGGCCCAGGACGCAGTCATTGCTAACCGGAAAAAGGCACCCATGCGGCGGCGGCGACAGCAAGGGGAGGCAGCTCCATCAGACCAGATCAGCACTCGAGGAGCTGATATTGGCTAGACGCGAAGGACAAAAAGAGAATTGATGTCACGTCTATTAGATCAGTTGATGGATTTTTGTTGCCAATGGTCAAGTCCTATATCAAGGCAAGGGAGGCACTAGGAACTGACGATGATGACAGACGACAGAATTCTAGTTTCCTTCTTTCTCTCTCTCTCTCTCTCCTTTTTTTTTTGCCCTTTTTCCTTGAAAGGGGTGCTTTCGAGTTATCTCTTAAATTTCTTCTTATGTCTACGCATGTACCAGCCTTTCACCACCGTTCTGAAGTCCAAATACACATTCTTCTAAAGTTCGGCAAGCAGTTGTATCTGGATCTATCACCAGGAGTACCGGTGCTTGTTGTCTTAAGGGTAAACTTGAAAGTCCAAGTTTGGTTCCCAAATTTATAATTGGTTTTGGACTCCTTTTTGTGTACGCGAAGCGGCGAGTTCAACCTTTGCGGGTCCACGATCATCTCCATAAGATATTTTCGACAGTAAGGACGGTCATGATGTTTTGCAGGTGTTTTAGGAAAACGCGCCATATTAGTATACAAATTAATACTAACCAACGCCACTAGCAGTGGCAGGTACTGCTTGCCGTGGGTTGTATGCTCTCACAGATAGCTATATAATAGCCTCGAGTTGAAGTTGAATATCCATCCGAGGCGAATGTACTGGTATAAGCATTTGGGGATTAGAGATCTCACTACTAGTGCTATGTCTGCAACTACCGATGGGCTGTCATGCAGCCATGATGTACGTCCACTTGAACTTGAAGCTGTCATTATTCTGAGAATAAACACTGGCAGATCTACGGGCTCCCAAGCAGCTCTGGTAGGACACCCAATACGAGCCTTGGATCCTTCGTCTATGATTGTGCAATGTCTCTTTACCGATACTACGGAAACTGTACACACGCGCATTCGCTGATTGGCCTCGAGGCTCAAACAACACCACAACACTAGTATACACTAGCCAGGCGCTCCATTGGTGTTGAGCGAGGTGGTCGGGATACGACTGAGACTTTCAGCAGTTGCATTCAGCCACCTTACACTGACTAGTTAGGAATAGCCAAGGTGAAGGAAGAGAAAGTCTGCCACGTACGGATTACTTGACTTAGTTGTTTTTGAAAGGACCAGATCCCCAAGCGGGCTTGCATATTGCGGGTTTCCCACTCCATCTCCATAGGTGATTGGGCTGGTTCGCCTTTTGAAAACACCCTATGCACACCCTGCAGATTTCCTGCCAGTCGAGTTCCCAGGAAAGTGGTCCCAATCGTTGCGTGTGCTTGGTTACGTCGACCAGAGTATAGGAGTTGTGAGCAAGGGCCGTGCATCGACCCACTCCCTGTCCAAATATAGCTCCAAGGGACGATTTCAAAGCATACCTGCCGTCGTCCTTGATTGACCCTCGCACCCGTAACGCTAGCGCATGGCCATCCGGGGTTGCCGGCGCACCTGGGATTGGCATCTCTCTTACCTATCACGAAGGCGTTAGGGCGTTGGCAAGGCTCCCTGAGGATCTGATTGGCTGGTTTCCAGTCCTCCAATCCATAGTGCCGGCGCCGAACAGTTCGCTCTACTCTTCACCCGGGCTTGAGGCGCAGCGGCTGAACGGTAGCCTTACCCACGTCACCAGCCAAGGCAATGCAGAGCGCGCGCCCAGACCCTTGACAAGGCTGGTTGGCAATTGCGCAATTGCGATGAGAGGGGGAGGAGGGGCGAAAAGACCGTGGCACCCCTCCAGATCTATATCACATGCGTTTCCTCGGAACGGAGTAGTAAAGGGGGCTTTACTCGGGAGCGACCAGTCGTTACTCAAACAGGCATGAAGGGGGGGCATTTCCCCTTGATTCAAGTAGATGGCAACCGGCTTAAGTGGATGAGTCGGGCGATCTCTGATGAGTCGGTATCTTGCCGGTGAAAAGAGGAAGAAACTAAGCTGGATTAAGTTATGACTGGTTCAATCCACTCAGCGAAAAGTCGGGGGGGGTCAGAGATCTGCAGAACAGGGCGTGTTGCCACGCGCAGAATGGGGCAACCTAATTTGATCCTAAGAAACGTCAAAGGAATCCTGACGGTTCTAACGTCTGGGAACTTTTGGGGCCTGATGTTTCATAGGCTCTCAAAAACCTCCTGATTTGGGCTTAGTCCAGGCAAGGTCTGAAGGCATGGTCCGTTCCATCCTAGCGTCCCCCCCTATACGCCTGGACCTTTGGGGGGGGGGGTTATCATCCCCCCAGACACGTTCACTTTGGTGGGTCTCCGAGTCTTGGGAGTCTTGGTATTGCACCGATACCCTGCTATTCCTAAAATAAGAGCGTTGGTGAGGGTCAATCCCCGATCGTCTGCTCCGTCTGCTCCGTGTCCGGGCCCTCTTTCCCTGGCCCTCGATTGGTACTGCATCGGGCAGCTAGAGGGAGGCTCGTCGATGATCCCCCTACCCCCTTTCTTAGTAGACAAGCGGGTGGCCTTCAGTCTATAGTCGATCTAGCTCGGATCCTGTCCGGCTACGCTCCGTTTGGAATCCTCTCAAGAGCCTCGGTCAAGAGCCGGACTACCGGTGTATCCTTGAGGATTAAGGTTACGGGCCAAGTGCACCCCCCCCCCCCTGAACGATAGAACGCCCTATGGCTTTTCCCCCCCTAGGGCTGTGCATGAAAGCCTCATGACAGTCACGGTAGCCATACAATTGATTGTATAGGGAAAGGCGTGGCTCCGGGCCCGCGCAGCCGCGCAGCGGTGTAAAGTCCCCCCGACCCTTCAAATCCTTCCCCAGACGACCTGTGGAACTTCCAGCCTCTCCCACCTTACCAACCTTAAACGGGTAAAAACAATCGAGCGGATACATCAGGCCGAAGGGCTGAATCCACCCGTTTCATTTCTTTGAGTTCGGCCGAAATCTCCGAAGAACTGGCCCGATCAAACTGGCGTTACTTTGCTGTATGAAAGCCGTTGAAGGCCAAAGGGCATGTACCTGCCACTGGACTTGGGCCATGTGCGAAAGAGATCATCCATTCTTGACCCCATGTATACTAGTATAATGTATAATTGCCTTATTTTGATTTTTATATTTATATTTTTTTTTTCCCTTTTTCTCTTTTTCCCTCGTATCTAAATGAGGGGCAGGGCGGAAGAAGCCGATGACCCTGTCCTTGAAATCGGAGGTTCTTGGGATGTCTTGGTCCCAATCCGTCAATTCTTTGTTGGATTTAGCGCACCCAGCTCCTCGGGACCCGAGCCCCCTTGATCTTTGACCCAATACTCTAATGAGAACGATAAAAACCGCGACTCGATGGCTTGGGCTATCGGGTTTCGGGGTTTCGGCCTTTTGCAAGTCCCACGATTGGCATCTGGGGGAAGAACGTGGGCGGGACGAAAAAAGAAAAAAAGAAAAAAAAGAAAAGGGAAAAAAAAAAGGGCCAGGAGGTTCTGCAACGATCACCAATTCCAGCCTGCTGGAATGGCCACATGGTACACGAGTCATGCCTGGGAAGGCTGGACCCCACTAGGGGCGCTCTAGGGTGGCTTTTAGGGCCTCTTAGGGCGTGAGGGTCTATCGGGTTAAGGCCCTCACATCTCCACTCCGATGCGCCGCGTTATGCTAGTGTAGATAGAGTGATGATGGCAGCAAACCCTTTGGTTTCATCGCCGTTCTCCTCGCTCGAAAGGGTAAACGCGTCAGCTGGGTGCTTTGCCTAATGCGGTCACCTCTGCGCTTAGTGCCTGGGGGCCAAGAGCTGAGAACCCTCCGGCTGGTACGCCTTACTCAATGTGTTTGCTTTCCATGGCTTTCGCCGTGGGGGCCAATCGTCTTGCGTCAGGCACTTCCTCGCTGTTTAGGCAATCAGTTAATCGTATTGGTCTCATTCCTTGTTATTCAATCATAGACATCGGCTTTATTCCCCTCATCACCGATTTAGAAAAAATTCAAAATAAAAAATCAAAAGGTGAAACGCCCTGATAATGCTCGCTCATGCCACATGTTCCAATGAAAATACATAGTGTAAGAAAAAAAAAAATTCGTGAATAAGAGAAAAAGAGGGAAAGGAAAAAAAAAAAGAAACAAAAAAAAAACATCCTGGTGCTTCCTTTCCATGAAAAGAGGTCATAAATCAGGAGGGAATAACGCAAGGGGGTGGAGAGGGGGCAAAGGAGTGGGGAAAGCTCATGGAGAAAAACGTGGTGGATATCCGCACTAACCCTCGATCGACACTCGACCCAAAACAACGGCAGCAACCGCAAAGGATTTGGGGGTCGTGCGTCTCCCGTGGCTCTGCGACCCCTAGCAAGTCATAGTCCCAGGGATCGGGGGGGGGGGGGGCGCTATGAAAGCCCCTCGATCGGACTCATACTGGCCCCGGAATCGACCGCGGAGAGCAGGGGGGGAGATTCCGGGAGTGAGAGGAAACGTGAAGATGGACGTTTCGGGGGAGTTGGATGCCCGCGGAGCTTCCGGATAGCCGTAGGAGAGTGGTGGCATCTGCTGGATCACAGAAAATTAGCTTCCGCGGCGTACGATGCGTGATTCAGCGGGCATAATGTACCGAAAGACCCGGGTCCGGATGTTGCGGTTGCGGCACGAGGTCGATGCCTGCCATCGACGCATAGCTCATGCTAAACGGACTAATGATGTCCTCGTCGTAGGCCGGTTTTCGCGGCTGGCCAATGCTGGCGCCCGGGTGAATCATCGGGATCCCCGCGGGGATCGATTCTGTATATTCCGGGAACGACATAGTACCATAGGTACTGGGGACGCTCTGATACACGGGCAGTTGACCGTACGGTGGTCGATATGCGTCGTAATTCTGCAGAGGCTGATATGAGAAGGCGGGGGTGGAGAGGCGGAGAGTTGACGAGTACATTGTTGGCCAAACATGGCGCGTTCGTCGGGGGTTTCAAAGTAGTCATAGGATGCAGGCCGCTCCGGCACTGGAGCCGGAGACTGCTGGGGCCTGGCGTCGCTGCCTTTAGGGGCTCGCTGCTTTGTTCGTGACTTGACAGCCTTGGGAGGCACTGGTTCTGCATGGGTCTGCTCGGGGGAAGCAGACGAGGCCGCTCGTCTCTCGAGGTCCTCCAGGCGCCTCTTCAACTTCTTACCTAGTATAGATTAGAGAGAAGAATGACTGGAAAAGGACGGAAAAAAAAAAGGGACCGAACATACGATAATTCCGCTGTGCAATGCGATTTTGGATACGACGACGCTCTGCCAGGTCCGAGATCTTGGTCCAGTCTTCGTTAGGGTTGGCATTGGGGCTGAAAGCGCTACTGTTGCTGTGGTTGGAAGAGCGCGAGCCCGAACGGGCATCATAGGTAGATCGATGCATGGCTAATGTGGGAACGGACCTGGGGCAGATGAACCTCAGTCAGAGACGAGGGGAGGATCCGATTATATACTGGGGAATGGGGCTCCTAATCAGCTGTTGGCTTTCTTGCAGAGGCTAAAGCCCGAAGTCCGTTGCGATAACCAGAGTCCGTGCCCGCAGACATGTGGATCAGAGGATGAAATTCGGTATTTTATTTTAAAATGATTATTTTGTGAGTTTAACTCCGGCGGGCAAATAATCACTAAATGGTTAAAATCGAGAAAATAACTAGTACGGGATTATTATTAGATTCGGCCGGCGCGGGGGGGGGGCACCCACAGTCCTCAACTACTTCATCACTCAGCACTCAATCCTCCTTATAGCAGGCTCAGTGGGCTCATGCTCAGCGCTCCTACCTTCGACATGGTCATGGAGTTCGTGTTCTAGTCTGTGATGGTGTTCTTCTATGCCCCTTTTCTCATGGGAAACCAACACGATCTTCCCGCTCTACTGTATGTTTGTGTTTGTGGGCAGGGTGGGGGGGGATGTCCCATCGCTTTGGATTTCCTCCCTTTTTCCCTTTTTTCCTGCGCATGGGACAGGGATCATTCCGGGCTATTCAGCCTCGACCGGGTTTAAGAGGTCGAGTCCACCAATCTGGGCCACGTTTTCACGAGACTGCCGGGTCAGGCCTGCTCTGGTTCCAGCCCCGGATAGGCCTATGGTTTGGCCCCAGTCCCCTCTTCTTTGGGTTCCCGACACCTGGAGATACGGTCTCGGTTTGACTCATGATGATAGCTCGAGGCCAAACGAATCAGAGGCAAAGATGGAGGACGCCTGGACTACGTGGGGATGGACCCAAGAATCAATATTAAGAAATAGAAAAACAGAAAATAACTGTTCCCAAAAGGTCGAGCGAAATACGCCTTTACTATTTCCTCAAGGGGGTTACACTAGCATTGTCGCCTCACGTGCAGCTGAAGAAGGCGCCACGTTTTCCCCGAAAACACCATTCAGCCTAGGGAGGGATCCCTGATTTATTTTAGATTTGACATGGAGTTCTTTGGTCCTTGGCAGTAGGCTAGGGATAAAGATCTGACCCGTGTTGATCGTTGATCAAACCCGTCTGACGGCGAGAAAACATAAAGAATCCATTTCGATCCACTCCCCATCGGGCAAGCCGAACCAGGGCCGATACTCGAAGCTCCCCCCGAAAGGAGGGGAGGGGGGGGGGGGACCCTCGCCAATTTCTTCCTACTCATGGGTGCTTGGTGGAACATCGGATTGGGCGGTTCGGAAACGAATGGGCGAATGGATCTACTAAATCTGTGCCTGCTACTGATTGGCGTGGAGGGAGCTGAAGGATTCGGTTGCTTTTTCCTGGGACAAATGTAACGCGCCTTCTGCAGGGCCTCGGGATCTTAAATAGAACGGGTTGCCTCGTGCGGCGAATTTCGCCCTTTCCAGTTGGTCTGGCTAGGAAATGGTACATGCAGCCGGTAGGAACTCTTCTGTACGGAGTATCCGAGATGCACCAGAAGGTGATGACCCCGGGACAGAGTCGGAAAGATGAAAAATCCGTAAATTCCAAGAATCCAAAAGCACCAAAAGCACCAAAAGCGGCAGCAGGCCCTAGCGGGGGTAGTGGGGGCGGTTCAGAGGTTCAGTGCGTGCGGTTAAGGGGGTCGTGGCATGAGAAACATAGGGCTGAGAATCACAGTACCGGGGACTGGCGCCTGTACAGGCACAGCAGACCCAGAGTATCCCAGGCAAAGTGGAAGACCGTAACGCTCCATATTCCTGATCGGGCAAGTTGCGTATTCTGTTCACCGCTCCTGCGCGCTGGGCGGCTCGAATCCCAAGTCTGCCTCCCTGATCCCAGAGAGCGCTTGACAGTTGATGCTGCAGGGATCTCCACCACTCAAAACCCATGGTGGGCCCCGGATGGTTGGGTGGGATTTTCGACCGGACCTTCTAGTAACCATCTAGAATACATGTTCCTGGCGGTGTGCAGCGGATGACACGCAGAAGGGATGGCATGAGGGAATACAGCCTCGCTCTTCTTGTGCGACTTGCACCTTAATGCAGGACGGCAATCTCCGACCTTCGATGACGCTTGCCCCAGACTCACGAGTTACACGGAATGTAAAAATGGGCCGAACTGGGAGAGCCCGATCCGGGAAAGGGCGCTGCAAAGAAGTAAGTCACCGCCCATCGTGTGCAAGGTTGGACAAGGCCTCCCGTCAGGCCTCTCAACGCAAGGCTGGGGAGCAGAGAGGCAGTGCGCAGCGTGTATATCCAGAACGAATAGTTAAGATGGAGTCTCGATGATCTCCCGAGCCCCACTTGATCGCTTGAGCCCAAAAAGCGTGCAAACGGGTGCATCCTCTACTGCCCTTGGGACTCCACGTGGCCCACACGTGCTACAGTTCGCCTATCTTATCTGCATTGGGGGCCCTCGTGCCACCTGGGCGTTATGCCCCGACCTGAGGTTCATCCTCGATATGTTTCAGCCATGAGCAACGGCCCCGGGGGCACGCCAGGTTCCACTGTGACATCCCTGGGCTGGTCCAAAAACAAAAGATCATTTCTAGAAGACGCACAGCATAGACCGGTGATGCAACTGGGTACATCATATTTGTAGACGAAAAACTTAACCTTGTCCGAAACCAAGGGGCAGGAGATCATTACGATCATTAGTGACCGTGGCTGGATACCGCCCGTGGACTTTTGGATATGATGAAGAGCTTTTGACAGTGCGGGCAAAAGGAACCGACCGTCTCCAGATAATGAGCCATACAAAGGCTATCCAGGGCCTCCCCCAGGACCGTAGTCGACATGCTCCATGCTTTTCCCGCGGTGGTATGTTCAGGTGGATCAAATGCCATTCCCACAGTCTCCACATTTATATATGATGGACCCGTGGACCCGTGGCCGAGGATGACCACACATGCTCTACACTCACCACTGCCCAATCAATAGCATCTAATGTTTTATGATCCAAGAGCATATTTTTGATGGCCTCTTATCGCCACTATGTACCCAGCAAACAATGGAGCTTGGATAGCAGGGACGTACCTGCTCTGATAAGTAAATCAGACCAATACGCATACCTACTGGGTCTTCACTTCTAGATTCTCCACCATGATCCTGATATAGCGTTTCCTGTTACCCCTGCAGGTAGCATGTCATAGGGCTATTAATCCGGTCATTTCTCCTAACGCAATGCATGATACAATGGAACCAGTACGCTCTATTTTGAACTTGAAGGCAGACCATGAAGCATCGGGTTTCCTACCACGTTGCCATCGTGGTGTTTCCCTCAATATCCCGATGCAGTATGACTCTTTTCAAATTCGCATATGCCGCTATTTATCCTAATATCCGTCAGTTGCCTCTGGCGCAGCTCAAATGGCAGAGCCTCCAAAGAAGGAAGATAGATTCCATGGAGGAATACTCAAATGTCGGAAAAAATCAGTCATGCAGACTCTCCTCGCGGATAATACTTAATTCCAAGGGCCTTTTCTACGCGGCCCAAAGGCCCTATGTTAAAGGTCGAAATGCCAAAAGAAACATGCATAGTACTCAGGCTCCAACAATTCACAGGGGCCCTTAAGATCTTTTTTTTAGAAAGGGTTGTACAAATTATGTCCAATGGTTTCAAACGACGTAGCTGCGAAGGTTAATGAGCGTATGATCAATACTGGATGAGCTTGGTCGAATGCTTACCTCCATGGGTGCGGCTCATCACCATATTGGATATCCTCGATCCAGTTCTTCATCTGAAGGGCAATCTCGCCCGCTTCCTCGTTCTCCTTCAGACCACAGTCCACAAGTTTACCACGGTAGCTAATGCTTCGCACTGGGCTGACAATAGCAGCTGTACCAGCTCCAAAGACTTCAATCATTCGGCCCTCTTGAGAAGCTTCCGCGACTTCGGACATACGAATCTTGCGTTCGGAAATGGTCCAGCCCTTGGGCTCCAATCTCTCTCGAGCGAGTGCAAGCACCGAGTCTCTGGTTACACCCTCGAGGATAGTGCCATCCAAGGGAGCAGTGATAAGCTCCTTCTTACCGGTTTCCTTGTTCTTCAGTGCAACGAAAAGATTCATTGTGCCGACCTCGGTCACGTACTCCTCTTCGCCGAAGAGCCAAAGGTTCTGCTGGAACCCCCGCGAGGCAGCCTCCAGCTGGGGCAAGATGCATGGGGCATAGTTGGCACCCAACTTTTTGTCCCCGACACCACCAGGCCAAGCACGGACAGCATAATCGGTAGCTTCAAGCGAGATTGCCTTGAACCCAGTGGGGTAGTAGGGACCGACTGGGCTGGCAATGACGAATAGCAGAGCAGATCCAGGGGGGACCAACACCAAGGGTCTGCTGTGTTCCAATCATGGTAGGACGCAAATATAGGGAATAGCCACGAGCACTAAGGGGGGGGGGGGAATCATGGTCAGATCACGGTCTCATCCACGTTCCCACGAGATTTGGACCTACTCCGGAATAAAGCGATCATCCAGCTTCACGAACTCTCCAATTACTTTCGTAAGAGCATCACCGTCAACTGTAGGGAGAGCAATGCGGGCGGAGGATTTGTTCAAGCGCTCCATGTTCTTATTCGGACGGAACAACCGAGTGCCACCGTTCTTATCCTTGTATGCCTTCATTCCCTCGAAACATTCAAAAGCATAATGGAACACGCAAGTAGAGGGATCAAGGCTGAGGTTCTGATAGGGTATGATGCGAGGGCTGTGCCAGCCTTCGGTGGCTGTCCACTCGACTGATACCATGTGGTCTGAGAAGGAGTTTTAGCTTCACTTGGTCCCATGGCTAAGCGATCGATTCCATACCGGTGAAGGTCTTGCCGAAAACCAGCTCATTAGGAGGCGTGAGCTTCTTAGGAGACTGAGTCTTGGTCACTGTCAGCTTTGAAGGGTCCAAAGCTGCCAATTGAGCCACCGACGCAGTCGAGCTGAAATTCCGTAGCCGTAAACGGCTGGTGGCGGCGATCTGGGACGAGAGGATGCGAGGAGTCGCGAGCCCAGAGAGGGCCTGGCGGCGGGCCAATTGGCGAAAGGGCTTCATGTCGAATTCTAGAGAGCGTGAGTACCACCAAAGGGAAAAGAGCTGGGGGGGGCTTTGGGGTGAAATAAGAAGGATATGACTCCGCACATCCGCAACAATTCTCGGAGAGCAGGACAAACTCCGGCAACGGCCAATCATGGAGGCCCCAGCTCTGTTCACCGCCCTGGCCTGGCCCACGGGCAGGCCAATCAGCATCCGCGGGCAGCCGTAATCCCCAAGGGCCCGCCGACGTCGGATAGATCTGGAGGGCACCGGAGTGTCAACAGTAAGCAGCGTAACTATCTCGCAGCACTGTACTCTGGATCGCCCGCCGACGCAAAGCGCGATCACCTGACTATAATCAGGTGATCTCGCGATAAGGAACTCGACCCGGAGGGTTCAGCCCATCATTGGGCCTTATCAATCTGTATGTGGCATCTATCCACTTTAACGCGCCTCCCATCCAAAGCAGGCCCACGTCCCTCCCCCCATGACGCGTAAAATGATCTAACTGCTCCAGCCACAATGTTCACGGCGGCGCTGAAGTCATTCAGCTCCAACATTTCCGCGAATTATCAAATCGCCCCCCACCCCACCATCTATGCCGGCCCCTGGAAGATCCACGATGCCAAAAAGAAATCAACCGGATCGGCAGCCTCTGTCTTCATATTCGACCGCAAAACCCTCGAGCCGCGATCGGGGGGGCTTGGAGGCCGGTCAAGTGGCTCCTCCACGAAAAAGCTGCAGGAGGATGTCATTGAGCGCCTGAAGCGTGAGGCCAGTAACTTGGCCAGGCTACGACACCCGTCCATTCTCCAAGTGCTAGAGCCTGTCGAAGAAACCCGCAGCGGGGGGCTCATGTTTGCGACAGAGCCGCTCATGGCATCTCTGTCCGGTCTGTTGCGAGAGAAGAGCGACCAGGAAAGCGCCGGTGCGGGGTCACGATCAAGCCGTTATATGGTAGAAGAGGCCGACGGGTCTCGTCGACGACGTGATATAGATATCGACGAGTTGGAAATTCAGAAGGGCTTACTACAGGTAGCCAAAGGCCTAGAATTCTTACACGAATCTGCTGGCCTTGTTCATGGCAATTTGAACCCGGATGCGATTTACATCAATGCCAAATCCGACTGGAAGATATCTGGACTGGGATTCGCCGGGCCTCCCGACTCGTCTGAAACTGCCTCGGCCCTCCCACCATTGGCTGTCTCTGAAGCGCTATACCAAGACCCGAGACTTCCACCGTCGGTGCAACTGAATATGGACTACACCTCTCCGGATTTCGTGTTGGACTCTAACGTGTCATCGGCAGCAGATTTATTCTCGTTAGGACTGATCATCGTTGCACTTTATAATAGCCCTCATGAATCTCCGCTGCAGACGCATGGCAATTCCTCGACCTACAAGAAGCTCCTGACATCACCATCTACTACGCCGTCTCAGAGTAATAACTTCCTTTGCTCTAAACCAATCCCTCGTGATGTGCTATCCCACGTGCTACCTCGATTGCTCACTCGTCGGCCCGCGCAACGCATGAATGCACGTGAATTCCAACAGTCTCAATACTTCGATAACGTCCTGGTGTCTACGATCCGATTCCTAGAATCATTGCCTGCAAAGAACCCCAGCGAAAAATCTCAGTTTCTACGTGGCTTGCAGCGAGTTCTTCCCGATTTTCCTCCATCAGTCTTGGAAAGGAAGCTGTTAGGGGCTCTTCTGGAGGAGATGAAGGATCGTGAGCTTTTACCTTTGCTCCTGCAAAATGTTTTTGGCATCTTACAGCGGATTCCCAATGGACGCCGCACTTTTCCAGAGAAGATCATGCCTCGTCTAAAGGAGGTGTTCGGGACGACATCGGGCAAACCGCCTCAAGAACGCGATTCGAAGAAAGATGCTGGCTTGATTGTGATCTTGGAAAATATGAAGTTGGTGGCAGAGAATTCATCTGGAATGCAGTTCAAAGACGGTATGTATCACTCCTCAGCCTCCTATTAAGACGGCGCCGTTAATGATGTCGCAGACGTTCTCCCTTTGATTCGACTGGGCTTAGACTCCCCCACGCATTCTTTGGTAGATGCATCTATCAAAACGCTTCCTATATTCCTTCCCGTACTTGACTTTACCACGGTGAAGAACGAAGTATTCCCTCCGATCGCAAGCACATTCAGTCGTACTAGCAGCCTTGCCATCAAAGTCCGCAGCCTAGAAGCTTTTGCTGTGCTTTGTGGTGGCTCAGCAAGCGATTTCGAAGATGATCTATCTGGTCTCCCTGCAAACAGCCAGAAAACCAAATCATGCATATTGGACAAGTACACTATGCAAGAGAAGCTTGTCCCGGCACTGAAAGCGATCAAAACCAAAGAGCCGTCAGTGATGATGGCTGCATTGAAAGTCTTCCGGGAGGTCGGAAAGGTTGCCGACACTGACTTCCTTGCTCTCGAAGTGCTGCCGGTCCTGTGGAGTTTTAGTCTTGGGCCACTTCTGAATCTTCAGCAATTCAATGACTTTATGGGGCTAATCAAGTCCCTGTCAGCCAAGATTGAACATGAACAAAAACGAAAATTGCAGGAGCTCTCCTCTAGTGGGGATTCCAGTGGCTTCCAAAATGGCAATGATGGCTTCTCGCGATCAGCAACGGATCTGACTTCATCTGATGTTGATAACGCAAAGACCAACTTTGAGCGTCTAGTGCTGGGTAAAGATACCGCGGCGTCGTCAACTAGCAGCGATGCTGTTATCTGGGCCAGCGGGGGACCAGAGCCGGCGTCCAATCGAACCAGCATGTCGCCTGGGATTTCCTGGTCCACCAATGATGTTCGAAGCCTAGCAGGCCAGCAAAACTTCCGCTCCATCACCCCAGATCAGAAGTTGAGCTCTTTCCCGTCTCTTGCCCCTGCCCGGCAATCATCTCCGGCCTCGACCACGGCCAGTTGGGGAAACCAGCCCATGCAGTCTATGCAGCCCATGAAGCCCATGCAAGCTACCTCTCCAACGTGGGGCATGCAAACATCTTCCCCCGCTCCGGCATCTTTATCATCTTTGTCGAATATGGCTACCACCACTTCTCAACAAACTCCAAATTATTCGGCCTTTTCGATCCCGCCTCCTCCAGGCGGTATGGCTCATAATATCGTGCGATCGCCGCTTACCATGCACAATATTTCGGCATCATTCCCTGCTCAGCCTTCCCAGCCTGCTCAGCAGCCACCTACAGCACAGAAATCGGGGTTGGACAAATACCAAAGCTTACTATGAAAGACCCCTGTTGAGGCCCTGGCTGTAGTCTGCCTTATCTTTCTGGAGTACATATCGCATATAATGTAACAAAAATAACGGCGTTTGAATCTATGATCATCTATACCCGCAGAACGAGTGTCGTAGAATATGTAGAGTGTGCATGAAAGCGGAGAAAGAAAAAGCAGTTCCACGCAATGTCTCGTGGCATCAAGTCCACCAGTCCAAATTTGGTGATTAGTCGTGTTTGGGCCCCACTCTTTCACGCGCTCGTTTCTGGCGGAGCGCATACCCTGACTGAGTCCCAATGATCTCAGATGCATGTCTATCGCTTGCCTCGAGGGGCATTGGGTGCGTCATTGCGCTGCCGCCTTTTCAAGCGGAGCTTCTTACCTCCGCAACCCCTCACCGCACTCCACCCCAGACCTTTCTCCAACTCTCGCCCCCGTCAAGCCATCATGGATGAGACCGTCAAGCAGCACTACCTGGCAGATTCGCCCCCTTCGGTGGTTAAGCTTGAAATCAAGCACCACTTCGATGCCCTCAAGGATGAAAATCTGAGGAAGTACGCTCACTACATGAGCCGGTACGTCCAACAGTGGCATTCCCGCGATCTGGCCGGCGTCACCCTCTAACACACCACAGGGCGGCTTTCGAAGGAACTCGTATTACTTTGCGCCAGGTGTCTCCAGAGTCTGAGCCTATCTATGACTTCATCCTTAGTCTCTACCGTGCCGCCGATGGCGATTGGAACGGTCTGGCCAAGAAGACTCAGGTCTCTGAGGAGCATCTCAAATTCTTTCTTGAATATGCTGCTCAATTCTTGGGTAATTGTGGCAACTACAAGGGATTTGGCGATTCGAAATTCATCCCTCGCTTGCCAGCCTCTGCTCTTGAGGCACTGGCATCCATAACTCCGGAAACACAGGAGGCGTTCCAGAAGGCAAATACCACCGGAGGTGGGTTTTATGAGACCAATGAGCAGTCTCTGATGCACCTGGGGTATCCCGCCGATGGACACACCACTACGTATTATCCAGACTCGCCTACTATCACCAAAGATGAGATTACAGCCGTCGGCGACGTGATGGAGGCAAAGGGACTGGCATTGGAAAATACTCGGCTGCGGAAAACATCATCGGGCGACTTTGAGCTGCTCATAGCCTCCGGCATTTCAAAACCCCCAGCCAGGGATCGTGACCTCGGAGAAGAAAGTACCTTTGAGCTTGGCGGCGCCTTCAAAGGGAAGACCGTGCGTCTTGTTTTTGGAGATTTTCAGGAGGAAATGGCGAAAGTCGCCCATAGCATCAAGCAAGCTGAGAAGCATGCGGCGAACGAGAAGCAAAAGCGCATGCTCGATGCGTATGCCCGCTCTTTCGGCGCAGGTTCTATCGAGGGCTTCAAAGAGAGCCAACGGATCTGGGTTACCGACCAGAAGCCTGTTCTGGAGACGAACCTTGGGTTTGTGGAGACATATCGTGATCCTCATGGCGTGCGTGGAGAGTGGGAGGGGTTCGTAGCCCTGGTAGGTAAGCCTCATTCTGGCTCTGTGATATATACTGACTACGAGGTAAGGTCAATCTCGAACGAACTCGGGCGTTTGGTGCCTTAGTCGATAGCGCCGAAAGCATGATTCCCAAGCTCCCTTGGAGCAAGGACTTTGAAAAGGACCAATTTTTGAGCCCAGACTTCACTTCGCTGGAGGTTTTGAGCTTCGCCTGTTCGGGGCTCCCGGCTGGTATCAATTTACCAAACTACGATGATATCCGCCAGAACTTAGGGTTCAAGAATGTCTCACTTGGCAACGTGCTAAGTGCGAAGGCGCCTAACGAACCAATCCCTTTCATTACCGACGCAGACCAGGATGTGTACCGCAAATGTCGGGACCCCGCATTCGAAGTTCAAGTCGGTATCCATGAGCTCCTCGGCCACGGCACCGGTAAATTACTTCAAGAAACCTCCCCTGGTGAATATAACTTCGACGCTGCAAACCCGCCCATTAGCCCAATAACGAATAAGCCCATCTCGACTTGGTACAAGCCTGGCCAGACCTGGAGCTCTGTTTTTGGCGCGATTGCATCATCTTACGAAGAATGTCGCGCCGAATGTGTGGCAATGGCATTAGGCTGCGATTTCAGTATCTTGAAGCTTTTTGGTCATGGCGATGGAACCCCGAACCTTGATGGCGAAGCAGGAGATGTGCTCTTTGTCTCCTACCTGCAAATGGCTCGCGCTGGTCTGGTCGCTTTGGAATTCTGGGACCCCAAAACTCAAAAGTGGGGCCAGGCGCATATGCAAGCCAGATACAGTATTCTTCGCACTTTCCTTGAAGCGGGAGATGACTTTGTCAAGCTCTCATACACCAAGGAAGACCTCTCAGACTTGGAAATCAAGCTTGATCGATCCAAAATCCTGAGCCATGGACGCCCGGCCATAGAGAAGTATCTACAGAAGCTCCATGTCTACAAGAGTACGGCCGACGTTCAAGCAGGGAAAGCCCTGTACGATGGCATTACCTCTGTTGATGAGTGGTGGGGAGGTAAGGTTCGGGAGGTCGTTCTGAAGAACAAGGTCCCTCGCAAGGTTTTTGTCCAGGCCAATACCATTCTGAAAGGCGACCAAGTTGTTTTAAAGGAGTATGAGCCTACTTTGGAGGGTATCATCCAGAGTTTTGCGGAGCGTAATGTGTAGGTGCTATAACTAAGTGAAAGAAAAAGAGCACCCGCAATCAAATGACTTGAATTGATCATCAATATACTACTACTACTATCAAATTACAGTCGTAACGACTTATGAACAATTCATAATACCTAGGCCCTGGTTCCTTTGCAGTCTGATTTGAGTTGTTTTGTTCTGGATCGCCCTGTACTCTGCAGGCGGTTTCCGTAGGCAGTATAGCATCGAGATGGGGGGGAGTTACCGCCCGATCTACTAGCGCGCCTTCTCCTCTTCGTGATGTGCCCCAGCTCCTCTTTGAACCCACCCAACTTGCCTATACGTATACCAGCTGTGAGAAGTAGCCAGTACGGCACTGTGTTTTATCAATACAGAAGGCATCGCCGTACACTACCCGTTTGCAAGGTTGCGCACACGGGAGGATCACGTTTCTACATCTACCTCCTGATCAACTTACAAAGCCCTGAAGCACGAATCTAGATTTCATCAGATCAACCGCAGCTCTTGCGATTGGATCTGATCCACCAGTGAACGTGTCTGAAGGAACACCCCCTCGACGACCGTCAATCACGGCGCCAACGCTTCCAACCCCGACAGACTCCCTCGCGGAGGACGATCACTTCCCAGCGCCCCCACCACACTCCCCATCGGAAGCGTCTGCATCTAGCTCTGTTGGCCCTCCTCCGTTCTCGTCACTTGACTTTGCTGCTAGCTTTGAATCGCCTTCTGTAGAAGTTACGGGCTCTGTGTCAGCCCCTCTCCCGGCTTTTGTGCCACTGCCCGGTGAAGAGACATTCGATTCAATCCCAGGATCCTCCGTTGTTGCCGACACCAAAGCCTCATTTTCCGGCAACAAGGCAGAAGCTGCGAAGAGCTCCGACGACGCAGAACCTCCACCTCCATACACAGAAGGATTCAGCCCTCTTGAATCATTTAGTTACGTGATGGCTGCTGCTGGCGGTGCTTCGAGCATCATCACTCAGGTCCAGCAGACTGGCGGACCTCCGATCAACACTTTAGGAGGTATGCTTTGTGTATCAATGGGGTCGGAAATCACACCGCTAATTCTATCCTAGATATTGGGGGAGACGAACATATTACGCTGGACCTTCGGTACGACATTCTCAAGCCTAGGGACAGCATCTGAAGCGCAAACACTAATCATGACCAGGGGTACCCGATTCACTCTATCTCGAGATGAATTGTTGACATTGCCGGAATTTGTTCTGCTCTCCTTGTTTCCCAACGGGCTTCTTCCAGACGGGCACATGGGAGGCTTCCACGAAGGGGATATATACCCAGTTGATGTATGTGCTTTGGACTCTTTGAACCTGCTTACTCTAACGATGTCCAGTACGATCCTGTCTCCCTCCAGTACATGCTCGATTTCTTTCGATCCGTCGCTCAATCCATCCCATCCTCCTTGCCTTCTGAATCAACCTCTCCCGAGCTAGAAGTGCCAGATGTAATGCAGAACTCTGCACGGGATATGCTTCAAGATCGGGCCGGGATCATTGTCCTGCGAGAAGACTTGGACTTTTACGCCATACCACCCCGCCCAGACATTGGTCACGAGGAGATGCTTGAAGTGAAGCGGGCCGCTGGTCGAGCCCTCTTGAAACAAGACGGTATCTTCTCTGGGCTCCGCAAGAGCGAAGAGACTGGGTCTACGGAACAACATCTCATCGAGATGCTCACTGCTGGGTAAGCTTTGCATCTTCCCATAGTTGTCCACACCGGACTTGAGAAGCAAATCAACGGCAAAAGAAAGTGTATCTCTGACCATATTTATAGTGGGTTTGATCGCGATGACCAGTGGGGCCACCGTGCTCCAGAGCCCAGCAAGGCCGTGATCTGCAGTCTTGCTTTGGCAAAACTTCGCACTGATATCCGTGGGGATCTTTCAAACAACAACGCAGTTGGGATGGCACAAAAGCTGCTGCTTTTCTGGAGGAAACCCGCCCGCCGCTGTTGGTGGGAAGGTGTTGACCTTACCGATGTGGAAGGGGTGGATGGACCCGTCAAAGTATGGATCCGAAGAGTCTGGACGCTGGAAATGGTAAGGTTGTCTCCAACTTTTAGACTCACTGATACTAACGTCGGCTTCAGAGTGTGATCGGACTGCGCTGATAATCTGCAATTTGTTTCTGTCTGCATATGTAACCTATACCCGAATCCCTTCGCTCTCACTTCTCAATATATTCTGCTTTACTGCCTGCTGCTGCGATCTTTGTTACTCCTATTACGGCCGGATTGATGTCAATAGTATGGTTTTTCTAAAGCTTACCACTAATAAATAGTTCAAACACCCGTCGTAGCAAATATACAATCAGTTACGGCCACTCACGTTGCTCTACGAGGATCTTTTCTCAGAAAATACCCCTCGATGGAAGATAATAGAATTCTGGCTGGGCAACTAATTCTGGGAGATGGGTAGAGGCCTCAGGAACTAGTCATTTTCACGTGACCGTGGAATGAAGCGCTTCTCTCGATTGGGGAAAACGCGACGGCGCAAAAGAATCCCAAAGGGTTCAAGTCCAGACCTGCAACAATCACCATTGCTAACATTTCCTGATTTTGTCCCTCCACATCTTCCCCATTGCCTGATCGGCTCTGGGCTCTCTTCGCGAAAACTTCATCAAATTTGGTGCTTCGCCCTTCTCTCCATTGACGCGCGCCTTTGCGATAATCCTTCTTGTACCCACGAAGGGGCATGAATCAGTCGAGATAAATCGTCAATATGTCACACCTTCGAGGATATATTTCCTCCTATCCTCCGCGCATACGCCAATATGGCAACGCGCTCCTTACACCGGTCTATCCTGTCCAAACCGGGCCAACGCCTCGGACCACTAAGCGCGGCACCACTGCAATCAATTACGCCGAAGACGGATTCGAAGATGAAGACTTTGACGACAGTGATGGTCCGAGGAGGCCAACAGGATTGAGAAGCCTTCGGCGAGAGGATTCATCCGGCGGCCCGTTGCCCGTGTCTGAAAAACTGGGGAAAGAAGCACATGCGCCAGTCGAGGTGCAAGGTGTGTTCCGGGAATGGATGATCAAGCGGATGCTCCGGCCAGCGTATGCGTGATTCTGTTGCCTCTTCTCCAAATTTGCCTACTGACCCTTTTTGCCCTGCAGATGCGCAGACCAGCTCCAGATCCAGGCTCAGCTTCCTTTGACGCTCGTACCGATTCGCATCGACATCGAAGTCATTCCGCACCAGCCTCTTGAACCATTCCCTCTCCCGCGCGGCGTGATGGATGCGAGTATAAACCCAACCCTCCCTGCATACAGAAAACCCGACCCATTACCCCCATTCCGCATCAAGGACACATTTCTCTGGAATCTCCATGAGGCCCTGGCGACCCCAGAAGAATTCGCCATCGGCTTTGTCCGTGATTTGGATCTCCCCGAATCCCCAGGTGACTACGATGAATATCAGTAGCCAGATTCGTCAGCAATTGGAGGAGTACGCCGGTGTTGCGTTGCATCCTCTGTTCCAGAGCTCCCCGGCAGTCCCTCCAGCCAGTGTCCCTCCTCAGACAGAACCTTCACGAGATACATCGATGACGCCTGCTGCGACCTATGTTGCCACTCCGGACAGTAGGACTAACGCTGCCGCAACCGTCACCGTGACCAAAGAGGCGCTAGTGAACGACAGTCTGTTGAACCCGGACGACGCTTACAGATGCCTGATCTACCTCAACATCAATTTACAAAACAAACTCTACACCGACCGATTTGAATGGTCTTTGCTGCACCCTACAGGAATGGCCGAAGAATTTGCGCAGGTTACATGTGCCGACTTGCATCTAGGGGGGTGAATGGGTGAGCGCCATTGCACATGGTATCTACGAAGCCGTCCTCAAGCTCAAGAAAGAAGTCTGTGAGAGTGGTGGCCTCGTGAGTGGAATCAATGGCTATGGCAATGAGATTGATAATCAGGCTGCCAATGGAGTGGAGGCGGGCTGGCGGTATGACCCGGAGACTTTGGGCGATGAGTGGGAACCCAAGGTGGAAACCTTATCAAAGGAGGAGATTGAAAGACGCGAAGGAGATCGAGAGCGACAGATCCGACGATTACGACGTGAAACAGCCCGCTTCTCATCCACTACTGGAATCACACCCGACGCCTCTCGTCAAAGCAGCGGGTACTTCGATGTTGACAGTGAAACTCCACTGGGTAGAGGCGAACGGAATAAGCGCAAGCGTCGGTTCCGGAGTCTTAGTCCCACGGGGCGATCAGGGACTCCGGGGGGCCAGGGGAACCCCAGACACTGGATCTGGTGCTGGGTACGGTGGAGGCGGAGGCACGCTGTCTGAATGGTAGGCTTCCCTTTTCTCTTCTTCTTCTTCTTCTTCTTCTTCTTCTTGTTTCCTTCTGCTGAAATGTAAATGCTGACATTCCATAGGGAACGACAAAGTTGGCGCTGTAGCAACTGCATGGTCTGGGGCTCAGCTGTATGGGCGGTGCGAGATGGGCCAGAAGGCCCACGGGTAAGAAACGACATCACCTCTCTAAGAAACCATGATCCATCATGTCTGACGCATACTTTAGACCCTTTGCCATAACTGTGGCTTCCTATACGAGCGAGACAAGGTCGCCCCAGAATGGTCCCGAGACCTCCATCGTCACGACATCCCTGTCGGCCGCGTTTAGAAATGCCATCAAGTTTAGCTTCGTCCGAATCTCCTGTCTAGGTGGGAAATACCGCTGTCGCTTGCTATTGGGCTTCCTCCACTGACATTCATGACAAAGTAGTATCAATTGCGTGTCTGGTATAAGTGTGGTAGAATCTCCATAACGCAAATGCTTCTCATTCACCCGAGGAGCCCATCCACCCCCCTCGAGTGTTCTTCGATGTGCTATACTTCCTCTTTCAGGAGGAAATTGGACTGTTTCCTCCATATCCCCTGGACTTGTCTCGTATTTTTTTTTCTCGGGCTACTACTTAGTTCAGGGAAGGCCCTCATGGTACGGTGCGGAGTTTATCTTTTGCCTAATTAATGTATGAATATGAGCATGATAGGGTTGTGTCACAGATTGGATTCTTCATTGGCATTAGTCAACACCTAGCTACGATATCTGGGCAGTAGATAGCTTGTAAAAAGGCATGACAAGCAGGAGATTATGGTGACATTTGCCAGTGCATTTGGGGTTCCAGCTGTATAGGGAACAGAGTCATTCGATCTGAATATGTCCACCTAATTTAGTCGCAGCGAAATACCTTCAAAACAGTGACAAGCCTGTCCCCAGTACTGGGACGGTGCGATTCTTTACCAGGTGAACAATTCATGTTCACCTCGAAAACAGAAGGTTGGAGCCCTGCGATCAACGAGTCCGTGGCCGTGAACCCAGCCTTCGTAAAGAGCGTTATTGTCTCCTGAACTTTCATCCAGCGGTCTCGTTCCTGAGACGAGGAGATTCGTCTTCGTGCAGATAGCTCATCTGTTGGACGATGTTGGGTATGTCGTCTGACCATCATTGATCGGGTCAGGTTTCTTGCAGAACTTTGTGGACTTTCTTACTTCGCAGAGCACTATGCCTGGTCAGAAGGGAGGGAATGCTCCTTACTTATACTGTCGGACGATACGACAGAATCTCCGGGGAAAGATTGCCCTGGGTAATGCCGACCGCCAGGATGAAGAGACTGAACCGTCTAACTCAAGTAGTTAGTACAAACAAAAGCCTGCATAGACTGACATCAAGATACCGGTAAATCTGCCGCGCTTGACAGCCTAACCGTCTAAGGGTTTGTTACTGACTTCGCGAAACTCGTCTCCTTCCACCTGAACCTCGCGATCACGGATGCGGCGCATCAAGGCAAGGAAATTACTCTGTTGGAACTTCGGGCTTTGCTCATGTCGGACACTTTCAAGGAGCTCTCCCGCAGTTTGTGCTAGAGCATCGGCATCGTGGGTCTGGGTCTGTGGATTTTGATCGGTCTGAGAAATAGTGTCGGAACCGATTCGTATCTCTTCATGGACCGTTCCCAGGGTCTGAGGCAATGGCTCTGGCTCTATTTCTTCCTTTTTCTCGGCCTCTGCGGAAACAGCTTCATGCTCTTGTAGTTCCAAATCCGCCCGCGCTTGTGCAAACGCAGCCTCGAAGGCCGAGTCGTCAAATTGATGCTGCTCGGTATTTTGCTCGGTTCCTACGCCTTGGTGAGCTGGCTGCATGTTCATGGAATTCATGGAGCTATTGTATATTGAGCGGCTAGGAGCAAATGCCGGTTGATAGCCATGACTCTGTACTGGGCGGGTTTGGGAATGAAACGCTGGGCCACGCTGCTCCGCTTGCTGGTTGAGGAATTCGTTCTGCCACCCCATTTGCGCGACAGGGACATTTTGTAGTTGCGGGGCCGCCGGGCCCGATATATGAAGGTTTTGGAAGTCAGATGCCCAGTTGGCGCTTGGGGAGGTTACTGGAGCTTGTGCCGGGGCTCCAAAGTGAGTCTGGGCAGGATGCTGTACATTTGGTAAGGCAGGCCCTCCCAAATTAGCCTCAAAGGCCGCGAATTCGGGGTCCAGGATACCATCCCGCGAGTTCTGTGAGCGGAAACCCTGTGCTAGTTCTCAGTATCAGGGTATTCATGCCGAGTTGATCCTTCAGCGGTGGATTACCTGCGCCGGAGGCTGTCGGCTAATGAAGCGGTCTTGTTGCAGGGTGCGGTCGACCGACGCATGCTTCTGGAAGTTCTGTAACGCGTTCGATGGGCCACAAGTGGCATCACCCATGACTTCGGTATCGCTAGCAAGGCAAACCTTGATTACCACGAAGAATATGTAAAGAGAGAAACCAGAGCGGAGAAAACATGGGGAAGTATATCGTGGGGCAACCGAGGCAAAGGCATGTGTGAGTCACATGACCATAATGAGTAATCACTGATAAGGATAAGCGGTTGTTGTGGCTCCAGCGCATTCGATCTGGACATCTGGACATCTGGACATCTGATACCTTTCGGTGGCATCTTCCGGCACCATGGTGAGCTCTAGCTCTTCAATTGGAAGTTTCTTGTTCTGCGCTAATACTTGACCTAGGCGGCCCCTCAAGTTATCTCCAATTCGGGGCACGAAGACATGATTGTACGTACCAGTCTCGAGGGGCCGGCCCTCGTCACCCTTTGAAGCTTATGCTTCAGCTCTCAGACATTGATATCTGACACTATTATCATTTCTAGCATGATGCGGGATTAGATTACTACGGTCGCCGATTGGCTACTTGCTCCTCCGACAGAACGATAAAGATCTTTGAGATCGAGGGGGAATCACACCGCTTGGTTGAGACTCTGAAGGGGTAGGTTTATACCTTTAATAATCTAATATGGAAAATATCTTGCTAATACTTCTCTGGGCAGTCATGAGGGTGCAGTCTGGTGTGTCGCATGGGTAGGTGTTCCGAGATTGAATGTCTATATTCTGCCGTTGTGATTATAGCTAACCCAACCGCTCACCACAGGCGCATCCCAAATTCGGCACTATCCTGGCGTCTTCTTCCTACGATGGGAAAGTACTCATTTGGCGTGAACAACCACAAAATGCTACTTCGCCTGCCGGTGGCAGTACGTGGACCAAGGTCTTTGATTTCTCCCTCCACACGGCCTCGGTCAACATGGTATCTTGGGCTCCTCACGAGAGCGGATGTCTCCTTGCCTGTGCTTCCTCTGACGGCCATGTGAGCGTCCTCGAATTTCGCGACAATAACTGGACTCACCAAACTTTTCACGCGCATGGTATGGGAGTGAACTCAATCAGTTGGGCCCCAGCCGCTTTTGCGGGCAGCTTGATTAGCTCAACCCCAGGGCCTGGACAACAGAGACGCTTTGTGACTGGTGGAAGCGACAATCTCATCAAGATCTGGGACTATAAGTACGCCTCTTCCGAGGGACTATGTATATGGTTACAAGCTAACATTCCCCCTCCAGTGCCGAGACCAAGACCTACAACCCCACCCAGACCCTAGAGGGACACTCTGACTGGGTACGAGACGTAGCCTGGTCACCTAGCATTCTGTCCAAGTCGTATATTGCCTCCGCTTCGCAAGATAAGACTGTCCGGATTTGGACCTCTGATGCATCCAACCCTAACCAGTGGTCAAGTCAGACTCTTGAATTTGACACCGTTCTGTGGCGAGTAAGCTGGAGTTTGAGCGGGAACATCCTAGCAGTCAGCGGTGGAGACAACAAGGTGAGCCTGTGGAAGGAGAACCTGAAGGGCCAGTGGGAGAAAGTCAAAGACATCGAAGAGTAGTTTCTCATTCCATATCTTTTATTCCCTTGATCACATAATCGGGATTGAAAACTTTGTTATGTACATTCAACCAGAGCTTTCTGGCATATCCTCTTAGCCGGGCTCAGGGCAATCACTGTAGGAAAGACAGGAACACGACTTCGTGCTAAACGTCCCAGAAAACGAACGGGCCTCTTCCACTTCCGGTAGGTTCCTTCATATCGACCCACCGTCCCAACATCATCCTGCCTCCGGGAATAACGATTGCTTCGTACCCGTGAACCCAGCGAGCCGAATTGTGTTCCCCGGTGCCGCGTTCGTCCCCATCAACCTGTTCGCAGATGGCAAAGCAAATTCGAGTCCATCCATGGAATCCTCCGTAAGCAGCCGTGATGGGCTCGGTGAAACCGAACAGCGGGTTTTCTGCGCTCTTATAGCCATAGGTCGACTGAACGCCGCTGAAGTATTCCCGGTGTGCCCCTTCCTCTTGAGGAATGATCACGTTACATTCATCAGGCCAGAATGGCTCATCGGACTGGGATGTTATCTTCAGGGTCTGGCGTTTATTGTTAGTTGCGTCTTGTACCTTCTATTAGGGAACTCACTAGGATGTCGACCTGATCCCAATGGGAATCGAGGTCAGCACAAGTCTGCCGTTGTTGGAGTCCTGTCAGTGTATCTGGCATGGGATGAATGCAGGCTGCTCCTCTGTCAGTATAGATAGCCTTTCCGGTTCTCGTGTGTTCGGAGTCTCACAGTAATATCCCATCCAAGAAACACTGAGGCCTTCAGCCTTGGGGTCGGCCTTGAACATTTTGGGCTTCAATCTACGAGGCAGTCGAGAGAAGGAGTCATAGAATGTCGCCTCTTCACGAGTCAAAATATGACGTTGCCAAAAGCTGCGAAGGTCCAGAAGGGCAGCAAAATCGAAGCTTCCATTTCGTACTAAAGGCACCATATCTCCGTCGTTGTACGAATATGCGGTAGCAATATCGTAGTCGGTGCGAAGGCAGGGGATCGTTATGGTACTGTCGAACGCAAGCGCAGTCATATACTGGATGTTCAGGTCAGCGAAAAATCAGGGAAAAGGCCTACTTCTATGTCACCGACGATTTGAATTGCATGGAAGACTTCTGATGGCTTTTTGGTCTTTGGTTGGTTCAAAAACTCAACGTTGGCCATAACCTCGCGGATTCGAGCATAGTTCTTGGATGTCGAGTTGCCACCTCGCAAAGGCAGAGCCAATGCTTCTGTGAGCATTGTCTGGATGACTTCAAGCCACAAGGCCTTCTCCTTGGCTTTTCTCTCCTTGCTGCTTGGTCTGAAATTCATCTTCTGGGGGAGAACGATTGCGCGAGTCTGATATTCATACATCAGCTCACGAGATGTTCTGCCCTCCAGGGGCAGATCGTATTTCGCTCGAAAGCGACTTCTCCATGTCAATCCCTCGAAACTCAGGACTCTGCTCTTCGCCTCCTTGCAAGTAGCGGCGAGGTTGATCAAGTCTTGATCATTTTGAAGAAGCGCTGCCACTTGCTGGAGGATCTGGATGGGATGAAACTATTAATATACACAGATGTACCTCGATTAATTTGCAAGACCCCGTACCTCATTCGGAAGCTTCAGAAGGTGACTTCCTGCTGCCATTGTGTTTAGGCACAAGTGCTAGTGATGTTGCAGAGTTGAGTGGAGAGAGAGGAAGAGAGAAGAAGAAGTGGGGGGTAGTAGAGGGAATAGTAGAGTGAATGTGAGGCAGGACATACAATGACATTCACTCACAAGGTCAGAAGACAATCTAACCCCAATCTAAGTCGATATTTCCTCACGAGTCCCCTCTCTTCGGCGCAGGCTTTCCTTCACTCCCCAGCCATCAGCCAACAATCCCTTCACTTCTTCCAGCCCCAAGCCACTCATTTCTGGATAGATCGCTCGTATGGCCACCCACCCCACTGCACAGATCCCTGCATAAACAGTGAATGTCCATGTAGGTGTCATCCATTCCATCATTGGCAAAAATGTCAGGCCGACTATGAAGTTGGATCCCCAGTTGGTTGCCGTGGCTAACCCAGATCCCAATGACCGTACGTTCAAGGGGAACAACTCTGCCTGTTGCCAGGGCACATTTCCTAGTCCAAAAGCATAGGCGGCAACATAGATTATCAGACTCAGCAAGATGAGAAAGGGATAAAGACGATTGCCACTTTCCTGACCCTTTGGACCATCTGTTTCGGGGCTGAAGGAAATATCCAAGGAAGAGAATGCCAGCGCACAAAGTCCCAGCGCGACTATCATCACAGGTATCGAATACAACAGGATGCGACGGCGGCCAATTCTATCAATATATACGAATGCAACCAGTGTGAAGAGAAAATTAGTGCCCGCGATTGTGAGTGAAGTCAGAGTTGGCGAGGAGAACGAAAGAGCCGAGAAGATGATTCCCGAAAAGTACATCAGGCTGTTAAACCCGCACAGCTGCTGGGCCGCTTGAAGCATCATGGCAATTGTTAGAGCCCTCCGATTGCCCCCTCGGAAAAGTGTTTTTAAACGGTGAGAGGTATCGCGCATCCACTGGGCAGAAATGCCAGGCGGTTTCGTGCCGTCTATGTCCACTCTTTCTTGAGCAATTTCACTGCGTATATCCCGTAGTACTTGATGGACTACACGATCACGTCCCTGTGAGGTTTGGTAAATGCGCTTCAGGACGCTGACTGCCTGGTCATCCAAGCCAGCTTGTATAAGCCACCGTGGTGTCTCCGGCAAGAAACCGAGGACCGCAAATTGAAGAAACGCAGGCAGGGCTCCAAGGCCCACAATCCAACGCCAGCCGCCGACAGCATGGGAAAACAGCCACCCGACAACGTATGCAACAACCTGACCACCTGTAATCAACAGGCTAAGGATTGTGACCAATCGACCCCGGGCATGCGAGGGCGCTACCTCTGCGATATACCTGAGCCAAAACGTTAGCTATATATGATACCGTGGTCTGCATGCTTCAATGGTCACAATACAGGGGAGTTATAGCGCTCGCGCTGCCAATCGCAAGTCCGACTATGCTACGTCCAATAATCATGATCCATACATGGCTTGTGAAGGTCTGGACTAGGGCCCCCAAAGCAAAAAGACCGTCAGCCACTAGGATCACGCGGCGACGACCCCACCTGTCCGCAAGAATACCAGTGAAAGGACTCGCAATCAGTGCGAAGAAGCTAGTGCTGGAAGTAATGAGGCTTTCATCAAGCGTCGACAGTGGTCGATGCGAAAGGTCTGAGCCAATCGTCACCAAAGTGGAAGATATGACGCCGGTACTGAATTTCCCACCCCCGTTAGCCACTGGAAACAGGGGCATGCCGAAGAAATCTCACTTACTCGTAGCCAAACAGAAGTCCACTTATCCCGGCTGAGAATGTAAGGAACCATATGAACCACCCATCCGAGGTCGGCACGGGCAAGATATCGTCTCCGTTATCAAGAAAGGAATCGGCACTTGGATCACCCGAGGAGAGCAGTGGAGCATGAGAGCCGACGTGCTCATGGCCGTCCCCTGATATCATTGTCGCGGTAGAATGGCGTTGACCTGAAAGAAGACTACCTAGGGAGGTTCACGATAAGCACCAGATAACGCCCGGGCGGGCCCCAAGCTTAGGTGATCCAGTTCGGGCCCGGGGCCTTCCTATAACTACTGCGTACTGGAATGTCTAGGAACAACTTGATTGGCGCAAGTTTCCGAGAAACACGAGGTTTAATTCTGATTACGATCGTGATTCACATTTCCTTCTTTGAGGGTAGGTCCCTTAAGTCAAATATATTGCAACATGAAGACTTAATGTTTAGCTACCACACCAGCCTCATCAGCTTGCGCACTAATCATCTTCTTGTACGCCTTGACATCTCCATCAAATTTATGCACCGTTCCTTGGTCACAGACCCAGAGACTAGTGCACACATTCTGAAGCATGGTAACGTCGTGGGAGACCATGACCACACCTCCCTCGAATCGCGTAAGTGCTTCGGACAGAGCATCCATACCTTCGATATCCAGATGGTTGGAAGGTTCGTCGAGCACCAGAATGTGAGGATTGGTGAGGGACAAGCACGCAAATGCAACACGGGACTTTTGACCTCCTGAGAGTAGCTCCATCCGTTGGAGACCAGTCATGCCGGTAATACCGAATCTGTGCATACTGTTAGATTGGATCACGGACTCGGGAGGATGGATACTTACGCGCCAAGGTGCCGTCGGTATTCTTCGTCACTCTTGCCCGGGTATGTCTTGGCCATGAAGCTCACGGCGCTAGTGGTCAGGTCCAGGGCATCTACATGATGCTGCGCGAAGAAACCAATGCGCAGTCGTGTATGGGCAGAGATCAATCCCTTGGTGGGCTGAAGCTGACCGGTGAGAAGTTTGAGCACGGTGGTCTTACCAGCACCGTTCGGCCCAACGATACCAATCCGAGAGTCCAATTGCACATCCAGATCGACATCTTTAAGAAGAGGCTTCTCGGGGGTATAGCCAAAGCAGACATCGGACATTTGAACGATTGGAGGTGATAACTTCTCAACCTCCGGGAATTGGAAGTGAACGACATATTCACTTTCTGGGGCTTCCAAGACCGGCATACGCTCCAACTTTTTGATCCTGGACTGGGCCTCTGATGACTTTGCAGCATTATAACGGAACTTGTCGATGAACGCTTTGGTTTATGTCAGCACTCCGTTCATGATTTGTCGTCTCAGTGCAGGGACTTACCTTGTAGGTGCGCTCGTTCGGCCATTTGCTTCTCGTACTCGCGCTTGGCGGTCTTCCTTCGCTCTTCCTTAGTGGCATAGAACGATTCTACCATATGTCAGTTTCGAAGACGTAAGGACATTCTCCAAGAGAGGGTAAGAGAAGGGGAGGGAGGGGGGGGGGGAGGGGTTCGCTTACCGAAGTTAGCTCCGCGGTAGTAATCTAATCTCTCTGAATGCTGGTGAATAATGTCGGTGGCCACTTCGTTCAGGAATGCACGATCGTGGGATACCACAAGGACAGTGCTAGGATAACCCTGAAGATAGTTCGATAGGAAGGTAATAGACGGAACGTCCAACATGTTCGACGGTTCTGCCAGAGTTAGCCGTTGAATAAGTTCGAGTTCGAGGGATCAACCAACCGTCAAGAAGCAGCAAATCAGGCTCACAGAAAAGAGCTCGAGCCAATGCCAAACGCATTCGCCAACCTCCAGAAAACGTCCGCGTTGGGTATTGTTGTCGCTCGGGAGAGAACCCAAGACCAGCCAAGATACTTGCTGCACGCGATTCGGCCTTGTCTGATTCCATTTCGGATAGTTTGGAATAGATATCGCTCAATGTAATGTCCAATCCCTCGCGCTCATGGTCCAGTCGTGCAGCATCTTTCGAAGTATCTGCTAAAGAAGACCTTTCTTCTTCTATAGCAGCTAGCTGATTGGTAATTTTCTAGAAAGCGTCGTTAGTGGAATCCTCGCTGTACCAGGCACTGCCACTTCATTCATATGATACTTACAGTTTGCTGCTCAAGTAGATGCTTGCGCCAAACGTCTGCATCCAAGACGGCCTGAAGAGCCGGGGTCTCATCACCTGTGATCTGAGGAAAGCAAGTTAGCACCAGTGAATGGAAAAGGGTTTCTGGAGTCTTATCAGACCTCTTGCTCTACATGAAGAATTGAGATATGGTTTGGAATAGCGACTTCTCTGCGGCTCAGAGCCCGTAACAGAGTAGACTTTCCGATACCGTTTTGACCCACAAGACCATAACGACGACCGTAGGCGAGAGTTAGATCGGCATCCGTCAAAATACGCTGGCCTCCGATTGTGATATCAATTCTATCCAGTTTCACATCCTTGCTCTTAGACTGCGAATCGGAGCCGATTTGTAAAGGATTGACTGCCATGAAGAATTCTTCATATGTCATTGTTTCATCAGGTTGGTTGAGTAGGCGTGACGACTCATATTGCACGGTTTTCATCTGCTTCTTCTCTTGCTTGGCTCTAATCTTGCGTTCAGCCTTCTCCAGCTTCTTCTTATCCACTCGAGATTCCACTTTGCGAGCGTTGGCCGATTCCAGGTCCACGTTGCCTGCTGCCAGCCCCATAGTCGAGGAGAGATTACGCTGGGAACCGACATTGATGGTTTGATCCAGCTTCTTAGCCGTGAACGGCATTTGTCTGCTCTCTGCGTCTATACCATTGGAGGAACTAAGAGTCGTGATGAACTTCTCTACTAGATTCCCAATTGCATCATAGTTTTGCGGCGAGAAATCGCCCGACGCAGAGACCAAAAGCTCTGTCACTGTTTCTGCAGCTTCAGCGAGAGGGGATGGCGCATTTGCATCCTCCACGTAAAGGTTCGAGGCGTGGGTCAAGTATCCCTCGAAACTAATTAGTTTTTGTGAACGGCAGAAGCGGGCAAGTACATACCACGGAGTATTCGGAAATCACCCTGTCCAGACCAGGGATCTGGGCCTGGATTTCGGCTTCCATGACAGATTCAGTGGATGGAGGCTAAGCTTCTTCGACGAGCCAAGGTGATATCAACGTGATTTGAAGATCTGGGGTAGAATCAGTTGCGAAAGTGGCGTGTTTTTCAGTGCGTTATCGATAAGATCACGTGGCTCCATGGGCAGCTTTTTTGGCGGAGTCGCCTATGGAAATTCACATGCATGAAGGTCACCAAACTAAAGTATGAGTACCACAGACTACTTCCCTAGCCTTTACGTGGTGGCTATTTGAATGAGTTCTTTACCGGATAAGTGCCTCCTAATGAATCTACTACTCTGGAAGGTTTTCAATAAACCTGCGGAGTGGGAGTCGCACAGGAGCATTTGTAGTTTGTTTATCTAGACCAGCCCTACTAACCAAACAATCCGGACTTTGGCCAGTGGATGTCTATGCCTGGATGACTGGTAGCCATTTATAGCTTTGCACATGTTTCTGCAATCTACTAATTCAAATTGGAATCGTGGCACTACGGCTTGCGCATCTGAAGGCCTGCCAAACCGGCTGGCGGCTGGCGGCTGCAGGGGCTGTTTCTGTTCCTGTTGGGCCCAGACCGCGGATCAACCATTGGACCAGATTCATCTGACAAAATCAATAATGAACACGTCAGGTTACTGCAGATAGGAATTGGTCATCCCTGCCTAGCGCTAATAATTGGCCAGAGGGGCCGGAGACAAACAGTGTTCCCTTGAGGGTACAAATGCCCACTTTTCTGCCTCAGCAATCTCTCCAGCGCAGCGCAACATTGTTGAGACATGGAAAACTTTGTTTTTGACTCTTGGGATTCTGGATCCGATCGGCTGACCTTAGCTCAGCACGAGAAGTTCCATCTCGTGGATCGGTACAAAAGTCAGCATGTACGAACCGCTTGCCGTGTGACCCACCAGCTGAGTGGCCCCTTTCATTTACAAGGTGGGGAGTATGACGCTATCCAAGATGTGGTTTCCAGGATCTTCCAGATCGTATCCTGTTTAGGAGATGGGAAGCGGAATAAAGGCCCAGGCGAGAAGTTTGACCAGCAAACAAGTCTGCCCAGCAGGAATGGACAGATCGAGTGGATGACAGGCTTCGAGAAGGCTGGAGTCGCCTAATGCATCTTGTGGATTACGGGACTCATGCGGATTGGGTGTTTCAAGAGCGGGAGATGCCAAGGTCGGCAGTCGCAAGGGAACAAGTTCAACCGAGTGGACACCGATCGCGCGACTAACGATCCAGGTGGAGGTCCCCCGGGGAATTGCGCTTTTTCCTTGCTGAGCTGAAAGCTTCCGCTCCCACATGTGAGCCGCAAGGGAGACCCGCACTGAATGCTGGCCGTTTGGGAGGACGGGAGGCGATTTGCAATGACTGGCGACAATAGTGCTGATTGTCGAGGTCCAAACGTACGAGTAGCTGGGTCTATACCCGATAACATCCGTGGATACAAGTCGAGAAGAAACAACAAATGACCATAATTCTTGTTCGTCGGATCCAGATCCAGATCGGGCAATCCATTGTTAATCTCGACCTCCTAGCGTGCCTAATTGCCCAGGCCCCAAGTTGAGTTTAGCGCAAAAACTCCCCGTTGTTGTTGTTGTTGATACTACTTTCGTCCCTCGTTTTGTCCCTTCATTTCCCCTCCTTCACACGCCCTGCAGGGCATCGGGGCCGGTCTACTCTCCTTAATTAGGGAGATATCAGCCCTCCACAGGGCATTGTCCATTTCCATACGGGCCACCAGAACCCTCTTGGTCCCTGACACACGAGATCCGGTTCCCGACTCACGCTCGCTCAACCTCTTCCCCGCAACCAAATGGAATGTCACCCAAGACTCTTGATCCTGTGGAGTTAAGCTGGAGAGTGCGCGACACTCTCAGCATTCTCGGAGGATGGACCACGTATCTACCGTATGTTCATAGCTTTTCGTCCCCCCTCCCCACTTGGAGAGTAAAACTAAAACCTCACAGCTCTGTGCTTTAAGCACCGTCGGAATCGCACCCACTGGCCTTGCCTTGGGCCAAATTGATCGCAAAAAATCGCGCTTGCGACAGAAAACATTACCTCATATTCGGCCCCTTTCCCTTGACGCAATCACCCCGGACGAAGTGCGACCAAGCACTTCTCGGATCGGCCACCCCGCGGCCCAGAAACCACACAATGAGAATCATGATAATCAGCCTTCACGGGGTCTCCCTTTACGCAGGGCTTCATTTTCTTTTGGAGCAGCTAGAATGCGTCGCCGCAGGCAGACCATGACAACAACTCCAGTACAGATCCGCGAGAACGAGGCGACCGCATCGTCAGTACGGCGACCATCAACTAGCTGGCTGCGGCGGCTATCCATCGTCTCTTTTCAAACCGACAGTCCTGCCGCCAACAGCCCAGTAACACCGTCTTTCCATGGCTCTGAGAGCCCGATTCTGCCCGGCCCACCCAGCCACCAGCGCAAACCCCCCAATAAATTAACCAAGCGCCCGTCGTCCCAACGATCCAATGTCAGCCCCCTGTTTGCCAACCCACCCGGGTCTGCTGCGGCCTTACGTAGACCGGCAACCAGCTATCAACGGTCCGAGACATCGCGCGTGCAATTTCCTCTTGTCACAGACTTTGAATCTCGTGGCGCCGAGGGCTCGGAGTCTCTAGCAGCAATGAGCAAGTTTCAAATTCATGCCCAAACTGAATGGGAGCCATATTTGTTTTCCCGCAGTTCGAAATCGCAATCAAGGCACATTGTACCTGATCCTAATACATTGCCCGTCCTGGTTCCTGCGCCCTCGGTCATAACCAGAACTGCGTCCATGCCGAACAATAGTCTCTCCGAGCCTATCACCCCGCAAGTAGTGGCATTCCGTGATCCATTTCAAGGTTCAAAAGACCAGATCACACCGCTGCCTGTCCCAATTGGGCGATCTGCTCATAAACACTCATACTCACTCAACGATGGGGAACCGAAGAGAATCGTTGTGAACACAGTGACTGCATCCGGAGCGCCTCTTCTGGGCCGGCCTCGTGGGGGATCTCTGAAGCGCGTCAAAGGAAGAACTTTCTCTGTCCCTCGCTCCGAGCTTTCGAAGCCTGACACGACGTCAATTGACGTGCCACTCTCACCCCCGCGTAATCTGCAACGGCCACGACGAAATATCACTGACCCCAGTATCTTCCGTCAACCGCATGCTCTCTCTCCTCCTAATCTCTCCTTAGCTGGGTTCCCAAGCAGCTCTCAAGTAGGCCCCCGATCAGTGTCACAGGACTATAGTATCGGTTTACAGCGCAACCGTCCGTTAACGTCCGATGCTGTCGCACTCTCTACTTGGCAGCACGCCTGTCGTTCAGAAAACCATCCATATTCGTCTCTTCGCCGCCGGCCCAAGAGACACTCGATTGCAGCTTCGGATCCACCATCAACAGTGATTGGCTCTGACGACACCCGAGTATTCACCTCCAGTGATGAATACGAGACTGACATCATGACGGACTATTGGGATTCGATCCGCACGCGGGAAGTCGGACGGGGCGATCTTAAGGGGCTGCGAATTGAGACGATGTTTGATCAAGTAGGGGCGCGGCTGTCGAATGAGGAAGTTACCACCCTGGAAGATTTGTTACCACATGGTTCATTCGCATCCCGCTTGGAAAGAGACCCGTCCCTCTTCACTGGCTCTCTTCTTCCTCCCATTCCTGTTCACATTGACGATGAAACATCCTTATTCGAAGGTGAAGCGGAAACGCACAGTATGATCGATGACTTGCCGGCTGATCTCGAAAGAGCTCCTCCAGCCATGTCCAACCGAGAAGACGATGAATTTCCAGAGTTTCCCCCTGACCTTCCACCAAAGGAGCTGAAAAGTCAAAAAATGAACATTTTTGACTGGTCTGAGCAGTCGCGCCCAGATCGTGATCTGTCAGACTCTGAGACACGGCCAAGAACGGTTCATGGAAAGCAAAACGGCGTTGACCGAGGAAGCCGAACTGCCTGCCGTAAAGTTCCATCGACGATTCACTTAAGGAGCCAAAGTGTGCCTGTTGCCAGAGAGGTGGCTACAAATGACTCACGTCAAAGCTCCGGCAAATTCGGTACATGGGGTCTAGGGACGAAGGGAGTGAGTGAAGATTGGGACAGTGACTTTGAATTTGAGGATGAAGATGACGCCACCCCAAGTCAAGAGACGAAGTCAACTGAACCCGAGGCAGGGGCAGCACAGAGGATGGCTGTGCCTCAGGCCATTCTTGAGCGGCAGGCCAGCTTGCGGGGTCAATTTGGCCAGGTGCAAGAGCTCACACTGTTGGTGGAGGAACTCAAACGCCTGAGACATCAGGCGAGTGTGCTCGATATTCTCAGTGGACCGTCGAGTGAATTATGGAAAGAAGCCGAAGGGATTGTCAATTTGGCGACTATTGACGATGAGGAAGATCACCGCTCTCCCCCCGGTTCACCTTTGTCCCTCACCTTTAGTTTCGACGACTCGGATGAGGAAACGTTGAATGGGAAACGCAACAGTGCTACCTCCTCACAACCGGCTGTCCAACCTCATAGCCAAGCTCTCAAACCATTTGCCCGGGATTCGCCCAAGTCGAAGTCTGTCCTTGACATTCTCCAGCCTGAACAACGCCCAGACGCTACCAGACTGAACACATCACGACCTCAGAAGCTTCCGTTCGATACATCCTCCCTGCGAGATTTGGTTGTTCGCGCAGGCGTGGTAACTCGTGCCCTCAAGGAAGTGATTCGTAAAGTCGAAGGCGTTGATTCTAACCCCGAGAGCATGTTTCCCTCTGATCCCCCTTTCCGACGAATCTTCGATCAACCTTCTCATGATGATTTAGCGAGCTTTGACGCCGCATTGGCAGAAATGCGCTGACACCTCAAATCTCCACCTCTCCTTTCCGAGTCACGTCCCAACGTCTTTTCCCGATTATCATGCCTTCAACTCCTGCACGATGAACGACCGATCTCTTTCTCGTTCGGGCATTTTTTTTCTCAAAAGCCATTTCATACATGTGTACAACTTTCCATCGTCCTGTATTCTGTGTACCTTGCTACGCCATGCTTCCTCCATGTGTACCCGACCACATATTGTCGACGAAGTAACCCTGACTTTCCTATGTTATGCACCTGACCAACATTCCCCTCTTCCGGCATGTTTCTCTCTTATTTGCTTCCCATTCATCTTTGTTGCATATTTGCGCAGCTTATACTCCATAATTGCGCCGTAATATTCTTGAAGGCTCCTGATGATGTGCTTAGTGATGATGTCTGAAGAATGAGGGCCTTTGATAAAACAAGGTCTAATGTTATGCATATTTAGCCCAATCTTCGGGGCAATACTCTGGTACAGATGTCCTCCCAATATCTTCTTCATCCTGATACTTGTCTGTGGCGGGTGTAGCTATGTGTAATTCGGGGGTCCAATCGTTGTCTACTACTATGCGATTCAAACTTGCATTACAACTGCGAACTACTCTGGTTCGTCCACGAAGAGAAGCTTACGGCCAGGTACGGATATACGGGGGGGGACCACTGAATAACTAGTTAGTTACGAGTCAGCGGTTGACTAAGAGGCGTCAAACCCCTTTTAGGCATGTACATAGTTAAAGGAGCGTATATCAACCCGGAGGCAATCCAAAAGCACGTATGAATATCGTGCCTTGTATCACGGAAGAGTTTCATACCACTGATTTACAAGAGCGGAGAAAGTCACAAAATCGACCCTGGAGCTAAAAAGAGCGCGATGCACCAACTAGCAAGAGAGCCCTTGGGCAGAACGGTGGACTAAGACGGAAAGGGAACGCCCGACGTCTCAGATTTAGAGCGCATGGCTCAGTGTGGCGCGCTTGGGGCTGATGTACACACACCGGGGACCCTTACAGGCTGTTGGAGATGTACTGCGTAAGGGTACGAACAGAAAGATAGCAGTACACCAGGGGACACCAGTAACAAAGGTAAGAGGAGGGTAATGAGACGGGCCCCCGCTGGTGCCAGGTACACAGCCAATCAGCATCGCGGTGCCCCTGGACCAGAGATGAGTCTACTCTGGGGCCGAAGTCTCACGGCCTTGCATGCTGCAGAAGACGAGATTCTTCGTCACGGTGGACGGCTTCTAAGACAACAACAGGGCCCAAAGTCTAAGCAAGCAAGAAACCAAGGACCTGGGCACCTGGGCAGAAGGGGAAAGCAGAAGAGTTTCTAATTTTACCGACCCAGGAGCTCAGGGGAAACCGAATCCACACTGACGGGGTCACTAGTCCTGCTAGTAATCCATCCATCCATACAGAGCACGCAGCGTATCTCCGTGTATTGTATTCCGTACCTGATTCCCATGAGGCCCAGAATCTCGCCCCTTCTCCTCTTCTCCGTCCTTCAACTCTTGTCACCACCCTCATTCATTCCCTTTGGCCGCTGGCCTGCCACTCTTTTGGTATCATCGCGAAGGACCGTGGTCCTCTTCCACTCTTTTCACCTTTGATTTAAGATTTGGCAACTGTTGCAGCACTCTCGTTTCCCCCCCCCCAAAAATCGCTCACCTGAACTGTGCCGGAACCTTGTTCAATGACTTCGAACTAAATCTTTTCACCCGACTGTTTTATTTGTTCCTCGTGTCGACCGGTCTTCGTTCTGGTAACGAACATTGTCGACTGGCTCTTGGCCCTCCCATCATGCCTCACCACCATCATGCCGATATGATGATGAGGCATCACCATGTCGAGCGGCAGGGCGTCCCATCCGAGCCATTATCGGATCTGTTTCCAACACCGACAAGTATCGAGGCAGACCTGTCTGTTTTGGTGCCACGTTCAGATAGCACATGTGGAGGCCAGTCATGCGAGAAGCCCGCAAGCAACCTCGAAACAACAGTGTTGCCCGTGGTACTTGGTGCAGGGTAAGCGGTTGTGCGTAGAGTGATCCTTGAACCCATGCTGACACGATGTTTCTACAGTGTACCTATCATATGTGCCATCGTTGTATTGATCATTCTACACCGCCGTCATGTCAAGAAGTTGATGCGAGAAGACGCAAATGATAAGCACAAATCCCTGGATTTTGGCCTAGATCCCGTGGGTCCACCAAGACGTAATAAGGCACATCCTGGAACCCCCCAGATGATGGAACCCGCTCATGGCAAGGGCTTGTCGCTCGATATTGCTCCGTATCTGATGCCCCCTGGTCTACACGGCTCTCGGGACTCTTTGAGCTCCGTAGCTCGTTCAATCGATGACGACAAGTATCGACCGGCTACCTTCCTTACGCACGACAATGCATCTGTCCGATCATTCCCTAGGAATCGCGATGACGCTTCTAGTTTTACGGGATCCCGGCTGGGTACCAATGAAGAACCCGACGCTGGTCTTCTGAGAAATGCGCAGCGGATATCTCGCTCGTCTCCACCGAGGCACCGAAGCCCCCCCCGCCCAAATGGGGCCTCCATCTCCCCAGAACGATGCTGATCTTGGGGTTGGAGCGAATTATGTTGCCCCAGAGCATGAAGCCCACGATAAATCAGGCGCGGCTCCCGAGCCGGAGTTCCATCTGGATGCACCTCCAACCCTGAACTTCGAAGCCGAACCGCATCAGGATCATGCTTATGATCGCCCTAATTTCCCGCTGCCAGAAGCGCCGGCCGAGGCTCATACTACACCCTCTACTCAAGAACTCCCACGCATTTCGTTGCCTGCTAGCGATATCACCAGCAGTGATTATGGAGATGATCATCGCAAATCCCAGTTCGTGATTCCTGAAGTGAATGTTCATGGCACAGAAGAACATGTACCGCTTGAAATTCCAGAGCCGGACAAGTCCCCAGAGTACCCGGAAGAACCCCAGAATCTCGACTCTGCGTATGTCAACCCCCGAGACACTCGCCGGTTGACTCTCGGAGTGCGCCCATTGCCACCAGAGGATCCATCGGACAACCCTGAGCAGCGTGCCAACCGGATTCGATCTTTCTACAAAGAATACTTCGATGACAGTAAGCGAGAGACTACCTATTACGAGGATTATGACCCTGAATTCTATGATGGTGGCTACGTGTACGATCCAGCCACGGGAGAGTACTTTGATGCCGCCGCTCCCCTCTTCCCTACGCTGAGCCCATCGGTCGCCGAGCCATGACTCCCCCTCCACGAGCTCCGCCCCGGTTCCAGGGTGCGGCCCGCCATATGGCTACGGGTTCAGCGGGCTATAATGGAGTGGGTACCGGTCCGCGAGCATTCTCTTCTGCCTCTGGCCAGTTGCGCGGTCCCCGGGCTCCTCGTAAACCAATTCCACCTCCTGCGCCACTTACGATTCTCCAGTCTCCGCATATGCTAAAGGATGATGCTATCATGTCGGCAGTTGATTTTGCGCCTGGTTCAAGCTTCCGTGATCAGCGCGATGGTACACCCGGCACGCCTACTGGCGGTGTGCGTCCCTATAGTCCCTCTATTCGTGCTCACACTCCGCTTGTTTCGGCTTTTGACGAACTTGCCGCAATTCCTAGCCCGTAAGTTCTTCACTATCTCAGATATCTCTCCGATTTTCGATGTCAGATCTTCTAACTCGACGTTCTAGACACGCATTACGCAAGTCCGGCACCTATACTAGCTTGGATTTCGCCCCGCCTGGTCGTTTCAGGGGTAATGATGGTGGTAGCGAGACTGGCAGCGTTCGCAGTATGCGTACCGGTATCTCCAACACGCATATGAACAACATCCGTAATGGTAACTACCGGGTCAGCCGACTGCCGGCCGATATGGTGGGCACTCGAGACGACATGATGGCCAGCTTGAAGCCCGATTGGGGTATGAATCGATAAGCCCATCTCACCATTTGCTGTCACGATCTTGTTATTCTAGGGTAATATGAACACCCTGTCATGACCTCTCTGCAAAGGAGGACGGTTCTGCCTCCCGGATTTGATTGTTCTAGCTTTACTGAAATTCCTTGTCTTTCTTACCCCCTTTCTTTCTTTCTTTATTTACTTATTTTTTTTTTTTTTTTTTCTTTTTTTGGGGGCGTATATAGAAAATGGTTGGACCCAGTTACATTTTGTGTCCCGTTCCAGGGCGATCTCTCTTGGTTTTCTCGAATTGAATTTCTTTTACCGGTCCTTCTCGAGGTACTGGCTGTATATATATACGTGTTTGTGTTTATGTGTCCGTGGTGTTGTGTGTACATGTATACCTTGCATGGATCCGTGATTACTTTTACTAGCGTAGACTATCATCGTCATGTGGCCCAAGGCCTGGATGCGTCTTGGTAGATCCACTTGGTCATGTTTGTAAGGCTGTGGGGCAGATCCATCCCCCTTTCTTTTCGAATTCATCACGTATGTATAAGCGGTTGAACGAAACGGCTGCCCCTTCTACACTGAGAATTGGAACCGGTGAAATGTATATAGATATAAACAGTATTGTATGATCGAGTAAAGGAACGCAGAAAAACCATAATGCCAGAATCACGGAAACTTGGGGGTTTTCTCCAATTTCTCCACCAGCAAAAAAATCTGAACCGTTGGCACCAAGCCTGCTCGTCCAATCGCGCCGCCCCGATCCAGGCGCAAGTGAAACAAAATGCCGAATGCAACGAAGAAAGAGATTGTTGGAACCGTCAACATTGGCCCCAGAAGAATTGAGGAAGCCGAAGCAAGAGAATAAAAGGGTTTCCCGGAAATAGACATACGAGAAATACAGAGGGCCTAGTAATCTACCGTCGAGATGACGGATTCCGAAATTGTTCCCGGCTCCACCCTAGTAATAATACGCCTCTAGCGTACACCGTGGTATTCCCATAATCCACACAGCCCCCCGTTCCTCTCAAACCCCCCCCGAATCCGGCTTGCTCTCCTCCATCTATGGCTCCCGACTAGACGAGTCCGGATCTCTTCTTTTCTTCTCTCTACAAACTCTTTTTTACTGTTCATTACTCGCCTTGCTCATGTGGTGATTGCTTCTCTGCGGTCAAGTTCTCTCCTCTCCCCGAGGCAACCGTTGTCGCTTCATTTCACTTCGTATCCTCGTCACTCGTTCTTCTATCTGAATATCCTTTCGTCTTCATTCCGGTTGGAATCCTTAGAATCTCAGGGCGGCTTACTCCTGCGACATCCTGCACGATCGGGCCCTCAGCAGCGTTATTGGCACCCTCGTCACCTCGGTCGACGCTTTGAAGACTTAGAACATTTGATCCCGAGCCTTCTTGCTTGATCACAATGTCTACCGCGAAAGCCGTCGCTGCTGCGGCTACGACGAGTGCTTCTCCTGACAAGACCAATGCGAGCGCGAGCAACACCGAACCTGCCTCCTCATCGGCTGATCCAACAACCTCGGCAGCAGCGCCTACAAGCCCCAGTGAAACGTCCACTAACCCCGACCCCAAACCCACGACTTCTGCCACGGTGACTTCGGATTCTTCCCCAGCGCCTTCGACTGCGCCTTCGCCTTCGACTACGACTACAGCCCCTCCCACGTCGACTGTCGAACCCACCACTTCCACTACCACTTCCGAGGCTCCCACAACGACAACCGCCCCAAGCACGACAAGCAGTGCGAGCACCAGCAGTACGGAGACATCTACCCATACCACTGTGCCCCCGAGTACAACAGTCGTAGTAGTGACATCCAGCGACACTGTCTACACATCTCCAGTCGTCAGCGCAACCCCAACTTCGACTGACTCTGCGGCTGGAGCGTCATCAAGCCCCGCCGCTAAGAGCAGTGGCTTGTCCACCGGTGGTACCATTGCCGTGGCAGTTGTTGTGCCAGTGGTTTCGGTGGCCCTTATTGTCGCGGCCGTGATTTGGTTCTGGCGCAAACGCAAGGCGAATAAGGCGGCAGAGGAAGAACGCCGTAAGGAAGTGGAAGAATACGGCTTCAACCCTAATAATGATCCTACGCTGCCTGGTGTAGGAGGAGCTCTTGCAGCCAAAGATGATACTGCAGCCGGTTATCGTGGCTGGGGTACGACATCGGCCGGACGGAAAGCGTCTACCAATCTTTCGAGCGGCATGGGTGGCTTGGCCATGTCAGAGGGTAGTGGTCCCGGTTACTACCATGGGGCAACCCCCAGTGAGGGAACTGTGCATTACTCGGATGGCGTCCGACCAGATTCGGGCGAGGTCGAGCCTGTTGGCGTGCTGGGTGCAGCCCCGGTGGCTGCCAAAAATAACCGGGGGGATATTCATCGGGGCCCCTCTAACGCATCATCCGCCTATTCGGCGGCTAATCATTCAGAAGCATCGGAAGAGAGCCACATGTCAGCAGCTCACCCCTCAGGTGGATATTACGGGGATAACCCATACTATGGAGATTTGAGCCAGCACGGCGCATATGGTGAGGATAATTACCAACCCGTCATTCGGGATGTGTCAGCGCGTCGCAACACTCGCATTGAGAACCCTGGTGTTTTTCCTCGGCAAGGGAACGCCGGGATTGCTCAGAACTTCTGATTTCAAGCTGGGTCAATTTTTCGTGCCAAAAATTCGATTCTTCGTCCTGTTTCATTCTTACCACTGCTGATTCCACTCCTTTGTTTTCGGACGTGATGTCCTCCTGGCTTAATCGCCCCGATGTTTATTTCTTATTCTTATTCTTTGTTTTTTTCGTCCTTGGCGTGATGGATCCTTCGCTTCATGTGTTTATTGACTTGTACCTTTTCTCTCCTGTCTCGATTCCCTCCCATAATTGGCCGTTTCCCCCTTTCTTGGGATCACTACTCTCTGTGACATGCCTTCACTTCCCCCCTTCGATCTGTCTGATATACATCTCGCATCTGGTTCTACCATACCCATCCTTTTTGATCTTTCTGTTTGTTTCCCCAGGCAAAAGGGCGGGGGAAGCTTTACAACATGATGTACATCTCCTTCCCCCCACCCTTTTCATGTCACATTTGGAGTTCTTCCTGGACTTTGAAATTGTTCCTTCTAACATTCTGTGATTTTGCTCTTTCTCCATATATAGTTTGACGAATCGAGTCACCTGGGTGGTGATTTAGTGTAAACGCAGAAGTGCCATCAATAGAGTCAAGATAACATAGTCATCCCGGTCGAGAGCTCGACCAGTAGTAGGCCGGACCTGTCGATCTAGCTGCATGGAGCTGGGGCTCGAGAGTACATGAAGATACCTTGGAAGCACCAGGGGCGATATGGATTGCGTTGTACTTGGGAGGTACCGACTCCCCACTAACCGCAGCCCATCGTCCGGCAACGTGCGCGTGCTGTTCGCGGTGATTGGTGGTCCGAGCTCCCCACTCCCGGGCTCAAATGAACTTCACCTTTTACTCGCCCTTTTTGGGATTGACTAGGAGAAAAGGAACAGACTGGACCCCGCTGGCAGTGTGTCGACTGCGGTGCTCTTTTGCGGGACCTGATTTCTGCCAGAGAAGTCTTTCTCCCTCCTGCCCTGCATACCATCAAGAGGGTATGCGACACATCTTGTCATACATCTGGTGACACAGCGCTTGTCCCACTATCATCTTCCCCACCTCATTGCGCAGACCCCTCCTTTCGAATCGAGGTCGTTGGTGACTTTGCGATACCGCTGTGAATCTTCCGTGTATACTCGCCCGCATTCTCTGTCCCTCCACGAGAGCGAGCTCGATCCCGCCCTGGGACCCTTCTCTTTCGCCTCGAGGTCGCGAAGATGTGAGTTTCCAACTGCTTGCAGCAACGTGCCAAAACGGCCATTCTCTAATTGGTCCCCACCCACAGGAAGTTTGGAAAGCAGATTCAGCGCCGCCAGCTTGATCTTCCTGAATATGCTGCCAGCTTTGTCAATTACAAGGCGCTGAAGAAGGTAGGCTATACTCCATCCCGCCCCCTTCGACCGGAAGCTTTCAGCGTTCATACTTACGGCTTTTCTTTTAGTTGATCAAACAACTCAGTGCTACGCCTACCATCCCAGCCCAGAAGACTGCGGACGAAACTGCTCAAGATGATAATTTGGACCCCCAAGCCTCCTTGCGGGCCAACAAGGAGGTTTTCTTCTTTCGCTTGGTAATATCTACCCCGGAGGGAGCCTTGACCAGCTGCTAAATTACCATTTCAGGAACGGGAGATTGAAAAAGTCAACGCCTTCTACCTTCAAAAAGAGTCTGAGGTAACTCCCACGTCTTTGCCGACACTCATGAGAGAAAAGGGGAAAAAAAGAAAAGAGACTTTGCTAACATTTATGGCACAAACTAGTTCTCACTTCGACTCAAAACATTGGTGGACAAGAAGCGAGTGATACAGTCTCGTACCATATCCAGCTCTAAGGCCCCTTCGAATTTCATGGCCCTGTTTGAAGGATTCCAGCAATTCGATGGAGACTTGAACAAGTTACAGCAGTTCGTGGAGATCAACGAAACCGCTGTCTCGAAGATACTAAAGAAATGGGACAAAACGTCCAAATCGCGCATGAAAGAGCTTTATCTCCAACGTGCGGTTGAAGTACAGCCGTGCTTTAATCGTGAAGTCCTTCGTGACTTATCTGACCGAGCTACCACAGCCCGGTTGGAATTGGAAGCCTGGGCCGAAGGCGAGAACTTGCAACTTGATATATCCCGGACTTCGGAGCGTTCTGCTGCGCCCACCTTCGTTATAGAGGAGGAGGAGTTAGATCTACAGGTTCTGCAGTCCGCCTCAGCGGGTAATCTGCAGATTTTGCGGGAGTGGGTTAACAAACTACATTCATTCCCGGATGCCCGTGACCGAGCAACCCGAACATTCCTAGCTGCAATTAATGGGTTTCCAGACGACGTCCTAGCCCTTCTCCTGGAAAGCGGGCTGGTTGATATCCACGCAGAGGACGATATAAACGAAAGGAATTGTCTTCATGAGGCTGCGATATCCGGACGTGAATTCATCCTCAAGGCAGGCCTTGCAGCTTCGGTCAATATCGCTAGATCTGACGTTTATGGCCGAATCCCCCTACACTATGCATGCATGCACGGCCGGGTGGATATGGTACGAGAGTTGTTGAGGGTAGGCCCGGAGTCAGTTGATATAATGGACCATGACAACTTTACTCCTTTGATCCACAGCATTGTGAAACGCCAACTGGCCTGCGCTAAGCAGGTCCTTCTCAGCAATGCTCGCATCGACCCGTCTTCTGAATCTGATCACATTCCATTAAACCTCGCTTGTCAGCATGGTTCCCACGAGATTGTGGAGATGCTTCTCGAACGGAACGCCAAGTTGCTCCCCGATGCAGAGGGGCTCTATCCTCAACATATGGTAGCCCGGGCCTCTCAATCCCCCGAGCTCTTGTTACTTCTTAAGGATCATGGCGCAGATCTCGACCAACGTGACAAGCTTTATCAATGGACCCCACTATTCCATGCGGCTAGCGAGGGCTGTGTTCCATGTCTGCGGACTCTGCTGGAACTGGGTGTTGATGCCAACGTCATTGATGAGAAGAATCTGTCCGCCATGTATTACGCTGCATGGGAAGGTCATCTTGAATGCATGATGCTTCTTTGGGCTCAACCATCTAACAAAAGGCAGCCAAGCGTCGGCTCGAACGGACTCATCGAGTTCAGCGCCGTGGACACAGGCTCTGAGATGGACGCTGTCGATGGCATCCCAGACCTTTCCCTCCCACCTCCCATTATTCCTCTTCGTCGATACGGTCATAACTTCCTGGACAAGAAGGTTTTCATCCAACTTCTGTTTGATCAGGGCAATAATTGCTCCATTGCATTTGACCAAGCTGGGCGCCATCCAGCTGCCCGCCTCACCATCTCTTCCAAGGTTTCAGACTTGATTCCCGTACCATAATGCTTCCCATCCAGGATGACTCGCGATCAATATCGTTCCATGTGGATAACCTGGAGACTTTCACACTGGATTTTGAGATTTTTCCAACGTTTGGTTCTAAAGTCATCGCCAAGAGTGTGGCTTTGCCAGTGGTCTTCCATGCGGAAAGATCCAGTACAGGCTCCAGTTGCCTCCCTCTCTTTGACCCGCGGCTTCGGTCGATAGGTCAACTTCGGTTTAATTTCCAGGTCATCAAGCCTTATCACGGTGACCCATTGGAGATCACCCATTTTGCGACTTACTGGAAGGCAACGGGCGCTGATTCCGAACACAATGGGTTGGTTACAGGGTCAAGTCTATCGGGAGATTATGTGCAGCTTTTCGTGCAACTAACGCGTGATCGCGTACCGGTTCTCTATCCTCAATTCATGATCAATCACCATGGCATTGATATTCCGGTCTGTCAATTGACCTTTGCACAGTTCCAGGCTATTGGCGCGGAACGCGGAATCGACCGACAGCAGACAATCCAGTTCTTAAGTGCCGAAGCTCATAGCCAAATGCCGCAGACACATCTCCTTTTAGCCGAATCATTCATGTCATTGCGGGACGCTTTAGAGGTGCTACCTGTTGAAGTGCATGTCAATCTTTCCATCCTCTATCCCTCGAGTGCCGAAGAAAAGGCATTGGAGATGACATCGCTGGCTGATGTCAATAGCTTTGCGGATTCTATCTTAACCGATGTTTTCCATCATGCACGTGTCACCCGCAATAGTCACCCCGACTTTATGCGTTCCATTGTATTCACTTCTTACAACGCCAACATCTGCAGTGCTCTGAACTGGAAGCAACCGAACTGTAAGTGTTTTTTTCTCCACCCTTCTCCCGACCTCGGTCCTTTTGGTTCGTCCCTAGCCGGATATCCAGCTGATCTTTGGCAGATCCTGTCCTTCTTTGTAACGATTTGGGCCAGATTCGGGATCTGGCACGCAATGTGGACATTCTGCCCGATGTCAATAGCAGTGGACGAGCTTCAATGTCTATCAAAGAGTCGGCGCGAATCGCCCAGAGCAACAACTTTATGGGCTTGATATGTCGCTCCAGCCTTTTGGTACGTTTATTTCATAGAGCCTGCTTCGTGTTTTTGCTGACTGCTCTTGCAGAACGTGGTTCCTGCTCTCGTAGAGACCATCAAGGAACTAGGTCTTGTCCTAGTGGCCGACACCTCCGATGAGACAGGCCAGCCAGACCGTCAGGATTCTTTGACGACCGCCGATCCCATGGGCGTTGCCGAATGGGCATATCGTATGCCTGATGGTGTGAATGGCACGATGAAAGCTAACGGTATCCTCCGGTTCAATGATATGATCGACATGTGATGTGACATTCGCACGTCACTGCATTTTAATGTTCGTTTTGCTTCGTCCCGATGACGTCCACGGGATTTGAGTAGCAGGGGTCCAGTTGTCTCATTAGCGATTTGCTAGGTTGGCCATACAACCTGGTGGTGGGACTTGAAAATTTTTTCTTTTTTTCTCTTTCTAATGCTTTCTTCTTCCTGCCAGCGAGTTGAAATGCGTCGGACTAGATGCGTCGGACTAAATGTCCTTTTCTCTCTTATATCCCGGTCCTCAGGTCGGCGCTGGAATAGACGGTTCCTTTGAGGATCTGATGCTGTATCATACATGTATTGTGTAGAATTGAAGTTAGGAAGGGAGATTAGATCTTGTGAGGAAATGGCTAATGTACACAAATTGAAAGGGAAAAGGGAAAAAGGAAAAAAAACCACCTCGGACCTTTTCTATCTTGCCGCTATGCAATTACAAACCCGTAAAAACAGACGAGCAACTATTTACGGGCTCTTAAGTTTCTTCTTCCCGATGTTCCAGCCCCAGCCACGTAGAGTCTTGACGACTTTAGGGGTCACCGCGGCAGTCAATGGGACTCGAACGAAGATGAAAACGCTCTTGTGAATAGCGTAGGCCAAGGCCAATTGGGTCCATATGCCTGGGAACTCTGTGAGCCACGGCCAAATACCAGGCGGGAAAGTAAACTTACTGGCCTCGTCACGTCGCTTTTCCAATGCGCCATCCGGATCTGGCGCATCCTCTGCAGCCTTTGGCCAAACGGATGGCAATATGCTCTTCAGGGAATTGACCACCACTTGTTCAAGATGGCCAACTCGCTCGACACCGAGGAGCTGAACCGCTAGGAAGCATATAGGAAAATCCAAAGCCGAGAGTGCCAGGTAGACACCCAGTGCTGCCCAGCCATACTCCTGCGTCAACTTGCGCAGTCGATCTCCCAACGAGCCACCTTCTTTCTTTGCCGCCGATGTCGGCCCGGGTGCCGAGCTGAGGCGTTGATGTTGTCGCGAGAAGGGCCGGAATTGAAACAGTCGTGTTGGAGAAAGGAGCCCGCGGGGCTTGACCGTGGTGGGTGATGGTGACGCTTGTAGGGATGGGCGGCTGAGAAGCGGCTGCCGAGCAGGCAGCGCGCCTCTATATAAAGATCTTTGGAGGAGCTTCGTGGGCTGAGAGAGCCCTCGAGAAAAGATAGAGGACGGAGACATTAGGCCGGTTGGTCTGTCCGGTACGAGACGAGAGGAGGATGTATGGGTTTATTTTTCTGCCGCCAATGATCCGAGCGATCCTTCCCGGGGAGCACAGCCGATCGGTTCTATGTAGTTCCAAGCCTGCGACAGTGATAGGCTGTAGGTGCGACGACTTCTACGTTTCCTTAGAATGCCAGTACAGTCAGAGCTAATCGCGCCTCATGCTCGCATTGGAGCAGTGCTTGTACTAGTTAACGTCCACGGGTAACTAACTAGTTAACTAGTTAGTTAGTTAGTTAGTTAGTTAGTTACAGGGGCTGACTCAGCCGTCCGCCAAAAACTTCGTCTCTACGGAGCAACCATAGACCCTCTCCATAATCAAGCTCTCGTCTTCGAAACATGCCGCCGCGTCTATCAGGGAAGCTTTCGCAGCTCCCTACCTTCTCTTTAGGAGGATATTTGAACCAATTTGAGGTTCAAACCCGAAACTTCGGCATCAAATCCCTTAATACGCCCAAACCCAGTCGTTTCAATGTCGGCCCCGGTCTTCCCATCCTCGAGTCTACATCGACCGCAGCTCTCCTTCGCAAGGCCAATTCTTTACCCCTTCGAACTGGTGCCATTGGCATCAAGAAAGGCATGACAGCCGTATACGATCCGGAAACAGGGAAGCGCACCGCTTGCACAGTCTTGCAGCTCGACCGGGTGGAGGTGGTCTCGCACAAGACTCGCCAGAAGCACGGTTACTGGGCCGTCCAGGTTGGTGCTGGCTGGAAGCACCCCAAGAATGTTACCAAGGCTATGCTAGGCCATTTCTCGTCTCAGGGTTTATCCCCTAAACGCCATATTTTTGAGTTCCGTGTCAAGGACGAGTCCGGCCTGCTACCTGTCGGCGCGAGTATTCAAGCCAATTGGTTCCAAGAGGGCCAGTTTGTCGACGCTCGCTCCAACAGCAAAGGTAAAGGTTTTGCGGGTGTTATGAAGCGACATGGTTTCCATGGCCAGGACCGTAGTCACGGTGTCAGTTTGACCCACCGTTCAATGGGTTCGTCTGGGCAGGGCCAAGGTGGTGGTTCTCGTGTGTACCCGGGCAAGAAGATGGCTGGAAACATGGGCAATCACCAGAACACTGTCCAGAACTTGAAGATTCTCAAAGTTGACGCCGAAGCGGGGATCGTGGTTGTCAGTGGTAAGGATATCCTCCAAGATCCTGTCAGAGATGGTCCAACTAATTCGTTCATCAGGTGCGGTCAGCGGTCCTAAGGGGTGCACCGTGAGAATCCAAGACGCAATCAAGAAGCCTTGGCCTCGGATTGAAGCGGAAGCTTTGCCTGCAGATGCGACTGCGTAGGTGTTGTGAGAAGATTACACCCCGGAGACGGGAATTCTGTACTATTACACTCTGTTCGAAGCATACGGGTTCATTTGAGCGGCGTTTCTTTATAAAATCTATGATACATTACATGATACACTCTTCCCCTCGCTTTCTTTTTTTTTTCGCTTCGCTTACTGGAGGAGGAACAGAATCCATTTCCCTTCCAACACCTAAATAAATGCATGTCACGAAGCATCCTGTATTGTACAAAGTCGACTGGACCCGCTCACTGCTGTTGGAACGGGTCAAAGTCGCTGTCTAGCAATTGCACCACATCCCCATCTTCGGTCTCCAAGCTCCATTCTTCAGTTCGGAACTACCCAAAACCTACTATTAGCTTGGCCCCACAAAAGGAAAGGGGAAACGGCGCTGACTTACGAAGCTCATCCGGTCTGGTCGGATGCTGCGAAACCTCATCTTTCCCTGGGCTTTAGTGCCTTTCACCCAGAAGGAGATATCGATGCGCCCATGTAGTTGGTTCATCTCTCCACTGATCCAGGGGATTTGTTGCGCAAAGTATATCTCGTCCCCCAGGATTTCTCGGGCCCGTGGAGATGTTCGTAGAGCGTACAATGTGCTGTTGACCACACTTGAAGAGGACTTCTGATAATTGAAGATCCCAAACATGGCGGCTCCAACTGCCACTGCGAAGATAGGGAATGTCCAAAGCCAGCGTCGCGCTGGGTTGACTGTTGGCAGCTCGCGGTCAGCTCGTCGTTCCATCAGTGGGCCCGTATTTGGGCCGGGGGCTGGAATCATGGTGCGTCGCGGGGGGGGTAGAGCGGAGTCGACAGGGCCGAGAGAGCCCTGCGCGCCGAGCGAACGCTCGAGGGAGAGACATGGAGGAAAGTAGCTCAGCCGTCCAGAATCAAAGATCGCAGGTTGACAAAGGTGGGTTGCAGGAGGAGAGTAGATCTCGGGTGCATCCAAACAGCGCAAACAATTCGACCGGATCTCCCCATCAACCAAAATCGCCCATCACCTGCATCCTGCTCAATCCCATGGCTGCAATCCGACTTCGCAAGGCGTTCCACTATCCCGAGGAATCCGATGGAGACTCGGGTCGAGAGGAACTCGACGAACAGGAGCAGGAACAGATCATCCTGCAGCTGCAGCATCAGAATGATGCTCGCAATGCCCAATACAATGTATAGTCTCTACCCAGCGTTGTCCGTCCTCATGTTGCTTAACACTCTCCCAGGTAATTTTTACTATCCTGCCACTGGCCTCAACCCTTGCGTTTGGGCCGTCTTTATTTTCAGCTTCAAGTGTCGTCCAGCAGGCGTGGTCGCTTCTGAGTGTAGTCTCCTTGTTCGGCACTGCGTGTTTCATGCGATACTCTCCTCTTTATCCAGATCGCAAGGGGAAAAAACCAGTTTCCGCACATGATGAGTTGAGAGTTCATGCTCAAGCCGCAGTCATTCCCGTAAACAGTGCCGTATGTGGAGTATTAGCGTTCTATTGCTTCATGGCTACCGAGAGGGAGATATTGTACTTGGTACCTGGAGGTGAGTCAACCCCTATTTTACCTGTTCATCGTTTGTTTTGACATGCATAGCAATGTTTGCGGCTGTTCTCCTTGCGCGACGGGTTATGCTTTCTGTGGACCTCTCGGCGCTCAAGGATCTTCAGTACGACTACAAGGGCGCCTAGACATGAAGGATAATGCAACCACTTATCTGCCATCACTCTATTCATGGCATTGCAATCCAATATTAGGCAAAATATCCCTACGTAAGAAATGAGCGCCTGTAAGACTCAGCCCGCCAAGCTCATCAGCGAGGTGTCGAGCTGTCGAGCTGCAACTGGGGATCGACAGGTATATAGTTTTGATCTTGGAGCGCCCCGTCATTTCCATTCAAGGAAACCTGCTGCTTCCATTCCATGAAAACAGGGCTCCCCATCAGCTTTTGATTCCGAGTTTGGTTCTCCACCAATTGTTTCTCTTGGTGAGCATGATTGCTTGATTCAAGCCGTGGCAGCCATTTTAAATTCGGCAAGAGGAGGCTGACCATTGACTCTACACTGCGTCTATCTGCAACCTTTGTCGTGTCGTGACCCAGAAGTAGCCGCCTGGGAACGTATGGGTCCATCAACGGGCTTTGGCGGCAGGATGAACAGTTGCAGATCTTAGAACACTGCGGACATATCCAGACAGTATCTTCCATGACGTTCTGGGGTGTGGTGTCAAACGCGCGGAACAGATCGGCGAAACAGTAATGTTGCTCGCAATTCTCGCACCGGGCCATTTTCCACGCAGGGTGACAAGTTTTGCACATATGGCAGGAAGCTGCATTTCGTTTCTTATTCATCTTGCGTCGTTTTGTTGGCTGCTCTTGTGGGTCAGAATGGACCGATGAGGACTCATCGCCCTTGTTCCTCCAATCAATCCAAGGCCGGATCCTCAGTTGCTCTTGGCAAATATGGGCCACTGTTTTACGAGGTAGCTGGGAGTGGGCATTGTGTAGGGGAGGAAACAGCCTGGCGCTCTCTTGGTCATCCTTCTCGAAAGAGAGTATGAGATTCCGCCACTTCGCATACTGGTCGCGCAGATCCTTCAATGGAAATTGCTGTACCCATTTGAGTCTCGATATACAACGACAGCTTCGACCAAGCACGTAGCAATCCATACAGATATCGAAATCATCGACCTCACCGGCTACGCCTTCGTCGGCAGTGCAGGTTGGGCAGGTGAGAAATCGATTGAAGATGTTACATCGACAATAGGAGCAAGTGACATTGCCACGATATTCAATGGTCTCAATAATTTTGTCGCCGGGAAGCTTTGGCGAGAACATCTCTGACAGCAAGATGTCCTTGTACAGCTGGAAAAGTCTTTTGAAGTCTCCTAGCAGGGCCCGTACTTTCTTATGGTCGATAGCAGCGGACTTATCATGAAGGAGTGCGTGGTACCGATGGAGAGTAAAGTACACGATTGCTTTATTCTTGTACTGCTCGTCACGACAAATTATCCGGGCATGCTCCAGGGCTTCATCCATGGCCATCTCCAAGGTCTCCACGGTGGTCCGGTTCCAAGCTACCTTCATCGTTCTTGTGCCACGGTTCCAAACCTGATGAGCAGCCAGTGGCGGAACGAGAATAAGATCCCCCGGCTTTTGCTCAACCACGTAGGTTTCGAATGGTGCTTTCATCCATGCGCCCAGCTGGGCAAAGTGGTCTTCAAGATCGATATTGTGACCGAGTTCCGTAGTCCAGTATTTGGAGACCGTACGGCGATCAGGAGTCTTGGTCATAAACCAGATGGATGATCCAGGCATAGTCTGCTTCTGATTTTCCACAGAGCCGTCCGACGCTTCAACCATGATGTTATGGCCAATACTCGCGCACATTTCTTGGTGTGCAGGGGTGTATGTCCCTTCATGTCCGATGTAACACATGAGATTTGCAGCTCGCATGTCATGGGGTAATGAGCTCATTAGATCCCCCGCAGCCGCAATCGGCTCGCCGTCTTTCGTAGTCGGGAGATCGGAAAGGTTAACGTTTCCCGAGCCCGGCCCGCTGAATGATCTGGGGCCCTGGTTGAGGTAGAAAAGAAAGGGTGGGATGATTCGGGCTAGGTATTCGTGCCAGTCCGGCGGGCAATCCATATCCTTCAAATAAAGCCTTTGGGCCCGAGGACCTCTGCTTGACCCGCTATCCTCAACTTCATAAAGGCGAGCGGCTCTTTCTGCGAGCTTGGGCATTTCATTCAAATAATGCTTCACACTCAGCGGCAATGGATTCTTTTCCGTCAGGTCTTGCGCTTCTTCATCTAAGCAAAAAGTCAGGTCATCAGATTGCTTCTTTCACAGCTGGAGGATAAAGGACTCGGGTTCTTACTCTTTGTGTGATTTTGGCTAAGCCACGTTGCTGAAAACAGATCTTGGCACAAGAACTCCTGAAAGCCATCTATGACCAGAGGCCTACCTAACAAGACCACCCAAAGCAAAATCAATCGTTCGAGCGCCTCAAAAGACTCCTTATTGATCGAGTCGCACGTGATCCGATCGACAAATCGAAAGTGTTCGTTGGCTTCCACTATCTTCTTAATATCCAGATCCGGGGGAATGGCTTGAATGAAGCCGGCGCTGGTCGGGGAAGCACCATGGCGCGGAGTCGTTAGAATCGTTGGAACTAGGGCGATTTAGTCGTCACTTGCAAGAAGCTTCCAAGTGAAGTCCAAGTTCCAGGAAGCAGAATGTAGCAAGTTTTCTTTCATTCTTGAAGATTCGGGCTTTCAGTAGGAATAAATTCTACCAAGGCGTTTTCAGTTGTGTCCTATCGGGATGTCGAGAATGAGGGTTCGAAGAGGACGGAAGTTCGCGCGGTAAACTTCGACCGACGCGCGTGAGTGCGCGTCTGGACGTGCGAAATGACAGTACAGGTGGAACGAGGGAGTCGTAAACGAGGATGGAAGGAGGCATGGAGGAACCGATTCAAGGACCGTCCTTTCCCAGAGCCATGAAGGCGTATCTGCGGGAGAACGCGTCTGCGGAAAATGGAGTAAGTCTTAACTTGGTTTGGCTCCGGGGTTTTCTTTCCAGTTCCCGCGGCTCCTTGAACGTCCTCTGCTCCCGCATAGTTACCACTTCCATCTCCAACAATGAAATGAAGTTCCTGGTATTAATCTACTGAGTGACAGCCTCCTGCAATGATTCTGTCGACCCAAGTCCGTCTCTTGCGACGGACCCGCCTATCCGGTCGGCACCATGGATCTCTGCCGGCTGTCAGTTCGTGCTTGATCAATCGAACTAGGCCAGTTCCCCCAACCAGGCCCGTCCCATTCGAAGTTCGACGATCACAATCGAGTGAGAACCAAGTCGGATCGCTAAAAGCACAACCGTTGAACCATACGCATTACACTCCACCCCAGACTGGCCTGATCGCTTCGTTGCCTCCATCCTGGATTCCGTACGCAGAGCTGGTGCGATTGGATAAGCCTACAGGAACATACTACCTCTTCTTCCCAACTCTTTTCTCTACCCTGCTTGCCGCCCCGATGGCCGGCTCCGCAACGCCATTGGAGGTATTTGGGACAATAGGCTTATTTTTCACTGGAGCTTTGGTTATGCGCGGCGCGGGCTGTGCAGTCAATGACCTGTGGGATCGCAACCTCGACCCTCATGTTGAGCGCACAAAGTTCCGGCCTATTGCACGGGGAGCAATCTCCCCCAGGAATGCCTTGGCTTTCACAGGTACTCAGTTCCTGGCTGGGCTCGGAATCTTACTGCAATTCCCAGCCAAATGTCTTTGGTACGGCATACCGAGCGTCCCCATCGTGCTGGCATATCCATTGGCCAAGCGTGTCACCCACTATCCTCAGGTTGTGCTTGGTTTGGCCTTTTCGTGGGGCGCCATCATGGGATTTCCAGCCTTGGGGGTTGATTTACTCACTAACCACGATGCTTTGGTGGCGGCAGGCGCGTTATACTCTAGCTGCATTGCTTGGACAGTCCTTTATGATATGATTTATGCGCACATGGATATTAAAGACGATGTGGCTGCCGGGATCAAATCGATCGCTCTGCGCCATGAGCACAACACGAAGGCCGTCCTTACAGGCCTCGCGGCTAGTCAAGTAGCTCTCCTTGGGGTCGCCGGCGTTGCTGCAGGTTGTGGACCGGTATTCTTTGTTGGCAGCTGTGGCAGCGCAATCTTGTCTCTAGGTCTTATGATCTGGAAAGTCCAGCTCAAGAGTGTTTCAAACTGCTGGTGGTGGTTCAAGAATGGATGTTTGCTAACAGGCGGGGGGGATTAGTTTGGGCCTTCTCGGAGAATACTGGTCCCAGTCTCTGGGGCTGTATGATGATGAAGAGACTCTGGAAGCACGTTGATCATTGCGACAAGTTGACCGGGGTCGCCCAAAAAAAAAAAGCCATGTACGATGTATGCTAGTCTTTGTCCCTGTACTATATTAGACTTTTCTTGGGAAAAGCAACCTTGGAGGCAGAACGATATTCAAAGGAAGTTCGCATGTGTAAACTAGAGCTGAAAGTGCAATATGACTTCTAAGATAGAAGCTCAAAGTACCCAGGTCGGACCAGTTATGACCATGTGGGGCCAATTTGCCGCGCGCCTGGAACCCAGTGAAATCATTACCAATCCCTCTTCCCCCGACCTTTTCTCATCCAAACTCCTCAACCCCTCCAAAGTTCATCATGCTTTCCCGGACGGCTTTCGCGGTAAAGAATCAACTCATTCGATGGTTTCCCAGGATAGGTTAGCTTACATTTCAATAGGCTTTCCGCCCGCTATCGCGGCCGACGTCGATGCCAGTGCGCCCTATTGCCTCGGCCATTCCACTTCCTTCGCTTCTCCATGCTCGCTTTCTCTCCTCAGAAACCAAGGCCGCAATTGACAAAGCCGTTTCTTCAGCTCCAGTGGTGCTCTTCATGAAGGGTACTCCCGAAACCCCTCAATGTGGGTTTTCACGAGCAAGTATTCAGATCCTGGGACTACAGGGTGTAGATCCCAAGAAATTCGTAGCCTTCAACGTCCTCGAGGATGCAGAGCTACGTCAAGGTAAACAGTCTGTCCAGAGCATCGATCAAGGGTATCGAGACTAATGTGTCTATAGGCGTGAAAGAATACTCTGACTGGCCCACTATTCCTCAGCTGTATCTAGACAAGGAGTTTGTTGGAGGGTGCGACATCCTGATGTCCATGCATCAAAATGGAGAGCTAGCCAAACTCCTTGAAGCGAAGAACGTTTTGGTGGCAGCTGATCAGTAAAGTCGCGCATGCCCGATAAACCTCTCAGCTTTTGTACAATACTTCATACTTGAACTCTTCTATCGTTTGGACTCAACTGTAGCTTGAAATGCAAATAAGATAGCCTCTTAACTCTTAGGGGGGTACAATATCCTCGGTAGCTGAAAACTCCAAGCTCCATCCGTACCTAGAAGCACTAAGCCTGGGCCTGCTCTTGTGACTTGACAAGATCTTCAGCGACTCCCTTTCGGAGCTTAGCTCGTTGTCGTGCTTCATATGCCTCTCGACTCTTCAAGATTCGGCCCACGATTTCTCCAGCATTTACATGCTGAAAGGCGTGCTGCTCCACCTCTTGGAATATACCCATCTTCTTGGGTGCTTCATATGGGTCATATGTTAATGGAATAAAGGTTGTCGGTCCATGGTAGACGACACTGGGTACGCCTAGAGGCAAAGATTCCAGGTAGGGCTGAGTTGGGGAAAATGGAGCGGAGAACACCACTGCATGAATGTACTGAGAAAGGGTCAGCAGGCGGGTTGACATGAAATTCCTAGGATCGCCTACCCGGCACTGGAGAACACAGAGACCACGCTCGAAGATGTTCATGATGGGATAGTTCAATCCTTTCCAGTGGTTGATCACACCGTCGTCATGAATACCAGCAATTATGTATGCTGGGCCGTAATCGTCCCCACCGCGCAGAGCAACCTGGTCAGGTTCATACCAACCTCGCCGACGGGCTTCTGCCTCTTCCATCTCCACGACTTTGCGGAGGAACTCAATATGACCTGAAGAAAACAGGTCAAACCCTCCGTCCACATATACAATGCGCTGTCCGGGCCGAGGGCCCTTCCCATCCACTAGAGTCTCAAAGACACCTGCTTCCTCAACCAAATGGTCCATCTTTGCAGTTTCGGTTCCTGTCCATGTCCAGACCTGTGGACCAGGTTGAAGGCCGCTTTCGTCGGTTGCATAGTCTCGAATCCTCTGCAGAAGATCAGCAGCAGATGCCTCTCGTTCTTCGGGGCTCCCCGATCCCTCCTTTCCTGCGAGCGTGTCTTTGACAGACTTGATAAAATGATTCTTAGTACAGAGTAGCATACGGCCTACCAAGTCTGTCGTGGATATCCCGGGGGTTCGTTTAACAACTTTGAAACGGCCGGCCGCTTTGACATATCGATAGCAATCATTGCCGTCGCTGTCTGATGTAATGTCGTCTCCATGGACTACATACTTGCAGCCATAGTGAGAGACCCAAGGCAGATATGTCACATAAGGGGCATGAGGGACGCTTTGAGTGGCCCACCGACAGGCATTGACTGCCGAGACCCTGCGGTTCAGCTGGAGGATTAGAGAGCCTGTGAGCTGACTGAGGAGAGATGAGACATACCGTTCGTCTAACGACATGACAGTTGGCCCTTTGTTCTCCAAAATTGCCTCATCCGAATGGATCCCGACGTATAGGGCTTTCCCCAAACGACGTGCCTGAAGCATTGCACCGGCATGACCTACAAGCATTGTTAGGCAACCAAGCCCCCACCAAGGGACTTGGGGCTTACCGTGGTGGCTAAAATCGAAACATCCATCGACCCAGATGCGATCCTCGGAGATAGGTACATCTTCCTGAGGATCAACAGGCCAATGACCCGGTTCGGGGATCTGTTCGTCAAGGGGTGTAGTATCCACAGGCATCATTTCTGGTATGTGAATGGTCTCGAATTATAAGGTTTGGGGTATCTTCTGGGATTTATTTCATGGCGATGTCCTGTGAGTTGGGAATATGGCTTTTTTAACGGGCAAAAAAAGTTCAAAAGAAAAAAAAAAAGGACCAACGGTTAGGCGAGGGGCATGAGGGGACAGGGAAGACCGGGAAAAGAGGGGCGTGATATGTGGGGATACCCCTGGGGCTATCTTTATCGGAACGATCAGCTTTTAACCCCTTGTGCCTTGCTACTTTGTCTTATTGCCCTAACCACCATGATCTCAGCCACATTTACCCCTAATTTGGCGCGGAGAGATACTGCAAAATCGATTGGCGGCCATGACAATGGCCAAAGCAGCGTCCCCTCGTCTAGTGGAGGAGGACCCTTTGGCCCTCAGAGTGCAGGGGCTATTTATCAACAGATTCACGAGATGGCAGCCAAACGCATCTCAACGCTGGACTACCTACGAAAAGCGTAAGAGTTCTCCTGTTCTTTTCTGTTCTGGGCTTGACTTAAGCTAACCAGGCGTTAGCCTTGAGGGTCGTGTCTACTGGTTTAATACGGTACACTTTTCCCGCACTGACATCAGCCGCCTGCCATATTTTGAAGCGCGCAAGCTATCTCGCCGAGCTGTCAACTATCTCCTGCTAGGCTTGTCGCTTCCCCCGATCCTTGACGTCAGCTCGACTCCCTTCGAATATATGCGGACCCTTAACGCTCTTTTGCTCGAGTTCGAAGCCTTCCAGCAGGTTCATCCTCCGGATGGCAGCTCTTCATCAAGTCTTGCAAGGGCACGTATCCCTCAGATGTTCAAGAGAGCAGCACATGCAGGTACAAAGACTCGCAGAGCTAGCTCGGCGACGGACATTGGCCTGCCTATGCAGTCTAGTGACCCTACAGATCTCAAGAGCACTTCTGGCAACATCACCTCTCCATCAACAGCAGCAGCGGCCTCCATGATATCATTCCCACTCACCGAGTCCTCGGACCTCCTACCGGGTGAAGAATATACCTACCTCCTCACCCCATCCCTACCTTTCGAGCCAGACTTTTTTGAGACATTTGCTACTTTGTGTGAGGTCTTGATTGACTGCTATAGTCGTATAACCAAATTGGTCTCGTCACCCTCCATATGTACTGTTTCCCTAGGGGAGGCGTTTTCCAAAGCAGATGCCAAGTTACGAAAGATTATGGTCGCTGGTGCCGTGCGGGAGTTTGAGGATGCGAGTCGAAATGCGGTAAAGAACGAGACCTCGGGGGTCAGTCGAGTGGTCCTTGGTGGGCTGCTGGGCTAGTTCTGGGTGGGCGCTACGATATAAACAGTGAAACGATCTTGATGACGGCGTTTGGTTGAAAGTTTGGGCTCTAAGTTTATATTCTATGCATCTGTATCATAGCGGATATCACGAGTTACAACAGTACAACAGAAAAAGAGAAACAGGCAGAATCAGGGATGCGCAAGACAATCGTGAGTTTTCTTTTTCTTTCTTTTCCTTTTCTTTCGGCCATACCCACATTGTGGGGGCAGTGTGGGTGGTGAGGTGCGTAGAGGGACTTTTCAACCCCGTCGACAACGTAGTCCGAAAGGTAAAGATGAGCTTGTCACAGTTTGAGTGAAGAAAAAACAAGAGCACCGGAAACTCCAAGTGACACCAGGCTTCATAACGCTGAATAAGAACGCTGGAATGGATGCAAATTGCTCGGTATGAAAAATAACCGCAAAGAGGAACGGACGAAGGATATGTCGGTCAAAGTACGAGGCGTCATGACTGCAGGCGGATGTTTTCAAGATCTCTCTGCTCTCCAAAAACACGCCGGCTCATCTCCAAAACGGTCTCAAAACCTTCACGACCTCGTTTGGCGTTTTCCCGAAATCTTTCCACGCTCGCTTCTTCAACCTTGTTCTTGATCTTCTGCCAGCCACCACACAGGGCAGTAATTTTGGCCTCCTGTTCAAATTGCGTACTGGTAGAAGGCGAGATGGTTGACGGCTGATATACCACGGTTTCCCGAACATTCAAAACATTCGACCATGTCAGGTTGGTGGAACACATGGTCACCTTTTTGGCGGCAGGATCAACGTAGGAGACCTCGTATACGTGTGAGGTAGCAGATCCACCAAACAGAGAGAGAACCCATTGCGGGACTGATTGGTTGCACGTAATGAGGCGTTCAGTTCGAAGCTGCCCAGTATAGTCAGTTTGCTACTCTCGAAGAAGGAGGCATGTGACACTTACGATGCCAGTCTTGCTATCGATGACTCTTGAGATGGTGTCAACGCCAACAACATGGGTTGCTTTGTCATTCCACGGGCAGTATTTGCGCCAGTTCGCCGTGGAAACCTCATCCCATGAATAGTCAAAAGTACATATGGACGAAAAGACCTTCATCGTGTGCACACTCTTCGCAGTTGTCGCAGAGGCGGGAAGACGAAGTTCAGAGGAAGGCCGGGTTAAACGGGATGGAGACAGGATGGGACAGGATGAGAAAGGAGTTTGAGGAGGAACTTTTATATGGAGACGACCTTTCTAGAGATCTCAGGTCTCCACGGGGGGATACGGATTTTAAAGGGTAGGCTTTTTTCGGGTGGCGAGGAAAACGTCAAATCGAGATTTTCATGCGCCGGGTCAGGGCCCGCAAAAGAGCCGTGGGTCCGAGGTCGGGGGTTTCCGGCTTATGTAAGTCGCGTTCTCTTCTTCGGGGTTCTTTAATCGATCTTTACCTCCCAAGCTGGTCAAGGGCCACAATGCCAGGTATCCAATATTGGAGAGTTTCTGCTTCTGTGCATTTATGGCACATCATGCGAAATTACGAGTACATAGCATGATATCGTACCAGGAGGAGGCAATTAACTAATATCCTCCTTCCATCCCGTAACGGCAATTCCCATGTCTAATAAGAGAGTGGAATGAGGGGTGCGACGTTGTGGGCGTATGAGGAATCGCTCATAGTTTGGTGAAACCATTCCAACATCGTCCCTCATTGGTAGACATGGTGATGCTTTTGTCTGCTTCTCTAGTTACGGGGTTGGTGTAAACAGTGAAAACACATCATGCTTGTGGTACTTGCCTATATACCGTCTGGCTATATTTTTCCCCTTCCAACCCCCCCCATCACCCCCTTATACCACCACCTTTCTGTCGCCACGCTGTCCATAATGGTTGAACTCCGGAAGCGCAAAGCCCCAGCACCACCCCTGTGGAGAAGAAGGTCAAATCGGACAAATCCACAGCAACCCCGGCACCGGAACCCGCCTCAAAGCAGGTCGCTCCTCAAGTCGATGATCTCCTTGACCTGGAAAGATTTGGGGGCGAAATAGAGACCAATGATGGCCAGAAAACCTCCCTTCGGAGCCTTCTTGAAGAGAGCAATGCTGGCGTGGTGATCTTCACCTATCCAAGAGCCTCAACTCCAGGATGTAAATCCCTCCCCCTCTGTATCCCATCAACCTGCCTGGCGCCATCTCACCTGCTCTATAGGCACGAAGCAAGCTTGCTTATTTCGCGACAACCACAAGCTTCTCACCTCCACAGGACTGGCCATCTATGGCCTCTCGGCCGATTCCCCAAAGGCCAACACGACTTTTCTTACAAAACAAAACCTCCCGTATCCGCTTCTCTGTGACCCAGCCTTCACATTAATTGGAGCCATTGGCTTCAAAAAGGCTCCCAAAGGTACTACTCGAGGCGTTTTTGCTGTCGACAAGAAGGGCAAGGTTTTACTTCGTGAAGCGGGGGGGGCCAGACGCGACTCTGGCTGCTGTTCAGAACCTCGTGGCCAAAACAACCGGGCCCGAGGATGCCAAGGAAGAGGCCAAATAGCTTAGATGCTTTGTTCTGGCCTCGAATTGTCTCGCCATACTTATAGTAAATTCACACAAATACAATGGAGAGAAGATTTGTCAATTCCATATGACCCTCCTTACTTGCGCTTCTGTGGAGTGCTGCTTTTCTGTAACTCAAAAACTCCATTACAAATCTGGATCATTCGTTCGGTTGAATTGGGTAGAGTCCAGGTCAGTACCATGCTGTCTGGATTCGTCCAGTTAGTACCGGCTAGGGTTCTCTGGCAATATATGCCCCTACCAAGATGCTAGCATCCTCAGCATATCTGCGGATGGTCATGGGTGACCCGGAAATTGATATGCCGATTAGTAATTGATGGCCGTGGAGGGGACCGGGGAAACATAGTCCGGACCCCCATTCGCACCTCCGGGGAGACAGCGTTACTGTACCGGCAACTTCATTATTTGAGACGGCCAACCCAATTCTCACGGTCTGAGTGGACTCCAAGGTTAGTGAAGCGCAGAATTGTGTTTTTCTAAATGCGTATTACTGCCACCACTTGTTTCTGTGTCGCTAATTGCGTGCAGGTCAGATTCTTCATCATGACCCGCGATATCCTGAAAGCCGCTAAGTCGGCATCAAGCGCCATCGCTGTCAATCAGGTAGGCTGGATGCCATAGTCGTGTCCAGACACGCACTAATACAGCTTTAGAAATACACTGTTCAATCTACGGGGATCTGGGAGCGGATCCGCCGTACCCTTGCCATTGCACCCAATCGCTCGAACGGTGTGCCTTTGAACTCCCAATATCGCCTCCCGACCCCGGGATCTTTGCCACCCCTGTCGTACGACGACCCCGTCACAGTTCCTGCAGGAGACTTAGCAGACAACCCATACTGGAAACGAGATGTCCGGAGAAACTATGCCCAGCTCTCCACCGTAAGCCAGGCTGACGCCGTGGGCCTGCTTACCGTCGGTAGCCAAGCAGCTCCGAAAGATGATGTACTGCAAGTCGGAGATGCTGGACAACAACAACTGGCGACAGTCAAAGAGCAGGGTGAAGAGCGAGGCCTGGCGGCGCTCTTTGAGAAGGATAACAGGAACATCCAAGGCGTGCTGAGCGAAAACGGCCTGCCCCCAACACCTTGCAACATCAACATGGCCCCCAAGGAGTCACAGTCCAAGTATGCGCTCGAACAAGAGCAAAGCTACGGCAACGCGTATGTCTGTTCGCCCTCGAGGATTATGGAAAATGGCTAACATGGCATCTAGGTACCCTTGCCGCACCTTTGCTTGATTAGACTACTCCCCCCCCCCACCTAGCAGGCTTGACCTTTCCCCTACGTTCTTTGGGGAGAGAGAGCAGCCCTATTGTATTTTGTTATTAGGGAGAAACAAATTAAATTTTCTTTATTCCTTGGGTCTCGGATAACTCCGCTTTCAACCCTTCTTATTATGATATTTTTTTCTCTCTAGCATATAAGAATCTAGTTATACTCGTTCCAATCAATACTATCGAGTCGCCGCAAATGCACTATCTCAACAGACGCTCGTATTCATTGATGGGCTGCAATGTACGGGCTTTTCCTTGGAAGACTGCTACGTGGGTTTGAGAAATGGAATTCGTTCAGCTCTTATCATTTGTGTTAGGAAGCTTGAATTATCATCTGGTACAATATCGAACATGGGAGTCGCATAATTGCGTGGTATGAATTCCGGGCCAAAGGGGTCAACTGTCACCTCAATTCTAGTTGAATGGGTGAGTACGAGTTCCCCACCAAGTCAAGAACAAACTGAGCCCGACTGTCTCGAAGATTCGAGAGACAGCACCAACGGCCACTGTATCCAGCGGTCGCTTCTCTGCAAAGATCTGGCTGACGAACTACAGTAGAGGTTAGACGCAAGTGAGAGCAGAAAACAAATTGAGACTTACGCCTGGAGCCGAACTTGCGAAGAAGATCAGCGTTCCGAGGTAAGCAGCTCCTTTATAGCTGAGGGTTCCGGTGGCATTAATCAGTGCGGCGACACCATATGTCTGCACGGCGCTCCCAGCAAGTGAGCTTCCCCATGCGGCGGCAGCTCCGGCGGCCTCCTTCGACTTGATGAATTCTTCCTTCGAGTTGGCCGCCTGGGCTCGGTGATAGGTATCGCCAAAGAGCGGAGCCAAGATCCCGAGTGATGCCGTGTGGGTGAAGAAAGTACCCAGCGCAATGGCAGAGGGCTTCACGGGGGGGGAGATCTGCGCATATACTTCATCAGATGCCATCCTCTTAAATCGTCGAGAGGCTACTCACAGTGCAAGGTCGTCATGGTGAAAAATTAATAGCTTGGAAAAGGTTGAGAGGGTAAGTGCTTGAGATGGCCAAGGGACGCTTTAAGAACCATTCATTCTACAGCTTTCCTGGGATCTGCCGCCAAAGCTAAAGCAGGTGACGTCGTCATGATTCAGTAACTACAATGCGGAGAACAACATGACGTCAGGGTCGCAAAAGGGCGTCAAATGCAACCCGTAATTCATAACTGGTTTATACCAACACTTGGAACTAGTACTTGGAACTAGTTCCCGGAAACTTGGAAATGCGGAGGTTGTGGGATTCTTGGGATTCCTTGACGCTCTTAGGTCCTCGGAATCAAGGCTGGCATCCCCCTGTGGAACAGATATGTACGATAACCTAGAATGCCGATCTCCGCCCCGAGCGCACGGGCCTAAGTTTGTTTCTTTGCTTTCCTTCTAGTCAGCCTGGATTATTTGTATGAGCAGCTTTCTCTAGTGTAAAGCCAGCCGCCCGTAAGCTTTTGCATCGATTCATCCTCCGGTTTTGCGGGATACCTCAGAGGATCATGTGACCCGTACAAATCGGATCCGCTCATGTCGATTCTTTGTGCATTTTCTTTTCAATGGCCACTGTCTCCTCTCTCCGGCCCCAATGGACCGATCCCCCAAGTCCACGGTCAGACATCGATGTCCCATTCGAGCTGACTAGCTCACTGGCTCCGCCGCGGGAACTCAAAGCTGCAGGCACAACATCTCTTTCTTTCGATGGGCTCTTGAAGGACCCGCTTCTTTTGAAGGAGGATTTGAAGGAGGGCTGTGGTGGACAGCTATGGCCGGCCGGAATGATATTGGCTGAATATCTGCTTCGTCGACACTCTTCTCAGCTTTTGAACAAGTCCATGTATGTCTGCATTCACCCCTCTAGGAAGCCACTTTCATTAACAACGGGCAGTGTAGAGCTTGGCGCCGGCGGGGGATTAGTGGGCCTTGCCATTGCTCGGGGTTGTCAGATCAGCCCACCTATCCATATTACCGATCAAGAACCCATGTATTCTTTGATGAGGGAAAACATCCAGCTAAATGGATTGGGATCAAGCGTCGAGGCTTCGGTGCTAAATTGGGGCGAACCTATCCCGGATCATATTCCGCGCAGACCTGAAGTGATCCTGGCAGCCGATTGTGTCTACTTCGAGCCGGCTTTTCCCCTTCTTATTACTACCCTACAAGATCTTCTCGGTCCAGACTCGGTTTGCTACTTCTGTTTCAAGCGACGACGACGTGCAGATTTACGCTTCATGAAGGCGGCTAAGAAGGCGTTTCATGTGGAGGAGGTCCAGGATGACCCGAACGCCCACTCATATAGCAGAGAAAACATTTTTCTTTACAGGATACGAGCCAAGCATACATGATGAAGGACGAACAATTGAATGAGTTAATAATTCACACTATGGTGCCAAACGTGTTTTAGAGTTTAAGGGTATCAGCGCTATTCTTGGCGCTTGTTCCAACCTTGCCTCCATCCATTTCCGTAACCTGTCCCTCCCTGTTCACTATCTTGACTCCGCCCTTCTTCAAATCCGAGACCAGCTGGGAAGCAGCGCCTGCTTTGTGGGTACTGGCACTCGCACTCTTCTTGGCCTTCTTCTGCTGTCTTCGGGCCCGTGCCTTCTCTTCCCTGCTCATTTCATCCTTAGAAAGGCTAGCACCGGTCTTCAAAACCAGCTCGCCGGCCTTCTTTCCGTCATCGCCTGGTGCGTAGATTTCTTGGGGTGCAAGTGCTGACTCTCCCAAGTGACCCGCTGTTGGACGAGCCTCTTCCATCATTACCGTAGGGGCATCAGTCACAACATTGATACTCGCTTGAGGAGCCTGGGGTTTATAGTGCCAGTTGGAGAGGGTGTCCAGTTGAGAGCTGATCTCTTTCCAAAGACTGGTGACTTCGGCATGATCCCGCATGAGCTTTCGATCCTTGGAGTCGGAGTAGCTTGGATCAGTAGCCTTCAGATGGTCGGCTTCGTAGAGCTCGGCTAAACTCTGCTGAGGCTTCGTATCCTCCAACTCGAAGCGGTTGCCTCTTGAGGGCTTTGTATCTATGGCACCTGGGCGACGACGAGCCACTTCATCAAACTCTTTGGCGAGAATTCGACGTTTGACTAGTTCTTCAATATCCTCTGTTGTCTCGTTGGTCACGACGGGTACCGGCTTGCCAACTCGCTCAAAGTCGAGATCCTCCTCGATGAGGGAATTGACAGGTCTTTCGACGGCTCTGGCTTCACCAGTGAGCATCCATTCTTTTTTTGCAACGCTAGCAGCTTCTAGTCGACGGATCTCGTCTGCGATCTGCGCTCTTCGTCTCTCGTGGGTGGATTGTGGACCCTCATTCTCAGCCGCCGCTTCGTCGTCCTCGACGTCTGATTCGTCATCAAATAGATCTCGACGCACATCAGCCATGGCACGCTCAATATCCTCGTCATGGATTTCTTTTGCGGGCTGGGTTTTTGGTAATGCGCGATGTTTCTTGGACGAAGCTTTTCGCGGCGGTGGTGCAAAAAAGTCAGCATATTTGATATCACTCGTATCGACCCAGTCAGGGGTATCGACATCTCCCTCCAGGGACTCATCGTCTGAGGGGGCGTAGAGATCAGCATTGCCAAAGGTTGGGCCGTCGTCAGCGTCATCGCCATCGGTGACCAGTTCCACCGGTTTATGTTGTGACAACGTATTTTTTTCGAGCGGGTTTGCATGCCAGTTGACCTCTTCGTCACTGTCACCGTCGTCCTCAGCCTCTCCTTTGGCATCCTGTCTTTCAAGAAACTCGGATTGTTTATTGAAGTCATCAATCGAAAAAAACCCATCATTGAGACCGAAGCGATCCTCAATAAAAACACCGGTTTCCTCCTCAGATGCTTTCGATTCTTTCTCCTCGTCGTCCATTCCAATGTCACTCAGATCCTCAGACTCATCTTGTTCCGAATGGTCAACCTCTGCCGGTTCCTCGTCATCCGACACAGAGTCCGACTCATCTAATAAGCCATCAGATTCCTCCAGCACACTATCCGTATATTCCGATATATCGTCTTTGCCGTTCGACGGTTCATAGGAGTCCATGGCGATTAGGGATACGTCCCGGTCAACTTCGCCAGCGGCAGCCTCGAGGATTCTCGTAGCCTGCTCCCATATCTGATGGGGAGTGAACCCATCAACGTAGATACTTTTGAGCTGAAGGTGCGGGTTCGAGGACTCCAGTCCATCAGCCGTTCTCCTGCGCTTCTTGTTAATCTGCCGCCGAAGAGACTGATCATGAACGACAGAAGCGGCTAGTGGGTCCAATATGCGTTTCGTTGAATCTGCAACGATGGTGTGCAAATCGTGAGTAGGGGTCAAGAAATTCCATGGAGCTTCCAGAATATCTGGGAGCGCGTTGCCAGGCAGCGAGGCCCTGGCCTCGACCCGTCCTTCCGTCATTGCGTGGATGCTGAGAGCTTACAGTGGAAAGAAGAAGGAAAAGAGGAAAAAATATTGTCGTTCCACAGACCAATCAGGAATGGTGTTGATAAGATAACAAATTCTTAGTCATCGTGCTCACTTTAACTTTGGAACCTTGGAACTACTTTAACCGTGGAAGGCATCCACCCGTACGTACATCTACACAGTACATCCGGTTGAACTATAATAGTGTCAATTGCTTGGAACGTCCACTTTGTCTCCCGATTTAAATTCTAGCGTATCTATATCTTTCACTTGTCCATCTCTCTACTGCTGATCTACGCCAAACCTTTGAAGCCTTCTATTCTTCGGGATTGCCATGAAATCTTAGCATTCAATATAAATGAGATCCGGTTTAATTTGACTGGGCCCTGTCTCCTTTTTGGAGTCTAAACCATGGTAGCTGGGTGATAGGATGTGCAGCGAAAAGCATGGTTAGTGCATGTTCAGATGCATCTCGAGGTACATAACGCTACATATAAATTTAAAAAAGTGCGTTCCATTTCCACCGCCCAGCTAACTTCTCTTCTACGCCTTTGTATGTTACGGAGTACCCCTGCTGCCTCCCAACAACCAACTCGACAGTGGCCCCTTGCTCTAAATATATCCGCTTAGTATAACCAATAGGGGTCATCGCATGAGCAAGCAGTTGGTCTGCTAGCGTATTTTTGTAGACGTCTTGACCAAGGAAAAAGCGCCTCGCCCTATATCACATACAAGTAGTATGAAGGTTGATACCGTAGGCCATGGAGTCCTGTAATTCGTATATATCACTGAGTAGTTTAGAGAAACTCAGACAGAATTTGACTTCGAAAAGCTCAACATGCCCGAAGCTTGCCACTCTTCTGGGCTAGGGTATGAATGAGGGTCGATTTATCTCTTTCATAGCTTCAAACTCACTAGAAGGGTCGAGAAGTGGGCTAAAAGAAAAGCTGAGAATACTATTAGCGGGGAATATTCACCCTCATCCATTTGCAAGGGACATATATGTGCTGCAGTTTACTGAATTCGGCGTCCTACGGCATTAGCCAGCTTGATAAAATGCGAAGGCTGTCCCGAGGTCGGCTTTCAATGTACCATCTTTCCACATAAGTTGAACCAGTGCCGGGTTTCAAGAATATACTGAGACCCATGATGAGGCAAGTTCGACATTGCGATAGGTCTTAGCTGTAGAAGAGAGTAAGCAGTATACTGGTAGATTTGGCTAGTATCCCTAGTATTCGCCTGTGATCAACCGCCTGCCCCCATGTAGATCTACGAGCCGTCGCATTATATGGGGCCGGACTACCCTTACTGGGGCCTTTTCAGAGTCTGAGAAAGCGCTATAGGGAACAGGCTTTCATCTCTCACGCCCTTGGAATCCAAATAGGCATCTTACACCGAGCAGGTGTGCATTGCCAAGGATGAATCGCCATCTCTCGCACGGTTCATTCCCAAGTCAGCGAGGTCTAACAAGCAATGTGAGTCTACGCACACCGAATGACAATATGAAGTATTAGTCGCCGCAAGGTATTCGATAAAACACATGACTGTGCGGATAGTAAGACTCAAACATTGGTCAAGATTGATTTACACGTTTATGAAACACAATACTCCAGGAACTCAAGGCGGTGCCACTGAAGGAAGATGTGAGGTATTCCCTTGGCCTTAGTATTCAACGCCTATACCACATTCTTGTGATCCGTGTATGCCTCATCTTCTTCTGCAGCTGGAAGATACCATACATCAAGGCCTCAGAGGTGGGTGGGCCTAAACGGAGGTCAGCGGTGCCAAAGGCCTGAGAGACAAGTGCAGAGCAACACTTACATCCAGGGACATATATGTCCACGGGCACGATCCGATCGCAGCCTCGAACGACCGAGTAGCTGTAGTGATAATAGCCGCCTCCATTGGCGCAACTACCCATGTCACGACCCATCGAGGGTCGGGCATTTGATCATAGACTTGACGAAGAGCCGGCGCCATTTTGTTTGTCAGTGTTCCAGCTACAATCATAACATCAGACTGACGCGGAGAAGCACGGAAAATGATACCAAGGCGATCCTGGTCGTAGCGAGGGGTCGAAAGGTGCATCATCTCAACAGCACAGCAGGCGAGTCCGAAAGTCATGGGCCATAGAGAGCTCTGGCGAGCCCAATTGGCAACTTGGTCGAGAGTTGTACTGCGCAAAGAAAGGGATTAGAGAAATGGAAGCGGTAAAGCATAGCCCCAGGGACTACAGCAGTACATACAGCACATATTGCATGGCACCCTCCTTCTTCTCTTGACTGGCCAGAGGAACCTCAGACCGCACTTTCCCCGACGCCGTGAGCGGCCGTTCCGGTGACGATTGGCGCTCCAATGCGGTTGCCGACTTGACTGAAGTGGTAGAGAGGGAGAGGACGTGCTGGGGACGCAGCCGGAGCGCCAACTTGGGGCGCGCTGATAATAGCCAATTAATCGAAGATTCCGACATTCAGTAACAGGATAGCATACCCAAGGCGCCAGTGACAGCAGGTCTCACCATAGGAAGCATGGTATCGGTCGTGTCGAGAGGGTTGTCGACGAGGACCTGTGGGAGGCGATCGTATCGTCAGGAGGACTCTGCTTGGTTTTGGAAGGAATAGAAGGGCGATGGGAGAGTTGACGAAGGTATGAAATAAGTCAATGTAATTTACATGACATAATCAAATATGGCTCTTTCTATTGGTATATAGGCCATATGATACAGTCTTAGTACGTATTGTATTGTCACAGCCAAGTCCGCTCATAAAGGCATTTGAGTGTGCTGTGATTGGGTCGAGACACTGTAGCCTAATATATGAGGCGCCAAAGCAATCGCCACTTCAGCGGGCTCATCAACTAGGAGCTGCGGAAACTCGCAACCACGCATTGCCCCGCATACGCACCCCCTCGCCCGGCCGACTCCTTAGAATGGTAGCTGCGGCTCATTGTCATATACTGGAGTACTCAGTTTGTCTCGAACCCGAGAGAATCTGGCAGGCACTCTAATTGGGCGATCAACGTTTACAAAATGGCAGCCCCAAGAATTGCCTGCATCGGGGTCATTGGGAAAGCGGTAGATTTCTCCCCTCCCGCGGAGTAAAGGAGGAATCCCAAACTAAAACTGAATAGGACAACCCTCTTCATATCGAGCTATTCCCTCCTTACTCGGATTCCATGATCGAGTTCTCGTTTCTACTCAATTCCTGCCTCGATATTTTCGATATCCGCCAAAAGCAGACATCTATTGACCAGGATCTTGGTCTTTTGCATGCCATCGATGAGAGACTGGCAGCATACGGCTGGCTTACAACAACAAGGGTAAAGCTATTAATCATTGTAGATTTATTCGGCACAGAGACTGCGATGTCAGCTGGATCCGCAGTTAGTGGCATAAAGGAAGCAGACCTCAAGCCGGTAAGCTCCCCCTATCGCCAAGCGAAGATCGTGGGACGTTTTGCATGTTTATATTTTTGGGGCTCCGCTAATGGTTCTTTAGGCTTTCCGAGCTTTACAGACTGCATACATCCAACTCCTCCAAAACCCTTTTTACTCTCCCGATGACCATGCCCCAACCTCTGGGTCAACTGTCGGATCAGCTTCCTCCTGCCAACAAGTACTAAATCCACGGTTTATCGCAGCTGTCAAGCGAGTGGGTGAAGCCTGGACTCCAGGAGCAATACTTTAAGAAAAGGGTTGATATTTACCATTGGACCGGAAAGTGAATGATACCCAGTCGAGTCCAGTGGGCATAACTACACACAGTCCATGCAATACAGCCAAGCACATTTAATATTTAATTATTCGATACCTTCATCAAATAGCTCCCTTCACGTGGTAACTGGTAGAGTGTTACTGTTTGAACCAACGGCGCCATGAAATCTTGAACATAAGCGTCGGGTATATACAACCTCAGTCGTTGGCCTTTATCTCGACTTCAGTCTGACTCAATGCAGCCATCATGATTTCCATCTCCTTCGGATTGGAGACTGCCCATACACCCCCGCCTTTTGTATCGACTCGCCCGACCTCCTTACCTACCAAATTACGCCCTACTTTTCCTGGGCCGATGCCGATCCAACGACGAACCCCCCGTGTCTGGTGCAGATAGCGAATGCTGTCCCACCAGCGCACGGTATCCGTACACTGTCTAGATAGGAGTAATTTGAGGTCTTCCGTAGACTGGAATGGCAAGGCCGAGATGTTGGAGACGCATGGTATCGGGGCGGGGAAGGTGATACTGATACCATCCAGTATTTTCTTCGTATATTCGGCGGCAGGGAGCATGACGGGACTGTGGAATGGACTCTCACTTTTTAACCTCACTGCACGGGGGTCATGTCCACCAAACTGACGCAGTTGGACTAGAAGAGTTCGAATTCTCTCGATACTGCCACTAAGCACGATTTGGTTGGGCGAATTGATATTTGCAACCACAACACGTTGGATGGGCGGGGTGGAATGTGTGCCCACCTCCTCGGAACGAGAATCAAGGAAATCGTGTATCGTTAGAAGTAAGCCTTCCAAGCGCTCAGGCTCGCAGATGAGAGCTACCATCCCATAATCTTCTCCCGATTTCTCAGCCACCTGTCGCGTACATTGAGCCATGACCTCAGCACGGTGCCGAACAAGTCGAAGCGCATCCGCAAATTTAAGATGGCCAGCAGCAATCAAGGCAGAAAATTCGCCAAGGCTGTGGCCCAGCGTAACGTCGACCCTGCTTCTGGTATCAAACCCGAAGTCAAGCTCTAAAATCCGTAGGATAAGAATAGAGATAGCCATTATTGCAGGCTGTGCATTTTCAGTACGATTCAAACTTGAATTGGGCCCTTCACATATGATGCGGGAGAGATGGAAGCCTAGAATCGAATCCATCTCATCTAGGAGAGCGCGAGTTGTTCGGGGAAAGTGGTCTATCCAAACATCGGCCATGCCCACTCTTTGCACCCCATGGCCTTGACTGCTTTTTAGCTTTCGCTCTTCTCACGCAGAAGGAGAGATCCACAAACCCGGAAAGAAAAGGGCCGTGTGCAGATTGCTTCGGCTTTGAAATGCAGGCCAAGGAAGCCTTCCTCTCCATGTCGAGGTGGCTGGGTGGAAGGGGCGTGCTACGGTGAGGAACATCCTACTGAGACTGTGTGCATGACATCCCTGGCCTGAGGAGCTGCGAGGCCCAGTAGCATATTGGTGGCAGGACCTTATCGTGGCAAATGATCTGTAGCTCGACTATAAATGATCTCGGTTGCTTAATGGATAAATCGACGGCGTATTACAGAGTGGGGGATGCACATGACCAGAAAGTCCGCGTCAGGCGCGCGGGAAATGTGAGTGCCCGAGGATATCACCCACGGTAGCAGGAACTACGGAATTGGTCCTTTGGTGAGTGTAACAGAAAATTAATAGGGTGGTTCCCAATGAGGCCATTGATCTACGGGCCTAGAGAAATGAAAAGCCTTGGTCGGGTTTATTCTTCTTGTCCAACTTCAAGAAGACGTGCGAGCGCTCATTCACCGCCTTTCCTTCCGCCCTTCTTTGTTATTCCCAGGAGAAACGCGGACCCGCTGGGTTTTATGCCAACCTTAAGGACGTGTTCGCTCTCTTGGCCGACCCCATTGACCGTCGGTCATCAAGTGCGCCCTCGCGCTCTTGCTCTGCATACTTCTCACAATGTTCATTCCCAAGGGTGCAGTCCGTAATCCTCGGAGACGCCAGCGAACAAGCTCGGATGATTCCGTGAAGCCACCGAAGGCGAAGCGGCAACGCTCTGTACTGCGACAAACGGGCGATCCTCCTCCAGAGACAGACAATAAGGATACAGATCTAATTGAGCCGATTGCGTCAGTGTCACTTGAGGATCTCGACCCCGTAGACCCGACCGTCGATTCACATCTTCATGGAAGAAGTACGAAACTAAATGACAACGCGAAGAACGACATTGAAGGGACACTCCTTTTGGTAGGTTACCAATATCCGGGTTGAGCACCTGTATCAACTAACTCTTCAAAAAGTCCAGCACGGACCACTACACCGTCGAGCAACTCCCAGCTCTACCAGATCAAATCAGAGTGTCTCAGTCAGGTACTACAGAAGCCCAGCAGTCTGCTCAGTCATGTTGTATACTAAATTCTTCCCACAGGCCCTTTGAAATGCTTCTTTACCACCAGCCATGATTACGCGCTTGCTTTGACACATTCGCATGCAATTGTCTGGCCATATTCTGTTCCGACCTCAGCACCATCACCCTCGCAAACGTTCACCGTATCTATTCCGGAAGCTTCTAGGGACCTCGATGGACATGTGCCACTTGGTGTCTTATTGTCGACTGCCACAGGAGAATATCCCGGCCTGCTGGTCATCATCCCATCCACAGGGAAACTTATCTACTGGGAAACAGTATCTAGCGCGGCGTCTCTGAGTTTGTCCCGTCAAAAGCAAAATGGCATTCAAGGATCTACCCCTGGTCTCCTCTCTGGAGAATATGTGTCCGAGCTTTTGAACTGCGAGCCTTCGGGGATCATCGCGACATTTTCTTCTGGGCGCGTTGCCCACATCGCCCTTCGAAATGCCCAGGGAAAGCCACATCTGTCAGCAAGCTTCCTTCGGACCACATCTAGTGGAGGTGGTTCTGGCTTCGGGATTTTGGGAGGACTCAAGAGCGTTCTCGGGGGCGGTTACTGGAGGAAAGAAGTTACAGCTGTTCGGGCAGGCGCATCCCGCCAGCGAGGGCAACGAGATGTGATTATCATAACTTCAAAAGGCTTAGTGGAGATATGGGACACACACTGGAACCACGGAAACACGCTGAAACGAAAGATCGCTTTAAGGGACGAGCTTTTGGCTGCACTTCCTGCAGCACAATCAGCAGACCCGCCGGAGATCAAAATCATGGACTTTGCATTTGCTGATTCGTCCGACGCAGATGATACATGGCGAATCTTTTTACTCGCTGGGCCGGTCCATTCTAATGAACTATCTGTTCTTGAATTGCATTTGTCTGATGATAAGGCATATGTCTTGTCTTCCCAAGCCTTGGATGTTCAACAGACAATTCCCAATCTTTCAGACCCTGCCTGCCAAGCAAGACTGCTCGTCTCCAAATCGGAAACTACGGCTTTTGTTATTGTTGGGCAATGCCTAGTTCTTCTCTCACTCTCAAGTGCAATGAAAGAAACCCCAACCTCCCAGCTACTCCTCGATTCCAATCAAATGCCCCTATTCTTTCAAGACACAATTCACCTCCGTTCGGGCAAGGAACACGAAATACTGGGCTACGGATTGGAAGATCTTGAGTTGGGGAATGAGGATTGTGCTAGCTGTGTCGTCATGATTCGAAACTTTGGCATTTTGCGTGTCAAAATCGTCCCTCGTTATCAGACTGCCGAGGATGATGACCTCAAAGGGAGCCCCTGTCTCACTGTTAAGCACAAGCTTGAGCAGGCGATTTTCTTTGGCACGATGGCTAGGAACCCTTTAAACCTTAGCGGTAGTGGCATCGACTACGCTGCACCTGAAATTGAGGAAGCATGCTTGGAAATTTGTCGTGAAATCCTTCATTCTGACTCACGCTTCATCCCCAACACAACGATTTCCATTGAGCAAAATCTGCGGCTGAGGGCAAGAGCACTGAACGATCTCGCCTTGCTCTTGCGTCAAAATGGTAACAATTTGAGCCGTCCTGCTCGATGGGAATTGCTTTGGAGTGCTGAAAAGATCGCTGCTCAGCGGTCCATATCAAAAATGGCTGAAGAGGGTGCTACAGGCGAAGAGAAATTCCTGGCTCATGTCATCGAATCTATGAATGAAAAATTCAAGACCCCCCCTCGGCAGCGAGACAGGGGATATACATCCGGTTCGCCAATGGTTTCTCCCGAGACTCGTATCGGATGGAACATATTATCCCGTGGATCAAGAACGCAATCAAGCCTCGTCGTGGCAATTCTTCTAAACAGGCACGAAAGTTATCGGAGCAGATACTTGCAGCCAGTGAACTCTTTCTTGCCATCATGGAAACAGGCTTCCGTTATCGTGAAGAGCACGCTGCATTATTTGGACTTGGAGATGACTTCATTGAAGATGGAGTACTCGCCGATGGATATGAAGATTTGCCTGAATTCTGGACCTCTACGGCAGTGGGCTATGCAGAGGCAGGTCACCTGCTTGACTGGGAACTTGATAGCTGCCGGGCTTGGATTCAACAAAAGACTTCAGATGCAAATGCGCCGGAAGGCTCAGTCCTGAAAAGCATATCAGATAACAGTGCTCGTCATCTCAGAATTCTTGGCCAGATGCATCGAGAACGAACCCGGTGGCTTGCCGCTCAGGAAGACCCAAAATTGGCAGACGAGGCCATATCAATCGAGCAAGCACATATTAAAGAACGGAAGTGGCAGTTATTCAAGCTTGCGGGGATCAATCATCTCGAGGATGCCCTTGGCTTGGCTGAGCAGTTTCGAGATATGGGTGCTTTAGTTGAACTCGTCATTGAGCTTCAAGACCAGGTGAAAGGGCAGCATTCCCTTGACAGCGGTAGTGGTACATCAGACACGTCGCCGACAGAGGCAGACGTGGACCATCGAATTTCGCAGTACTTTGAGAGATTTGGAGAGCCGTGGGCAGATGCTTATTTCTCACGCCAGATCTCGATGGGTCATCCTGGAGCATTGCTTTCCATGAGAAGATACCAGGCCGCAATCACCCGTTTTCTACGCAAAGCTCCGTTGCAATACTCCAAGATTAGCTGGATCAATGATGTAAACGGTGAAGATGACTATGAAAGTGCTGCCGCCTGTCTCAGCAATCTAGCCTTGAACGGCGAAAAACAACTGTGGTGCCACCGTGTACAAATTTCTCTGGCAAAGCTCAACAAACTGGCTGCATGTGAAAAGCTGCAGTCAAAAGACCATACGTTGGCAAGCATAGACCGCTTTGACGGTTATAATTGCATGGACGAAATTCAACAGAATTTATACCTCTATGTTCAGCCGGTATTGGAGGGTGCCATTGACCAGAAGGCCGAAGCGGAGCTAGCCTTGGAATATCTTGGCGGTCACCTTGTTCACGACCGCCCTTCCCTCCACGAAGTGCTGGGCGAAGCTCTTAGCAAGCTTGTCCACCGGAACGTCGTTAGAGCTGATGGATTGATCGATTTGCTCACACTGATGGATCACGAGGTCCCCAGCTCTGATGGAGAGGGCGAGCTCTTTTTCCAGAGGTTTTATCTTGCTCTTCAAGTCCTCGACCAAAGTGACTATGTGCAGCAAGACGCATCATACGTTTCAGCTTTACAGAAGCTGATATGGCGGCGCTGCATGACCAAGGACGACTGGGAGGCTCGTGGAAAGGCTGCAGAGGGGTCAAACGGATCCATCGATACGGTCGATAATACTTCCCTTTATCATACTCTATGGTTCTGCAGCTCCCAAGGTAAAGTCGAGCCCTTTTCTCGTTGTGCTGTGCCGGCGGCTGCCAAGTTCATTGAAATTGTCTAACAACAAGATAACAGGGTCCGCTCAGAAAGCAATCTACAGGCCTTTCGCTCCGGAGGATGCATTGATGGGTGAATCTGATGTCGACATTCTTGTGTCGCGTCTTCGCCCGGAGAAGAGGGCTCGGATAGCCACTGACTTGAAGCGGGAGGATAGCGATCTACGGAAGTACATCCAGACTGGGAAGCTCGACTTCTGGTTCCAGCATATCTTGGCCACTATTCAACCACAAGTCTCATCCCTTACTGAAGTTACCACTTGAAGCATTACGGCTTGGCTTCCTCTGGATCTGACTTGGCATGAGCGGAAGTACTCCCAATTATGATTTGATTATTATTTCTGTACTATTAGGACTACTGAATGATTAAACCGGTCATGACGTGGTAGCTTCGTGGAATTTCAAAGTAGACTGTATTAAAAAGCAACGAACGCAGAGGACTGGCACGCACTACCCCAGTCTCGGGTGGTGGGTCGTCCCTGCCCTGCCTGTCTGCTAGCCTCCGTGTCCCTGTGGTACTTAGAGGCTACCTAGGTGGGGTGCGTGCTGTTCTGTCATACTCGCTTTGCCAATGGCTTTTTCAGTCTTTAAAACAGCAGTCTCGCCGTCAATGAGGGCATCAGCTGATCCATGAAGTTGTTCCTGGAAGGCAGGATCTGGGTCACGTATTTCGAATTTGGTCTGAAACTCAACCAAACCCTGAGAGCTGCTATTAGAATGGCGACGAGCATTGGCAAATGTATACCCGCTGTCCTGCATTTCTTCGCCTGAACGACCCCTGCCAGAGGTCAGTAGAAATGAATATCACTCTTTAAGTATACTATTACCAATTTCCTTTCCCACCGCCATCTTTCTTGGCTTTGCGAGGATCAGTGTCTGTTGGGCCTGACTTTCCGAAGAAACGCGGAAGGGTCTGGCTCTCGTGCAGTAACATTGCATCAGTGATATGATCACGGTCGTTGAGCTTGTATGAGCGGGTCACTGTATGAGATCAGTAGGAGGCTGTTGCTGTATTGAGAGGATAGACACACTATCGGAATTTTCAGGTCTGAAAGAATAGAGAAGAGGGAGAGGGAAGAACGCTTGTACGACTCGTGTGACCTTATACTGACAAGACCAAATGCGGGGGTGGGGCTCATATACATAATCAGACACATCAGGCATACCTAGGTAGCCCCACTAAGTTCTAACCTTAATCAAGTTCTGGCTGCACTTCCTTCATATACTAAAAACAAAAGAAGATAATATTCAACTGGGGCTCTATGAAGCCTATTATGTGATAGGCTCGAATAGGGGGTAGGATACGACTGTGGGAGGCAAATACTACTACGAGTTCGGAATGAAATGACTCGACGGTTAGCAGGATGAGCACCCTTCGCAATTGAGTTATATATTGTACGGTTCGTTTAGCGAGTCCTTGTACTAGTCTAATCTACACAATGTGTACGTCCAGCCTCCTTCGAGTTCCCTCCGCGGCTCCGGCGGCGCCTTCGTAGCTAAACAAAGCGTGAAGGTTAGGTAACTTATGTTTTTATAAATCTCTCCTATATCGTTAAAACTAGGCTTCTAGGACAAGTAAACAACAAACTGTTGTTATATTCTAATCTATATTTCGTATTGTTTGACACGATGAGCGGCCGGATCCGGCCCTCATTGAACCGCCATTCTGCTGTCCCTGCCTGCCATAGATCGCTATCCACCGTTCATCCCGGGTAAGGCGCTCTCGCCCCGATCCCTGGCCGCTTTTACGGCCCCAGCCAGCTATCTGACATCTATAAAACACCGCCCTCCCCTCGACACACCAACCAACTTTCTCTCCTTTCTTCCTCCCATGCCGCCTGCGTTTCTGGCCCCCACCACTTGTGCACTGCCCCGAGATGAGGCTCACCGGGAACCTTGTTACGTCCGGGAATTGTGCAGAAACATACCCTCTTCTTCATATACTGAAGTAAGTTCACCTCTCAAAATTTTGGCGCAGACTGACCTTTTTTGAAAGGTAAAGCTAACCAGATAGGCGTACTGACCCTGCCACCGTCCATGGAATCGTCTTACACGTACGAGGCGTGATTCTGTGAAGGAACATCCCTGGGTTAATATTCGATCAACTGAGCCAAAAGACTACCATATCCGCGCTTCGTGCGCGGATATACCCAGGCACGCCTTATATAGTACACCCTCTAGCTAGAATCCGTGACAGATTCCGCTAGCATATGAGGATAACTTATCTGGAGGAGTTTGGACCAATGTGAGGAGTTTGTGTGCGAACTGTGAAGAGTTGGTTCGTATGTGGGGAGGACATATCGCGAACTTCGAGCCTTTTGCCGATGCAGTCGGCGCGCCGCCATAGCGGCGATGATAAGAGTCGTCGACTTGGACAGGTATATTCTTATTATACAGCAAGTTATTGCTTAACCATCCATATAATTACCCAATTGCACTTTCTGTTAGTGTTCCAAATGTTCGATGATTTCAGTCACAGGTTTAATTGAGTACCTTCATCCTGTATTTTCTTAACTTCCGGTTTCATTCATCTTGAGAAAAAAAGACTCGATAATAAGAAAGCGTGGTAGAAATCGAGCCTCTGATTTGAGCAAAGCAAAGTGCATAATCCGGTACAAAAAGAAAACATTCAAGACTGGTCATCCAAGTCAGTTGGATCGAAAAGACAAGGGATAACCTCCCTTCGCAGCTCTCGAAGTCCTAGCTCAGCAATAACAGTAGTAATTTCATGCAGATCTTGAGAAATGATTTCAGCAAGGACATCGGATACGCGCTCCCAGAGATAGAATTTGTCGCCCGATTGGAAAATCACCATTAGGGAATCCACATGCTCCATTATCGGCCTCGCTGGTGCAAGGCCATGGCATCGAGCGAAAACCTGGCCCTCAGAGTTACGATCCGCCCAGTCGTCTTCGTATCCAGGACTTCGAGGATTCGTGGTCCACTCCGGAGGGACGATAAACTAGTAAAGAGATCTTGGTGACTTCATCAAGCGGGTAGGGAGATGCCTTCACTGGTGGCAGGGTGGTGTTTTCGGCGGGCGGCATAGTGATGTTGCTAGCGGACTGGACGTCACAAAGGGTGGATTATGGGGGGGGGACTCTGGTAGGAATGCACAGTATCGTGGTGACAAGTATTTCAAGGAGAAGAGTTTCTGGTCTCGCTCTGAAAATTAAGATGATGGAGTTGATGGGTTATTTGGAGGCTTGTTTTATGCATCTTCTATAACACAAACTTTTCTCTGAAAATGAAGATGAGGGAGTTGATCTGTAGCGTATGCAAATGGTAGATCACAGATGACGTAATGTGGATCTTAGCGCCGGAATTGATATCATGAAGTACACTGCAACCCCCCAACTCGCTTCCGCTCGTGGATACGCCACGCTTTTATCACCAATTTTTTAGTACACTACGCAATCGGCCATCTCAACCATCCAACATGCCTAAATCCTCCAACTTTAGCAAAGGTCAAACGGCTAAGACTGTTGTATCCGCTATAGCCCAAAAAAACTGAATATCTTGAAAATTGCACATAAATTCGACGTGTCTCGTGAAACCCTCAATTCACGCATCATAAAGGCTAAATCGCTGTAAATTGCGGCTTACGAGGGTTGGATGCGATACGGGCAATAGAAACAAAAGGTAGGCAGTTTGTATTGAACTGTTCGCTATCCTGTCTATAGCGTGTAAAGGGTGTATTATATAGCTTGTGTGAGGCTTTATTTACCCTATTATTACCCCTTGACAAGGTGCGTTGCTTCATAATTACCCGTTGATATCCTTCAGTAGAGGGTGCGTTATCTTATTGTTATCTCTTGACCATTATCTGTCGATAGATATTGTAGGGTGCAGTTGCTTTATTAATATCCTTCGATATTATACAATAGACCTGAGGTATCTAGCGGTAACTTGGAGGCTTAGGTCCTGATAGTTATCCCCCTTTTCGAGGATTATAGCCTTGCGGTCTAATATTCTTTTCGTCTTATTTTATACGCAATAATATATTTGTAATATTTGTAGATATTATTGAGTAGGTAGATAGTTACAGGAGCTTTTTGGAGTCTTTCGAATCTTTTTTCTATAACTATCTTTATATCGACTAGACTTCCGCATAACCCAACTTGGGTCGAAGATTACGACCCAGAACCCAACCCAGACCTAACCCGGGACCAGCTCCTGGGGCCCCAGTAGAATCTAGTTAAGACCCAATTCGACCCAGTTTTGTATAAAATTACACAAAAACCACTTATAAAGCTACTAAATAATCTATATACTTTACCATAATTACAACAGTTTTGGTTCCTCTCTCAGTATATATAATATACTATCTTTAGAATATACAGAATTTTGTAAAATAAAGCATAATATAAAGTAAGAATGTTTTGGTAAGTTTTTTGGTTAAATATCTTATAAATCTAGAAAAGTTATGGTTATATTATAATTAGACTGCGGCACGATCCGCAATATCCAAGGATATCCGCAATCCATATCTGCAAACTGCAGATTTAGATATGATTTCATATCTACAATCTGCAGCCTTGTGGATTTGGATATAGGCCTCATATCCGTTGGATATTTGCGGATATCCAATAGATATCAAACAAAACAAATGTGCCAAGACTTGTGATCTCGAGAGATATGCATTATTTTTATGTTTTCTCTAGTATTTTTTGTGTAACAGTATTATTATGATTAAATAATTATAATCTAAATTCGGCTATAACTCAACTTTTAATATATTTCTTAGTATATATATTATTTAGAGATCTAGCTAAAAGCTATTTAGTAGTCTTGGCTGCTTTTAAATCTATCCTAAATATCCTAGTATATTTCTATTGACCGATATCTCTAGAAATTTATTATCTTTAATAACTTTATATAGTCGTTTCTAGGACTACTTCTCTTTTATCTATCTTTAATAATTAATATCTTTATTCTCTAATTTATTACTATAACTCGTAATCTATTAAGTAGGCTCTAGCTCTAGCTCTTAGTCCTTCTCTTTATTATTACTAATAGGCTCCAAGATTTTAAGTTATAATAGAGATCTCTATATTTAGTCGAATAAAATAATCTTATCCTAAGATAGATATTCTTTAATAACTTTAAGCTTCTCTTGTTAAAGATCAAAGTTAATAGAAAACTAATAAAGTATAAATCTATAGATAGTACTTAGTTTTAATTAATTATAATAATAGTGATAGATATTATAAGTATAGTTAAATAATTATTTAATACTAGTCTTATTAATAGAGATAGATAGAATATCTTTTGTTATTCTAGTTAAGATAAGGAAACTTTTCTTATATTCTCTCTAAAAAAATCGAGATTTCTATCTCTTAATTCTATAAACAAGATATTATATAATCTTATTATTATCTTATTTTTTAAATTTCTCTAATAACTGGTTCTAGAAAATATAAATAATATCAAGATTATAATTATTATTATTATTATTAGCTATTCTTAGAATTTTTAAAGATATAGTAATACTAGAATTATAAATAAGTATATCTTTATATTAATTAATCTTCTAATTTAGAACTTTTTGATAATATTTTATATAATTAATATTATTTTATTAATTAATAAAAACAAAATATCGAAGCTTTTTTAATAGACAAAAAATAGTTATTAAAATATAGATATTACTATAAAACTTATAATTAATAATAGTATAATATTTAGAGAGTTTTTTCTTAATAATTTATAATATCTAAAATATTCTTTTCTTCTAGATTATATTTTTATTCTTAAACTTTATTTTAGTAATATCAAGATAAGAGAAAAGCTTATTATAGATATTATAAATATTATATATAATAATATCTTTAGTTTTTAATAATATTATAATAAAATTAAAGAAAGACTTAATTAGAAAAAAAAAGATATTTAATTTGATATTATTCTTTTTAATTAAGTTTAAAATAAAGATATTAATAATTAGTATAATATTAATTATAAAAAGATTATAACTTTTTAGTATAGTTAAGTATTAAGAAGATTAAATTCTATTATATCTAGATATCTTAGACTAGAATTAATATAGATACTAGCTAAAAAATTATAAATATCTTCTAATATTATAGATTTATATTAATAAAAATAACAAGCTCTTGAATCTTTAAAACTTAGTTAGTCTAAATATAAATAAGTTTTATAAATATTAGATATATCTTTTTTAATATATCTATAATCTAGATATTACTAGATAGATTTTATTTATTCTAAAAAGAATAGATTTTCTTTTTAGACTATTCTAACTTAATCTTTTTATTAAATGATATTATTTTTAGCTTTCTAAGTAGTTTATTTAGACTAAGCTAGATTATATATATAATATAAAAAATCTAGAAAATTAAAAGATCTGATAAATACTAAGATTAAAGATAGTTTTAGATATTTAATATTAAAATATTATTATTTATTATATTATTAGTAGTTATTGATAATATATAATCTAAGATATTATAATTAGCTAGGATTTAGATTATAGTTTTATTAAGATTTTCTCTAATATAAAAGTTATAAATATACTTAAATCTTAATAGAACTTTATAATACTTCTAGTTCTAATTAATAAAATAATTAGTAATAGCTATAAATATTTATTAGAAGAAAGAGATCTAATAATCTAAGGCTAGAGATAGCTAGTAACTATCTAGGAGTCTTTAGAGGATTATCTTTTAGTTATTCTAGATTATTATATCGAGATAATATTAAATAGTTTAGATAGATAGGATTATAAGTTTAGTAGATAATTATTAAGTAATTTTTATTATATAATAGAATTAGAGATATTTAATAATTTAGAATAATAGATATATAATAAAAATAAATCTTAGGATAGTATTAGAGAGATATTTTTAAGAGAATAATAGATCTGATATTTATAATTAGATAAGATCTTTTAAAATTAGTTATTTTATTATAGATAACTAGTATTTAATATTAATATTTATAAAAAAATCTTAATTAATATACTATTTATTTAAGAAGTTAATTAATTCTTAGACTAGTTTTTTTGATATAGATCCTAGTTTTAAGATATATTATTATAGATAAAGATCTAGTATATCGAAATCTTAGATAATTAATAATATAAAGATATAAGTTATATATAATTTTTAGTATTCTAGTATTTTTATTTATTATTTAGTTAAAGTTATTCTAGATATCTAATTTATTTTTTGATTTTTAATAGATTATATTTTAGATTTTAGATTATAATATATATTTAATTTTAAATTATTAACTAATAAACTTTTTTTATAAGTTCTCTATATTATTATAGGCTAAGTTAGATAGATATAATATCTAGTTCTTTTAAAGAGAAGAATTAATCTGAGAAAGACTAGATAGTATAATTATTTGAGTAGATAATATAGATATGATAGATATTTAGATATTAATTAAATTAGAGAAATTATTAGGATATATTTGATTAGAGTTAAGATCTATAAGATCTAAATTAGTAAATAAGAATTATAATTAGGATATTAAGAAATTAATAATTATATAATAAGAGATATTCAAAAAGATAAAGATAGAAAGACTAATATCTAGATTAATAAAGGTTTTTAAAGATAGAATAAATAATATATAATATTATAGATCTAGACTAATTAATAATAGATTAAATTATAGTAATTAATTAGAATTTTTTTTTAGTATAGATATATAGAAAATATTCTAAGGATCTTAAAGATATTTTAAAGATCTTATAGATATATTATAGATATCTTAAAGATCTTAAAGATATTCTATAGATATTTTATAGATATCTATATAGATATCTACTAAATATCTATATCTTTTTTAAAAATTATGAAGTCTATATCTTAAGAACTTCTATTTATGATTTCTCTTATTTTTATAGTCAGAATATCTTTAAACTCTAATATATCGAGAGCTAGAAAAGATAGTATTATTTTGAATCTAGAATCAGGATATTTTATTAAGAAATATATATTTTTTCCTTATTTACTCTATTTATTATAAAATTAGAGAAGGTTAATAGTAGTTAAATATATATTTCTGAAGTAAG